CAAGGCCAGAGGCAAAATGCGAAAAGGCGGTAGTCTTAGTCTCATGGGGTGTCCGGACGCGCCTGATCCTAGGGGCTTGCCACACCGCCTGCTCTGCGGGGTTGGTGTGTACCTACCACCTACCTATCCGTATCCGGACTGTAGTTATTTTCTCGGGTTGAATTGCAACGGAGCTTCCATTCCCAGGCTGTCCCCGAGAAGAGATATTTTTTTTGGTGATGGGATAATGGGCACACTTCGCTGCACTCCGTCATGCACTGCGTAGGCGGGTGCCCGACGCCGAGGTAGCGTCGACGCTGATGACACTGAGCTGACCATGTCAAGATCACAGTTCAGCTCCGGGCCCTGGGAGGAGGAGGAGTGGACTGCGAGGTGGTGTGACGGCGGACTCCTGATTTGTCTGAAAGGGAAGGCGAGACGTCACCACTTCTTGAAATCTAAAATCCATTTGGCACATCAGCCAGCCAGGCACGTGAGTATGAGGCCTGAGTGGGGAGGCGCCCCTGGGCATTTTACGGATACATAGTACAGTGCTGCGAGATGCTGTATGTATTGTCCGCCTGGGCCCCTTTACCCCTCGAGGCATCCGTGCCTTATGACTCGGTCAATGTTCGAGAGCTGATGAGAGACACAGCACTGGGTCGTTAAAATCCGTAAAGGAGCGCCGATGATAAGTTGCGGTCTGTCATTGGCGACCGTCAGTACACGGGCAGTAATTGTTATTGATTATTGATTGGGAGGCTTGACGCGTGTTTCGTGTTATTTCGTGGCTGCAAGTGGTAGAATTACATTACCTCTTCACGGCTGAGCCAGAGGGCATCTTTCCTATGGGCTGGTCAATTTTAGAGGGACATTACTCCCAATTCTTGTGATAGGGGGCGCCTACAACGTATCAACGGCAAAAGGTGGGAAAGGGAGGCCATCATCGTTTTGCCCATGTGCGATACAGCTCAAGTTGAAAGTGTCTAGCGCATGTTGCGCAAAGGCACGTGTTGAATGCAGTGCAGGCCAGTGAAATCATGTGCACCACAACTCTCTGTTTGGGCAGTTCGGCAGCGGGACTTGGATCTTGCGGGATCCAGAAAGACTCGACATGTTCAACAAGCGCTGTCTCTAGTTTCGCTGTGACGGCCCGGGCAAAGTGGGGAATTTGCGCGCCCTCGGTTTCTCTGCATGTTTGCCGCCCGAAAAAAGCAGAGAGACTTGATATTGGAATTTGACAGCGGAGGCAGCTCGGTATTTTGAAACTATCTTCAAGGAGTAAGGTAACGTGAGGTAAAAACAGCGGAGGTGGTTATCTAAGGCAATGACCAAAGAAATACAGTTGATCCGAACACCCACGCGAGCATGTCCGGGTTTCCGATTCGCTCACTTAGGGTGTCTTGGGCTTTAAACGCAGAAACTCTGTTGTCGCAGATGATATTGCAGGTCGTCAAATTTCCGTTGCTGAGCACCGGCCGACAGCTGGAAGAAGCGTAGCCCTCAATTTCATTTTCCCAGGTGGCTAATTCAATCATCGGCTCCCGAAATAGATGTTGTCCGCGGCGTATCTCGGAGACGCAACAGGTTCGAACACACGGTCTTCCTTTCTGGCTGTGTGCCGACTTCCTACGATACAGGTGTTTTGTGACTCCCGTTGCACGCTACTGCACCAAAGTACGGTCCTCCGTTCGCAGCCCTCCACCATTTAGCGACGATCTCCTTGTCAATCATGCCTCAGAAAAGCCAGCTCGCCTCCCAAGGCTGTTGGAGAAAGCCTGCTGGCCAAGACTGCACGATGGATGAATAAAGGGGGTTGAAGACAGACACAGCCCTCCTGAACAGTAGATCTGCTACCTGAAGAGTCTGCCAGCGCCACCGAGTCATCAGCAGCCTTGACCGCCCTCTTGATGCCCACCTGTCGCCAAGCACCAGCGAAAGGGTGTCCGAGTTCCGCATAGGGCATCCAAACTCTTCACGATAGCTGCTTCTGCCCCTACCCCAGCGTGCAATGTAATACAAAGCGCCTAGGAATTTCCCGCAATAGTTTGCATGAGTTTCGAATCCTATTTCTGACCCATGTCAGAAGAGCCTGGTGGCCAGGCCGCTGCAAAACACACTTGAGCTCGTGGTCGTGACGGCCTGTGCCTGAATTCGTGGTCCGACGGCGCACCCAGTCGTGCCTCCCGTGCTCTCTCGCCAAGCACAAACCCTCCAGTGGCGTGGACACGGTTGTCTCCCGTTTCCCGGCATTAAGGTTCGTGGTGAACTGGTGTGCTTGTTAGTCAGCTTGGCCGGCCGGACTTGTCGGATCGAACACCCCCCTCAAGGTACCTCGTACTGCTGCTTGGTGGATCAGAAGCTCATCGCAGGCGGCTGCCCGTTCTCCTCAACCCTTCAAGGATACCTACTTATCAAGAGATGGTGGAGTCCTAGCTAGCACACTGGACGCTACCTTAGGTCCTGGAGCAGGCTAAGATCTGTTTTATTTTTGGGGTTTCATGGGCCCTGAAAATGCTGTCCAAACCTGCCCACGTCCCAACATTTGGGCCCGTCGGAAAGACACAGATCACAGAAACTAGTGGTCGGTTGCTGTTAGCGTCCCATGGGGCCCGTTGGACATGCAAACAGCCGGGCCGCAACCGTAGAGGCCAGATAGAATCAGCGACGAGTGTTGGTCGTATGGGCCGCAATAGGATTTGCCATGGCTTGAGCCCACCGGGCTGACAACGCCAATGAGAAACATCACCGCCGCCTGCGGGCTGTGAGAGGGCTTGCTTTTTGCCAACATCGGTTGCAGGATACGGGCGGCCGAAAGCAACGGCACATTGCCGCTAGTCTGACGGGCTGCTGTGGCCGAGAAAAGACCAGAAGGCACCTGGACCTGGCAGCCCAGCCCGCCCGCGGCGACGAGCTGCGTTGCCTGATCAATTACGGCTGCGTTGCCTGATCAATTACGTCGCGCTGAGCGGGTGGTGAGTCCGGTGGGAAAAACGTTGATGTTCACATGGAAAAATGGAAGGATGCGAGTTGTTCGAAGAAATTTCTCCTCATCCGATATTGGCCAGTGCTATGATCGAGGTACCCGTGGTTCTGAGACGGGTGCTGGGGAACTTGCGATACATCTGTCTGGTACCCCTGTAAGCGGTGGAAATTTGGGACACGCGGTCATTGCCCTGTGTTGTTGTGGAGACTGGAGAGGAGACGACGGCAGGGGTTTGTGGTTTCCCGTCAAAAACAACGCCAAGACTACAGACCCACAAATCATGGCCGGGAGGTTTGCTTTTGGCCTAGCGGTCTGCCACCCACTGCAAAGAGCGCTCCGCTTTCTCATTAGCAACAAAGCCAGAGCTTGCTTGGGCTGCTGCAATGAGGCATTCATTAGACGGAAAGCCAGAGGAAGCTTCCTGCCGTGCAGGCACCGGCCGCCTCTAAGCCGTCTTACAAACCCCGGCCATCCACCTCCACTCCCGTCAGTACCACGGGGCGATTGGGTGAGGTATTACGATGACCGCTCCAAAAGGTAGAGACTCCTTCAATCAAAGGTTGCTCCATTGCTCTAGTGAGATCCAGATGCTGAAGGAAAAGGGTGGAGGGTCATGAAAGGCTTGCCACGCCCCCTCAGAGCTTAGTATGCTGTGTGCCCCATGTCGCCTCCACTGCCCCTACTCGATTTCTAGTCGGCTTTCGGCAGGCTCCTTTTGGGCGCAAGTTGGCCCCCTCGGTTTTGGGAAAGGCTCGACTGGCCCAGCGACAGCCCTGGTCATTTCCGTCATTGTCGCACCAAATTGATGCACTACACCCCCTTCTCGAATGTCGATGCCTCCAGACCCGTTGATTTCCTCGCCTCGGGCTTGCGTGCACTGAAAAAGGAGCCACTGTTCAACGCGCGCAACTCAACAAAGGCAAAATTACAGATCCAGCTGCGTTTTGGCAATCTGCAAGCGGGCGCTGCGATCGTCATCCTAGACGGGAATTATTAGGGAAATAGTGTTTTGACTGCCTCAGCGGGTCATCAAACATACAATGCACAAGCACGTTTACCTCAAGCATTTTGCAGGAGTACTAGTACAAGTATCCTAGGTAGGTAGGGAGGCAGGCAGGTAGGTACAGCGGTAGCAGGAAGTGCTCGCGCCTGCAATCGCCAGTGGCTGTCGTTGAGTGATGCTCCGTTTATTGGATCCATCGGCCTCTGGCGTCCCTCGTCGCCTGCGCGCCCAGGCCACCTGTGGGTCACCAGCCCAGGCGAACCAGAGCCCTTCCTCGCCACCCCGTCTGCTCCGCTGATCGAGCTGCCTAGGTTCACACTACACTTTCGGGCCAGCGCCATTTTCTTTCCTCGTCCCTTTCACCTCCCTTCCTCACGCCGTGCTCTCCTCTCCCTCCACCACCACCATCACCACCGCGGAATCCACCAAGGATCGGGCAATCGACGAACGGCCAAATTCACTTTTGTGTCGTTCACGAGAGGATTCTGGTGTTCTCCATCCTCGTTTGTCTCGAGCGGCGACCCGAAAAAAAGAAGTTACCGAACGGCCTCGGTTCGGGTGTGTAGTGTTTTGGGCGTGTCTTGAACGAACAGAACGGCAGACCGGTCAACTCGCCTACCACAGCACAACTACGGAACCATTCCCACCGATCCCTTTCATCAGGTTAGTGACTTTTTGCCTTTTGTTTGACGTATCGTGTGTTGCATCAGAGGTTTCCCCAGCGATTCGGAACCCGGAGCCTGCGAATCCACGCCCGGGATGCCGTCGAGTTTGCTGCTCGATGCCCCAAAAACCGCTACCCAAGCCACCTTCAACATCACGTTCTCCGCCGCCGACTCGTCAGAGCCGGTCGACGGGCATTCCTCTAACACCGGCCGCAAAGTATTGCCGCTTTTGATTGCTTCGGAGCTTCAACCTCGTCAGGGTTTTCTGACGACCGCCAGCAGTCCTTGCTCGTGCACTCATTTTTGGCTACCTCAAAATCAAATTCCCCTCAGTTCTGCCTCATCCCGACGGATACTGCCCTACCCTTCCTGACATCGGCCTGACACTAACAAGACTTTTAGCGGTGCTTGGACGCTCTCTTTCCAATCTAGCCCTAGATATTTCGGCACGATTTGTACTCGTCTTTGCCTTTTACAGGTTGCAGCGGGTTGAAAATATTTGGTTCGGCAACAAGAAGCTTGTTCTACACAACCACAAAGAGCCCCCGACCGAGTTTCTTTCAACCCTTTGGCGATCTTGACCGGGCCTAACGACCTTTTAAACTGGGCGACTCTTCAACTAAGGAATTACCTGCTTCTCTAGGCAGAAGAATCCCCAACCTATGGCTCAGACATCCCAGTAGATCTCGATTTCCTCTACCTTTCGAGATCCTCTCGACTCTTCGGCTCTGGAACACGCTGTGCTCAGAAGGTGTCCTTCATCCTGCTGAACCTATTCCAGCTGCCCGAAGCATTTCGACCTTCCCACTTCCCTGAATCTGCGAATTGCAAGCCACGATGCCTGGAGGCGTGTGTGCCGTCCTCGACTATGAGGTTGAGATGATGGCCGACTATGTCTCTGAGATGGCGACCCGAATCGTTATGCCTCGAAACTCGGTCAACGTAGCTTTTCGAAAATTTGTGTCGCAGATTCTCACCTCCACGAGGCTTCCAAGCACGACCATTCTCCTTGGCATGAATTACCTCGCGAAGCGCGTCAATATGATGCACGCCGAGGGTCAGAACAATCATAGTGAGGGTCAAATCTGGCGTATGCTCACCATTGCTCTCCTCCTGGGAAGCAAGTTCCTCGACGACAACACCTTCCAGAACAAATCTTGGTCGGAAGTGAGCGGGATCTCTGTGCAGGAGCTCAACACTCTGGAATATGAGTGGCTGAGAGCGATATCGTGGTGCCTCTATGTCAATCTTGACGAGAGCAAGGATTACAATGCGTGGTTGGCAAACTGGAAACAGTGGCTCGACAACAAGAAGCGGCAGCAGGCCCAGGCGAGCCGCGAACGCTTGGCTGTCCTCGTTCCGCCCACGGAGACGGAACTTGCGCGGTCTCGGAATCCCCAGGGCTACTCGACGTGGCATCAGCAGCAAGTTGCCGAATACGAGCGTCTCTCGAGCATGAAACGCAACCAAGTGCCGACCCCCTCTTACCGACGAGGCGACCAAACCCAAAATTCATGGGGCTACCCGATGGCTTGGCCAACGTCCGCTCCGTTGACGCCGCCGGATTCTGGATATGGTACTCCAGAGTATTCGAATTCAGCCACATCGGTCAATACGCAATACACGGAGTGGTTTGACCGAGCGATTGTGAGCAACGGTAGCACATCCAGACAATTTCAGCAGCCCGCAACCTACAATACTTTCCAGCACGCCGGCCACCAATCCCGGAATCCCTATGGTGCTTTCTACAACTATGGCCACAACATTTGGGAGCATCCAGGTGTCGCCGATTGCAACTGCGCAAATTGCGTTGCGGCACAGAACAAGGCGCCTTATTTCGCTGGTCACACTTACGGACAGCCAGTTGTTGGTTGAGACGACACGCTTGCTGCTTAACAACAAGTGAAGCGGCGGTCCTCTCCCCAGCACTGTTTCTTTCAAGTGCCTTAGGGTCATTACTCAAGTTTCCCACTGCATCGTCTACCCCAGACGTCGTTTCTTTTTTTTCAGGACATCGGAGAATCTATACATTGCATCCAGATACCCCGACTGATGAATGGACTGGATTCATCAAAAACGACAAAAAAGTCATAATTTCTTAGCTTCCGGTTCTTCCTGCGACTCTGCTCCGCGAAGTGCCCGGACCGAGATTGACCAAAGACGATAGTGACTTGCGTCACGCCTCTAGTCGTTCGGCGGCCCTGCCCGTTGTTGGCGCAGGTTGATCTCAATTAATTCATTTTGTTTTTTGGTATACGGTTCGGCAACATCTCATACATCGGCGTTTTGAATCTTAATACCACGGTTTTTCCCCTTCGGATTCGGCTCATAGATTTCGGCCAAACGAACTTTTCACGATTGCGACTCCGACTCGGTTCCACTTTTACCAGGTCTTTCGCCAGCACGCACTCCGCAACCCGATAGTTTTGGGTTAAATGGTGCGTCTTCACTGTTGCCCATGACTTTGGGCTTGCTGCGGGCTTGGACATGCCATATTCTATAGATTTGGAGTGAGAGGCTGCGAGGGCAACTTGAATACTCGGCGTCTATTTGGCCGTTGTTGAATCAGTTGCCGCGACTTGCCTTTCACTCTTCGGTGTCCCCTTTTTGATTTCAGAGATGGTGTTCCAACATGGAGGCCAGTTTTTAATCTCACTTTCTTTTCTTTTTCTCTTTGGCCGGAGGCCGGGTTTACTCGTTTTCTTTTTCTTGCAGACATTGGGCAGGATATCTGCCTGGTTAGGGCAGTACACCGAGGCGTTCGGAGACGGTCGTCGTTTGGCACGGTGCCACTTCAAAAGGGGATCATTTGCGACATATTCTCGATGATGCGAAAAGTTTCGGGGGGCGGTTCACATCTGCTGCTATTTCCAAGGATGCAAATTGCTTTCTCTGTTACGTTTTTCTTTTTTCGGCCGGCGAGGGTCAATGGTGTGGGAAAAGTCGGACCCTGTGGTGATGGCCTCAAGACGCATTTTTGGGACGGACGAAAAAGGGGCTTGGTTTTACAACTTTCTTATTATGTTTTCCCTTTTTTCTTTCGTTTCGCCCCTTTATTCGTGTTCTCTCCCTGGTTGGACTTCCAGATTACTTGTCCTTCGTGTTTGGCCGGTATGGATCGCGCAACTCGTGTGGTTAGGAGTCGGGGGCATTCATCCGATTAAACGTCTTTGGCTGTTTTTTCACGGCGGTAGAAAGCTTTTCATCAACGGGGCACTCTGCATTTCGCAGTAGAGAGGGGACGGGGCAGGACGGGCGGGCCGGTGGTGTTTACTTTCCAATGCGTTTATATTTTCATGCTTGTATTCAAAGAGGTGGAAGTTTTATGTTTTCCAAACCCCATCCACACTCACGATTTGACGAGCCTCGAGGCAACAGGGGAAAGGAGAGACTGGGCAAACAGACAGGGAATCGCTGTCTGGCTGGTGGTATTCGAGAGGTTTGGTTTGTCTTGCACAAGCCGTCCAACGCAGCCGATACTCTGATGCTCGCGCTACGATTTCGAGGACCGTTGGCCGACGGGAGACATTGGCCTCGCGAGATCTGGCTATCTGAATAAAATAAAGATTGCCTGGTAGTCTTTGGCCTTGTAAGATTGATGAGTTTCAAGTTTTACAACTTGAGAAACAAGACTAAAAACAAATTACCCTGATAATCTGAACTCTAACTCCTGCTTGTTGTGACTTGCGATCTGGCGGATGGTTGTGCGTGTTGGTGGAGATTCTAGCATGTAGCCGTACAGTACTGACTGCCATGCTGGTTGTGGTACGGTGTGTGGTGGGGGTGGCCGGCCCCACATTGAATTCCCATGATTTTCTGTCCCGCTTCGTAGAGGCACGTCTATCATCTTTTCATCTATCGGCCAATGACAGCACTGAACTATCGACACTGAGATTCGTGCCACAAGTCAGTGAATGAATACCTCATAATTCTTTTACGCTGCTAAGAAGGGGTCAAGGTCGGGCAGGCATTTCTCTTGTTTTTATTTTGCTAAAGAAAGTTTACTGCATGTCGCCACATACATGCCCATGCCCCTTCCGAGCGTCTCTCTAATATCCACCAACATCTCCCACTGGAATTGCGTCCCCTCCCTTTCTAAATTAAATCCATGGGACATCAATTATTTCAGGCCAGGGCTTGTTCTTGAGCAAAAAAGTTACCTAAGGAAACTGTGAGAGAAAGAAATCAGAGGAATAGAGTGCGAGCCGAGACAATCGGAAGTAAAACCCACGCCACGCATCGGACACTGGCAAAGGAGGCAACATTACATGGCATCGCGCTTTGTCTCGGCTGGCGCTATCGATGCTGCCACGGGCGAGGCAACAGCCGCTGCGGCCCCGCCGCCGGCGTCGTCCGACAACACGGACCGGAAGGGCAACGAGTGGCTCGAGGTGACCAAGCAGCTCGAGGCCGACCGGCGGCGGCGCGACGAGGCGCGCCAGGCCGCCGCCACCGCCGCCGGCCCCAATGGCGAGCGCACACTGTTCGACGTACTGCAGGCGAACAAGGCCGCCAAGCAAGCCGCCTTCGAGGAGGCCCACCGCATCCGCAACCAGTTCCGCGCGCTCGACGACGACGAGATTGACTTTCTCGACGACGTGCGCGCCAGCCGCCGCGCCGACGAGGAGCGCCTGCGCCGCGAGACCGAGGCCGGCCTGCAGGCGTTCCGCGCTGCCCAGATGAAGACGGCCGCTACTGCTGGTGGTGGTTCTACGTCGCTGGACGCGCTAGACGGCACCGGCGGCGGCGCGGACGACGTGGGGGAAGGAGGAGCAGAGGACGACGACCACTACGAAGAGGAGTGGGCGGCCGGTAGCGGGCGGAAGCGGCGGCGCTCGGAAAAGGACCGCGACAAAAAGAAGCGTGTCAAGGGCCTGCTCGTCGGCGGCGCCGCTATCAGGAGGCAGTCGACGGCGGGGAGCGCGCAGGACGCTACCGAGAAGCCGAAGGCGAAGCTCGTAGCAGAGGCGGGGACCGAGAAAGTAGCTCCCGGTCCCAAGAAAGTAGACGCCGGTGAGAAGACATCACCACTGCCACCACCGAGCGCGGCCAAACCGTCGCCGCCGGCACTAGCGAAAAAGTTGGGCGGGCTCGTCGACTACGGCTCCTCGGACGACGATGACGACGATTGATATCGTTTACTCTCCCCTCCAGAAAGAAAACCCCCCCATCTCACAGGCGGTTTATTCACTCGGAATCTTTGCTGGATCGGCTAAGGGAATCGAGCATCCGGCTCTCCCACAGTTTGATGGCTAAGATGTCAACTCCAAGACCGCCTGGCTTCCAGGGTCTATGCAGAAAAAGCCGAGAAGCATAAATGGGCTGATGGCTACCGCTCACCAGGCAGCTACTGTCGTTGACAGACGATGACTCTGAGACTACGAAGCTGATGATAACTGGCGTTGGGGCCTCCATGCTGTGCTGTACGTTCAACTATATACTTGGGCCGCTGATTGACAAAATTCCACTAGGCTCTGTCTGGACCCGACCGGGAGTTGTTTGTAATATCTGTGTGCACGCGTATTGCGGACTTGACTTCAATATATCAAAGAGGAGTCTCATTATGGTTGGTTCTACAGGTGACAGGCTGATGCTAAAAATTTCATGGTCCAGGCCCCCATTCTAAACCCCCTCCGACGGAAACCTCCAGCACCCTCCTTTTATAATGGCATAATGTACAAACGGCTCCGGGGTCCGCTGCAGACAGATGCCTACAAACTAGATATATTACACTTCCTACGTCACAACTCTGATGATATGCTGCGTCTCAGATGTCTGGGGCATGGCCTTACTTCGATTCCGACGTTCTCGGAAAATCCCTACTCGACGTCAGAGTCGTCCAGAGGGGTGAGCTTCTTTGGCCTGGTCTTGTCCACGCCCCAGCGGTAGAGTTGACGGAGTTTCCCCTTGGTCCAGCCCTCGACCTCCTCTTCGGGGACCACAAACCGCCTGACTCTGGCCCCGTCCTCTGGCAGCAGGTCGAAGCGGCGCATGCGGGCGGCCACACGCGGATCCATGACGATCGGGCGAGCGCGTATCTTCTCCGTAACCCCGTCGTCGTTGTCGACAGCGGCGCCTTCGGCCTTCGGCTTGTCCTCCTTCCACACCGCCTTAACCCAGTCCTTCTCTTCCCACGCCAGCTCCTTCTGCTGCTCGTACCGTTTCTCCGCGTCTGTTTCGTCAGAGCCGTGCTCCGCAGCCTCGTGGAACTCGCGGTATGTGCACAAGCACACGGCGGCCACTTGCCGGCCGATATCATCCGCAAGCTTACGGCGGTTAAAGAACCGCATCATGCGTGTGGGTGTGTTTAGGAAGCCCAGGATGTGCGGCTCGGGGACTGGAGCGACAGGCGAGAACTCATTAGGGGTTAGCAAAGGGAGTGACTCGGCAATGTAGTCGTTTGTGGTGTTGTATGGCTTCGGCTGGGGCGGCCTCTTTGGCTTTGTCTCTTGGACTACAGGAGGGTTTTCCTCGGCAGGTTTCTCATCCTCGCCCAAGGTAGACTCGGAAGTGGCAGCTTCTGGAAGAGGGAGCTCGGGCTCGGGGGGGGCGCTAGGGGGCCAAGCCAGCCTTCATGGAGCCCCCTGATATACTCCTTCCACGTGTGACGGCCAATGACGATGTCGCCTCGAACGCCAGCGTATTCCTCAATGCCACGGCTTCTGCGGACCGCGGTAACAATCTCGTCGTCGGTTGGCGGACGGTCCGAGTCTGGGCCGGCGCTGCCCTCCCAGCCGCGGCGGACCTTGCGTACCCTCTCCGCCATTACAGCGCGGACATCACCTTCGCGCCGGCCCTGCACAAACTCCCAGTCTAGCCCGCTTGCGGCCAGTATCGGCTTGACGTATTCGGTGTAGTGGTCCTGGGCCACGCGTAGACCGTCGCTAGGTGGACTCGACAGGAAGATGGTGAGTTTGCGCGGTTCCGCCAGGCCGTTGCCGGGCAAAGGCTCCTTGGCCAGGTGCTCCACGGCATGTCTCCATCTCGCAATCGCTCTCTTCTTTTCCCGCCGGTCGTAGATGATGGCGGCAGTGATGGTGGTGGAGAGGGTCCAGAAGATCAACCAGTTCCGCGAGGGAAGCTTGCGAGGGAGCGCGGGAAGGCCGAGCATGCGCAACGCCGGATTACGGGGCGGCGGCACCTTTGGCGGCGGTGCCTTTGGGGGCTACAAAACGACAATTTTAGACGCCGAATAGAGGGGGAAGAATATGAGTGAGTATATCATACCGCCTCCTTGGCCACGGATGGTGGCGCTGGTGTTGGTGTTGGCGTTGGTGTTGGGTCAGCCATCCTGGTTCTGGTGCTGTTGGAGCTTCCTAGGGGGGGGGGGGGGGGGGCGACTGGCACTATGAGCGCATCTGGCCTGCCGCAGCCTCGATCGAGGCGTCTGGGATTGGCGTGGTGGTTTGAACGGGACTGGAAATGCCGAAGTCGGGTGTGTGTGTGGTGGCAGCACAGTTGCAGCGAAGCTGTTCGCATGCATTCTCATTCTCTCAAATTTCCATAAACTCTCTCCTTATCTGTGCCGCGCGATAAGGAACATGGCGCGCGCACGGGCCATGGCGCGCGCACGGGCCATACCGGGAAGCGTTGCCGTCGACCGGGAACGCTCGCTACCTGGAAGTTCATTCCGTTCAGGCTCTGGAAGGAATTTGGAAGCTTCCAATAAGCCCCGAGGAAACTCAAGTATATATGTGCCGCCCTACCTAAAGCCGGCGCCTAAGAGATAGCCGGGCTGGGCGGGCCTGTGCATTGAGCATTCTATATTCGGCCCGTAACCGTTGTTCTTTGCGAGGTCCTTGGATGATATCTCGATGAGGCCTTGACGCGCGATTACCGTGTAAGTTTACAACTTTGCTTACCCTTTGCATGCGTTACAATCAAAGCAGACTTCCCCTTAATTATACTTCGGTAGCCGGTACCTACCTCCGTTGGCTTGTTCTAGATCTCCATAATTATCTACGGAGGATCCGGAGAGCCTCCCGGTATGAAGCACCTAAGTACCTTCAATGGCCAAGTTAGCGGATACCTGACGGCGCGCGCAGTTAAGACAGGCAAAATCATCTCAAAAGCCCTTCTCATGTGGCCGAGCGTCTCTTGATTGGCATTGTAGATGAATAGTTGGTAGAACATATTAGGTAAGGCGCTCGGTTTTGTATCTATCGAGAGATTCCGGTCTAAACGGGTTTGCTAAAGTCGCCAAGTTGAAGTCGCGTTTCACTTCTCAGAGTACAAGTCTGCAAAAGAGCGTAATTCGAGAAAATATAAGGCGCGTAAGCTTTGACAACAAGGATTTGGTGCATTCCAATGTCAGATCTTGTTTCGAAACTGAGAGCACGAGCGAGGGGAGACTCCAAAAAGGGGCCTGGTCTCGCGAGGAGGGGAACCCCCTGAGACTCCTGAGAGCCAGAACCTGGGAAAGCACGGGGATGGCCCGGCTAGGTGCAGTGTCGAGGCGCTAATCGACCCCACACAAACATGTCTTCCAGTGTGAGTGAGGTTCGAAATCTCGCAATGGAACTTGACCCCTCCAATTGCACGCTGGCTCGGCTGGCTAACCAGTGGGAAAAGGGCAACGAAATAAGAGAACTGGGGTGGCTCAAGAATGCCCACTGGACTGTGGTAAGATTTCATGAACAAACAAACCTCCGGAGTACCTTCTGAGGGACGGAGTACAGTACTTTCCTGCCCTGTATATGCATCCATACAGTACAGTACTGTACGTACATACGAAATACATACCCCAGCGCTTCCATCCTTCTGAAGGCCTAGGCCCCAGACAGGCCCCTTCAACCTTTTTCAAGCCTGTCAGCAGGCACCAGGCCGACTTCATTCAACCCCTCCCTCCTGCCAACCTCCATTCACACCTACCTTTCTGCCAGCGTTTTTTACCTGCACATGCCACAGCAAGGCCTCTCGTGTCAAGCATCAACCGATGAGTTGAACTGACCGGTGGTACCTCTCCTTCTTGTGTAGCCAGAATACTCGAGATCACGATCCGATCACGTCTTTTGCGCCTTTGCTGCGGTTGAACGACGTTCGGCTCCTTGCGACGTCGCAGTGCCCCACCGCTAAATAGAGAAGCGGGACGACTTGACCTTAGCGACCGAGTCTTCATTCCCACCACGTCCCACGTTTGGTGCCACGCAGGACCTGACTCTTGCCAGAGCCCTTGTCCCAACCAAAGGCAAGCTTTTTACTCTTCAATCTATATCCCCTTCTGAGCGCACCGCCTCCACGACAAAACAGCGTCGCTCGTCGGCAATCGTCGCAACCAGCTGGCCCGAATCGGCGAACCGCGGTAAACCCAATCGTACCCCATCCAGGTACATAGGCTACCTTACATACCTTAGGCAAGTACGTCAGTAGCACGCCACCAAGATGGACAACAACGGCAACAGGTTGTACCTAAACTTTGGGAACAACAATGAGCGGCTGGCCACTACAGACCGTACATATCCCACCACCCCGTCGACCTTTCCCCAGCCTGTCTTTCAGGCGGGCCCCTCGAGCCAGCCCCCTCTTCCTACAAGTGCTGGCGCCCAGCCAACTCAAAGCTATCCTGCAGGCTATGCCTCTTCGACAAACTACTATGTTCCACCGCAACAGCAGCAGCAGCAGCAGCAGCAGCAGCAACAACAGCAACAACAGCAACAGCAGCAGCAGCAGCAGCAGCAGCAGCAGCAACAACAACAGCCACAGCAAGTACCGCAACAGCAGCAGAGCCCGTATGCCCCCCAATACTCGTCGATGCTGTCTGCCCAAGTTGCCGACTACAACTCTGGCGGTCAGGGCTACCAGCAGCCTCGGTCAAACACGCCTGGCACCAGCAATGACCCGAATACCGGTCTCGCCCAGCAGTTCTCACACCAGCATCTGGGCGGCGCGCAGAACCTAGGTGCCCCCCCACAAGGTGGCGCTCGGAACTATAGCTCTCGCGGCCCGTCTCCGGCGCAGCGGCCACGCACGGCGGGCTCGCAGAACAATCAGCAAGCTGGTTACGGTAACTACCTGAATGCGCCTATGCCGGCACCACCAGCTCCTCCCCCTCAACTAGAGTTTGCTCCGGCCCCGGAGCGGAACCCCGACAAGTACGGCCCCAACGCCAACAATAACCAGAAGAAGTGTTCCCAGCTGGCTTCGGACTTCTTCAAGGATAGTGTTAAGCGAGCCAGAGAACGGAACCAGAGGTATGTCCTTCCTATGTAGCTTGTCTGGTTGGGTCCCGCAGCGGGCATGGCGGGACACGTTTTATTCTGGCACTGGTGTTAACTCTACGTGCGTTTGTCTAGACAGAGCGAGATGGAGCTGAAACTGGGAGAGAACACCGATCCCCGCCGTCGCGAATCTATCTGGGCGACCGGAGGCAGGAAAGAAGGCTCCTACTTGCGCTTCCTAAGAACCAAGGACAAGCCGGAGAACTATTCAACCGTCAAGATTATCGGCAAGGGAGCATTTGGCGAAGTCAAGCTAGTGCAGAAAAAGGCGGACGGAAAGGTTTACGCCATGAAGTCCCTGATCAAGACGGAAATGTTCAAGAAGGATCAACTCGCCCACGTCCGAGCAGAGCGCGACATCCTGGCAGAATCCGACAGCCCCTGGGTCGTCAAGCTGTACACAACGTTCCAGGACGTGAACTTTTTGTACATGCTCATGGAGTTTCTACCCGGTGGCGATCTGATGACGATGTTGATCAAGTACGAGATTTTCTCGGAGGATATCACGCGGTTTTACGTAGCCGAGATTGTTCTGGCTATTGAGGCAGTCCATAAGTTGGGCTTCATTCACCGGTAAGGAGTCTTGACATAGATCGAAACTGTGTAGGCTGCAGGCAAGCTGATTTGTTTCGCAGGGACATTAAACCGGACAACATCCTCCTGGATAGGGGTGGTCATGTCAAGCTGACCGACTTTGGTCTCTCTACCGGCTTCCACAAGTTGCACGATAATAACTACTACCAACAGCTTCTCCAGGGAAAGTCAAATAAGCCGCGCGACAACCGGCACTCGATTGCCATTGACCAGATTAACTTGACCGTTAGCAATCGGGCACAGATCAATGACTGGAGACGCTCCAGGCGACTGATGGCTTACTCTACCGTCGGAACTCCTGACTATATTGCTCCCGAGATTTTTACGGGCCATGGGTATTCGTTTGACTGTGATTGGTGGTCTCTCGGGACCATCATGTTTGAATGTTTGGTCGGCTGGCCTCCTTTCTGTGCCGAGGACAGCCATGACACCTACCGGAAGATCGTCAACTGGAGGCAGTCTCTCTACTTTCCGGATGACATCCAGCTCGGCGTTGAGGCCGAGAACTTGATTCGAAGGTGAGGCTGATAATCCTTACTCCTACTCACTTCTTCCCCCTTTTTTTGCTCACCGCGTACCATTTCTATCTAGCCTTATCTGCAACTCTGAGAATCGTCTCGGCCGGAGTGGGGCGCACGAGATCAAGGGTCATTCCTTCTTCCGTGGCGTGGAATTCGATAGCCTGCGTCGAATCCGTGCGCCGTTTGAGCCGCGCCTGACCTCGGCCACCGATACCACATACTTCCCCATCGATGAGATCGACCAGACAGACAATGCCACCCTGCTCAAGGCCGCGCAAGTCGCTAGGACCGCAGCCGGCAGTGTGCCAGGCCAGACGGAGGAGAGTCCCGAGATGAGCTTGCCGTTTATCGGGTACACGTTCAAGCGGTTTGATAACAACTTCCGATGATTGTTCGACGCTACGTCGGCGTACCATTAGGATAAATGCTCTACTGCAAAGCATTTTGGCTCCTTCAATCTTATTTTGGCACTTGTGCGATCCTCTCACTGCGGCATCCTTTCTTTATTGCTCGTCAAGTCCCTCGGTTTGACGTACCGTGTCGCGATTTCGCTTGATCTCGTCTTTCCTACTATGGTGCTAGGTAACTATCTATACTAGCATATTTGACACAGCCAGCACGGGAAGTCAGAAGAGGAATTAGGGTACCGAAAGAGCAATAGACCACCGAAGGCACACGAAGAACGTGCCAGGCAGGCTTCAGGGCATGTGGAGATGAGAGCGTTGTTATATTTGAGCCGATTTCTTTCGGAGAAGAGAAAAAGAGAGCGAGGAGGCTTTGCATAGAGATTTGTATCTTGCATGTGGGCGGTCTCTCGACGAGATGGGCCAAGGGGCTATCTTGCACTATAGGCTACTAAGAACAACAACGGTATCAGGAATAACCGTCTACCTCGGGAACTTTCTTGACACTTGCTTGTTCACTGATTCATCATTGTCTCTTCAATTCAGCGGATTTATGATCCTGGGCGGCTGTAATTGACGGCACTACACAGTATATACAACAACATACTACATACAGACTTTCTCTTTTCTTTTTCGCGTGCTCCTTGCACGTGGGTCGTAATTATGAGTTACAATGCTTGGGCTCTGCTATGCCATCAGATCTGAGGTTAGCTAGATTTCAGTATTGTCCAAGGAAAAATCAAAATTGTCGGCAGCCCTTACAGCTTATCTCGCTTGCCCCGCGCGTCTGATGAACATCATGAAAGCCCAATCCTCATGCAAGACAACAGCACCATGAATACAGTGCCAGAAATCTCTTCTCGCCTTTCTCGATACGCTGGTATGGTTGGTGGATGATAAGACTGGAAGAGTTTGGGTGTTTGGGTTCTTTTTCTTTTTCTTTTTTTGTTGAGGGGGATGTAAAATTATTGGATGATGAGGGCGAGGTCGAGTACATGTCTCGTTGATTTCTTGTCGATGATTCCCCGAGTGTCGAGTGAGATCCGAGAATGAAAGAACTTTCATGGTTGTTTCTTTTTCCCATTTTCTGTTTTCCGGTAGCCTCCCCGTCTCGCCACATGTGGTGCTAAACAATCCTTGGGGGCGCGGGTATAATAAGTAATATGTCGTCCTTTTCTCGTATCCTTGTTCTCTTTGGTATGTTGTTCCCCCATCTTCAACGTCTTCCCGTCAGGCCCGGGGCGGCGTTGAAGCGCTCCTCGCGCTCCGTCATGAACATGATCTGGATCCAGTAGTCCTTGGAGTCTGGGCTCCAGAAGCTGAACTGGCGGTCCTCGCGCTTGTCGAGCTCGCGCGCGGGGATCTTGAAGGCGCACGTCTCGTACGGCTCGGCGGCCACGAGCAGGTACTGGAAGTTGCGGTCGGGCTCCTCGACGCGCTGCGTGAAGGCGCTCATGACCTGCCACTTGGGCGTCACGCCGGCGCCGAGCTCGGGGTACTGCAGCTGGAACAGCAGCCCTTGCTGCTTGGTGATGGGGTCGCGCACCTTGGTGATCTTGTAGCCCGGGCGGCCGATCTTGACCAGGTTGCGGCGCGGCGCGCCCAAGCCCAGCGCCGCAAAGCCGGCGCCCATGACGCCGACGGGCAGGCCCGTGTTGGGGTCGATCTCGCCCTTGCCCTCCTTTTGCTCGCGCGCGGCGCGGCGCGCCAGGTTGGTCTGGTGCTTCTTGCCCTGGGTGTGGGCCAGGTAGGAGCCGTCGTTCTGGTGCACCGTCAGGCAGAGGCGGCACTCGAACGAGCCCAGGTGGTTGCGGAAGAAGTAGGGATCCTTATCAAGGTCGATGGTCTCGAGCGCGAGCTTGCGCAGGCGCTCGCGGCGGTCGGCGCTGGTGGCGCTGTGCGAGGCCACGCCGCCGCCGCCAAACTTGGAGCCCGCGCGATTCTGGTAATCCATGGCCGTGATGTGAGACTGTCCGAATCCGGGTATGTGAGGTGTTGTGTTGTGTTGTGTTGTGTGGGCGTCTCTGAGGCTACTCGGATAAGAAGGTTGCGGGCGCGGTTGCTAAAGTGAAGAATTGTTGCTTGCTGTGTCTCATCAATTCTGAAGCCTGCGAGATGTTGCTTCTAAAAGTTCGAAGTCCAGTGGCGCGACCGGTAAAAGCTTGGCAGGTTCTCTGCAGCCGGAGCCAGCTGACGCTAGCTAGGTCCTACAGCTGGGAAACGTCTGAATCTCCAAAAGCAGATATCCGTATTTTCAGGTACTTTACATACTATTTATCAATTTTTTTATTGATCTCTTTTACGTTCTCTTCTGTGATATCTAGATCTGGCTTAAATCCACTATAGTCGGGTTTCTTGTTGACATAGTGCATTCTTTCTAGCCGACTGTTCTCCAAACACTCTCCCTGTAACCCAATCCGAGGGCGGAGACGGCGCATCCGGACTGGTGCTGGAGCTGACTACCTATGTAATGGCGGGGTTCCGTGGTGCCAGGGGTTCAACAACAAGGAGCTCCCCTTTTATTCCTACATCGTTGCTGGCCTTTGATCTTTGAGTATCTTTCTAGTGTCACTGTTTGCAATATTGAGACTTCAATATGAGATGCGCCTCGGCTGCGCTTAGGCGGCTCACGGCACGTCTAGCAGGTGGCTGGACTGTCTACCCCAGAATCGCCAGTCGTCGGAGGTTTACAAGCACTGCAGCTGTCTCGGCTGATGGCTCGCTCCCTCTTGAGGGCTACCGGGTGCTTGATATGACGAGAGTTCTTGCCGGGGTAAGAAAGGGCATGGCGACATACACACTTCTGGATGATTAGTCGATGAGTTGCTAAGATACAACCGGACAGCCGTACTGCACCCAGATCCTGGGCGACCTTGGGTGAGTAGGAACATTCCACGACACAAGCGGAGCGCCAGTTGACAGGGCCGTCCAAGTGCCGAGGTCATCAAGGTGGAGCACCCTGTCCGGGGCGACGACACTCGCGCATGGGGCCCTCCGTATGCCGCGTATAAGTCGGGTTCGTCCCGAGAAGGGCCCGGTGAGTCGGCGTACTTCCTTGGGGTATTACTCTCAGTTAGACGCACCACGCGGTCGTTGGCGGCTGACCCTCGACGCAGGTGAACCGGAACAAGAAGTCGCTGGCTCTCTCGTTCCAAGACGCGGCCGGAGTCGACATCCTCCACAAGCTGGCGGCCAAGTGCGACATCCTGGTGGAGAACTATATTCCAGGGGCGCTCAAGAAGTACGGCATGGACTACGAGACGATACGCAAGATCAACCCGGCGCTCATCTACGCATCTGTCACAGGCTATGGCCAGACGGGCCCATATTCGCAGCGGGCGGGCTACGACGTCATGGTGGAGGCCGAGTTCGGGCTGATGCACATCACGGGCAGCAGAGACGGGCCGCCCGTCAAAGTCGGGGTTGCCGTCACCGACCTCACGACGGGGCTGTACACAAGTAATAGCATCATGGCAGCTCTGCTGGCGCGTGCCAAGACGGGGAGGGGCCAGCACATCGATGCGGCTCTAAGCGATTGCCAGACAGCCACGCTGGCCAACATCGCGAGCAGCTGCCTGATAAGCGGACAGAGCGACACGGGCCGCTGGGGCACGGCGCATCGTATGTGTTCCCGGGCTGGGAGTATATGCATGTATATCATTGCCGTGTGCTGACTGACGTCTTGCAGCCTCCATCGTGCCGTATAAGTCTTTCGAAACCAAAGACGGCGACATTCTGTTCGGCGGGGGAAATGACCGCCTCTTTGGCATCCTGTGTGACGGACTGGGTCGGCCCGAGTGGAAGGAGGATGCCAGGTTCAAGATTAATGCGCAGCGGGTGGCGAACCGGGACAATCTCGAGCAAGATATTGAGGCGATCACCGTGACTAAGACGACGCAGGAGTGGCTTGACATATTCGAGGGCAGGGGGATGCCGTATGCGGCCGTCAACGACGTGCTGGCGACGTTGACGCACGATCACACGCGGGCGCGGAACATGGTGGTCGAGGTAGAGCACGACGACTGCGGACCTATCAAACTGGTCAACTCTCCTGTCAAATACTCAGAGGCGCGGCCGAGAGTGCGAAGCGCGCCGCCGACGCTGGGCCAGCACACGGACGAGATCCTGCGGGAGCATCTCGGCCTGGGCGAGGACTGCATCCGCGAGTTGAGAGAAGGGGGGGTTGTTCGATGACCGAAGATGCATCCATCTATCCATAGGTTTGGATACAAGCTGGATAGGTCCTGGAATTACAGAAGTCCACAGCGGGCTTTCTCGGTGGAGCGTCTAGTCCTGCGTATGTACTCCGTACTCCACATGTGATCAGGGTTAGGGGCTAGCACGTGATTGTCACGTGTTTTGGGACGCGAAACCTCGGAATCGAACCACCTTTCTGCCCTTGGTCACTTCACCTTGTTTATTTACTGAAAAGTACAGACTGCCTTATTCCGTACGTATACTGCGACATTCAATCGCCAATTCTATTCTTCTAAATTCCGAGAGGATTGCCGAGCTGCACGAATACGGTCGGGTCGTGGGCATGGATGATATGCTACATATACATTAATCATCTAAAGGGCAGGGGCACCATTTTGCTTTGGACGGTTCTCTGCTACTATCGAGCTCTCACTTGACCTTGACAGCAAGTGCAGCGAGTGAGTAAACTCGATTCAACTCTTCACCCTCAAAAATATTGAACGAAAAAAAGAAAGAAAAGAAGAAGAAGAAAGAAACAAAAACAGACAGACAGACGTGCACATCATACCTACCTGTACTAACTAATATGCCCTCTAGCCAGCAGCAGCGAAATGCTGGGGATCCGAGCGGTCTCGCAGCCATAACATGGGAACGGGCCCCATTTTGCTTTGACCTTTTCCGTCCTTCACCCCGACCACTTACTATGGCCGACCCGCACCCGCCTCGGGATGGCGCAGAGCTTCCCGGAAGAGACGGGGCGACTAGAGCTCCGCCGGCCCTCTCACTCCCCTCCGGCGAAGTTCCAGCTCCAGCTCCCCGCCAGGCCTCCGAGTCTTCCTTCTCGCCAACAAGACCGCCCTACATCCCCCAGTTCACCGCCGCCACCCAGATGATTCTGAAGCGAATGAAAGGGGAGCCGAGCAGCCTTAGCTCCGCCCTCTCGGCTGCGTCGCCTTCCATGACTGCAGACATCAAGCCAGCAACATACGAGGATGTTAAGAGGAGACTTGTCATGAGCATGAACACGTCTACTTCTATGACAATGCAGATGCCTGTTGCTGCACCATCACCATCCCCTTCGCCTGTCGTCCCAATCCCCACCCTCGCTCCTCCCGTCCCGATGCCTACCCCCCCCAGGTACCGTGACCCGAACATGAGCGCTATCAGAAGGATCTCGAGCGGCCTGTCGGGACCCGGGAAGCTTCCTTCAGCAAAGGCTGCCCAAGCTAAATTCGCTGCCCCAGTCGAGAGCAAGCCTAAGAAGCTAAAGGCCCTGGCGGTCCCCAAGGCTTCTGGTGTCAAGCGAAAACGTGTTAAGGGCGCCGATGACGACGCCTCCAGCAGCCTCTCTAGCCTCACCGACCTCTCCGACCGAGAACCCCCCGCCACCAACACGCCGCCCGCTGTTCCGCTCACTATGACCAAGTCCGGTAGGCAGGTCCAGAAGCCCATGACCTACAACCCCGCGGCTATGGACACGAATACCAAGAAGCGAGCCCAGTACGGCAAGCGCACCGCCCAGCAGGCCCTGTGCAAGAAGTGCACCCGGATGCACAGCCCAGCTAGCAACCAGATGGTCTTTTGCGACGGCTGCAACGACGGCTGGCACCAGATGTGCCACGAGCCCTGGATCGACGACGAGGCCGTGCGCGACCAGAGTAGGGCCTGGTTCTGCGCCACGTGCCAGGCCAAGCGGGAGCGCCACCTCACCAAGAAGCAGAGGATCGAGCCGAGACCGAAGGAAAGTTGGGCCGGCAAGACGCCCCAACAGAAACGCGCTTACCTCTCAACCCTTCCACAGCAGGACCTAGTGGGCCTGCTCATGAACTGCCTCGACCTCCACCCCGACCTACCCATATTCCCGGCCTCGGCCGCCGACGCGAGCCCGAATGCCCAGGGCATGCCTCGACTCCTCTTTGCCGGCTCGACTACAGAGGGCCTGTTTCCCCGCTCAGACGCCAACCCGATAGGCCAGATTAATTTTGTGCGTAAAGCCGCCACCAACAACGCCCGGTCCAGCTCGGCCAAGGGAGCCCGCGCCTCGGCCAACGGCGGAAGCAAGAACGGCAAAGACCACGCCCTCCACAAGGAGGACAGCCAGGAGCGGCCCGACGACGAGGACGACGAGTTTGATCCCCTGGCCCCGCTGTGGCCGAAGCCTGGCATGGGTCTTTACAGCAAGCTGCCGCCGGATGCCGACGACGACGAGCACCTGGTCGACGACGACGACTACGAGGCCTTTAGTGTCATCATGTACAACGAGAAGGGGCAGAAGGTCCGCGAGAACGGCATGGACGTGTAGGAGAGGAGTCATCGGATAACAGGAACAAGGAGGAGGCTGTAAGAGTAGGTATACATGTTTCAACTAGGGCGGCTCACCCACTGAGTTAGACCCGTCAAACCTGGGAAAATAGCATCCCCATTCATCTCCGCGCCAGCATGTCGCTCTAACTGCCAGATACATTCATTGTATCAGTGATGATGGTGACTCCTATCGAGCTTAGGAGGGGTGATAAAAGTGGCTTTGATGCCGCGTCCCATAATGAGCAGGCTTCACAACAGCCTAGCTGAAATGCCGCCCCCCAAACAAAATCTAGGTACCTAAGCAAGCTTTGGGGAAACGTGGCCCTGTTGCAGACAGATTGACTACGGTGGTGGTATTCTGGGTCTGACTGCCTCCAGGGTCGAACGGTACCTAGGTGGGTACTCCGTCTATGCAACGAGGCGCCGCTCTGCGTATGTGCAGTGCCTAGACCAGGGGTAGGTAGGTGGATAGGTTGATAATTAACAAGAAACGGCACCAACGCAGCACACACCATACAGCCTTTCTCCTAGGTATGTGGAGGGAGACCACGGCAGCTGCGCTGGGTCTTAGGTGCGGTTTCGAGATATATACAACAACAGCTGAGGTAGCGAGGCACTCTACCCGTTCTCGCTAGTATAATTAGTGCACATATGTGTGTGTGCCTTGTATCTAGTATCTGGTGTAACCACCGTAGACTACCACCGGCAGCACGCAGGAGGGAAACGTAGGAGAGAAGAAAGAGGATTAATTATGGTATATATAGCAGAAGAGGCTAGAGCGAGGACGGGAGTGTGTGAAACAGTGTTATGTTATTCCATTTCTAGGGGAGAATGAAAGAATGCAACAAAAGGAAAAGGAGAAATAAATCCCACGCTTCTAATCCCTCACGCCGTGTCACACGCACCACCACTACCACGTGCGTGAGATAGGAAACTAACTAGGTAGGCAACCACAGCACGACGAGTTTGATGGACAAGGAAGGGAAATCACAGCACGAGAGATAGTGTCTTTTGTCTTTTTGGGAGCTGGCTGGCTGGGCCGGCGCCTCTCTCTCTCTGCAGCGAGGCTAGTAATTAGCACGCAGGAATGTCACAGGGGAAGGCAGTGCCGTGCTGGAGAGAAGTCATGGCCCCCGTTTTGCGTAGGCTGGGCTGGGCTGGGCTGGGCTGGGTTGCGAAAAGGTGAGTATTCTGGTAACCCGGCAGGGACTTTTCTCTTCCTTTCTTCTTCTTTTATTTTTATTTTTTCTTAAACAAAAAGCAAATATGTGAGTATTGTGGCGCAACTGCGATGTGCGCTGGACTAGAAGATCGGCTACGAGTAAGAGAAGGATTCGGGTCAAGGGCTGGCGTGTAACTAAGCAGATTAGTTAAACGAGGGCCCCGAGTATCTCTCTACATGCACCGTCCAAGTCGGGGCCCTCGAGCAAAGGGGCCTCCTTTTCCTGTCTAGTCTTTCCGTGCTCCTCCTGGGGTTGCATGGGGAGGTAGGTGGTCGCCCTACGTCTCTTAGCCCACACAAAGACAAGGTTTGCTTCCCAATTTGGTGAAGTTAGTGAAGTCAAAGTTGGCCATGGTCCTGCGACACGGTCGAGAAAATCGAAAGTGGCTGGCGGGAACGGGCAGGCTCGCACTTGACCTTTGGTGTGACCGTCGGTTGTGTGTTTGTCTCCTACATACTGCCCCTTTTTCCCTTGGTTGGAAGTAATGTAAGGTAAGGGCTACTCCCACCACAAGAGAGAGCAACTAACACGCATCCAGGCACATATTGCTCGAGCTTGCAACAAAAAAGGTGGCGGCTCACAAAATAAGGCGACTCGTCTCCATCTTAATTAGTGCTTACAAGTGCATCTTCCCGCGCGCCTGGGCAGCCCGGGAAATGGATGGGATGAGCCACGCGAAGGCAAGGAAGGGGAGAAGAAAGCAGCTCAGATCTGAAGCACATGCCCGCGACTAGGGTCATTACCAAACATCTCTGATCGACCGAACTACCGGGTGGCTTAGACGGTGCAGGAGTAGTCGACGGGGAGCAAGCCACTCATTTAGGGCGCCTTTGGTTGGGCATGTAAACTTGGTTACGTTGACCGTTTTCCGTCCCTCTTAACTTGGGCGCGGATTTATCACTAGGAGGCGCACTGGCCAAGTAGAGGGTGTGGCCGTTCAGGGCTTCTGGCTGGGGATTTTCTTTGGTTCAAGCCGGTAAGGTGGGTAGGTAGTAGGCAGGTAGGTAGGTGAAAAGCATGTGATAAAAGTCCATGGCGTTGAGACCAGAGACTAGCCCCGGCCCGCCCGAACTAATGCTTTCCTTTCTTCGAGTCCTTGGGCTTCTCTTCCTCCTTTCCTTCTTTCCTTCTTTAATACGGTCCTTCTTACGATCCTTTCGTCGTCGTCAGTCGTTCCTAGAGTCCCCGTGGTCCCGTGGTCCCTGTGTCCCTTTCTTACCTTACGGTGGTGTGGTTCTTATGGTGCGGTCCTTATAGTGGTGTGGTCCTTGTGGTAGTGTAGTCGCCGTAGCCTGTACAGCTGCCTAGCCTGTACAGCTATGTCCTTCGGCGGCTAATGGTGTTCATTTCGCATTACGCAGTTCAGCGGAAGCATGGGATTTTATTGGCGAAACTTGGTTATGTGGGTCTATTTTCTTCATGGAGGTTAAGGTGGTGAAAATAAGCCTTAACTCTACCGGAGGTTGCCAAATGGATACTGGTAAGGCGGTCAGGAGCGCTCCTTAACCTAGCTTACAGATCAAACCAAAGGCGCCCTTACCCTTACCTCAACTCTTGCATCTCATCCCATCTTGCGTCTGTCGCGGGACGGCCTATTTCACACTCGCCGCAGGGGCGCATTCCTAGTCTAGAATCTGACCGTGACGCTAATGTAACCGCGTCGCGACTCGGGAGAAGCTGCTCTCGTCCTCTTTCTCGGCAACACAAGCTGGACGGCCGTGTGGCACTTCATATAGGGCAAAGCGGGTCGCCGTTCCTTCGGTCAGCACGTCTAAATAAAGCTGACATCTAGTGCATGCGGGTTGTTTTTTCTTGCTGTGTTTTCTGGTAGGTATGTATTTACCCGCGTCGAGTCCGACACCTATGTCGAAGCTCTGTAGCAGTCAGTGCCTTGCACGACGAAACAGAAGAGAGAATAGCCCCATTAGGATACCGTCGTCGCATCTTTTTTGAGAAGTTGTGATTTCAGAACTCGAAGGACAAGCCTCCCCTGCACTGCACATGGACATTCACTGTAGGGCTGATATATTTCGGGAGCTGGTAATATCGACGGCCCGCTACCAGGCTCAGAGCGGTTCACAATTGGCTAGACTGCCTCGAAGGTGACCAATTCCTTCCCAAAGGGTGGTGGTGGCTTGCTGACCCCCGCAGCACAAGATCATGATTATTCGCCGGACTCAGCCACGGCCCCAGGTAACCACTAGTCAACAGTGTCCTAACGGCTAGAGCGCTTGGCTTCCTTTTTTGGGCCGCGGGGTGAGGAGGTGAGGCTGGGCATTTCGCGATTGCCCATGACCAGGCTGGCGTGGCTCGGGACGCTGGACGAAGCTCAAAGTAGAAAGGCTGCCAAAATTCCACCTTCTAGTTTTCCCCACCTCTTGATGGACAGACCCAGTTGCAACTTTGCGCTTTCATTTCGAAGAGATTAAGACCTCGGCAAGCGTTGGGTCGATCGACACTGCAAATCTTCAGCTTAAGACGTGTGTAACAGCAACCAGCAAAGCAGACCCAAGGGAGCAGCGACGCGCAGGCCGAGTCAACAAGAAGGAGCGCTGCAGACAGACGTTTTCGTATTTCACGCATAGGAAATATCGCAGGCAGGCCGATCATCGCACACAGGCAAAGAAAGAAAACAAAATGTCGACTGCCCAAGCCGCCGTCGTGGACGAGCAGTCGCCGCTGCTCGCCCGGCCCGCGACCGGCTTCTCGACGGTCAACGACAGCGGGACGGCACGAGCGGCGCGGCGCCCGACAATCGCCGCGCCGGCCCAGACGGCGCCGGCCACCATCCCCACCTCATCAGCCGTGACCCTGGTCCCGTCGACGGCGCCGGCGCCGGCAGCGGCAGCGGCAGCGGCACCGGTTTCGCTCTCCAAGGCGGACACGGACACGTCGTGGGGCGACCCGGCGGGGCTGCACCTGCGCAAGGTGAACGACGAGAACCTCGTCATCTTCCGGCGCGCCGTCGGCATCAACAGCATGCTGGCCGGCAACAGCGACAGCCACTCGCTCGAGGAGGGCCGCCGCGAGGCCATGGGCATGTACGCGTCGGTTCTGCGCGCCCAGACCCGCAAGAACGTCGCCTACCTGCTGCTCACGTTCCTCATCTACGCCAGCCACTTTTCGCAGATCATCATCGGCGCTTCGCTGACGGCGCTGTAAGCTACGACCCTTCTCCGACGTCCCCTCAGAGTCTCGTGATCAGATGCTGACCTGCCAGCGCAAAGCGGTCCGACAGCGGGCGAGCACTCGGTGGTGATCACCGTCCTAGGCGCCGTCAACACGGTAGTGGCGGGCGTGCTGGCGCTGGTCAAGGGCCAGGGCCTGCCGGAGCGGCTGCGCAAGGACCAGGCCGAGTTCCGGCGACTGCAGGACTGGATCGAGCAGACCGAGGCGCTGCTGGCCGTCGGCGTCATCGGCCGCGACCGCAAGGAGGTCGGCGTCCTCGTCCAGGTCGCCTTCAAGAAGTACAACGCCGCCAAGGCGTCCGTCGACAACAACGTGCCAGAGAACTACGTCCAGGCCGCCGAGAGCCCCGACATCACCCCCAGGAGGTCGCCGAGCCCGAGCCCGAGCCCGAGCTCGTCGAGAGACGCTGGCCCATCGACGTCGTAAAACGGAGAAAACGCGGCAGGTTTTTGGATGTGTACCCGAGATTGTCGTACGGGGAAGAACGAAATTATAATTAACCGCCTACCTAATAAAGCAACAAGCGGGGTTTGGGGATTGCCAATTTGGGTTCCGTCTTGTTGGATAATAATCACAATTGTGAAAGGGCGCGGCTGCAAAGAGACACGGTTTAGGATTCCGCTGGCATTGAGAAGTGTCCCTGCTGTCCATTTGGAAATGAGAATAGCTATTCCCGAATATACAACATGCGTCATGTATGCATTGAATGTACTCGTATCCGCAAATTTAACCACAATTCAGTCTTTCGGAACCCTGTGCCCCTTTCCGGGGCCGAGGAGGGGGACGCCGCCGTCAGTGACGCCGGGAATTTCGTTGGAGCACCAGTAATGGTAGCCCTCGCCGCTGGCAAGGGCAAGGCCGTAGCCGCCCTCGGGGACCGGCTCGCCGCCCGTCTCGGATCCTCCGCCTTCACCTTGGCCAGTGAGGTAGAGTGGGTCGACCGTGCCGATCGTGAAGCACGTGTAAGAGCCGCCAGTCGGGCGCCAGTAGAGCAGCGAGCCGCAGGCGGTGCAGAATCCGCGCTCGGCCGTGGGGCTGGCTCGGAAGTCTTTCAGCGTCGACGCGCCGTCGTCGTCGCCCGTCATCAGCTTGAACGCTGTTAGGGGCACCTTGTGCGAGACGAGATATAGGCCCGCCGTCTGCTTGCGGCATTGCGTGCACTGGCAGGTGCTGGACTGTGCGATCCCACGACCACAGGGCATGCATCAGCGTGCTAGCTCGTAGCGCTCGAGTCTAGGTAGAGGCGAAAGGGAAACTGGGGAGGGCAGATATACCGACGCCTTGAAGTCATGGTCGGCGGGAAAGTCAACCCGGTATCGAAGCGCGCCACAGAGGCACCCGCCTTTGATAAGCTTGGGCGTGGGAAAGCTTGAAGTCATGGTCAATGGTCAATGGTCAGTGGTCAATGGCTGATTGGGCAGGAGGGTATCGATCTGAGTTAGATAGGAAGGAGGACAGCAATTCTATCCTTTGGCTTCTTGTTGCGGATCAAAGCAGTCACAGCATGGTTTGTTGAAGAGAATGGTCCCTTTTAAGGAGTAGAGCAGGAGGCTTTTACGCGTAAAGCTGAATTGAATGATATCGTCGACCTCCAGGTTCGGGTTGAAATGTCAATGCAAGTTGGAGAAACGGCGCGCCCTTTGACACCTGCAACGGCGCTACCTTCCATTCCCGTTTGGTTCCATTGCGGGGGAATGTTGGCCCCCCCACCAAATCCACGCCACCATTAGCGCGCTGCCTGCACCACACCTCGGCAACACTTTCCAAGACGGGCATCATCTTTCTCGATCCTATCAAGCCACTCAACAAACAAGCAAGCCACTTACGACATACCCGCGCGATCTCTTCCAGTGCCAACACCCGAGGACACGTGTTCCCGAACATCTTGCCAAAAAGAAATGAAGAAAGGAAAAAGAAAGAAAATATCAAGCGCCCCTTGCCTCCTCGACAACCTTGTAGTGCTCGACCTTGTGCTTCTCCTTCAGCGCGTCCCTCTCGGCGCTGGTGAAGAAGCCGTCGCCAGTCTTCTCGCCGAGGCTGCCCCTGTCGACGTACGACCTGACGAGCCAGTCCAATGGCGCCTTGCCGTCGCGGGCCAGCGCCGGCCGCTCCTCGAGGCAGTGTTTCTCGACACTAGCAACGCGGTCGAGGCCAACCTCGTCCATGCGCTCGCAGGGCCCCTTCTCGGCATGGAAGAAGTCACGGAACAGGGCGTCGATGTCGGCGGGCCGCGCGACGCCCTCGGCCAGCACGGCCAGCGTCTCGCGCTTGCACGCCGCCCAGATGCGGTTGAAGATGAGCCCCTGCGATTGCACGGGCACGATAATCGGCGCCAGCCCGACGCGCTGCATCTGCGCGGCGAGGAACGGGAAGATCTCGGCGTGCGTGCGCGAGCTCGACATGAGCTCGACCATGCGGTTGCGCGGCGGGATGAAGTAGTGCGTGTTAAGCAGGCGCTCCGGGTGGTGCAGACGGCCGGCGGCGGCGATCTCGCGCGTTTGCAAGCTGCAGCTGTTGGACGCCAGGATGCAGCTGCCCGGCAGCAAGTGCTCCATTTGAGACAGCACGGCGGCCTTGAGCCCGAGCGACTCGGGGAGGCAGTCGACGGCCATCCACGGGCCCTTGGCCCCCGAGTTCAGCTCAATGTCCTGCGCCTCTGTCGCCGATTGCGTGCCCTCGAGCCGCCCCGTCGTCGTGGCGATGCGCAGGTCCGTCGTCGTGCACACGTGCCCCGGGTGCGTCCCGCGCCCCGCGCAGTACGCCCCCAGGTTGTCTGTCAGGTACTCGGTCGTCGCGTCGAGCGCGTCCTGGGATGTGTCGTAGACGGTGACGGGCCGAGAAGCCGACGCCCATACCAGTGCGAGGCGTCTCCCCATGTTGCCGGCCCCGATTATGAGGACCGGGCGCTCTTCCAGGCATTCTTCTGTCGGCGGTCTCCACTTTGGTGGATTAGCCGGTGCGTGCCCAGCGGCGACACTGGCAAAGGGCCGTGGGGTTGAAGTTGAGCTGGCTGATAAGTGGCGTATGGCACCCGGCGCACGGCAGCTCTTCTTGTTAGGACCTGCGGCTTGTAGAAAGTTTGGCCTCGACCCTGAAGTGCAGAGTGACCGGGTGAGATTTGGGAGCTTGGCGCGTGTCAAAGTTGAGACCCCTCGAACACACGCCAAAGCTGATGATGGTGAGCGAAGCATTGCATTGGTCAGATGTGCTATTGTTGTCGTAGCCTGCAGGGCGGGCGATGCCATTTTCTAGTGAACAAGACGTTGCAACTTCCACGCAGAACGGGGGTGGTTTAAATACGCAACTATGAAGAAAAATCTTGGAGATGGCCAAACTCAATTTATCTCGGCCATCCATGCTTCCCATGCTTAAATGTGGTTCCTGGCTTCTCTCAACTCTGCCTACCTACCTGCATGTCCGTGTGGTCTGACGTTGGGACCACCAGCACCTGACCTGACAATCTGCACTCGTCATCCGCCACCCGAGCTATCTGAACCCGATATGCGACTCTGGACCTCAATCTTCAACTGAGCTGTCGTCCTGGTAGCCCACCCAAACGCGGGTCTTGGCAATAACTTCTTCCTCGCCGTAATTTGTACCTTCGTCATTGCCTCGCTTGACCAGCCCGGGCGCCACAAACATGAAAATAGGCCTGTTGTCCTCTACGTCTGCCGGGTCTTGGCAGTCTTCCATGACCGTGCTATCGAATGTCTGGCCGTCTTGCGGCCAATATCGCAGCCCGTCCGAGGGGAGCAGCTTCCAATCTGCCCGCGACCGCCGGAACTTCCTATCGAAGTCGGCGGCCCAGTTCACGATCTGGAGGCTCTCCTCCAGATATGTGTCTGCCAGCTCCTCGGGGACGAGGCGGGCTATGGGGCCGGCAAAGATGGCCGCGTGGCTGTCAGACGCCTGGTGCAGGTCGAAATTCAGCTGCCCCATGATTGTCTCCATGCGAGCCCGCATCTCGTGGAGATGCGATTCTAGCTCTGGCCATCTCTCGTCGCCGGCGTGCACTGGAAATATCGACGATGGTCATGGTCAGTAAAAATGTAACGGATAATACACAATCCGGAACGGCGGCGCTTACTCAAAGTGTTGTTGAACCACGAATGGATCTGGCCCCTCTGGTAGTTGCCAGCCCAGGCCCCCGATCGCTCGTCGAATATCATGCGGCGCAGGTTGTGCCAGATGTACCCCTCGACCATGATCAGCGCCTCCTCCCTATCTAGAGGATCTCCGGAAAAGTCGACCGAGGACGACATCAGGATTCTCATGACCTCCTCGACCTCGGGGTTTTCGCCTCTGTCCATCAGGTAATCGAGGTTGGGAAAGTACTTGGCCACCAGGTCGGAGACCTTAGTCTGCAGACGCAGCCACAGGTCTCGTATTTCTTGGTCGTCAACACTGTACCGGTAGGGCTGGTCGAGCGGCACAAAGAGTCCGTGTTTGTCCTTGGGACTGAGCGCCTTCCCCAGCTTGGCGGAAGCTTTGTTCGTGTCCCTAGACCACTTGTGCCAGAACTCCATCTCTTTTGCGATCTTGCCGGACGTCGACTCGGCTCGCTTTTGTGCCTCCTCCGGTGTCAGCTCTATGCGCCCGCCGGGCCAGCAGCCAAACTCGCTGGTCAGGGCCGCGGAAAGCAGCCTGTTGTACTCGAATACGGGCAGTATCACGTTGTCCGCGTCTTCATATTCGTCGTCGTCTTCCTCCTCATCCTCCTCCTCGTCTCTGTTTTCGTCTTCGTAGTTAACACTGTCGTCGTCCCCAAGTTCATCGTCGCCAGGCAGCTTGAACCGCACTTCGAGCCGAGGCCTCTTTTTTCTTCCCTGTGGCTCGTATGGCTCATCCACCGCTGGGCGCTTCCCTCGTCTGATTTCGTCTCTTCTCGCTCTGTCGGTTTCTTCTTCCTCGTCGTCGTCGTCCCCCGAGACATTCACCACCACCTCCTCCTGCTGCTCATCTTCCACTACCCCCCGGACTGGCCCACCCTTCTTGTCTCGTTTCTGCGCTTTGGGGGGTGCCTGTTTGGCATGCTTCCATTTGGCGGTGGACTTGGAGGGTAGAGGAGGAGTAGGTGGTCGAGGGGGATCTGCTTGCGCGGCCCTCGCCTGTCCACTTTTGCTAGACGCGGCAGGAGCGGCTTTCTTGTTGGTGGCCTTGGGAGGTGAAGTCATTCTGGGTGCCTTTGCTTTACCCCCTTTCTTAGTCACAGCAGGAGCCTTTTTGGCGGCAGCCTTGACAGGCGGAGGAGGGGCAGGTGGTGGAGGGGGTGCTGTTTTAGCGGCCTTCGCCTTGCCCCCTATCTTGGGCGTGGCGGGGGCGGTTTTCTTGGTTGCAGTCTTGGGAGGCGAGGGTTCTTTGGCGACCTTGGATTTACCCCCTTTCTTGGCAGTAGCAATGGCCTTTTTCTTCTTGCCAGCGGTTTTGGGAGGAATAGGGCCTTTGATCTGGGCGGCTAACGCCCTTGCAGTTGGATGTCGGTCTCTCGAGCTCCTCCTAGGGCTGCCTTCGTCCGATTCCATGTCGCCTTTCTTTGCAAATGAGAAAAGTTCAGCGTCTGGCGATTCTAGCTCCGAGCCACCCGAGTCAATATCTTTGGCTGCGACTTCGTAGTCGAAATCGTCACCGCTGTCGTCGTCGTCTTCAAAACCGTCTCGATAGAGACATTCGAGGCCTACCATGTTAGGAGGTTGAGAGGCCGCGATTATGCGGTTCTTTGGGTGAGATGCTCTTGGGTGTATACCCTTTCAAGGCCACAGGCTGCTTATTTGCTTTTCCATTACCGAGAGATTGGCGTTTCGACCCCGTAGAGCAGCTTGTGTTAGCGGCTTTAAACAGTTTTATATGACAACAAAGGGTGAGTGCTGGCCGTTTGCGGACATGGAGCAAAGGTGCCAGCCATGATTCAGTCTTTGTCTCTGGCACCAATAATAACTGGAATGTTGAATTGTGGGCTCAAGTTGATAGCTCTAAAGCTGTATGTCAACTTGTGTGCCTCTAATCTTGTCTTCGTTCCACTAAGCTTCTATGGAACTTCGTCGATCCCTCACCTCGCCTCCGGATACGCTTTTTGCGGAATTATGCTGTGGCGATTGGGCAAATCCCATTTAGCGGGTTCGTGTTAGTGAGGCGATATTAAAATTTTGACTCTTCACCGTAAATCGCATTTGGCTCAACGGTCGGGCGAGGTAGCTCTACTATCCTGGATATAGCGAAATGCCGAGTAGCATTTTTGATCGGACGAAGGGTGTTGAACAAGCAAATACTGCCTCGCTTTGAGGAAGTCAAGCCGATTCTTCCAATTTAAGCGAGGTCTTGTCGATTTTCGTGTGACTGCCTACCTAGGTATGCAAACTATAAATGCAGTCAGCTTTTTCGTCGTATAAGTAGCGAGCATGCCTACATTAACTAGTACCAGGATCCGCTCCGTGTCAACATCCACAATGGGCCGACAGATCGTACCATGGCTGCCCCGTCTAGTTTGCAGCTTGGGATGGAAGCTGCTTAAATACGTAGATCATAGGCCAATCGGGAGTTTCTTTGCTACTCGTCTAACGCTGCACCAAAGTAGCCGTGGAACCGATCCACACATGTTGAGCTTGAAGCTGGGATTTGAAGCGGCCAACGGCTTCCGAAACGCTCCTTCTCCTTGAAATATTGGATATCGGCCAAGGAGCGAAGGCGGTATCCACATCAATCTAGTATTGCTGGCGGGTGCAGGCTTGTTACACAGCCGGGTTGAAGGCGGCAGGTCTTCGATGCGCACCTGCCGTGGCCAGATCGATAATTAATGATCTGCCTACCTCCTTCCTTCCTTCCTTCCTTCATACCTGCCTGCTGTCTACCTACATATAGACCCGGAGTGCCTCTTTCCTGAGATTCCAGACAGTCGACAGGAATCACACACGTAGCGACTCCCTTACCAAACACGACTGACCCAGCTAAGACCTCAGGCTTTGGACACTGCCACCTGCACCATGATGCGCTTCTCTGTCCTCTGGATTGTCGCCGTCAAGGGGGTGTTGTCGGCTGCCAATAACAAGAGTGTGCCGCAGGCTTTTGCGTCTTCCGCTGACGGCCTGTACAAGCTCACCAGCGTCGATGCGCCCGTCAAGGGAAGAAATAGCGGGACCCCGGGGTTGAATTTTGAATGCGCCTTCAGCGTCGACGACACTCCCTCTGGCTACAGGCAGACCGTCCGGGGATTCGGCGCAACCGTCACCGACGGAACCGTTGAGCTGTTCAACGAACTGTCCGATCCCACGCGTTCTGCTCTCCTCGACGAGTTGCTGGCCGAGAGTGGCGCCAAGTTCAACATGATGCGCCACACCATTGCCGCTTCGGAAATGTCGCCAGAGCCCGCTTACACCTACGACGACGCCAACGGCACTGTCGACACGTCTTTCAAGCACTTCAACATCAGCGAGCGCGGCCGCAACATGGCACTTCTTCTAGCTGAGATGACGGCCAAAGAGCCCGAGTTAACCATCGTCGGGTCGTCGTGGAGCCCCCCGGCCTGGATGAAGGAGAACGGTGGCCTCCGCGAAAACCTTTACATGGGAAACAACGTTCTCAACCAGTCGTATGCCACACAGTTTGCCCAGTACTTTGTAAGGTATATTCACGCCTACGGGGGCAGAAACGCCAAGGTCAATGCCTTCACCATCCAGAATCAACCTCTCTACACCAGCGCTGGTGTCCCATCGATGAGCATTTCGGCCGACGAGTCGGCAAAATTGATCCAGGAGGATATCGGCCCAACATTGCATGACGCAGGGCTCCAGACTGAGATCTGGGCGTACGACGGCAACACCGGTAGGGCCATAGACTGCCGCCCCAGACATAGTCATCAAATTGAGGCCCGTCACTAACAGGATTCTCAAGACACACCGCAATATCCCCAGACAGTTCTCGATGGCGCCTCCAAATATGTAAAAGCTGTTGCCTGGCAATGCCACGCTGTCGCAGACAACAACTGGACTGCCTTGACAGACTTTCATGACAAAAACAGCGATATCGATCAGTACATGACCAACTGCTGGACCTCGTCGACGGATAAGTGGAGTCAAGCTGCAGACTTTACCATTGGACCCCTCCTGAACTGGTACGTTTTCTGGTCCATCTTGGTTGTTTCCATGACTAATATGGTCTTTAGGGGTAAAGGAGTCATGGCCTGGGCGCTAGGTACCGACGACCAAAACGGGCCACATCTCGACGGCCAGGGCGTGTGCGAGACGTGCCATGGTCTGGTTGTAGTCGATGTCGAGTCTGACACATACGAGCTCCAGGTTGACTATTACATGATGGCCCAGTTTAGCAAGTTCATCCCCAAAGACTCTATTGTGTTGAGCAGCAACGATGAGACCTGTGACGAGGCTTGTGGCTTGCAAAAGAGCTTGGAAGCGGTGGTCACGCTCAGCCCGGACGGGTCCCGAGTAGCGGTGATTGTGAACAAACTCGCAAACGATACCCATGTCACCCTTCACACAAAGGGCAACCAGACTTGGAGCGGTCTCGTCTACGGAGCATCGGTGGTGACGTGGGTGCTGCCGGCGGTTGGGGCTTGATTAGCTTCCAGGACTGATGATATAAACCTATAGAGTAGAAGAGAGCGAACCTCGCGATGATAGCTTGCCCAGTCGGCTACGAGAATAGAATTGGTTCAGGCCTAGAGCCTTAGCGACGACATTTGATTTTCAAAGGATGATGATTCTGCGTGTTCCTTATTCAATAATTACCAGATACCCATGATTCATTATCACAACTCAGATCGTCGAATCCTGTAAAGAAAAGGCGTAGCATGTGAACCGGGCACTATTATACCACAACTGATTTATCACGATTACATGTGAGCTGGCTTCTCTGCCATCCGTCCGGCGACGGTAATTACGCCTGCCAACGTTGACCTTGGCAGATTCTAGAATTCTTGGGTGGTGTAAAGGTAATCTCTGTCCAATAAGCAAACATGCAAATGCCGGTTGATTTCCTAAAATAGGTCTGGCCCATGTTCCTAGAATACACATGGCTCATCGAAGTTGGCGTTGGGACGCCCCCACCTCAGCTCCGAAAGCAAGCAAGCTAGCTATTAGTACAAGAGCGCTGGAAGACGAGAATATCTCTCGCCGACCGGCAATCTAGCTAATTCTCCGGCCGTGTCTGACCTCTGCGGGCGAGCCATCATCCGACTGGGCGGCCTGGTCTTTACCCGCAGCTTTTTTACTACCACGTCCACGTTTTTTGCCGAGCCCGCTGGCAGCGAGCCAGCTTGCTGCTTTAATTATCCCTCCGAGCTTGGAAACCAATGGGAGTTTTTTGTGAGCGCACGCCAAGCCGGGACGCAATCTCGCCCCCTATCTCCTCTTCCCAAGGCACCTTGTGGATGATATCGACTGCGGCCGGTCATCGATGAATGGCGGGAGCGTTCAGGCACCTACGTGATATGATAACGTGGTTGGCTACGCGTGACCGTCAAGAAGAGACGAGGGAGGGAATGACGGAACGGTTCGTACAAAGCTATATTACTCGGAGAATAATCCCTCGCCTGCCGCGCCTCGGCCCTGGAACCAACGGCCGGGATAGATGTGGTTATATGAACGAACAAACCACAGCGGGCGCGCACCGTTATCAGTACCCAGTTTCCAAGGAGACACAACGCCAATCAAGACAGGGCGGCGATAATGTCACGCACTGTAGAGGAAAGAGCCGCCTAAATTAAGAATTGGCGACCGAGGACGTCCGGAATTCCTTGGCGCCAGGGAGAGGGCCGGCTATGGCTTGATGTCCGGGGAGGCGGATATGGTGTCGATAACTAGGATGTGTCCCGTCTGTCGCCGCCGCCGTCCCACGAGGTCTGCGACTGACTTGAACTCTTTTCTTCCCGGAAACCTCACTCAGGTAATAGGAAGGATCTGAAACAACAACAAAGACGCCGACTATCCCTCGATACGTGTCTGGCCGAGAATGAAGAGTCTACTACTGGTGCTGGCCGGCCTGGCCGGCTCCGCGCTGGCACAGACGGTGGCTAAGTCGTACACCGGCTGGGACTGGTAACCCGGCCTCGTCCCGAAATCAAATGATACTCGTCACTAACCAACATCGAAGCTGCAAACCCATCTGCGCAACAGTCAATGGCAAGAACGCGCTGCTGGAGTCGCGGGGGGTGGTAGGGGTGTGCGACAAGAACAACCAGCCCATCTCGGACCGCGACGCGGGGATCCGGGCCAACACGGGATGCAGCAGCAGCTCGAGCAACAGCGCGTACCTGTGCGACTCGTACGCGCCCACCCCGGTGGCCGACGACGTCAGCATCGGCTTCGCCATCCAGGTGTCGGACTCGCAGAACGGCGACAACCCCAACTGCTGCAAGTGCTACCAGGTGCGGTGGCTGACCGGCGCCGCCGCCAACAAGAGCATGATCGTGCAGATCCTGACCCCCGGCGGCTCCGGCGGCGACGTCAAGAAGAACGACCTCATTATCCTGACGCCTGGCGGCGGCGTCGGGCCGCTGACTAGTGGGTGCACCAATCAGTACGGCAAGTCGTATTCCTGGTAAGCCTCCAACCCTTTTTTTTGTCAGGTAATAAATATCCAAATTCAATTCGCGTTTGCTCACCCACACTGCCAGGGGCGACGCGCGCGGCGGCGTCAAGAACAGGGAGGCGTGCGAGAAGCTGCCGTCCAACCTGCAGGGCGGCTGCTACTGGCGCTTCAACTGGGCGCGCGGCGAGGTCAACGGCTGGGACATCATCTACGAGCAGATCGCTTGTCCGTCGGTGCTGACCGACATCTCTGGCTGCGCGGCGCCGTTCTGATCACGCACGCAGTGCTTCAGCGCTGAATGCAAACGACAGCAGCGTCGGTAATATTTGGCTAGCGGGCTGACTTGGGTTCAGGAAAGGGGTCAAATATGTGGATGGATGGATGGATGGTTACGGTAAATGGGCTTTCTTTTAACAGTCACCCACCGACCACCCATTGAGTTGTAAAGAATAGCAAGTAATAATCCATAACTTACTTACTCAGTGGCTGCTGGCCCCATTGTTCCGCTGGCAGGGCAGGGCAGCCGGGTCCCGTTACCAGGCCGGACCTGTTACCAGTGACCGGTATTACAGCGACGGCCCCCAGCCTCCTACACACCTACCACACCTATATATATGTATCAGTTTGAACGCATAGCAAAGTAACAACTAAGAATAGTTGTTAGTCGAGTGCACTAGAATATTAGTGCACCTTACCTACAGTGCGCCTCGAACAGAGGCGATTCCGAGCAGCAGACCGATTCTCTGCGGCATTTCCTTTGAAATGTACTGTCCCGAGACGAGGAGGTGGGAGCCGAGTCTCATGAGTACCATATGTTTAGTTTATCTTACAGGCAAAAGAAAAGAAAGAAAGAAAAAAAAACAGAATCCCCCAGATTCTAGAACGGTCATCCCCCAGTACAGTCAACCGACGGTCCTTGGCGAGTATATTCAAATTGAGTGGCCGCATTTCTGTCGAAAACCCCGTCTTGTTCATCCATCCATCCATCCCCAGCGCCAGCAACCACCAGCATCTCTACCACGGCGCTTGGGCAACCTCGCACACGGTGCGGAAGAACTGGGCAGGGTCGTGCGCGAAGCGGCCGAGGAACAGCCCATCGACGTCGGGGGCGATGCGCGTGAACAGGCCCGGGCCAGCGCTGCCGCCATAGACAATACGCGTGCGGCCGGGGGCGCGCGCGCGCACGGCATCGCTGGCACGCACGCGGCGCACAACGGCTCGTACGTGGTCGATGGGTGCCGGCGCGCTGGCCCCGATGGCCCACACGGGCTCGTACGCCAGCACCACGTCGGTGTCGGCCGGCACCGCCGCCAGCGCGCTGCGCACTTGCACCAGCACTTCGTCGGCCGCCGCCACGATGTGCGGTTCGTCATCGTCTTCATCATCATCTCGTTCCTGTCGAGAAGAAGAAGGGGGGATAGCCGGCGGCGGCGTGACCTCGCCGACGCACACGAGCGGGACCATGGCGTTGCGCACGACGGCGGCGGCCTTGGCGGCCGCTGACGCGTCCGTCTCGGCAAACAGGCGGCGGCGCTCGGCGTGGCCCAGCTCGACGAGCCGGCAGCCGACCTCGGCCAGCACGGCCGGCGACACGGCGCCCGTGAACGCGCCGGCGTCCTCGCTGTGGCAGTCCTGCGCGCCGACCATGATTCCGTGATGTGCGACCTGCGCGACCACGCCCGCCAGCGTCACGTGGTCCGGGATGACGAACACGTCGACGCTGTCGAGCAGCGGCAAGGACTCGTGGGCCGGGTCTGCGAACATGAGGCCCAGCAGCTCGCGCACAAACGCCTCGGTGCGCGCCGCGCTAAAGTACATCTTGGTCGACACACCGACGATGCGGCGGCGGCGATGACTACTACCCCCATCCTGCCTCTCGGGCCTGGCTCTGGCGGTTGCCGACGGCGACGACGGGCTTGTTGCAGTTGAAGTGGCAGCAGTAGCAGTAGCAGTAGCAGTAGCAGTAGCAGTAGTAGTAGCAGTAGCAGCAGCAATAGCAGCAGCAGCAGCAGCAGCCACCGTGGCGGTGGATGTGGAGGCGGCCGTGGCCGTCATCTCGGCAAAACAATCCGGATAGATACCTGGCAGTTGGTGTGGCAGCTTGGCAAACAATCACGGGTATCTGTATTCGTACTTCGTACTTTTGTTGGTTTCCACTCCCTCTCCCTCCTCTCTCTCTCTCTCGCTTGCGTACCTATGTACGCCCCTTTTCTCGACCAGTGAGTGACTCGGCAGCCCTCCCCTCTGCCAGTCCGCGCAAGCGGTGGCCAGGAACTCAAATAGCGGCGAGTCTGTCCAGATAGGCAATCAAATCCTCTCCTCTTCAGGTGATCCGATGGCGATGTTGGTGCTGTTGCTAGTCTGGTCTGGTGGGTCGACGAGCAGCGGGGGCAAAGTTGGATCGGATGGGGCTTGCCTAGGTGGGCAGGGGTGCACTGCATCGTTCCCGGGTTCTCGGTGGATCTGCATTTGACATTATCCGGCCTGGCGGTTGACTTCGGCGATGGACACCTGCGGCACTGCGGCATGGCACATGGATACCTAGCCTAGACCGCAGCAAGCCATTTTAAGCGGAATGGTGACTAGACCCAAGCAATCACTCGGAGTAGATCCGACGATAGAACGAACATTAGGCCCAACGCTGTCCTCAGTCTGCTCTACTAATTATTGCGCCATAATAATGAGGTACCGAGACCGGGGAATTGGCGCTCGGCACCTCGGATGACCCTTTAGGGACCAGTGAGATCTGAATCCTACAGGTCCTCCGTACCCTCTGTACCTTGGGAATGTGCCTTGGCCCTGAGCCATTTTATTCACCTAAATCGTAAAATGTAAATCGCAAGTAACCCTTTGATCCCCCCGTTTTCTATGCCCAAGTCTATTCTCCATGAGATGTACATGTACTTGATGTGCTTTGAGATTTAATTGAGCGGAGGTTCCGTATAGGCCCAGGCTAACACCCAAAAAGTATGGCGACATCTCCACTAAATTGCAAACGTATCCAAATGCCAGCCCCCTAGCAGCTTCTCACCTCCTCCGGAGGCCCCGAAAGCCCACCCTCTCCTTCTTCGTACTCGTGGATGGCTGCCACCTTTGCAGCGCTGGGGCTTGTCTCGTCAAAGACGTAGCCCAGCCACTCCTTGGCCAGCCGGCGAGCCAATTCTATCCCAATAACTCGCTCTCCCATGCAGAGCACCTGCGCATTGTTACTCAGGATAGCTCTCTCGACCGAGAAGCTGTCATGCGCCGTCACCGCCCGGATCCCCTTGATTTTGTTGGCCGAGATGGCCACCCCGAGGCCGGTTCCGCAAATCAACAGCGCCCGGTCGCATTCTCCCGAGGCGACAAGCTTCGCGGCCGCCGCTGCAATGTGAGGGTATGCCGTCTTATCGTCGGCGCCGACATCGACCACGGAAACGACGCGAAGGTCTGCCGCAAAGTCTGCCTTGATCTTGTCCTTGTACCCGACTCCAGCGTCCTAGCAGAGGTTGCAAATCACGTCAGCAGATTCCAATGCTCGCTGGTACTAGGTAAGGACGAACATCGCAGCCAACGACAATTCTCCACTGTGGCGAGCTCATGATTTCGAAGTTGTTGGTAGTTGAATCTTGCGGCTCTTTCTCTTGTTCCCAGGAGAACTAGGAGCGACAGGGTTAGAGACCCATAAAGTAGTTCAAGCGGCTACATGGGAAGGGCTGCATTTATCCAGCCCGTGTTGCCATTCCTGGTATGCCGTCGGTGACGGGGAACGGGAGATTGGCAGCCCGGGTCCCAGGGGAGGGGGATGTTTGTGCATTGCCCCTCCTTCCTGTGTTGGTGACCCCACCTCCCCGGCAAGTCTTCCATTGGTGTCTCTTTAAATGTGCAAGGGTGTCTTAGACCAGTGAGGGGCACTTGGTATCGCGTCAAGCTCATATCGGGACGAGCTGCGCCAGTTGTGCCGGATTCAAGAGGCAAGCAGACCGGGCACCCAAGCTCACAACTCCTCGAGCTGGATTGTGCTTTTCCTCTCTATCTCCCCAACACCAACTTTCCCATTCGCCCTCGTCTTGCCATCATGTCCAAGCGGCATCTCTTCCCTTCGTTGGAGGGGCTCGTCCCCAAAGCTCTCCGGGGTATCGTTGCTAGCAACCCACGACTGAACCTTGACGAGACCAACAGGGTCGTCTTCGACCCGGAATCCCCGCGGTCCATCGTCAGCATCATCAGCGGAGGCGGGTCCGGCCACGAGCCAGCATGGTCCGGATATGTCGGAAACAACATGCTCGCCGCTTCCGTGGCCGGCGATGTCTTTGCGTCCCCCAGCACCAAGCAGATCCTGGCAGCCATTGAGGCTGTCCCGTCGGACAAAGGAACTCTCCTCGTCATCACCAACTACACAGGCGACTGTCTTCACTTTGGCCTGGCGGCTGAGAAGACTAAGGCCAGGGGGCACCCTTGCCGGATGCTTATATGCGGCGACGACGTGTCCATAGGGAAAGCCGGCGGTTCGCTAGTTGGTCGGCGTGGACTTGCTGCCCAGATTGCTGTATTGAAAGTGCTCGGTGCCGCGGCTGCTCAGGGAGCGTCGCTAGACGAGCTCTACGATTTCGGTACTGCCTTCGCGGACCAGATCGTCAGCATTGCGACTACCCTGGATCATTGTCACGTCCCTGGCCGGACTGAACATGGTGCTCTAAACGAAGACGAAGTCGAGATTGGCACCGGACCCCACAATGAGCCGGGGTACAGGAAACTGTCGCCTGCGCCATCGCCCAAGGCGTTGGTCAAGCAGATTCTGACCTACTGCTTAGACGAAAAAGATCCAGAACGAGGCTATGTCAAATTCAGCCCAGGAGACGAGACTGTCTTGGTCGTGAGCAACTTTGGGGGCATGTCGAACCTTGAAATGGGCGGTTTGGTCGACGAGCTTCTTCAGCAGTTACTCGCGGACTGGAATATTCAGCCTTCACGTGTGTACGCCGGATGCTTGGAGACTTCCCTCAATGCGCCAGCTTTCTCCGTCTCCGTAATCAACATCTCGTCAGCAGCCGCCAACAGCACATATTCCCTGGACCAGGTCAAAGCGTTCCTCGACGTCAGGACAGACACGGCATGGGAAACCGTTGCCGGCTCTCAGAGCAACCCGCAACGGCGGCCGCGGGCAGACCAGATTGTCCAGCCGCCGGTCGAAGAGAAGAAGGTCATTGACGACACCGAGGACTTGAAAATCGACGCGGCGGCTCTGGAGAGCATGCTCCGCAGTGCCTGCGCCGAAGTGATAGCAGCCGAGCCCGATCTAACAAAATGGGACACAGTCATGGGCGACGGGGATTGCGGCCTGACGCTCGAGACAGGAGCGAAAGCCCTTCTGGAGGCGGTAGACTTGAGACAAGTTGCTGCCAGGGGATCTGTAGTCGAGGTGCTCGTCGAGTTGGAGGACATTGTCGAGGGCAAGATGGGCGGTACTCTTGGCGGCATTCTCGGCATCTTCTTCGTCTCGCTCAGGACAGCGGTGCAGGAGAACAACGGCCTAGCGCAAACAGAAGGAACCACGGCGGTGTGGGGAAAGGCACTGGCCATCGCCATAGCCCACCTTAGCCACTACACGCCGGCCAAGGTCGGCGACCGGACAGTCATGGACACGCTGATCCCGTTTGCCAACGCCATGAAGTCGGGACAGACGTTTGAGGAGAGCGTCGCTGCCGCTGTCCGGGGCTCTGAGGCTACCAAGATGCTGAAGCCGAGACTTGGTAGGGCAACGTATGTCGGCGTGGGCGCAGACAGCTCTAAAGAGCTGCCGCCAGACCCCGGTGCCTGGGGCGCCATGGTTGCGATCAGGGGTTTGCTCTCGGGTGTTTGAATTTTGTGTACGACCATGACGGAACTGGGTTTTGGAATTGGGGCACGTAGCTGCAGAAATTCTGCCTAATAATTTACGCGTTTGGTTTCTTTTTGGTAATTGGTATCTACCCTCTGTATCCGTCATACCTTCCCAGCCTGTCTTGACTAGCGCCGGTGATTAGCTGAGGTGCCTTCGTGGTTTCCATCTGTTCAAATGGCCGTTTCGTAATGCAGCTCGGGGTACCTTCCAGATTTGGGTGTCAGCTCCTTTTCAATGATACAATTTGATAATTCATAATTCGAACAAGGAAATTTAACTTCAATTCCACTTTATTTCGTGACTTTGACACTACGTTGGAGATGATGGCACCGGACCAGAATCTGATCTTTTTTTTCATCTTCTTCTTCGTTTGATTATCTAGCTGAAACTAACGATAGCATTCCCTCACAGCCTCTGGGTAACTACAGGTAGGCAGCTACACAACATCTGCCTCCGTCCTTACCCTACAGTACCATCAAGGCACCTAGGCCTTCCCAGCGCTCCCCAGCCAGTGCATGTATTTCTCAATGGCGACCTGCATGGCATTTGTACCCGCCTCAATCACGCTGGTCAGGGGCTTTCCCTGCATGTCCTTCTGCACGCGTGCGTAGTGGTCGTTCATGCCTTTGTTGATGTTGATCTTTGTCACGCCCGCCGCCATGCACTTATTGAAGATGGTCTCGTCGAACGGGTCGGCGCCGTGCAGCACGAGCCTGACGCGGTCGCCGACGGCCTCGTTGATGCTCTGCAGCCGCTCGTACTCGAGCTGGATGCCACGCGGCCCGTACTCGCCGTGCACGTTCCCAAACGCCGGCGCCAGCATGTCGATGCCCGTCGCCACAAACTCCTCGGCCTGCTCGGGTGTCGTCAGCACCCCCTCGAGATCAACCGTCTCGGCGACGCCGTCCTCGCCGCCCTCGATGCGCCCCGGCTCAGCCTCGGCCGCGATGCCGCGCTCGTGGCAGTATTTGACCAGCTCGGCCGTCAGCTTGAGGTTCTCATCCTTTTCGTAGTGGCTCATATCGCACATGATGCTGTCGAAGCCGTCCGGGATGTCGGCTGCGCGCCGCACCAGCTCCGGCGTCTGGCAGTGGTCCAGGTGCAGCGACACGGGCACGCTGGCGCTGTGTGCCGCGTCGGCCGCCGCCTTCACGAGCGAATCTCCCGCGTACTGGATTGCCCAGGGGAACAGCAGCACCATGGCAGGCGAGCGGGCCGCCTCGGCCGCCCTCACCGTTGCGATGATGGACTCGATGTTGTAGCAGCACATGCCCGGGACGCCATAACCGCCGGCCTTGGCCGCATTCAAAATGGACATGGACCGGTTCTCGGAGAATGGCGGGCGCGTCATCGTAGCGGGTTAACGAGGGGGTAGAGACGGCAAACGAAGTGTGACGAGGTGAATTAGGGTTGGTGACAGGGAGGCTTGTTTCGACTGAATTGCCAAGACGAGAAGCGAGGTCGTTTTGGCGAGCGTTTCGGGATGCGAATTCAGTATCTCGACGTCGGCGATTCAGAATGCGACTTGGCGATAAAATTGGATTTCTCTGGCCCAAGTACCAAGGTGAACAGAGCCCTGCCTGCTTGACTGGATAATTGCCGGTCGGGATCCCCGATTTGGGATCGTCTCCTTTGACCCGCCAAGCCGAATAGACGGGAATGGGTGCATGATAGATATTAGCCTGAGAGTGGCGATGCGACAGTGGGGGGATGCCTCACGTCATTATTGGCTCCTGGCCTGCGGGAAAGGGGGAATCAACACGCGGCTTCCCAGAGCGGGGAACGACATGTTTCCTGCGGGTCACCCGGTGGTGAGGAGTCTTGGACTTCACCCGGAAAGGGGGTGCGGCATCGGCCGATGTGGGAAGCGACGCATCTACATTCGAGCTTGCTCTCGAGTCTCCCACGTCTGCTCCTCCATTTAAAAAACGGGCCAATTAAGCCCCGAAGCAGGTGCTAGTATCCATCGTCCTCGCAAGAGCTCCGAATAGAATAACCAGTGATATTTTGCAGTCTGTGGACCGTGTCAGCTCTCAACTCGACACTCAAACAGACAGTGGGATAACCTCGGCACTGACACAGTTACACCCTAGCAGTCAGTCATGGCCGAGCAAAAGCCACTCGTTTCCTTCATTGGCCTGGGTGCCATGGGGTTTGGGATGGCAACCCATCTGCTGAAGCAGGGCTACACCGTCACAGGCTTCGATGTCTGGGGGCCTACTCTCGATCGGTTCAAGGCCGCCGGCGGTCTGACAGCGACGACACTAGCCGAGACAGTCGCCGACAAGCCCTTTTGCGTGTGTATGGTTGCTACGGCGCAACAAGCCCAGGCAGTGCTCATCGAGGGTCCCGACGCTGCCATAAACTCACTTCCTCAGGGAGCGGCCCTCCTTCTCTGCTCTACAGTCCCGTGCGACTATGTGCAGTCGCTAGAGAAGCAGCTCAAAAGCCTCGGCCGTGGCGATATCCTCCTCGTCGACAGCCCAGTATCGGGCGGAGTAGCGCGTGCCGCAGATGGAACTCTCTCCATCATGGCTGGCATGTCTGCCGCCGCTCTCGCCAAGGCACGCCCCTTGCTCGCTGAGATGGCGGACCCAAGCAAGCTGTACATTGTCGAGGGTGGCATTGGGGCCGGCAGCAATATGAAGATGGTACATCAGGTGTTGGCAGCGTGCCAGATCCTGTCGGCAAGCGAGGCCATGGGATTCGCGGACCAGCTCGGTCTGGATCTCGCCAAGGCACAAGAAGCAGTTCTGGCTTCAGACGCCTGGAACTTCATGTTCGAGCACCGGACACCGAGAATGCTCACCGAATTCAAGCCCATCGCTAGCGCCATCCTCATCATCATCAAAGACACGAGTATAATCACGGCCTCTGGCAGGGGGGTTGCCTTCCCAACGCTCATGACGAGCGTCGCAGAGCAGGTGTACTTCTCTGCCATCGGCAGAGGCTTCGGCTCGGACGACGACAGCAGTCTTATCCGGCTGTACAACGAGGGCAAGGGCAAAGTCGGGCCAGTTCACGGCCTAGCAGAGAGCGAGGCGGAGAAGACGGCATTGGTAGTCGACCTGCTGAAGGGTATCCTCATCTGCTCAGCAGCCGAGTCCCTGGCGTTTGCGCATGCTGTCGGGCTGGATCTCGACCAAGTCTATGACTTGTGCATCAACGCCGCGGGCGGTAGCACCATCCTGAAAAACGTCGGGCCCGACATTATCAAGGCGTTCCGCGAAGGCACGGCGGCGCAAGGATGGACGGCGCGGGGCAACGGCACCGGGCTCAAGGAAATCGCCGACAAGCTGAACGCTGCCGTCGAGGAAGGGCAGAGGATCAAAGCGCCCCTGTTCCTCGGAAACCAGGCTCGCAATATCATTCAGTTGGCGCTCCAGTCTGGCCCGCCGGATCTTGCTATGGGAGCGGTGGTAAAGTTATGGGCTGGAAAGGCCTAATTAGAGTCTAGAGTTGTCTCTTTGTAATAGTAGCCGTTGGAATAGCGGCATTCGTGGCCGTACTGCTGGTAAAGGAGGGAGGTGTCGTGGGTCACGTGCTGATTCACGTGCCCGCTTAACGGGACACAGGGATAAGATGACGTCAATTTGAGGGTCTGCGCTTCTATATAGAGCACCTGGGCCCTTTCCCCGCGCTCCCCGCCTGTTCTCCAGGGTCATTTGACCCCTGCAAAAGCTACTGCGTCAACTTAGCGCGCCGCGATCGCGACGGAGGACGGAGGACGGAGTACGGGGCATTGGTTTCGTCTATATCTCAACTCTCCTTCATCAGCACGACCCGCCGCCGCTTAATTCCCTCCACACCCCTCCAGGCCCATCCGCACGCTCACTGGAATCACAATACACGGCCCAACTCGTTCTCACACCCATTAATTCCTGCTTCACAGCCGCGTAAACTTGGCGTGCCTTGGTCACTTTTGCAATTGTTCTTGCCAACCTGATTCTCGTCTCTCGACTCCTTTCACAACCAAGCAGAACACATGGAAGACGCTACACGCCAGCACTTCTTCCACCATGGGCGGCCCGGTGTATGTAATCCTGTCCGCTAGGTGAATGTCTCCAGCTGAACTGACCTGTTTTTGCCTTGGATTAGTCCAACGCGAAAGAAATGCAGAACTGCCATTTTTGCCAAATCCGCTCCTTTGCGACGCATTCGACAATCCCAATTACAATTGTCAATAAGGAAGACGAGGCCGTTCTGAACCCCAATTTTCGCTTCATCGACCGGTCGGTCGTTACGAAAGGCGTCCCGGTCGCTGAGGACTCTTTTCGCACGGGCTGCAACTGCGAGACGGAAAAAGACTGCATGAAGAGCGCCTGCCAGTGCCTGGACGAGATGGCGTTTGACAGTGACAACGACGGCGTCGCATATCACTCACACGGGGTCAAGGAGGGCTTGCTGCGGAGTAGGATTCTGCACAGCCGGGAGCCCATCTACGAGTGCCACCAGGGATGCAACTGCTCGTCGAAATGTCCAAACAGGGTCGTGGAACGGGGAAGGACTGTGCCGCTGCAGATCTTCCGGACCGAAAACCGGGGCTGGGGGGTCATGTGCCCCGTCGACATCAAGAAGGGCCAGTTTGTGGACAGATACCTTGGCGAGATCATCACGAGCAAAGAGGCCGACAGGAGGCGCGCCGACGCAACCGTCGCTCGTCGCAAAGACGTCTATCTATTCGCGCTCGATAAATTCTCGAACCCGTACTCTCCAGATCCGCTGCTGAGGGCTCCGCCCCTCGAGGTTGACGGCGAGTACATGAGCGGACCGACTCGGTTTATCAATCATAGCTGCGAGCCCAACATGCGCATCTTTGCCCGCGTAGGCGATCATTCAGACAAGCATATCCATGATCTCGCGCTGTTCGCGGTACGAGACATTCCGCGCTGGGAAGAGCTGACATTCGATTACGTGGACGGACTGGGCGAGATGGAGAGCGACGCCCACGACCCGTCCCAAACCAAGAACATGACCAAGTGTTTGTGCGGGACTCCTCGCTGCAGAGGCTATCTGTGGTGAGCGTTTAGCTCCATCATGGCCGGAGCATTCCAGAGTGGTTGCAGAAGGTTTGGGACAAGGTTTGCGTCGCGAGCCCGCAGGTTTGCCCACCGAGAAGCTGCCACCTTAGTTGCCTAAATAGAGGTAACGACAAGCGCTTGTCTGTTGGTCTTCTAGAATCATGTTCAGGGGGGGGGGCATGGGCCGAATTGCTTTCTCATTCGAGACGGTGTAGGTTGCTACCCGGTTCAAGTGTAGCAGGATGCTGCTTCAATTCGCTACTCCTGTCATACGATTATTTGGCAAGCCCCCCGCCGAATTAGTGACTGACGGTGTGATAGGGATCCTATGGAGTACTTGCCCAAGAAACTCCCCGTATCATAGCTCGTTCTCGTCCACGTCATGTACACATAGCCCAGCCCTGGTTTGTTTGCTAAGCCAGGGCAGTTTGGCTCGGGGGATCATGGCCAGACTTGTGATCTTTCCCGATTTGTAGCTAGCGGAGCGGGTTGGAAGAGAAAGATTAATAGAGACTATTCAACAAATCTCGGGAAATTCCATCAACTCCCTTAGAAGATCTGGACGGATAGGGACCAAGGATGAGAATTACAAGTCGTTATCTCGTAAAGATAAAAGCTAAAGGCTGGTGGCGTACTAACACTAAAACTTAGGTTGGACTGTAAATACATAGCAATTTTACAGAGAAAAATACAAGGCTTTCCGCAAGTACGAGAATGAAAGTATAGGATTACAGACAAGTTTGTTCCTTTTACCAAGGCCGCTTTGTATTTCCGGGGCGATCAGCAAACATAGACCCAAAGCAGAACAAGCCCGGGCCCTCTAAGGCCCGAGCAAAGAGGGCCCTGGAGTGGACGGCCTAATCCGGTGGAAGAGGAAACCTGGAGCTTGCGTCGTTGCGATCATCTCTTTGCCTACCGTAGTTTGACTTCTAGGGGACCTACATGTACGAGACAGACAGCTTATCGCATCTTATCGGTGGTCCAAAAGCATCTCGATGACAGCCTCAGGTGTAACACAGCATTTTCTCCGCACTTGGGTCGGCCCACTAAACCACGGTAGGTAAGGTGATGTATGTGCAGTACTGTGACTAGGTAGCTCGCTCCCCGCTCCCTTCAGCGCCAACCCTCCCTGGGTTTAGGGGGTCACCGAGCGGTGGCTGGCTGGATTGGGAAGGCTGAGAGGTGACAGGAGGTGTCGTCGTCCTCATGCCAGAAAACGAAACCACCACCCACCAACTTTCTCTTTTATTCCCGAAAGAATAAAACCCACGACAAAACAGCCCACAGCCCACAGCCCCCCGCGGACCGGTGAGGTGTGTGTTGTGTGTGTTTTTTGTCTTTTTTGTCTTTTGCTGGCACCCGTTTTGCCGCGCGAAAAAAAGGGCCCTCGGTTGGCTGCCGCAATGCACTAGTTATTCAGGCGGCTGCCACAGGAGCTGCTCGGCAGCAGGCGCGCGATCGAGCGTGCCGATAGGAGAGCTTGTTCGGGAGGTGGTCGGCACCGGCACCCTGACGGCTCGAAAACGAGATGGTATGTATCTGTGATGGCGTCATCCCCTCGGTATTTTGTCTTTCTTCGTCGGTTGTGCGATTGCAATTGCGAATGCGAATGCGATTGCGATTGCGATTGCGACTTCAACTTCCGGGTTTCGTCTCGTTTTGCCTCGTCTCTTCACTAGTTCGCGATGTGGCTAGCTAGCTCTGGCTGCTCGCCTCGTCTAGCTCGCTACTCGATACTCGATGTCCAGGCCTAGTTCCGACGTTTTCTACCTTCTTCCCATCCAGTGTCGTGGGAAGCTGCTAACGGCGTCCATACATCACCACAGGGTTGCTGCATCTCTAGTCCCTCGGGCCCAAACTCTCCCTACCCGGGTGGTGTCGGCGCCTCTGGCTCGTCGCGGGCAATCAACGATGCTTCCCAAACGGCGCCTGCGTCAAGCACCCAGGCCACCAATGACGAGCCCCCCCTTTCCCCCGGCCCAGGCTCGCGCCGACGTCGAGGACAGAGCCAACCGTTAGCCCAGCATATCAACAAGCCGTTGAGGCGTCATGAATGGAGCAGCCGCAATCGCATGTGGACCCGTGCCGCGCTGGCACGCGAGAGGGCCGACTTCTTCGAGACGAGGGTCGCAGGCCGCCAGGAAATCTGGCAAGCCCTTCGCTCCGCCCTCGAAGTTCTCTGGGAGGCTGATGCCGCTGCCGCGAACGGCCTGGCCGAGCTCGAGGGCGACGACGAAGGCCCCAGCGAAGAGGACCCAGCCGTGGCTCTTGCTACGGCCCAGAGTATCATTAATGCAGCCGACATCACCCTCCCCACCGGGGACCTGGCGCAAGGGGCCTATGACGCCCTGGGCTGCTACTACTCGCTCCCGGAGCATGTCGTGTCCGACCCGTCAAACTTGGTCGAGCCGCCCGCTTCGACCGGCGGTGACGGCCTCGAGGATGTTAAGCCCGACCTGACAGCGGGCGACGAAACTGCCCAGGAAGAACTGGACGGCGAGGACAAAGCCGAGCGCCGGAGGGAGGAAAAAGGCAAAGGTGTCGCCGACATACGTGACCAGATCACGATCCGAGCCAGGCTGAGTGACGGGTCTCGAGACATCAGTATTTCAGTCGGGAGCGCCGAGACTGTAAGGAGCATTGCGAGATATGTTGCCGAAGAAGCTCAGGTAAATATCCCTTCTGCGGCCTCTCTGTGCTATTTTGGTCTCATTCTTTTGTTCTCTCACTTCGTTTGCTTCTTCTGCGCGAATCGGACCCAAGTTCGCCAGATCCGAGCTTTTGGCTGACCGCGTTCTATTTCCACAGCTCCCTGCCACCAAGAAGATCCGCGTCGCCTACATGGGCAAGATCTTGAAAGAGAATTCCCCCTTGCTTGTCCAGGGCTGGAAACAAGGGCATGTAGTGAACGCCTTGGTGTTCAATAGGTAGGAGCGCCGTCAATCACCAGCAGACAATGGGGTCGTCTCATACCCACTGCTGTCATCCTCCGGGTGTAACACCTTTTGTTCAACGCCTCCAATGAGCTAGGTTTGGCAACTGGCCTTCATCCCATACGCAGCCAGCCTTTTATCTATTACCATTGGGACTCAAATTCCTAGGGCTCAACAACTCAACATCCAATCCTCTCTGCTTCAAAGACAGAAGACCTTGACACGATTGTATTTCTGCAGCTCAAGGCTATTTCGTGCCACCACGCCTTTCGACGGGGATACTTGTCTCCCAGTTGCTGCAAAGCACCTCTATCCAGCTTCAACGACGGTTCTCTCACGCCAACAGCGGCGGAGATTGTCCTTTTTCATCCCTGCGTTCCGGCAACGTGCGACCACCAGATACCAAACTCTTCATCTCCACTACAGGCCTACCCTTTACGAATCGCTCAGGTTCTCAGGGCTTGCTCTAAACACGCATACCACCCCCTTGGACTCGACAAACTCACTCTCCTACGGCCTATACTCTCTCCTGATCGACTTGTTTTCCTCAACGCTCCATCTACACGAATACTTCTCACCTTTTCTTTTGCTTTTCACATTCTTACCACGTTTAATCTTATGTCGTTATGTCACTGGTTTGTTTTGGTCGGAGTTTCGGCAGGGGTCGTCATTTCAGTTGCCCTTCGCGAGTTGTCATGGGCTGCTATGGGCCTCTTTGTCGAGAAAGGAGAGAGAGGCCGCATAGCGCCGGGAAAGGGCGGATGGCACAGCAACTTAGTTTTTAATCGTGCTGCAGAGAGATGGACCGGCGGTCAGTTTACCTGACTGACTGGTGCGGCACTCAAAGAACATCTGCTCTGGTCAGTATCCTTTTTTTTTAATTAATCAACAAGCGAAACGTTCACCAAGGCCAGCCAGGATGGGTTGGCAGGAGGAACACAACACGCGCACAGCATAGAATACCGGAAATAATACCCAGTTCGTCGGATGATCTTTCTCTCCCAAAAAAATTGAATGACATTTACGGTTTTCTTTATTTTTATCTGCCTGTGCGCAATAAACCGACCTCGTGAAGAAACCGGCTATTTATAGGCTAACCACCACCCTCATGACGACTTCTGTTCGTGGTATTTTAACCACGCAGAACTGCCTGCAGGTCAAAGGAGTGGTAGTACTACCGGTGGGGTTGTAAGTTGTCTTGATTCATTCCCTTTTTAAATAAATCTACAGTGGGCCGGGTTTTGTGGTGTGCGCAGGTCCACGTGCGCCAGCACGGGACTTGTGCCGCCTCCCTTCCAGGGCACGGTCACTAATGTCGCTATTCCAACAACTTCCTTCCATTTCTTACTTTCTCACCAGCTCACAAGTGGAAATTGGGTTTGAAAAAGAACCCCTTTTGTTGACCCTGACATCAAGAATTATCTTTTTCTTCTTTTAGGGGTGCCTAGTTTCTCCGACTCTTTAACTTCCTGCACACACCTCACCGCCCGAGACAGGGCATCTTTTTTGTCGCAGTGATTATATCTAAGGCCGAACTTAAAACATGTCTCCTCTCTTTTGGCTCACTTGGACCTGCCTGCCTATATGCTTGCCTGCTTCGAAAACGAACATGACTCAAAAGGTTGGACAACACAACTCAGTTTTTCTACCGCTTGCTTTGCACATTTATTTCCGCCACTCCACCCTTGCATTTAAGCAGACGACCCGATCTTGTTCAACCCCTTGAGCGACCCCAGGCTCAGGGCCAACCCTTGGGATCTGCTGCGTATCCTCACAAAGCCGGTGATGGGCCCGTCATCGCCTTCCTTCTCAATGCTCAAATTTGCCAAAGCATCCTCGCCTAATGCATTCGCAGAAAGTCAGTAAACACGAGCTACTCGGGAGGGGATGGACGACGGTCAGAAGGGGGGACATGACTTACCAAACACACTTCTGGCATACAGATTTGCGCTTAGGAACTGGCAGTCACCCTTGAGACTTGCTTCAGGCGTGAGGCAGTTCATGTTGGTGCAGGCCATCAGCTGATCTAGGAACTCGCGGAGGGTCTTGGCCTTGCTGTTGATGTTGACCTTGTTTTCCCACTCAAACTCGGTCCACATTGTCCGGAACTGCGTCTCTGTGCACGTGGCAGGCTGGATGTAGTCCATGATATCGACGTGCAGGTCGTTCAGAATGACGACATTTGTGTCAGTCGAGTGCGCGCCCTCGTAAACGACGTTTCCAAAAATGACACCAGTGTCCGTGGACGACACCTTGATGGTGCACTGGACGTTGTGGAAGTCGTGTGGTCCGATGTTCTGGCTTGTTGGCCGCTCGACAACCTTGAGATCTCCTAGAGTAGCGAATTCTACCGTCAGGTTCTGCAGCGTTTCGGTTGTCTGGTTGACCAACAGCACATCGAGCACAATGTCGAATTGGTGAACCTTTACATATGCCTCGGCATAGACAGGGTCAGAGAAGCCGGTAAGTTGGACGACTCGGCTCAGCTTTCCGGATAAGTCTTCGGCCGCACCGCTATCGCCGCCAGTGGCACGCTCGAGATCGAGCTCAATGGTATCATTGCCATCCGAAGCGTTCTTCTTGGAAAGTTGACGTATAGAAACCACGTCATCGACCTGCACAGCAGTCTTGGCTTTCTCATAGGCCTCCTTGGCTTCGCGCTTCTTCTCTTCCACTTGCACCATTGCCCGGAAAGCCTTCCTTGTGTCCTCGAGATAGACAGTCTCAAGCTCGTTATGTGTGTTGAACTCGGCAAGGGAGCGTACGCAGCTCATAATGCGGTCCACAGAGTCCTCGTCAATAGGTGCTTTGACAAACTGGGACTGGCCAACCCGGATAATGGAAATCATAATAAGCATGGCTTCGGCTCGGAGAGCATTTGTTCGAGCGGCGTCTTTTGAAATCTCGGAGTGGCGCATGACAAGCTTCGTGAGGGTTGCTGAGAGGACAGTGGCGAGATAGTAGTCCCCGTCCAGGATAAGTTGTCTGAGGGGGGGCTTTTGCGAAGCTTTTACGGCTTCTAGCTTGGCCGCTGCGCCTGACTGGCTGGTGAGGGCGGTTTCGGTCGCATAAGTGCCGTCAGCGAGAACTCTCCGGGAGCCCGCTGGAGTCGTTTTAGAATGGCCATTCACTTGCTCCTTCTCCTTATGTTCGTCGTCGCCATCCATATTATCCAGCAGTCGCTGCTCGGATGCAAGGATTGGAATCTCGCCCAGACTTGCCCGGATCCTCTTCCACGCCTCGCGGATATCCTTTTCATCAAGCGAGTACTCGCCGACAATCCAGAGGATGCCCCGGTACACCTTGCCCGCCCGAACTTCGCTGAGAGTATCTACTAGTCTTCGAACAATGGCTGGGCGGAGCTTGGGGAACTTCTCGACAACCTCTTTGACGAAGTTGATCACATCAACAGCAGATGTGTTGTTAAAGTCGGCAATGAAATCCATTAACAACTCAACGACGCTGGCAGCAACTTCTGAGAACTTGACGGCGCATTGATGGATAGAGTGGATGAGCAGTTGGCGGTATTCGTTGTTCTTTTCGTACTCCTGGTCAACCGTCTTGGACAGCTCCTTCTTCAAGAGAAGAACAACTTCCTCAACGTTTTTGCTCGATACCATTTCGAGGGCAATTTCGAGCGCCTTTTTCCGTACGTCAATATCGGGGCTCGAAAGGACACGCAGAACCTCCATGGTCAGGTCATCTAGGATTCCCTCGTTCCTCTTCCGGAGCTGGTCCACGCGGTCTAAGACAATCAGCTTCACGTTGTTGTCTGCCTCCTTGATCGCAAGCTCGATAAACTTAGCCGCAGCCGCTTTGACAGCTACTGGGTTGTTGGTCAGGGACGTTAGGGACGACGCTGCTTCATACACCACTGTAGATGTATTCGCATCCAGCAAATCGAAAATGAGGCGTAAGTAGCGCGCCTTGTTTTGCGAGTTCTGGACGGCATCCTTCCTAATAAATTCAAGTTCAGCGAGCTGCATGAGCTCCTCTGCATTCGGGATGCCATCAAAGATTGTGCTCAGGTATGCCAAAGCTTTGTCGTGGTTGATGCTTGCCAGTGCGGCGAAACCGTTCCTTTTGCACGTAGGATCATTTTCCCCTTCCAGGAACGTAGCAATTAGGTCTGCTGCATCCGGAATCATGGACGGCGAGTGCTGGAATATGGAAGCGACGGCAAAGACGGCGTTCTTTCGCACATAGGCGTGGCGGTGCTCGAGGCAAGACCTCGCGGATGACAGGAGAGGCTCAAGAAGCTCGGGCTCACGAAGTTTGCAGAGGAAACGCAAAGTGTTGCCTCGAATGAACTCGTTCGGGTGCTGCAGGTCGTTCCGAATGCCGTTACTGCGGGAGAGGGTCAGCAGGGAGCTGGCGCGTGAGATATCAAAAGGGGGCGCCATACCATACTAGGATGAACTCCTGCTTCAGCTTCCCTTGCGCGTCCAGCTTGGGGCAAACCTCGTAGTAGAAGTAGAGCAGCTTTTTGAGCTGCTTGGATTTTGAGGGCATGACGAAGCGGATGATGTGCATGAGCAATTGGGGCAGCGGATCGCCGTTCAGCACGATGGTCAGGATGCGCTTCATGGTCTCGACCTTGGACTCGTCGGTACCCTTCTCGAGCTGCGTCTTCAGCTCAGACACGGTCGGCGTGCCGTCAGCACTGTCCTTGACCAGGCTGTAGGCATTTTCGAGGAACGACATGGCGGCGGTGGGTGGCAGGGACAGGCCAAAATGTAGTCGTCGTCGTCGTGATGGTGGTGCACCTTGGGGTTTTGTGTGCACGGCGGAATACTGCAATTATCAGGGGCGGACGAATTCGAGCTCCTTAACGCTGATGCTGGACCCTGTGCCAAAGTTGCCTCTGGGTTGGGTCGGGGTCGGCGGGCTCAATCGGCTTCAGGAGGCTCCTGCAGGTTCAGAGGATATGTCGGAGTGGGGAGCGCGCGCTGGACAGCGTGGTGCGATCACCTCTTTTGGAAGCCAAACGAGCCACCTTGGGGATCTGTCGGTCAATTCAGATTCCAGAAGTGACATTCTGGCCTGCCACAGCTCTTCGCCAGCTGGCACGAAGCGGCCTGTGTCGTGTCACGTGCACTAATATTTGTCCCCGCCGCTAGTCGAGTGCGGACCAGAACGGTGCCAAAGCTTTAGTGGGGCTCTGCCGGCTCTGCCCCGCCATTCACTCTATCGCATCGCACAGGCGCGTTTTAGGGCAGACCGTGTCTGACTACGGATCCCGACAAGAACCTCCATAATCGCGTCTCGTTAGATGCTTCCAGTCAACTCGCGACGCCAGCCATGTCCGCCTCAAACGAGTCATTCTACTTGCGCTACTAGTATGTACAACCAAATCTTTCCATATTCCCCCTTCCCAGAAGCTGACTTGAGATTAGCTCCGGCCATTCGGGTCGCTTTGGTCACGAATTCCTAGGTTTGTCGCTGTCCTCGATCTCACACCGAAGCTCTGTTCCACTCGACAGCCTTTGCTGACCGTGTTCCGCGCCCGGCAGAGTTTGATTTCCGCGTCGTTGGCGATGGTCGTAGTGCGACTGCCCGCTATGCGAACAACTCTAACTATCGAAATGACAGCCTGATCCGGAAAGAGAGTACGAGAAGCACCCTGCTCGGCCTGCTATATACTGGCTGACTATTTGCCCTAGTGTATGTCAGCTCGCTAGTCGTCGACGAGATCAAGCGAATCATCAAGCAAAGCGAGATCATGAAGTATTTCTGCCTACCCGAGCTCTGTTAAAGGACCAAGTCTAATGAACGGACAGGGAAGATGATGGGAAGTGGCCCACCAAGAACAAGGACGGAAAGCAAGAGCTTGAAATCCGGCTGGGAAACGACCACATCTCTTTCGAGGCAAGTTCGACTTGGGCCCAGGTGGGTGCCGTTGTTTTACACTGGCTGACAATTTACAGACAGCTAAAATCGGCTCAATCAATGATGTGACGGAATCTGCGGACCCCGAGGGCTTGCGAGTTTTCTACTATCTCGTGCAGGACCTGAAGGCCCTTGTCTTTAGTCTCATTGCCCTTCACTTCAAGATCAAGCCCATTTGATCATGTATGCGCCGTTTACGAATATTGTGATACCCTTGATGGGAGTCCTGGCTTGGGGATATGGGGCCGGCTTAGAGGCTGTAAGTTATGATATTGTAGGGGGCGAGGCGGCCTTCCGAGAGGCGGCCATTCCGGGAGGCCGTCTCGGGAGGCCATCTCGGGCGGCCTATCTAATCCGGGGATAGGCTGACAGGATCCGGTACATGGCTAGGGTACTGGGTTTTGAGCCTGACAACCGGCCGATATCTTACGACCTGCATGTAAGTAAATCACGGGAGGCAGAACTCCCTGAGTAACAAAATCCGACCGCATGCCGGGAGACACCAACCTGACGACTTGCTCATTCTCTGGACCAGGCCAGCTTCGTGCATCTCAAGAGCGCATTTTTAGCGTTGGACCTGTACTTAGAGACCAATCATTCGTGAACACCTCTGTTGGCTGCAGGTTTGGGAAACAAGTCGGTACGCTGTGTCCGCAAAGCTGAATACAATGCGTCTACTCGCTGCCCATCAAATGTCGCCGCCAGCGAAGCCATGCACAGAGTTCTAGTGTTGACCTTGACTTGTGCGAACTGCATAACATGCACGCGTAGCCTAGACAAATCATCTCTTTCGTTGGTCAGAGAGTGTGAGCAGGTTGCGCGCAAGGCAACTAGCTCATGCGAGGTTGACTGGCACATAAGGTATGGACTTAAAGTTGTTGGTTGAACAGAGTTCGGTGGTCGGTCTCAAGCCCTCCACGCAAGCGGGCTGACACTTGACAGCCCATCCGACAGCTGGCCCATGCACATCAGCGCCCAGCTCAGCAAATCAGCGATCACCGCCAGAAACCTTCCAGACTCGGATTCGTCCAAGCGGCCCTCACCTTACGAGGTGTTATTGTTCAGCTTCTGCGTCTGCTCCAGCCATCCACACAGCAGGGCAGGCTCACTCTAACGCACAACTTTCCCCCGACGCCGAGACTTCTCGATAACATCTCAAGTGAACCCCCACGGAATCGACGAGTGCCCGTGCTTTTTTTCCCCGCGAATTTCAATTCATGGCGCTGGGTTGATGATCCACACCGGTGCCCGGCCACGAGACCATCGGACCATTACATTACCCACCCAGCAACCCCTAGTTCAACGGTTGCACAAGGCTTTTGTCGGTTGCGCCAGTCGCGATAACCGGTAGCCGAAAGGGTGTGCGCCTTCTTACAGCTCTCCACGTCGACGCGATTCGCAAGCCGACGACCAGATTCCAATTCCAGCGACTATTCAACTTTTGTGTTTCTCGCTGCATTGTCATTCAGTATCCATACTCCAACGCGCCGGGATCAAGGAGGAGAGAGCCGCGCCCTCCCCCAGCCATCGACTCCACCCTTCTTCGACCGTCTCCCATCTTAACGCCCCGTCGCGCCGAGGGCCGGGCACATCGAAACGAGGGTGACCATGCCCACGCCCTCGTCCAACGCGCCGGATTCCCAATCGCTGCGCTCATTTCCCTTCTCATCATGTCCTGATCCCGATGAGCAGCAGGGAGCCCCTCTTCAATCGCCGTCCCTACTACTGCAAGACCAGCTCGAGACCGAGACGACGTCACCCCCGTCGCCGTCGAGCTGGCATCCGCGCCCGCCGCCCCCGTATTCCGTAGACGCCGGAATACAGGTGAGCCTTAGCATGGACGATGACACAGCCCTGTCGCTGTCGCGATCAGCCACCATATCGCCTGGCCCGAGCCTCCTACCCGACGGTAGTCGCGATGTTGATATGACCCACGAGCCAGAGGAGAGCAGCCCCGGGGCAACCCAGGTGGGCACAGAAGAGGGGCACAAGCAGTCCGAGACGGACGAGGAAATGTCCTATAACGGCAACGAGTATGGGCCGAGTGTGGCTCGCGCAGTGTTGGGGTACTATCCTGGGGGGAGCAGGACTGGTGCGGCGCCTAGGGCAGCAGCAGCAGCAACTACAACAATAACAACAACCTCCAACGATACACCAAGCAGAAGAAAACAGAAGACACGCGCCGATCGCCTTTCGCCACAGGAAGAGATGCTGGGGAATGCGACAAGATGGGTCGAGGATAGCGGCCTTGTAGGCATGGGTTCTGAGTACTCACAAATGCGGGCGATAGCTACGTCGCCGTCCTCATTTCTACGGCCGGGGAGCCGGTTCGAGGGGACGCAGCAGTCGGAGAGGCAGCGCTATGACGTCCAGGTTGAAATCAAGCACGTGGATTTGTGCGAGTCGTTCCTGTGCGGTTATTTGAGGATTCAAGGTTCGTTACACATCTCATGACTCTCGCATGGGTCCCCTCCGGCGGCAAATGCTAACTGCGAATTCCCGCACGGACAGGTCTGACAGACGACCACCCAACACTGACGACTTACTTCGAGGGTGAGATAATCGGGACCAAGTACGGCTTCATCACCCAGCATCCGTCATGGGGGGCGACAGACAAGATCGACTTGAACCACTGGGGCAAGTTCGTACCATTCAAGCAATATTCAAGACAGGCACGCAAGACCGGCCATGTCTTGATAAGAGATATCGCGCAGCGCGAGAATATTTTCATGCGATGGAAGGAGCACTTCCTTGTCCCGGACCATCGGGTTCGGACCATCAACGGGGCGAGCTTCGAAGGGTTCTACTACATCTGTTTCAACCAGGTGCGCGGCGAAGTTAGCGGCATCTATTTCCACAGCAAGAGCGAGAAGTGAGTACAGACAAACCTGCGCTGCCGTTCGGCCTTGCAGAAACACGTGGGTTAACGCTGATCTTTCCCTTAGGTTTCAACAACTCGATTTGAAGCATGTCGAAGACAAGGGATGTTTTGGCGCCATGGAGTTCAGGTAATTCATTCCGTTGTGCTTGGGATGAAATAAAAACTCCACAAAAAATCGGATGGAAGGACGAAACGACTCGGGACGAGAAAGGGAAACATGAGATGAGTCCTTGTAAGAAGAGATGATTGCAAGGAGCATACCCCGTACGGCATATTATTAGCTGTGCATTGAGATCGGGTTGTGGGTATTTCTTTCTTCTTTTTCTTCTTCTCCGTCCTCTCGCAAAGTCTGGGTTGATATCAATTGCTACCTCCTTCCTCTCTCGGAACCTATATGCATGCCGTTTATTTTCAACGACTTTTGGCTTTATTAGCGGGGTGGGCTACTGGCAGGAACAGCGAACTGGGTGGAAGGAGTGAGGAATGGTTGTCAGAATCGTGAGCCTAATAACAGGGCGGGGACGATGCCAGTTTAACAGAATTGTTCATCGGAGTACAGAACCGTGGAAATGGGAGGGGGAATGGGAAGGGATAGGGGCAACATCTCAGGGGGGACAGGCGGGGGGGTTACTGAATGCATACTTTCGTTGTACCATGCTTTTTTAATATAAAAAGAAATGGGGTATCTAAGTAGGAGTTGATCAATGTTAAGCCTCAAACCCGGTGAAATAAGCCCGGCGAAAGGGGTTCAGCTCGTCAGCGGTCCGGCCCAGGAACGTTGTGTTCTCAACTCTCGCCTTCATGGCTTCTTGGTCGACCTCGGCGTCGGGGATGCGGCGGTATGTGATGAGCCGCCGAGACCCTGTGTGTCGGTTTTTAGCTACGGAAGGTGTAGAATAGGGGTAGTATGGAAGCCGTAAAGCAACGATTTAATAGGGCCGGGGAGAGAAGCAGGAAAACCCTCACATTTGCTAAAAACTTGAGTGCAAACAGCAACAATCTCGAGATAAGGGTGCGTCGGTACCTCGATCTCCTGGTCTTCGTCGTTCGCGGTGGGTATCCAGAACGACAGCCGCCCGTTGTCGACAAGCGTCTGAGCGGAAAACTGCAAGATGTCGTCGAGCATGGCGAGAAAGCCGTACGGCTTCTTGGGCGGGATGAAGTCGGGTTGCCTGAGGAGGTGGTTTGCAAGTCAGTGCAACCATACCACAGGATATTTTTATGTGATGTAGGGGTCTGTGTTGTTGGTGTGTTCCTTATCCTGGCGATTCCGAGACACAAAAACACGGCTTGCTTACTTGTACATCTCGATACCCTTGGGGATGACCCACGGGGACTTCTCGGGGTCGCGGACCCCGAGCACCCGCAGGCCTTCTCGCACGCCGTAGGGGGGGTCGCAGATGATGCCGTCGAACAGGCGCCCGCGCACGCCGTCACCGCTGGTGCCCAGAGGCATCTTGCGGATCGGCGAGTTGGTCAGGTCAGCGGTGAAGACGCCGCCGAGCTCGCTGAGCAGGCCGTACTGCTCAAAGTTGCCGTGGAGCGTCTTCTTCTTCTCGTCGCCCCGGATGCTCCGCCCGTCGATGTCGCTGCCAAAGGCCAGGGCGCCGAACTGGGCGCAGGCGATGGGAAAGCTGCCGGTGCCCACAAAGGGGTCGTACATGAGCTTGCCCGGCGCGGCCAGGGCGATGTTGGCCGTGACCAGGGCCAGCTCGGCGTCCATGGACGTGGTGCTGATGTAGCGGCGCTTCTTGAGGTCGAGCTTCTGGGGCAGATCTCGCGCGCCTGTGGCCAGGTAGCGGCCCAGGTAGTACGACTTTGGGTCGGCAAGGCCCAGCGGCGTCGAGTTGAAGGGCCAGTCCTCGAACAGGGTGAACTCCTGGTCGGGGTTCCGCATCTTGATGGGGCCGGCGAAGCCCAGGTAGGCGAACGAGTTGATGATGCGCACCTTGTCCTCGTTGGAGCGAGACCGCTGGTACGAGTCGATAGTGAACTTGAAAGAACACGTCATGTACCGCCCCCACAGGTGCGCCGTCTGCTCGACTACGGTGGCGTGCACGGCATCGAGCGTCGTCCCTGACCCCCAGACCTCATGGATCGATTGTACCAGGACGGACCGCCGGACGAGGCGTCTTGCTGCATCTTCAGAGGGAAGACGGACGACGCAGAATGGCGACTGCGGTAAAAAGTGTGTTAAGAGGCCAGAATTCCGCATGCAAGGGGGTGGAAGCCGAGAGGAGAGAGGGGGGGAGGGGTATGGAGGCAGCAAGAGTCTCGATGTCTTGTGGGCAATGTTCATCCACCCATAGTGCTAGAAACTTACTTCAACACTATAAGAGACAACCTTCAGCTCAATGCCCTCGACTACGGCAAGGGCCTGGATCTCGGGTAGGCGAAACGTCTCGTGGGACTGGGAGAATCGAATGAGACACTCCATCCTTTTTTCTTCTTTTTTTTCTGTCTTTCGGCGGTAGTTTGCAGCTTTACTACCTTGATACACGGTTCGCAGCTCTTATTGTTTGGGTTGCAACTTTTTTCGTAAGACCCATCGTCGCTTACCAAAGATTCTCGAGATAGCTCAGGTTGGTTTTAGTAGTTTTTGAGAAAGTTTCAGAGTCTGACCCAGTGGAGGGAGGACCTTTAAAATCCGCGACAGGCCTGATCTAGGTCTACCAGTGGGGTGAACATAGCAACCGGCTGACACTGACCCACTGTGTTCATATCACGTGCCATCAAGGCCTAAAAGGTGTCTATACCCACGCCTGGCGTGTATATAACCCTTTTAGATGCTCGTAGGCCCTGAGAGAGATTTTGTTTGCACTTGCCCACGCCCCTGTAACCATAACCAAGAAACAAGAACTAGTGTCGACAAACACAAACATTGCGCACTTGCCCGCGCACGAAAGATCTTGCAAACAAGACAGACAACAAGGGAAAATATGCTGTCACTTCCGACTCCGTCCCTCTATCAGGCTTCAAAATGCTTCGCCACGCATGGAGTCATGAGCCACTTGGACCCGAACCAGTCTCCGTCCAAGAGCAAACCTTGGTCGACACTTACAAGCCAGGATTTTGTCAATAGGGTGCGTTCAAAAGCAAACTCGATACCTCCGTCCCACACTCACCCACTCCCCCCGGTTCAGACGGGCTTGGTATTCTCCCACGACTATTTATTCGGCATGAATTCGCCCACTAGACCGCATTTGTCGCTTACTTACACCACTTCCAGGCCGACCTCATCGTGCCTCAGGAGGCTTACGATGCCATCCACGCAAAGCTGGTCGAGGGAAGACGAGCGCCCGAGTTCAAGCGCGTTGTCATGTCCCTCCACGACATTCTCACTAGCGAGTTTTTTGTCGAGTACATCAAGAAAGGTTAGCAGACCTTAAGTTGTTTTAAGTGTTTCACGTTTCACTAACTCAAAATTAGGAGACATACTCATGCTTTCCGAAGGGCAGCGAGGCATCGACAATGTATTCTCGCTCCGGACTGGTACGGCTTTGCCTCAATGCACCGTTCAGTTCTCGTTGGCTGACCAGCCATCTAGGGATCTTAACCATGTTCCTGGACAAGGAAGCATATGAGCGAGCTGGCTTGGTTGGGAAGCCTCACGGAGTCAAAGGGAGACGTGGTTTAAAGCCCCGCTGGAGTGAGTCGATTCGTGCAATTCAGAGTGTAAAAGAACCTGTGTTAACAGTTCTCAGTTGTGCAGCTTGACTTGACAAACCCTTCCATGTCCCGGGGCCATAAAGGGTTCGACAGGCTTGTTTATGCAAGCAAGAACGCTCTCAACGCTTCAACCGTGTGGCTATTCTGCGATATGGCCTCTACAAGTACACTTCCGCTTGCACCTTGACAGTTTACATTTTACTGACACCATCCTAGCTCCTGACCCAGATCCCCTGTCTCAACACTTTCCTTCTGGGTATACGTGCAACCCAAGAGTTATGCGAGACGTTTCTGTCATCATACCCCCTCTCAGCCCCAAGCTTGATTCCACAATACTGGGGCCCAGAGAGGACTTCGAGAGCTTCGCTACCGAAATCTATGAGTGGCTATCTCTCGCACGGCTTCAAAGCCCCAGAATCCAGCTTGGAGACCAGGTCGATCCATATCTATGTCGATACCAAGTTCCGGGGCCCGGTGAGCAGGGCTCCAAAATCTGCAAAATCAGTTGGCAAGGTTTCCTTTCGCCATCATGGGCCCGAGAGATTCTCGTCGACGTCATATCTGCTCTCCCTTCCAAGACGTGGTTCTCCTTTAGCACGACAACCTTTTCGAAGGGCATGGCTGGGGACAATTCCGAGTGTACCATTCTTCGGCCACCGGGGTCGCCAGGGGAGTATATTATGTGGGAGGTCAAGGCTCATGAATGAAGGTTTGGCCTTCAGAAATGCTATTCCTGTCTTGTCCGAACACTTCTCTCCTCGCTCAGTCCTTCTCTAGTGATGGCATCTTCGACCAGCCGGCGCAAGTCGGCCTGGCCTTCAGGTGTCTCGAGGTCTGTCCTCGCGGCAAGCTCCTCTATTCTTCTGCGGAATTCCGGGTCAGGCTGCTGCTCCCCTGTCTCCGCCTCGTTCATGGTGCCAACAGTAATCTTTAGTCCGTCGGGGGCAGGTGGGAGTTCCATGCCCGAAGACGAGTCGCCATTTGTGCTGCCATTGGGCTTTGCGGACTCGGCGCCAACCCCAGACAGGTATTGGGCCAACTCTGGCCACTCCCCTTCGGCCTCGATCTTTTCTCTCGCCGTCACGCCTTCGTCGTTTTTTAGCCCCGCGTTGAGCCCTAACTCCTCGACCAAGATGCGAGCCGCATCGACGCTTTCTGCAACAAAAAGCGCCGTCTCGCCATCCTCGTCTCTAAGGTCAACTGGGACGTTGAAATCGCGAACCAGGCTTCGTATAAGGTCGAGGTGGCTGTAGCTTGTAGCTGCATGTACGAGAGAGTAGCCGTGTTCGTCTTGGCCCGAGGCAAGCGAAGGGTTTTCTTGAAGTAACGTGACGAGCGCTTGAGGGTTGTCGGCCGCAAGAAGATAGGGGTTTTGCGACATTTTGGAGTTATCAAGAACAGTTGCTAAGCTCCAATTAAGTAAGAACAAGCACCTTTTGGTCTGGCAACGAGTTATGTTGTCGCAAAAAGGCCAATGCCGAGGGTTGGAGGAAAAGCCTGTGACAAAATTTTGGCGGGGCACTTCCAGTGAGGGGTATGAAAAATCGCGGGGTAGGTATGCACCTTGCTGGCACATACTTAGGGCTTCCGAGTCCCGTCATTGTGCTGAGGTTAACACCGTACCGAGTACTTGACCTGCTAGGTGTGGGCTTGGAAGGCACCTCAAAATTATCGCAGCCTAAACGCCGTCATATGCTGTGATAAAAAGAAAAACAGCTATATTTAAGGAACCTGGTGCAACTTTATTGGTCGAACCTCTTCAATTTCTGCCGTGGATGAAGACTCGAGGCGGTGCAATTGTTAGTTCACAGAGGCCCCTCCATGTGCCCATGTCAGCCTCGTCTTACTTCATCCGTTCAACCCAACCAGGATCATACATATGTGACTGTTCGGCGAGCGATTGAGGACGTTTAACACCCCGGCTCAAGTCCTCAACATGCACACTGCAGGCATAATTTGGTAAAGTTGTTCGTCGCTTGAGCCTGCTGTGCAGACCAGCGTAGGTAGTTGACTCATCTCGGCGGCTGCCCCTGGCCCCACAAAAGTCTGCCAGCTTGCTTGGCACAAAGTGCCTGCCTTAGGTTGCCTGCGATTCCATTGTCCTCAAATGTGGTGTCTGGTTAAACGGAAAACGCATTCCATCCAAAGACAAAGATTCTTTAAATACCGACCAGGGAACCTGGGAATCTCAGTTTTCTCCCCGCTTCAACACACCAAGACTCTCAAAGCAGCGTCTCCTGCGACACCTCGGACTGGCCTGCAATCGCGACCACACCCTTGGGCTCGCTGTCTTCACACCACTTGTACGCTTCACACATCTACGGATACTAGGGCCATCATGGAGAACGCCCAAACTGGTGAAAACGCGCCTCAAACCCCCAATATGGAGAACGAGCTTTTGCTCAAGTACACGGCGTCGACGGATTTTGCCAAGGATGCTCCCGGCATTGAGGTTCCCTATGTCAGCCAAGATGTCCAAGAGGTTGCTGCTCTCGTCCGCGTCCTCGATGACAACAGCAAGAAGAAGAAGGGCGGGGTCAGTATAAAGAAGGCCAGATACGATGTGGCGGGCTCCCCGGATGGGATTCAAGTCGACTCTTGGCGCTTCCAGGACTGGGACTACAAGAAGCGAGATCTTCCCACATATGCCCGTGGTCTGTTCACCACGAGAACTAAGCACGGTGTGCCTGAGATTGTGACTCGCGGGTACGACAAGTTCTTCAACGTGGACGAGGTCTACGAGACAAAATGGGCAAATATCGAAACACACACTAAAGGCCCTTACGAGTTAACCTTGAAGGAGAATGGCTGCATCATATTCGTCAGTGGCCTCGAGGACGACACTCTCCTCGTCTGCAGCAAGCACTCAACTGGAGAACGGGGTGACGTCGAAAAGAGCCACGCCAGCGCTGGCGAGCTACGGTTAGAGAGACAGCTGCAGCGCATCGGAAAGACAAAGCAAGACCTGGCACGGGAACTGAGGAAGCGCAACGCGACCGCCGTCGCGGAACTTTGCGACGACTCGTTTGAGGAGCACATTCTAGCCTACACCCCCGAAAAGGCCGGTCTGTACTTGCATGGCATCAACATCAACATCCCCGAGTTCATGACCTATCCTTCTGCTCTTGTTCAGAAGTTCGCCGACGACTGGGGTTTCATCAAGACCGGCTTGATTGTTATCGACGATATCAACGAGGTCAAGGCTCTCCTCGAGGCCGTTGCGGAGAGCGGAGCACACGACGGCCGGGACGTTGAAGGATTTGTCATTCGTTGCAAGAGGACACAAAATCCGGCTACGAACGTATACCAGGACTGGTTCTTCAAGTACAAGTTTGAAGAGCCGTACTTGATGTACCGACAATGGCGAGAGTGCACAAAGGCCCTCATTGCAGGCAAGCCACCAAGGTACAAGAAGCATGCCAAAATAACGGAAGAATACCTGCTGTATGCTCGGAAACGGCTGGCTGCGGATCGGAATCTAGCCAAGATGTACAACCAGAACCATGGGATCATAGCCCTCCGCAACGACTTCCTTGCATTTAAGAACCTGCAGGGAGCCGATGCCGCAAATTTCGAAGAGCTTTTCGGTAGCGGCGCTAGCACCGAGATAAAACGCGACATCATTCTTGTCCCGATTGCTACTATTGGATGCGGAAAGACAACAATTGGCGTTGCGCTTACCCACCTTTTTGGCTGGGGTCACATTCAGAACGACAACATAACCGGCCCAAAGCGGCCTCCACGTTTCACAAAGGCTGTCTTGGACGAGCTTGAAGAGTTGCCTGCGGCGTATGCCGACCGAAACAATGCCCAAAAGCACGAGCGGAAGCAGCTGATTACGGATGTCAAGGTGCAGCACGCGTCTGCAAAGCTCGTTGCACTTCACTTTGTCCACAAAAACATGGACAAAATTCGTCGTGTCACCAAGGAACGGGTCCTTGAGCGCGGTGACAACCACCAGACTATCCAGGCCGCCTCTGACATGAACAAAGTGGTGGGTATCATGGAGGGCTTCATCCAACGCTTTGAGCCTTGCGACACGTCGAGGGAGCCCGACGCTGGCTTTGATGCAGTTATTGACCTGGACCCAGCGGCGGGAAGCAGGGAAAATCTGGAAACCGTCGTCAAAGAGCTGCATCGCCTCTACCCAAACTTCTTGACCACGGTTCCTCCTGCTGAAGAGTTGGATGAGGCGATCAAGGCCGCTCTCGAAGGATATAAACCCGTCCTGCGCCACAACATTCCAGACCGGACTCCTCGGAACAAGAACCAGCAGCCCGTTCAGCAGCAGCCAAAGAAGAAGAAGCCGCTCGAGTACATATCGGTCGATGTTCCAGCCAAGGACGTCTTGGACGCTCTGGAAAAGACCTTCGCTACTAACAGCCCCGAGCAGACACGCTTCTTCAAACTTCTCCAGGGCACGCGACGCATACAGCCAAAGTTCCATGTGACGCTTCTGCACCGCACAAGCTCGAAGGAGCACCCGGAGTTGTGGGACCGGTACAAGCGCTGCCATGAAGTGGAAGGTGCCGCTGCAGTGAATGGCAAACTTGGCAAAATGGAGGTCCTCTTGGAGCGTGTCGTCTTCGATGACCGCGTCATGGCCATTGTAGTTCGCCTTGTCCCGAGCCCGGAGGATGCCAACATCAACAGTAACACAGCGGAGCCTCCGAAGCCCAAGTGGGAGTGTGCGAACCAGGTAGCGCACATCACGGTCGGCACGCGGGACGATTCGATCAAGCCAAAGGAAAGCAACGACTTACTTGCGCGGTGGTTGGAGAAGGGCAGCGGAGCGGCAACTGGGATTAACGAGTTTGGTGTTGAAGGCAAGCCGCTTTTGGACGGCACTGTCCAGGCAGTGCTATCGCGATAGGATGACGAAGAGCACTTGCTCGAGGGTCTTGACGATTCTACAGACCGCGGTGGCTCCTCGGGCACTAGCGGTCACGCTGGTCGAGGAGGCCGAGGGGGTCGCCATACCTAGAGAGGAGGAAGAAAAATAAGTCACCGCACATAGGGCCATAGATACGTCACAATAGTTTAGTAGGCCCAGAATGAGCGTTGATGTGGGTTCTAAAAGTAGGCGTTTATATTTTCACGGCGTTGGACCAACACTGCTCTCGTCTTATTGGGACCACAAATGGTCTTGTCCACCATCAGCGGACATAACTTCACAAGACAATGTATCTATAGTTAGATGATTTGGTGACACATTAAATCGTGACCTATATGATTTAGTACCCGTTCAACTATTTGGCTTTTTGCTGTACCGCAGCAAATGCTTGGGTTGAACTTTAATGTGTACGTGGTGATAGGTATGAGCCATTCCACTTTTGTGATAAATCTTATTGTGGAAGTCCCTCTTTGGAGCAGACGAAATATAATTTAGTACATCTAACACACCAGCTCCAGTCATGATACGCTCGAACCGGTGATATTGAAGGAGCAGCACATTAGTCACTAAAGCTGTTCGTGACATCTACAAAGTTTGCCCATTGTCTTGCGGCCTCCCCACTCTTGATGGCCCATCGCGCTCTCCTGACTCCCTCCTTCCAGCGACCTCCTCCAGGCCCACGCTCTTGGATGACTGCTCCATCATCGCCGTGGCCCATGTTGCTACTGTCAGCCTCACAGATCCCCGATATGACGAACAGCGCAGCCGTGTTTATGAGCACAAAATGCAGAATGGGGTCATCGTCGGGCAACTGGCCGTTCAGAATCCGAGTAAGAATCGCGGCGTTCTCGGTGGGCTCCTTCCCCGGCGAGACAGTTGAGAGCGGGTGAGCGGGCAGGCCGAAGTCGCTGGGATGCAGTAGGAAGTGCTCTACGGCCGTCCCTTGCGGGCTGGACGGATCCAGGCTCAGTCGCCAGCAGAGCGTGGGCCCGGCACAGCTGATCTCGTCGAGCTCCTCGTCGCCGCACACCACCATGGCCTTGCGTGCTCCAATCAGCTGGAGGGCGTTGGCGAACACGGGCCCCAAGTCCTTGCGCGCCACGCCAATCATGCGGGCCTCGAACAACGTCGTCGGAGCTGCCGAGTCGCTACTAGCCTTGGTGTCGGGGAAGTCCACTGGGTTTGCGAGCGGGCCGACGAGGTTGAAGACGGTCCGCCAGGGCAGCTGCTTCCGGATGGGAGCTACATGTTTCATGCCCGGGTGGAAGATGGGGGCAAAGAGAAAGGCATAGTTGGTCTCGGAGTAGACCTTGGCGATGGTGTCTGGCCGGACCCGCGATATTTGCGGGGCGCGGGGCTGCATGCAGTTGAGCAAGTCTGCGGACCCCGACTTGGAGGTCGAGGCCTTGTTGCCATGCTTGGAGATCAACAGCAGACTCGAGGCGAGGATGGACGACGTAGTGCTGATGTTGAAGGTGTTGTGCGAATCGCCTCCAGTCCCAACAATATCACACTTACAGCAATTTCATGTTAGTTGAGATGGAAGCCGAAGGGGGCCACGCGTACGGACCCCAGGAGGAAGTTGCAAGAGCACCTACTAGCCCACCGTCATAGGCGCCCTCCCTCCTGCCGCGCTTCTCAACGACGGAGCGGAGAGCTAAGGCGTCCACCTGGGCGGCGGCCTTGAGCATCGTCGTCGCAGTCCTGGCCAGGACGTCGGCCTGCCGGTCGAGGCCGGTGAAGTGCAGACACATGAGCAGAGATCCCGCTTGGACTTCGGACACCTGGTTCGTGAAGAAATACGAAATGGCCTCGGCAATCTCGTCTGCCGTTACGGGCTTGGGGTGGCCCAGGGGCCAGAGCCGAGTGAGCAAAGGCTTGAGGTCGACCTTGGACGAGTCGCCGCCTCCCGTCGCCGCCAGAGTGGCCTGCTGCTTCGCCATTGCCTCCAAAATGACCAGAAATCAATCTCAAATAGTAGTTGATCTTGCAGGCTCGTCAAGAAATACCAATTGGTCGGCAACAGCTTTCTTGGACCAATGGCGAAACAAGCAATTCCCGGGCTTGACTCATCTTGAACGTGTTCTTTTTGTCTTCACAATGCCCGCCCCGCGATCGCTGACAGAACCCCCCCACCACACACATTGCCTCCAACCAAACAGTGAACAGGGGTCCCGGAAACGGCAGAACACAGGCGGTGAGCTTTAGCGCGGATTCATCCGAAGCTCTGTAGGTGGTCAGTGCTCCAATGCGACAGGCAATCCATTGGGAATTTGGCGGCGCCAAATTTTTGGTGCTTGCCGGGTTCGCGACTTTGCGACCAGTCCGTCCCAAGAACGAGATTTGTCTTCGAGCCAGGTAATTATCCGCCAACGACAGCTGCTTAGCTCTCAATTAGGCCAAAGCACAACTGACCGTATTGAATAAGCAGCAGGATGCCTCCAAGACTACGATGCCCGGCCGCTTGCAGGTTTAGCTCCTCTATCAGCCCTTCGAGGATACCCCTTCGGTCCGCCGCTCTCCTATGGTCGTCTGCACCCAAAGCGTCGACCCCGGCGAGACGGCACGCGAGCTCCCAGGCTGCCTTGCCCAATCTGCTAAGACTCCCGGATGGCTACGTGCCGCCCACAAAGCCGCCCACTGCTCGTCCGTCGGATACGAGAAAGGCCCAGCTGCTCCGCACCTATACCTCCCTCCTCCGGTCGACGCCGCTGATACTCCTCTTCCAACACAACAACCTCACGGCGGTGGAGTGGGCAGCAGTACGGCGAGAGCTGAATGTCGCCCTCTCCAAGGTCCCGGTCTCCTCCGGGGATGGAGACGACGTCGCCTCCAATATCCACCTCAGCGTGATAAGGACGCGCATCTTCGATGTTGCCTTGAAGCTCGTCGAGTTCTACGATCCCTCCACGGTTGGCCCGACGGAAACAACAACCGCGAGGGGCGCCAAGACGGCGGCCGTGTACAACCACGACCTCTCCAAGTCGGCATTCGATGCCGTCAAGGCCGTCACGAGCGGCGAGACGCCGATACCAGAGTCTTCGGCCTACGCCCAGCTCGCGCCCTTACTGGTCGGGCCAGTGAGCATTCTCACCTTCCCCTCCGTGTCGCCGACTCACTTGGCTGCTGCTCTGAGCATTCTCTCCCCAAGCCCCCCGGCGTTCCCTGCGCCGACCAGAAGGAAGAGCCCGGGCTACTACGACCCCATCGCACAGAGTGGCCTGCAGAAGCTGATGCTGATTGGTGGACGAGTCGAGGGCAAGGTCTTTGACATTGACGGGGTGAAATGGATTGGCGGCATCGAGGGCGGTCTCGAGGGCCTGCGCGCCCAGCTCGTTGCCATGCTGCAGAGCGCTGGGCTTGGACTTACGGCTGCTTTGGAAGGCGCTGGCAAGAGCCTGTGGCTTACGATGGAGAGCCGGAGGTCTGTGCTGGAAGAGGCTGAGAAAGGCCCGGCTGAGGAGGCTCCGGCAGCGGGAACCCCAACAGCGGACGCCCCAGCAGAGGGCGAGAAGAAGGAATGGAGCTGATCGGAGCGGCGAATCTCGGAATGCGGATTATACGGGCATCATCATGTGTCGTGACGGGCGCGCCTCGCCAGACTCAATGCTCTGGAGGACTGCTTACGTAATGTTCACGAGACATAGCCGAGCTTGTAAAAATACCATGTAAAAAGACAGATATAGAAGCTGATAACATGGCATTGGATGTTTACGACGGTTGGTAAATACAGCTGTTTCGTGCTACCGATTCCACTCTGTATGATACACCTAAAGCTTTACATGCCAGCGATGACAGGAGCTGCCAACTGGGCGTTTTGGCGTATGGTGGGCCCCGGCTGAATGGACACACCCTTGCATGCGGCTGTCTCCATCTGAAGTGCAGGCACCCGGGATACTTGAGCACTGGCTTGCGCGCGCGTCACCATCCATTTCTAACCTACGAGGCTTGACAACGTAATCATCTACCAAATGGAACAACTGCTGTCGTCAGCCAACAACTGATAATACACTGCCATTGCTGTGCCGCGTCCGTGTCTTACTAAAAAAGACTTGGTCGTTTGGTTTTCCTGGCATCAAATTTCTAGCACCCTCGTCCTAATATGGCGCGGCAAGCTTGACAATCGACTTATTCTTGCCTTATTGCTTCGCCCCACCATTGACCCGTATCCGTTGAGTCGCAACCAACCCTTTACCACATCTCGCGCAGGACAGCGGCCAGCCAGCTGCTTCATCTCTCGAGGCGCGAATCTCGAACTCCAAAGCCGCGTCAAGTGCAACCGCTTTCCTCTCCTTCAGCAAAGGAATAAATAACCCCCCAATAAAACCCGAGAGAGAGATCCCGGCCATGGACTTCGCGCCCTACCAATCCTCTCCCCCGGAGCACGGGCGCACGCTATCCCCGGTGCAGCACGACGGCCCCGCGTCGCCGCGCACCTCGTTCGACGCGCGCAGGTCCTTCTCACCCGGCTTCCAGCAGCAGCAGCGGCCGTCACAGGTGTCGCCGCCGCCTCTGCAGCACCCGCAGCCGCAGCGGGCGTGGTCAGGCGACGGGATTCGGACGTCGATCGGCGGCGGGATTGGGTTAGGCGGCGGCGGCGGCGGCGGCGGCGGAATGGGCGATTACTTCAACGCTCTGGGCGCCCGCGAGGGCATGGTGTCCGAGTTCGACACGAGCCTGGGCCTGCGCCTCGACTACGAGGCCTGTCTGGCGTACCTGGCGCTGCCGCCGCTCGGCGCCATCGTGTTGTTGATTCTGGAGCGCAAGAGCGACTACGTCCGGTATGTCTCTTCCTTCTCTCGGGATGTTCGTTGCCATTTTGGTGGGTCTCGACGGCTAACGGCTGTGTCCTTGACACGGAATTTTGTTTAGGTTTCACGCATGGCAGTCTAGCTTACTCTTCACGGCGGTGTTCGTTGTCCATCTCCTATTCTCGTGGTCGAGGTTCCTGAGCTGGGTCCTCTTCCTTGGCGACCTCGTCCTCATAGGCTGGCTGGTCATCAACGCATACAGAGACGCAGACACTCTCGACAGGTAGCTTCTGTCCTCTCGAAGAGCCCTTCCCAAAGCTTAGGAAGATTAGGCGAGCGAAGCGTAACTAACCACTCGTTCTGTTTCCAGATACGAAGTACCGATTGTTGGGCGGTTAGCAAGCAGGATATTGGACGACGAGTAAAAGAGAGGGGGTTAGCATGGACGGTTATATCTAGCCCGGGAAGGGTGGCGCAATGGGAGGCCTTATTGTCTTTTGTGTGTGTTCTTGGTACATATTATTCACATTGTAATGCGTATATCTCTCCTTTCTGGGCCGGAACATTGTTTCATTTTGGGGGGCTTGGAGGCGTTTTTTCCTGTCTTCTACATATAATATACCTGATGGAGCTCGGCTCTGTTGTTTTATCAATGGCTGAGGTGGGCTTTGGGGTCCTTGAACATGTTTTATTTTCAGAAGTTCATGGCGTCCTCTTTCGTCTTGACGCGGTTAATGGGAGTCGGCAACTTCAGTGTCACCGGGGAACTGTTGGAACTTTCACTTTATCTTCTCTTTTTCTTCTGCGGTGTCTAGGTCATTTTCATTTGAACTCAATCACCAAGCCAAGTTTCTTTGGCCGAGGCACCTAACTGACGTCAAAATTTCGAGCTGCAATAGACAAGAGCATTGGAGCTGGCAGCCTGGCCCTGGTTTTGAGCCAGCTGTCAGGCGCGGCAGAAGACAAGCTGACTTGGTTAGTCAGCCAGCCGCTCTGGCCCTCTGTCCCGATTGGGCCATTGTGGATCCCCCCTAAGGCACCGTCCCTGGTTACGTCGCGCTCTTGCCTGCAGCCCAGCTCCTGAGCTTCCTCCAACTGCAATTTCTCATCCACCGCTGTGATCTGACAGCCTTCCGGCCCAGCACTCCAGCAAACCAGCCAGCGCATATACCTACGCGAACTGCACACCAGCCCACTGCTTTGCCACATCTTCGCCCGCACACCCTTAAACGCGGTTTAATTAATTCGATCCAGAGCACCGAGGCCGCGCATCATGTCGACCCTCGAGGACCTCGACGATCTCGATCGCCGCGACCGTGAGGACAAGAAGCAGGGAGATGGCGACGCCGAGATGAAGGATGCGGAGCCGGAGGAAGAGGACGTCCTGGACGACGAGATTCTGAGCCTCAGCACCCAAGACATTCTGACCCGCCGGCGCCTCCTCGAGAACGACTCCAGAATCATGAAGAGCGAGTATCAGCGGCTTTCCCACGAGAGGGCGACCATGGCCGAAAAGATCAAGGAGAATATGGAGAGGATCGCCAACAATCGGTAAGTACCGAGCCCGGCCTGCCTGCCAACGCAGAGCGTTTGCTGACATGCTTGTCTTGATCTGCACAGCCACCTACCCTACCTTGTTGGAAACGTCGTCGAGCTTCTGGATCTCGACCCCACCGCCGAGTCCTTGGAGGAGGGCGCCAACATTGACTTGGATGCCACACGCGTTGGGAAGTCAGCCGTAATCAAGACATCGACTCGACAAACCATCTTCCTCCCACTCATCGGCCTTGTCGACCCCGACAAGCTCAAGCCAGCGGACCTAATTGGTGTCAACAAGGATTCGTACCTCATCCTGGATACACTTCCAGCCGAGTATGATAGCCGAGTGAAGGCGATGGAGGTTGACGAGAAGCCAACCGAGAAGTACAGCGATGTTGGCGGGCTTGATAAGCAGATTGAGGAGCTTATCGAGGCTATTGTGTGGCCCATGAAGGAGGCCGATCGTTTCAAGAAGATTGGCATCAAGGCCCCCAAAGGTAGGCGCTTACCCCCTATTAGTGACTATTTACAGTTGAAGACTAACCAAGAAAAAAAGGCGCTTTGATGTATGGCCCCCCTGGAACAGGCAAGACGCTTCTCGCTAGAGCTTGCGCCGCTCAAACCGACGCCACTTTCCTCAAGCTTGCCGGCCCACAACTCGTCCAAATGTTTATTGGAGATGGTGCGAAGCTCGTAAGAGACTGCTTCGCGTTGGCAAAAGAGAAGGCGCCAGCAATCATCTTCATCGACGAGCTGGACGCCGTCGGCACAAAGCGGTTCGATAGCGAAAAGAGTGGTGATCGTGAGGTACAGAGAACAATGTTGGAGCTGCTCAACCAGCTAGACGGGTTTGCGTCGGATGACCGTATCAAGGTGCTCGCCGCCACGAACCGGGTGGACGTCCTTGATCCTGCCCTCCTGCGGTCCGGTCGTCTGGATCGCAAGATCGAATTCCCGCTCCCTAATGAGGAAGCCCGGGCACAGATTCTGAAGATCCACTCGCGGAAGATGAAGGTCGACCCCGCAGTTAACTGGGGAGAGTTAGCCCGTAGTACGGATGAGTTTGGCGGCGCCATGCTCAAGGCTGTGTGTGTCGAGGCCGGCATGATTGCCTTGCGAATGGGCAAGAACAAGATCGGCCATGAGCATTACGTCGACGCCATTTCCGAGGTACAAGCGAAGAAGAAGGATGTGAGTATTCTCCCCAAACTCCATGCATGCCTGTCATCCAGTAATGTTAACTCCGCCAAAAGACCGTCAACTTCTATGCCTGATTTGCATCAAATATGGAGACAGCGAAAACCGGGTTTGGCAATAAAGAATGGCCCATATAGAGATCAGTGTGCCGATAGATGGCGTCGGGGTTTATGTAACATTAACAGTAGTCATTCCAGGCCGATGAGCTCCAGCGCTGCTTGCCGGCCTCGCTTGTCTATTCACAAAACAAATTTCTGTGTCGATACTCTGAGATGGGTGTGTGATGGGTCTCTCTCTGAGTTCGCCTGTACTGGTTGTGCGAGCCAGCCATGAACTCTGATCAAGCATTGCGTATTTATACATATCTCGAGTCTTGCGCAAGGGTCCTTTCCTTTTCCTGCGAAGCACCACTCGCGGCCAGCCCGTCCCTATGTTCCGACCAAGTCATGGGATGCTTGTGACAACCCAAGCATTCCGTCTATTCTCTGCAAAGGTTATCGGCGGAATATGTTTCCTTTCCTTGTACGATCCAAAACTCGGCATTTTCTACCGATCCCTTGCGCGGGCTTCATAGATGAACTCCATCTCTCACCACGACTACACGGGCACCGCTTGTGGATACTTTGGAAACACCTCCGTCCTTGGGGGCGGCATGCGTGTTGTCGTAGATGGGATGCTTGAGAGTACGAACTGATTAAATTTAATGGGTAAATGGACAACAATGGGGTCCCGCCAACGTCAAGATTCAAAATTTAACATTCGAGAGAGCCTAACTACCTTAGTGTGCTTGGTTGCGGAGGTAAGGGCGGAGTTTCGTCATACGGGTCTGTGGAATGTGAAACAGAAAATGAGGTGGAGAATCGCTTATAGCCATGTAGTATCAATATATATCCAAGAAATGTGGTTTTCGAGACCTCCCTATCTACCCAATTGTCGGCCAGACAGTTCAGTCAAGAATAAACCTAGGTTAAATACCGCCACAGACGGTGCCGGCCCCTCGTTAAGCAGGGTCTATATCACACTCCCCGGGACAGGAGCATTGTCTTCTATGGCGTGTGATTTAGTGGGCATGGGTAGTGCCAATATCAGGACGGCGACTAGAGTCTAAGTCCTGGACCGTAGTCTGCCTGCCAACAACGTCATTAGTCTCCGTCATGTTCTGGCACTTGAAAGCGCTAGCAAGGTGCGAGCCAATATGTAGAAAATTTCTAGAAATTTCGTATCGCAGTAATAGGTTGCGCGCGCATAGCTAACTGTAGATTGCCTACTCAAGAAGAAAAGCGCAAACCGCCAAGTTGAAGAGAAAAAAATTTCACAGCATACATGGTGCTGCCAAGTTTGGAAAGAAAAGACAAGAAAAGAATCCCCTTTGTTTCTTCAACGACCAGCCGGACCCAATTCTCCAACGACGCAACTGAATCAATCCGCAAAAACCGTAAGTAATCAGGGCAAAAATGAGCAGAGCGCGACAAAGTCTACTCTGGCTTCCGTCCGTAGACGTAGCGGAGCGTCATGTAGCCGTGGACTCTCTTGTTCCGGATGGCCTTCCGGAACTCCATGAGGAAGATCTGGTACTCGTCCTTCGGCCACTGGAGGACGTTGTGCCACAGCATCAGGGTGTAGCCTGTGAAGACGTGTCAGTAACAATGTGGCCCTCCAGGCCCTCAAGGAGCAGATAGGCCGACTCCCGAATGGTTGTGGTTATGACGGTCCTGGGTCAAGCAGTAGGAAAAGACAGGCTGTCTCACCTTCCATGTCGTTCTCCAGCGTAGCGTGGACGATGCGCCCAACTTCGGCGAGCTTGGGGTCCAGAGCCCATCCTCCCACGGGAACCTAGAAAACTCGTGAGATTAGATTGATGCAGATTATGGCTTGGTCCGAGTCGAGTCGAGCTGAGGCTGGATGGTGACATATGGGCGGAGGGCCTACCTTGAAAGTCGCGACGTTGATGTCAGTGAAACCGGCCTCTTCCATGCTTTTCCTCTGCTGATCTGCGGCAACCACGTAGAAGGTGGTGCCCATCACTTTGCCGGCTTCTGCGAATAGCTTTCCCCATGTGGCCAAGCCAGGTACGTCATCGGTAGTTCCATCATCGCTCTTGAAGTCGACATCGATTTCACCCGACTGGAGCCAGCTGCCGGGTTGGAGGACACGATAAGCCTGCTTGAACAGGGCGGTCCAATCTTTCGTAGTGCCGAAGAGGTAGCGTATGTGCACGAAATCGAATGTATTCGGTGACCAGGTCCAGGGAAGGGTGGCATCATCGATTTCGAAAATCATATTGGGCGGGACCCAGGTCGGCTGCATGGGTGACAAGTCGGTGCCGATCACTTCGGCTCCGGGGTACATGTCGGCAAAGTCACTGGCACGGGGAGTCAGCAGTCTGGCCAAAGTAGAGCCTAGGTCAGAGAGGGTCCATACATAGCCCAGATGCCTGATGATCGTCAGTCAATGAGCATATTCTAAGTAACACCAAGGATCTGAGGTTGGATCTCACCTGTTCCAGTACCAATATCAAGGACTTTCTGAAAGTCGTTTCTATATTAGAGACCATTTCACAGTATTGGTGACGTCATGGGTGAGTTACCTTCGGGTCTTCTGAAATGGGAGCGAGGAAGAGCTTGCCATCCAAGATCACGGTGAGATAGTGGTGGCTAGCAATTGACAGTCAATTGCATGTCAATTGGATGCGTTTACAATTGACCCCGTTCTCTCGGAAACAGGGATGGGCCACGTACGTGAGATCGACAGACTCTTGCTGCCGGTCGTCATTGGGAGTAAAGTACTCGGTAGGATGCCGGGCACTGTGAAAGGTTCGGCCCTGGATAGCCCGATACTCCAGGATGCTGGACGAGATGGAGGCGGTCGAGCTTTGGCTGTTCACATATGATACTTAACGTCAGCATTCTGAACCGTGTCTGAGCTCCCGCCGGGAATTGTTTTCAAAAATTCTGTACAGAGAATTAACTCACACATCGTCACCGAGGGACGAATCGGCATCGGCATTGTCAACTTCCTCCTGTTCCATCCAATGCGGTCAGTCTGGTTGATTGATTACATATCACACCATTGTGCAATGATAATGCACTGTTCATGATTGGTTACCTCGGCATCTGGGGCCGCCTCAATGTCTGCCACTGCCGCCTCGACTACTGGCACGGGGGGATTGGTGGACGCGGTAGGCGCAGGCGCCGGCGCGGGTTCCTCGGTCGCTGCCGGTGCTGCCGGGGCTGCCGGTGCTGCCGGGGCGGCGGGCGCTGCGGGCGCCTTGGGTTGCTCGGACATTGCGAAGGCCAATTACCACCTAATATCCGTGATTCTTGGAAGCGGGAGCAGAACGGTGATCAGCCAGAGCGGACGGGGAAAGATGTGGGGAAAAAGTGATGGGAGAGGGGAAAAGAGCAATGGGCACTCAAATTCCCGGGAGCGGGGCGGGTCGGGTCGGCCGCCGCACTGACAAGTGGCAAGGGGCTGGCCAACAGGGGCTAAGAGCGGGACCGGAATCATGCAAAGCAACAAGCGACGTTATCGGATTGAGTCTAGACTAGTCGATGAAAGAGGGGTTGTGGGCTGCAGTTGGCACCACTTGCGCAGTTGGCTCTTCTTCGGACAATTCCGAAAAGAAAGCCGTTGAGATTAGGAGGGAGGTGCGAATTATTGAGCGTCAAGTTAATATATTATTTGTTAGTTTCCTCGAAAACAGCGGCTTCAACGGTAATTGCGCGTATGCAAAGCGCGATTAGCTTACTTTCTAATTGTGGGGTGATTACTTGGACTTAGTCCAGTTGCCTTGGGTGCTCAATCGGCACACTGGTGGCATTTGGTTCCGAAAGAAGGCGGAGTCGAATAACGGCTCAATAGCCCCAAAAAGAGACTCTCAGAAGACTTCCAGGAAGCTGCTGGGTTACTTGGTTGGCATCGCCAGGTTCCCCTTCTGTTTCAGGATAATCAACTTGAAGCGGGGTTTTCTCTGTTGGCACCCTCCGCCAGGCTTGAGATAATGGCGGAATCGGCCAATCAGAATTATCAGATAGCCTCAAGCTGCAAGATCGCAAGCACAAGAAAGTCAATTGGTTCCTGTATGTTGATTTTATAAACGCGCGTTGGTGCTCGTTTGCCTGAACCGGGCAGAGATTTCGCGTTAAGATGTCGGCCAACGAACTCGCCAGCACGGATTGCGTGGTGGTAATCAAGTCAGTGCAATAAACGGGAAGGTGGTACAAACCAAAATATTTACAGTCAATTGGCAGATTTCTCACTGGCCGGAATAAGCGGAAGGAACAACCAACTATCCGATCACAAATGAAAGAGCCGCCCACCAACCGCTCAGGTAAAAGGCAAGAACGACCAGTGGGATCTCTCCCCGCGCTTTGAAGCCCCGCTTTGTGATACCGAAGCTGCAGGCAATGGCGGTCCGGGCGTCTCAAACGTCCTCAAGACATGGTACTAGTATCTAAGGCAGTAAGGCAGCGTGCCAGAGGTGAAAGTTGGCTGGCTGCCAGTTTACATGCCTTGATTAATTTCGTACAAAAGGTTTGTAAAGGAGGCAATAGTAGGTAATGACTTAGTCACAACGCGCACGGAAATGGGGGGATTGAGTGAGGGAGGTTGCACCGAGCAAGAGTTAGTTTGAGCCGGGGACAGTGGACTGTGCTGTGGTTGCTGTGAGGCTGTGAGCTGACCGGAATCCTGCCGAGCATCTCTGCAGGTTTATGAGGTACCTTTCAAGTTGTATTGCGGGCAGGAGATCACGTGCGGTAGTAAAAGGTGGGAAACTGTTGGAATCACCAGGTACCGGTACTGGAAGCAACAGGGCGTAACTACACGCCGAAAAACTAGTGGTTCAAGTGATGGATTCGTTTATGTCTGTGTGTATCTAGAAGACAGAGGGTGGAAGTGGCCTACGGCTACTTATATAGAATCTGTGGCCCTGTGCCACCACAGCCACCTTCGTGGATGACCCTCCGTGGCTGACTAGCGCGTCATTCCAACAGAAACCGAGGGTAAACCATCCAAACTAAGAAGCCAAGTTTAATGAGATTGTAACGCCTATCATGTATGGTTGTATCCGAGACCCAGCGCCCTCAATATGCCCCCGAGTTTATGCTGCCGTGTTTCCTGTTCTTGTCCCGAGTTCGTTCCGTCGTCGCCGCCTTCTAGTCGCATTCCCCCTGGACTCTTGGGAAGAGATTCGAAGAATTGAATATTATACACACACACCATGGAGTCATCGGTTCATGCGGCTCCTCTGTTTGAGACAGTCAGCATTCAAACCACATGAGCATCCAATGCATCTCACAAGCCCTTATCTGCTGGTTTCCGAGTTCCCCTTCCATCACACAGCCCTCGACATTATACCCGGAGCACACAGTCGTGATATTTGTGCAGAAGCCATTTTCAGGCCTGTCGTCGACCGACTTGCTTCAATATGAATATTGAGAGGCTTCGGCGTCTTGGGAAAGGGAATCGCCCAAAAGTTAGCAAGGCACAGGATTCAAGGCACGCCATCTCAGCCGGGACTACTCACATGAATAAGACGGTTCCGGGGATGGTGTGTCATATAGCAAGTCCTCGACAAGTTCTTCTGTTGAAAATGCATGGTCAGCACGCACCCATCTCCCATAGTCAACGGCGTGAACAACCTACCCTGTTCATACATCTGGTCTTCGGGCTTTATCATGCCTTTCTTCAGCGCTCTCTTCTCAAACCGGGTTATGTCCTTTGGGTCCACGGTTCGCCCTCGCAGGATGAAGCGTGTCTGCTTGGGGGGGTTCTCGGCCTCCCTCAGTCGTTTCGTCTTGATCATGGCCATGTACTCGGATGCCTTGATATACTTGGTGTCGAGATTCCATTTTTTGAGTTGGGTCTTGTACTGCTTCTCACTTTGAAAAGGGAGTCAACTTGGCAAGTCGGAACAGAGGGTGAGACTGAGGCCACCGGGGTGGGACGACTCACGTTGCTTTGAAGCGATGGACCACTTGCATCTCCGTCATGACGTCCTTGAGCTTCATCTCGTTGTAGAGATGGGCGATGAGGTCCCGGTACGGCTCCCAGTCCTCTGGCTTAGTGGGCCGGAACATGGGCAGCTCGGAGCGGTGGGAAGGGCGGGCCTGTTGGTAGTAGTCAGACATGACGGCGTTGGGGGGGAGTGGTTCGAGGTGGTGAGCACGCTTGATCTGCAAAGAGGGAGCTCCCGCGGTTGCGTTGGTGCGGAATTATAAGAATAGAAGCCAGTAGTGAGCTCGATGCAACACAAGCATGGGAAGAATACGGGAACATCCCGAACATTTAAAGATTCGCGGCTGATGAAACGCGCCACACCCAACAGCTAGGCTTGGGAAGAAATGCTGCAGCTCTCTGGCCCAGAATCCATCGACATTGGACATTGGATCTCACAGGATCCAACTCAGATGTTGCTGGCATCCGATGTCCAGGGGGGTAGGGGGGTGTGGAACTGGGTTGTGGGTGCCATCAGCAACCCAGCTGGGCCGCTTGGGATACGCATGGGAAGACAAGAAGCTATCAGATTAAGGAGTGGAGGGAAGGCGGGGATTCTTTCGCGCATTAGTGTCACTCTTGCCATCATCCCCTTCCCTCCCTTTCCTTCCCTTCGCTCCCCTCCCCTCCACTCCCCTCCACTCCCTTCCCTCCATCCTATCTAAAAGTAAGTCCCCTGCAGTGCAGTAATGGAGACTGGGACGGACGGGGACGGGGACGGGTTGGCTGCGCGGTGGGACCGACCGTCCAGGCCAGCGGTACCCGTGGCCGCGGGTCGCTGTGACTGCCTGGCCTTTGTCGGCTGATTGGCGTTGCACAAGTGCCATGCGTCGAGAAAGACAGGTGGAAAACCCACCCTAAAGGCGAGGTTGGAGGGGGGAGAGGGAAGGAGGAAAACGCGGCGGATGTGTAAAAAAAACGAAAAAGAAAAAAATAAACCCCCGAGAGCAAGCGGGTCTCGAAATCTCGGTCAGACACTCGCAAAATCTCGGCGCGGGCACCCGTTGGTGCCATGACGGTGGCGTCGGATGCGAGGCGGGCAAAATTGGATGTGGATATCGCAGAGGCAATCTTCCCGGTTCCGGCTGGCTCCCACTTCTACGCCCCTTCAACCTCATCCATCCATGTCGCACACGCGACGGGGTTTTTCTGGGGTTTGCCAGGTCCTCCGAATTCCAACCTGGGCGGCGTGCCTTCCATGTGTGTGGGGTCCGCGACTTGCCCAAGTTCAGTCATCATCACATTGGTGACATTCAACGTGCCCGAGGCGTCAACACTGTCCGCAGCGACTCCCCGAACAGTCCTCCTGCATCAGGCAACCAACACACTGACCTTGCACGAGGCTGCATGAGTGCAACCCTGGGTCCGCGCCGGCAAGAGGCACCTGCATGGGACTTTTCCAATTGGGACATTTTGGAGTGGCACACCACTGTAAGAGGTACCTGGAAGGCGACATACGTTCACTTTCTTAGGTGGGTGGTTCCTGCCCTGGGGACGGGGACCCAACACGGCGGGGTCGTCGTGAAATTTCCCGGCGTGGAAGAACTGAAGAAGCAACCTAAGAGCTAAGAGCACAGACGAACCGTAATCCGTACGTATTCCCGCCGTACGAATCGACGTACGCGTGCGCCTCTCTGAAGTTTCCATTCTGCGGCGTCGCCTTCCATGGCGCCTTCTCTTGCGTCTCGGGGGCGGCGGCGGGAACAGCAGGACAATGGGAGCTGCCAGTTTTGGTTAAAGCCTACCTCTTACCTATTGCTCATCTGAGCCTGCACATAAGGCATATGTAATGTGCAGTACGTAAAAGCACAAACCACCTCCACTACCTGGCGATAAACTGGATTCCATTGCCCGCTAGGTTTATGAGAGCCCAGACCGACAAGAACACTGACGTTATTTCTAGCTGCAATGCATGCTGCATCAGGCATTTGGCTTTGGTGCCGTGTGGTGCGCCGCGTGCCTCCAGGCTGCCGGAATTAGCAACACCTCAGCTTCTCGACTGACTTCTATGTTGGACAATATTGACCGCCCAACGCCGCCAAGTAAGCCGTGGCCCAGGCAGCCAGAATCGCTGGAAATTGCAGCAAACATCATCTCTGCTCCTGCCAGAGAGAGCGCGGAAGCTTTGGCTCGGAAATTGGAGGCATCCAAACCCGGGAGCTGGGCCGGTGGATCCCGACCCTCCTCGTCGGCAGGCAGCTCCGTCGTTGACGGTTGACGCGCTCCCTTGCGCTTCACGCCCCGAACACGACCCGCTGGATGGTGACCTAGGCGGTGCCGCTGTGCGTGCCTCTCGCTTCTCGCTTAATGGGAGACGAGCTTACCCAATTTTGGATGCCTTGCGATTGCGACGAGGCACAGCCGCCACGACAGGACGCCATCTCCGACCAGCGGCGCGCAACGAGCCTGTCACCTGCCGATCCAGCAAAAGAGGCGGCTGCATGCGGAGAGAAATCCCAAGTCGCATTCCGGAATATTACCCACCCCCCATCCCAAGGATGGCGGCCGACCGACTTCCAGAAGACCTAATTACGCACGGACTTCATGCTTTTGACTAGCCTTGAGAGTCTTTCGTGTCACGCCAGCCATTCCATTGCATCCTGCCTGACTGGACGTTTGCGATAATTTCAATGGGCTGAAGACGAATGATGCTCTGAGAATCAGCCACAGCAGGCAACCTCTGCGCTCAATTGGTTTGGACGTATTACTGCACATGTTCCAGAATTATTATTGGTAACACTCAGGACTCGGCGGCACCGTAACGCCAAGCCGGCGCCCGACCCGGCAACCCTTGAATTCTGCCCGAAATTCAGTCGGCGAGCCGTTTTCCAATGCTGCACAAGTTCCTATTTTCCAAATCGCAGCACCTGCGATGCATGCAGATAGATGTGGGAGCAACGGCGTTGGCGGGACGGTTTTCCCGGTGCTGCTGCATGTCTTACGATTCAAACTCGGGCCGAGCTCCACCAGCACTGCACGTCACCAAGTCTATTTCGCCGGACCTGAGAAGTCGACAGCCGTTGACTCCTGAATAGCATCTATTTGCGCGCCTCGCCGTCTTTGCTGCTTGATCACACCGTTGGCCGCACAGTTAGCCCTTGAAAGCTTGTTTCTCACCCATAATAGGAAGCTTGATTTACTTTGTTGTTCCTAGCAACTTCGAATCTCAAATCAACTTCGTCCGAGCAGGAGGTCGCAGACACGCGAGATCTCGATCAGCGGGCTTCAAGGCCATTGTGGGACATGCTGGGAAACAGGCAACCGAGGGCTGTTTGGGCATTGCGGCACCTACCTGCTGCGAGGTCTTTGTGTCAGCGGCAAACACGCCGACAGCATCAGCACCCTTGCGGGTTAATGGCATTAAGGGACGGACAGACGACTAAGACTGATGATGAATATGCAGGAACTTCGTCCACACTTTAAGTGCTTAGCAAATTCTCATTCATGCTCGTTCTAGGTCTTACACCAGCCGCTTTCCATGACACCGACCATGGATGGTTGTCAGCATCAAAGAGCACTTTTGTCGAGATTTTCCCGCTCTCCAGGTCCCTGATTACTCGACAAGATGTTTCTCCCAAGGCATCCACCTCGGTCGTAAACGTCGCATGTTATTGGGTCCGTCTTGGACATGTCGCCCAAAGGAGAAAATGGCAGTTGGGATATCAGATCAGACTCCGCCACATTTCATTTCCGACATTGCTCGCAATGCTTTGAGTCCCAGGCAGCCACTTCTCAATTTCGACATAATTTTCCAATCGGACAACTGTCCCGAAACTCGCACCGGGAACCCGCGCCTGGACCGAGGCCACCCTCCAGAGTCATGCCATGGACGGGCCACGGCACATCCGCACTTGAGCAATCCGCACTTGAGCAGACCTCGCAATCGGGCTCGGGTTGGTTTGCCCCCCCCCCCCCCCCCTCAAAGAAAAGGACCAGGCAGTTCCAATAAGTGCCAGGCAGTTCTGGAAAGGACCAGGCAGTTGCAAATTGGACCGCGCAGCGAGACGACCAAGCAAGAAATAAATTCAATGAGACGGGCAGCCAATCACACGGACGGAATAGGAGGCTTGCTTGTAAATATCTCGGCCCTCGCGTCGTGGAGTCACCACGCCAATGCATGGTCATCCCTCGTTTCTCTGCCGATATGCGTGGTACCATACGCGTCCGTTGACAATTGCCAAGGGAAAATCCCGGCTGCCGGCTTGTGTCACAGGGTCTCGGTATCGAGGCTGGCTGCCCTCAAGCTTTGCATGCCGAGAACATGAGGTATCAATCTAACAACAGGCGACCTAGTTTGTGATTTCGATGTTGAGGAAGCAGGGGCAATATACCAGGGCTCCGAGAGCCCAGTCGATTTTACCAACACAGCTGCCCTTACCCAACACACAAGGATTACGGCAGCCAATAAGCCGCCAAGGGTGCGAGGAGTGCCAAATACGGAAATCAATCTTCATTGATTAGCTAGACTAGGACCTTGGTAAGTAACAAGCCAACGCGCACGCACCAAGCGCAATGGTAGAGAGCAGTTGATAAATGACAAAGTGCATTTGCTCTCCAACGTCATGGCCCGGCAGGCAAAGCGAAGCCGGGGCCTTTTGGCCCCTGGATACTTGGAGATAGTTATGCAAACCCCGGAATTCGTTCAATGTGAATAAGGCGAACAGGAGCTTCCTGAAGCGCAATCCTTCGTGTCATAGCTTTGGGAAGGCTCGGCACTAGCAACTAACGGCGGCACAGCACAGCCGCATGGGTAGCCATACGTCGGTATGGTATGGAATTTGGAACCCGGCCCTTTATCACCATAGTTCATCCGTGCCTCGAGTTTATCGGTTGGGGGACCCGGTTGGCCCCCTCACAAGCGCCTCAGCCGCGCATCCGCACCCCCGTCGTTTGCCCCATCCCATGGGATGCAAAAGTCGTCGATTGGGCCACGCACCCCATCCATGTGATCTTCTGTCAGTTTTCCTCACCTTCTATTTTCTGAGCGCTTAGGCCTCTGCTTCCTTTGGGCCTCTCTGCCCCTGGTCCTTTCATCCTTGCTCCGCTTTTGAATTTATCGGAGACAGCGGCCCAGCCAGACCGTTACCCGCCGCCGACGGGGATTTCCGGCCAAAAAAAGACAAGATTGCTAGGGCCAAAACTCCCCTAGCCTCGCCACAAAAAATGGGGAGGACGCGTCACGTTGTCCAAGGTTTCGGGGCCGATATAAACTTGGCGTCCCACCCTTTGGCCCGCCGCCCCGTCCCCGAGCCAGATGGAAGACCCCCCACCCAGGTCCCATCCCAAAGCCCCTTGTGCTACATAGCGCTGTCAGGGTGGCACACAGGATGACGATGATAATAAGCTTAAAGAAGATAAAAGTCTCGGGTAACACGGCCGGGATTGTCTCGGAGGGAGCTTGTTGGGGCTAATTGATGCGGGCGGGCGCTTGTTTGCGATTTGGCACTTGCCTCTCACAGTCTCACTGCACCCTGGGCCCTGGCCGCGGGCACAAACAAGCTAAGGGCTAAGGGTGTTGTGTGTTGTGAGACTGAAGGTGATTGGTTGGTTGGCTGTATGGACTTTGTGTCCGGGGCTGCAAACCCATGTGCGGTCCTTTCTCGCCTGCAGCTATGGGCCGGCGAAAGATTTGGTGTGATCAACGGCATCCGAACATCCCCAATGAGGGTCTCACATTGAAGGGGCACAAGAAAAGATTGGGGGTGTGCCATGACACTATTTCCTCGACGCGGGTACACGACAGGCACCTCGTGATATCCTTTACCAATATATAACCCATCCTGCCACATACTCCTATCAGAGAATGACGAGACTGGGAACCCGAGTTCATGCAAGGGAGGAAATGGAGACCGGCCAACGCGCCAGGCTGCTGTGTTCGAAATGGGGGAGGCCTGGGAAGAGACGTTGCAGTGCTGGCTTGCATTTCAACACACAGTCACACATCGGTCAACCACGACTCGTTGCTCGCCCAAACAAGACACGACCGCAGCACGAAGCCCGTGGCTGCCAGCGCGATAAAACTTGGGGGGAACACCGCTGGTACATCTCGCAAGCCAGGCCGGCTTCTAGAAACCCGACCGAGAAGAGGCTGTGCTAGTGTAATTGCCTCATGTATGTATGCACAAGCAAGTAGGTACGTACGGCATGTGCGCGCGGAATCAAAAAGTACCGCAAAATTGATTTGTCACAAAAGGGGAAGAAGAAAGGAAAATCTAAAACAAAACGTCACCTTCCTATTTTCCCACCCACCCGTCGCCCGCCGCCCGACGCCACCAGCGTGTCTCGTGCATACCTGGCGGTGTCCAATTGCGACGGGAACTTTTGACGTCAAGGTCACAACCTCCAACGCAAGGGGCGGGCCCAAAAATAAAGAGAGAGTGTGAGAGAGAAGGGAAGCAAAATGTTCAGGGTTCGTTTTGCACGGGCGCGCACCGTATGACGCCTGGTTGAGGCCAATGGGGAGAAACAGCACCTGTTCCCTCGAGGAGACATACTATCTGGTATGATCATGCCCTCGGTATTGAGTTCTGGGGAATTGCCTGCCGCCGCCAACAGCCCCACAGAAAGGAAAAGGAGTGCGCTCCGCGGCTCTCAAGGGCCCTTGAACCAAGCCACTGGAATCATGAAAAAAAAGGAAATGTGATTTGTTAGATTACGCCTAACCAGGGTGGAGACCGCCTTGCAATCCTCCGTTTCACACCCTCGTAGGTAGTCGATCGATCGGGTCGGGTGGTGAAAGACGGCCTCGAGCTGAAAGCAGGGCCACATTGCCCGCAAACGGGACCGAAACGACCTCCGTCCTTGCCGCGGCAACCATGATGTAACTACATCACATCTGTTTTTGCCACTGAGAGAGACCGGACAAAAGGAGGGGGCAGTGTGGAGGATGGGGGAACTTTTGCGGCTCAGTAATAATGAGTCAACGAGTACGCGCGTCTAATTAGTTCCAGATGCCCTGGCACTTGGGGCTACCTACCTGTCTTGGAAACGAAAGATGTCGATGACGGAGGAGAAGAAGCGGGAAGGGAGTTTCCAGAACAACACAGCCAAGGCCGGGCAAGCAAAAAAGTTAGCGAACCAAGGCTTGATGGCCGGTCGAAAAACCGGCGTTAAGATGAAAAGTCCGATTGTCATTTTGTGGCTTTCACCATCCCTGGATCCGCGGGTAGTAAGGCATCCACACCTTTCTTTCTGGTTCCTGAACCAGTTGCTTGCTGGGGCATTGGAACAGGGCCCTGGCAGTTCTTTCACGCACCATTTCTTGATTCAGGTACTTATGAGCCCTGACCTTTATGTTATGAGGAATCAGTGATTTTTCGAGAGGCCTTCAGGTTGCCTAAACCGGTGTATTAAAAGAGAAATAAGCATGCAGGTATCCGGTTGAAGCAGGCAACTAGACACGTAGGAAGCTAGTAGAGCATCCACACGGCCGTGCTCTGTACCACGGCCACCTAATCATTTCTAACGAATCAACATTCAAGTAGCCTCGTCTGAGTTCTAGACACTATATTCGAAAAACAAAGCCCTACAAATAATACTGTAGTCAACGGTCAACCTCAAGACCCTCCCTCCTAATTAGAGAGCGGACAGCCGAAGGAATAGCACAGAGGATCAGGCAAATGGAAAGATTCGCCCTCCACAGTTCATAGTTGCCAGGCTTCGACTCTCACAGTACCGAGTAGCTTGCCAGGTGTCGGCTCACGTCTACAGAGGATTATTAATCCCCCATATAAGTCCTAAAGACCACTGACTTCTTACAATGTAGGAGATACCTAGCTTTTCAACCAGGCAGCTGGCGTGTCAAGCTTAACTGATTTCAGAACGCGGCGTTCTGAACCCCGCACGAGGGAAGGCGACTGTTACTTCTTGATTCAGCCTCGGTAGTTAAACTAGCCAAGGATCCGCCTAGGCTTTTCGCCTCACAGTGTGGTGATATTTGTGATTGATCACAAAAGAGAAACGCCTAACCCCGAGTAGAAAGAAGAGGAAGAAGAAAAAGAGACAACCAAAGAACAAATCGAGTGGGAAGGACCACATGCCCCCCGCAAGTGCTCCAAGCCACACCCATGGTCACCCACTCACTCCTACTTTTGGCCGCGGCTTAGATACATACCTAGGTAGGGGCCTCGGCAGGTCGGTAGCTGAGAAAATCAAGGAACAACAGGACTGTGAATTAATTACCACGCCGTTCCCGCGGGATTTGACGCTACCTACCCTACCAACCTAGATCTAACCCGGTAGGTAGATACACGAGACCAGGATCGTCAGACAGCCAACCAATTAGCATCCCCAATTTTATTAACATTCTCTTGCTTATTTCAGAGGATTCGCAGATTCGCACCTATTTAGGCACCTACATAGGTAGTCTACCCGTAAAGGAATTCTATTAGCGTCCGATGGTGGTTAATTAAAATTGAAGTCGTTTTAGCCTCGGCTCACTTTCTGCTTGCTGCGGCTTAGCCTACGCTTATTATTTGTATTGTAGGTCGTTGACTTTACGCGACTGTTTAGGAATACGAATGTCGGGCTTTACTCTTTAATAATATAAAAGAAGGCTACATAAGTAAGACTTTGTTCTCATCTACCCGGATAATAGTAAAATGTCACGCGCATTCACAGGGCAACGGAAATGAAGCATTTGATGCAGGGAGGTAAGGCTTGAATTGTCTGAAAAGGTCTAATCTTTTGTTTCTTTTGGCAGGGCCAAAAGTCTCTTTTTTATAGTTATGAATAGTGGCAAAAGCTGGTGGCAAAGAATCACATAGCAGCTTCTAGATCTTTCTTGCTCACTAATCCCAATATTGTGACATAAAAGGAAATCTCCGTGTATCTTGACTTCTTGATGTAATTAGGTGTGAGCATAGAAGGTATGATCTCGGTAAGATTATCGTGCTCATCGTAGGCTTTTTTCCCCATGACAATTCGGCTCGGTCCCTGGACCTTTCGGACTCGCTCATGATCTGGCGCTGCTAAATCCCGCAGAGAGAGGTAGACTCCGCTTACAAACCGTGCCGGGAAGTATTCCTGGTCAGGGCCGCTCAGCATGGGTTTCCCCCTGAAACCGGCACACTGGAAGCGTCGGCCCCTGCTCAGTGTTCTTTTCAAGCTCGACTAGCTCGCAGTACTAGTCGGTATTAAGTCGCTGGACCTGATCCGCGGCCACCGTCGCAGCCTGGCTCCAACACACTATCGGACGCAGCTTCTCTCTTCCTCGACGTCGAGTGGCATAGAAGGTCATTGAGGTGATTGGCGCTGTTTTTCAAGACTCGAAGAGCGAAGTTGAGCCAAATAAATTATAGTAATTAGATGCTCTCGCGTTCTAGAGGCGCCCCAACTTTATCTATCTCCAGCTTGGCCAAACGACGGCAAAGCTTTGATTTCACCAAAACCGTCAGCTCAGGAGCTACTTATCTTGAAGGCACAATCTACTAGCAGCTGAGCAAGAAGGATATAGACAAGAAATCTATACAAATCCCGCCTAAGGCTGCTTCCAAGGGTTAGTCAGAGGTAACGCTGGACGGCAGCGCGAAGGGCGAACTAGAAAGGGAGGCGCCTCCGGGGAAGTTCGGCTTTGTAGTCTGGTTTTATAAGTGAATTGCACCTCCGGGTTGGTGTTGATGGTAAGCCCAGGACGTCCCGCACATTCCCACGGTTGAGCTGAATGAATTCAATTACTGATCACTTACCAGATGCCCTATTACCTACATTGAGAGACAGATAAAAACCGCAAGGCATTCTGGCGCACCATCAGAACAGAAAACTCAAAGCACCTCATACGGGCCAAGGAGTGGGCGGAGCATGACCCGGACGGCCGATACGAATCCGGCAACCCGCATAATGCCGGTGCCAGTCGCCTAAGCCTTATGTCACAATATTGGGATTAGTGAGCAAGAAAGATCTAGAAGCTGCTATGTGATTCTTCGCCACCAGCTTTTGCCACTATTCATAACTATAAAAAAGAGACTTTTGGCCCTGCCAAAGGAAACAAGAGATTAGACCTTTTCAGACAATTCAAGCCTTACCTCCCTGCATCAAATGCTTCATTTCCGTTGCCCTGTGAATGCGCGTGACACCTTAAGCCCGGGGCGCCGGACGAAAGCGACGGCTGGACGCGTTTCAAAAGGAATCATACGGCCGGGTAAGGCGGTTACAGGCCTGTTTAGACGAGCTCCAAGCGATCCAAACAACGGCAACGGGAACGTCTCAGGCGGTCAGCCCCCACACACTTTTGACGAATTGGGTCTAACCTCCTTTAACAACTGACTTAAGCACCACAGATTGATAGCCTCGTAGCCTTCAAGAAGCAGCAGATCTCAGTGCTCCAGACCTAGCAGTCGGTCCAGCAAGGAAAAGAGGCCGTGAAGCAGGGGAAAGCCCTTCCCATTTTCGCCTTTTTCACCGTTCTAATTGTAAGCGGATTTTCCCATACTACTACCACCTATATTTACTAATTAATTATCAACGACCACCTAATTACTGACACAAACTGTCTGCCCTGATTGTTTGCGACCTTTCAAGTTACCCCTCAGCTTCACGACGAGCATCTTCGGGATAAAGGCGCGGAATTCTGAAGACGGGCTCTGGACGGTCGCCGAGGAGCTCAGGATCATCAGTAGCTGTGCTCGTTTTCTTCGCACATCCAACGAAACCATAACCAAGTTTCGCAAAACAACATGGAAAGCCTCTCTTGTGACTGACACACCCCTTAATTAGTCCCTGTCTCCATGGTGGTCATGATTGCAACTCTCCAACTCACCTGCTTCGACTTCGTACGAGAGCTGTTCGTTTCCGCTCTCGACTATGTCTTCACTTGGATTGTCGTAAGAACTGGCTTTTACCAGCCGTGGCTGGCTAATTCTCACATGTTTAACACCGAAACTATCAAGGCCTGGCGCAAAGAGCCCGAGCCAGTCAGTCTACCGGTCAATTGCAAGGCGGTTGCGGGCGCCTTGCGCGTCCGCCATGGACGCCACGGACCTCAGAGATCTGAGAGCTGCTACGCACGAAGGGGGCTACCCATGCTGCGCGCCATCTGGGTGTCTGCCCAGATGGCAGGAGCTGACAGAGTTGGGCAACTGCTGATATGAAGAACGAGCTGAAAAGCGCCTGGCGCCGGAGGCGGGCGATGGAGGAGCAGGAGCGGAGACGGAGAGAAGAGGAGCCAACGAAACCAGAGGTGTAGGGAGTCTCTCTCATATTACCTCGGATTGGTATAACTAGCGGCTACCAACATTCGGAAAAAGGAAGCTAAACGAGATTAATTAGCTCGAGCGCAAACAAATGTCACCCAATTTTCTAATACGGATCCGAATAAGCACATGTAATTTCACGGCGACAATCAAGGTAAACTTTTTTGTAAGAGAACTCCAATCTAATTAACAAGACTACTTCTCCGACTAACTGAAAACGCAGTGCTGATTGCCTGCCCACCTGTAGTTGCATAGCAACGGTGAGCCTTCCAACTTAACCCCCGTAGTCATACCTCCCGAAAAAGCCAACCACATTCATTCCTTAGTTGGCGGCAAGGCGCCGCAACGCCATCTGATCGTGAATAGTCATGTCGTATTATACACTTTGACAGTCTTCCTGGCCTGGTAACCTGAAATAATGTCCTGGTCGGCGAAGAGGGAAATCCGGATTTAGAGTTCTTTGTGCACCTTCTGCTTCTGGGCCTGCTTCTGGGCGGCACCAGCTCCGATGCTAAGCTGCTCCATGATCCAGTTCCAGCCCGACTTCACGTTCTCTCCGAGGACAGCAAAGACAGTCTGGGTGGGTGTCGAAGTGCCGTACTTGAAGTATGTCCACTGCCGGCGTGCGAGGGCACGAAGCTCATTGAGGGTCGATCCTTGGGGTACAGGCTACAGGCCCATATGTTAGCATATCTGGGTGAGTTGATCTGCGCGAGCGGCAACTTACAATTCCATAGCTGTCCAGATAAGACTTGAGCTCGCTCTCGCTCCACGAGTCGAAAGTGCTAGCCTTGACATTGTCGGTGGCCTGTGATAGATAGCTGGTTACTGAGGCATAAGACGAACCACCAGCCGACGACGCCGAGGCATAAGCTGACTGGGCAGCCTCAACAAGCTCCTCGCGGGTGGCACCGGCCTTCTCGCTAGCCTTCTCGGCGGCAGCATTGCCGCTGGACGCCAGGTATGACTTCAAGTTGTCGTACGTAAAGTCGTCGTAGGTCCAGGCGCTCCAGCCCGATGCTGCCTTGTGAGAATGCTTGCGCACCAGAGCACGGAGCTCGTCAACCTTTGAGGCTTGGGGTACAGGCTGCCAAGAAGTTAGAAAGGAGACTGTAAATGTCGGACCAGAGGAAACGTACAATCCCACGAGCATCCAAGTACGCCTTCAATCGTGTCTCGGACCAGGCGTTGATAGCCTTGTTAAACGCATCTTGAGCCGTTTGAACTGCGGCATCAGTAGCCTTGGCGGCATTGGATCCGATGTTCGAGGTCGCGGCACCAAAAGCCGAGGCGGCAGAAGCAGTGACGGTATCACCGAGAATCTCGGCGCGATGCTTGCGAACCAAAGCGCGGAGCTGGTTGAGCTTGGTGCCTTGGGGGACTGTATTTTGTCTTGTCAGTAAATTTTATGGACTCAACCGAGGATGAATGATGCATACCGCCAATTCCGTTCTTGTCGCAGAACTCCTTGAGTTGAGATTCACCCCAGGTATCGATAAGCTTGTCAGTCAAAGTAGCATACGCCTTATGAGCGGTTTCGGAACTGCTGGCAACTTGTTCCTGGAGAGTGAGGTAGGCGAGGCGCGAGTTACGACGGACCGCTGCGATCAGTTTATCACGCTGTTGGCGTGTTAGTGTCGCCGCAAAGCGTTGTTATGAGCGGATTGCAATGGCTTACTGAGGTCGGCTGGGGCGCAGGGTATCCGTGGGAATCGAGCCATTCCTTGAGATCCGACTCTGCGGGTATGTCAGTACAAAAAACGACAAAATGACAGGGTAATGAACATGAAGAAGCGCCTACCTGACCAAGTTTCGTAGAGCCAGTCGCCGGGATACGCGGCAGTCTCGCCAGCCTTCTGAGCTACTGTCTCGTAAGCACCACGTGCTTTCGCGAGGAGGGTGTCACGCTTGCGGGGCTGGGGGACTGGGATGCCGTGGTGGTCGCAGAATGCCTTGAGTTGGCTGTCGGTCCACGTGTCCAAGATCCAGTCCTTGACGTTGGACCAGGCGCTCTGGGCCTTGTCCTCAGACTCGTACCAATAGTTCTGGACCTGGGCGACCAGAGAATCCTTGTTCGCCTCGGCCGCCTGCTTCGTCTCGATGCCCTTTTGCTTCAGGTACTCGTTGAGCTTGGCCGCGTCCCAAGTCTTGTACGGCGTGACGGCGTACGTGTCCCAGTTCTTCTCGACCAGCTTCTCGAGATCCTTGCGGTCGGAAGGAGTCGGGTACGGCACGTCGTGGTCCGAGAGCCATCGCTCGAGCTCCGTCTCGTGCCACTTATTGTATGCTGCCGTGTGAGTTTTAGCACAGGGTCTGGGATCGCTGTTGACGACAAAAAGCTTACCTGCATTGGAGAACCAAGAGCTGCCGATGGCAGCATCGGCCACAAGGGCCAAGGGGAGGAGGGCTTTCAGGATCCTCATCTCGTGTGTCGCAGAAGCAGCGGGGCTCTCTAGTTTGGTGATTTCCTGTGTTGAATTGTCGCGCGAATGCGGTCGTGTGCAGGTCTGTTTGGGGTATCAAAGGGTGCAAGTTTGTTTGTTGGGGAGAAGAGCGGAAAAGCGAGGTGGGAAAGAGCTGTTGATAGGTAGGGTAATGGACGGTAGGGACGAATTTGGGCGGCTCAAGCTCAGTAGAGGTGCAGTGATGCGGCGTGTTCGACAAAGAGTAGCACCTGGCTGCAAATCAAGGACGTCATGCTTGCCTGTTTTGGCCTAACATCTGTTTACCTACTGGTGGCTCCAGATGGTCCTATGCCAGCTGCCGGTGCCCGCTTTCCAGGCAGACATCGGACACAATCTTGCAATTCCTTTGCACAACGCACTACCCCTTGAAATCTCCAGCTGGCAGTCACGACGGATAGTACAATATGCGGGCAAGCACATGCTTCATGTGCGCCGCCGGGGTGGAGGAAAGCCTCCTTAACTTGTACCTTGTGACGTAATGCCGGCATCCACAGGGCCAAGCCAGGCGGGAGCGACAGCGACCAGCGACGGTTCTAGATCATTCCTAGTTCAGCCATTGGCCTCCAAACCCCTCATTGGAAGAGCACCGCCTCTCGTTTGGTAGGGCCATGCATCATCCTTTGCAAATCTTTTTGTTTGGATCGCATCATGAGGTGGAGGGTTTCGCACGACGCGGGGATGACGTCACTGGACAGGGGTAGCTCGGACCCACTGGAAACTGTCACCGCAGCCCACCAGCCAATCGTGTTTGGCAGATCTGGGGAAGGGAAAAATGCCAATCCCACGAACGAACCGAACTGATGGCGATATAAACCTAGATGATTGATTTGATGCTGATTTTGGCATCTAGGATGTTGAAACAAAGATATATGCACCAGCTGGATCCATTAACGACATGAGCGTGGGGGTTGTGACGATTCGGTACCTTAAGGAGCAGGCAGCTGTTGTACATTCGATAAATTGACATCATTCCTCCATCGGTGAGCCACATGTGGGCCCGTCAAACACCGGGAATCGGGCATGAAATATATTAAACGATGGTCAAGGCTAGAATAGTACGCGAACGCCTAATATCTCCAGAACTCTATTACCTAAGATGCCTATTAATTAATTACAATCTTAAATTCGGAGGCTTGATTAGTCCAATAGGTAGTTATACGGTACAGTGTAATTACACTATAAACAATAACGTATGAGAAGAAGATAATTCAGAAAGTATTAGCTCGCGTCTGAAAACCCCCCATCCATGACCCGAACCCTGCAAACCAAAACCCATCCACCTACTAATTACTGCTACCAACCCAAAGGCGGCACACGTAGTATTTACTAAAATAACTAAATGTTAAACTAATCATACCTTCATGAAATACCAACAGCCACCACCGGAAGAGCGGGCACCATCATCTCAAACCGCTTCAAAAGCGCAGCCGGCCGCTTGCAAGTCAGGACACCGGGAGCGAAGCCCAACCGGTCCGCCCAGCGGCGGACAGCCTCCTCGGACAGGTTCCGCTCGTCTCCCCAAATCGTCCTGACCCTCTTCCATCGCTTCTCCACCTCCCCCCCGCGGCTATCGTCAGGGTCACTGTGGGGGACCTCGGGATTCTCCCCCTCGTCGAGTTTCGTCTCGGCGTTTTTCGGTTGTGGTTCCGGTGCCCACGCGCCGTTGACCGTCTCCTTGGCAAAGAATTTGGCCGACTGGACGGTCTCCTTGGTGTCGTGGACGAGGTTGAACTTGGGAATGACATCGTCGGAGAGGTGCGGCGGGGGCGGCGCGACGGTGAGACCCATGACGAGGGGGATCGTTGAACTGTTGTTGCCCTTGGGCTTTCCTTTGTCGACGGCCTCTCACCGAGAAGAGCGCCGATGTTGTTTCCTTGTATCGAGGGGTCCACGTTGTCGTCGTCTAATTATGGAAGGGTTTGTTAATTAATTAGATGGCGGAGCTGTGATATTGAAAACAAAGTGGAAAGTGGAAGTTGAAGGCGCGAACTTACATTTCCCCCACAATGAAAACGGCACGTCCTTGATGATGGGCTTGACCTCCCATATCCCCTCTGCGTCGTCGTCGTCGTCGTCGTCGTCGTCGTCACCGTTGTTCTCGGTACAACGGAAGGGCCCCCTTCTCTTGGTTTTGGGTTTCATGCGGCGGAGCTGAACTGAAGTGTCCGACTGGAGGACACGCACGGTGATATCGACTGCCATGGTGCTTTTCAACTGCATTGGGAGAGCGTGGATGTTGTTGTACTCCGTCTTTTCGAGCCTTGTCATCGTCTGCTTCTCTACCACCCTGTCCCGCCGCTTGTCCTGCAGCGTGCCCTTGCTGGACGGGAACGCTGTTGTGACGGTGAAGGAAAAGGGGCCCGGCTGCACCAACCACACCTCCTTTTCCTGTTTATTCTTTCCATCATCATCGCCGTTTGGCGCTCGAGCGACCCGACGTTGGCCTGGAACCTGGTGGGGTGATTCACGACCCTTGATCTTGGTCTGGGGGGCCAGGCCAGAGGCGCAGTTGAACAAGAACGGTTTATCCCCGTTCCCGGCCTTTGCTTCCAAGAATGCATCGTCTTTGGCGCCCCGGAGCGCCACCCAACACTCAGCATCATCGTCGGCAGACTCGTCGCTACTACCCGCCGCATCTAGCCCTGACAAGAAGGTGGTCGCCACCGACGTTGCCGCCGTCGCCCCCGACTTCAGCGCGGCCTGCCGAAACTGTTCAAACGTCCTCGCTTGGGGCCTGGGCGTCATGCTTCCACCAAAGTGTATGTCAAACCCAAACACCCAGAAGTCGACGTGGACCATGCCGGCCAAGGGCGGGCCGGTCATGGCGAGCGTCGCGGCGATCTCGACCGAGATGCGCATCGTCACGAACCACAGGTCCATGGAATAGCGGACGCCGACGCTCACGCCGCCCGTCGCGGCGAAGAAGAAGGGCTCGAAGTTGATGAGCATGTCCAGGAACGCGTCGAACCACGCGTACAGCGCGCCGAGCGACAGCGCCGCCGACAGCTTGCCGCCGGCCATGCACACGCGCGGCGTGACGGCGAAGTAGGCCTCGCCGGCGATGCGCAGCGACGACCCCAGCGACCAGCTAATGCCCAGCCGCGGCGGGTTGGGGTACGCCCGCAGCTAGTTGAAGGCCTGGTGGAAGCCGCCGATGGTCAGCACTCAGTCGCCCGGCTGGCCGCGGGTCCCGTCGTCGTCGCCACTAGGGGAATAGGGCACGGCGGGGCCGAACCACGCGTAGAGTGCCATGCCGCCCGTCAGGTGGCAGCTGGGGTCGAGGATGAAGCTCCGGGGCGAGAGCTGCGCGTCTAGCTTGAAGGTGCCGGCGCGCATGTCGAGCGTGCACGCGATGCCGAGCTCGGCGTGGGCGAACTTGACGGGGGAGTGCAGGCTCGGCACGTCGCAGACGGCCACGCCGTACAGCCCGAGCTGGAGGTACGGGTTGAGCTGGACGACCGCGACGGCGTCGACGCTGAGCATCTGGAAGGCGGTGGCCTTGAACCCCGCGGCGAACCAGAACGAGTCCTCGCGCGGGGAGAACCACGGAGCGGCCGCCTGGCCGTCGCCACCGGCTGGCGGCGGCTTCAGGAGAGCCATGAGAGATTGGATCGGCGACGAGCCGGGAGAGCCGGTGCCCGAGGGCGCAATGAGCGGAAATGAGAGAACTGTCTCTGCTGTCGGCAGACGCATCTCGGTGTTGATCCCCACGCCCCCGGTGAGGCCGGAAATGTCGGCGAATCCGACCGAGAAAAGCGGACCTTCGACGCGGAAGATGACGAAAAACATGGTAAATGTCTGGATGGGGGGCTCATCGGTGTCATCGGCTAGAGCAGCGAGCTCGTGGTCCTGGTCGAGGTCGTGGTCGTCGTCGTCGTCGTCGTCGTGGATGAAGTTGCTATCTTCGTCGGCCAACTCGTAAACACGACCAGGCGTCATCAAGCGCGGGGCCTTTCCTGTGAGTGCCAGGCGCCGGCGTTCCTGAAGCAATACAAAGGCGTGCATCTTGGAGGGGTCCTTGGGGACCTTGGCGTACACCCCCACGGCTTGGATCATCCACGGCTTGAACCTGACGATGAGCCCTCCGGCGTAGCACTCGATGCCGTCGACCCGCGAGTGCGTGAAGCCCCCCGCCACCGTTACCGGCGGGCTGTCGAACGACACCGCCATGCCCTGCAGCGAGGCCTTCAGGTCAGAGATGGGTATGCCGCCGCTGTCGTCGCCTTGGTCGTCATCGTCATCGTCTTTGGTCCCGTTGTCGGGCTTCTCCGGGTCAGGGGCTTTCGGTGTCTTCCCGAGCCTCACACTGAGCCCAAAGCCGATCAGGGCCAGCCCGATGGGTCCCATGAGGAACGTGGCATCGAGCACAATGCCTAGACGCTGGGCCTTGAAGTCAAATTGCAGCCCGATGTTCTCGATATGCAGCGGGCCTACGGAGATCTTGAACGGGGCTTTTGACGTCTTTATCCCCGACAGCCTGGGGATCTCTGGGCGGCAATAGCTCCCCGTCCTGTGCGTGCGGGCCCTTTGATAGAGCCGCACCCGAATCGGGGACAGCCTTGGGCTTTGACGCGCGGGGCCGTGCAAAGACGTAATCCAGCACGGCCGTCTCTCGACCCTCGGCGTCCATGACGATGATCATGAAATGGGAGCCCGCCTCGAGAACAACTTCCGTGTCGCCGATGTCGTCGGCATTGCTCTTGGAAGGCTTGAAGAACAGCCTGTCCCGGTCGCTGGTCAACTTGTCCGAAAGAGCGAAGAGCTCCCCCTTTGCCACGCCTGCCTTAGTTCCGGGCACGGCACCTCCTCCCGCGCTACTGGACAAAGGTCAGGCTGACGGCGGCAATGTGCACCGACCCCGAGAGCACGACCATCTCGGTCGAGTTGCCGTCCTTGTCCGGAGGCCCGTCCATCCTGTAGCACACGAAGCGCACCAGGTCCGACAAGTCGCCTGGCTGGCTGACGGTGATATCCCGCACGGCCAGCGGCAGTTCCGGCACCGACCCGCCCATCAGGCCCTCGAGGAGAGCGCCCAAAGTGACGCGTCCCGCGTCCGTGTCCTGGTCTTTTGTGTCCAGGCTGGCGACAAAGTCCCATCTGCCGTCGGCGTGGTGCTGGAAAGCCAGGTTCAGCTGCAGCCCGCCGAGCGAGATGCCGCCCGTGAACTCGAACTCGCTGCCGCTTGCTTCTCCGCTCTGCGATTTGCTGTACTTGTATTTGAGGGTGAGGTAGTTGATTTCCAGGTGGCCCAGCAGCGTCAGTAGGCTGTCGCGAAGCTTGTCGTCGAAGAAGGCGGCGAGATGCTGCCCTGTCAGGTTCGTGACCTCGGCGCTGAGCTGCCAGTGGCCGTCCGCCCCGCTCACGTACTCCAGCTGGCCTCGTAGCTTGGCGGGGAGGGCGGTTTCCGGCGCGTCGTCGTCGTGCTCTATCTCGTTGGGGTCTGGCCGGTCGTTTGGGTTTGCGGCGCCGGGATAGAGCATGACAACGACCTCGAGAGATAATTGAAACGGGGCGGGAGCATGATCTTTCAGCCACGAGCATCCCGCGGACATCCACACGCGGTCGAGCCGGATACAGGGGGCCGTGCCCTTGGTTGGTTCGCCGCATACGAGCTCGCCGGTGACGGACATTCCCTCGCCGGTGACTTTGATTTCGGCGAGCGAGATGACGGTCGGGATGCCCTTCGGCGGAGGGGTTTCCAAGCCGACCAGGGTCCGAAGGTCGACGTTCTCGAGCGGCGTTTTCCCGTCGCCGAGAACGGGGCGTATGTCGGACTCGGGCTCATACGAGGGAAGCGCTCTGGTGAAAGAGCCCGGGGGCTCGGGGCGCGGGCACCACAGGCTGCCTCGGAGCGAGGTGATTAGCTGGGGTCCCTAGACAAACATGATGAAGAAGACGAGGGGCTGGTCTTTTTTGGTCTCGTCCTTTGGTTTGCCAACCGTGACTTCGACCTGGAGGTCCAGCGAGACGCTTGTGATTCTTATCGGGGCCCCGTTGGGGGAACAGGAAAGGGTCATCTCAAAGGACCGGGGGCGGATGGCGTCGAGGAGTTTGCCGCTGGTCCCGGCATCGATCCATTTCTTCCCTTCAAAGTCGTCTTCCCCGATGCCAAAGGCCTTCACAATCCATGAAAAGAGTGTCTTGAGAACACTTTCGTTTGGGTTGTCGTGATGGAAATGGAGCCGTAGTTCTGCTTCCCTCCCTGGAAACTCGATCAAGGTCATGTCGGCTGTAAAGAAGAAACCGCAAAGTTTCACGGCCAGCGAGCATGGAGGGCTCAACTGTCGTGGTGTCTTCCTTCATTCCGTACGACAAACAACAATCTTTTCTTGCCGCAACATAGACACGGTCGACTGAGAATTCGGGGAGGCCAGCGGCGTCGATCCAGCCGCGAAACGACTTCAACGACGCGTCGCTTGCGAGAGTGAACTCTAGCCGCAGGCTGGTAGAGTGGGACGCCCCGGCGGTGAACCAGAGCGCGTTCCGGCAGAGGGCAGTGTTGGTGCCGTCGCCGACGGGCGCCGAGGTGGCCGGAACGAGTTGGATAACATCGCCGAGCACAGCCAGCAGGATGCTCTTTCCCAAGCCAACCAGAGTGAAAACCTCCCTCAGCGTCCAGACGTTGCTTGCCGGCGTACCCGGGGAAGAAGGTTGGGCTTGCTGCTCGATACAATCTACTCGCACTACGCGCCCGACCCGGGCAATTCTCCTCGGCGGCCGGAGATGGCGAAACCAGCACACATGTCGATGGGAGCCTACTGGGCGAATCCGGAGGACTACGATAGCGCAGACGCCTATGTGCGCGCGCGCAACGACCAGCTCGACGTGTACGGGGTGCTGATGGACCCGTTTACGCCGCTGCACACCTACTCGGGCGTGCTGCCGGTGCGCGAGCTGACGCTTCCCCCGTGGACGTGGCAGGGGGCCATGGCCAAGATGAAAGCCTTCTTCCACGCGGGGCCGCTGCTGCTGACGGGCGATGTCCCCGAGATCCTTGTTCCGGGAAGAGAGCTGACCAGCGATGCCGTGGTGTTGCCTGAGATTGACGACAAGATCAAACCAATTGGCTTGCCAGCGGTGGCGAGTGGGGATTGGGCGTGGCTGCAGCCTTACGAGCCGGCCGAGGAAGAGGAAAAGCTAACGGGGGTGCACCGGGGGATAGGGCTGTCGGAGGAGGAGGCGCGGGAGCGGTTCATGCCGCTGCCGGTAAAGGCCGAAGACGAGCGGGCCAGGTTCGACGAGGGTCTGTATACGGCAGTGGAGGGATACGTCATGATGGTCGGAAGGAAGGAAGACAAATCCTGAGGTTCAGCGGGTATGTCCTGTGTTCTTGTCCTGTGTTCGTATTCTGTGTTCGTGTTCTGTGTTCGTGTTCTGTGTTCGTGTTCTGTGTTCGTGTTCTGTGTTCGTGTTCTGTGTTCGTGTTCTGTGTTCGTGTTCTTGGAACTTTCCTCGCGCCCTGATTAGAGACTTGGCACGACGTGATTTACGCGACAGGGGTTTGCGTATTATATATATGTACTTGTATTGTGCATGCCTACACGTATTTTCACATAGAACGTTTTTACCGTATCGTATCCGAAGTCCCATCTGTTCCACTCACATGGAACCGATGATCCGGTTTCAAATTCGCCCCCCCACCCACCTCCTAGTCTAGACCCAGCGCCACGCTTGCCATTGCGAGCTGAAAATGTTACAATGTCTGTCCATCGAACACAGTCTCACGCACGCACACATCACGCATCCCGAACAAGACCCCGGCAGGGCAATTCAATAATTCGAGATAGTCCTATGCAATATTAATTCGAAAAATAGTCCCAAGCAAATAATTCGAATTGGTCCCATGCAGGCATCGGCAATAATCACAGTTCGATAGCTGGGCCTCGCCCACACCGCGACCCGCTGAGAATGAGGGATCGTAACGGAAGGAAGAAATAACGAGAGCCGCAAACGCCGGCGGAAAACGGCGACAGACGCTCCCGCAAATCGATCCTGGTCCCGTTTGTGTCCCCGGGAGGACAGAAGCTGGGTTCGTGAGTCGTGGCCCAGAATCTGGCCGGAAATGTGAAATGATGTCAGGCCATGCCAGTCAGCGCCAACAGTTGGCGAAGAGGTCAGTTATGTTATGTTCATCAATGTTGGTGTTGAGTGATACCTATCGATATCTATCGCAACTGCTTCCCTGGCCATAATTACTCAGGGCACCATGCCGTCCGCCCATCGACATCTTGTGCACCGCCACATGCGGCGTCCGCTTTCCAAAAGAACACGCGACCTCCTCCCCGGCGAGGTTCGCTTTTTTCCATACTACCAGCCGTCCCTCCAAGGCGGCATACACACGGTCGAGGTCGGGCAAGAGGTCACCGTGCCGGGACAGGGCGATACCGAGAAAATCACCGGCGGAGCTCAGGACTTCAATGTCATCGCCCCGCGATTCAACTTGCCGCCAGGCGTTGTCGACTCAGTGTATCCGCCCCCTGGCACGAGCGCGCCAGTGACGATCCTCCCGCACATTGTGTTCAAAGACCCGCACTTGCCTTGGGAACAGGATGCCACGTTTGTTGATATGAAAGAGGAGCAAAACGACGTGCGCAGCCACACACCATGGCTGCTTCTTCTGACCTTCACCCCCGAGGAGCTCAAGCTGGGCCAAGACAGTCTTGCCGCCATTCTCGATGGCTTGCTGGATGTCAAGGTTAAGCAGAGCGAGACCATGGCGGTCCGAATGCAAGTCATGCAGGCGCAGTCGCTCAAGAGGGTTGTCAACGCCATCCCATACGACAAGAGGCGCGACGAGCATGACGCTGAGGGTCCCGTTGATGTAATCTTTCTCAAAAAGGACTTGTTTCTGTCCCTCTTCACCGATCCAGTGGCCAAGAATAACGTCTTGGACGTTTCCTAGTACAAGTATCTGGCCCATGTCCGCCAAGTCGCCGTCGACGGCATGGCTGGTGCCGGTGGGTCATCCGCCGCGAGCGACGACTCCGACCTATTCAGTATCGTTGTGGCACCCAGAACGAGCCCTCTGGACTCCGAGGTGCCTGTGACCAACATTGTGCATCTCGTATCCCTCAACACCGTCCCCAGCCGGGTGCTGACCCCCGAGTTGAGTTCGGACAAGGACCGCGTCGCTCTGGTCAGCCTCTACAGCTGGTCGTACACGTGTATTCCATCCGAAGGCGATGGCAGTCTGCGTGCGCGTCTCGTTCATCTGGGGAAGAACTTGACTGTACTCCAGCCGCTGATGTCGGGCCAGCCGAGGAAGGGCTCTTCCCTAGCCGGGCTCGCTGATCCCTTGGACGATATTATCGCTCGACGATAGCAAGACGGCTATACGCTGGTGAGACATCGCACCATTACCGGCGAAACCACAGCGGCGATGCTTCGCGGGCCGTTCCCGCCAAGCTTCGTGCCGCGTCTGGAGCGTGATGGATTCGCTATGCAGTCCAACTTTGGCCCCGACCTACAGATTTTGGATCCAACACTCTCCTTAATGGACATCACCTACGCCAGCGCGTGGCAGTTGGGAAAGACGCTTGCCATGGGCGACGAGGCATTCTGTGCAGCATTGACGCGCCTCCGCAACCTGATTCATGGAGACTCGCTGGGCGCCTCCAAGATCGATGTCCACGATGCACTGGGGCTGTATCGGTCTCGCGCCGACACGCTGGGTACCGTGGGAGACCTCGTCAGGGGTTTGAATGGCCTTAACGAAACACTTCATGAGGGTGGAGACGGTGCTACCGCCGTGGACAGCAACCGATGGGACTACACACACCCTACATCATTTCCTTTGGGCGGGCAGGGCACACACCGTCTTGACATCTCGATGCATTCACCGCACATATCTGCTCGTATTGCGAGCCACGCCAATGCCGCGGCCCTAGCGCAGGCCATGGCCACAGATGGAGAGCTTTACAACGAGCACAAAGTGCCAGAGAACGCCGATTTCGCGCATGTGTACTCGTGGGTCCTGGACAAGCTCCATCTCGCCAACGTTCCCGCCCATTATCTCTACCCGACACGTCTTTCCTCCCGCAAGAAACGCTGCGCCTTTTCTACCTGGGCGAGAACTGGACCGATGCACTGGTCGATGGGGCGCTGAGCCTTGCCAATCACTGGGCGTCAACACCAAAGGACGACCTTTGCCGTACCGCGATCAAGAAAGCGATCCAGAAGCGGCTTGACGAGCCCGATCCATCACTGGGTGGCTGGCACGTCCAAATGCCGCAATACGGCTTCATCTTGCGTTCACAGCTTCTCGTCAAGTTCCCGGATATTGCCGTCTCAGTCGAATACGCCGACGCTCGCACAAAGGAAGACGAGCCCCCCAAGGCGCCGATCCTCGTGCAGAAAGCACTCAGTGCCGATACCATGTACTGCCTCTTCGACTGCACCCCACCGGATCTGAAGAGCATAACCTTCACCATGCCACCGCACCAGCAGCGCTTCGCCATTGGGAGCAATATCACGGACACGGCCTTAGCCGTGGCAGTCAAGAAGGTCTATACCGAGCCAGACCCATCCAAGAGACAGGACAAGGAATACAAGACGGCGTTTCCAGGGACTTCTTTCCCCATGGACGTTGGTGAAGTCTTTGACCTCAAGTCGCGGACAATAAATGTCAAGCCGTACGTCACACACATCTTTAAGACGCTAAAGAAGAACATGGACGCCAAGGACTTCAAGGACGATGCCCCAAGTTCCACCCTTCTAGCGCTACAGTTGAACGAGTCTATTCCCGAACTGCTCATCACCTTACCGCGGATCTCACGGCCAGGGTCATCAACATCAGCAGCAGAGTCGGCTCCCGTACAGTTCCAACACTCGCAACACGTTCCGGTTCTCGCTGCCCACCACCGTCAAGCAAACCCCTCCTCCCCTTTCGCCGCTCCCTCGCAACATCTCTCGCCCGGTCAAAACCCGCATCGCCCACAGCCGTCCCCGCCCGCCCTCCCCCCGCCGCGAAGCGGCCCTCATCGCCCAACGAGCCCGCAATCTAGACGCCAACCCCGCCATCCCTCTCCCCTGCCCCCCTTCACGGCTGGCGTGCCAGCCCCAATTCATCGCCGCCGTCTACGCCTTGCGGAACCGGTCCTACATCACCACCAGCAGTCCCCTCCCCGTGGACCTCATCGTCAAGATCGTGCGGCACCCGAAAAGCGTCATCCCCATCTACGCCCTCAAGGACATCGAAGTCGAGGTTCACTAGGGCAAAATGCCGCCGATCGACTCGGGAGGACAGCGGGTGCCGTTGCTCGCGACGGGCGCGGACCCGCCGACGGCGACGATGCTCTCGAATCTGCGCTTTAATATACTACAGTATTACCCCCCAAGCGAGAGCAAGGATAAGGGGACGCTCAATTTTAAGCTTGTGCCGCGGTCCAAGGACGGGGTTACGATTGATAAATTTAAGGAGGCGAGTTTCTTGATTTCTAGGGCGCAGATTGTGCGTTACATGGGCCGCACGGAGAGGGAGTCGCAGGTAGATATCACGTTTTCGTATGTTACGGAGAATCCGAGGTTTATGCTGTCGGCTTATGCGGTGCTTAGGGCGGATTAGATTAGGTCATGAGGTGAGGGAGGGGTATATGTATGTCGTTGCGGTCCTGCGTCTTGATTAATACTCCCGCCACAAACTCAGTAATAATTAATCTTGAACTCGATTGGCTTAGATCGCATGTTGATGCCTGACGACTATACATGGAAATATCGCCTATATCCCGGAAACTCGCCCTTAATACTATAAATAGCTAGCTGCTCGGTTCCGAAGAAGGAAAGGGATATTCATGGTGCCGATTTTGGGCTAGTGAAAACGCTGTTTCAACACCCCAAAACCGACAAACTCCACTTCCAAAACCGGCCAGCTCCGCTTTTTCGACCACGTGATGATCCCTCGCCGCTTTTGCTCAGCCCAAATCAGCCCTGGCTCAGCTTCGGCTAATAGCTGCTCAACTAGCCCGGCGCGGTTTCCCAAAAAGTGCAACTCTTACCGGAGCCCCAAAAAAGGCCCTCGTGTAAGAGCAGGGGTTCAGAACTGGGACACCTGAACATACACAACTTCACAGAATTGATCTGTCCCATCGCTCCCATGAGAGTGCCTCTAATCTTTTGTATTCTACTTATCGCTAGTAGTAGTACGGGCCGCATATTTGTGAAATGCTATTAACAAATAGCCGTTATCAGCTGCCAGAGATGGAGGTCTAGTGGTTATAACTCGAGTTCCGTGATGCTAAATAGATGACAGTGAATTTTTAAGCAGCACCAGAGGGAGACCGAAGGACTTCTGGGTACAGTTCCTACATATCCTCTCCTCACCCCAGTCCAAGGGCTTACGTAGTCTTTGCCGCCATAATGGTACTATAAATGGTCTCTTCCACCTATTACAAACCACTCGACTGTTAGGGTCGTCTGTCTGTAAGGGAGCACGGGCTCCACAGGATGCTGGGGTTGGTAATTATGAAGATAGAACAAAGGGCAAGCTCCTATCGCAAGGGTAATACAGTCAAATCGGAATGCCACTCAAAGTGTATGAGTGCAGTGAATGTGTATTGCTTGCTTGGAGAACCAAGCAAGAACTATCTAAGACCGTGGCTACGGTCGTCGTATATATCTATCTAAGGCGGACCAATCAGAGCGTTGGTCCTAGGTGATCAGTGCGGTCAGTGTGCTCAGTGCGATCAGTTCCCTCACTGATCGCCCTGACCATGCTGATCATACTGACCGCCCCGTTATTGGCTGCACTTGAGCGAAGCGGGGAACTACTCCACTTCCTTGCGTCAGCCAATAGCGGGAGGCTCCGTGCAGCCTCCTGCGCGCCTGAACCAGGATCGTAACACCACCTCCATATCTCTCCCATATTTCCTTCTACACTCTTTCCAGTCGCCTCTACCATCTCTTCTTCCATTTCCTCTCATCGCTTGTCTTCTCTCGCTCCACTTCGGACATTCACAATTAGTATACTCAGGACGTTCTATACCATGAATCCCAAGCCAAAGAAAGGCAGTTCAAAGGGTATAGTGTTACGATCCTGGTTCAAAGGCGCAGAGGGCGTTGCCCGCTCGCGACAGATTGGCTGGAGCGGCATTTAGTGTGGGGCTCTCGGCAAGGCGGATACGGCCAATCAGGGAGCGCTCAGTGTGATCAGTACGCTCAGTCGGCTCAGTTGGTCTGAGAACGCACTGAGCACTCGGAGCGCACTGAGCAAGGCGGATGCGGCCAATCAGGGAGCGCTCAGTATGATCAGTACGCTCAATTGGCTCAGTTGGCCTGGGAGCGCACTGAGCGTACTGAACGCGCTGAGCATACGGGGCGAAGGCTCTGATTGGTTTTTCATAGTTCTATATAGGAGCTGGCAGGACGCTCTCTGGGAGAACGGTTCTGCAGCTATCAATGCATCTGGTTAAGCATACATTGGTTGTGTGTTGAAAGCCTGTCTTTCGCAATCTGTGCACGATACTCCTTGTCTCCCGTCATCTCCTACCTGTCGTCCAGACCCCCACAATCCTAGGCCGGGCCTAGCTCCGTGGACCTGTTGTCCAGATTGTAACAGAGCGGCTTCCATTCTCTTGCCTGCTTTGGCCTGGATGTCGGGATGTCGGGCTTTGAGGCTGGAAATCCAGTTCTTTCCTACAGGGTCTGGTTCCCCTGCAAGTTGACAGAGCTTTGTAGCTATACTAGCTACTGTTGAGTAGCTCGGTGCAAAGCCCAGTCTTTCCTGGTTGACGATCCACTCAATTAGTCGCTTTTCTTGAGGCTCTGTGAGCCTCCGTTGTTCCTGTAGAACCTCTTCTCTGGTAGGGACGCCGTTGAGCCGCCTGTTGAGCGTTGTATAGGGAACTCCATGCTTGTAAGCCGATTGACGAATAGAAAGCTTGTTGTCAGTGACGTCTAGAAACGTATTGACCATAGTATCTTCAGTATATTGAGACATCGTGGTTGTACAAGAAGTTATTCACACTCAAAGATAGGGGGGAAAAAATATAAGGAAGTGTCACAATATTGGGATTAATAGTGAGCAAGAAAGATCTAGAAGCTGCTATGTGATTCTTCGCCACCAGCTTTTGCCACTATTCATAACTATAAAAGAGAAACTTTTGGCCCTGTCAAAGGAAACAAGAGATTAGACCTTTTCAGACAATTCAAGCCTTACCTCCCTGCATCAAATGCTTCATTTCCGTTGCCCTGTGAATGCGCGTGACAGGAAGCTAATTTGGAGTCAATTTCGAGTTCATTCGCAGCGATACAGCGAAAAAAAAGTAGGGTCTTTGGGCTGAAAAATCCACATTAAAATTAAACTACATGCAATTACCTAACTGGTTCAATTCTCTACTTATGAATAGCTTCACAATTGACTACGTTGTGGTTGTTCAAATATTTGGTGTTTTGGTGTAAAAAGGTGATCCGCTGCTAGGGTGATCCGTTGGGGGGTGGGGTATGGTACTCCTATTTTATTGCGCTAGCAGACTCAGTTCGCACGTGCATCGCTAGCGTTGCGTGTGCTTGCTCTGGTGTTTTCTCCTAATCTACTTAACTCTCGACGGCAACCTGTGTCCGATCTTCGGTAGGAAGCGACCGGCCCTACATTTCTCGTAGTCGGGTAGTCGCGTTGCGGCACGCGTTAGTGGGGCTGGCGCACGGATTTTTTTTTTGGCAGGATAGTGGTCAATTAGGGGAGTTGGAGGCCTCTGTTGCCTAAGATAACGAACTCAACCTTAAGTTACAGATTATTCATATCTGCGTGTGTCTGCCTTGGCGGCACTGCCCCCGCCCCCGCCCCCGCCCCTGTCTCAATTCAAGGTCTGCGCGGGCGGCTACCTCTGATCAATAATTCGTCATTTTTTTCCTCCTCGTTAAAATGCATTTTCAGTCTCGAACCTATCGAAGCTCCTATCTCTGTTCGCCCCTACATCAGCTAATTTACTCAAGGTACCTTTCGCTTTGCTGCAGTTAGCCATTGTAACGACATGGCAGCCGAGGCTCTTGCGCTTGGTGCGAGCATCGCGGCCTTCATTCAGCTAGCTGATCGCATCACATCCCTTGCCAGGAATGTCGTCGATTCCACAGCTGATATGCCCACGACCCTGAGAATGGCACACGCTGAGACCTCCGCTCTGAAGGACGTTTTGGGTGAGCTGAAAAGAACTCATGCGACCTCTGGCGTCGAGGCCAACACTGCTCTTATGGAGGCCACCAAGAAGCCACTCGAGAACTGCCATTCATCCATGGAGAAGCTTGAGGCAGAACTGGCAAAACTATCCATATCGCCCTCTGCCGTTCGACGAGCACCCGGAAAGAGACAAAAAGTCACACAGGCTGTGAAATGGGCGGCCGGCGGCGAGGATAGGGTGAAGAAGCTTGTCTCAAACTTGGTTACCGAGAAAGCTACCCTGTCCCTCGTATTGCTATCTGATATCTCGTATGTTCATTCCGATCTTTGGTTAATAGTTTGGTGGGACTGACATACCGACAGTGAAGATGTGAAGGCTGTGAAGTCGACGACCGCCAAGGTGTATAAAAATCTTACCGGTGAGCATCCGTCCTTCGGATAATTTTCCTTGCCTTCCGTTGGTACTCCAAGCTATGTTTCAACTGACAATATGATTCAGACAAGCAGATACTCAACGTAGTAAAGTGGCTTGAGCACACTAATCCCTGCGACATCCACAACCGTTCCGGTATCCTGTACGAAGAGCGGACTGGCGAGTGGATGCTGAGGAGCAAGGAATGGAATTCCTTTGTCCGCGGCGGTAACAGATCCTTGTGGATCCACGGTATTCCCGGTGCTGGGAAAACTATCTTGATCTCGCATCTCGTCAACAAGCTACGTCTACTACACAATCGACGGACCGGGTGGGCTTACTACTACTGCTACTTCGGCCGGACCCAGGATGAAACGGAGCCATTTTTAAGGTGGATCATTTCGCAGCTCTGTCAGCAGGCTTCACACGTTCCGTCTCAGCTTCAGGGACTCTACGAAAGACGCCACCGTCCCGACATCAACACGTCTCTCGCTGTTTTAGCCCAAATTACCCAGGAATTCGATGTAGTATATGTTGTTATCGACGCAGTTGACGAAAGCAAACCGTATACTCGCCTTTTGGAAATCCTCACATCCCTCATAACCCAGCCTCGCTTTGCAAAGCTTCGACTCCTAATATCAAGTCGCCAATATCTGGACATTGAGAATGCCTTGCAACCGCACTCAGTATCGGTATCCATGTCAAACGAAGCCGTGCAGGAAGACATCCGGATCTTTGTTAGTGCAACGCTGCGATCGAACCCCAAATTTCAGTCATGGCCAGTCTCGCTTTACACGGAGACTGAGGCCGCCTTAGCCAAAGAAGCAAAGGGAATGTAGGTTCTTTCTTTTACCCCTCACGACGTATTGGAATAAAAACGTACTCACGATTGCGTATCTTAGGTTTCGTTGGGCGGTATGTCAAATCGACATTCTCGGCAGGATGAAGTCTCAGTCGGCTGTCAGAAAGGCGCTTGCAGAACTCCCCGAAACCCTGGATGCAACATATGAGAGGATCCTACATGCCATCCCAACCGAGCACCGCGAGTTTACTCGAGCAGCCCTAAGCATTCTAGCGGCTCAGAGCGATTTCGGCGACTCATGTTCGCACATGACACCACGTGTTCTCCTGAGCATGATACTCCGCACCATCCGCTTAGATATGTCGACGGATCATTTTTATGACATATCTGACATTCGGGAGATCTGCGGTTGCCTCGTCACCTTCGTGACGCAGAATAAATCTGGTTCGAACTTGAACACTATCGGCCCAGAACCACTACATAGTGGTGTGGTTTTTCTCGCGCACTACACGGTCAAGGAATTCCTGTATGCTGAACGCACAGCCCGCAGTCTCAATAGTACCGTCTCACGGTTTGCTCTCGATGAGGAGACCACAGCAATGTGTTGGGCGAAGGATATCGTGGACATTGCGAGCTCAACCAAGGCATCGGGCGACCCCATTAGTATGGATTTACTCGAGGACTACTGTCAAGGACTCGCGCCCAAACTTCTGGGAAAATGGGATAACCGTCTGGCTGCCAGCGGCTTGTCAAACCGTTGCTTTACCTTTCTCAATCCTGGCGGTGCTCATCATTTGCTTCGGATGAAGAGAATGTTGATACTGGAGTGGTCTTCTACGCCAGCGAATCATCTGATAGGAGCCCTCGCAGAATGCCTGTACCGGGGACTTTGGGCTCTCGCACGCGAAGCAACACAGATGTTGGATGCCAAGCAGATCCTCGGAGCGGCCTTATTGCTAATTGCGGATACTGGTTCCCGGCCACCAGATCGATTCCAGAGTCGGAGATCAGAAGTACTACTGGAAACGTCTCTGGTCTTATCCCTCTTCATCCGCAAACTACAACCCAAGCCCCGTCTTGAACAGCTGAAAATATTGGCTAAATCAGTTGGCTGGGACGCATTACTTTTCGCTGCCACCGCACAACACCGCTATGACAAGGAAACCGAGAAGGGCAAAACATGCGCTATAGCATTGCTGGTCGAGCTGGGGGCAAATGTAAACTCTGCATCCTGCCGGATGACCCCGTTGCAACTTGCCGCTCTCCTCTGGGACTACGATGGCGTCAAGGTCCTGCTTGAAAAGAGGGCAGACGCCAATATGACTGGATCTGCGCAAGGATATCAGCTCGCCGGATGCGATCTTGACGACGACTTGGAATACGATAGCCCGCTTAGGATTTTGAGGAATGCGGCGTTCGCTCCCCCTAGGTCGTCGATCCGTGTAAGACGGGCTGGGCAGGGCCGTGCGGCGAAGTTGAAGGTGGAGAAGTTGCTGCTGGAATCAGGAGCCAGGGATTTTACTACCAAGCTTTGATAAACTTACGCTACTGGGAGAGAAATCTATCGAGATATTAACTTGAGCTACTATAAATACTCTATTACCTAGGTGCTTAAATATGAAAGCCCACAGAAAATAGCCCTTTCCATTCCTCACCTTTTGAGAGATTTCAGGTTCAGTCTATTGTTTGTCCCGCATAGTCAGGCCGTGAGTGTTACGTAGAAAGGCGTTAATTCCTCCCCTTCCATCGCCTCCATTACGACCACCCTGACCTGCCTTACTGTTACGATCCTGGCTCAAGTCTGCAGGAGGCGCTGGAAGCCGACTGCTGATTGGGCAGCACTGGCGGGCAGGACGGGCCCCACATGAGCTCTGTGCGGCCAACCAGACGGCGCTCAGTGCGTTCGGTCACCAAGATTGGGAAGACCCACTGAGCAGGAAGAACAGCCAATTAAGGAAGTGCTCAGTTACCATTGAGAGCTCAGTCGTTCTCGAAGACTGAGCGCCCCGGAGGCACTGAGCACTGCGAGGGAGAACCTTGATTGGCTGTTCAATTAGATAAATACGATGACCGTACCCACGGTCTTAGATAGTTCTTGCTTGGTTCTTCAAGCAAGCAATACACATTCACTGCACTCATACACTTTGAGTGGCATTCCGATTTGACTGTATTACCCGTGCGATAGGAGCTTGCCCTTTGTTCTATCTTCATAATTACCAACCCCAGCATCCTGTGGAGCCCGTGCTCCCTTACCGACAGACGACCCTAACAGTCGAGTGGTTTGTAATAATTACTTACCTTATAGAAATCAGGCCCAAAGTAACAATTACTGTCTAGTCAAAGTAATAATGTTCGAATTGTCGTTGTTCCCTTAGCCTCTATCAGGGCGAAACTCTTGTACTTATCAAGGGTACATACAACTAGTTATCCTGACACATAGTGCCCTACCAGGAACACCCTATTCTACGAGACAGAGAAGGTCATAGGAGGTACATTATAAAGCTTAGCTACAGCTCCAAGGCCAAGTTTTCGGTTGTTATTTAAAGCCTCGAGGGCTAAAATAATTTTGGATTCGGCTGGGAGCGAATCTATAATATGTTAGGGGTAGGATAGGTAAAAGAGGTGGGGGAGTTGCGTTGCGTTGGAAAGTGACGACTGATTTAGTTGTACGAATTACTTGTTATGTACGTTACTAGGCATTTCAAACCTTAGGGCGTACAAATATGTAAGTGGCACGCGGCAAATAATCTAAAGCGGTAGGAGGCGCCGAGGCGGATGGATTTGAAATGGTAGCAATGAAATACTAAGGGGTGGTTGAGCGAGAGGTATGTTCAGAAACTAAGACAATGCGGCGTTCTATTTGTCATACCAGAGGAAGATAATTAATATTAGACATATAACGCTCAAAAAAAACGGAAAAGGTCTTGGGCAGAGTTTTAGGCCGTGGGATTAGAGGCACCAATTTATTGCGCTAAGGATCGCAAGATTTGGAGGCTTCTAATCAGATGGACGTGAATTAAATGGGAATCCTCTTTGTCGGTTTTGGGGAAGTATGATAGCTGTTTCACTTGCTCACACACACAAAGTACGGCCCTCCCTCTTTGTCTAGTGCTAACTATTGATCTTGCTCTAATAGAAGTAATCCTGTGATGACTAAATTTATGCGTCGATCGGAGGAGAAAGAAGTGAAGCGATCAAAAACGCTCGTTTATCAACCTAGCATGCTCTCCTGCTAAGGTAGATGACGAGTTGTCTCGTCGTGGGGAGAGTATTAGACCAGTGGTTCAGACTCAGTACCTCAGGCAGTTACGCAAGTTGTGGTTTGGTCCCACCTTGTTTGTTGTGGCTTCGTGGCTCGTTATTGAGATATTATCCGCAAAGCATCACTATTTCCTTATCGATAGCTCTATCGATGTGCATCTTAAGAAAGCCCCACACCATGCATCTTAGTACATGATCATAGCCCCAAAAAAAACACCGCCCAGCCAAATTACCGTTTTCGTACCCAAATGAGCCACACTCGCTAGGCCCCCCGTTTTCCAAACTAAAGCCACAAGTCCATGCATTTGCATCATCACTTTTTTTAAGTTGTGTTAGGTTGAAGTTGTTGATGTAGAATAGCAGTTTGCGTAGGAGTGTTTCTGGATATCAAAACTCTTCATTTATGAAATAGCAATCCATCTATTAGCCTCGGTATAGCTCTGTCGGTAGCAGCTAAGTCTCGACTTGAGACTGGCAGGATTGTACAATAATTACTTAGGTAAGGTGGGCAGGAAATCCCAACTGTATTCCCGAAACTAAGACATGATACAAAGTGACGAATCCAAAGGACATGATCAGCCAAATTCGTAAAAGAACCCACCGGCCGACCCCAAACTCTTACATCCCTGTCTCCTATATTATTGACAGAGATGATGACAGCCAGCTCCCGCCCCAGTGGAATAGAAAGACTCCAAAGTCCATCTCTGAATACTTAATCATATGTTTCCTTTGGTTTCCCCGGCAGAGAGTTGATAACTCGCGCACCTCAATTTCAAAGATTCAACTCGGCCAGGGTGACCACTAGTCTTGCCCGAGATCGAGACTCGGGACTTTCGGTCGACTGTCGAGAGATGATTGGTTAATTAAAAGACAACCTGGTTCCTAAACCCGCTCTTCGTATCCTGACCCGGGCGGTGGGTCAATGCGGTCGCACGGGTCTCGTCCTGTTGAACTCGGAAACATCTGTTGTTAGCTAGCTAATCCTTTTGTTGTTGAAAGCTTTGGCATGGCGAGGAGAGAAAAGTAACAAAAGAAGAAAAGAGAGAGATGAATGGGAATATGGGCGAAAAGTCCGACGCAACCCAAGCCAGACAAAAAAAAAACGCACCAAACTCGCAAACAACACCATACTCCTTGAACTCGCGCGAGAGCGCCATGCGCGCCGCCTCGGCTTGGCAGCGGTAGCTCCCAAAACGGAACTCGACGAGCGCGCGGTGCCCACCACTTTGGTCACCCATATCAGCGAACCCGAGATGCCGCACCTCGTCGACCTGGTACTCCATCTTCGAGCTAAAGTACGCGTGCAGCACGGGCTCGCTGACCAGCGCCGCCGGCCCGCTGATCAGCAGCACGCGCGACTTGCATCCGCCCGCGTCGGTCTCGGCCGAGCGGATGCGGTTCCACACTACGCGGCCGCTGTAGAATGGTGCGCTGGCTGTTGTTGGTAGTGTGTTAGGGTCATTGGTGGTGGGGATGGTGGTTGAGAGTGCGCCCGTGTTGCCTGGCAGGAAGCCGTCGGCGGCGAAGCGGTTGTAGAAGCGCTCTGCAAAGACCCCGGGGATGTTAGCATTTTGTTGCATCTTTAGAGGGAATGGGGAAGACAGGTAGGAAGAAAATGACGCGTAGCTCACCAGCAGCGGCGCGTTCGAAAAAGATGATCTTGGCAGCCGACGTGGCGTGGCCGCGGCTCATCTCGGGCGGGTTGATGTGGGTGGCGTAGACGCGACCCGTGTCGCGGATGGCCGCGAGAAGGTCGCGCGTGGTCAGGTCGGGCGCCAGCCCGATGACGAACAAACTACAGTTCGCGTCGGGCGGGATTGCCGCCGACCGGTTGCGCTCCAGCAGCGGGTCACCCTTGTACCGCGGCGAGAACCCCTGGATCATCATCCCCAGCGCCTCCTGACTGCTGAGCGTGTGGTGTGGCCGCAGAACCATGGGCTCGAACACGCGCGGGTTGACCGTGGTGTTGGTGGCGCTGCCAGTGGCGCTGCCAGTGGCGCTGCCAGAGGGGATGAAAGTGTTGGCAGAGGCGGTGGTAGCAGTGGTGGTCGTGGTGGCCGTGGTGGCTGTGTTGTTGTGACGAAACCGGTATTCTTCATCGCTACTGATGTCGTCTGAGCCAGCCGTTGTGTCAAAGGACGCCGTTACGCCAAAGCTTGACGAGTGGTGGTGCTGGGGGAAGACCGAGGGCTGTGAAATCATGCTATAGAGAAAGCTGGACTCCTGGCTGGATCGATTGCTGGCAGTTTCCGTGGAGGCGACATACTGCTGCGGGACGGTGGGTCTGCGGATTGGAAAGACAGGCCCTGTGCGGTTGTAGAAGGCAACCTCGGGTGTAGAAGCTTTATGGCGGCTGTTGAACAGTCGGCCCCTAGCGAAGCTGAAGCTGTTGCCCTGTTCGCTTCGGCCGGGAATGGCTGACTCGGCGCTGCTGTTGCGAGTAGCAGCCTCAGGCGCTGCGGTAGAAGTCTGATAGCGGCTGTTGAACAGTCGCTCAAGGCCAGTCAGGCTGCTGTTTTGCTCGCCTCGGCCGTTATTTCCACTTCCGAAGGATGCCGGCACCCTTGTCGCTGGCTGTGGTGTGAGCATCCAGGGTACGAGGCGGGGAGACGGGGCATTGAAGTGTTCGACGGGCGACGAGGGCGGCCCTGCTGTAGCTGTAGCCTGTCTCGCGTTGAATTGCAGGCGGCCCTCCGAGTTGAAGCTCAGCCTGCCACGCTGAAGAATCGGTGCATGAGTGCCGTGAGTCTCATGCTTCTTCTCGCTGGTCAAGCGTTCGAACAGGTTGGGCTGCTTCATTGCGGATGTGGCTGACTCTCTGTTCGGCGGAACGCGAAAAGGGTCGAATGTTGGAGGGCAGTCTCTGGCTCTCCAATCCGCCTGCTGGTTGAGAGAAGAAGGCCAGTGGTTCATGCCTCGCTTCTGCACGGCGAACATGTCTGTGCTGCTGCTGCTGCTGCCGGGCGCGTTTTGTGGGTTCGGGTGGCTGTTGTTGTTGGCGTTTCTGAGCCAAGAAGAGAATGGAACCGACAGAGGTTGAAGTGACTGCGAGCCCTCGCCGTCTTTGGCGGGCTTTGACGGCGAATGGGTGAGTCCCCGGCGCTCAGTCTCGAGCAGGCGGTGCTTTTCGCGGGTCAGGAGGTCATTTGTGTGTTGAAATTTGGCATCGTGGACATCTGAGCCGAAATTTAGCTGCGATAACTGCTTGTAATCCGAGTCGGTGAATCCCGAGAAGGCCTTTGGAGGACTGGTGGCGGGGGTGAGTTCCGTCAAGCTGCCACGCTTTCCCTCTCCGGACCCCAAGAAAGAAGGAGAAAGAGCAAAACTTGCCACGGACGAGCGAGCCGACCCCGAGTCAGATCCCGGAGACGCAAACTGCCGATTTCTCTCCATTTCAAGTTGCAAGGCGAGGCGTCAATCTGGCTCACTTCGTTTGACCTGTTGAGAATACCAAAAGCTGTTCAACGCTGGGATGGACTGGGCTGGGCTGGGCTGGGCTAAGTTAGATTTGCTGTGCGCTAGAAGCAAGTATCTTGAGAGGTGGGGTGGGGTGACGACGCTTGCACTAGTCTAGAAAAAATGTGATGTCGTCGGTGTGAGAGTACTTTATTTATGAAATTAGGCCAACAAAAGCGAAAATTTCGTGGGGTTAGAGTAATGAGGAAACAATGGGGCGCTAAGCTAGAAGAAATCAGTGTCTAAGCAGCAATGTGCACTGCCTTGGTTTCTCATGAGATGGTGAGTTGAAAGTGAAATCTACATGAGTCTAGAACGGACTCATGGACCCTTTAGTTGTCCAGACAACCGTACATCTCACTTTTGATCACTTTCTCGAAAGTCAACCATTTTGGCAAGGTTAGACAAATGACAAAACTCATTGTTAATTTTCACAGAGAGTCAGAGACAACTGTTGGGGAACGCTTTCGTTGATAGTCCTTGTTTCGGTTTCATCGTCACCCGTGGTTCACGCACGCAGGTGCGCGACAGAGGCTGCCTCAAATCGGTTGCATTGTTAATTACTGCAAGCTTTTCTTTCACTTCTGACATGTTTCTTTGAAGTGCCAGACCTTGAATCGAATCAATTTCATTCGTCCCCCATCTCACCCCATTCTAGTCTTGGGCTGGTCACTTCGGGTTGAGGCGGCGTGCTTCCCGGCGATGAATTATTATGACCCAATAATCAAGCTCAAAAGTCTGTAATGGCAACACAGGCACTGAGTATGAATTTCAAATACTGCTTTGTTTCTAATTGCTATTAAGATAGTTTAGGCTGAACTCAAAGTGAGGTGGTAATGAGCACTGCCTGATCGGGCAAGAGCTTAATCACGAGGATGCACCCGATATCTTTGACAAGGCAGCCCGGGCGGACCGTGTCTTTCCCACCCAGCAAGTTCGCCCAGAGGCACATAGTTAGTCCGGAACTCGATGAGGTACAGAGAGGAGGCGGGGAGGGGGGGGAGGGAACCTAAGCAAACAGTTTGTCAAGCAGACACTGGTCTGATACCGTCCATGTCGTAATACCGAGTCTCGTCCCGTTTCGACCACGCGGGGCTGAGCGAGTGCACCCACCTGTCGCCCGCCTCCAATCTATTTTCAGCGATTGGCGATGGACCGATGCCGTTGGGGTGGGGTCTCATCGCGTCTTTTGCCACTAGGTCGAGAGAGGACTGGACTTGACGAAAAATTACCTAGCATTGCATTCGTTCCAGGTTGGCGGGGAAATTTTTGGATGCCTTGGGTTCGAGGCAATTAATTACCAACTGGAAATTATTCAACATCTAATTTTTTTGTTCTTTTTCTTTTTCTTTTTCTTTTCTTTTTCTTTTTCTGGGATCTCTTCACGCTTTTTGGCTACGCTTGGGTGCCTAATCTTTGGTGCATCAATAGTCGATTAGATAGGCGACAGCGACCATGTCGAAACCCGCCCACGAATACGATGGGCTCGACAAGTCACGAGCTGTCGCTTCCGCGGGCGACGGCGGGGCGTTGGAGACGCCGAACTCGGACGAGTCGGATACTGTCGACTGCGTCAACGACAACACGGAGCAGCGTGGACCCCCGGGTATTGCCCTGTCAAAAGGGCGCCGCATCGCCCTTGTGGCCACAGTGACGGGAGCCAGCTTCCTCAATGTAATTGTTTACCTAGGATCCCCTCTAGCCTTTCTACTGGAGTCATACTGGAGTAATTGGCTTACCAGAGACTGAAACCAGACAATGTCGGGGCAAGCCGTCGTCATCATCCTGCCAACCATCGGGCGAGACTTGAGCATCCCGGAGGCTCGCGTGCAGTGGGTTGTGTCGGCCTACGCGCTCGCCTTTGGCTGCTTCCTGCTGCTGTGGGGGCGGATCGCCGACATCTACGGCAAGAGAAAGATCTTTATCTGGGGGTCGGCCTGGGTTGCCGCCACGTCGGTCGCCAACCCGTTCGTGCCAAACGAGATCGCCTTTTACCTGTTCCGCGGGCTTGCAGGCTTGGTGAGTATTCATCCACCTGACTCCTAAACACAGGATTTGCCTCGGTACAGAGCGGCGCTGATCATGAGACAGGGGGCGGCGGCCAACGTTCCAACCGCAATTGGCATACTCGGCGTGACATTCCCTCCCGGAAAGGCCAAGAACTACGCGTTTAGCTGCTATTGTATGTTGTTACGACGGGTCCCTGACCCACGTACGCTGACACTGAAAACCAGCGGCCGGCGCGCCCCTCGGAGCCGTCTTTGGCAACCTGATCGCCGGGTTCATCGCCCAGTACGCGTCCTGGAAATGGGTCTTTGGAGTGATAGCCCTGATGGCAGCCGTCATCACGGTCGCGGGCGTGGCCATCATCCCGCCGCCGAAACACACGCTGCACGACGACGGCGCCACAGTCAAGGCGTCGGTCGACTGGCTCGGCGCGGCTCTCGTGACGGGCGGGCTGCTGGCGCTGCTCTTCGCGCTGACCGAGGGCAACGTGGTGGGGTGGAGCACGCCGTGGGTGCCAGCGGTCATTTTCGTGGCGGTCGTGCTCGTCGTGCTCTTCGTCTTCTGGCAGCGCCACCTCGAGACGACGGGCAGGCGGCCGCCCATCATGAAGGTGTCGGCCTTCCGCAGCAAGAAGTTCAGCGCTGCCATGCTCATCATGGCCCTCTTCTTCAGCAGCTTTAACGGCTTCCTCGTGTACGCGACCTACTTCTACCAGGACTACCAGGGGCTGTCGCCGCTGCAGACGACGCTGCGCTTCATCCCGACGGGCGTGTCGGGCGTGCTCACGGCCGCCGTCGTCTCGCAGCTGCTGTCGCGCGTGCCGACGTACGTGCTGCTGGGCGTCGGAACGTCGTGCGTGAGCGTGTCGGCGCTGCTCTTCGCCGCGCCCATCCCCCCCAACACCTTGTACTGGGCCTATGGCTTCCCGGCCATGGTGCTGTCCGTCTTCGGCGCCGACACCACCTGGCCGTGCCTGATCCTGTTCACCAGCCACGCGCTGCCGCAGTCGGACCAGGCCCTGGGCGGCGCCCTCGTCAACGCCATGGGCCAGGTCGGCAGGGCCGTCGGGCTGGCCGTCGCGACCGCCGTCCAGACGGCCGTCATAGCCAGAGAAAGGGGCGTCGATGTCCAGAACGTCGGCAGGCTGCAGGCATGGGAACCGGCCACGCTGCTCGGTCTCAGGGCGGCTGAGTGGTGGAATTTCGCGTCGGGAATTGCTGCGCTGGTGGTGGTGCTCTTCGCGTTCCGAGGGTCGGGCATCGTGGGCAAGGCAGGCATCGTGGGCAAGGCGGGCGTTGCCAAGGCCGAGCGGCTGGCTGCCGTGACGGTTCAGAATGTTGAGAAAAGCTCCGAAGCGTGAGACTTTGGTAGGTAATCTAGATAATCATGTAATAGAGACGAAATAGACTAATCTTCTATTCTGTTGGTATATTGTGCCATAGCTTGTTTGTGGTTAATTTAACAAGCACGAAGCGAGCTAGATCGTGAGAGCGAACGTTTGACAAGCAGCAGTAAATGAATGTGGCGAGGTGAATAAAGCAGACCATATCAGCCTCCACCAGTCCTGGCGTGCATGTTTCCTCGGCATTTCGACTCGACCAGTAGAGAAACAAGAAACCACGCATAATATGAGGAGCATACAGGCTGCCTAGACCCAACCTCTTAATCGTAGCAATTCGAGCCCGATATCCAGTCCAGCCAGCTAAGTCATCATTGACACCAGTGTGCGACTGCAGAGAAATCATTAGCCGGCCAGTTGTCTCTCTGATTCGTTATGTAGCTAGGTAGTCAATCGGCTAACAAATTCTTGGCACTTACTTTGTTCTACTGCGGACCAGCTTCGGCTCGCTATTTTTCTCTGATTTCGACTCCTTCCGGCGCGGCGACCTCTTGGGCTCCTCCCGCGACTTTGATCCCAAGGCTCTGCTGCTCCTACTACTCGAGTGTCGTCGTTTACTAGAGGCCTCGCGCCCTGGGCTTTCCGTGGCGACAGCCCTGGGAGCGGGGGGGCTCTCTTGCTCGGAGGCATTTGGGGGAGGAGAATATTGCTGGGTATGCAGCCGTAACGGGACAATGGCCCGGCCGTCAAGACGGTTACCATTATGGAGGGGGGTGTGCGGTTCCGAGTGGTCTCGCAAGTGCTCGCTCTGTCTGCTGGCGTTTTGGGCTCGGACTTCGGCCTCGAGTGTATTTAGCTGCTCGGCTTGGTCGCGCACTTCTTTACGCAAGCTTGCTTCGCGAAACGTCGTCGACGGCCTCCTCGGACTGGCGCAGGGCTTTCCGTGCGTCTTGCAGCTCTTCTTTCAATCGCTCTTCACATTTGCGGCTCTCTTCGTAGAGCATCCGGTACTTTTTCTCGGCCTGTTTGGCGTCTTTGAGCTTGCCGCGGAGCTCGTCAACCTCTTGCTGGAGCCGTGATTTTGTCGCCTCGCAGTACTTGTTGAGTTCAACGAGATTTTTGCGTGCTGTGGCCTCGACATCTGCCAGCTTTTGGAGGAGGTCTTCGACCTGTTTCTCGCATCGGCGGTGCTCGTCCTCCCTCTCGACCGTCTGCTTTTGAGCTTCTTCGATGCGTGACTCGAGTCTCACGACCTCGCTCGAAGGCGACGGCAGGGAAGACAGCGGCGTGGAAGGCGAGAGAGACAGCAAGGAGTCGGCAGAGCTCGATGGTGGTTGGTCGTTGTCGGTGGTCCAGACTTGGCCCGGCTCGTCTTCTTCGGTGATTTCTGGCTCTTCTGGATCAGGAGTGACGCGTGGGCTTTGTCTTACGTTTCGGGATGCAGTCGGCCTGGCAGACTGGAGGCGGGCCAGTCGCTTTGCCGTGGCCAGGCTAGTGCCGAGTCCCTGATCAATGAGCTGGCGCTCTTTGGGCGCGAGCTCTGCGCTGTGCGCTTGCGTCTGGTTATGACTGGGTTCGTACAGTTGGCGCAGCTTGCTGACTTTGCTCATGCCCTCGCCCGAATCAGACATTTTTGTAGCCGCCTTTTGATCACCGGGCTGTTAATTAGAAGATGGTCCTTCTGGGTTTCGACCCGGCTGGGCTGGGGCACCCATCAGAATTATATACTGCCCCCCGACCCCCAAACTCACAATTCGGCAAGGCAGATTCAGGAAGCTGCAGGCTACCTACCGGTGTTCTAAGTTGGGATATCAGTGTGCCCTTCGAGGCGTTTCGATAATCCATGTGTCCAAGGACTATTGGACGCCTCTATCCAGTTGTGTTGCACGCGATCGAAGTTGACAGCGCATTGAATTGTCTGCTCAATAGGTCTAAAAGTACAGAAAAGAACGCTTCCTTATACTCGTGGAGAGAAGGCAAGGGAGGCGTTGTAATCAGCCCGAAAGAGGGCATTCCGAATGAAATGAAGACATTCCGAGTCAAGAATGAAGGAAATAACAAAGAATGAAGGAAGCTCAGAGGCATGTCAACCAGGGCCTGTCTAATTCCATGAAAAGTGGGCCAATTCTAGACGATAAGTTGCAGGTGCTGGAGCCAGTCGCATCATTCTGAGTAGCCCAAGAATTGACGACGTGCGTTTGAAGATTAGTCCCGACTTCTCATTGGCAAGTCCTGTGCATACTGCATACTCGGTAGCCATGCCCCGCCTTCTCACTTTCCTCGCAGTAGCCAGAGTTGGAATGGCAGCCTGCCTACAACCTACCTTAGGTGGGCAGGCGCCTGGCGGGGGAAGCGCGCCGGTCCCTGCCAGCTGCCTCAAGTGCCTGAGTCTCCAGGGCCTGAGTCTCCAGGGCCTGAGTCTCCAGGGTATAGGGCAGTTTGCGCGCTCACCTTAACGCCTACGGGCACAGAGGGCTTCGGGGAATTTAATCGAGTGGGATAATGGCTCACGTCACAGTGCGCCTTCCACGGAGGCTGCGGGTTCGAATCCCAGCAGCAGACTGATTCTCTGAGGCATTTGACAAGTACTATTCCGGAACGGGGTTCGCCACCAACTTTGAATATACACGCCAAAGAACATCGGTTGACCGTACTCGGGGGTTGTTTTTTTTTCTTCTCCTTTTTTCCCCTCTTTCTTTCTTACCGGCGGCCTACTTCCTTCCTTTCAAGCAGATGGGTACCCTTCTCCTTGATCCCACTATTATCAAATCGAGCCAGTCAGTCAGGACGCCACCATATAACCTATAACCCATTTGACATGAAGGAACAGTAGCGAGGGCATACAGGTCGGAAACTCACATGCTCAATAATGCAACCGTCTTGCAGCCTGAACCGGTCTACAACCTCCCCAAAAAGATCGGTCTGGTAATTTAGCCAGCCCGTGTCCCCTTTGAAGGTCCGACGCAGAGGCGTGATGGTGACAGTATCCCAGAGAGGCCCTAAAACGTCGAGTGCCGCGTCGGGACCATCCTTGGCAGCGTAAGGATTGTGATTCTTGAAATGTTTATTTTTTGTCAATTACCCAGCAAAACATGACGTAGAACTCATAGAAATGAGAAAGGGGTAGAAACATGAATGAACCCCACCCTGTAGACAGACGATATGTACGTGAACGCCTCTGTAAGGTTTTTGACGTCTATGAATGCGTGCGCAAACTTCTCAAAGCGTGCCGCCGTCTCCTGTTCGGTAGGCGGCGGCGAAAGGGGCTGACAAGGAGCTGGCGTCGCAATGGCACCTCCTTCTGCAACCCTGCTCGGCGGGAAAGCATTGGTGAATGTCGGCAAAGCGACCGCTGTGAAAGGGGCCTGGGCCAAGGCCAGGCCAATGACCCATAATGAAGGTACACGCATTTCGGTTTTTTTGTCTAATCATGTGTCTTAGAGACAAGGGGAGTTGACCTCAGACAATGTCTAGAACCTCAGACAATGTCTAGAACTATGGAGGTGAGAAGAATAGGATAGAAAAACGAGCAGAAGATTTTTTTCTACCCCTCGTTCATATTTGAGTAGTAATAATTTCCACTCGGCAAATTGCCGTCAACTAGACAAGTACCCTTTGCTCCGCTGCCTACTTTCGGGCACATTAGGCTGTATTAGTTGATCTCGCGGCATATCCATTCGCTAGTGATCTAAAATTAAGCCCATTAATGACACTCCATGGCCTATAAGAACCATTAAATCACCTCGCTGGCCCGATCAAGCATCACCAAGAGCTGTTTTGAAACTGGCTGGGAGGAGAAAACGGTAGTGGTTGAATGGAAAGGGTTGAAAGAACCACTTTGTCATTCTATATCTACCTGGTTCAATCTCCCAAGCAAGAAGCGACTGCAGAGTTTAGGTCACGGGAGGAGGAAAGTTTCTTCATTAGAAAGTGACAACAAAGGACTATACGGAGAGGCGACAGTCGAGACACCACCTTGATTTACTAATTAGGTGGGATGATTGTTTTGTTGTTTGTTGTGCTTCGTATGCAAGCAAGATATAAACAGGTATGTGATGCTGCAACTTCTAACCAACTGGAAGAACGTTCGGACTGTCGAGTCTGCTTCGGCATTTAGGGCCATGTTTGAAAGAGAGATGAAAGCCCATAGCCAAATTCCCCCTGTTAACCTCGACCGTCACTCGGAGAACCGACTATGAAGTCCGGTCGATCAGCGTGTTTATCCCGATGATTGCTACCTAAAGCTCGGGTGCAACCAAGACAGCGAACTTGTGAGTTGAAACACAGGGTGATCAGGTGGTCTGGTCGTTGCTCATGCCAGCTCCAGCAAATCAGACGCCTCAGCGCCCGCTACGGGTGTCGCCTCAGCCCGCCACAGGCCAAATTTGCCAATCAAATCTTTATGCGAGAATAGGGGAGGGTGGTGAGGAGGTTTCCGAATTCTGCTCTAGCGGGTCTCTGATAGTGGCACGACGAGCAGGAATTTTCGCCCCTTTTCGTCGCGGGAAAGCGAATCTGGGCTGGCCACGCTCAGCTTTCAGCCAATCAGTTACGCCACACGCTAACCCGATGCGGACGACGAGAACGAGCATCTTCGCAGTGCCAATACAGGAGAATGGCGCGATTGTTCGAGTCGCTCAAATCGGGTCATGGCTGGTTGCCTGGACCTCGAATTTCAGATTGCCTGTCCAGGCTCAGCTGGGTGCGAACAGGTGGGCGGCGTCGGGCGCGTCTCTTTTGGGAACAATACAGGCGCGTTAAATGAGTTTTATTGGGCAGCCGGACACTCCCGGGAGAGCCGCGACTCTTGGCACCTGCGGTATCCGGACAGAGTCAGTGCCCGTGGTTAGGAAGGGGCCACCAGGGGTACTGGACGCCAGAAATCACTTCTTAGGGAAGTAGCAACCTGGAACCCACGAGGGGCGAGACTCTGACAGACCGAAGAAGCTGGCACTTATCCCCCACACTTGCACACACCAATTTGTAGATCGCGGGAAATTGTGCGAAATGCAATGGCGCACATCTCGCGGAGATCTCGCGGTCAAGCGCCTAGTTGAACCCTCTCGCAGGGTGTGAGTTTGGCGATGGCCGAATTCCCACGCATCAACCCAGTCCAATTCCTGAGCTGAACTTCGAGCTGACTCAGCTATTGAACCAATCTCCAGGGTACCATCATTGTTCCGAGACAGATGCAGAAGCCCAAACAAAGCCATGATCGCCGATTTCAGCCAGACCCAGGCTTGGTGGCTTGATGCTGGTACCTGTGTTATGTACAAGCAGCACCACCAGCACGGTTCAAGCCATTCCCAATTATTATCGCGCCTCGACAACTGCCCATGCCATGCCGGTGCCCTACTATGACGGTTATATATACCGTCTCGAACGAGCCTGGCTAGGCTAGGCTATTAGGGCCGAAGCTTGTGCCGGTATTCCCTTCTCGCCCAGGTCTCCCCGGGGACGTCTTTTTCTCCTAATTCTCCAACTATGTTGGGCTTGCGAACTTCATTTACAAGTACGGCCCCTGTCTTCCACTTCTCGGTCTCCTCTCCCCGTTCCCCGTTCCCCCCTCCCCACCAGGTATCTAACACGCATGCTGTGGCTACCCAGGCAGGAGACTCCGGAAGCGCAGCTCGGGGTCGTCATCTATTGCTCCTAAAGTCGTTAACCAGGAAGCAGACGAATCATCAAGCCGATCAGCCATGGACACAATCCGAGCTGGACTGCACGAGTCGATGAATGGCCTGGCCGGGAAGGCCCACAAGCCCTCGGATGCTGTGAGCATCGCCGTCAGCACTGTCAGTGCTGCCAGTGACTCCGACGGCTCGACCAAGACGGCCCACGTCGTACGTGAAGATGAGACGCTCTCTTCAGTCACGGCCGTCTCACACAGCCAAAGCTCGACGGCTTCGATCCAAATCACCCGTCTCATTGACACCAGCCGAGCCATTCGAGGCCACATCTGCGGCTTTGAAGAATACAACGAGACCTTCTTCAAGTCCCTAGACCTGGAGTCTTATCTCGCGTGCATCTCGGACCACCGCCTCGTCCATATGCCCCCGCGCGGCAGCGACTGGGACCGCGTGCTCAAATCAGCCCAGTTCTTCGGCCTCCAGCTGTGGAGGCTGGGGTCTAAAGTCGACAGCTTCTGCTTCGGCGCCGAAGTCGCTTCCGTCACGGCCTTGGGAAGCACCCAGGTCTTGCTCGAGGTTCGTCGACGCGGCTTGCTGCACGGTTTACGTGGCAGTTTACAAAGACTGACTGGGACGTTTAGATTGGGCCTCGCCAAGCCAAAGCCCTCCTGCCAACCTTCAAGGCCCTGTATAAGCTGGCCATCCTCATATCCAACATCAGCCAGATCAACGACATCTTCTCCGGCCCGAGAGAGGTGAAGGAGGCCGTCGCTCACCTCTACTGCGACTTGGTCGAGTTGGTGGGCGACATTGCGGTTCTGTACCGGAAGAGGATCAGCAATCTGAAGCCGGGCGCCTCCGTCGTCCTCAACTTTGAAGCTTCTTTTGGGAGCGCCATGGCTGCCATTCTGAAGAGGCGAGACCAAGTCACTGCGAAGCTATGGTCACTCAAGCTCGGCAGTAGAGCCACTAGGCTCACCCTCGAGGCCATTCGACATCGACTAAAGCAAGATCGCTCGGCCCGGGGCGCCTTCTACGATCAGGTCTCGGACAGCGTAAAGCGCGCCGAGGGCACTTGCGAGTGGCTCAAAAGTCCCCTTGTCGAGTTCTTCAGAAGCCACGACAAGGCGCTGACAATCACGGGCGACATCGGTACCGGGAAGACCTTTCTTTCTGGGTGGATTGAAGAACGTTTGCAACGCCCCCTTGATCACGCTCAGCACTCAGCTTTGGCGTACAGTTTCCGTAAGTCTTCACCTCTCCATGCACCGTGCCTAGCCATGGGCTTTTAGCTGATCTCCCCCAGCCTTCGATTCTCCCGCCGGGTGCACTCCACTCGCATTCCTCAAGAGCATTTTGTTCCAGCTTCTAGAGAAGAACGTGGGTGACGTCGGCTTGTACGACAAGCTTGTTGCTGCGTTTGAGGCGTACGACAAGCACCACAGCACGGAAAAGCTCGAGTCTTCTCTCTGGACGGCCTTGGAGTCTGGGCTCCGGACGCTGAACAATCGCCTTGTCAACCTCGTTATTGTCGTGGATGGCTTCCACGACATTATTGGGCCACAGACCCCTTTAGACTTCCATAAGGCACTGCGTGGATGCATTGGGAAGTTCAAGACAATCCGCATGATCACCTTGTCCAAAGCCATCTCGCATCTGAGCGATGGCTGCAGGCATTTTATCATCACGCCTCAACACTTGCAAGTCGACATCAAGGCGTATTTCCGGCAGCGTTTTGCCGAGTTCCAGTGCTTTGGTCAGCTCAAGCCCGAAGCAAAGGAGAAAACTTTGCATGAGCTTTCTCTGAAAGCCAAATCATCCTTCATTTGGGCCTACCTTGTGGCTCAGTTGCTAGCAAAGGAGTCGCTGGCTTCTTCCCCTGAGGCCTTTTCCCAGGCCGCTCACCACGCCTCCACCAGCTCCGACGAGATCTTGAAGAAGCTTGTTGCCAGAATCTCTTTGAAGAACGACACCACCGAAGCATTGCTTTGCTTCATGCTCGCAGCCGACAGACCTCTGTCGGTTGCCGAGTTATCTGAGCTTTTGCGGGTCGACATCAAGGCTCGGCGTTTTGGAGTTGCCGTTGACGTCCCGAAGCACATCAAATCAGCTTGCAGTGATATTGTGGTCATCGAGAATGGTAGCGTTCACTTCAAGAGCAGGACAATCCGCACTTACATGCATGGTCTGATGGGCAAATCTTTGCCGGCGCCTCGAGATGCTCAACACCACTTGACCTTAGTCCTTCTTCTCTACTCCAAGCTTACGTTATCGGATGTCTCGGAGCCATCTTTTGACCTTCTTGGAGATACAGTCATGGATCAGAGCTTCCACTCTCACGCACTTCTATACTACGCTGTTCGACACTGGCAATCTCACTTTCGTGCGTCCAGCTTCTACGGAGCAAAGGGGGAGCTGGTTTTGACCAAGGACTTCCACGAAGTTTTCCCAGCCTCATGCCATTTCGCCCTCCTCGAACGGTCGAGCTGCTACCATAACCTGACCACACCGTCGCTGGTTGAGTTCCACGACTTCTCTCTAAAGGTTCGAGAGGCATGCTTTGGCCAGAAGCACATATCGGTTCTGCAGATCTTGATTATTCTCGGCAACATCCACATCACGGCTTCGGACACTCTCGTCGGGGCCAAATTCTTCTACAGAGCGGTGTCTGTAGGGAAGGTGATTTTGCCACAACTCAGTGCGGTTGTGGTGACATGCGCAAATTACTTCCTGCAATACACGGGGACCATCACCATCACGACGCGCACCGAGATTGTCACCTACCGGGAAGAAATGATCCTCTTCATGATTGAGATTTGTAAGGGCAAGCACGGAACATCTAGCGATCTGGTGATCAAATGGTACGAAGTGCTGGCCAAATTGTATGTTGACATCAAGGAAGAATTCCGAGCGACGTTGATCTACAAGGAGCTTTACGAGATCTATGTCGTTCGTTTCGGCAAAAAGTCGCCACAGGCTCGCCGCCTTACAGAGCATCTCGGAGGACTTAACATTGTCCTCAAAGGCGAAACGAAGACAGATGTCAAAGAGTATGCCGGGTTCTTGCTAGGGGCCACAGAAGATCTCAATATGGAAGACGAGCTAAGGATCTCCATCCTTCTCCGGCTTGCTCTATTTTACGAGTCTCAAAAGCAGTGGTACCTAGCCGAGAATCTATACATCAAGCTCTGGAGACATATCTCAGAGGTTTGCCGCATCAAAGCAACCATTGAGCTTCACATCACCAAGATCACCATCGCCGTTGAGTACGTTCGGTTTTTGCAAAGACTGAAGCGTACCTCAGAAGCCTGCAACATCCTGATCTGCCTTTGGGCCGAATATGAGCATCACAGCTTTGAAGAGAAGAAAATCATCGTCCTCATCAGGGAGGTTGGCGTCTTGTTCAAAGTGTGCGGCCTTCTTGACGTCGCCATTTCAATCTTGACCAAGGTCTGGGGCTGGTTCAGGGGCAAAGGCAAGGTAGACGACGAGGATGCGGTCCAGACTACTATATTGATTACAGAGGTCGTTGAAGAAATTATCCAGACCACAATGACCACCAAGACGACCAACACCACAACCACGGAGACTACCGAGACGGTTGTCAGGGAGATCTTCGAGACGCATCTCACGAGGTGCAAGAAGAGCAAGGCTGATGCCGTCTTCTTCAAGTCATGCGTCGCCCTCGCCAACCTCTACATCAAGCTCCAGAACTGGGCACATGCCGAGATTGTCATCAAGCAGACCCTGGAAATCACCTGGAAGGCTATCCTGACGGTAGAGGTCACCATCGAGACTACCGAACACTTCGCGTCGGAATGCATCTTGGTTGCCACTCGCCTGGCCGTATGCTACCACCAACAGAGGTTGTTCGATAAAGCCGAGAGCATCTACCTCCGAATCTTCCACGCGTGCCTTGCGTCCTTGCACTTGGAAGATGTCAGGATTGAAGAGACCCTTGCCGTGCTCATCAAGTTCTACGAGGAACACCATCGCCACGAGAAGGTCATTGAGGTCTATGTCGAGCTTCTTGCGAGGTACCGCAAACAACTCGGACACACCCACAAGCTGACCATCAAGGTGTTGTATGCCTTGGCTGCTCATTGCGAACTCTTGGGACGACACGGTGCGTATGACTATTACATCGAGATCGTCACAGTGCTCAACAAGCACAAGAAGCATTGCCATCATGATGCTTTCCAGGCAGCCGTGGTCTTGGTCAGGTACTACCATGAAAGGAAGTGCTGGACGGAACTCCAACACATCTGCCACGTTCTGTGGGAGACGTTTTTGCACCACCACAAGGAAGTCCACTTTTCAGAGGGGATCATCCAGCTCGTCTTTGAGAAGTATGTCTACGTACTAGAGTTTCACGCCAAGGTTGAGCTTTCTGTGCTTTACGACATGACAAAAAAGTTCCATGAGACGGTCACAGTTGTGTTCGGTGTCGCCGCGTCCATCGTGATCGTGGCGATGCTTTCCCTGGCCAAGATCTGCGAGCGGCACGAGAAGCATTACCAAGAGTCGATCACGATCTACGAGGAAGTCATCAAGCGCATCACTACGACCAAAACTACGACGACCACAACTACGGAGACTACAATCAACACCGTTAAAAAGCGTTTGTCGAAGGTTTATGTGACACTCATTACCTCTGGTTCTTCGAAGACGACTGTCACCGTCACGACAATCGAGCGAGCCATTGTCATTTGTCTCGAGTCGTATGCCCAGCTACGCATTGAGCTTGGATGCTGGCATGAGAAGACACTTTTCAAGCTGAAGGACGTCATCGTTTTGTACCAGAAGCTGGGAAGCAAGGAGTCACACGCAAAGATCATCGAATTACTGCAGGTTGCTATCATTGCCATTACGACAACCACGTGTGGCTCTTTGTCTCTTTACCATGCCGCAGCGACTCTTGCATCAATCTACATTACAGCCGGCCTTGCCAAGCAGGGCCTCGTGCTGGTGCGTCATCTGCGTCATCTGGTCATCTTTGGGGAAGATTTTGAGATCAGCACAGAGATCAAGGTCACTCTTGACACATCGTCTATCACCAAGGCCGCATTCGTCTTCCTCGTGTCATTTGAGCAGCGCATCACAGAAAAGATCGTCATGACGTTCTCGGAACTCATGGCCAGTACACTGCTCGAAATCTCTCTCTACGAGCAGTACAAGAAGGTCATCGAGATTGAGACGGATATTGAAATCGTGCTTCAGCACGGTTCCAGGCTACGGGCCTTCTGGGCCGAGCAAAGAGAGGATCATTTGCTCGCAGTTCTCGACAAAAAGCTATTTCACATCTTCAAGACCAAGTACTCGGCCTTCATAACGACACACGATGACTACACTCGCATCTTCTACCTTGCCTTATTAGCGTTTCTTGCAAAGGATGAGGCCAGGGTCGACTTTGCAGCGTTGGCATGCAAGTCTGGCAATGCCAAGGTAGCCGAGCTGCTTGAGTCAGGCGACTTCAAGAAAGCTCTAGAGGTTGCAAAGTGCACCTTCCACTTTGCCGACAAGCAGAAGTTCTACGGCAACTTGCAGCACGTTCGGTATGCTTACAGGCTAGCCGAGTTGATGGCTGGAATCGACGCCCGGAAGCCGACCGACGCCAAACTCTGGGCCGAGTTCCTCAAGCTCTCCAAGGAAATCACAAACGAGGCATTGGCCATTTTCAAGGCGAACGGCATTGACTTTGTGCGGTTGAGGTTTGAAGACCTGAGTGAGATTGTGCGCCTGCTCGGAAGTCAGCAGAACTACGGAGAACTCGAGGTACGTAGAGATTCATGTTCGACAAGTTCCCTTCCCCAAAAGAGCAGCATTGCTACATCTTTGACCACAGTATGCTGACAGTTACACTCACAGGCCCTCCTACTCAAGCTTTGGCAGTCGCGCGAAGTGCAAAAGACGTGGCATAGCGGCCGCGTCCTCAGCATCGGGAAACTGATGGTGCATGCCCACGTTGCCGCGAAAAATATCCCGGCGGCCATTGAGCTTGCAGACATCATGTGCTACAACTTGCGGCGCAGCCGTGGAGTGTTGGACCCGGTGACGGTCGAAATGTCACAGATGCTGGCAGCTCTGTATACATCCGACAACCGCGTCGGTCGGTCCATTGACGTTCACGAGCAAATCCTTCGCGAGATTGAAGCTGCTCTTCGCAAGCAAGGGCAAGGCCATGGCCACCACGAGAGAACCTACCAGGCTGCAGAAAATGGCGGCAGCACGAATGGCCATCAGCAAATTGTTGCCTTCAAGCCGAAATCTGAGGAGGATTTTGCAAAGACGGCGAGCTGGCAGCTCGAGCTGCTCAAGAGAGCCCATCTGCGACTTGGCGGCTGGACGAAATCTGAGCAAGAGTTCACGGAGCTCTATTCGCGCCTCGCAGCTCTCTTTAGCAACGGCGATCTGAAGGGCCCTAGTCCCGACACGTGGTCCAAGGCAGGCAACAAAGACAAGCCGGACGATATGATCGGCAAGTATGTCGGGCCAAGGGAGTGGGAGTGGTGGTTGGACAGCGATAATGAGATCTTTGGGAGCCGCAAAGCGGCAAATAGAAACGGAGTGGTTGAGAGCGGCAGCAAGTGGGGTGTCAACCACACTTGGGTCGCGAGTCAGCAGTGGCTCTTGTAGGCGCCGGCTCTGACGCAATGACGAAGATGTTGCTGGATGTTGGGTAATGAAGGGTTTGTTGTGTCGGGGCTGGGATAATTGTTGGGCGGTTGCTTTCTTTTATCTTCTTGTCGTTCACTTCCCTTGCTACGCCACGACGACACTGTCCTTGTCTTTTATTTTTATATACTTGTAACTTGTACGCTTTAATACAACTCTAATGCCGAGACTTTTACTACATCGGTTTTGCCAAGCACTGTTTTTGCATCTGCTATTCATCACAAGAAGGTTCGTAACAATGTTTTATTTGTGTTGTCTCCGATAAAGTGGACTCAGTCTATAAAGGTGGGGCTTGTTGCAATGACTCTGTGATTGGCTAGGTCTCATTAACAACACTGAGTTCAAATTGAGTCAGTGGGCGGCAACTTCAAAACGTCAATTGAGATCCATTTGACAGCTATCTAGGCAGGTGTGTAACTCTAGCTTGAGAGCCCGCCTTTGGACACCGCCTTACTCATTTAGTCCAGACTAAAACTAGTTCTAGAGGGTCCTGCCTCTTGAAACCACTCATTCAGGTATTCCTTTTTTTTCGACTAGACGATCCTGCCTCCCTCTGAGCTCTGTGCTTCCTGAGAGAGGCCTGCCCCTTGAAACCAGCTTGTTTGGGTAGTGTTTCTTTCGACTAAAGGACCCTGCCTCTCCAACTGGTGGTCCTGGGCTTACTGATTCATTGCGATTTGAGGGCCTGACTGTCTAGTCCAGGGCCTACCTTTTTAATAGGACCTGCCTTTTCTAGTTATTCGCAGAAATGTTTTGACTAATTTCCTCAGCGGCTACCCCCCCGGGGGTGGTGGTGCTGATCCTGATGCTGATGCTGTTGGTTTTGCTTTTGGATCCCTGAGCTTCACGGCAGCGGCAGCCTCGACAATCTCCCAGGGCTTCAAGACGATGCGGTTCAGCCTCATCCGGCCGTCCTCGTGGTCTGAGTTGCCGACAGGCGTCATCTCCTCCATCTTCCCCTTAATAGCGCGCAGCTCGGCATTGCTCCGGCCGAGATTGATGCTCTCCTCGGCCCTGTCGTGGAAGCTCTGCTCACATAGGCTAACCTTCTCCTCGGGCGTGTTGGCCTAGAACAGCATCTTCCACACGTTGGTCAGCACCGACTTGGCGAGGTTGGGCATCTGCGTGATGCCCGTGTACTTCCGGAAGCTCTCCACGCTAGTAGTAATGCTGTGTAGCCGCACGTTGTTGCTCTACTTCGCGCGGTCCTCGTCGCCCAGGAAGATCCACACGCCGATCTTGGAGTCGGCGGCCATGACCGCCGGCGTGGTGCCGTGCCTGCGCAGGATTAACTGCATCAGCAGCGACTCGCCGACGTTGAGCAGGAGCCGGAACTTGTCCACCATCCATATTAGCGTCACTTCGGAGATGGTGTTGCCCGGGTCGTCCGAGGCGCCGCCGACGCACGTGTGGAAGCCAGGAAAGAGGGTTGGTTGACTTTTGCGTAGGATCTGCCTCCGTAGATGGCGCAGGGGAAGTTTTGGCGGTGCTCCGACACGGCGCAGGCCGCCTTGTGGATGGTGTCCTGGTAGTCGATTTGCTCGGAAAGACGTGGGGTTGAGCGACGGGTCTTGCTGCCACTTGTAGATGCCCACGTCAACGATGAAGGACGCGAGCACACGAGCCGCGTAGGCGCCGCGCGAGAAGCCGAAGAAGAACACCCTGTCGGGGTTTGTTGCCTGGTGGCTCTAGTTCCACGTAGTGCATAATTACATAGCGGTAGAGATTGCGGATCATGTTGGGGAAGGCGGCGGCGAACATCAGGTCCTTGGTCTTGTGAAGATCCCTGTAGGACCCCAAGCCCGGCTGGTACAAGACGGCCTGATTTCGCTTGCCGTCGGCCGACTTGGGCTTAGAGATGCAAGACGTCTTGGCCACGTTGCTAATATTGTAAAGTTTCAGGTCACGGATCTAGTTATTCCTGTGCCGTGGATGCAGATGATATGATCCGTAAAGAGGCTAGCATCGCGCGAGCCCAGGTTGTACTCGTCTGCAGGCATGCTATAGATGGTATCGAACAAGACGTAGTAGCCGCCACGAAGCTTGGGCCGACCCGAAGTCGATAAATCCTGAGAGCTTGAGCGGGATGGCAGGCCGCGGATCGACACGGAGCTGGAGGCCATGGTGTCTGCCTGTCTGTCTGTCTATCTGTCTATCTATCTATCTGTCTTAGTAGGTGCCCAAGATGCTGATGACAAGTAACAATTATAGGTGCCACGTAAAGATTGGTTGATTGACAGTCATAGAGGGGAGGAGAATGGAGATTGTGAAGATGTAGTTTAGTCCCGTCTATAACAGCAGAGAGTTCCTCCGCCTTATAAGAGAGTCGGCCAGCTCAGTTAATTCAGAGCCTCGCAATCAATCAATCAACCCTTACCATTTGCATCCATCATAGTCATTCAACAGGCCAACAGGCCAACACACCAACACACCAACACACCAACAGCACGGTGACACGGGAGCGAATAGTTGCTAGGCCACGTTGATTGTTGGAGAGCGGAGCTATTTTTATTTTTCACCAATCCAACGCTGCAGGGTTTGGCGACAAAGGGGTGTCTGGGCCGCAAAATGGTAAACATTGTTGTCCTGGGTGTTGCCTCAGGTGGCTATTTTTATATTCCATGCCTTGGCAGCCTTGCCAATTGGCGGTACTTTGCGGCCCATTTGTTTCGGAATTGAGGGCAATTGATAATTACCTAGGAAGAAGTCAACTTTGGTTTTTATTTTTAGACGGATCATGATGAAACAAGTGCCTCAACTCTCGCCGTTGTTGTGTCGCCCGAGTCATGGCTGGGGCTTGAGGGGGAGGCCCAAAAGGGAAAACGGTCTATATGCCCGCCGTTACTGTGTCACAACTCGGTAGCCGAAGCCCAAAGGGGAGAAAAGTGTGCGAAGGGTGTCGCCTCCGATCTCGCAGTTCCGGGTGGGCCTCTCCTCTCCTGCGTCGCATAATTATTATAATATATGTCGCCGCATATTGACGTCGCCGCAGCTCAGCTCACACGAACTCCGCTTTGAACAAGAGTCGATACCGTGCCGGAGATGGGAGCCAGGAATAGATTGGACGTTTTTGTGTCTGTGTCTGTGTTTGTACCGGTCTGTCTGGTTGGGAGGGACGGGAAGGTGCCCGTTGGGCTGCTGCGCCATGCCTAATCGTGGTTGGCCCCGCGGCACCTGCCGCGCAGCTAGCTACTTAACTCTAGTAGCGCTCTTGCCTAAGGTAAGGTAGGTATCTAAGGTTCTTCTTCACCTTGCCTGTACTTAAGGTACTGTACTTGATCGAAGCAGATCCGCAGGATCATACCACATTACCTACCTAGGTAGGTATTCATGGTTCATGGGATGATGAAATCAAAGGCAGGCTGGCCGCGATAATGATGGGCCGAACCTCATCCTTATTTCTCCCTAAGTAAGATAATTGCCCAGGTAATTATCTATCAATTTAGTTATCTCTCCCGTGTCACGACACAACCAACATGGAACAGCCACCCATGTCCATCGCAACACGACCTTACCTTTTCATCAAGTTGAATTGTCCACGCCGCTTATCCCCCCCTCGCCTCTCGCGCTTTCTCCATCTTGATTACCTCTGAGGCCCCACCGTTCGATTGGTTCGCCCATCTCTCATCCATCCGCCTTCACTTTGAATTCCCTCTTTTCTCAAGACACATGAGCTGTGTGCAGCCCCGATAACCGCCCGATAAAAAGGGAGGGGGGGTGACACAGATATCAGAGACCACTACCTTAGTTATTATATATTTTAGATAATGAGGGCTAGTTCCCCTCGTATACTAGGTGGATCCAACAGTCATGTGTGTGCCTAGGCAGGTATTTAAAATAATTATATCCCGGAACCAACAACGTTGCAGTGTTGAAAGACTCGCCTGATTAGTTCCGACGCGGAGATAACACCCACCCACCTTCCTGCAAGGCGGAGACTAATTAATAACTGGAGAGAGAGAGCGAGAGAGAGACAGAGACAGAGACAACTGACACGGAGTAATAAACCATCTTACCCTCTCGGCTAGCTTTTCCCCATTTAACCTAGCGCAGACAGCGGTCCCCACGCGGAACCAAGTAACCCAGCCCAGACAGATCTCTCCGCTCCGCCCTATATATCTGGTATCACCACGCACAAGCTCTCTATCTGCCTCTCTGCCTCTTTGCCTCTCTCCCCATCTCGCCCTCCACCCATGCAGACTCAGATAAACAGACAAGACAACCCAGACTCGGACACGCAGGCTGGAACTCACGCGCGAGATCTGAGACCAGAGACCCGGCACGATCCATCATCCGGACCTGTCCTGCAAAACGTGATAGTTATCCTGGGCATTTGGACATGTGGGCACATGTAGGAGGGTTCCTGCAACGCGCAACGCTCTCCGTGTTACCGTCCAGCCCATGTCTCTCTTCCTCCCCCTCTTGCCCCCTCCACAAGTGTCTCAGCCCAGATCGGCTAAGACTCGAGGGTGAAAGAGGCTGAGAGCCGAGGTTGGTCCGCTTCTGTACGACGCCAGACAACGCCCCCTCTCCCCAGAGTTTCAGACTCTGTGGCTCTGGTCGCCTCTCGCAAAGCCCAAGCTCAATAACGTGCGCAGCAGATTCGGGCTGCTGCCGTTGCTTGGACACGAGTGAAACACGCGTGGGTCGAAGTCTCAGCACAGCACACAGCTTGCCGGGAGGACAGCCGAGGCGGTGAGCCTGGCTCTTTGTCTTTGCCAACGTCACCAATGACTAGTCTTTTTCGCCTAGCGTATCCCAACTTTCCATCACAGCATGCCAACCCAAAAAATGTGTTAACAAGGCTTGGCATTAGGCATATAGAGTTGGTTAGGTATATAGAGATCCGACTTTGAAACTAGGTAAATAGGTAAGACAACAAACAGCAACGCTAATGCACCTGACCAAAGCACTTACAACTTTGCAGTCCCGCTCAGACAGTCAGTCCCCGATAACGCCGATATCATGCCGTGTTCGAGCCACGGATACGAGACACACATACACTACTGACGCAATGCCCAAAACACAAAATAAAACCTACGATGCCGGGGCGGCCCCCATAGTGCGCATCTCCGGCGTCGATAGGAGACAGTATCTATCCTCTGCTATGAGACGCTTCGTCGTGACCCGATCGGGATAGTTGCGCATGAACATGTTGGTGAAGTGGGTTCCATAGTGAATGCCCTCCTGCTCCTTGCTCCGGCCGAGCCGCATGCCCCCAGAGACCTTGTCGAGAGGCTTCAAGACGGCTTGAAAGCTGGGCTCGTGGAAGTAGGCAAGCGCGAACCGTTCTCGCGTATTGAGGCCGACCTTGTGCGGTGTGGCGGTGAGAAAGTCGTTGGTGAGGTACTGCATCATATCTCCTGATATTCCCCTCTTAAGCATCAGCAGCTGCGAGGGCAAGGCATCTTCAAGCATGGTCCACATACCGAGAATTACAGTATGCACTCCTTCTACTGGAGGGATGTAGATCCAACCGTCGTCATCTTCCTTCAGACCAGCCGCACTCTTTTCCCAGTTTGCAAACCTCTCCCTCTGGTCGGGACGGCGAACGAAGAGACCTGACATGGCCCAATCGGTCAGCGTGTCTCAGGCATCATGCATCAGGGTCTCAGTTCCTGCTCACCTCCCACATCGTCTTGCGCAGAAATCACGAGCAGGCCGTAGTCTGTGTGAGAGCCAATGCCCCGACCCTCCTTGCCTTTGCCATTGGTGGCATTTCGCGGGGGAAATCTGAAAACCACAACGAGTGAGACATTGAACGGTCGGATGCGGGGCCCGTATCACGGCAGACACAAGAAGCTGGCTTGGGTGGCTTACCGGAGGACGCGTGTGTGGTGCCACCCATCGCGGGTGTAGCGTGTCAGGGATCCCGGCGATACCCCCAGGCCAAGCTCGGCGAGCTGGAGCAACCTCTCGCCCTCAGCGCCGAGGCTTTCATTGTAACGCACCATTGGCTCTTTCATGTCGACATCGGGCCAGGGGCAAGGACCATGGCACGGCCACTTCGCACGGACACGGGGATCCGACGGATCCAGGTCCCTGGTGATGGTAAAAATCTCCGAGTAGTCGGCAATGCCGTCTGTCACCTCCTCTCCCGACGCGATGTAGCCTGCGTAACTCTGCGAGTCAACACAGACCGCTTTCTCGCTGTGCTGCTTTCTGAAGAACTGACGACTGGCTAGTTTGGCGTCTTGCCAAAGCGACATGTGCTTGTCGCTCATAGCAATCTGGACAATGCCATCTTGGCGCCACGCTCTAACGAGAGCCTGGCCAAGTTTCACGTCGCCGGCCGTCCCCGTGACACGCTCCGGCAGTTTGAAGGTGTCGAGATTGGCGACTTGGGCCTTGAATCCGGGCGGCATCGTCTTGGCTAGACAGCCGTCAATGCTCGACGGGGGTCCACGCTCCCGGGACTTGAGTGTAGTGAGCTGGGCTGTCTTGGCATTGAACCCGAACGGCATAGCGATCCCAAAGAGTCCGGGGCCATGTGTCACTGTGCTCAGCATGGCTTTGCCACTCAGGGCCTGTCGGCCGAGGACTGGGATCGAACGAGGCAGAATGCTCTGCATCTTTGGTCTTGGAAATGTTCACAGTGGCGGCGGGCGTAACGGCGGCGTAGATCTGTCGTGTGTTGGAACAAGTACCAAGAGCTGCGGGTGAGCAGAGAATGTGCAGAGTACGGTGTGTGATGTTGGAGGAGGTTTTCTCCTTTTTATCCTGTCACAATCATCATTGTCCGCTTAGGTCGGCCTCTGTTCGGAGGCAACCACGGGGGATCCGTCCTATTAGATGCTGTCGTGTAGTTGCCATTGTGTCTTGAAGCAAAGATCCGGCATGCATAAGAAACTGTCCTGTTGGGATGTGTTAGATGCCTCCTTGCACCTGAAGCTACCGCTCCGGGTTGGGATATATCGGTGTGCCGCGTAACCATGCCCGCCAGTCTCGTCTAAACTTGCCAAACCGGCAGCATGCTCCCATCTCAGCTTGATCAGGTTGCTCGGGCTTTATTGGTGCTGCCGCACAACCAGAGACAACCTCTAAACCACCGGAATCGGACGCACGACTTGCGCAACTTGGGTTTTGATGGTCCCATTTCCGTCCTCGATAACTGCTTCCGGCCGCGACTTTGCCAAGCGAGACTACTTGCCGAATTCAGATCGGGCAATCAAGCGACTTCGTAAATGGTCGGCGGTACACAGCATGGGTAACGCAGGTGTTCTGTGCTAATGCTGAGTGTCGTCGCATGGCCGTCTGGCCATATAGTATTACAAAGCGTGCTCGAGGGACTGACTCCATGTTCTAGGCCCTCGCCAGGATAGCCTGCATATCACATATGTGTTTTGTTTACCCCTGGATTCTTAGCAAATCTGCAGTAGAAAGCGAATATGAGCGACTCTGGTCTGGTTCGGTAACTTCAGGTTGGTCGCGGAGGGATCACTGGACTCTTGGTGTGTCCCAAGCCCGGCCAGCAAGCTGCTGTTCCGCTGCTATCCTTCTGCTGTCCTGCCGCAGCCAGCGATTTGAAGACACGGAAATGGCCTGAGGAGGTTATCAAGGCTGGGCACACTTGAGGTTGTACGCTAGATACACTTTAGATTCCTGTTTTTGGCCTGCGGAGTCATCATCGTCATGCCATACCTATCCGATTGCAGGATCACCTCCCGTGGCGAGGCAGCCAAGGCGACCGTCAGAAAGGTCGATGGCGCCATTGTCGGTAGCGGCAGCACGATGCCTCTTTCGTTTAGCCCTCGTCTCCCTTGGCCATGCATCGGTATGCGCGGCATTTGGAGCACAAAGCCGCATCTCGATAGAAAGCCATCATCGAGATGCGATGCTTGCCTCTTCAGGCGCTCTCAATTTCCAATCAGCAGCTCCGTTCACATTCCGAGTCGGTCATGCAATGTCGTAAGGAATCTTAAGGCTGATGCTCAAGCTGTCGGGCTCAAAAGTTGCCTAGAGCCAGTTCGTCAATCAGCCCTTCCCTCCTCAGTCGATCATCCTTCTTGCCTGGAAGAGCAGTTGCGTCAGCTTGGTTGTGGTCGGCTGATTGTGACCGAAATCGGGGAAGGTTGGGATCAGCAATGGGCAGGAGCGAAGGGTGGGTGTGTTCAACTTCTAGTGTGGGAACTTGGACTTGGAAGCAATAACTTGGGCAGAGGGGATGCGGAATGTTCTTTCTATTTTTTAACCAAGAAAGATTTAAAAAATCTACCTATGCGGTGATCGTACATGATGAGATGATCCCATGCCAAGGTCCCGAGCAGACTTCTGCTGCCAACGCTTTCCAGCTCTTGGTCCGCGTTTTTCCGGTCAATTCCGGGCTCATTAGAAATTAGCCCCATGCCATGCAGTGTATTATTGTTGGTCATTGAGCCTTGACCAAGGCCTTGTTCCTCCTCTGCAATAAAAGTAGGGAAAACATGTAGGAAAGAAAAAAATGGGAGAGGACACATGCGCATGCCCACACGCGTACACGATCATGCAAGACGCCAAGGTCTGGGCCGAGAAGAGCGGCGCACAAGGGTAGTCCCGTTCCACGGAGGATATGTCGTGTGCCAAAGGCCGTCGTCGAAACTTGAGCTGCTGCTGGTACTGATGCTAAATGCCGTGGTGGTGGGAACGGGTTCGGGAAATGTGGTGAATGGCGTAACAGACAGAGATGTCGTCTGCGAAACTAAGAGCGCACCACTTGAAGAGGTCGTAGCGGGAATTGAGGTTGGCGTTGTTGTTGGAGTTGTTGTTGGAGTTATTGGCGTAGTTGTTGTTGGCGTAGTTGTTATTGGCGTTGTTGTTGGCGTTGGCGTAGATGTTGGTGTAGATGTTGTGGATAATATCGTAGAGCTTGATGACGAGACCGTCTCCAACTGCACCTTTGATGTGGCGGGTAGCAACGATGATGTTGATAGAGGCTCCTGGCGGGTGACAGTGGTGGTAGTTGTTGGTTGTGGCTTGATGTCGACGACCGACACCGTTTTGGTGACAACGAGAGTGTCTGTGATGTGGTCGGTAGTTTTTGGTGGCGACGACACATAGATTGTCTCTAGAGACGTCTTTGGCGGAGGAGTCTCGATCACGGTTTTTACCACAGTGAATGAGCCGCCCGATCCATTTCCTGAGCCTGAACCTGAGCCCGAGCCCGAACTACCGGACCCGCCAGAATTTCCCGAGCCCCCGGAGCCGGAGCCGGAGCCGGAGCCGGAACCGGAACTGGAGCCCCCTCCGTTTATGGGGACAACCGAGTATGTTGCTCTCGGCGCCAAGACGACTGTTCGCGGCAACCGAGGCTCAATCAATGGTAAAGAGTGACAAGGTGCGAGAATGGCAGCAACTGCAAAAAGCAACGAGGCAAGCTCGTTGAGGCGCATCGTGGACAGCTTGCCCTGGTCGAGCCGAGATGCGCGACGCGCAACAGAAGCGGCTCAGGGGAATCCCAAAGAGTGACCACGGCAAGGCTTCTTGACCCGGGCCGGCTGCAGAGAAAATCGCAAAGTGGACCAGATGAGGGTGGAGGAATTACGAAATGCCAAACCTTGGAATGCGATTCTCCGTCTATTTAGCACTCGAAAGGCATGCCATAATGCAGATGGCTGGCCGAGGACGAGAGGGGCTTGCTTGCACGACTCTGAGACCGACCGAAATTGAGGTGGTTGATGTTTCCAGCCGGGCGGTTGAGGCGGCGGGCGTCGGCGTTAGCTCCAGTGCCCCAATTTCCCCCAGCCACCCCGATTGCGATCCCTAGGGGCATCCCGTCGTCGCATGCGCAAGAGGCGGGCGATAACCCCAATTGCACTTCAATCCCCTTTGCGCCCAGCGAACATTATTGGTCTTCGCACAAAAAAGACTTCTAGCATCACGGACGGTGGTTAATTCGCGAGATGGACTAAATTAGCAAAGCTTGGAACCTAAAGTGCTCCGTATCTTCCTGGTGACTGAGCTTCTATTGGTGCACGGCGATCTGGCAGTTTGAAAGACAGGGGTTTGGCAGCTGGCGGGACCTGAGCACGACTTAAGTTGCGCTTGAGTGCGTCAACAGCTTCCATGTGCGGCACATCGTGTTCCCATCGCGCAGCAGGATCTAAAAACATGGGAGGCCTGCTGGCTTCCCGGGCTTGCTCCGGCGCGGCCAAGAATCGACTGCACAGCTAGCAAGCAAATGGATTCCACGTGGTTCGATGATGCGTGTGGGGTGAAGAACTGCCTTGGCGGTAGGTAGCCTGTTGCTAAGCCACATCTTGGACGCAAATCCGCCCGCCTCACTGGTGTCGGAGGTGATCAGCTGCTCGGCCTGGAAGGCAAAAAGGGATAAAAAATAGCGGCCTCTTGATCTGCAGACATGAGCCACATGTATACTTTTCCTGTTTACCTTTCGTCCATCTTGCAATACTGCTCTACTTCTGGAACTGCTGTATCTTTCCTTGCCGTTGCAGCCGTGTTTAGGAGCGAGCCTCAGGTCTTTTTGTTCAAACAAGAACAACCCCTCCCCCGCACCTGAGCGCATCGCGAGAATACAGGATCCTGCTTTCCACTGTGGGCACCCAACGTCACAGCTGTCTGCGCCGTACCAACAAGATCGGTATAGAATTTTGAGCTACCTTTTTGCAATGTCTTATCAAGGTTATCCTCCATACGGTCGTACGTTTTTTTTCTTTCTCTATTCTACACCTCCTCAAGGCTCGTGTCAGCAGCCACCAGGCGGGACGCAGCTGCCTTGAATGGTGCTTGGCTAACATGCAGCAGAACAGCCTCCTCCCCCTGGAGGAGGTTATTATCAACAGCCACCTCCTCCCCAGCAGCCCCCCTACGGCGCGCAATCTCCTCAACCACCTTACGGCGCGCCATCTCCTCAACCGCCGTACGGTGCGCCATCCCCTCAACCACCTTACGGCGGCCAGCTTGCTCCCCAGGGCCAATACTATCAACAGCCCCCTCAAGGTTACGGACAACCGCCGCAACATTCTCCTCAGCCCGGCTACGGCGCTCCCTCTCCCCAACCGTACGGTTCCCCAGCGCCTCCGCAGCAGTATGGTGCCTCTCCCCAGCCCGGCGGCTACTATCCGTCGCCTCAACAGCCGGCGGGATACGGACAGCCGCCTCCGCCGCAGCAATATAGTGGTCCGTCGCCCCAGCCATACGCCTCCCCGATCCCACCGCAGTATGGCGCTCCTTCCCCGGGCTACCCGCAACCGCCACCGGGCGCATACGGGCAGCCTTCGCCTCAGTATCCACCCTACGCGCAGCAGTATCCCCCGACGCCTCCGTCGCTCGGGTACGGCCCTCCGCAGATCATCCAATATTCGGGCGCGGCCGACGCGAACGCGCTGAGGGCGGCCATGAAGGGCTTCGGGACGGACGAGAAGCTGCTCGTCCGGGTCCTGGCGGACAAGGACCCCTTGCAGGTTGCGACGATCCGCGACGCGTACTCGCAGCTGCACGGTCGTAATCTCGAGGCGGACATCAAGAGCGAGGTGAGCGGCTGGTTCGAGTTCGGGCTGCTGTCCATCGTCCGCGGGCCCCTGCAGACGGACGTGTTTATGCTGCACGAGGCCATGTCGGGGCCGGGCACCAAGGAGAAGGTCCTCAACGACGTGCTGCTCGGGCGGTCCAACGCCGACCTGAACGCCATCAAGGGCGCCTACCAGCTCACCTACCGCAAGCGGCTCGAGGACGACGTGCGCGGCGACCTCAGCATGCAGACGGAGCGGCACTTCATGATTGTGCTCGGAGCGCAGCGCGCCGAGGACTCGGCGCCCGTCGTCAAGGCCGAGGTCGACCGCGACGTCAACGAGCTGTACAACGCGACCGAAGGCAAGATCGGCACCGACGAGATGAAGGTGTGTAGCATCCTGAGCACAAGGAACGACAACCAGATACGCGCCATCGCTGCCGAGTACCAGAAGAAATACGCGAGGAACTTGGAACACGTCATCCGCAAGGTAAGCAGGACACACGCGCCGGGAGAGGGAGGTAAGAGGGGGTTTATTTCGGTGTAGTCCAAGACTAACACATTTTTTTCTCACAAAGGAATTCTCGGGCCACATGGAAGATGCCTTGCTCTTCCAGCTTCGACATGGACTCGACCGCTATATGCATCAAGCGCAACTTCTCGAGGACGCCATGGCCGGAGCCGGCACCGAGGACACGCTCCTTGTGAGCCGTGTCGTCCGTTCCCACTGGGACCGAAATAACATGGCCAATGTGAGAGCAGCATATGAACAGCGCTATCGGACAAATCTGGCAAAGCGTATCAGGGGCGAGACAAGCGGTCACTACGAGCGTCTGCTGCTGGCTTGCATTGGGGAGAATGTCTAAAAACCCTGTGACTGTGACTGATGAGGCCTGGGCGGTGGTGGTCGTGTTTGATGATGATGACGCTGCTGATGAAGGAGCAGGTGGAATAAGGCGGAATGATGGGATGGGCGCAAAGCGAGCTTCGTTGGGGCGGAGCGGCTGGTTGGACGATTTGGATGCCAGGGTTTGAGGGGTGCGGCGCACTTGAAGGCGGCTCTTCGCTCAATTAAATCGGCATGTCTTATTTTATTTACTTTGGCCTCATTCTTTGGGTTTCTTCTTGTTACTTTTCTATTTCTGTCGAGGGGGGCTAGCGGCCTCGTATAGTACCTGGAGCTGTTTGACATGTCATAAATAGCCACTGATGACACTCGCCGGTAGCCTCTTTTTTGCGTTGCGCCTTTTTTACACCTTGACCAAGCACTGAGATCCACCACCCACGGCCCCCCAGAGTCGGCTTGCATGGGATATGCGGCCTTGGGGTTACACAAGTCTTTGTTTAGATCCCGGTGCATGAGAAATCGGCGGGCCTGCTGCAACTCTCGTCTTTCCCTTCTCGATGCGGCAGCACTAATGATGGGGAAACCTTTCGAACTCCTACTATTGTATCTTTGCTGTTCTAAACTTGCAAAAAACGCATGTTCAGTTTGGGGTTATCAGCTATTTCAAGCCATTGTCCAATCCACCGCTAACGACTCGACCGAGGGGCTACTATTAAGACGAGCCAATGCGAATGAGGCAAACTCTTTTTGCCTACCCACGCTAGCGAGATTGGTGTAACAGTGGCGTAGCACGCTTTTTTCTTTGTCGGAAGAATACCAAGGCCGCTTGCCTCTCTGCTTGGTCAGTTCGTTCAGCGAGTTTGATGTCGGGGGTTGGCGGCGCACTGGCGGCTTCGGGGAGCGGAGAGTTTCTTTTTATTTCTTCTTTTTGAGCCACTCAGCGACATGGGCTCTGCTTTTGCTGTCCTCTTTCTCGCATTTACCCGACTCGGGGTGCTGAACACCGCAGAAGCCGCGAGCGGCGAAAGCGCTGTCGTGTCCATTCCTTCCCCCAACAATTATGGGAACTGGCCTGCGCTGGGATGTACCCAGCCAAGCAACAGCAGGGAGCATGAATTGAATGGCGCGCGTCCCACATTGAGTTATTTATGTGAAGTAGTAGCGTGTACTAGGTTTCCGGATGCAGCAGCAGCTTTGCCCAAACGAACATAATTATCATATGCGCTAGTGAGTACGGAGTAACTCCGTTTCGACCAAGTTAAAAAGAGCGCCCCGCTCGTCTCGCATTTTGCGGCGTCTTAATTACGAAGTACCAAGAAACAATAGGCCCCATCCCACGGGGTACTTTGAAGATACGTGGACACGAAAAAAAAGATGCTCAGACCACTTTATCATCTTCGTTGCGTGCGTGGACCTGCTACAGGGTTCTTCTAGTCATCAAGTATAACATGTGTTTCAGGACATGAGACACCACACACTCGACACTCAAGAGAGGGCAGTTATTGCAGCCATGCTGGGTTTTGTTTTTGGCATTGATAATTATCTCTTGTATTAGGCCATATGCCGGGCAGGGAGAAAAAGAAGCCGGGGTGGTAGGCCGGTTGCGGTTAAGAAGACGTATCGGAGGAAACAAGCGGGGCAAAAATAGAAGACACGAATGGATACGATTAGAAATCTCGGATCTCGCATATGGAGCCCTAAGAATAAAAGACAAGCCTGGCGTGCCTCGGGCCTGCTTCCAGCAAACTGCGAGGGCGGGTCGTGGGACTGGGGAAAAAAGGAAGTTTTGGGAGAGGCGGAGCATGCACTCCAACAAGATGGGATCAAAACCGCACCGTGCGGGCTTGTCGAGGTACTCGGTCCGTTGGCCCTAGCTTGGTGAGGGCTCTTTGTACTCGGTACTGGTTAGGTAGCGGAATTTTGGATGGAGCCACGGAAGCTAGCTGGATTTGTAACCTGGCTTTAATTAAGTTGTTAATTTTTTATTAACCAAGTGGCCGCTCCCCTTTTAACCGAAGCTTACGTGAAAGAAAAACTTTTTAAAGAAACAATGTACGCTGCATACTCTTGTAGCGACGCTACCTTCCTTTTTTATTATTACCTCGATACCTTACCTACTTTACATACTTTTGCTTTGGCTTTCCGCCCCTCCCTCCAAAGAAGCAGCTGGCGACCTGAGCTCTTAGCTTCCTCTCGTTGTCGTGCACGCGTGTCCAACCTATCAAGGCGCAATTTCGCGCCCTGGCGATCCCCAAAAGCAAAAGAGGGACAGCAGGTTTGCAGGTTTGCTCTTTGACAGAGCTTTGCGCCAAAGGGATATCGCTATTGTTCAAATTGTTCCTTTTAATTCTTATCCGCACCTGGGCTGGAGTTACCGACGACGAACGACACTTGTTTTTTGGGGGCCGCGCTGGCTTTGCAGCTTTGGCAGGGACGAGCCAAGGCATTGGTAGCCTAACTAATTGTCGGTTCTTATTCCGCACATTACTTCCGTACCGCGTCGGACCCAATCCACCCAAAGCAGCGCAGCGCGCAGCGAGCACATGCTGGCGAGAAGGGAAGGATCAGGACCGGGGAAGGTCGAGGCCGGACGAAACAAAAAGCAGTCGGTCAGTTGGGCTGGACGCGTCGTGACGGATTTAAGCTGTTGTGTTCCAAGGCAAGACAAGGACGAGACGGACGCCAGAGCACCCACCTTTACCTACCTTACCTACCTTAGCCACAGCCGAAGATCCCGTCGCCACAAATCTGGAAGTCACCCTCGAGTTGCAGGAGTCGAGCGTTGAGACTCGAGCCACAAGGCAAGTTTCGGTGATATCACGGCGGCCATGGAGATGCCGGCCTCGCCATCGCTGGGGCACAACGCCGACGTGCCAAGCCCCATCGTGTCAGACATCCAGCAGCAGCATCAGCAGCAGCAGCAGCCCGCACCCGCACCCGCACCCGCATCTGCATCTGCGCCTGCGCCGTCACCTTTGCCGTCGCCAGCAGGAAGCGTCGCAGGCGGCGGCGGGCCCGGGTCGGTAAATGGAGTCGCATTTGGTGCCGCACAGTCGGCGGCGAGTCCCGCCGTGCGCTCTGAAACGCCTACATTCCCCTCCCATCCTTCGACACCGACAATTGTGAACAGTCAGCCGCCCCCACCCTCCGGCGCCGGTATTGCTGCCGCTGCTGTTGCTGCTGCCGCTTCCGCTGCCGCTGCCACTGCCGCTGCCGCTGCCACTGCTGCTGCCGTTGCCGGTACCTCGGCCGCCGCCTCCACTCTCCGGGCCAAGGACCAGTTGCGCTGGCGAGACCCAATGACGGTCAAGTACGAAAGCGGCCAAGCCCATCCGGGAAAGCTACAGGCATCATCAACCCAACCTCCGCCTCCACCTCCACCTCCGACCTTGCAAAATCAACAGCAGCAGCCACAACACCCAGCGCAATCGCAGCCGGAGCCGCAACAGCAGCAGCAACCTCTGCCTCAATCGCAACCGCAACAGGCAGCTCCCCCGCCTCCGTCGCAGCCGCAGCAGCAGCCCCCTCCGCCGCATGTGCAACAGCATTCGCAGCAGCAACATTCACATCAGCAGCAACAGCATTCGCAGCAGGCCCAGAACCATTATGCGCAACACCAACAACCTCAACCCTCGCAGCCGTCACATCAGTATCCACAGCAGCCGCACGCGCATGTGCATACGCACCCGCATCAGCCTCCGCATCAGCCGCATCAGCAACAGCAGCGTCAGCAGCAGCACCCTCCCCCACCACAGTACCATTACCACCAAATCGCTACGCAGCCCCAGCCACTGCCGACGTTGCACCAGTCCCAACATCTGCCGGCTCAACAGCAACCGCCTCCGCCTCCGCCTCCGACGCCGCCCCGGCAGAACACCACCAAGCCCGTGATAATGGATCCACCCGCGTCCCGGAGGGCGAGCCAGGCCGCCACCCACCCGCAATCCAATGGTTTCCCCTCCCCGACCCAGGACTATGCCCGCATTAACCCCAAATTCATCGATGACAGCACCCGCCTCACCTTTGCCGTCCAGCAGAGCATGCCCGAGTCTGTCCGGCGGGTCATCCGCGACAACTGGGAAAAGTGCCTACTTGGTTCCGAGTTCCATCAAGCTTTTGTTGTGAGTAGCGCGCTTAGGTTCCTTCTTTGCCCATGTTCCTTCCTATCTTGCCTGCCTGCCACTTGCCTGCCACTTCTTCATTCCATTCTTGCGCGCACCTTCCCAACTGGTCGCCAACTTCCACCTTCCTCTCCCTCTTCGTTCCCAATATCCACTCTACGCACTTTTCACTTCATCTTCCGTCGCGTTTCGCGCGACACGATACGCGATTAAAAAAAATCCCATCGCGTCACGCGTCACGCGTCACACTGCAAGAAAGAAGACTTCCAACTCTTTCGAAACGATTTCCACGCACCATCGGCCTTTCTAACCCAATCACAGCTCAACGCATCTATTCATCATGCCCTCCCGTCAATTACGCAACGGGCTGTCAGGGATTTCGGGCGCAAAATGGTGATCGAATCCAAGGTCGATCTCATCGGCCACTTTGAAGGCCCTGATATCGACGAGGTTGCCGACCTCATCATCAGCAAAGCCAGCAACAGCTTTCTCGACAAGTGCCTGGAAAAGCGCCTCTTGACTATTGAGGCCAAGCCCTTGATTAGTGCCCTCGCCAAAGCGGAGCGCCTCGGATATGAGCCTGGCGATCAGATTCAAGAATACCCTCACGAACGCGTCATACCTCAGGAGGCATATCCTGGCGCCGGTGTAGCCGTGAATGGCTTCTCGCAGGCTCGCCCGCCCGTCATGGCTCCACTGCCTGCCTATCCGCCTCCCCCTCCTTCGCTCCAATGTCTGAGATGTTTGCGAACATTTCAGGTCGTTGATCATTTTGAATACGTTAGTCAACCCCAATAGCCCAGCACAACCTAGATAAGATTAGTTTGTTAACTCTTCATACTAGCACACGAGATACAACGTCTGCATGCAGCAGCCTCCGACCAAGAATGGGTTTGACCAAATCTGCACGCAATGTGGTCAAGGGTTTACCAGCCTGGCTGACCTCCAATCTGTAAGTATTTGGTCATGGAATTGCGCGCTCCGCATTAATCGACTAACCCGACTCTCCAGCATATTGACAATAAGAGTTGCGGCGGTCATGCTCCCCACAACCAAAAGCAGTCTCGTGGGCCAGGACGACCTCCTAGGACCGCCCCAGTCTCTCAAGCCAACCCAGTCGCCATCCTTCCCTCTGTCACTCCACACGCCTATGGGCCAAACGGCCATCTGATTTCGTACACGCAGTCCCCGGTCGCTCAGTCGACCCCAGCACATCCTCATTCCGTGGCTAGTCGGGCTGCCACAACGCCCGTCGCGGCCAATTCTCCAAATCACGGAGATCCTTATGGACATCTGACCGAGGAGCAACATCAGGCTATGAACGAAGAGCTACAGGGGGCCGAGGCAAAGTATGCGCCAAGATTCGCCGAAGCAGAACAAATCCAAGATGAGAATGAGCGGCGCCTCAGAATTGAAGGACTTCGAAACAGCTTCGGTACCAAACAATCCATGATTCGTAAGAAATACGGCGTACGGCTCCGTGAACGCCGCACAAAGGCAGAGATACAAGCTGAAAGGGAACGCCTGGGTATCAAGCGTGCAGAGAGAGAGAGGGCAAGGGCTTTGGGAACACAGCACAACTCGAGCCCTACCGCAACCCTAGTCGAATCTAACTCTAACACCCCAGTTACTGCCGGGTGGACCGCCGCCAATACCGCTAGGCCCGACAACGGCTGGGAGGAGCATGATACGAAGCGCCGCCGCATTGATAACTCGGGCACCTACCAGACTCCTTACCCCCCTGTGGCTGAAGATACCCCTACGCGCAAGCACCAGTCAAGTGTATACCTGTTGGGCAACGATACAGCAGCCGCCGAGGATCCCGCAGCTCGATCTCGGTCAACTTCTCAGCCGGCAAAGGTTTATGAACAGTCTGGAGCACGGGTCAAGATCCACGAACCTTCACAGCCTGCTGCCTCGACAAATAGTGATAGCCCGGCAAGCTCGGCTACTTCAAACGGGACTAGCCGCCATCCGAGCACCGATGGCTTGCCTTCTGAAATGCAACCGAAGGCTGTTGACGTCGACAATTCGGACTCGTCAGATGACGACGACATACCCCCAACCCTGCCCGCCCATATAAGGCAGAGCTTGTCAGCGTCACAAAAGGTCAGCGTCACCTGAGATGTCTAGAACCCTTGACTGAAAGCGGTCTTGCCTTACTTTGGGCCGTGACTTAAGCTACGCTACTCGATCAGCCCTTCATGCTAGGCAACATTTAGGGACTCTAGGGTGGTTGGCAAACCCCCCTTTCTATCTAATATCGATAGATAATGTCCAAGAAATCTGTATCAATGGATTACTTGTTGCTTGGTTATGGGGACGCCCGGCAATCTATCGATAGCCCGTCTCGACCTTCTTAATCAAAAAGCGACATCTATCTGGCTCGCTCTTTGCTAATCGCTTATTATATATATATACCTCATCTCGCACAACTGCCACGCGATGCTTATCGCGACCCGCTCTTGCAGAGATAGCCCTTGCTTGTATTATTCTATTCACAGGAAACTCTCCTTTGACTATGTCCAGGCGGGAAAATATATGGTTGCCGCTGGTGGCAGTCAAGTCGGATGCTATTTGTAACGTTATAAATGCATAAGCGCGGCGGTGCAAATAAAATAGGTTCTTGTTCTTTCTCTCTTATTTTCTTCCTCCTTTCTTTTAATGTAACTCCTTGCTTGTTCTCTATATAGCCTTTTTTCTTCTCCTCTTCTCTTCTCCTCTTCTCCTCTTCTCCTCTTCTCCTCTTCTCCTCTTCTCCTCTTCTCCTCTTCTCCTCTTCTCCTCTTCTCCTCTTCTCCTCTTCTCCTCTTCTCCTCTTCTCCCCCTGCGCCGTCTCAAGGCTGTAACAACGCAGTTTAACCTAGCAACCCTAGCGAAACTCCTTGAAGGATTCGTTCTTGCTGCTTGGTCCTTTTCTCTTCTTTTCTAGGAGGTTCAAAAAGAAAATCTTGGGTTTGGTCGGTTGGCTCGGTTGGTTGGCTCGGTCGGCGGTTCTAGATTTAGATATTCATAGTTCTTAGGGCGGGCTTGGGAATAATTCACATTAATCAACTTGGTCTCTTTGCCTCCTTGCCCATTTTCCTACACCCTGTCACGTTCTCTCGGTTGTTGTATCTCTCTCTCTTATAGGTGACTGTATATCTAATATCAAGCCTGAGTAAATAAATCCAGTAATTATTTATAAAGCGAGGAACCAAACGTGAACTCGACAGCAACAGACAGGCAAGGACTACCCAAGGGCGGGTTACCCTCCAGTGAAGGTTCATAGAGGGAACCCAAGAGCTTTAATTCGAGGATTACGACACCGTTGGTGTTTATTCTTAATGTGATCAATTAAGGAGTAGAGACCTATGGACACAGTTTCTTAATGGAAATATGTACTACTTCTCCCTAAAGTGTCGAGATGTTTTTACAAGATTCTCTCTCCTTTCCTACCCCAATCCACCTGAAAATGTAAAAAAAGCGACGCCAGCCAGTGCAGCACTGGAGTTGCCTAATTCTAGAGTCCCCAATCGTAGAGAAATAATGCAGAGCCAACCAGAAACTCCTTCGCTCCAAAGACGATGAGTGGGAAAAAAACAGACAACAAAACGGAATTCGGCCAACCCATAAGACATACCTCATCAGCAAAAAAAAAAAAAAAAGATCTTGCGACATTCCCCCTCTCAATCTCCCTCAACCAGTAACCCTTCTGACCCAGAGTGTGGTAGGCTCGTAATCTGCATCCCTGTCCAGTCTCTTATACGCCATATGTAGCTTCAGCCCCAGCTCGTATTCCTCGCGCCGAACTTCTGACAGCTCCTGTTTCAGTGCCTCGACCTTCCTCTTTTCCATCTCGCGCTTCCGCCTCACCGCGTCGCTGTTCATCAAGTTGTCTGTCGGCATGAGCTCTGTCATTTGAGTAATGGAGCGATTAATGTTCATCTGTCGGTTTGCGAGAGCCTTCAACTGAGCGTTGAGCATGCCGACACGATCCCGTGCCTCGCCTGCCGATGTCTCTGGCGGGGCCGGGGGCAGCATCTTGTTCATACTGGACGCGCTAGTCGGCCGCTCCGTAACTTGCTGCGCCCGGAGGACGCTCGGGTTGGGTGCAACTCCGCCTGATCCAGGCGCCTTCTGTGCCCATCCAGCTTGAGATTCACCAACTACCGGGGAGGCGACCAGCTCCTGCGGCGATGCGGCCAAGGGGCTGTTTCTAGGTGAAGGAATGTTCTCGCGCTCAGCCTGTTCGGTCATGATGTTCTCCTTTTCCTTAAGCCCCGGAGGCAAGGTCGGCATAGGGGGTCGGTCACGGTCACGGTCTTGGTCGTCTATCGAATCGCGCGATGTCCCGGTAGCACTCGTTGCGTAAGTAGTGACACTAAACCGAGATGGAGGAGGTACCCAGGTATCGTTGGATGGTGCGAGGCTGTTTGCGTTGGGGTTGTGAAGAGGAGGGGTCGGGGAGGCCTCTGCTAGTTGGGAATAGACCGACGAGATAGAGTCTTGTTGATGGTGGGCTTTGACATGCGCGGGTGGTGGTTTCCTGCGGATGGCGTTTTTCTCGTGCGAGCCAAGAGTTGATTTTGGGCTCAAAGGGGAACTGGGAAACTTTGCTAGGCCGTCGCGGGCCAGTTCCTTGGCTGCTAGCGCCGGCGCATCTCCTCCCACGGGGTTTCCAGAGAGCGGAGGGCTTGGAAAGTTCCCATCGCCATGAGACGGCGAACTCGTGGAGGGTGGTGGGGACAGCTGTGATGAGGGAACAACTTGTCTCACGGTGGCGCCGCGAGGCCCCGTACCGGTGGCCGTTTCAGACCCCGGAGGGCTAACAGGGGGTGTCTGTCCACGCCTCGGCGCCACCACTGCAGACTTAGGTCCGGGCGCAAAGGATGGCGACACGACTCTCCTGTTGCTTTTATCAGGAATCCGCAAAGGTGCCACAGCGGGATTGTCGCGCACGGGGTCGACAATTGTTGTCCGCCCACTCGCCCCACGCCAGCCGGGGCGGGATGACGCGAAAACGCCGGCTGCAGGGTCCGCATCGAGCTCCTTTCCCCCGCCCTTTTTGGTCATCCTCCGCACTCTATCGCCGAACGATGTGACTACAGCGGATGGACTTCTCTGTGTCGGAGCCGGTGACTGTGACATGACGCCTAAGCCCTGCGCAAACGCGGCAGGCTTGACTTGTGACGGCCGGCCGTGCGCAGCGGTTGTCCGCTCGCCAGTGATCGGATCCCAGCGGGGCCCGTCCTGTGCGGGTTGGTTCTGAACTTGCTGCTGCTGCTGTTGGTGCTGTTGGTGTTGGTGCTGTTGCTGGCGTGATGGCGGACGGTCCTTTATAAGGGCGTCGCGTAGGGCCGCGTCGGACTGTTGGCGCCGGGCTCGGCGTATCATTGGGATATTGGTGGCAGCTTTGCTCTGGGGCGGGGGAGCTTGTCGCGCTTCCTGGACAGACATGCGATTGGCCTTGCGGTTCCTTGAGGAGCCGGGCTCAAACTGCGATGTCTCGGGAGGGTCATCCTCTATGGGGGACACGTCATCGCCCTGGTACCGGTATGCCCCACCGGAGTCTGGCTCGGGAGAGCTCGGTGGCGAGATGTCGTCGGCCGCCCCATACCGGTGATTGTATTTGGTCGCCAGGTTTGTGGAATGGCTCGCCGCCGGCGCAGCAGGGAATTGCGTGTAGATTGCAGACGCTGGCCGAAGGTTAGTGCGTAGCGCAAGGCGGTTTGGGTTTCGCGGGGGCGGTTCCTGCACGGCAGGGGCAGATGAGGTTTCGCTGTAAGTCGGAGAGGGGTGACGGGTTAGCTTTTTGAGTCTAAGAAATCAAGAAGGAAAAAGAAGTTTCAGAAAACACGCTTTGAAGACGCTCAAATTGGGGAAACGGTGGGTTCGGCGTGCATGAGGAATGAAGGGTTTAAAGTGGCCGAACTTTATTAGAGAGCTGCGGCTTCCCCCAGAAAAAGAACGGCGGACTGCGGGCAGGTATGACGGTGGTGGTGGTGGTGGAGGGGTAAGATGATGGGGTGGGCTGGCTGGCGCACTTGCGGCAGCCCCCCATCTGATGTTGAGGTGGCCGTTACATCTCCGCTGGACGAGCAGGCAAGCTGCGCATCACCCCAAACCGGTGCGCTCTGCGTGCCGGACAAAGACAGTGGAGCGCCCGATTCAGGTGGTGCGCAGGCCCTACCACCGCAAAAGCCCCTTCTAATCAAATCCTAGGGGAAAAGAGGGTCGAGTCGGGCCTCACTCAGCTTGCCAGATGAAAGACAGACCAACAAACGCATATCCACACGCACATGGGCGCACACACACAGGCACACTTACAGCTGGGATTGCAGAAACTCTCTCGGCGGTCTCGGGGGCGGCGGTCCGCCCTTGATTGAATAGCTGTATCCTCCTCGCGGGGTGGCCGCATTGTTGTTGCCGCCCAATCCCACGATGTAGCCCGCGCGCATTCTGTCGTCATCAAGCGGGCTACCGGCTCTGTGCGGAGCCGTCTTGAGTCTGTCCCACATGGTGGGCATGGTGGAATGCCGTTGTCGTCCTCGCTCGGGTCGGGTCCCGTAGCCTCAGACCCAGGATCTGGCGCGTCGCATCTGCTCTCCGCGACCTGTACAGCGCCTTTTAATGAGAATATCGTCCTGGCCGGGTGGTTGTGTCTTGCCCTCCTTTCCAGCCGTCGTCCTGATTGTGGGGTCCTGGTACACGGACGTAGGTTGCTGGTCGGTACGGGAGTAGAGCTTGTTGATTGGGTTGCGACTAAGATCAGATCTACGGTAGTGCCGAGTGGCAGGCCCTCGTTAGATCGTCAAAGTGGTGGTTTGAGCCAGACAAGAGCAGGCGCATTGAATAACTCGAGCTTCTGTCCGTGTCGATCTCGAAGGGTGAAAAGAATGTTGTTGGTGGGCCGGAGTGCTGTACTTATTCGGGCTCAGCAAAGGGCAGTGAAGGAGGCAGGGTAAAATAAACTAATAGACGAGAGTCGTTGGTTGTTGCCCTAGGCGCAATGAGAGACAAATGGGGAAGTGGAGAGGGAGTGTTGACAAGCAAAGAGAAAGCTTGGACGGGAATTGGTCTGGCAATGGAGGGGCTATGCACCTCATTAATTATAAAACAACTAGTTAAGAATTAATGATGGAGGTTGGAAGGGAAGGCAGCAAGTAATACGTTGTTTGTTTGTTGACTTTGGTGTCGAACAAATTGCAAGACGGGTTCGGTTGGCCTGGCCGTTTTTTCCAGCCCAGGGCAGGGCATCAAATCAACACTGGATTGCAAGTGACCTCCTCCCGTCCTCATAGGCATGAGAGCAGCTGGATGGATGGCTTTTGGGCTTCGGGGCCCCGGCCGTCGTCGGCAAGGCCCACCTCGGTATTTCTTTCTGCGTCTGTTTTCTGGTCGAGTGCGATTTCGCCAGTCATCAGCCCGGCTGCCCTCGCCGACTGTGCGGCGCGATACGGCGCTGGTCGTGTCACTGGCCCGCACTTCCCAAGGCAGGTAGCGCGCGATTCGGGGCGTCACGCTCTGTGAGGCCTGCGCTAGAGCCGTTGGTCTCGCTCTTCCCAGCCCGGGTAGTTGTTCGTGGATGAAACAAGCCGCGCCCTGCGGGAGCTTACTTGGTTGGGTCCCGAGTGGGGTGGGGGTTGGGGTTGGGTTGGGGGGAAGCGGTCACCTGGCGGGTGGCCTTGGGCAATGGATGCGAGTGGCGTAAGGATTGTAAGTATTAGTAAGTAGGTTACTAGTAAGTAGGTGGCATTCCGGGCAAGCAAACATGCAGAATTTGGACGGAAAGGTCTAGACTGGGAAAGGGGAGGGAAAGAAAGAAAGGAATTGGAATTTCCAACAGCTCGCCGTGGTGATTGCAGGCTTCCAAAGTCATATACATTACATGAAGTGCATGGCTCTGTAGGAATTATGAACACATGGAGATACCCCCACCATTTCATTTCAGCGGGCAGAGACTCAATCTGCAAGGGCCCCGGAAGCATTCTACTCCAGTAGCAGACTCGGCGGTGGCTGCTGATCTCTGCCACCAGTGCTGTCATGACATCCCATCCGCTGCTCTTTCAGCCGCTTATGCCATCTGCTGCTGGTCAGACTGGAAGGGCCCGCGCCGTGCGTCAGCGTGTCAGCCGGGGGGGACGGCTGGGTCGCACGGGGATAGAATCCAATAGGGGCGCCCCGACTGAACGGCATCAGGCACTGGAGCAAACAGCCATGGCCCCCTCCACGTGTGTCTGTCTTAGTGATGTGCCTGCCTTAGTGTATGTATACTAGTACTGTATGTACATACATACATGAAGCAGCCAGTCGGGGGTCGCCCAAGCAGACAAAACTAAGGCGCTCTACGAGTCGTTGACGTCGTACACCACTCCGTTCCCGGCTGTTATTGGGGCCAGTCCGTTTTTACCTTGGGCGGGTAGGCTGCGAGGAACGAACGACTGATGTCCACCGTGTCCAACATGGCCGTTCGAGGACGGGCAGTCAGCAGTTGTTGCGTGCACTAACTTGAAGCATTGGGTGGGGTGGTTATTCCGACGAAGGAACCTTGGAAGGTAAGGTAGGTATTTTTGGAAATGGAATGGAACGACGAGAAAGGGGTAAGGCTCGTGTTTCACTGGTTAGCCCCGCTGAAGCCGGCTGGTCACTGGTCTTGCTAAGCTCACCATGAGGCACGGGCAGACCACCACAGGCATGCCTACGGGGCACAGGCCATCATTAGTAACCTGTTACGGCTTCGGGCGCCGGCCTAGGTGTGCTGTTGCTGGATGCCCTGCATGAGATGCTGCGAACGGGTGGTTTACGCTACTGTATGGATGTACAGACAGTGGAGTACTTCGTACCTTAGATTGGCAGGCGTTCATTAGCGGCATACCCCGCCTACTTGTGCCTCCAACGCCTTGCGGGACCATGCTATTTTCACGGGCATCCTCGCCCCGGGCGGGCAGGCGCACCGACGGACAACCAGCCGCCGCGCCTAAGCTTAGCTGAGATGGATGAAATTGCCTCTTGGCCCGCTCCCAGTTTTACCTGGTCCCGATCGCAGAACTAAATCTAGTACGGATACGTATAAGAAATCTCCGACAGCCCTGCGTCTAGGCCGTAGCCGTGGGAGGATTGTCTTGGAAGCGTCGCTGGTCCGTCCGTGGCTTGGGCTTCCATGAATGCTTCGATGAATTCTGCCGGCGCAAATCGTCGATGCCAGCTCCGCAAGTTTGGCTTGCGGCTGCGGGGCTCCGCCTTGGTGCTGAGAGCTTTGGCGCTGGCAAGACGGAGACCAAGGCGCCCGTGATTAACGGATCCGCGACAGAGACCCAAGACACCCCGCAAGCCTAGACTCAGCCGGCCGGAAATGTGTGCAGGGGTGTTCCCAGTCTTAATCAACCCCGACGCTTGTCTATTTTCCTTTTCAACTTCCTTCCCTCTCGAACCGACCTTCTCGCTGCTAGCTCTTGCAGCTCTAACAGCCGGGAACCGTCCGGTTGTCTGGGCTTTGGCTTGTACAACCAACACGTCGCCATAGCCGAAGCTTGCCAGCAGAAAGCCAGGGTTTCATCGACATGACGACCAAATCGAGGTCAAGACCGAGCTATCTCGTCAAAGCCCGAGTCTTGCGGCGGCGAGCAAAAGTGTTGGTCCAATATTAGGCCGTCAGGCGGCGCAGGCATTCAGCATTACTCGAAGGCCACTGAAAGGTTAGCCCTAAATAATTCCATCAGTACCTACAGCACAGGCTGAATGTACTGTAAGGTATGTATCCATTGTAAGGTAGGCCATACTTCGCAGTGGGTGTCCTCCGCACCCACTGAGATGCAGCCTCTAGCGCGTACTTTAGGTTTCCAATTGGCACCTTACCTTTGAGTACCTAGTTTTGCACTTACATCCATAATACCAGCTTCGTACTCGCTCCAGGGCCCGCTCTCCATCTCTTGGTTACGTTACAAAGGCAGTGGACTGGACTGAGACACTATTTGGGTGCCGGCGGCGGGAGGTGTGGGGGGTATGGCCTGTGTCCGCCCGTCTCCGGACGGCATTCCCGCGGCGTGGAGACAGACGCCATCAGATTATTGACTTGGCAACTTCCAGTCTTTCGAATGGGGCAAAGGGCGCAAGGCACACACGATCGACAATGGGTGTCTCAATGCATTCAGCTGAGGCATCTCCCAGGCCCTGGCTGCATCTCTAGCTTCTCATCCATTCCAACGCCGATTAATGTGGGTGCCCTCGACGACGACAACCACGCAAGACGATTCCGTCAACCCACCGTCCCACATCCGCACATCTCGACGCAAAGCCATGGCGCAGCCAGATAATTAGTCCATCTCAGGTACGTATCTTAGCAGGCGGATCACATCACCGCCAGGTCAGGCCCCTTGTGAAGTTGTGTTACACTGATTACCCGCAGGCCTAGAATGATTACACCACTGCACAGTATCCCGTACCTACAATAGCCGAGCCTATAGGCAAATAGGTAGGGCCATTTTTCCTCTGCGGGGGAAGGAATTGGCGCCGGTAGCACCCGCCAAAGACATCCCCCAGACGAAGATCGGCAATTCAGAACTCGAACACCAAGAAACCTACCGGCTACCTATCCCCAATGTGAAATAGTACCAAGTGAGCTAGCTCATGCTCGACGCTTGATCCACGCATTTAGAGACTTAGACTCACTCCGTGTTCTGGGCCGCAAGCAACCCGGCACAGCATTAGCTTGGCTTCTTTATTACAAAGAGAGGTGATCAGGGCAGACACACAAGAGGATGTGGGTTGCTGCTTGGCACTACTACCGAGCCGAGTGGTGCTAGTGCCAACGCAACCCAAGACGTTGCACTGCTACCCTCATGGTCAAGCTTCCAAAACATACAAAGTAGCTGAGGCAGATTAAACCGCCCGTAGCGCGTTACACAAACCGCGCTTATTGCCGCTAAGTTGTACGTCAGAATCTCTCGGCATCTTCAGTCAGCCATCTCATCACAGTAGCCCGCAATCGTATCCGGCTTATGAAGAAGTCCCACTTTCACGCCTACAATTCCATACAATTCCATAAGGTACCCACCAGTTTACGGCCCAGTGAGAGAACCTGAGAGGCCCTTGGCCCACGCATTAGAACATCGTGTTTAAAAACGGTGTGTCGAAGAATCCGGAGGTGAACTCATCTTGAAAAGGGCCGCTTTTTGAGTTGTATGCTTTTTTTAGTCATTGATGATAATAAGAGAGGCTCACATAATTTACCAATTGTCATGTACTTCCAGAAATAGTGAAGAGAAACAAATTCATCATGAAATATTATTCTCTCATGCCATATGCTATTGTGCTCTACAAAGCATTCATAACTCCTGGTCGCGACTTCAAATCTTATTTGTTTTCAGAAGCGGGGAGGACTGAACAGATCATAACTATCTCGTGCCTGTGACTGCGTGAGTCAAAGGCAGGAGAACTCCCTGACCGATGATGAAGGTACTTGATTACCTCATGGTGCTAAGCTGGGGCAAAATGGCAAAGATTCACTCAAGGACACAGTCAGAGAATCTCTTCACTCATCTCATCGCCATTGACACGTTTCCATCATAATCGCCGACTCGTCCCTGACAAGAATGGCAGACCTGAGGAGGGATATTGCGATGGATCAAATCATCTTGAGGCTTTCTGTAGTTAGTTGAAAGACACTGGGCTTATAAAGCGGATAATATCGAGTATTGCTCTTGCAAAGTCTAGAATAGTCGTCTACGGATTTCTGGTTCCGGAAAGCAGTTGCCAGCCATCCCTCTCTATATACCTGAATCAATATAGATGGATACTGGGCTGTGGAGACTATCGCTGCATATGCAAGGCTTCCTGGCCAACACCAACATTTCTTATACCCAAAAGTACTAAAGTTGCAGTTCCAGTAATGGAAGCAGGGTAATGGAAGTAGGGTAATGGAAGCAGGGAACCAATAGGTTGAGGCACAAAGTATAAGCAGAAAAAAAAACCGATGAGAACGGGGTTACAAGATTCCGTGTCTCACATCTTGAACACATAGTTCAATCTCTTTTTGAACTTGATTTTTTGCTTCTTAACTTTGATTACTTCAGAGCACACTAGACGGGCTGCCGAGTCTCCTCCTTCTCTGAGTCAGTCATGAACATGGACGGAATGTTTATGTCTGACCCGTTCGACTCCTGGTAAGAGCCCACGTTATTCTTTAATGATTCCGCGTGCCGTTGTTTCCCCCGGCCCACATTCGGCTCAACGACGACGCTGGTAACCATGTCCATCTGTATGATCATGTCATTTGGAGCGCCCACCATCTTCCCCCTGAGCGACTCCTCACTCGCTGTGCTGACCTGCCGCCGGGCCAACCGCCGGCCTTTGAACCTGCCATCCAAGCCTAGCCTCTTCCAACCCGACAAACCACGATCGGCGGCAGCCCGGCTGCGGTTGAACACGCGGCCTTCCTCCTCTCTAGCCGGCCCCGTGTCCTGCCTCTGGCCGGCGGCACCCTCGACCCAGACCATGTTGCCGTACTTCCGGTCCGGCGGCGTGCGCATAAAGGTAAAGGTGCCTAGGCCCGTATCCTCGGCGTCGACGTCCGAGCCGAAGAGAAGGCGGCGCCGTGTCACGCCCCAAAGCAGCACGTCCAGCCATCCGTTGCTGCTGATAAGGGCACCCGCAACGCAGAAGTAGGACACGGGCACGTTGACCCCTGCCATTGAGACTATGCGTCCGACGGCGAGTGGAGCAGTGCAGATGACATAGATGACGGGATAAAGTAAGAAAGCGTTGTGGTGGCCGCCGAAATGCGCTTCGATCGCGGCGGTCGAGGAGTGGACCCCGAGCGCTGTCTTCGGATCCATCGATCTAGATCCGGTCCCGTTAGTAGGGCCTGTTTCGCTGTCGGCCGGAGAAGCGTTTGCATGAGCCCGCAGAGACTGGGAACGGTTGCGAAGGTGGAGGAAAATGAGCGTATAAATGATGCTCGTCATAGCCAACGAGATGAAGATGAAGAGATAATGCAGGACAAGGCGGTAGGTGTCGTATTTGACATTCATCCAGCACTATGATCGTATGATGGTCAGCAAGGGCGAGGTCATATGAGAGACGGCGATCTTCCGAATCGGAGAGTGCCAGTCGCGACAAGACTCACCTACGCAGCTGCCCGGACATAAAACCCACCATACTCTCTCCCGTTGTTCGTTATGACGGGCCCGAGAATTGCCAGCAGGTAATCGAAAACCCAAAGGCCGACAACCGTCAAGTTGAGGGCCCACTGTGGCGGCTTGTAGTTTCGCACAACGCCTAGGTAGGTGTGGAAGGCGATGGCAGTGATGAAACAGCTCGACGCGAGATCCCCCGTCGATACCAGCCAGCCCTGAGCAAAGCACGTGCGTGTGTGGACGTCGATGCCATTGCGCTGGCCGATCCAGACCCCGTTGAGAAGAAAGGCGGCTGACTGGTGAATGTCGGCGAGAAAGAGGTTGAAGACTAAGACTAAGAACTGGTTCGGATGTGACTTCTCCCTGTCAGGGAGCCCGCGGCGGCTGGCGTCCTGGCCGACAAAGTGGCGTTCCGCAAGACCGAGGGATAAATCCACGGGGTTGGGCGCCGTGGCGGTTGCTCTCCGGGCTGTAGTCCTCCTCTCGACATGCCACCTTAGGAGTTTGAGAGTTAGATATAAGAGGACGAAGTTGGATGACGCAAACGATATGCTCGCCAAGACGGCCACGGCTGTAAGTCCTTGGCGATGGCCCGCCGGCAGAGGAAAGAGGCTGTCACTGTTTTTGTCCAGGAGGGAGTAGCCGTGGTTGTCCGCCATGATTAAACACAGCAACTGGCCTTCTTTGCGTCATGGGAACTGTGACGGTTTAGAGAGCCATGCGGTGGGAGCTAGAAAGTGGACGTGTTGCTCCGCGTGTTGCTCCACGCCCCATTGGGCAGGGGAGATATGACTTAAGAGAGAATCACGGCACAGTGTCGGGCATGGGATGAAGCCGCCACGTGCCTGCACGACAAAGATCCCTGGCTGTCGATGAAGATGCAGAACTGTGGGTGCAGGTCCAGGTCCTGCCGATTGTTATGCCGACTCGCCGAGCGCCCGCTCGAGCCGTCTGGCGGTGGCAGGCAGGTACTGAGCAGCAGGCAGTCGGGCTGGCTGGCAAGCTGGAAGCCGGCCGGTTCCCGCGTCTGGTCCCATGCAGATGCGGATGCAGCGTATTGTGTAGTACTGAATACTCGTAGCACGAGCCGACTTGCAAACAGCTGTGCTTGGCGCTAGCGCTAACAAGAAGGTATGAGTGCCCGGTTTCAAGCTTCGGCGAACGGTACCATTTGTAGAATCCCTCAACTCTCATATCGCCCCGCCCCCCCAGATCGACAGACCTGGGTGGGACAGCCTGCGCTTTGGAGCGCGGACCCTCTAGTGCAGGTCTCTGGCCCTCAAGTAGTATTCGTTAGTAGTCGATCAATCCGTACGGGATGCGGATAGCCAGGGTGTCGAACCTGGGTGGGAAAGTGAAGCCTCGCGGACCTCAGCCAGCCACGACATGCAGTCTGCCGAACGGCCCAGTTGCTGTGCCTCAGCGTATTCCATGGTTCCTTCGAACTCGGGCATGGGAAGGAATTCTGACATGGGTCGAAGGGTCCTTTTCTCTCTCTGCGTATTAATTCCTTGCAGCAACCAATTGGATATCATGGTGCACTCATAGATCCGTGGTTGAAGTCATTCCGGAGGAATGCAAAGTGCTCTCAAATGATTGAAGACACTTTAAATGTTGAAGAATTTCTCGGCACGTCGGATAAAAAGCTTGTTTGAACTATAACAGGGACGAGGTTAAGTAAGGTATGGTAGGGGATAAGAGGGGTGTGAACTGCATATCTCAATGTCCAGAGGCGTTTGCAGGCCAGGGCACTTTTACGGGTAATAACTTAGGTAACGAACGGTTGCTGGCCATCGAACCCAGCAGGCAACACGAGCACAAAGCGATATAATTACTTTGAAATATCGCAACGATGGATCAAGGGCCGATCGCATGCCGCCTGCTACTTGGTCCTAAGGAAATAATATTCTGGTGGTTTGCAACTATGGGAAGCAGTCGACTGACTGACATATGACCGACTGATGTGGTCATCATGCGTTGGAAGCAGGACCAGACCAGGGACACTCTCCCTAATCTGAAGCCCCCAAACCCCCTTGGAGAGTTGAAATCGGCGGACACGATTGTAAGGCGGAGTTGCTGCTTTTGGGAAACGGACCGATAAGTATGAGTAGTGGGCATTGTCTGTCGTCGGTGCCAGAAGTTTCTCCAAGGCAGTTCTCGAAGCTGAAGCCAAGTGCAAGTCCTGGTGGTCCGGTCCCGGAACTTGCATGCGGGGCTTGACTCGTCGACAGCGAGTTGAGTTGAGGGACAGCGGAAATGCGGCTCTAGGCCAGTGAGCTCCAGGGCACGGCTCCCGACCAGGCTGCCCTGAGACGCTCGGGCTGCAAGGGCCACACGGCTGGCTGGCGACCCTGGAGCCTACAGGTCGATGAAACACAAGGGCTGGACAGTCGGTCGGGTCGCTGGAGAGGTTTGGACGGATACCGATCACACGGAAACAGAAAAGAGATGATTCCCTCTCAGTAGGAGCAATACCCCAAAAACCTGGGTTGCAGTTCTTGGCATCGCCCTAAAGAACCTAAACAGGCAGCAGAGTCTAGAACTGAATTGGAAGCTCTGAATCAATTCGGCGCGTGGTTAATTCAAGCAAAAGGAGAAGATAACGACAGCATATCCGTACCTGCCTCACTCAGCATCGGTGTGTTTGAGACGTCCTCTGTAAATTAGGTAGGTACAGTACCCTATGCAGGACCTATATCACCTTCCTTTCGGGTCAGGTGGCGTTGTATACGGACATTTCAGTTCATAAAATGCTCCCAAACTACACCAGTGAAAGCGAGGTGTGTGTGGGTTACGATGCTAGTGCAAAAGTTCAATTGCGGGCTGCACGTGATTCAGTGCGTGACTGGCTCCGAAACCTTCCTGTTCCCTGTGAGGCGGCTTCATTCGTCGAAAATGGTGCAATCCGCGCTAGGCCCAAAATGGACGAGCTTGGAAAAGCATGCTCAAACACATCGACGACGTCGACCCTTTTCTTCCTTCCCACCCCTTCTCGTCACCAGTCCTGCATGCTATGATCCCGGGCAATTGCTTCTTATTTTTCTGTATTTTATTCATATGAAATCCGACGCAGTTTGGCCCTATCTAGCGAGAGAGGTATTTGTGCGACTGCCTCGCTTCCTGCTTATTACTCAATATTCACAAGAGACCAAAAAGACCAAAAAAGGGCAATGCCAAATATAGTGCCACAGGATCAGAGTGACGCTCCCGTCATTAGAATCGGCGTCAGGGAAGTTGCCGCTCAGTCTCATCCGTCATCCTCCATCATTGCCTCGTTTCCCCCCAAAAAAGAAACCCCCCCCAATACGTACCCACGCTCTTGCTCGCTCCTCGTCGACAGCGGCGCTGGACCTAAAGTCCTTCCCACACCTCTCACAATTTCTGTCCATACGCGGAGTAGTATCCGCAGTTCTTAACATGGCTTTTCTTCCCCGTGTCGGGGTTGAAGATATGGCAACCCCCTTTGGCCACATTAGGCGGAGTGTACAGGTGGAGGGACACGGCGAAGTCGCTGCCCCGGTTCCACACTCGGTGGACTCCGAGCTCGTCAGCCATGTATGCGACCTCGTTCTCGCGGTACCCCTTTTCTGATATCACCTTCATCGGCTCCTCCTTATCGCTGTCGGGGAACCCATATCTCGTCTCTGTCAAGGTGCCTCGGAGGATCTTCATGAGGCAATGGGCGTTGCCGTGGTCGTGGATCGGGCTGCCCTTGCCGGGCGACCAGACGAGAACAAGCTGTCTCCTCAGTCAGGGGTCGGAACATGCATGGTTAGGGGGTTCTTTTCTGCGTGGACTCACCAGATTGCTCTTGCCATTGCCTTCGTCGACTAGGTTCCTCGTGTAACCTCTGCTCGCGTCGCCCATGGCAAACCTAGCCCACTGCCGCTCGTCGGTCTGATACTCCTCCATCAGCCGCGTCAGGTGCTCCAAGTCGACATCGTCGGATGTGAGTCCCGACGACGGGCCGAGGGCATCTTTCAATTCCTGGACGAGATCATCGAACATATTGGCGGCGGCGTCCGGGGTAGCGCTGCAACCGAAGGACAAGCTCGCCACGCTGGAGCCTAGCTTCCGGACAAGATCAACAGTCATAATGTCGGTATTGAGGATGATACGAGCGAAACCAAAGGGAGAGCCAGTAACTGGCGGTCTAGGGACACAAGCGTGTTTTCTGCGAATCCAAGTCGTGGCACCAAATCGATGAACACCAAGGATACTACAAAGAGGATGCTCGATAATTATTATTGTCGATGATTGTGCTAGATCACCACTTGTTCGAAGGTAGGTTGATGGGATATCCAAGAAGAGACTTCAATTGAGGGAAATGGCGGTGTCAGATATAGCAGCTTCCTTTGGGGTCCGGCCTCTTGTCGGGCGGGTTAGGCTTGCTGGGGTCCGAGACCGATCTCGGTGGAGAAAACGGCATCCCCGTGACCTGGCATAAAAATAACCTAGGGTTTGCGGCAACGCGGCCAAAGGTTTTGGTTTAAAAAAATATCACGTCAACCTATGTCCCGTCAATGTTTGTCTTGAGCAGATGTTCTTGGTTCACCAAACTCGATGCGATGTAACTTGAATCCTTTTTTTTCTTGGCTCATGGCAGTTTCCTCCGTTGGTTAGGAACCTGCCCTGTTGGCTTATCAGGTGACAAGACGGCAGTTGGATAGACGTTTGCGCTTGGCATCTCCAGGCCAGTGAGCTTACGGGCGGGCCGAAACCCCCTAAAAAGGACACTTTGGCCTTCTACGGCAGTTGGCGGTGGTACAAAGGAAGGTATATCTTTACGGATACTGTTTGCGACTATCGGAGCTATCGGAGTGACGCGGGTGGCAGGCCACGCTTCCTTCCCGGGCTGGGGCAGCTGCCCGCATTCCAACGGGTTCCCTGCTTGAGGAACCGTCACATAACCACCCCCCCTTTTTTTGGGCTTTTTTTTTGGGCGATTTTCCCACTACGCAATACACTCACTCAGTGTACCTCCAATGTCCAGCCGCGAGCTTGCCCCCGCAGGTATGCTATGTGGCTTCGTTCCCACCCTTTTGGTCTCACAGCCAGCCAGCCAGCCAGCCAGCCAGCCAGCCCGCCCGCCGAGGGAGGAACAGGTTTATATCGTGTCGTGCTCGGTCGGGGATATGATATGATATGCTATCAAAACAGAAGAAATGGCCAGATCAACTTCCCTCTGACACGCCAGTGGCTGATGGCGGGATTCGCTTGTTTGATGTCGACATTGGTGGATTCTGCACCGCTTCGTTCGGCAACACTCCCTCTCCCTTTTTTTGCCCACGATTCGTCTGACCTGACGTACGGTACCGCTTACTTGTCTGACGAGTCGATGAGTCCTGTTGGCAGGCAGAGCGTCATCTGCCGAACAGTGATTGCCGCGGGAACGTCTTGCGCTCGTCACATCGTCACGAACGTCATTTGGGACAGGCATTGGGACATTTTCCCCAGGTACATGTACAGAGTACTCCTCGGTACAAGGAGATAAGCCGTAAAAATAAATGACACATAAATAAAACGCTTGATTCTGCTTCTACCTAAGAAAACATACGATGTGCTAAATGCCAAACAAAACATCACCGGTTCTCCAACTCTACACCTTCGTCATCTATCAACTCTTCCGTCCCATCTAGGATTAGACCTGATCTGCCGCCGCCTCCACCTCGCCTCTCATCAAGAGAGTCCCGCAGTTGGATCCTCCCTCCTGACGCGGTCGACACCTTGTCTGAGACCCAGCCGGCGACCCGACTGATCAGCCCCCAGAGCCGCTCCTGACCTTCTTCTTCGGGATGGGCATCGCCACGCGGGTTTTCCGCCGCCTCAACCTTGAACTGGTACTTGAGGCAATCCTTGACTGTCACCAGGCCGGCTAGCTGCCCGCGATACTCGATGAGGATGACGCGGGGCCCGATCTTGCGGAAGAGTTCCATGACCGTCTCAAGCGGGAGCCGCGGGTGAACCGAGACCGGCGTGGTGTCGACGTATGGGCTAAAGTCTATGGTTCCAGATGCCCAAGACTCAAACGTCACCCGGTGTATTGGTGTGGTGGCATCTGTGGGCAGGTGCGCAAAGGTGCACTTGGCGAGCGGGCTCATTGACCGTTCGCGCTTCATTCGGTCGACGGCATACCGCAACTCAGTGCGACCAATGTACCCCACTAATATTTTGGAGACTTCGTCCTCCACGATGGGGAAGCCTTGGTAGCTGTCGTTAGAAAGGAGGCGCTCGACGGCTTTCAACGTCATGCCGGTGGTCGGAATTGACACGACATCCGTAATCATAACCTGGGAGACGGGGACGCCAAAGTTGTGGTCCTCTTTGTTATCCAGGAATGGGAAGCCGCTGAACCAAATCATGCGATCAGCAATCCCCCCCTTGCCGAACAGCTCGCTGACAGCCTTGGTGACACCAACCACGATCATTGTCGGCAGAATATACGTGAGGGCGCCAGTCAGCTCAAACATTATGACGACGACGGAGACTGTGATGTGCATGATGCCGCTCAGCGCGGCGGCAGCACCAAGAAAGGCGTATGTCCCTGGCGTGATGCAAGGAACATCAGGCTGGCAGGAAGCAAAGAACACGCTTTGAGGATTCGCCTCGTGAAGGGCTTGGACGATAATGCCAACAGTCCGCCCAAACGATGCCCCAACGGCCATCGAGGGTACAAATATGCCGGCGGGTACCTTGCACCCATATGAGATGATGACGAAGAAGACGCGGATAACGGTCGCCAGGACGAGGGAGAGGATGTTACGGAGGCGATGATCTTGCTCGCAGAGGCCATGGTAGTCCTCGGCACCTTCACACTCGAGGAAGAGGATCTCCATGCTCTCAGTCATATCGATCCTCAAAAAAGCGTTGGGATAACACACGATGGCTGTTGCTGCAGCCAGCAGGGTCGCCTCGAGAATCGCGTAATCAGACAGGTACTTCTTGCGGAAGGCCTGCGCCTTGAGATTCCACTTCATGACAAAGGCGCCATACAAGCCGCCGAAGATGCCAATGATTATATAAAAGACAACTTCAAAGAAGTGCCACGAACGGTCATATTTGACCTGGAACATGACCAACTGGCCTGTCCGGAAAGGATTCATGGCAGCTAGGACAGCGGTTGCCACTAAAGCGCAGAAGTAGCTGCGCCACATGGTCTTGAGGGGGAAGTGGCTCGACATCTCCTCGAGAGAGAACAGGACGCCGCCAATAGGGCTGCCGAAGGCGACGGCTACGCCGGCGGCGGCGCAGGCGCTCAGGATTTCGCGCGTCTTAGATGCATTCCGCCGGTACTTGTCAAACAGCTTCGAGATGACATTCCCGGTGCAGACGGCATAATGCACGCTGGGGCCTTCTTTTCCAACCGAAAGGCCGGAGCCAATGGCAAGCGGCAAGGCGACGGACTTGATGAACAGGGTCCAGGGGCCAAGAAAGCCCTTCATGACAAAGCCGGCGATAATGCACTTGATCTCTGAAATGCCCGAACCAGCGGCGTAAGGGGCATACGACTTGACGAGGGTGGCGGATGCAAAGGCAAAGGCGATCTAGGGCGGGTTAGTCGCGGGTACTTGGCACGGGACTAGGCCGTCCAGCCGGAGGGCACGAACCGCGTAGAAAATGTAAAGGAGGTAGTTCACAGGCTCAAGGCCTGTCCACCGATGCCAATCCTTACAGCCTAGCCAATGTCAGCTTTCCCGTACCATGTAAATTCTTGCGGGGGGGGGGGGGGGGCAGTCGCACCATTGTCCTCCCCCCAGCAGCAGAAGTTCTCGTTGAGGTAGAATCCGGTGGTGCAGTGGCCGAGCTTGATGTCGGCCAGCCATTCGGTGACAATGTTGAGAAAGGCAGCATTGAGGCCGATGGCGGCGCCGATGATGGTGACGACGATCCAGCCCTGGGCAGCGTCATACGACTCCCATATCCTATGTCTCCAGTCGCGGCGGCCCGTGTCGAAGAGGCCGGCGTTGCGTTTCCGTCTCGACTTTCGGCGCAGCTGCTCGCGCGCAGCATCCTGGACCCAGTCGATGGTGGTGAAGTCCTCGTAGCGCTTGATCTTGGCTATCTCCTCCTCGATCTGGTGCTGCGCAGCAATGCCCGAGCCATTGTGGTGGCCCTCGCCCTCGCCGCGCTCGGCGGTCGACACGGCAAAGGACAGTCGGGAGCTGACGGAAGGGCGCCGCGACGACTGCTGGGGCTTGACGATGTTGATGGATGAAACTGAGGCGGATCGCGAGTGGGAATTCATGGCGCCCTGACTGCCTCGCCTTGTCGCCTAGGTCCGTCGCATTCGGCCGTTCTTCGAGCTGGTATCGAGAGGGCGACACCGGTTGCCGATGCTCCCGTCGACTTGACTTTGGAAGCCTGGTGGTTGACTTACGTACTGAGAGCTGCAAGGCTGAGGGTTGTCGGTGGAGGTGCCTCGATTGGCTATGCTTGGCGGCCGCTACAAAAGCTTGGACCAGTTTTGTCTGGGCCTGCCCGCGTCCTACTGGCGGGGTCCTAGACTGCAACGAAAGCTGCAAGGGAGCCGGCCGTTAATATATCGCGTCTCACGCGTCCCGAGGCTCAAGGCCGTTTCCCTCACCGCAGCCCCTTTATCATCGACAATTTTCAAAGTCGGTTTCTGCAGCCGTCGCTCGATTTTGATCCACGCGCTGTCCTCTACCAGACGAAATTAGAGACGGGATCTAGATTTCTTATAAATAAAGTGACGCTGGCTATTAAAAATCGGAGAGCAAACACGCGCCATTCAACCCAAAGCCCCAGCACTCGTCGGCCGAACTCTCTCATCATTTTGAGACGCAGCCAGAGAGGCAGTGAAGCGGGGCACCACCAACGACGCCCTCACATAAACTTGCTTTCTCCAAAACACACTCGCCGAGTTTCCGCCATCAACTTCACAATATAGGGATCTCTTAGCTTTCAACAAACCCAAGGAAAATGCCTTACAACACCACAGCCATTCCTCCCAGAAAGGAGGTCACCGGCCAGGCCCAGCTTCCCCGTAAGCACCGCCCCTCTTCCGCACTCATCTTTTATGAACTGTATTCTAACCTGGCCCCAACAACAGTCACGAGAGTCAAGAAGATCATTGCTGTGGATCCCGACATTGCGATCTGCTCCAATAATGCTGCCTTTGTGATAACTCTAGCAACTGCAAGTCTCCCCCAATCACACACTCACTCGCCCCCCGTCTCTGCTTCAAGCAAGCACTAACTTGACCGCTTTTGTTTCACAGGAGATGTTCATCCAGCATCTTGCCAGCGAGGCTCAGAACATGGCCAAGATGGAGCGCAAGCCACGGCGGAACATCCAGTACAAGGACATGGGTAAGAAGAAGGCTCTCATATCTCACCACTGTTTTTCCTTCAGAAACAGGAACCATCCATCTATTTCATGTCCTCATTATTTTGACATCACAACCCCTATTCCGCCTCCTATCCCCAAGTGTACCCGCCCGACCTCTCCTATTAAGCCTCCACCTAAATCCTTTTTTCCCCCTTTAACCCCTGATACCATCCATCATCGAGAATCCAAAAAAAAAAATCACACTCCTCACTAACCCCACCTCTCCCCCCCTCAAAAAAGCAAACGCAGTCACGCACCACGACAACCTCGAGTTTCTCGAGGACGTGATCCCCAAGACCACAACATACAAGCAGATCAAAGTGCAAGCGGCCGCGACGCGCGCCAAGCTCAAGGGCGACAAAGCCGCGGCAGCGGCAGCGGCAGCGGCAGCAGCGGGGACAGGGACAGGGACAGGGACAAGCGTCGGAGACGACGGGCGCGACGCCGACGAGGACGAAGAGCCGCAGCCACGACGGACCAGTGGCGGTGGTGGCGGGGGTGGGGGCACGCCCAACGGGAAGAAGCACAAGGGTATCAACGGCAGCGTGTCGTCATCGAAGACCAACGGCGTGTCATCGCGGCGCCGCGTGCTCTCGCTGGACGCGGATCCCAGCGCGCAGCTGGAGCTGGAGATGAGGCAGGCGCACTCGGCGGCGCGCGACGAAGATGTCGACATGGCAGACTAGATAGTGCTTAGGTACGTAGGGCTTCAGCATATAGATTGGTAGGGTAGGCTTGCTGAGGGGGCGGGGAATTGATATCTTGATTTTCTTGAGTTTGAGCTTTTCCAGCGGGACGCCTCATCTAGTCCTGCTGGCGTAATATGATTAACCCGTCATCCATCCATCCCCGGTCCCAGCGTTTGCCTAACATCATCATGGACGCATGGTTTCCATGTTCTTGAGTTTTTTTCTCTTTTTTGTGGCTTTTTAGAGCCTTAACTACATGGTATCCCATGCGCCACCAATTGGTGTAAACAGTCAGCGGTGCTGACCTACCGGCCCTCGTAATACCCATGCTATGACTCTCTGAAGCGTGGGAGCCGCCTATTTTACATAGACAAAAAGACACCGACGCCTTGATTTCCCTTTTTCCGGCGCTTCCCCTAAGACCGAACTTTTGGTTCAAATAGACGAGACTAGAGAGAGGGCTTCACTCTTGCATCTTTTCATCCTCGGCGTCGTCCTCGTCATCTTCCTCCTCCTCCTCTTCGTCGTCGTCGAGCACGAGACCCGGCGGAAGTCGGCCTTCGTTAAGGGCCTTCTCGAGCCTGAGGATCTCGTCCATGCTGGAGGCGTTCTTGATCATCTGCTTTAGCTTCTTGTTCTCCTTGTCCGTGGTGATGAGGCGCGACATCTTGGACGACGGCGCGCCGGCGCCGTTGGCCGCGTGGATGTCAAACGTGTTCGACTTCGCCCCCATTATCTAGCGGGACAAAACACACAGAGAGCGAGCACGTCAATACAAATGTCAACTTATTAGGGCGGGGGGGACAGGAGGTGGGGGTGTTGCTCACGGTCGAAGCCAGTTCCGTTGGCGTCTCGTGCGACCCGAACAGCTCCTTTGCCTTCTGGCGCTCCACCAGCTTCACTTTTTGGAAGTCCAGGAAGCGCACATTGGCGCAATGCCACAGGACCCAGTATCGGTAGTTCTATAGGGAAAGAGTTGCTTCTATTAGTCATGGCCCCTCCACGTCCACTTCTCAAGCTTGCGGGACGGGGGCTGGGGCGGGGAGGGGCAGCTGTACCTCTTTCTTGGTGACCGGGTTGCCCAGCAGCGAGAGGTGTGTCAGAAGCGGGAACTGGCCCAAGATTTCCAGGTCCGACAGCTCGCTGAGGTTGTTGGAGGTGAGCACTAGATTGCGCAGGCGGGGGATGGCGGCGGGCAGGCTCTGCTGGATGGCCGAGATGCGGTTGTGGGCGAGCAGCAGCGTCTGGAGGCGCGGCGACAGCGGGAAGTTGCCCAGCAGCTGTATGTCATTGTCGGTGAGGTCTATGGAGTCTTGCGCCTGTTTCGCGGGAGAGGGAGAGCAGAGGTCAGCGGCTGAACGCCTATGCGACAGAGGGGAGCAGACTCACCCCCGCCACACCCAAGTTCTCAATCGCTGGAATTCTGTGTCCTGTTGGTGCCCGAGGCAAAAAGAAAGCCTTGATATTAACTCTGCTCTGATCAATATGTAGTATCTGCTCTTTTCAAAACGCACCTCGAAGGTCGAGCTCCCGCTCCTTCAGCGGGTTGAGGTAGGAGAGGGAGTGGTTGATGAGCTCGGCCGTGAGCCTCATTGTGAGGGAAGGAAGTCGCGACTACCTATGGTGCTGGCCACTACTGAGCTCGCAAAATACTTACACAAAGTTGCAGCTCGGGTTTTCGTGATGGTGGTGAGTGCGGTTGCGTGCTGTGTGTATCGCATCGAATCGTGATTGTGATGCTAATTTTCGTCCTTCAACGAGTAAAGCGCGGCGCGTCCAAGATGTCGTTCTGCTCCGCAGGGCTGAACCGTCCTGGAAAATAATTATGGGCCTACAGAGTGTGGGGTACGGCAATGAGTTGGGGAAACTGGGCATGTAGAGCCCTAACCCTGAGAGACACATCACCATTCACAGATAGGTAGTTAAGACCGAGAAGAATTAACACGAGAGAAAGTGGTTCTAGTCCCGAATAAATACATGACGCCATCGGCTGCTATAATAACTAATAATAGAGGAGTATAATACCTCTACCTAGTCTTTAAATATACATCAAAAAAGCAATCACTGGAAAACAAAGACGACGCCGCTTCGATCTGCTGAGACCGTCATCGTGTACGGCGACTCGAGCATTGCCACGTCCATCACGGCGTCGAGGTGGCTCTTCAGCAGCTGCTGTTGCTGCAGGGATATTACTGTCGAGCGAGGCGGCCGGCTGGAGCGCCCCCTGGATCCCGAGACGGAACTGACAGCGCCGTTGGCAGGCGATGTTGATGCCTGTCTAGGCAGACGCTCCGTATTGAGCGTCATCGAAGTTGTCGGGTGACTGGCTGTGAAGGTCGGCCTTCCTTCCTCTGGCAGCAGTCCACTAAAAACCAAGCTGCTCTCGATGCGGGAAAGGTCCCAGAAGCGCAACTTCTTGTCTGACCCGGCTGTGATGATGAAGGCGTGCCTCACATCGCGCTGCTCTTCCGTCGCCCCCGTCCCAACAATCATGGCACGCACACCGCGGTCTGCGTTGCCGGTGGCCGAAGGCTCGATATTGGTGGCGAAACGGCCGAGCATCCCCTCTGGCTTGTCTTCGTCCACCTCCCAGGCATCATAACCCTTGGGGCCTTCCTTATTGCCACCAACTCGGTATATCTCTCGACAGAGCGTGCGTTCTAGATCCCAGACAGTGACTTCGCCCTGCCCAGTGCCTCCGGCCACGCAGATCCACCTGCCCCTACCCTTGGCGGGGTGCACGCAGAGGCGGTAAATGGAGCCTTTGCCAGGGACGCCCCAGCCCTTAAGCCGCATTTTGAAGCGAAGATCCCACAAGTCAAGGACGCCATGAGATGTTCCCAGACACAGCCAGTTCCTTCTACGGTCTATGCAGAAGCAAGTCGGTGTCCCGTGGTGGACGGGGTTCTCCAGCTTATAGAGCAACGTCATGGTCCGGAGGTCAATGCCCAGGATGACCGACTTATTTGTTGCCAAGATCAAGACCGAGTTCGCCTCCTGCTTGAAGTGTTCACACCACACTGCAAACTCGCCATCAACCAGCTGGTATTCTCGCAAAAGCCGAAGCTTGGGGTAGCGGAATGTGCCACTGCTAAACACAGTTTCGACCTTGATGACGTGGACGCTCCCGTCACTCGCGCAGCTAATGAAGCTGTGCGTGTTCTCAATGAAGCACAGCGCCAGAACCTTGGCGCCTGGGGCGTGCCTATGCACAAGCCTTGACCGGTGCGTAATGTTGCGCTCCAGTCTTGCGGTATCCCACACCCGGACGGAGCCGTCATCACCACCTGTCAAAAAGAACTGGTGGTCGGGAGAAACTACGATTCGGTTGATAGGCCCAACGTGTTCGGAAAACGTTGCAACAAGTTTGCCGGTCGGCTTCCAGCCTTCGTCCGAAGGTTGAGAGGAGATCGTCCGGCTCGACTTTCGGCGGCTAACAGGAGTAACCAATGGGCCGTACTCGGCGATATCGTGGGGGTAATTGTCGATATACATGGAATCCAACATCTTGAAAATGGCTGGGTCGTTACCATTGTAGCTGTGGTTAGCCCGCAAGCGTATCCTGAAATCTGCCAGATTGCTCTCTACTTCTAGAGGCGAATTTGGTGTTGAAGGCTGCGTAAATGGGCCTTCCACTTCACCAAAAGCGTTGGTTTCGGTGGTGGCAGTTTCGGCGCCCGATTTTGCACTGTCTTTGCGGTTCATGAGACTCATTGCGCTGGACTGGTGCCGCAGACTTCTTCTCGCTGCATAAGGTGCATCTTGGCCAGATCCCTCCACAGCTTTTCCATGGCTAGCCGATGTCCGCCTCGACGTATCCTTGGAGCTTTCAGTTTGCCTCTTGCTCAATGCAGTAACTGTTTCGTCTTCTAAAGACCGCCTCCCGTCTGTAGACATGGGAGAAAGATTGTCCCTGCTATTGATACGAGATCGGTGGTTATTCAGGGCTGCTCGCCGTCTCTTACCGAGGGGGTCATCAATTGTCATTGAGGCGTCAAGAAGCGCATCTGCAATGGTCCTCGGGGCCCCCGAGTCTTGGTCTAGAGCTGCCACGGTTTGCTGCGACGGCTGCTCTTCAAACATGACTGTCTGTGGAGTGATGCCCAAGCTTCGCAGGTTAACGATTGCATTAAGATCAGGCCCCAAAATACTTGAGCTCTCTTGGACGGCCGAATCTCTTGCCTTGATCTGGCTCAGGCGCCATATGAATTCCCGAAGGGCGAGAAGTTTGGGCTCGTCGTCTGAGGCAAGCCCGAGGTTTCGTAGCTTGTTGAGCCACTGCTCATCCTCGTCGTTTCTTGCAACTTTACTCAGACTCTGCGAATTCAAATCTCCAGACACTCTTGACGTCGCCGATGATCCCACCGCAATGTCTCGCAGCTTCTTGAAGGGCTTCCAGAAATCACCTCGGCTGGTCTTTGAGGCCCACAACAATGCTTGGTCGTAGACCGACCTCGATAACGGTTTCTGCAGAGCATCGAGAAGATCCAGCTCTGAGAAATCCGGTATTCTGGCCTGTTTAAGATATGGTTTGAGGTACGGCAACACCAAGACCCTAATGTAAGCGTTGCTGAGGAAGTGCATACCAGCCGCGATGAATTCAGCGGCCGACTCCCGGATCCAAAGATTGGGATGCATTGTGAACCGAGCCACAACACTGACGAGCTCGAGGAATGTTTGCTTGGTCAGGAGTCCCAGGTTTGCTAGCTCTGCAAGCGAGTGTAAAGCTCCTTGAACAACATATTCCTCGGGGTCGGTTACTGCCTGGATCATAAGAGGAAGAATGAACTTCTCGAGGGTGCTGCTTCCCAAGAAGGCCGAGATTCCTACGATTGTGTCGAAAAAGGCACACTTCAGCATCCAGTCACGGTCGTTCAAATATGTGTTGAGGTGTGTTAGGATGATGTCGTTGGCCTGGGCCACCCCAAAGAAGATGCACAGGTCAGGGACAGAGCTGAGAAACGCTCGCCGGACAAACGGGTCCGAGTCCTCGATCAGCGTCTTGGTGTGTGCTTCAAAGAGCTCCCCCAGCTCGCGGCGAGCCGTGTCGAACAGTTCGTCAAACGCGGCGTCCGCCTCCTTTCCAGGTTCGACTTCAGGGTCTGCGATGGTTGAAGATCCGTCCGCTCGGAGAGTCGCAGCCATTGCGAGGAAACGGTCTGCGATTGTCGCAAGCTTTCCCAGAGAAGAGGCGTATGTCGCCCTAACAATCGGCGAGGGAGTGCGCTGGGCGCCAAGCAGCGTGACCTGCATCCTAGGAAGTATGTATTCCAAAAATATTTGCGAGTTCACGGGGTTGATGAACGTGACCAGGTCAAGCAGTTGTGTTATTGTCCGTATTGCGGTGATAACGACAAGGTCGGCCTTGTCATTAAGTAGTGTCATTAAGTATGGCAAGACACGATCCAGCTTTGCCTCGTCGGTCAGGCGCTCGGAAAAGGCAAGCATAATGTCACAGGCCTTGACCTTGGCTGTGGCATGGGCGGTGTTACGGAGAGACGAGACAATCAATGTCAAGAAAATCAGAGTACCGTCGTCAGAAGCCGGCTGCTTCTCTCCCGATACGTAGTGTTCGTTGTTTGGTATATTCAAGAGGGCCGGGAAGTGTCCTATCCCGAGCCTCGGGGCTAGTTGGCGCGCTTGGGAGTTGTTCTCGTCCTGGTAGCCAAGGAAGTATGAGATCTTATCGAAATCCAGCCACACCCGCTCAATTCTCTGATCCGCCTCGGCTGTGTTTCTTGAAATCACCTGTGGCGAAAAGGGAGTATTGGACATATCCGTAATCAGCTCCATATATTGGTGCAGGAAGCTGTAAAAGTAGGCGGGAAACACCTTGCCCTTGTAGAAATCTAGGTACTGCTCAGCTGAGTAGCGCTTCTGGGGGTCCAGCTGGATCATGTGGGCAACCATTTCGCGCAAATCTCGATCAGGAATGCGACTAAGGTGTGAAATTCCGGGATCGTACTCGCCCCTCCGGTACTTGTAGAGTTGACTGAGGTTGAAAATTGGTGTCTCAAGGAATAGCTCAGCAATGACGCATCCAGCGCTGAACACATCCATGGCCCATGTTATCTTGGCATCGGGGTCAGACTCCTGGCCTGGAGGGAGAAAGCGTTCGGGGGCCAGGTAGCATGTCCTCCGGCCAGACGTGTCGAAAAAGTAGGAAAAGTCGGCGGGGTTGTCTTCGGGCAACGTCACGCGCTTGAACGAAGACGAGAAGTCGGACAGGTAAAGCCAGTTCCACGAAGTGACGAGCGTGTTCTCCGTTTTGATATCTCCATGGTAAATGTCCTTGCTATGGCAATCGCGCAAGGCGCAGAGAAGTTGAAAGGCCAGCCATTTCTTTTCGACGTCCTCGAGGAACGGTCTCGTGCTCAGCCGGTCGTAGAGGGAGTTGTAAAAGAACTGGCGGACGAGGTACCCGTTGGTCTCCGTCTCGATCGCTCGTTGGTATGGGAGGGTATTAGGCACGTCTGCGAGAGCTCGTCTCTCCCCTGTGGCTGCACGTCAGTGGACTTTTCCATCGCGCGCATGTTAATGGGACCGTTTGCTTACGGATGATTTCCTGTTTGTATTTGTCTAGGGACATGGGATACGGTTTGATGAGAACCTTGACAAGCACAACGCCGTCACGGTGCCTAGCCCGAATGCTCTTCATGAAGCGAGCGGCACCGATAGACTTCTCATACACCAAGTCTCCAAGCTCGGGGACATCGATGCCGGCAGCCCCAGCCGGGGGCGCGGCAAGAGAGAAGCCCTGGCCCATGGCTGCGGGTTCGCACAGATGGGAAACTCAATCCCGCCAGCTACCTATGACGAGATCCAGAAAGGCCGTGGCGCATCTTGGGATTAAGGTGGGAGGGCGATCGATGGTGTAAGCGATATCCGTATAGGCGGGCAGGCACGCGATGCCAGCTTCCGTGGATTCAGAGTGCAATCGACGAGAGCCGGTCGAGCTTGGGAGATGATGGTTAGGCCACGCGCGATAAAATCTCCAACACAAATAGAGATGGCGGGTTGATAGTATAGTCGTGGTGTCGATGCCTTCTTAGTTTCGAGATTGAGAAGGCGGCCGAAGTGGTAGGTGTGTTTACGCTTTGAGTTGGGGGTTTGGGTTGCCTACGAATGACCTACTGTACAGATACAGTACATCATAGGAGCCTTGGGGTTGGGGATTAGCAATGGCCAATCAGACGCTTCATAGATAAGATAAGCCTCCGCCTTCCCGGGCTTCGAGTGCCTGGGCGGGCCGAGTCCGCTTCAGCCTTATCGTGACTGAATCTCACAAAGCCAGGGACTGTACAACGTTCCAAGCAATTGCAGGCTTAGGTGCACAGGTCCCAGGCTATTATTTTCATTATCCTAAACAATTTGCAAAATGGATAATTGAAGAATCCCAGCAAATCGGACACCCAGCTTAGCTGACTGAGAATAATCCATTTGTTTGCATTTGCATGTGTTAACAGTTCACGAATCACCGAAGCTCCCGCGTCTTGGCCTAGGAAATACCCACCTTAGGTACGGATACGTAGGTATCAAGCTGGATTTCCCATATCCGGAACTCGACCCTAGGTTACCGTGGAGTTCAACATCCCGACGACTTCTCTTTGTGGGGTAACGGGAGTTGATAGAGTAAAGTAAGCCAGGGATATCATTGCTTCGGGAAGACCCGACCTAGCTCGGCCCAACTATCCGCACAAGGTGTGTCCTTGATAGCGTTGGCCGTGAAGATCTGCTTATCCTAGGTCAATCACGGCGATTACAATACCCACCCACACACCAGGGGAGCTATGATCACTTCTGCCTTTTGCTTTGAAAAAGAGAAGCGCGAGCATCAGCTATGTAGGATTGCTCACACGATGCGCCTAATACACGGTCCAGACACCTGGCTATTCAAACATAAGTAAACTTGAGCTCTTCCCGTATAAGAAAGATGCTCTCAAAATATCCGATGCTATGTGTGACAAGACAAGCCTGGCTGGCTGCTCTGTCTGACCTTAGCGAATATGCGAGGTATCTCAACTGTGCCCTCCTCCCAAATACGTCGCCACCCTCAATAACCTAACGTCGACCCACCAACTGTGACGGGGCGTATTTCCGCAGAAATTACCCGTTCAAACACCTCCATCTTTTAAAAAAAAACACCGCGAACGGCTAACAGGGTATATAGAATAAACAAGAAACGAACAAGGGTTAGGTGCGATCGTGGTCACCAAATTAGACGTCGCCTCTAAAGCCCTCCTCTCCGATTATCTCCAAAGCTTTCAACTCCGGGGTATCGAAACTGGCCCAGAAGCAGATTAAAGGGACCGTGTCGTTTTGACCGTGATGGCGAATTGAAGGGTGTCGTTAGAATCTATGTGCGAAGGCCCGAATGGGATCCATATGAAAGGCAACAGGATGAAATAAACACTGAAGCAGTATGCGCCATGTCGCAATGTGTACAGGCGGCGGGCTCCCGAGAGGTGAAGCGTCGAGCCCGTGGGGCTCGAGGTCGTAGGAAACCATGTCGTGGCAGGGACCAAACGCCGTAACCAATGCCGAGCCAAACAGGACAGGCCATCATCGAGACATTATTCAAGAGTTACATCGAGTATCGAGTCATAAACGTAAACCGCCTCAAGATCCAGTAGTAGTGGTGTGTTGGTGGGCGCTTGATCCTGTCTCGGTGGAGCCGTCGCCCTCGATGGTCTTCCTCCAGTGCTCCGGGAGGCAAACGCAAACGAGCGGGAAAGCCTTGATCTCCCCGCTCACTGGCGGAGATGCGTCGCGCAGTCGCCCCGACGTGTTGGAGACGCCGCTGTCTCGTTGAGCCTGTCGACGAGCCTCCCACTCCTCTGCGCGTTCATCCACCAAGATGCCCGTTGCCCAGCCGTCGTCCCATATCCCCACTACCTTGAGCATGTCGCCCCGATCGAGCGCGAACTCGTCGGCGGCACGGGGTTGGTAGGCCCACAAGACGGCAACCCGGTCGCCAGGGTGAATGTCATCCTGAGAATAATAATCCTTGAAAAATGGAAGCTGCTCCGACTGTTGGCTCGCCATTCCAGGCGGCGACGACATTCCCCCAGCGCTAGTGGGAGACTGTGGATCTTCGCCGCCCAGAACCGAACCACTAGAAAGGGATCCATTCCTTCTCATCGTCGTTGGAGGAGGGCGAAGTATCCCCGTAGCGCCACGATCCGATTCAGGGCTATCGCCGAACCCATCAGAAGAGGAATGATCGTCACCTCGTCTCCGGCCACCTGCCGCATAGCCAGCAGCGACGCCAACAGCGGCGGCGCCCATATCTCGGCCTATGTGGTGGGATGGCACGTCGCCCGAGTGTCCTTCTAAAGCCGACATCCGTGCTATTCTTCCCCCGGGCAGGACTTCGTAGCCTTGCGGGGCTAGCGGTGCTGCCACAACCTGCCCGGTTGCCGGCCCTTTCCTAGCGGGTTGTGGCTGGTTGAAAATGCTTCCGTCCTGACTGCCATGGCTTCTCCTTCTTCGGAAGATAAGGCAAAGAATCACGGCTATTATGATAGCCAGGCCGGCAATAGCGCCAATGACGATTCCAGCGATTGCGCCCCCAGAAAGCTTCTTGCTCTCTCCATCGCTGCCCAATGCGGGAGCTGGAACCCCGGTAGATGATGGAGTAGAGGTTGGAATTCCTGTTGTGAAAGTCAATGTCGCTGTGATATCGGGGAGCGCAACATTTGCACATCGAGCCTCGGCATTGGAGCTGTAGCAGCATGTATCAGTTGAGTTGATGCCACCGGAGGCGCAGTAAGAACACAGCCCCAGTGTGCTGTTGGCATATCCGCAATTCTCGCGTTCGTTCGCAATCCCCGAGATACAATTGTTACTTGACAACGAGTTTGCGGGCAAGGCACAATTGGTAAAGTCGGCCCTGATTTGAGTCTGCGCATTATCGCCCGGATTGGAACAAAGAGTATTGTCAGATGCAACATATGCTTCGCTCTCGGCAAATTGGGCCTAAGGGGAAATCAGCAATGAAACCAAAGGAAAGGGCTGGCTCTGACGCACGCATGTCTCCGCGCAGACTGGCCGAGAATCTGAGGGGGAAAGATTGCAATCCTTGATAGAATTCTGGATAACAGCATTACATATTACAGTCGTTGTAAAGCGCGCGTAGTGGTCGCTGGTGTTTGTGAGACTGATGCCCCCACACCCAATGAGGTTCTGGTATCTGTTTGGCTTGTTAGTTGGCCAGGCGCGAGCTTGTTGGTTCCGGCAAGCTCACTTCTCTTGGACGTAAGTTGTTTGCACGTAATCCTGCAACTGGCTGTCGAAGCTTGCAGTATCGGAAACAGATTTAAGGAAAGGACTACAATCGAAAGTTAGATTTAGGTCTCAAGACAATAGGTGCATGGTCATCGACGGAAGCAAAGACGGAGAAAAACAGCGGCACTTCAATGGGGGCACAAATACGTACAAAAGCCCGATCAAGAAGCTGTCGGTAGAGACCGAAGATGATTCGAAAGCAGAGCACGTCTTGGAGCCCTTGAGAGAGATGCACGCAGCCATTGCGGTGGGAGAGGCCGACAGTAACGAGAGCAAGACGCCTCTGGTAGTCGGGAATGCACGCCCCCTCCTTCTTCCGGGTGATGGTCGACCAATTACCATCTCGTTTTCGTCGGCTAGTTCGTCTCGACACGTCGCTGTGGCCGCACCGTGATCATTGGTGTCGGGCATAGTGCAGTTCGCCAGGGGTTCGGGTATCAATATAGCGCCAACTTCATGGTTGTCCTCGGGCGTTTTCATCGCTCATCGTCTTCCAAGGGTGCAATTGAAACGACTAGACGCGAAGCCAAAAGGCTGTTTGTCGTTAACAGCAGGTGTGTGGTCTCAGCCTCGTTGGCCTAATGGGTTGCTTGCTGGAGTTATACTGCGCGTGTTCTAAAGTCCCTAACCAAAAAGGCTCTTGCGGCGTCGGTGTTGTCGGCAGAGGGCCCGAGGCGTGGGCGGGCTGCGTTCTGGGTCGTTGATGGCGGCGGCGGCGGCGACAAGGTGAAGTCGTCTTGTTTTGGTCTCGAGTGGCTGGGCCGGGACTGCAGAGCATATATGCGCGAACGAACCTATGGCGGCACCTAGGCTGGGAAAGACGGGCCAAAGAGGACGGTCCAGCGTGGCCCTCGGGTCGCTCCTGTCGGCCACAGATAATGCGGCGCGGAGGGAATTTTGGGGTAGGTGTAGTGGAGGTGAGGAGGTGGTTGGTGTGTGTGGTCGGGTGCAATGCAGATGGTGGACAGAAATGCAGGTTCGACAAGAGAACGACGGGGCTACTGCGAGGCACCGACGCGAGTGCTGCCGCAACGTGCAGGTCGCTCGCAGACACACAAGGCCTGACTGGCTGAATACAGAGAAAGGAGGGTGGTGAATATTACAGGTGAAAAGAGCGGCACAAAAACGAGGGACAGAAACAAAACTCAATTCCGGTGGTGTGAGGGACCGTGAGGTGGTGAATTGGCACGCCTCCGCCGAGAGGGACGGGAGGAAGAGGGAGAGAACGAAGAGTTCGAAGAGCTCGACAGCTGGGTGAGTTCAACAACGACACGCCCGGCCAGCTGTGGATTGGTGCAGGGAGCCAGAGGTCCAATTTCGCTTGAGATTGCAGGTACCTGTGTACCCGCTTGCCCTTTTTAAGGATTAGGCCGGCTATGCAGGGATTGGGGATCAGATCCCTGTCCCTCCTGCCACGCTGGGTTTGTCAGGTCTCACAACCTGAATCTGAACCTGAACCCTGGGAGCTTCCACAAGGCCGACCCAAGAAGACTCAACATACAGAAGTCGCCCAAAAAAACACTTGAGGAACTCCAAGGCAGGATGAGGTGGTTTGCGAGAAAGTATGCGGCAAAACCATGTGTCAGCTGCAACATGATGAAGTTGACGGCAGACTGTCAAATACACGTAGGTTTGCAAAAGCATTCAGCCCCTCAGTCTTTCGGGCCTTGTCGGGTATTGCTCACATCCAGAGTCTGTTGCCGAACTTTGAGAGAGAGGCTTTGGCACGATCTCGGCGAAATATTGAGAATTCTGGACCGGGCAGCTGGTGGTAGGTTTGGGGCTTCAAAGTCAAACTCGGCGAGTCTGATGAACATACGTAAGATATTGACCGCGAACGAAGGAGCCCGGATGGGTCCTGTGAGGGATTCTGTCTCGATATCGAAGTGCGCGTCTCTCCACGCTGGTAAAAGGATTCGTCTAGTCCCACAGAAATCCATGGATATAAGCGGCTCCCAAGGAGCTGTCATCCATGATGTTTTACACATTGACTGTGGCCCAGATTCAAAGCCTTGACAATTCCCGAGAACCCTCGAATTCTTTCATAGCTGCCTGGCTCGAGGGCGAAAATCATGTTTGAAATCTCTCATTTCAGCTATTCGCCAAGTCCATTGTTTGTTGGTTGTTTTGTATTCGAAGTTTCTTGTGTTTTCGCAAACAAAACACAACCGTGCAAATCAGAGACGGAATACGGAATAATGCCCGGGCACTTCCAGGTTGTGGCGAGCGAGCTAAACCCCGCAGGTTGACGGTAGGCCGCTTCCACTGTCAAGGCGCAAGCTGCCCCCTATCGAAGTAGCGCACAGGTGCAGGTATAGTGCCCCGGGGCTGTCGTTCGTTAATTCGCCGCGGCGCAGGGATCCCCCGTTGCCGGTAAGCGAAGAGAATGTGGCTTCGAAACAACTCCTGGCGACTGTCTGACGGGAGTTACGAATACCCTACCGACCTTCCCGGCCTAGCCCACCGTGGAGCTTTCCCAGGTCGAGATCGAGATGATGACGAATTCGGCCGGCACATACGGCTTCCGAATTCTTTTTTTTATTTCGACCCGCGCCGGCAGGATCGGTGCCGGGTCCCACGGCATACAAAGTGGCTGCAAGTGCGGGATGGCCTTTTGGGCGGGCGCCAGGGAAAACAGGATGCAGAGCAATCTAATTAGGCGCCGCGTTGCCCTAGAGGGGGAGAAACAACTGGACGACGGGCCGCGACGCGTCGAGGCCGTTGGGAGCGGTTGCCCGTCAGCCGCCGGACGCCCTTGGGTACTTTGGGAGCCTATATTTGGCATCCTTGGGTTTGGGAGGGTACTATCCCCGATTGCCGAACCGCAAAGCGAGCGAGTCAAATGCGGTCGTCTACGGTCTGCCATATGTATTACATATGTCCGCTCAGACCGCCGTGCAGAAATGCGCATTTGCCTGGGCCAATTGCACCAGTCCAAGTTGTTCAACTTCAGCTTCATATTCCCCTTTTGGGCAGCACGAGCGGCTGGGCCATGCCGTGCTCTCTCTGCCGTGTGGATTTTGCCATGAGCTTGACGCTGCACAATCTGTTTCTGTTTCTGCTCTGTCTGTCTTTGACACCACCATCTGGCGGGTCCGAGAAACAGATCTCATGTCGCGACTCGCTGGCCTCGGGACGGCCCAAGTGCCAGAAGCTCTGTGCGGTCTGGCTATGAATTTGGTTGCAGTATTCCAGCTTGGGTGCATTGCGGAGGCAGATCGTAGGTGCTTAGGCGCAGATGCGGCAGAGTGTCTATTGTTGGCGGTGCATGTCCAGTGAGTGTGATTAGGTTCTCTTCAAGACAAGTCCCTCCAATACCACTTACATAACCCCTAAGCAAAACATCATTTCCACCGTCAAGTGTCCGTACATACAGCACGAGCCTTGAGTTTAGACAAGCTTGATGCTCCTGCTACACTATGCGCCACAATCTAAGTAGATCTGCGATTCCGATTTTCCAGGGTTGCGCCTATATCGAACCTATTATCCCGTGTACCATTACTACTCACCATGTATTCATGCGGCCCTGCCCTCTGAGGGTCTCCTCTCCGGATCATCCAGACCAGCGCAGGCCTGTCTTTATGCGAGCCTCACCACGATGCTACTCCTTAGCATCGCGCGCCATCCGCTCCCGCAATGCTGAGCCACACCGAAATGCGGAATCTGAGGCTCGGCTTGAGGCCCGTGACAAGAGCAACGAAGAATCACTGGCTAGGCACCTATGCTTTTGGGTCCAGATACCATTAGCAGTGGGTTGGGTACGGTGTTACCGTCGACGGCTTCTCCCCCACACGGCGACACACACACACACACAGACAACCCGAGTTGCAAGTTGCAGGGGTTGGACGTGGCAAGATCGCAAACGCCGCCCGCGCGCACAGATCTATCGATTCGCGGATTCCGATATCGATTTTTAGGGTTAGCCGCCCAGCTCTGCACCCCCATAGGACTTGCTGTACTCCTAAAGATAGGCCGTGTGCGTTTTACAGTTCCGAGTAAATCACGGGCCAAATCACTTGGCTTCCTCGACGTCAGATGCCGTCTTCTTCCGTGGACTTCCGCTGCCCCCCTCAAGGACACGACGGCGAGTGAGTGTCTTTCGGGGGTCTTCTCTCTTCCCCATTCACATGACAGATTGCACAGCTGCTTTGGCTAGCCCTTCCAAATTCCGGCTCACGGAGTTTTGGCTCCGCCCGCCGAAGAAGATCTGCTCTCTGGCGCGGCTCGGTATTTGCAGCATGAGGGCCGTTATGAACCTGCCCTGGCTGGCCGCCGGCCTGCGAATGCATACATAGACGTGTACGCGACCCATCTGGCTGGTAGATGTACAAGTAGACGGTGGGGGGAAAGCCCACATCATACATACCGCACTCGGGTGCCCCCAGATCTAGCCGCTTTTCTTGGTCGCGGAACGATGCGTTGATATTCATTCACTTAAATGATCCTCGTGGCTGTGTTTGCTCAAAATCTGGGGAACTTGGCCCCAGAGGCAGCCCACACACCCTCACACACGCTCCCCGTTTGCGGTCCTGCGATATCACTTGGCTCTTATTGGCAAGGAGCCCTCGGGTGTGTTATGCATAAAGGGCCAGAGCCGTCCCCCAAGGTGACCGAGGCCCCCCAATCAGTCGCCGGCTGAGAGTGAGCCGCATAACCCTCGCTGGTCCGTCTGGCTCTGTGAACGAAGAAGTCAAAGGGGGGTTTGTGTTTCAGCCGCATAGAGTGCGAGAGCGATCATAACTGCTCATGCCTCCAGTGTCAAATCATGCCCGTTGGAATACACATACATTCCAATCATGATTGAAAGAGGCGGAGGGAGAAATAAAAATGTAATAAATCTCATAAATTATCCGGCTACGATGGCCAGGTCAGCCACGATCCCATGATCCCCAAGGATCCCAAGGGTTGTTTGCTGTACGGCTGACCGATACCTTACCTCCTTTCCACTAGTCTGCGCCCCCTTAAACCACCCCCCTCCCAATCCAATCCAACCCAAGCTCGGGACTGCCTGAAACAGCAAACCCTCGACAATAGCAAATGCTTATTATGACTTATATCTATCCTCACTAAGAAATCTAGACGGGAACCTGCAACCCTCAGCTGGCTGTACCGGGCCCATTCAGACAGCACAAGCCCTTGCACTGAGCGGGTGGATAAGCCAGATCATTTGCATGCAGATAGAAAACGTTTCTTTATTGTAATTGACATGAAATGGCTGATTCAACGCCTTGCCCGTTGACGGGGATACGGCATGAAGAGGGTGATGGAGCTCTCGACGCTTCTTGTTTAGCCGGATCAAGGAATTTGGAAGCATGTTCATTTCGAACAAACTATCCATCCGCCCGTGTACGTGAGGATTTGGTTGCTTCGTCCTAGCCCTTACGGCTTGGTGCGCAGGTATGTCTTGTAGAATCTCGAGGGGTGCCAGTGTGAACAAAATGATGGAGCATATCAACACACACTCGATTAGAATATTGATCATTCTGCATAGTGGAAGGTCACTCCTCGATACGACAAACAAATAAAAATAGATTATCTAGACAAAGACAAACTTGTCAGGGACGGTTATGTTATTCTGGAAGACATACGATTGCCGGGCCAACCACACCTCCCCCCCTTTCATTATCTCCTGTTCCACACCTACAACATCCCATAGTCATATCAAATGTAAATCTACAGCATTTGTCGCATCGATGTCCCATGCGTCACAGTCCACTGTATCCCACAACAAGAATTTCCACACAAGCAGCGCAAGGCAAGAAGGCAAGTTCACCTTAGGTATCTGTCTAACCCACACACAAACAAAAAAGCGCATATGGACATGACGTGAAAAAAAAGAAAAAGATAACCCACAAAGAAGGTCATCCCATCGCGCCTGGGTCCGAGCAAAACACGGTGCATTATCTCCGTCCCATCTCGGGCAGAGGCAGCTGCCCCTCTCCCGCAACAAAATCATCGACACCTTGTTCCGCCACGAACTACTCTCATAGCGCAAAATAACAACAACAGCAACTGTAGCTAGGTAGTCTTGGTATGTAATGCGGGTTATTGGAATGGGACAGCCCCCCTTTTCCTCTTTTCCTCTTTTCCTCCCTCCCTCCCTGCCTTCCTGCTTGCCTGCCCTTATTCCTCCCATCTTTAACCGCCTGCCTACCTGTGTGCCGAGCCAGGACCACGCAGCTGGTCGGTCTCGTCTTCGCCGTAGAGCTCGCGCTGTGTATCGTCAGCGTCAGCAAAATCTCATTCTTCTTCTCCTTCACGTATCACTGGCAGCAGCAGCAGCAGCCGGGGGAAGACGCTGCGAGGGAGAGGGGGGAATCGACGATGACGACGGGCGGGAGGGGGAGGGGGAGGATAAACACGGGGGCGTAGAGGACGGGATGGACGGGGAGAGATAAAAGGGAAAGGATGGGGGAGGGGACAGCAGTACGCACCATGGCCCTGGCCATCCACGCCATGTCGGCGTCGCGGGATATGCTGCACGTCTCGCTATGGGCTTCGGCAGCGACTGCCGCACCCGACTCTCCGGCAAGACCGCCGCTCCGGACGCTGCGGCGCGACTGGGCGGACCAGGCAGAGCTGCGCTTGCTGTAGACGTAGGTGGCGCTGTGCTTGTCGAAGGGCTCGACATCGACACCAGCATGGGAGGACGGAGACGAAGCGCAGGTGAGGGCGAGGGCGGCGGCGGCGTCGGGGCCGAACTCGGCGCACGAGTAGTGGCCGGGCGCAGAGCTGCCGTCGGGCACGTGGAAGCGGCGGTCGAAGCGCGACAGGGCGTACGTGTAGACGACGACGAGCTCGATGACGAAGTTGAAGCAGTAGTAGCAGGCCTTGCTCTGGAACCAGGCCGGGTCGTCGAGCGGGCGCGACGCGTAGGCGGTCGCGGCGCGGAACACGGCGCCCGCGGCCAGCAGCGTGGCCGTGAAGGTTAGGAGGGCCAGCTTCGTGCTAAAGTGGCCCTCGCCGAACTTGTCGATGCGGGTGCGGCGCGGGAGCAAGGCGGCCAGCGCGACGAGCGGGACGGGCAGGAAGGCCATGGCGGCCAGGTACGTGGCGCTGAACAGCTGGACGGTGCGGTCGGTGCGGCGCGTGGCCGGGTCGAGGGTGAAGAAGCTCTGGACGGTGACCGAGATGACCATGACGAGCACGGCGACGACGCTGGCATACAACCCCACAAACAGCAGCGTCACGCCGCGCTGCCAGCCGAAGAAGGGGTGGTAGGCGCGCACCATGCGCTGGGCGAAGACGAGGTTGGTCACAAACAGCAGCAGCACGCCGGCGGCCGTGAAGATCTGCGACGCGATGGCCACGTTGATGTCGCGTGGCCGCCCCGCCCACACCATGCGCATGGCCAGCGCCGCGATGCGCGCCATGCAGAACCCGAACAGCAGGCCCGAGAACAGGAACTTGTAGTTGTGCCGCCGGTTGAACTGGAAGATGGTCATGTTGGTCGCCGCCCCGGCCACGAACAGCACCAGCAGTACCGCGCTGATGGGTACATCTAGCCCGACCGTCGGCACACCGCCTAGCTGCGCCGTCTGTGGAAGGTACGGAGGCCCTTGGGCATGTTTCTATCAGACGGACAGGAGTTAGCAGGCTGGGTGAAGGAAAGGTGAAAAGAGACAGACATACCAGCGAGCCAGTTGCCACGGGAGCAGCAGGGCTTGTCGTCGGAGCCGTCGGTGCTGTGTAGTTGGACATGGCCCTCTCTTCCTCCCTCTCTCTCCTTCTTGCTCCTGGGTCGGTCAGGTTAGGTCAGAGCAGGTGACACGCTGGACAGGAAGAAGTGAAAAAAAAAAAAAAAAGCAAGAGAGGTTGCTGCTTCCGTGCGCCAAGCTGCGTAAAGGGGGGAGGTGGCCGGCCAGCCAAGAGCCGACGTGAGTAGGTATTATTTGTGTGTCAGTGTGTGTGAGTGTGTGTGTGGGAGAGAGAGAGGGAGAGAGAGAGAGAGAGGGAGAGGGAGAGGGAGCGAGGCGGCTGCAGGAAGAAAGAACAAAAGAAGCTCTCCTCCTCGCAGGACTTTGTGACCTTTTTTTTTCTCTCGGGGCAATTCTTTTCTCTGGCAGACAGATAGACAGACGACAGCTTCTCTCTCCGTCTCTGGGGGATCCGGCGGGAGGCAACTTTGCATATAAGGGTGTAATCCAACGCAGAGAAAGAGGAAAGAACCCGGCTTAGCAACCATAGTCGAGCGAGCATGAACGAACAAACGCGCCAGGCGGGCCACCCGCAGATGGCGATCGGGCGATGCTAAGACGTGCAGCTTGTTTTGGAAACAATCTGCGTAAGGTAGGTAGGTACTCAGTCGAGGCTGAGGTGAAGCTGAAGTTAAAAATATTCTAGGTAGGCAGCCCCCCCTAGTTTGACTGTCTCATTACCCTTGGCTTACTTTCTCTCTGGAGGGCGGGCGCTCTGGTGTCGTCCTGGCGGCGGTTGACGCGGAGACGAGGTCAAATTTGTCTGTTTCTGCCTATATATCGACCCTACGACGTCGTCACGCACAGGACAGCACAGCACAGGTCATGTCTCGAGAGTCTACCGTCCGTCTTGAAGGGTTGAGGGACATACGTGCCATGGCCGCCGTCACTGTCTGTTTATGGAGAAGGACACGACGACACGGCCGTGTGCTTTGAGTTCGGTAGCTCGCCCGCTCTGTGCGCTAGCCTCGGCCGGACGGCTTTTAGCGTAGCAGATGGCCTCATCCAACTCCTCCCAGGCTCTAGTATCTTGCTGGAGGTGAAGAAGAGCGGACTGGAACTGCCTCTCGTGCTGCGCATGTCATGCTTGCGAGCTACTCTTTACCTGTGTCTCGAACAGCTCACCATGGACAAGAATACATCATGTGTTTATTCTGTCTTGGCAAAGAGGTCCTCTCGCCAACGCAACGCCCAAACTCTGAACACGAGAGCGTTTGAGGGGCTGGGCAAGATCAAGCTCGAGCATTTCTGGGATAGCCGTCTATTGCGAAGGGTGGTGAGCTGTCCTAACAAAACGTTAGCCCAAGGCTAGTTAATAAATAGACTCAGAGATACAGAATTACCTCACAAAACCCTCCATATTCGCCCCCCCCGTCTTCGATATTCAGACAAATCCGTTACCATCAACCAGCTCTTCAAACCACAAAGCGCTTTCTCGTCCGACTTATCATTCTCCGCGGGCGGTTTCCACTCATTTCATTCCATCTTGTCACAGGCAACCTGAAAGTTCCAACCTGAAAGTTCTCCGTCAACACCAAAAAAAAAAAACAGTCAAGGGCCAAGTTCTTAGGAATAGGGGTTAACCTTAACCAAGCTGCAGCCGAATCTGCTGCGTCTTCTAGCTCCAACGTTGGTCGCCGAGGTGACGTCTTTGGCAAACCATCCTCAGTAGTGACCCAGAACATGAAAGTTCCCCCACAGAGAAGAAACTGGAAACTCGACTTAAAAAAAAAACGTACCGAACGGATGAAATTCTCTCCACCAGCTCCTGTGCCGTCGGTCTTCGGCGGCTGTTAAGACGTCCGTGGCTCGCATCATCGCGCCATCTATTGGTTATACCTAGGTCATGTTGCGCTCTCTACACTGGATATAACTGTTTTGTTTTATGGGGATTGATCCACGGTAAACACAATCGCTTCCTTACGGGTAGCTCCCGCCTCGCCAAGCTGCCTTACGAACGGTCTAGACGCGCAACGAGATCGGATTTTTAATCCCATGGCGCCCAGTCTTGTCATTTCTTTACCACGTGCAATATTCATCGTCAACCAAAAGGCTGGCTAGGCGGCTGCCACATTACATGGGAGAAACGGGAGGTAACTGTCTGGCCTCGATACACTATCTTCGCTTCCACTGTAACAACCCATAGGCGACACTAAGCTTTTTGGTCCTGATAGAGGCTGTGGCGGCAACTTGCTCGAGCTCCCTTGCTCTCCATCATTGCCCGTTCACGATTGCAAGGCTGGAAAACCACCACCCTCCTCGTTAGAGGAAGTAGTCCGGAGTCCCTGCAAAAAATGGTTGTTAGCAAGCTGCAGTCCCATGTACAGCCGGAAAGGCATATCTTACGTCTCGAAACCATGGGCTCGCCAGCTCGAGGGCAAGGATCGAATTGCAAGCTGCGGCTCTAGTTAGCAAAGCAAAAGCCGTCGGCGCCGGGGCAGCGAGGACGTACAATGTGTATTTCAGGTGTTCATCAATCTCCATGATGGCAGCCTGGTTACCGCATCTATAGCAGTAGTTCGGAGCTGCAGAGTGGGAGTGGTCAGACATGGGATCAAAAAGCAAGAGAACGCGGGGCATGAGCAGCCGCAGGACCTGGCATACCAGAAAAGATGGTGACAACATTTCGGTCTTGAGACCAGTTGTAGCCCTCCATGACAAGCTGATGCGCTCGAGCAATCAGCGTCAGGCCATTGTTATGGTTGAACGCCTCCGAGATGTCCTGTCCAAACGTGTATCCGGCGCCGCGGGGCGAGATCCCCCACCCGCAACGGTCATCTGGGTCAGACCACAATAAGTCGCACATGGGCCCTTCATGCGGCACTTCCTGGATGCGGTCCAGCGCCCGGATGTTGTCCAGCGTGTCGATGCTCGGCGACAGACCGCCGTGGAGGCAGAAGATCTGGTTGTCGATGAGAGCCGTGAGTGGGAGGTAGTCGAAAAGGTCGGTAAAGTACTTCCACACGTTCGCATTGCCATACTTGCGCAGGCACTCGTCGTAGAAGCCGTATACTTGTGTGATCTGGCGCGACTCGTGGTTGCCGCGGAGAATGGTAATCCGCTGCGGGTATCGAATCTTGAGGGCTACCAGCAGAGTGACAGTCTCGACCGAGTAGTATCCACGATCGACATAATCCCCTACGCGCCCGCCGTGCCGTTAGAACCTGTACCCACGCCGATTGTCAGGAGAAGTAAACAGAGGTCCATACCCATAAAGAGGTAGTTGGTGTCAGGGTTGGGCCCTCCAATCTTAAAGAGCTCCATCAAGTCGTGAAACTGGCCGTGGATGTCACCGCACACAGTCACTGGGCATTTCTACGGACGGTTAGCAGGGCCAAATCGCCATCGGCATCGCCGCCAGGGGGCCACTTACGACAGGCTGTACGTTGGACTCTTCTTGGAGAACCTCGCGCGCCTGGAGAGAGATGTGTTAGTGACAACTCGATAAGGGGGGGGCACGCGACCCGCGGCACCGGGCGACGCCCCGCAAGGGGCTAGTCGCCAGGAGAGAGACGGAGCATGGGCGGCAGCGGTAGCGGCAGCAGGAGCAGCGGCAGCGGCAGCGGAGAGCAGACGAACCTTTTCGCACAGTCTCTGCACGTCAACCTCGGCGAGCTGCTTGCAGCTCATCAGGCTCTCGATCCAGCCGTCGAGGGTTGGGATGGTCGTCGGTTCGAGCGTGACCGACGAGATGTCTGCAGGCGCGCGCCCGACATCCTCCATGTTTGTATCCATCCTGCCGGCTGTCGGTTCACGAAGTATGGGGGGGGTTTGCTACGTCGCGGCGAGCAGAAATGCCGTCGCTTTGTGGGAGTGTGTGTGGTGATCCCGGAGGAGCAATGACGTTTTGTTTGAAGGCGCGGCGCGGCTCTCAAGCTCAAAATTGGGCGGGCGGGCAGGTGGGTAGGTAGGTGCGGTGCGGGCACGCTCAGGTCGTAAGGTGAGTTTGCGGTGCGATGCTGCGGCCGGTCAGTCAGTCGCGACCCGCCTGCCTGTTACTCGGGACAATGCTAAAATCAATCTTAGTCGCAGAACAGAAACTATCGCGCAGTATTCCACGGCAAGTCGGCGAGCAAGGGTATATTTCGTAGGTCGGGATGCAAGCGGGCAGGCGTTGTTTCCGCAGAATGGCGGTGCAGTAAATTGAAATTGCTGGGGAGTGGCTTGCTGTAGCATCCATCTGTCTGTCTGGCCGCCCAATCCCCACGCTAAACGCAAGGCGCCAGAGCTGAGAGAGCGGGGTGGGGGGCAAAATGTGGCCCAGGCGCCTCCTCCTATTTGCGTAGTGAACCACATTACCTGACCATTCCTTGCCTTGATCGAGTCTGGAAGGTATGTAATTCGTGTGTCTCCATACCCGTTCATTCCTGAAGACGATAATCATGCCCCTATTCACGGCGGGAGCTCGCAAAACGTAGAATAAAAAAAATAAACCAATATTATACTACCAGATCCCAATCAACAACCTATTCAGAGACCATACAGCAAACGTGCCACCAAAAATAAATCGCCAGCTCAGCACTAGCCCATTGCATCTCACATCTCTTAGATACCATGGACTACTCGACGCCTTTACGACCCCTCACCTCGATTTCCTAAATCTCGAGATAGGTAGCCAACAACACTCAGGATAGGCCCAATCCGACCGGGGAGGCATCTGCCGTCGCGGCTGTCTTCTGCACGTTCTGGCCAACAAGGTTGCGGAAATCGATGCCGACGTCAGAGAGCATCTGGGCATGCTCCTTGGCCCTGTTCATGCACTGTGTCCACACCTCCCCGCCTTCTTCAGCGCTGCTCAGCTGCCGAGCCAGAATGACATTGAACGCATCGACTTCTTCTTTGGCCCACTTCACACACGCGCTCATCATGGGCGGCGGGAAGCATGCTTGGAAGCAGTTCACCGTATTGTGGATAATGGTGAAGTAGACAAACGAGATCTCCCAGATATACAGGTGGAGATCTCCTTGGAATATGCATTGCCTAAGCCATTGTCAGCCGAATTCGAGAGGAGGAGTATATATGGATATCTATACAGACCTGGTTCGCTTCTTGATGATTTCGCTCCGGGCTTTCAAATATGCTTCCCGGGCCCGGTCTTCGAAGCCCAGGCGGGTCAACCAATTCACGTTGCGCTTCATCTTTCTCTGGTCATTGTGACTACTGATCAAATCGCGAACGACTAGCGATGCCAGTTTCGTGCATCTCTCGTCCACCTTGAACGAGATGAAGTCTTGCGCAATTACGTTGTTCTTCAGCCCAAAAGCCAGGCCCTTCAACTTTTCGACCCGAGCGACGGCCGGTTCGATTTCCTGGAGAGCAATGTTGATATCCAACTCGTCCATCTGGCTCTCTACCCAGCGGAGGTTCTGCTGCTTTCCGTCGACCTCGATGAGCATGTCCTTGATATCCGAGAGCGTCTCGAGAAGTTCCGTCTTCTCAAGAAGACCGGGGTCGCGCGACGCAAAGTAGTTGATGGTTTCCTTGGCTTTGTTCGTAGCTTCGCGCTCCGACTGCAGATTTCTGCGCAATTCCTCTACTGTTTTTCGGATATTCAGAATAAGGGCGGATTTCTCCGAATCCTCAGGTCTCTCGGTTCTGTATATGAAGGATTCATTCTGGCCACCTCCCCTGACCATAATGGCGTCGGCAAGCTTGTTCCTGCCGCCCGACGACTCGCTTGTCCCCGCCATGTCGACAACCTCGATGTCCAAGAGGTGCCAGCAACGATCGGCGACGAGCTTTGTCATAGGTCCACGAGCGTCCGAGACGTTTGGCCCATCCATCTTCCGCTTTTTACGAGAGGCGACCAAAAGATGGTCGTTTAGCAGGAAAATCTGCATTGATCTCCTCGACTTGTACGTCGCATTATCAAGCTCGATCCAGGGGCCAGCATTCTGGAGGACATGGCGGCCCTGCGAGTTCGGGAGAAACTTCTGAGATCCTTCAACATTCTTGTAAAGAGCCTGAAACCAAAGTTAGCCTTGGGACAATCCAAATACTGACCAGGGCATCAACGGACCTGCATCTGAGAACTCCAGAGCGCGGTTCGATCGGCGACGGAACTTCGTTTGTCCCTCTTACTGAGACCTGTAGAGAACTCGCCGCCAAAGCCCGAAACCTGCTCAGGACTGTTGCCTGAAGCAGACCGGAGGGCAGTTGTGTTTGCCTTGAGCTCCGACATGAGGTTCTTGAGGGACCGCATTTCACTCTTGAGCTTCTCGGCCTCCTTGCTGATCTTGATGAACTGGGTACGGTTCTGGTAGACATTCTGCTGGAGATCTGCTGACGCTCTGCTCTTAAGCTTTCTTAAGGTGATTTCAAATTCTCGAATCTCGTCTTCAGTGGCCTCGCTGAGGATTTCAGCAACGTCTTTGACAAGTTAGCTTCCCACATTTGCACGTCCACCAAGGCCGTTGGCATAACGTACATTGCTCTGCAACTAGCTGCGGATTCCGAAGCGCTCTCACATCCAGCTGGGGAGCTTCCCTCCCGCCACCTCTCGATGGCGGTGGAAGCCGATTTTGGGACTGCTCGTACTTGTCGAGGCTGGGGAGATTGGGCATCGGAGGGGCCGTTGGGTCGAAATCGGTTGGGAGGTTGTTGAACCGAGTCGAGTATCGACGCTTCACCAAATCTGAGGTCTATATCGAAGAGAAGGACATGGGTTAGCCTCGCGCAGCTTGAAGCCCCTAGAAACCGGCAGGTAGCTCACCTTCCCATTGTTCTGAGGCGGGGGCCGGGGTCGAGGCCGAGGCGCATCTTCAGGAAAGCGACCGGCAGGCGGTCGGGGTGCCGCGCCGTCTTGGATTATAGGACCGGTTATTTGTCGAGGAGCGCTGATAGCTGGGCGGTTCTTCCTATTGCCTCCGCTCCTCAGCGATACCTTGGACCGTTCTTCCGACATCGTTAACGCTCGAGGCTGGCGGAAAGCAGTTCCGTGTGATCGGCTCGGAGACAAGAGCGGCCAGGTGGTATCGTTAGTGTGCAAAGGAAAGTTATTTAGGAAAATAGGGACATTTCAGTCGTTCGTGAGCGAGGCGGCGTCAGTCGATGGTGTCTCGAGTGTGCATGGAAACGACGTTCCCTGCAACAAGCCTGCGATTGGTATGGGATAGGCCCACTTTTGCATGTACACCGGGAGGTACGTGCCCCTACCGATCCCCCTTCCGAAAGCCGTCAATTTGAGCCGCCGCAGCGGGGCCCGTGCTCTTCTAGCGTCATTGGCTTCTGGCTTGCTGGACGCGATTGGGCCGGGGAAAAAAAATTAACAGCGTGCAACGAGACCTGCATTTCGAGAGGAGCTCTCCATCAAACAACGAACGACCTGAGCCGCCGCATCACCGAGGCTCCTTTGGCCCCGTTTCTCGAGATACAACACCCTACAGCGCCAATCTCTATATACCTACGTGTTCCTGCAACTACCACGTTATCTGTTGTTTTCCCGATTGTCCTACCACATCGACGAACCATGTCCTCCCAGACCACGGTCGTCGCAACCGCAGCGGCGGCGGCACTAGCTACGGGCGTGCTCGGTATGTGCCTTCCCCATTCCCAACCCGTGATAGATACGGCACCAAGCGGACCGGCTAACAATACCCGATTTCTCCAACGCTAGCCTACGCAGTATGGTTCGACTACCGCCGGCGCACGCAGACCGAGTTCCGGAGAGAGCTGCGCCGCAACGAGAGGAGACAGCATCGCCTCGAGAAGGGCCAGGCTCAAGCCAACGCAGAAGCCCAGAAGCAAGCTATCAAGCGGGCGGTTGACGAGGCAAAGGAGGAGGGCTTCCCAAGTTCCTCTGAGGAGAAGGAGCAGTACTTCCTCGAGCAGGTCCAGACCGGCGAGGTCCTCGGTGCGGATCGTAAGCACCACCCCTCCCGGCCCAACATTCAGCCCTTTCCATTTCCGAACGGAGCCACTGCGTTGGTAAAAGATTCAAGGTTTAGCTAACGGAGGCCTTTTCATCACCACAGCCTCCAAGGGTATCGAGGCTGCGCTCGCGTTCTACAAGGCCCTCAAGGTATATCCAACGCCTGCCGACCTGATCAACATATACGACAACACAGTCGCCAAGGTAAGAAGCACATATGGTCAGTGTCCCCTTACCATCGTAGCCGTCACTAACCGACTACTTTTTTCTCACCCTACAGCCGATTTTGGACATCCTGGCCGAGATGATTGCGTACGACGGAACCGTTAGGGTCGGTGGCTCCCCCGGCTCCGGCGTCGACGTAGCCGAGATGATGCGCCAGATGGGCGAGATGAGCGAGCTGGGCGGAATCCCGGGCGTGGGACTTGACTAGAGCTCGAGACATCGAGGGTCCTAGACGGAGCTGCTGTTCGAAGCCCCAACCCCGGCCCTCTCGTCGCGATACTCTATAGACGACGCCGGCGTATTGTGAGCTGGGACACATCCCTCCACCCCTCCCCCCAAGGAGCGGACAAGGTCCAGAAAAAGGCAGCCTGTATCGGCCCCATCCTCCTCCACTCTTATACCTCTATCGGTAAGCTGTCTCCGGACATTTTCGATCGTGGCCTGCCTGTCTAAGGACTACGGTCTGAGCGGCAGGCCGTGTTGTATAATACCTTGTTTTCTTCTTGTGTTTTCGACGTGGCAGTGGCAGTGCTGTCTGTCTGGGGAGAGAGAGGGCTATGTAAAGAACATTGTACATAAACGAATCTTGGACGATATCATAGGCGACAGGAACCCGAGACTTGCTGCTTTTGAGCTTAATGATAACAGATATATAAACCAGACCAGCGGCCCCAACAACAACCCAAAGTCACCATCAGGTCAAAGAACCGCTAGTCTGGAACACGACGGGTATGGCATTGAGCAAAATCTCTTTGGTTTGTCTTCTTTCCATTTCTGAGCAGTTGCAAAAAAAAAAGTCTATACCAACCATTCTTTTGTCCTTCCGAGTATCTTTAATTGGTCTCAATCGGCCTTCCCTTCCTATCTACTCTCTGGTCTCGCGGGTCGAACCCGCCCTGGCCCCACGTGGCCCACTCAGGGGTCGCGGCACCCATGTAGTCCTCTGGCGAAAAGTCGCCGTCGGGCCCCTTGGACTCGAGCAGCTGGAAGAACTTTTCGTAGTCGATCAGCGTGTGCCACTTGCCGTCGACGTTGAAGCGCTCGCTGGCGATGAGGATGCAGCAGCTGTGGGCATGCTCGGCGGCGATGCCGTACTTGAGCCCGCGCCTCTCGAGGCTCGCGTTGAGCGCGACGACGAAGTCGCAGACCTCCTGGTAGAAGGGCACGTTGGCCATGGTCAGGCCGGCGTTGCTCGACGTCGACGTGCCGCAGTAGGTGACGCCTTTCACCTCGACGAAGCACGGCAGGCCCTTCTCGACCAGGTCCGCGTAGCCCTCGGCCTCGTCCTCGACATTGAAGCCCTTGACGAGGGTCAGGCGGAATACGGTGCGCTGGCGGAAGCGGCGCTCGCGCAGGATCTCGAGGCAGCGCTGGAAGCGCTCCCAGAAGTCGCGGTGCAGCGGCCGGTCGATGCGGCGCAGCGACTCGCGGTTCGACGCGTCGATGCTGACGTACAGCTGCGTGACATGCTTGAGTGCCGCGAGCTCGTCGGGGTGCTGCGCATTGCACACCAGGAAGGACGAGATGCGCTCCGCATGCAACATGCCCAGGAACTCGTTGATGTGCGGGTAGAAGATGGGCTCGCCGACCAGCGAAAGCGCGCAGTGGCGGATGCGCATGGCCTCGGCGAAGCGCTCGGCGCGCACGCCAGGCACGCCGCGCATCATCTTGATCTTCTTGTAGTGGTTTTCCTTGACGCCATCAAAGATGAGCTGAGGGGGGTCCACGACCCAGCGCCAGGTCGTACCGACGGGGTTGGTCCCGTGGCGCCAGCAAAAGACGCATTTGTTGGAGCACGAGAGAGACGGCGTCGTCTCCATGCATTGATGCGAGTTGATGCCGTAAAACGAGTACTTGTAGCACGACCCTCGACCGCGCAGGGCCGACTTAGTCCACCGGCATATCTTGACACCTGAATGGGATCCGACGATAGAGTAGCCTTGCTTGGTCAGGGATGCATACGTGGGCGAGCTCTGGGGCACCATTTCCTTCACGGTGATAATGGCCGTCTTCCTCGGCTTCGTCTTTCCCTGTGTCGTGAAGTCGATGGCGATTGGGGCTTTTGTCTGTTCTACGGAGCCGTCGGCCTGCGACATCTCCATTATCCGCCCCATGTCTTCAACGTCCTCAATGCTGCCTGAACTCTTTGTTTTCGCCTCTGGCGCATTATCGTCGAACACCACTTCGCCGTCGTCATACGCGTCACCTTCGTCGTCGCTTTCTATCGGGTCTCCCGAGCCCTCCACGCCCTCCCCTAGGCTCCCCGTGCTCTCTACCAGCTTCAGCACTTCGGTTAGTCCAACTTGCCATTCTGAGAGACGCGCAGAGCCATCTCTCTTCCAGTCGCCCATGCCAAGCGGGTAGGCGCGCTTCCGCCCAGTCAACTTGGCCATCCATCTGTCAACCTCTTTGGCCTGGAAACAGAATCCTTCATCCTCGGTCGGCCACCCCTCTCTGTCGCCGAACCCAAACACGGAATAGCCAATGATTGACGAGAGAGGCGAGGTATCGATCCGGAAGTCGTGGTGCGTCTCCTTCATATGCTCCAAGAGGTTGTCGTTGATTGTGTCGATGTTGTAGCTCGGCAGCAGAAAGAGATAAAACAGGTCGACCGGTGCCCCGTCGCTCTCCATCTTTGGGGGCGTAATCAAGTACTCGTCATAGTCGGCTTCCGAGAGATCTAGGACTCGGGGGGCCAGAAACGAGGAATCCGACTTCTGCTCGGAGCCGGCGCACCCCAGAGCAACTTCCAATGCCCGTGCGAACTCGCGCGCGATCCGTTCAGTGTTGGCAGTTATCGACGAGTAAAAGACGAGAACCTGTATCTTGCGCGCCTCGTTCGCGCCAGCAGCGCGAGTCTTCTTGGTGAGCTCGCCCTTGATCCGGCGCGGCCCGTTTGTAGCTAGCTTCCTGGACGTCTTCTCCGACTGTGTACCGCCGCCCTTCTCTACTTTGACGGCGGCATTTTCGCTTGTGGGTTCAACCTTGGCCGCCGCCTGGCGCTGCGGAGCCGGCTCGCTGTAGATTTTGGGGAACACGAGCAGCTCCTGCTTCTGCTCCGTCCAATGGAGATATACTCTTAGCAAGACAAGGGAGAAAAACGCCGTGAGGATGATGGGGATCCGGTGCTCGTGCCATAACTCGACGGCATCTGCGTCCACAAAGTTTAGTCAGTTTTGGAAAACGCATGTATGTACGGATACCGATACCGTGGTGATTGTAAAGCGCATTGAGGATCATGGCACCTACACTGAGCAAGGCCCGAGAGTGCGGACGGGCTCGACTCCCAAGACTCGTACGGCATGGTGGACGGCTTTCCTTTTCCCGAGATAGGGAGCGACAACACCTGACGCCGATTCTTTTGTGCGTGTTGTGTACTGATCATCGGAGAGACCTCGAGTTTTCCGACCCCTCCAAAGCTGGTGCCCCGCACTAAACGTTAGTGAGCCGCCGCAGCGTTAAATCCCTGAAACGTTCAAGTATGGCACACTTCTTCCATTCTGCCGGGGACGTGTGGATCTGTGCCAAGACAGCCAGAATTAACTAACAACAACCTACAAATTTAAAACTCGAGTACCATTCCGTTGGAACTTCCAAAAGTGCCTCTTGAAGTTAACTCTGTCCGGAATGAAGATAATATGTTGCGTCTTGAGGACACCTCCATGTTTCGATGTGGTGGCAATACCGAGCCTCGACCACGTCAAACTCACAATGGAAGCGTTAAACCGCGGCTGAACTTTTCTGGGGGTATCATGAAGTATATGCGAAAAAAGAAAAGATCTATTTGAACAGTTTTGAAGCGTTATAAAACCCAACTCATCGACGCTGGGCAGGGGGAACCAGCTCGTCTGTCTCCTCAAAGTTGAGGTCCAAAATATCACCATGCTCGATTCTCTTATCCTCTGGCCGGAGCTCATCTAACCGAGTGCTCGACTCATAAGCGCTCGCCCCATGCTCGGCAAGGGACGCCGCCGAGGAGGCGCCTTCGCCCTCAGGAGCTTGTTCGCTGCCTTCGTCTTTGCGCCCGATGATGACGTTCCCGGCAACAAGCATAGCCGCGCCGAGCCACCACAGCGGCGGGAGCGACTCTGAGAAGATAGCAAACCCCAGGATGGCGGTGATGACGAAGTTGGCAGACGTGTTCATGATTGACACCTGCGTTGTTGAGTTTCCCCGCGCGAGGGCGGTGGTGAACAAGGTCCACATCTGGAGAGCATCAGCCAGGTCTGTTCAAATAGAGGCAATACCACAACCATGGGCAGTTGACACAAGAGACATACCACGCCATTGAACACGAGATTAAGCCCAAAGAAGATCTAAACAAGCACGTGCGATATTAGTCAGGGAACCACTCCTCTGTGAGTCGACACAAGAAGCGACACTCCGCAATTGCTCATCCAGACGTTTGCGGCGCGCCCAAAAGACACGCTCAGAGAAGGAGAGCGACCCACAGCTCGGGTGACGGCTTCAACAACGCCTTCGTATGTAGAGAGGCCGAACAAGCGCGCAAGAGCCTCGGACAAGCTCGACGTCAGCTCGGTGGTTGTTCTAAAACATGCGGATGGTTTTGTTAGCAACGTTGCACTCGGCACATGGTAACACGATGTGACGGGGGTACATAAAATTTCTCAAGACATAAAAACAGCCACGGTCTCTCTCTCAAAACGTACAGTTTAGCAAAGACGCCGTTAAAGGCAGCACAGGCTCCGCTGGCTAGGGCAAACAGGATCCACTGGTTCCGACCAGAGAACGTCGTGGGAGCCATGGAGTCATTGTTGTTATTAGGCGGTGCCGTCGTGTCACTGCCGTCAACTATCAAGGTCCGACGCTCGGCGTCGTCTTGTTGCTGTGCATCCATTTGAGCCGCAGGCCGGGGCAGCCGCCGCTTCTTAATGTGGGACGGCTGCTGCGGGGGGGAGAGGCTGGTCCTTGCGGAAGAAGAGGAGCCGACTGATGAAGACGGAAGCTCAGGAGAGTGAGCTTTCCCTGCTGCCTTGCTGACGGGCATTGTTGTTATGGAGTAGGCTACGAGGCTGAGATTCAATGGAAAAGGTAATGAATGAATGGAATCTCCAATGACCAGGTTTTCCGCGCACGCGCTCGAGTCCGGAAAGTCCGGTAAAGTCCGGCAGTCAGTTGATAGGATTGTTGAGGAGCTTGTTTGTGCGGGTTGGCTTTGTCTCTGAGCTCCAATTGAGTTGAGTCATGCAGCCTGGTCTTTTGCTACCGTGTTTGAGAATTGCCACAGGTCTTGGAAAGGCAGCTTACACTCCAATCCCTGTTTGTTGGCGTGGTACTTTGGTAGATACTAACAAATAGGAAAGATCACAATAAATATACCGGCTAGGAAAAGCCTTTAATAGGTATTTCTAGGATAGGGAAATGCCTCCGAGATTATAAAATAGGGATTCCAATAGCTTTTACCTCGGCGAAAAACCTTTAGAGCGAGCTTTAAGTTGTTAACGCCTTTCAAATCTTGGAGAGTTCCCCACTAACAAACATCCAGGGATTGGAGTATACAGGACCTGAGTTAGTGCGGTGTGGGGAAGGTACAGATTACAATAATACACGCGTATTTACGTGACGATTCGGGAGTCATTGATCTATCTTTCCTATTGGCATGCCGAACTGTCTGGGTATAATCCTTTTCAAGAGATCTCCTAAACTAGCCGAAACGTCACATGTAGTCAATGGTAGATGTCCTACTTCTCATCGGTGCGTTTCGCGCTGCAGCTGACAATCTTGACTTTGTCGGCCACAACGGAGTGGCTGCCGTTATCCATCTTAAACGTTACGTTCTTGATCAAGAAGGTCCAGACTTCGTCGCAAAAGCGGTAGGTATCGAGCGAGCCCTGTTTTATGGTGGTCAACTCATGCCCACGTTACACGCATCAGAAATGGGCTGTTCCGGCTTGTGTGCAATGAGTGTGTGATATGCCGTCATGAAGTGACAAGGGAATGGCAAAGGGGTAAACGACAGATGCTGGGAATGTGCGCAGAATATGCTATGCATATAATGTCCTACTGCAGAGAACGACAAGTAACCCGAGACCAGGAGTCTTGACTCCAAGAAAAGTCAAAGGACAGGAGGACGCCAAGGACGGCATTCCAACGAGAGTTGTCATTCACCTTGAAAGTCAATCGAGCCTTGACCTTTTCCGACAGGGACTCGGCAACAATGCGGTCGAACTGGGTCAGGACCTTCATCGCCAACTGAGGATCGATGCGCTCGGCCCCAATAAGGTCATCGAGCGCATCGGTCAGAGTCGTTCCCAGGCTGCCACAAAGTGTCAGCGACCAACTCGCTCAAATCCAACAGATCTGTCGCGACGCGGGGGCCTAATTGATGTACCTTCCATGACGATATAGATCATAAAAGTTCGTCGAGTTGGTCGCCATAGTATTATCCGACCTACTCTTACACTTAAGTGCTTGTTGGATGCGAGAGAGGGTTGCGATGTGCGACACCTCTGACATGCGTGATGTAAGGTGGAAGGTTGTAGGAGAGAGGTCGCTTAAATACATTGGGGAAAGAGGCAGTTGGAACAAAGGATGAGTCATCAGGCGAATCATGTAGCGTAGATTTCCAGGAAGGAGTGGGGGGGCGGACCGGTCACGTGTACAGCCTAAGCTTGAGCTGCAGCCTTAGTGAGTTGGTTGTTTGATGAATTGCGGATGGGGCACGCACGCACCTGTTTGGACGAGCCTCTTTTGATGACCCCCCGAAGCTTTGGGAAAGGGATCGCCGGCTTCGAGACAGCCTCAATACGACAACCAGCTCCAGCTAGAACCCTATTGAACGACGGACACCTTTCACGATGAGCTTGACCTACGGACTCGGCGGGGCAGGGGCGAGTTTGGCCGTGGTGGGGGCTTGTGAGTCTATTTCCGGCCGCCTACCGAACTCAAGTCGAGCCAAATGAAGCTCAGCGTTGGGGATGCACTACTGACGTACAACCGCGCGCAGATATGCTATTCACGGGCAGCGGAGAGGCTTTCAATGTACGCCAAACTACTCGATCGAGCCTTGCGCACATTTCCGTTCTTGTTTCTCACAGCTTCCCGGTATTCTAGGTCGGAGCCTTTCTCGAATCAGTCTCGCCGTACGCGTGGGCAGACCTGGGCATCGCCCTCTGTATAGGCCTATCGGTTGTGGGCGCGGCATGGTACGACACTCCATCCTATCTTCTCTCTACATACGCCAGCGAACCTGTCTGTTCACCTCTCTAATCTCGTGGGTCGCGATCTGTAGGGGCATCTTTATCACCGGATCCTCAATTCTCGGCGGAGGCGTCAAGGCACCCCGCATCCGAACCAAGAACCTGATTTCCATCATCTTCTGTGAGGTCGTCGCCATCTACGGCGTCATTATGGCCATTGTGTTCTCTTCGCTGCTTAATCCTTCCCAGGGGGAGAAGTCCTTCTCGGGCGACGCATACTACACGGGCTTTGCGCTCTTCTGGGCCGGCATCACGGTCGGCATGTGCAACATGATCTGCGGTATTGCTGTCGGTATCAACGGTAGTGGAGCTGCGCTTGCAGACGCTGCCGACCCTACACTGTATGTTTCATGGCGACACCTACCTGCTCTGACGAGATTGCTGACCTAACCCCCAACAGCTTCGTCAAGATCCTGGTCATTGAGATCTTCAGCTCCGTGCTGGGCCTGTTTGGTCTCATTATTGGTCTTCTTGTATCCGGCAAAGCCAAGGAGTTTGGCACCGCCTAAGGCCTTGGCCCCGCATCTGTACCCTGCGACCTGTATTTGGACTGCTTCTTATAAGCGTGTCTCTGTAGCTTCATTATCATTGGCGTTTTGGAAGAAGGCTAGGAATGGTCAATTGGGGCGGTCAGCATATCTCACGGCTTGTTAGAAGTTTCAACTGTACAAAAGCTCGTCAAGGTTATTACATGGTTAGTTCCGCTGCAGCAACCTTTGCTGTCTAGAGCTTGGTTATAAACTACTTCGTATGTCACCCATCAACAGTGCCTCGACCTTGGTTCCCTTTTGTAGCGGCTCTAGGCCGCTCGGCAGGCAAAGGAGAGCATTGGCGCCCTTCATACTGCCAACCTTGGAGCTCCTTTGGCCTCCTGTGCTAGTCGCAGAAAGTGTTCCGTCCTTGGTAATGGAAACGATAGCTCGCTGGTATTCGGGCCGAGCCTTGTCTAGGGAGAAGTCGTGGGACAACGTCACAAGCACTCGTGTGAGACCCAGGGGAGAGATGCCGGACATTTGGTGCAGAGACGGGAGCACAAAGAGGTGGAACGAGACCAGCGCCGAGGCCGGGTTCCCTGGCAGAGAGAAGATGACCTTGGAAACCCTCTCGCCGGTGTTGTCCTTGACGGGCACTGTCGCAAACGTCGTCGGCTTGCCGGGCTTCATGGCCACGCGGCCAAAGTGGATGGTTCCGCCGAGGGAGCGCTCTATCGTGGGCTTCAGCAGGTCGAGCTCGCCCATCGATACCCCGCCTGTGGTGATGACGAGATCCGTTTGGCGCAGCGCCTGCCTCAGGCGCTCCTCCAGCGATCCCGACTTGTCGCTTGCGATGCCAAAGTCGATGGCCTCGTAGCCCTGCTCCTCGGCCGCCGAAATCAGCGTCGGGCGGTTGGTGTCCCGGACCTCCCCGAGCCGCAGGTCGCCCGGGCGGCTGGATTCGACAAGCTCGTCGCCGGTCGACAAGACTCCAATAGTCGGCCGGCGGTAGACCTGCACCTCGGCCACGCCCGTGGCGGCCAGAAGGCCGATCTCGCCTCCGGAGGTCGACACCTGCTCCCCCTTGCCGAGGATGAGGTCGCCTTGTTTTATGTCGCTGCCAACTTCCCTGATGTTCTCGCCCTCCTTGACATTGTCTGCCAGGATCTCAATCTCCTTCTCCTCCTTCTCGTCGTCAGTCATCGACACCAGCACCGTGTCTTCGACCATGATGACGGAAGTGGCGCCAGGGGGCAGCGGTGCGCCGGTCGTGATCCTCGCAATCTCGCCCTCCTTCAAAGCGGCAGCCTCTCCGGGGGCGGCATGCGACACGGAGGTGACAGGGAACACGCCTTTCATGTCGCCGTCGCGGGGAACTACGACGGCATAGCCGTCCACGATGCTCGCCCTAAACGCCGGCACATTCTCCCTGGCTTTCACATCCTGAGCGAGTACCGCGCCGACCAGCGCGCTGCCCACCTTTTCCGCGACAATTTCAGGGGCTAGGGTGTGCTCCTTGATCAGCTCGAGGGCCTTTTCTACCGAGAGCATGGGATAGGGAGACTCTCTGTGCCGACGGCTCGGTCCAAGACTCGGGTCGTTCGACTTGGGGTTCTCGCTGGGTTTGGTGTGCCGCACAAGACCACCGTGGCCGTGGCCATGTCCGTGGCCGTGGCTGTGTGCATGATCGTGTCCGTGGTGATGGGCATGGGAATGCCCGTCGGCAGCACCAGACCCGACTCGGGCCTCCTGTTCCAGCCTTCTCACGCCGCCTGAGTGGAGGGCTCTAGAGTTGGCTCCCGCAGCTTGCAGGCAGGCATGGGGCAGCATCCTGAGCACGGCCCTGAGATTCTCTCTGGCGCCCTTGGGCGACCCGGGGAGCGTAATAATGACGGTCTGGTTCCGGATGCCGGCGACGGGCCGCGACATCATTGCAAAGGGCGTGACGGCCAGGGAAGCAGCGAGCATGCCGTGGACCAGACCGGGGGCGTCCTTGTGGAGAAGAGGCGAGACTGCCTCAGGAGTGTCGTCGGCGACGGCGAAGCCAGTGCCGCCGGTGGTGACGATCAGGTTGACGGCGTCTCCTTCTCCTTCTCTTCTGTTGTCAGTCCACAGCATGATCTGCCGTTGGATATGGGCGACGATATCACCGACGATGGCCGAGTCCGTGACTGTCCACTGGCTGCCGCCGTCCGTCTCAAAGACATCCCTGATGGCAGCATCGGCCGAGTCAGTTGAGGGGTCCTGGGCAGCTGTTGTCGACACGATAAGGATCGCCGCCCTCAACACGGGGCTAGGCCTAGACGACGACATGGCATAAAAAAGGGGGTATTTGATGCTATGTACAGTATGTCCAAGCAGGTACCCAAATAAAACACTCGGGCACGATATGCAAGAGGCTCTGGGACTTCAACTTTTTACTTAGTAATTGCTCATGTAAATGTGTGGATGGATGGACGGATAGATGGACTGAGATCAGCCCAAAGCGAGGGTTAGGGTCGGCCCAGAACTTACATTACCAAGGAGTTAGGAGGGTCTTTGGCTCTAAGCTGAGGCACGGATAGGTCACTCAGATTCTGCCAAGCATCACCGCCCTTTCTATGCTCTGCTCAGGAACCCTACAACGTACATCGGTTTCTCATCCATGGTTCCATGTTTCCCATGACATGGACATGAGAGAACCAAACAGACGCCCCATGCTCCTATCATCACGCCATCATGGTGCGTCTCAAAGATCGCTACCTGCTGGTCAACATCATCTACTCTGATGTGCCAGCGGGGCAGCAATCAAAAGGTGCAGGCGCCGTGCCCGACCTGCTCGTCTACAACCAGCCCACCACCGGAGAGCTCAGACCGCAGCTGCTGCTCAAAAGCATCCGAGCCGAGGTGGCCGCGCTCTTCGGCGACTGCGGAGCTGGCGCCATTGACCGCAGCCTTCAGGGTAAGAAACAGTCTGGGGCGCAATTCGTTATTCGTATTATGGTGCTAATAACAATGGCCCCTTACAGTGAAGTATCTTTCTACAGCAACGTCGACATTCATCTTGAGAATCTCACGGTCTCACTACCGGCTGGTCTGGGCTGCTCTCTCATTCATGCACCATGTCCCGGTAAGAAACGGGAGGCCGTGCATTTTTCGCGTGGTGCGCGTCAGTGGCACCATCCGCAAGGTTGAAGAGGAAGCTGTGCGACGCGCCAAGCTTCTGATCCTCGCGGCCAAGCGCGAAATGGCCGGCAAGAGCTCCGGCGCCCTGGATGCTCTCTTGCGCGGCAAAGACGATGCACGCAACCTCACAATGGTGGTGGACCCAGATGATGATGATTCCGAACCCGAGAACGGCTCGGCCATGGATGGTGGCTGAACCCCGTTTTCATCACTTCTTCTTACGTACTACCCGTATACCCGAATTAGAGACCGGCAGTGAGGACAGAAGATCGGCACCCTGGGCAGCCTCGACAGCAGCTTCGGCTTGATCCTCGCGCAGTTTCTGCTGTTCCTCCTCCTCCTCCCTTTCGATCTCATCAAATGCCTCCTTATTCTCGATCCACCGTTCTTGGAGATCCTGGTTATCCATCAAGGACGACTCGTTCCGCATTGCCACCTGCCAGATGGTGTCGTTAGTTCCTTCGGCTGCCCCAAAAACGTACCCGTTTGCCCGGTCTATCACATGCAGGAGATGCATCATGCTCTTCTTGTTTTCGACAGCCAACACCTGGAAACTGACGAGCCCGAACTGTTCGACCAGATTCGCAACTGCTTGGTTTAGCCGACTGAACTTCCCGCTCCGCAGGGCTGGCGACTCGGATTCGAGTGCCGGTATGATATACGAAAGGTCCTGCACTTCTGTGTAGTAGTTGAGGTTGAAGGGTAGCGGGTCGTAGTTAGCCGCCCTGTCTATTTTTGTCAAGACGTTGATGTGGGGGAGGTCCATCTGCAGCATGGCGCGCAGGCAGAGGAGGATGTTGGAGAGGTAGAGCGACGGTTGCGTGAGGCAGAAGCAGTCGGACAGATGGACTACTACTAGCTGCGAGTCTGTCAGATTCCAGAGAACGGATGTAGGACATTGCGCAGCACCAAACCAACCCTGTATCCTAGCTTTTGCAGACGGTTAAAGATGTTGCGCAACGAGTTGTGGTGCGTGTATAGCTCGACCTGGCCGGGGCAGTCAAAGAGGACATAGTCGTCGCCCAGCTCTTTCAGTCCTTCTTCGAGCCATTCCATGTTGTTCTCCAGCTCCTCGAGCGCATACAGGACACCTCCGTTAGGCCCCAGGTGGTCGTCTAACATGATCTCCTCCAGCGTTACTAGGCTTCGAATGTCGAGCGCGCAGGGATAGTTTGTCTGATCATTAGCAGGGTCCAAGTTGATAACGGAACATTGCCGGCCGATGGCGCCCATGAACTGGTGCACTAGAGTGTAGCCCGTCAGCAGTCACAGCGTACTTGCGAGCTTAGAACAAAAGAAAGGATGCGACAGGCGCAACGTACTGCCATCACAATAGGTGCTTTTGCCCGATCCGGGACTCCCGAGGATAAGCTGCCCGAAAGGCATTTTCTGGAGCGCTATGTTTGTATCTACAAGTTCTGAATCGAGTTATGAACGGCTGTATCTGTCTCAGCGAGAAATTATGGATTATGGATTTCCGCAGGCGCGTGCAGAAGAAACAGGCGAGCGTTGTGGCGGAGAGAGCATTTGATGCTTTCGCGGGAAGGTAGAAAGTACCCCACTAAAGAATGGGCAATGACATGCCGCCCGCACCCCTCCCCCACCTGCAGCAGCGGAAAATTTAGCGGTGAGGCTCGGCAGAAACCTTATTTACCCTTGTTTACCTCTCTGCACCTGTCGCAAAGCTCCGTCCTCAAGCTGCCAAAGCTCGAGACTTTTCCTACTACCCTGCGAACCTTCCTCACCTCCCAGCCCAGCTTTCACCTTCCCTCACTGCTGATACATAGCATACTCTACTTAGACGAGACATCTCTCAATTCGCGCGATCAGAAACTAAGAAAATGGCGCCTGGTAAGAACTACCCATTCCACTCTCCCAACTCTCCCCTTATTAACAATAAGGCCCCCGATTTATAGCCACCCAGTTTGAGATCGCCCAATCCCCGGGCGACGCGCTCACGGCAGTTGTCTTTGCGCCCGATGATCCGAGCCGCCTTCTCGTCTCATCATGGGACAGAAAGCTCTACATGTACGATGTCGCCCAGGGAAAGGAGGAAGCGACTCTGGTCAAGACGTTCGACCACCGTGCGCCCGTGCTGGCAGTCTGCTTCGGCGCCAACAAAGATGTTGCCTTCACGGGCGGAGTTGACCGCTGGGTCAAGAAGTACGTTCTATCCTCCCCTTGAAACACAATTGACAGGTCCTCTTGTTGCTAACCTCTGTTTTAGAATCAACCTTGCGACCGGCGAGCAGACGGTCTTGAGCGAGCACACGGCGCCTGTCCGCTGCGTCGTCTACAGCCCAGATCACTGTAAGTTGCTGTCCACCCCCGAAATTTGTGGTGAGAAATAAGTGAAATGGGCAATGTGCTGACTTCTACTTCGTGCCCCTCAAAAACTAGCCATTCTCATCTCTGCCTCGTGGGACTGTTCCCTTCATATTCACCACATTTCCGACGACTCCAAACCGTCAACGCCTCTCAAGATCCAACTTCCCGGAAAGGCGTACTCGCTCGCTGCCAGCCCTTCGAAGGTAGTGGTGGCCATGACGGCGCGACTTGTTCACATCTACGACCTGCCGACGATCGCATCTGTGCTCGCCCTGTCGGCTACTAGCAACGGCCACAGCGACACCGATGCCAAGGCCGACAACAGCGGAATCCCGACCCCAGTGGTCTCAGACATACAGCCCTGGCAGCAGCGCGAATCGCCGCTCAAGTTCCTGACGCGCGCCGTTTCTTGCATGCCCAACGACGCCGGCTACGCCACGTCGAGCATTGAGGGCCGCGTGGCCGTTGAGTGGTTCGAGGACACGCCCGAGTCGCAGGCGCGCAAGTACGCCTTCAAGTGCCATCGCCAGGTGGCTCCCGAGGAGGAGGGCGGCGGCGACATTGTCTACCCCGTCCACGCGCTCGCCTTCCACCCAGTCTACGGCACGTTCGCGTCGGGTGGCGGCGACGGTACCGTGGCACTCTGGGACGCCGAGGCCAAGCGCCGCATGCGCCAGTACCAGGGTCTGCCCGAGGGTGTTCATTCGCTGGGCTTCTCTGGTGACGGGAAATACCTGGCCATCGGCACGTGCCCCAACTTTGAGCATGGAATGGAGGATTATAGCGGAGTGGGCCGCACGCACGTCTTCATCCGCGAGCTCAGCGAGACAGAGGCCAAGGGCAAGGGATCGAAGTGAGATGGTTGTGTATGATTTGGGGTGTTGCGGCTGCATCTATCTTCTTGTGTCTGTATACCTTTGAACCTTTGACTGGCGTTCTGGAGAAAGGGACATGGCGGGATACGCAAATATGGCTTGACGGAAACAGCACTGTGGTTGGATATATGGGAGATTCCCTTGGGATTTGGTGTGTGGCAAAAAACAAAACAATCTTTCTGTTTTCGTGTCATGCGACTGATATTCAGAGCTACAGATACTCTGGCGAAGGGGGGCACGTTTGTTGGCAAACGAATCTCGGGGCTACATGTACGTTTACAATGCAATGACTGATTTCTGGGTCACTGAACCTCCCCATCACAGCATGGCTAGGTTCAAGTTCTCTACATCAAATCCTTCAACGTCTTCTTCCCAAAGCAGTGCGTTTATCACATGATTCCATCCGTCTTTGCACGATTGATACAGAAGCCCATCAGAAGTGGGACCAAAGCACGCGCTTCAATGTGTGTTGGCTCGGCGGAGCGTGCGTTGCTCTCTCGGGACTGCCGCTCCAGGAGCACTGCGCCTTGAGGCTGGCCATGGGGGTTGCGATCGGCCTCTCTGTCCGTAGGGCGGTGTTTCCGAGATAAATGTCTCCCAATCGCTGCCCGGATCTATCACTTTCTGGCATTGTGGCGGGGGTACCGGACAGCTGACTTCCACCTCTACAACATCTTCTTGGCGCACTTCGACCTTCTTTCCGCGCTCGACATCAGGGGACTTGACTGGGGCGTCTGTAATTTGCGTTGTTTTGAAGTTCACGGCATCTGTAGTGCTTGTCGGCTGCTTGGAGAGTCCTGGCCCTGGCGCGGCTTCGGCCCCCTGTTCTTGGCCAACACCAAGGGATTCGACGGGGACGGTCGTAGTTTGGGATATCTTCAAGCTCGCAGCATTTGTGGTTTTTGTCGGCTGCGTGGGTTGTTTCCCCCATACTGACTCAATGCTCACGTCTACTGAGAGGGATGCCAAGCTAGTTGAAGCTTCACCTTCCTTGGGTGACTGCTCATTGTCGTGGTTGACGGTGATCTCTTCTTGTGTTTTGGCCCTTTGCTCTGCGGTGTTCGAGGCCGGTGGTGCTTCAGTCGTTCGGTCTCGGCAGTCTGGCTTTGGAAGTTTTCCAACCGTCTTCCGAGCAGGTTTCTTCAGGTTCGGTGTGGGTAAAAAGGAGTTGTCCTTGTTCATGTCCTCCCTGCTCGATTTCTTCCTCTTTTTGGGCGGCGGAGGCGTTGATTGCGTCAAATCCAAGACTCCCACGCTCGCAGGAATTGTGAATGGCTGTTTCCTCTTTCTCATTAGTTGGATCAGGCCGCTTGGTTTGGCCTCATCGGCAGAGAAGCCATCGCCCAGCCGGTATTGCAATGATTCTGGTGGTTTGTCCCCGGTACTCGTATTACGCTGTAGTTTCTTGAAGCCTATTGGTGGGATCTTGTCGAATATTAAGCATGGGCGGCGTCGCGGCCCCCTTCTCGCTTGTGTAAATCTGAGTCTCGATGACACCATTTGCTCGTTGTCTAGGGAAGAATCCGCTATAGAACGCGACTCTTCGCCTTCGCTCTCGTTCTCGCCCTCACAGTTAGACTCCTCGTATTCTTCAAACTCGACAGCGGCTTGAGAGCTATGCTGAGTGGCTGAAAGTATCAGCACAAGACAAAGTCAGCCATGTGACACAAGTATCTATTGAACAGAGAGAACTTGGATGTAGGACCTCTACACACATTCTATCTCTGAGAATTCTGAGCGGCTTGAGGCGCTCCTCCTTTCCTCTTCCTTGTCGTCGTCGCGGAATGTATCATGTATGTCTGGCTGAGCCTCAGTTTTGTGGTCTTTGCACGCCTGAACACGGCTCACAGCAGATGACTCTTGAGGCCCCTGCGCATGTGTCTTCCGCCGCTCTCGCGACCGGCTCTCCCCGAGACCGCCATTATCGTTCTGGACGGCTGGGTGGAGCGTGTGCCGTCTTGGAGCGTCGGATTGTTGTGGTCTTGCTCTCAGATCTGGCAGGGTGCTTGCCCCTCGGCTTTTCCCCTTGCGCGAGTATGTCCGGATGGCACTGTTTCTAGGGGCAGCCCCAAACAAGACGTGGGAGCTGCTGGCAGAGACTTGATCTTGGGGAGACATTACTTGAACATGCAGGTACTTCCTGCCGTTAAACGAGTGATCCGGCTCGGACTGCGTTTTCAACCCCGTAAGTAAAGACCAGCAGCTAGGCCCTAGGGGACAGGCTCGAGAGTTGGAGTATCTCGAAAACTCGAAAAGAGTGAACGAGGAAATCCAAAACCCGCTCATGATTCTTTGTGGGCTGTCGCAATTTCCTTATTACTCAGTCCAATGGCTGCCTGCTTGCGGGAGGAAGGTGCGATGGCAGCCAGTTGCAACTTGAAGCAGGGAACCAAGATGGCAAGTGTGGAAGGGACGACCCATGTTTGGAATATGTCGGCATTTTAACTACTTAATATTCCGTATTGATGATATCTTAGTGATCAGAATTGTTTGCCGCAATTCCTCACACCTGGGAGGATAAAGGCTCAAAAGAACGTTCCCAGTTTTCCGATTGTCTCGAGTTTGAGAATCCCCCCTTTTCGACTTTTTGCCAAGAGCCGTACCGAAACTTCGCAGTGTTCTACCACGTCCATGAAGTGTGTATAAGGAAATAAAAACGAACCACTAGTATCTTGTTTAATAATTCTCGGTAATACGTGTCCTGCACAATTCTAGCACTAAAATAGTGTTTTCGTTCGTCCCTAAATAAACCCCTTTTGCTCATGCTATCTACTCAGCCGGAGTTATGGGCTTGGGGAGGGGGACGAAGTCTTGGGTGCCGGCCATGCCAGCCAGCCACATCTCGTTGGGGTGTCCCGTCATGGCCTCGCCGTAGAGGAAGGTGTTGGGGAAGCCGATGTCGAAGGGCGCGGCGGCGTCGATCTCGGCGATGTCGTCGGCGGTCAGGCGCAGCGTCAGGGCCTCGATGTTGCCCTTGAGGTGGCGCGTGTTGCGGCCGCCGACGATGGGGAACACGTAGGGGGTCTTGTGCATGACGTAGGCCAGCGCGACGCTGGTGATGATGGTCTGCTTGCGCTTGGCCACGGCCTCGAGCGCCTTGCTAACGCTGATCTCGCGCTCGCTATGCTCGATGTTGCGGCCCTCGCGCGCCTGCTGCCGCTGCTCCTCCGTCTTGAAAGCGCCGCCGCCCAGCGCGCCCCACGGCGCGAGAGCCATGCCCTCGTCGCGAGACATGGGGATGATGTCGCGCTCGAAATCCCGGTTCGCGGCCGACCAGCGGCCCTGGTAGACGGAGAATTGCCTCATGTTGTGGTCGCGCGCGTACTGGTTGGCCTTGCTCACGACCCAGGCCGGCGTGTCGCTGATGCCTAGGTAGAGCACCTTGCCGCTGGTGACAAGGCCGTTCAACGACTGCATCAGCTCGGGGATAGTGGTTGAAAAGTCCCACCAGTGGACGTATAAGAGGTCGATGTAGCTGGTCTGCAGCCTTTTCAGACTGGACTCTACAGAGACGCGAAGACTCTTTGTGCTGTTTCCGGCAAAGTTGACTATAATCTCCTTGCCTGCGTGGGCGCTCTTGAATTCTGTGGTGAACTTTGTTGCGATGACTGGGTGCTGTGTGATTAGTAGGGTACTTTCAATGGCATGCCGCTCTCCTTTTCAACTCACCCATCTGGTCACGGTTGCCGCGCTTCTTCATCCATTCTCCGATCCAGGTCTCTGATTCCCCGCTCTGGTAGTTGTTGGCGGTATCAATGAAGTTTCCTAAGTAGTAGAAACAGGCACTTGTCAGGTTCCCTCCCCAATCCCAGCAGAGACATGACAGTGGGCTTGAACAGGGTATTGGATTTCGAGTTGCCATACCTCCGCTTTCGTAAAAGAAATCCAGGATTTCTTCCGTCGTCTTTTGGTCGCACTCTCCCATGTAGCCTTTCCTGCGAGACAGTAAGCATCTCGAGCGCTTGGATCTGGAAGCCCACGAGACACGGGGCTGAGATACTCACCAGGCATTGCCAAAATTCATGGCACCGAGGCACAGCGGGCTCACACGAACCGAAGCTGTTGGCGACAGAAGCCGATAGCGGTTCAAGGGGCCCTTTGGGGGCGGGGCCATGGGCAGAACGGACATGGCGAAGGACGGGAGGAGACAGTGGTTTGTTTAGTGGTAGGTAGGTATCTGGCTGGAGCGGGGCTGGGTAGATATAGCGAGGGCGGGTGCGGGAAGTAGAATCTCAGAGACAAGACATATATATACTCTCGTGAGGGGGGCCAAGTTCTTTGCGCAAGATTGGGGGATGGAAAGACGTTTCCAAGCCGAGTAGTCGCCTTATATACCACAACCGATTAGGATAAATGGCCACACGTGTGTGTGTGTGTGTATGTATTTCTAATCCTCATCCACCGCTTGCTTTCAACGAAGAACGGACTGGCAGTGGCACCACTATTGCTGCGCTAGACCATGTCTCGACAGCTTTCTCAGACCCAGACCCGGCCCGGGTAACGCAACCATGTGGCTGACCCGTTTATGCACGAGCCGTGGAGATAGGGGTTAAGCATCACATATCTACTTGTTCCCATTAGCTTCCTTGCATTCCAGTCCGGCAATTGTTTCTTTGATTCCCATGCCCAGAGCGGGGAAGTCCTTTACGCAGAATGGGAATGGTGAGGGGGGAATACCTAGGTAGCTTGGGATGGCCTCCCTCTCCGACCCCCATTATCACCCCTCATGACTTCATCACTTTTTGGGATGTGTTTGGCGAGCTAATGGCATTTCTGATGTACCCGGGCACTCTGAATGATATGTTTGAGTACATTGCCTGAATCATGATTACTTTGCCTGGTGCAGGGGCCGAGTGCCTGCGTCAATTGTCTTTGACGGGACGGAAGCCCACGGGTGTGTTGATGCACCTGTCGCCAAAAGATGATCATAATGCCGAATCGTGGAGTTTGCAGAGCGGGAATCGGGGATTGCGGTCGAAGCGCCCGCTCGCCACCCCCTTACCCCCCTTTCTCCCCCACTCGGCAGAGCTATTCGAGCTTCTGCAGCTTGGTCGATTATGTCCGATGTTCTTGCATGCCCCTAAGGCTTGGCTAGACCTTGAATGCTTGCTCGATCATCTGGGGCGGCTGCTTTGTGGATGAGGTTCGTTTGCTGATGAGAACCTTACCTAAGTGATTTGTGTGAATTGAACATTCAGTTCTTGGCAATACCACGAATTGGATGACACGCAGTCACACCCACACCTAGACAAGGCAGATGCAGCCGTACACGCTAATACTGGAACCTGCCGCGAGCCGGCTGCACTTTTTTGTATTTTACACGTACACAAACACACACATCTAACATGTCCAAGCCCCCACAACACCGTCCCGACGGCCCTCTACCATATATCCGTCCTTTATGCGAACCCGCTCTACAATCGCTGGCGTCTTGCCCTCTTCTGCCTCGGCAATGCCGGCGCCGCACTCCCAGTGCCGTCCCTCAACCTTATCGTATACCTTGACCACGTCTTCCCCGGCTGCGCAGACTATTCTGCGTGTATCGAACATCATGCTCGTAATGGGATGGTCATATGCATAGGCGTCGTAGATTGACCCAGTCCGTAGGTCCCATATCTGCGACAAGTCAGTTGCTGGCCCACATATTATATGTGTAGGGGGGCCGTGTTGCGGTTGAACAAGACATACCCGTATGCTCCTGTCGAGACTTCCCGTCACTAGATGGATGTCGTCAAACTGAAGGCACGTCACTGGCCCGGTGTGGCCCACCAAACTGCGATGGACTTGCCCGCTGCGCAGATCCCAGAGCCTCACCATGCCGTCGGCAGTGCCGCACGCCAGAGCCGACTCAAACACCTGCAACGCGCCAACAAAGTCCGCCGACGCGTCTGTTGCGCGGCTGGTCTGCCTCCAGGTGCTGTCGCCTGCCGACAGAACCGAGGCTTGGGCCGATGCCCACATGACATCCAGCGTCTGCACGCAGCGACCCTTTTCGAGATCCCACTGCCGGAGTGTTTTGTCGGCCGAACCGGAAACCAGGACGTCGCCCCTGAAGTGCAATGCCGTGATCTCGTCAAGGTGAGCCTGCAATGTGAAAAGGGGACAGTCGCTCATGCTGCCAGCTGGTGGGTCCACCGGTTGATCGTCCGGGTGGCCAAACGCAATACCGTCGTCCTCGTCGTCCTTGCCAAACTGGCTGCCTTGCGGGTCGTAATGCGCCTTACCGAGGTCCCACAGCCGAATAGTTGCGTCCATAGACCCCGTAGCTAGGAAGTTATCTTCGACTTGGAGAGTGCGGACCGACGCCGTGTGTCCCTCGAGTAGGCCGATGCAGCGCCCCGCGTTCAGATCCCAGACCCGGACCGAATCATCCATAGCCGCGGAAACCATCAGCCCAAAGGGGGCATCAAAATCAAGAGCCGTGATGCTGTCCTGGTGCGCGCGAACCGAGCGAATCATGGTGCCTGGCTTGAAGTGCTCATGAAGAATGGGCATGGATTTCCGGCGGATGTTTCGCGGTTTTTTGCCCCGGGATGGCGTGCTGCTTGCCGAAGGGAGTTTCTCGTACACTGACTGTGACATGAAGCCTACCACGTCGCCGTGCTCGGACTCGAGGTCATCGTCAGACTTTGTCGGTGTCTGCATCGCTGCCGACTCCGCTTCATCGGCGAGGTCCTGGGCCTCTTCTAACCTGCCCTCAACGTCGACAACTGTGACATGTCAGTTAACACGTTGGCAAAACTGGCGAGAGAAAGACACGCCATACTTTCGTGCTCTAGTAGTGCCTCTTCCTGCTCCAGACTTGCTAGCCTGTCGAGGATGATCTTGCGCATGCCCTGAAGGTTAGTTATCTTGTTGTCGATCTCGCGAATCTCGCTGCTAGCCATATTCTTGCGGACGCTGAACATCTCGAGCTTGTGCATCATGGACGCCTTCTCCTTCCTGAGCTTCTGCACCGCGTGGGGGCTGTCAACGTGCGTCGGGATCTCGTCGAGGAGCTTCCTCCCCCGCGAGGCTCGTCGCTTGTGCTTCTTGCCATCGTCGGCAAAGTCGGGGAAGGTGGCCTGGAAGCCCTGGAACAGCGAGTAGGCGTTTTCTTCATCGGGTATATTCCTCAGCATCTCCTCGGGGACATAGGACAAGGCTCGCGACTGGATCTCCTTGGACGAGAGCCTTGACCGCACCAGGTCTGTCGGAGTCGTGCGCGCGAGGGAGAACACGCTGCGCTGGAGTGCTGGCCTCCGCAGCTGTTTATGTACCTCGCTCATAGCGGTCTGGTAGTGGGGGTGCGAGGCTGGATCGGCGAGTGGGCCTATTAGATGGCTTGCGGTCGTCGTCACTTTGCGACCAAAGGCCTCGAGCCCTCGCGTCTAGAGTTATCGCCAAGTCAGTCCCCTTCCCGCCTTGGTTCCCCGCGCGCCCGGGAGGGGGCCAGGCATTGGGTGCGTCGTGCTCACAGAGATGACGGAAGACTCGTCTTCAGGTGGGGAGTCCTGGAAGGCATTCTGGTGCCCGGAGCCGGCCATCCGTCGGCACCTCTAACTTGTCCCGACCCTCGCTTAAGTCTGAGCTTTCCAAGTTTGTCGAGGCGGCAAGTTGCAGGATTCGTGCGTTGTCGTGGGCGATGTTGCTTGTGCGATGGCAATGTGGTATTCGATAGTCAATCCAACGTCGTTCGTCTGGCTTACGCTTTGGGGATCTGGTAGCTGTGCAAGCCACACGCGACAGGCGAGGTCGAGCCGAGCTGCATGCGCTTGTGCTACCTTCTGTCCTGCTCTCTCGTTGAGTGGGCGGCGGCGATTGATCGATTGATGGGGGCGTTTTGCAGGGGGCAAGCATTGGTCCAAAATCCAACCTGGAACCTTATTATTGGGAGCCGAAGCGGTGGGGCGGCGTGGTTAGTGCGTCATTGGATTTCGCGTTTGAAGCGTATTTTCCCAACCGTGCCCAGTCCCAGTCCCACAGCGCTCCGACAAGCGCTCCCCCGTTCGGACCGCCCACCAGTCGACTGCAGGCCGGCAGGGCACCGACGCAGCCGGGCCCAGCCAACCTCACCGCCCGGACGAAATCTGAGGTCATCTCTTGGGTCAAAAGTCTGTCCGTCTCGCTTTTGCAACTGCTTCAAGCAAGCCCTGCATTGCATCTGCAGCTAAGAAAGCAAAAAGCGAACGAGAAAGGAAAAGAAGCGGTGCAACAATGGATTCCATCATCGACCTCTCCGATGCCTCGCAGGCTCTCGACCTCTCGCGCATCCGCTACCAGCTGATGTAGGCCAAGGACCCTCCTTCCAGTTCGTGGAAACGTGTTACATTCGGAAAGACTCACGCAAAAGCAGCCGGCTGGAAGACACCATCACGTTCCACCTCATTGAGCGAGTGCAGTTCCCGCTCAACAAGAACATCTACATCCCGGGGGCCGTACCGATACCCAACAGCAGCCTGAGCTTTATGGACTGGTACCTGACGGAGCAGGAGCGGCTGCAGTCGCTGATCCGGCGCTACGAGTCGCCCGACGAGTACCCGTTCTTCCCCGACGCCGTGCAAAATTCCATCCTGGACTCGCTGCACTACCCAAAGATCCTGCACCCCAACGACGTCAACGTCAACGACAAGATCAAGACCTTCTACACGGAGCAGTTCTTGCCCAAGGTGTGCCCCGACTTTGGGCACGGCGACCGGGGCGTGTCGCAGGAGAACTACGGCTCGTCGGCGACGTGCGACATCGCCTGCCTGCAGGCCCTGTCGCGCCGCATCCACTTTGGCAAGTTCGTCGCCGAGTCAAAGTTTCAGTCCGAGACGGAGCGCTTCACGCGCCTCATCCGGGCTGGCGACCGCGGCGGCATCGGCGACGCCATCACGAATAAGGCCGTGGAGAAGAAGGTGCTCGAGAGGCTGAAGCTCAAGGCCCAGACGTACGGGACCGACCCCTCGCTCGGCGCCGATGCCGGAGAGCAGGTCAAGATCAACGTGGACGCCGTCGTGGCCATGTACGAGGACTTTGTCATCCCCCTGACCAAAGACGTCGAGGTCGACTATCTGATGCAGAGACTTGAACCCGCGCCGTAGCCGGGAGCACATCAATAATTACAACGGTGAAAATAGAAAGAAAGAAAAATAAAAAGTATGGCCAGCGCAAGCGCAATACCTAGAATCCATTTTAATCTTTTAAATTAAAGGAATAAAAATAGACGACACCGCAAGGGATTTATGCGTATTCGCCCACGTAGTCACGGATCGCCTTGACGGCGCCCTCGAACTTGCTCGCCTCGATCAACATCATGAAGCCCTGCGGCTGGACGCCCATGTCCTGGAAAGCCCTCTTACTATCGGCGACCGACTCCTCGCTAGTGAAGGCGTAAGCGCCGGCGGCCGCGGCGTGCTTCCGCATCTCGTCGTCCTCGGGGTGGAAGTACAGCATCTTGGACTCCTCGCGCGCCTTCTTCTGCTTGCGCTCGCTCTGGTCGAGGCTCGACGCCACCTCGCGGTACGCCCGCGACACCACCACGTAGTGCGTGAACTCGTACGGCTCCTTGTCCTCGACCGCCGCCTCGATCTCGTCCACCAGCATGCCCCACATGGGTGGGATCACCTCGGCCGGCATGTTGAGCAGCCGCTCCGCGAGCACGAGCCCCACCTGCACCTGCTTGCTGCCCGAGGATGCCGCCGCCAGGAGCTCCGGGACCGTCGCCGCCAGGCTGCTGCTGCTGCCGTCGACGGCGCTCGCTACCCGCGCCTTGCCGCTAAGATAGTCGATTAGCTGCGCGACGGGCTTCTTGGCCCGGTGCTCGGTTAGGTTGAGCACGGTTAGGAAGGCGTAGGCGTCGTTGGCCTTGTCGTCGACCTTGCAGGTGGAGCCGATGGTGTTCTGCTCGACGATGAGGTCGCTCAGGCCCGACAGGTCGAGCAGCTGCGCGTCGGCGTCGAAGAGCTGCCGCAGCAGCGTCTTGACGCCGTGGAAGTCGATCTGCGAGTCGTAGTTGAACAGTTCAAAGTCCACGTTGACAATATCCATGTCCTGTCAAGGAACAAACAGACACATGCCCCCTTTTGTTTAGCCAAAATGTTCTTTATAAAAGCAGGAAAAAAAGAAAGATGAAAACAAAAAGCTGTGCGCGGGGAGCTTTAGAGGTCACCTCTCACATCGTCGCTGCTGTCTGAGCTGCCATCCTCGTCCATCTTGTCGACTGTGGGGTCCTGCTGGGGGGCTTCGGCCTCTCTTGTTCGCTTTTTACCCATCGTTGAGTGTGCGTGGGTGGTTGTCCGGAAAAGAAGGCAGTCAACTTCTTGAAATGAATAAAAAGAAGTTGGAATAATGTAGTGCCCCCTTATTTCTAGCGTCTTTTTGAAAAGGTCACAGGCACCTGCTGGGGATTTATGTTTTTTGTCTCCGTTTTGAGTTTCTTCAAGTGAGCTGACCCCACGAAGCACGAAGCAAGCAACCAGCTGGCTGTCTCAAATTTATTTTTCCTTTTCCTGAGCCTACCCCTCAGACTAAAATATTGCAATAACCGGCTTATCTATCGACACCTATACGCCTAACCCTAAAATGCTCTGCCTTATCCTAGCTTCACCCCTTCCCCCCCCAAAAAAAAGCTCCCGCCAAGGAGCGGCGAGTCTACTGAGTACCCCATAAAGTTTCACAATTACGCGTCTGCGTGTGCGCAAGGACCTATCGAGGCGATATGGGCCATGTGGCCTCTTTATTGAATAGTCTAGAGTCTAGCACCACGTTAAGTAAACACTTGAACTAGGCAGGCAGGAAGCAGAGAAGCGCATCGCATGTCATAGAGATTCAATACAAGATGAGTATATAGACCACGAAAAGCGACAGCCGCCATGATAATAATAAAACAAGCGCTCTCTCTAAGTCAACCCGATTCAAGACCGTTACAAATGCCCCTGGTATCTCGCACGGCAATAGCTATAGCCTCCTGCGAGCCACCCCCCTCTCTTCCATGTTTGGCCAGCCAACTCCAAGCCGGAGGAATTTGGAACCTAGCGGCCAACTCAAAAAAACCCCGTCATTCCATCCCTACCTGCCTTGCCCCTGACCAAGCGAGGTTCCCAGTGTGGAGGCGAGCCTCCCCTTACACCTGCTCGGCGCCCCAGCCAGCATCCGCTTCCCGCATGTTGGCAGGGGGCTCGATGGACGGGATGAATTCGAGGACGACGTAGGCCAGCCCGACGAAGCCAATGATAGATCCGGCGAGCGTCTTGAGGATGAATCCGCCTTCGAGAATAAGCGTGCCGGCGAAGATGTAGACTGGGATAGGGGGGGGTTGTCAGTTTGCAGTCCCGTCAGCAGGTCGGAACTAACCTGTGCCTGACGGCAGTTTCGGGAGCTAGAGTACGTACAGATACCACGGCCGATGAACGAGAACATGAAGTTGGCATAGCGCGAGACCTGGGGCGGGATTTGGAACTCTGTTGTTCGGTAGGCGCACGGTTAGCATCTTGCAGCGGGAAACGGGGAGGAAGGGTCCAGGCCAGGCCAGGCTTGGGATCGCCGCGAATCCAGGTGCGGGTTATTCGCAAGGCGTACCGAGAAGGGCGATCACTTTGACACAAGACGCGATGGCAATTAGCAGATGTTCTAGTGTCATCAAACAAAGGGGCTCGATCGGCCGTGCAGCTAGTTTGCGCGTGGGCTATTCCTCAAGGCAGTTAAGGGGGTCTAGTTGGAACTTACCGAGACCAAAGAGAATCTCGTAGACAGCGACGAAGGAAGAGTGAACGCCGGTGCCCTGGAAGAACTGCAAGATGCCGCCGAGCACGAGCAGAGCCCCAACGCCCAGGTTGACGAGCCGGCTAGAGAGAGCGCAAAGTTAGCGGCTAGATGCCCTAATCGACACCACGTCAACAAACGTAGCAAGACGGGAAGCGTGCTGCTAGCGGAGAGCAGCTGCCCGAGCTAGAGTAGCTGGGCTCGGAACTGCGGCGTAGACGTACAAGCTGTCGGAGAAATCCATTGCGATCGTGAGAGTTGGATAGGAATGTGCGCGCGAAGAGAGAAAGGCTTTGTCGCAATGGGCTGCCCGGAAAGTTGTAGAGCTTGGGCGAAACGGCTGACGAACGACGAACTGCTTTCGCTGCACCACAGTAGGTAAGCTATAGTACTCGACATTAATTACGCGCGGCTCCACTCCGACGCCCCTAGGGCCCCGTGGCCCCCAAGCCACAGGCCTGTTGGGTAATGAAATCTTGGCTGCGGTGCCACCCTTTATTCATCCACTCAAACGGCCCCCTTTTTATTCTCCTTGTCCATTTTTGAAGTTATTCACATCGCGAAGATACACAGATATTAAATATTCCTACACAAGTTAAACAACACTTCCAGCATCACCAGCTTGGAGGGGTGCAGTACGTTAATCCGTCGCTTACGGAGCCGTATGCCACGTGGCTCTTCGTCGCTGTGCTGTAGCCTAAAACCATGTGCGGAGCTTGTCAGGGTCGCTGGCGATGTAATAAGTTCATGAGTTGAATGATATCCATTAGTCCAGAATTAGGCCTGTACTTCAGATGACTAGATAGAGGTACCCATTTCAGGGAAATCTAGGTGAAGAAGGGCTTACCCTTAGTAGATCGTAAGAACAAGGCCACTCTAACAAACCCCATTCTAGTGCGCCGTAATTTATGCCCGCGACTAAGCCCCAAGCCCACGCCCACGCTAGATACTTCATTGATTGGCATTTATATACATACACACAAGGATCATTCATTCGTTCAAGGCCGGGACACGACACCTCCCTGGTAGAGCGTCACTCGGCTCCTAACTCCGCCAGCTCCTTCTCTTTCGCCGCCAGTAGCTCTCTCATCTTCTCGGCTTCACGCTCAAGTGCCGCCCGTCTCTCTGCTTTCAGCTTCTCCGCCTCTAGCTTCTCTGCTTTCTGCCTCTCTGCACCCAGCTTGTCGATCTCGTGTTGTTGTTGATCCCATGAACTGGGACGGGCAGTAGCAAGAGATGGTGGTGTGTCTGTTCCGCCGCGGCTATAGAACGCTCCGGGACTCGGGCTCGATGCTGCCGTACTCCCGGGAGAGTGCAGAAACTGTCCCGCATGCCCGGGCTCCTGGCTCATAGCCACCATTTTAAGAATAGACTTGATGGATGACAAGCGTTTGCCATTTTCACCCTCATTGGGACCTCGGAAATCCATGTCAGTGGCGGAGAAGGAGCGCTTGCGGGATGGTGACAGAAAGGATGCTGGCGATAACGCGGACTGGCGTTCATCTGTGTTTGATACAGCTGTTAACGGCGCCAACCGGTTCTCGTTGGTGAGAGATTCCGGCTGATACTGAGGTTGACCCGTAGGTGGCGGGCGATTCTGTCCCGGGTTTTTGGGCTGCGCGGAAGATACCTGGCTATTCTGCCGCAATGCGATTTCTGAAACAAGTGTCAACGACGGCTCTCCGCGCCGTCGGAGACCTAGATTGACGGAACCGTCTGGATTAGTCGAGCCCCTCTCCATCTCGACATCGGAATCTGGAGAAGGCGAAGGTGAGTCCGTAGGTTCGCCAGGCTCGTTCTCGGCCTCCGTCGTCTGACAAGCAAAGGGCAGGACTCGTTTTCTCCGCTTTATGATCGACTTCTTCATAGTCACAGGTCGGTGTAAGCCGTGTAGTTTGTAGTACAGTCCTGTGAAAATCAGCCATCGTGTTTAGTGTACATCGAAGTACCTTGGGCCTACCACAAGCATTGCAAATTGTGTGGCCAGCTGCGTCCCTCCGCCATAGCGGTGTGATAGTTGTCCCACAGTTTTGACATGCGATAACAACAGTGGTGTTCTGGCTCTGGATATGCAATGCGCCAATATCAATCGGGGTCGGTTCGTCTGGATTGCTGTCCGTCTGGGTCTTTTGGCCAGACAACGTGTGCTGGCATTTCACCACACTCATGCTGGCGCTCTTAGAAACTCGGTTGTTATACGCAGGGCAGCCACTGCACCCCTCAGCGCCGCCGGTGCCGTTGCACTTTCCCCCTCCCGGGCATGATCCTGTTGGCGTCTGGTCCGCTGCGACATATGTTGCTGGGGGAGCATTGTGAGCCAGCGGCAAGTGGGAATTTGGAGATGATAGTCCTGTAGTTGTTGGTCTGTGATTGCTTGCAACCATGCTAGGTGGGCGCTTCAAGTTGGTTGGGCGCGCGGCATTCCTAGACTTGAGATATAGCCCACACGCATTGCAGATGGTCGCGCCTTGAGGTGATCTTCGCCAGAGAGGAGTACGGGTTGTACCACAGTTGCTGAGAGAAGCGTCATTAGAAGAAAACTGTGTGAACAAGGTGGTGTCGCTTACCTGCAAACTTGACCAGTGAGTCCTTCGAGAGGCGGGGTGTCAGGTGTGGGCGAGAGCTGTGTCCGATTTGTCTTTGGGCTCAGAGTCTGTGATAAACCGCGGGGGCTCTCGCTTTTTGTGGCTGGGTTTGGTGAACTCTCTGCTCGAGACCGGTCATCCCCCAAAGGGGTGGCATCCGGCTTCGAGCGCCGAGATGGGTCGAGACTCTCTCTTGATGACAAAGGTTTGGACGGGAGAGCCGTCCGCCGGGGACTTGGCGCGGATTCCTTGGGTGCCTCAGAGGCAAGACTCTGCGTCGTTTCGGATAAAGCCATCGTTGCTGTGTCGGCCTCGTGGTAATAGGTTCCCGCAAGCTCTCGGGAATGGTGTAGCAACGGCGCCGGTCACAGTAAGCAATGTGTTTGTTTTGGTGGAAGAGTACTTGTCGTCGAGGGCGGCGGGAATGGCAGACGCTATTCGATGTCGTAACGGAAGCAGATGCCAAGCTTTGTAATCGTTGTTTCGGGAGGTTGGCAAGAATTAGTATCTGTTCGATACTTTCTCGAGAACAACCTCTAGATTAGGCTCGAAGGCGATGATTGTCCTCAAGGTAGTTCCGCGATCCTGGTGCCAGCACAAGACGGAACACGGAGCCGGAGGGGAACCAATATCAGCTCCGCCGCAGAGAAGTGAAAACTGAGTGCGATAATATCCCGAAGAACGTAACGCTAAGAGCGAGAGACGCAGATCACAGCTCGGGATATGCCACCTAATAAAGGCAAAGTATTTGGGAGAAAGCAAATGCGCTTGGAGAAACCAAGTGGCGCATATACGTACAACTTCCCCCTGATGTACTGATTAGAGGAACGATTCGAGAAGGGCGGAGGGTGTGTTCAAATCCATGGGTGATGTTAAGGGCTGTCGAGGTTGCAGAAAAGCCCAGTGTGACTGTGGTGCGGTGAACAATGTAGGGAGACAAGACAGGTAAGCAGGAGGGATCACGGGGGCGAGCGTGGTCCGGCGGCGGGCTTTATGAGGGGGCAAGCGAGTGAAGGTCACTCTGCATGAAGGTGCCGTGATCGCTCCACCTCTCTCTCCCCACCATAGCGTTTTTATCTGATCTCGCACAGGCTGAAGTTAGGTACGAGGGTAGTAGCGCAGTCTGTCTTCGATTTATGTAGAGTATGACACGGGCGAAGGAAGCGGTCCAAACCCTTGCTTCGGTAAGACGTTCGATTTGTGGGAAGGTGAACTTCAATCAACTCAGATAAAGAGTGACTAAGAACTAGTACAAGACTCGTAAGCCTGACGACAGCGCAGGCAGGCGGTCCCGAGGAGGAGGATGGGCGAGGTGTGCACCGGCAACGAGCCCTTCTTGATGCACTCTTCTTAGCGGTCGAAATCCGGCCTGCAGGGCGAATTCCCCGTAAACGCTTGGGAGCTGCACGACGGTCCGGGCAGCTGATTAGGTCTTGCAGGTGGTGTTTGCGGTTGGATCATCAGCGGACTGGAGTGCCTCTTGCTCCCGTTAGGGAGGGTCCACACCGTCGTCCCCGTCCCTCGAATCAGAGGCCGCGCAATGTCAGCAGACACGGTCTAAGTGGGTTTGACAAGGGTGCTGGTGCTAGATTGTCAAGCAGGGACCGACTCCGCCATTGCTACTTTGTGTAGCTGGGACCTGCACCTGGGAAACTGTCGAAAATCTGTACCGGATGGTTACAGCAAGTTAAGGTTCAAGTAAAGAAACGGCTCCTGTTGGGACACCAATCATGGATGGCTTCATTTTTATTATTCTGACCCAGACAAAAATGGGCTGCTTCTCCGCCGCGCTATGGACTGTGCTATCCATCCGTCTTCCCGGCCCTTTAAACGCTACACTCATTAAGGCAAGGTAAACTTCGCGAAGAGGGTGCCTTGGCGCTGCCATGATCTGCCCCCTCCACATTTGCTGGGACCTGTCACGCTTAACTAGTAACGGCATGGATCGTGAGAGGGTTATGAGATGAATCGGTATTTCCTAGATTAATCAATTCGCGAGGAACGTTTGCACTCTCAAGAAGATCATACGAGTAGAATTGTGGAGTGACTTCGAATCATGTTGCTCGAGGGTATCTGCCCCCTAAGTTGCGTGATAATATCAGAGCATAGAGGCAAGTGTCATGGAAGCGAATGGGTGCCTCGTCTCACGCTGCTGCCATGGGAGAGCCTATTCGGTGGGTGGCTTGCTTAGTGGCCCCCCTTCGTCCCCAACATTTTCAGCCCTCCCACACCCCACCTTGGAATCTCGGCCGGCTCGGCTAAGATATTGATCCCATTGATCTCGCTTTATCTTTGTGGACCCACCCAAAAATCACGCCAAGCCTTTTTATCAATTCCATCAGACATTGGCGTCTACATGGTCCGCTGGGTCGTTGCTACCTGCGATATCGGCCAAGGAGAAAGAATCGATGCCTGTTGGTAAGAATTCCGCACCGCGTTTTTATAACTGCATCTTTACGCATTTCCCCTCTTGGAAGTTTGTGACTGGCTCCATTTCACATCGAGTCATCTTCTCAAGTTAGACTGAGCAAACTGTGCATATGCTCTGCTCTATTCCCTGTTCCAAGCTGTTCTAAGCAGAATACATAGGTACAGTGCCATGCCCCCGGCGTACGGATACCTATCTTATGTGGTAGTTAGGAACAAAGTCACGTCCAGTCCCATCCGCTTGAATATCATAACAGTGGCGTGTTCACCGCCCCCCCTATCACACACTACGGTTGGTGAAGACCAAAAGAGGAGTCAAGCCATAACGCCTCCAACAATATGTTCGCAGATGCCGGCACCAAATGGGTATTTCCGTCGAGACAACGATGGCAAAACTTCAGACTGGGAAGACCGCTCGCCATACTTCTGGCTTGCTCATGTTTGAAAACATTGCCTGCTACTTTCAAATATCAGGATCGTCAGACTCATCCCGGCTCAGCGAAAAGCAACCGGCCCGCCGCATCTTGAATATGGCATCTCGCGTCTTGTTGATAGGTATAGCGATCGACAAAGCATTCCAGAGCCACTGCCCTCTGTCGTTCAGCCGAACCTGCTCCAGGACAACTACGGGGTTCTTCGAGCTGTTGGAGTCGTGACTGACAAGCATGACCATGTGCTGTACAACGGCAAAGGCGTAGAGTGTCGGCGGGTCGACCGGGATGTCTTTGCGTACATCTTCTCGAAGATACCTGCGCCAGCGTTGGCCCATGTCCATGAGCCTCTTCTCAAGGTCTCTGGATACAGTACGGGTGAAACGCTGTTGGTGTTGCTCGTCTGTGAAGTCGTCCAAGTCACGGTCATCGTAGTCACGGTCATCGTCGATGTATCCACCGTCGCCCTTCCCAGTCTCATCCTGCTCAACCCCATTGCCGATACCTTCTTCATCCACATAGTCGCCATCGTCTCCGTCAGTGTCCTCTCCAATATCGAAATTGATGGTGAAATCTGGCGGATACGCCGTAACCAGTAAACCAGGCGGGATTCCACACCTGCCCACTGACGCATCTTTCAGTGCCCATTTGTAGTAATTACGGATGACCTTTACCACAGTGGGTGCGATTCTATCCTGGTAGCCAATTTCCTCGTAGTCCTTGACAGTCTGAGACAAGTAGAACAGGGATTCGAGAGCTTTTGCCGCTGTCCAACCCGTTAGAACTCTAAAACCGCACCCAGAGCCCGGGGAATAAACACATACGTACCTGAAAGCTCGTTCCCATACGCATGTATAACCACACGCTTCTGGCTCCTTTTCGGCGTAAAGACGTCGTCCATGTGCTGTTGAGTGATGCCCCACATCCTGAAGCTCATCCTCCACCAGGAGGGTATCATGGGGTGGAGACCTCGCATGTAGATCAGCTCGTGGATCTTGCGCTGTTCCTTGTTCCAGTCATCGCTTCCTTCAAGGCGCATTACCATTTCTTCGTATTCGCCTAGAATAACCGGGACATTGCCATACTCGCCCCAGTCGCTATTGGTATCGTAGTCGTCGTATAAGAAACCATTCTGCTCGTATCTATTGACATCTTGCTGTTCGTAATTTTCGTCGTCCACGTTATCTAGCTCTTCCAGCTCGTCTGTCTCGCTGAGACTCCTATCGTCGCCATCGAGTTGCCGGGCGGCGTGACCACCACGGAGCATATGATCTCGATTACCACCTTCTACGACAAACAACCCGGCACATGAAGTGGTATTTTTGCGGATTTCCGCGATGCTAAGAACATCGACATCCTCGTCTGTGACTGCGCTCGACGGTGCAGAAACGGATGCGACGATGGTCTTCTCCGTCGCGATGCAGATTTCGCCTGGTAAACTCAGAGGCGGGGTTGGTTGTGGTGGCCCCGTCATTGCGAGCGTGGACACGGAATAGTTGGTAAAAAAAAACAACGGTGAAAAAAGCAGCAGTTGCGAAATTGGCTTCAAGGGCGCGAAAACTGCGACAGAGATGCGCGACGGGACTGCAGCGAAGAAACACTTAACTCCTCGGGTTCTGCCGGTGTGGTTCGCTAACAAATTTCCATGGCTGTACTTGAGGGTGCGGCAGTGCGAGTGAGAAGGAGAGGGTGAATCGGAATCCTTTGACAGCTTCCTCTCTTTTCCGTCCGGTCTCGCGGCGGCGGGCCCAAGGACAATAAACGTGATGACAATGGCTAGAATGGCCGGAAGCAGTGGGGAGTTCAATTTGCCTGTTGCTCGTTCATCAAAGCAAAACGTGAATCGGTGGGTATGTAAACTGGGCTGCTTCCTGCAGCGACGCGACGGCCGATGCCCATTTGGCCAGCATCTGGTAATCAGTGCCTAAGGTCAATACCCAATGGAGAGTGTGTGGTTGACTTTAGCATCGGTCAATGAGAATGCAGCATCCCCCAGTAGGCCTTTCAGATTTTGGGAAGTGCCCCGCTAGCAAAACAGTACCCGAGTGGGGCCCTGCATGGAAGCTAACGCTTTATCCCTGCAGGCCCCACTTCTGGCATCTAGCAGCCTTAAAGTTCGTGCAGGGACGAAGGAGTTTTCTTTTGTCGCGACGCGACTGCCGAATACCTTCCTAAACCTCTTCGCATTCAACACACGTCAGCATACAGATCGACATGGCTCCCACCGACGTGAGCCGCATGACGGTCGCCGACTTGCGAGTGGAACTCAAGCGGCTCGGTCTCCCGCAGGCAGGCAAAAAGGCAGACTTGATCAAGCGTCTTGCTGCTGCCGAAGCTGAAGCGAAAGTGGAAGGCGAAGTGGACGACGCGAACGCCGCCGAGCTTCGCGGCGCGCCTTCCCGAGAGGCTTCAGCGAAGCCTCAACCTGGTATTTCTTTACAACCTGGTATAATTACCCATCATGATGCACATCCCAGCCCCGATCCCTCCCCCAAAGCAATCACACAAGCCGAGAAATCACCCCTCTTGCCGCACGGGTCGTCAGTGCCTGTCGGGAATGGCGACCAAAGCGACCCACCCGAGCCCGCCGACCCAGAACCCCCCACAGTCATTCAAAAGTCTCCTTCACCGATCCAAGAAATATCTAGTGGCTTGAAAATTAATGAAGTAGTGGATGATGGGCAAGATGCTCCCGCGGTTCCAGAGCTCATCAATGACGTCAAGAGCCGGAAGCGGAGATCGCGGAGTCCTCCTCAATTTGACGACGAGATTGCCCGAAAGAGAGCGCGCCAGAACGAGGACCATGTCAAGGGTGATCAGAACCTGAACGAAATCTCATCTCCCGGTCACGAAACGGCCGCTCTACTCGAAGATCTCAAGGACGTGTCCTATGCGATCATCCAATCCGAGGTCCCGAAGAACCAGACTGAGCCTGGTGTCCAATCTTCGCTCATCCATCCTGCCCATAGTCCTCAGGATGTGTCTGTTGAGGCTGAACCTGGTCAATCCCAACATTTTTCATCAACGGAAATGCACATCCAAGAAGACACTGATATGACAGGTACTGGCAACCAGATCCCTGAGGACAATCTGCATGTTAGAGGGCATGAGCAAACATCAAACAGAAAGTCCTCTATCGATTCTCAAAATGGCCACCAGGAGTCTCCTGTTGTGGAAGACAAAGATGTTGAGCCAGCAGTTCATCCGGCTACCTCTGCCATATACATCAAAAACTTCATGAGACCGCTCAAGGACAACGTACTCAAAGACTATCTTGTTGAGCTTGCCACTTCGGCAGGCAGCGCAACGGACCCTGAGGCAGTTCAAGAGCAGTATCTCGACCAAATCCGCACCCATGCATATGTAAAATTTCGAAGCATTGCCTGTGCTTCACGAGCGCGGGCCGGGTTGCACGGGAAAATCTGGCCACCAGAGCGAAATAGAAGAGAGCTTTGGGTCGATTTCATCCCGCCGGACAAGGTTCGCGAATGGTCTGCAACCGAACTCGCAGAGGGAGGTCGCGGAAGCTTGAGCCGTTGGGAGGTCCGATATGAGCCCGATACGGAAGGCCGAGTCAGAGCGAGACTGGTCAATGCTGAGACCGAGCCCTTCCGCTACGTATCCGCAAAACCACAGCCGTCTGTCCCGGCTGCAGTTATTCCTTCTGGTCCGGCACGCCAGTTTCTTGGTGTGGAAGGAGCTCCCCTTGGCCCCCGCGGCAGAGGCAATTATCGCCAGGTGCCCTTCCCAATTGGAGATGGAGATCACATTATCACAAAGACACAACCGCCTCTTGCCTACAAGCCCGTTCCGCAAGAGCTAGCACGCCGCCGCCTTGACAATATGCGATCCTACTACACCAGAGACCGAAACCGGGATATAGGCCGCCCCGATGAGATCAATAGATACACTTTTGAGGACGTGGACGCTTTTGTGGACCGTGGAAAAGAAGTTTTTGTTGGTATCCGACCGCCACATCGTGGCGCTGAGCGACGTCAGGGAAATTTTGGAGGAGCCGACCGCGGCAGACCTCGTAGTCCACCACCACCGCCCTTCCGCCCTCGCAACGATCGTTTTGGTGGCTGGCGTGACGAGCCCAGATACGGAAATAAATACAACGAACCGTCACGCGACGCGCCTCGATCGCGTTTGGATGGCGCACTTCTGCCAACATTTGAGGGAAGCTTCCGCCAAGAGAGACGCAGAGGCCGACGAGATTTCAGAGGTAGCCGCTACTGATTGCGAGCGACCTCGACAATGACAAGACATAGTTATTGATTTCATCAGCTTGGGAAACCTGGATTTGAGGATTCACTCGTCGATATATGAGGATCGGTGGCATAGACTTGGGGTTGACGCTCTGAGAAGCCTTTGTGCCAGGCATCCGGAAGCAATTGCTACCATACAAGGGTAGTGTGTGTAAGTAAATTCGTCAGTTCTGTAGTGGACTGACCGATGAAGGGACTAAATGTGTAGATAAACTCAGCTGTACTGTATATACGGACAACACTAGGCAGCCATGGGCCCCAAGGAGGAAGCTTGACACGGGTATCACCTTGAGCGCCGAGAACACGGGAGGAAAGCCGGCAAATGGCAGCACGCGAGACGGAAGAGCAAGGAATGATGATAAGGGGTGTTATAATGTAATGCGGTGCGGTAAATAGGTCACCACCACGACGACTTTGTACAGTATTATAGCAACAATGCCCCAGGGCCTGCAGCTCTTCCTGCAGCGAGCGAGCATTGAATCTCATATCACAAAGGACACTGGCTCGGACGGAAACCGGCCTCATTGTACGGAGTAACTAGGATCTGAACAACACAACAAGAAATGACCAACCAGTACGAGCCACGAAAAAAAAAAATAATAATGTGCCGATCCACAGCGTACTTGACCTCGCAGATAGATGTCCGTGCAAAGGTACAGCACGGTAACTCAAGCATCCTTAGGTTTGAGCAGTTGAGGCCGCTGCGCAGGCAAGACCCTGGGATCATAATGATCATGGTGGGATCCCTAGACTTTGGACGAAACGAATCCATCTCGGCCCCTTTTTTTCTGATGACTCGTCTTGCTATCTGCAGACAGCAAGACAACAATAGACCGGTATTAAGAACATGAGATTGCACGCCGCGTTCAAGGGGAAAATATTTACCTTTTGACACTGAATCCCCCAATTCTGTCTTAATTCCTAAGCCACAAAAGAGTTCTCTTCAACCCTGTTAGAAAGTTGTATGTACGTGCTGTAACTGTTCTTTTGGAAAATAGGTAGTAACAGTATTCGCCTGCATCCTCCCTTAACAGAGCGCGATATAGTCGATGACGTCATATGTTTTGAACAGCCCAGATTCCTTCACAGTTGTAAACCGGGTATCTCCTTTCGACAAGACAAACTCACCGGCAACAATCATGTGCCCTTTTGAATCATTTCGATTTGAATAGCAACAAACTCAACAAAGAGGTTACCGCCGCTATATCGAGGGCACAGAGCAGAGCTCGTCCAATAGTAGCACGTGCCCCAGGCGGGAAGGGCATTTTTCAACCTTTTCCTTTCCTGGCAGTTTCATAAACTAAACATAAAGAGTAACATGACGAGTAACTAGCTTTTTATCTCTCCAGAGGCAAAACCAATTGCTTAAAATCATTAATCGCTAAACCCCAGACCCAAACAATGCAGAAAGACCTTCCCAAAGGCCCTTAGGCAGCGTTAGCAAGAGGCGAAGGCTCCACGCCGACTCTCTCCTTGCTAAGAATGTCGATCATCAACTGAGATGGCCTATTGTCCCGGTAGACCTTGGCGCTGTCCTTGAACAGCTTAACGTTCTCGAGATACTTGTCAAACAGGTAAGAGCTATCCATGGGGCCACCCTTTGCTTCAGGGTGGAATTGAGTCGAGAAAATGGGCCTCGTCTTGTGCAACATGCCTAGGGAGTAGTGTGTCAGTCATGATCAAAGCCCAGCTTCCTTAATCCTACGTACCTTCGTTGCTCCCATCGTTCAGGTTCACAAAGTACTCCTTGAAATCGCTCGGCAGGGTGCTAGCATCGACGGCATAACCGTGGTTCTGGCTGGTGATGTGGCATTGGCCCGTAGTGAGATCAAGGGCAGGGATGTTATGGGCACGGTTTCCATATTTGAGCTTGATGGTCTGGGCACCGACGGCAAGCGCGAGCAGCTGGTGGCCAAGGCAAATACCCATGATCGGGACCGACGATGTCTCCATCAGGCGGCCCAGATTATAGACAGTCTCCTGCAAGTGGGTCGGGTCACCGGGGCCGTTGGAGATGAAGATACCGTCAAAGTTGTCGGCGACCTTGTGGATCGGGTAGTTGTAGGGGAAAACGGTGACCGAGGCGCCCCGGTTGACCAGACTGCGCAAGATGTTCTCCTTCACACCACAGTCGATGAGAGCGATATGGAAGGTGGCATTAGGAGCGGCAACGACGAAGGGAGCCTTGGTGCTGACGCGCTTCACAAGATTGATCTGGCCCGGGTCGATGAAGCCCTCGTCCTCGTCGGCATCGTACTCGTCGCCAATAGAGATCCTAGCTAGCGAGGAGCCCTGCTCACGGAGGTGCGTGACAATGGCGCGAGTATCGACTCCAGTAATAGCAGGGACGCCCTCACGGGCACACCACTCAGCCAAGCTCTCAACCGCAGTCCAATGGCTGTATTTCTCTGCCACATCTGCCACGACTACTCCGGCACATTGAATGTGGGGAGACTCGAAGTATTTCAGGAGGTTGAATTCGTCGCGCTCGTTCGACGGCACGCCGTAGTTGCCGATCAGGGGCTGGGTGAAGACCAGAATCTGCCCACGGTACGAAGGATCGGTCATGGACTCGGGGTACCCAACAAGCGACGTGGTGAACACGGCTTCGCCCGAGACGTTGGAGTTGGCGCCAAACGCCTTGCCGTGGAAGACGGGGCCGTCCTGCAGGGCAACGAGTTAGTAATCGCTTCTACGAGCAAGCGACTAGGCCGCGGACTAAGAGCGCACCCTGATGGTTAATGTGGCAGTGACACCGGACGCGGCGGCAGTGGCCCTATTGTTGCGGGCAGGCATTGATCTGCCCTTGCTCCCGTCGACGGCGGGCTTGCTCAGGAAGCGAGCCTGGCTCTTAAGCCGGGGGCTGAGGCCTTGGGCCAGAGGGCCCGAGGCCTTAGGCAAGCGAACGGCCAGGCGAGAAAGCATCTTGGGCGCTGGGGTGGTTTGGGGGTGAAAACGGGTGTGGCTGCTTTAGTGCAATGCCAGAAGGTCTTATGCTGATAGGGATCTCCACAGATGGTCTAACAAATATCTAGTCAGTACGAAGCGGTGAGTCAAGCCAGATCCCGGGAGCCAAAGCGGACCTGAGAGATAGTCCTATCGCAGATTCATGTTAGCTCCTATTTCGTGAGACAGGTGCCATTGTGGCAGAACGGTAGGGCAAAAAAAGACGGGGAATTAAAAATGCAATTGGCCTTTGCAAGAGGCATGGCATCGCGCAATGGTGTTGCCGAAGCTGGCCGGAAACACCATTCACTACATAGGCGGAGAAAGGAAAAAAAGGAATTGTGAAAATGGCGGGGTAACGCTTTGGCTTTGGTCTGTGTCACGGCCCAGCCGAACGGCAGGCACAAAACCTAAAACTCCAGGGGAAAAGAAACTTAATTTCAATTTCAAACGTACCTGAGAGGTGAAGACTGACGGGCGCCCGTTCATAAGAGCTGTTGTGAGGGTTGTTAGGTCGAAAAGACGAAAAAGGGCGGACCTATGTCCTGAGATCGGAAGAGCGATCACGTTGAGTACGGGGCAGCAATTGACTAGTAGTGTAGAGCAATCCGAGGTGATGGAGATGAAACTGAGAGGCAGAACTTGAATTGTGGGAGAAGGCTATAAAAACCGCTAGGGGAGAGAAAATTTGGATCTCGTCATAGGGCCGCTGAAAGATTTTTTACGCAAGCCAATTAGCGAGCCGTCCATTGGTCACTTGAGCATGGCCGAGGCCGATAAACGGCGGGGCAGAGGGGCAATTCCCACTGTTTTGCTAACTTTGTTCTCCTCCCCCCTCGTTGTATAGCTGACCTACGTTGGATCAATTGGTGAATTTCGGCGTCAAGGGACACACTCTTTTGACTCCCGCTTTTGCCACGGAGTTGGCCGACTCAAGGAGCTCGTCTGCCAGTCGGCGGACCTGTTTGAGGGCATCTAACGCTAGCAGTTACGGGTGCTGGCGAGAAGCGAAGGAAGGACAATGCGGAGGCGAACCATGCTTTGCTTCTCTCTCCACATTCTCTCAACGGATCCGTACTGTACAGTACATACAGAACATTCCAGACTCGAGCCCCCGAGAACCGGAATCGTGCTTCGCTAGGTTCTGGGTAGGTCGATGCAGCTTATAAGGAGAATCGAGATATAAATAACCAGGCCGTCTACTGCCAAGATAGTAATAACAACATAGTTAAGCACCAACATTATATAACAGACATGCAGACCCTAGAGAGCGCCAAGTTCCTTGAGCTTTGCAATTAGCCCATCCACATTCTCGACCTTGCCTCCGCCTTGCCTCGGTGGTGGTTCTAAAGCAAACATGTTAGTCCATTGCTCAGCTTACCTCCCCCCCGCTCTCATGGGCCCGCCACTTGGGGGTGATAGGATGGGGGTGAGTGGGTGGGGGACCTTGTATGATGGGGCAGGCAATTGAAAACCACGAGTTTCTGCAGTTTCCAGTAAAAAGGTAAAGTCATTGATAGTTATTTGTCACTGTCGGCGCAAGAGAGCAAGAGACGACTTAAACTCACCTGTGACCTTGAGCACTTTCAGCCGCCTCTCGCTTGTGATTCCAAAGTCTGCGAGCGTCTTCTTCTCTAGCGGCTTCTTCTTGGCCTTCATGATGTTGGGGAGGCTGGCGTATCTGGGCTCGTTGAGACGCAGGTCCGTCGTGATGATCATGGGCAGCTTGGCCTTGAGGGTCTCGGCGCCGCCGTCGACTTCGCGGGTGACGCTGACTGAGTCGTTCTCGCCGAACTCGACCTTGCTAGCCTGGGTGGCCTGGGGCCAGCCCAGCAGGCCGGCGAGCATCTGGCCCGTCTGGTTGGCGTCGTCGTCGATGCTCTGCTTGCCGAGGATGACGAGGTTGCTCTTGTGCTGCTCGACGGCGGCCTTGAGCAGCTTGGCGACGCTTAGGGGCTCGAGGTCCTCACCCTCCTTGACCTCGACGTGGATGGCACGGTCGGCGCCCATGGCCATGGCGGTGCGCAGAATGTCCTGGGCTTTGGTCGGGCCGGCGCTGATGACGCAGATGTCCTGGACGCCGCCGGGGGCCGATCGCTTCTCGCGGATGCGCACGCTCTCCTCGACCGACAGCTCGTCGAAGGGGTTCATGCTGTGCTTGACGCCGGCCGTCTCGACACCCGTCTGGGCCTTGTTGACTCGGGGCTTGACCTGCGTGCGCGTGCGTGAGCTGGCGTTCCTTGTGCTTGTTGCCCGTTCCCGTTTCCATCCAAATTCCCATTCCCATCGGCTCTCTTCTGCCCTGTTGGCTGCTGCTGCTGCACACTCACCGCATAGTCGATTACCCGCTTCACGGGCACCAGTATCCGTAGGGCTGACATGGCGTATATTTGGGGCTCTCGGGTCTCAATGGCTGGTCGTGCGCTCAGGGTTGGCAGGCAGGCTATCAGCGTCGCAAATCATTCATTCATTCCATGACAAACGAGTCGACTTTGCGATCAGTCCGGCAGGCCCGCCTCAGCCGGGGGCCGCTCCCTAGTGCCGATGCCAGCCTCGGCCAAGCGTGACCCTAACCCTAGGAATTGTTGTATTCCCCGTAATAACTAGGGTACGGATATCTCTCACCAAGTCGCGAATGTCCGCACATGATCGATCAGTCGTACATCTTATATAAATGAATTTTTTTTATTTAGAAGTAAGGGCTAAATTAGATAGCGCATCGCCTCGTCTATATTATCCTACCTACCAACACTGATACCCGATCCAGACCTCGCTTTGCACTGTTCTGCAGCTCATCGTCTCTCCATCTCTGCACTAGAATCTGCCCAGACGGCCAATAGAGCGCGCGCATGTGACACCCGCCAGAGACCACACCCCTTGCCCTCTCTTCAACCCCTGTTCCTAACAACTACACCACAATGTTGACCTCTCAGTCCTTCACCAGTCATCCCACTCGTCCTTGGTGGTTTTTGAAGGACCTGGGCCGCCCGTGGCCCCCTTTCCCATGGCCGACGTGCCTATTGAGCTGCTGCCCACCTTCCGCTGGTCTGCCTTGCTGGCGAACTCGTCCCAGAACGACCTCTTGCTCTCGTCCAATGGAACTTGTCTGTAGCCGCCCGCTGAAGGGCCCTCGACAAACCGAGAGATGCCTTCCTGTGCGCTCTTGGCTCCTGCTTGCGCCGTCTTGGCCACTTGGCCTGCTGCTGTCCGAGCTTGGGCTGCAAATTCAGAGTCGGATATCTATGTAAACACACCAGTAACAGGTCAGTAGGAGTTCCAAAGTAGCGTCGAGGCCAAGTAGTTGATAGGGGCGGGAAAATAGTACCTGCTTGGCCGTCGGTTGGATAAAGCCATCGTTAACCGTCTTGGCCGTCTTAGTCACCGTAGATGTGAACCATCCGAACCCCTTACTCAGAGCAGCTACGGGGTCCTTCTGAAGTTCGTCGAGGCCGGGGAGCGCCTGGTCCTCCTTCTTCTGCGGCACTGGCGTATTACCAAAGCCGGTAAACTTGCCGCCTTGATTGGGCGGCAAATAGTCGGGCCTGTTGGCATTCTCTGCGCCAAGTTTATTGAAGAATTTATCGTCTACCTTGATCTTGCCTGGGACCGGGCTGGACGTCCTGCTGTCCTCCAAGGACGGGTTCGATCTCGGCCCGCTCCGGGTCGGCGCAGTGTAGTAAGGCCCTGGTGACGGGCTGGTGGAGACGGGACTCTTCTCGGCGCCAGGCACGTATTCGCGGCCCTCCACCTGGGCGCTTAGCCGCTCTTTCCATTCCTCCCCGGCCTCGCCGCTGTAGCGCTCCGCGATGGTTGCGTCGTCCCAGCTCAGGCCGCGCATTTTGATATCGGGATGGTTCTCAAAGAACGATTGCCAGTTCTCGTTGCCGCCCAGCCGCATACGCTCGAGTTCAGCCGCTTTGAAGGCGTCCATGGAGATGGACCGCACGAACGAGATGTGCACCCCCAGGCCGCGATGGACGCCAGCGCACGAGAGGCAGATGAAAATGCCGAATTTCGGGGATGCCCATTGTGGACTCGGTGCGCCGCAGTCGCAGCAGATGCTGTTCTTCGATTCCTTCTGTATTGCGACGAGCTAGAGGCGACAACGTCGCAATTAGCCTCTGATGCAGCGACCATACATTGGGGCATGGCAAATAGCGCCAGCGACGAGGCCATACGTATCGCACCACTTACCTTAGACCTTGTCTCGGGATCTACTTCCCACATCGCTTTAGAGGCCATTGTTAGATACAGTTGCCGCTGGGCCGTTGAGTCCGTCCAAGGGGGAAGGGAGAGAAGGCCTGTCGACTGAGGCGTGTGCCGTCTGGAAGCAAGTGGATTGCTTCGCCGACAGCCTAGAATACTAGGCAAATGAGGGGTTCGTGAAGAGCCGTAGACTGGCTTCTTGATTCTGTACCTTGCGTTCCTGGTCTTTTACGTTTTTATGTTTGCTAGAGGTAGAATCCAGGGCAACTGGTGGAAGTGCGAGTGGTCGGCAAAATCCTAGGCGGGGCTTATCCAGGTCCAATGGGTCCCCCCGGGCCTAGAAGGGGACATCCCAGAACAAGTCTGTTGCATCGCTAACAGCCGCCTCTTGTGCTGGTAGCCTTTCCGATCTTACCGCCAAGGCCAAGTGAAACCTGACTTGCCTCAGGCATACGGATATTTCGACTAATATTCCTAGCGGGCAAACTGGAAACATAAGCTCACAACAGGTTGGACAACAAAAATCACAGCACATCACAAGACGGGAATAGACAGCGGGCTTCTCAAAGCATAACGCTCATTGTGATGTATCTGCAGAGACAACTTTTCCTATCCCCCCCCAGACCCCATCTCCGGCGACGAACTAGTGTACACCCCGAAGAATGCAAGCGAAAAGAGGTAAAGAAGATGGTTATCAACTACAAAAGCGAAGGGTGAAAGTCGTGAAGAGATTAAGGGATATTGCTGTTAAAAGCACCCGAGATAAAGATTCCTGGCCTCTAGCTGCACAGGGCCTTCTAAGAGACCTGTGCAAAATCCAGGACGCCACATCCGGCGCTCCTTACGGCTTTGCGGCCGACGTGGTGGATAATGAAAAAAGTCGTCCAATCCATGCTAAATCATGAGGGGGAAACACGCGCCAAAGAGTAATACATACGAACAGAATGATGTCGAATAGAAGTGGCGTATGACCCGCATCTCCATTGACGTTTGCATGTTCGTCAAAAACCAAGTGTTTAGGCGCTGACAGTTGCAGGCGCCTCAGCAGCTTGTTCGGCTTCGTGGGTTACCTCACCCTCAGGGGCATTGGCCTCCTCGTCCGTCTTGTCGGGGCTGTCAATGGCGACCTTGACAGCGATCTCCCGTCCCTCGATGATCTTCGCGTTCATCTCCGCCACAGCCTTCTGCTGCAGCTCCTCCGACGCCAGCGTCACGAAACCGAAACCACGTCCCTTGCGAGCCTCACCCCGGGCTTGCAGCTTCTTGATCATAAAGCGAGGGATGGGTCGCAGAGCAATCTTCGCGGATGAGGGTTGGTACTCAACGAAGAGTTCCTTCAGCTTCGGCGGGGGTTAGCTTTTAGTCTCATGCGGTCTGCTTTTAACAAGGTTTGCTAACCTTTTCCTCGGTTAGGTCATACGGCAGGTTCGCAACCATGACCTTGGTCTTAGATGGGATACCGTCAGCCGGGGGTCCACGTTCCCGGCGCTCGCGGGCAGGGCGAGCCTGGGGCTTGCCAGACTTGTCAGTCTGAGATTCGTTCGTGATGTCCTTCAGGGCATGAACCTCGTCATTGGCCGGAGCATCGGTGGCTCCGCCAGCGGTCTCCGAAGCAGAAGCGCCTTCGTCGTTCTTCTCATCCTATTTCTCGTGTTAGAAACGAGTATCAAGTATGGAAGAGGTTTACTTACGCCACTGCCACGGCCACCACGAGCACGTCCGCCGCGGCCACGGCCAGCACGGCCACGACCACGAGTAGACTGGCGTCGACGAGTGCCATCGGGATTGACACCCTCGCCGTTAGCACCCTCGGCCTTCTCGTTAGGCTCCGGCTTGCGAGCAAGCTGGACGGAAACCTTGCGTTCGAGAACCTCCTTGCCGGAGAGCTCAGCGATTGCTCGCTCAGCCTCAGTGGGAGTCGAGAGGTCGACGAATGCATAGCCGACGGGTCGGTCGGTGCGAGGGTTTTTTGGGATTGAAACAGACTCGCTGAAGTGATAGACGATGTTAGAGATGCCAAAAGACGCGACGACGAATAGCGAACAAGATTTGAATGGAGGGAGATGGAGAAGGAAAATAAGGATAAAGCAATCGGGTATGTGGAAGCAAGAAGCGGTAGATAGTGAATCGTGACAAACGGCAAACAACGAGAGGTGGCATAGTGGAATGAAGGTGGCAGTTGCCTTGAGATACGAAGTATTTGCGGTGTTGATGGCGTCGCAGCATGGTATGACGCGAGCTTGACAGGGTCGACGACGCGATAATAATAATAAAAAAGGAAGATCACTTACACAAGGTATCCCTTGAAGAAGTCTTTCAACTCCCCCTCAGTTGTCGCGTAAGCCAGATTTCCGATGTACAGGCGGCGGCCTTCGGCGGCGCTGGCAAGGACAGCGTCGTTGCCAGCAGACTTGTCATCGGTGGACTTTGCAGTAATTGAGGTGTTTGCCAGAGCATTGGTAACGTCATTTACGGCGTTGGCGGCGACATCCGCAACTTTCTCAGCGATGGCAGACATCGTGAAGGTGTTTGATGGAGTAGATGCGCAAATTGATGGATGGGGTGACGTGGGTTTGGGGGCTCGTCGAGAAGCGAGTGGGCGACCGAAAGAAGCGGAGCCGACGTTCACGAACGAGCAGGTTGAACTCTGGTGGAGGGGGAGTGAAGGGTAGCTTGGTGCCCTAGTGGTCTAGAAGAGAATGTTGGTCGTGGATTGAGCAAGCTTCTGGATCGATCTTTGATGGTTTGACGTGGAAAGGGGAAAGGAAGATGTGAGTCGACGCGCGCTCAAAATTCAAATATTTTTTTTTGCTAGTGTTCGGGGATTAAGCGAAAGGAAGGAGTGGCGGCAGGGTACGTACCGTTGCCTCAACAAGGGTCTGTGTGGCAGGGGAGGTGCAGTCGTGCGGCAGGGGCGTGCACCAAAGCACTTCGCCCCACAAAAAATGGCAAGTGGAATTTCCAAGGAGCTGGCTTCCGGAAGTTTTGAGCGAGTGATGATAATAAATCGCCAAGGTCAGATGTCTTACCTACTAGGTAGCTAGGTACGGAATTCCAAATTGCGAACTTCGTAAAAAGTGAGTATGGGCCGGGCGAAACAATTTCACCACTCTCCGACTGTTCGCGGTTGGTCTTGCCGTCCAATTTTTTCTGTGGGTTGGTTGGTGGTCGTGCTTGTGGTTCAGAATTGCCTGGGGTTGAGGACGGATCAAAAAAGAAGAGAAGGGACAGGTTTGTGCCTGGCTCGCACTTGCTGAAATATTGCCCGCCGCCACTCGTTCTAGTAGAGGCGATAGTCAAGGTTTTCCTATTCCGCTTTTGTCCTTTTGGGCAACGGCTGGGAAGGCGTTTTTGGCTTTATCTCTCTTGATGTGTGGATGCGGCGCAAAATAGTACTTTCCTGCCTTAAGTGTGCCTTCCAGGGTGGTAGGTGGAAAAGCTAAGGTACCTCTGGAAAATGGCCAGATGCAGCAAGACTATATCTAAGGTAATGCAGGTCCCCAATAGAAGCGGTCATGGGCAAACAGAACAATAGTAGAGGAGTCATTTTCGGGAGATCATGTGTTTGTTCGGCCGTGACTAATCAGACGACAGGCAGGGTGGGCTTTTCGCAGATGCGAATGTGACCTTGTGTTAAAGTGCCGTGTTAAAGTGCTGCAAATCTTACGCGTCTTGTCACGCCGACTACGATAGCGATTCAAGCTCTTTTTGATCGGGCTAACGTCAGGCGTCCTTATCTGCAACCTGCTGCGTTTGTGAGGCCAGCAATTTGGGGACCTGGCTCGGCTATCTATCAAACAAGGGGCAAGCTCTCTCTCGACAAACGTCTCTGTGAAGCCCATTCCCTACTGATCTAGAAATCCATCATGGACATGGTCATAAGAAGCTCCAACAGCTCCAGGCTAGGGTGTGCAGGCGAGCTTCCAAATGGTACTCGCATCAGCCGCATAAGGCTGCTGCGGCTGAGACACACCATTAGCCCTCCCGGCTGCCGGTCGATCCTCAAGATCCGCTTGATGCCAACCGGATTCCTGGAGATGCAAGCTATTGAGGGACGGAGAGCTAGGTTTGAGGTTGATACGCAAGTTGGGTTCACAAAAATGCATTCGAAAGCTTTTCAGTGCCAATAATTTATCTTCGACCTCTGATAATTACCGATCGCCAGGTTACGCCTGCCATGGCCCATTACGTCGGCATCTTGCTTTTGTCCTTATATACTGTGCGTGTGGAGTGCATGCTCAGCTTAAATGGATGGAGAGTAGGCACCAATTCCCTCCTCCAAAGGTTTAGCGGGACCCGCTAAGCTTCTCGGTTACATAACCTTAAATTCCCAATTTTTTGGCTTCCAGACTTCCACGGCCTGCGCTCTACGTACAAAGAGCAACATCTGCAAAGGTTTCGGGTCGCGTCTAATGCGACGCCCGTTGTATGCAGAGTACTCCATACATATAGCGACCCATATAGAATACACGAATACTGATACCTGATGTGTATACTTCGTACCTCACCGACATCCAGGTACAAAGGCCGCAGACACGCACATCAATTAGCCACGAAAGTGCTCGCCCATACTCGACGAGTGGGTACTTTGGGATCGCAGGTTCTCTGATCGCTCTTCTCTACCTCGAGGGCAGCTCTGAGAAAGTCGATCGACAGTCTCAATTATTTAAGGTACGGCCACCGAGTCTCCCACAAACCGGTGCAAGACCGCCACCAGCTAGCAGCAACAGAATGCACCCCAAGATCTCCATTACGGTATCCACCTTCAAGAGTCAGAGAATTGATTGGCAGGCAGCTTCACTGGCGAATGCCAAGGTGCGGTCTTTGCCATCTTTGGCAGGTCTTCAGCAGTTCAGATGGCCCTCCTCTCTCTCTCAGATCTGCTTTCTTTCCACGGCTTGAGCTCGCTACAATGCGACCAGTTCTGGACAGCATAAAATAAAGCCGTATGCATAGGTCAGGTACGTATTCTGGATGGTATGAGAGGGTGTTAGGGCTCACTCAGCTCTTATCTCCGGACTTTTGAGATCCGGGTCCCCGATGTTGTCCGTTCCCCGGGCCCTTCCCTGATTTGTATTCTGCATAGGTACCTAATAGTGCGGAAATATTTAACATCACCGACGCATTCCTCGATATCACCGAGACAGTCGAGCACGTTATGAGCATCGGCGGAATCCCGTGTTGTGAGACTGGGTGGACTTAAGGTGTTAACTGCGTTAGGTCCACCCGCGTATCTATCACTTTATTTACCTTACCTACCAAGGTACCTTCACCAACAGATCATGTACTGCATGTGTGTTTCAAGTTAAGACAGCTCAAGTCACCTGAATAACTATTAATGAGCCAGTTTCCACGTCGAAATCATGCACCAAGATACATAGTACAGGTTTTGGTCAGACCACCTATCGCCTCTTGTCTATACTCTATATACATATCCGTACCACTCCTGTGATTCGATAACCATGGGCCAACACGCCGCACCTAACAGCATCGCCGGCTTGAGCGTAGGCTCAACTGGGTTGGGCCTTCTTAGTGTGTATTTACTGCTTGCTCAGAACGAATTAACCACAAACTGACGCCATGTTCCCAAGGTTTTACCCGTCCTTGGGCACGAAGCGAGTATATTGACGCCGCGGTGGTTATGAAAGCCGCCCTCGACCAGGGTGCAAACTTCTGGAATGGAGTGAGTTCATCTCTCTAGAAGCAACAGTCTTAGTTATGCCGTGTCGAGCGGTGGTTTCCCTCTGTTTCGTGCTGGCTCCGTGCTAACTATCCGGCAGGGCCTGCATTATGGCACCGCTGAGGCCAACTCGCTGCACTTACTCAAGTACTACTTCGACACCTACCCAGAGGACGCCAGCAAGGTCGTCTTGAGCATCAAGGGCGCCTTCGACCGCACCACATACCAACCTGACTGCAGCCCAGAGGCAATCCGTGCATCGGTCGAGGAGGCGGTCGGGATCTTGGACGGCGTCAAGAAGATCGATATCTTTGAATGCGCGCGCGTCGATCCCACTGTTCCCATCGAGATCTCTATTCAGGCCCTGGCCGAGCTTGTCAAGGAGGGCAAGATTGGCGCCATAGGCGTCAGCGAGGCCAACGCCAATACGATCCGACGTGCCCACGCCGTGCATCCCATAGCCGCTGTCGAGATTGAGCTGAGTCTCTTTACCCCAGACCCGCTAACCAACGGCGTGGTAGATACGTGCCATGAGCGTATGTTCTGACTTTCCTCCTCTTTTCTCATTTTATTCATTCAATAATCGCAAGTCTTATAATGTCTTTTTTGATAGTTGGCATTGCCATCGTGGCATACGGCCCCGTCGCTCGCGGGTGGCTTACAGGGGAGCTCACCAAGCTCGAGAATCTCCCAGCAAATGATATGCGCCGCAGGCTACCAAGGTTCCAGCCCGAAGTCTTCGACCAGAACTACAAGCTCGCCGAGGCAGTGGAGGCGGTCGCAAAACGCAAGGGAGTGACGGTTGCCCAGGTAGCGATTGCTTGGGTGCGCAGCCATGGCACAATCCCTATCCCCGGTTCAATCAGGGCCGAAAGGGTCATCGAAAACTGCAAGGAAGTCTCGCTGAGCAAAGGAGATCTCGAAGAACTCCAGACGATCATGGACACACTACCCATTGCGGGACAACGATATGGCGGGCAACATGAGAAGCTGCTTAATCAGTAGTGCTTGTCTGGCTAAATGTTTGGATATGCTGGATCCCTCAGATCCTTAGACCTAATTTCCATTTTCCGCTGGGAAGCAGTCAGCAATCAAACGCGGCACAGGTTCGTGGTGCTTTGATTGTTTACCAGGTTTCTCAACCCCATGTTTGCTTTGGTCGCTCGAAGTTAATGAGGCGGTTTGTTCGAAATATGTGAACGCTCAGAAACATATTTTCAGAAATGAAAAGAAACACAACCGTTCACAGACTGGTCTTGTTTGATGTCATGCAACTGTTTCAGATAGCCTTGAGGGTGTTGTTTGGGTTTGTTTCAACAGAAGACAGGAAGTGATTATTCTCAACTAAGAAACGGTCTAATGTCTCACTGAACATGTTTCTCGGCACAACCGATGTATCCTCAAGAGGATAGCCACGCAATCTTTGGTGTAAGCTAGACTTGGATCTGATTCATGCAAGTGTCCTAGGCCTGGGTAGTTTAGTAATTAGAAACAGCATTTGAGTGCCGCTAAGAGTCTTGAGAGAATCCACCGTTGACATGAGCCTACTGCAGATTTTAAAGCATGAAGGGACCTGTTGAATATCAAGGGATAGCTGAAATAAGCAAAGGATACCTCACCCAGGAACGATACACCTCTTTGATAGTCTCAAGGCCTTTGTGCATGAGGAATTCCCAGTAAGCCGAACTCATTGTAAAAAGGCCATGTCTAGCGAGAGAAAAAAAAATACCTAACATCATCGGGATCGATTTTATATTTACTCTCACACAGCCTTATTCCCCCGTTGTTCTTCCCTGAGGGCATTCGATCTGGCAACTGTTAAGATCTTGGCGGGCCGGTGCCAGCCGTGAGCTCTCGGCATATGCAGCTGCTGGCGCATGTGATAAGTGTGGGGCCAGGCAGCTCGATCAACCACAGCCCATCAGAAACCTAACAACCATCGAACGTCAGTTGTAAACCTACTGGGTCAAAGTAAGGGCCACGAATCTTTGATAGCTCCAACAAAGGCTACTTGCGTCTTGCAGCGAATGACACGTGCGGGCAGATTTTGAGTTAGACAATTCCCTGCATCGTCTCTGGAAGAGAAACAAGCCTGAGGGCCGATGTCGGGGCAGATTCGTGGGATGCTCCCGCAGTATCCCAGAAACCAACCTAGCTTCCTCAGAGTCTGTCTGGATTTTGCAAGCATCTCGCTCCAGAATTAAACCTTCCCCAGACCCACGAAAATTGCTGAGAACCCTAGAAAAGAAGGGGAAATCGGGAACGGGTAGAGAATCAGAAGCAGACTTGACGGCCGTCAGCGCTACGCAACGGGCCCACGGAGATAAGGTGACTTCCATAGTTTGCAAGTTTACGGAGTAGATCCGTCTGATATACTCCACATTAGGTACCTCCCCAGTCTCTTTTCACATATCGCGGGTTCATCATCACCTTCTTGTGTATTTGGGATATTAGATGTCAAGGACGATTTGCACCTAGTCAAAGTGAGAAGGAGAAATGGCGGCGACACCGAATACGGGGCAGATTGCCCAGCCCGTCTTCATCGAGGGCAGACGCATAACTGTTTTATATGGCTCCGAGACTGGGAACGGTGAGGACATTGCAATAGAGCTCAGCCAGATGGCCGAGAGGCTACATTTCCAAGTCGCAGTGGACGATATGGACAGCTTCAAGCTGGTATGTTGCCCCTCCCCATCAGACCGGATTTCACAAGCTTGACAGGCTTTCCTCTGTGCCCACAAGATAACATTTTTATCTTTTCCGACCTGCAGAGTGATCTTCTGCAATCTTCGCTTGCCATCTTTGTCACTTCGACAACTGGCCAGGGGGACATGCCGAAGAACACAGCAAAGTTTTGGAGGAATCTGAGGCGGGAAAAACTCAGCGGGACAAACTGCCTAGGTGCTTTGAAGTTTGCCATATTTGGGCTCGGCGATAGTTCTTATCCCAAGTAGGTTGCCTCACCCACGCATGCGTGTCTTGGTTTATCTAAACTGCGTGTCGGCAGAACAACAGCAGACGCGACTAACTTGCTGACAACAGGTTTAACTGGGCTGCGAGAAAGTTGCGAGTGCGACTCCTGCAGCTTGGAGCATCCGAATTTGTCAGGGCGGGTGAAGGAGACGAGCGACACGAGAACGGGTAAGGGCCACCGACCCGTGCCTTCTCTTCCAAGTTTTTTCTTTCTCTTCTCTCTGCGCGGTGTATACCTAGTGTGCAGAGAGCCTGACTGCCACTGCGCGCGCCTTGACGCCCGTCAGTCACAGGTGACTAGCTGACTTGGTGCCTCCCCCGGCTCTTCCTCGTCGCTCATTTTCCTTGTTCTCACCTCACGCGCTTCCACTCCAATTCCCACGTGCGGCCCACGCCTTGGATCGCGTCCCTTGATTTGACTTTCCTTCGGTCTGACGTTCTACTTCGGGTTTCTAGCATCGACAGCGCCTACCTTCCCTGGCACCAAGAGCTAAAGTCAGCATTGTTTGCCGGCTATCCTCTTCCCGACGGCGTCGAGCCCATCCCGGATGACGCTCAACCACCTCCAAAATACACCCTCGAGCTAGCACCAACCATGGCCGACCCTGCAGACCACTCTGTCAGCGTCGATACAGCCTCGCAAGCATTATTAACCGAAGACGAGCGCGTATTCCTCGCCTCCAGAACAAAGAGCGCAGTCCTCACCCACACCGACCTTCCCAGATCCACTGCCGAACAGCTGGCCAAGGATCGAGACCGGCTGCTAACGTCCTTTCCGGCCGTCATAGCCCGTGAAGACGACTTGTGGGAGCAACAGACTAGCCGTCGGGCAGACTGTCTAGATAAGGACAACATCATCACGGACTATCCAGAAAAGTACCGCCTACTCTCACCAAAGCCCGTCTTCCAGCAAAGCCCTTACGAGGATTTGCTCTCGATTCCCAATTCTTCGATAGGCACGCTAGTAGCAAACCGCAGGGTCACGCCTGTAGGGCACTGGCAGGATGTCCGACTTCTTACATTTGACGTTCAATGCGATAAGGAACTGTTCGCGGAATGCAGTGCCGGCTGTACTCTCATAGTCTACCCCAAAAATTTTCCAAAAGACGTCCAGGAGTTGATTACCATGATGGGCTGGGAGCAGGTTGCGGATCATATTATTGACCTGAACACTAATCAGCGGAAATCGTCTTATCCGAAACACCTCTACTTCGATGGCGCCTGCGCAACGCTCCGAAAGCTGTTGCTGAACAACTTGGACATTACGTCGATCCCGAAGCGAGCCTTCATCAAGTATTTAGTCCATTTGACTCGCGAACCCAACGAGATTGAGCGACTGAAAGAGCTCACAGCGCTTGGCAACGAGCAAGAATTCTACGACTATACTTCGCGTCCGCGTCGCACCATCATTGAGCTCCTCTGCGATTTCCCAGGCGTGAAGATACCATATGACAGAGTCCTTGACCTTTTCCCCGTCATCCGGGGCCGAGAATTCAGCATATGCAACGGCGGCAAAAGCCTCTACGACGCGGGTGATTACCAAACCCGCATTCAGCTTCTGGTGGCTTTGGTGGAATACAAGACCATTATTCGCAAGCCGCGCCAAGGTCTCTGCTCGCGATACATTAAACACCTGGCCACTGGCTCCCATCTATCTCTTAGCCTCAAGCAACCATCGGGCAATCTCTTGGGAACCGACCAGCAGAGGTGCAAGCGCCCACTCATTGCTATCGCCACAGGTACCGGTATTGCGCCTATCCGGGCGCTCGTTCATGACCGAATGCTCTACGGCAATCCTGGCCCCACCGTTCTCTTCTTTGGATGCAGAAACGAGGCCGCCGATTACTACTTCTGGCAGGAGTGGAAACAGATTCCCAACATGGAGGTATATCCTGCATTTTCGCGGGACAAGAATATGATTTTCGAGAAAGAAGTCGGCCCCCCGGTGTGGCCCGTCCCAGATGCCATGGACGCAGTGCTTGGTCTGGGCCCCGACTTGGATGCGGGCAAGAACTACGTACAGCATCACATCAGAAGGAATGCCAAGCGCGTCGGCGAGCTGATGCGCCAGAAACCCATTGTCTGCATCTGCGGCAACTCTGGTCGCATGCCCGCATCGGTGCGAAAGGCGCTCCTCGATGCCTTGGTTATTAGCGGCGTAGTTCGGGACGAGGCCGAGGCCAATAAGTGGTTCGACGACAGGGAAAACCTCACATTCTGGCAAGAGACTTGGTGAGCGGGAAGCGGCGATGACGTGGGAAAGGACCGCCTAGGTAAATTCCTAGCTAAGGGGAATAAGGGGTCTGACAGGGGAAACCCGAATTCTAGGGTGGTTTATCTGCCTTCCTACAGTCCGAGAAAGCTGAAATGGTTATTTCAGTTTGACAGTGGGTAATTCTGTAGCTTACTGAAACCTCGGGAATGTATTGACTTGACAGCGCATTATTAATAGTATGCAAGGGCTTAAGCCGCTATTCACCTGTCGCAGAAGAAGGATTCACAGATAGTGTTGGCGGCAATATTATCAACTGTTGAGCTCCTCTAGCTAGGTTGTTTACCTAGCTTAATGGAAGCTTGGCCTATTTCTTCCCTCTGAGTTTCGCTACGGCATGTGTACCCCTTTATCTAATGAATGAATGGGAGGAGAGTCAAGTTAAAGACTGTAAACTAAACTCCTTCTGTATACCCAAGATCCTTTAATCTAACTCTTTAGTGACTGTATATTTACGTTGAAAGTTTTCGTTGATTTTATATAGAGAGAGTAGTAGCAGCAGCAGCAGCAGCAGCAGTAGTAGGCAAGATAGTAAATAGTAGTATATAGTTCGGTAGTAAGGTAGGTTAGTAAGATCTGGTATCTCTCTGGTCTACGATCGCCTGCTCCTGCTAGGGATTCGCGCTCGCTCACTGCCATATATATAATCATCCATTCAGTTCCATTCCAACCCCAAAAATGGTAAAATAGGAGAGAGACAAAAAGGAGAAGGCCTTGTTGTGTTTTGCGAACATGAGAAATATGCTAGAAATCGCCCCCCCCTTCATTTGTCATTTCAACCCTACTTCCCAGCCGACTGGTGTCCAATCCTTGGAATGCCGCATACCATTTTGTTGCAGCCACTAGTAGTAAAGAAACGAAAAAGCATTATCCCCATGCTCTGGAAACGCCCGTGCTTGCCGTGTCCCAAAAAGAAAAAGGAAAAAAAAAGGAGACCATCGAAATGACAATGGTGTGAGTATATAGACCCCCGTGATCTATGTTAAAGAAGGGAAAGCCCCCTTTGTATCCATAGTTTATATACGTTGAGATGAGAAAAAATATGTGACGTAAACAGAAGAGAATATCGCGTCAGACATTTCGCGTGGTTTTCGTTGGTAGGTTACAACGGAGAGAATTCCGATCAAGAATGGCGGTAGGCGTAGTCGTGTCGTGCGTTGATAGCCCGTGTCACCTCCTATCTTGGTCCGGTTCCCAGCTGTAGCGCTTCTCGGCTACTTGAGGAACGTGGACTAGCTCCGAGCCGGTTTCGATGCGCTCCATGCTGCGCGGGCTGCGAGGAAAGGCGCTATCGTCCTGGTCTCTCGTGCTCAGCTGACTTGTTACTTCCTCCTCCTTGAGACGGTTCTCTTCTTCCACGGTAAAATTACTGCCCAGTGTCTCGTTGGAGCCGCGGGCACTAGAGTGCGACCGCTTGAGGGACCCAGAGACCGCGCCCGGCGGTGTAGAGCCGGCTGGCGGCTGGGTCGAAGCCCGTCTTTTCTCTCTCTGGCGGTTCGGGGTCACAATCTGGGGTAATGATTGGTGATGAGGAAGCCGGACATTCTCGGGCAGAGGTCCTAGACAGACAACAACCCGTGTCGGATCGATGGGAGTTCGCTGAAATGTGGGAGAAGGTAACCGCATGGATCCAATAGGAGATGCGGGTGACATGTTGCTCAGTTCCGAACGGGTGACGGATGACGGCGCAAATGTCTGTGAAGACTGAGGTGTGTGAGGCGACACAGGCGAGTAGCTACAGCTTGGGTCGGAGCTAGAGCTGGAGTCACTAGGGGCAAGCTGTTGCGGGTGAAAAGTTGGGGCAACAGTCATAGGAGACGGCAGGTCGAAGAGACGGGCGGCCCAATCAGGGTGGACTGTTAATGGCGACGGAAGCGAATCGGGAAGCGAGCTAGTGTTTGCGTACGTCGGCGATGATGCCGGCGAAGGTTCGTCGGAGGGGCGGTAGTGAGCAACGGCGCTTACATCCTGGGCCGTCTTCTCATCACAGGTCGTTGGTAAATAGGTCGGTACAGGCCCTTGCAGATGCCTCTCGAGCTTTCGCCGCGTCATCTCATACTCGCTCAGTTCCTGAACACTGTCGATCCCCAGATCCGTGTCTTCGTCTCCAACATATTTGCTGTCTAGCTCAACCGGCTCAGGCGGGACCGGAAGCTCAAAGAGCTGATGCTGTACATCAGCGCTTACTTCGGCTGGCTGCGAGCTGGTCCCATCGACTTCGTGCATGGCCGGAGACTTCAGCTTTTTCGACCTTTTCTTCCCTGTGATGATCGAAAACATTCGCTTGACCGGACTTGTTGGCTCGTCGTCGTCGGTAGCGTTATTTTTTGCCTTGTTCTCCTCGGCCTGCTTGGCACGCTTCTCTTCTCGCTTACCCTTCCACTTCTTCCTCCGGCGACAACACAACCATAAGACAAGCCCAATGACACTGCCACTCGCGAATGCGCTCAGCACAATGCCGACAGTCTGGCCGGGATTCAAGCCGCCGCCTCCACTCCCAGGGTCAGCTGTACTGTTGGTGGCAGTAGGGGTGGGGAAAGGGCTGTCTGGCGGCCTCTCGATTGTCTTCAGCGAGTAAGTAGTGGAAGCCTTCTCGGGAAATAGAGCTTGATGGAGGGAAAAGGTGCCTCTATCGTAGTTGGTGATGAGATAGGCCTCCTGCATGAAGGCACGCCCAATGATGTACTGGTTGTTGTTGACTTCCTTGGTGGATCTTTTTAGGGGAAAGTAAGGAACGCCGGGGTCGCCAAATTTTATAACGTTCTTGAAAGGGTAGTGGAGCAGCTGCGCGAAGGCGGCGGGGGGGATTGTTATGTTGACAACGCCCGGCATGTTAAGGGGCTGTCCAAAGTTATCGCTATTGTCGTAGCTGGACACGGAGAAGGTGAAAGACAGGGTTGTATCCGACTGGTAGCGGACATATTCCGCTTGATCCGAAAACACGTAGACCCCCAAGTCGTCCCTCCAGGTCAGGTTTAGGGCAGCGGCAAATCGGTCACAGACTTCGGTAGGGAGCCATAAATAAGGCGTGGACGTGTCGATGATGGCCCTGACGGAACTGTCCATTGTCAATAGCTTCTGAGATGTTGACGTCCAGTTCCCGCTCGGTGCCTTGTCTAGGGACGTCACCTGGGCCGTGATGCCACGGATCAGGACCGTGGGTATCCGATTCTCCGGGTCGAGCGAAAATGTTGTCGCATGCGGCACAAAGCGCAGTGTGTCATAACCGCCAAAGGTCAGAGAGCCGACCGTGCCTCTCGAGGCGCCACCAGCTTGTGTTTAGGTCAGCAAGGGACTCAAAGGGGCATGGGAGAAGGAAGAAACAGGAAAGCGAAGTGAAGCTGTTCCTTACTGTTGCGGTAGTAGGCGCCGGCCGTGTAGCCATAGCTGTGGCTGGGAATAGTCCCATACGTCTCGGCTAGTTGCGAGACGAGGGGGTTGGTCAAGTTGGAGCCAAACCGGCCTTGGTTCACACCAACGCCGACGAAGCCCTGATAGTAGTCGGTGTCGTTGATGGCGGCAACCAACGCTCCGTCAACACCAGTCGCAATGCGGGTAACGGTGTTGACGAATGCCAGCGTCTCGAGGCCGTAATCCCCATTACCTTCCCAGCCGGTGTAGTTGGCCAGCTGCCAGCTCCCCAAGGACCGCCATGTCTGCGATGCCGTGATATCAAAAACACCGCCTCGAGCATTGGTGCATAGTTGAACTGGAGGGACACGTTAATGAAAAGGGCCCAGCGCCGACAATTCTCTCTCTCCCCCTGAGCGGAAAGAGCACCAACCTGGAGAACAGCCACCTGTCTCGACAACCCAGATCTCGGACAGGGCAGTGGCAACGGTCAGGTAGACGATCTGCGCAGGAGCGCCAACTGCGAAGCCAAAGCTCGACCAGTTCCCGTCGATACCGTACCTAGAAGTATGTGCGTCAGAACAAAAGCGTGGAAGCAGCAGCAGCAGCAGTGGCAGCAGTTTGTGATATGGGAGCAGGCAGACACGACGGCACACGACAGACTTACCACTCGCCAGATGGTTGGATCCAGAGGGCCTCGGACGCGGTGACGAGTCGTGGAGCGGACAACAGCAGAACGTCACAGACGACAGCGACCACAAGGTAGGGCAACCGCATATTTGCAGCACCCGTGGCCGGAATCTAGCGCAGGCGTCGCTGAGACGGGGGCGCAGGCGAACGGACGAGGTTTTGGTCACCGCCGCAGCCTCTATGTCATCAACACCAAAGCTGAGGTCCTAAGACACTTGCGAGGCAGCCTCCCTCCTAGTGCCATGGAGGAGCTAGACTCGAGCCAGGGGAACAGCAAGGGCGCCCAGGCAGCCAGTCATTGTTTTGCAGGCCAACTCGAGAGGGTTACCAGCGTCTCAGCCCAGTGACGAAGCCCAAGGCCGTACGGTTCGGGTTCGGGTTGAGGATCGAGATAGTGTGCACGAGGGAAGGAAAGGCGGTTGCACGCTTGGAGGACGAGCACGAGCACCGAACTGACTGAGGTACGAGAGGTACGGCAGCTGGGTACTGTGCGGTGCGGTACGTTGCGTTGCGTTGCGTCGCTTTGCGTTGCGTTGCGTTGCGTTGCGTTGTGGGCATGCGGGTGCACCCTTTCTCGTGGGACCCAAGACCTGAACCTGAGGTGATGGACGGGGATGCCTGGGGAGTCGACGTCTGTCTGTCTGTCTGTCTGTCTGATCTGGGACGGACAGGATAGGTACAGTGCTTAGGATGACGGGTCAAGGCCAGTCCGACGGGGTCACGGAACTCGACCTCGAACTCGCTCTCTGGGGGAAGGGGGGTAGAGGGTGGCTGATCGGGAACTAAGGAAAAGATCAGCGGTACGGCAAGTACCCCTAGTGTAGCTAGGCAAACCCAAGTTACTTTACTTGTCCGGGGTAGGCGGGCTGGGCTGGACCCGGCTATCATTAGTCTCATCCTGGGCATTTCGCTGATGAATTACACAGAAATGCACGGGGTACTCGTACCTCCGCTACTAAGATCAGGTATCTGGGGAGCGTGCATGGCCAAGGTGGCTAGCCATCTTTGCCTTGTCAAACGTCACCTACTGACATGGGTGGCTCCCTCAACTTGCGGGTTGCGAATGTTCAGGACATAGTATGTGTAATTAAGATCAGGCGGGTGTGCGGGAGGTTGAGTTGGAACATTGGTAGAACTCAAGTTTCTGGCTCAACTGCTTTCGTCAGCTTCTAGTGTAGGTGAGATGGCTGCCCACAACTTCAAGTTTTACTTCGAATCCTCAAATGCTCAAATTGCGTTAGCTCCTTCCTGGAATGGAAGTTTAACTTACCTAAGTAGTGGAAGCACTGGTTCGAGGGCAATCGCAGCGCAGTCGCAGGACAGCCACTTACGATTATAGCTAGCTTGGCTGGGCAGGAGCCATAAGGCACTGTCCCTCCTTCCATTCCCGTTGCGGGCATTAGCACAGTGGAGAGGCAGGAGGGACGAGGATGAGGTGTGCGTGCTGGCTAAACACAAATCTGCCCTCCCTCCGGCCAGTTTCCCAAGAGGCGAAACAACTAACAGCACAGCATGCTGCCCTGCTCGCTGGGCTGCTTTGTTGCCTGCATAGCACTTTAGCTATCACCTTTATTACCCCTCTCCAGCAACAAATTTGCGCAACTCCTCAAGGCAAAACAGTTGTTACCTTACCTTATCTCAACCCCAAGCGCCTCCTCCGAACCAACTCCACCCGTCCCGGCAGTTTACACAACGAGGCTGCTTGTTAAATGACGCGGAAATGAAGCGCAACACGACGCTAACACGACGATAACGCGATGACACGTCCGTACTATGCCAATGCCTATGCCGAGTACGCGACGCGGAGCGAGACACTTATATGTTGACAACATTCGTACGGGTATTACGGATAGTACGGAGTATAAAATAGAAAACTCCCCGTCGTCGCAACCGTCGGCTCACAAACCATGGCCATCAAGGAGTTTTGTGACCAAAGGTGTCAGTCGGCACGTGGGCGCGCCTACGCCAGGGGCGCACTTCAATGGCTGGCCCCAACTCCCGAGACGTGGGCTGGTGAGGTGAGCAAGGAAGGAAGTAGAGGAGAAGGACCTCGACTTCGAGAAGGCCAAGAAATTGCCCGATTTGCGATTACGTTCCAGCAGAAGTGACAGGGTTTCCGGAAGGGGCATGAAATCGCCCAGATGTGCCTCCGCCCTGCCTTTTGGGGGGCGCCGGGCTAGCCTAGCCGTCCTCGCCGTCGTACCGCTCAGTGTGGGGAAGCCTAGAATCCCAGCACAGCCATGTGTGGAGGGATGGGAACCTTTTCAGGTCTACCACCTGCAAGGTCAACACAGGACCAGTGAGAATGCAACGGAAACATTACCAGAGGTGCTGTTCACGATAATCTCGATGGGATTGTTTACATCAAGTGAAGAGACAGCACTGCAATGGATATGCGGGTGTAGTGAGTGAGACCAGAGTGGTACAGTATGTACAAAACACAAAATCCCTTGCCGAGCCCTCTCTCTCTCTCTCTCTCTGGATGAAAACGCCAACGGGTATGGAGTAGAGAAATGGGGGGTATTCGCGAGGGGGCGCCCTCGCTTGGAAGGAAGTCTGCCATCCCATCCACATCCATGCGCCAGGAAAAACAAGTGCCGAGGAATAGCGCCGGACCGTCTTGGCCACAGCAGCATCTACACTAGGGTTGACCACTGAGGGCAAAATACGCTCGGCGCACAGAAAACTATCTAGAGTGGCTGCCGAGTTACCAGAGCAGACCTGAACAAGAGAAGCAGGCCCCCAGCAAGATCACGATCGACAACCATGGACAGAACTTGACGGCAACAGCTCACCTCCCTTCAGACATGAGGATGAGGGCAAGGAAGAGTCGACGACGTTTGCTTGGCACATTGGGTGGTTTGCCACACCAGCAGCTGAACCGCGTGAGCCCGGACTCACTGAAAGGCCGACAAACTCTAGACAAAAGAGGTCGGCGATACACAGACAGATTGGCCAAATTGCCATGCCAATCAATCAAGATGGACCTGCTCTTGCAGGCTGACCGCTCCCCATTGAAGGGCAGCAAGGGAGGAAGGATGACCTGATGAGGCACGAAGGAGGCACGCGGGATGCACCAGACACGGCAGGGCAATATATCTCACCACTGAAAAGCTGAGACCACTCTGGCTAAATTCAAGACCTGATTTTGCCGACACCCTCAATCAAGTCCTCATCCGCAGCAGCCCGTGTCGCCAGCCCACAAACGGACAGCCACATGACGGACATGTTAATTACCTTTTCCGACATCTGCTTTCTCGTCCGTCAAACTCGATAGAGGGCAGAATGAATGCCACGGCTGGAAGCATTGGCGGAGCTGTCGGTTCAAGGGCATACCCAAGAGACACCACACTCCAGCTCCATTTGCACTCCATACCTAAGCTATGTTGATTTAGGGGGGTTGGAACACTTACAACAACACCCAATTCATGACGGCGCAACTCTTGTCACGGCACTGGCGCAGGGTCTGTGTCGTGTGCGAACACAACGCGCTGAGACTGAAATCTACCTGCGCGCAGCTCAGGGAAAGAAATGATGAAGACCATTCGCCTCGGTCTTGGTTCTTGAGTCGGAATGAAAAGGGCAAGGCGAGGGCGGGGTACAATACATACGAACGAACGTACTTGTCCATAATGCAGCTGTCTGCAGTGCCCTGCCAAGAAGACCCAGATGCTGCTTTGCTGCAAATGCGAAGGCGAAGAAACAGAGAGACACACGTCCTCTCCCCAACCACCGTGAACCTCGTCAACTCAGCCGTTCGCCCAACTCTCGCTTGCTGGATGGTCTCATTGGCTGTAAAGCAATTTCGTGCAGCCAGATTGACGCATGCTCTGGCATGCATGGGCCCCAGGGCTCGTTTAATGTTACCGTGGGTTTGGCTCCAGGTATCCGTGTCTCCAAATGAATCATGAGTCGAACCGTCCAAGTCGGCAAAACGCTTTCAAAGGGACGAGAGTCGAAAGACGACCAGCTCTGCGCAGACTGCTGAGGCCAAGTCCCATCTGTTGTCAATAAGTGTTGGTGTTTCTGTGGATGATGGCTTGGGAGACGTCTAAGTGCTCTCTCTCCCTTGAGGTAAAGCGCAGAGAGAAGAAGGTGTATAAACATTCGGGCAAAAGACATTGCAAGTAGCACCCGAAGAGAGTCCGAAACGACCAGGACGGGAAATCCCCGCCGGAGAGTCGACGCCATCTGATCGCAGTTAGACCTTTCCCTTAGATCGAGATGCAGCGACCGCTACGCCCTCTGCGACTTAGCGTTGCTATCTGTCGGCTGGTCGGCAAGGCTGCCTACAGCCACCAATTGCCGACCTACGTACGCTGCGGATTCGAATTCCTCGATGGGATCGTCGTCGTTCCATCCGTGGGCGGGCATAGTCGGGCGCCGAGCAGCGCCAATGATTGGCTGCGGCCATGGAACCAGGTCTCGTCTGGATGCTGAGCTGGCATAAGTACTCAGTCAGCATGTTGGGTGGTGAAATTACACCTCCATGCCCTCCTTACCCAAAGCAGCAAAACACGGGCATCACCGGGGCACATGGAAGCCTGCGAGTAGAAAGGTTCATTTTATGCTCCTTAAGCTGAGGCGTAGCATAGCCTAGGCGGGCGGACACACCCAGGAGGTGCACAAACGCGGACAAGTACAAGCACAAGCTTTGATGGAATTCGCCTTCTTCCCGCCGATCTACAGCTTATTTTTCCGGCTTTGGTCGTGGAACAGGAAACAGAAGGTCGAAGTCGCCAGAAGTACAGATAGATCTGGGGTATCCGTTTACCACAGCACACTAACCCGAAGTACACCTATGATGCACATCATCTGGTCCCCGCCGCGTTCCCTTTTCAGCCACTCGCCCCATATCCCATCATGTCGTCAAGGTGCCTGTTTGCTTGGATTGCGACCTCGAATGCTTCCTGCCACAGCAAGGGCCCTCTGGTTAAGTAAGGTACGACGAATAGTCGCGGCTCAGTCTGTCAAAGACGGTCGTGGCTCCTCCTCTTACCTTTCTCTGCTACCCTCAGCAGTCAAGGGACCCGAGAGGGCGAGATAGACCAAGGCAATGTCTACAGTACAGGACACTGTCCAATGGAGGATAGTCGCCGTTGATTCCTGTGAACCCTGTTCCTTCGGGATGGGCTGGCCGAGCAGGGGGTACCCGGCTCTTAACAGCTGCTCCGATGGGGACCTCCCTCCTTTCGGCGTCTTCTCTAGCCTCTCACGTCAACGAAAAGGCCTTGGCAACGTTCGCTTGGTGACCTTTCGTTCGTCATGTTGCTGCTGGGGTGCTCGTGCCCGGCACCTCAAATGAAATCTCCCCACAGTGTTATGTATTGTTCCATTAGGCTCAAGAGCTAGCGTGTAAAGCGCCCCTGTATGCTGCTGTATCTGTATCTTTCTCAGTGTCGCCCCCCCGGGCCCTTTGTATTCAATGGACGTAGACTGGCTGAAAGTTCGCTGTTGAATTCGTTATTCCGGGTAGGTAGTCAATAATACCCGCCCAGCATCCGAGCGAGTCGAGGTACGCCGATCCAGCCATGGCAACGGCCCTGTCTCTACCCCAAGCTGTCAGCGCTGTCTCTAACCATGCCATGACTTTTCAGACAGAGACTATGGCCATGGCATCTCTCTAACGATCGATATAGACGGCTTTCGTTCGGCTCAGGGACTCGACGACGTCTGGACGAGGCGCACACAAAGCGCCAATCTCAGACTCAACGGGGCCGAGAAAGCATGTATCTGGCCAAGCAAGTGCTGCTCGCCATCGCGGTGCTTTCGAGTGCTGGTTTCCACGCAGTCTCGTGCGGTTAGCATCTGTCCAGAAACCCCTCGCTAAACTTCGTGCCTGCAGAACTGACTGCTGGTGATAGGCCGACTGGTGTATCGAGATGACACGCTTAACGCCGTCCAGACGGCATCGGACGAGGGGCTTAACAATCCCCCGAGTCCAACCAGCGCCGTGTCGTCCTCGGCAGCGCCGGCCCAGCCCACAATATCAGTACCGGTATCAGCACCGGTATCAGCACCGGTATCAACATCAATAGCAGTGTCGGTCTCTGGATCTGCGGCGAGTCCTGGGCGAGCAAATCCAGCCTCGGTCAATGTAGCGACGGTGGCAGCAAGCGTAGTTGGTGTCCAGGCGACGGTGGCCAAGCACTCAGCCAGCCCTACCTCGACTGCGGACGATGAATGGATCTATCCTGCGGCGTACGGGTCGGACGGGACGTTGACGACAGACTCGGATGCCCCTGTGCGTTCCGTGTCACCGTCACGCAAGTCAGTACAACCCAACACCAAGTCGGTTCTGGGCCCACCCCCTATGGACACGACACCGACCTCTTCGGCTCAAGTCGTATCACCGGCTCTGCCACCAGTCCAGCCCGACACGCCCGAGTTGAATCCAATCGACCCGAACGTCACATACGGCCCGGGAACGGGTGGAACGGCAGCGGTGCCCACGACGGCAGCATCGCCATCTACGTCACCGCGCGGCGGACCGCCGAGAGTAACTGTGGTCCCGATCACGGTAAGCGCAAGCAATAGCATTAACCTTGGCCACGACCCGGGAAGCACCAGTTCGGCGACGGGCGTCAAAGCCGGTCCGTCAGACAGTGCGGGCGGCTTGGACTCTACGAGTCTTGGGGCGTCTATTACCTACCTAAATCAGACGCGCACGCTTAGTCCGCCGTCTTCTGTATCAACGTCGACTCTAGTCAACTACTGCCAAGCGGCGGACTCGGTGACGGCGTACACCAGTTGGTCCGTCGTTCACACAAGCACCATCACTTGGTACGGGAACCCTTCCGACTACACAGACCCCTTTCCTCCCATATCGACGCCTACGCCGGCTCCTCCCTGCGTCGAGCCACTGTCGCCACCACGTATGACCATCTCGGTGTGCTCGTCGACGGGGTCAAACTCAAAGTATGTCACGTGCACCGTGACGACCTCGACAGCGAGTTACGGATACGGCGTGGGGACGACCATGGACCCGCTCAAGGCCCGCCCGTCCGAGACCATTGTGTTCCTCACCACCGACAAGAACCCTGCGGTCGTCTATTCCGGCATCAAGACGCCCAACTACGGCGTCACTTCAGAGCCTAAGACTCGCGATAGCCACAACTCTCCCACAACTGCCGCCCCTGTCTCGACGCCCGTCTACAACAACTCGCCGGGCTCGAGCCAGGCCATCCACGCCGCCCCCAGCCCCGTCACCGTCGTCGTGCAGCCCACGGCTGTTGTCATCAACGGCAACACGATAACAGACAGCCCCTATGTGAAGACGCAGGAAGTGGTCGTCGGCGGAGTGACCTACACTATCGACCCGACCCGCGTGGTCGGGGGCGGCGCTACCGTCAATAGGCCAGCCGCGACGGGGGGGATCTTTGTGCCCACCCCCACGACCACCGCAATAGCCGGTGTCTCGGTCGTGTTGAGTTCGGCAATAGCCGTGATAGGAGGCACATCGTTCACTCTGGGCGCTTCCACGACCACGACGGCCGTCGTCAGCGGCCAGACCATCACCATCGGCCCCGACGCCATCGCGGCAGGTGGCCAGACTGTCAAAATCCCCTCGGCCCCCGTGCCTACCGAGGTGGTCGTTGCCGGCGGGGATCTCATCACGGCCATCGGGCAGTCGGTCGTCGTCATCCACGGAACCACCATCACGTACGGCGGCGTGCTGTCGGCCGGCGCGTTAAGCACTGTCGTCGTCGACGGCGACACCATCACCCTGGGGCCGGGCGGCGTGACGGCACACGGGACCACCATCGGCGGCCCGGGCGCCCAGGCCTCCGAAACCCAGTTCGCCGTCGTGGGCGGCGCAACCATCACCAAGATCGGCCCGTCGCTCGTCGTCATCAACAATTCGACGTACACGGTGGGGCCCGGCTCGGGCACCACCACCACCGTGGTCGCAAACCAGACCATCACCATCGGCCCGAGCGGCGTCTCGGCCTCGTCCCTGACTTTTGCCTACCCGTTCGGCCCGACGGCCATTATTACCCCGGGCGGCGGCGGCAGCGGCAGCGGTGGTGGCAGTAGTAGTAGCGGTGGCGGCGGCGGCGGCAATCCGGCAGCACAGCCCACAGCAGCAGCAGCCGCAGCTACGGCAAAGGACTCGGCGTCGACGGCGGCAGACGGCGGTGCGCTCATCCACCGTCATGGCCACTACCGAAACCTCGTCTTGGCGCTGTGCATGGCCGTTGCCGTCGCGGTGTTTGGTATATGAGCCTTATAACCTTTCTTCCGCCCTCCTCTCTACCCTGTCATATATCATTGCTCGTCTTTCGGAGAAACCCCCTTTTCCGGTCCTCCTGCATTTTGTTGACGGCGGGATGTATACCAAATGGGCGAACCCCCCAAAAAGCGATTCTGGTTTCTTGTTGCCCCTTTTTTATTTATTCTCTCGTCAAGGCGTTTCCTCGGCGGTGTGTGGCCGGTTGGTTGGGTTGGGTATCAGGTGCTCGGCGGCTGCGCCTAAGGGTAGTAGCCTATAGCTAAAGTTCGCAGAGGCTAGATATCATTTTGGGCTTCGGTTTTCGTTTATTTATTTATCATTGTTCCCCTGTCGTTTCCCCTTTCACGTTTCTTTATAATTAGCAGACGCACGATTCGAGCTCTTGAGCGACGTTTGTAACGATACCCACTCCCATCCGACGACGTGGTTTTGTTTGGTTTTGTATGAAGCCAAAGCAGCGAGAGATGATGATGGAGCCCAAGAAAGAAGAAGAAGAGAAAGCTTGTATCCTATGTTGCTTGGCATGACGATAACAATGTGATGGAATGGATGTATTAGCGGCGGCACAGTGCGTAGGAAATCTCGCGATGGATGCGTGGATTAGCTTCGCATCTATGTATTATCTCGTCTGCTCAAGGGAGTGAATTCCACAGTTAGACCTATCACCAAAGTGAAATGTGGTTTATACCTATCACTACTAGTGTATGCAATGGCATGTTTGGTTTTACATGGCATCAGCTGTCGAGTGCCTCGCAGAGAGAGACAAACGGCACATCTACATATGCGCCGTGATAAGTACAGAAACGTGTCAAGATACGGCACGAACTCACAACTTCGTCATTCGGTAGTTTACTTGCCAGCGGCTACGTTTTACAGCACGAAGAGACAACACGGGTTCTTTAAAAGACAAATTACTCGCTTGCTATCTAATGAACTAGTGTTGAACGGGAAAAGTCCGTACCTAAAGCATTCGAATACGTCGGGGTAAACACATGCCCAAATTATGACCGCTTGTACGGCGGCTAGAAGAAGAGAGACTATCGGAACCTTGGTTCCAAGGGCAGCAAAAACAAAACACACTCAATGATCACTATATCTACTCGTACCTCGCACCTCGCCCTAGGCCCACTTTCCCTTCCCCTTGACATCCACCTCCAACGGCGGATAGTCATCAAATCCAGCACTCGCTGCAGAAGCCCCGGCAGCCTCAGCCTGCCTAGCTGACTCTTCCTCAAGACTCAGTCGCAGGGCAAGGGCAAGGTCACCATCGGCATCGACTCCAACGTTTTGGCTTGAGCCCTCGTACTGCATTGCAGGAGTGCTGGCTGTGGAAGGAGATGTCGACGAAGACCCTTTCCCTTTCTTCTTGTCTTTCAACTTGACCTTGACGTGGAACTCGTAGTCTCCGGAGCTGCGGTTTGGAGGAGACTGTTCTGCATCGTTGACACCCTCGAGCAAAGACAGACGAATGGCGCGCTGAATTTGAGCTTCATAATCGTCATCCGTCTCCTCTTGAAGGGGAGGGAGACTCAAAGTACTTGGACTCGCGCCAGAAAGACTTGGCTCGGAAGTGACAGTATCGACGCTGCCCGTCGAGGACGCCGTATCGCCGATATCAGCAGCCGACCCAGTATCACTAGCACTCAAGCGGCGTTGCTCGTCAAGGAAGGACTCCTCCGAGATGAGCTCTGCGTAGCGAATAGCCTCCTCTTCGGTCAAGTCACCAAGCCCGACGCCAAACCGCTTACGGAGTCGGCCAAGCTCACGTGAGCGGTGTTCCTGTTCCTGGCGGAGCTCTGCTTCCTCGGCGGCAATATAGCTCGAGACCGCACCGCCGTGACGACGGGTGGCCAGGCGGCCGTGTATATCGGAGTGGCGAATGCGACGTTTCCGGCCTGGAGACTGGCCAGTTGAACTGTACGTCCAAAACCGAAGAAAGGTACCAAAAGATAGGACGCCCCGAAGAACAGTCGGGTCAGGATCCAAGAAGATTGCGCCAACAGCAGTATAGTTGGCATTCTGCAGTGCGGGATTGGCATTGAGGATGTGACGAGGGATCCGACCAGATGATTTGGCATTGAGCGTTCGTACTGGCTCAAGGGAAGACGCCAGGGGATCCCAGGCTTGCACGAGACCATCGCTGCCGCCATGGACCAGATAGAGCGCCGACACCGCAAGACACGATATGCTTGGCGAATCGGTCTGGATCACTCTCATGGGTTTTGCCACGAGAGTCGTGTCCCTCATGTTCCACATGATAACCGAGCCAGTATTGGTCCCAATGGCCAGTGCACGTGAGCGTCGTCCCGGGACTTCGCCTGCAGAGAGTTTCGAGGCAGCTCTCTTTGGGTTTTCAGGTGTTGCTTCCTGAGATGCGAGAAGCAAAGGGTCCTCGAAAGACGCCATAATAGCAAATGTGCAAATATCAACAGCGGTTGCCGTAATCTCTGTACCGCCATGATTTTCTAGTGAGAATTCCGTTGCTCGCCACTCTTCAGCATCCAGCCCCTGAGATACGGGGCCGAGCTGCAGTGTGGCCGACTTAGAAGAGTCGGGGGTCCCAACCGCAATTTCAGGACCATCGGGGGCTCCCATACCGCCAAAAATGGACGGACTTGTGGTCTTCGGCTTGACGAAGGGTGTCGAGAACCCGGTTGGGGTTGAGGGTTCCGTGAGACCAGCCCCCCTGATGTATCTGCAAACAGAGGCGCGTTCCCCTTTCTCATGCCCGCATGTGATGACAAAGACAGCTTCACCGCTGCCATTCTTGTCGCCTCCAGCGAAATCAACCTCGATCTTTCGGCGCATGTCCCAACCCTGGCATGCATTCCGGAAATGAGCTGGTTTGTGTCGGAGGAACTTTTCAATTTCCTTTGCTTCAGCCACGATCTGCTCTTTGCTCAAATTCATTGAGTTGGCCAGTGATCTAGGGGAATACGCGCCGCGAGTCGCATATCTGTCGAATTCATCGTGCCGTGCTAGGCGGCGGGTTGGCTCGATGAGCTTCCAGTACGCAGTGCGACCGGCGTACCAGGCGTCCTTGGTCGCATTTTCTGCTTTCCCGCGAGCCAACGGTGGAGTGGGTGTCTCGGCCAGGTAGTAGACCTCTCCCAGTGCATTCAGGGCAACGGCCCAGACCCGGTTGAGTGCCTTTCGCTTTGGGTTGTAACTGCCGTCGACCTTTATGTCGATGATCGGCACGCCCGGGCTAAGGACCCATCGAGCGGTCATGTCGCCATTAGAATACCGAGGACCGGTCGAGTCATAGCGGACCGCATAACTAGTCACCACCCCGAGCGATGAACCGGTCAGGATACCGAACATGGAGTGCGTCATAGCTGGCACACTCGACGACTTTGCAATCCAAACGGAGCAAATGGCCTCGGAAAGCTCCGGAATCTTGGGGATTTCGGGCATCATATCAATGATGGTGCTGTCCGGGCTGAGATAGCGTCCACGAAGCTCGCCGGTAGCGCGAAAATAAACGCGACCACCAGGAAATCCTTCTCCGCCGACAATTCCATATGGCTGGCTCACGTCTATGACGCTAGGAACTGCAGCTGGGTCGTCGCCAACGCCATACGGCTCGAGATTCGGAAACATCTCGTCCAACTGCGCAAACGAAAAGGGATCATCCAAGCCCCATTTTTCGACCTTCCCAATAATGGGGTCGCTGACAGAAGCCACACAGAGGTCGGCAGCGCCATGGATGACTCTCGGGCCCTTCTTGCTAGCAACAAAGGCGGCATGGATGTGGGTGATGGTCCACGGGAGCTTCGAGTTGTACGTCAGAACGGCGCTAGCCTTCTTCCCCGTCTGGCTGGAGCGAATCGAAGAACCGATGCTTCCAGGCTTTCCACGAGCAACGCTCCGGAGCAGGCGAGTGCGCAGAAGGTACTCGCTGCGCCAGGAAGCCAGCGGAGTAAGCCGCGTAAAGTAGCGGGACTCAGACCGGATCTCATCCGACGAGCCGTCATGCTGGGCAGAGTGTATAGCTCTCTGGGAGGTATCCAAGACATCCTGCTCCGGGAAGTAGCGCATGAAAGCCGTCCTCCATGCATACGGAGTGGTGACCAAAGCGTAGAATCGTTTCGAGACCAGCGCGACGGCACCGTGGGAGTCGGGATGGAGATGAGATAAGACGTGGGTCAGTATCTCTGAGAGAAAAGTTAGCGAATGGGACGGCGAACCAGGGCAAGGGAGCGGGAGGAGATTTACCATTGGGGAAGTCAGTCAACTGGACGCCATCTGAAGGCGACCCGGGCCGCTTGGTAACCTTGAAGCCCAGCGGGGGGCGAGGGCTCTGTCGGGACGCCGAGGCGGAGGCAGCCTTTTCATATTCCGAGATGCGTCGACCAGCAGAAGGGGCTTTGACATTAGCATTGGCAACAGTAAAGCGTAATTCTACAGAATCATCGGCACGGCCATCGTCGGCGACGCTCAATCGGCCGAGTTCTTGGCTGAGGCGGCCGAAGTCAAGAGCAGCCGGGCCATGGGAGCGCGGCGTGGCTGCAGACGCAGTGTCGACAAATAGCGGAGAGCGTGTGGCTGAGGACGAGTCTGGCGAGACTGACTGGGAGCGATGGAAGCCATGTTGAGAAGGGACGGAGGTGGAAGGCTGAGAGCGGTTGGTCTGAGATTCGAGGTTTGAAGTCTCGGCCGGCTCTAGTTGCATAAAGGAGTCGGCAGGATCCCGGGGGAGCGTGTATCTGGCTGTGCAGCTGGCTTTGCACAGTCAATAGTTTGTTCTGGGGGGAGAGGGGAAAGGGTGCGAGAGGTGCAGATGATGCGGGTTTGGGCAACAATTGGCTTAGCGATTCGTCGTTCTTGTGGTGTTGTCTTGTTTCGTGCTGCGGGAACGAGGTTGAAGTGACGTGTTTTTGCTTTTGCCTTTTCGCGTCGTCGCAGGAGCAGCTATCTCACTTCGTACAGTGTTGCCGAGGATAACCCGAGGAGCAACTTCCCTTTAGCGGCTACTAGTGATCCTGCCAGTCCCACATCTTTCCACGCTGTCCGTACACTATTTCATGGTTCATGGATAAAGGCCCGCCATTGGAATCTTCAAGATACGATGGATTCCAGGTTGTAAATGATCTTAGGTAGACTCGCTGCCTTGGGGCCTTGCGCAAACCTAGCCTTGACAAAAGCTCAGGTTAGCAAGGGGCTGCAGAGTAGCTACAGAGATGCGTAGTGGACTCGACAAAACAGGCGCGGCTTGCAGCTGTCAATTACATGATGGTATCCGCAATACCAACCGTTCAGACAAATATTTCAATTGAACCACGTCTTTCTCCAGCCTCCAGTATCCCAGAGATTGCCGCGCAAATATCTGGAGAACGCGTCGCGTCCTATTTCGTAAAAATCTTTAGTGGGAGATTGACCAAACGCCTTTCCACTCTAAACAATCCGCTATCAGCTAGGGCTTGCTTAGGCAGGGATGCAGGGTAGGGGCAGTTCAACCGTCAACGGGGCAGGGCGGAGAACGAATCTTGGACACCCTGGGAGAGAGACATTTCCACAACAACCATACTCATTACCGATACTATACCCACCCCATCAAGATCCCAAAATAAAACAACGTTCTCAGTTGCTGGAGAAAGGAAAACATTTCAAAGCAAGAACGGCGGCCTTGCCCCGCCTTATATCCGCACATAGGGCGATCAGGCCGCGGGCTGAGAATCCGACGAAAGCGCACCCGAATCTCTTGATCCTAGGGTTCATCACTTGGTAGCTTAGAAGTCGGAATGTATCGCACTTCGTGTTCGTATTTCGGGAAAGCCCTTAGACAGCTCTATGACTAAAGGGCAACCAGCCAAAAGCCTCTCAATCTGTTTGGCGAACCGGACCCAGGCCGATCAATGTGACTGCCAGTTGTAGCTGCATTTTTCGATTCCGTTTTGACTTTTTGCGTAGGTGCCCCTCTAGGACTGCTACTTGATGCATTGGCACCTCGCGCCAATGACAACGCGGCGCATACCTTCGCCGGTATCGTTTCCTGCTTCCCCGGCACAACACAATCACAGAGAATGTCGAGGGTGCATAGTCACCTCCGCACTCGAATGGATGGAAAGGAATAGATAATCAATGTATTGGACTGCACACAAAGCAAATGTGCTGCAGCTCTCAAACACATCAGTGTTGATATCGGAGCGCGTACGGAATACACAGTGATTAATCCTTCGGGTTGCTTTCTTTTCAGTCGTTTTCTTGGCTACGAACTGCCTGAGGTGCTTTGTTGAGCACGCGGGTTTTTCCATCTCAAAATGTGGGGGAGCGGGGGAATTGCGAGATGACACATCGGGTCCTCCCGTCCCGCTATCGTCTTGGAGTTTGTCACGTTTGACCTTTGACGCCGTACTATGCACGGGGCACTGGGACACACGGAGTGTGCCGCAAGCAACTCTCCCGATGGTCTCCTCATCACTGGTCTGGAGCGCAAGCTAGAAAGGCAGTCGAATCTGCCAATTCTTTAGGTGGAAATGATCGGCAGAAAATGAAAAACCCGAGAAAGCGCGAAAGAGCGACTCCGCCTGTCCCACGCTGCTCTCCCGTCGAATCCTGTCACACGTGTTGCCAACCTTAGGACCAACGCATGGCCAGTGCGTCCTGGAAACGGGATATCGTCTTCGGGTTGCAGGGGCATGAGGGATTGCTAATGCTCGCCATTCTCTTCCGTGTCCGTTTCGAAAGCGCTATCTAACAAGACAGCTGGCTATTGATAAGAGTTACGACGACAAAAAAGGTCCCAAACATGCATTCGCAAATGGCCTCATAAGCAGGTAGTATCGTCAGATCGTCTTCAGTCACTACAAATTTGCAATGGCCGAATACCCGCGCACTTGCTTGGACCTTGAGGCCACTCGCCACGTCGCCAAATGTGGATAGTACCTAGTACAAGTTGTATACTGTCGCTTGCTTCCCTCTCACTCAAGTTTCTCAGTAATGGTATTCAATTCCGACTTACAAAAACGATTTGCCGCGATATTGCTTTCGGGGGCCGTTCGACCCAGAGTGTCGGGATACAGTCTCACAGGTGGGGAGCGCCTGGTTTCTCTGCCGCTTTGTCCGGAGCATTCATCCTGATGACGTGGTATTCGTTCGTTGCACTCATCATGCAACGTCCGACGTATCCACACCAATCACAAGCCGGAAGAGCCACCGGGTTTCGGTTGCTGTCTCCAACCAAGCGGTGAAAGCCCAACCAAGATAGAAGTCTGGACCCGACAGTTTGGGCCGTCATCAAATGACCACGGACTATTGAGATTTCAGAGCTAACGAGCCAAGGTGCATCAGGAAACCCCCCCCCCCCCCCTCCCATCTTCCTACTGCAGCTTTCGAGGGTTTTCCAGCAGTTTGGTTCAGGAGGAAACCGCCCTTTCTCGTCAGCAAAGATTCAGCTCCGACATGTCCGACGTTCCCAAGTGAAGGGAAACGGTGCGCGGTCCACCGCTCCAGCTTCGAGTGGATGGAAAGAATACTACGCATGAGCAAGCTTACCGACTCCAAGACAGTTTCTTATGCTCGGCAGTTCACTCTTCCTTTGGGAGAGTCATATTTGCTATGTTATTAAAACGAACTAACCCCATTACCAGACTCTCGGAGACCGTTACCAGTGTCTTTCTTTCCAGGTCCTGTACGAGATCAGGATCGCGCGCTAATGTTGAGGCTGCACCGAACCTGACTTTTAACTTGCACATTGGTGCCACAGCACCGCAGTCAAATCCGAGGCAAGGGTTGGGTTCCCTAACAGTCAACATCGCTCGTAAGCCTGTCGGAGCATCGAGAAGGGAAGTTGTTGCCGGGTGCTGTAACCAACAGACTTTGCCTCATCCTTTTATCCCGTCCAGTGTCGGCTCTTTGTAATTGGAGATGCTTGTCTCATGCCAGTCAGGCCAGGTCAGACAAATAGATGCATCGATGCTGTACGTCGCTAAATCGCGCAACAAAAGAAGGTAGGGCGGGGATCGCGGATTGGCTTTTGCGTTTTATCCGGTATTTCGGAACAACGTTCCCAGCGCCAATAAGACGTCCGGTGCCTCCTCACACCAAAACGACACCAAAACGCTGGTGATTTAGGTTCCAATCTGTGTCCGCTCGGCGCTACATTCTCGGCAAGAATCTTCTGGGCTTCTGGAGAGACGGAACCCCGCAAAACTCAACCCGGCCTGCCCAGACTTGACTGGCCGCGTTGTCAGTGAGTGACACGGCACCTGCAGCATCGCAGCCGAACGGCAGTGTGACCAAGAAAACCTCCCCGTTGCCTCCATAGCGTTGCATCTAGACTGTAGTGAGAAGCATAAATGTGTCCCCAAGCGGACATGCTTCTGTCACCCTACCGTAGGTCTGCAGCTGTGCAAAGAGCTGGATACACTTTCATACTAGTACTCAGTACAGCTTTGGCGACGTAAGATCCTCAAAGACAAAACGGCACCGCCGTACTGAGTCCGTATCCGCAGACAACACGGAATACCCTCGGTGGGAAGATGGCGTTTCTCTTGGGTCCGGATTGGACGACGCCGGCAGCGGTATTGCGACCCGACACTATGCTGTTTCATAGGCACCCGTCGTTCGCCTAGAACTAGTGGTAGTAACGGGTAGGCAACTGTGAATGCGTAGCGCAGGTTCACATAATGGAAGCGCTGGCTCGCCTGGCGCGACACTCGAGGTATCATGCACTCGACGGGCGTCTCCGTGAAGGCGTTTGGCCGGCTCGCTGCTCAGGACGCCTCAACCGCCATGTGGTCTTAAGCCCGGCGTCGATTGAATGCCGGACGTCTCGGCGGATGGATGGTAACCATGCCAGATTAAATGCACTGAGGATCATATCGCACACGTTCTCAGCGCTGAGAAGAGTGCGAAACGGAGAGTAATCGTAAAACCTTGGCTCCACTTTTACTCCGGCGCGGAAGGGACTCTTCGCGGGCGGAAGCTTCAAGCTGGGTGAGGGGGGCGACAATGAGGCCCACTTAACCACTTAATAACGTTAAAAATGAATGGATGGAATTTCTGGTGTGCCGGGCGAGTTTCCCATTTGGATGCGCTACTGCGGCAGGGGCGTCCCCGGTCCTTCTGCCATTCCAATGAGGGGCGAGGAACCTGGAAGGGACTCGGTTCGCCTGAGAGCTTGAGCCACCTGCAGTGCAGTCTCGAACCCACCCGAGCACTTGGGTTTCCAAAGCTTTGGAGAGGGGGTCCTGGCTTTGCCCCTTTGTCCAGTACAATCCATCGTTCCCACTCTCGAGCCGCTGCACCGGGACGGGCTCGGAGTGGCGAGGTTTGGCTCAATAACTGCACCAGGTCACCAGTTCTGTCAGTCCATTTCGTCTCTTTAACTCGTAGCTTCATTTCTCCTGCCATCTCCCGTCTGTATAGTGTATACCGAGTTTCGCGCCTCTGTTTGGGGGAAATCAGACAATTGCGTACTCGACCACTTGCGAGCACTAAAGCTGTCACAGACGCTATTGACAGGCGGTGGGCAATTCCTCGACCTTTCCGTTCCAGGCGGGCCAGCGATTCCCAGGTTCGACCACCGCTGGTGCCCCATGTTCCTTCGGCGTGGGGCCATGCCAGTCTTGTCAACACTATCGCTAGCGTGCTGCATTCCCCCTCGTTTCCATATGCTGCTTCTGGAGCAAGCCTAGCTTCGTCCAACCACTGGGCTGCCAGTGCTTCTCCGCTCTTTTCTCTTCCGTCCTCCCACCTCCCGCCAGCAGCCTGTGCTTCCTTCCCTCTCCCCAGCGCAGTGGCCACCGACTGCAGTCCCGACAACACGGCAAACATTCGACAGCACAAACGAGTGTACTTGTCGATGGTATAATCCCGGGTGTTTACGCCGGCACCCCTAGCCTCAACCAGCGAGTGGTTTGGAGGCCGAAAGGGTATTTTAGGAACTCGCAGCATCTGGGTCCGAGCATCTGTCCGTCAGACCTCTGTTTCCCGCGCGCCTGGGTCGACCGCAGCACACCACAACCCCCAATCGCAGCCCTCGATTTAATCGCCCGTTAGATCTCCCCGGAATCACACTCTCGGGTCTTCCTGACATCGAATTGTCCCACGCGTCTGCATCAGCGAATTTGCATCGTGTCGTTGTCGTCGTCGTCTGATCTGATACTTGCACATACCATCTCGCACCCTAATGTTACCTTGAAGAAGCACTATCAAACTACACCAGACGCATCGCCCGTCATGAGCTCCCCGGCGCAAGGAGGACCGTCGGTCCCGAAGGAGAAGGAGAAGAAGGGGCTGGGAAAGGTTCTCTCGAGGGTGAAGACAGTCCTGAAGAAGGCCGATCCATCTCGCCGCTTGTCGACATTTGGCAAATCAGTTCGTTCGACAGCTGCTCCTGCCGCAGGCGGCGTCGTTTCTAGGTACGTCAGGCTCACGATGGCTTTTGCAAATAACACTCGGACTGCATTGGGCCCGGCATTGACTTCAGGCTCTTACCTGCGCCTTGGGTCGATTGCTCCTTCTTATCCCGCATCCGTTGCTAACCACAATTACAGCGAACCTGCACCACCTGCACCCGCCGTTGCGGAGGAGAAGCCAGATCCAGAGGGGTCTACTAGGGTGCCAAGAACCCAGCTCTTTGCCGAGCGGGCGAAGAAGCTCGGTGAGCTCTACGGTCTGGAGCTGAAGCCAAGCGACTGGCACTCCAGCGAAGGACATGCTCTTCGTGTCGAGAAGCCGATTAGGATGCGGGTTCACAGGCAGTGTCACGAATGCAAAACTTCTTTCGGTCTCGGAAAGGAGTGCCCGAACTGCAAGCATGTTCGCTGCAAGCAGTGTCCGCGCGTACCTGCAAAGCGCACCGAGGCCGAGAGAGAGGCGAGCCGCGTGAAACGGGCTGCTATCCTCAAGGAGCGCGCCGAGAACCCTCGCATCATCCCCGACTGGAATCCGATCGACAAGGAGATTGTCTTGCGAAAGCCGGCCAAGAAAAATGGTCAGGACCTGGTCCACAAGAAGCCACGGCAACGCGTACGAAGAACATGCTGCCAGTGCGAGAAACTGTTCGTTGGAGGCCATAAGACGTGTGATAAATGCACCCATACCAGGTGCACGGATTGTCCTCGGGAGCCGTATGTTTTCCACATTCTCCGCTCCAGAATACTCGAAACTGACCCCATTCACAGAGGCAAGAAGGACAGGTATCCATATGGGTATCTAGGCGATGTTCCCGGGACGAAGTCGGCCTACTATGAGTGCCACGAGTGCAAGCATATCTTCTATTCGCTGCCGTCAGACGACACCGACTGTCCTCAATGCACACACAAGAAATGCACCTCTTGTGTGAGGCAGACTCCCAGGAAGGTTGACCCGGAGCCCGATCCAGAGGTCTGGCAGAGGCTCCAGGTCCGACTTGCGGAGTTGCGCATCACTTAATACTAATCCAGTCACCATTTGCCTGGCAGACTAGTGTTCGACGTCCGATATTCAACTCGAGTTCGCCCGAGAAGTTCGCATGACAGGAAAAGGGGGCCGACACTGCGACTTGACCGGCGATGTTTTTCTTTTCGGTTCTATTTCCTCAATACCATTCTCAGACACAAACGCATTTATTCGTCATTTATTCTCACACATGAAAACCCACCACGAAGCATCACGAAGTTTGGAGGAAGCATTAGCGAGCGCTGAGAACATCATTCTTGGCATTTCAACACACAAACAGACCTACACCACACACATTCACACCTACCCTCCCTTTCGAGGGAGAGTGCATGACGAACATGAAAATACGTTGCCGCTTAACATTGCGTGTTTACAACATTCTGGACACGCGACTACGACCAGGGATTCGCCTTTCATCACTTTGCGTTTTGGCGGCATGCTCCACATCAAATCTTGATTCCAGGGCGGATTGAAGCAAGGGATTTGCTTCGTTGGGACAATGGCCCTTTTTCCTCTCCCGCGAGGAACAAGACGACGCACACAACCGTATCCCATTCGCTACAATTGGAAGAGGGTAGGGTGGATACCGAGAACTTAGAGGGAGGAACGCAAGGCTTGGGCCTAGACCGGGAGTGTGGTTGGCTAGTAGCCAGTGGTGGAAATTCTGGAAAAAGGGATGAGAGGTCGTGGTCGTGACGGAAAGTTGTATACCCTGTGCTGCTTTGCTGCTATTCTAAAACTTGACGAATTACTTGATCTTGTCCTCAACCAATCTTCACTCTCTGGACCATAAAAATTGAAAGTAGCCCACAAGTCTGTTTCGGTGTGTTGTTCCCAAACCCTCACACACACTCATCTTGCTCTAAAAAAAACAAGATTTGTGATTTGGAGGTCAGAAGGAGGCACGGATGCGGAACCATCCCTACCCCATTCGCAACCTAGCCAATCGCGACACGAGCGGGCCACACTTTTTTCTTGTCTAGGGAATGACACAAACCGCCTAGGGGCCATGCGGAAAGCGCTGCCTTGTCAGGGCGCTGCTCTCAGGGCGGCGGCGGCGGCGGTTTCAGGGCGCGGCATCTTTTTTTTTTTTTTTTAAAAGGGCAGTACACAGGTATCCGTATGTAATACACAAACGAATCGTGTGCTAGACAGACGTGATACCGTCGTCAATCGTCTCCCCGTAACGCTAGACTAAGCTTCCTGCCTTAGTGTCTTGTATTGCACTGTGTTAATGGTGCGGTGCGTTGTGGTGAAGAGCGGAATCTGGATTACATCCGTAACGTAGGTATCCTGCACGACATTGACACGGGAGAACCGCCGTCGCGGGTTGGGCGCGGGCGTGTGTCTGTGAGTGTGTGGTCTAGATTTTGTTTGCCACCCCTTTTTTCATTATCTCTTTTTGGTCATTTGCGGGTTCTCTTAGACAGTCTTTGGTATTTTTACGAAGTAATAATTTATTTCCCAGCATTGTCTCTGTACCAATCTCACTCACTCCATCCGTGGAGGATGGTTGATTCCTTCTTTGGAACTAGAGGCGGCGTAGCACACTACACTCGGTCCGCCCATCTGGTGAGTGGGGGGGAAACAAACTTGTGGGAGAACAGAGAGACAGGCTGGAGACGCGCCACGCTCATACAGATCCAGAGCCTCGGGATCTCGCTCTTGGCAATGAGCGCGCGCAGCTTCTGCGGCGTATGTATAATAAGATCAAATATAGATGGACAGGCGGACAGATCAGTTCCGCTTACTGTCTATTGGTAGTTTGGTATGTAATTTTACGTCTAATGTGTAGAGCCTACCTTACGGTACCTGACATGTATGCCTGTCCCGTGAGAGTCGGACCTAAAGGAGAGATGTCCCTTTGCCACCCTTGAAGATGCCCAATTCTGGTGAGAAGTGTGGAGGGTAGGTAATTTTGGTAGGTACTGGAGGAATTCCCGCCCTCGTCAGCGCGCTATAGAGCAAGCCGCGGAGTTGACGAAACCCCGACGACTTTGGTGCGGCACTGCAGTGTACCTATGCTCCTGCGCATTCACCTACCCGACAGTCTGGAACCTAGAGCCAGGAAGCTGCTGGAGATTGGCGGGATTGCGGCGGAGGGGGGGCTGCTGGGAAGTGGCAGGATTGCGGAACCAACAAAGGGGGGTTGCGAGGAGGCTGAGAGCAAGTAATAAGCGGCCGTCATCGGGCTTCACTCAGAAGTGTAGGGGTTAAAGTGCAAGATCATTGGCCTTTTCCCTTCAAAGCCGTAATGATGGGTAAGTGAGCGTCAGCTCTCACCCAGTTGTCATGTCTCTGAACAGTCAGTCAGTGAACCAGCAGCAACTTGCTAATTACTCCGTAGTGAGCATTGGAAACACCACATCATGCCACGGAGCACCATCACGCAAAGTGTTTAGTCTAGTCTGGTAATAAGCGGTGCGCATAAAAGCAAACCGGATACGGCCCGCAACATCACCAAGGCGCGCGGCCGACCTTACCCTGGACATATACACGTGTTTAGCCTCTTCTTCTTCGCCGAGTGACGGGGGTGGCAGAGAGGGAGGGAGGGTTTCAAATGCGCGGACTTGCTCGGGATCCAATTCCCTCTTTCAGAGACGGCCGGCGTGAGTGCGTGACATAAATTAAGAGCCTAGCTTCCAACAAGTCCACCTACTTGCAAGGAATACTCTATCCGTTAGCTAGGTGGAGTTTCTGAAAGGCGGTGGGGTTTTCGGGGGTGGTACTGTAACTAACGGTGGGAAAGAAAAAAAAGAGTCTAGAACTCTCCCTTTTCCCTCTTCCGCTTTTCCCTCTCCCCCCTTTGCAGTGAGACAGACAGGACCGGGGCCGCGTTCCTCGGCCGGATCAAAGCGGAGAGGCCAACACGTTAGAACTTGGAAAACCCACGCGCAGCCATTGAAAAGACCGAGATGCAAGGAGCGTTACATCGTCAACTCTTTAGCCAAACTTTCCCGAGCCTCCGCACCCCCTCGTGCAAAGTGCTTTGGGGGTGGGCGTTGCATTCCGCGCGCGGCTGGCTGGCCATGGGACCACCTACAGCCGTCGTCTTCCAGCCTCCAGTGGGTGAGGTGGTCTGGCCAGCTCCAGGACTCGCGTAGGAGCATGTCTTAGGTTCGGAACGAAGCTGCCACCACTACCACAACCACCCTGATATCGACGATGGGATAGAACAGTAAAACGCTGAGCTTCGAGAGTTTATGTCGTGGAGTGTCATCCGATGAGCCTCCCCGGAACTGTGCGCACAGTACAGTATAGATAATCGTTGAGATGTCAGTCGCCGCTATTGTCGCCCCGCCTTTTCCCGCAGCGGTCTTTTTAATCCCTTACCCGCCGTCTCTCTCTCGCCCCCTATACCTATGTACCTTACCTTCGCATCTAACAAAACGGTGTGATGGATCATCGATCACATCCGATGGACAGCCCACCTCACGGCGGGCAAAGCCGAGACGCACAAAAGGGCTAGCCCAGAGTCAATCACAAAAAAACGGTTTTTTCTTTCTTCTTTTCTTTTGCCCTAGTAGTATCCGAACTTTGTATGTACAGAACGTGCAACAACGGAGGACTCCGTTCGTATGTACCATAGATTCACCAACTAACCAGGAATCCCTCCATTTTTCTGCCTGCCTGCCCTTCCGGGCCGCGCACGGCTGCGGGGTTGAGACCACATGAATAGAATGGTCCAACGGAACAAACGTTCCTTGCTGCTGCTAGTTTTTTTTCCCCGGACCCTTTCCGTCGAGTTGCCTCCTCTTCTACCTACAGGCAGTCCGTGCGTGTAGCCTGAGAGGCAGAAAAACAAAAACTAGCCAAACTAGACGGGTGGTACCGACTTTCTGGCCTTACATTTTTGGGGGGGACTCGTCCCGATGCGCTGGGTGGCCGTCAGGCCAATGCCTAGTTACACAAAACGTAAGCGGTCCCTACAACCCAGCCGACCAGTCGCAAATAGGAAGGCCGCATGGAAACAAAAGCCGCCGATTCCGAGAATATTCAAAGCCAAGACTCTTGGCCCCCGAGGGACGAGCCCCTTTTTTATTTACTCGGGCAGGTGATGGTTAGTTCTATCTAATTGCGCCTACAGTAAGCTTTGGTCATCATGAGGCATGAAAAGTGGTCACCAACAGCCAAGCGTATATGCAACACGTAGCGCATCTTCTCAGGGGAGGCAGTTTTAAGTTGGCGCAGACTAAAGAGGTGCAAATATTCTAGCGTCAGGTGGCAGGCTTTGGGATAAAGCAGAGAAGTGAACATGCCACATGTGCCTTTGTCATAGTCAAGGGGCGGCCCGTTTGAAAGAAAGGCCAAAACGCGCCACTTTTAGGGAACGGTCTAGACATCTAAAGGTACCGGGCCGAGTACTAACTGTCAGGTCTAGCCATATTCCGTATCCGTTGTTGTTTCGCTATCGCCGCGGAAATTGCGTTCCGTTGGCGTAGACATGCCGTCGCTTTTCAGATCCCCTTTAGAATTCTTCCCGAGCTGGAAGCTCGGCATGACCCAAATAACAAGTGCAGTGGTAATAGAAGATAGATACAAGGACAGCGGCGGGGCGTAATCCTGGCTCAGTTCTCGATCATACCGTCTGGGGGGACAAACTGGGCCGAAATGGCCGATCCTATCGTGGCGGCGCGGCTCGGCTTTCGGCCGACATAGCGGCTCCAACCGCCGTGCGACCGGCTGTTCAAGGAGGACTGCCCCTCGTCAACGGTACCCGTCGCTAGTGACTTCTGGAAACGCTCGCGGTCAATGATGCTCATAAGCCGATGAATGACGTAGAAACGGCCGTGGACGACCGCCTCGCGGCGCACCGCGTCCGACTCGACAAGCATCCAGCCCCAGCGCATGCTCTTATCCTTCTCGATCTGGTTCCGTACTGCAACCTCCTCGGCAAAAGCAGGGCCAAGACCCTCGGCTGCAACCACCGAGGGGGGGAAGGGCAGGGCGGTGCGGATTGTGCGGTAGAGGTTGCCCCTGAACTGAAGAGATTGGTCCTGGCCAGAGCCGGGGTCCACGATCTGTATCTGGGCAATCCGCATGATGACCGCCGCGCCAGCTACGCCGTCGGCGGTCGGTGAGGCGTCGGCGGCCGGGGAGGCGTCGGCGGCCGGGGCAGTTACGCGGATGGCGTCGTAGACACGGATCATCTCGGCACCAAAGTAGACGCCAGCGTACGAGTGGGATGAGTCCATGCTGCCCCCGCCAATGGGTGCCTCGTTAAGCTTATTGAAGGTGGAAAAGCAGTCATTGACCGATCTAGCAGCCATCTTGGACGCCTCGAGGCCTAGCACCTGCATATTAACGTCTCGGCTGTGGTCGTCGGTGCCCTCGTTGGCGTGCCGTTGAGCAACCTCCATCCAGTTAACCTCTTCGAAGAGCTTGTCGTTCAGCTCGGCGGTGCCGATGTTGGGCACACTAAAGGTGAGGAACGGGCGCATCTCTATGGCCTCTTTGACAACCGTCGGCTGCCGGAGTATGAGGTGTCCGAGGGGGGCAAGGGTAAAGGTGTAATGGGCATCGTTAACGCCAGTTTGTCCGGGCTTGAGAGTTATGGCCATAACCATGCCCAGGCGCCAGGCTTGGTGTTTATACCAGACCAGCTCCCCGACGCGGAACACATTCAAGGGGCTTGTGGTGCCTAGTGGAGCAACTAGCGGAGAGAACTTTTGCTGAGCTTGGACTGGCTGTTGAAGTTGTGGTTGTGCTGCTGGCTGTGCCGGAGGTTTGGATCTGGGTTGGGACTGTGGTGGGGCCGGGGGCAAGACCGGAGTCTGGACTGATGGCTGGGCCGGAGATTGAACCGGCATTTGGACCGATGGTTTGGCCGCGGGCTGGACCAGCGGTTGTATCGGCGGCTGGGCCAGAGGCTGGGCCAGAGGCTGGGCTGGTTGTTGGGCTGTAGGTTGTGCAAGAGGCCGGGCTGGAGGCTGGGCTGGTTGTTGGGCTGTAGGTTGTGCAAGAGGCTGAGCAGGACTTGCCCTGGGTGCCGGGGAAGCTGTGCTCGGGGGCGCGGGCTCGAAGCCGGGGACCTGGGGCTGTCTTTGCTTGTTGGCCTCAACCATCCTAGTGCAGAGGTCGCACGAGCACTGGCTGTAGTCGGTCGAAGCGCTAACGAGCCAGAGGAGGTGCAATACAAAGTCGCCGGGAGTGCGATAGTTAGACTTTGGGCCTGCCGGGTGGCCGTAAAGGTAATAGTCCCGGCCGCCATCCTTTCGAATGGCACATCGCAACTCGTAGCCTTTGGGGAAAGACGAGAGCTTGAATTGTCTCTCTATTGGCAAGATCAGCAACAATTCTTATGGTTTTATTGAGGGGACTCACTGTCGTCTTTCAGGCCTAGCTGGTTCTGGAGATGGCCGGCGATGATGACCTCCCATCGCTCGAGCTGCTGAATGTCTTGGTCTTCCTTGTGGTTCAGAGGGCTGTGGTCCAGGTTGGGATATCCCTTGCCATCGCTGCGAGCAATGGTTATGGGGTAGTAGTCGGTCTTTGCATCGTCGTCCTGGGCGGCCGAGTTGGCCATGGCGGATGGTGGTGGTGGCGGTGGCAGATGGCGATGAGTGGGCGAATAGCAAATAGCCACCAGACCGGGGTGTTGCTAACCTGAGGTGTGCTGAAATTCAGGCAGTTCTAGCGCCCCAGACACGCTGCCTGATCTGCGCAGCAAATTTGTTACTTCTACCTTCTAGTAACAGGCAATATATAGCTCAATGAGACTCTAGTGCCTGTCGGTAGTGGTATATCTAGCTGGGCATAGCGACTCCCGTCGCGTAGAATGAATGGATTGGTTTCTGCTTTATTGATTAGGTACTGCACCTAAGCCAAATAAAGTTCACCTTTGGACATCTAGGTGGCCCGTGCCATCCTGTTGGCACAGTGAGAGCGAGCCGTGTGCATGTTTGACACACTGTACGTGCGCAATCCCAACTTGAGTGAGGAGTGGAACTAAACGTAACGGTATAAAATATTGATATGCGCAACGGACATGGACCCGGGCCCGACTTATATGGCGTGAAATCGGTAACCTACCCTGTTTTTTTGCAGCAGGTCTCGGGTTGTGGCTTTGGATGGATGGCCCGGGGGGTCTGTTCGGGGCTGTTGCGGAGTGCACGCGGAGGGTATCCGCGCGGACTTAAGCGGCGTCCCGCCAATTCTTGTCCGTAGCACCCCGCGCGGCCGCACCAGCCGATGCACATCAAGACCGGCTTCAAGCTCCACAACACGGCACGTCCCTATTAACTCACGCCATGACTATGAATCACGCCCATAATGCCCGCCGACAAGCCAATGGCACCCGCAGCGGCCACGGTGGAATCTCGGTTTCAGATGGGTATATAAGTCGAGTCCTTCACAGCTCATCTAGCAGCAATATTTGAGCATCTTCACCATCACTATCGCCATCAGTTTCTTCTTTCTCCTTCGCTTCACATAGAAGCAGCCTAGCAATTTATCCGACGGAAAACCCCACCCACCATGTCGAACTACGGCTCCCACACCAACGGCACTGAGCTGGTCAGCGACTTCAGCGCCAGGGTGGACGGGCGCACGTGTTTGTCTCTTCCCAGCTCCCTCTTCTCTGTTCCTCTTTACTAACAACCGTCTTACAGTCCTCATCACCGGGCCCAGCCAGGGCGGCATCGGCGCCGAGACGGCCGTGTCCCTCGCCCATGCCAAGCCCGCCATGCTCATCCTGCTCGGCCGCTCGCTCGAGCGCATCCAGCCCGTTATTGACGCCGTCCGCGCCCTCAACACCTCGGTCCAGGTCAAATTTGTGCTCGTCGACCTCGCATCCCTGGACAGCGTGCGCGAGGCCGCCGACACCATCCTCGCCGACGCCTCCATCCCCCACATCGACGTCGTTATCAACAACGCCGCCCTCATGGCCTGCCCCTTCGAGCTCAGCAAAGACGGCCTCGAGATGCAGCTGGCCGCCGGCTTCCTCGGCCACTTCGTGCTGACCAACCGCCTGCTCCCCAAGATCCTGGCCGCCCCGCCCGGCGCCCGCATCGTTAATGTCTCGAGCATCGGCAACAGGGCCGGCGGCATCCGCTGGGACGACCCCAACTTCACCGCCGAGACCCCGGACAAGTACGACACGTGGGCCGCCTACGGCCAGGCCAAGACGGCCTGCGTGCTCTACTCGATCGAGCTGAACCGCCGCCTGTCCAAGTCGACCCCCGGCGTCCGCTCCTACTCCCTGAACCCGGGAGCCGTCGGCACCAACCTCGGCCGCACCCTGACTCCCGAACTCATCAGGATCGCCACCATCAGAATCATGGGCAGGGAGGACTACATGCCCGCCTTCAAGACCCTCCAGCAGGGCTGCGCCACCACACTACGCGCCGCCCTCGACCCTACCCTCGAGGCCGAGGACGGCGTCTACCTCAACGACTGCCAGCTGACCACGGACCCGGCCTGGATCGCCCCCTGGGCCCTGGACGCTGCCGCCGCGCCGCGGCTGTGGGCGCTGGCTGAGGGCCTGGTCGGGGAGAAATTTGACATTTGAACTGCTGCTTTCTCTGTCGTTGTTAATCCTCTTGTTTCTCTGCTTTCATCTCCCTCTTGGAATTGCACCCGCGATTTAGCCAAGTTTTTGTTAGAGAACATCCATATACCTCTGGAAAGCACCTAGCTACCAAGTGACATTTGACGATTTGGAGAACTGAAAATATACAGCTCAACTCTGGTATCTTTAAACCCGAAGACTGCAATTAGCTCGATAGTCTTCTCGTCTGTCTGTAGCCTTCGTAGGTATTATTGACCGGCGTCTGGAACACTGACTTGAAGAATAAGATAGCTGAAGTGAGAACACATGACTCTTATAACGCGAATTCTCCCTTCGAGCACTTGACAGGGCGCTGTTATATCCTGTGATTGTGCACTAGCGTCCCTATAAACTCCCTGGCAGACTCCCTTCTATTTCCACCACAACCCTTCGGGTAGTGACTTGACAAAAAATAGGAACAACAATGTTTTCATTCGTCTATTATAGAAGCTACTTTCACAAGTTGGATATTAATCACCAAACTGAAAATGGCCTGTACGCATTACCATGCACAAACCAAAATCAACAGAACTAGAAACCCAAATACAAAGACATGGACGAGGACATCGCGCCTCTCTTGGACTACTCGTTCGGAGACAGAACTCAACTCTTCAACTTAAGATCGCAGACTAAAAGGCTACGCGTGACGTATAGGTAAAATATTCACATATCTTGCATATATGGGCGCACGTGGTTATTATTACAAACTCGACGGCTTGTCGTCTACCCAGCCACAGAGACTTCAGGGTTCTAACCTATCATAAACCTGTGGTCTCTCGCCTGCACTAGAGACGGCAAAGTAGGGATGAGTGGAGATTTGGCAGTGATTCATTTATTAAACCCCGTGTAAATAAATAGAAGCAGGCAAAGGCCCGAATTTCCCAAGTGCCAAGAGACAAGACGCGGGATCTGCTGTTTGCTATTTCGTGCCGGCCGGACTGGCCGACTTGCGACTAAGTCAATGACTGAATGATGTGATTGCACCGCCTTAACAAGCCCGACCGAGTTTAGCCGTTGATGCCTTGTGTACTTACCTTACCTGACGAATGACTCTGCCCGGGTCATGTGAGATGGCGGCGGCGGTGGCGGTATTCTCACCTTGCAAGGAGGCTAAAGTGAGTGTTCGGCCATGGTTGTCGTAGAAACATGGGAGAACCTTTATCCGAGCAAACAACCCTTCACATTTCCCCGGTAAATATAATCCCACCTTACCATGTATCCAACATAGGACAACCTGTGGAGGACAGTCAGCGACCTGCTTCCAAGGGCTCGAAAATAATTGCTGCAAAGGGCTTGCATAACCATTTGAAACCCCAGAGGCCGGCCACGGCAGGAAGCCCGACGACAAGGCGTCCAGATTCCAGAAGCGTGGTTCTGCATGGATGCTGAGGCTTCCGCCAAGAAATGATGGCCGCGCGAAGGAACGAACGACCTTTCGTTTGGACCAAAACCCAAGCCAACTGCTCCGACGCCGCAGAGCACAAGGAAATATGTTGGCCACCTCTTCCGTACCTACCTACCTTGCCTCTTCTATATGAAACAAAACTGTTTCCTGATTGACCTCTTGCATCGCGTGACGCAGGGCCAGGCCAGACTTGGCGACAGCCATGCTTCCAAAGACCGACCCAATCTGCCTTCAGACCCCATATGGCATCGCATGCTGCTGTGCCCGCCGCACACCCACGCCACGCTGCCATTTGCTTTTGTTTCGTTCTCTTTCCCAGCGCCATATGCCGCTTGGCGGCTGGTCAATTTCGCAGGCCCTCCTTTTATCGGTCGGTGGATTTGCTGGTGATCCAGGCAATTTGCAAAGTTGAAGCTGCTCAGATGGTTCTATAACCGCGTCTCTGTGGCTCGTCCCCCTTTTGTGACTTTCCACCTATCGACGGGCAAATGAGAAGTAAAAGACGACAGGATTAATAAACTGAAAAATACATCGTCAACCGCCACAACCTTCGGATCGAATCGGGCGCGGTTCCCGATCGAGGCTAAACAGATTTCTAGATATCCAATCTTAGGGGGATGGGATAGCTTTGGGGAAAAGTCGATTGAGCCTGGGCCACTCGGCCAGAAGGTGGGCGGCGTCGCGGCGTCGCGGGGAACGTTTGTCATTTCGTCAACCGCTTTGGTGTTAGTGCTCTTGGGAAATATCCCTTGGCACGCTCTGATTGGGCTGAGGGCTTTTCTGTTCCTGGCCGACCCCTGTCCGGCGCACTGGGCCGCAAGTGGTGCCGAGATGAAAGCCACCAGGAACAGATGACAGCAGGGGGCGTGATTGGCCAGAAACGTGAAGCTATCGAGATGCAGATGCTTGGCACCCACGCCCTTCTCTCCCTGGACTCCTGTTGGTCGGCCGCCTCCGCTCCCCCCCAAGCCCCAGGTCTTCTCTATCTCTGGTGAAAAATCCCGTCGGTCGGGCAGCACAAGACCTGGAGCTCTCCTCTTGCACAACTTTTGCAACCAACCGCCGTCTTCGTCCGCAGCAGGTCGCCGCCTCTCTTTTTCGTCACTCCTTTTGTTTCGCACGTTCGCCTTCGAACCCCACACTCGTTCGCCTCTCACAGAGGAAACTGTCAAATCCGTCCCAAGGAAGCTCGCTCGAAGTCCTTTTCTGCTTCCGTCCGCTCCTTTTTTTCTTCGAACTATGCGCTGAACGCCGCGCTCCACACCGAAATCCAGCATCGATTGCTCTCAAGTCGCCCTCCTTTTGTTGAGATTTTTGTTTTGGAACACCATCGCTGCTGTCCTCGACGACGACGCGCCGCCCCGAATAGCAAGACGCGGTTCTTGCTCCGCTCCACCCGAGGTTGCTGACTCGGAACGGCCTTCCCGCTGTCTTCCCGAGTCGCACGCAACAATGAGACTCACGACTCTTCAGGCCGCCCTTGGCTCCGCTTCCATCTTCTTCTTGGCCCATCCGGCCTCTGCCGTACACCACGGCCATCAGCAGGCTCATGAGAATTATGGGAGGAGTCAAAGCCACAACCCCGAAGCCGGCGGGCCGAAGCTCGTAAAGAAGGGGACATGCACCCTCCCGAAAGATTCAACAGACCTCGTCTTCGTTCCTGGCGCCAGTAACAATGGTTTTGCCATGAGCCCAGACCAGACCTGCGACAGCGGCAAGTATTGTCCCATTGCCTGCGTGAGTGGCAAGGTGATGCGGCAGTGGGACCCCAAGGCGAGCTATGTCTACCCAGAGTCGATGGTAAGCCAGCTATTTCCTCTAGCATCCAAGTATCTCTGATGCTGACATCAACCCCCAGAATGGTGGTCTCTACTGTGACAACGGCACGCCCAAGAAGCCCTTTGACGGAGAGCCTTATTGTGTCTCTGGAACAGGCACCGTCAAGGCCGTAAACAAGTGCGGCAAAATCGTGTCGTTTTGCCAGACCGTCTTGCCCGGCAACGAAGCCATGATCATCCCCAACGATGTCTCTTCGACGCTGACGCTTGCCGTCCCATCAATTGACTACTGGAACGGATCTGCTGCACAGTGAGCTACACATGAACTGACGCGCACCGATCACTCACGTGGATTGGCTTGACTGACCTGTGCTTGATAGCTATTATATCAACCCTCCCGGAACACCATCTTCCGTTGGGTGCGTATGGGGTGACCCGAGCCAGCCCATAGGAAACTGGAGCCCCTATGTTGCTGGAGCAAATACCGATGCCGAAGGTCGCACTTTCCTGAAGATTGCGTGGAACCCAATCTACACAGGCTGCGAGTTGGCCAAAACCAAGCCATCATATGGCGTCAAAATCGAATGCCCCAATGGCGGCTGCAACGGCCTGCCCTGTTCCATCAACCCCTCAACCGACGGAGTGAATGGACTGGAGAGTCCTGTTGGGACTGTCGGCGTCGGGGCCGCAACGTTTTGCGTAGTAACTGTTCCAAAGGGGGGTGTTGGCAACATTGTCGTCTTCAATACCGATGGATCTGGAGGAGACTCTGCCTCGGAGCCCCCCAAGTCGTCCGCACAGCCGTCGCCACCTCCCAAGACCTCGAGCTCAACAACCCCCCCCCCAAAGACCTCGACTACTCCTTCGACGACTCCTGCGACGTCCTCTAAGGCCCCCACTACCTCAGCCGAGGCCGAGTCTGAGGCGCCGTCGTCATCAGCTAGTCCGACAAGCAGCTTCCGCTATGGCGGTATCTTCCACGAAAACTCGACCAGCACGGCGTCAGAAGCTGAAGACAGCTCGTCTCACGGCACGACGACTGGCGCTGCCCTGACCGCTGCGACGGATACCGTGGCCCCTGTATCTACGACCACTTCGAAGAACGAGGGTGCTGCAGACCAGAGAGGTGCCGCCATGGCCGGCCTGGTTATAGCCCTAGTGGCGGCAGCAGCAATGTACTGAGTTGCTGCTACTGCTGCTGCTGGCTGGCTGGGCCGGTGCCTCTTCGTTTTCTTCTCAGCCCCTCTTGTTCTTCGTTTGGTAGTTGGTTCGCCGTTGATGATCGGCCGAGCCCATTTTCACCCGAGGCAGCGTCCTCGGACCAACGCTACCCCCTTTGAAGTCGCCAATTGTCGTGAGGGAATTTGGTGACTTCTTTCCCCAGGACTTTGCCACCTTTTCCCCTCCCTGGATCCATTTTCTTGTGATGAAGCGATTTTTCTGATGAAACCGACCGCGCGGACGACGCGTCGCGAAATGACCCGAATTCCGTTTGCTGGGCGGGGAGAGAAGCGACCTCGTCAGCCCCGTTGAACTTCGGCCAGCTAACTTCTTTTTTTGACTCCCACTTACCCCTCCGATCTAAAACCCAAAAACCTTATCGGCTGGTTTTGTACATACCGACTCCTTTTTTCCGTTCAAAATCCGTAAACCTCGTTTCCATCGTCATTGTCGCATATATAACGTCGTCTTAACCTCGGCCTTTACCTCTTAGTTCGCGACCTAGTGTTTATTGCTATTACCACCAATCACCACCACCCACCATCGACATCTGCAGCACTTGACGACTGTATCGAAACCTTTTGATTGATACTCTTGGCAGCAGTGGTCAATCGCCCACGCCCACTCCATTTTTGGCCATGGTCTTGCCTTTTTTTCTTCAATTCTTGGGCTACATACCTTTTTAAACCCAAAATCCCACTCACCCCCGCGACGCCATGCGACAGACAATACCCTTTTTCATTTTTCTGCTGCTGTTTGGCGGGGTTTGGTTTTTTATTCTTTGGAGAAGATTTTCCGCCTATATACCCATTTGAGTTTTTTATTTTATTCTTCTGCTTCTCCCTTTTTGGGGATGGAGAGAGAACGCGGTTTTGGAGATTTTTTTCTGGGTACTGAAAGTTAGCTTATTTCTCATGGATGATGAGCTCCTTAGGGATGGGATTGGATATGAGAGAAAGAGAAAATATTTAGTTTGTTTCTTTCATGATATGAAATGGATGGAGAATTTTGAGGAAACCCTCTTTTCTCCTCCGCTGTGCATGGTTGTGTATGTGTGCTTGTGTGCTTGTGTGGATGTGTGGATGGGTGTATGTGTCTTCCTACTCTTCATCCTCCCAAGGATAACGGTAGGTGTATGGGTTTCTTTGCCGGGGTGGGTGATCAATATGATCCAATACTTTCTTCTCCTAGCCGTCTGAGTCGATGGGATGATGGGATAGGATGAACACTAGAATCAAGGGGAGAGATTACCTTTTTTAATTCTTCCCCAGTTCCATTTGTCACTTTTCTTACTACTTGGGAATTTCTCCTAGGTAGTTTCGCGAGACCCCAGGGCCTTCCTGCTTCTCGGGCCAATGGGGATAAGGTTGAAAAACGGTAGTCTCGGGCAGTGATGAAGTAGCTTTTCGAGACGAGCCAGAACGAAACGGATGTGAATGAAAATCTGAAAAGGAAAAGAGAGAACGGCAGTGTGCCGTGATGTAAATCATGTTCAAACCGGCCATATGAGGTGGGAATGCCCGACTGTTGGTTTTTTTCCTTGTGGGTGGTTTGGAGAGAACGAAATAAGGAAGGACGAAAGAGAGATGGGAAACAAAGCATACTGGGGAGAGAAAGTCTTGAGGACCAAGACCAAAGTACCGACACCTCGTGTTCTACATGTTGGGCGAGTACGATGTTGTCTTAGCGGGGCTTTTCGGTACTAGTGGCGCTGTCTCGTATCATGGCGGCAAATGTACCTATGCAGTGCGACCCGGGAAACAGTTAAACGTGGTGCTACAACAATATATTATGAGAATGGGGGCATCAGCTACAAAAAAAAAGATTTATTCTATATCCCCTTCGGCCTTTTTAACAGATCACGGATTTTTTACCCAGCCCGGGACGTCATCGAGTTCCCCCGGGGGGTCAACGGGTTCTCCCGATGAATACGAGGCCACCGCGTCGTCGTATTCTTCCTTGTAGCGGTCCATGATGCCGCTGTAGGGGTTCGGCCACCCGGCAGCGACGGCATTCCCGCCATATTTCTTAGTGCCCTCCACGGCAAACCGCTTCTGCTGCCGGGCCATGAACCCGTTGAGCAGCCCCGAGTACACAAGACCCGCAACAACCGCCTCCATGTTATCGAGCGTAGGTCTCTTATTCCCGAGGATAAGGCCCTCGGCAGGCATTAGCCGTCGTGGTCCGCCGGGCGGGGGCGCCAGCAGCGAGTCGGACTCGGACTCGGCCGCACTGTTAGTGACGGCTCTCATGAAAATATGGTTGATATGGGGAGGCCGAGCCCTCGGCGCGGGCTTGGCGGGGACGTATCCCTCGAGCAGCTTCTGCACGTACGAGGCCGTTGTCACTAGGTCGTGCAGCGAGAGCGACGCCGCTTTCTTTGACGCGTCGTTTTCCGAGCCCTGCCAGGTAAGCAGGAACGTCTTTCTCGTAAACGAGCGCCAGATGAGGGGCTTGAGACGGTAGAGGAGCGCAAGATAGAGACCCTTGGCCCACAGCCAGTCTCGGCTCTGGGCCAGCGCGCCGTGAAACGCGACAAAGTTCCCGGACCGGACCGCGGCGCAGATGGGGAGGAAGATTTCGGCGAAACCCCGAGCCTCGGGTCTTTGGAGGAGCGCCCGGGAAGGGAAGCGGCCGAGAAGCAGGTTGGATGGAAGCCAGTAGGCGAGAATACGTCGGCGATGCCCCTGGAACCGGGGCGGGCACTGCTGGTATGCTTCTTCGAAGCTCAGGTGGGCGCGGAGGTAGTGGCAGTGGTCGAAATTGAAGCGGCCCAGGTAGTAGAGGAAGGTGACGCGTTGAGATGCGGGATACAGAGACAGGGCGGGTCCACTGGTCGAAAGGTTAGTGAACATCTGGACGGCCAGCCGTGACTTGTCGCACTATAAATCTGGTCAGACGACGTGCTACTCGAGAACGGAGGAAGGTTGGGCACGTACCGCAAACAGCAATTTCAGGGTGAGATTTGCAAATAGATAGACGGCCACTTTCTTCCCCTTGGGCTGGGACCATCGGTTGCTGGAGCGATCAGTGAGACAAGACGTGAAGATCTTCTGGATGATGTCTGCAGCCAGCTCCACGATGGACTTCCTCTCGCCGGCCTCGTCCCCAGAGGCGTCGCCCTGGATACGCGCGAGGAGGTGAGGCTGGCGGGTCAGGCTCATGACCAGCTTTGACAGAGACTCTGAGATGGACATGCTGGCCTGAAGGAGCATGTTGCCGTACGTGGGGTTTGCAAGTGCGTTTGCACAAGATCTGGGAAAGCAACATCAGCGGCCAGTCAGAGTGTATCCACGGCACAGTGAAAGAAAGGGGGTAAACGTACATTAGCAAAGCACTAATTCGCGAGTGAAGGGCGACAATGTCGGTAAAGTTGACATCGCGCCAATACTCGAGATACTCCTTGATGAAGGAGTTGAAGCCGGGCCACGGAGAGCCCTTCCCGTCGGCCACGTTGTCTTCCTCGGGGAGGCATTTGTCGACCAGCTTCTCGAGCACATCGCTGTTGAGGTAGCCCGTCCTGAGCTCTCGGCCGAGTTGGAAATATATCTCGGGAACACCGCTCTCAATGAGCAGCCAATTGCGAAGCTCGTCGCCGTTTTGGTTGAGAACAAAGCGGCGCATGCTGCTCAGAAAGTCGAGTAAGAGAGGCATTGCAGTGCATATATTCTGTCTCACAACAGCCGGCAACGAGTTAGGTAACTAGGCAGATAGAAAGGAGTTCCTGAGCTCGTCGACGAGCTGATGACGGGAGTGAGGTGTCCGAGACGCGCTAGGATGGAGACTGAGACCGAGACTGGAGACAGACGGTCGAATTATGGTTGGTCGCCAGCTCATGTCACCGCTGTAAAACCAAGGTACGGAGATAGTATTCCGTACGTTTAGCTCGAATAGAGTCGACTTGAAAATGATAAACCTATGGAGGATAGAATAAAGATGCAGGATTATCCAATTGCACCCAAGGGGCCATGAACGGGGACCAAGGCGACTCTATTCACAGTTCGGTGAACAATACGAGATGGATACTGATAAAAGAATAATGGATAGAAGAGACCGCTGTACTAAGTACGTACTCCACAGCCAAGCGTGCATTGCGGAATCCTTGCAGAGCAGATCATAAAACCCTAACCCTAACAACGATGGCAGAAAACACTCCCGCATTTGCTTTTCCATCCAGCCTGCAGATTGACAACCCTCAACTATAAACGAGGTACGAAGCATTCCGTATTCACACCTGACTTGATACATCAGAACCATCATACAGACTCAATCCGCTGCACAACTATCGCCGTGGCAGCGCCTCCGCCGTTGCAAATGGCCGCCACGCCGTATTCCCCAGGCTTGAGCTGGTGGAGCATCGTGGTGAGAATTCGCGACCCCGAGCTTCCGAGCGCATGCCCCAAGGATATCGCGCCGCCGAGCGGGTTCACATTCGCCCCTTCAAGCCCAAGGATCTGCATCATTGTTAGATTTTATGCGTGGCCGAAAGCGTGACGAGAAGAAGGCTTACCTGTTCATTGGCCTTGATGACCGCCGCGAAGGCCTCGTTGAACTCCCAATGGGCAACCTGCTCCTTGGTAATCCCCGCCCGCGCCAGCGCAATCGGCACGGCCTTGGCCGGAGCAATGGGAAAGTCGATCGGGTCCACGGCAGCATCGGCAGACCCGCAGATGCGCGCAAGCACTCGAGAACCTGAGCCGAATTCCTGCGCAAGGGCCTTGCTCCCAAGCACAAGAGCGCTCGCGCCATCGTTGAGCGTCGACGAGTTGGCCGCCGTCACGGTGCCGGTGCCGTCGCGCACAAAGGCTGGCCTGAGCGAGGGAACCTTCTCTGGCTTGATGTTGAGATAGCCCTCGTCTGTATCAACCACCTTGTCGCCCTTCTTCCCAGACACAGCCACGGGTGCAATTTCGTCGGCAAACGCGTTTGCTTTCCAGGCAGCCTGCGCCCGCTCGTATGATTGTATGGCGTAGTCGTCCTGCATCTCTCGTGTGATGCCGTAATTCTTAGCCGTGTTTTCGGCGCAGTTGCCCATGTGGAACTTGTCATAGACGTCGGTCAAGCCGTCCTTGATGAGCCCATCTTCCAAGGTGAGGTTGCCGAACGGCGGTAGGCCGCTAGCACGGGGAATGTAGTATGGCACCCTCGACATGTTCTCCATGCCCCCCGCAATCTGGGCTTCTGACAGTCCCAGCTGGATGTTTTGCGCCGCAAATACGACTGCTTTCAGGCCAGAGGCGCACACTTTGTTGATGGTGATGGCTTCAGTCGCCGAGGACAAGCCGGCGAACATGGCGGCCTGGCGCGCTGGGGCTTGCCCAACGGAACCCTGGAGAACATTGCCCATGTAGACATCGGTGATCCTAGAGGCGGGAACTCTGGACTTCTCTAGGGCCGACTTTATGGCAACGGCGCCGAGCTGCGGTGCACTGACTGTGAGGAAGGATCCGTTGAACTGGGTCAGGTTAGTTAGTATACGGGCTCACGCACGCATAGGTACTTTGTGTACGTCAAAGCCCCTTGCAAGCCAATTTCGAACACCAAGCAAGCTCAAGGGCTGACCTTTGCCGTCGGCGTCCTAGATGCGGCCAGGATATAGGCATCGCGCACTTCCTGACGGAGACAGGTCTGGGAAGAGAAGAACCTCGGAGAAGATTGGGAGCCTGTAAGCCTCGGCGATATGCGCATCGCGGTTCCGAGTCGCGCCGCCATTCTTCTAGGTATCTAACGGTGGCGTCCAGAGGCAATGCACGGCGGGTAGAAGCTTAAAACAAGAACAAACTTTCCAACAGATCAGAAGACACGAGGGACAAAAAACGTGGGACGAGACAGAGGTAGGTAGGTAGGTAGGGTCGAGGGCGAGACGCTCATCCCTAGGTCACGGAAGCGGCACTGTTCGGCTTGTGACGGCCAAAGTGTGGAGACCTGGGGATGGATGGGGGAGAACCCCTCAATTCCCCCCAGTCCCGCCATTCCGGAGCTGGGGAAGAAGCTTGAGAGCGCACTCAACGGTCACTGATTAACGATGTGGGCTTGCCCGTGAGGTAAAAAGTATTGAGTAACGAGGCTGTAGCACGTAGATGCCATGCGGCCGAAAGCAAGGCGCCTCTAGGCCATCACGACGCGTCGGGAGGTAGGCTTGCATGCATTTGAATTTCCATCTCGGTCGCTTTTGGCCACCCTTGAACCTGTGTCACCTGCCGGGCCAAGCCGACCAACAGCCCTGTCGCGGCCATCCCATGCTCCTCAGGCAAAGCTCGCCCCCAGCTGGCAGCAGCCCTGGTGGCGTCTTTGCCCTTTCAGCCAGGCCCCATCGCCCCGCACGTGCCTGCCGCATTTCGCGGGTCGCTGATTGGCCGACCGCTCCCGGACTCCGTTAGTTGTGTTCGATTGCACTGGCTCAACTCCAACTATCGGTCGCTTCTTGGCTATGACAGATTACCGGCCGTCACCCAAGTTGCTAGTTTGACTTTGCCTATCCTGAACCACATTCTGCCAGCCTCTCGCTTTGCAGCCTACTCTTCCAAAGTTATTGCTTTGGAATTCTTTTCCGTCAAATATTTTCTCGCGCTTCACCCACGGAACAGAGGCCCTTTCCTACGCCCTCCGCCACGATGTCTACCGCTGCTCGCCGCCGTCTCATGCGAGACTTTAAGGTGCGAGAGGCTTGCCCTTTGCTTGTTGCTCGCCTCGAACTCGCGATGCTTACATCTCTGTTGTCTCCAGCGCATGCAGACCGACCCACCCGCTGGTGTCTCAGCATCACCAGTCCCCGACAACGTCATGACTTGGTAACCAGCCCCCTCTCGTCGCACTCGCCATGGCGGCTAACCGAGCCAATATAGGAACGCTGTGATTATCGGTCCCGCCGATACCCCTTTTGAAGACGGGACATTCCGACTGGTGATGCACTTCGAGGAGCAATACCCGAACAAGCCGCCGTCGGTAAAGTTCATCAGCCAGATGTTCCACCCCAACGTCTACGCCACCGGCGAGCTGTGCCTCGATATCCTCCAGAACCGCTGGAGTCCTACATATGACGTTGCCGCCGTCCTGACAAGCATCCAGAGGTAAGGGCGGAGATGGGGCTGTGCAGAATCAGATTACAATCTACGGACGGGTTGCTGACGCTGATTTCTCAGTTTGCTTAACGACCCCAACACGGGATCGCCTGCCAACGTGGAGGCGTCAAACTTGTACAAGGACAACCGCAAAGAGTACTCAAAGAGAGTGAGAGAAACGGTCGAGAAGAGCTGGGAAGATTAATGGCACAGCATCAACGGTCTTGTGCGACGATAGTAACGATGGCTAGGCTAGGATTTAGAAGGCCCGATAACACTACGGGCAGAGTCGAGCGAGAGAGGTATCTGGCGCATCGCACCAGATTGGACGAACTACGTAAGGGCTTGTTGCGGGTAGACTCGCTGGGGCGGCGAGTGTGGGGTTTGGCGTTTGGGCTCCGGGGTCGTGTCATTCTGCGGGCGATGGAAGTTGATGTTCAGCATTTGGAAAGCATTCCCTTATAGGGCGTTGACGACGCGTAACAAATTCTTTGGTTTCGATAAGATAGGTTGTTTTTATTTAACCAAGTACTGTACTGTATCCTTTGAGTAGTGGTGCGGTGCGGTGCGGTGCGCGAACTTTGATAAGAATGGAAGAGTGGGATGATGGAGGGGAAATGTGGTAAGCGGACCCACCATCCTCCCATACTAGCAACACAGACGTGCATTTTTATTTACACGCAAATACAATGGTTACTTCGGAAATGTATATTGCTGCATAGGCATCTCTTCGGATGGCTCGGTAGCACAGACAGCGACATGTTCCGTCCATAATAGCAACCCACTAATGCGACAGTGATTTGCGTCGCCGATGAATCGCTCGCATACCAAAGGTGCGTCTTTTGGGTCGGGCTGCTGTAAATTTACCTTAGTCCCTGTCCTTGGGGGATAGGGGCGGGGCTGCAAGGTCCTGCGCTGAGGTAGCGTAGCATGCCTCCCAATCGCGGCACATCTCGCGTCCCCATGAAACGCCCCAAGTCCGGATGTAGCGCGAGCTTTTAGCGCGTCATTCAACTTCAACTTGCCAAATAGCACCTGTCGTGAAAAGAAAACATCGCCTTGGTCCTTCGCTCATTGTGCATCGGCCCCTGACTCTCGGACCCAACCCCGCATAACGAACTTGGTCGTGCTTCTAGAAACTTTGCATAGATCCCTTTGGTACCCCCTCCCCTTTTTTCAGTTCTAGGCCTTAGTTTTACAAGGGGTTTTTTTTCTTGTTTGGCTGCGACGGGGGCAACGGTGTGGCCCGATCTCAGTCGTCCCAGTTCCTCCTCTCCTCTCCTCGAGCCCGCTGGGCCGGCATCTTGAGCCCCCAAACCGACCACCCGGCAACGCTGCCCTGACGTTAAAGGTACCAGTTTTGCGCTCCCTCGTCGTTCCCGCCGACTCGGCCCTCTACTCGTCTCCGCCTTTTCGCCGCGGGGCCTTCATGAGATTGCGCTGCCCGGCGCGGGAAGCGGACTAGCCGGCACCATGTCAAGCGCAAATAGCATCAAGGTTGTGGCCCGATTCCGCCCACAAAACAGAATCGAAATCGAGTCGGGCGGCCAGCCCATTGTTAGCTTCGATGGGGACGACACGTGCGTCATAGATGTAAGTTGGAACCCGCCGCCTCAGTGCTTTGCAGAGAGATAGAGAGAGTGTGTGCTTGGTTTTCTAACGCGCCTAAAATCCAGTCTCGAGAAAACCAGGGCGCCTTCACCTTTGATCGCGTGTTTGATATGTCATGCAAGCAATCGGACATTTTCGACTTCTCTATCAAGCCCACGGTCGACGACATCCTCAACGGCTACAATGGAACCGTCTTTGCCTATGGCCAGACGGGCACCGGAAAGTCGTACACCATGTATGGGCCGGATCCTACCTTCAAGTGCCTCAGCCCGGACACCGAGGTCCGTACAACCGAGGGTGACAAGCCCATTCGAGACATCACCATCGGCACAAAGCTGTTCGGCATCGACGGTCTTCCCGTCCTCTGCACGGCCGTGGACGACATCAAGACAAGCTCGACTATGAGAACCATCAAGTACAGGGCGTGGAACTCATTTGCGGAGACCTCTTTCGAGTGCACGTCGGACCACGTCCTGGCTCTTCAGGCTTGGGGTGTCCGACCTTACCTGCGTGCACACAAGAAGGAGAAGGAGAAGCGCAGGGTCATATGGTTCACACGATGCGATCGGACCGAGCTCGTGCGAGAGGCTACTGATCTCCAATGGGATAATCTACTATATCGGCTGTATACTGAGGTATGCCACAAGCTGGGTCGCCGTTCAACTGATTCCGAGGCGCATGAGTACATCGATGAAGGCATAGACAAGTTTATTGCCGATCTAAGCTTAGACTCTCCCTCTTCTCCCGCCGAATCGGGCTCAGATTCTCCTTTCGGTCTCGCCTTCGAGTTATTCAATAGTTCAGTCCCGCCCGCTGAACTGTCAAGTGAGTTATACTCCTGGCTTTCCAGTATACTAGCTAGTGTACTAAACATCTTCTAGCTCTTGACAACGACGCACTCATCCCGCTTCTCCGTGCCCGGCTGCACGTTTGCATGGGCGAGCAGCTTGAGCGCCTTATGCCCGAGCAAGACGAGATACCTGACAATGATGAGCCCGATCTCACTGTCGATCTTGATGATTTTGCCGAGGCCCCAGATGAGCACACTGGCGTGGCACTGGGTGAATCTGGTAGCCCTTCGCGTAAATTTAGAAAGCTGCAGTTTTCCTCGTCCATCCACGCGTCCGACCCCTCATGGCGTGCGTCCACTGCCGTGCCGTCGTCTCCGCCTACGAATCCGAACGAGAGTCAGCCCAAGACAGCTCAGGACGAAAACCAACCCGGAGAGTCTCAAGGCTCTTCCTTTGCAGACACTTTACAGATGGTCCGTAAGGAGGATCACCTACAAAAGTTTGCTGCGGTGCGAGAGCAGCTAAAAACGAACTGCTCTCATGCCGGAGGACCATGCAAGGCCTTTCGGACCATTTCCGTCAATTTCGCCAACCAAGATCAAGCTGAGCTTGCTCTCGAGCTACTATCCGGGGACCATTACCGTGTGGTCGACCCCTATGCTGTCCAGCACGGCGATCTCTTCACTATGACTGTGGACGAGTACGAGACCTCTTGCCAGGGTGAATTGGCCAAGAACAAGCGGAACCTCAAGCTGTTTCGGGCACCGACGCGGTCTATCCCCTCGCAGGCGACTACGGCCAATCTGCCCGTCGATCCATACTTCCTCGGGTTTTGGCTCGGCGATGGAGACAAGGAATCTGCCTCTGTCATAAGTTCGGACTTGGAGATCAAGTCATACCTTCAGGCAATGGTTGACCGTCTGAACAAGACCCGTCCGGACACTGCCGCCCCGATGCACATCACCGAACATGTCAAGGTTTGGGCGGGTGACACATGGAACATCAACGGCAGAACGGGGATCAACAAGGTGACCACCTGCCAGTGGAACATTGCAACACCGAATACTAGTGCATGGTGGGATCCTGTCCGTACCGGGCTACGCGACTTAGGGTTCATGGTCGACAACAAACGCGTCGGTATTCCCGATGCGTACATGAACGCAGATGAGGATACGCGCCTGGCTGTCCTCGCGGGTCTGCTGGAATCAGACGGCACTTACGTGGGCGATGGCAATGGGGGCACGTACGTGTTCACGCAAAGCACGGAAGAGCACAAGAAGATCGTCGAGGATACCCGTAAGCTTGCACTTTCATGCGGGATCCAGTGCAGCCCCATTACCGAGACCAAGCACGAAAACGGGTCGCCAAAGTTGAGGTTCGCCATGACGAGGGGTAGCGAGAGATTTCAACATCACCTGCTGCTCCCTCGCAAGAAGATGGGGGCTGCAAGGTTTTCAGATCGCGTCAATACGAACGCCCACATCTTCGACGTCTCAGGGCATCACGAGGGAGAATACCGCGCGATCGAGGTATCCGGCGGCCTCTTCCAGCTGGCAGATCACACTGTTGTGCACAACTGCACTTCCATGACGGGCACCAACATTGACGACAACGACGGTAGGGGCGTTATCCCGAGAATTGTCGAGCAGATTTTCGCCAGCATCCTGTCTAGCGCCGCCAATATCGAATACACGGTCCGCGTCAGTTACATGGAAATCTACATGGAGCGTATCCGTGATCTGCTCGCCCCGCAAAACGACAATCTCCCCGTCCACGAGGAGAAGAACCGGGGCGTCTACGTCAAGGGGCTCCTGGAGATTTATGTGTCGAGTGTGCAAGAGGTCTTTGAGGTTATGCGGAGGGGTGGCAACGCGAGGGCGGTCGCCGCAACCAACATGAACCAGGAGTCTTCGCGTTCGCATTCGATATTCGTCATCACCATCACGCAGAAAAATGTCGAGACAGGCTCGGCAAAGAGCGGACAGCTCTTTCTGGTCGATTTGGCAGGTAGCGAAAAAGTTGGAAAGACGGGTGCTAGTGGCCAGACGCTGGAGGAGGCAAAGAAGATCAACAAGAGTTTGAGCGCCCTCGGCATGGTCATCAACTCTCTTACCGACGGCAAATCGTCGCACATCCCGTACAGAGACTCGAAGCTCACCCGTATCCTGCAAGAGTCACTGGGTGGCAACAGCCGGACGACGCTAATCATCAACTGCTCTCCGAGCAGCTACAACGACTCCGAAACTCTGAGCACCCTCCGCTTCGGCATGAGGGCCAAGTCGATCAAGAACAAGGCCAAGGTCAACGCGGAACTCAGTCCAAATGAACTCAAGGCGATGCTGGCCAAAGCCAAGACACAGGTTACGACCTTTGAGAAGTACATCTTCAATCTCGAGGGCGAGGTGCAAGTATGGCGTGCTGGAGATACTGTGCCGAGGGAGAAATGGGTCCCGCCGTTAGGTACGGACGGTGTCGCGGGAGTGAAATCGGAATCTCGGTCCGCTCGGCCCTCGACGCCCTCGCGACTGCTGCCCGAGAGGGCTGAGACACCAGCCATCTCGGAACGCGCTGGAACTCCTAGTCTGCCGCTTGAGAAGGATGAGCGGGAAGAGTTCCTGCGCCGTGAAAACGAGCTCCAGGACCAGCTCGCCGAGAAAGAAACAGTGGCTGCCACCATCGAGAGGCAGCTGCGGGAAACAAAGGAGGAGCTCGCCGTCTTGAAAGAGCACGATGGCAGGCTGGGCAAGGAGAATGAGAGACTGACCAGTGAAGGCAACGAGTTCAAGATGCAGCTAGAACGGCTGGCGTTTGAGAACAAGGAAGCGCAGATCACCATGGATGGCCTGAAGGACGCCAACTCGGAGCTGACGGCCGAGCTTGATGAAGTAAAGCAACAGATGCTAGACATCAAGATGAGCGCCAAGGAAACGAGTGCTGTGTTAGACGAGAAGGAGAAGAAGAAGGCGGAGAAGATGGCTAAGATGATGGCGGGCTTCGACCTCACTAGCGACGTCTTCAGCGTCAATGAGAGGTCGGTTGCAGATGCCATTTCTCAGCTTGACGCCCTATACGAAATAAGCTCAACCGGTGATCCCATCCCGCCCGACGATCTCAAGGCTCTGAAGGAAAAGCTACTTGAGACGCAGGGCATTGTGCGGCAGGCCGAGCTGTCCACGTTCAGTGTGGCATCAAGCGAGGCAGAAGCTCGCAAGAGAGCCGAGCTGGAGGCTAGGTTAGAAGCTCTGCAACAGGAGCACGAAGATATCCTCACCCGGCAACTCGGAGACGAGGACAGGGAGGAGGTCAAGGCCCTCCTCGCAAAGACGCTTTCGAATAAGTCGAGCGCCCAGGTCGAGCTGGTCGAGGAGATGAAGGCCGACATCGTCCTCAGGACGACCGAGAACGAGCGCCTCAAGGCCCTTGTTGAAGACCTGCAGCGCCGTGCCAAGACCAACGGCCCGGCTGTGGCCATGCCGAACGGCAAGACGGTGCAGCAGCAGCTGGCCGAGTTCGACGTGATGAAGAAGAGCCTGATGCGCGACCTACAGAACCGCTGCGAGCGCGTAGTCGAGCTGGAGATCTCCCTGGACGAGACGCGCGAGCAGTATAACAATGTGCTCCGTAGCAGCAACAACCGGGCGCAGCAGAAGAAGATGGCGTTCCTCGAGCGCAACCTCGAGCAGCTGACGCAGGTCCAGCGTCAGCTCGTCGAGCAGAACTCGGCCCTGAAGAAGGAGGTGGCCATCGCGGAGCGCAAGCTGATTGCGCGCAACGAGCGCATTCAGAGCCTCGAGAGTCTACTGCAGGAGAGCCAAGAAAAGATGGCGCAGGCGAACCACAAGTATGCTCTTCTCCGTTCCCAAAACTATGCTTTTTTTCTAGATGTGCAAAGTTCAGGTACTAACGCCTCTTTTCCTCTGCAGGTTCGAGGTCCAGCTCGCGGCCGTCAAGGACCGCCTGGAAGCGGCCAAGGCCGGCAGCACGCGCGGCCTCGGCTCGCCCACTGGTCTCGGAGGCTTCAGCATAGGAAGCAGGATCGCGAAGCCCCTCCGCGGAGGCGGCGAGCCGGCCGCCGCTACCAACCCTACGATTGCGAGCCTTCAAAATAACCCACCCGAGAATAAGAGATCGAGCTGGTTCTTTCAGAAGTCGTAAATAGATAGGAGTTGTTTAATTGGTGGTTTTGTTTGCTTTTTCTGTTTCCCCTTCTGTCCCACCTTTTTTTGTCCTTTTTCTCTTCATATATTTAGATAGCCGACGAGCTGAAGTGCTGGGGGATAGCCCCTGCAAGAGAGAGAGAGATAGGCAGACCGGCTAGTGAGTCGGAATGAAGAAAATGATCATGGACTCCCACAGGCCACCCTTTTCTTCCCTTGTCCTGTTTTTTTTTTTTTTCTTTGCTGCCTTCCTAGATGTGAGGACCGGATAAGCACCCCGCAAAGTCCTTTAAGCGATATGTGATAGACCGGTCCAAAAGAGAGGGGTGAGAGAGCGTGCGCGTGTAAATGGGCGGCGTAGCGAGTGTTAAACCTGGCGGAAGGGCGGGTGGCATAGTGTATATGTGTGTGAAGTCGTATATATATATGTGTGTGTGAGAGAGAAAGAGAGAGTAGAGGCTGGCGGAGCGTATCAGTTGGCTGTTTATACCCCTTTTCCCCCGACCCTCAACCCAAATCAAACCAACCCCCCTTTTCTTATCCCCAGCCAAGTATAATTATACAAACTACATATTCAAATATTAGGCTCTGAGTTGCTTGTTGCTAGGTCCCCCGCCCGTATTTATTTCTCGTGTTAGTCTGCAGGCCTGTGTAGTTACCGCTTGCTCGCTATCTGCGTTGGCTACGTCGTTATTACTACTATAGCGTACATTATCTGTTATTTCCGATGCAGTGTTTGCGTGCCTGTCTGTCAAGGGTGATCCTTCTAGTCGTCTAGAACACACACACACACCCAATATATATACATCACTACTTGCCTTACATATCATATTTATTATGCCAATTACACGCCGCCAAGGGATCGAGAGGAAATTCATTAGGTAGGTAGGTAGTAAATACTAGTTGCTCATCCACACGATGCGGTGCTGCCTGAGCCGCGAGCAGAAGCACCGTCCCACGTGCGGGGAATTGTTGTCTGAGGGTAACGACGGCTTTTCTCTACCCCGGAGAATACTACAACAACGACTTGGCACTCTCTGAGCCGGCGGCGGCCGGAGACGGTAAAGTGCTGCCCGTGGCCGAGGAGTTGCTTAGCCGCGTCATCCAAAGCGTCGTGCTGCGCTGCAGGGAAAGGATGCTCGCAGACGACTTGTTCTTGACCACCTGGCCCAGAGCCTACTGGGCGAGCCTCAAGAAGGCCGTGGCTCGGCCTGCCGCCTTAATCTCGAGTTGCTTGGAGACATTGGGCGGCATCGGTGATTAAATCATTTTGAAGACGGGCGATATTTGTGCTTCTTTTCGAGCGACTCTCCACTTGCCGTGTGTGTGTGTGTGGTCGGCGATTCACGGTGAGGCCTCGAGCGCTTCGCTACTAAACAAGATGCCGGCCGGCCTCGGCGACGGCCACCTCGGTCGCTAGTTCTTGAGCTGGTTCGCCCGCCCGCTCTTGCTTGTTGTCGCCGTCCGCGAGAGGAATTTTCTTGGTGACCAAATCAAAATTCCGGACAGGAAGGAACCGGGTCTCGAAATCCCAACCCCAGTCCCAACAATGACGGGACAAGTTGTAGGAGGCGGCGGGCGAGGGCGCTGTTGCCGTGCAAGGCGAAGTGAGTTGTATGAGTGGAGAGGCCGTCATCGCACAGTCCCAGTCCACAAAGCCCCCAGCTGGGAGGAACCTCGGCGCCGCGTGCGGACCGTCCGTGGCCGCACCGATGATCGCTCAGGGCGTGCCGCGACGGCGACGGCGACGGCGACGGCGACGGCGACGGCGACAAGAAGCAGGACCACACCTAGACGGAGTGAGTCGCCCAACGAGTGCGGCAAAAGTAAAACGACTTGCTCAAAGGCTGTCGGACGGTCGGACCGGGCGAGGCACTAAGCAAAGGCGGGGAGGACGGATGAAGGTGGGGTGGATTAGGTGGCGACAGAGACGATTTGTTTTCGCTTGGTTACACCAAAGCCCCCTTTTCCACTCGGAGGCGGTAGCAGCGGTTGCTGGGCGAGCCAAACATAAACTGTTCAATAACCCAATACATACCAATGCCAATACCCCTTTCTCGAAGAAAAAAAACTCGCATTGGGTAAGAGTTTCTATTTCTGTTCGTCAATTCTCCTTCGCATGAGGCAATTGCAAAAATGCGAGAACACAGGATTTAAACCAGGTTGATAGTAAGAAAAGATCATCTGGGACACCCCATTTCCAGGGCCCCTTGATATACGTGCTCTTCTAGCTACTCCTCGCTGGACGCATTACGACATAAGAAATATAATCCCAAACCATAATAATTGCAAGACGCGGTGGTCCCTCCCCCTCTCAGAATACATCGCGGGCCAAGCATACCCTCTCATCTCTCTCCTGATGTCACCAGCCAGGTACAAGTCTGGCGACTGGCACGACCTCCTCACGGACGGGTAACTAGTACGGGCAAATGAATGCTTACTGCACACCCTCCTACCCGAATCAGACCCAAAGGGTCTCCTCTGCCGCTCTCGTCTAGTTCTGTTTCTTGGAGATGAGCAGGAACATCTCGGGGATGATAATGGCGGCCATCAGAAAGTAGGTGGCAATGGAGACGGCAAAGACCTTGGCGTAGAGGACGTAGAGGCGGATCCAGCTCGAGCGGGGAAAGGTGGTGAAGGCGTCGCGCATCGTGACGAAGCCCTTGCCCCCGACGACGACGGGGTCGACCTTGCCCTGGAAGGAGCGGTCGAAGGGGACGATGGTGTCCTCATCGGGGGGCAGCAGCGACGCCTGGACGCGGACGAGCACGACGCCGGTAGGGACGACAAGCAAGAACTGCAGGGCAACGGCCACCAAGAGCGAAATGAAGCTCTTCCAGATGGCGCTGTTGTCGAACACGACATCGCCTTCGGGGTTGCGGCTGCTGGGGGACATGTTGAGGGCATGGATCATCAGCGAGGGCACGACGGCCGAGGTGGCGACGGCGGCCCAGTGGGCAAGAATGGGGAAGCAGGTGGCCTCAAAGGCCTTGCGGAGAGGCGGCAGGCGGCGGTAGAAGGGCAGGGCGTTCGGGGGGGAGATGACAATGTGGACCCAGGCGGCGCTGAAGGAAGCCAGAGTGAGCGAGGCGATGAGCGAGCCGACGGCCGAGTGGAAGATGGGGAAGTTGCCGAAGATGGCGCCGAGAACAAGGGTGGCGAAACCGATGAAGATGGCACAGGCGATTCCGCGGAAGTGGGATCGCCAGCCACCGACCGAGTGGAGGAGGCGGCGGGTAGCGCGGAGCGAGGCCGTGGTGGGCTTGCCGGCGTTGTGGCCTGCCGACTGTGCCGGGCCTTCCTCGGCGAGCGAGGTGGCATCTTCGTTGAGCGAAACGGGCTCATAGGCCGGAGGGCTCGGGTCTTCAATCATGGCAAGCGTGGGGTAGATGTTGCCGAGACTGTACGAGAGCTGCAAGGGCAAGTTAGTGAATTGCCATACCTACGGGTTAAGACAGAGCCGACGACTTACCCAGACCAAAGCCGGGCCGAAGAGGAGGAAGTTGATCAAGACAACCAGAGGAGTCCATTTCGAAAACACAAGCTCGGTGGGCTCCTCAACAGCGCGCTTCATGAGGTTGGTGCCCATAGGCACTAAGCCGGATATCATGTTGGACATCATTTTTGGGGAGGTGGCAGCTCAGAGCAACGAATGCCGAGCGAGCCGGAGGCTAGTAGTTGGGCGGAGAAGAGGAGCGAACGAATGCCAAGCCCGATTGCGACAACAAACAGGTCCTACAACGCAATAGCCTCGACGAGATGAACGAATAAACGATGGATGGCGATGGTTTGCCGACGAGGCACGGTCGACAAAATAGATTATGATGGCAAACAGAAACCCCAGCAAGAGAGACAAAAAGTCCGTCTGACACAGGACACGAGGGAACCCCTCGCTCTTATAAATCGCCAGACAGAACGGGACGGGTGGGGAATGGGACGAGGCTCCTACCCAGTAGCGTCGCATGTCTGGCGCGCTAAGCCCAGGCACGGTTACACTGTTACCGTACATACGCCCCCTAAAGTCTCCAATCCTGCAAGGCAGCACACCCCACGGCCTTAAAACGGTCTTGTCGAGCTTGGTTGTCGGCCTCGACTCACCAATCGCGGCGAGGCTCCCGAGGCTGCACCGCCTCACTGTGCCGCTTACGCGCAGCTGTTTTCTCCCCTGCGTTCCCGGGCGTGCGGCTTTGGTCGATTCGTGTTGTCTCTCTCCGGTCAGTCTCCACTGTCCCTCTCTTGCCACTGCTAGGAGGCCAGAGCATGATGGTCCCGGCGGCGGACCCTTTGCAGTGTCCGATGGTCCAGAAGCGCCTGCACTAGTAATAACATTGAATGGGATTACATAGTACGGGAATCGGGCTCCAAACCCGCCTCCGGGGTTCTTCTCGGGCTTCCTGCCAGCCGCCCGACGCCCGCCGCCCGCCGAGGGGATTCTCAATTGTTTAGCCGCTCCATGGTCGAATACGAGCAATGCGGCATCAAAATATTGACATGGGGGCCAAGGAGGGTGAGGGGCGGGGCGTCGACTCAGAGTTGCGCGTCTCGGGGCGATTGAAAGGCTCTGCACGGCCGTTTCTGCCTAGCTGCCGATGCTTGGCAGCCGACCTCCGGCACCAGTTGTCGGGTCAAGCAGCACCACATCAGAAACCAGACCCAAGGTTGCCGGAGCTTCCATGGTAGGTAGTTTGACACTGAGCTAGATCTTGTGCAACGCGCCCTGTCGCAAAAACCTTCTCAAGCTAAGCTATGCCTGCGTGTAGAAGGCGCAAATGTCCGATAGGAAGGAACTAGTTCCGTATCTCGGAACAAAACCGCATCGAGCCCTCAAGGCCTGAGGCAAGGTAAATAATCTCTAGATTACACGTCCAAAAGGGATCGTTCTCAGATGAGACACGCACCCCAGTCTCGACTCGAATGACTGGAGCCGGGTGTCAGCAGCATGCCGTGCCCGTGCCTGCATGGGGATGGCTGACGGCCAACAAGAAGATCGATCAGAAACAGCCCTTGTTCGTCCAATACGAGGGCTTTCCGTTTCTGGTAGTAGTGCCGGCGAGGGCGAAAAATAAAGGACATAGGCCCCGAATGAATAATCTGTAAGAGCCCGCAATCATACGCAGTTGAAATGCATAGCAATGCGCCGCAGAACGCCTCACTGCTTTGTACGGAGTAGCCGTTGGTAAATAGACTCATCTTTTTGGATGGAGGAATCCAGCCTCGTCCCATGGTGGGTGGATGGCCCGGGGTTTGACCCGTTGCATTTGTGGCGTTTTACATAGTGAGCAGCAGCCACGCCTGCCAATGAAACTCCGTACTGCCATTGCAGCTTCTAAGAGCTGTACTACGTGGTTGATGCACAAGGTATCGTGAATCTCCGATATTCCATCTTCCTTTTTTCCAGCATCATTCCCAACTACGAGGGCCACCACGTCGATAGTATGGGAAGGCTGTTGGCAATCCGTCAGTACCTTCGTGACCAACACAACCCCAGATTTACCCGGCCCCACGGCGCTAGTACTAGCCCGCTTGGTGGCTGGCTGGCTGGCTGGCTGGATGGGATGATCCCAAGCCACAGAGAGCCCTGTGGTGCAGCGATGCATGCGCCCAACCTAAAACCCCACGGTGGTCACCACCGTGGGGGGCGGCAATCCCCACCACAGACGCCTGGCCTGTTTTTAGGGTAGTCTCGCGGGGGCATTCTCCGACTCGTATGTAGTTGCTAGGGTAGACTTGGTTTATATCATCCCGAGTTGCATACCCTTTCCTATAGCGGTTCGCTGCAGCGCCAAATTCCAACATTAGCCCGCCATGTCAGCGCCGTCGATCCCGAATCTCCTCTCGCTGCGGGGAGCTTCTTTGCAAGGCCGCGGCGGGGCCCGTAGTGGTCGAGCCGGCAGCAGCAGCAGCAGCAGCAGCAGCATCGCGCCTCCAACAGGAACGGTGGGCCAGCGGCGGCAGCAACAGCACGATGCCGTGATCCAGGGCACCGACAACGACGCCGCCGTGTCGCGCATGAGCGCCGTCGAGCTGGGCTACCTCGACGACCCGTTCGCCGCGCTTTTTGCCCAGCCGCAACCACACCCCTACCCCCACCCCCAGCAACAGCACCCCGCAGCCGGCCCCGGCCCGGCTGCCTTGCGGAGGCTGCCCATCATCAACCGCGGCACGTACGCGCGGACGGCAGCCATCGACCGGCTGGTGACCCAGTTCCTCGCCGACACGGCCTCCGCGGATGGCAGCAGTGGGGGGTTCCGACAGATCGTATCACTGGGCGCGGGCACCGACACGCGCAGCCTGCGCCTCTTTTCGTCGTCTCCGCCCTTCTCATCCACTTCGTCACCCTGTTTCAACGCAGGCATCATCTACCACGAGATCGACTTCCCGGCCATCTGCGCGCGCAAGCTGCGCGCCGTGCGCGCCGCCCCGCAGCTACGGGCCATTCTCTCCGAGCCCGAGACGTCGTCTGCGACTATTACTAGTCAGCAAGAAGGCCAAAATGCGGCACCGCCCGAGTGGTGGACCAGCCGCGGGCCCGGCGGCAGCGAGCTGTGGTGCCACGGCCTGGACCTGCGCGCGCTCGCCCTCGCGCACCAGCAGCGAGCAGAGCAACCAGGTGACGACAATAATGCCAACAGCTCGCTCATCCGCGGGCTGCGCGCCGACCTCCCGACACTGCTCCTCTCAGAATGCTGCCTGTGCTACCTGTCGGCAGCCGACGCGGGGGCAGTCGTAGGGTGGTTCGGCGCGCGCATCTCGCCCGCAGCAGGGCTGGGGCTGGTGCTGTACGAGGCGGTGCACCCGGACGACGCGTTCGGGCGCATGATGGTGTCGAACCTGGCGGCGCGGGGCCTGCGCATGCCGACGCTGGACGTGTTCCGGACGGGGGCGGACCAGGAGCGGCGGCTGCGGGCGGCGGGGTTCGACGAGGCGCGGCAGCTGACGGTCGACGCCGTGTGGGAGCGCTGGGTGGCGCCGGCCGAGAAGGAGCGCGTCGACGGGCTCGAGGGCCTCGACGAGCTCGAGGAGTGGAACCTGCTCGCCAGCCACTACATTGTCGCCTGGGGCTGGAGGGGTTCTAGATTCCGGCTCGTAGAACCTTAGGTATAACTAAGTAGAATAAATAAGCAAAATAAGGTAATTAAACCAGTCAAAGGTCTTTCCAGTCAATCTGACAATCAGTCAGCCATTGAGCTGCTAGAGAAGAAAAGGGCCTCAAAGAAAGGCTCCGTAGCCAAATGATTTGCTATGATTCGCTATGATTCGCTATGATGAACACTACCATACAGCTGATCCTGTCTTGAAGGGAAATACAAAGACGTGTACCCAGTCGTGCCTCCTGTAGGCCAGAATAGGCGCAATTCGTGAGTCGGGTATCATCCATGGCCCGGACCCCGAACCTAACGCCAAACCCCCCAAAACCTAAAAGGAGCTATAACAAGTAGCCTAAACCCGCCCAACAATACAATACAAGACAGAGGGATGATGGCTGCCGTTTAGAACAGCTTGAGCGACGTCCGCTGCTGCAGCCGTGTGCCGTTGAGCATGGCGCGCAGCTTCTTGGGCCGGATCTGGAGCCGGCGGAACGCCTCCTGGACGTGGCGCGGCTCGACGGGGGTGCGGCCTTCGCCGGGGGGGTCGAACAGGCCCTGGGCGAGCTTGCGCTTCTTGGCGCCGGCGCTCTCGCCCGTGCGCTCCTTGAGAAGATCCTCGTGGTCCTTGATCTTGAGCGCCTCCTCGGTGAGCGTCTGCACCATCTCGAATGTCAGGAAGCCCAGGATGTCGACAATGTCGTCCGACGGCTTGCTGTCCGTGACGAGACCGAAGCCCGCCCACTCGCGGAAGCGCTTGCCCTTGCGGTACGTGAATGACGCCTGCCGGAACTCGGACCAAGTCACGTACTCCTCGCGCGTCATGGCCTTAGTGCGCTCATCGGCCTTGCGCAGACGCTGCAGCGTGATGTAGTTCATCTCCTCCTCTTCTTCGTCGTCTTCGTCCTCGCGCTCGGGCACCTCTACGCCGTAGAAGGACGACGGATCCCAGAGTAGGCCAACTCTAGCCTTTTTGTTCTTCTTGGTTGTGTCGTCGACGGGACCGCCGGCAACCACGCCGCCCACCGGATCCTCCCCCGCGCCCAAGTCAGCGTCACCACCTTTGTCGTCCGAGTCCTTGACATTCTTGCGAACGTCTTTCCACGAGAGGAAGGTGCGGAGGCGCGAAACTTTTGGCGCATCGTCGCGGATCTGGAAAATCAGGTCATTGATAGTTATAGCGCGAGAGCCGCGACGAGCAGCAAGCTCTGTACAGCTTCGTAACTAGACGAGTAATGTTAGTGAGCCTTATTACAGCTTGGGAGGGTTGGCTTACAATCTCGACGACTTGCTGGCGAACAATGTCTTCAATAATTCCGGTGGTCTCAACTGATGGTTCTCCAGTCTCGCCAGAGACATACATCATCTGTCGAATCTTGTTAGTAAGCCAATCGCGGAAGTTGCCCTCTGTCTCAATGTCGTCTTCAGAGCTCGAATCCGCTGGGATTGGCTTGGAAGTAGTTCCAATATCACCCAGGGCCCGAAGATCGCCTAGAGCACTGCCTATGCCGCGAAACCGCGATGGAGATACACCAACATGGCCAAACTTAGACCTGCCAGTATCCCGGTCAAGTTCCTCAAGAGTACAATCAAAAGCCTCTGTAAAAATCGCAGCTGCATATGGGTCGAGAAGTCTGGTAGTGTAGGTGAGCGGCATTCCAAGACGAACACCATTCCCCGGATTATTTTCACCAGAAGCTCGAGTAACCGGCCCCGACAAATCTTGGTCGCCGAGAGATTTTGAATTGAGGGCATGGCCGGAGGTAGGGTCCATGACGAACGATGGTGGGCAGACATTCTGCGCTTTATCGTCTTGATCCTGTTGATCAGGTCCATGATGCAAACCATCGTCCACCTCATGGCTCGAGAGTTGGTGTGCTGAAGTGACTGAAGTGGCTAAAGCAACTAGGGAAGCCGGGGCAACTGGGGAAACTGGGGCAACTGAAGCAACTGAAGCCATGGATGCAGCAGAAGGAACAGAAGCAGCACAAAGAACAGAAGCAACTGAAGCCGCTGAAGGAGCAAATATCTCGCGAGGATCCACGGTCAGGCCCGAATTATTGGTGAAGTACCGCGATAGCTTGCCATATCTGGCTGCGCGGGGTTTGAAGATTTGGCCCTGAGCTGTCAGATTCCCTCCCGCTAGATGATCTTGAGTTGCGACCTCCGGAGACTGTGTCTGCTCAGGGCTAAACCGGATATCAAGATACGGCGAGTTGTCAAGCGGCTCCTTGGATGAAGCGTTGCTTGGGTACGAGACAGGGGCTGGACTGAAGAGCCCTTCCGCTTTACCTGTCTGTCTCTCTTCGTTGTTTACAGGTCCTGGTGTCCCGCCAGAATACCGAGTACCAATCGAGCCCCAACTCGTGGTGCGGCTGCCACTTCCAACCACTTGATAGTTCGCAGCTATCGATAGAAGATCGAACTCTTGGTAGGCCGTAGGTAGTTCTTGAGACGTCAAATGAGACTCGTTCGAAGCCACACTGCTGTTCTTGTGTAGCTCGGTTCCTAGACCGTTGGAATACAGGTGACTTGTGGTAAAACGTTTAATTCCCAGTTGCGTCACCGAAGCTTGGCGGATCATTCTAGGAACATCCCGGTCGGGCTCGATGCTGTTATCCGCGCTGACATTTGCGCCCACGAGTCTCCTCGATTTCTGCGGGCGAAGATTTGAAGGGCGGATACCGGAGGTTCCTGACGGCGCTGGGGTTGGTTGCTTCCGCTTCATGGTAGCGGCTTGAGAGTTAAGATCAGACAGCTCTCTGGATGCTGGTGTCGAAGGTAGACAAACAGAGACGGCGTGCTCTCCTTGTCCCGGTCCAAGCGAGAATGTAGAATATGTATTGCGAAGATTATAGCGAGTCGATGTTAAGCGAGAGGTTTCTTCTCCAATGCCAGTAGCAGAAAGAGAGGAATTTTGCCTTGGAGGAGGGTTGGATGCACTCATTGGATCAAACCTCGCAGGCTGTTCCTGAACAGCCGGCCTGTTTTCTCCCGCGGCAGTTGCTCGAAGCCCAAAGGCCTGGGCACTTGGGGGAGAAGGAGCGCGACCGCGAAGTTCCTGGCCAGTGTTTTCAGTGCTGCCACCTTGCAAGGTATTGCCAGTTTCCGTAGGAAGTGCCGAAGATCTCGTTCGACCCTCGGCGAGGGTTGAGGCCCGAAGCGAGACGTGAGAGAGGGTCGACGGGCGATGCGAGCGCGGACTTGAGCTCCGAGGGTGCTGTGAGATTTCCACGGGCCCGGGAGCAGCTTTTAATGCGACGCCCGACTCCGAAGCTGTGGGTAAGGTCTTTCTGGTATCGGGCTCAGGTCCGTTGAGGCGAGGACGGAAATCATAAGCTGAGCCTGTCGCATTAATCCCGTCTTGGGCGGCTAGTTGGCCTCGTCCTTCGTTGCACCGGATACCCGCTAAATTTCGAGTCCAGCAAGATTTTTGGAGGTGCAAAGGAGCCGGGGGAGGCATTGAATCTTCTCGAGTGCCGCGAGCATCGTCACCGGCCTGCCCGCCTCTAGCGAGGGGCACCGAGCGTGAGCGCGATCGCATAGCACCGAACGTATTTGGTAGAACAAGACTGTAGTCGCTAACCGGGTGGGGGATGATAGGCAAGAAGAAGCGCGTGGGTCATGAGAAGAAGCGTGGTGTTGGCTAGCGAGAGAGAAGGTCGCTGGAGGAGGCCGGAGGGGTTCCAACGGGCAGGGCGAGTATTGCAGAGGGTACGGCGGTACGGTACTCGCGTCTAGATGCATGGCAAGCTCTCTCAGGAAAGGAGGAAACGGAAGCCAGGCATGTAACCCCAAAGTGAGCGAGAGTTGAACTGATACTCAACCTGACATATCGCGGTATCGGTAGGGTCCATGACAGGCAACGCGTCCAGTATCGACTCCCTATAAACAAGCCGCCGTTTTGGAACCAGAGCCATCAAAGCTGCCCAGGTGGTGTAAAGTCCAATCCTCGAATATGACTTCGGAACCTGCATTTGATGGTGCCCATGAATCAATCACCCATATCAACCGCCACTCTCCGGCGATGCCCACATCCTCCAAAACAATACGAGGCCCCGGAGGGAGCATCAACTTGATGCCGCCAATCCTCTCTGTATTTACTCTCCCCCTTCCACAACAACATTCTGACTCTAATACTCATGCATAAAACGATAGGAAACCCGAAACAAGGCCAGCAATGGAACTGAGCCTCGAGAGGAAGTGACAACAGACTATAGAGATAGAGATAGAGACTAGAAAGACGAACTTGCTGGATTTCCTGCCGGTATTTGTATTGCTTTTCCCTATCCTTGTCAGACATGTTGAAAATCGGTAATAAAATTCGATACTATGGTGTTGTTTAAATGGCGGTTGGCCGGCCGAAGTTAGGATGGTCGGCTTCGATTGCGGTCGGTTGTTGGCCGATGATTACGGATAGTACATGAAATGGAACAAGGGGATGCCCGGTGTTGGGTTGGGTGTGGAACTTGGTCAAAGTGTTTTCTCCAACTTGAAGAATGCTAAGCAGCCTACCCAGAGAAAACGGTGGGTGCTCACGTGATATGCAGGGACTCCGTCCTGGGAACTCTCTGAGGAAGTACCTCGACGGCTCTTCTCTTTGGGGTTTGTTGTTTTGGATGACGTTTTCCGACTCTTTAACAGTTAAAGCACTAAAAAATCAACAAGTAATAAGAGACATAGTCAACCAAAAGCTGAGATGAGTAGACCTGTGCCTTGTTCTCGAAAGTCCCATCTTTTGTGACTCTCAAGACATGATGCAGGTACAGTACGGAGTACATACCGGGCCTTTCATGGCACGTGCGCCGTATACACACTGTAGCCACGTCCCCACAAAGGCTCAGCTGCCTAGGTTGCAGACCCGCAGCGGCGATAACGCAACAGCAGACAGCCGATTAGCACTGCCCCGCTGTCAACCCCACATAAGCTACCCCCCCCCCAGGCATCCTCCCATGCACTTACACGATAAACCTTCGTATCGAAACAGCAGCTGCTTCAACAATCATCATCGCCGGCTCCTGAAAAATATTAACAGACCTGCTCAGCTCTCCCGAAGATGCCGCCTTCATCCGCCGTGCTGGTGGTAAGACTACGCCCTGCCCCTCCCCTCACCTGCCGCCCCTCCTCGAAGGCGGCCCGTGAAGATGCGCCATGTCTACCCCCAGAAAATCTGACGCGCAAGCAGACCAAGGTCAAGGTTCAGCTCAAGCTGGCCATCGCGAGGTTGCGCATGGTGCAGAAGCGCGACGAGGCGCTCGCCAAGCAGCAGCGGAGGGCCATGGCCCAGCTGCTCGACGTGGGCAAGGTCGACTCGGCGCGCATCCGCGTCGAGAACATCATCCGCTCCGACATCGCCACCGAGCTGCACGAGATCCTCGAGCTGTACTGCGAGCTGCTGCTCGCCAGAGCCGGCCTCCTCGACGCGCCCACCTGCGACCCGGGCCTCGAGGAAGCCGTCAAGAGCATCATCTACGCCGCCCCCAAGACGGAAATCAAGGAGCTGAATCAGGTGCGCACCCTCCTGGCCGAGAAGTTCGGCAAGGAGTTTGTTCTCAACGCCATGGAAAACACGGACGGGAAAGTGTCGGAGAAGGTGGTCAAGAAGCTCAGCGTGACGCCGCCCAAGGAGGAACTGGTTGTCGGGTACCTCGAGGAGATCGCCAAGGCGTACGGCGTGAACTGGCCGAAGAGGCCCAAGCCAGACCTGGGAGATGTCCCTGACCTTCTGGACGACGACGACGACGACGACGACGATGAGAACCCCAGCGGTGGCCAGGCCCAGGTGAACCTGAAGGCACCCCTTGCCACCGAGGATCCTGAGGACAGCGAGGCCGAGGCGCGGGAGGAGCTCAGCAAGGCCACACCCCCGAGAAACTTTGGGCCGAGCCTGCCGCTTCACGTCAACCCACCGAGCCCTTCGACTGAGAATATCCGCCCCAAGGTGACGCTCAACTCGTTGGAGCTCAAACCAAGCAAGAGGCCGGCCAAGGCTAGCGTCGCGTCAAAACCGGCAGAGCCGAAAGGGGGCATTGCGAGTGGGATTCCGGACGTGGACGAACTGGCGGCGCGATTTGCTGCCCTCAAGAGATGATGAAAAGGGGAGATGGTTGACGGGAGTGGGTATTCCATGCTTCTTTCATGTTCCTCGGGTTCTGGAGCTGTATTACATCTAGCGGGTTTTGCATTCGGTAGGGGGTTTATGTATGAAGTTATGACGTTCTCATATATGAAAGTTAGAATGCCATCTCCTGGCATCTTGCTCCCTGGGATCAAAAGATTTATTTGTCTGTATCTGTCTTTGGCTCAGCCATGACGTATGTCTTTGACTTCCATGTTCATGTATAAAGGGGTCAAAGACGCGTTGCCCGGTCGACTCGCGTCTTGAACACTGATAGAGTGTCTTTGTGAAGTTAGTTGGCTGGTTAAAGCAAATTGAAGCAAAGGTGAGAGCATCCTGAAGGTCTTATGAGTGCCTGGTGATTCCAGATTCACCTAAGTGCCCCAGCGAGGCAACGACGCCTCTCCCCCCATGGCACGATGCTCGTCTGATATGCCTCGTACCTTCCCTATCTGTTTGTAAATAAGATATGTTCGGGACTAGTAATTACCTGTCTGCTGTAACAACTTCCGGGTGCTTTCAGGTCGCCAGCCCCACACTCGTTGCGGTCGCCGACGCGTCTGTAAATAAGCTGCCCTGGTGGCCTCTGAGCTCCCGCACTTCTACCTGCACCTTTTCACTTCCGCACCTCGTCACTTCCGCACCTCATCACTTCCACACTTCTCTTCCGCACCTCTTCACTTCCATATTTCGTCACACAAACTCTTCCACACAGCTTCCATCATAAGTAAGCCTCCACACTCTCACCTTCACACATCTTCGCAAGCTCGCACGCTTCCACACGTCTTCGGCAGCTGCGCACATTTACACATCCACACATTCATTTCCTTCCACACGACTACATCACCTTCATCCATCGTCGCTAGTAAAAAAGGTTAGCAGCCATGTCAAGCCCGGCATCTTTGGGTGGAGGCTCTCGCGAGCCCCCCGAGCCCCCCTCCCCTGCCTTCCCGAGCGGCCTACTCGGTGGTTTCGTAGACCTCGGTCTGCAAGATGTCAAGTTGAGACCGGGCCGAGCTGACAATGGCAGTACCGGCAGTTCCAACCTGCCCAAGAATTCGGAAAGCGGGGAAGTACTAGCAGAAATGCATCCCGACAGGGCGAAGCTGCTGGGGGAGACGAAAGCGTCTCCCCAGGACATCATCGATGTCCAAGAGGGGGAAACCACAACCATTAACGCCAGCTCGGGCGGAACCGAGGAGCAAGACCTGTCGTTCCTGACAGGCTCAAACCGGATGGTGTTCTGCCACGGTTCAGGACCAGCAGAGGCGGAGACTGCGGCCGTTTCTGGGTCAGCTTTCGGGGCGGGTCGCGCCCCTACTCAACGCGTCGGGGGCACGCCTCACAGCTCTAACCATCGCTCGGGCCGACAGCCTTCAGATCGCCGAGGAGAACGGCGAGCGGAGTCCCGAGCCAATCGCCCGCAATCGCCGGGCCACTCTCGCGCTTCTCGTGGAACCACGGAGGAGGGTGAGATCAAGAACGACGAGAAGACCTTGCAGCTGGCAAATCGGAGCCAAGAGGGTCGTCTGTCGTATCACGACGACGAAGACGAGATGGCACAGTCAGCTAGTTCCGCTGGACGCGGACACAAGTCATCCGACGATACTCTAGAGAGTATGGTTCGTGGCTTTTCTCGAGGTTCTGGTTCGCGTGGCCAGTCTTCATCACCTCTGCCTCTGTCTCGCAGGTTCTCGAGTTCGCAGCAAGAATATGCTCCTAGCCAAGCGGCTAGACCGACCTTATCGTACACTCCTCGGGTTGAAGTTGAGCAGCCCAAGAGAGAGCCGTCGCCTCCGATTGAGTTCGGAGTCACGGAGAAGATTGTGGACTTCGACGCACACCATCCGAAAATCCGAGAGCTATTCAAGAACAGAAAGAACCCGTGGCTCGCGAAGATCGAGCGACCCCGTGCATGGGGCTTTTTTGGCGACGAGTGTCAGCCCGAGGAAGGCGAGAAAGAAGCAGCCACTGCGCCCACTGAGTCAGCGACCAAGACGGAGGAGCTGGCCATTTCGAAGGCCAAGAATATTGTCACTCAAGACGAGCCGGCAAACGAAGGGCGGCAGCTCACACCGGTACTGGAGACCACGGAGGCAGAGAACAGTGCTACCAACTTTGAGATGGACGTCGATACCAGCATGTCCATTGATAGCAATGTGCCACCGTTTAATCTTTCCAAGAACCCGTCCAAATTCAAGGCCCCAGCCAAGCCCACGAAGCGTTCCAAGTCAGACGAGAAAGACAAAAAAGCTACTACCATGACAACAGCCACCGGAGAGGGCTTGGATACCCCTATGACCGACTTCAGCCAAAAGTTTTGGAAAAAGAATACACTCTGATTCACTCTCGGTCTGAAAACCAAACAGCCCAGCCAGCCTGGGGAGCCCAAGCTCTCGACTGGACGAAACAAGGCATTCATGCGTGTTTGATATCTGATTTTCCTCTTTTTATTTTCGCTTCTTCCTTTCCTTTTCGATAGAGGGTCAACGCTTGCGGCAGGCACATCTTGTTGTTTTATCCGACATGTCACATTCGCGGCTTCACTTCGATCTTGACCGGCGATAAGTTTTTGCTGGTATTCTAAATTTTCCGATACAGAGGGTCGACGCTTGCGGCAAGCACATCCTGTTGTTTTATCCGAGTCCTTTTTCCCAACATTTGGAAGAAGCGGACGATCAGTTTTCTCTTCTCCGGACAGATCCAGGGAGGAGTCACGCCCACATCAAGAGCTCCTATCGCCACCAGACTTTCAGTACTCGATTTTTCTTCGAAAGGACGAACGAAATTTATCACATTCGCGGCTATGCTTCGATCTCGACCAGCAATAAAATTTGCCGGTATTCTTGGTTTCTCTTTTCATCGCGGGAGATATGAGACGGGATAGGAGCTCATCCGATCTAAGGTGTCTTGATGTTGGGTCGCTTCTCGAAGAAGCATCTATCTGGGAAGATTCGGCCATTTTTCTTTTCTCTTTTCGACCGACGGGGAATTGTTCCTGGCGTGGTTTGCTTTACCTTTACGGAGTTGGGAAATTGGGATGTGACTAGGCTTGCTACTTGTACGATTGTACGGTTTTGTAAACGTATACCCCATGGGAAGCTCTGTACATGTATTTTTCTGGGTTATTATTATTGTAGGAGGCTCTAGTCGGCATCTCGACATGTCCCGCGGCGAGACTGTCGAGATTTGCCTCTCATATCAAGGAGTCTGCTCCTCATTTCTACATCCATGCGCTTTCTGATAGCACCTCTGATAGCACCTCTGCAACTGACTCCCAGTGAGGCTTGCGGAGCCCCGGGAACCTTGCCCCCAAGCTGTTGTGTAAACGTCTCCGTCCTCTGTGGAAATGGGCTAACCACAGTCCATTTAATGGATGGCCAGACCTATCTTATCTCAATCATCATACCAATACCCATCGACGTAGAATGGCGTGAGACAGATCCTCGAATCCATCGCGCTTTTTTTCTTCCTGCCCGGCTGTTTGTGTCTTGACATCGGGCCATCCCATCCCTCCCTCCTCTTCGACCCGGCCCTTTGATGCCATTTCGTCATGCCTTCTGGCCATGTGATAAGAAAGAGGCACGGCTCATCTCCCACCATGTATGTACGCATGGGCAACGACCCATACTATGTCTCTTCTCTCCCCCTCCCTTTTATTCATATCTCTCTTTCCCTTTCCCGCCCACAAAACAAATCACCTTCACCCTCCCTTCACTCTAACTTATCGAGATGCTCGAGCCTTGTCAGCACGACTTGCTTGCTCGTCTCCTCAATCTCGCCGGCCAGGAACACCTCATCGAGGATCGCGTAGACCTTGTAGAAGTTGAACACGAGGTCGAGCTCACACACGTTCCCGAAGAACGAGTCCAGCACCTCGACGAAGAAGTGGATCGCCTCCAGGTACGCCAGCTCGTTGTCGTTGGTGTCGACGCACGCGCAGAAGAATAAGCCCGCGTACCGCCGGTACACAATCTTGTGGTTGCGGAACTCGACGAAGTTGCTCTGGTACTTTTGGTCGCGCGGCGCGATCAGCCGGTGGACCTGATCAATTCCAGAGTTAGCTGGATTGTGTATATGTTGTGTCGTGCAGATGAACTGAATTTGGCCGCTTCCATTGCAATACTAGCCCAGCTTTGGACTCTGTCTGGATCGGGGCAGGGGAATAAATCGAGAGAAAAAGAAACTCATGGATTGTCCGTCGTACCTCGCCCTTGATTTTGATCTTCTCGTCGTCGTCGTAGGGCACGTACCACTTGGCCAGGCGCGTCTTCCCCCTGAGCGAGGGCTGAGTCAGTAAAACGAACGCGGTCAATTGGGGCCGCCAGGGCGGGATTGAGATACGCACTGTCTGTTCTGTATGAGGATGAATGACAACATGGCGGCGACAGCAGCTCTTGGTCTTGCTGCCGAGCTTGCGTGTTATTAACCAGAGGCTGCTAATGTTGTCGTCCAGGAGGGCTACGAGGTGGGGTTAATGGCCGAATCATGAATTCCAGGGTCAGGGTTATACACGTTGTTAGCAGCCGTCCCGAATACTTCACCTTCAGCCCGATGATGTTGCTGTCTGTAAATACAGATACGTACATATATAAGTAATTAAATCTAGCTAAGCTCTTTTATGCGTATAATGTCTCATGATAGCTGAAAATAGAAATGCCGGTCAGTCTGTTCCGGCCGATCCGCCGTCCTAACCCAAGTCTAGGTCTCCCATAACGCCCATGTTGAATCCACAAACGCCGTGGGTAGTGCCAAAACCAGGTCACCGCCCTGATGCTACATCTTTCAAATTTATGTGCCTCTACCTCTTCCAGTCCCGTTTCTGATTACTCTCCTCACCTCATCTAGTTGCCGTGGCATAAAGGTAGCTGGGCGGCCTCTAGTCTTCAGCAGGACCTTTGCCGTCCTCTTTCAGTCGTTGTTGATACTGGTGCCGGATCGTTGATAGCGTCACCAGGAGACCAAGACCGCAGGCGCCGAGTGTTACGAAATAGGCATTTCGATAGCAGTCGAGACCATCCGGGCAGGAGCGTTCGCCGCCGTCGCCGACGACGCTATGGCTGTCAAAGACAGTGCCGTAAAACAAGTTGAAGATGTTGCCCGAAATTACGGGGCTCAAGGTCATGAAACCCCAGTTTTGGCTAAGCCCATGGATGCCAAATGTCTCGGCCACGATAGACGGGAAGACACCAAACAGAAATCCGTAGCCTAAGCCCGAGAGCCCGGATACAAAGCCAAGGAAGTGAGGGTTGGCGATATTGATGGCGAAAATCTGCGCAATGAAGAACACAAAGCTTGCAACCACGAGACACCAGGCACGGCTAGCTCCGAGGATCTTGACGAGGAAGTCGGACCCGACACCTAAGTAAGGAGTCTCATTAGACACATTGTTGCAAGAGTAAATTACCGAGATCTCGTCGGACGGTCTTGGGGGAGGGGCTCATACCGCTAAGGAGTCTGCCGAGGAAGCTGCCGACCGAGAGAATAGAAACGTGCATCTGCTGCCGCTGGATGAGAAAGGCTTCGCTCACGGAATCGTCGTAACGCTTCCAGAGAGCATTGACATCATGCCCAATGTTGCTGCAAATTTTACATTAGCATGCCTTCACACACCACAAATCAGATGGACGCTCAAACGTACTTGATGGTCATCAAGCCGATGCCAGCCAAGATTCCCATGATGGCGAATAGCTGCCAAAAGTCGACATTGCTAAGCAGGCGCCAGCCACGGATATCTATACGGTGGGAACGATCCATATCAACACTGTTCTGGACTAAAACATCGCCGGGCAGTGACGAGGACTTGGACATGAGGGATGATGTTTCGTCAATGTCTTCGGGCTCGTCCGTGGCGTGGGGAGCGCGGGCGGCTTCGACGTCAATTGGGCGTGTGGCGCTGCCGCCTCGGGAGGTCGAGGGAGGCTCTTGATCAAGCCCATCCTCTGCTCCACCCATGCCTTGCGTGAGTGTCACGGGAGTCGTGTAATTGGTGGGCGACATACCAGGTTCAACGTCGGGGAGGCCTCGACCGCGACGGGGCGCCTTCGCGTCCTCGGACGAGGTCCGGCGCAGCTGCTGCGAGTCGGACAGCCCGGCCGTGCTGGGGACCGTGTGGTACGATGTGTGGGGGAACACCCTGAGAAAGAAGAAGCCGAAAAAGGTCAGGCCCGAGGTCCCTGCAGCTAGGACCATGAGGAAGGCGCTCGTGTTGCCGGGAAAGAAGAAGCTGCCGAAGACAGAGAAGAAGAAGGCGCTGAGGCCAAAGGCGGCCAGGGGAAACGCCGTGGCGGTGCCGCGGTGGTGCGGCCAGTTCAGCGCCGACGTCTTAACCGAGGCGGCGAAGGCCATGCAACCGCCCAGCCCTGAGAGGTAGGAAAAGAAGCACAGCAGGGCCACAGAACCCGAGGCACTGTCAAAGGCGGAGCGAAAGGGAAAGTATCCCAGGCCCAGGAGCAGGGCGCCGGCAATAACGGCAGGCCGAGGCCCTCGATGATCGATAAAGAGGCCGACCGGGACGCCCATTGAGTACATGCCCAGATTGCCAGCCAGCCCGATCAAGTTACTTTCCGTCGTGGTAAGATGCAGCTTGTCGGCGAACTGGGGAGCCCACGCCGAGTAGACATACTGCAGCCATTTCGCACCCGTCAGCTCAACCTCGCCATCTGAACGCCGTTGGTCTCCAGACACAGGCCAATAACGAATCGCATGCAAGGTTAATTGGGAAACACGGCAAATGACGAACATTGGTACCGCATGCCAGCGATATTACAGTGGCAGCCACGCTCGAGATCAAGCGGGCGCGGTGAAGCTGGCGGTCGACCATGGCGGGCTTGGGCTTGGGCTTGGGCTTGGACTTCGGGAGAAATCTGCGAAATCTATAGAGAATCGGTCGAGGTTGGGTCGATCGATGACGGGATGGGTGCAATCCACTGCGAGAAAAGTCGCCGACTTCAGACGAGCATCCCGGCGCTGATCGCAATCAATGGCGATACAGCCGGTGTAGATGTCTAGGACAGTGCACGGCGACGGGCTGAGAATACCGGCGACGGCGATGTTGGGAGGAAGATGCGCATCAACGGCGACAATGCTTGCATGGGGTGCCTTCGTTATCGTGTGTTTGGGAGCCCGCACCCCCTGTGACTGCTGTCCGATGATGGCGGTTTCGGTTCTTCCCGTCCGGCCAAGTCAGGGCAACCAACCAGCAGAATCTTTCATTACCAGCGGCTCGTGTAAAGCCTCCAGGCCTCCGATACAGGAGCCTAACCCCTGTAATCGTAAGCTCTTTAGCTTGTGCTCTCACGGATGGTGTAAGGCAGCAGAAGAAATCATTGTATCCGTAAAATCAGTTTCAATTTCGACATTTTGGGCAGGCAGCCATGTCAGATTTTCCATGTATCGTCCGCTCCTAACTCTGGTTATTGCACGTCTGGTGGCCCAACATTGAACTCGTGGTCGCGAGAGTGCATGTGACGCCGTCATGATGGCGCTGGAGTCAAGGCTGCCCTGGCTGTGCCTTTAAACCACTGGGGGGGAGCTCAGCAGCTCCACCAATCACCTCAGGCTAGCGCAAAGCCTGGGGTTTCGACTTACGATCCATATGCAAGGTCACGTGCTGTGACGGGTGTGCTGTCAGGGACTCAGGGTGGCGCAGCGCCGCAGGCCTATGGAGTGGTGTGGTGCGCGTCAGCGTGCGGCCCAGAAGCCACTAACTACGTAGCCGCCAACTGAGCCGCCGTTGCCTCCCGTCGTGCCTGGTTGACGACCCGACCGACGTCAACCTTCAACAAGTTCCCAGCCAATACTGCGCATCCTCTGTTTACCGATCCTCCGCGGCGCCGTACACGCTCGTGTGTTTTGTCAAGTTCTAATCTGCAGAGGCGAAAGGCCTGCGAAAGGCGTCAACCAACCCAAGATGGGCGCGCTTCTTTCAATACCGCTGTTGGCGGTGCCGAGCATTGGCACGGTAGGTTCAGCAGTCAATCCACGGAACAAACGGAGCAGGACTGACGGTCATGCTGCCTTGTAGCTTGTGACCTTTGCTGCGAGCTGTTGCGGAGCTGCGACGTGCTCCGCCGTCTGTAGCATGTGTGGGAAATGCGGCAACAGGTATGTGTCGTCGTCGTCGCCTGTCGTCGTGTACCCGACCCAACCCAACCTGCCCGCGCTTGTGTCGCCGCCCATGCCGGCCACCTGCGCATGCCTTCCTTCGCTCATTGCTAACGCATTTTGGTCTCCCAGTGTCGCTACCCGTATCGCATACGCCCTCATCCTCCTCGTCAACTCGATACTATCATGGATCATGCTCACTAAATGGGCCGTCGAGAAGCTGCAGCATCTCATGCTCGACTATGTCAAGATTTCCTGCGGCGATGGCGACTGCTACGGCTGGCTGGCCGTCCACCGCATCAACTTCGCCCTCGGCCTGTTCCATCTCCTCTTTGCTGCCCTCCTCCTGGGCGTCCACTCGTCCAAGAACCCGCGTGCCGCTATCCAGAACGGCTACTGGGGCCCCAAGATTATTGCCTGGCTGGGCCTGATCGTGCTCACCTTTTTTATTCCCGACAGCTTCTTCATGTTCTGGGGGAACTACATCGCCCTAGTCTGTGCCATGCTCTTCCTCATCCTCGGCCTTGTTCTGCTGGTGGACTTGGCGCATAACTGGGCCGAATACTGCCTGGCGCAGATCGAGGACACGGACTCAAAGGTTTGGAGGTTTGTCCTCATTGGCTCGACCCTGGGCATGTACCTGGCATCGCTCGCCATGACCATTGTCCAATACATCTTCTTTGCCTCGGGCGGGTGCTCCATGAACCAGGCAGCCATCACGATCAATCTGCTGCTCTGGATCGGCGTCTCGGCCATCTCGGTGCACCCGGCCGTCCAGGAGCACAACCCCAAGGCGGGGCTTGCCCAGGCGGCCATGGTGGCCGTGTACTGCACATACCTTACCATGTCGGCCGTCTCGATGGAGCCGGACGAGACGGAAGACCGCCACTGCAACCCTCTGGTGCTTGGCCAGGGCACGCGCACAACCACGGTTGTCGTCGGCGCCATCGTCACCATGCTTACCGTCGCCTACACCACTACCCGAGCTGCAACCCAGAGCCTCGGCCTCGGCGGCAACGGCAAGGGGCAGATCCGCCTGCCTGACGAGGACGAGCATGACCTCGTGACCACTCAGCCGAGCGGCCGCCGGGAGATGCGAGCCGAGGCGCTGCGCAGGGCCGTCGAGGAGGGCAGTCTCCCGGCCGACGCGCTCCTGTCAGATGACGACAATGACAGCGACTCGGGTGGCCGCTCGTCGCATGACGACGAGCGGTCGAGCACCCAGTACAACTACACAATGTTCCACATCATTTTCTTCTTGGCGACGGCCTGGGTAGCGACGCTATTGACCATGGACTGGGACGAGAAGAGGCAGGACGACTTCGCAACGGTTGGGCGCACGCTGTGGGCGAGCTGGGTCAAGATTGTGAGCTCGTGGGTCTGCTACGCCATGTATACCTGGACCTTGGTGGCACCGATTGTGCTGCCTGAGCGCTTCGACTGAGATCCACGCTAAGCTAAGCCGGCCTTGACTTTGCATGAGCTCACATTGTTAACCTAGCAGTTCCTTTATCTTTCATCATCGTTTCGTAATTGGCGCAGGGGTTGGCTCCCAGACCGCATGTTGTATTGTTTTTGGTGTTACCCACCATAGCAGAACGTTCCCGCAAGCAATCGTTTGTTCTTTTGTGCACGGGGCAATCCCTTTTGTTGGCAGTCGGCATTTTTGAGCGTGAAAGTCCCAAGCAAGTGCTCCGCCCCAGGCAGACATTAATTTCAAATCCAGTGAGATTGGATATCCGGCCTTGGCATCGAGTCGTTTCCACGGCATTGAAGCATGCCTGGCAAACAAATATGCATCTACAACAAGAGTTGTTTGCTACTGTCTCCCCTGCCCAGCAGGAGGTGCAGGTGGGGGGGGGGGGTATCTGTGCGATTGTGAAGCCCAGTGTGAGGCAAGCGAGCGGCGCCCAGACGACTCTCTGATACCGAGCCGCCCAGCAAAGCTTATCAATCGCCAACTCGACTCTGCTTTCTTCTTGCGTGGCCGAGGAGCAGCGTCATGATGACACTGCGCTGTTTGGCTGGGGGGCTAAAACGGCCGTCAACTTATGTATAAGTATGCGTGCATGTCGCTATTGCGTGCTCGCTCAGAGCCGGCACATGACAGTTGCCCTCGGCTCTGTTTGAGAGTGGAAGTGGAAAATGTATTGCCAATGTAATCCGGGGGGGGGTTCCGTTGTGTGTCATTCTTAAGAGGTCAACGGGGATCGAAATACTCGCGAGAAAGAGGTCTCCCAACCCAGAACAGCTGCTGTATGACGCGTGGTTGCTAAGGCGTACAAGGAGAAAGAAAAGACTACGTAGTAGGTGCTCGACATCGGGAAATATACGGCTGGCTGGCTGGCTGTACGCAATATGTGTGACGAGAATTAGAAAGATAGAGAATGCTGAATAACTAAATAAATAAAAAACCCTTCCCAAACCCGCTCTCCCTCTACTAGTGACTAAATCCAACAGCCTGGACACTTTGGGAGGCGAAACATATTGTTCGAAACCGCATGGCAATCAATATACGATACCTACGTCTCGTGCGTAAGAAAGATATGGCCGTGTCCCCCCGGCAAACAGGGGGCCTGTAAAGTAAATCTCCCCTCTCCTCTTTTCTTCCATTCCTTTCTAGTATTAGATTGTGTAGGTTTTTTACTCGCCGCTATTGTTACAGAGCGCTGTGGCGGGCGGGAACCTGCATGCAGCTCGCCCGGGGCAGGGATGCTTCGCCCGGGATAGTCGGTTTTTACATGTTATTTGTATGTATATATAAATATAAATATACCAAAGCGGCCAGTCAGTGAAGCACTTTACGCTAGTGTGGCGAGCTCACGTCTATTGGGTCTGGGGAAAGCTGACATGCGTGCAGCTGTGACTTCGGTTCGGGTTTGAGAGAGGCCCTCCCCCTCCTGAGAGATTGTTTGTCCTTGGGATCTATTTAGATCAACAAACAACTAGGTCTGATTAGAATCCGCCACCGTCATCGGCAGTAATGGTGTAATCAGCTGAAATATCCCGGCCTCAGTCTCGCAGTGTCTTGGCCAATAATGTCTAACGTTCTCTTCTTTTTAGACGTTTTATTGATTTTTTGGAGAAGAGGAGGTAGGAAGCACCCCTGGATGTCCTCCGCTCTCTGTCTCACATCCCCTCTCTCGGTACAGCTATCGCGCTCACACATCAAACATGTTGGAAGACTCCTAAGACAGGCCGGCTTCATTTTTCGTGACAGACGGGGTCGAGACGACAGACTGGTTCACACGGACCTTGGAACTAAGACACTGCAAATCCTGTCGGCTCGGAAAAGAACAATGTCTTTCTCTTCCTCTCTTGACATGTCTCACTCTCATGCATCTCGACTTACACTACGTACTCACCGCAAATGGGAGCTGCGAGGAAGGAGAGACACTCGGCTGGCCGGTCATATTATATCCTGCAGGGCCCGCAGATAAAATAATAATACACCCGTCAAAACTCCCGAGGGGTTTCGGATCTCGCCCTTTGGCGTTCGGCCGCCATCGTCGTTGCTAAGCTTTCCTCTGTCTTCTAGGTAATCTATACACGTAGTAATTGGTAGTAGCAGCAAAAGCAAAGTTAAGGACAAGCAACCTAGTGCCTGTCACAAACAAATCCATGCACAATGCACACTTGGAGTCATAACGTGACTACCTACCTTGCCTCGAGTACCTTGGGGCACTCGGCCTTGGCTTACATGTTCGGTGTAGACAAGCGGCTTGCTCGGCTGGGCTCTCCTTATCGGACTCTCCTCTGTCCCTCGTGCCCAGTCATCGAGGGTTGACTACACCCCGGGCTTACTGACAAGAGCGTTGGTCGTACAGACTACAGAGGGCTGAGGCCGGCATGTCTGAGTAGGCACTGCATACATAGTACGTGTCGAATGGAAAGGAAAGGACGCTACATGACGCCTGGGGAGCCAGCCAGGTCAGATATTGATCGAGAAATATTCACAGAGAGAAAAGAGGAACAACGAGCCGCGACGAGCGCCCCAGGAGCCTCATCGGACCGAGGCCAGCCAGCCGCAGCGAGGTACCTACCCATGACAGAGCACATGCACGCATTTGCGGCCATCGAAGACTGGCCACGCCAGAGCAATTCTTAAACACTCCAGCTGTGGTATGATAAACGAGGTTGGCTTACTTGCTTGCTGTTTAGGTATTCCATGTGCATGGAGAGGTAGGCACATACATACAATAGTAGATACCGACATAGATGCCCAGTCCAGGTACGCACGCAACCCTGCCATATTCCGCAGAAGGCAATGCCAACAACACCAACCAACACCAGCAAGGGGACGGGGCAAGCCAAGCAATACATACCTACTATATCGAACACACCGCAAAGGAAGGAAACGGACCGGAAAGAATCGGAGAAAACAAGGGGTAGGGGATAGCCAATGTACGGTACCTTCCTTGGGCACGCAGCAGCAGCAGCAAGACAACGCACACATGTGACTTGTCACATTATACAATAGGAGCCAAAGAGAAAAATCAAGGTTTCAACTTATTTGGATCATGTGTATGTGCTATGTGTTGTCCGTAACCACCACCACAGAGGAAGCCCCATCCCCTGCACCAGGAAGATGATGGTCTCACAACAAAAGGTACGAAGTGCTTATTTTGCTGTCCATGTCTCTGCATCAGGTAATTATTCGTGGGCTATGAGAAAGGGTAGAAGAAGAAGCGTTGCGCCAGCCCTGTTCCGAGGGGAAAGAACCACTCAGAGGAGCAGGCGAACGCCGCCTTTGCACATACTAATGATCTCTGGACCGCATTCGTGATTGGCGGGGAGGCTCCCACTCTGAGGGGGAACCACTCACATGCATACACAGGAGCAGGCGAACGCCGCCTCGTCCCCCTATGGCGATCATCACTGCATTGGTGATTGACTGCTGGGGAGGAGGCTTGATCTACCGCGAAGGTAGGTAGGTGGTGTGGGGAGGAAAAAAAAGGAGGGAGAAAATAGATCTGGCGTCCCATTGAGACCGGTGAGGCGTTTCTCGCTACCGGGGTATGTACAAAGTACCTATAGTACACGAGGTCAGGTAGTTGCGTGATTGAGTGAGTGAGTGAGTGGGAATAGTTCATGATCCTCGGCCTCTGTCCCTTTTCATGCAACCCAACTGCTTGCCTGCCTACATCTATAACGGAAAAGAATAATAAAAAGAAGCCACTACGAAGTACCTAAGAACCAAATTAACCTACAACTCGTCTCATGCCTATCTACAGACGACACTCGCAAGTAATCCCCCCCAAAAATACTTGCTCCGAGCTACACGGAGCACTATATATGCATGTACATCTATGTAGACATCTCTCAAGAATTCTTGTTACTTGGGATTTAGAAACCAGCTAGCCCCTGGATGGCAAGTCCAGAGATCCGCGCTGGAGCCAGCTATCTACCTTATCGTGAAGGGAAGTTTGTATGTACATACGTCCATGCATACCTAGGTAGCAGTAATATAACCAAGCTTTTTTTTTATTTCTCCTTCCTTTTTTTCTATTTCGCCTCATATTTTTCTTGATATACCATCTTGTCTCATCTATACAGGCAGGCATGTGCGCGTGACAGCCCTGGCTGGCTGCCCGGTCTCTTTTGTGGTGGCGGCCGTTTCCTGACAGGCAAGCTCTCGGGAATCCAAAACGCCCATATTTTTTTCTTCTCTTTTTTCCCTACCTATTCCCTTTTGGCACGCCCCTTTATATCTTATCCTATAGTGTGTGTGCTCGACCGAGAACCCAAGCCAAAGCCGTGTCTACATAAGTAACATCCAATGCCCCCTTCAAGTCCACCATGAAGAAGGTGAGAGACACCAAGCACAAACCCTTCTCCAAGAGACATCCCCCCCTGAACGTGTTACGACCTCATACTTTTTGTTCCCCGTCCACCCACCAACCCCCCTGACACGGTCATGCCCCACAGCGTACGTGGTGTTCGAGGAGACGAGGCTCGCGGTCAAAGGTTAGTCCCGCTGTCCGGGTATACCCCGTGAACGACTTCTCACGGTAGCAGCACCGCCCGCGATGACAAGCTAGACCCACTGGCCCCTGACACCAAGGACGACGCTGCCGACAAGGAGGCTCCACCCATGTTGGTGCTCTGGAAGGGAGAGACCAACCCCAGCAACCTCCCCATCAGCGAGGTGCTCCACAGCGGCGGGTCGGGAAGGTAAACAAACACCACCTCCAAAGAGGCCCCACGAGAGGCTCCCCTCCCAGGTTGGACTGCGCTAAGCAATACTAGTCCTTCCACAGCCACTTGACCTGCTAGCGGCAGCTTCGCCGGTGGTGTCACGCAGCTACGGCCGCCACGTATCACCACTGAGCCAGCACGTAGATATTTTTCCCTGCAAGGAAGGATGCTCCTGGCTGTAGACCAAACGGCCGAGTCCAGTGTATTGTTAAAGCTTTTGATGCAAGCCAAAAAAATAATCAAGTCCGCTCCGCCCCCAGACTCCCGCGTACGACAACGTGAAAACTCATCTACCGGTACCTTGATGGCCATAGTAGATTAACTACTCCAAAAAAAAACATCTAGACTTGAGCCAAAGTCGGCAGTTCGTCCGATTCCGCATCAGCTGCGTGGAAGCTGTCTATCGTAAGTGTTACAGCGCCAGCTTGGACGAGCTAACCAAGAAAACTGTTAGATGTATATTGCTGAAAGGGGCGATAAGACCGAGGCTGGGACTAACTTACAGCGCGCGAGAGATCATCGATCAAGTCGGCGACGTCTTCGATGCCGACGCAGAGGCGGATCAAGTCCTCAGGCATCTGCCTCTCCTTTCTGGTCTCAATATCGATGCTGGCGTGGCTCATTCGGCACGGCATGCTGATAAGACTATTCACACAGCCAAAGCTAACACTGATTGCCCAGAGCCTGGCAGCCTCGACTATCCTCTCGGACACGGATACGTCTCCCGTTTCGAACGAGAGCACAGCGCCAGCGCCACGGGCCATGGACCAATGGAGATCGTACTGGAGGTGTGACTTCAGCCCCGGGTAACGAACCTTGAAGCCGTGCGACTCGAGGAACTCGGCGATGCGCTGCGCGTTTGCCTGCTGTTTCTCCATACGGATAGCTAGCGTCTTCACGCCTCTCATGAGGAGAAACGAGTCATTTGGCGAGAGACCGCAGCCCGTGGAATTAATGGTGAAGTACATCTTGTCGCCTAGCTCGGGGTCGTTGCACGCAATGACACCGGCCATTATGTCGTGATGACCCGACAGGTACTTGGTGCCCGACTCGTACACGATGTCGGCACCAATGTCCAGGGGATTTAAAAGCATGGGGGAGAGCATTGTGTTGTCCACCACCACCAGCGACTTCTCGCTTGCCTCGTGGGCCGCCCTCGCGATGGTGGGGATGTCGGCAATCTTGATCAGGGGGTTTGTGGGCGTCTCGAGCAGGACCAGGGCCGTCTTGCTCGACAGGACCGAGCGGACACTGTCGACGTTTGTCGTGTCGACGTGGTGGACAATGACACCCTGGTTGTTTTTCAGGTAGGTAAGGAGCCGGTTGGTGCCACCGTAGAGATCGTCGCCGGTGACAACCTCGTCACCGGGCCGCAGCAGGCGCGTGATGACGTCCAGGGCGCCCATTCCAGAGCCGACGGCCAGCACACGGCCCGCGTTCATGATCTTTGCCAGATGGCGCTCCAGATGGGTCCGCGTGGGATTGCCCGAGCGCGTGTAGTCATACTCGTTGCCGCCGCTGGACGACGTCTGCTTGAAGGTGGCAGACTGGTAGATGGGGATGCTCGAGGAGCCATACTGGTCCTTGGTCTCGGTGTAGACGAGCTCGGTGGCGAGGGCGTAGCGGCGGCGGCCGGAATGAGGGCTGGAGGGAGCGGGTGAGGGAGGCAGATCGTGGCCGTCAAGGTCGAGACGGGTCATCATGGCCTTGTTGGCAGCCTGCAGGGCCGGGCTATTGGTGTTTGGGGCTGCCATTGGGACGTGCGGCCGATGGCTGGAGGCGAGGTAGCACAATGGTGAAGAGGAAAAGGCGCGGGATTGAAGCTGTGACAAGTCGCGTGGAGGCCAATTAATAAGAGACGGGGTGGTCGTGTTACAAAAGAGGATCCGATTTATTAGCGGTCCAGTAGCAGCAGCAGCAGCGGCACCCACTTGCACTGATGCCGACACGGTGGAACGGAAACGGAAACGGAAACTTGATGGCCGGTGGTGGGGTAGTGGTAGTGATAGTGGGAGTAGTAGCAGTTGTTTCCTGAGGACGGCGACCGTCTCGAGAGGAAGAACATCAGGTTCGGCTTCCAAGACTCGGAGTCATCCCCAGTTCCAGTTCCAGTTCCAGCTCCAGCCCAGGTCCCAGGTCCGTTCCAGTGATTTGCAATTGGAAAACATTCGACCTCCTGGGCTTGGGCTTGGGCTTCGGCTAAGAAAATCCTCGCAGCAGCAGGAGCAGCACACCAACAGCCGACCGCTTTTCCCCCGTCCGAGTGCGGAGGGAGGGGGTAATCTGGGTTTGTCCAAGTACCTGCTGCTTAGTGCCGCCAAAGGCGGGGGAGCAGGTACCCGGATATCTTGGCTTGTCAGGCCGCTATGGGGTATAAAAATGACGTGCTAAAGGTGGCCCCGCCTACTGGGTCAGAGACTGGTCACACTCGCGGTCAAGCGATTCGTCGTGTCCCCGATTGGAAGTTTCGATCTGGTGCTAATGACGAGGGCCTCATCACGTTTGTCAACCCCTGGCCAAACAGTCGGCTTTCGAGGAGGCAAGGTAAACAGAACGAGGTACGGAGTAGTACCGGAGTCTTGGGCATCTGTGCAAATTAAAGTGTTTCATAAAGTCCTTATCAAATGGCTAAGCTAAACCCTGTACTACATACTACTAATAGGTAGTTGTAGACATTACGGATAAGTAAAGTAACAGCCACGAGTAAAGACTCGGGCACTTCGTACATGCCAGCAACTCTGCCACTTATATACCTGCAAAAAGCCCGCCTCCGTTATCCGTGTTGAGGGGATTTCTGGTAGACTCTATTTAGCCTTGCGCCGTCCATGTCTTTCGTCTAAAAAAAACTATCGCGTGTGCATGAATAGTTGAGCGACTTAACATCACTGCGTCTTCCAACGCACGCCTGCTTACCCTGGGTGGTATCTAGTTGCTTATGCTATCTGCTTCCCGCTGAACCAGCCTGCCGCCTGCAATGGACCCTCGGAATGTTGCTTTCGGCCCCTGCCATCGCTTGATTGGGCTACTCGACGGGCTCCGGCACCAGATCGTCGTCCACATCCTCAAAAACATCGCTGGACGACGACTTGGACTGGCCGTTGGTCGTGCTCGAATGACGCAAACGAGCTTCCGCGAGGACCCGGCCGCCACCCCTGCGGCCGAAGAAGTCCTCAGTCCTAATGCCGCGGATGTGCGTAGGATTCACCCGAGACAGAGAGCCACCGGAAGCACGGAGCTCCCGCATGTGCTCCCGCATGGGCATCATGGCAGCGTCCCTACAGGCCTCCTTAATATCGCTACCAGACATACCAGCTGTGACCTTGGCAATGTAATCAATGTCGAAGTGCTCGGGATCTCGTCTTGTGTCCCCGAGAACCAGCTGCAGAATGCGGCGCCGTTGCTCCTTCCCCGGCAGGTTGACGGGGAACTTCTTGGGCATTCGCCTGAGGATGGCTTCGTCGATATCGTTGATCCTGTTTGTGGCGCCAAGCACGACGATCCTCGAGGGGATACCAGCCGCGTTTGTAGATGTGAGACCATCCCAAAGTGTCATGAACCTAGTATCGTCAGAACGGAGACTCGATACATAAGACAAGACGAAGAAGGATATTGGCCGGCTGGGGGCTTACTCTGCTTTAACCATGCCGCTAGCTTCGTGCTCCTCGCTTCTTCGGGTGCCAAGGACGGCATCGATTTCGTCGATAAAAACGATGGCCGGTTGTAGCTTGTGTGCCAGAGAGAACACGGCGCGGACAAGCTTGTTGGAGTCGCCGTACCATTTTTCCGTGAGAGTCGAGATGTGCAGGTTGATGAAGGAGGCGCCACTCTCGTGAGCCACGGCCTTGGCTAGCATGGTCTTTCCGCAGCCTGGCGGCCCGTAGAGTAATACCCCCGAAGGTGCGGCCAGCAGTGGCCCGCCGTGCGCATATAGGTGCGGCATGGTAAGGGGGTAGATGATGGCCTCCTTGAGCTCTTCGATAATGTCTTCCAAGCCCCCAATGGCGTCGAAGCCGACGGGAATGTCCTCGGGCGCAACTACCTCCATGGCTACCCGGTTCTCATACTCATTGAGCACCAGGTCCTCGATCTTTACCGTATGGCGGGATCCATCAGTGCCATCGTCGTCGTCGCCGGCCTCGACCTTTCTCGACCGGCGTATCCGCTGCAAGTTCGCCTGAGCCTTGCGACGCGCCTCCTCGTGCTTCTCGCGCTCGGGGTCGATAAGCTTGGCAAGATAGGGGCCGACGAGGTCGCGGAACAGAAAGTACGCCGATACTGTCTGGTAAACATGTTAGCGCGCAGTATCGCAGGTCGCAGGGGCCGGGAGACACATACGCCAGCGGCTATGACCAGCCCCGACACAAGATCCTTGACTCTCTTCTGGTCGCTCATGTTGCGATGTGCTGCCGCTGTTTAGCAGCACGACAGTGCGGCAGCGCGCCTGCACAGCCGCAAATGCTGGAGAATGGTGACAGCAAGTCTTTGCAAAGGTTGTTGTTGAATCGCTTGGGAAGATAACTAGAGCAGGGCGCTAGCTGCTGTCGCGTCGTCTTTGGTGGTTTGCTTGACCGAGGAGCCGGCTAGTGGTCGGCCGCCTGACTACGTACGCTAACGGGGCACCTTTTGTCAAAGAGAGAGCCTGAGGTGCCCGATTAGGCTTAAACAGGAACACAACACCAGGTTCGGTACTTCGTAACCATCTGCAAAACGTTGTTTCGTCGAAGCTGATATTCTCATACATTTCTTCCCTAATGTTATGATATCGGCATAGGTAGTCTCCGATTTTACAGCTGAATTTATGGTTGAGTGACAAACAAACTGGAAATAGGTTAAAGACAGACTCCATTTAGAAGAAACCGAGGCCAAGCCTAGCCTGCTCCCCGTTTTTTCGCTTCGATTCCGGGGTGCCGAGCCGTGCTTGCGTGCAAATACACATAATTACAGCGTACGTACGGTACGAACCCCTAGGCGCGAGTGCAGATGATTTCAGTCAGCTTGTATTATCAAGGCGAGTCATGTTTTGCCTCCCATGGTTTGTTTAAGTTCCTCAGACTTATAATATGTGTTGAAACCCTTGCCCAGTCTATCCATTCAGTATTAAAATGTATTTGGGACGGCAGAGGCGTATGTACACGTAAGTACAGATAACGCAACGTAACAGACCACCGCAGATCTTGGAAGGGCCGGGGCCTGGGGGGGGCCCTAGGACACCCAAGCTCCTGGTTGAACAGCCCCCCTGTTCCACGCTTGGGTTGTTTACTTTGGTGTCTTGGCAACACCATGGCACACGCATCCGTCGGTCTTTTCGCTACACACCCTCCCTCTCCACGTCGCGGGGAAAAAAACGCGTCATAAATTGGTGCATAGTCAAATCCGTACGGCCCGCACGCCTGACTCGACGCCTAGCTTGGAATTCGGCAAATCGCGCTATTTTACTTCAATTGAGGGAAAGGCGCCTCCCTGCAGCCCCCAACTCGATGTCGAGGGCCAAAGGCCTGCTGGAACTGGTGGATTCGGATTCGGAAGACGGGCTGAGCGGGAACGTATTCGGCGTCGCTGCCCCTCGACAAGCAAAGAAACAAGCCTCGAACGCCATGGCGCCAGCGAAGAAGGCAGGAGCCACGCACGGTCGCAAGACTGCTGCCGCTGCAGCGAACAAGACAGCCGACAAGGTCACCAAACCGCCCGCGAAGCCTTCGGCGCGTCGCACCAGCAGGCGCGTTGCCGCTGCCATCGAGGAGTCCCTCTTGGAGGAAGAAGTGCCCAAGGCAGTCTTGACGGAGAAGGCGGGCAATTCAAAGGCAAATGCAAAGGCGAAGGCGCCCGCGCGCGGACAGAAGCGCGCCGCTGCCGCAGAAAAAAACGACAATGACGACGACTTCGATATGCACGACGCGCCTGAAGAACCCCTCGTCATACCGCCAGCCAGCGACACAAATACAAAGTCCAAGACAACTCGCGGCCGCCCCAAGAAGGCGGCTGTGGTTGAGATTCCCGACTCGGCCACGCGACAGGAGCCTAAGAAGGATATGGGTCGCGCCCTGAGGGGCAGAAAGGCTACCGAAACGAAAACAGTGGCGCCTATCGTCGAAGAGGAGGACTTGATAATGGTCCAGGAAGATATCGAGATTCCAGAAACGCAGCAGCCGACTGGGGCGGGAGATTTCAACGGTGACGATTTGGATGATCTCATGGCCCACCGCTCCTCTCCCCCGGTTGAGAGCGGCCGACGCGCCCCTGCCGCCACGTCAAGCATGTCGAGGAGGCCGCCGTATACGTCTTCGGCAGACAACGGCGACCCGGCGCTGCGGCGGCGGCTGGGCGAAATGACACAGAAGTATGAGAGCCTTGAGCAGAAATACCACGACCTGCGCGACGTTGCCGTGCGCGAAGCCGAGCGTAACTTTGACCGACTTAAGGCCCAAGGCGAAGATAAATCCAAAGGTAGGTTTGCTTTCTGTCCTATATCTACAAGCTCCACTGCAAAAAAGGGCATAATGGCTAACACATCGCAGCTGCCGACAAACTCATCGCGAGTCTCAAGAGCGACCTGGCCGCGCAGAAAGAAGTGGCAAAGGAAGCCCAGCGTCTCCGCAGGCAGCTCGAGGCGAGTGAGGCCAAGGTTAGTGTTCTGCAGGCCCAGATCACCGAGCACGGGCTGCAGCTGTCGGAGGCGCGGACCGAGATCAAGGCGCTGAACATGCGGCTGACGGCGTCGCGCACGGCCGAGGCGGCGGCGGCGGCCAAGAACGCCTCCATCGTGCCGGGCAGCGCCATGAAGGGCGGCAACGGCTCATCGCGCATGATCATGGGCGCGTCCGAGGCCGTCCAGCACGCCACGCTGGCCGCCCAGATGAAGGAGGACCTGTACGGCGACCTGACAGGCCTGATTGTGCGCAGCGTCAAGCGCGACGGCGGCGAGGATGTCTACGACTGCATCCAGACTGGCCGGAACGGAAGTAAGTACATCCCTCAATTCACATACAAAATCGAAAAAAAGGATATCATATCTAACTTTCTATCTACGTACTAGCCCTCCACTTCAAGCTCGCCATCGCCACCGACGCCCCCACCGACTCGTACGACGAGGCCCAGTTCCTCTACATGCCGCAGCTCGACGCCAACCGCGACCGCGCCCTGATCGACATGCTGCCCGACTACCTGGTCGAGGAGATCTCGTTCCCGCGCCCCCACGCCGCCAAGTTCTACGCGCGCGTCACCAAGGCCCTGACGGAGAGCAGCTGAATTAATGTCGGGTTATTGAGTAGTCCACAGTGGGCTAGCTTCTCCGAGCGTGTTTCGGCTCCCTCTATCCTCAGTGGCGAGGGGAACAAAACGTATTCCGAGAACGAGAGTGAGAGAGTGAGAGTGAGAGTGAGTGAGAGGGTGACAGTGAGAGCGAGTGAGTGAGTGGGTGAGTGAGTGAGAGTAAGAGTGAGAGAGCGAGAGAGATTGAGGAAGGATGAGAGGAAGATACCCCCCGGGTTGATGTGTATGTTTCCATGCCCCCTTTTCGATAATGGGGTGGTGTACAGGGACTGTTAATGCGAGAGAAAACGTCTCATGTCTCTTGGTATGCGGCACATGTGTCAGGTCATTTATTACTGGGTAGCAGCATAGTATGTTGGCCGGTACGACGGACGGACGATTAACGGTGTTTTAGGAGTTGAGATTGGGTTAGTGGCCAATGTAATTCGGCGTCACTTTTTTTTCACGAAAATTTTAGCAATTGGCCAAAAGTAAAGCACATCTCTTGACACATTCGAGTTCTTTTCAACCGTTTGTTGCTCGGCTAATCTGTTTCTCTCTGCCTGAAGACCGGGACGGATGCGCCGCTATAAAAATACAGCCTTCGTCTTCTTCGCGTCTATCTACACATTTATTGAGATGTGGCTATACAAATGCTGTCCTAGGCTGTGCTGCCTATTAAGTCCGTCTCGTCGTCCGCACCAGCGGCATCCGCGTTCCTTTCTTCTGTCTTGTTTCTTCTATTGGTTGACGGTTGTTCGTAGGGTATCGGCCATCTGTTGGAATATTAAGATATTACCTTGCTCCCGTGCCAGTAATTCGGGATTTCTTGAAAATGCAGGCGAGTTTCCATCTCTTTGTCCTGGACTAGAGGTGAGCTAGGACGCCCGCAAAGCCTCTCTCGCTCGTGTGATTCCAAAGCCGTCCCGGCTAGACCTGACCCAACCTAAGAAAGGAAAAGGAGACAGATATAGACATTATTGATGAGAGGTCGATGGCATCCCAAAGGCCAGACCTAGGCTTCCAGTCCCAAAACAGTTTCGAGTCCTTCGCGCCAAGCCTCAGTCCAATTATCCAAGCTCCAGGTCCCCGCCCAAAGTGCACCATGCCAAAAGGCTCATCTAGATATGCTCCGTCGATGTCGAAAGTGAAGATACCACGGCTTGAGTCACCAGGTTAATGGTATCATGCGAAAGAAAGAAATGCAAACGATCCTCCTTGAGAAACCAAGACCACGCTAAAACCCCAGCCAATGCAAAATATAGTATAATCGAACCATGAGAATGAAAGCCGCAGAGACGCCGTCCGCGCAACCAGTGATCCTGGCCAGGCCAATAAAATGCAGGGCCGCATGGCAAGACTGAGCTCGCAACCCGAGAATAAGATCGAGAATATAGTCAACTGAGGGCTGCTAGTGCAGTCACCCTTGTCAAAACCGGACAAGCCGAATATTTGCCAAGGGTTTTGGGCAGGATGTATATGTACAGTGTTGCTGAAGAAGTCGACGACACAAAAGGGGTATCAAAAAGGACATCTAACTTTGGGAAGGGCTCGAAATTTTGAGGCCCGTGTCGGCGAAGTAGTGTGCGTGCGAGGATTTTCCTCGGGCACTACAGAATGAAATGAAATGTAGTCTTGAGAGGGCTTAAGGCTCCTTGCCTCTCTTCCGATCGTCGGGATTTCCCTCGTACAGGTGGTTGAGTGTTGAGAGAGACCAAGAATCCGACGTCAGGTGCACAATCGTGAGCCAGGCGGCAACTAGATTGACCAGGTAGTGCAGCATGTAAGCGTACGAGACGCCGTAAACGGCCGCGTAGATCGAGATGCCGAAAAACAAGACGCTTGTGAAGTATCTGAAGCGGCTGGTGACCCGCGGTATCATTTTGCCTGTCGTCAGAGTTTCGACGAGCATGATGAATGGCATGATGGAGAGAACGTTATGGTGTGACGAGAATGGCGTGAGCCAGTGGACCGCTAGGTTGTGGATCCAGACCACAAGTATCGGCAGGTTGATAGGGAGAACCCAGAGCATCAAGACGAGGATCGAGTGGACGTAGTTGTAGAAATTCGAGTTCGCGCCTGACCGCAGCTCCGAGGCAATCCTTTGGGCTCGAACCGTCGTGGTCAGCTGTACCAAGCAAGCGACCAAATACGCAAACTGGTAGGGAATAAAGGTCGAAACAAGAAACAGCAGGACAGCCGTCGTGATCATGCGCCGCCGAGGGGAAGACGACAAGAAAGACGAGGCCGATGGTCTCCTTCGCTCCTCGTTGCGGATCCAGCCAGGGCGAAAGCTCAAAAGGTTTAATGCCGTGCTCAGAATGTACGTCAGCGCGAGAGTGGCGTAGTTGAGCAGTACGCAGACTCCAACGCAAACGATACCAATTAACGGAATCAAGAACCAAAACACATAGTCCTGAGTTCCAATCAAAAGATCATTTTGTTGAAAGTCGACGGCGGAGGAAGTACTGTTCCGCCAATGCCAAAAGCTCGCATTCCCTGACTGGGAGGAACTCCCCGAGGACAAAGACAGGAACGTAAGCGAGACGAGCATCAGAGGGATGGATTGCCTAAGGCACAAGTCCAAGCTTTCCGAAAAGGAGATGAATATACCCGAGGCATCGTAGATGCGAAACTGTTTGCGCAAGACTAGGGCGACGACGAGAAGAGGGAAAGCTGCAAAAACGGTGCGGTAACGCATATAGAGCTTTCCGAAACTGCCCATGACATCGACGGTCAGGCTGACCTGGATGTTGGAGGCGCAAGTCGGGTCTGTCCAGAACTGAAAGCTCAGGCCATTTTCGGCTGATCTCCTTCTGATGGAAGGAGGCACATACGGCGCAACGCCGTGGAGGCTGACTGTGACTTGGCGTGCATTGACGAAGAATTTGGACTCGTATGGTTCTGCCAGATACTGTCTCACTAGCGGGGAGAACAGCTCTGCCTCATTTGTGCATGCTTGGCTGCCGACCTCCAGATTATATGCCAGCAAACTCGACTGCACAGATGGTATCTTAATCTCAGTTACCATCGGTCGTTCAGAGGGAAGACGCAGCTTCATGCCAAACGCCAGCAAGCGACGGATGCTAATATGCCTCGTCCGGTGCGACTGCGAGTGGTCACTGAATTCGGCAACTACGAATCCTGCGGTTGGACTGGTCGCCTTTTCGACCACGGCCACGAACTGGTGTTCCGAGATATCTTCGAGCTCATACTGGAGATATGAAAACGGCGAGATTTCCCTCTCCCCGTCGGTAGTGAAGGGATGCCGAGTCGACGGACTGGAGGTAGGTAGCACCACGACGTCAGAGACCGCGTTGATGCAGGCGAACCTTGTGGATTCGGTGCCCTCTCCCGACAGATCCATGTGGGCTGCGAATCCCGCTCCAGCTGCTCCGGGCTGCAAGGGAAATATGCTGCAGAACAAAACCTCTAGCTTTCCGTTTTCTGCAGCGCTGTCCAGCTTCAGATCCGTCAAAAGAGTAAAGCGTACGGACGGTGAGCCCGCCGGAGGAATGGGCATCAGATGGGCTCGCGCCGTGCTATTGGCTCCTAGCCGACGCAGAACTAGACGCTCTCCCTCTGCAGTAATCGAGTCCGGGCTGTCTTCCAGAGTAAGTAGAGTGGAAGGCTCTTTGAGAGGTGCCGTTCTTTCCGCCACCGCCTCCATGCCGGTTAGGAACCATTTTTTGAAGACTCTCATCCGCTCCGCCCTGGGCTTCGTCTGTGTGGCCCTGTTGACGTCCACAACATCATAAATGGCGCGCGCAACAACTTTCCGGAACTGGTCGCACCAGAGAATCGCATGGTGGTCCATACTCGTCCAAACGGTGGGCACAGTCGAGGTGAAAACGGTAAAACCATGCGTGTCCGGCACCAGAGACTCGACGCTGGCATAGTCGGACGGAACGACGGTATCTAGGCCGCCGCCCGCAATGGACACGAGTGTCACATGCCACAGGGGGTTGTTGTTGGCCCACTGCTGTGAGTAGGCGTGCCTCCAGTAATCATTTATATCCTGGTAGATTTTGACAATCTGTCCGTCAAATGACACGGGCGGCCGCGCATGAGGGGCAGACAGGGTGAGAATGGTGTTGATTGAGTTTGATTGGTAGTTTGGCATGATCAGCATTGTCCTAGCAACAATGCCCCCCATGGAGTGACCTAGTACTATGACCGACGTCGGGTCCGGGAGGTCCGGATCTCGATCAGACGCGCGCGGATCGAGGTAGAGCGACAGTATATATCGGATTGCCTCGTTCAGATATTCGGCCTGATCGAGAAGGGTTTGGCCGTGAAAAGCCGTGATATCCTCGTTGAAATCAGCAGTGAAGAAGTCCAAAGTCCGAGCACCGGCCCTAACAGCAGCCTCGTCGTGCTGCAAGACATCGTGGAAGTAGTTCGCGGCCTCGGCGGCGATGGGCCGGACTTGCTTGTAGCTACCGGCATTGCCTGGGATGAAGAGGACAGGAATGCCGCGGACCTGTAGTTGGGGCGCGGGTAAGTAGAGAAACAACGACTAACGAGGGAGACGGGGTAGGGTGTGGATTTCGAACCTTGGTGTCATGGTCCATTATGCCCTGCTCGCGATACAAGTAGAGCGAGTATTTACTCGCAAAACGTGTGTGTTCCGTGTCGAAGTCATCGAGTCTGGCATATGAAGGCCGCATGTACGACATTCGGCAGCCCTTGGGATCGAGCTGTCGCGTCGCGGACGAATTCACGACGGCGAACAGGAAACCAATGCCAACAACCGAGGCGACGATTGTCAGAAAGGTGATGGCCCAGGGACTTCGCATTGGCGGGCGGCGCCCTACAAATCTGGATTCCTGCGCCTTCTCCATCTCTTTCGCGTTGGCCCCATTCGCGGGCGGACCAAGATAGTGCAGCGAGGGCGACGTCGAGTGGGATGACGAAGACAGATTCTCTATTGTTCCATCACGAGAGTCTGATGGCCTCCAATTGGCGTTTGCGGGCCGCCGACTCCTGGTAGACGAGTGTCGCTGGCCAGAGCTGCGTCGGCGATCGAGCTGCGTGGGTGACGGCGGTTGGGAGCTGGTGGGCGTCGGAGATTGCTTGGGCTCTGAAGCTGCTGTCGCTGTTGCTGTCGCTGTTGCTGTTGCTGTCGCTATCGCTGTTGCTGTTGGCGCCTCTGCAACGGGCGCTGGAGGAGGATGTGAGTTGACATGAGGAGCCTCGACAGGAGAGTGATCACCGTCTTCTGAGGACCCTAACGAGCGCCTCCTCATTCCAGGGTTGGTGGCGGAAGACTCTAGCCCACGCGCGTGGCACGATGCGCTGCTCGTCTGTGTTGCGAAGGTGCACTGGGCGGGCGAGCGAAGGGACGGAAGTGGAAGCTGATTGACGCTTGGCTGCTGCTTGGTGCAGTCACCAGTGGCCCAGGGTTTATCGGTCACGGCGGCTTGAGCTCCCCCTGCAACCAAACCTTGGAACTCGACGAAGAACCTGAAAGCTTCCGTCGGTGGTCCTTGGCCGGGCTGCCCTGATTGCTGGACTGGACCCAAAAAAAGGTTAGACACGCCCCAAACCTAAGATTGCCCACACGAGTATCGTGACCCGCGAAAAGAAGAAGGAAAAAAAGAATGAAAGGCAATCGTCGTGGAAATATAAAGCGAACGTGTTTGCAAAGCGCAAGATGCGGACTACCCAATTCCCAGTGTCCCACACCCCCCCAGCTCTCTCCTGTTCAGTGGGCGGGAACAGTATTATTACCTTGGAAATAAGCGTCCCGGCTAGCCCCCAAGCGGGCCGGGCTGATTCGACGTAGCACTCACAGGGGCTTGTGGATATCAGCGCACCGGCCTGGATATTGTAGGTAAGCACCGTAATAAGGTGGAAAGCAAAGCGCTGACTGGACAAGCCGGGCAAACCCGCCTTGGAGGAGCTACCGATCGATCTGGGCTTCTTTATCTGGATGGTGCTCCGCAGTGGGCGGTAGTTGATCCTGGACGTTTCTAAAGGGGGTTTCCGGTGCCTGGGCCCAATCCAGTTGATGTCCTAGCAATATCCTGGTTTCATGAAACCACAACAACTCGCCGAATGGAGTCTTGTCTAGGTTTCTTTTCCTAGGTATCCGCTTGGTGTTTCCTGGCAGATTCGGGGTACGTATGTACAGTATGGACTATGGAGAAGGCATGCACTGGAGGTAGCTGCTTCCTTTTAAGCAGTTCCCGTCCATGTGGAGGAGAAAAGGTGGCGTAGTTGCGGGCTTCAGAGCTTGGCCTTTGGAGCGCTTCCCAACGACCCGAACTAGTCCGCGGGCATGTCTTGGATTGTTGGCCAACAGGACGATTCGGACCCAAGTTGGAACAAAACATGCGAGACCCCCCCAATCCTTAGGCCGGGAACGGCCCAGATAACCTACCTTGTGGTCTACTGAGATATTTTACACCCTGCGACTACTAGGCATTTCCATACACCGACCCGTTAGCGTGGGCCACCAACAGGTTATAAATATCAAGGCACGGAATACGCACGCTCTCGTGGAGAGTTTGGGAAGGAGTCCAAAGGGCCGCCCGGCCGACGACGACGTTCGCTTCACCATCGCCATACGCCCACTTGTCTGCAACAGCCGGATGCGGCCGGCCAACGCAACGGGCTCGGACTGAGGTGGGTGGGCATCAAAGACAAACGCCGACAGCTTGCCTTAAGTTATCGCTGGTGGAGACGACGGGAGTGCAGTGCAGCCCAGAACGTGGTAAACCAACCTCCACCGCCCTGGCTGCTATCCTCAAACTCCTCCACTGCAGTCAGTGGCTTTCCTCTTGAGGCGATTCCGAGACACGGCCTAACGAGTCACTTCCGGGCGGAGCTGGCTACGGGATCCTTGGTTACGTGACTGCATTATCTAGCGTACGCCGTTGCCCTTCCGTGCCCGCAGGCCGCTTAAGGTAGGTTCTCTTCATTGTTGCTGATCGACAGTCGTGTGTACCATTCTGGTCCGTTCCGCGACCTCAGGTTGATATCGTCGTCGAAACATCGGCTTGCACACAGTCTACATGTCCCGTCAGCGCGCGCTACATATTACTATCGACCACATACTTTTAAGAAGCAAAGCACGTCTGACATTGTCAATTGGGTTGTTCTGGACCTCGAGCGCCAAGTTTTAGTGCCCTGCACCTGTGTTGAGATCCATCGCTGTGCGCTAGCTTTGATGTGACCCTGTGATGCGATGCCATCTAAGGTAGACACTGGCGACATTGGATAAAATCTTGGAAGATGAGATGAGAGCGCCCGGCCTCGCGTTCTGTCTTATCTCGGCCTCCGGCCTCCGGGCAGTCCCACCAGGCCCAGGACTGCATCATGATCTGGTGTACCTCCCCGTTTGGAGATCAGATACCTTTTCAAGAATTGTGATCACGACAATCGAACAAGATGGGAGCTTTCTAATTTCTTGGTGGGGGGCTTTGGTGTCCCATCTCTCAGCACACACCCCCCCCCCCCCCACTCAGCACAAACGTTCGACCGGGACAAGCATGCGACAGGCGTGGCTCGCTCGCTTGATGTAACCCCGGCCTGCCAATAACGTCATATGTATAATTTCCGAGACCTGCAACCGACGCTTGTCGCCCGGCTTGCCAATTTATTCCTCACTCGCCATCACATTCTGCCGGGCACGGCTGTTACGCGCTGGCCTGGGGATCCGGACCACTGGGGAAAGGTGAGAGAAAAGGAAATGGCCAAGCTTTCCCCACGCACCTACGCACGCACGCGAGCCTCCAACTATTGTGTCTAGTGTCTAGTGTCTCGTGTAGAAACTGGCACGAGTCAGTCGCCAAGCCGCGGCTCAGGGTGCAACAGGTAAGGTACGGAGAACGGAGTTGGCGGGTACGGTACTGCCTATTGGGGGACGGAACGGGACCTGCAGCGATAATTGAGGCAAATCGACGCGGGATGTACTGCGTAGGTGGCAATCGCAAGGAAATGGGGTGACCCCGATGAATAATACAAAACGCAGTGTGAGAAAAAAGCTATCAATGCCGTTTGATCATTGGCGGAGAAAAGCCGACCAGAAATCTCGTCGTGCCCTTTCTCCGCAAAGACACTTACGTATGCCCATGCCGAACTGTACACAAGGTGTTGAGATAATCCGAAGTTGTTTTCGTTTGTTTATCCTGTTGAGTTGGCAGCAGCATGTATGACCTACCACCCAACGCAGCGTTCTCGAGCACCATTGTCTCAATTTAGACATGGTGGTGTGTTGCACAGCAGCTCTTTTCAATTCTGTTGGCGTGCATACATACGCCATACAGGGCAGTTACCGTAAACGGTACAGATGAGGTGATTTGCGTTGGGAGAACTGCAACTGCAAAATTGCCATCAATCGCATGGGATCCCACGCCTAGTCAAGTGTTGCTAGATTGGAAGGTTGCAGATGCCGGAAAACTGCTGCGAGTACCCGTAAACCAGCACTCGGCGCATGGGTTCAAGTTTAAGCATGTACAACAGTTATGACTGGTCTTCTATAGCGGCCCGCCTTCTCTTGTCCATTCCATATCAATGATTGAAGTTTTAACTTGGTTAAGTAAGGTAACTGATGATTGCTTGTGGACGGTTTGACCTCTTGGTTGACTACCTTCCCGGCTAGTACCGGCTGTATCTTCATGTTTGCTACCTAGGTCCCGACAACCTAGGTCTATCCGGATTGACCAAACTTGACATGATACAAAATACCAAACCTCTGCGTCTCGCATGTTGTTAATTCATCTGATTTATTTCCCGTCAAATTATATTACTGCCGTAGGGGGTGGAGGAGGGGCAACCGCCAAGGTACCTGCAGTTCTGGGTTGTTAATTACCTTACCTAACCCCCTCAGTTACACATGACTGACGCGTTTAGTAAGAAAGCCGCGTCGCGTCTGGTTTGTCCCAGGCCATTAAGGTGCAGTGCGGCCCAAAGAAATATTTCTTGGCATCACAACCTCCATCGTCGCCGCCTCAAGGTGGCATGAGAATGCAAGCTGGGGAATCCGCCCGCCTCATTGCGGCGATACCGATAGCGTGACTTGTTTTTGACCAGGCTGATATTATGGCCTCCAATGTCACCATCAAAGCCATCGACTCGAGTGCGGTACGTATTTAATTCAATTCAATTCGCTTCAATTTAATTCGATATTTCCGATTTGACTTCAACCCTACTGCTTCCACCCAGACGATATTCCCGAAGACATGTCCCGGGTAAACCTGACTGGAGCTGACCTCGATTCCAGGTCCATCAAATACAGTCTGGCCAGGTTATAGTCGATCTGTGTTCAGTGGCCAAAGAATTGGTTGAGAACAGCATTGATTCTGGAGCAACTGCCGTCGGTAAGACCACACTCAATTTATCAAGTCAACAAAAGAAAATAAGTTAAAAAAGGGTGTCCAGGCTAACAGGCTGTGTTTTACAATAAAAGACGTCCGCTTCAAAAATCAGGGCCTCGACTCAATCGAGGTGCAGGACAATGGCTCCGGAATCGCACCCCAAAACTACGAGTCCCTGGCCTTGAAGCACTACACGTCAAAGTTGTCAAGCTACGATGACCTCTCAACGCTCCAGACGTTTGGGTTCCGGGGTGAGGCCTTGTCATCGCTATGCGCGCTTTCGCACTTCTCGGTTGTGACGTGCACCCAGCAAGAAGCCCCACGCGCCACCAGGCTCGAGTTTGAGAGCTCGGGCAGGCTCAAGAGCACGACCGTCGTGTCGGGCCAGAAAGGCACCCTGGTCTCGGTCGAGGACCTGTTCCGCAACCTGCCCGTTCGCCGCCGCGAGCTCGAGAGAAACATCAAGAGAGACTGGACTAAAGTGATCGGCTTGCTCAACCAGTACGCCTGCGTGCAGACTGGAGTCAAGTTGACCGTCTCTCAGCAGCCTACCAAGGGCAAGCGCATGGTCATGTTCTCGACCAAGGGGAACCTCACCACCCGTGACAATATCATCAATGTCTTTGGCGTAAAGACTATGAATGCTCTAATCACCCTAGATCTCAAGTTAGACCTGAAGCCCACAGTCGGCCCGCTTAGCAAGGGCAAGGCCCGAGACGATGGCTCTGGCGTCAGCGCCAGCACCTCCGAGATTCGCGTCCGCGGCCACGTATCTCGGCCAACCAATGGCGAGGGCCGACAGACACCTGATCGCCAAATGTTTTACGTCAACGGCCGTCCCTGTAGCCTACCCCAATTCGCCAAGGTCTTCAACGAAGTATACCGCTCCTATAATTCCTCGCAGTCGCCCTTCATCTTCGCAGACATTCAGCTTGACACTCGCCTGTACGATGTCAACGTCAGTCCAGACAAGCAGACCATATTGCTGCACGACCAGGGCCAAATGCTCGACAATCTTAGAGAGTCGTTGATCGAGCTATTTGAGACTCAGGACATAACCATCCCCGTGGCCCAGGCTCAAACCCAAACACGTACTCCGTATAAGAAATCGGCAGCTTCAACTTCAGAGCCCCCCACGCCCACTATAGGTGAAAGCGACAAGGGAGTTATTTCCGATGCAGATCAGGACGCAGAGGACGCCGGCTCTGGACAGGTCGGCCAGTCCAAAGCAAACGAGGAAGATGAGGACGAGGATAAGGACGAGGATGGAGGCGAAAGCAACGATGGCAACGACACAAACGAAGAAGTAGGAGGCTCTAGAAGATTGCCCAGAAGGCCGAGCAAGCAACCCGTTCCGTCAAGGTCGGCCCCTATAAAGGCTCGGGGCGCGCCTATGCTTTCTCGATGGCTAGACAAGCAGTCAAGTGGTCGGGATCGGTCCGAGCCCACTAACCGTGTGCCGCGCGACCGCAACGAGCAAGGCGGGGCCTCTAGCAAAGAGCGAACGCCAGTCTCGGAGACTCCAGGAAAACAAGACCTTCAAGAAAAGTCCATAGATGACGAAGTGCTCTCGCCAAATCAAGAAGCCACTGACAATGGCGAAGGCATAGAAACTGGTGGACGGGGGGACGAGATGGACTTGGACTCAGACGAGCCACCAGTGCCCGCCATTCCTCCTCCAACTCAGCCCCCGGCGCCGCCTCGATCCAGTCTCATGCCGTCAAGCCGTCCATTCAAACGTTCAACTCAGGAAGTAGCAACTGTCACCATTGGCGACCATACTGTAACCAGTGTGATTGGTTCCCCTTCCAAGCGGACCCGAATAGCCGAAGCGCCAAAAACAATGGCCAAATCCGAGGGAAGCGTAGGTACACCAAGAACGCGGGCCGTTCCCCTGCCATCCTTCGGTGGCCGTCTGTCGCAGCTGTTCTCGGCCTCTATGGCCCAAAAGAGGGGTTCAGTTCAGGATCTCGATATCATGATAGAAGATGTGGAGATGCCGATTGAAGACGAGGAAGCAGACGAGGAAGCTCTTTCTATCTCGGAGCCAGAAGACAAAGGTGACGATAATGTTAATGAGGATGAAGACACTGAAAGAGAGGCGTTAGAAGACCAAGAGCTAGCCAAGGTGGTTGATGACTTCGACGGCGCCTCTCGCAGTGGGCGAGACGAGGAACAGGCCTCGCGAGATGCTCATAGCCCTTCAGAGTCTATCGAGGTCCCACCATCTGATCATAGCAAGGAGGATGCCGATGACGCTAACTACGACTACGTCGATGAAGAAGAGAAGAAGGCGCAAGAAGACAAAAAGGTGCAGAAGATAATCCAAGCGGCCGAAGCCACGGCCCCTTCCGCAGGACCGACTGAGGAGGGCGAGAAGCGCTCGAAAATGCTGCTGAAACCCAAGTCGCGACGAAAAGACCTGACCACCCTCAATCTCGTCCAGCGATTCAAAGTCGGGAATGAGAACATGATTCGGAAACGCCTGGCGGCGTGGTCCCGTCACCAGCCAACTGCTACTACCAAGCCCCGCGCAGCCAGGGAAGAAGCGGGCGGCCTAGAGGCCGACGATGCGGAAGCAAAGCTCGCGCTCAAGATCACCAAATCTGACTTTGGCAAGATGCGAATTATCGGGCAGTTCAACCTCGGCTTCATCATTGCGGTCCGCGAAGCCTCCTTAGCAGACACCACCGCTAGCGGCGACGGGGCAGCGAATCCCGAAAGCAGCCAACAAAAGTCCGGCGGTGGCGACGCTGACGACGAGCTCTTCATTATCGACCAGCACGCCTCGGACGAAAAGTACAACTTCGAGCGCCTGCAGGCTAGCACCGTGGTGCAGTCGCAGCGGCTGGTGCAGCCCAAGACGCTCGAGCTAACGGCGCTAGAGGAGGAGATCGTCATGGAGCACGCGGCGGCGCTGGAGCGCAACGGCTTCGTCGTCGACGTGGACCAGTCGGGCGCGCGGCCCGTCGGCGCCCGCTGCCAGCTGCTCAGCCTACCGCTAAGCCGCGAGACGACCTTCTCGCTGGCGGACCTCGAGGAGCTCATATTTTTGCTGAGTGACAACCCGTCGTCGAGCGCCACGACGATCCCGCGCCCGTCCAAGGTGCGCAAGATGTTCGCCATGCGCGCGTGCCGCAGCAGCATCATGATTGGTCGCGCGCTGTCGCGGCGGCAGATGGAGAAGGTGGTGCGCCACATGGGCGAGATGGAGAAGCCGTGGAACTGCCCGCACGGCCGGCCCACCATGCGACACCTCTGCGCGCTGGGCGCGTGGCAGGAGAGGACGTGGTCCGAGGGCGATGATTTCTACGAGCCAAAGACACGGACCGACTGGGCTGGATGGGCCAAGGCGAGGAAAGGCGGCTGATAGATAGATGGGGATCATCTGGGTTGATTTAGGTTTAAATATCTGCAATAAGAAATAAACACCTTGTCTACATGTATTTATATGTGTATAAAGTTTCTCACAAAAGAGTACTCCTGGGACTAAGAGTTACTAGTATCTCCATTTTCATTTGTACTCTTCTCTAAGGAAAAGGACCTTTTGGAAACAAACTATTTCTAACACACAAACATAAATAAATAACGGAAAGCCGCCAGAAACGACAAGACACCCATTATTCCGGCACACGCCACTGAACAGCCTGGCGGCCGTCTCCCAAATTATCCCCGAGAACACCCGTAAACGCCAGAGGAATAGAAGGCCCCAAGCATTTTCCATGCATGCAAACTCCACACGATATATCCCCACGTGCCCTACCAAACCCGCTCCCCCATCCCCCGCCGCGCATACACACCGCCGTGGCACACTCTCCCAGGCAAGAGGCTGTAAACTCCACTCCCGTCCTCTATAGGGCCTCTTACCCATTCAGCACACCGTAGCGGGAGAATCTGTTCTGGCCAGCTCTCCCTTCCTCGGCGGCCTTCCCGCTGACATGGCGGCGGCCAAAGGCATTGGATCCAACGCCCGCCCTCAAGTCGTAGTCGTTGCCAGACGAGACCTGCCGAGTGCTGCCGACCATGATGGGCGGCGTGCCTGGCTTGAGATCTCCGTAAGGTTTCGAGAAGAAGGCGCTCTCGGGCTGAATCGAGCTGTCTCGGTTGCGTTGCTGCCACGTCGCGGCGCTATTGGACTTCTTCTCGTCCGCAATGTCATGACTTCCATTGATGCGGCGGTCGTTGAGGTCGACGTCTGACAGCACCGAGTTCTGTGCGCCTTTGAACGGAGTGTTGGGGCGACGAGGCGTAGGAGTGGGGTTCGACCGGAGCGGGTTCGGGTGGCCGGGGACGGAGGCGGCGCCAAGATCACTTGCGTCGTTCTCGTTATCTGACCCTTTCGTAGCGTCCAACTTGTAGTCGTTCTCGTTCTCCGAGTCGGACTCACCCATGTCGTAGCGCTGGTCCAGGGCTTCATAAGTCCGTCTTTGGGAGACGAGCTTGGTGTGGTTCATGGCTCGGTTGCGTTGCTGTGTACGCTGGACAAGGGATTCGGAAGCATACCACGCCTCGCTAAACTTGGCAGCCCGTGGCTGGACTGTTTGCGCAGCCTCAATAGGTTCTGCCCGGTACGAAGCCACGGTACCGCTGCTTGGGCGACTGCTAGTTGGACGCGAGTAACTGGAGTTGGGACGCGAAGTGGTCTCGCCGGTCTCCCCCAGGGGAATCTCCATGTAAGAGCTGCGGTGTGACGAGCGTGGGGGCGCCGACATGCGCTTCAGTTCCTGAGGCGTTACAGAATTCCGGGGAGAACTGCTGGGCGACAGCTGGTTCTGGCGGCTGGGAAGATCCTGTCGGGAGTCGCGGGTACCAGAGGTCGGCTGCGAACCCTGACGTGTATGCATGAAAGGAACTTTGGGAGCCCGAGCCACATCCTCGTAGGGGGTGCCGGAGCGGCGCCGGTCCTCAAGGGGGGTGCCAGTACGCATCTCGCTACCCGCATAGCTCGAAACCGCGACAGACGACTTATTTCTCTTATGCGACCGCGACGTCAGGTTGCTCTCTAGAGGGTTCATGTCTGGCGGCATCATGGTGATGCGCCGGAACATGACGCCGAGCCATAGCGAGATTGCGAGTGAGACAGTATGAAGGCCCACTGCAGTAATGAGTCCATAGTACACAGCAGGAACAAAGTAGTCCATGAGCTTCTTGTTGGACGACCACCTAGGCATCCATTCCGTGAGGCCATGGTCGCGCGTAGTGAGGACTCCATAGGTATACAGAGGCAAGACGCAGAGATCGGAGACTCCAGAAAAGATGTGATAAGCCGCTGAAGTCCCAGGAGTGCGCCCATTGGCCGGCCGTGAGAGGTGATAGATGCTGTAAAGGCAATGAAGTGCCGTGACACCAAGCGTGATCCTGATGACCCAGCCGGGCAGGTCGTCAACATTGGTGATGAGAATCATAAGGACAAAGATACCGACGGCGGCGATCAGCTCAAGAAGGCGGAACCCTAGCTGCATACGTCTCATTCCCTTGATCCAGCCCTTGGCCCTGAAGCTCATTGGCTTGAAATTCCATGATCTCTGGCCGGGCACTACGTGGGCGCTGCAATGCAATCAACATCGGGCGCACGGTCAGCGCTCATCTTCCTGTGCTGGGTCCAATCCAGCCCAATCCAATCCAGTCCAGTCCAGCCCAGTCCAGTCCAATGCCATGCCATGCCGTGCCATGCTGGGCAGGAGGAATGGGGAGTGAGGAATGAGGAATGAATGGACGGATGGATGGGGTGGTGGTGTGGGGTTAAGGCTGGGTTGGGGATCTTACTCGGGATGACGGTTGATCGAGACAAGCGGGCCGTTTTGCTTTGGTTTTTGCGGTTTTGGCTCGTAGCTGGCACGCGTAACAGCTTTAGGGTCGAAGGTTGTAGCTGGGAAGCGACCGTCGCCGTTCGTGACTGCCTCGTAAATGAACGGCTGCTGGGCGCCCACCATCGTTGCGACCAGCGAACTGCAACTTGCGACCTGCGCTCAATTTTGCGACTGTCTGGTGGTGGAGTTTTTCTTGTGTCTTCCTGGTTGCGACAGTTGCTGGAAGCTGCTGAAGGCGGGATTGCGGGATGTTTGAGTTCCTGCAGCTTGGGAAGGACCGTCCTCATGTGGGTTGGCAGGGCAACTGCGAGCCGCCCGCTTCATTTGGTTGCATGGGAAAATCAGGCACAAACGACACAGAGGCGCCGTGACATTACGGCTGGGAAATTCATTGGTTTACCTGCAGCGTGCGCCGAAACATTTCACGCTCATTAAAGTCAGGTAGGTGCCACCAAGGTAATTAAAGTAATTGCTGGCGCTATTGTCAAGATACGAATACTCTAAGAATCCTCGAATATCGCCGCCAGACCCGCTTCATGTCCGAGCCCAATCGCCGACAAATCCGTAACTTAGCTCAGAGGCGGCGAGGGGCCGGAGCTGCAACCCGGCTTTTCGAGACTATCACAACAGGTCCGCCCTTTTAGATATCCAACTATTTGCATCAACCCGCAATGGTATCGCTTAACATGCACGCCACCAATTGCCATCTACTGTAGTCTAATATCTCGATTTGTCGCATTGCACCATCTCCATGGCTTTCGTCGCGCGGGCAAGGCCCCTGGCGGTTTGCGCCAGGTGGCAGCGCACACCGAGGGCGTCACTGAGCCAATGCACGACATCGCGATGCGCATCGTCGTCATCGTCATCGTCAAGCCCAGTCTCGGCCTCCGAGCACCCGTTCCGGATAGCCGTCATCGGCTCCGGCCCTGCCGGCTTCTACACGGCGTACCGAGCCATGTCCAAAATCGGCAGCGCAAAAGTCGACATGTACGAGGCCTTGCCGGTGCCCTTTGGCCTGGTACGGTTTGGCGTTGCCCCAGACCACCCCGAGGTGAAGGTAGACACACACGCAAACGCACACTCACACATGCAGATGGGATGCTATGCATACTCTCTACATGCATGACATGAGACTCGATCCCAGAACAGCTTGCCTAATATGTGTCGGAGTCTACAGAAGTGCCAGGAAAAGTTCGACGAGGTGGCGTCGTCGCCCGACTTCACCTTCATCGGGAACGTGTCGGTGGGCGGGCCCAACAAGCACGCCGAGGGGAGCACCGTCCCGCTGGACAGCATCCTGCGCCACTACAACGCCGTCGTGTTCGCCTACGGCGCCTCCATGGACAAGACGCTTGGCGTCCCCGGCGAGGCGGCCCTGAAGGGCGTGTACTCGGCTCGCGAGTTCGTCGGCTGGTACAGCGGCCTGCCCGAGCACGCCGACCTCGCCCCGGACCTCACCCAGGGCGACGAAGCCGTCGTCGTCGGGCAGGGCAACGTCGCTATGGACGTCGCGCGGATGCTGCTCGAGGACGTCGACGTGCTGCGGAGGTCCGACATCGCCGCGCACGCCCTCGACGCCCTGTCCAGGAGCAAGGTCAAGAGAGTCCACGTGATCGGACGCCGTGGTCCCATGCAGGTGCGTATCCATTGACCCTTGTTGTTTTTACTACAGAGTTGTTGCGGACACATGGCGCAAAAAAATGACCGCAGCCAAAGGCAGCAGCTAGACGACCGACCGACTAATCGGCTCCGTAGGCTGCATTCACAATAAAGGAAGTCCGGGAGCTGATGAGACTCTCGGACGTCACCTTCCACCCCGTGGACAAGACGCTGATCCCCGAGGATATCAAGAAGCTCCCGCGCGCCCAGCGGAGGCTCATGGAGATCCTAGTCAAGGAGTCGGACGCCGGCGTACCACCACCCGACGGCCTGCCCAGCAAGTCGTGGTCGCTCGACTTTTGCCTGACGCCCAAAGAGTTCCGGGCCAGGCACGACGACGCGTCGCGAGTCGGGTCGACCGTGTTTGAGCGCACGACGCTGTCGTCGGCGTTCGATCCGGCGGCGTGGGCGCTGGGCACGGGCGAGATGGTCGAGGTGCCGTCGTCGCTGGTGTTCAAGTCGATCGGCTACAAGTCGGCGCCGCTGCCCGAGTTCGCCGACATCGGCGTGCCCTTTGACGACCGGCGCGGCGTCATCAGCAACGACGGCCAGGGCCGCGTCTGGCACGAGGAGCGCACGCAGGAGGCCACCATGTCCTTTGGCCATTTTCCGGGCCTGTACTGCGCCGGCTGGGTCAAGCGCGGGCCCACGGGGGTGATCGCGTCGACCATGGAGGACGCGTTCGCGACGGCCGATGCGATAGCCAAGGATTTCGCCTCGGGCGCTTCGTTTCTCCGCCCGCAGCAAGCCGCCTCGGGCTGGGAGGGGGTCCGCAGCGAAGCAGGGGTTGGCAGTGCCCAAGTGGTGACGTGGGCGGACTGGCGGAGGATCGACGGCGCTGAAAAAGAAAGGGGTCGGCCCATTGGGAAAGAGAGGGAGAAGTTTACAAAGACGGCCGACATGCTGGCTGTGCTCAGGTAGGGACTAGACACCCTGCCACTGCATGGGCACGTACGTACAGTAGTAGTACATGTATATATTGTGTAATTTAACACCACTTTATAATCTATGGCTTGTTTAACTTCTCGGTCAACTCTGGTACTTTGTCAAAAAGATCTCCCACCAGCCCGACGTCGGCGACCTGGAAGATGGGCGCATCCCCGTCCTTGTTGATGGCGGCGATCACCTTGCTGTCCTTCATGCCGGCCAAGTGCTGGATGGCTCCCGATATCCCGACCGCGAGGTACAGCTGCGGCGCAACCACCTTGCCCGTCTGCCCGACCTGGAGACTGTTGTCCGCGTACCCGCTATCGACGGCCGCTCGAGACGCGCCGACGGCCGCGCCCAGCGAGTCCGCCAGCGGGAGCATGATCCGGTCGAACTCCTCCTTGGACTTGAGCCCCCGCCCTCCCGACACTACCTTGGGCGCCGTGGCCAGGTCTGGGCGGTCCGAGGTCGCCAGGTTCTCCGACACCCACTCCGTAGCGCTCTCCGCCTTGGGGTCTACGCCGTCCTCCACGGCGGCCGAGCCGCCGGCGACGTCGGCAGCCGCGAAGGCGGTACCCCGGATGGTGATGATCTTGATGGCGTCCAAGGACTCGACCGTCGCGATGGCGTTGCCGGCGTAGATGGGCCGCACAAACGTCTTGTCGTCCTCGATGGCCGTGATGTCGGAGATCTGCTGCGAGTCGAGCAGCGCGGCCACGCGCGGCATCAGGTTCTTGCCAAAGGCCGTGTGCCCGGCAATCACATGCGTGTACCCGCCATTCTTGATGTTCTCGACCAGCAGCGGCGCATAGTTCTCGGGCAGGCCCTGTTTTTTTTTTTGGTTTTCCGCCCTCGATAAGCCTTCCAGAAACTCAAGATAGACAAGACAGCCCTACAAGAAAGGAATCATGTCGCGCCGGGGGGTTATTAGCAGAGGTGGGCCCACCTTGTCATATGCGCCGTTGTTCACGGCTATAATCTTGTCGACGCCCACCACCTTGGCCGCCTCGTCGGCCACGGCCTTGACGCTGCTTCCGGCAACGAAGCCGTGGACGGACCCGCCGAGCTGTTTTGCCGCTGTGATGGCGCTTAGCGACCCAGTGTTGAGTTTTCCTTCGCGCTGCTCGAGGACGGCCAGCACCGACAGCAATCGGCGCAGCGTCGCGGGGGATCTGAGCACCAAGGAAGGCGTCGCTGCCGCTGCCTCGCGCCACCTAGGGCGGACGAGCGCCGAAAACGCTCGGTGGCCGGCTGGCAGCATCGTGGGTCTAAGGTGGCAATTGGTCGGTTTCGGGGGAGTTTGGTGCACGGGGGGCCTCAAGGACGGGAGCTGGCGAGAAACCTTGGACGATGCACGATTCTGATCGCTAGGGGGGTCGCTGCTGTAATTTAGGCCCTGAGTTTAGCACTCGATCTCCACGAATCCAGGGTCATCGAATGAATGACGACGGGTTGCGGCGGCCCGAGGTTAGCAGCGAATCGGCTCAAGATTGAAAGTGGCTTTGCAGCCCGGCGCAGAGGCCTCAAGATTGCTGTGGCTGTGTGAGATCTCGACGCAAGAAAGGCCCGTGCACTCCACGTGACTCTGGATTTTGGCGGTCTCTTGGCAGCGCTGGAGGTTGGGGCCAGCTCAGGCGACCGCAGGTCCCTGCCCCTTCACCGTGCCTGGCGCGAAAGATTCTCCAAACGCGACCGACTGTCACGAACCGTCCCCCTTGGAAAAGGCCATCGCAAAACCACGTCTTGCGCCGGCCGACGTCGTCATTTCATCCCCTTCCATCCGCCCTGGCCGCGTCACGAATTTCTTCATAACGTTTACGACGCGCTCCAGTGGTTCATTTAGATTTCGGTTTGATTGATTCCATTGGTTCCGCCCCATCTTCAACTCGCCCGTCGATCTCCAATATTTCAAATCATCCACCCCTTCACCAGCCTCACCGTCTTCGCCATGGAGGAGGCTTCGGTCAATTACGGCACACCTATAAATGGTGCATCGCCGCACGGAAATCCACTTCTCGCGCAGCCATCTCTCCCCGAAGCCGTCAATACTGGCCACCAGAATGAAGGTATGGAGTCAATTGTTACAGCCCAGCTTGCACAAAGCTCTTTTCTTACGAGTCGCCATATCCAGATGTGCAGATGAGCGAAGGCCCAGAGCCCACGATCAAGCAAGATAGCACAACTCCCGCCCCTGGCGCGACGATGGACAACCCCCTCGACGCGCCAGAAGGCCCTCCTGCTGAATCTACTGCGCGCGAAGACGAGGAGATGGGCGATGCAGAGAAGCAGGAAGCGCCACAGGGTGGCGAAGGCGCAGGCGCAAATGATGCCGTGGCCGAGGTGAAGACAAAAGAATTCATGGAAAACGCCGCTCGGGAACACTTGATTTCACAGACGCATTCCATCGTTCTTCCCAGCTATAGCACCTGGTTCGACATGAACACGATCCACAACATTGAGCGCAAGGCCCTGCCAGAGTTTTTCAACAACAGAAACCGGAGCAAGACCCCGGCAGTCTACAAGGACTACCGCGATTTCATGATCAACGCCTACCGGTTGAACCCTATTGAGTATCTCACCGTGACAGCCTGCAGACGTAACCTGGCAGGCGATGTCTGCGCCATCATGCGCGTTCACGCTTTCCTTGAACAATGGGGCTTGATCAACTACCAGGTGAGCCTATTTAAGAGACGGCAAATCGACGCCTTGTTTAGAAGATGCTAATCGTCCCTAGGTTGATACCGATCAACGGCCGTCTCATGTCGGCCCGCCTTTCACTGGACACTTCAAGATCATCTGCGACACACCTCGCGGGCTTCAGCCGTGGCAGCCAGTCGCAGACCCGGCCATCTCTGAAGGGAAGCAGAGCAAGGACACAGATGCCAAGGCTAGCACGACGCCGGCCCCCAAGAGCGAGCTCAATTTGGAAGTTGGGCGCAACATCTACGAGGCTAACGCCAAGAACAATAAGCTCAACAAGACCGAGAGCAAACCGAATGGCGAAACCCCGGCGACAAATGGCGTGTCTGGAATTGACGAACTGACTAAGACTCCGATCGTCAAGGTAAACTGCTTCAACTGCGGAGTTGATTGCACCCGAGTGTACTACCACAGCCCCCAGTCGGATCTTAACTCGAAGGCCAAGTATGATCTGTGCCCGAGTTGCTTCCTGGAGGGCCGTCTCCCACAGAACCAGAGCACGGCACATTATACGCGGATGGAAAACCCCACATACTCTTCCATTCTCGACCGTGACGCGCCCTGGAGCGACGCCGAGACGCTCAGGTTGCTCGAGGCTCTCGAGCGCTATGATGATGACTGGGGTGAGATCGCAGAGTTTGTCGGGACTCGGACACGCGAGGAATGCGTTCTGCAGTTTCTGCAGCTCGATATCGAGGACAAGTATCTCGAGTCTGAGACCCTCGTGGCCCCCGTCGGACTCCAAATGCTTGGTCAGCATGGTGGCCAGCTTCCCTTCAGCCAGGTTGACAACCCTGTAATGTCGGTTGTGGGCTTCCTCGCCAGCCTCGCCGATCCCGCAAGCACAGCCGCGGCTGCCAACAAGTCTGCTGAGCTTCTCAAGCGGAGCCTTCGGGATAAACTCGAGGGTGGCTCTGGTGCGGACGAAGGGCAAACGAATGGCAAGGGGAAGGAGAAGGAGAGCAGCGACTCGATGGAGGTCGACATCAGGCACGAAGTCACCACCACCACTACGACCACAACTATTACATCAACCAGCGCACTTGCCAGCATCCCCCTGGCCACCATCGGAGCGAGAGCCGGTGGCCTGGCGTCGCACGAGGAGCGCGAGATGACACGGTTGGTGTCGGCGGCAGTGAACGTGACGCTGGAGAAGATGGAGCTCAAGCTTAAATATTTCAACGAGATGGAATCGATCCTGCAGGCCGAGAGGCGAGAGCTGGAGCGGGCGCGACAACAGTTGTTCTTGGACCGGCTCGCCTTCAAGCGGCGTGTGCGACAAGTACAAGACGGGCTCCGGTCGGCGGCGGCCGTGGGCGGCGATCACGGCCTGAAGATGGCACACGAGCTTATGACGGATGGCGACCGGATGAGCTTTCAAGCGCCACCAGCGGTTGGATCGGTGCAACCTCTCAGCGCCGAGGCGCCTACCAAGAGCTACGAGGCCTAGAATACACCGCAGCTATTCGGAGGGGTCCCCATGGAGCAGGAGGGGCAGCATCAATGGGCCGAGGAATGTGGCCCAGCAACCCAATGGCCATATGAATAGATCATCATACAACAACAACAACAACAACAACAGTCACTATCATTGACATTATCATGGTGTTCGTCTTCTCCGCCGGCAATTCTTGGTTTTGGTTTTTCTTATCTTTTTTTCCTCGTCTCGGCGTCATGGTTGAAGCACAGTCAGAAGGGAGTCGAGGGCTTTTTGTCCTGTGCTAGTAAATGTTGTGTATGAAAAGGATCTTATTTCTTTTGTGATGTATCAAATACCGCGAGAGTTGTCAGGTGGGAAGGACTGGTCTTTTTTTCTTTTTCCTTTCCCCTTTTCCCTTTTCCCTCTTTTATTCTGCTTTCTCCGGTTCGCCGACGAAGTTGTTGCGGTGGCGGTGGTTCCGTAGAGGAGGAGCTTGTGGGTGGTGGTAGTGATGGTGATGGCGGTGGCTTGACGGGTGAGGTGTCACTTATTTAGATACCTTGTTAGACTGCCGTTGGCTAGCGTCGAAAGCAGGCAATGTAAAAGCTTCGTTTTTTTGTCGTGCATGTGATCCAAGACCCTCACGGCTTGGACCCACCCCGAACCCCAGCCCGTGTAACATCTCCGCTAACCCGCAACGACCCGCGCGCTGCAATGCACTGCACCCACATACGGGCGGTTTTGAGAAGCGACACCAAGGTTCGTCAGGTGCCCGAAACGAAGGGCAGCGGCCGAGCCAATGGCATGTGCGTCGAATAGTGCAGAATTGGCACTGCTGACTCGCCGAAGGTGGCATCCATGATCCCGGCAGTCGAGTCGGAGTCGAGGGGCAGCGCTGGAGCAATAGGAAGGGAAGGAGCCTGGCCTGGGGTGCGATGGGATGCGATGCGGGCTTAATTAGCCTCGGCTTGAGGGGTCGTTCGGACCAGCGCTACTCGCTTCCCGGGCCAGTCTCCGGCATCCATCGCCCCTCGCCAGCCCATTCCAGCCCGCCCCATACAATAGCTACACTACATACCTTACTTAGCTTAGGGGCCGAGCCGCCCTCATCACGCTCTCTTATTATCTAGTCTACCTACTCCGTATGTATGCCTAGCCTCGTGGAGGTTTTTTCTTAAGGACAGTGCAGTGCTACCAACCGCAATCTCCGGCGACTTCTTTTTCTTGGTTCGTTCGGTGTCGTGTCTTAGCTGCCCGTGTCCTTCTTTGCCCGGTTCTGGGATTTTCGCCTGGACTGTTAACACAAGACAGGACTACCTCGCTACCTCGTCCATTCGTCGACCTGTGCCCGCGGCTCCGTACCCCGGATCATCCTGCTTTTTTGTTGTTGCTACTGCCGCTAGCTCCACTTGCCCAACCCGCACGTCCAAAGGCCGATTGGGATGTTGGCCTCGCTCGCAAGAACTGAGGCTCGGTCGCCCACACTCAGACACCTCTTCAGACACCAGACGAAGACAACGCCATTGGTTCGTAGCCAGTCTTTCTCTACCGTCCTCTCTGCTCGCTCTGCTTCCTCTCGTCCCTCATGCCCTCGTGCTCAGCCTCTTGGGCATGTGTGTGTAGAACCGCTTGGCTGACTTTGACCTTCTTGGTACGTACAGCAAAGACTATCCATGGCCAGCAGACGCAACAACAGCTCGCTCCCGGTAGGCTATGTTGAGGACAAGTCCAAGGGGGCCATGCTCCGCTTCCAGGACTCGCTGCCCCGGCTCCCGGTGCCCACCCTGGAGGAGACGGCAACGCGCTATCTTAAGTCGCTGAAGCCGCTGCTGTCGTCGGCCGAGCTCGAGGCCAGCATCAAGGCCGTCAAGGAGTTCATCGCCCCCGACGGGCCCGGCCGCAAGCTGCAGGAGAAGCTGCTTGCCCGCCGCGAGGACTCCAAGCACAAGAACTGGCTGTACGAGTGGTGGAACGACGCGGCCTACCTCAGCTACCGCGACCCCGTCGTGCCCTACGTCAGCTACTTCTACTCGCACCGCGATGACCGCCGCCGCCGCGACCCCGCCACGCGCGCCGCCGCCATCACCACCGCCACCCTCGAGTTCAAGAAGCAGGTCGACACCGGCTCCCTGGAGCCCGAATACATGAAGAAGCTGCCCATCTGCATGGACAGCTACAAGTGGATGTTCAACGCCAGCCGCGTCCCCGCCAAGCCCGCCGACTACCCCGTAAAGTTCGACCCCGCGCAGAACAAGCATATCCTGGTCATCCGCAAGAACCAATTCTTCAAGGTCGAGCATGAGGTCGCTGGCAAGCAGCTCAACACGTCGGAACTCGAGCAGGCCTTCCGCCGCGTCTACGAGCTGGCCTCGACGCAGCGCGCCCCGGCCATCGGCGCCCTGACCTCGGAGAACCGCGACGTCTGGACCGATGCCCGCGCCGTCCTCCTCAGCGCTGACTCGATCAACGCCAAGTCACTCGAGGCTATCGAGTCTGCTTCCTTTGTCGTGTGTCTCGACGACGCCGCGCCTGTGACGCTCGAGGAGCGCGCGCACGCCTACTGGCATGGCGACGGCCAGAACCGCTGGTTCGACAAGCCGCTGCAGTTCATCGTCAACGACAACGGCACCTCGGGCTTTATGGGCGAGCACAGCATGATGGACGGCACGCCGACGCACCGGCTCAACGACTTTGTCAACGACGTCATCTTCAACAGCAAGCTCGATTTCTCCGACCCGACCGTGCGGTCGAGCTTGCCCGAGCCGCAGGCCGTTAAGTTTGTCGTGACCAAGGAGCTCCAGGCCGAGATTGACCGCGCCGTGCAAGATTTCACCGCCGTCATTGGCCAGCACGAGCTCGCCGTGCAGGCCTACCAGGGCTACGGCAAGGGGCTGATCAAGAAGTTCCGCTGCTCGCCCGACGCCTACGTGCAGATGATCATCCAGCTGGCCTACTACAAGATGTACGGCAAGAACCGCCCCACGTACGAGTCGGCCGCCACGCGCCGCTTCCAACAGGGCCGCACCGAGACATGCCGCTCCGTGTCCGAGGCCAGCGTGGCCTGGTGCAACGCCGTTGCCGACCCTACGGCCGACGACAAGACGCGCATCGCCCTGTTCCGCAAGGCCATCGACTCGCACCTTGAGTACATCACCGCCGCCTCGGACGGCAAGGGCGTCGACCGCCACTTGTTCGGCCTCAAGCGCCTCCTCGAGCCCGGCCAGTCCGTCCCGGCCCTCTACCAGGACCCCGCCTACGCCTACTCGAGCTCGTGGTACCTGTCCACCAGCCAGCTAAGCTCCGAGTTCTTCAACGGCTACGGGTGGAGCCAGGTCATTGACGGCGGCTTTGGCATTGCCTACATGATTAACGAGAACAGGTTAGTTCCCCAAAGCCATCACTCTGGCTACTCTTTCTGTTAAAACGACCTGCTAATACTGTCTCGCAGCATCAACTTCAACATCGTATCCAAGGGCCTGGGCAGCAACAAGATGAGCTTCTACCTCAACGAGGCGGCCGGCGAGATGCGCGACCTGCTCCTCCCCACCCTCGAGGCCCCCAATGCCAAGCTCTAGATTCATCCGAGGTCCTTAGGTCACACACGCCCTCAATGTGTAAAGCAAGGGGGAACCCCTTGGAAAGAAAGAAAGAGAACAAAAGGGGGGACGAAAGTAGAAAAACGGGAAATTTGATAGACTTGTACGGTAACACTTTCCTTTTTCATCTTTTTTTGATTTCTGTTTGTCTTGTTGCAGAGAAACGGATTTTTTGGGGGTTGGGAAATATCGATACGCCAGCATCTTTTCTCTCCTATGCAAGCTAGCCATCTGTTCTTTATCTATTTTTATTTTTTTTCCGTCTTGTCTTCCTTTTTCGTCTCGTCATTTCTCAAGTAAATAGATCGAAGCGAGATTTGCTATTCTTCAATTCTTAACCCGGTTGCATCACTTGCTTGGCTGCAACCTTCTATCTCGATATATATAGCCTCTGATTTGTTGCTTCTTCTCGCATTTATTTCCAGCAAGTAATTGCAGTCAGTCTAGGACACTGGGTCGCAAAACATACCTTAAATTATTCCCTTTTTCATGTATCCGACTCACTTGTATCGACAGGTATCAAAAAACAGGGCGAGCTAATGTGTTGACATATCTTCTCAAAATTACAACTTCACGTAACTGCGATTATTCGCGAGGGTAATACTGTATATATAGACAGGGCTGAAATGAGAGGTAAGGAGGGAGGCTAGAAGAACATGAAAAGTGTGAAAGCAGACGACAAACGGTTACCAAAACGAAGTTTGGAAATTTACAATTTCCCGCTCGCTAGCTTTGGCTCCCCCTTTTTCCTGTCTCGCACAACGCAGAGCGAATACGAGTAGGGGAAATAGAAACAGCAGTAGTAACAGCAAAAAACCAACCTCAACTGACAGCTATGGCGCAAAGCTTAGCCGGAGTGAGAGACAATTTCGTTCACCAGATCACCCTTGTCCTCGTCGTAGTACGAGCATATCTGCGACGGCAGGGGGATCTCCTGGTAGTCGTCGTCGGACCCAATCACGTTGAGGTTGACGCTAGACGATTTGCTGGTGAAGATACGCGTGCCTATGCTTTCCTTGCTGAAGTAGATCTGCGCGCCGTCGACAGTGTCCATCAGCACCGTGGGAATAACCCCCAGAACCTGCAGCGCAAAGTTCTGCGACTTGACGAGGTCCACCGTGGACACGAGCGAGTCCACCACGAGGGAAAGACGGTTCGTATTGTCAATTGTGACAGCGTTTGCCTTGCCCCTGATGATGACAGTGGTGTTGTTGCACTTGCTGATCCGGATTGAGTGGGAGATGTTTGCCTCAATCTCGATAGGCTCGGATTCCTTCTCAAAGTTTTCCTACACGTCCCCCTTGTCAGTAGACCGTCCAAGACGGTTCCCCAGAATTGTGATGCTAAAAAGAAACAACTTACGATTGTCCACTGGTTGCCCTCCAGCTCCTTCTTTGGCGGCTTCTTAGCCCGCAAAGTCTCAGGCTTAGGCTTCTTTCCGGGGGCGGGGCTCTTTCCACGAACGGATCCCTCGCGCTCTGGGACGGTTGACCCGGCCCTCAAGGACGGGTTTTTATGTGTCATCTCCGACTTCTCTACTTTTCTAAGGCCCTTCGTAACCGCCTCGCCCTTGTTGAGCTCCGAGAAAACTGCACCAAGGCCTCCTGCTGCAGGAAGCTCCGATGGCTTCTGTTCGTTGATCTTGAAGACGGGAGGAGGGCCCGGCGGCGGTGGGGGAGGGGGAGGGGGGCCACCTGCAGCTGGCGCAGGAGCTGCCGATAGGGACTTGAGAACTTCCTGCACCGGACGTCCCTTGGGGTTCCACGGAAGGCCATTTGGGAAGTAATTCTTGACGTAGTCTGCGAGATCGCGGAAGATCTGGTAAAATGACTGCACCCACTCCACTTGTTGTTGGTCCCTGTTTGGCACGTCAGAAACAGCACAGAAAGCGCGCTAGCAGTCAGTAGTAATGGACTCACTTATCCTTAAACTCCTTCAGCACCCTGTTGCCGAAAAACTGGGCGGAACCAAGGCTCTCCTCGACAAACTTATTCGGCTTGCTCTCCACCGTCACCCACGCCAGAGCCATTAGCCCCTCGGCCACAGTATTCAGCTGGGAGAAGACAGCAGCGCCGCGGTTTGAATCGCGGATGCTGGTGATGTCCATCAAGAGCTGATTTATTGGCTTCAACACATCTTGATAGACCGACATTTCGGAGCCCGTCAGGTCGGGCTTCTTCGCCTTGGTCGAAATCAGCAGAAACTTGCGCTGCTCCTTGAAGCCTTCGAGAACTTTGGTCGCCTGCGAGACAAGAAGAGTGTCAATGGCTTCGATTGAGATTGAAACGAGAAGCAGGAGTCCCGCCCCCGCAAATAGGCGTAGTGGGCATAGCCTACCTGCTCGGCAACCAGACCGCCTATCGCCTTGCTGATCTTGATATACTTTTCGACCGACTGGCTCATGAAGGCGTCATACTCCTCGATAGATTCGGGGAGGGGCTCTTCTGGAGCCTTGGGCACCGGCGGAGGCGCGGGCGTCAGGGTGGGCGTCGGGGTGGGCGCGGGCGATCCCACGCTAGATGCGCCGGAGAGGGGAGAGGCGAGGGTTTGCTGGAGGGCCGGGACGACTTGGGGCAGCTCGATCGTCGACGAGGCAATATCCTCGAGACGGGCCGTGGCAGCCTCGAGCCTGCGCATAGAGTTAGCACAGCTTTGCGCTGAGCGCGCAGAGAGCAGGATGGCGAGCATGGCCATGACGGACGCAATCTGCTGCGGGTGGTGCTGAAGAGTCGCGTCACGTCTTGAAGCTCACGACAAGTGCGGTTTTTGGGGTACACACCTCTTGATTAGGGTTGTCAGGTTGTGCATGTTGTTGGTACCGGCCGCCATGTTGGGCAGGCGCGAAGGAGAATCGGATCGGGTGTTGAGTTTTAAGGAAGGAGCTGCTGGAGCAGGACCAGCGCGGAAGAGCTCAGGGGCTAACGAAGGTTGGTGACGTGGAAAGTTCAGTTGTCAAGGGGCCGCCCGGGACGTTTTGGCGGGACAAGCGCCGAGGTCAGTCTAGTAAGGATTAGATGTATCTATTTTGTTACCAGGAACGAGCAAGGCGGCGCTGAGGATGATCAGGTTTCGGGATGCCGGGCGAGGTATATGTTGAAGCATAAAAGGCAGACGAGGTTCGGGGCACTTTTCTAACAGCTTGGAGATCACTGACGGACCCCTGGCCTGGCTGCTGCAACGCTCAGGCCCCCAAGAACTGCTCGCTGGGAAGCTCCCTGTAAAGGTGGGGCACAACCGTGGATTCCTCCAATCCTAACGTCTCTTCATCGGGCTGGTACTTAATTGAGATGGAATAGAACTTAACGACGAACACGGCTCCATCGCATGCACATGGAAGGAAGGATTGTAGGTACAGCATAGATGCCTAATACCATTCATCCAACTTAACTGCCACTAAACGCTAAGACCAGAGAGTACGTGAGGTACGTAGTCGGGGACGCGTACGAAACGTATCACAAGCAGGCAGTTGCGGGGTCCTGCTTCAACTTCAAAGACGCTGTCAGGGTGGTGCCTCCCTTCATAGTGCGGTTCCGTGCCTGCCTGCCACAGGCAACATACCTACCTTGGCTGTCAAGAACATGGAAGGCCCGGTCTGGTACTGTACATGTGCACCTAGGTATACAGTCAGAGCGAACTTAGTTAGTCTCACCTGCCACTGTTAGTTAAGCAACCCGCCAGGCGGTATGCACAATTCCCGATTGAGAAGTTCCTAGTGACGCAGACTCGCATTTAGGCGCTCCTTTTGGACAGGCCATTCAGAGGCTCGGCCATTGGATCGTGAGCCTTGCACTTGGGTTGTTGGGATTCATGCCCTCCCTCTCCGCATTGGGCGGCGTATGGGGCGAGACAACATTCACTTGTTGCATCTTTTAACTATCTTTTATCTTTCCCTGTCATTCGTTCCAAGTCTTGTTCCTCGTATGGAATAGGTATCCATCGCTTCCGGTCCGGCCGCTGCCTGCCCTAGCGCTCATTTCCACGTTAAGGTATCTGTATCCAAGGTAGCGCTTGGTTCTAGGCTTCGCAAGTTTGTGGGGGGCGCTCTTGAGAGCTGAGGTGGAACGACGACACATCATAATTTCAACCGTTGAACACGGGGGGCATCGCTAACACAGAGTTTGAAGATGGATATACATAATTCCAAGGATGCTTGCGATGCCGAAGGGACCCAGCGTCTCCCGCAATCTGGCGGCGACAACTCCGTCTTCGCGGGTTCCAGTGGCCAAGACAATACCAGTACCATCGACTTTGTCACTCTGGGCATGTTCATAATTGGTAGGCCCTTCATCCATCAGTCTCGCTTTGCTGATTTGAGACATCCTTCAAGGAAACCTTGAAATGGCCCGCTTACTTTGAAGCGTTTCCCCTTTCTGGCTCTGTTCCTGTTTGTCTCGTTTTATTTACTTTCACTCCGTTTTGTACATTACATACAATATCCCCGCGTCTTAACGAGACCCCCTTCACCCCAAAATACACCATCTATCGCATGCTCAACTGCCAGTCCATATCGGCAGATATGAGAGCAATGTTGGCTGACACTGCTCAAAGACGAGATCGAGTATCTCCCTCCTAAGCCTCCAGTGCGCGGTGTGCTCGGTGGCGCCGGTTCCTACTCGGCGTTGGGGGCGCGTTTATTCTCTCCCCCGCCGCTTTCCAAGTCGGTCGGCTGGTTCGTAGACCGAGGCTCTGACTTCCCCGAGGCCATCACGGCGGTCGTAGACAGCTGGGAAACGTCTGCTGTGATGCGGACCTCGCCCGACCGGCTGACAACCCGGGGCTGGAACGGCTATGTTGATCAGTCGGAGCGCCGAGCCTTCCGCTATACGACGCCTAAAAAGCGTCTAACGGCCGAGGACCTTGCTGAAAACCTCTACTTGCTTCAGGCGCGGGCTTTTCACCTCATCTGCAACCCAACCCGGTGCCGCGAGCTTGTAACCGACATCGTCGCCCGGCGAAAGGCCGCGGACCCCGAAGGCTACACACGGCCCGTGTTCATCTGGGAGCCAGTCCCTGACCGCTGTGTACCCGACGAGTTGCTGAACTGCACCAATACGCTTCCGCTCGTCGACATCTGCAGTCCAAATCATGCCGAGCTGGCCGGCTTCATGGGCAGCGACGGCCTCGACCCGGCCACGGGCGAGATCAGCACCGCCGCCATCGAACAGAACTGCGAGCAGCTGCTCGCCAGCATGCCGCTGCAGAGCTACGCCCTTGTCGTGCGGGCCGGAGAAAAGGGGTGTTTTATAGCTAAGAATGGCGGCCGCGTACGCAGCCGCCCTTCAACTACTAGCGATGGCAAAAAACAACAGCAGAAGCAGAAAATGCCCGTGAAAAAGAAAGAGCTCTTACACGGCGGCCTCCAGCCCGACACGGACTTTATAGCACTCTTCGCCAACCTCGTGCAAGACGACGAGGGCTTTGTCGCCCGCGAAGAAATCGAAGTTGACCCGGGCATTGAGAGGTGGATTCCCGCCTATTACCAACGTGACAAGCCACAGGACGGCGACAGCAGCAGCGACAGTAACAGCGGCAGCACCAGCAGTCGCAGTGATGATGGCAGTAAGAGCAGCAGTGGCCCCGAAAAGGACGGGCCCGTCGTCGACCCAACGGGCGGCGGCAACACCTTTCTCGGTGCGCTGGCTGTCGCCCTCGCCCGCGGCAAGCCGGTCGGGGAGGCGTGCGTGTGGGCGAGCGTTGCGGCTAGCTTCGCCATCGAGCAGGTCGGCGTCCCTGTGCTCGGCCGCGACCGCGACGGAAACGAGACGTGGAATGGCGTGAGGGTGGAGGATCGTCTTGCGGAATTCCGGCGCCGTTTATGAAGTCGGATGTGCGTTTCTTTTCTCTCCCCTCGGGCAAGCGAAAAGGCGGTGGGAAGGGGGTCTGGTATACAGCGGGGATACTTGCAGCGGAATAAACAATGTGAGTATGTTGAAATGTTTAATAACTACGTCTATTGGTTATTTTCATTGCCGTGGGAATAAGTAGACCGGGTTCTCAGATAGACGGGGCGGAATGGCAAATGGGCGGGCTGGTCAACTTAGAGCGTGGGATTTACTTATAACCGGGACTATATCTCTCATATCGATTAGCGGTTCTTTATTCTTAACTGATACCTCAGTATGGAAGGACGTTTGTGTCAAGGGGAATAGGGCTGACACGAATACCAGTATACCTGCCTAGGTAAGGTAGTTGTTACCTACTTAATTTGACACGGAAGATTTCTCCCCCTCTGCAATAGACTTTATGCTAGTTCACTATCTTCCGTCTTTATTAGACGAGACGTTGTTGTGTAGACTTTAATGTTCAAGTTAAAAGTTCAGTTTGAACTCACAGCCAGTCTTTACAGTCTTAGTTATCAGTTTCGGCAGCATCATCTCCGATAATAACCATGTCTTAAATGGAATATAATATCAAGATGAGTTACAATGATCAGAAAATGAATTCCATAAGCGAAATAAACGCCATCACATTTTACTAACAAAAGAGAAACATTCACAGCGTGCCTTTCACCCACCCGTCTCTCACTTGGCTTGGCATAAGAACAACGACGCAAAACCCAATCCCCGCCATGCATCTATCCGCCGCCATGATCATTACAGCCTACACGCACACAAACATACGACTCTATCTCCATTTATCACACTCAGACCCTGTAGACAAGCTCTCCATCAGAATACCTGCGGCGCAAAACCGTGGTTAGTTATTTCTCTCTATAAATATCTCCTAAATTGTGAGAAGCAAATGAAGGAGGGGGGGTAGACATACATGAGTTCGTTGGCGATGTCCATCTTCTTGAGCGCCTTGACGGCCTCGTCGCGGGCAAAGGGAGCAGAGCCGACCTTGCGGTTGACGGCGGCGATGAGCTCGTCGATGTCGGCCGCGTCGTCCTCGAAGAGGGGCGTCTGGAGGAGCTGGCCGAGCGCCCTGCGGAAGACGCCGTAGCGCTGGCCGGTAATGGCGGACCCATCGTCGTCTTCATCCTCCTCCTCCTCTTCTTCGTCCTCGTCCTCGTTGTCGCCTACTGTCAGAGCCGCGGCGCCGTTAGCGAGCGCCTCATCCTCAGCCTCCTCGGCATCTGGGTCCTCTTCGTTCTCGTCGTCGCCGGCCCGCCGGTTAGCGCTGCTCTGCTGGCGGCTAGACCTAGACTGCTGCGTCTCCGTTTGTAGCTGCGAGGCGGGCACGGACGAGGCAAACGACATCTGCGACGACGAGCCGGCGCCAGCGCCGGCGCCGGACCGCGCCGACCTCCGTGGCGTCGCGTTGTAGATGTCTTCCTCGGCTGTGGCCTCGGGAGAGGTCCGTGAGCTGTTCGCCACGCCGGGCGCGCCGCGGGGCCCGGTGCCGTTGCCGGTTCCGATGCGGCGGCTCCCGGTGGGTTGGCCCTGCGTGGAGCGGCTGGTGCGGGCGGCTGCACTGGTGCGGGATGTGGTTCCGCGGTAGGCATCGTCGTCGTCGTCATCGTCGTCGTCCTCGCTGCCGCTGCCGGCGCCGTTCTCGGTCTCGGCCGGCCGGGTCTTGCGGCGCTTCTTGCGGGACTCGTCCTCGAGCACTTCCTTGAACAGGGCGAAGCGCAGGATGGACTCGGCGGCGGCGGCGTCGCGCTCCTCGACGCGGTTGGAGAGACGGGCCTTGGCGTGGGCCGTGGCGAGACGGATCAGCGTCTCGAGCGTACGCACCGTCATGGGGCTCGTCTTGCGCTGGTTACTCTCCATGTCGTCGTTGCGGAGCCCGACGTAGATGTCGGCGATGCGGTCCGACGCCTCCTGGGTCAGCACCGGCTTTATCCTCGTCTTGGCGTACTGGATGTACTTCTTCATGAACGGGATGCTCAACACCTCGGGCTTCTTGTTGGCGCCTCGGCCCGTGCCCCGGACACCGGCGTGCAGCATTGCGTCGTATTTTTCGTACACGTCGGTCGGGCGCTGCGAGGCATCCTGGTTGTTGAGCGCCACGTTGAGAGACTGCTGCACGTTTTCACGGACGGGGGCACCTTCCTCGGTGCCTGCTTGGCGGTAGCGATGCATGCGGAGCACGTGTTCCGAGACTTGCCTGTCTCTCGCGTCTTCGATGTCGTCTGTGACGATAAACAGAAGATCGAAACGCGACAATAGAGAGTCGGGAAGCGCAATGTTCTTGTGCGGGTCCTTGTGGGTGTCGTACTGGCCGAAGATTGGATTCGCTGCAGCGATGACGCTGCAGCGGGCGTTGAGCGACGTGTGTATGCCTGCCTTAGCAATGGTGACGGTCTGCTGCTCCATGACTTCGTGGATTGCGACTCGATCGATATCCGACATCTTGTCAAACTCGTCGATACAGACGACGCCGCGATCAGCCATGACCATAGCACCGGCTTCCAGACGGCGCTCGCCTGTCTCCTTGTCTGATGTGACAGCAGCCGTCAAACCAACACCGGATGAACCGCGACCGGTGGTGGCAATTGCCAGAGGGGCAGTGTTTAGCACGAAGCGGAGCAACTGCGATTTGGCGGTGGACGGGTCTCCGACCATCAGGATATTTATGTCACCTCTCAGATGGGTGCCGTTCTCCAGGTTCTTTTCCATTCCTCCGAGAAGCATCAAAAGAATAGCCTTCTTGATGTGGTCGTGACCAAAGATGCTGGGCGCAAGGGACTGGGAGAGCAGCTCAAACAGCTTGGGCTTCTTGGAGATCTTATTGATGTTGCGGATGTCGGTGTCGGTAATTGTGGCGGTAACCAAGCCACCGCCGGATTTTGAGTGGAGGAGTACGATGTTGTTGGCTAGGAGCACGGTCTTGAAGAGGGCTGTGTTGTGGTTCGTGTTCCTGTTACCGAGGGTGCGGTAGATGCCAACGAGCTGGACGCGGTCGCCGGGCTTGACCTTGTCGACTAGGTCGTCGTCGAGGAGGACATCGACGCCTCTGGGCAGCTGACCAGCAGGGGCCCTCTCGGGCATCTCCTGGATGGAGATGGTCTGGTGGTCGCGGAAGGTAGAGAAACCATATTCGGTCAGTAGGGGGTTGCCCTCGTCGTCTTCCTGGGGGTAGACGCTGGAGGTGGTGACGCCGTTGGTCATGGTCTGGTCGCGGTACTCTCTGAACTGGAAAATGTTCTTGGTCTCGTTCCAGTGTACGCTCTTGACAATCTTGGGGCGGATCAGAGAGCAACGCGTGACGATGCCCTCGATGGAGACCATGTTGTTGAGGTGGTGAGACGACAGGGTCCTGGGATTGCAGGCATGCAGGCCGAAGCTGCCAGCCCAGGCGCAGTAGTAGAGGACATCGGGGTCTGTCTGGTCGGGGCGAGCCTGGGGAATGGTCTTGACGATCTCCTTGAGGGCATGGTTGAAGGCGAGGGTGTAGTCGAAGGGATCGGTGAGCAGGCCCTCGGCGATCTCGGGGTTGTGGTCGCGGACATGGTCGATGTTGACAACGAGTCTGCGCTGGTTCTTCTGTAGCATCAAGATGATGTCGGGGCGGTAGCTACGGACATGTTGGTCGTCTGCAGGCAAAAAGGTCAAGTCAGCATCAGCATTGCGTTGGGACAGGTGTTTGCGCTGCCACCCCGCTCAAGACAAGATAGAAAGGAGGGGAGGGGGTCGTACGAGGATCGAGAAACTCTTCGGCCTGGCGCACCCGGTTTTTGGTGGCCTCATCGCGGATCAGAGAAACATCCATTGTGCTGCTACCATTCACAGACGACTGCACAGATTGAGGGTGGCAGACAGGCAGACAGGTGGACGAGGTGGGATGGCAGTCGGTGTTGACTTGACGGTGTTGAAGGTGCGGGCAGCGCTTGGGCAGACTAGGGAATAGTTAGATGGAAAACCAAGCCAGCCAGCCAGACAGGGCTCAGAGAAAACGCGACGCGACGCGTGACTCGCGTTGCGGGCAGATGCCCCCTTGACAGGGGTTTTAATTGAGTGCCTGGGCGCTACAGCTTACTGCAGCGGCAACGCGTTGCTGTGCCCGTGCCTGAGCTTGACGAGGGGCAGGACGCTCCACTGTTGTTTGGTGACTCGTTATTGGCTGCTCGGGGATAAGGCTCGGCATATTCAGCATGGCCCGAAGAGGCACGCAGCACTTACATGCCAAAACACCGAACGACAGGCAGGCATAAAAATTTCAGCCTCTCATGGTCCCAACTTTAGATTTCCATACCTTACCTCTGCTGCTGGCAGCCAATGTCTGGCATCACCTAACTGTTCACATCCCTCCAAGCATTTTAGTAATCTGTACAGAAGCTACTAAAATATTCCCCTAGTAATTACATGAAATTTACCACTTCGTACCTTACCTCTACGTTGTAGAGTCTTTGTTCACAACATCCCATTCTGACAGCTCAGACTCGCTGGCCCCGTTGTTCTATTTTTTACGAGCCATCATATTCTGCGACTGTCTCGTCTTTGGCTTGGTGCACCTCAAATTTCTCCATTTAATTCTTTGAGTGGTCAAACGGGGCTCGCACCCTCCCTCTCCTCAGCCGTCCCGTCCCCAACTTTGACAAGACAACAATACCCAACGTTACGCTACCGTAGGTAGAAAGCCTAATTTACTGCCAACGGCCTCATGCAGAACCCACCCAAGAAGCGGAGACGGCCGGCCCTGGCCTGCGAGCAGTGTCGCCTCCGCAAAGTCCGCTGCGACCGTGCCTCCCCATGTGCCACCTGCACGCGGCTAGGCAACCCCGAGTGCACATATGTGCCTCCACTTCCGCTCGGTGCGTCTCGCCGCCCCAGGCCGGCCGCTGTTCCGGCCGCTGGAGCCGGAGCCGGAGCCTCTATGGAAGCCTCTGTTGCTGGGTCATATTCCGGTACCTCCTTAGTAGTAAACAAAGGACCGTTACCCCCTGGCTCTGGGTCCTATCCAACCCCCTCTATCGTCTCCTCGGCGGCAACCATTGATTCCCTTGAGCGCCGCTTGAAGCAGCTTGAAAGAGAGCTCCAGTCAGCCCTCGGTCGCCAGCCCTCGCCCTCGCCCCCTGGAACACGAGACCAGTCGCCGCCTCTCTATGCGCCTGCTGCCTCTACTGACGTCGAAAAGTCGTTTGTCTCACTTCCAATTCGCGGCACCATGTCCAAAACTAGGTTCTTCGGCCAAAGCCATTGGGTGCACGGCACCACAATGACCTCTTCATCTTCTACGGTAGCTTACTGCCCCTGAATCTCGTTTCCTAGATGCCTAGTCGTTCACACATACCAGACCCGTAGCTGACAAGGCTCATGTATTTGCCTGTCTCCCTAGGCCTGGTTTCTCAAGATCATGGACCTGGCCCGTCGGGACAAGACATTTGAAATGTACACTGAGAAATGCAAATCCATCGGTCGAGCGATCAAAGCCCGTCGCGTCCCTCCACTGTCCGCCCTGGCCGTTGGGATGAGTGTCCCCACCCGCCCCGTCGCCGACGTTCTGATCAACGGCTATCTACGCACCTTTGAAACTGTCTACCGCATCCTCCACGTGCCGTCCTTCTTGGCCGAGTATGAGCGTTACTGGGAACAGCCCCACATGGCGACCCAGGCCTTCATCGTTCTAATGCAGGTCTGTATGGCCATTGGGGCTTGTTTTCACGATGACACGTACTCGCTCCGCGCCCAAGCCACGGGCTGGATCTACGAGGCACTGGTATGGCTGGTGCTCCCCCCTGAGAAGGCACGTCTGAGCATCCCAGGCCTGCAAATTATGTGCCTCCTCCAGCTGGCCAAGCAGACAGCTGGTGTTGGCGGCGACCTCACCTGGATCTCTGCCGGGAGCCTCCTTCGTGCCGCCATGCACACAGGCTTACACCATGACCCAGATACCCTGGTACCTATGCCGCGCCTGCGGGCCGAGCTGCGTCGGCGCCTGTGGACCACCATTCTCGAAATCTGCCTACAGGCGAGCCTCGACGCTGGCGGTCTGCCCCTAATTTCGCTCTCCAACTTTGACACGAAACCGCCTACCAATATTAACGACGAGGAGATCGTGCTCAGCCAGAATGGCAGTACTGATGTTGCTGTAGCAACGGATAGTGCCAGGTCTTCTTCCTCGTTCTCCCATGTCGCAGTTCAAATTGCCCTTTTCAAGTCGTTCGCCACGCGACTCACCATCGCGAATCTTATCAACGATCCGCAAGTGTCCAGCAAAAGTCCAAAATATCATGAAACACTACGCCTGAGCACTGAACTCGTCGCCGAGAATCGAGCCCTTATGCAGCGGCTACGCTCCTTTCCCAGCGACGAGTTAGGTGCCGAGGGAGTCTCGATTTTCCAGTTCCGCCTACTCGAGATAACCATGAACCGCTACCTTCTTGCCCTCCATCTTTCTTGGTGGCGCGATGGGCTGCATAGCCCAACTCACTACTTCTCGCGCAAGACGAGTGTCGACGCGGCTCTGACACTTGTCGCGCTTGCCCGAAACACTACCGTTGACCAGGTTCCCGACAACGGGCTGTCACCCGAGCAACAACACTTGGCTCCAACTTCTTCAGCCAGCGACTTTGACCGTTTTATTATTTGCGGGTCCGGTTTCCCCCGTTCAATGCTTATCCAAGCCTGCCTCGTCGTTAGTCTCGAGTATCTGTCTCGCAAGGAGGAGGACCGAAATAACCTCGGAACGGTGGTAAAGAGCCCCAGCGGCGAGGCTGAGCTGCATGCCGTCTTCGACTGGGTTACCGACTGGTGGAAAAATCGAATCAGGGCCGGGGAGACCAATATAAAGTCATATGTTTTCGGTCCCATGCTTATCCCATATGTCGATGTCCTCGAATCTGGCACGGACAGCGAGGCCGGCACCGCGCTCATCATGCAGCAGGCGACCGGCCGTGCTATAGAGTGCTATGAAATGTTGAAAACCGTAGCCAAGAACATGGGCATGATCATCGACGACGGTAGTGGCGATAGTGGCGACGGTACGACGCAGAACCAGAGAGACGACAATAACGAGATCTTTGGAGCGAAGAGCTTTACGGGTGGTTTTCTTGATGACTGGGACTGGGGCTGGGACAGTGATGTTGTTAGCCTCTCCCCGCCTCCGTTTGATGTCGAGTCCTGATACTTTACTAACGTCGTTATCAGCAGTCAATGCAGCCACCGGGCGAGAGAATGAACACGAATTACGATCTCGATGCATTTGACATGCTTTTCCGGTGATTGGAGAGTGCCTGAATGGCCGTCTACTCTTTGGCCCAGACCTTGAAAAGTAGGGAAGCCGCTGGTGAATGGATATTAACATGCATCGAGTGAAGGAACGATGAAGGAGATGTAGAGTGCGGCCAATGCACATTGTTCCCGTTCCCCTTTTCATCTTCCTATAAGCCCAGGCTTGGCACCCAACATATTAGAAGGAAGAGAGCTCGACATTGAAGATGTTTGGCCATCTTGTCCAATATCAAAGGAACATACGTCTCCTCTCGAAAACAGGCGGCCAATAGCCTGGAAGGAATTTTGTTAGATAGTCCGTATCCTCCAAGGCCTCACTTCTTGGGATACGGGCGTTGATTCCGTATCAGGTTTAGATACCAAATCAGACTAGCAGACGTAATAAAAAGGGTGGAAAGCAACCGCAAGAGATGCTTGATACTTCGGTGCCTTCTCGAGTACGGCAGGTACACAGACAATGTAAACGACCTTCGCTCCTTCCTCCTGGGCCCAAATACCTTAATTTCCTGCTGCCAGCTCCCAGGCCCCTTCCTCGCAGCCCGGTTTTGACAGCACCCGACATTTGAGCGACGCGTCGCACCTTGCTCTTTCCTTCACTAGGGCCTCCAACTCGCAACCTAACTTCCACCCCCCTCCTCAAATCTCAGATTCTGACTGCCCAGGCTCCTTTTCAAATTGGAATATTCTTATTCTCGTCGTCAATACTCAACAAAAATTGCCACCCAGGTACTGAAAGAATCTTGCACGCAATAATACTCTTCCGTAGGACTGGTCTTTGCGTGGTCGCGCTCTGCCCTTTTTCTTCTCCGCCTGGTCACCCTTTCCCTCCTCCCCCACCCCTCCCCCCCGGGAGAAAAATACAAGAGTCGTCCTTTTCTCAGCCTGAAAACTGTTAGCACCATATCGTTCCTTCCTTTCCTTCTGTATATGCCTATAGCCAACCACTGGCACTCGTACCCTCCCACCTTCCATCGGAATTTAGCCTTCCAACCCTTCCCTTCCATCCCTTCCTTCCATTCTCCCCTCTGCTTTCCATATTGACGGTATTGGTCCGAATAGTGTACCTATTCCATACTGGATTCGATGTGTTCGCGTTTCCTTCGAGATCGACTTTTCCCGTGCCAGGTTGCTTCCAAACTATCCATTTCTCCCTCTGGCCTCCAGCGGGTTTCGTCGAAGATGCCTAACTAGTCCGGAAAGTTCGAGTGCGGGACTTGTAGGAAAGCTTTCGCCGCCGGTTACCAAGCGAGGGACAGCCACTGCTTGTCTACCGGCCATGAGCCGTCCCGCAACGAGTGCGAGCGATGTCCCTATATTTTGTCAACAAATATTGGGCCAAACGTCACATGGCCCATGCGAACCACTGGGGATATGAGTGTCAGACCTGTCACCAGACATTCAAAACACTTGAGCAATGCAACTATCACGAGCGACAGCACAGCGACACCTGGAAGCTCTCATGACTTTGAGCAGGTCAGTCATCGATTCCGTCTTTTACGGTACTTGGACGAGATTAGAAAGCGCTCACTAACCCGACACTGGGACAAAACCAGCATCTTCGATCTTGCGGGGCGATTAACCCACTCCTTGGCTGTGTGTTCTGCAATGAAGAGATGTCTAGCGCTGGGAGTGTCTGTAGCCATATCGAGTCTGGCTCGTGCCGGGCTGCGTCTCATCTGAAGCGGGATGAGGTGTATCGATTTGTTCGCCTGAAGGATCACGACGGTGTCATATCGAAGAACATGCGTGAGTCGGCCTTCTCAGGGATCCAAACCGCCACTGACGATTCCAATCTAACCGGCCTTCCATACAGTGAACTGGGGCGGTACTGTGAAATACACAGCCACGCATGGGGCTTGGAATGGAAGTGGATATCAATGCAATATCTGCATGCGACACTTCGATCTTCTACAAGGATTGAATCAGCATCTCAACAGACACCGTGGGGACCACTCATAACATTCATCTTTCAACCGAAACTGACCTCTTATTTCTTTTGCACAGACCAAAGCAAGATCTACCACTGCCCGAACGAACAGAATATGCTGAAGGCCATTTCGGGATCTTGCCGACGTCGTGAGCCACCTCGAAAGCGAGAAATGAGACTTTATCAAATACCACAAAATCGGAAGAAGTTGCCTGACATCGTCCGTGGTAACAAGTGGATTTCCTTTTAGGGTGGCTGTTTAAATCGGCCTCCTTTCACTGCCGTCAGAATACAGATGTCGGAATAACGTGTAGGAACAACAGTATACAATGTGCGAGCCAAATAGGCGTTGCCAACGCCCGTGTATATCGAAACGAATTGCTCTAGCTTGCAAGGTTTATGCGACCATATAGGAGACGCTCAACCCAGGGATTGGCTTTACGAGGTAAGTCTCACTGGCAATGACAGACAGTCTCGATAGTTAACCATTCAGCTACAGCGGGCCATATCAAGGCCGGATGTCAGTTGGAGGAATAATATCGGACCATGATGTTTGAGGTCTATGTCGGAGTTTGATATCGGACGAGAGAGTCGGAGACGGTCGGAGCTAAGACGGCTCGCCCAGGACTCGTGTATCGGCCGAAGAGCGGAATCGGGTCCTCCAACACTTGGGACGACAAGTGCTGGTTCGGGAACCCATTGGACGAGCATGAGGATAGCTCCAGTTGATGAGGAGTTGCTGCGGGAAAGGGGAAGGACAGCGGGGGTTGCGGGGAATGTGGGGGGTCCGGGAACAAACGTCTGGATCTGGTTATCCGGCACTTACTTATGTGGACATGTGTATTGTAATCCGCAGTACCAGTCACGACATTTGCGAGTGCGGCCTAGGAAATACCTCCGGAGCGCGTTTGAGGCGGCGGAAGAATACTGGGCTGCCCGTGGCGGAAATATAGCCTGATGTGGCCAGCATAGGTACTTCTGATGGAGCCCCAAGGAGCGGCGTCGGGGGTTTATTTATCAACGCAGACAACATTCTAGACCACCCGATTTCGCACATCTTTGCATCAACAACAGGAACAGAGTGTATGCCGTCTCAAAGTGAACAGCTGCGATTTAAGACGAGTTTATGAGAGAGTTCCCGAGTCTGAAGACAGCAACACTACGCTCTACACTTACCAGACTATAAACGCAGCCGACACTCATCTTCGTGGCAATGGCTTTCCAACGTGAGACTGCGATAACTGCTTTCAATTCCCCAGAGAGTCACGGCGGTTGGGTGTCCGAGAAGAATCGTCGCGCTAACTTTCCGATGCCCTCACTTCGCAGGCCTCGTTCGATTTGTGCCCAAGGGACTCAGCAGCAAGATCCTCATTGGCGAGCCTGTTGATAGCGCCGTCGACGTGGGCGTTGCCGTCCGCAAGGGCTTGGATGTCAAGGTCAAGGTGTTCAGCGGCGCCTCGGTGCTAGATGCCGGCTCAGCCACGGACGAGGTCGCCGTCATCGACCGAGTGCTCGCGCCCCTGACGCAGTCCGAGGTCGGCACCATCCGCTGCATCGGGTTAAATGTGAGTGCGCCCATGCATGTCTTTGCCTTGTCGTCCTTTGCAAGTTCGTAATGAGTTGGGGAGTGAGGGTGAGCATGCTGACAGACTCGACGTGCAGTACAAGAGGCATGCCGAGGAGGCCAAAATGTCAATTCCGGACATTCCGACCTTGTTTCTGTAGGGAATTCTTGTTCGCCCGTGAGAGAGACAGTCTCGGTGAGCTAACAGCGTGCGCCCGCTTCCAGCAAGCCAGCAACGTCGCTCGCCGACCCGTGGCCGGCGCCGACCATCATCCCCAAGCACACGCTCGCGTCGGACACGGCAGACTACGAGTCGGAGCTGGCCATTGTCATCGGCAAGGAGGCCAAGAATGTGTCCGAGGCCGACGCGCTCGACTACGTGCTCGGCTACACGGCCTGCAACGACATCTCCAGCCGCGCCTCGCAGTTCGCCCAGACCCAGTGGTGCTACTCCAAGGGCTTCGACGGCGCCTGCCCCATCGGCCCCGTGCTCGTGTCCAAGGCCCTGATCCCAAACCCCGGCGACCTCAAGCTCCGTGGCATCAAGAACGGGAAGGTCCTGCAGGATAGCCCGTTGACGTGAGTTTTGAACCACCCCATTTCTTCCACCCACCCACCACGGCCCCCCCTATTTCCTTCCCAAAGACACAAAAAGGGGGAAGGCTTCAGGGAAAGACCCGCGCAATGCATCTGTTCTAACCAAGCAACCACAGCGACCTCATCTTCTCGGTCCCCAAGGTCGTCAGCTTCCTGTCACAGGGCACGACGCTGCCCAAGGGCACCGTCATCATCACCGGCACGCCGGCCGGCGTCGGCATGGCCAAGAACCCCAAAGAGCTGCTGCACGAGGGCGACGAGTTCGTCGTCGAGATCCTGCCCCACATCGGCAGCTTGTACAATGTCATGGAGAACGAGAAATAGAGGGCTAGCAATGGGATGGGTTAGTGGTGGCGGGATGAGCGAGCGAGGGTTGGTAAGGAAGTTGAGGTAGATACCTAGGTATTTCTAGCTCAAATATGGACTGACTGGCTGACATACTGCTGCCATCTGACGGACACTGCGTAGCTCTACGGTGTTTCTTCTCTGTCTGAGCGTTGTGTTTTCGAGGTTGGTAGTGTGTGCTCTGGTTTATTACCGCATACACACGCACACTGAATATGTCTTGGTTCATTCACAGCTGTCTAGAGGCGAAAGTAAACGGTAAAGGCGTTCCATTATATAATTGTAATTCTTAGTTAGTTGATACTCTTTCGTTATTTGCATCTTTATTTCTTCCACTCTTACCATATTCCCCGATCGCCATCCAAGCAAGAACAGGGGTTAATTTTGCATATTCCTCTCGTCTCTCATATTCTGCCGTCTTTTATTATAACTCTATCTATCCATTTGCCGATTTAAAGAGCCCTCCTCTTATACGAGAGCATACCGCTTTGAAGTGTAGACTGTGTCCTGGCACCCATCTATCGAGACCACACATATAATGGTTCCCCCCTTCCCCCTTTAATACTGCATTTCTGCCGACTATTCCAGCAATGCCGGCAGGTTCTCCTTGATGTACTCGACCACGGCGTCGGGCCCCTTTGCTACCTGCAGCCCCTGCGGCAGCGAGAAGGTGCGCAGGCTGGGCACCACGCCCTTGGCAATCGCAATAATCTGCCGAGATTCCTCGGGCGTCCACATAGATGCGGTAAACTATATTTTTGTCAAAGGAAAAAAGGGGTAATCAGTTTTCCCTCTCTTATCTATTGTTACTATTCTTGTAGTCGTTGCCAACCCATTGCTTGACCTATTTTGTATATATTCTCCCTTGCGCAATGAATAACTTACGAGAATATCAGGCTGCGCCTCTTGGACTGTCTTTTCAACGTCTTCAATAGCTACAAAGAAAGGGCAGAAGAGGTCCGTGTTAGTCAAGATTGGCAGTCTTTACTTTGATAGAAATAAGTTGGTTTAATAAAAAGCACCGAGGGAGAGGAGAAGAGCTTGCGTACTAGCCGAGTTTGCGGCGTGGATGATAGTGTATTGGCCCTTGACGTCTTCGACGACGCGGCCAATCAGCCTCCTCGCCCGGTCAGGGGCATTGTTGACTGTGACGAGCTTGTAAGGCCCGGTGGGGGTTGGTTGAGCCATATTCGGGGGATGATAGTACAGAAAGGCCAGGTTTGTATGGCTGTTTTATCGTTGTTACACAAGAGACACACATTGGAAATTTGGAACTGGACAATAAGACGCTCATAATTATATATTGCGGCAAATAATGATTCCATTGGCCTAGCCGGTGGCCCAGAAACCTCGCTCGCTCTCAGTGATCCACTGCAATGGCGGGGGGACTGGTGCTGGCGCGGAAGAGACAAGTGATTGCTCGTCGTCCCCCGTGGTCAACATGAGGCAGACGACAGACAGTAAACATGCGGGTTATCGAAGGCCACGGCCAGAGGCATTCTGAGCTGAGACGGGAAAACAGTTTTCCCGCAGGGAATAAAACCGTCAGAGGATAAGGCATCTACCAACGCCACCCCTTCACGTGTCCTGTGTTGGGGCGAAAAGGGGTGGTGGGGGCGGAGAGGAAGGGAAAGGGGGGTGAGAGGAGGGGGTGTTAGCCGAATTCCGAGCCGGTATCCGAAAGCATGTAGCCATGAGGTGTGTGTGATTGGGGTAATGGCTCTGCGATGGTGATGGGATGGCAACTTGAGGTAAGGGGCTAGGAGTGGAAATACCACGGCTTCTTAAGAAGGTATACGTACTATACCATACTATGGTACCTAATGGAAGGGGGGATTGGGAGGAGATAATAATGCCTTGGGCGGCCGGTGTGGTTTCGTCATACCGTCATTTCCCCATATCTGCAGAATAATGATGACAATACATACGACACGACACAAACCAGCCAATGTAAGCTTGCCTTGACGACGGGAGCTGCGGCGAAGAATTAAGCGAGATTTCTTTAGGTTGTGTTACGCAGCTTTGTTGGAAAGTTGAAGACCTAGCAACAGGCGCCAAGGTAATCACCGCACTGCAAGTGTCACACACCGTATTCCGCATGTATTGCAATCTGTTCCTGCCTATTTTGGAACGATTCCGTACAGGGTTAGGGTTGGTCTGGTCACAGCTTAGTACTCCGTGCAGCGCCTCCAATTTCGTGCTGACTCGAACTCGCTGCATTGTCAGCTCAGGGCTGCCATTAGAAAATCGCTCAACCCAGCAGAACCAGCTCTGAATACGACGACAGCCTCAATGTGATATCTGACAAGTCTCGAGTCGGTGAGCGACTCTCTCTCTTACCAAACTCCCATCGGCACCTTCGGATCCAGGCAGCCAAATGCTGCAAAGCTGCAGAGCTGCAGAACGCCCGTCGCCTAAATGTATTCGTACATAAAGCGAATATACCAAGTGCATACAATACCTGCACACAGTACCTGCTCTGTCAGGCATGGTACCTGGGTTAGTCGAGACTTTGGACCGCTCCCATCGCGTCATTGCATGGATGCCTTGGTTCGATCGTCTCTTTCGTCCTTCTTTCCCTACTGAGCCTAACCCGGGGTCTGGCGGCGCCCATGATTGCACCAAACCCGTCACAGGGCTGGCTGGCTCTCCCAGGGCGTTGTCAGCCCGCAGGCGTATCCACTCCCTTGGGTCCAGCAGCTTCGCCGCGCGTTCCCAGTCCCCGACCGCCGACTGTCCGTACCTAAGCATGCACGTGTAGACGGTTTGCAGCAGCATCGTGTCTGCCGCTATCTACACTAGCAGCTCGGGTTCTGCAGACCTAGGCTTGGGGGTAGGTAGTTCCTGCTCCTCCCCTTCCTCCTCTTTCTCCTGCTGTTGCCGCTGCTGCCGCTCGATAAGGACTCGCAACCGGGGCCTCAGACGGGGCCTCAGCTCTCGCGCGTGCCAAAGTTCACAAACCTGCGCCCAAGTCTCCACTCCCAAGGTTCACGGATCCGCTCGACCGTTCGTCATCTGCCGGAATGCGGGCGATATCGGACGACATCGGAGTCGATACCGCACCTCTTTGCCGATCACAACGCCTGGAAACCCACACATGGGCTTCATCGTTCGCTCTCCCTCCCACTCTTCCGTCTTGATCCCCAATCCTGTCCCGCTCGAAACCGGGTTGCAGACATGTGGCGGGTTGCTTTGGTGACTCACGAACAGGATTAATCGCCCTACCTCTCGGGGGGCGTTATGTCTTGGAACTAGCGCTCCTGTCGGTGACAGATAGCTTGTATGTATGGCCGGAGAACAGTACATGCTAATTCCCAAGCCTGCTGTGGGGCATTGCTGCTGCTCAGGATGAAGAAGTCTGAGCGTCTTCAACGCCCAGTGTAGGTAGCCTTTCCCCCACGGATTTTCCGCTTTCGGCTCAGTCACTGCGGCATCGTGTTCCTGTGCCGTTCGTGATGGCGCCATGCTCTCGAAAGCTGGCCAACCCGAAGGGCCCGAGAAGTACTCAAAGGCGAAAAAGGTCAAATCGCTGCCAAAAACCGCCCTTGTTACCACCATGCTGGCGGCAAGAGTTGATGCGAGCTTGCGTGCTTGCTTGCGCCTTGTCAACCTCTTCGCTAGTCAGTCTTCGTTCCAACCACCGGCCGTTCCTCTATCTTCATGAGCGAGGCTTGTGTTACCCAGCCAAGGAACGGACATCCTTCCTTTCTCGTTATGTCGATCTCGACATCGACTGACCGCCGTTGAAACTCGTCAACCATGGCCGACATTACTCGCTCTTCCGATAGGGAAGTGGCATGCATGCTTTCTACGGCTCGCGTCCACATCAATGAACATCTGCCGCGAAGTGTTGCTGTCACCAAATCGGCACTTTTCTTACCATGGCAGACTAGTTTTTGGTTATAGCTGGTTAGGTCGCATCAAGTATTACAACGACCATCCTGACTAGAGCTGTCGATCCCCTGAATATTCCGGTTACGGGCTGCACTAGAAGTTTCTTTCTTCCCACGGTGCATCGACAAAGGTAACCGTCTAGTTGGCTGCGCCTTTTCTGCCGTGCCTATAGCACACTCTCCGCGCAACCCAAATTTGGACATGAAGGTGTAGGGGGCTGTAGGGCAAGTGAAGGTCCCAAGATATGTGCGCAGGCACGTTTCTTTCTCGATGACTTACATGGGATGGGGCATTATGCGCTACCGAGAGGCACCATTGGGCCAATAGAGCAAGAGAGCGACATGCCCAGTGCCGACGGAGGAACGGTTCCGCGGGACGATTGTCGTGGAGTGCAGCTCGCCTCGGCTCCCTGAGCGGCACGTTGGAGAGCAGGTGACTTTGCCAGAGATACGGAAGCCGCCAGGAAGGTCCAAGCCCAGGCAGCCCGACCAGCCGGTTGGCGGCACGGAAGGCCAGAGAGGCACGATAGCGCTGATGGACCTGTTCTCCCCCACGACGCCAGATAACGGCGCCGTGACCCAAAGACCAAAGTCCGCAGATCGGGTTGCCATTTTGGCTGCCGGACGTTACCGTGGGTCGGTGCTCCGGCCTTAGTGAAGATACTTGGACCTTGGCCTACTGTGCTGTGTACATACGTGCACCGCAGGCGTCTGGAATCGTTGTTGAGACACGAGCAAAGAATTATCTTCTCGGCGTTTTGTCGTCCCTGGGCTCGCATGCCGGATGTTGGCATCGGCAGTTGTACGGTACATGCCTGAAGAGACGGTCTGGCATTTTCTATTGGGGCTCCGATTGATGAGGCGTGGTTCTGGATCTCCTGATGGACGAGTTCGGCTTCCAGTCACGTCCTAATTGGGTCCTGGCTTGCACACTCCCTAGGGAAGGGAACGCAGACGTCACTCCCAGCAGGACAGGGGTGTGTCCTGAGCCCTGGAGCCAACAGGGCCCCCCCAAGCCTGGCCCCCCCTCCATTCCCCTCAGCGACCACTCCGCAACCTCAGGATGAGACTGCTGTGCCTCCCTTCCATTTGCAGCGTATCCTGAGGCGCCCAGCCGACCATGCCGAATAAGAAGCTACCCTACCTATTACACACTCGCTTTGCCGGCCCTCATTATCTCGTTAACAGGGGCGGTGTGCCAACGCACGAAGCCCACGCCAAGAGAGAGGCAGACACCGTGGTGGACGCATGCCCCCCGATGGTTGATCATGGCACAGTGAAGGTGAAAGTAATACGGAGTGTGGATGCTGGTTCGCCTTGGGCTTGGCGCATCGGAGGTGCGTTTATGAACGCTTAGCTGCAGTGTCCTCACCGTCGACATTGGAGGTAAAATGATGGGGTTGAAAATAAGTAAGCATCTCGCGCACGCAAGCTGCAAAGAACCAACGACGAGGGGTAGTTGTGCGTCAGAGCAAATCCCTCTGACTTCCTGATCAAGCCGGCTGCGTATGTCGATACATTCAGACCTACACGTATGAACATACATACATTCAGACGCTATCTGCATTCGCTGCAGCGGCCTAATAATAACAAACAGCACGGCCAATTGCCCATGTCAGACGTGCCTGCTATCATCATCAGCCTCACCCCTTTGGCTCACGGCCGCCTAAACGGCCGGCCGGTCTGGCAAGCTCATGGCCGGAAGGGGAAACCGGCACGGCGTACCTTTACAGCACCGTGTGTGCATACGTACTCACATACACCTAGCTAGAGCCAACCTGCCAGCCAGCATGGTTATCAGGGAGTAACGCTGAACGCTGGGTGAGCTGGCGGCCTGGCAGAGCGACCCCTCACCTGCGCCTGCTAAGAGACATGGCTCGCAGCAGTTTTAATCCGAGAATCGACCTGACCTGACCTGAGGTGTAGGCCAGTCACTCCCGCGTAACAACAAGACAGCGGGGAGGACTTGGCGATGGGCAGGAGCTTGACGCCACGACCCTTGGCACCGGCTGCGCGGCTCGTTCCTGGGCGGAAGAGGGGGAGTGGAGTGGAGGGCCGGAGTGCTCCCCTGTGTCGAGTTTGGCTTCCATCTGTGATTGCACGAGACTCTCGACAACCTAGGTGATATCATATCATGGCTGCTCGACCGACAGCACAGCACAGCATAGCACAGCACAGCAGAGCAGGGCGATTCTGTTGGGCAACCCCAGGCCCCACTCTCCACTACCACCCACCCTAACATGGGCGTGACAGGAACAGCTACCACAGGAACAGTGGAAAGTCGAGCGAAAGCCTGATGAAACGGAGATCTCAGCACACCAGCCAAATCGCAGAGCCCAATTCCTCGAGGGCCCACACCCCTGGTGACCACTTGGCAACTCACCGCCGTAGCTGCGGTGTCCCCCTTTTTTGCTTCAAGCTGGTCGCCTTGCCTGTGTCACTGCTGTTACCGTCGCCGCCTTAGAGCTTCTTCTTTTCTAGCGCTCCTCACAGAAGGGTTTGCGGGAAAGGCGGTCTTGGCGGCCTGTAACTTTAATTCAACTGTTTTCCATGCCCGTCTCCTCCACCTCAGTCTCTCGACGCTGCATTATGTAGTACGTAGCACCGAGCAAGGCCCGATGGTGTAGGTACTGTATGTGCGTCGTACATACACACATGCACTGACCGATTGCCCGCTTACAATAACAGTATGGAATGAGTATCATGAGCGTCGCCATGGCCAGGCATGTATTGCAGTACTCCGTATTCGTACCTCCCTACCCGCCTTGCCTTGGGTACGGAGTAAGAGTACGGAGTACGGATACTCGGGTTATTCACTGGACTGCTATATGATGATGTCTCTCCAATGACCTACCTGGAAGCTAACCAAAGGTATGTACATACGGTATGTACCTAACAGGCCTTTGCCGTGCCCGCCGTGCCCGTGCCCGTCCCAACTCTGCTCCGGCCTGTCATTCTCATCAATACCCTACCGGGCCATTCAGTTTCCTACTTGGGGCTTTGACATTTTAGACTCGTGCCCCAACGCCAGCCGCCAAGCAATAACGCTTCGCTCGAGGCCGAAATACTTAAACCCTCTGTCCGCCCTCGCCTTCTCCGTCACCCTCCAGATCGACACCTCGTTTGCTTTTCAAGAACTGAACAACACGCGTGCCCCCCAAGCTTTAGCTGTCTTGCGTATCAGACCCAGACTTGCACACTAGCTCCGCTCCAGCTGTCAAACCCCTTTTTTGGCCCGTTCTAACCCCTTTTCGCTCTTGTTCGAGTTTAAGTTGCCTTCGTACTGTCAACGTCGCCAGCCAACAGGACAGCCTAGTCCACAATACAAAATACACACACCCGCCACAATGGCCGTCAAGGAACACCAAGAGCTCGTCAACTACTGCTGCTCGTTCTGCTGTAGAGCAGTCGACTTCGGCACCCACGACTACTGCCCCGGCAGTGCGCACTGCGCCCGCTGCCCCTACTGAGGATTTGCACCTGCATTGGCCCAGTCCCGCCGAATTGGGCGGGCTGCATGCTAGGGCCTCGCCGCCCGTCTAGCCAACCTACACTAGGCGCATGTAGGCCGGCCGTCGTGCAGATATGGAGCTGGGCTTCGAGCCTGTCCGCCTCATCTCTCTCTCTCTCTCTCTCTCTCTCTCGTCGTCGTCGTCGTCGTCGTTGTCGTTTTGAAACACGCCAACAAGAGAGGGAGGGCGGGGAGGGCCGATCAGTGGGGCGCATTCTTCCCACACGTTTTCTTTCCCACACCATGCATACACACGCATTCGCACGCACATTACGCAAACTCTCTCTATCTCTCTCACACACACACACACCATATTGGAATCGAATCACGCCCCCTTGAGGGGATCCCCCCCGGCTGCCGCCCATCACCCGCAGCCCGCAGGTAGCAGCCCTGTCTCTGTCTGTCTCTTGCTACGGCTTTGCTAGCTAAGCCTAGCCCTGCCGACTGGCTGGCCGGGCTCTGGTTCTTTCTACCTTGCTCTAGCTACTGCCTCCCCCCCGGACAATTCCTCCTTCGGGACCGGCAACGCTGCTGACTCCATTGCCCCCTTGCCCGATAACTAGTGTGGGAGAAGCTCTTCCCAAACGTGCAGCCAACCACTAGGTCCTCCAACCACCCAACACAACGAAATAACGTTCTTGATCGGCCCATGCACATGGCGAAAGAGAGACGGGCGTCCTGTCCCTGTCTCTCTGTCTGTCTGTCTGCTAACTACCCCCGCATGCAAGGCTGATAAGTTCTATCATGCAGCCAACCAAACCAGGCAAGCAGCAGCAAGCGGGGGGGGCTTCATCATCACGATGCCATGGGAATTAAAATGAACTCTGCTCGCTCGTACGGGAGAGAGACAGACAGAAAGGGAAGAAAGTGGCTTTGCTTGATAGGAGTAATCGGGCTTCTCTCCTGTCTGCATCCTTCCAAACATTTATACCCCATCCCATCCTATCACCTTCCCGTCACTGGGCGAGCGACTTCTTGTCCTGCACCAACCCGAAACTGGGCTGGTGAACGGCCCTAACCCCACCTTTCGCCCCTTTGTGTTGGGAATATCTCTTTATTCCTTTTTTTCTTTTTTCTCTTACGACATGTCACATTTTCTTTCTCTTGACAGCGGGATGGCGGTGTCGGGAAACTAGGGACTGGGATTTACTTGCTTGGACAGGGGGGGTGCAAAATGGACTTGGGGGTATCTGTCTTGGGATTGGAGTTGGGATGTCTTTTGTTATTGACAAGGCAGCTCTCTGGTGGCGTTCATCCTTGAGCAGGTCGCTCTGGATTCTGGAAAGGGGGGCTGGCCGGCTTATCATCATTGATTATCATTTCATCGTCATGATTGGGCGTTTTGAAACACTTTTTAGGAGGGAATAATATCCAGGGAGGATGGAGTTTTTTCTCTCTTTCCATAGGTATCTATGAAACGGATATTTGAATTCTACGTATTGCTGTTCTTCCGTTAGATACAGCACATTCACAGACCAGACGAGGTGATTATTACTCGATACGGCACCAGTTCTTCCCCCGCATTTTGGCGAGCCAATACACGCACGCCTTGCTGGCCGTTTTCTATCTAATGCCGATTTCATGATAATCCGACGAGGCTGCTTGGCTTCCTGCAGCAGGCGACTGGGAGCGGTGGCGCTGGTGCTGCTGGTGCTGGTGCTGCCGCCGCCGCCGCCGCCGTCGTCCTGCAGACCCCAGATAGATGGGCTGGGCCTGGCTGGCTGGGCCGGCTGTGCCTCTTTCTTTGCTCGTTCGTTCGTTCCTTTACGTATGTATGTACCTGAGGTCAGGTAAGGCATATGTATATCAATCACACCCACTGCAGCCTCGTCTGTTTCCAGCCTGCAGCAGCATGCAGCCAGCCACCACCACCACCCAGCCAGCAGCTTGCACTCTTCTTTCCCTTTTTCTCATTTCTGGCATGCCCTGCCGATGGATGGATGGATGCCCGCATATCTGTCTGCTTACCTTTTTGCTACTGCTGCTACTTCCACGACGAGAGGTAAAACGAAAGCTCGTTCATGCAAGCAAGCTGCATTCCTCTTCCATTTATTCCGGCCGGCGTTATGAGGTACATATTAGGTGATGGAGGAGGTGGAGGGGATACATACTGAAGATAAATGAGTGAGTTGATTACACACCCCTACCTATTCAGTCGTACATGTATGTAATGTACATACCTTTACAGACACGCACAAACGGTCTTTTTGTTTGACTGTTGAAATCACTCACTTGCATCGTGCAACGTTGACGACGGCGGGCGGACGGGGGAGCAAGGGGGATCAGCCGGGCATCAATCACAAAGAATTTGGCGGTGCCACAACAGCAATGTTGGCGTTTTTTATTCACTGTCGGGTGCATTATCCATGTTCTGTTCTGCTGTCCCTCGCCGGCCTCGTCCGAGGACGTTCCCGGCCGGCCCGCGGCGTTTCGACGTTACCTAAGCTCACGTACCTTAGGTAGGACCCTGTGCATACTTGGAGAAGGCGTGTGCTGTACGAATAATGTACATCAGGTAGGTACACACATACGCCCGCGCATGTGCCGAGTATGTGTGCGGTCGCTAGAGGTTTGGGTTCGAGGCTGTGGGGGTGGGGGGAGTAAGCAGTGATGTCTGTGCGTCCAAATGGTCTGTCTTTTCCCCTTTCACTTTGCTGGGGATTCCCATGCGTGCGAGAGACGGAAAACAGAATAATCAACAAGTATCCGTACCGAGTACTGAATCCTTGAACCCAAGCAAGGTAGCAGAGGGGCGGGGAGGGAGGGAGGGGTGTGCATGAGTGAATGAGGGGCAGAGTTCAGTCTGTGCTGCAGCAACAGCAGATTCAAGCTCACTGCTTGCAGCAAGCAGACAAAAAAAGAAAGCAAACATCGCATCCATCCCCCTCCAAAAGTGTAACTCTGGTAGTGTGGGGAAGAAGACGCCGCCCTGCTGCTGCTGCTGTGTTATTCGACGCCTTTCCACAAGGTAGGTACCTATTTTCATGTCCCGGGCGTGCCTGCCCGCCTGTTCCGTAATTACCTCTACACACTTTCGGCCTACTGGTACGAATTACCTTACTTGCCTTACTCCATCCAGTACAATGTTTTGATTACCTGGCTTATCTCGGGTGATGCCTGGTGATTAAATCCGCGTAGGGAAAAAAACGAGGAGGTTTAGCCAACCCTGTTTGTATCCCCGGAGAGACTCGGCGTCGGGGTCGGTGGCGGCGGCGGACGGAGGTTGACGTGGCTCTGTGCAACCCTGGCAGGGCACATACATACAACCCTGGAGATCATGCCTTCAATGTATATGCCTACATATGTACGGTGTTTTATATACGGAAGAGGGCAGCAGCTCTGGGCGGGCAGCGGTCCACGACATATGCACAACTTCGTAAATGGACAGAAAGAAAGCGAGGCGGCTCCTTTCTGGTCCCCTCAGGTTGGGGAGGGGGGCTGATTGTTGTGTCACGGGGGCTCTCATGAGATTAGGAAAAGTATCCCCGGCTAGTTATTGTTATTCGTCTAGAGAGAGAAGACCGGCGAGCTCCGTCCTATGCACACAAGACATTGTAGATTACATACAGCAGCACATACCGCCGATCACTCAACAAGGCGACGTGGTTTCAGATTATAATGTCATGATATGTGCGCGGCGGAAAGAGCTCGCTCGGTCACCGCGCTGTCTGACAGGTGACATGTACAGCGGTCGAGGTAATCCAGCGAAACCGAAACCGAAACCGATGAAGGCCCGCTCGCTTCAAGCTGTTGTCCGTGAGCCCCGAGATGATGCAAATCCACATGCGCGCCGACATGGAGATAATTGAGATACCTACAGACGACGGAAGAATGCACACATATCTACAAACGTATAGTAGGCACGGCTTGTGGATTACTTACTGTTGTACCCACTTGCCCTTGCATTTTAGGTACTGTACCGTTAGTAGTCGAGATCGGGAGTGGGGGAGGGGTCTCGTCAAACGGTCGGGGAGGACGGATAGCGGATGGACGGACAGCGAAGCCCCCCCACCCCAACTTTGGCTGGTGTGGCTGGCTGCCTTGTCCTAGAGGACGTACTATGGTTGCAAGCCAAAAAAAAACATACTCATCATACCATAGCATGTATGTACCTTTCGTTGGCTTCTCCAAAAAATGACCCGTCACTTTCTCGGACTGTCTCTTCTCACTTACGAGGAGGAGCTATATGCATTCAATATTCCAAGGCTGAGGTCAAGAGATATCCGTCGACGACCAGGTTGGGAACTCTTGTACGACAAACAAGAAGGAGGCGGAAATAAAAGAAAATAAGCCAAGAAGAACAAAATACTAACTACATCAGCAATGGTAATAGTATTGTGACTGTCAAAACTCCGGTACGCCCTATGTTCTCTCTGAACAAGCAAAAAAAAAAAAAGGAATGGTATCATGGCATTCGGGGAGGTGTTACTACCCCGAAACAGAACATAAACGGAAGAAAGGAAAAAGCCAACTTGCGCGCGAAGATCAATGCCGCCTTCGATCTCTTCCTTCCCATGCCTCCCACCCAAAACACCAACAATCCGACACGTAAAAGAAAAAAGTGCAAAATACACCCAGCCAGACCCAGGTATGTAAGGCGGGTAGTAGCCCTTCCCCAATCATCGACCCGTGCCGTAGGATGCTTCCCCGTGCGTAGGTGCGTGGGTGCGTGCCTTTCAACCATTTTCCCTAGTAATCCGGGTAGGTAAGTTAGATAGGTAGGGAGTTATTCATCCATCCATCGCTTCCTCCCTCCCTCTCCCCTGCTCCCCACAACCAAAAATTCCCTGCGTGTTGGTGACGGCTCAGATTGGATGGATGTGAGGGAAGGGGGAGGATTGCGGAAGGAGGGGGCGGCGGCGCCCTGTGAGTTGACGCAAAAGTGGTCTGATGGCACCTTGATTGCCCTTTTAGCTACAGGCCTGCTTGTTGCTTCCCTGGTTTTTTCCCTCTCCGTTTTCATCTCCGCCTTATATCCCTATTTTTTGTCCTGTGGATGACGGGAACAATCATACAAACAACACACACAGACTCGCACACGCACGCATATATAACTCACACACACCATATATGCAAAGAAGCTCGGCGTTCATCCCCAAAATGGGGATGGAAAAGGGGGGCGGCTAGTACAGCGTGAGGAACACTGCAGCGATCGCCGACTTGTCGTATTTGACGTACTTTCCCTTGCCCTTGTCGATCTCGTGATAACGGTCCCAGAAGCGGTTGTAGAGGGGCTCAATCATGTTCTGCATGTCCTTGGCGAACATCTGGCGCACCTCGCGCTCCATGCTGTACTGCTTGTGGCGAGCCACCATGTCGTCAAAGCTCGTGTTGAAGGCCTGGAACTTTGACTTGATGTTCTCCTTGTCCTTGGAGCTGAGGCTCTTGAGGATTGACGCCGAGTCGACGGCACCTTGGCCCGACGCCGGGCGCCCGCCGCCCCCGCCCCGGCTCGTGTGGATCACGTCGAACAGGTGCACGCTGATATCCTTGCACGTCTCCGTGTACAGCGTCGTGCCCTTCTTGCGCCACTGCTCCAGCACCTGGAGCCGCGAGTCGAGCAGCGCTGCCAGATCCGAGTTCTGGATCATGCGCTCGATGATGGTAACGCTGTTGGCCAGGAACACGCCAATGGGCGACTTCTTCTGGAGCAGCACCCTCGCCCGCGCGTCCAGCGCCACCATGAGCACGTCGATCGTGTCTGTGCAGTAGTGCGCGAAGATCTCTCTCCCATCCGCGCCGATGTCAAACGAGGCGAGGCTGGGGATCGCGTCTCCTGCCCCACCCCTGGATGCGGCAGCCGACTTCCAGCCACCATCGCCGAGCGAGACCATGATGCTGGATATGGGCCGCAAAAAGTCCACCATAGACTGGAGCCTCTGTATCGTCTCCGAAACCACTGGAATCGGCGCCCCGTCCGGCGGGAGCGTCTGCAGGCCGCCGACCTTCCGCTTTGTCTCCTCGAGGAGCTCTGCAAGAGACGACTTGGCCGTCTCGCGGACCGGTCTCAGGGACGCTGCAAGCGAGCTCTTCAGCTCGCCTGTCCGGCTTTCGAGGTTGTTGGACAGGCTCGAGACAATCTCGACAATCTCGTACGCCAGGTAGCAGTCTGTCGGCATATGGGCCTTGATATGGTTGTTGAGTTCTCGTAACGTGCGCCCGAGCTCCACCAGCGCGGGCTGGCATGTGGCCTGGAACACTTGCCCCCAGTCCTCCCTCGTAAAGATGCTGCAGATGTTCTCGTACTCGGCAAGGAAGAGGCCCTCCATGGCCTGTGCGTAGGTCCCGACGCCGTTGGTGCCAGCCCTGTAGATTGCGTCTGGGTTCTTCTTCTTGGCTGTGTTGGCACTCGCCGCAGCCAGGTTCACCAGGCTGGCCGAGAGGTATTGCGACCGAACCTCGGCGTAAATGCGAGCAACCGGGGATTCCTGAGCCGAGCTCCCCGCGCCCGTGTTTTGCTGGTGGACGACGGAGATGTGCGAGTTCATCAGGCCCAGGCGAGCAATCTTGTCCTGCGACAGTATGGGAAACTGCTTGCTCTTTGTGACGTAGTGCAACGGCTCGATAGACCGCGGCGTCTCGGTCCGCAAGAGCTTGTCGAACGAGGCCTCGAGCTGTGTGTTGCCCGACTTGACAAGCCGCTGGAGGTCGGTGACGGTCTGCTGCGTGGATCGAATGTTGGAGGCCTTCATCTCGTTGAGGGCCTTGGTAAGGCGCTTGATGGATGCCAGGTAGCTGGATAGACCGGCCTTGTCGGGGCCCATGCGGATAATCTGCTCTTCGTCATTTTTGCTGTCGACGGGCTGGCGGAGCCGGTCGATGGCGGCGAGAACCGCCTCGATGTCTGCACGAGCGCATTGGTTAGCTAGTTGGCCCTGCTATTCCCCTCCTATCTATATCTGCTTGCTCTGCGTAAACTTCGGATGAGTTGCGGTGAAACCGTGGGAGACGGGACGCACTACTGCCTAGCACCTGAAGCTTCTTGGTTTCGCCGTTCAAGGGCCCGGCGACATCGCGGACGCTCTTGCCCGTGGCGTCTAATCGGCTAAGGCAAGCCTGTATTTTCTTGGTCAATTGCGCCGTCTTCTCAAGGCGCGAATTGAGCACGTCGACCTCGGCGCGGGCCTCCTCGTCGGCGGCGGCGCGGCCATTGTTGAGCCCGACAGCCATGCTTCGTGTTGGCGATGGCGAGAAGAGATAACCCGGCCGACTGGGGGAGAGGAGTTTGGTGGAGGTGTTAGCCTCCATCCTGCGTGCAGGGTGTCGCTGGGGCGGGGCTTGGCTGAGGTGGGGTGTCCTAACTCCTAACTTTGACTTTGACCGGGAACCCCAAACTTCAATCGTCAATCGTCACTGCCTCAGCAAACAAGTGGTACATCCAATGCTATAATAAGTAGGTACGGTACAGAGAACGAACAGGCTCAAGACGAACAGGCTCAAGATTGACTGGGACTAAAGACAAGGAAAATATGTTCATTTTTGTACGGAGTATTCGATACTTAATGCCCCAGACTAGATTACACATTCATATTAGGGTAGTTTCAGTCCATTCATATTAAAAGGACGGATAAAATGGCTGGGACTTGATCGTCCTCGTTCCTGCCTCGCGGGATATTTGTGCCGAGTGCGGCTTCCAAACTTCAAGGGAAGAGACACCGGATACGTGAGCCGAGACCCCGGGATGTTTGAAGGAACCTTATTGACACGTCAACTTAGTTGCTCTTTTTCGCCCCCCGTTCCCGGTTCCTTGTCTTTCCTTTTTCAATTCTCACGACTGTTAACTCATCGTAATATCGAACTACACTAAAAGGGACATGACTTGACAAATGATTGTGCCTGCTGTTGCCAGCCCTCCCTCTCTGTCTTGTCTTAGCTGCCGATAACAACCGAACAAACGAACGACACCCGATTGCCGAAGGGGGAGCCGAAGCCGAAGACGGCGACGCACACGCAACTCAATTGGCTCTCATCACAGGTCGGCCCGAGAATACCAAACAATAAATATGGAACCCTGCCTCTCAGTTCGTATTGTGGGCGGCGAAAAAGTCGCCAATGAGCCGAGCTACGATGTTGACGATGGTCTCAATCTCGGCAACGCCGACGTTGTAGGCTGGCGAGATGATGATGTGATCTCCCCGGACTCCATCAGCCGAGCCACCGCCCGGGTACACGCCAATGCAGTACCTCTCGGTTAGCCCTAGCTCAGCAAGAGACATGGCGACGTGGTCTTGGACAGGAAATGGCTCCTTCGTCTCCTTGTCGGCAACAAACTCGATGCCCCAGAACAATCCTCGGCCTCGAATGTTGCCCACGTTTGGGTGGCTCCCAAGGGCCTCATTCAGCCGCCGTCCGAGCAGTGTCCCCATTTCGCGAACGTTGCGCACCAGCCCTTCTTCTCGGACAATTCTCTGCACTTCGAGAGCTGCTGCGCACCCACTTGGGCTGCCTTGGTACGTGTGGCCGTGCACGAAGACTCTGAGACCACCAGGGAAAGGGGGGTTAGTGGTCAGCACGCACTCGCCCCGCCATGGGCATTTCATGGATTGCGCACTTACGAGGTGCCTTGCTCTATCGCCCTCACCACGCGATGGTTGGCGAGTACGCCAGCAACAGCCTGGTAACCGCCGCCGAGGGCCTTGCCGATTGTCTGCACGTCGGGCACGACGCCTTCTTGCTCCCACGCATGCAGGCTGCCGGTCCGCCCCATGCCGCACATAACTTCATCAAGAATTAGAAGGGCACCATACCTCTCACAGACAGCCTTGACAGCCTTGAAATATCCGGCCACAGCTGGAACGCATCCGAGCGCCTGCACCAAGTGTTGCAGTCAGCAGTCAGCAGCCAGCATTCTCGGTCAGAACCTGAGGTTGTATAGTGAAGGTACTCACAGCCCCCACCACAGGTTCGGCAATGAAGGCACAGACGGTCTCTGGGCCGACTCTCTGGAACTCTTCGTCCAGCTCCCTGGCCAGTCTTCCAACGTAGTCCACATCCGTCTCGCTCGGCGTCTTGCCGCGAAACTCGAAGCACGGCGACACCCTGGACGTTTTCGTCATTAGGAGAGGTTCGAAGTTTGCCCGTCGGTATTCATGCCCCGAGACCGCCAGTGCACCAAGAGTTATTCCATGGTACGACTGCCTTCGGGAGATGAAGTGGGTTCTAGCTGGCTGCGGCGGGCTGATCTCGAGGAAGTATTGTCGCGCAAGCTTGATAGCTGCCTCCATGGCTTCGGAACCTTTGGACGAGTTAGCTTTCACCATGGCCATGCCACGCCGGTACTTGGACTGCCTGGAGCCTCTCACCCGAGTTGACGATGTAAGCCCGCGCCATGTGCCCCTTCGTCGAGTCTATCAACTCGTGGCAGAGCTCCTCCTGGACCCTGGTGGAATAGAATATGGTCGCGCAGTAGGAAGATTGTCCGAGCTGCTTAGAAACTGCCTCAATGGCCCTCTTGTTACCCCAGCCGATACACCCGACGGCAGCCCCCCCTGACGCATCCAGGATCTTCCGGCCATCATTGAGGTTCAGATAGTTGCTCTCTGACAGGGTCAGGAGAGGAAACTGAACGCCGAGATGCCTGTGAAGTACGGCAGACTGCTCCATTGCCTTCAAGTTGCTGGTGTCGTTGGTGTCGTTGGTGTCGCTGGTATCAACTGTTGTGTCGACTTCCATCAGGACAGAAGTCACAATAGTTGTCAGGCGCTGATGCCCAAGCCCCTCCTTCTATTTGTATATGGAATGAACAACAAACATGGGCTTTGGCTGGCTACACAAGAACACTATGCCTACACTAGTCCATTCCATCGGGAGGGGCCAATGCGGGGCGGGCAGCTAATCTTTCCATCCCATGCCGGCACGACTCCCTATCGGGTACGTAGGGCTTACTTCGCACGGCAATAGAGACGGACGACCGTTTTTGGTCGCGAGAACGGGGGTGGCTCTGCGGATTTGGGCATGATTCGCTGGTCTGGACGCTGCACAGTCCACTAGTCGAGCTCACACTCCTCGTGACAGGGCGAGAGGGGGGTCCTCCGGACCGTCCCCCAGAGCAACGGCGACAACAGAAAGGGAAGATTATCTTGCTGAATTCACCGCCCTTGGTATTTCCGTGAGTTTAAAGGGGAGCAGTTGCTCCTTAACACGTGAAATCTACCTTCTACGGTCTGGCCCCTTCAAAGCCGAGTTGTCGTTGCTGTTGCGATGGCTCTGTTTAAGCCCCTTTTCCGGGGCTAGTGGAATTCTCGACTAGGGGAGGGGTAGCCAACAAGAACTGAATTCCGGCATCCCGATCTCGGGCCCTCAACTCTTCAACCCATGTTCCCGAAGGCACGAAGTGCTTGTCAGCAGTCGACTCCACCACCCACCTGCATTCCCTGATCTGCTCTCTGCACCTTTCAAACCGAACTAAACCCAATCCGCGTCCCTTGAAGTCCCGTCACAGTCCTTTTGCGGGAGGATGCGAGTGGCACAGACAGTACTCTCGGGATGCGACACTGTCCTGTCCTAGCCAGGTTTCCTTTTCATGATTCGAATCCGATGTCCAAGTTAGCAGCCAAGTTACTGGTGTAGGCAAACACAGCCCTCCTTCCTGCTTGCCTGTCACCAGCCTACCGGGGCATTTGTTGTGAGTCTAACTCCGACGACAGAAAGCAAGAGGGTCGGTTCCCTTTCTTCTCTCTGCTTAGCGCGGTAGGGTATGCGCGTACTCCCCATATTCGGTACTCCTGTGGTAAAGTCCAATTGCGATCGTCTTGTTGCCAAACATGCCATTCCAGCATCATGTTGGCATTATCATTCATCATATTTTTTAGTAGCATTTCCTCTAGCTATATCGACCAATGCTATCCGCAGCACCCATAGCCACAGGTTTCCTTGGTTCCTCTCAGCCCAATCAGGGCTGGTACACTTTGGATGCCCCTAGTCTCTGACTAATCACCTATCCTAGTCAAGGATTATGAGTCGATCATTCTCTGCAGTCGATATTCGGTATTTCTTTGGTTCTTTGTTTGATCGAAATTCGTGCTCACGGCTAACGGTATTCTCAGATTTTAATCACGCGCCACGTCTCGAGACCGAGCGTCTAGCCTGGCTCCTTGTCTCTAACCGGATATTTGGACATCTTCACGACCGTTTGCTGCCCTTCTCGAGGCATTTGTTTATCGGCACCCCGCCGGACAAGTCCGAGACGGCAACAGTATAGTGTCCCCGGCATATCAGCTCACATCTCTGTTATGTAACCTCATTCACTTCCTAATTCTTGTTATTTTAATCACAGTGCCGACCGCCATCGCTGTCCCATCCTCTCATCAGACCACCTACTTCAACAAGTTTTGTTCCTGTGATATCTCTCTGGTTCTATCGACCTTACTAGCAGAGGTAACACTGATATCTTCTGTCAATGGCAACTAACGTAGGATTGGGCTCGGCGTCTTCAACCCTCGCCTCCTCGGTATGGTATCAACCCTAACAGCTTCTTTCAAGCACCCATCAAGCACCCATTTCAGCAGATGAGACAGCATTAGCATGCTATACATTCTGTGACGAAACTGAACTACCACGCCCTTCTACCCCGTCAGATGCCCTGTGTCCGAATCAGGGCTGGCCTGGTCAGTTCGTGCATATATGCATAGAAACTTGCTCATTCCTTGTGATGTCACAGAGCATTGGTCGGATCGGTCCCGCAACAAGCCATGGCTAGCCGATTTGGGCACCCCCGAGCCGCAACCACTACTCGAGCACATCATCCTGACCAGTTTGGCCAGAACTTGAAATGCGCACCACGTCAATAACCCTCTCCCAGTTCTTGCCAAGGTGAATGTCTGCAAATCTTGCTTTGCCATCTATCTGTCTGCCGACTCGACAGCCAAGTGTTATCGAGAACTTGGATAACACTGGATGTGCGGTTCCTTGAACGGTCGGCAGTCTAGGCTCCGTCGTCCCCCACGCACGCGGGGGTGAGAAGACGTCAATGGAGGGTCATCCGCGAAAATCTCGGGCAGCATGGCAGTGCAAATGCCCAACACGAATGTTAATAGGACAGGACATAGATGTCGTGGAAGAGGGAGGAAAAGAACAGATGTCAGGGGATTTTCCCGAAGACGCTTCGAAGCGCGGTGATGATACCAGACAGAATACGAGACAAGTTCTCAACTCTTCCAAAGGTACCCGGAAAGAGGTCCAGATTCAATGCGAACTTGCGAGTACGCGGCTAGAGAGAAGTCTCTTTGGGTGGTATTGAGCGGCTCGTCCCGGATTCTAGACCTAGCAGGGATTCTGGGAGCTCCCGTTTCCGACTTGTCTACCGACGACGATGTCGGTTGAGGGTACACCCACACCTGTTTGCGTTTTAGTGCAATTCGCGGCAACACGAGAATGGTTGTGGACAAATATTAGGCGAATAGCTGTTAGCTATTGACCTGTGGTCGCCTGCCAGTCACGAGGCGGCTGTCACAAACTGACTTGGTCGATTAAATCGGTGTCGTAGTTTACGTGTTTACCTATCGATCGTCACTCCTTGTTCGGCGGAAACAAACGCCCACACACCTCTTTAGGCACTCTTTTACATGGCCTAGAAGAGTCTTTTCGAGTTTGCGCTCTTCCGGATTAAGTCTTAAGTGCTTCTGCGTTTTAAGCTACGCTTGATATCCAGGCGCTTTTCAGGTCCTAAATAGCTAGCCTACATCCACTCCCACTTTTTCTGTCGCATGTAACCGATGGAATGTATAGGGAGGTAGCCGTCTCGAGGCTAGCTTTGCCCTGTTAACTTTAAAAGATAACCGAAGATGTGACAGTAAGACGGGCATATATGCAGCCGCCAGCACCTAACCCCGGCGACCCTTGGCCTGACCACCCATTCGTCTCCTCTCCTCAGCCACTCGAGTGAGCCAGGGACGGAAGAGAGAAGAGAAGACCGCGGAGAAGAGAAGACCGCGGAGAAGAGAAGAAGAGACGAAGAGGCATGCAAGCGACAAAAGGGGACGGGGAGAGGAGGGGGGGAGTGCGACTTGCGCTCTCCTCAGTCCTTCGTCGTCATCTATCTAGTCAGAAACCATTGCTTCTCCCTCCTGACTTGTTCGAGGCCCCCCCCTCTTCTTCCAGTCACCACAGCCTGGGCTGGTTGGCCCTCCCTCTCTGCGGTCCATCTGTGATCGCGTCGTGTTCGTCTCGTCTGTGTGTCTGTTCCCTCATAGTCATCGTCCTCGTCGTCGCTCTCATCTCCTCTCTTTCCTCCTATCTGCTGTTCCATTTCCACGCCTTCCACCTCACTTCGAATAAGACAAGAAAACAAGAGGGACTACCAACCACGCTTGAAAACCTACTAATATCGATCTTCCTGGCAATAGGAAACAGCAACAGCAACACATCTGCCCTAACTCTGTTGAGCCCGTGTCCCTTTTCTTTTCCCTCTCGTCCTCTGGCTTTGACAAAGAAGGGCTTACGTAGGCCAGGCGACAAACATATCTTCCAAAATGTGTATTCGTGTCCACCTCACCAAGTCGTTCAGTTCTTGAGCTTTCTTTCCTTGCTTCCTTCCTTCCATACCTTCTTGCCATGCTAACCGACGTTTTCTCAGTCGACAGCTAATAAATACTGACTGTCTGGTGACTGCGGCGTCACACACTCAACACGGCCGCGCTCCGCCTTGGAAACACGTTAAAATTGCCGACCACGGAGACAAAAGAACACGAGAGAGAACAGCAGCGGACAGGGGTGGGCAACGAAGCTTTTAACTCAAATTTATGACGCCCCTAAACTTGTCCTGTATGTCTGGTATGTATTATGATAGTCTAACTGTCAACATCCCCCAGACCTTCCCCGCTCGGCCACGGCCAAATAAATCCCATACTATTCTGTCAGTCAGCCGGTGTTGTGCTGTGGTGGTCGAGCTCCCTCTGAGTGGGGGCACTGATGGTATGCTTTCATCCGTCCGTTTTCTCACAAGACACACCTCCATGCAAGGCAATGAATAGCATTCCTTATTTCGGCATATTTGTGTATTTCAAACCGGAAAGAGCAGAGTCCGGCCCTAGGATGTTGCTAGGCCGGTAAGAGCTTCTTGAGCCGTATAGCCCTTACCCCCACATGCTCAAGCTGAATCAACTGCTATCTTTATGCATAGCTGACAGCACTTCTTCACTTCCATGCGCTGAGCCCAGACCAAGGATCTGCTTGAGCCTGGGCTTGCTGATGTGACGAGGGCGGCCTCAACGCATTTGCGTTGGATGAGTAGTAATCGCCAGAGTTATAATGAACAGTCTGCTGGGGCCCTAGCGGCGGAGGCCCTGGAGGGGGCGGAGGAGGCACAAACCCAGGCGGGACATAGTTGGCTTGTTGCTGTTGCTGCTGCTGCTGGGCCGCGGGGTTCCCATATGTGCCGCTAAAGCGGCCGGGTGTCGGTGGCTGCTGTTGCGAGAAAGTGGTCTGGGTTGGAGGGGGTGACGCGGGACCGTGTCTTGTCCCGATGTTGAATGTGGATTGCGTAGCCGGAGGTGAGGCCGGGCCCGGAATGCGGCCAAGAGAGCTGGGGTTATACGACAAACCGTTGTACCCGCTCTGGCTCGACTGTTGCATGAACGACTGCGGCGCACTTGTCTGGGTTGCCGGGGGTGAACTGGGCAGCTGGTATTGCCCGGCGAAATTTGTCTTGGGGTACTGGGGGTTCGACGTGCTGAAAACCAGCGGCGATGGAGTATGGCGTGCCGGCTGCTTCTGTGGCGAGGACGAGCGATCCATAGTCATGCGCTCCATCAGCCCCCGTAACCGTTCCTGTTCCAGGGCCGCTTGCGCGCTCTTGTTGGCTGCCCGTTCCTTCTCGATTTGGTTCAAGAGCTGGGCGCCTTCCGACCTCCTGTTGTTGACAAAGGTCTCGACATTCTTTTCCAAGCTCTCGACCGTCTCCTTCATCTCCTTGTACCAATTCTTTGCGCTTTGGAGGCCAGATTCCAGATCCAGAAACTCCTGATAAGCCCGCTTGTACTTGCTGATCACGGCGGCCCTTTGCCTCTGGATCGACTCATACTTGCTCTGCTCGGCACGGACGCGCTTGTCTTGCAATAGACTGTTGAAGGCTACCGTCAGCTCCCGCATTAAGGCAGCCTGCTTATGGCTGGCCTGAACCAGCCGGTTTTGGTGAGGTCGATATTTCTCAAGCTCGGACTGGAATAGCTGCTGTTCATAGTTGGTGATGGTCTTCTTGTTCAGAATCAGGATTTGGGATATGTCGTCGTTATGGGCCTGGCCTCCTGTCAGTCTGGTGGTGCTCGTAGCAAAAGGAGATTGATTAGGCTGCAACATACCTTCTCCTTCAGGTCCTTCAGCACCTGAAGCCGCTCTCTCTTGATGAGGTTTAACCGCTTGAGAATGTCCTCAACCTTTGCGATCTGGTCGACTACGCTCGGGCCCGCCTCGTCAAAGTCGGCGTCCAAAAGATTGGGCTCGCCTCCAGCAGGACTGTTGGCATTGGATTTCCGGCCCCTGTTGACTGCCCTTTGGAATAAATCGTCAATTTCTCCGCTTTGCGCCGCGAGGCGCATCTCGTCAAACTCGGTCTCGTTTGCCCGCATTTTCGTGGCAAGCTGACCGTCGCTCCTCGACGCCTCCTCCAGGGCCTCTCGATAATTTCGAATGTCGCTCCTCAGCGTAATCGTGAGCCGGGAGCTTGGCTGTTGTGTCCATTCCGCATCATATTTCGACCGCATCTTCTCGCAGACGCTCTCCTCCATGTCCAGCTGTTTCGTACTCTTGTCCAAAATAGTGACTATTGACTGCTTTTGTAGATTGAGCCCCTCGATTATCTTGCCGGGATTTTCGTGGTCCGTCACGTCAACACACCACGTCCTGAACTCGTCGTCTGGGAGAACCTCTTGATCAAAGCCCCCCTTTAGAACCTGCAGTGCACCCGGCAACCTTAGATAGTCGAGGCTGGCCGCCATTTCACTGTTTGCGATATCGACTCTCTCTGTTTCCGCTCTTACTAGTTTCGCCTTTTCCTCGTCATACAAACTGGCAGACTCGGTCACGGCCAGCGGAACTATCTTGGCAAACAGATCGGGCCCGGTAATCCTCTGGATATCTTGCCCGGCGTATAGCTCACTCACCGGGATCGGCTTGGCAGCTGGTAGCTTGGCTACAGGCGGCACGCTAGCTTCGGCGGGCACAGGCTGGTGGTAGATGTAGTCGTTGTCCTTGACGAGCTCTCTCAACTTTTCCTGCACCGCCACCAGGTGTCTCTTGGTGTAGTCTGCCAAGATAAAAGGACAATCCGCGGTTAGGTTTGAGTTGGGCGGTATGGAACTGGGAAAGTTGCTAGCTATCTTGTTCGACTCTCGGGCGAAGCTCTCCGCCACCTGGAGCCGCGCAATGGCCATGCCGTGCGAGTTTGCGTCGTCGTCGGCAAGTGCCTGGTAATATTGGGCCATAGAACTCATCAAGCTGAACTTGGACTATTTCCCCCTACCTGTTAGTCTCAACGAAGCGTGGGGCGTATGCGCCACGCCAGGAAGCACCGAGACATACCTGTACCATCAACAGCCACACCTTCTCGAATATGGCCTTATTGACGTTCTCCTGCACCCCTTCGACCGCCTGTCCGTAGAGGGTGGCTGCCTGGCTCGACAGCTTCGCGAGTAGGCCAACCTTTTTCTGGTCTGCAATCTGCTTCTCGAGAAACACTTCCTGCGCCTGGGCCAGCATGACGCTGATGAGCGTCTTTACCGTCTCTCTGCTCAGATCCGACGAGGGCGCATGCAGGAAGTTCTCGTTAATGTAAGTGAACATGCCGGCCGACGCCTGAAATGAGTGGTACGCCGTCTTGAGGCCCGACTCCTCGGTCCTCGACTGGTTGGCGGCATGGCACGAGAGCACGGCCGAGATGTTGAAGATGATGGAGGCCTTTTCAAAGGCTAGCGAGTGCTGGGCTGTGGACTTGTGGGTAAATGCATCGAACCTGGATAGCCGCAGCAGTCAGAATACAAGACACAACGAAACATGGCAAGGCCCTGCCCGCCTCGCATCCGCGTAAAGGGGCAGGGTAGGAGAGAGGTGCAGGTTACCAGGTGAAGGAAATTTTTATATGCTGCTCGTCGATCGGAAAGCGTAGGTCCAGCAGCTCGAGCTGGCCGTAGTAGCGGTATAGCAGGTCCCTGCCGGCGGTGCTGTCCTTGCCGGCGCCGCGCATGTCCTGGCGTAGGCGGTTGAGTGTGGCGCACTCTTCGGCATAGCGTTCGGGCTCGTCGCCGTACGTGTTCTGGATGTATGACTTGAGGGGAGTGACCCAGTCGATCTCGTTGGTAGCCTTGAGGGGCACCGAAATCATGGGCGCCTGCGCCATGGTGGGCGGCAGCGGTATGCAGGCACAGACGGTTTTTTGCCTGTGAGACTTGGGGAGGTGGCGACACGTTAGCAACCTCGAGCAACGGCGGGCGTGCGAGCGGGCTTGCTTGGGCGTGCGTGGACTTGGGCTCGGGCTCTGGCTCGGGCGCGGGGTTTCGCACTCTTTGTAGGCGTCCCGGCTGTCTCCCGCAGACGAGGAGTCACCCAGGGCGCGCGCGCGTTCGAGATATTCCGGACCGGAGCGGTGTAAGATGGTTCGTTCGGTTTTTGTTTGCCAACTGTTCGTGTTGAGTCTTCGAGTTGGTAGATGTGGTAGGTGGGTGTGGTGTTGGAGAGAGATCCAATGTCCCGCACTGTTTGGGCGCCCAGTGAGGCGGGGTCGTTCGACAGGGCAGGCAGTTAACTACCTAAAGGTAATGCAATTTACCCAAGAGCTACCCTGTGCCCCTAGGTCCTCGAGCTATCCGGCCTTAGGTAACCTTAGGTTAAGGCGCTGAAGTCAACCACCTATCAAGCCGAAGCGAGGTCGAGTTCGGTCCCAGCGCGACGGGCCCAGGCGAGACGGGACTTGCCAATTGTTGGGGGCCTGCCTAAGTCTAGGGGTGGGTGTGTGATTTGCGGGCGCTACGTAGGTACCTAGTAGGTGTGTACGAATTAGGGATGGGACGGGAGTCAGCGGGAGCGCCTCTGGATTCGAACATCGGGTTGAGTGCGCAGGCCACTCGGCATTTACTGAAACCGCAGGTCGAAATCGGAAGGAAGCTTGTTTGCAACCTACCATGGCAATGCCGGGCGGGACGGCAACGTGTCGAGTTGATATACCTAAGGTAGGCAAGGAAAGTTGGCAGATGCGGGAAAGCAACAGCGGGACTGGAACCCGCTGTGACGGCTTCCAGTTTGGGATGTCTTTTACTTTGTATTCCGTACAGGGCAAACAGTGCAAGTGAGTGAGGTGCAGCTGTTCCCAGGTCAAGGGTTGGTTGCAGTGCTTCCATGGATGATGGTGCTGTTAGTTTCTTCGCCGCTGGGGTACCGTAGCTAGGTCAATGCTACTAGTAGTGTAGCTGCCGAGTCCCGCCATTTCTTGTCTTTGCCACATCACGACATGTAGCTAGATCTGCGACTATGCGCGCTTGATAAACCGTCAAGCGCGCTTCACGCCAGCTTGGGACCAAGAGACAATTGTCCTCTTATCGTTTACACGCTTCTGCGAAGGGTTGAGAGGAAAGGGAAAATGTTGGTTGGGAGAGGCGCATTCTACCAAGTCTGTCTACCTTGGTCCCGCCTGATCAGGAGGGGACGGGAACTCCTTTCGTTGGCTGGCAGCTGCGTCGCACTTTGGACGGGTGGAGGGTCTTGATATTCCCTAGCCGCTGTGTCAGATGCTCATTGGGAGGGCAGTCTGGTTTATTACGCATCCATCCAATGCGTTTATCACGCCGTGTACGGAGTAGCACTGCTATGCAGGTAGTATACGCTATAGTGCCAAAGAGTAGGTGCTTTTCTAGCCTGCTGCGTACGACTACAAGCGGACGGACTATATGTACGTAGCAAGTACAGATACATGCACGGAGTATAGACAGAAACCCACCCACCACACCAGTTGAGGTGCTCATACGCGTCCGTCTTAGGTTCCATCTCAGACAGAACGGCCATCTGGTTTGCAGCAGCAGCTCGTGCCAACCAAGGACGCCTTGAGGCAGCCCACCATGACCTCTTCCAAGTACCGGCGGAGTCGACATGGTCTCGCAACTTGTGACTTGTTTGGGGGCCTAATTAGCCGCCAGAGGTACCCAAAAGGCGCAACCACTGGCGCGAACGTTGATAGCACCGCAGCTGCTGGCGGGCGGGGCTCCCAACGAGATGGGAACAGCCCACTTTTGACAGTTTTCCTTCGCAAATAAAGAAAGTTGGCAGGTTGATTAACAGACAGGCAGACAAATGCCTACCTTATGTAGGTAAGGTACTTAGGGTATCCATTGTGAGACACCTCAACGTCGGGTGTCACACCTTTTCGACTCATCCCATGCCATGGACTGAGACTTCGTACGGGGGACTCCGTTCCCTTAGAGTTAGACGCTGGAAGGGCATATGGTCGGCTAGGGTCGCGCTTAGCGGCGTTTTGTCCCCCCTCTGCCGGCGGCTTTCACATATCACATACACACACACACAAGACCTTCCTCGCTGCCTGTCTCTCGACCTGGTGATCATCAAAAGATCGACGGGGGGGAGGAGGAAAGAAAAGAGGGGAATAGAGAGAGGAGTGCGTGCAGTGATGCAGTGGTTACCACCTCTCATACACACACGAGAAACACGGACTAGCATTATCCGAACACCTCCTATGTATTAGCACATCAGCATATAGCATGGCAGTGCTAAGGTGATTTACGCCTGCAGGGTGACTGATGGTGAAGAGCTAGCTGGCGCCAGAGCGAGCGAACAAGAGAAAGAAACAAAAAGGCCGCAAACCGCAGTGCGAAGAGAGAGAGAGACAGAGAGGGAAAGAGCGTGCGGACTTGCACCGAGTTGGTTCGTGGTTCAAGCTGGCGTGTTGAACGGCGGCTGCGGGAGACAGCCAGTCAGAGCCGAGAGAGGGCCGCTCTGGGAGCTGATTGGGCACAGCTGCCCGGGGGCCTGCTCGAGAAGCGCCGGGCGGGAACAGGGGGTAATGCTTGTCACTTCAACTTGAGCCTTGAGGAGGGGTGTGGAGTCGTCCGCCGTGCAGTAGTCGAGGACCGGACCTTTGAACTGGGAACGGAACTTGGGAAGAACGATCAATATGTTTCTCTCATCAATTTTTTTTTCATTTGAGAGCCGAATCGTGTACGGAATACCTAATGCGTATGCACTCCCTAGGTTTAACACTATAGTAGAAATTGTTTCTTGACAGAGATGGCGAATGAATAAATAGTACTTTTTAACGAACGAGAAGGGCTGCTCTATAAAGGTTAGGTAAAGGCCGACAGTGGAAGTCCTCAGGCCTTACATTGCCTTGAATTTGCTTGGCCACAGAACCGACCCGAAGAAGCTCTGGCGGTAGGCGTGCGGCCAGTTCTGCGACCCAACCTGCTCGTGTGTCATGCGTAGGGCAGGGCGGTGGCTAGGTACGTCCCGACTGCCGGGAAGGCCTGCCCGAGGCGGCCGTTCCCATCGGAAGGAGCCCCCGGGGAAGCCTCAGACTGTCAGAAAGTAAATAACAAGTACGACTACGTAGTACTCTGAACCACATTACCAACACACGACACCAGACCTGCTGGCTTGCCTTCTCGCTTGCAATGACCTGGATGGTACCAAGGTTGTAAGGCAAGGTAGAAAGGTTAAAGCAAGCATGTGCTCCTACTCCATACATCTCGCTAAAATCAAAAGAGAACAAACAGCTTTGCTATAGTCAAATACAGCAAAATGTCTCAACGCTTGCCCCCCAGCTCCATGATAGGTAGGTATTCATTCCATCATCCAATACAAACAATCCACGCGGCACAGCGCCCACTCCAGCCGACCCCGAATTAGCTCGCAAAAATCCTACAACACCCCAACACCCCCTAGCAACAGCAACCCTTGTTCGTACAACTCAGACCGTCCGAAAGTCTGCAAATCCTTCAGTAAATTACTCTGGCTCTTCACCCAAGTGGAATGTCGAGGTTCAGTGCGTTTGCGTCGCCGTTTATCCCAAAGAATTGGAACCTGGAGGCTCTGTCAGTCACTCGTCCACTGTCTCACCGCTCGCTGCCATGTAAAAAAAAATTCTGGGGTTTGGAATACTCACCAGTCCTCAACATTCAGCGTCGACGGAGCAGGCTGCCCCTGAGAGCCCGTACTCCAGCTGTCACTCGGGCTTTGGCCGTCCATCAATGGCGCGTCAAAGTTTGTCTGCCACAGGTTATTGCTAGACGGGCCTTGGAAGCCTCCAAGCCCCGCCTGAAGCATGGGATTGTGATTCTGTAGCGGGCTGCCAGCGCCGCCCCTCTTAGGAGGTGGGCCCTGACTAAAGTGGGTAGCTGTGCTGTCGGCCGGCTGCCCCTGGAGGCTCTGGGACTGCATCTGCGCCACCATGCTCGGATCAAGACCCTGGTGCGACACCTGGGGCGGTGAGAACTGCTGATACAGCGGTACGTTGGAGCTCTCAGGAAACAGCTGATCCGGCTGGAAGTTCTCCCAAATTGACTGCGATAAGTTGGGAGAATTCCTCGTCACAAGATACAGATCTGGAGGAGTTGCTGGTACCGAGAACGAAGGATTGAAGGGAGTTGCCGGCCTCGTCTGCGGCCGCGATGCCGTACCTCCCATAAATGTGTCCGTGTTATTGCGCGATCCCGGCGATGTGGCCGGGGGGGGCATCACAGTAGGTATCTGGTCCGTCTTTGAAACGAGGCTTGGCGTCTGTGGCCTCGACCGTTCGTATGACTCCTGCGGCTGAGGCGTGTTGACACTAAAGTCAATCGCCATCTCGTCGTACTTGCGCTTCTGGTCTGCCATGCGCTGGTGCTGCTGGTGCTGCTCGAGCTTTGCCAGGCTTTGCAGGCCCTTGCGGTGTCTCTTGCCACCTGCCTTCTGTAGCCTCTCTTCCAGCATCTTGTTTCCGAGGATGGACTCGAAGAGTGTGTACACCATTTTCCCCACCAGCCATACCTTTGACACGTCCTTGAGCGCCCCCATGCACGTCCTTATCCGGGTCTGGGTGACCTGTTGGATGGACGGCACAGGCGACCTCATCTGGTACACGTGCATGATGAGGGCCGAGAAGAGACTGTAAACAACGAAAGCAGGGCAGTATCTCAGCTCTCCATGCGAAGACAGGTTTTCGATTATCGAAGTAATCATGGCTGCCGCCTGGAAAGCAATATTTCTCGACGGATACGCCGAGTCTTCAGGAAACCTCAAAGAGCCGCTCGGTGGCATGTGGGCGCGATGCAACAGGCAGAGCGTTGTGTAATAGTTGGAGTGAAGCAGGGCCGAGAAGAAGTGGTGTCTCGGCATTTCCCAGTAGACCAATCTTGGGCAGTTCTGGAGCCAGTCGGCAAGCGCCATATCGCTATGCGTAAGATCAATGGCGTTCTGCCGCCGCCCCTTTGCCGCCACCGAGTATTGCTGGGAGAGAACCAAGCCCATAATCTCGCAGAGCTTGACATACTGCAAGAAAAACTGGACATGGGTTGGATCTGGCGGATAGTCACTGGATAAGTCGTCTTCGTCCTCGACAAAGTCATCCTCGGTCAACATCTCAACGTCCGAGTCGTCGAGGTTGATGTGACACGGTCGTCCCAGCGCAACAGCCACAGACCGGTCTCTTGTGAACAGAGACCACCAGATGCGCTTCCACAGCCTCTTGTCGGCTTTGCTAAGCTGAGACCCCTCTACACTCCGATGCATCCCGGAACCATGCGCCACGATGGTGGCCACGCGACTCCAGTAGAACACATTTTTGGTGACATCCTCAGGGCCTTCCCAGTACCAGCCCATCAGGGAGAGGGATTGGACTATAGTCACTCTGTCGTCTTCGTAGTTCGCATCGTATAGAGCCTTTGCCCTCTTGTAAAATGTTAGGGCTGCTGGCGTGGAAGAGCCATTTGCGTCCATGAGCTGAGGGTTTGTGCAAACTCGAGATCCCGCTAGGAGAACGGCCTGTAACAAGAGCAGTGACGGCGGGTTTTTTGCGTCTTTGTACTGTCGCATGAACTTGGTCCGGTTGATTATCGGAACGATTGGATGAACCCACTTGAAGTAGGCTTCTATCAGCTCGTCGCAGAGCGACCGTGGCGGTAGCAGGAAAGCGCCGCGCTGGTGCAGGATTTCGATTTCGACATTGTCTAGTTCTGTCAAGCGGGCCCTCGACCCCCGAACGTTTTCGGGTAACGGGTAGTGTACCACGTCAGACGTGCTCTGGCGGTCGTGGACAAGCAGCGTAAGGTTGGACGATTCGCCCATGTAGGCTACTCTCCCAGCTTCGGTAATGGGGGCCCTCGTAAACTTGGGCTTCATAACTAGGCTCATGTAGTTGGCAAACGTGGCATTGTCCAGCTCCTCCTTCTTCTGTTGCTCATTGGCAATGTTTGCTTTCGATGGCGTGCCCTCTTGGGTGTGGTAAACGGCCGGGGGCTTCGTGCCGGCGGGGAACGTGCTTGCAGTCGCGCTCTGCGGATTTGGCGACGGTTCTTCGGTGTCTCCTCTGTCTCCTCGCTCGCTTCGATCCAATCAGCCCCTGTGCTCAAGAAGACTTCGGACGGAGTTGGGAGAAAACAACACGGTAGGAGCAAAGGGGCGCATTATTAACCGTACGTACCTATCGGAATCTTTTCCCTGGACAGAGGTGCCTGGGACCTTCTTCCGCTTGGGTGTCGGGATGCGGCACTCGATGGAGAAGGCCACGCAGTTGGTGCATGGGACGCCGAGGCTCGCGGCATCGCATCGGACCTGCAGAGACTTCCGTGTGAGTAAGTGGCATCTAAAGGTAAAAGGGGCTTGCCTGGCGTTGCTACCCCGAGGGCGCAACGCAACGCGCAACGCAGCATGGGGCCGCAAGAGAAATTATAGGAAGCTGCAAGGGTTCTTCTCTGAAAGGATTCGTACTTTGCGCGAATGGCAGGTCTGCAGGCATTGAGATGGTCAGCTTGGGGTCATTAATAGGTAATCGCCTGAGGTCGGGCGAGCCGAGGCAAAAGATAAAGCTCGCTGCCGCCCATATCGGCGGCACAGCCGCGGGGTTAGAGTTCACTCCTCAACATCCCACCCACCTACGCGCGCCATCACAACCAGGAATGCGGGAGATAAAGAATATAAAATGACTAACCTCGCAAGCCCTTGAAGCTCGTTGCCTTTTTGTCGCAAAGGGCTATGGTCAGCAAGACATTCTTCCATGTCGTCGACGCGCTGCGCGCAGATTATTGAACCAACCTCCGAAAACTCATTTGGCCCGCAGCATTTGATGCCGCCGTCGACCCGGGCGGTCCGTAAGGGTTCGCTTGGGACGGCGACAAAGACGTCTGCTTCTGGTCCGGAGACTCGTCGCGGGCGGAATCGTCGTCCATGTTAGCTGCAGTGCAGGTAAGAGAGAGGAAGCTGTCGTGGATATCAATAGGGAGCAGGTGCGCGACGGATTGTTGCAGGTGATGACGAATGGTCGAGTGTAGCGGCTGTCCCGACACCCCGAAAAGCTCTAAGGTACCCCGATCGAGCTGGGGTGAGATGCAGACGCCGTTGTGGGATTGTGGTGCGTTCCGTTCCCGCCACCTGTATCCGTCCGTATCCGTACTCAGGTCCTCTGATCGTCTCTGAGGCAAACGTGGGCAGGGCGCGGACTGGGGGCCAAGGCTATATCGATGGCGCACGCATCGGACGCCGTTAGAGGCGGCGTTCGGGAGGGCGCGGGTAGGTTGTTTCTATCGTCGCCAGTAGTGGCAAATGTTCGCCTACTCACTCTCGGCCGCCGTTTCTACCTACTACCAGGTAATATTATAAGTCTCTTGGGTTCATGCGAACCAGTTTCAGCTGTCGAAAAGTCGAGCACTTGAGGGGAATCGGGGGACGCGCCAACCCCAAACCCCCAATCCCGCCCCCGGATTTGGACAGCCCAGCCCACTTTTTTACTTACACGCAACTTCTCTTCGATGGAGCCTCCTCGGACACATCAACCTGGCCTTTGTGCAAATTCGACAATAAACACCAAAATACACCATAATAAAACTAACCCGCACTCGTTATTTCAGGTTGCTCGTTGCGAGGAGAACCGCTGCTTAGCAACAGAAACTCTCCCTCTCTGCCTTTAAATCTCCGCCCCTGTATCTGTTTAGAGGCATCGCCGATCGCCCACTAAACTCAGGGGTGTGTGCAGTGTGCACGTTAGATTTCCCCAGGATCTAGCAACCGAAGCCTGGTATCCTTCAATCCCACGGGTGTAAGCTTTTAGTACTATCCCCATTTCTAGGCCGCTCTCGAGCCCGTTTCCAAGACATTAGTATTTACCAGACAGCGTCGGTAGCGTCGAATTTCCCATGGCTTGCTTACTCGAGACGAGACGAGACCAGACGAGACCAGACGGGCTCGGGAAAGTGGGAACTCCAGCTCTGGCATGTGATGCTGAGAAACCGCATCGAAAGGTGTGGTGCGTTGGGTGCCGCAAAGGTGGGAACGGATATCCGCTCAAGAGTGGGATTACTACTACTGACCCAATTAATAATGGAGGGGCGGAAGGCCTGTGCCCTGAACCTAGCGTGTACAAGTCATCGTGGGCGTTTCAACTTCCCATCTACAATGGATAGGTAAGTGGAAGTTTGTTTGACCTTTTACACTCAACTCTAGCAGCCCACGAGCGACAATTATTACGCGGGGCAAACACCCTGACCGGGAAAGCGTGGCCGAGAGAGGGCGTAATGGTTGGTTGAAATCCGGGGTAAGCAACTAAGGTAACTACTTCAGTAGTGTTGGCTTGGAAGTCTAAGGAAGGCTTCCCGCGTCACCAGCGTTGGTTGCTCAGTCACCTGGACGCCTTTAGTCTGTCTACCTAAGCTTGGCTGGCCTCAGATTCTGGCGTCGCATTATCGACGTTGGCCGCGTGAGAGGCTGCTGTAGTCCGTCTCCAGATTCGAATTTGACGGCCGTTAGCTCTAGCTAGACTGCCATGGGAGACCATCCTGAATGCCATGAATCCACGAGGCTAACACGTACGAGTATAGTCGATACGCCATGCCATGTCTGTATGCTTTAGCCTGCGAGTGGTGGGGCAAGAAACGACAAGACAGGATATCCGTACTCCATGCATGGAAAGCATACAAAAGGTAGAGTGCCGGCACAAGCGGCATTTCCATCCCGTGCCTACCGGCCGCAAGCCCGCCTTGGTTTTGACAACAGAGGCTTTGTGTTAGGCGTGTGAAGGTGAAGTATCCGTACGGCCGGTCTTGTTGTCCCAGCTACAGTACGCCGTGCCTGAGGTATAACACATGTCACGATTCCCTGCTCTCGTCCCAAGTTTGGTGCCTCCTGAATCGAACCGAGACCGAAACTCAGTCACCCTCTCTCGTCCCCGCATCTTCTCCCCCATCATGCAGTCTGTGTGTGGCACCCAAGGTAGGCAGTCAGTCAGTCGGTGTCAAACTAAGGCGCAAGCTGGGTGCTGGGCAGCTGTGCACCCTTGCGGCCCGTCCCCGACACAACGGCATGTGATGATGGAGGAGCAGTGGCTATATGCCCAAGTGTAGAGGAAGATCAACCTTAACCCACGTGCTCCTTTATCTACAGCCACAACTACCTATATACCTGGATGACCTCTTTCCATGTCTTGGCCTGGTTTCTAAAATGCCGATTCATGTCCTTTCCTGCCAGTTCCCAATGTGCATCCGCCCCCGTTCCGCTGGTCTCGAGCAAACATTTTGTTACATGATTAGGTATATATACAAATCTAGTCTTGGGCAATGGCGGGAATCTTTTCCAACGCCTCGTTTGCCTTCTCCAGCAGTAACTCAACCGCCGCTCCGTTGCCGATCGCCTCCGCGACCGACTCGTCGACCTGCACTCCCGTAATAAACATGGCGCTGACGCCTTCCAATGCAGCGACGAAAATGCAGAGTAGGCTGGCGATGATAAAATGGCTGATGGTGGAGCCAATCTCGAGCCACGAGCCCTCGTCCTTGACCACCCAGAAGAAGTACAGGGTAAGGATGTCGCTGATGGCCATCACAATCATAAACAGGGCTGATGGAGCAACGCCGAGCCGCCTGTTCAGGATCCCCAGATTCGCTGAAATCAGGGCGAACGGAATCATGAGCTTCAGGATAAGCATGGCTCCTTGAGAAAACGGGTCAAAGATAGGTATCAGCCGGGACACGCTCTCTAGACTGAATGACGAGACCGAGGCCACATTCCCGGTGCTGAAGAAGGCCGATTGTAGAAGCACAAAAAAGAAGAGAGCCACACGAGCATCTTGCAAGGTGAGGGGCCGGAACGGAGCAGGAAGCCTCGTCTCAGCCTCCGATTTGGAAGTTGACCCATTCGATACGGCTGGTGCTTCTTCCGTAGTCGTTGCGGATGAGAAAGTCTGGAAAACGTGCTCCAGCCGAACCCAGCTGACAAGGATTGACGAAAATGCAAGGTAAAAGAGGCCTTCGTAGGAGATGGTGAGGATCACAAACGTCGGCGCACAGGTTAGGAAGATGACGAGAATCCTATGCATGTAGTGGTTGTTTGGTTGGAGGCGGTACGCTAGTGGCATGAGTAGCGACAGAACTAGCAAGTATTAGAATGACGTGGTGATTAGCAGGACTTAGAAAACACTTACCAAGGACAAGCCAGCCCGTCACTTGGTTACCCCAAGGCAACCCCTGCTTGGCCTGAAGAGAGAGCGCACTCGAGCGCGTGACGACCATGGCAAGGATGATGAGGCCTATTTGAGCACCCATAAGGGCTCTGGAGAGATGATTCTTCTGTGAGGAGGGTTTGGCGGACCACGAAAAGTCCGCGAGGACGAAGTCTTCAAAGATAAGATAGAGAACGCCAACGACAACCATAAGTGCACCCCCTAGCACACTGTTTTCGCATCAGTTAGCACGTGTAAAATAGTTGGCAGTTCTTGGGAACAAACATTAGGGTGATGTCTTCGGACTTCATAGCCGGAGGGAGGAGTGTAAATGCACTCATTGCCATGCATGAGATGAACCAGGTGGCGGAAAGAGAGGCGTGCTCCTGAAGAAACGAGAACCCATGCACCGTTGGCCAAAAGGCGCCCATGATGAACAATGCTGTCAATACCTCGCGGTGGATGTATCCCAGGGCCTGTTATATTAGCCTCAATGATCGGATAGTGACGAGTGTGAGTTGTGCCACCTACCAGAGACTCAATGATGCCGACATATACAGCAGAATTGAAGAGCAGTGAGGCGAGACTTCCGCCAGAGGCGACGTGGCCAAAGAGTTGCTTGCGGCCTTCGGCCAAGCTGGCTCGTCGAGCGTACACCTCTTCCCAAAACACTACAGGGAATATGGCATATGCATAGTAGGTTACCGGGGATTTTGAAATGATGAAAGAGGCGCACAACGCGGCGAAAATGGACGAAAACGCAATGCTTCCGCCGAGTGTCCTCGACGGTTGCAGGCGGCCGTGAAGCACATGCAAATCAACAACGGTCGTGAGAGCATATGTTATCCAGCCCAAGTAGCCGGCAGTAATAAGCGCCCTCAAGAACAGCCAGTCGTAAGTCTGAAGATACCGCAGACCGCCCAGGCCGATTTTGATGAGAGCTGCCGACTCCTCGATAGCCTCTTCGTAGTTGCCAGCATTTATGAGCTGTCTTATAGCGGCAACACGGTGGTCCGGGGTTTGGTCATTGTTACTTAGGGCTCGATAAGGTCTGTATCTCAGTTCGGTCGCCTTTTTCTTTTCTTCCTTGACGAGGTATTGCTCGAGAATAGTTTGTGCATTGACGAGAGACGCCTCGGCTTTCTCGGCGGGGTCGGCTGCCAGGAACGGGAGGGGCAGTTCGCCAACCGAGTTGACCGGAAATTCAACGCCCACAAGATATGCCATGAGGGCGGCAACATCGGCTTGCTGGACGTCATGTCTCCTAACGTAGTTCAGGTTCCAGTCCAACGAGTAGTCGTCGTGGCCTGGGGCGACTTCCCCTGGATACAGTTGAGGCTTGGCAACCCCTGAACCCCAAGCGATTAAAGGCGTCCGAGTGTTGTCAGGATGACCGTCGCCGTGGCTTCCCCAATCGCTCATACCATGGTCTGCCGTGAAGACAAAGGCTGTCCTGTCGTCTCCGTAGAAGGATTCGATCACTTCAGTAATCTCGCGGACTCCTTGGTCGACCACCTTGATGTTGTTCAGGTACTCTTTGGAATACGGCCGGTAGGAGTGGCCCGTGGTGTCCAAACCAAGCAGGTGGAGAAAGAAGACCACCTTGTCCTCCTTGAGCGCATCGTGGAGGGTCTTGTTTGTTCGTGCTTCTGCGAAGAGTTCCTTTACATGGTCAAAGACCCAGTAGTCGAGCACCAGGGCATCCTGGGAAAAGTCCTCGAGCTCGGGTCCATATGTGAAGGCGTCGACCCTACCAGGCAAAGCGCCCTGCTCGAACATGGGCAGAATATCGGGACTGCCCCAGCTCCACGTATGGCGACTTCGGTTGAAGAGGCTGTCGAAGTTGACCGGATTCATCTTCCATCCCGTCGTGACGGCCGAGACATCTTCGTACAGCCCGGCAATGAGTGCGACATGACCGGGCCGTGATTCCGTTGGTACGTGCGTGTGGGAAACGCCAAAAGTCCCCTGCTCCAGCACCTTGGATCGCAAGAACGGCGCAAGGGGCCTCGGGGTGGTGTCTTCGTCCGATTGTGGGTAGGGCTCGGGGTGCGACTGGAATGCCTTGTCGGCGCGTAATCCGTCTCCTGGGAGATAATCAAGTAAGATACAATCCTCTAATAGAGCAGGGGAAATTGTGTTGTATGCGACGTACCAACATAGAGTACTAGCCGGTCTGCCGGCGCCTTTGTTTCGGCCAGTCGTTCGACGTGGAAGAGGCGCATCCCCGATACAACAGGGCTGACAAAATATATGTCAAAAATAGAATATATGTACACGAAATGGAATAACAAGGCAATTGCCAGGAATCGTAATCGCGAGCCGCCGGCCATGATGCCTGCTGAGCCAAGGGATGGGCCTAGATCGCCCGTGTGAGGGTTTGGTGACGGGAGGCCGCGAACGACCGTGTCGCAATATCAATTTTTAAAAGTATCAAGCAAAACGATGGGTTCGGTATGCATCCATAACGAAGCGGCGGATTGAACCCACAGATAGGCCACGCGGGGTTTGCAATGCAAGGAAGAAACCAAAAGAATGGCAGACACGTTTTTTTCGAGTATAGTCTTGCTTTAGTGTTTCGCTGGTCAACTCCAACGAATAAGCTTCCCGTCGCGATGGGCAGACACCACAGCCGCTGTTTCCGCTCAAGTCCCATAAAATCCAGGGCTTGTTGGGCAGTTGACAGGGGTGGTTAGTCAGGGGCTGCAGCCACTTTAATCGGTTCCACCGGCCCCTGTTAGTGGTTGTTGGGAACGTGACTTCGCGGCAGAGTTTAAGACTCGCAGAGATGGTCTCTCGACGCGACCCCACCACCAGAAACAAGACGAGCAGAAAGAATCGATATTCGAAAACAGCGCCCAAGCGCAGCACAGGTCAGCACAGCGCAGCACGAGGCCTGCTGAGAGCCCAGAGTCCTAAAATGGACGACTACAAGAAATTCTTGACTGAGAATGTTGTTGCCGAGGACAAAGTGGTACGTTTTTCTGGCAAATAATTAGCTAGGCCAGGCTGTCGCGAACTAACCAGCACGCGTCAGATCACGTATCGGCTGCTGAGCCGCGTCTTGAAGGTCAATGTGAATGTTGCAAAGCAGTAGGCCAAAATGTGATAGAAACGTCTCGCAATCGTCGACTGATGATTTGCTTCAGGATGCTGTATGATTTTCACAAAACTCAGAATGAGAAACGCCCAGGTGTCGTGCATGCCACATATCTAGTCTACGGCATCAAGGCGTCCACCGGGGCTGTATCCCAGTCGCAGAATGGTGCAGATGGCGATGTCGAGATGGCAAGCTCCATGCCAGATGTTGAGTCGCTGGCCGAGGTGGTCCCGACTTTCACTCTCTCTCTCATCCCTGAGGAACAACTCAAAGGTCCGCCCTAGACTCTGCTTCAAATATCGGTTTACTTCTAACTTGACCTTAGATGCCCTTGCCGACTTTGAAGACGTATCTTCGATCCATGTCTACAGTGTTGGACCTCATCCGACAAAGGTACCTCAATTGGCGGCAATTGGACAAATTTTGCCATCCCAACTAACATTTAACAGGACATGGCTTTACTCGCGGATGTTGCTCAAGAGGTTTTGACTCTTAATGGCGCCGACGAGCGCAAGGCTTCTGGCACCATCGCCAACTCCCACGTGCGCCAAAGGGAGCGCAAGGGCGGAGCAAGCGTTGCGGCTGCTGTTGCTGCGAAGCCGTCTGTGAAGCCGTCTGTAAAGCCGGCTTTGAAGCAGGAGGCAAAGAAGGAGTCGAAGCCATCATTTTTCAAGCCAGCTCCATCGTCAACGTCAACGTCACCGCCGGAGCCAGCGCCTCCCAAGGTCAAGGAGGAAGCAAAGCCTGCGCAGCAGTCGGCTGAGACTGAGAAAGCGGCACCATCAGCACCAGCCAAGAAGCCCACCCCGGCTCTAAAACGTGGCGGGTCTGGTGGAATCATGCAGGCCTTCTCCAAGACAGCGACAAAGGTGAAGAAAGAAGCGACATCGCAGCCCGCTGCTCCAAGCGCTGATGGCTCGAGCGTCCAGCCGCTGTCAGATGACGGAGAGGATGACTCGGAGATGCCACTGCCAAAGCACCGGAATGTCACCGAGATGAGCCAGAGCAAGAAAATGAGAGAGGAAGAGCTGAGGCGAATGATGGAGGACGATGATGAGGAAGAAGAACAGGACGAAGAAGAGAAAGCGGCGTCTGAGGACGAGCCAATGGAGGAGCCGCCAGTAGAACTAGAGCCTCCAAAGGAGGAGCCAGAGGTCGTGACGGCGTCCAGTGGCGGCCGACGGCGTGGAAAGAGAAAGATCATGAGAAAGAAGCAGATTATGGACGATGATGGGTACCTAGGTGTGTATTTCCGAACACAATGTTGTGGCTACCCCCTGCTAACTTTTGCCGCAGTTACCATACAGGAGCCCGGTTGGGAGTCTTTCTCGGAAGACGAGATTGCCGCAAAGCCGAAGCCAAAGGTGGCAAGCTCGGCCGCCGCTCCCGCGCCAGCGGCTGCGAAGGGCAAGAAGAGCGAGCCGAAAGGAAGCCAGGGCAATATCATGTCCTTCTTTTCCAAGAAGTGACCGCCGATCTTATGTAATTTCCCAGACCGGTACGCTGATTAATGTTATGCGCATGTCATCACATTGGACAAAGTCACTAGAGTTATAGTTATTGAGTTGCTTGTTTGAGTGTAGTCTTCGCTCAATCGTTGAAGCATGGGGCTGTGGGAGATCGTGCTATAACCTAACCTACAACCTTCCATGCGTCTTTCTTGAAATCCAGTGTTTATGTCACCTTCACAGCCACGTAGACCGTGATTCAGTATCGGGTAGGTCGCCTCACCTAGCCAGTTAATAACATGAACGCCTAAGTCTTATTCTGTTCCTGTCCATTTTCAAATTGGGTTGCAAACAGAACTGATCTATGCATGACAATATGTATAGATCCTGATTCTGTCCCGTCGGGCACAAAGTAAGGGTAGCCAGCTCTAAATCTTCAATACTTACAGACACTGGGGCCGTTCTCATTTCTCCCTGCTATAAAACGTGTTTAAACCGGCATCCACGATGTACAGTACCCACCTACAGGATGGTATAGGCAAACATTCCGTATTGAGTGTCAAAACTTCAGCTTACCTACACCTCCACCGGGGAAATACATGTTAGCTTGGTACGTTACCTACTATTAGTATCTTTTAGGGAAATCTCGCTAATCACCAACTTTGCCACCTTCCTACGCTGACATGTATTACCCCGGAGGAGGTGTAGGTATAGACCCCGCCTCCGTGTTATATCCACGGATCGCCCGATCTCATTGCCCCACGGCGGGGAGCTGCAACCAAAGCGGGAGCTTTCCCGCTGAGGGAAGGTCTGGGGGGCCCCTGCTACGCTAGTGCTTTTGGGGCATTTGGGCCTGCCAAGCTCTGCGCCCGCCGCTGACGGCGCGGTCACCAACCTAAAGCTTGGCCCCTCGCCTCGGTTCCAGGTCGGATTGTCGGGTGTCCTCTTCGCTCTCAACATCAAGACCTAGACTTGAGACGCACCGAAGACGGCGCAGCAGCTCCACCAACTGCCACCATTCGTTTCCGCTACGACGGGTTATCTTCCTCGAGCATGCCGTCCATGCTGCTCGCCGAACGGGCCTGAGGCTCTTTTCGAATTTCCATCGTTCCCGTCGCCCGCCTTTCGCCTTGCATACTACGAGCCCGGCCTTGTTTCGGGCGCTTCTCTGCATCTGCACACCGTCCGTAGTGACGTCGCCCCAACTCTCCGGGAACGCTAGCCACCGCCGCCATGGGCCACTCCTCATGGCTTACTCTCCTCCTCCCGCTGTTGGCGCACATGCTGCCGTCGGAAGCGGCGGGCTCGGTCTGGGACTCGGAGCAAGAGCCCTTGATGGGCCACTTTGACAAGAGCGCATGCCCAGACTACGCGCTCTACGCGACGTATCCCCAGTAAGTGCATGGTGCATCGCTGTCAGTGCCGGTGGCTGAGAGGCTAATTGAGCAAAGCTACCCTTTGAGCGATGGCCCATTTGCCCTTCCTTACCAGCGGCCGGACCCGCGCTGCCGGACCTTTGAGTCGGATGCCATCGAGCAGGTCATCAAGGATATCACATCCCGCATGGAAGATCCCGATCTGGCACGGCTATTCGAGAACACCTTCCCATCCACCACCGACACCACGGTCAAGTTCCACACAGATGGGAAAGACAAGAATGCAAAACGGGGCTCTAGGAGAGCCAGCCCATTAGACGACGGAGAATGGGAGGGCCCCCAGTCTTTCATAATCACAGGCGATATCTTGGCCGAGTGGCTGCGGGACAGCACGAACCAGCTGAAGCCATACCAGACTCTTGCCAAGAAAGACCCCAGAATATTCAATCTGATCTTGGGCGCCATCAACACCCAGAGCGAATATGTCATAGAGTCGCCCTATTGTAACGCCTTTCAGCCGCCGCCAATCTCTGGCCTCCCAGTGAGCATGAACGGGCAAGACGACCAGGTGCACCCCGCCTATGAGCCCTCCGTCGTGTTCGAATGCAAGTACGAGCTCGACTCACTGGCACATTTCCTGGCTCTCGCCAACGAGTTCTACGAGCAAACAAAAAGCACAAAGTTCCTAGGGCCGAGGTGGTACCTGGCGCTAGAGAGCGTTCTACGCGTGCTAGAGCAGCAGAGCCGGAGCACATTCGACCACGCAGCGCGGTACCGGACGAATGAGTACACATTCCAGCGAAAAACTAACACGGGTACCGAGACGCTAAGCCTCAATGGCATCGGCAACCCGCTGAATAACGGGACGGGACTGATCCGGTCCGCGTTCCGGCCGAGCGATGACGCAACCATCCTCGGCTTCTTCATTCCGGCGAACGCCATGATTGCCGTTGAGCTGAAGCGGACCGCAGCCATGCTGAGGTCGACCGGGGACAAGGGTGACTCGGGCTTGGCCGATGCCGCCGAGGAATGGAGCAAGCTGATTACGAAAGGGATCTGGGAGCACGGCGTAGTCAGCCACCGCAAATATGGAGAAGTCTTTGCGTACGAGGTCGACGGCTATGGCAGCGCTATCCTCATGGACGACGCGAACTACCCCAGCCTGCTTGCGCTTCCGCTCATGGGCTTTGTGTCGGGCAGTGATGAGACATACCAGAACACGAGGAAGATGCTCCTCGACAAGGCCAGCAACCCGTATTACCTGAAAGGGACGGTATTTAGGGGAATTGGCGGTATGTATTAGTGGCACCTGTGTTTTGAGCGACTGCTTACGGCCGAACAGGGCCGCACATTGGTCTACAAAATGCGTGGCCAATGAGCCTGCTGGTGCAGGCGCAAACTTCGGACGACGACGAGGAGATTATGGAATGTCTCAGGCTAGTGCTGCGGTCGAGCAAGCTCGGCCTCATCCACGAGAGCATCCACGTAAACTATGCGGGAGCTTATACACGTACGCCGCCAGTTGCCTTCTTGGTTCTTCCCGTGCAATCAAGCTGACTTGTTACCAGGGAGTTGGTTTGCCTGGGCAAACGGTGTCTTTGCCGAGACCATCTTGGATCTTGCAAAGCGCAAGCCCCATCTCATCTTTTCCGATAGGAAGTCGTATGAGCTTTAGCTATTTCCATGAAAACGTAAAATACGGGGGAAATCAGCTGTAGTGCATGCATTGCTAAAGCATCTAAATAAGGCTTTGAAAAACAAGGCAAAGTACAAGGCTGCCGTGCAGCTAACTGTTGACGGGCTATATCGTCATCATTTGACCGCATATCATTAGCACGAAAGAAACAAGGGCATCATAGGAATGTGGCAAGGCTTTTTGCTTGTTGGGACTTTCCGTCTGCATCGTATAGAAGGATACCTGGGACACACGTATATACTTATGAAATGCTGTCGTTACGAGATGTCATTGTGAGATGTTTAGAATAAACACAGATAAACACGACTTTTTCACAGCATTGTAGCCCCTGAGTTGCGTAGCTGCCCGTGGTGTATGGTTTTGCCGCTATTACGTCTGGATGTAGATGATGTTGGATCTGAGCTGACTTCTTATTACCTACTTACCTAGGTACCCAGGTATTAATCGTGATCGATGTGTGGGCTGAGTTGAGCAAGTAAAATGTTGTAATCTTTCTTATTCTTCCAAAAAATGAACATCCACTGACTGCAAACAGAAATCGCTATTCTAAACAAGCACAACAGAAGAGATGGAGACCTAAGGAAAACGCCAGCTGGCAATCAGAAAAAGAAGCAAGCAACCTTACACTCGATAATCTGCAATGGTGAATGAAAGAATGACAGAAACATTGGAGACTGACGAAAGAAATAGAGAGAAATCAAGCAGCAGCCGCAACAACATCCGGACCGAGCGGGAGACTGCTCGCGGCGACATTGCACTGGCGGAACAGGCGGACCTCGTGCTCGGCGAAGGCGCCGACGACTGAGTGCAGCACGCCGCGGTTGTGGAACAGCACCAGGTCGCCCTCCTCCCAGTCGTGGGCGTACACCAGGCCCGGCGCGATACCGGGCCGCTGCAGGCGGTGCACGATCTCGCGGACTTCGGCCAAGTCGTCGACTACGCTGCCGTCAGCGAGATGCAGCTTGCGGATGGCCGACGGGTGGATTTGGAGGGCGAGCTCGTTGGTCACGGGGTTGCGCCACACCATGGGCAGGATCTGGATCTGCGCTTCGTCGATGGCCGGCAGCTCGTCCAGCGGGACCTCTTTGCCCTCGGACACCATGCCGAGCCCGTCGGGCCGGGATTTGGCGCCCGACATCCAGATGTACGGGTGGGGCGCGTACTCGACGCGCGTGCCCAGCGCCAGCGCGCGGTCCGCTGGCGACAGCTGGTCGAGCATGGCCGACCCCGACACGAACGCCGTGGTGCCCAGCGGCACGCGCAGCGCGTCGCCGGTGCCGTCGTCGTAGCGGCACACCTGGGTGCGGCCGGCGGGCACGCGCACGGCGAGCAGCGTGGTAACGACGGGCGGCGCGAGCCCGCTGCCGTAAAGCGCCGCGTCGATGTGCCAGCGGTAGAAGCGCGTGTAGTCGAGATCCTCGGCATCCGGGACGGCCGTGGCGTGGAAGGTACGGTGGTGCGGGTGGCGCAGCGTGATGTTGTGCAGGCCCTCGTACTCGCCCACGAAGCCGTTGCCGATGACTTGTACTTGCGGCTGGTGCGGGATCGTCTTGAGGTCCGGGTGCAGCACGCTGCGCTTGGCGTCGAGCGTCGCCCCGTGCCCGTACGCCGCCGCAGCCGCCGGGTCGAACCGCCGCGTCAGCTCGAACTGCGCCCGCGGCGTCACGTGGCCCTGTCCCTTGAATACCACCACCTGGTGCGTGAAGAGTGCCGTGCGGATCACGTCGAAGTCGGCGTCTGCAGCTGCTGGTTAGCATGCTAGGTTCGGTTCACGCTGTTGACTCGCTTTCTCGCTCGTTCGCTCACTCATTTCTCACTCCATACCACTCGTGTGAGTATGGAGGAGGTGAGTGAGTGAGCGAGCGAGTGAGTGAGAAACAGGTACGATTAATCAAGAGAAAAAAAGGTGGCTTACCGAGGAGGTTACCGATTCAACGGGTATTCTCCCTCATGTGTCACAGTAATCTTGCGTCCATTTCATTTCATTTCATTTCACATCCTAGCAGGACTTACCGGTGAGGTTCTCGACATCAACGCTAGAGACAGACGCCCCAAAGTTGATTTGCGAGCCCTCGGGGAGGGCGAGGGGCTGGACGACCGCGGCAGACATTTTGGTTTTAGTGTGCAGGTTAATAGTTAAAGAAATGATTTAATTTCGTAGTTGAAAGGTATAGATTTCTGTGTGTTGAGGCGTGTTTCCTGAAGTTGGTGTTATAAGTTGCGAGTTTGATTTGGAGATGTTGTTGGATCCGAGGGAGTGGCAGGGAGAGCCCGGTTTAAATACGTTGACATGAAAGGAGACCCCGGCGGTGGCAAGGCAGGTTCCGTCGGGATCGGCCGATGCCAGAGATCTAACCCCCACAATTGCAGCCAGGATTGCGCGGTATTGCCCCCGGGACCCCACTGAGAGATAGCAGACGCCCGACGCTCCACTATCGGGATTACGGCCCACACCGGAGTCCAGATTGTCTTTATCAACAACCGGAAAAGGAGAGATAGACAAAGGTCAAGTGGATAAGGGAGTCATTTTTGCGGTAAGCTGCATTTGTCTCGAAATAATGTCTTTTCGTTCATGTATGGATATCCATTCCATTATGGGATATGATTTGTAGACGGGACACTCGGCTTGAGGAGTCGCAGCTCGACTCAAAAGTTGGCCCCATCACGTCGTCCATCACAGCACAGCACAACACATCACAGCAGACCACCGGAAAGCAAAGTACAGCGCAATGCAGCACAGGTGGTACAGTATGTACAGCACACTCTCCGTGCACTACATCGTACAACGCATCAAACTCGGGACGGGGCCGTCGTTTTCCGGACCGGTTTCCACAGCTCGTGCGGAGGGGATGCGCACACGTCGATCCATTCCTCCTCCGTCTTCAACCCATATTGTCCCACAACCTTGGTGAAGAAGGTAACTGCGTAGTGGGCCACGCGCTCGCCAGAGTGGTTCGCGCGCAGCTCGGCAGTGTCTCCCGCCCTGGCAGACTTTATGCGCGGTCTGTCCGGGGGAGGAAAGATTGGGATATCGCGCGGCGCCCTGTCTCTGCGCGTCTCGAGCGTGCGGCGGTCAGCGCCGTGCTCCTTTTCCACTACGCGCCACGCGATGCAGATCTCGAGGGCCGAGTCCCAGAGAAACTCGCGAGCGGCCGGTAGGATCGCCATGCAGTCGAGAGCGGCCACGCGGGTGCCCAGGTCGCGGCACTTGAGGGCGACGAAGTTGAGGATGGGCAGGTAGCCGAGATCGAAGACAAACTTGGGCTTGGCCAGCGCCTGGGGGGCTCTGTCACGCCCGCTCTCTAGGACAACGGCCTGCGCGGCCAGGTCGACTATGTTGCGAAATACGGCGAGATACCTGTCGTACGACGTCTCGTTGCGTTCTGTGCACGTGCCCATCCAGATATGGCCTACGAGGCACTTCATGCGCATAATCAGGTAGAGGACCTGCGTCTTGTGATGTAGCGGCGGATGTGCCAGCTCAAAGACGGAGAAATTATTCTGCCACGTGGTGAGCAGCGAGCTGAGCGTTTGCTGCGAGGCAGCCACGCCGTCCGGCAGGGGCCAGTCATCGGGCCACAACGGCAAGCCGTGGCGCGGGCCGAGGGTCCGGAGCAGGCGAAGGCAGCGGGTCATTATGGCGTCGATGCTGGAGCGGTAGGTGTCGAGGTTGGTCGGCGTGCCCCCCAGGTCTGATTCGGCATCGACAAAGGGCGGAAACACGAGCGATTTCTGGTCGAACAGGGTGGGAAAGATACTCAGACGGACGAACATGGACATGAGGCGCTCGCGGACCCAAAGGGAGCTCCTGCTCCTGGAGCCGTTGAAGATGCGGACTCCGTGTCGGCTGTGGGCCACGGCCGCGTCCTTGTTGTTGTTGAGAACCTCGATGCAGACGAACAGGATGCAGACGAAAAGCACCGTGTTCTCGTCGGCAGTCTTGCTTATCTCTCGAAGGGCGTGGTTGTAGTGACTGATGGCGAAGTGGTTCTCCAGGGTCTTGTCAAGCTGGGCTGTGTCGCGTTCAAGGCTCGAGTGCTCGTACAAGGAGCTGATGGCAATGACTGCATGCCGGACTGCGGCATCCTGCTCGGTAGCCGGCGCCACTAGCTGGATCCAAAAGCTGTCATCGGAATACTCGGTCAAGATGGGGGCCACAACGCGGAAGTAGAAGTCGAGAGCACGGCGATCCGCGGAGGGGGTGCGATGAGTGAGGGCGGGCATGATGGGTCTCTTCTGCAGAAGTTCGCCCCACGAGTAGTTGACCGTGTCCTGGCTTGGGTAGCCCTGACAGCTCCGGCCGTGGTTGGTACATCTTAGGCAGTGTGGTTTTGTCTCGTCACATTTGACTCTTCGGCTTCTGAAGACGAGCCAGCAAGTCAGCCGGTTCCAGGCGGGTGGTGGGTTCATGACATGACATGATATGCAGGCACCACTGGAATGTATCTATTTACAGTACAGACAGGCAAGGAACTTTATACGCACTTGCAGGTCCTACAACCAGTCCTGACCTTTTGGGAACCCTTCCGCGCCATGGTGTGCTGCCGATGCTGCTGCTGGTGCGGCTGTCAGGTATTGTATGTACTGCGCTGACTGGGGTAGTTAGCTCGGTGTCTAGGTACCTAGCGTCTGGCGATTAGTGGACTAATGGATGTATGCGTATGTATATGCTCGATTGTAGAGAGCCAAGGTCAGGTAGCTACTAGCCAACGGCTTTCCGTCTTGCGAACCACGGACCACGAGCCAAGTCAATAAATATATTGGTCAGGTGGAGCGTGGAGCGAGGGAGTCTGTCTGCGTCGTGGTATGTATGTCAAACATTTCAAGACCAGGCTGGTTGATTCTCGGAGGGTTCTGGGACTTCAAGGAAGTGATGGATGGAGGGATTCATTCGTCCACACAGCCTGCACACCCAAGATTCAGGTCGGTACCTAGTGCTGTACTGTACATGTACATACCTACCTGCCAAGATGTGGTTGACCTGGAACCCGGATTCTAACGTAGGTAGTCTTGGATTAGCCGTTGATCAATGACGGATAGGGCGAGGCTTCCAGCCGAGAAGTTCTAGAACTTTGCTCAGGTCAGGTAGGTCGGAGTTGTTGTACCTGTGTCATCCGTGTCTTTGCTCCATCTGCCATGAGTATGATATGCGCGCGCGTCAGGGGACTTTTGAACTCGAAGAGAGGCCTGGCTGACCCGCGTGAGGATAGGTAATTATCTTAATTATTCATCAATAGTTAAGGTATTTTGAAACCGATTTCATCTCGCTGGTAGGTGCGAAGGAGTAGCTGGGCATGTGGCGTGGACAGCGTCAGCCCTACTGTACATGATGTTAAGGCCGTCACTGGCACTGGGAAGTTATTGCCACTGGCGCCTAGCTTAGTCAACTGTAATGCTAGTAAGCGGGGCAAGTGCGAGGCAAGCATGTAATTCCATTGGTCAATTGCTGCTTCCTTCCTTCTTTTTCCGAATTCCAATCTCGGCACCTTTTGTGGTACCTAAACTTTGTTTCCTTAGCTGCTCGTTTCTCGCCTTCTCTCCATCTCGGCAATCCACCCAGCCACACACATTTCAACACCACTTAGGCATCAGTCACTTTTTCTACACCAATTAGCCGATGAGGCCAAGTGACCTAACATCCTCAGATGTTGCTAGAACAATAGGTTCTACTGTCTACGTGCTTGCTCAATACAGGCCATGGTAGGCCATGCTAGGCTATGCTAAGCCATACCGTGCCCGTTGCCGGTCAGCCCTGCTATTGAGTATCAACCAACAACCCAGGCAGCCATGGATGCTAAATCGGGTCCGACTACTAGCGCCACGTCGCCGCAAAGCTCACCGTCCCCAACACTAGGCCGTGTCCGTACTGGCGGCCGCCGTCTCGGACCAGCTCCGACCCAACTCACAACTCACGAGAACCCCGCTAGCCGATCTGCTCCTTGAGTCCCTGGAGCAGCGCCGCCATCTGCCTGGACACCTCTGTCGACCGCGGTATGTCGTGGCCGCCGCCGTGGTCGTACATCTTCCTGTCGTCGCAAAAGTGCGCCAGCTGCACGCTGGCCGGCCACCGCGGGTCCTTGGCCCCGTAGACGTGCACCGTCGGGATCTTGATGCACGCGTCGGCCGGCATGGCCGTGAAGTCGAGCCCGAACACGTCCGACTCGAGCGGCATGACGCGCGGGTCGTGCAGCAGGCCCGCCGTGTCGTCCCACAGCCCCACCCCCGGCCGGATGCGGTCCAGGTTGGCCGCCAGCTCCGTCAGCGCCCCGGCCTTTTGCTTGAGCAGCCGCACCGTCTCGTCGTTGATGTCATGCGCTCTCTGCGACACGGGCAGCCCCAGGTCCTCGAGCACCGGCAGCGGCACCCCGCCGCACACGAACATGGCCGCCTTGAACGGCAGCTCCTCGTCGGGCGTCTCGCGGTAGTGGTACAGCAGGAAGCTCCCCACCAGCGAGCAGCCCTGCGAGAAGCAGATGACGGCGTCGTACGGCCCGTGCTCCTCCGCGTAGTCGATCAGCCACTTGTGTGCCCCCTTGATCGAGTTGATGGTCGCCTTAGGCCACCACGTGTAGTGCCCAGAGTCGAACAACACCTTGACCCCCGGCGCCGGCGCGCAGTCAAACGGCGCGTCGACAAAGTCAAACGTGTACGACTTGTCGAGCTTGGCTCGGAAGGCCGCTGTTGGCAACCCGAAACCGTCCGCGTGTTAGCTGGCAGGGGTATGTATATCTGTATAAGTGGTGGGTTGGGTGGGATGCGGCGATCATGTCTGTCTGCTAGCCCGTCCGCCCTTACATACCTGTCTGCGACTTGAAAATGTATGCGCTCGTGCCATGGCCGTGGAGCCCGAGGATCCTCATGCTGCCGTTTTTGCACCGGTCTACCACTTCTCTTTGGGCGGTTGGTGGGTGGTGCTGAGTGGGTTGGATGGTTTGGCTTGTCTCGTCTTAGTCCAAGCTTCCTGTCCGGCACACTGTTTCTCTTCACTTGACGGGGAATAAAGAAGAAAAAGGCTGAAGAGTATTGCGAGACAAGACTGCACCGACAAGATCAGCCATTGTGTTGACCGTGCAGGTTGTGGGTAGGGCGGCGGCCAATGTCTTTCCTCGTCCAGCCGTTAGTCATCGTGTCTCGGGGTCCGAGACTCTGTGGATGGTGGCATTCTTAGCTGGATTCCTTTCGGGGTCCGGGTTGGAGCAGTCCGGGGTTGCGCTGAAAAGGGAACGCCGGCCGCACGTCGCTCCAGCACCGGCAGCCAACAGCCAGCCTCGCCAGAGTTCCAATCTGCGGTGGACTGGAGTCGTGCATGATGCCAAACTTGGTAGGCATCTGCCTGTGTCACTATCTCAACGACTACGTGCGTGTAGTTTGCGGCTAGCTCTGCCGGACCGGACTGGGCATCGACACCAACACCGCCGACTTATCCGCCTATTTTAAACTGCCTCGCTCCCTTTCCACGCCCATTCCCATTCCCAGGAAGGCGGATCTATTTTTACGACACGCGCACCCAGTAACATCCCGTCGGCAGAGGGCTGCACCGCTGGCGCCCGCCCGCGTGGGCTGGGTTGCACCACTGCGGCGTGTGGGAACCAACTGACCACCCTCTTCCACACCAACCAAGCCCTCAGAGTTGGGAATTACATCACAACTCAGAGATGACTCAGATCTTCAAAGTGTTCTCCTTTTGTCTTCCTTTGCTTGATCTACTCCCATTTTCCACCGCCTATTATTCTCGTGCACCATTTCCCGAAAATATATACACGATCATGCCCTGTCCGGAGTTTACCCAAAGCGGTCCGTCCCGTGCCGAAACATCAGCCATAAAAATCCCCCGACGTCCCCGAAATTTCGGGCATAGTTTGATGGGTGGAGGTGTGGGTGGATTCGCACAACCCCGAAGCCAGACACATTAAACAAATGCCACCCACTCAGTATTTCTACACGGAATATTCAATTGCTCTAAAGTACGTTACCAAAGTCCTCTCAGAGAAACAACATCAAGCAAGCCAGGGAAAGGTTGTGAAAAGCATTGCTAGCTGGGCCGTGGATCGAGTTTGAAGCTGTGAATTGAATTGAATTGAATTGCATATCCGGTCGGACAAGACATAGCCCCGATAAACAGTTGGACAAACTAGGTGTTCCGTTTGAATGATTCGGGTTGGCCGACTCGGCAATCCTTAGCCAGGGCAATCGCCTTGTTTCCCGAGTCTGTACGGAGTACACGCCGCTCGAACTGCGGCATCTCGAGTCGTGCATTTTCTCGCCCTCGCCTCTTATTTTGCTTGTTTTCTTTGTTGTCTCTCGTCTACACTAGGAACGACTCCCACAGTGAGATGTATCGCCTAAGTGAAATAGCTTATACCCATGACCACGCACACACTAAAATGTAAACAGTTTTGTTCTCTTGTCCATACCATGCTAAACAAGTCAGTGTTCTTTCAATCAGGTTACCTAGATACCTTGGTTAACTGAGTAGGCTGTGCTGCTTGTCTGCCTTTCATCCCGCCATAAAAGGTTTGTAGCAAGGGCTCAACATTATCTTTCTGAAGAATTCGTGTTATTGGTATTACGGTTGTAAATATAAAATGCCGAGAAACAAGACGCCTTCCATTTCCCAACCCATTAAAAAAAAGACTACCGCTCCCCAGTGCGCCGTAACCCTCATTTTATATGGTGCACCATTCCGTGTATTCTTGATGCGTTTTCTTTATCTAACCTCTGAATGTTCTACCATATAAGACACTCAAAGCTGAGTTCTAGTTATCCAATCATGAACTTAACCGAAGGAGAAAGCGTGACGCCACACCTGAAAAGAAAATGAAAAACAAACTCCAGTCGTTGATGCGTTCGTGTATAATACCCATGCCCGACCGTAATAATATGATGACGCCGTGTCGCCGCTCCCGAAAAAGCAAGGATAAACGAGTAAATAGCTGCAAGACTCGAGAGAGGCAAATTTAAGCAATAGCTGCCTATCGCCTCCGCCCAAAGAGGGAAGTGCCCTTCCTCCTCATTGCCGGCCTCACCGCCGTAGCCTTCCTGCCCGCGGGCCGCAGCGCGAGGTTGAGGAGCAACGGCGTGGCCTGGCGCATTACCGTGTGCCGTATGCCGCCCTTGCGGTCCGGGTGGCGCATTTCCATAAACGTGTCGACGGCGGCCGCGCCTATGGCCGTGGCCACGACCTTGGTGCCCTTCGGGCCGACCCAGGGGCGGTCGTCTCCTCGCATCTTGTACGCGGCGAGGGCACCGGCCTCGAAGGCGACGCGGGCCGCGCCCATGAGAATGTCGCTCCGGGACTGGCCGTTCCCGTGCTTCTCCGATTCGTCGTCCGAGGACGAGTCTGACGAGTCGGAAGAGTCATCCCGGCGGCGGTGGTCGCGATGGCGGTGGTCAGGATGGCGGTGCTCCCTTCTCCTCACACGGCCTGGGCGGCTCGACGAAGGTGGGTGGTACGCTGCTATCTTGCTGTCCCGAAAGTCTCGGTCTTTCCGGTACCGCGGATCTCGGCGGTCTTGACCGTACACTGCCGGGTGTGAGTTTGAAGGCTCCCGGTTGGGCGGAGATGGTCTATGGCGACTACCCGACCGTTGTTGATGAGAAGACTTGTCGACGGACCGGGACCGCGACCGGGACCGTGATGGGGAATGGGTGCGGTGGCGGTGAGTTGGGTGACCGGTAGCCGACGACCGTGACCGGTGGGCTTGCCGGTCATCTTCGTCGACCGACGACGATGAAGAAGCGGATAGTGATCGTTGGTGATGAGAGCTGAAATAAGAGTCTTGCGGCTCGGGTTTGCGGGAAGAGCGTCCGTGAGATTTCTGGGCGCTCAACTGCATCTGGTGATCAACTCCCCTCGAATGACTGCGATGGCGCCGGCCATGGCCGTGTTCGTGGCTAGGGGTCTCATATTCGACGGATCGCGAGCGGCGGAGATTTGTGTCGCTCTCAGGGGTAAGGTCGCTAAACCTTAGCGGCGGCCTCGGCATTGTAGATTAAGCTGTAATGGGGAAGAATGTTATTAGGGGTGCAATGAGACTTGATGCCCAGGCGACTAAACGTGTGTGCACTTTCAAAGAGGAGAGGAGTCCTTAAGCGTCAAATGATGAGGGCGATCAAAAGGTAGGGGTGTAAATGGCGGCAACCCTCCCAGAAACTCCACCATCCGAAAGGGAGGACATTGATATTTTCGACGGCAGCTGAATTCCCGCAATATAGAATGACCTAGCTATCTTGGATGTTGGCTCGGATCGCGAATTTGCGATGAACCCCGCCTGGAAGATGCTAGCAAGCTTTTTTTTAGCGACGGGTCGTCGTCACTTGGTGTCGATCCCCGTTGTGTTATTGGGTATAACCGCTGCGGAGGTGACAGTTAAGAACTGATGTCATTGTGCATGAGATGCAGCACTACGAGGTCTGTGGGAGGCCAGCGCAAAGCTCTCGTTCCTCAGAAGGGCAACGCGACCATCTCTTATCTCAAACGCCTGGACCGTTCTATTTTGTTGAGACGGCTTTCCCCCCCCCGTTCTTTCTTTCTTCCCCTCCTCTTCCTGACATCACTGTGCCGAAGCTGTGTCGCACCGTTCGGTATATATTGACGGAGAAGATTACAACGCAACGCGAATCGTGTGTCCATGCGAGTCGTTCCGCTTTGCTGCGGTCTGTTGGCGATTTCCCGCCCCAGCTATTGGATTGGCGCATTCTACTATACCGCTTATGTGACGTCAATGTCTTGGAATAAAGGAAAGAAGTCGTGGATATCTGTAACAGTGGTGGTATCACACAGACAGACCGGTCAAGATCTCGCTGGCCCGAAACTCTTGATATTGCCTAGGAAGGGGGCGATGGCCTCGCAACGGCTGGCATGCAGTCGCATCGACCGTTAAGAGGACTCGAGTTTTGGGGTCTCCGTCACCGCGTCGACAGCGGACGGCGCTTTGATTCTGGTGTTTCGTCCTCCGGCCGGGCCTCGTGGAGATCAGCAGGCATGCTGTTGCTCGACCCGTGAGGTTTCGTATAGATAATTCGAGCGTAGCCGCGAGACATGCGCTGTGGACGAGCTACCTGTACCTCGTGGGATGCATGAATTTCTGGCGCCGGACTACTTGTGCACGACGGTAGCGACAGCTCGTCTTCTCCATCGTCCCGCGGAGTTCCAGACTTATAAGCCATGGGAGGCTGCACCAAAGAACCCATAACAGCCGGTTTATAGACATGTGTGGGGCTATCATATCTTTGCTTGGTAGGTTTGGTAGGTTTGGTAGGCTGGGCTCGAGCTTTGTATATGGCCTCCGACTCGTGGAATCCAAAACCGCCGCTAGAATGGGTCCCTCTCCGCACGGTTGGCACCTCTGACGCCCCGATGTCTGGGTAGTAGCTATTGTGAAGCTCCTTTTTCAGCCGAGTCATCCGACGAGAGCTCCGACGCCGCCTATAGATCAAAGCGGCGAGCCCAATTATAGCAAGCACGCCGGCCACACTGCCGACGGCGATCCCGGCAATTGCTCCCGACGACAGGCCGCCATCATCCTCGGGCTCTTTGACGGCATACTGCATTGCGTACACTACGTTTTCAACAACGACGGTGGCCTTGGTCGTCTGGGATGAAGCATTTGTGGTAGTAGATACTGGGGGCGGAGTTGTACTTGAGCCCATTCGACTGAAACACGGCGTTTCACCTCCCAACAGAGTAGTCCAAGGAGCGTAGCCTCTGAGAGCAAGTTCAGTTACGGATATGTCTCTCGACGACGGGAATTTGCCCCTACCTTGGACAGCAGCCTCCAGAAATGGAGTAATAGTCAGCGGCGCAGTGATCCATCACAGCATCCTTTGCATCCCGGGGTTGGGGATACGCGCTTCCCCAAGGATGCCAAACCCCGTCGGGGTTTTCGGCAGCCACGAACACCGTCGGTTTGGACTTTGCGCTCTCGCTGGTAGTCCTGGGGGTGAACGGGCAGCAGTCTTGCTTGTCGTTGACGCACCCAATGAATGGAGCATACAAGGCTGTAGCCCCATCATCGATTAGCGTGTACTGTGCCGTTGCGCAATGTTGCAAGAGAAGATTGCCGCTACCCGTATACCGTAGTACCTGAGGAGTAGAAAAAGGCGAAGCGGTGTTGGATGTCCTAGTCGCCGCCACGAACGGAGGGGCGTTTGCGACGGGGCTGGCAAAATAAAACGAGTTTTAGACGAGATACAGAGGTACGCAATAGAAGTGCTTACGGATTAGCCATGGCTGTGCTGTCATCAAAGTCGGATGAAGCATGCGAGCTCGCCGCCGTTGTGGCAGACTCGGGGAGACTCGTTTCTAGGAAGCTGGGTATCTGTGATGTCGACGTGCCAGGCAGAGAACTTGATGGAACCGAGTGGTCGGGTCCAGGGAGCGGGTCCGAGTCCGGGCCTGGATCCGGGTTCGGACTGGGGTTGGAATCGGGGCCTGAGGTCAGGGGCTGTGACTGGGGATGGGGCTGGGACTGATGAAGCTGGCAGAGTAAAGACAGTCAATGGGACGGCGTCGAGAGCAGGTGAGCTGTCTTCTGCTGGATTGCCGTCTTGTTCTTGAGCTGGAGAGGGATCGGCAGATGGGAAGTCGGTAGGAGCAAGAGATTGGGTCAGGAAGGGGCTGGTGGGCGGGAGTGATGTGCCTATTCGAAGGGCAATAGGAGTAGGAGGAGCCGAGGGCAGTGGATTGATGTAGAGGGTGTCCCAGCTGTCTGCCTCGAAAGGAGATGGCGCCGAAGGGGCCATTTGTTGAACTTGGCTGGTGTTGGCTGGACATGCACATAGCTAGTGCTGCGAGCACAGAGACGGCGTTGGATGGGCTCGGACTTCAGAGTAGTAGCTCCCGTCTTCCGCCTCCCGAGAGGTGCGTCTCCGGGGAAAGCCAGGTCAAGGCGGGCCTGGGCTTCGCCGAGAACATGCTTCTCACAGTGACGCGAGGCTTTGGAGCTATTGCGAGCCTATTTAGAGAAACCATATCTATAGCTCCTCGGCGGGCAAGGTGGGTAGCTTAAGCTCCTTGAGGCGTACGAGGCGCACCACCAACGACCACGACCACGATAGCTCTTCTTTCTTGTTGCTGCAGGCAGTAAGCAGCGGCGCCCATTTACAGGAGGTTGTGAAGCCGCTTGGTTACACATCATGGAGGACAACGGGCGAGGGACGGCTGTTGAGAGTTGAAATGAGAACACGGGGGACATTCAGTGTCCGAGAATGGCGAATTAAGAGGGGACTGGCGGAGACGCTCGACTTTCGGATCTTGCAAGGCACATTGACACAGCAGCAGAGCGACACGGGACAGACGGAAGGAAGGCAGCAAAGGCGTCGCCAAACAACGTGGAAGTCCGAGACGACGGCGTAGACGCAGAGGCACAGATGCAGAAACCTAATTCGGGGATTGCGTATCGCTGTTTGTCTCCGTATAGTAGTGCAGAACCAAAAGTTAAACTAAAACCGGTAAGTAGCTGTAGTAGTCTAGAACTAGTAGCTGGGTGGTGAAAGTAAGCGAGAGGCACTCGGCGTTCTCCGTAGAGTCCATGCCTCTGTAAAAGGAGAATGTTGGATACCTATTTCGAACTTAGGTGGTTTTGCAATGGAGTTGTTAGTTGTTTCCCGAGTTGCATTGGGACTGAAGGCGAGTGTCAAATTGCCGGGATCCACTAAAGGACGCGCTACCAGTAGGAGGCCCAGGCGGGTTCGCTACCGGGTGCGGTCTATATTGAGGTGGGGGGTTAATTAGGCGGCCACCTCGCCAAAAGTTTAGTGCTGGGATGGAAGTTGCACCCGCAATCCCACCACCACCACCACCTCCACCATCACCGCGCTCAGAAACCCCACTCGATCTTCCAGCTACCTACCTTACCTGGAAGTGGGAAGCTCCAACTGCTCCGTGCATGACGAAACCAAGACCGGGCACCTGTATCCATCGTGCCTCAGTTACCTGCAGCTGCAGCTCCCGTCCAACCTCACAAACACGAAACGCAATTCTGGCATGGGGACCTAGCTGATATATCCATCCCATCCATCCATCCATTGCCAGCCGCCAGGCAACCAACCACAACCACGGGCGGACACTTCACAGACAGACACTGGGCTGGATCAGAGCGACGGGAAATGGCCGACATGGTGGAGAGCGAGCTGACCAGCGTCGATGGCCTTAGCCTAGGCGGCGTGGCAGCAGCGCTCCCAAGCCAAAGTCCCGAAACACGCCCAGGAGCGTCTACTCCAGGCCTTTCAGCCAGTGACAGTGCCAGTACCAGGGCCAGTGCAAGTGCCAGTGCCACCACCAGCGGTCCTCCTCCACCCCCTCCTGCTGCTGCTCCGCTGCCGCCGACTCTGCCGCCAACGCTGCCTCCTTCACCCCTTCCCCCTTCACAATCTGCCGAAGCTGTCAGGGATGTCTCTGCTGCTGCTGCTGCTGCCGCACCTGACGAGCCTATCTTCCCACCCTTGCACAACAATGCCGGAGCCGAGACAGACTCTCTGGGCTCGGGGCCCACAGCGCCTTCTCGGGCCGGGCCCGGGGCCGGAACTGGAGCTGGAGCTGGAGCCGGAGCTGGAGCTGACGTCGACGACGATGAGCCTGCCGTCGCCCGTCCCTTCCACCGCACCTCGAGCCCAGACTCGGCTGCCCGAACCGACGACCTGGCTACCGAGGACGGCCGCTCCGGGGACGGTGACGACGAGGGCCGCTCCCACGACGCCGCCGGTGCCGCCGGCCCTTCCCGGCCCCGGCTGCTCCACAAGATGCACAAGTACAGCCTCTACGAGACGGCGAGCCGCTTCTACATGGTCGGCGGCGACGTGACGGAGAAGCGATACCGCATTCTCAAGATCGACCGCACCACCGAGGACGCCTCGGACCTGACCATCACCGACGACAAGACCGTCTACACCCAGAAGGACATGAACCAGCTTCTCGACACCATCGACGACGGCAACAAGGGCACCGGTGGCCTCAGGCTCCGCTGCACCACCTGGGGCCTTCTGGGCTTTATCAAGTTCACCGGGCCCTACTACATGCTGCTCATCACCAAGAAGAGCACCGTCGCCATGATCGGCGGCCACTACATCTACCAGATCGACGGCACCGACCTCATCCCCCTCACCTCGCCCAGCTTCAAGACGGACCAGCGCAACACGGAGGAGTCGCGCTTCCTCGGCATCCTCAACAACCTCGACCTGACGCGCTCCTTCTACTACAGCTACTCGTACGACATCACCCGCACCCTGCAGTACAACATCACCAGGGAGCGCGCCGCCCTTGTCAACGGCCACCCCTGCTCCTTCGAGGACGACTTCAACTCCATGTTCATCTGGAACAACTACCTGCTCCAGCCCGTCGCCAAGGCCATCAAGGCCCCCTACGACTGGTGCCGCCCCATAATCCACGGCTACATCGATCAGGCCGCCGTCTCCGTCTACTGGAGGACTGCCTACATCACCGTCATCGCCCGCCGCAGCCGTTACTTCGCTGGCGCCCGCTTCCTCAAGAGGGGCGCCAACGACCTTGGCTACGTGGCCAACGACGTCGAGACGGAGCAGATTGTGTCAGAGGCCCTGACCACGTCGTTCCACGCCCCGGGCCCCAAATTTTACGCCAGCCCCGCCTACACGTCCTACGTCCAGCACCGAGGCTCTATCCCGCTGTACTGGACACAGGACAACACGGGCGTGACGCCCAAGCCCCCCATTGAGCTGAACCTGGTGGACCCCTTTTACTCGGCCGCGGCTTTGCACTTTGACAACCTCTTTGAGCGCTACGGAGCTCCCGTCTACGTGCTGAATCTGGTCAAGGCTCGGGAGCGCACGCCCCGCGAGAGCAAGCTGCTGGACGAGTACACGCGCGCCATTGAGTACCTCAACCTGTTCCTGCCTGCCGATCGCAAGATCATGCACCGTGCCTGGGACATGTCGCGGGCCGCCAAGAGCCGCGACCAGGACGTGATTGGGACCCTCGAGAGCATTGCCGAGGATGTGGTGACCACGACGGGCTTTTTCCAGAACGGCGACGGCCATACCTCGCCCATCCGCGTGCAGAACGGCGTTGCGCGGACAAACTGCATCGACTGCCTCGACCGGACCAACGCGGCACAGTTCGTCATTGGTAAGCGCGCCCTAGGCCACCAGCTCTTCGCCCTGGGTATACTGGGCGACACTGTCATCAATTACGACACGGACGCTGTCAACCTGTTCACGCACATGTACCACGACCACGGCGACACCATCGCCGTGCAGTATGGCGGGTCGCAGCTCGTCAACACCATGGAGACATACCGTAAGATCAACCAGTGGACGAGCCACTCGCGGGACATGATCGAGAGCTTCAAGCGCTACTACAACAACTCCTTTCTCGACGGCCAGCGCCAGGAGGCCTACAATCTGTTCCTGGGCAACTACATATTTGCCCGCGGCCAGCCCATGCTGTGGGACCTGGCCACCGACTACTACCTGCACCACGAGAACCCGCGAACGTGGCTGGAGCAGAGGAAACGGGACTACATCCACTGGTTCACCCCCGGTTTTCTCGAAGAGCGAGTCTTGATGCCATACCCTCCCGTCAAGACCAAGGCCGCCGCCCACAAGCCCGTGTCGGCCTACGATGACTACTGGCTCGAGTACTACCGGCCCTCGACACTGTCGTCCTTTCTCAAGATGTTCCCCTTCAAGATGAACTCGACAATCAAGTACATACCCTTCAAGTCCACCCAGGAAGGCCGGTACGACCTAAGCCCGTTTCGCGTCCGCACCGATGCGGATGGCGACGCGAATGACAAGAAAAAGGCCAAGAAGGAGGTGACGATACTCGCGCCCCGCGACCTCTCCCGCCTCGCCGAGGAGGCCGCCGAGACGGCATCCATCTCCAACGAGAAGGCAAACTTGGCGGGGAGCCGGGGCATGTCCCTGCAGCGGTGGTTGCAGTCAAGCAACACAGGCGACATCCCCAATGGTAATTATCACAATAACGCACATGCCAACGGCGGCAGGGGCGGCAGCACGGTGCAAGGCATCATGAAGGAGTCCATGGGGCCGTCCAACGGTGTCGACGCCGAGGCGCGCAAGACCAAGGCTAGCGAGCTGGAAAAGTCGCGCGCTGCTCAGTGGACCTTTACGCAGGTGGTGGAGGAGAGCCTCAACCCAACCGTCAGCGCCGCCGAGGCCGACGACTACACCCGCTACGTGAGCCACCCGCACAACCTGCCACTCGTGGTGTCGTCCGACATCCCCGCCGGCGAGATCGAGCCCGAGTACCGCGACTACGTCAACGGCGGCAGCAGCTGGCAGCTCCTCGAGGGCACCGGCGCCGGCGCCATGGGCAGCAACATCGGCAGTAGCAATGGAATGCTGATGCCCTCGTCGTCGCTAGCGTCATCATCGGTTGCAGCGGTGGCGGCGAGCGGCGCCAAGATTTCCGGCCTCGAAGACGACTGGGCGCTGTACGTCGACACGCTGCGTATCGGCGAGAACCCACTCACGGTGACGGAGGAGGACGCGCTCAAGAAGCGTTACAAGGCTTACAGGAAGTGGCTGCGCGGCAAGAGCTTGTTCAAGCAGCAGCCGGTGGATTAGGAGCCCCCCCGGCTCTCCCCGCTCGAGCCCGAGCCCGACGAGTATTACTTCTACTATTACAACACCAACGAGGACGACGCCCTGTCGGGGGTGGTAGATGTCACGCCCGGCACGCCATCTCAGCTACGGCATGACTAGCAATATTAGCAGAACTTATTCATCGTACGCGTGTAAAGAGTCTGTCTAGCGACGGCTCCTTCGCCACCAGCGGCGCCACACGCTCGTACAGATCAGCTGGACTATTAGTCTCCGTTTTGCTCCCACTCTCCAGCACGGCGCCGAGCGCCTGGGCCAACTTGATGAGCTCCTGCTCAACCTGGCCTCCTCTTGCTGTTACTGCTGCTCCTGGCGTGTCGTCGTCGTTCCAGTTCAGCCAGCACACCGCCAGAGCTGTGATGATCTCGTCTTCCCACGGAGAGACGGGGATCTTCGGCCAGCAGTTGGCTAGCACCGCCTCGAGCGCCTGGATGGCCGACAAGAGTGTTGCGGGCGATACCGGCGCGAACGGGTCCGTCATTATCCCCGATAGCAGTGGGATGAGGTCCTGTTTTTTTTGTGTTGTTGTTAGTATGGTGTAAGTATACAAGTGCAAACTGTGTAAAACATAATTTCTATTTTCCTTCTTTTCTCGTGGAGGGAGGAGGGATGAATGGGAAGTAGAGTAGTAGGCTTGTCCACACAGTCCGAGTCCGCATGGCGCGTGCAGGTGCTTACCTTGAGGTGCTTGACGGCGTGAATACCCATTTCGCCGATGATCAGCGCCGTCTGCTGGCAGAGCACCTCGACGATGCGCACGTGGTCCTGGGCGTGGAGGTGGGCCGCGAAGACGCCTTGGCGGAGGATGCGGTCGAGCATCTTGTTCTTGCCGCCTCCGCCGGTGGCGTCCTTGGCCGTAGGTCTTTGTCTCTGCTGCTGCTGCTCCCGCACCTGCTTGCCCGCGAGGCAGAGCAGGGCGCTAAAGGCGGGACCCAGCAGCTGCAGCGACTCGTCCTCGGGCGTCAGGCTGGGCAGGAACGCCAGCGTCGGGAAGACGGCCTCCTCAAACACCGCGCTAAGCCCCGTGTCGTGGAGGGTCTGGTCTGGGAGCTTGCGCAGGAAGGCGGCGAGCGCCACGAGGCCGCGGCTCCGCACGCTCGTGGCCGAGTCGTCGACCAGCGTCATCAGCACCGGGATGTAGAGCGGCCACTGCTTGCTGATGAATTGTTCCTGTGTGGCGCGGAAAGGGGTCGTGTCAGTAACCTGGACTGTCGATGTATATTTGTGTGTAGATGGAACATCGCGGGGGCGATGAATATATTTCGATATACGAGTTGAGATTATATAGAATGAGCGGTAATGGAGGGGCTGTAAAGTGAAGAGAGGGAAAAAAAACTCACATCTGCTTCGTTGATGACCCAGCACACGGCCGGGATGGCCCTGAAGTCAACGTACTTCCACGGCTTCGTGTCGCGGGGCTCGCCCTCGGGGCCCAGGCTACTAGCAACCGCTGAGCCCCCGGCGGCGGCATACTCAACCTTCCTGCCTGACGCTGTCACCGACGCCGGCTTGGACTTGGAGAACAGCGGCCGCAGGTAGCGCTGCAGCACGGCCTCGGCGGCGAACTGTTCCCGCTCCCTGCTGCTACTGCTGCTGCCGAGCTGGTCCCTGAGCACGGCGCCCGCGCGCGCCGCCGTCTCTGCTGTCGACCAGCTGTCGTCGTCATCGGCGCTGGCGTAGGCTACTAGTGTCAGTAAGACTTGGTCGTCGAACCTGCTGCTGCTGCTGCTGTCAGAGAGTAGGTCTGAGAGCGCTTGCAGGATAGCCAGTCCTGCCAGCCCAACGGCGGTGCAGTGCGCCGCTGCGTCGGCGTAGAGCCGCGCGCGGTCGTGGTTGTCTGTGGGTGTGAGTAAGTAAGCAAACAAAGCTAGAGTTGACCTTGCGGTGGCGTGTATGGTCTGGTGCAGAGTTTCTTTTCGCAAATTTTGGTGAATAAACGATGGGGGACTCACCTAGACCCAAGCCCTTGATTCGGGCATCCTTGTCGTCGTCGGCCGCGACGGGCGCAATCGCCTGCGCTACGGCAAGAGCTAGCTCGCCCCCGGCGGCCGCTGCTGTGGCGTCCTGGCTGGTGCCGGCCGTGATATTGCCGGAGCGGAGGTAGGCGAGGATGGCGAGGAGCAGCGGCCGTGTTGTGCTTGCTGTCTGCTTGCTGTTCTTTTTGGTGTTCTTGTTGTTCTCGTCCTATTCGTTCGCAAGGCGAGGCTGTTAGCGCTACCATCCAGAAAACCAATAAATATCAAGAAAATATAAAACGAAGAAGAAAACAACACGAACCTGAAAGCATATCAACCGGCGGTCCGCCGTCAACGCCTCGGCCCGGAGCGCAGCAAGCGTGAGCGGCTCAGGGACATCTTAACACAGGAGTTAGGTTAGCGAAAAGGCATCGCATTCTGAATGTGGATTCGCAATAATCTCTCAAAGAAAGAAAGGCAATACGTACGTCGGGACAGCTCGGCGCAAGCGTCGTCTGTCGACAGCTGGGCGGCGGCGAGGCTTGACGCGGCGTTGAGCAGCGATCTGAACCAGCCGCTGCTGCTGCTTGGACCAGCACTGCCGGGCGACGAGGCCATGCCTCCCTATCTCTGACGAAAACCTCGACCTGGATTTCTGGCTTACGTTGGTTGTCTGTTTATGAGACATGAGCCAAAGTCGTGATTTCAATGCGGGCACGCATAAGAGTGTATGGCATAAACGGTTGGGGTGAGAGAGAGATTCTATGCGGTCGTGATCCTTAGGTAATCCAGCACTGTATTTACAGCGAAGTATGTTCAATACGGCACTGCAAGTCCCGTAAGATACAGCGGCGCCTTGCCCATTAGCTGCCCCCTGAACTCAGGCTGCGTTCGACATCTTCAGAGGCTCGATCCGAGTGTAAAAATCAATAATAGATTCATCAGACCAAACATATCTGATAATTACCTTCAAGTACCTATTTATTCACTCACCTACTCTGCCGAGGAGCGACTTCCCCAGTGTTAGATTCATCACATTGGTGAAATAACTATACACACTACAACACAATTATTACACCAGTAATCATGTTGCTACATGGGAGCAGCTGGAACACTGATAATATCCCGGAGCCTAGTCTAGGGAGTTAGACAATGCCTAATACTAGTAGGTATGTATGTATGTATGTAGGTAGGTAGGTAATAGTCATCACCCCCTGCGAACAATCCCGAGCTCCTGCGCCCTGGCGCGCACCTCCTCGACGGCGGGGGCGTAGTCGGCGACGCCGGGATTGCGCAGCTGCCAGGCTATGACTATGTCGAGGGCCGGGTTCATCCACTTGCCGGGCTTGGAGCCGAGCAGCTGGGCCAGCACGCGGCCCTCGACGATGCACTTGACGGCCGGCGCCTCGACCATGTCGAGCTCGACGAGCTTGTCGAGGAACTGCTGCCACTTGGCGAGCACGTCGTCCCGCTGTGGCCCTGCAGCGCCCTCTGCTGCGCTGCAGCGCATCTCCACATCGACGAGAATGGCAAACAACACCTGCAGCCTCCAGTGCGTGCCGGCGGTGCCGTCCCACTCCCTGATGGCCATTCCAAACACGGCCGCGTCGTCTACCTGCGGCTGCTGCCCGGTGCGCACCACCTCCTTCAGCGCGACGATGGCGGAGCGGTTGCGGTGGGCGGCCACCACCACGTCGCGCAGCTTGTTGTGCGCCTTGAAGCCCTCCCGCGCCGCCTGCGCTGCCAGGGGTAGCAGGGGCTTCTTTTTCGGGTCTGGGTTGACGTCGTCCGGCAGCTGCTCCCAGGGGGTCAGCGTCGCGAGCGCCCAGGCAAACGCCCGAGTCTCGTCGTCCTTGACCAGTCGGTCGAAGATGGAGCCGGGCGCCCTGTTCCGCTCGAGAAAGCCGAGGCACTGGTAGGCTGCGCGCCAGTTGGACACGTCCGGCTTGGGCATGTCCTCGCGGTTAGGGTTTGTGAATATTGCGTGATAGAGCCCAAACCGGTCAATCAGTTCAAGAGACTGGCAGGGGTTATTGCCTATCCACGCCGGTTACGGTCAGCTGTCACGCGCTGGGGGGACGTAAGGGGGGACTAGAGTATGAGGTGAGAGAAAAGAAAAAAAAACTAGCACAGTCAAAATGGCCTGCCTGCCTTACCTTTGAACATCTTTTCCAGCTCGACGCCGACCCGCTCGCGGCTGATCTTCTGCCGCAGCGACGCCAGCACTCCCGGCTCGGACATGACGCTCCCGACGTCTGGGTCGATGGTGAAGTCCAGGCGGCTCGCAAAGCGCACGAGCCTGAGCACGCGGAGCGGGTCGTCGCGGAAGGTCTGCAGCGGGTCGACGGGGGTCCTGATGAGGCGGGCAGCCAGGTCGGGCAGGCCGCTGGTGAAGTCCTCGACCTGGCCGGTGTGGAGATTGTAGAACATGGCGTTGATGGTGGCGTCGCGGCGGAGGGCGTCCTCCTCGGCCGTGCCAAACTCCATGGTGGGGTTCCGGCTGTCGGCGGCATACGTCTCCTTGCGCAGGTTCACAAAGTCGAGGTCGAGGCCGTAGAGAGACGTGGTGGTTGTGGCGAGGTGCTTGGACTTGTCGGGGTTGCGGCCGACCGTGTGCAGGTGGCGGAGGTCTCTGGGGCCAAGGCCATGGCGGTCCCTGTTCGCGGGGACGGCGCAGTAGTCGCGGAGGCGGTCCGAGAAGTCCTCGCCCGTCATGCAGTTGATGGCCGTGTCGATGTCGTGGCTCTCGAGCCCGAGCAGCCTGTCGCGGACCCAGCCGCCGGCCCAGCGGAGCACCACGGGCTCCTTTTTGATCTTGGCATCACCCCATTCCGAGTCGATGTGCCGGGCGACGTCGAGCAGCAGAGTCTTGAGCCGCTTCTCGGGGGGGCTAAGAGCGATAGATGGCGCCGCCGCAGGGGCAGCAGCAGCAGCAGCAGCAGCAGGCGTGGTTGTAGTAGTCATTGCTCTTTTCCTAGGCGCGTCTGATGGGAGAATGTCGACCAGACACTTGCGCTTCATAGCAATGCTCCAGGCGCGACTGTTGAGCAGTTGAGGCCGCGAGAGACGCAAGAACACGTGCATTCCCTTCCCTATACCTTCATCACGAATCGAGTCGCCGTGCTTTTTATTCCATTCGCACACGACCAAAAAAGGGCCGCCAGCCAACTCCGGTTGTGGGAGTCACAACGGCCCGCTCAGCCTTCGTCGCTCTCACTGGCTTTGGCTTTGGCTTTCACACGGCACCCGAGGGCGATGAGTCAAAAAGACAGGCCCAACAGCCAACCGTAACCTAAATGGCAGCCTCGACCTAGAAGAAGGAGTAGATGCCCTTGCGTCAATTACCTTTTGATGCGTTTGACGACGTGGAGAGGAATGCTTTTGGCTTTGGGATTCGTTCGCAAGTTGGGTATTCGACTTTGTTTGACTAGCATTCGCTACGTGAAAGTTACCACTGTGACAGGGCTGGAAATGGAGAGTTCAAGACATGCGCCGTGCCACTTCAGTAGTCCCCACTGTGCCTACAAACTGTATAACTAACCCCCCTTTTTCCTTAAGACAACCAGCTCGAATATTATTTTACAAGCACTCTAGCATTACCTTGTCCAGTATTTATTACATTATGCCGTAATACACCCGTCAAGATTCATGTTACAAGCTCGCCTCTAGTACAGCATCAGTCGAAAGTAAAGCTACATCAGCGTTCTAGCGCAAATATCTGCTTGTCTATGAAGACGAAGCTAGCACCGCTCAAAGACGCGGTAAAGGCCTTTGAGATTTGCCACTTCGACGACACCCCCCTCCATCAGCGATTTGGTTGCAACCAGGCTCGATTTGAAGGCTGGAAAGAGGACATGCTCCAGTGCCCAGCGGACATGGGTGCGGCGGGCAATAATTTCAGCATCAAGCCCGGCTTCGTCCTTCTCACCACCGACAGTGCCGCTACCACTGCTCTCTTCTAGTCCCGGCATCACGGGCAACTGCTCCGGGACGTAAAATGAGGCTAGTTCCTTAAGGAAGGTCTCGAAACAGGCCTTCTCGTCCGACCACTTCACGTGCGGCCCGAGCCGCAAGAGAAACCGCGGCAGCTTGACGATGGCGGGCGTGTATCCCTTGACTAGGAGGGGGATGCTTAGCAACTCGCCGGTTGGTGATATCTCGAGCGAGAAGTACTCGAGAAGCATCTCCCGCCGCTCAACTAGCTGCTCTGCGACAAGCCGCGCCACCTCGGTAGCATCGAAGTCATCCTCGCCTTCCGTGCCGGACAAGGAGGATCCGCTTTTCTTCTCGTGCTCGGCCGCCATGTTCAGCAGCTCCCGGATGTCTAATGGGGGGTTGAAGCGAATAATGCCAAAGTTGGCAAAGTCGGTCAGTCCAACTTGATAAAAGTATTCGAAGCAGACGCGGCCGTAGTCAACCAGGAACAGCTTCACGCCCCCCTGCATGGCAGCAAGACGGCGTCGCTCATCCACGACGCCAACAAACGTGTGGCTAGCAAACACCTCAGTGAGTTCGTGGTGCATATCGTCACGCACAGCAGCACGCAGCTCATACACGCTGATTAGACGACAGGGAGTAGCCTCGCGATCCACCGTCTCATACTCGACTGCCCCAGCCCCAGCGTTTTGGGCCAAGCCTGGCCGTGCGGATGGACCCCCTGTCCCCACGGCCGCTGCAGGTGGCAACATACTTGTGATCTTGCGCAAGTTGGTATCGGTCCGCACGAGGTTGTTTTCATACGGCCGGCTCGGCGTCCTGCGACTATCGCTGCCCCCTGTCTTGGAGGGGGTGGCTGCCGTTGCCTGTTTTGCGGCTGGAGACGACCAGGAGCCTCCGAGAAGCAGGGTTTGGGTTAGAAAAGTGCGGCTCGTGTCTACGGCGGCCAGTTTTGAGCGTAAATGCTCGCAGATGGCCTGGATAATTTCGTCCTCGTTCAAGAAGTTGACCTCGCGCTTTGTGGGGTGCACGTTGACGTCGACCCTCTGGGGGTCGATCTCGAGGCTTAGGTACACAAAAGGGTGCCCACTCTTTGGGAGGAAGGCGGCGTACGTCTGCTCGATGGCCTTCCGGATGTTTGAGGATTCTACGCAGCGGTGGTTTATAAACAACAGCAGGGTCGTCTTCTTGATGCTGTAGTTGGCGTTAGTAGCCAGTCCGGTAGCCTTGAAGGCCCATCGATCATCAGACGTGGAGAATTCGATGAGCTCGTTGGCAACACTGCCGCCATGTATCTGCCTTATCCTGTCAACGCTGGAAGCGTTGGCCGGGATGGCGATGCTGGTCGACGACTCGCCGTGCTTCTTGCAGGAAAAGGCCACGTGAGAACAGTGGACGGCGTATCGGCCAACCATGTCGATGATCTTGTTGTACTCGTCCGCGGCCGAGCGGAAGGCACGGCGGCGGGTAGGGATGTTGTAAAACAGGTCCTCGACGGTGATCTGGGTACCCTGGCGGCCGGCCACTGGCTTGGGGTCAGGCGACTGGCCTGGCTTGGCCGGGACGAGCTTGCCGCTGCCATAGTATGCACGCCAGGCGCAGTTAGACTCTTGTGTCTTTGTGGTTACGGCGAGGTGTGCTATGTGGCTGATGCTGGCCAGGGCCTCGCCGCGGAAGCCGTAAGTGGCAATCGACTGCAGGTCCTCAAAGGTCTGCAGTTTGGAAGTGGTGAAGCGCTCGCACAGGATGGGCAAGTCTTGTTTCTGTTTTCTCGGTGAGCAAGCGGGCCAGCAAGGAAGCAAGCAAACAGGCAGAGTCTAGTACGGGCATAAGGGCGAGTAGTGGCAGATGTGGAGATGGAGATGGAAGTGGATGGAGAGAGGTGCAAGGAGCGGGCAGGAGCGGGTGGGTGGCGCACATCTATGCCGCAGCCGTTGTCGGTGATTTGGAGCAGCTTGAGCCCCCCGTCTTTCACGAGCACTTCGAGGGCAGTAGAGCCTGCGTCGACAGCGTTCTCTATGAGCTCCTTCAAGGCGTGGACGGGAGCGACGATAATCTCCCCAGCGGCGATCTTGTTGACGACATCCTGGTCAAGAGCCTAGAGGTAGAGTTTGTTAATCAGCAATGTTCGTTCGTCGTCGTCGTCGCAGTCAGTCAATCAATCGCTCAATCACCGTCGCTCAATCAATCAACGATCAATCAGATGCACTACCCACCCTAATACGCCGCGGGGCATTGCTGTCATCGAGCTCGTCGGCTTTTCGCTTCGCGCCTCGAGGGCCATCGTCCAGGTCGACATCCATGGTGTCGGCCATCTTGTCATGGTTGGCTTTTTGGGTTTACACTTTGGAAATGATGGGTCAAAGACAGGGGCTAGGCTTGATGACAATCGGCTCTGGCAGCAGCAGTCATTCAACTCACCCCTCCAAAAAAAATTTGGTTCGGTTTCCTTATCTTTTTTGGCAAGCACGCGAGCCGATGCAAGATACGGTTGCAAGGATGCCAATTACTCACCGAGGCCAGAGATGCTAGTGAAGCTGAAAATCGATGTAAGGCTACCGTATTACCTGACCTTACCTGAACCTAAGTTGCCAGTGCGTGCAGCGGCCCGCAGTCAAGTGACGGTTGCTCCTTCCTTGACTGAGAGCCTCACTCATTACAGCTCGACGCATTCAACTAATCCCGTCACTTGCGCCTCTCCCGCAGGAATTCTCGTCCTTAGGCAGCTGCTTTTCCCCTCAGCTCTTTGGTTGCAGCCTGGCCGGAGGGAACCGAGCCTACCAAAAGCTGAAGACCCGGCAAGCTAAAGTCGCATCACAACGGGCTCAGCCTCTACCATTAGGTAAGCCGTCGGTCTGCTGGAGATACCCCAGAAACTGGGCAAGGCACGGCTGTACCAAAGGTAGGCAAGGTGTTTTGTCTATCAAGAGGTACTACACACCGTACCTAGGGAGAACAGAAATACTCAAAAGGGGTTTTACCTTTCATTGCTATTCTCATCGACCTGACGATTACCTAGGTTCCATGGTCCCGTTTTCAGGGCACCCTGCGAGGTTCCTTTGCATCAAGCCTTGAAGACGTCCTGCGCCTTGATACCCAGGGTTCTGCTCCCATATTCTCAGGGCACCCTGTGGGGTTCTCTTGGTATCAAGCGTTAATAGCGTCCTTCCGTTTTGATATCCAGGTTTCTACTCCCATATGTTCAGGTACCTTACTTTTGGCGTTTACCAATCTCCTTTGTTCCAAATTTCAATGCATTAAAGAAAGTTGACTACTGGAGTTGCAGTTCAAATACCTTCAAAGCAGATAGAGTAGGGTAAGGTAGTAGATATGCGTGTATGTTAGGTCGAGTACATACGAAGTGCAGTACACATTGGTAGTGCATTTGTGAAGGATAGCGGTAATTGGTCTAAACATGAGCCGTCACAAATTTCTTCTATAGTCTCGCTCGTAGCCCGAATAAACAACCCCGCCAACACAGTACTGAAAGGGAGCTCGGTATTCCGATTGAGAAAGGTATGGTTTTCCTCGGAGTTCGTACCCAGCCAGCCAGCCAACCTAGCGAGCGGACTGAACTACCCCGCGTATCCGCCGTGGGTGGTTCAGGCCGTTTTTTTTCCCGCCTTACCCGCCGCGCTTCCTAACGCTCAGCGCCTGGGGTATAGTGGGGGCCAAGCTCTGTGCGGCTGAAGGTAGGCGAAACGGCACGAGCCAGTTGAAGGCCCTGGCGGCCCAGTATGAAGCCCGAAGAAAAAAAAACAGAACCGCACCAGCCCCTCCCTCCATGCTCGCTCTCACCCCACACAGAAAAATAAGTGGACGGGGGATCTAAGCCACCTTTGGCCCTCTTCCTCTTTGCTCACCAGAAAACCTCCACACCATCCATGGAACACTTTTCCGTGCTTTTTTCGTTCAGTCCTTGCATCTCAGCTGCTGCTCCTCTGCTTTTTCCACACAGCATTGGATGTCACAAGAGGCGGCGTACCAGGCAACACCTTTGACTAGATGCTTGCTCTCTCGCATTCGGTCCTCGTCGGTAAGGCAAAGAAGCAATGGCACAGTCGGCCCATTTTTCATTTGGTTGGTTGGCTTCTTGGGTGGCCCGTTTCAGTCCTGGCGCCATTGCTGTGCTGTGCTGTGCTGTCGGAAGTGTTGGTGAAAGACTTTGGCTTTTCCATAGGTTGGGCCTTAGCCTTGGCTTCTCGAATTGGTCTGGGTCTGTTCTGTTCTGTTCTGTTCTGTTCTGTTCTGTTCTTTTCTTTCTCATCATTTTTCTCTTCTTTTTGCCTCGCTATTCCTTGCGCACCCACAGTGTCATTATTCGTACGGCAGTTTTCACTTGTAGTTGCATGTACCCAGGTACATTTCTTGCTGTCGGGTGAGAGGTCCTCATTCACTGTCGGGCAGGTATGTGCGGCCCGGGAGTGGCAAACGGAAGACCGAAGTCATGCACAATCGGCAGCGGGCGGTAGGTAAGGTAGGTTTGGGGTGTGATCAGATCAGGGTGTGACGGTTTTGTTGCGGCGTGCATTCAGACGCAGGTCAGCGGCGCCGCTCCCGCTCTCGTGCCGCCCCTCCCTGTTCGTGGCCCCGGACATGCTCGCAACCCTGGCAGCCCTGTACAGCCCTGCTTACCAGTCTCGAGGCACACTGGAGGGCTCCCGCAAAGCAAAGCAAAGCAGGGCGTTTCTCACGCCCCGGAGGAGGTCATCGGAGAGGGCTAACCTCCACTGTACATGGGACGCTGGCAGCTCTATCGAACCTCTTGTTTCTCTAATCTTATTTAGTCATGGCCAAGCCGCCGTCATCTCTCGACTCTTAGCCTTGCAGCAATCGTGCAGCTTTTTTGTTCTGCTTTCCCAGACAGTTTCTTGGATCCATCAACCTTCGGCTAACCTGACGACGGCAAGACCGAGTTGCCCACCTGTGACCAACCATAATGTCCAGTGACCGTCTACGAAACCTTACCCGGCTCGCCAGTCCGGAGGCAGCCCAGAGCGAGGCAAATTCATCAGTCCAAGTCCATCTCGACCTAACGAGTAACAGGTATGCATACAACGGCAAAATGCCCTCCAGAATCTGAAACCCAAGCGCATATCTGATCACGGGTCTAGGGGCCGCAGCGGTGCGCTTCAGTCCGGGTCGAGACCGACTTCACGGGGACCGTCGCTCTCGCGGACACCCGAGCCGCTGTCGGGAAAGCAGACGACTTCCAACTCGCAGTCTTCATACACGTCAGCACAGCTCGAGCGGCCCAATGCCGAGGACGTGCTCATCGACCTCATCACCCCAACTGAGCTGCGGAGCAACCCCTTCTTCGCCGACGGCGTCCATGCCCACGGCGTGAAGCGGGCCCTCTCCTACGACGACGACGACGACGACGGCGAGCCCGGGGATGGCCACCTGACCAAACGAGACAGACGGGACACGCCCGAGGACATGCTGGACGAGCTGGAGCAGATGGCCGCCAGCTACTGCGAGGATGCGGTCTCGGCGGCGGCGGCGGCAGCAGAGACCGAGACGAACGGACTGGGCACCGATGCACATTTGACTGCCACTACTACTACCCGGCCCCGTGACCGGGCCACAGAAGTCATCGAAAAGGGAAAGGAGGCTTTGTTGGTGATCAGGGATGCGAGAAGACGGCCACCGCTGACGATGGAGCATCGAATGCCGCCGCGAGAGCGTCCCATCATCGACCCCGGCAGCGACGACAAGCCCCAGCAGCAGCAGCAGCAGCAGCAGCAGCAGCAGCCAGGCCAGAACGATGATACTTGACCCACGTGGCATTGATGGCGGCTCTTTTGCTTTGGTCAACTTTGCGTCAGGTTTCCTTTGCCGGGCGGCCGAACAAATGTTTCGAAGATCACCCAGGCCGCGGGCTCTGAAAGTGAAACGTACCATGCACGCGAACATTCTCGAAGCGTGATGCTCAAATTTTTTCCGGGGGGGTTAGGTATTTGTCGTTTGGGGTCTTGTTGTTGTTCTCCATTCTCTATTCTAACTTCGTGTGCGTTTGGCGGTTTGTTGGAAAGTCCACCGGAGCTTATGGTTGTTTTCTTCTCTTCTTCCTCTCATTTTTTGCCAGCTTCGTACGTTTGACTTTTTGGCCGAGTGGGGGTTTTCCCCCCATCCACTGTCGACTTCGGACGACTTCAAACTGTTTTGGATGACAGCCGACGGACGGCATACCCACTTAGTCTCTCCTCTCATTGCATTTAGCATGGGGTCAATAACAATTACCCCGATAGAAAGCCAGGATACCTGCCTTACCTAGATACGATACCATACCTTAGACAATGCCATGGCGCAAGCCTCGGGTTTTTGTCAATACATGCTGAATGGCGCTCCTTTCCACTTGGTGTTTGTTAGGTATTTGGAATTGTGAGTTGCCTCTTGTTCATGCGCACGGCATGTGGATCGTATAAAATGTGCGTGTGCACGGTAGGTTGATCGGACCGCGCGCCATCGAAACATGTTTGGCTCCCGATCGGCAGCGCCAATCTACCGGTAAGCCAAATCTCCGACCGCCTTACGAGAGGGGGGGGCGCTTGGTTGCCACCACCGTTGCTGCCGTTGCGTCCAACGGTTCTTTCTAGCTCCTGGACTATTCCGTAGCAGGTAATTCGTATTTGAGAGTTTAGCTAAGGAAGGCAGCCTAGCTCTACTTAGTAGCTGATGAATTTCGCGGACCAAAGCAATGCCATTCAGTCAACACGTCCAGTTGGTGCCACAGCAGCTCATCTTGAATTAGCGATTGGGTTAGGTATTCCGTACATCATGTTGTCGTGGGCAGGCAGCGGGAAATACCCGACAGTTTGGGCGATAAAGTAGGTACAGGTTCCTGCCTAAGCGATTTTGGGATGAGCCAAACAAGGTAAACGATCTAATTGGCTCTGTACATACTGTACAGAATCTTTTTGTTTCTGACCCAGGATCCCAAAGTCGACTTCGGGTTGCTAAATGGGTGTTGGGCGCCCTTCCATCTAAGTTACTTGATGCCCAGCGTCTTTCGAGGTAATGCCTGGCATACATCAGCTACGATGCCTACCCGAAGTGCAGCGGTATTGTATTCGCCTCAGGTGATGTATGATGTATGAATGAATGCACCTGCCCATACGGGCCGGAAGGTTACAAAATCCGGACACGAAGAGACACAGACTTCCCATTGCTCTCTTTCTTTTCCTAGTATTACTAGTAATAACTGATTTTCTGAAACATCTCGAGGTGCTTGATCCCAGAAATATTTTCCGTCTAGAATCAAGTAAATCAGGTTATTAGCAACAACACTGGAGAATGATCTGCCCAATCCGCATGTATGCACAAGTGTGTGTACTTTTATGTATGCACATACCTACGATACCTAGCTTGCATCGTGTGCACTGAGGTGTCACCCCTTCACCGCGCAGCGCTGCGCTGCATCAGCGGCAGCGGCTGCTGAACCGAAACCCGAAACAGACGGGCAGACGACTCAAGAGCGCACAACCCAACCCCCCCTTTCTAGACACCGCTCCATCTATTCATCCATCCATCCATCCATCCATCCCTTCCTTTCTTTCCTTGTTCCTATTCTCCTTCCCACCACCACCGCCGCCGCCATTTTAAGGTTGCATCCCATGCAGTTGAGATTATTTCCTGCAATTCGAAGCTACGCCTGGTGTCTCCCTACGTGGGATATACGGACAGACAAACCCTCAAAACTCTCTCGTTATTAACTCCCCCCTACACATCGTCTCTCTCGGTATCTCCCCAGCCCATAGCCAGCTAGCTATCTATCCAGGAAGACGAGGCAGATGTGTCCGATTCTCTCCTCCTCCAGCGGCGAGCGCAACGCGGACACAGACGGGAACATGGACGCACAAGCACAGACACAGAGTGTTACCGGAAGGGCGCCAAACACACAAGAGGCTCAACTGGGATGACCTCGGAGAGTCTAACGACAGCCCGAGATCCCGCTCTTCGCAGCGCCGTTCAACCACAATGTAAAGCTCTCCTTTCCAATGGAGAAATGAAAGCACAAAAGCAGCTCTCCCCGAGCTGACCGAGGATGGGTTCCTCAAAAGCCGAGACCATGGATTGCCGTCAAGCGCTGTTGACTTGGCCCGCCAGGACGAGCTATGTTGATATTTCCAACCCAATAACGCTTCCATGTCACTTCACGTCACAGTCTCAGACCAAAAGAGAGGAAAGAGGAGAGGGAAGAATAAACCAGCAGATATAACCTTTGGAAGGGGGAAAGAAATCGATAAAGCCCATGTGCTCTCCAACGCCTCCGCCTCCGGCTCCCGCACCTGCCAACTTCATGACCGAAAAACGAGACACAATTCAGAAATTTTTGATCGAAATCCGAGACGCTTGCCCCCCCCCCCAAAAAAAAAAAAGGAAAAAAAGAACCAACGCCAATGATGCCCCTCCCATCTCATCCATCCCCCCTAGAGAGTCAGATGGCACACCAAACACCGCATCCGGGTATGAAGGTGCCAACCACACATTGGTATCATAGATGCGAATCGCCAAGTAACGGAAATATAGCGAGCCCCAGCGCACATGAAAAAAGGCAAACGAGATATTAAACTTTCGGACCTGAACGGAACCGCCTCCTATCACGGCCATAACCCCGTCCCACGTCACTGTTGCTGTCGATGCTGCTGCTGGGGGTTCGGCGGGCCCGAGCGATCCAAAAGACCCCCAATGTCAACCCGTGAGCGTTCGGCCCTGGGCTGGTAGGAAGGTTCCTGTTGAGACGCGTTCGGATGTTGGTTCCTAATGGGTGGAAGTTGATACGGCACCCCCTGGTGCGTATGGATGGCTGTATGCAGCTCGCTTCTTGGAACCTGATACGGAGGGCCTGGTACCGGATAGTCGGGTCGACTTGGTGAGGCCGTATAGGACGATGCAAGGCCTGGGCTCAGTCCCAACATCAGCGATGGAGGCGCTCCAGGCGCTGCAGCCTGCCGTGGTCCATAGCCGCCGTCACCCGGCCTCGATCCTCTTGGGTCAAAGGTGGCCGAGACAGGAGTAGGCTGCGAATATGGTTGCTGCAAAGGTTGATACGAGTAAGACATCTCCCTCGGATTCGGCGATGGCGTTGGATACTGAAATTGCCTGGTTGGCAGACTTAGTACAACCACGACAAAGTATACCGACTCTTTTTTAACGAGTCCCATCTGCATCGAGACTTGTCGTGCCTGCCCGTCATGACCCACGAAAGTGACAACCTCATGCCAGTCCAGGGGATACCTTGATATCTCTTCCGAGGAAAATCCGAGCGCCTGAATTACCCTTTCGTCCTTCCCCATTCCTAGGATAGGCGGCAGGTAGGTAGGGTCTTTTCTCTTTTGGTCGTTATGCACCATCTGCTGCAAGCTAGACGCCTTCTCTCGGTCTCCAGGCGCAAGGAAATCAGCGAGCTTAAACCCGCTCAACGACTGTCGGCCTATTGCATCGCGGAAGGTGCTCGACGACTTTGCAAATTCGAAATCGACCGTTAGAAACGCCGCTAGCTCAGGAGGCCGCGTGGAGATCGATAGAGGGGCAGGAAATATGTTCGCATCCGACACCGAGCCTCGATCAGGAAACCTAGGCGCAATTGTTTCGGCTGGTTGAGATTTCAGTACGCGATACGACTGTGTTCGTCGAATATTCTCCTCGTAAGCCATACCAATCGAAGATCCCGGACTATACAGAGATTGTATAGGCCTTCTCATGGCATCCGCAGCACTCCCAAATCTGGGGCCGTCGAATTTTGCTTCCCTTTCATCTCTTAATCGAGGACGCCCGCGCTTTCTATGCTGCACATCGATACACGCCTCCTCCTTGCCGTTGGTCAGGCATCTTGAACAGGGTCGCTGTGCTGTAAAATGTCAGCAAATAGATTGGAAGAACGGGCAGTCGGATACTGGTGCCCCAAGGTCGAAACGGGAAGCCCGAGAACAACCGATCACTGGACCATGCATGTTGCGCTTCCCGTTTCACAAGAAGAAAGAAGCGTGAACATGGCTGCACTTGGTGCGAGGGATTCTCCCACTTCCTACCAACAATGCCGGAGCAGCATCCATGGTTGACTGGATTTCCACACTGATGGGACCTGAACATCGATTCCATGTTGCGGGCCTTGGACTGTTGTTTGCTGACGACGCACCATGAATGGCTAAATCGTATAGCAATAGGACGTCACAAGGGCGGTCGGCGGTTTGTGCCAATCCCACCACACTCCGAAACAGCGGGCCGGCGTCCCGAGAGCTCAGGTGCCCTTCAACGCATAGTCGGGCAGCCCGGGCGTCATCATCCACAGAGGAGAATATTGGGGGGGTGCCCAGATAGAACGTGCCGCTTTCGGACCAAAACACGCAAAACTCTGGGAACTCGCTTGAGAACCGCCTCCACCCGTTCCTGCAGCTCGATGGCTCAATTATCGGGGCCAATGAGTCTTCTCAGATTGGGTATTAGGGCAAGGGGCGGGTGTCCTGCGGCTTTTCTAAGTCGCGTCACACACTGGTGCTTGGCCCTGCTCAGTGCTGCGCCTAAAGGTCCCCGGAACTGTCTGACAATATGATGTCAATTAATTCCACAGATGACAGCCGCGGCGCCGCAGGATCAGTGCCGCCCACCTGCAGCCGGGTTTTCCCTTCTGTTTATATTGCGACGAATTGGAGATAGACCGCGGTACGTACCGTCACATCTGTCCAATTGTCAGTGTTTCACGCTACGGAAGTCTTGGGGAAGCGCAATTGGGGTAAACGCACCGGAGATGAGCCTTCTTGCAAGGCACGCATGCGGAAGCCACATGCCCCTTTGTCTTTCTCTGCGGTTTTGGCGACGTCTGATGCATGGGTTCCTGCATGGGGTGGTGCGGCGGCACTGGATAGGCTTGCGGTGTGGGCAGAGGTCCCGCCGTGACTCCAGGCCCAGGAGCTGGTAGATATGTTGGCTGGGGCGTAAGCTGTGGGTGGTGCTGGGGATAGGTGAGAGGCCGATTCACCGATCCCTCGGAGCGGTAAAACGGATACGGCATGCGCTCCGGCGCGTCAGGGGGGAACGGCCGGGGAGGAAGCGGAGCGCTCGCCTGCACTCTCTCGTCGCCCCGTGTTGTCGCCGGGATCCCGCGATAAACATCGTGCGTAGTCGCTTGGTATGCTTCGAGACTTCGTTCGGCGGCCTCCTGGCTTGATTTTGGGGGGAGCGGTGGGGACCCTGACATGGGCGGAGAAGGATAGCTCCTCAAACGAGCAGCACTCTCAGAGTCTGCTCTGGCCCAAGTCAAGTCGAGCGGGAACCGCGCCAGGTCTGATACGCCTCGGCGTTTGCCGAGAGAAACACGAGAATCGCCGCCACAGTAGTCTACCGCCTGCATGGAGAAGACTCTGCCGAGACGAGGCAAGGGGCCCGACCTTCAAGGTGTCTCCTCCTGACAGATATCGGCGTGGTCCGAACCAGCAGAGACGTCTCCGCAGATGGAGGCAAGCGTCCAAACCGTACCCCGTGCACAAGGGTGACGGCCGACATTACCCGGTGCGTGGAGGACGCAACGATGCGGACTGGCTGTTGATGTCGTCAGAGTCCGGGGATAGTCCAGCCTCGGGCGCGGGCGCGGGCGGCGTCTTGTTGCCTTTGCAGTCGGCCGAGACCTTGGCCGGGAGTCGCACGGAGTCGGGGGTAAGGGCTGAAATGTCAGTGCGTTGATCTTCTCCGATGGACCAGGGGCGCCAGAAGGGATGGGAGGGGCCCTTGGAGATGCTTTGGCACTTGTTGGATTCTCGAGCACCGTCCCTTTTGAGGACGGGGTGGCGGAGTGATGCGGCCGAACGGGCCAGCTGCCTGGGCGAAGGAGCGGCAACACGCTCAACTCGGCGCGCCAAGTCGGACAAGATGGTGAGGCGCGATCCGCCCTCAGTGATCTTGGGGACTCAGTAGTACAGCATGCAGCGGTGCAGTGCTTGGTGCGATGGCAGAGCGTTGGTGGAGGAGTTAGTAGTCGGAGAGCTGCAGGTCGTCACCAGTTCCCGAGAAAGACCCCAGCCGTCAAAGAGTAGATGGAAGACAAGAGGCAGCGGCAGCGGAGCCCAAGAGTCGACAGCAGCAGCTGTTTGGGGGCGTCCGTCTTTCTTTCGTCCTTATCGATACTCGAGGGAGCTGCTGCTCGAGAGGGATATGGGGGCGGTTGAGGCTGGCCTGAACAGAGAGTCGGACAGTCAACAAGAAAGATTTAGTGTCAGTGGCACTGGCTTGGTTTTTGTGCGACTTAGAGGACGGCGCAATTGAGATGGACCCCCGGGATGGAGCAAGGATAACCGTAGGTCAGGGCACCCTGGCAGGTGGCCGGCCATGGATGGGCAGCTAATCGAAGGGTAGACCGCAATGCCAGCAAGCCACCCCCCCTGGTCACCTCGAAGTTCGTGCAGGGCACAGACTGCAACTGGGGTTCGAGGACCACCAGCCTATCTCCGCAACAGAGGGAAAGGGTACTTCCATTTTGACCCGGGCGCCTCCTACCGCCACGGTTAATATGACATGGAGACAGCTAGCTGGGGAAGGGGGGGGAGGTGTGCCAGTGCCGTTGCGAGGTTGACAGTGGAGTTGGAGGCAGGCGGACACCCAGCCAGCAAGCAGCAACAGCAGAGCAGGGCAGGCGGTAGAGACGTGGCTCGCCGAGCACATCAGAGCCAGACAGAGCCAGAAGAGCCCTTGACGCACCATGCAGACGGTTTTAGGATGGCATCCGTCTATTGGGCCCTGGGCAAATTCCCCGTTCAATACCGTTTCGTGTTCCCTTACAGAAGGAAGAAAGAAAAGGAGAGAAAAATAAAGGGCAGAGGAATGCGCCCAAGACAGTGTGACAGTTCCAGCGTAATTTTGATTCGCGAAGTGCGTCCGTGTCTCTGTCCGTGTCAGTCTCATCAGCATCGGTGCCAGTGCCAGTGCCAGTGCCAGTCCCAGCGCCAGTCGTTACCGGCACCGGTAACCGGGGCGGATCCGCAATCAGGGGGCACCTGGCAGCCACTTCCACTTTCGAGGCTGCCCTGGGCTATGGCTGAGGTATAGGCCAGGTACCGTATTTATGTGTTAGTCCTAAGTTGAGAATAATCACTACCCGCACAACCGCCCGCCCGCACCACCATGGGGATGGGAGTGGAGTTGACTGTTGTTGATCTTCTAGGTCTCAAGAGCCCCAACTTCTGCGGCAGGGGTCCAAGATGAAGGGAGATTGGCAAATGGAGAAGGCTAGGCGGACAGTAGGCGGGCCCGGGAGAAGAACGAATCGCTCCACCAAGCAAAGCAACCGACAAGCTCTGTTCGGCGTAGTGTCGACTCGGCGGGCATCTCGTGTCTCAGGCACAGCTGGCACTTAGCTTCTAGTCTCTGGAGTTGCTGCGGCTCGGCTAGAAGCTGAGGAGGTGAATGACGTCTGTTCCGTGACTGTCGGATGGAGGAGGAAGCACACGAATACGCCATTGCAGAAGTCTAAGAATAGATATGATATGCGAGCCTGCGTTCCGTATGTATATACATACACGCCCGAGCTCTCTGCAGCTTCGAGTTGAAGAAAGGGGGATCTGAACGGGAGGGAGAATGCATGCAGAGATCATAAAACAACCTTGAAGCTCGCCAGGCTGTATTCGTGACTACCACCTCACTTACCGTACCTACCTTGTAGGTAAGGCAGGTAAGGGGCAGTACCATGGAGACCTACCTACCTTACATAGGCAGGTACGCATGTTCACGGACGGGGCTGAGGGTCTAGACTTGGGGTTACCCACTTGCTCTTGCCAAGGTTGTCACCACCAACTTCGTACCTACCCAAGAAGCACTGTGCCTGCCCGCAACAATTCCCTGTCTTCGATGCTCGCTAGAATTTAACGTTGTGACTCCGATGGACCTTAGGCAAGTGCATAATGTAGTCGTGAAGGAGAAAACGTATGGGAAATCGTCCCTGCCTCGCAACTCTGGGAGCAAGTCTAACCTTTACGCTCAAGTCCAAGCGTTGCTGTGTTGCGGTTTCCCTTCTTGCGTGCTAGGCACAAAATACCTACTGATCAGAGACATCCTAAAACGGAAGGGAGCATCCCACGCTGTGGCAGCTTGAGGTTTGGTTTAGGTATGTACGACCTGCACCAAGTAAGGTAACGAAGGTACCTCCGAGTCTCGAGTTCATGCCGGCAAGCGCATGGAAGCCTCCTTCCCCCGACCAGTGTGGAAGCGCGCAAGGTGGCAGATTCTTTCTATTTCGACCCAGCATGGAACATTCGGTCATGTGTGTTATATACCTATAACGAGACTGAGACACACACTCAGGAAGTGGAATACTCACCTCATCCAGTGCCCTGCCCAGAGCAACCTAACTTGTCCTCAAGCACCTCACGATAGGCCGATCAGCAATTTATGGACGCTAATAACCGGTAGACACAACGAACTACGAATACAAGTACGGAGTGCCCAACTGAGAAAATAAGGATACCCCTGCAAGGATGGAACGTGGGAGACGAGCAGCTGTCGGGTCCGTCTAGCCTCGTCCCCACGACGGGAAAGACCAGAGCGTTGCGTGAAGCCAAGAGTTGCAAGACAACAGGAAAATGCGACCTACCTGTCATCAATAATGGGTGTCCAAGCGCCGGACCAAAGTTGGGGAAGTCGAAGGCTTGATCGTGCAGGCCGGTCCGCGATTCCAAGGACACTCGCTACCAGGTATGTTCCACGGTACAAGCTTTCCATGCGGTTCTCCATTCCTAATCAAATGAGTTCTAGTGCTTCGGCCGCAGTGTGTGTCTGAAGCCCAACCTATCGGCCCCTCCCCATATGCAAATCATGGTGAAATGGAACGCGATGCGGGTATTCCGTACTGCATGCCACCCACCCACCCACTTTCGCACGTCTGTGTATCGATTCGATTCTTTCCAAGCAAGCAAGAGTCTCGCGGTTCACACTCACTTTCACGAAAAGGCGGTGGCTCGCAATGTCATTGGCCGGCCACCGGTTCAATCAAGAGCCTAACACCAAGGCGTGATTTGCCAGCCAGCCAGCTGCCTCACTGACATCTTTGGTATCTTTAAACCTTCCGAAACCTCTCAATGCTCCCATCTCTCCACTCTGCCTCGTCCCTCATTTTCTCCCCGGCCCATATGGGACACGCACGGGCAAGCTGATGAAGAAAAGAAACATTGTAGACAGGACCAACCCCGTCAATCACGCCCGAAAAAGCTGCCGTGTATGTACGCAGTACTCCATATGGCTTCTCCTATCCGGCTGAAAATCTCGGATTGCCGACATGCCTTCCTACCTGCCTGCTGCCTCAGTTCCTGGTGCTATGCTCGGTCGCCTGTCCGATTTGAGACCAGCTGCGCCGTTCATGGTGGAAGTTCCAAGATGGCCCAGCTCCTCACCCCCGCAAGTCTCTTATACTTGGCTGGGGCCGTGCACGGGCAATGTTCCGTACGAAGTATATACGGAATAGTCGTACATGTATACACTACTTCCTCAGTGAGGTACTTCGTGCATACATGTGGGCACCCTTCAGACTGCCGAGGGAGTCCATCCATGATGGACCGAGATCCAGACAGCGGGCCCAAGGTCGGAAGCGACATGCAGTGGCTGCATAATGTCGACCCAGCAGGAAGGGGTCCAGTACCGAGTTTGCCCCCGTCATCGAGCCGGGACGGTCTCGCAGTTGGCTGCACAAGTCTTGAATGCTGTCTTACGGCACCTCACGCATTGCAAAAGAGCTCGGCCGTTGTGTGGCCCACAGGCTCAGGCGTCACTGGAATCTCGGGTGCGACAGCACCTGTCTCCGGCGACTGGCGGGGCACAAAAAGGTCTCATAGGAACATGCTTCGAAAAGCATTGCAAGCTCCTCCACCGTATGCATGGGAGGTATGGATGAACGGACTGTCATGTGCGCCCCAGCGCTTCCAGGTCACTCGCAAGCTGTGATTTGCTGGGCAAGACGGGCGTCCAGCTCTTCTAGGTTGCGTGCATACGAACGCGAACATGAAATTACGTGCTCAGAGACACGCGAAACCTGTTCGGATAGGGCTTTCTTTCTAGGGCGAGCGGCGACTCATTAAGCCCGCCGGGGTCAGGGTCAGGGAAGCGTGCGTGACGGAAACCCTGGGCGGCTCTGAAGGCACATTGACATCTGCTATAGCAGCGGAAATAACTATTATACCTCCTTACATAGTATGCTTGCTTATGCCGGGCGGTATTAGTTGACGTTGCCGTCAATCCTACACACGAATGAGGCTTCTCGTCTATCTACGATTCGGATTCAGTCTCCCCTCCGTGAACGCTAGCTCTGCCTCACTCGGGGAGGACCCAGCAACGCAACACTGGCCGGTACGCCGCAATATCGTCCGATTGTTTTCAATTCTCCGACGGCAAGCGCGCCGTAAGATCCTAGTCGGGCGCGATCGACCTCGTCAATTAATGCCTTGCGCTCAAGAAAGGGTCGTCCATCTGTACAGTGCCTGCTTGGCGTCCTTGGCTGGCTGGACATTGAGAAATGGCGCTTTCCGATCTGTTTCATTGCCTTCATTTTCTCTTTTCATCTTTTTCTGGTCTCGGACGTGTCGATGGCTAACGGTCCCTACTCCCTCGCTTCTTCGGCCGCCGACAGTGCGCATTTAATGCATTTGCTTCCCAATTTCCATGCATTTTCCTGCGAACTACGACCGAGCAGCCGTTGTGTTGACGCATCTGATGTTGTCGAGCTCACCCACGCTGGTTGCGAACCCTTGAAGGGCTGAAAAGGGGGGGTAGATGACTGGATGGGTTGCTCGAGTATTTCCCATTTGTGCAACACTCGTCCTAACCACCTAACTCTAACCGATTCGTCTGATCTTTGGCGTGCCGTTGTCGATCTTTTTAACCCGGCGTCGAGTTGTGGATCATCCCCCTCCCAATTCGAAGCATTCATGCGAGCCTCAGGATGCGCAAAATGGTCAACCGAGGACCGATCACGTACGGACTCCGGAATTTAAAGGGCTCCCGGAAAGAAGCTGTTTGGCTTTCGAATCGGCCTGGAATGGTCACTCTCTAACAGCGGTTCAAGAATCCAGATTCCGTACGGAGTATCCGTACTGTTAGAAACTGAACCCAATGGATAAGTGGCCTTCCAGGATGATCAAAGAGCCCCAATATGTGCTAGTCTTGACAACTAGCCTGCTGCTCTTCAGAGTCTTCGCCTCTTGATCTGATCTCTACAACATCGGGAAATGTCGGAGTGGAGATGGTTTCGGGGTGCTTGCTACCTCCTTACTTGACGTCGTACGTCCGCATCGCCGCTAGAGGAGAACAAATGTCCTATGTGGAAGTGTTTTATACGTCTGCCCAGTCATTATCTCCTGTGGCAGTCGCTCGAGTACTCATGCTAAAGTGAAAAGGGGGGCGCTTTTCTCCCCACTGGATAAAAGTGAAAGAAAAAAAGCAGCTTCTTGATAGGTCATCGCCAACTCCCCGCAGTCTCACACCTTAACATCGTTCGGGGTTCTAGGGCTTTTTTCTCTATTTACCTATGGCGAGCGAATGCGGCAATACCAATGCTTCGGATAAACATTGTGGTTGAGTGGCAACTGGGCGACGCGACTAACAGGCCATTTGTCGGGCCGCATATACTAAACGTCATCTGCAGGAGCAAAGATACATGGCACTTAGTCCAGTCTACGGATACCGAGTATGAAGACGAGTACCTAGACGCCGCTGCCGAGTCCGCTATGATGCTGACAGAATCCCCGATTGGCCGCCAAAAAAACGTTCACCCTTCTTTCATCTCAAATCTCGATTCGGTATAGTAATTTGACTTCTCTCTTTCGGCTTCTGAAACGCGGTCCTGCAATGACAAGATAGGTGACATCGTGTCGCGCATATTAGTCGATCCCTCGGGCGCCAGGCATGGCCCCCGAGCATCAATGGCACTGACCAGATCCCATGTCGTATCCTTGGCTGAGTACGCTGGGGTCCTGACAACAAGCCCTTTAATTGTGGTAATATAAACTAGGGATCACGGGTGGCATCGTGCGGGCTAACATGGAGTGGGGACAGGCGACACCAGGACGGGATTGCTTGCTGTTGACAAGAAGCTTCTGAATTCGGATATTGAAGCTTGACTTGCGGCTTCGAAGTTGGATAACCAGACTCGCTCGGTGTCGGTTACCAGCAGTCGTGAGTCGTGACCGACAATGAGCCCGTACGGGAACGGAGCTTCCGACGATACGGCGCGTAGCTTATACCGGTCTACTAGGCCCGACGGGTTTGCTCAAAACCGGAGTGGGATGCCTCAGGTAGGTATGTACTCCGTACATTACGTACCATGGAAAAGGGTACCTTATTATCCGCTGTGGTTTAACTGAACTACTGAGTACAGCACCATTCTAATGTTATCCGTCGAGCTAATATCCGTAGGTATCCGTAACGGAAACGTATCCGTGTCCGTGCCCGCACCGCCCGTACCGTGGGCTGCCAACAACGGAGGTCGGGAACCTGCAGCAGAGTTTTTAATGGCACCGCCCCAACCTCCGCGGAAAGCCTCCGGGAATTGGAAGTCAAGCTTTGGGCTCGAGCGGACGGCTGGCAACGGCACGATGCTTAGGTAAGGCATGTTAGACACGATTCCTGAGAGCAGGAGGGTCTTGTCACCTTTTACAGCAAGAACATTCCGCCATTGGATCTTTAGACATGTTGGCATTTTATTGTTTGTTGGGGAACTTTGTGCGTGATGACTAACAACCAAGATAGGTACGGAATACTAACTTTAGTAGGATGGAAACCCGTCCTGACAGAAGCCCCGGCCCACCCACGTGGAGGTTCGTCAAAAAGGACGCTAAAATATACATAGTAGAAAGATCTAATAGAACGATAGTCCCTCGGGGTATGCACGTTCTTCACATGCCCAAGAGACGGGTTCACTCCTAAAAAGAAATGTCTAACCCGATACTAAATCAGTGACATGGCTCGATCAGTCATTGTTTGCATTTGCGTGGCCCCCTCTCGTCCTCTCTTTTCTCTTCTCATCTCTTTCTCTCTGTCTCTTGGTGAACATCTATCAGCTATCAGGTGCCTCTCGACGACTGGCTCTCAACGGATTTTTGACGCCAATCAGCTCAATTCCCGCCGCCGGCGCCTTCCCCACTTGCCCAGAAAGGCTTCGTAGGTTACATTCGGGGAACGCAAGGACCACCTGTGCATGTTTACCCCAACAAGCTCCAACCCCCTTGAAGCCCTGTTACGAGGGTATTCACACACTAATCCAAACTCCGTCTGGCCCCGCGGCTTTCCACGCTACCTCTTCACGACCGTAGCTTGGGAAGACGCCACACCAGAAAAAGGAAAGTAAGGGACTTTGAATGGATAACCACCACATTCACCTAACCTTTCCTGAACTTGAAAGCATAGCTATGCTAGTCCACCTACGTACTAAGTAGCTCCCCATTCAGTGCCTATAGCTGTAAGTTTATGGCTGAGTAACACTAGGTGTCGAGCGAAACCCAAATAATAAATAACGGGTGAAAGCGGGCCTAGATTCAATCGTGCCTAGGTATCTACACTAGGGTGAATATCATGAAAACCCGGATATCTTCTACGGGACTAGCAATACTCCGTAGTACGTACATATACTACTAGTAACATGTGTGCCTAGCTAGCGTGTAGGTAATGCCCGCCACCCCGAGTCCAGAACGGATGGACCCGTCAGCCTTGGATTTGGTCTTGGTGCCGGCCGGCTCAGCACAGCACAGCATAGCACAGCACAGCACAGGACCTGTTTGCAGAGTGTTCTTGCGAGAGGAGAGGCTGCTTTCAGACTCGGAGGCGGCTTCCCATGGCTGGCTGGTGTCTGCTACCACCAAGACAAAACAGGGATATGCCTGCCCCGGATGTGGGTGATTGGCCTTGCCCCTTCTCTTTTTGGGTTCGAGCTCGACGCGACCTGATGTGCAGCCCGCCCTCCCCACCTTCTCCCCATGTCGAGCATGTCGGTGCCCATGAGCCTTGCAGCCGCACCTGCCGCATGAATAAATTGAGCCTTTTCAACGTCTCTTTTCGGCAACCTCCTCATCATGGGCTGCATTCAACATTGTCGCCAAAACGGATAGTGTGTCGCGGTTGGGCTACGACTATTGACGTCGGAGCTGGCTCGTTATCATGTCATGTCGTGCATCTCGATTCAGCTGCCCAGGGCGGGCTCCGGAGAGGCCTTCTCTCTGTCTCGTTGGACTGCAGCCGCTCGCTGTGTGGAGTTGGTATGCATGTATGTTCAGCACGCACATACCTTACACTCCATGATAGTACGTCCGTATGTGCATACAATACATCGGTATTGTGGACGCGGGTCCAGTAAACCCAGGTACACTCAAGTTGCCTATCGTTACTTCCTGGTGCGACCAATCTTCAGATCCATCCCATCCCCCCCTCCATTTCCTATCCCCCGCCAGCCCGCCCTCGCCCGGCGCTGGAGCATGCTGTTGGTGGGGACATGCACATGACTGTCATTTCCCCCTGGGTCCTCGTGGCCGGGAAATTTCGTCGAGACGCAACACCCAAGACGGGCCCTAGCTCTAACCTACCTCTCTCCTCTTTTAGCACGACCGTCGACTCGCGACCGACCGGCGAGGGGGGCACTCAACTACAACTTGGGGGTCATATCAATGCCTGTTACGCTGACAAGAGTGACGACGGATGCCGTGAGCGTCGTGATTGGACTGTCTGGCGGCGGGCTGTCGAAATTGTGCGCATTAGGGATGACGGCACACGTACATTGTCGACCAGTTTTAGCCCCAAGGGCCGAGTTCTCATTCGCCCCGAGTCCTCCCAAACTGGCCCCCTCCCCCCCCCCTCTCCCGAGTAGCACGTCCGTGCATTGCACCAGATGGCATGGTTACCGGCGAGTTGGGAGCTGCAGTTTGCGGCGACCCGGAGGGATCGACAAGGGCTTGCCCGCCCTCTGCCTTTTTTTATGCTGCCACTGCTTCTGCCCCGAAGCGCGCCATTCCTACCTAACGTTACACTGGGCCCCCTCATATTGGACAGCTCAGCACGCTGCACGCTGCTGGAGCACGCTCGCCCGCCGGGCACACTGCACACCACTGCACATTGAGCACAGCGAGCCGGGGCGCGGGCGCGGGTGCGGGCGCTCCCAGGGGCCCATGACAGACAGGACAGGACAGTACATGACAGGACCGGACAGGACGAGATAGGAAACAGCCATGAGGGCAAACACACTGAGCCCTAGGGTGTGGGCTTGCTCGAAATCGGATGAATGTCGCGGATTGAGAGACTTTGAGACGAGACGAGGGGGGGTGCGCTGTGCAGGGCCGACGGGGAAAAAAGATAAGACGAAAAGAGAAGAAAAGAAAGCCACAGCAGCATGCTCGCCCTGGCCCGGCCCGGCCGCCTCGACAGGGTAGCCGACTTTGGTAGCGACTGAAGGCCCCATGTGTCCCAGATTGGCTCCGAACGGTTGGCCCGCGGTTCGGCCGCGCACTTCCTGTCTTGGACTGACTACGATGCAAAGGACCGTGCCTACTCGGTACAGTCAGTGCCTTAGCTACCTTAACTCTAGAGGGTTTTACCAGCCAGCGAGCCAGCCAGCCAGCCTTTCCAGCGCCGGCTCGAACAAGAGAATCCACTCGCGGGAATGGAGCCGCCTGCTTAGGTAGGTACCCCAAACATAGCGAATTGGTGCGGCAAGAAATGGCCAGAGTCTGTCTGGCTTCGGCCTCTGCTTGCGAACCAGAGGACAGACAAATGGGGCGTGCCCTCTGCTTTGCGCGGATCATCAACACTGCTTTTCAAACGTCTATAAAAATAGGACGTGCTAACACGCCACAAGTATCGAAAGGTCGGCAACCGTGATTCGGATTGTCGATCTGATTCTCTTGCTCCCTAACCTTTTGTAGCCTCTTCCTGGGGTCGATCTCTATACCGCGACCTCAGTGTGTGTGTGTGTGTGAGAGAGAGAGAGAGCGCGCTGACGACGGAGATTTTCAGTGAATATTATCCTCCAATGATCGGCCCGGACGGCCTCGTCTGCCTCTGGATCCGTAGATCGGCTCTAGACCAGTCGTTGGCTGCCACTGGTTCTCGTCCTTGCTTTCAAATTTCGGACAGCGCACCACACCCCCTCCAGAGCCCATTTTGGGAAAGGAGAGGGGCCGGCATGTCGCTCGCTTCGGGTTGAAGACAACAGCCGGCACTGCTTGTCTAAATAGGACACTCGCTTGCGGCTTGGAGCAACGCTGTCCGACATGTCTCATTTGCTGGCTTCTCCTTGTCTGAAAAGATGACGATACAGTCAGTCATCGAATAGAGGCTTACGCAGCGTGTTTTACTTTTGTGCTGTAGTAGCCTCTTTCCGCGCCGCCAATACACGCTCCGGAGCGCGATACACTCAACACTAACTCTATAGGCATGCCGCTGCTAATCAGCTGGCCATGCTCGTCCTCAACGTCACCATCCTACTTGGAGCCGGTTGCTAGCTGGCTGCTGGTTGGCTAGCAGACAGATAGACAGACAGACAGACAGACAGACAGACGAGCACGGCCCGGGATCCGACCCGTCCTACTCCTACCCGGCCACACATCGGCTCGGTAACCTTCCTACTGAAAGTAGTTACATGCTACATGCCATCCCAAGGAGTCTGCAACTCTCTGGCTCGAGGCTCGAGGCTTGAGGCTTTGATTGCAAGTCGTATTCAGCTTGACAATGAAATCGTGTTGACTACTCCTTTATAACCGAAAAGACAAAAAGGGGAAGAAAATAGACGCAGCAGCAAATGTAGCTTGAACAGTCCTAAACAAGGGGATAGTAGCGGGAAACGCTGCGGTACTTTTCCCCGCGAGGAAGTCTATTTACTTGTAACAAACAGGGAACCGGGTTCCGGGAGATTTGGTTCCCTCTCTCCCTTCTTCTGTCCTTCTATTCTTAGTCACTGTGCTGTCAAAAAGGGAGAAGACAGTCACCTTCAGACATAGCCAGAATAATATATGCTCTCTCTTAATGCCGGGTACGATAAGGTTTCATACTATTTGTCTTTTTTGTTGTGTTGTGGGTATTCCATGGGTTTTGGAGTTTATTTGGGGCGGGTGAGGGTGCCTGCCCCTTTATTACACTTTGCTTTCATCAGATCAGACTGACTCGACCGCCGCGTTGTCTCCCTGGTCCGTCCCAAGCCCGTCCGCCCGCCGCTTGGCGGATGGCGGTCCAAAGGTTCAATACTCTTGTTGCTGGTTACTAGGCTTGCTTGCTTGATGTTTCTTTTTTTGTTTTCTTTGGGGGGGGGGGGCGCATCTCAGGCTATCTGTCTATCTGATGGTGAGGCTCTGGAGGAGAGGGTTGTTGTGGACAGAGAGAGTGGTTGGAAATGGGTAGGTTATTTTATCTCCTACTCTCGCACACTATTTTACCTTCCTCTCACTCCTTGATCGGATATTTTGTTTACTCGTGCCGTGAAGCTTGGGCGGTGGGTAGGTATTTAACCTGTTTTATATTTACATGGTCGTGGGAAATGCATTTGGAGAGATGTATCATGTTGTGTATTGCAGCAATCTGAGGATATCTAGGTGGCCTGCTTTTTTATGTCTCATTCTCTCGTCCAGCGGGGGAAATGGTATATTTGGCGAAGAATCGACAACTGTGTCGACAGTATTCTTCTTTTCTCTGTGGCTACTTTCCTATACCATGCGGCGTTTACTCGGTAGAGTTGCTGACTTCTCCTTCCTCCTTCCTTTCTTCTCACATTCGTAACATCCATATAGTCTTCTGAGTGCATTATTAGCCATCGTACTTGACTGGTGCACAAACGGAAGAGCCTAAATACCGGAACCGGAAGGATTTTGTCAGAAGGGGGGTCACTAGCTGCCGTATTGCAGGCTGGGATTAATGGGGAAGGGAGATAAACGGAGGAAAAGGGCGAACAATCCCTAGTAAGACATCGGCTGTCTAGAAACCCGGGTGATGGACTCGTGCGGGTAGCTGGGGAAAGGAAAGGCGTTGGCGGGCTCTCTCGCAGGTGTTTCTCGTCTAGACGAATTTGGTGTGCCGTCATGGGCCGTCCATGTCTCGGGTATCGAGAGTTTGTTTGCGCCGTATCACCTGGTGCTTGCTGTCGCGAACTCACACAGGAGCAATGTTAAGACCCGGCTGCGTGATGTGTGTGGGTGTGGGTGTGGGTGTGTCCCCCATGTTTGTTAGAGACCGAGGTTGTCTCTGTCCCTGTCTCGCTGCTGCCCGTTAGGGGGTAAGACTTTGCCACGAGGTCCCCTCGGAGCTAGCAATAAAAACAAATAACAGCTCCTGACGGAGACAAGGCTGTTCTTTTCGCGGATAAATTTGGGATTGAATCACGTCCGTCATCTCTGTCACATCGTGGGACACTAACATCTTGTCATATCCGTATGTGGATGCGGTCACTGTTAGTTGATTGATTATTGGTAAGGGGAAACCGGTTCTGTTTATTCTGGAGCTCAATCTCCCGTTGGCGAAACGGAAGGTTGATTTGGCGCAAGACTGGTGCTATGCCGTTGAAGATACTTCAAAGAGGATATCTTAGCTCCCATTGAGTGAAAAGCATACATCTAAACCTCAGGGGGCCACGTTTCTATCATCTCAAAGCGCCGCCAGTGCATCTATTTCCCTTCAGCCTGTCACCTTTCCGAAAATTTTCAATCTCTATACTTGTCCTACATACAACTGCTACTTGACTATGTTATTTCTACCCTACAGGAAATGTTAAGGGGGAACCGGTAGTCTGTACGCTTGACCATTCCCCACTGTATCGTAACTCTGATTCAGGTGAGCAAAGGAGTGTGCGTAAACAAAGTGACCACTCAGTAGCGTCAAGACGTAAATTAGAGTCATGCTACAACACAACAGAGCACAGTGAATTTGATAGAGACGTACTAGGCAAGTTCATCGTGTTGCGTTGGAACCCACGACACACAGGACTCGACGCGCTCTTGTCCCTTACACGTCATGTCCGTATTCCATCATCGGCAACGATCGACAGAGACAGCAGGTGTTTATGGCGTGATTGAGCAGAACATTTCTGGTCTTGAGCCCGTCCTAGGTCACGGCGATAACGCGAATGGAACATATAACGTTACGCCGGGAGCAAGAGGAATATTCCAATCCTAGTCTTCCTCTTCACACAAGACCTTGGTGTACACGCGGCATCATTTTAATCCCCGACCGTCTTTCCACTTCCTCAACCTCCTTTCTATAAACGGGAGAATAAGAATCCGGACAACGCGGGCCGTGCGGTGTGGGATCGCCGGTAGGTATAACAAGACGAGAGAGACGGGAGCAGTTCGCACTGTCGTACCACCATTGTACCACCGTGTCCATGTCCATGTCCAGCTCGCACTGAGAATGAAAAGGTTAAAGTTGAGTTGCACTGCCTTGGTGACTTGTGCTATAGTCGTGCTCATGCCCATCCATATATCCGAAAAGAGCAGGAATGGGAGAAAGAGCATGTGCTCGTCGTGCAAAGGTAGAAAGGTCACAGGCAGGCGAAGAAGAAAAAAGGAGAGGCGAGGGTGCAAAGTAAACAGAATCTGTTAGTTGTCATCTGGCTGGCAACCTCTTTTGCGCGGCCCCGGATATTACGACTAAAACATTTTCTACGTATGAACAAAAAACGAGGGACGCGCAAAAAACAAAACAAGAACCCACCTCATCTCGGCCACAAAGGTACCACGTCAACCAAGACTAAGACTAGAAAGGAAAGCGAGAATAACCTTCGTAGCCCTTGGGAGCCTAGCCCATGGTATGTACAACAAAAGATAATACCCAAAATACAAAACCCCAGGAAACCGCCTCTTGCGGAGGGGAGGTGTGGGGGGAAGGGACTCTTGTTTCCGGACCGAGGCTATTCTCTTCGTCTTGGGAACTTGGGAGGGAACACTTGGATCCTTGCCAACCAACCCGTGTACTGTGTACCGATATTTCCCTGGCCCGTCATTGCAATTGCCCAACAACAACAACATACGAACCTCCTGCGCAAGGTTACTTACCTACTATTACTTACCACCCTCTCGCCTCCCCGCCCCCTCCTCCCATTGGTGACAGGTTATGCCTGAGACGGGGGTACTCGGACATATCGAGTTGGTCCTCCCCGGAATGAGGGGGGGGCCTACTTATCTCGACTCCGCCCCAACACACCCGTCACCGCCCGCATGTATATACACCTGTACCTATATATATCAACACGTAGATACACAGGGAACAACAGCAGTGGCATTGAATGCTCCACCGTGACACCCGCCATGGTGTAATGCAACTGAGTGTGTGGCCAGGTAAGTAGTCAAGTACGTGATTAGGTACCTGGCACGAAATCCCGTAGCAAAAAAAAAGCAACCAAAAACAAAAATAGCAAAATACATGGCATGTGAAGAAAGAGAAGAAAGACAGACAGACAGACGCAAGAGCAAGAAACCCTGCGCTCCCGCTCCCACTCTCAGGCCACCGCCATCAACACCGTCGCAAAGGAGCCGTCACAGTGCCTAGGTAAGTATGTCATCTATCTGAACCCGGGGAAGTGTGACAGTAAGGGGGGGTGTGTGTATGTCTATGAACAATGTGTGTGCGTGTGAGAGGGAGGAAACAGATGGACAGGCAGGCAGGCACTCTATTTGCGACGTGAGCATTGTAGCTCAGACACACCTACACATGCACACATAGACACATAGGCGCGCGCGTACACGGCAGGAGTAGCAATGTCAGTATACAAGAGAGTTATGAAGAATAATAAAAGAATACCTCTGTAAAAATACGAAAAAGAAAAGAAGACAAGAACAAGTTAGTTCCGAGTATAGAGGACAAGGATACCGACACCTGCACACAAGCAAGCGAGTACATGCGCAAACTCTGAAGAAGATGGAGAGAATGATTCAAGAAAGAAGAGACGAAGAAAAAAAATACGCTATGCGTGTGTGCCGCGGTGCGACATCGGACAAAACGAAATAAATGAATTTTGAACGATGCTCGCATGTATGTATGCCTGTCTGTCCCGTCTCCCAACAGTATTTTTTTGCAAAACAAGATGGCACTACTAACGAACGGCCGAGACAATGTGCTAGGAAAACAGAGACAACCTAATGGGATGGGAGTACAGCACAGTCGTAAAAAGGATTTTCTTTTTTTATAAAACACACGACAAACCACTCCAAACTCATAATTATAAGCCGCGGCTGTCGTCACACCCGGCTCCGCTTGCCTGTTCCCGCTTTCCCGCGCGTCTACCTACCTAGACACGACCGCCTGCCTACCTGACTGCCTAAATACCTCCCCATATGCCGTGCGCGCCTTTCACAGCCGGCTCTGCACGCCCGGGTACTCGTGCTCGTTGGGCCAGTGGCCATCAGGCCAGACGTAACGAATGGCTTCCCAGATATGGCTGGAGGCCGCCACAGCAGCCGAGTCAGCATCCAAGCCGAGACAGAAAATCATGGATAGAGGAAAACAAAACTTACCCAACGTGAATAATCTCCAGCCCGTCTTTGACCTCTTGCGGCAAGTCTTTGACGTCCTTGGCGTTCTGCGCAGGCAGTAGCACTGTCTTGACCCCGGCTCGGAGCGCTCCGATGAGTTTTTCCTTGATTCCTCCGACGGCGGTAACACGTCCTCTTAGGGAAATTTCTCCCTGTCATCATAATCAGCACACCAATCCGCCGGTAGCATCTGCATAACGGACGTAAAGAAAAGGTTGCGTGTGTCTTGTGCGCGTCTTCCATGGTGAGAGGGGGGTTGTGCGTTAAAAAGTCATCTTTTTACTCACCGTCATGGCCATCGTCGGTGGCACCGCCTTCCCGGAGAAGAGAGAAATGAGCGCAATGGCCTGCGAGATGCCGCTGCTGGGTCCGTCCTTTGGAATAGAGCCCGACGGGCAGTGCACATGGATGCTTCTGTTCTGCATGATGTTCTCGGCCGGGTTCTGCGTTAGACCGAGCTCAAAGGCATGTGCCTTGACCCACGTCAGGGCCACCTCGACACTCTCCTTGAGCACGTCGCCGAGCTTGCCAGTCAGCTGCACGCTCCCGTTGCCCGGCATGTCGGCAACCTCGATAAACAGGATGCTCCCGTTGCCTCCGGAGCTGTACGCCACCAGGCCCGTAACGATGCCCGGCCGGCTCGTCTTCTCGGCTATCTCCTCTTCAAACCTCTCAATGCCAAGAAACCTCTCCAAGTCGTCAACACTCAGCTGCGGGCTGTACTTCTCGGGATGCCCCGTGTCCTTGGCGTCGGCAAACTCGACCGCCTTCCCGCGCAAGACGGACGAGAGCTCGCGTTCCAAGTTGCGCACCCCGGCCTCGCGCGTGTACGACTCGATGATCTTGGATACAACCTCGTCGCTGAACACGACCTGGTCCGCGCTGAGCCCATTGACCCGGATCTGCTTGGGTATCAGGTGCTGCATGGCAATATGCCGCTTCTCCAGCGTGGTATAGCCCGGGATGTAGATCGTCTCCATGCGGTCCAGCAGCGGCGGCGGGATCGTATCGAGGCTGTTCGCCGTCGCGATGAAGAGGACCTTGCTGAGGTCGATGGGTATGTTGATGTAGTGGTCGGTGAAACTATTGTTCTGCTCGGGATCCAGCACCTCGAGCATGGCCGCCGACGGGTCTCCGTGCACGTTGGAGCCGCTTACCTTGTCGATCTCGTCGAGCAGGAAAACCGGATTTGCCACGCCGACCTTCTTCAGGCCCTGGGCGATGAGACCAGGCATAGCAGCCACGTAGGTTCGCCTGTGACCGCGGATTTCAGCCTCGTCCCTGACGCCGCCCAGCGAGATGCGATGGAATTTTCTCCCCAGCGCCGTGGCTACCGATCGTGCGAGGCTTGTCTTGCCGACGCCTGGGGGACCAACCAGGAGCATGATTGGAGACTTGTCAATCATCCGTTTGCTCCGCAAGACTTCGATCTTGGCGCTATTCGCCTTCATCTTCTCTTCCGCCAAGCTCGGGTCCGGCGTGCTGACCGTTTGGGCGCCGTCATCCTTGGAAGGCTCGGGCACGCCTGCATCCTGCTCTACCTGCTTAATCTGCGCGTCAACTTCATCATTGATGGACTGCTTTAACCTCAGGACGGCCAGATACTCCAGTAGCCGCTTCTTGACTTTTTCTAATCCGTAATGATCGTCATCTAGCTGCTTCCTGGCCAGAGTCAGCGTCTGGGGGCCGAGGCGATCGTCTGTTGTGATTGTCCAGGGGATGTCGGCCAGGGTTTCGAGGTAAGTCCGAGTCACGGCATACTCTGCCTGGGCAGGGTGAATCTTCTTCAGCCTCTTGATTTCCCTGTCGGCGACTTTTGCGGCCTCGGGAGACAGTTTCGCGGCATCAAGTCTCTTCTTCAATTCCTCTATCTCATTGGGCTCGTGGTCGTCGTCCGAGTTCCCACCGGACTGGCCCAAGATGCCAGGCGCGGGTGCTTTAGAACCTTGCCTAGCCTTTCCGGGAGTTAGAAACCTTTCTATCTCTTTCCGTGCCGTGTCGGGGTCGACCGAGAATGGCAGGGCTGTAGATGTGACGGCGGTAATCTTCATGCTGTTCTTGATGTTGCCGACCTGGCGATCCAGCAGCTCAATGACCTTGACGACGCGATCCTTGACATCTAGCAAAGCCAGGACCTGGAGCTTCTCCTCGTACGAGGACTCGACTATGTTTGCCATGAAATCAGCCAGCGCGCCTGGTTGCTTCTGCTTGGAGATGAAGATGTCGAGCCGCCGTGCCAGGAGAGGGGTCAGGCTTGGGGCGCTGCCGGACCGCGGGAGGATGGCCGAGAGCCTCAGGATGGCCACCAGCTCCCGCGACAAGAGCTTGAGGTGCTGAAAGAGCTCCTCGAGCGCAGGGTCGGGGAGAGGGACATCGTCCTGGTAGTAAACCACCTTGCCCTCGAGATAGGGCTTGTCTGCGTAGATCTTGTCGACACGCAGGCGCGCGACGCCCTCGACGAGCAAAGTGAACTCGCCTGTGCCGCGACCCTCGACGCCTGTTATCTTGGCGGCAACGCCCCAGCCGAAGAGGTCGGCCTTGGTGGGCTTTGGGACATCGGCGTCGGAGCGGTCCGGGCTAGGCGGGTCTTGTTCGGTCTGGAGCAGGAGCTGGCCATTGGGGCCGAGGAGAGGCGAGGCGAAGGGCACGCAGGCGATGGGGACCGTGTCGATGCGCCCGTTGGGGGCCTTGGAGGCGGCGCGCGTGTAGACGGCGGCGAGCAGCGATGCGATGTCGGGGCGATTCGGCGAGACAGCGATGCGCTGGACGACGCCCGGCAGCAACACAGTGCCCCGGGGTAGTGTGATGACAGGGAGGGTAGCTGCCTGTGCCCGAGCCATGAAGCGGATGGGGGTGCAACGACGGAGCCGCGTCTGTTTGATGCTGATGCGAGACGGCGGATTGCGGCTGCGTTGGTCTTCGTTTCAGGAGGGCGGGCAGGAATGCGCAGGTGTTGGTTGTTCGTGGCGTGTGTGCTATGTTGAATTGCGTTGTGTCGTATCAAAATCGGATCGCCCGAGACAGGTTGACGGACGGGATGACGAACGGAGCTTTCCTCTCATCAATACTTGATTAGAATAATGGACGTAGTCCGAAGATCGGATAGGCTGGCGTGTCAAGTATATGATATGTTGGTTCGCGGCGAAATCAATCGTGCGAAACGGGCGTGGATGGGAATGGGCTGGCGTAAAAGCGGCGTTAACCTAGGCGCCTAGTGGGTGTTGGTGTTGATGGAGTTGTGGTTGGCTTCCATGCTGCGAACGTCGGGCGAAGCTTCCATGCATTCAGTACTGATTGATGCTCACTCAGCCGAGGCACCGTACCGTGTCCGTGACTCTCCCTCGTTGCCAAGCCAAGCGTCTTCAGCGGGTGGCAAGCAAAGAACGGGGCAAGCTGGGGTCACCCATGTGCCGCCCATGGGTACAGCGGGTGCAGGTGCAGGCGGGCGATCGCTGGTGGGCACTAGCGGCCACAGCGCCCGCCGCCTGCGCCGCCTGCTTGGAACCGCCTCCATGGAACTTCCATTCCATCAACCGGGCTACGGACTCTCTTACGCGGGTGCTTGACAGCCCACAGATTCCCGACTTGCCTACTGCTACCCTATACTAAGATATTCATTAGTGGCCGCTTCGATGCCTCCCTGAGGATGTGGCACAGCTTTCCTTGAGGAGCTAATGCATGTTGTTTGGCTCGGCAACTCGCCGAGATTGCTAGAGGCTACCCGGGCGAATTTTGTGGCTGCCTTCCATCCTTTGGTACGACGACGGCCCGGCGAGCGGCCCCGTGCTTGGCGTGTTAGTCGGCTCAACCGTTGCTCCGCCTTGATGTTAGGTACGATTGTATCTATCGGCGCCCCTTGGATCTGGGCTTCAAAAGTACCAATTGAAGTGGCTAAAACTGTCTTCGAGCCCTATTCTGCCTGTTTATTGTAAATTTGGGCATTTTGCTGTCCAATTGTTGTTGCCTAGAATATGGTCTTCTTTGGGCCGCGGCGCCCCTTTCTCGCACCTGAAGTCGACCTTGTACACATCTTTTGGTTTTTTTTTTTTTTTTGGGGGGGGGGGGTTCACTCTCATTTGGCCACCTCGAAGGCATGTGACAAACGAAGAGGGGGGAGGGGGATGAATAGTGCAAAGCTGGAACATTGTATACGCGTCAGGTTGCTTTGACAAGATTCACAGTCATCAGTATCAAAAAGGGAAAGATCCCAGAACCCTCCGGCCTACTCCACCAATACTTTAGATAGGTGCCTCAGCTCCTCCCCCCCCGGTAGAGGCTGGCCGCTTATACATAATTACGAAATGAAAGAAGTGTCTGTTCCTGGAGGCTAATAGGTCTCAACTATCGTCTAAGGGATTAACAATGAAACCTGGAATTTGAGAAGCGTGGACGAGGTGGACAAGTACCTAGGTACATAATGAGGAGATAATAAATCCTCCTAGGATCTAGGGGTTGTTACGAGAGGCACATGGCAACCACCCTGCCTTATAGGAACCAAAGAAGGTATAGATCGCACTAGACACAAAAGCCTGGCAAGGTTAAAGAGCGACAACCATAGGATTGACTAGCCGGGCTGATAAATTCCCCGATTTGTTCGCAATTCGCGAAGTCCTCCCTATACTCCGAGACCTACCGTCCCAAGACAATCGAAAAGAAGCAGGGTGGTTTAAGTGTCAACCTTGAGTATGTAACAGCTACTTGTCTCAGCGTGACGGCGAGGTCCCCCTCAGCACCCGGGAGAATGGGCGGCGAGACTTCCTATCGCCCAGAAAGGAAGAGAGTTCCAGGTGTAGTCAACCAACCGCAATATTTCCGAAGTTCCCTTGGACCAGTTGAACAAGCTAGTCTCGTGATATTGGCACAGCTCCAGGGCGGGCTTCAAAGGGGCGTCGATCCAAGCCAGCATGGCGTCGCCATGCGGACGCCATCACTTGCAGTCCGAGGCGCGTGGCAGAGTCCGCCAGACGGTTGGAGATCGCATGGCACAGACGACTTGCTATTTCTCTTGGTCAGTGTATTTGGGTAGTTCCCCGTGTCTTAGGTTTTCCGTTACGCCCCAATGGCAGTAACATCGCTGGCTCCGCTCGAGCCTTGACCTCACAATCTCACCCACAATAATCGCTCTTCGAGAATCAAATGAGTCTAGACATTTTTAAAAGAAATCAAGAATGACGTTTAGCCCAAGTCAACCTATCCCGACAGGGAGACAAGAAGGGACAGCCCGTGGGCTTGCGGCTTCGTTTGGGACCTCGTTCCGTTCTCCGTCGCCTTTGGCTCACGAGTCTCTCGCGCGAGACTTGGAGGAGTGCTCGGATGGTGACGACAAGGAGGTTGGCCTCAAAAGGGAGGAAGATGGAAGCGACTCCGAGGGTGGTATTGGGCCCTCGCTGTACCGGGCCCCTAGTGGCATTGCTTTTGGGGCTACGAGGCCTTCTTTGAGCCCGGGAGGCTTTGACGAGGCACCCCTCACCCGGCTGGAACGGACACGTAGCCTCGAAGAAGAGCGCTCGCTGCTTCATGACAACCACATCCTCCCGAACAAGGAACAAGTCGCCCACTTCCAAGGCCCCCTAGGTGCCATATACAGGCGGATATTCGGCATCAGTTTGCCGCGGCAGCCGCCTGATGCGGAGGCTCCTCGGATTGTCGTCGGCTTGTCCGAGACTTCGCCCTTGCTCGGAAAAAGCGTCAGTATACGCTCGACCCCGGAAAACCTTAAAAGACAATGGGAGGAGGCAGTCGCCGCGGGACAAATCAAGACGACATGGCAGAGGGAGGCTAGAACTATAGCCGTGTACTCGAGGTCTCTGGTGGTCACCTTCTTGCTGCAGTATTCGCTCAACGCCACACCCATCTTCACAGTCGGCAGGCTAGGCACGCTCGAGCTCGGCGCTGTCTCGCTCGCCTCCATGACGGCAAATATTACCTGTTACTGCCCAATACAGGGCCTTGCGACCAGTCTCGACACCCTCTGCGGACAGGCCTATGGGTCCGGGCACAAGCAACTCGTCGGATTGCAGTTGCAGAGGATGATATACTTTCTGCTTCTGATCCTCGTGCCAATTGCGGCCATCTGGCTGAGTGCCGAGCCAATACTGGCCGCCATGATTGAGCCACAGAGTGCTGCTCTTGCGGCTTCCTACCTCCGCATCATTCTGCTAGGGGCTCCCGCCTATGCCGTCTTCGAGGCCGGCAAGCGATTCGTGCAGGCACAGGGCTTGTTCCATGCGACAACATATGTGCTTCTCGTTGCCGCGCCCACCAACATATTGCTAAACTGGCTGTTCGTCTGGAAGCTCGGATGGGGATTCAACGGAGCGCCGGTGGCGGTGGCAATCACGCAAAACATGCTTCCCCTGTTTCTTTTCCTGTATGTCTGGCTGGTCGATGGCTCCGAAGCATGGGGTGGGTTCAGGCGCGCCGCATTCAGGAACTGGGGGCCCATGGTCAGGCTCGCTCTGCCTGGCATGGTCATGGTGGTGGCCGAATGGTTTGCATTTGAGATACTGACGCTCGCCTCGGGGAGGATTGGCATCGAGTACATGGCGGCTCAGAGCGCCTTGGTGGCAGTGACGAGCACGCTCTTCCAGATCCCGTTCCCGCTCTCCGTCGCCGGATCGACCCGAGTCGCCAACCTCATCGGGGCCCAGCTCGTGGATGCTGCGAAGACGTCTGCTAGAGTGGTGAGTACCTAGCTACCGATCAACTCAATGGCTTTTGTATTCCCTAGAAAAGCAGCTGATCTAACTGACATGAAAAAAAGACATTTGCCAGTGGGCTGATCGTGGGGCTCTTCAACTTGACGCTCCTCTTGATTTTCAGAAATCACATTCCAGCGCTATTCACTCGTGACAGTGAAGTCATCGAGCTGATAGCCAAGACACTCCCTATCTGCGCCGTCATGCACTTGTTTGACTGCGTGGCTGCCATGTCGCATGGGCTGCTACGTGGCATTGGCCGCCAGGAGTTTGGAGGTTACGCCAATCTGGCGTGCTACTACCTAGTTGGCTTGCCAATATCACTAGGGCTTGGATTTGGCCTTGATTGGGAGATCACAGGCTTGTGGACTGGCGTCACGTTTGCCCTCTTTCTGTAAGTCTGCCCTGTTCCGGGACAAAAGCTCGTTGCTGACATGGCCGTAGTGTCTCTATGGTCGAATATTGGTTTATCTGGGCTTCTGACTGGGACCGAGCTGCCCACGAAGCCGAGACAAGAAACGCAGCCGGATAGAACCTTGAGAAGCACCATAATGTTTAAGTTAAAAGGCGCGAAGTCTGCGGCATGGGAGTAGGGAAATATGATGGTCCGTTTACTAATTTATGTCCTGAACTGTAGAAATGCAAAAACGCGAAGGAGATGCTCAGGCTTCCAATAAACAGCTCTCTGCTAAAGTTTTAGCGAGCACGTCTTAATGCTGTCAAGATAGGTAGGAACAAGATGGATATGGTCAGGTCTTTCCTCTCAGGGCAGACACATCCCATGGACGACTGCCCGTCAGTGCCTGGCCAGGAGTGGGGCCAAACTGCAGTGACATCCCGCCCCTCCAACCCACGATAAAGAATGGCAGGGGTCACCTACCGCCCAGCGTCGGCCCCTGTGTGCTTTTTCTAGAGTAGGATGGCACGTGCTCTGCAAGGCCCCTTTAGGGGACCCAGACATTTAAATTAGCACAATCTTGGTGGCCGTCGTCGCAGCAAAGAAAGGCTCAGTGACAAAACTCGCCATAGATTTTGAAAAGGTTGACTGGGAGAAAACAAATTGGGCGAAAATGTCGACCACCGTCACCGAGACGCAGACGCGCACGCGCGCGGCGCCCATCACGGCGGAGACAATACTGAGCCTCTTCCCAGACATCGACACGCGGAGCGATGCGCTTGAGGGCCACGACGAGGAGCAGATCCGCCTCATGGACGAGGTCTGCATTGTGACGGACGAGGGCGACTTGCCAATTGGCACCGCCAGCAAGAAACTATGTACGTCTTGACCTCGGCATGTCCTGCCCCCGAGACTCTAGATGGACAGACCAAATGGCCGGGCAATGAATGGTAGTCCGCAGGCTAACCATGTCACGATGCGCACTGGACAGGCCACCTCATGACCAACATCGACAAAGGACTTCTTCACCGGGCCTTTTCCGTCTTCCTCTTCAACAGCAAGAACGAGCTACTCCTTCAGCAGCGCGCGACGGAGAAGATCACGTTCCCCGACATGTGGACAAACACGTGCTGCTCCCACCCCCTTAACCTGGCCAACGAGACTGGCTCCAACCTTCCTGATTCCATCATGGGGGTCAAGCACGCTGCGCAGCGAAAGCTGGACCACGAGCTTGGCATCAAGAAGGAGCAGGTTCCCCTCGACGACTTTCACTTCCTGACGCGCATCCACTACAAGGCGCCGAGCGACGGCAAATGGGGCGAGCACGAGAGTAAGTGGCAAAATCAATCTTCACGGGGCGCCCCTCACATCCCTATCCCCATCCCCATCCCAATCCCCACTCACTGGGCGCGTTCCTCGGCGGTATACTGACCAAGGATCACCTATACAGTCGACTACATTCTTTTCATCAAGGCCGAGGTTGACGTGGACCCCAACGCGAACGAGGTCCAGGACACGCGGTACGTGTCAGCAGAAGAGCTCAAGAAGCTTTTCGACGACCCGAGCCTAAAGTTCACGCCGTGGTTCAAACTCATTTGCCAGTCGATGCTTTTCGAGTGGTGGGAGCACCTGGACTCGGGCCTGGAGAAGTACGAGAACGAGCAGGAGATCCGCAGGATGCTTTAAGGAATTAGGAATAGGGAACGGGGAACAGCGAAGGACTCAGGAGCGAGGCGTGAATGGGGATTCCCGACAGCCGACGCCGCCCGCGAAACAGAGGCTAATCCGATGTGGCCATTGGAGTGGGGGATTGACCAAACGCCGCCGGATTTGTTTTAAAGACTCAGTTACTATTGGTTGACATTTTAATGCCTGGGGTGTCCACTTTTATGCGCCGACGAGTAAGAAGTCATGAAACGAGCCGCTTACTTCTACTTTCAGCATCTCGCATTCACTGGGCGTGGGCTATTGGCCATAACTTGAAGAGGATTGATTTGACAACGAAACGGAGAGATCGGATGGGGGTTTTTATTAAGACACTACCCAACAACGAGTCTGGTGTTAATGCGGCCCATTGCTGGGTGGGAGAATTGGTAGCCGGCAATGACACGCACGCTTTTCTGACAAAGAACGAGCAGGAACTTGAAGCTTTACCGATGCAAGCAAGACATAACACAACCTAGCGGGTCTGATCTCGCTGACGGAGCAAAGCGAAGGGGCAGGCCGCAGTGCGAGCTTCGATTGCTTATCTCAACGTCCCCACCGGTGACACTCGTGTGCAGTCGATGGCTGCGTCACCTGACGGTCCTGCATGCTAACGTACATGTTTCGTGGGCCAAGACAAGCTGTGAATGGATCGCCGCGCCATGGCTTGCTGTCGTTGGAGGCGGCTTGATTGGGTGGGCCCGCGGAGCTGTTGTCAAACATCTCGGAGCAACCATCTTACCAAGATCAGCACGTTACCAGACGTCGACACCCGACTTGCCGGCCTACCGACATCCCACGAAGCCAGCCTGCTGGTTCGTCTGAGTCGCCACGGTTTGGTTTGCGTGTCTTGTCTGGACATGGCGGAAGCCCGGAGGCCGAGACCCCTTCCTTCCCCCCCCCCCCCACCCTACACAAAATGCAGTAGGCCAGCAGAGCCAGCAGCACAGCAGCACGGCTTGCAAAGCAGCCGGCGAGATCCCATCGAAACCTGTTCCCTCTTCCTCTAGGACGAGGGATCCGTGCCCAACTTGGAGCCGGCCCGCCCTCTCCTTCTCAGCCCCGTGCATGGCCGGAGGAAGCTGGCTGCCCAGCCGCCCGCTCACAGCCTCTCCATTGGCGGCGGGATCCGGACTCTGGCTATCTGCACCGTCCTCTGTCCTACCCCGAAGCAACCAAACATGCTGCAGTACAGGTGTGATTATGCGGCTCTCCTATCCATCCCCATCCCTTGGCCCAAACCGGGCAGGGCAGGCTTCTTGCATCATGTCCCATCCCTGTCTCATTGCGTCTCCTCCCGGCCAACCCAGCAGCACTGTCTCGATTGAGTCGTCAGGCAATCGACCCGGCCTCCTCCCTGCCCGTGCCCGTGCCCGTCTTGCCTGCGTAAGGTACATACATATTCAGCTCGGCGCCGACCTTGCCGTGCGTGCCCCTCCTCTCCCTCTCTCTCTCGCTTGACTTTCCTCACAGACCACCACCGACTGAGAATAGCACCTATCAAAACACACCAACCGCCTCAAGTCCCCCGCTTTGGGGGCAGTTCTCTCTCAGGAGCGCCAACACTTGCATTGTTGCCATCCATCTGCCTCGCTCTCTACAAACTCACCCATACAGTTATAAATAGCAGCATCCCGCCCGCAACAATTTGAACCTTTTCCTCTCGTCGTATCTCCGTCTCTATCTCCATCTCTTTAACGTTCAGCTCGTCTTCTACGTGACAACTTGGACCTTGCGTGCCCAACCCCTTGATCAATCGCTTCACAACTGCCAAATCGCAAAGAGGTCCTCCTTGCAAAGGCTACATTGATGTCTTCTGACCTTCGCACCGCCCTCAATTGTTTGCGCCACCCGTCACGGTTCATGCCACTTTCGAGAACACAACTGTCGAGAGTCCATACGGGTGATAGTATACAAAATATATCAAGTACATAAAGTGCGTTTTTGTCCAGCCTTTATTGTTGCCATGTTTTTATTTACTTTGCTTTTTGTAACGACGGGGGCACTACCCAACCCCACACCCCCTTTCCGTGTTACGCTATGTCTCTATAACCTTATGGTCCGCCGCTAACGGATGGCCCTCGCTTGCAGGAACAAGTGGCAAAGCTAGTCTTGTTTGCCCAGCATGGAGACCGTGAGCAGTACTAGTAGTAATTCCACCGTGACGCTGGTCGAGCTCAAGCGCTCGCTAGTCCCGCCGAAGTGGGAGGATGGCGTGCGTGTCGTCGGGATGTCAGAATGTAGGGAGGCGGCGCTGACGCTGGCACATGCCTTTGCTGCTGATGATTATGCCCAGTACCTAGCTGATCCCGGCGACATGGATGATATCTCGGCCGAGGACAAGTGGAAGCTGCACCTCGACATCACCACGTACACGGTCGCCGCCGGCTGCCTCGAGGGCCTCGTCACTACCGTCGGACCCGACTACGACAGCGTCGCGCTCTGGTATGGTCTTTCGTCTTTCTCTTCGTTCTGTCATCCCCCCCATTTGGTTACGCTCCCCTTATCCGCTTGACACCAATTTGTCTTCTCTCAAAATGGTTCCCCCTTTCTCACACATCCCCACCCATCTTCCTTACAGATTTACCACCGGCCCTCATACCTATAGCGCGTAGCCTGAACCTGGAAATGCTAACATGCCCGCCTCTTTGGCCTGCTCTTACAGGGTGCCACCCGGCAAGGAGCTAGACGGGTGGGTGGTGACCCTGCGAAGCGGGCTGTGGCGGCTCTACTTCCAGCTCTCGGCCGAGGGTCGCAAGCGCTATTTTGACGAGATCCTGCCGCTGCTTCACGAAACCAAGACTGGTGTGCTTGGCGACCGCGACGCCGACGCGTGGTATCTGGTCAACCTCGGCACCAAGCCCAACTCGCAGGGCCGTGGGTACGCCCAGCGTCTCCTCGAGGACATGTTCCACAAGGTGAGAGGCTTCTTTTCCCTCGTCCCTCCTCCCCTTTTCCTCTGCCCCCTTTTTTCCGCTCCCCCTACGAGTTCTTGCCATAGCTGACCTCGGATCCCCTTTTGCACAACACAACAGGTCGACGCCGAAGACCGCCCCATCTACCTCGAGTCGAGCTCGCAGGCCAACAACACATACTACGAAAAGTTTGGCTTCGAGGTCAAGCGCGAGATCTCGCTCACGCGCGGAAACGCGCCTGTGCGGCTGTGGATCATGGTTCGTGAGCCCAGGCCCGCCCGCAAGGTCGCTTACCACCACCACCACCAGTCTCCTACCAGCCCGATGATGATGAAAACCAAGAAGTTCCACATCGGCGCTGGTGCCGTTGCCGGTGTAAAGATGTGAGATGTGACCAAGGGCCGAGCTAGCTAGTGTAGCTATCCCAGGCGACTGACTATTGGCTGCCGAAAGGAAAGAGTAATGAAGACATGAGGAGGAGGATGATGAGGATTAGCCGGAGGGAGGCATTGCGTCTTGGGTAGAAGCCTATGTGGGTGAGTTTGCTTGCTATTTTCCCCCCATCCCCTATGTTTATTTCTTTTCTCATCCTTTCTCTTTCTGAGGTGACACGGGCTTTGAGAGAGACACGAGGAAACGATATGCTCATGAAAGTCGATCAACTCGACACTGTCCGGCTTCTGGTTGTGTGTGTTTTTTCCCCCCTCGCCACTCTACCTAGTGTGAGTAAAGCGCATCCAACATGCGGCTATGGTGGTCATGCTTCTTACCCCATTTCCCTATTCGTTTCAAAAACTGCCTTTATCCAACTTCTCTTCTCTACGCAGGCTAGATACTGGCCTGTCTCTAACCTCTATTTATTTGTCCCGGGCACGTTTCTGGTGGGTACATGCATGCATACATACCCTATACCACCTTTAGCTATAAAGCAACGTAGCCTGTTTTTAGATAGCAGCAGCAATATTAGCATCATCATTGCTGGCACAGTTTGTAGTCTCGTTGTTTATAGTGGTTGATGTTCACCCCGCCCCAACCCAACCGTACCGTGCCTAGACGAGATCTACCAGCGTGCCACATTATGGTAGTAGGAAGATCCGTCATCTGAGGCTGAAAAAAAACTAAACCGAAAAAAAAAACAGTCACGTGTGCTAGTTCCCGGCGCCCATGATAAAAAAAACCCGTCCGTCGTGATCCGAACCTTGCCTCTAGTTTTTTTCCTCTTTGAAGCAATCGCATCAAAAATGACAACCCCAGCACCTCTTCTTCTAGTAGTCCAGGATGGCCCACGTCTCGTCATCTACTGTAGTGTAGACCAGGCCGTTGCCCAGCAGCTCGTCGGCGGCGCCGATGACGTCTCGCACCGATAGGCCCGTGCCCTGGGCGACTAGGTTGAGGTGCAAGCCCTCGTTGCCGCCGGGCGAGTTGTGCAGGAAGTTGAACATGGTCCTTCCGTTGCGCGACACGGTGGCCAGCCGCGCGGTGTGTCCGCCGCCGGCCGCCTCGCTGCTGCCGTTGCCGCCGTCGGCAAACATGCTGTCGCCCCCACCACCACCACCGCCAGCGCCGCCGCCCTGGTCCCCTCCCCCGGACCCCGGACCGTTCGGCATGCCTTTCAGCAGGCACAGGTGCACGTACGTGGCCTCGAGCATGTGGTAGTTGACCTCGTTGAAATCCTCGATGGCGCGGATGTTGTGGGCGCCAATGTGCTTCTTGCCGTTGAAGCTGGTCAGGCGGCCCCACACGCGCACGTAGGCGTCGGGGCCGAACTTGGGGTCGCTATCGTCGGCCTTCTCGGCGTCAACCCACTTCTTGACGTCCATGACGGCCGTGCCGTCGTCCAGCTTGTACGTAATGTTGGTCGTCTGCGGGTTCACCGCCCGCACTTGCCCCACCACCGTCACCTGCGTCACCGGCGCGTTGTCGATCTTGAGCTCAGATCCCGGGTACGCCTCTTTGCAGTCCACCAGCTGCTTGAGCGTAATGGGGCGCAGCGAGTCGTCCGAGTAGTTCTATGTGTGTGTTTCTTCTGCGTCAGTAAAACAAGGCCGTGTGCAAATTGGGGCCAATATGTGTCGGTGTGTGTGTGTGTGTGTTGATTGTTTCGCACCTTTGGAGCAGCGCCGCCGCCTTGGCTGCCCGTTTGCGACCCTCCCATAAAGCCGCCGGCGTCGTCACCGCCCTGGGCGCCATAGTTGTTGCGCGAGTAGCCGCCGCCGCCGCCGTATGATGCTGCAGAGGAACAAAAAAGTCAGTACAGATCAAAACATGTTTCTCCCAGTTGAGAGAAAAAAAATACGTACTCATGATTCCGTTTGTGGGTGTGGAGTTACTATCGTGCACTGTTTCGTTTTGCTTTGCTTTGCGTAGGTCGGCGGATGGGTCGTGGATGGAAGATTGCGGGGTGGAATGCTAAGAGACGCGTCCAGAAATACAGACAATGAAAAAGACGCGACGGGCATCAAGCACCCACTATAGAACGCGAACCCCGCTAGGCCCGTGAGCAAATACAGTGCGATTATTGTGAGATTTTGAGAGTAGGATACAACCCCGCACTGTACTAGGCCCCTGTGAAAGAGCTTCAAGGCTCATCAACCGAGGAAATGTCGTCATGTCATTCGCTCTTCCGAGCACGCACCACATCTCTTTCTTTGATACAAACTTAGGCCACCTACCTACCTAGGCAGGTACCCTACGAAGGAGAAACAGAAAATATTCGAAAGTATGAATACTATATGTCAAATCCGAGCGTGATAGTGAATAGGGAGCATTTTATCGCATCGACCCATTCAGTCATTCGCATTTTACAGAACCAAGGAGAATAAGAATAAGAATGCCACGCCCCACAGCGCGACAATATGGACAGGAAGCAGCCGTGGACGACGAGGAAGACGGCTGGTGTTCGGCCGCGTGCTGTGCGCCCCTGATCACAGAAGCCAGACGACCGATTGAGGTTGGGGATATGGGCGGGTATAGGACCCTCTCTCTCTCTCTCTCTCATCTTTTTCTAAAGCAACACACCCCCCGTTTTGGCTCTCGACTCACAGACAGCCAATTGAATGGGCGAATGAGCTAACACGCACCCCTTTCCTCTCGCGCCCCAAAACCAACAGCTCCAGAATCGGGCAAAAAGCATTTTATCTGTGGCCGCTGTGCGCGCCGCTCCTCTTTGACAATGAGAGCAGCGATTGCCGCGATCACTGTGCAAATGAGAGGAGTAAGTAAACACGCCAACAATACCCTCTTTCCTTTGTTACGATTCCTCTCAGATTTGGTGTCACACACACACACACACATAAATATAGATAATGGCACAAGCTAACCGTCCACCTAGCCTTCCTCTCGTACCTGCGGCTGTCAATCTACATGTCGATCGTGTCGGTGGCTATCATCCTATCCTTCCATCTGCGCAAGGCGGCCACGGACACGGAGCTGCGGATGGCGAAGCCGCTGGGGGCCGTGTTCTGGCTGCTGTCCGTGTCGTGTCTGGGCGTCGGCGTGGCCAATTACATTAGTACGTCGTTTCACTCTCCCCCTTTCTTTCAAGTTAAGTAAATAAGTACGTGGCTTCTCACTGACGATATTTGCTTTCAACTCAAAAATAGAGACCGTCAACAAGTACGGCCGGCGAGCGGCCATTGTACAGCACGGATGGAAGACGCAGACGGTAAGACCCCTTTCCGTCCCTCACCAAACACTCTCCTGGTTTCGCCCATGGGAACATGCAGCGACTCGCTGCTGCCCTTATTTACTGACTTAAACCAGGTCATGGCCGCCGTTGCACTGAGCATCGTGGGCGCCTGCGTGACGCTACTAGTTCTAAACAAGCTAGACGAGCAAGCCGACACCTAAGCAAGCCGAGACATGTCATGAAAAGATCCCTTCCTCATGTTCAAGCGTGCAGAAGAAAAAATGCTCCTCCTTTTTAATTATCTGTTCCTGTCCGGGAAAGAGAGGGGAACCTCCCCTTCTCTCGAACAAAAAAACAAGAACGAGAGTCCAAACTATATACAATCTGAAGGAGGGGGAAGCTGCTACCGGCTACTAGACCGCGGCATTTCCTTCCCTCTCCAAATACACAGATTACCCCTATGCCTATATACAATATCGAGATGTGGTGCAGCTCAAAAAAAAAAGGAAGGGAAGCCCATGCAAGAAAATGAGACAGAAAAGAAGAAAACTCGACACTTCAAGACAGAAAGATACACTAACCGCGGATGTCCCGCTAATACAAATTAATCATCCCTGGTACAAAACAAGTCCCCAACGGATGCGCGCGGTATTAAGTCGTCGGGCGCGAGCGAGTCGCAGCCGCCGACGGCGCGCCTGAACTCGGCCGCGTAGTCGGCGGCAGAAGCGTCCAGGCCTACGAGGTTGGTGGGCGTGCCGTCCCAGAGCAGGAACGGCATGTCGTCAAAGTGGAGGAGGCTTCCGTCGCCGGGCAGACTCTCGAGGAGCGGGCCCGCCGTGAGGGACAGCTCCGCGGGCTCGGGCGTTTTGCGGAGGTCTGCCTCGTACTCCTCGGGCGCCTTGTACAGCTCGTTGTGGACGACGGCCAGGTTGCCGGCGGTGGGCTGGCTCGGGTAGAGAGTCCAGTAGCCCCGTGCGCGAGACAGCTTCAGGGCGTGCTCTAGCCAGGAGGGATATCTCTTGCTGATGGCCTTGTCGGCAAAGATGGCCGGTAGTGGCGGCTTAGTCTTACGCTGCAGCTCGAGCGTCCTGGATACGAAGCGGTGGAGCTCGACCCATTTATGTCCCGTATAGAGCACGGCATTGCTGTTGGGAGCCTGCCAGAGGAAGGAAGTAGACTCATCGGACTCGGTGGCCCGTGATTTGGCAACCCTCACCGGCGGGACGAACGGCTCCGAGGCGTTCAAGTGAGTCGAAGGCAAATCGAGACTGATGCCAAGCAGTCTCGAGTCCCATTGCTGCACAACGGCTGCGTTTGAGTGAATGTATTCCAGCACCGAGTATTTCAAGTCTACCGAAAACCAAAGTCAACTTTGTGCAGGCAGTGGACGAGGGCGGAATATGCACTGACAGTGGAAGAAGCGAGGTGACAGCTCAGCTTGAGGTGACAGGACCAAAACATGGGAGTGGCCCGGGCTCGCAGGCCAGAACGACTCGACGAATCGTACCGAGCTCTCCTCTTCGGTCAGGCCACTGCTTGAGATGCGGTGCCTGAGCGTAAGTTGTTTCGCATGCGTGGGGTTGTAGACACTCGCTGGAGGCCACTGAAAGGTCTCTAGAAACTTAGCCGTGGGAGGATCCACTTTGTGAGGAAGCTCGATGGTTAGATGGGGAACGGAGCCCGAGCTGTAGTCTGCCGCCGCCAATGACTTCAGCAGCCGTATTAAGCTGCCAGAGGCCCCAGAGGAGGCCTGGATCAAGATGTCGATACTGATTTTATCCCATGCTGCACTCTGGAATCAGCACATAACCCATTGAATTCATGTCTGAAGGTATTCTCACCGGCCAAGGACGCGCTATCCAGCTTGGTAATCCAGGAAAGTTGCGTAGGGGCATCTGCGTCTAGCTCGATTAAAGGGACCTCCATATCAGGTACCTGGACCCTGACTCCTTCAAGGAAGAAGTTTTCCTCCAAGCTTGAGCCATCCACAATCACCACCTGGGGATGCATATAACTGTGAATATGGACTGCACGTGAGTTAGAAATTACCACCGAAAAAGACCTGCGCCAACATAAACCTACAGAAAGCACGGGTGACGGCAGTTCCAAGGCGGGTATCGGCAGATGAGGCTGAATGATCAACTCGGGCGTCTGTACATACATCAATCAGGTCAGCGCCAGCGTCCGAGGTAAGAGGAGGTGCTTGTCTAGCAGAAGCGCCCGCGAATTGCGACTTGACTTCAGCATACCGTGAAATATGATCTCGCACGAGTCAGCCACGCCATTGACAGCACGGAGCTCTTCAAAGGCAATCTCGCTCCGGCTCATGAGCGCGAAATGTACATAGCTTCTGAGCATGGCTCCCATTTGGCAAGCTATTGGCAGTAACACGGCCGCGCTTTTCAAGCTGGAGGCGGCAAATAGGACGTTTCTATTCGCGTTATATTCCCCATTGGTCTCGGAGATGGCATTCAGGGAGGCGCCGAGGTTTTTGAACTGGATGCGCCCATTGTAACTGCCGCTCGCCGGCGCCGGCGGCTCGTCCTTAGTGCTTGGTTTGCTGCTGTGTGGGCGTGCAGGCCGCAGCTTGGGCATGGGCTTGGGCTTGGGGGGTAGGGGTTCCAGCTCGGAATCGTCGAGGTGGTTGTATACGGGCCGGCGTCGATCTCGTATGGGCAGGTCCGCGGGGATATTGTGTATGAAGAGATAGAGGCACAACCCTAGTACTAGGGCGATGGTGAGACGCTTCAACACGCGGGACTGTGGCAGCCGGGCGGCGGAGCTCGGGCTCCATTGGGATCGCATGTGAGGAAGCTTGGTCGGTTTGCGATCGTCGTCTTTTTTCCCGAGCTCCTCGTCACTGAAGAAGAGTGAGCCCATCCTGCTCCACGCCTGCATCGTCTGAACAGTTCGCGCCTTGGATGTGATCCAAGACGGCCGACGAATCGGCGCTTCCTTTGCGGCAGAGGGCCAGGACTAGGGGGACGGGACGGCGGCGTCCAGTCTTCTCTTCCTTCACTCGCGTGAGCAGCAGCAGTAGTCGCTTGCGGCCGTCATTTGGAGGAGGAAGTTGCTTGGCCTGGCGGGTAACGGGTATCGTGGCCTATTTACGCATTGTTGCCAGACACAACGGTCTCACGAGCTAGGTGGGTGTTCTGGAAACGAGCTGGTCTCATAGCCCGAGTAATCGGATAGAAGGTTGGAATGGGCAGGGGGGAAAATTAAGGCTCACTTCAAAGCTCAAGTTTGCCCTGGGGTACTTTAAACGTGGCGCCAAGTCCGTGCGCCACTGAGCTTCCTAACCGTTGGCGGTCTCTCGCGCTGGCCTTCGACGCAGTAAGATGTCAACGTAGCGGCGCAGATCGACCCACTGGGTACCCCCAGGCCCCACATCCATCTCAGACCCCTGATTTTACTGTGCATGGGGTTCCTGGTTGTGGGACGAAATGGCTGGTCTTTTTTGGCGGGGTCGAGGGCGGGGAGGTTTTTTTTTTTTTGCGCTGGTCAACCAAGTGCGTGTCGATTGATGCCAGAATTTTTATTTTCATCGGTATATAGACCCAAGAAACAATACGGAAACACGACTCAGTACCAGTGCCATTATTCATTTGGATAACCAAAGAGAAGCAAAAAAATGGGAAAATCCAATCGGAATAACAAGGCGAGGGCACTTCGCTCTGACCCCATCGCCAAGCCCGTCAAGCCGCTATCCGATCCTGAGCTCGCGGCACTTCGCGAAGCCCGGATTCTCCCCGTCATCAAGGATCTCAAGAGTCCCGAAGCCAAGTCACGCACGGCTGCGGCGAGAGCTATTGCCAACATAGTCCACGATACAAAATGCCGAAAGCTGCTCCTTCGCGAACAAGTCGTGCACGTTGTCCTCACCGAGACTCTCACTGACGCCAGCCCCGACAGCAGAGCAGCCGGCTGGGAGATTCTCAAGGTCCTCGTGCAAGAGGAGGAGGCCGACTTCTGTGTTCATTTGTACAGACTCGACATTCTGACTGCCATCGAGCATGCCGCAAAATCGGTGAGCTCGCTCCTGTTCAGCCGCTGCCGAGCCCAGATAAGACGAAACACTGATGGGCGCACGCTTGACTAACACTTGACCGTCAGATCATCAAGACCCTCACTGCAACTGAACAGCCCTTTGGAAAGCTGCTCAAGGCCCAGCAGCGCCTCGTCTGGGAGATTACCAGCTCCTTGATCGCCCTTCTCACCCCCATTGCGCTGGCCCGGGATGAGATTCTCGACGCCGTCGTCGCAAATCCGACGATTCTGCGGTTCCTCTTCCGCCTAGTTGCCTCAGACCTAGTGCCACAGGAAATCTTCGAGGAGACCCTCTCCTGTCTAATGGTCTTGTCCGAAGACAACCTGCCGCTCGGACAGGCCCTCACCGATGACCAAGAGACGCGGTGCTACGACGAGCTCCTAAAATTCAAGACGGGCGGTGGTGTGAGAGCAGTGCTGGCCTGCGGCGTGCTCCATAACGTCTTCTCGTCACTACAGTGGCTCGATCACAGTCCGGGCAAGGATGGCGCCTACGATGCGATCCTAGTCCCGAGCCTGTCCCAGGAGCTGGAGCAGGTGTCCTCCAGCAACGGCAGCCTCAAAACCAGCAACCCCGAGATTGCGCAAGTAGCTTTGGAGATCCTGGCATCCATCGGCACAGACCTGCAGAACACGCTCGAGAAGGGTAACCGTCCCCAACCTGGCGCAGCCGGCAAGTCAAAAGATGAGGAATGGAACGGAATAGGTGATGAGGCTGCGGACATTGACGTGGACGCGGTGGCCGAGGCGGACGATGATGATGCGATGGATGTCGATGGGGGCCACGAGAAGGACGACTCAGACCAAGATGACAAGGATGAGGCTGGTTCGGATGACGACGACGACGACGACGACCTTGACGAGGATATGGACCTAGTCACGGGCGGCGATGACTCTGTTCCAGACGCCGCCGGCCTCGACGACCTGCCCACGTTGCGAGAGCTGATACAGAAGGCTCTCCCGCAACTCATCCGGCTCTCGAGTGCTTCCGCAGATAGCGACGAGACTGTAGCCATCCAAATCCAGGCCTTGTCGGCCTTGAACAACATCGCATGGACCATATCCATGATCGACTTCGCCGAGGGGGAGAACGCCCACGTCTTTGACGTCTGGGCCCCGGCAGCGAAGAAGATTTGGCAAAAGACCATCACCCCGATCCTCGACTCGGACAACGCAGACATAACGTTGGCCACGCTAGTGACGAGCCTTGCATGGGCCATCGCGCGGAGTCTGTCTGGGGACACTCCTTCTGACGGGACCCAGCACCGCAAGTTCATGGCACTCTACCAGGCGTCCAAGGGGCTCGAGCACCACGACGAGGGCGGGGATGAGGGTCACTGCGGGTGCGACTGCGGAGACGACGATCCGCTTCAGAGCCTAGGCGTCAAGTGCATCGGCGTGTTGGGCTGTCTTGCTCGCGCTCCCGCTTCCATCGACGTCAACCGCGAGATTGGCGTCGCCTTCATGTCACGCCTAGCCAACACCAACGACGTGGCGCCGCCCGCCGAAATCATCGAGATGTTGAACCAGCTATTTGACATGTACGCCGACGAGGAGCAGGCGTACGATAAGGAGGTGTTTTGGAAGGACAACTTCCTGCAGCATCTGCAAGAATTGCTGCCGAGGCTCAAGATCATCGCTAAAGGTGTTGACAAGAGGGCCTTTGAGGAGCTGAGGACAAAGGCGGACGAGGCTGTGCTGAACCTGGCGAGGTTTATACAGTACAAGAAGAAGCATGCACCACGGTGAGCTTTACCACGGGGCCACAAATAAAAAAAGTATTTAGGCGCCTGGGGCTTTTGTTTAGGGGTATACTTTGACAATTTCCAGTTCGATAGATTCGTCCAGAATATTTCACGTGAATTTTGAATAATCATCATGTCAAACATGCATCATGCAGCGTGAAGTGGCGATGTCTGTGTTCATCCACATCAACAAGTAGGTGACATCAGTCACAATACTCTTGCTCTGATAGAGCTTCACGGCTGTAGAGAGAAGAGTTAATAAATGGAAAGGAAAGCACAATTCACAATCCTCGACAAGAAGAACAGACCGTTTTGCCAAGACGAAGAAGAGGCCTTCGTGATAATAATCATTTGCCGGACCGGATCGGCAGGTTGGGAAAAAAACCAGACTTGTCTTAAAGACCGGTTCCGTACGGTATAGTCTGGCGAGATCTTCGTTAAGCTAATTTGGTCAGACTAAAAGAAAAACCAAAAGTATTCATTCCCCATTTCTCCCAGTGTGTACATTTCCTCAAAAAGTTCAACTCACAAGATTTCGTGCAGCGGACAAGCGTAAAAAGCTTGAGTAACCAGACTGCGACCAGCTGGCATAATAGGGCAAGTCGATGCCGGGAAGGAAGAAGAGGGGATGGGAGGGGTGTGGGAGAAAGGGGGGAGGGAAACCAGGTTGGGGGCGTCATTGCACCCTCAGTCCATTCCGAGTCGAGGCGGTTAATGAATTTCAGCCAATGGGCTTCAGCTTCTTCTTTTTCTTCTTGTCGCCGTCGCCGCCAGTCTTGCCCTTCTGGAATTGGCGCCAGCTGTCGATGCGCTGGTCGCGGGTGGCCTCCCAGTCCACCTCGTGCTGGCGCTTGCGCTTGCGCACCTCGAGCTCCTCGTCGGCGCGGCGCTGCTCGCGGCCCTCCTCCTGCATCTGGGCGCGCAGCTGGCGCTGGCGGCGCTTCTCGTTGTCGATCAGCACCTCGACCGTCTTCTCGCGCCACTTCTTGTCGAACTCGGGGGTCCGCAGCTCGGGGCTGTCCACGTTCCACTTGTTCTCGCGCATCAGCAGCATGCGCGCGTCCGCAATGGCTTCGTCCAGCGTCTGGCGGTGCTTCTCGTCCATGAGCTCCGTCTGGGCTTTCTTGAGACGGTCGAAGGCATCCGGCGCCAGCGGATTCTTAGTCTTGTCTGGATGGATCAGCAACGACTTTTTGCGGTACATGTTCTTGATGTCTGATTCGGGGACGCCAGGCTTCAGTCCCAAGACGGCATATCTGTTTTGCGAGTGTCAGCTAGGCTGCAAGTCGCAAAGGCGTTGCGCGCGGCAGCAGAGGGGGGGGACTAGGTGTCACAACGGGGTAAGCTAGAGAGCAGGATGGGCGTCGGTAAAACGTACGCATCGAGTCTGAATTCTTTCAGAATCCGGTCGATTTCGGCGTCCTGAAATGGTCAGCAACAAGATCAAACTTGGCGAAGCAGATAATGATGGGAATCTGAGCCCACCTTCTCCCACTCCTTGGCCTCCGACTCCAACACCTCCAAGGCGTCTCGATCGTCGACCGGCTCTTCCTGCTTGGTCTCATCTTTCTTGGTCGCCATTTTGCCCTGCGGTTTATATCTTCGTCTCGAAAAGTGCCTGGGACAGCGCAGCGGCAGAGAGGCAGTCGAGAATTGATGGCCGAGTGTTTAGTCATGCGGACGTGTGATGTTGAAGGAAGATGAGTGACCGCAGCGGTAGGCGGGAGTTATTGCACTGTACATACAGTAGTACGTGACAAGTGGTTGAAGTACCTAACGCCCCCGCAGCTTGCAGGCGGCGATAAGCGATAAGCGATAAGTGAAGTTTAAGAAGTCCCCGTTAAGGAAAAAAATTGGTGGGACTAGCCAATTGCGCGACGAGTGGGTTTGGCTTCCCTGAGAGAAGAAAAAGCCAGGTACGGTACCTAGTACCTACAATTGCTTAGTGTAGAACGGAGAGAAATTGGCGACTCTGTACTGAACTTTCCCAACAAAACAGCCGCGCTCGTACACGATGCCGAGACGAAGCCCGTCTCCAGCACGGTCCGAGAATGAAGTCGACATTGCAGACGACTTGTATGTCGACGACGGCGACGACGACGAAGTACCGGCCGGCTTTGGAAAAAACGGAAAAAACAAGAAAAAGGTAGCAGCTTCGGCCCTCGACCTCGACTTCAACGACTTGTTAGGCGGTAACGGCAATGGCGGCGACGGCGGCTGGGAAGACGATGGCGACGAGGCCTTCATTGCCTCGCGCCAGAGGAGCTCCAACAGGAAAGCGTCGAATGCGCCGGGCAAGTCGGCCAAGAAGGGCGGCGGTTTCCAGGCAATGGGTAAGTTGCGAACTCCTCTTCCCCAGGAAGATGAAGATGGGATGTGGAACTCACACATTTCCTCCTCCACGCAGGGCTCAGCACCAACGTCTTGAAGGCCATCACCAAGAAGGGCTACCAGGTCCCAACGCCCATCCAGCGGAAGGCAATCCCCCTAGTTCTCGATCGAAAGGATGTCGTGGGCATGGCCAGGACAGGTTCCGGAAAGACAGCTGCCTTCGTCATCCCCATGATTGAACGTCTCAAGGGCCACAGCCCCAGGGTCGGCGCCAGAGCCCTCATCCTCTCGCCGTCACGCGAGCTCGCCCTGCAAACGTTGAAGGTCGTCAAGGAGTTCGGCAAGGGAACCGACCTGAAGGCTGTCCTGGTTGTCGGAGGTGACAGCTTGGAGGAGCAGTTCGGCCTCATGACGGCCAATCCCGACATTATCATCGCAACCCCCGGTCGTTTCCTACATTTGAAGGTTGAGATGGGACTGAATCTCTCCTCCATCAAATACGTCGTCTTTGACGAAGCCGATCGCCTTTTCGAGATGGGCTTCGCCGCCCAGCTTACAGAGATTCTGCACGCCTTACCACCGTCCCGGCAGACGCTGCTATTTTCCGCCACCCTCCCGTCGTCTCTCGTCGAGTTTGCTAGAGCAGGTCTGCAAGACCCTAGCCTAGTCAGGCTCGATGCCGAGACCAAAGTGTCCCCCGACCTCGAGAGTGCCTTCTTTTCAATTAAAGGGGGTGAAAAAGAGGGCGCCCTCCTCCATATTCTTCACGACGTGATCAAGATGCCCATGGGGCTCCCGGCAGGCGTCAGGAACGAGGAAGAGGACCACTCCAAGAAAAGGAAGCGCGGCCCTGATAGGCCCAATCCAAAGGAAAAGCCGACGGAGCATTCGACAATTATCTTCACCGCCACAAAGCATCACGTCGACTATCTTACACAGCTGCTACGGCACGCAGGTTTTGCTGTGTCCTACGTATACGGTTCGCTTGACCAGACTGCCCGTATGATGCAAGTCGATGACTTCCGCAGGGGAAGGTCGAACATTCTTGTCGTGACAGACGTGGCAGCCCGTGGTATCGATATTCCAGTTCTCGCCAATGTCATCAACTACGACTTTCCTCCTCAACCCAAGATCTTCGTTCATCGCGTTGGTCGAACAGCTCGTGCTGGCCAACGTGGTTGGGCTTTCGGCCTGGTTCGGGATGTTGATCTCCCCTATCTTGTCGACTTGCAGCTCTTCCTTGGCAGGAGGCTGGTTGTTGGCCAGGATACAAAAGACCATTCCTTTGCCCAAGACGTTGTCATCGGCACATTGAAGAGAAACGACGTTGAGTCAAATGTGGAGTGGGTAAAAAAGGTGCTCGACGAAAGTGATGACATCAGAGCGCTCCGGGGCGTGTCGGTCAAGGCCGAGAAGCTGTACATGAGGACGCGCAACTCTGCCGCAAGCTCGAGCGCGAAGAGGGCTCGTGAAATAATGTCAACGAGAAGCTGGGCACAACTTCACCCGCTTTTTGGAGACGACGCTGCCCATGCCGAAGAGGCCCGGGATAGCCTGCTCACCAAAATCAGTCTGTTCAAGCCGCAAGAAACAGTTTTTGAGCTTGGCCCCAAAGGCAAATCAACTCGGAACAAGGCAGCCGAAGTCATACGGAGTATCAGGGCAAAGATGCCGCTTCGAAAGACCAAGATGGATGACGACGACGCCGAGGACGCCATCGAGTATGACTCGTCGTCTGAAGCAGGCGAGAATGAATTCGAAGAGTTTGGGGAGGAGGGTGATGTTAAGGTCGGCAACGAAGGCTCTGGCAAATACGATGACTATGAGAACGATAATGACGACAGCGACGACGAAGTTGAAGTCACGGTTTCCAAGACGGCAGTATCCAGGAAGGGGAGGTCGACATTCGAGGACCCAGAGGTGTTCATGTCATACTTGCCGCGCACAAACAGCGCGGCTGAGGAGCGGGCATATGGCGTGCACTCGGGCTCGCAGAACGCCAGCTTCATCGAGGCGGCGCGCGACGTGGCCATGGACCTAACCAACGACGACGGCGCCAAGACGTTTGGCATGCCGACGCGGGCCAAGTTGCGTTGGGACAAGAAGCAGAGCAAGTACGTGGCGCGCGTCAACGACGACGACGGCTCTCGCGGCGCCAAGATGATACGCGGCGAGAGCGGCGTCAAGATTGCGGCCAGCTTCCAGAGCGGCCGGTTCGACAAGTGGCGCAAGGCGCAACGCGTCAGCCGCCCTCACGTGGGCGAGGCCGAGAAGCCCAACCACGTCCGCAACTTTAGCGCCCAGCCCGGCGTCACCCGCTTCAAGCACAACGCGGAGCGCGCCCCCAAGGACGCCGACAAGTTCCGCGACGACTATCACATCCGCAAGAAGCGCGTCGCCGAGGCCAAGGAGAACCGCGTCGGCAAGTACCGCAACGGCGAGGGCAGCAAGCGCGAGCTCAAGTCGGCTGTCGACATCCGCAAGGCCCGCCAGATCAAGGAGCAGAAGATGGCCAAGAACGCGAGGCCGACCAAGAGGGTCAAGAGGTGATCTGGGGCGGCTTAGGGGGTTCGGGGGGTGTGTTTTATGTAGGCGGTAATGGGTTCTCTCTCTCTGACTCGAGGAGTGCCGATATAAATACAAATGGGTTGTCTCTTCGTGTCATATGTGCATTTTCTATTTTGCGGGCCTAGTATCTCGAGGTTCGTAAAAGTTGCGCGGCGTGAAAGAAAAGTCATCACAGCAAGAAATTGTGCTGTTTTGATTGTGTCTGTCTGGGAGTAATATTTGGCACCTAGCTACCAAGAAATCTTTCGATAAATCATTGGAAACGGAGACAAAAGGGTCTCCTAGTAAACATAATCGAAAGGAAGTATCAACGAGGAGAGATCGAGAGGAATATATTTACGTGCGGTGCTCAACGCGTACACACCACGTTCATGTTTTGAGCCTTGTTATCATATTTCACTACTTTGATAAACCTAACATGTTGAGGTAGCTCATCGGCAGAGTTGACAAATAAATAAATTAACTTTTATTCTTCACCTATGTATGTACGTAGGTGGAGAAGAGGACATACAAACTATCGGAATCTGATATTCAGGCTTTAAAAAGAAAGAAACAAATGAGAGAGAAAGAGGTGGAGACTAGTTCTAAAAGAAAGAGAAAAGAGAAAAGAAAAAAGAAAAAAGAAAAAAGCCGAGGGGAAAGGAAACCGGGTCTTGAAAAAGGGCAAAAAAGAAGAAATTAAATCAAAATATTATGAACTGTATAGCAGCGGCTCGCTTCGATCGAGTGACCTCCGGGTTATGAGCCCGGCGCGCTTCCACTGCGCCACGCAGCTGTTTTTAAGCAAGTAAACATCTTGCGATTGTTGAGAAAGGCAGCGGATATCTTTGTATACATACATCCCTAGATGGAGGGAGGGAGCGGGCTGATAAAGAAAAAGAAAGGGGATCTCCAGATACCAAAATGAAAGGTTCATCCTTCCCGCTTGATGTGAGTCATGAACACGGAGACTGTGGATACTGTACGTCGAAAAATACCGGGCGGGGTTCACCTTGCCCAAGATGTTTGTTTGGGTTCTCTCTCGCCGTTTAATACTTTCGGCATTTCTCGATAAGGTTGATTGTACTGCAGAATGTACCTCATAGCACCTACAGTCCTACAGTTCAAGTATGTAATATCAGCAACACGAAGAGAGAGAAATGTAAAAATGATTGAATGCTTTGATATTACAGAGCGGGACACTCAAAGAAGACCGTGAAGTATGGGGTTGAAGTAATAAGATACAAGTGACATACCGCCCCTTGTGTTAAGCCTGTTTGCATTTTCGCATACCGTTATTTAGCTCTCAATATCATGTATAACAGATCTGACTAGCTGCCAAATTTCGTCGTCATTATTCCAATTGCGTTACCACACATGACGACATAGTAAGTGTTGTTACAGATATTCATCGAGAAACCCGCCCACAGGGGCTGCTGAAAGGACTCACCCAAGATAGCATCACAGACAAAAATATACAATTACCCGACTAGTTCAGCCCATCGTAACACCATAGTCCTGTATATCTTCTCTGCCCAGTCAACAGTAAACCGATCTTCTTAATCATGGAAATCCGGGCCTGTTTGAAAATTTCATGATACTGCAGGAGACTCCTTCCCCTCGGGCTCGCCAGGTTCAACATATAACCTCCATTCTGTGACACGGTCCGGGCCTCTTCCCGGCCCTGAAATTCCCGCGAGCATCGACGCGGTAGGCCCGTCCTGCTTGTGAACCCGGTTGGCTTTAGGGGGCCGTCTCTTCACCGACGGCGCATGCGGCGATCCGCTAGTTCCTTCAGGCTCTTGATGAGCCCGCCCAGGGGTGACAGGCCATTCTGCAGATCTTGCGTGCCTGCTGCTGACATAGACATCTTCTTCCCCTATTGGCTTCCTTCTCGAGGTGGGTACCATAGGCACCGCAGGCGGAGGGGCGGGGGCCTGAGGCAAGGGAGGTCCGAGCGGGTGAGTAGCGGCGCGTGAAGGTGGAGGAGGCGCTCTGGTCGAACTCATGACGCCCATGGGTTCCATCACAGCCACGGGGCCCATTATCCCAACGTGGCTCATAGAAGCCACGGGACCCATCAGACCAACAGTGGTGGCTGCCGTCTGCCTGCTATCCGTATTGCCAAACCGGCCCGCAAGGCGCCTCTCAAGCGACGAAGTTCGTGGCCTCTCGGGGGCTCGCCGTTTCTCGGCTGACGGTGGCCGACTTCTTTCAGGTGACGCATACCGTCGTCTCTCTATTGACGGAGCCGGCCACGTCTCAGCTGCGAGAGGTGGTCGCCTTTCTGCTGACGGGGGGCGCGAAGCATTGCGTGACGGGTTGCGTGACTGACTCTGCCAAATGTCGGGTGTATGAGGCTGCCGTCTTTCGGGCGAAGAGGCATGATACCTTTCTGGAGAAGCATATCGCCTTTCAGGGGAGACATAGCGCATCCCTCGCGCGCGGCTCACCCCTGAAACATAGTCGAGCCCAGAATTCGATCGATCGAAGGTAGAATGCGGCGCCGGTGGTGCCGTCGGCTGATGCGTCAGGGGCGGCGATGGGACAATGACTGTCTCCGGGCGGCGATGGTATTCCTCTGCTACGGACCGACCGGGGTGGACTTCCCGGTCCATAGCGTCACCTCTATGTCTGCTGTAGTCCCTGCCTCGAGAGTAGTCCTCGGGCTCTTCGTGACCGCTAAAGCCACCGAATGTTCTGGCCCTGCGGGCAACCTTCTCGTCTCGCTGTTCCTGTAGCCGACGCAGCAACATCTCTTCCTCGTAATTTACAGGCCGTGGGCGGACTGCGTGTGGTGGCGGCGGCCCGCTGTCGGTGCGAAATTCCCGGGGCGATGGTGGCCCACTACCCGTAGGAGGAAATCGGGTCCCAGACGCGAAGGGGTTCGACCGCGGCGTCATGGGAACTTGCATGTGGTCGAGCGGATCGCTTTCCTGGGTATCGAAGTTGAACCAGGGGCATTCACATCTCTTCCACTTCGTCCCACATATCATGCAGAACTCGGCGCCGCAGCGACTAGATAGTTTTGTTTAGTAAGATTTAAAGTAGAGAGGGGCTGCGGAGGGGCCCAATGCAGGACGACCTACCATGTCATATGATTACAGCCCTCTTTGAGCTCAACAACGTACTTGCATCGGTGGCAGCGCTGCCAGCCTTCACGCTTGGCCTGCTCGAGAAGCTGACTGGTATCTTCGTCCCTGGGGCATTCCCTCGACGAGTGCCACTTGTTACCGCAATGGCAGCAGACCTTGGTCTTACACCGGCTACATTTTGCATACTTGCGGCCGTCTTCGCGGCGGATGTCCTCGGGCCGAATCCACTCGTCGCAGCGCCGAGAAGGACAGTATATCCGGTTTCTGGTCGAGTATTCGGCAAGTTTGTTGTTCCATTGCCTCTTGAAGTTGGTGTCAAACAATCGCTCCACCACATTTATTGGAATGTGGCTGGTACAGCACTTGGGCGGCATGCTTTGCGGATCGTGGAGGGAGAGTTTAAAACTTCGGCGAATGCACGAGTGGCACATGCGGTGCCCGCACTTGAGCTTCGCCGTTTTGTGGACTGGCTTGGCCTCGTCCAAGCATGCGACACACTCAACGCTAAGACGACTTGGGTTAGGACGATAACGACATTAGATGATTGGAGCGGACAGGAACTAACGATCTGACGGGCTTCTCCGACATTGGATTAAGGGTAGAGCCAAAGAAGTTCCCAAGAAACATGGAGCGCCTAGTTGACGAGCTGACGCTGTGGGACGGCGTCTGGTGCGACGTTTCGGCAGCGTGCGACCTCTTTACCGAGGAAGAAGGCCTCGAGACATAGCTTTCAGATTCATAGTATTTCCTCGGGGAGGGCCTAACAGCTGAGTTAGTATACGGGCCAGGCTCGGCCTTGGTACCGGATTGCAGTAGACAAGTGCCGCGTACCTTTTTGACTGTGAGCGAGACCGGTCTTCTTCGAAAGCGCTTTCCTGCCGGTACTCGTCCCGCGGCCGTCGATATTGATCCCGTCTGGCAGACGAGTGACGAGATGGTGATCTCGGTCTTGCAAACGACGGCGTATGTCTCAGCACGCGCTCGGGGATGCCAATGTCCTCCTCGTACACCACTTCAGGGCGCCGGTTCGGGCGATCATGGACCGACCTCGAAACTGGGGGAGGCGCAGGAGCTGCAGGAGCCGGGGGGACGGGGGGAGCGTGCGGGACGACAGGGGCTTCCTTCCGGTGGTGATGATGCAGGATGACTTGTTCGTCATCCGACGAGTAGGTTACGCCCGTTTCGTCGTCGGACTCTGGGGCTGAAGTTCGGAGCGACCGGCGGGATTCTGGCGTTGAGCGGTGCGGGTGAGCGGAAAGGGGGCTTGGGTCACGACGCGGCTCGCTACGGTTGCGGCGGCTGTCTAGTCTAGGGGGTGGCGGGGGCTCGTCGTCGTCATCGTCTTCGTCATCGTCTTCTTCGTCGTCGTCGTCGTCCTCGTCGTCTTCGTCTTCCTCGTAGACGTAGGTTGGGCGCCGATGTTGCGGGGCCGTGGCAGCCCGCGCCAGCACAGGCACGGAAGAGTTGGGCACACGCATGCTCCGTGAGCGTGAGAGCGAGGGCCGCTCGTGCACGGGCGAGGGGATCGTCGTCGTCGATGTGGCGGTGGAGTTCGTCGGCGATGACGGGGGAGAGGTGGTGGTCGGAGGAGGCGGCGGCCGGTGCTTGCGGCCAGACGCTTTGACGCCGTCAGGTTCTATATCTCCATGACGTTTGTGGTGAGGCGAGGAACGAGGGCGTGGCTCGCCGCTCGGGGGCCAATCAATTCGGGGCAGAGATGGCGATTTGCGGTGCTTGTCGCGGCGGCGGGGGGGGCTTGAGGTGGGTGTGCTGGGTGTGCTGGGCCCGCCCTGGAGAGCGTCTGGAGGATCTATGAGGGCTGCCATTCGTCCCCCGAGTCAGCCTCGGGCACGCAGCAAGCATAGGTATGTTCGATGCCAGCTTCTTTCTCAACGGGTCGGCGTAGGATGCTTTGACGAGATGTTCGATGGCGCTGCGATGGACGCTCGATGGCTCCTCGATGGCTGCTCGAGGGCCGGTGCTGGCAGCAGCGACGACGAGTGAGGGTGCAGCCAGCGACCATGAGGGGGCAAGTGTCGGCCAGATGGTAGAGCGTGGTTGGCTGTCTGTCAGAGCCAGGCCGCGATTGGGCTCTTGGGGTGCTTGGTCTGCATGCGATGCAGGCCTGGGTCTGCACAAGCACACCTACCCTAGTCCGGCTCGCCCTGTGCTGCAGTTGGGGCAGACGGGGCGGACCAGCGCCCGATAAATACCTGACTGGCCCGCAACCGCAGCAGGCAGACCCTTTGGGCAGTGTCAAGCAAGCGTTCGGTCGAGAGTCGAGACTCAAGTGTCGAAGAGCGGCACAGTCCTTGTAGATTACTTTACAACTTCCTGTCTACGGTCTGGTCTGAGGTGAGGGGCCAGAGATGGAAGTGGGGAACCTAATTCCTCTGTTCCTCCTGGGTAGGCACGAATACCCAGTTAGGTTGTCAGAAACACCAAATGGCGCGGGCAGTGGCAGGCGCGACGGCTCGTATAGCAAGATAAGTATTTGCACATCATAACTTTAGTAATAGAAGGTAAGGTTCAATATTACCTCTGAGCTAATTGTACTAGTGGCATGAAGTGAAAGGAGTTGCTATCCCGCCCAGTAACAAATAATAAGTCAGGCAGCCAGGGCTGTTGTGTGTAACCGTCCAGAATCCTTCCTTCCGTAACGAGCAGAGCAGAGGCACTGAAGTGACGGGTTCTCCATTCGACGTTGCGAAGCCAATCCAATGGCCTACCAGCTTTTTGGCGTGCCGTCCGCCCTGTTTGTTTGGGCTGGAGCTGCCCCGAGTTAATGCATCCACACAGCCGCCCAAGTTTGAACAGCTGGCGCCCATCCACTCATTCAGTGGAGGTCATCAGCACTCCCGTCCTTCGTGAAACCAAGGTTACCTGAGCTTTCTCCGGAGCACTTCTTACTGTACCCCAGCCAAAGGTTCCTTGATTTAGACACACCAGGGCAAGAGAATATTGTCAAATATGACAAAGCAACCTAAGCGTTTGCGCTGCAGCTGGCACGCTGCAGATCCAATCCGAACCAAGAATCTAGAACTAAAGCAAGCTTGCGGCGACTCCACGTGATCCTACCCTACGCTCTTTCTGTTCTATTGTTCAAGTTATGAAACCATGGTCAGACTCGTGCGTAGACGCGGTCAGTCGCCGAACCGGGAATGAATAATTATCCCGACCGAGGGACAAGGGCTGGGGCTGGGCTGTGAGGCGGCTGTGCGAGGCAGCCAAACCAAGCCTCTGCGCGTGTGTATGACCTCGCTCCCCGTCCCACAACCGAGCCTGGCCTTGATCGGTGAGCAGAAGGCGCAAATAATCCCCAACCTATCTTACCTAAGGTGCCTACTCCGAGGGTATGCCAGAGACAGACTCCGAGGTAACACACAATTAAGCAGCACAATGGAAGCACAGCAGCGATATCGCATGCCACACGCCACACGCTTGATGACAGAACGCAGCCCCGTGCCGTTGCTGTGCCGCGCCGTGCCAGCAAAGAGCCAAGAGCGAACAGCGAGGCTTCCCCGCAATCGGCTTACGGGGCACATGCTAGCCGCTAGCCCCCAGGAGGACCTAGCGAAGGAAGCCGTGGAAGCAGCGCCGGCTCGGGTTCGGCCGTGCGGCGCAGCAGCTCCAGCTCCACGAGCCCAAGGCTCAAGCAGCCGCTAATCGGCGCTAAACCGTTAGGGGTCGCGCTGTCATGGGCAACCCTCGGACTACGGTGGCCTCCCCGAGCCCCCGATAAATCACGGTGCCAACTCCCGGTGAACCCCGGCCGCCCCAGTGGTCGTATGACGGCGCCGGCTCGGAGCAAAGGATGCCCTGCTGCCCCCTGTGACTCTGTATGGCATGGGCGGGCATGTCTCCAGCTGCGGGGCCCGGCAACTGACTGCAAGCTGCTGCTACTGCCGTGCCACCCGGGAACGCCAACCGGGAACGCCAACATGCGCCGTATGTACAGCGGCAGTCGCTCACAGCTCCAGCCAGTGGCTCTTCCCCGGACCTACCTACCTACCATCAGACGAAGCCGTGGTCCCGTCCAGAGACCCGGAACTGCTGCAGTGTAGTAATGCGACCCACTCGCAATCCGTCCCGTATTTGTCCCGAGGCACGAAGCTGTTGGATGGCTAGTGAGTGCCAGCGGCGCTCCCGTCCTTTGAGTTGCGGGACTCCCCCAACCATCCACCGTTACTATCGCCGAGAGTGCGTCGATGCCGTGAAACCGCGGACAAACAAGAAAACGAGCACGGTGCCATCCGGACAAGTCCCCCCAGTTTTCCGCCTACGCCAACGTCTGCGCTGCGGCGCGAACACTTACTGGTTGGAGGTAAATGAATCGATCGGGCCGGGGACGATGGTACGTACTTAATCAGAAACCTCATGGGGATCGGGTACAGCAAAGACCCGGGCGCTTCTATCCAGTGCTTCGGTTACCATCTGCATCCAGCGCGCATCATCGCTGCGAGCACGTCGTAGCTGGAAGGAAGCATGCACGGCAGCAATGCTATGCTACGCGGCATATCATGTTCATCCTGGCGAATATGACTAAGGGGTACCCAGTCCATCCAAACCGATGAGCATCCCCACCTACCCGCTGGCCTGGCATGGCTATATAGCTGGTTGCCTTATCTAGTGTGCTGTACAACGTTCGAGTATTCTTGCCTTGCTGTGTATGTGGTGCTTTTCGTGTAGGGGGTTGTGCGACGTTTAGGTCACAGTCTCTTGGAGTAGACAAGCCCTATTACACTCCCGGAAACTGCAGGACACTTTCTTTTTATGGTGGAAATCATGGCATCTTTAGAGACCAACTAAGAAGAAGAATAAAACGTAACTCCTGCTCTCAAGCTCACATGAGGATATGAACCGACTACAGCACAAAAAGAGAGAACTCATAGCCGGCTAAAGGCACTAGAGCTGCTGCCACTCTTGATCTATTGCCCAGCGAGATACATAAGCGAAACGAACAGAGAGACCCCAATAGATTACACTACCTCGAACAAACCTGGGAGTCGGTTACCGACATCCTGTATGTAACATTCCTCCCCCACGACGACCCAGAGAGAGAAGGCTGGTTGCATGAACCCTCCCCTCCTGGGGTCTCCTGTATGTCTGCAGAAGCTCGTTTTTTGGTTTCTTTTTGCTCGTTTATGTCATCAATAGATACGCGGTAGCACCCAATATGTAGGTATGTATGTATATATATGTGTGTGTGTGTGTAGATGGGGTTTAGACCCCCGTTCCGGGAGGAATCGCTTCTCGGGGTGGAGGAACACATAAAACTTCCATCCCATCCATCCAAATCTCCTTTTACACAGCTCACCTATTCATTCTGCTGTCCGCATCATGGCCACCCCCTTTCCCTGTGTAGGGTAGTATACAACAGACAACCGTCTTTCCAGTGCAGGCCAGGCAGAGAGTGCCTAGGGCGTAAACACCGGGCTTTGGTGCCGTCCGTAGGCCTGAGCATTCATCTTGTATATAAAGTCCTGCCTCTCTCTGAAAAGGGCGAGAATCCCTTTTCTTTTGTTTGGAACACCAGGAGTAACAACTGCATGTATATATAGGTATTTAGATACATGTATTTACAGTTCTTCACACTTCTTTTCTACCCACCTACCTACCTTAGGTAGGCAGGTAAGCAGAGAAGCAGAGAAGCAGGGAAGGAAGAATGTAATGTGTAACGAAACCCCCCCCCCCGAATAACACGAGAACTGCCTTGTTGCGCTTGGCCAAAGCTAGGTACCAGGTAAGGATAACTAGTACATGATGAATACCACGGAATCCGAGTTGTTATCCCAAAGCCCAGCAACCTCCTCCGCCGCGACAGTGCTGCCTAGGAAGGTAACACAGTGTGAAATTGACAAGAGAGAAAGAGAGTATGGAAATGCTACGATTACTTTGCACACACCTACAACACACACAATCAAGGAAGGGCAGACGTAGTAGCTCAGATATATCTTCGTTTAGGATATAGTAGAATTAAGTAGATATACAAATACCTACCTAACCAATTCTTCAAATTCGCTTAATATCCACCAAATAAATACCGTACTTTTTCCTCGCTAGAAAACATCAAAAGAGAATCAGAAAAATGAAGAAAGACGAGAAGATGGTCAACATATATAGACCTAAAGTAACAAATTCCCGAACACCTAGTACTATGATGACGATGTCCCTTTTAATCGTAACAAAACATAATAAGGAAGAAGAGAAGGTAAGAAAAAAACGACCGCAGCCAGTCATCAATCATGACGAAATTGCCTTCGCCTTCCCCAGCGCCCATCCCCCTTTATCTCGAGCGCCAGATCGACAGACAACCAACCAACACCACCAATCACCGCACCGCCTTCTTTATTTCAACACCCGAGCCAGCCCCTAAATAATAATAAATGTACAGAAAGAACAGAAAAAGGAGGCGCTGTCAGAACTCCATCTCCGTGCAAAATAAATGGTGGGGCAGCATTTGCACGGCTGTTCTGGAGGTCAAACGTTTGATTGTGGCGGTGGTTGTGACGGTGATGGCAACGGCGAATCGGAGCAAACTTTTTTGACGAAACAAAAACGCCGGGGTGATATGCCAGGCGACGGAAGGTGATGAATGCGAGAGGGGTTGGAATGTTCCATGCGGTCTTTTTTTGTTTGGGTGAGTGTAAATCTATGTCGGGAAACCGGCCCGCCACCGCCGCTTTCCCACATGGAAAAACAAAACGTTCCACACACACACGGCCATTTTCTCCAGGTTCCCCCCCTCTTTCCCCAACCTCTCGAAACCTTGGGGAATTTTGCGGAGAGGAGCAAAGCAAACCATGGTTACCCCAGACCATTCGGGCGTATCAAACCCCCTTCTAGCAGGCTGATTCTTGAGCGGCCGGGAGTCGTCAAGGCAGGCAAGGCAGCCTTAGCGTTGGGGCGTGGCTTCTCCTCCTTTTGGTGCGGTTTGCCTGTCGCTTAGAGTTTTGGTGGTAGTATCCGGAATTGTGCCCACCTTTAAGCCAACTAGGCACCCCAAATGTAGGATGGAAGGTGCAGAAGGAAGGGGGGAGGGGACCTCAACAGGCCCGACGGTGCGGATCGTCCTTGATGGCCTGCCAGGGAATACCAACAACAGCCTCGGAGACACTCTCGGTGCCTTGCATGGCCCCTTTCTAATTTGATGCGCATCGGCTTTTCGGGGGGGTGGCGGCGGGTGCTCTGAATCCCGAGTCTTGGACCTGCGGGCGAGTGGTAAATGTACCGCGGTACTGCGGTGACAACGGGATATGGTGGTCCAGGCGGGGCTCGCTTCCGGCGATGTCGTCGAGTGCGTGGGCGGTAATGTTTGTGTATATGTGTGTGTGTGTGTGTGTGTGTGTATGTGTGTATGCGTTCGTTCCGGCGAGGTAGATGGTAAGATGTCCGTGGTCGCTCGCTCGGCTTGGACGTGTAGCGGTTATTACATGCACTTGGTATAAGCGGGCTTGCACGCTCTGCGGTTGACGTTACCACACGGCCGGAAGCGTGTGGCTGAGAGTGGCAAGATAGACGACAAGAGATGCTAGTATGCGATCGGGCTGCAGCAGACCCGGAGGACGGGAGGGACCCCTTGCAAGGCCCAGTCAACCGTTCATACTCAGGAAGGCGCGGCGCCTGACTTCGGCCTCCTTGAGAATCTCGGCGGACAAGCTGAGGCTGGGAGACAGAACAGAATAGCGCTCGATCTCGACAACAACGCTGTTAATGATCTGGTCTATGGTTTCACGGTGCGGCACGAGGCTCCAGAGGATGTTGGACAGAGACGGCGACATGGTGGCGCCCATGACGAGCAGTGTCTGCGAGACAATAGAGAGGGCTCCTTGCCAGAGGTAAGGCATATGTCCGGCGTGACTGCGGTCAATTGGTTAGATTGAGGGGGAACTTTTGAATGTCCGAGCAATAAAGACTCTCCATAACTGCGTTGAAGAGAGAAACGAAAAGGCGAATAGTGGGGGGCGGGAAGCCAATGGGGGCAGACGGGAAGCAAACACTTACTGCGCGGTAATGTGCTCCAATTGCCGGATAGAGGCTTCGAGGCACTTGTGGCAGCTATCCCGCACTGAGGGGTCTAGTACCGCCTCCTCCCTGTCTAGAACCGCGAGGATGTACGGCCGGTAGATGATTGTGCGGCAAGCAAAGAATCGCAGCCGCAGCACCGTCTGCACGGGGTCCGGAAGCATGGTGCGCGTGAAGGGGAACTGCAGCGGCAGCGGCAGGCTCTCATACCACTGCGTCAGCTGGAAGTCGAGCTCGGCAACCACGGGCTCGAGGCTGGTGGTCGACGCCATCGAGTCCTTGGAGTAGATGAGCTGGCTGACGCGGTTCAAGAGCCGCCGCAGCGCAATCTCGGCCAAGAAGTACCACAGGTCGTCGCGCCCGACAGACTCTTGCTCGTCCCCCTCGAAGCCGCACGGCAGGCCCACGTTCTCTTCAAACGCCACGACGCCCGAGTGGGGCAGGTCGAGCTCGGCGAGCAGGTCGCTCTCAAAGAGGAGCGCGTTCCAGTAGATTCTCTCGCTCAGCTCTCGCTGGTCGGCCGGGACCCTGCTGGGGGCCATCAGGAGCAGCTGTAGCTTCGTGCTCGTCGTGCAGAGCAGGTTCCACGCCTCGAGCGGCCGGACGAGGTAGAACAGGTAGGCGGCGGCAAGCAGGTGGCATTGCGCCGCAAGCACGCTGTTGGACGTCATCATGCCCGGCAACAGTGCCCACGCTGCTGTGAAGTACTGCAGGCCGGGCGGGTCCTCGTGGGGCACAATGTTCGATATGCTCCCCCGGAGGCTGGCCTGACCCAGGGACAGGACCAGGAGCACGATGCAGCTCTCGGGCCCTTCCCTAAACCCGTTGGAAAGGGCGATGCGGTAGTGGCTCCGCCATGTGTACGGGTTGACGCAGGCATACCAGACGTTGACATGGTCGAAGTAGGCCTCGATGTAGGCATTGGTGTTGGACAGGTCGACGCACGGCGTCTTTGTGAGCGAGTGTAGCGGCTCGCGCGCCATCTCGAGCTGTAGTAGGATCTGGGGGTCGTAGGGCCGCGAAACAAGATCCCGGATCATGGGCCACTGCAGCAAGTGCAGGGCCGCGTTAGTGTGCACCTTGGGCATTGTCGATATGCTGTTGTTGTGCGCTGCCGACCACGTGCCTAGCCCGCCGCTGGGGATGATGGACACGAAGTTGGCGCCGCCCGGCATCATCATGTTGTCGCCGCTCAGGGCCGTGCCGTTGCTCATGTTGGGCGAGTCGTGCGACATGGCCATGCCGCCCGAATGGCCACCGCCAACCATGTTCATCTGCAGCAGGCTCTCAATGCGGTTGAGGCGCTCCAGGATGAGCTTGTCGCCTGCATCGAGCTTGATGCCGGGCTCCCGGTAGACGCACTCGGCGCCCAGCTCGGTGCACAGCTTGCACTTGGGTTTTGTTCCATCGCACCGCGACTTCCGTGAGCGGCAGACCTCGCACTACCAAAACAGTTAGTCAATCTCTACACCAGCAAAGCAATAGACCCCAGCCCCCGGTTCAGACCAACGACATACAGCTATGGTTGCTCTCCGTCGCGGATAGTCGAGGCCGGCGTCCGTGTTTCTCCTCTTCAGCGGGTTGCTGCCCTCGTCGCTCGACGTCTTGTTGAGCCCGTTGGTGCCGTTGTCTTGACGGTTCTCGGACGACTGCGAGAGGTCCCGGGCCTTCTGGGCCGATCCCAAAATGCCCTCGCGGCTGAAACTAGGGGTCCTGGCCGACTTGAGCGAGGTGGGCGACTTGAGCGCGTTCACTCCGTTGGTCGAGGCGAGCAGCTGGGGCGAGGGGATCTCGAGCGAGAAGTCTCGAGACGGCATAGCAAACTGCCTCATGATGTTGGCGCTGATGGTGGCCGTCATGGTTCCAGTGGCCGAGAGGGGGGAGTCGCCGTTGGAAGATGGCGACATGGCGAGTGAGCCGTTTAGTGTAATAAGTCACTTGCCCCCGAAACCTGAGCTGGGCGGTTGAACAAGAAACGCTAAGTCGAGCTCCTCCACGGGTCGTCAGGGGGGCTCCTAAGGCTTGCGGGAAGCCACCTAGACGGGAACGCGGTTTCTCGTCTCGTCCCAGTCAGACCGACACCCGAGCATCGACGGCTATTGAGCGGAACCCCGTGGTGTCAATGCAGGGTCGTTCGTGTGTAGTGTGGACCGGTAAACTCGCATCATAGGTCGGCTGCCGTCCCGGGCTGGGTAGAGATCAGCAAACGGGCCGCTGGGCGTGTTCTGGTGTGCTTCCTGTGACTATGTATGTCGTATATTGCAGCTATGGCTTGGTGTTGACGCAGGGAGGGAGGGTGAGAGAGATGACCCGCAACTGTGGGAAGCAGAACCGGCTCTCATAAGATATTCCTGTCGCAACGTGCCAAGTAGGTAAGGTGTGGGTATGCATGTGTATGGATCTAGCCAAGGTGCAGTACGTACCGTTCTCCGCTGTGTGGTCTGGTGTGGTGTGGATGAAATACGGGGGGACGGGGGAGGGGGAGCTATGCCTGGAGGGTATCGTAAGCTCCGGCCCTGGCACGGCACACGGAGGTAGCTCGAACAGGCCCAGCGCACACCGGCCAAACCCCAGATTGTATGTGTTGACCTGGCTGTCTTCATCCCTCGATATGGCCCACGCCCGTCTAGGAGCGCTCCTTGCCGCCTACCTATCCACAAGTCTAAGGTAGGGACGTACCTAAGGTGGGTAGGCAAGTAGGTAGGCAAGGTGGATCGCGAAACCTGAATCCCTTGATGGCAGACCCTCGTCCCGCAACGGTAGATGACTCTTGTTTAGCAAGCAATCACACCCAGACTCTCCGAGAGCAGAGAGATTCTCCAAGGACCAAGCTAGCCGCAATGCTGTCTGATATGCCGCGGGGATGGACGGAGCAATTTTGCACCAAGCCCAACCTAACAGCCAAACCCAGTTAACGAGCCCCGTTACGGAGCCACTTGGCGCGGGTTTTCCTTTGTTCCAACTCTCTTAGCTACCGTACTGTTCTGTACCCAAGGGGGTACAGTAGGTCAGGTCTTGGTATGGATGTATCCGAGCTCAAGTGCCCGTCCGGTTCTGGCGCTGGCTCGGGGTGCGGGGCATTGGGTCGGGAATGGATAGATCATTGGATGGATGCCCTCTGCTCTCTGCCCGGACTCCCAACTCCCTAGCTCCCCAGCGGGCACCATTAATATCGAAGGTGGAGTGGTTGAGGCGGGGATTGCCAACCTAAGGCTCCATGGACATGGCATGGGTGGTAGTTTGCACTTGGGTCTTGGTTGGCCGGCCCCTGTGGGAGGTCGCATGGGACGCTGCGACGACCTGAGAGGATCCATGCCACCGAGCCCGTGCTAGGCTCTGGGGTGTCCGTCGTCTGGTGAGGTGGGCTTTTCCATTCATTGCCCGCCTGCCCTGTCGACGAACCTCGAATGTATCGACGAACCCCATTTCGTCAATATTAAATATCCTCGTCATCGCCATCTTCAGCCGCCGACCGCAACACATGTGCCGCCAGGTGCAAGCAAGCAAACCTACCGTCAAAAGCCCTACAGGTTCCAGGCTGTTGCTCGACAAGGCTGCACGAGGGTCCAGCTTGAAGGAAACGATGTTCGCTTCCTAATGGAATCAATCACCCAGTGTATCCGTAGACGGGCACCACCTCCTGTCCAGTGGGTGGAGCTCATGCGCACAGGAACTCAGGGCTGGTCGATCCGGGGGAGCAGCAGTCCCTACTTGAGGTGCCTTGGGTGGAGGTGCCGTACATACAAGTGATCGATCGTCTGAAGTAATTAGTGCCCAGGTGATGCTCTAGTAATGTATGCAGGTATGTACATGTATGTACATTACTGTACATACCTCAGGTTGCCTTGTAATCGAGCCTTTGTTCGAGGTTTGACATGGAACCTCCCAAGAGTAACGGAGTAGATAGACACCTCAGCGCAAGTCAAGACGCGGGGTGGTGGGCGGGTGTCCCCAGCGCCTGAGCCATCGGTGCAGGGTCGCTGGAACGATCTGCTGGACACCCGGCAAGCCCACCTCAGCGGTCACCTCCTTCCTTCTCCGCATCATATCCTTCCGTTACCCATTTCAGGTCCCCCCCAATGTCGGCTTGTCCGCCTAGACTCAATCCCATCTTTCGAGATCCTCGCCGCGCATTGAACTCTGGTATCCGTAGATCGACACTGCTAGATACTTGATTACTGTAGCCAAGGCAGAAGAAGGGCCATTGGCGATGCTTGTAATGAGATCAATCGCTTGAATCTGGGGTGGGGGGCGTCAAGGTAGGTACAGTACTCCGTACCTCCTCCGTTCATTCCTCACCTCACAAATGATGGAATACGTGTAAGTGGGCGGGCAGGAGCCAATGGCTTCGAGTTTGTCTGAAAATAGAATACCCACCATCGAAAGGGTGCATTGTAACGTGTGTCGTAAATCGATAACAAGAAGGCATGTATTCGTTACAGGTCATTTACAGACAATAAACACACTATCGACTAATTCTACCTACTCAACTGTGTCTCCTTTACTTCGTACAGCATGCTGAAACAATCCCAAGCTCTTCACACCCACAGACAGTCTCGGGCAGCTCTGGTCGCGCACCCTCTTCGACGCCGTCTCTCAGCGGCTGCAAGCCTGTTCGGTCACCGCTGAAAGACTTCGTCTCCAACCGGATGAAGGGAACCTGGAAGGAAGGATTCACCAGCTCGCAAGTGCCAAGTGCCACTGCCACTGCCATGGATTTCCAGAATTGGTGGCTTCAAGTTCGGCCTCAAAACCGGTTGCACTTGCTTGGAGCTCCATGCCAACCTAGAAGTGCTGACCGTAACTAGAAAGCAGGACACACCAGCGGCCATGCATGCAACTTAATGGCAGATGTTATTTTGCTGTGCCCCTCAACCCTGAGCGGACGAAGGTTCCAAGGTAAAACCGCATCCAATCTGCATCCCTACGGCCTTCAATGGTGATTTTAAAATCTCGAGTATTGCCTTTCCACCTTTCACCAATCTCACCAAACACATCAGGTGCCTTCCTTGGGACCCCCTGTCTTGACCTGTCTCTCCCTGATCGAAGTTGATACATCATCCATGGTTCCATATCCATATTCATTGTCGTAATATCATAACGCCCCGCCATCTTCTTCGCTTCTAGTTTCCCGATTTCATCTGTCTGATTACCTACCTTCCCAAAGCTGAGCCGCCAATCATGGCGCATCCTCGTTCCGTAATAAGAGAGATTGGACGTACGTACACCGCTATGCTCCCGGGCAGCCTGACTTCAATGGATGGCCATAGCATCACGACAACTTAACGGCCTTTCCACCATTGGCACTTTCTTGCCCATGCCGTATCTGGCTTAGGGCGGCATTCACCACTGCCCGCACCCACCGAAACCCCAGATCCCATAAGGCTTAACTCGTATTTAGCATAAACCCACCAGCTGCCAATGGGGCGCTCCTGGCAATCTCTCTGGCTTGTCTCGTCGTGTGTGTGCATCCAGGCTCGGGCCATCCCACGATCCAGCAACCGGCCATCTTGAGTGGGAGCAGAAGCGTTCGAGAAGCCCAGCGGCAGCCCCACACATGGCGATGCTCTCAGCATGTCACTAATCACATCAAGGAGCAGACGGGCATGAAGCTCCGGCACCGCCGCCAAACCCACTCGCTGCTATGGTTCTACCTTGACGAGTGCCGTCCTGCAGCTCCAGGAGGACTGTCATCAGACAGTCGGTGAAGATACACACTGTACCTGCATTTTACACTTCTGCTCCTGCTTGGGAACGCAGAAACGTGGGTATAGCCCAGTATCTTGACAGGTCTGCCAGCCGCTTACTAGCATCTTAGTTACTCCAAACTCTTGTGCCTTCTATAGAGCTACAGGTCATGTGGCTGTGATGCCTCTTCGCCTCAACGGCAACAAATGATTCCTTCACAAACGACGTGAGCGTCCTTCCTTTCTAGTCGAGATGTAGTCTCGTGAGGAAGTTAGCCCGCTCTACGTTCGCCACTATTGCCATCCGTCGGCGTGGGAGTGTCGAAGGCCAAGTCCTATTTCAGGTAGCCGAGAAATGGCTGATATTAGGCTTCGGTAGGTGGATGGACCCCTCTATATTAGGAACCGAGTTTACGACGAGCTTGGGATCCGCCTGTCGTGTCACCACCAAACCATATCGGCACGACGCGTTTTGCATAGTCGGCCCCCTATGAGAAGCAGTCAGCATCACGGCGCGCGCCAAAGTCATGACCTTGGCCAGCCCGAGACGCCACCGCATAGACGGTGTCCATGTGTGACCGAACGGGCTGCCAAGCAGTGTGTGTCCCGGCTTGTAGTGGTTGAAGCGGTGGTGGTGGTGTGGGAACGAACGCCGACCCCATGTGGCATGTAGGCGGGCAGGTGCAAACCAAGCTCTTGGTCCCTTGAACACGGCCCGTCATTTGTCGTCAGCGAGAGGAACCGCATCACGCACGTGCTGTACATGCACTGGGCACGCAGCCGAGCTTCTGTTAGCGTCTTCCTGGACTCGTTGATGCTGGTTCTGGCTGTCTGCTAAAGGAGGGCCTCGGTCCGATTACTTGCAATTAACCCCCTGTCAATGCCACCGCCATATGACTGCAGGAAACGCTTTAACCGATTTATCGCCCGTTTTGTTCGCCCGTCCGAGCATATCGACTTAGCCAGCCTCTCCAAACTGAACGATGGCTGTCACGCTTGTCTCCCAGCAGCCAAACCGTTTTCCCTATTGAAAAGTGGAAAGAGGCTCAGCCAAAACGGCGGTGTCCACTGTCCCGTGATCGATCGGATTGCCTCGCATGCATCATATTCATCACGTGTCAAGTCTACAGAACAGAGGCAACTTATTTCTGCTTCGGTCTGCCCTTTGAAATCCCGAGCCTGCCACAAGTCGCTGCGGGCTGCTCTGATTTCCATGAACCACCTCAGGTATCCGTAGGTAGATCGCCGCAGAAGCTCGGTGTTGGGGTTTTGGGTCGCCAGTGGCCAAAGCGATCATGGGGTTTGGACGCCCACCGTGATATATTAACCGGCACACATCTCTGTTGACAACTCAGCTCATCTAGACCACGATCTCCTGAGGGGCCGCGGATAGACGCAATATAGCGGATCCGTGCCAAGTACCGCGTTGACCACGCCTGGGCACCTCCTTCCATCCCCGGACGCGGTCTCCTCTCAGACTCTCCCATACAATCGTTCCGAAGCAGTGGCGCTCGCTCCCCCGATTTCTCCTCGGTGGGGACAACTGAGAAGCGCAATTAAGAACAGTCACATCCCCGACAGCACCGGTGCTGTCGCGACGGGCTTTGACGCCCACTGCGGTCCTCATTCAAGCTTCGCTTGAAGAGCCAAATGGCACGTCCTCACTCATCCCTGCATCAGGGAGTGGATTTGTTCAACGGCTTCAGCCCAACAGGCATATCTTGTAAGAGTTGGGGAAAATGACAGTGTGGAAGTCTACCAAATGCCGACTGGGCCCGACCGCCGCTTACCGGACCTTGATGGACCGCCGGTATAGGCCCTTGCTGTCATTTGGTTTGAAGGTCCTGCTCGGGGTTAGATGGCACGGCGCAGCTCTGGGTCACTCGGCCGGTGCCCGCATCTCGCTTCGCTACGGCAGACCCAGAATTCGGCTTTCACTACCCCTCTTCGTCCTATTACTTGGTAAGGTAGGCTTGCGCACACGGCCGCCTCCTCGCTCGGAACCAGACTCTTGGAGTTTCTGGTTTTCTCATGGGTGGGCAGTTGTGTGTTCGTGATGATGCAGGGCAGCCCTTTTTTCTCTTTTTAATCTTTTTTATCAGACTCAACACGTGTTATCTCTCATACCCCTGAGCGTCCTTCATTAGCAAGTCCCTTAAAGTCACGAGCCTAGATTCGTCGTCAACCAGGTTTCTTATCGCCGGACAAGCGTCAGGTCAGTGCCCTTCTCCTGTCCATGAACGGCCGTCGTTCGTTCCTTCTTCCCTGCTTGGGATCTGACGATGATTTTCTGAGACGGGGGCCTAATCCCTTGTGATTTTCATTCGATCTGAGCCTTGTCTAGATGTGTATTCCTACTTGACCGGAATGTCCATTTTGACTGAAAATTTTTTCTCCTCACGTTGCCCAAGTATTTCTTAGTACTCCGTACGCCGAGCCACTCGGGCTACAAGCGTGACATGTGCCGAGCGCGAGTACGGAAGATCTTTACCGTGACCTCTTTTTTTGAGAGAAAGAGAGAGAGAATAGGGGCCCAATCTGTAGCCTCTGCTTGGTCTCACAACTCGCCGTCATCGGTAATGAGTTCGCCGCTGCATTGCACATACGTACTGAACTGAATAGGTCTCGCAACAGCCGCCCCGCTACTGCGGCCCTGAAATTCAGAATCAAGATGACGACGACGACGACGATAACAGCAACAAGAACTAAGGCATCTATTGCTGGGTCAAATTACTAAGTGTATATATGCTTTGCACTAACCCTGCTTCAAACCCCTATAGTATATTTCTTCGCGTGTGGGGAATTTATTCTCGAATCTGTCGATCCCTCCCCCCCAGGGCCCCAATCCCTTGACCCTGGCGCCGCTCCCGCAGAGGGTCCGCCGCGTGTAAAAATGATGGGATGGAACAATGCACCTAGCGGAAAGAAAGAGAGATGGGACGAAGTGTTTTCCCCGCGAGAGATTGCGAAATGCAAGGTGGAGGAGGTGGGCTGATGATGCGAAACTCGGCTCGGCTTGGCCCCGGATTCTCCGTCGGCCGATCCTTTTTGACACTGGTGGTTTCACATTTTTTTTAACCTAGGGGCGGCCGGAGAAAATAGGCAGCTGATCCGGATTGCGTCCAGCTTTTAAGCGCCAAGAGGAATCGAGGATAACATTCCTGACAAGACAAGAAACCCCTCCTATGTCTATGTCTATGATGTAGTCGCGCTATCTTTGAGACGGCTATGCCAGGTTCAGGTCAGAAGGGACTTTTAGGTGGCTGGGGAGAGGAATCTAGATTAAACAGGTATTGTCTATTTGTGGTATCATTTCATTTTATGGCTGGAGTCGGAGTCTTGAAGATACGTTGTTCAGGGTATATTCGTATAAGGCAAAACATATGAGTCAAACTTGCTGCGATTTTCTTGACGGGCGTAAATTGGTGGCCGCACACATCAAACGGTGGAGCAAGCAAACTCTCTTATCGAGACCAACCTAGCGGAATTATAGTCACACGAGAGTCCAGCAAGTTATGTACCCAATCCTTCTTTAGGAACCTAATAAGTTCAAGTCTATTTCGCGAACCATCGTGAGAAAAAAAAGGGGTATATGTTAACGGACCGGGCAGAAATGACAAACTTTTGTCCCACCGTTGATCCTAATTACTCGTTGAATATCACGTTGTTGACCTCGCCTGCAATGGTGACACTAGCCACAAAATCCTTGAGCAGGCCTGTCGCGGGATCGCGGCTGATGACCACCGCACGCTCGCTGCCCTGTAGTGCGACGCCGACCAGAGAGCCTGCCTTATTGAGGGAGAAGTGGCGGGGCACCATGCCACCGGCGGCAAACGTCTGGACATGTGCCAGGGCGCCCGTCTTGGGGTCAATGGAGAAGGTGATGAGCGGATCAGAGGGGAGCTGGGTGGTGTTGCTGGGGTCAAAGTTGGGAACCGACAGCGTACCCTCGCCACGGGAAGAGATTATCAGGAACCTGGAGTCAGGCTAGCGAGTGGCGGGGATCGGTTAGCCAACCGCTGGGTCATCGAGACAAGTTTGGTCGAGATACTCACCGATATGGCAATCTCGCCAGCAGTGGCCCCGCTTATTGCGGGCGTCTCGCCCAGGCCGTGAGTGTTGCTGATGTATACCTGGGCAAAGGCAAGACCTTTGGTGGTGTAGTTTACGGTATATCCTACAATTGTGTTGGCCAGTTCGTGGACAACGTAGAGAAAAACATTGTTTCCAGATACAAGAAATGTGCCGTGCCTAGGCCCACTGCCGGGAGCTGAAACAAGGGGATCCTGAGTAAATCTGTTAATTATCTGCTTCTCTTCGAATGATGGGCTAAGTCGGGAGGAGGGCTTTCCCGACATCTTAGAGACTGGCCAGGCGAGTATGTCGACGCTTCGGAGTACTAGGCACAAAGAGAGAGCGACCGGGAACACGTACCGACTGCTTATAACGCAAGGTGGTGACATTGAGGGCGAAGACGCGGACCAGATCGGAGCCTAGATCCGGCACAAGGAGAAACTTGCCACTGGGGTCGAGGATGGCTTGATGGGGGTGCGGCCTCTCCTGGCGTGAAGGGTTGATGCCAGGGTGGGGAAGCGTGAATACGTCAGCCTGGACGGGGGCGAGTGCCTTCGGGTTTGTGATGTTGAACGTGTTCAGGCCGGCACCCGCACTGCAGAGAATAGACAATGCCCTGTCAATTTCCGTGTGGGTGTAGGTGGGAAAGACGTAACTGGCAAACCAGAAGCGGTGACAGGTTAGATGCAACTCACTAGTCGGCCACGGCCAATCCTCGGCGACCTTTGCCATACACGACGGCATTCACGGGTCCTCCAATGGTGTCGACCTTGTCCAGCAGCGCCAGGGTCCCGTTCTGGGAGACGGAGAAAGAGGCCAAGGTGCCGTTGTCCTTGCCAAAAGCCTCGTTGGCGCAGTACAAGACAGGGCCGCGTAGCGTCAGCCACGAGGGCTGAGTACCGCATTCGGTGGAAGTCGTGAGCGTCTGCAGGCCTTTGGTTCCGCTCAGGGCAAGATTAAGCGTCGTAAGAGTCCCGGCGTATGATGTGACGTGGAGCAGAGCGGCCGATACCGCACTGAAGAGCCCGAGGCCGGGGGCTATGGCGATAGCGCCGGAGAGGCCGGAGAACCGCATTGCGGCTCTGTACCAAGCAAGTCTCGGGGTCTCAGCTCAGGGGTGTGAAGGGATCAAGGAACCTCTCGCTGCTGTGCTGCCCTGCTAGAAGTTGTTGGTTTTGCGCTTGAGTGAATTGCTTCCCGTTTTTTCAAGAAGATAACCAGGAATCTAAAAGGTAGAAAGGCAGATTTAGAAAAAATAGGAAGCAATAAAGCGTGGTCGAGACAGTTTATGTTCAGGGATAGCAAACGCATCGAGTGAGACAGACACACGGAGATCATGAATGACCATGCGGCGTGAGATTTGATCGGATCGCTGTCATGACGCCGGATTCGGACTTCCTCTACCCGTCTCCATCCTCCGTCAGTCGTCCTCTCCCGGAACCAATTCACCAGCAACAAGCCCGCTTGAGCGAGTTGGCCGTGATGGGAAATAGCAATTGTGCAGTGCCTGGAGCCAGATGCAAGCAAGTCCTGTCCTTTGGAGTTTTTCCGCATGACATGCCCAGGGCCGGGCAGAGGAGATGGGATCGAACGTCAACCAAACACGTCTGGCCTGATTTATCCGGCGTCTGGGGCTCTCTGGTGATCTGGGCTTGTCCTGACCTGACCTGACCATGGGCCAATTTCCCCTTCCTAGGTAAATTGAACGTCCATGACCAGTAGTGACGCCAGAGGCGTCGAGGCACGAGTCACGGCATGTGGTCGGGTGCGCTTCTCAAGTTCCAGGGGAAAAGACACAAAATTTCTAACGCGGGAGATGTATGGAGGCGAACGGAAGGAGTGCAGTCGCGAGAGGCAGGGGCGACGTCGTCTGCACTCTGCAGTCAAAACGTTGTATCGCACTTCCCGTACCTACATAAAGTGGAGACCTTTCTTTCAAGGATGCTAAGAAGGAAGGCCCAGCCCAGCGCCTATGGAGCGCCCATGCGGAGAAGGAAGCTGCTGGGGGACTGTAAGGCGCGATGGGAAAGCGGGGAAGACCGTTGACTGATGCAGATGTCGTCGGGTGACGAGCGGCACAGTGGGAAAGGGGACCGCCCCTTCTCGGACGAATCGAGCCTCAAAAAGGAAATCGAGAACATCCATGGACCAGGTCGAGTCTTACGTGCCTTCCTCCAACATCATCACCTGCGCGACGGGGGAGCCTGAAATCTCGGCCACATATTTCCTCAGCTCTGCAGAACCTCCACTGCTCCTTCCTTCTATTCTTGCTTTGCCGAACCTGCTGATGCAATGCATAAGGCAGTGCGGGTGCCTGGACGCAAGCCAAGCTCTCGTTTCGTATCAAGTCTGTCCCAGAAACGAAGTAGCAGGTGCTGTCACTCGGCTCCGGCTTTTCACTTCAATTTGGTTTCCTAGGTCAGGTCTACTTGTGATGCGTGATACATCTCCGAAGCACACAATCCAACATACAAAATCTCGCTTTGACCCCTTTCCGTGAGTCTTGGACCAAGAAGCGCTTTGCACAACGACGGCTCTCAACTTTGGCCTTGCGCGCTTGTTCTCGCAGTCCCAACCCTGCCGTACGTCCACTCTCTAGCAAACAACCGGTCAACCGTCGAGTGCAGCATGTGCAAGCAAGCAAGCAGTCGACGTCTCTACATTCTCCCGGGTAGCACTGAAGCTCTCCCTCCAGCTTCCATGGTCCTTCGAGAACAATGGATGCTCCTGCTTGCACGGTCGGGGTTCCCTCCAGCAATAGGGTGATATTGCCTTTGCGTGACGTTTATGATCATAACCAAGCCAAGAACCAAACCACTCCTCTGGCCGGCCACCTACTACAACGTACACGAGTACATACTTGACTATGTGCGGCTATGCACCACCGCCTGTGCGTTGCGACCGTGTTCGCGTAACTGGCTGACTCTCCAAAGCCGCCGCTCGGACGAGTTCAGGCCTTAAGTTGGGTGTTATAACCCCCCAATGCGTTTAGAAGCGGGCATGGCGATTCCGGGTCCCTTGTTGACTTGTGCCTAGATTTGACCAGACGCGGCCCTGCATGCTTAATCACACTTTGGGAGGTTGTAGCGCGTGGGTCTATGTGCTTGCTTTCCTGGGGCACTATCTAAGGTCGCTAACATATGCGGCTCTCCACGTAACTGGAAGAGCGTGCATCCATCCCATTTGGAACAGTCTCTCGAAGCTCTGGAGCGGACAAGTCGGTCCGCCTAGTGAAAGCCACGGGACACCCATCCTCTGTGGCAACCAGAGCTGGACTTTCTCGATGTTATTGGCCAGACTGGGTTCTACAATATTGAACAGACCTGCTGCCATGATTCTTGGAGGAGATGACACTCGGTCTTGACGAGATTCGGTAAGAAATAACTACTGCACTTGCTGAAAACGAGGACAGTGGTCGAGTAACGCAAGCGAGGGGCACAATTAAGCCTTTCGACCCGGGCCTACCGACCTAAGTGGGACTGACAGGTCCGATCTAGCCAGACAACAAAATGCAACTCTCCACAACCCAGGCCCTCAAAGGCTGGTTAGCCTATCATACAACATACAACTACCAGGGCATTGAAGGTATGGATCTGTATGTGTTTCGCGTAGCTAGCAACTCTCTACGGTTGCAGCCGTTTCTCACACTTCTCTCAGTCTATTAAACTACCACCTGCCACTTCTGGCGTTTCTCAACAGCTTTTAGCTAGGCAGCCCATTTATCTCTCTACCCCTTCTTCTCTCAGTACTTGGTTACCACCCAGGTGGCAGAGCCAGAGAAAAATAGAGAGAAAAAATCGCTGACATGTCTAATTACACCCAACACTGTCTTCCTAGCAAACCGGCTCTTCACATTGCCCTTTCTCTCCCATCAACTCCTCCTCTTCTTTTCACACCATAGTCATAGCGAGGAAACTCGAGCCAACAAGGAAAGGCTGACAAAATACAACTTTGTTCAGTTAGAAGAGCGAGGCATCGTTAGGAACCCAGCCATCCCAGGCAGGCCGGCCAAGGAACTGACTGAAAAGACTGACTGGGTTGGAATTTAGCCGCCCCCTTTAGCCGCGCTGCAGCCAAAACCTACTTGGAGTTACCTAAGTACCAGCGAGGCATAGCTGCCAATCCACACAACACAACACACAAGACAAGACAACAGTACAGTGCCGTAGACAAAAAAAAAGGGGGGGCCGCTAGCTAGTGCGCATGCACGCACCGCACCGCACCACATCGCAACTACCGCACCACACCGCATACATAGCCACCGCACCGCACCGCACCGCACCGCACCGCACCGCATACATTACCGTGGCACCCTATAACCCCCTAAACCGCCATTACATATGATGTCAAGCTGGCGGCGAACCTGAAATACTAAATGCTTGGGTCGCCATCTCTCCTCCCCATAGATACAGCCGCGACGTGACGTCCGTGCGAACGTGGAATACAACAACAACAGCAACAACAACAGGCCTGCCTCGGCTGCGTACGAGATACCTCGCCTTCGGCACCTACCTTCGGGGTCTCGGCGTTAGAAGTGTAGTGCGAACAACAAAAATACCACGAGTCGTGTCCAGAAGTTGTGTCCAGACAGCTCGACGACCAGGTATACCCAGACCACCGTGTCCGTTCGTTGTGAATGGATTCCGTTTGGTGATTGCTCTGGCCGCCGTTTTACAGCGTGACAAAGTATGACTAAACTAGCCCACTACCTAGGTAACTACCAATCTATCGGCCTACCCATGTTGTTTGGCTACATAGCCACGACAATGCTCCTGATTAACAAGCAAAGCAAGTAAAAATAGTAATGTGAAAAAGAGGGTAAAAAATTGTGTCCCTCGTATGAAGCTTGCCCCCGAGTTTATGCAGTACTTTACAGAAATCAGTTGCGAGAAAAAAAGGAAACAAAACGCGTCACCATGGTATCATCCGACTCAGCGAGCAACTGGCCCTCCTTTATCCCTGTGTAAGAATGGTAGTACAGCTTTAGAGAAAGGGGGTGAAACGCCGATTGAGACCCAAAAGAAAGAAAAAAAGGAAGAGAAGATTAATAATAACCTAGAAATCAAGGATGTGTTTGCCTAGATAGAGAACGAGATGCACTTCTCAGTCCCCAAGCTCAACACTGTCCAACCAGCCCCTGACAGCCTCTCGCAGGGCGCTCTCTTTTTCACGCTCCACGGTAGCCTTGACAACACCATTATTGTCTTTTTGTTCGCGCTCCTCAATGACTCCGCGAATGACCTCCTCGAGAGCGGAAAGTAGGACTGTCTTGCATTGCGAGCGCGGCACCTCATGGGGAAGGGCGAGCACCTGGGAGCGAACGTCTGATTGAGTCGATGTGCTGTTGCTCCTGTCTCTCCGCTTGCTAGTAGACCGGGACGAGTTAGATGAGCTCACTTTGCTCGCATCCGTGTTTACCGCAATCACCTTCTCGACAGCCTCGGCAAGAACATCGTCGAGACTGGTAACTTGTTCTACAATGAATTCATCGTTCAGCGGCACCTCGTAAGGAGGCAGCGCCGGAGTCAGACCTGCCGAGTTGTAGATGTTGACGGGGGTCGCTGGGGCCAGGTTTCGGTCCACAGAAGTCAACGTTGGTTTCACCAAGCGACGGTAACGTATGCGTGTAATAGTAAATGTAGTGGTGTCGGCAACAATGGCGGTGCTGATATCCATCCACCTCTCCATGCTATGCTCTGGCACCACGGCGCTGGGCAGTAGCGGCGGGGACGGCTCAGCCCGCATAGAAGCTTTCACTTGTCCCATCAAGTCCTCTTGTGTAGGCAATGCTTGTAACACGAAGTCAGGATGGTATTGCTGAAGCCAACCGGCAACGTTGAGGGGCACGTCTCCATCCACAGAGAGACGGCAAGATTGCTCGAAAGCTTCAAATCCCGTGCCAAATCCGGGCGCAGAGAGATAGCCACTGCTAGATGGCGAGCTTACAGCAGTCTCAAAAGAGGTGATGTAATCGGGAAATGGCACATCCACGTCAATAACCCCATCATCGTTGATTGAGGTCTTCACTGGGGACTCGAACGCTCCAGACGGATCGGGGGTTCTGTGCACTTTGGGGGGGCTCCCTGCGTGCTGGCTGAACACCAGGTTAGTCTTGGGATCCAGGCGTGGAGGCTCGGGGCTTGCTCTATAGTCTGCGCCGGCAGAATCTGGACTATCGTTAGGCTGTTCACCAAGCTCGGTACCCGCGATTGCTGTGGGGGACGGATTGGTGGGGTCTGGATATGTCCCAGTCTTTGGCGCTGGAGAAGAGTCGGGGTGCTGCCCGTCCACTAGCGGCTGAACTTTTGTTCCTGATGATGCAGAATCTCTTCTGCGCGTCCCCCAAAAGCCGCTTATGACGCTTCCCCATCTAGAATTAGAACCTTGTCTAACTTCGGCGCTTGTGACATTATGGAGCATACTATCCTCCCTTGTAAGACGTTTTAAATCGTTAGCGGCTATGCTGTTACTGCTCCCGGGGCGGCCGTGAGGGAATGGCTCGAGTTGATGAGCGGTTGAGAAATGCGGCACACTGTTCTCAAACGTCATGGTTGCGGTCGTAGCCGCACTACTTTTCCTCGTTGTTAGATCGCTTCCGTGCATCGGCAGATTTGTCGTCCGGATAGAGGCTGCATCAGAGACACGTCTCTCGTGCCCCCCTTCCATACTCAGATGTGCTAGGGATGGAGGTATGGCACTTGATCGTCCAGATTGAGACTGAAGGCTGAGATTGCGAGAATGGGATGACCGGCGGGGGCCTGTGCGACGATTTATCTTCCGGCGTAGCGACTCCTCCTTAAGAATGGGGACGACAAACGAAGGGGGTGAATGTGACAAAGCTCCCAGCGAAGCAGAGGTGCTTGGCCGGTGGTGGCGGATGCCGGGGAGTTGTTGTGAGGCGGGTAGAAAGGCAGCAAGTAGAAATACCAATCGCCTTGCAGCAATCTTGTCATGGGCCACTATGATTGTTCGAGCCGGCACCGCAGCATCTTCGTCGGTTTTCCCCTTTTGCTGGAGAAAGTGTCGGCGACGATATTGAGGTGGACTTAGTGCCTGAAGCCAATCGGTGTGCGTTGCGAGAAACCCGGTGAGCAGGTTGAAAAAGAAGAACCCTTGCTCTCTTCCGCCAGCCCACTTGGCAACCCGTCGGGCTTCCTCTCGCCAGATCGGCCAGCGGTTTTGTCCAGTGGTGACTCGAGCAGCACGGATGCCGGCAACAATCCTCGTCTTGGCGTCGTCAACTTCGGCTGCTATTCGCCGGTTATCGAGTAAACAATTAGGAAGCAGTGTGATGTGCTTGGCATTTGTTTTGGGGGGCTTGACTGGCAGGTCTTCGCCTCGACGGCCAGACCAGGACGATGTCCGGGCCATATGAGAAGATATCACGGCTGGGAGCGGATCCGGCGACGAGAGATCAGCCTGCTTGAGCATCAAGAGCAGCGTGGCGGCGACGGCGGACTGCAGGTGACTCAATGTCCTCATAATTATATCCCAGTGCTGGGTGATGGAGTCTATCTGGTCCTCGATATCGTTGCTGAACGTTGTCTCGAACGGTTCAAATGCAGCACTTCCCTGGCCAACAAGCGTCCAGCCCGAAGGACGGCCGGAGTTGAAAGACGATGGGAATGAGTCTTGTTCCGAGTACGAGCTCGGCCCCCGGAATGCCGCTCGAGAAGTGAGCACTGGCGTGGAGTGGTGAGGCATGGCGGGCAAGTTGATGACAAGCGCAATGGCGTACATGGGCGTCCTCTTCTGCTTCGGTTGGGCCTTCCTCTTCTTGGCCTTGGCATCGTCTGCAGCGTGCGGAAAGGGGTAGCCGTTGTTGTCCTCGGACTGGGCGGCCTGGGTGGTGGGAGAAACAGCGCCTTCGTCAGTAGGCAGATTAACAGGGAAGAGCCTCGTCACCAACACCTTTTTCCGGTCCGGGGCACGGCTTGCGGTGCCTGGGGTGGGAGACGTGGTAAAGGGCAAAACACTTTCCGAAGAAAACGACTGCGATAGCCTGCTCGACCTCATGCTGGATCGTCCGACGGAACCTCGCCCGTCTCCCAGGATGGACGTGTTTTCGACCGAACGGGATTCGGACGGGACGACGTGTACTTTGGTCGAAGTTCCCTTGTATGCCATGAGCTCAGAATTGCCAAATATGCAGCTGGAAAAGGTGGCCAGTTCCTCGCGGTACTCGCGCCATGTGCGCTGCGAGTCGCTCTCCGCGATGGCCTGGCCGCGGCCATGGACAGAAGGCCTCCTGTCGAAAGCGCCCTGGCGCATCTTGGGGCTGTCGGGCTGGATGATGATGGGGCGCTGCACATGGCTGATGCTGGGCTTTCGCGGAGAGGCAGGGGTCCGACGCGCCTCTTGAAGCGAGTAGTGCGACGAAGACCCAGCTGTCGTAGAAGGGCGGTCCCCAGACGCGGTCGGGACTGGGGGAGGGGCTTGGCTGTCATACAGAAGAGAGGCCGCGACAGAACTCAGGGCGTCCTGCATGACAACAATGCGGACATCGCGCACGTCGAGCTCGATGTCGCCATTGTAGTCAAAGGCGTTTGTAGACGAGCCGGAGGGGGTAGGCAGCCCGCTGGACAGAGGGTACAGCTGGTTGAGGCGGTGTTCATAGAGGTCCTGGGGATCGGGAAAGAGCAGGTTGCGCGTGTAGATGTCTTCCTGCACCGAGTCTAGAGACGAAAGGGGCCGCTGAGATGTTGACTGGGTTGAGGGAAAAGCCCCGACCCCCGAGGCAGCCCCCAGGTTGAAGAGCTTCCCGAGCATCCCCAAAGGCAGGCGGACGACGGGCTCGTTACCACCAGCAGCAACAGGAAGAAGAGGTCTTTGGACCACGTTGCGAGATGGACTTGGTCGGCATTTTCAGACGGCGGCCGACCGTCGGACGATCATGACAGGCGGGCTAGTTGCGCCAGTCGCCATGCGACGGCGGTGCGGTTGTGACGGGGAGGGCGTTCAGTGCGTGAGCGGCCGTCTCAGCAGCTCCAACGCAGCGCAACCGAGTTACAAATAGCGAGCGTGCTGCCGACGGTGAGAGAGAGGCAGGGAGGCGACGAGGAGGAGGAGGAGGAGCAGCCTAGGGTAGGTAGCTTGGTAACTTGGGCCTGGCCCCGTTAAGCCGGCATAGAGGCGCGTCTATCTCTCGTGGCTGCGGAACTTACGGAGGCAGGCGATAGGCCGGCCCAGAGGAATGACTGACACCCACTCGACCCGCGCCGTCGGTGACAGGGAAGGGAGGGGAGGGGAGGGGAGGGTATGGGTATGGTATGAATGTGTGTATGTGTGTTTCTGGGGGCGGGCGCGCAACTAAAGACAGACAGCAGCCAGCAATGAGGTGGAAGCTAATAAGTCAAGTTGTAAGTTCAAGTCGCACAGCCGCGGGAAGTGGACTTGAGACTTGTTGGACTCGCGTCGCTCCCGAAGGTTAGGTTCCCATCAAAGAAGGTTTTTTAGAGAGGAGACGCGACGGAGACAATCCAATGATTTCTTTCTTTCTTTGGGTTGCAAGTCTCGAAACACCGTGGCCCGCCTTTGACGATGCAAATATCTTGGATAAGGCGTCAGGACTCAAACCAAAACGCTTTTTGCTGTGTCGGGCCTGTGGAGAACGTACCGAGAGAAGGCGGCCAGACCCTGCGAGTGGCAGCTGTTGGCCCCACGGATCACCTTGTTCTCGAGTCAAATTGGACGGAACCAAGGTCAGGTCATTGGGGGGAGCGCGGAATGCAGCAAAATCATTGACATCGAGTCCGGATCTCGTCAAGCCTGCCGACGCCGGCTTCTTCTACTAAGGTACTTGGTACTGGGCTGGGCGAAGCTATGGATCAACCTCCCTGGACTGCGTCACGCACGGGTGGCGGGGGTTCGGGGTTCCAGGTTGGCTCCAGTGAGGTCGGTCGGGTGCGAGTGGCTACGACAATGGGCGGTGACGATGCGATGGAACTGGAAGAGCGGTGCCCCACTGCCTTGCCCGCACCTGCCCCTTCCCCCTTCCCCATGCTGCCTAAGTGGGCTTGCCAGGGGCCGGCTTACACTAAACGCGTCCATGTGGTGGGGCCTGAACGGAGGCCTGGCCCTCTGCAGTCTGCACTAACTTCGCTGCACGCCCTGCTGTTGTTGTGCAGTTGGGCAGGAGCCACCCGTCCGTGGACAGTGGCGGGGACGGAGCAACTGCGCTGTTCCTTATCGATAATAGTGAGGTGGGAGCGCCGACAACGCCCAACCCGCCACCCACCTCAACCGCCATGCCGTCTCCACCACGCATCCATGGTTGCTTGTCAATCCCCCATTTCCCACAGGCCAACCATGGATAACTTATCAGCTCGCAATGCTCGGCATCTGGCTCGGCACTCTTGGCTACGCAGCGTGTGCTTCGTCCGCCTTGGCACTGTTATTAACTCTTTGACCGTCTCCTCTGTCTGTCGCGAGACGACCACAAGTGCCTAAAGGCGCGGATGGAAGCCCGGAAGCAGATAGAAGCAGGCAACGTTGTAACATCCATCCCATGAAGACCATCCTCTCTATCGTCGGTTCGCCTTCCGAGCCGTCTCATGGATCTTCCGTAAGATCCACAACCCGGAGCGCGAGGCGAGGAGCTGTCTGTTATCTTTCTTTCGTCTTGGCCTTCCGATAGCCTAGAGCTACGGATACTCTGTACTCCTCGCAACCCACATCACGAGCTCTCCCCCGGGGAACTCGGGATCCGTCCAATTGCCGCGGCGGTGAGGGTTTGGGAAACACAGACATGCATGTCTTGTGCCCGGCCTCCTACATATAGTACTTCGGTGTAATGTGAAGGGGCCGACTCCCAACGTACGTAATACCCAACCATGGAATGGTGCTTCTCGTCAGCGCCGCATCCAAGTCCAACACCCTATCCCGCCGCCCTTTCCGCGCCCCGCGCAGGCATTATCGAGCGATGTATGGATACGTATGGATGGATCGACGATTTGTGTACTGAATGGAGCCCACCGTTGGATCATCGGCTCCAAGGAGGGATGTCCCGACAGCTCGGCTCGCAAGCGCCAAATCCAAGAAAGCTATCGCGGAAGAATCCGCTTCACCGCTAAACAGCAAGAAACCCTCAACCTCGCTTCATGCTCTTTAACCCCTCAGTCCCAAGCCGGCACTTAGGTTATCGCCGTTCACCATCCGCTATTCCTGCTTGGCGAACAAAAATTCCAGACAGAAAAAAACGGTCCAATAGGAATACCGCCCTCTTCTTTTGGGTCAAGTAATTTCCATATTTGTGTCCTGATATTTTTTCGTGGGTTACTTGGATCCGGGACATGAAGATTATCTTGGGGTGACGTTGTCCACGCCCAAATGTAAGCTCCAAGCACGGATACATATGGGCTGTATCAGACTTATTTATATACGTATCAGCCTGTTCACCCTCGGGCCGCGCCTCGATGCGCCGCAGCCGATTCACATCCCCCTTCACCCATAATCAATCCAAGCACACACGCACCAACTGGCCAACGGCTCCCTTCCTGGAAGGCTCCGGGGGGGGAGGGGTCGGGCCTCCCCGCTCGCGGTTCCTCCAAGTCTAGTCTGCGTTGGGTATACTCCGTACTGATACGGATACCGAAGTCTCACTCCTATACTCACTCAAACGCTCTTGGGTTCTTCTCTCAAGTCTACACATTTGATCGAGAAGGCAAGGCCAAAGGTCTGTAGCAAATCATCATTTCACATGATGCGGCATACGGCGGTCACCATGTCACCTGGGACAATCATCGAGTTCGCCGAGTTGTCGGCTATTCCCCTTTTGCAGCAAGGTGCGTACAGCAGCGGCCACTGACAACTCCCTTTGGCGCGACATCTGTAATGGAGGAGGACGAATGTGCCCTATGATACAGATATTCCGTCCATACGTACATGATTACACTGCCTTGCATATCTCTCACTTAAGCTCGCCTCTGCATGCCCTTGCACCATGCAAGATCGAATGGCACACTGTCCAATGAGGTAGTGCGAAGATGGCAGAATATGGCCTAACGAGGCAACCACCGCCTGCCGGGCATTCGGCATCTCTGCACAGTGTGCCATGACCTATCCACCAAGTATGCGGGTATGTACGCAGTACGTACTCTACCTTCGGGCTAACTCGTGTCCAATCAAGCTCGCCGAATGATTCTTGTTATTTCTTAACTCCGATCCGACCATGTGCGTGTTTGGGGCGGCGATTGGCAACGACGACAAGACAAGAAGAGCCCCCTCTTTTATGCACACGTTTTCTTGCTTGACATTTCTGCAGACCCCTCACCTCAACGGTTGGAAAGCAAAGCAACGAAAAGAGAGATACATGCGCCATCATCCTCTGCAGAGAAGTCTCTTGTGGTCAAATATTATGACTCCCAATATAATACTCTGGCCGGTTTCCTTCACACCCCCCCCCCCCATCCTTCACCCTTGTCGACACATTGGTGAATGAGGCGAAAGAGAAGCCCTACCCACTGGATATTCCGCACCCCCTAATCCTCCCCCGCATCTCCCCCCACGTTTGGCCAGTCCCTCTCCTCCCTTTTCGCATTTCCGAGACCACGGATTCGGGATGGTCAGGGAGGAAGAGCGAATCTGGAAACCAGATGGCGTGCGCGTTTTGCGCCCCAACTACCTAGAGGCTCTTCGTGTCGTTGTCTTGGGGGACGGACAGGATCGACTGACTGGATTTACCTCTCTGCCTTTATTACTTCCATATCCTACCTTACGTTTCCGACTTACCGAGTTGTCTTTCTCGTGCAGTGTCCGCATCCCCTTCGTTAGGTGTGCATCAGAACACACGCATGATACGTGCGCCTACGTATTACACTCTGGCACAGGTCACCACCTCCATTCCCCCGCCCGGTCAGTTAGCCCTCATGTCTACTAGCAACGGCGTGAGACGAAAAGAAGGAAGAAAAGAAGTGATAGGGCCCGCAGCAATAGTAGGGTTCTTTGCTCTTTCAATTATTCTTATTAGTAATGGATCACACAACACAGCGGCGAATGGATCCCTGCTTGCTTGGGGGAGGGGGGGCGTTGCACAAGACTCGCATATGAGCCGCCAGCCTCGTAGCGTCGGATGAGAGATATTTACCTAGCCACACACAAGAAAAGAATAACGTGCTTGAGACGGAACAGAAGAAGCGAGACCGGAGGAGTGAGTTCACCTTCCCGCTCGAATAATTATGGGGGGAAAATTGTTTCGCTATTTTCCATCATTCTAGAAAGCGAGAATGTGACACGCTGGTTTGCCAATTCAATCTCACCTCCCCCTTTTTCCCGCTTACCGATCCAGCCATTAACATCCTCAAAGCGTTGAAGAGTCCTGGACATGAGCGTGTGATGTGATGGTGATGGTGATCAGCACCTAACTTTTTAACCCAGCGTTCTTAACCCCCCCAGTCAATGGCATCAGGCTGGTGAAAGCCCTCCAAGGGACCAATCAGAAGATGAGAAGAAAAAAACAAGACAAAAAAGATGCAAATGAAAATAGGGGCTGGCTAGCTTTTAGATTTGCACCGCCGTGCAGCAAAAAAGATTCTCGCAGATGCCCTTCCCGCATACCATCTGGCAAGCGGCAGATCCGCCCGCAGCCCTTCTTCGTCTTACAGGAGACATCGACGACGTCGACGTCGACGTTATCGGAACGTTAACGGCGTTTCGCTCCGCTGATCCGACGCCGCCTGCCGCGGGGGAAGGAGTCGTCGTCGCCGACAGTGCCGCCGCCGGCGGGGGCAACGAAGTCGTCGTGGGGAGAAACTCGGGCTGCAGGGTGGCCGAATGGATTCCGTAGGCGTGCAGACATTCACTAACTGTCTTGGCCTTCTCCATGAAGTTGGAGATGTTCTGATCCGAGACGACGACGTGCGCCGACGCAATTGCCTTCTTTTGGTCGAGCCTCCAGACGTGCAGCTCGTGGACCGACTCGATCCCAGGGATCTGAGAACAACATGGTCAGTTGGGAACCAAAGAATTGAGGTGATGATCCAAAGTCAAGGCATCGACACAGATGAGCGGGCATGCAAAATAAAGGGGGTAATCGGCATGCGTACCTTTTCAAGGTCATGCTTGACATCACCAAGATCGACGCCACGCGGGGCGCTCTGCAAGAGAATGGCACCGCTGTTCTTGACCAGAGGCAGCGCCGAGACCAGAATCATGAGTGCGATGCCCATGCTGACGCCGGGGTCCGCGTAGAAGCGAGAGGGAGAATGCGTGAACCAGATGATGGCAGCTGCGATGATGACGCCCAAGTTGTTGAGGGCATCGCCCATGACGTGGATCGTGGCCCCCATCATGCCCAGATCCCGTCCGATAGATTTGGTGCCGCCGTATTCGGCATGGCGGTGCTCGGCATGAGAATGTAGGGACTGTTTGGCCCATGTTAGCAACACTTCTGTCATGTCAACAAGGCTAGGAAGCCGCGCCCAACATACCGCCCGAGAGCTGTCATCGCTTCCGTTGTGCTCGGGATGATGCCCCATGACCCCCATGACAATGGTGGTGGGAGCTGGCCTGTCCACATCCTCGACAACGTCGCTCTGGCTCTGGTCGTGGCCATGGGCGTGGCCATGGGCGTGGCCGTGGTCGTGGCCGTGACCATGGTGATCATGACCGTGGTGCTCTACTTCATCAAAGGCATTCTGAAGTCAGTAATTTGAGGATGGAATAGTTAGCTATTGGCCCGAGAGGAACCGACCGTGCAAGAAGGCAGCGCTGATGAGGTTAAGCCCGAGACCCACGGATCCCATAATGAGAACCAGTTTCGGATCTTCAACCATCTGCAGCGAAATGAAGCGCTCAATGGACTGGAGGAAAATGCTAATGCCCAAGGCGAGCAGGAAGACGCCATTGAAAAAGGCACCAAGCAGGCGAGCTCGTTGCCATCCAAACGAGAGATCCTGTGGCGACTCGCTCCGCTCCGAGATCTGACAGTCAAAGTTCAGCCCATTTCTTAGATTTCCCGGCGAGAAAGGCAAACTTACGATTATGGCTGTCAGAGCCACGATGAAGCCAATCAGGTCATTCATCTGGGTTGAAAAAAAAACATTAGCATCGTGTACTGTTGATAGGGCTCCTGGTGAGTCGCGCGATGAGGGTGGTCTTACATAATGGAAAGCATCGGCCATGAGAGCCAAGCTTCGTGTCTTAAAGGCAACTAATAAGAGATGACATGATGTTAGTGATTTGGCTCCGGCAACAAAGTAGCGGCATAACTTGCCTGCAAGCTCGGAAACAAAAAACGCAAACGAGATGACGATGGTTGCCACAAGCCTATGCTTGGGCCCAAACTCGAAGGCCGACTTTTTGGACGACATGTTGATGAGGAAGGGACGCTCGGCGCCGAGGCGGATGAGGGAGGCGGCTATTCCGTAAAGTGGGTAAAGCAGCTCAGAGTGAGTGGTAGGAGATTGACTTTCGACGTTGTTTATCTCTCTCTAGTTTAATCTCGGGGAGGGCGACATGAAGGCAGCCCTCGTACTTATATCCCAACTGCCCTACCGGTATCCGTATACTAGGTATCGAAGAAAGACGCAGTGCCAGGACTAATAGACCTAGACGTGATGACTGGGCTGGGCGACAATCTAACAAACAGACGAGAAGAAGGCAAATACCGGCATGGGTCACTGTGCAAACCCTGAAAGAAAACGGGTTAATTATGCAGCGACGATGATGAAGAGACGCAGTCACCCGCCAGGAAAGAGTCAATGCACTTGCTTGGGTATCTGCTGTGGCTGGTGAGTCGCCGATGATTATTACGATGACGACTGTCTAATGCTGATGCCGATGCCGATGCCGATGCTGCAGTGCAGGTGCAGTGCAGTGTGCAGTGTGCAGTGTGCAGTGCAGTGGAGGACTTTGAGTTACGCAAGCGAAAAGAGAGAGAGAGAGATACACCAGATGAGGCCCAGCGAGACAGACAGACAGACGACAGCTGGCGAGGCGAGACGAGACATGGAAGTGGAGAGAGCTGCCCGCCTCACTCTACCTACCCTAGGTCTGCTAGCTGATTGACGGCAGGGAAGGTAGGGTATGCAGGCCAGCTCTTCGTGCATCTGCAGCTTCCTTCCATACCTTCCTTGGGTCAGGAAGCCAATAACCTTGGAGGTGCGACTCCACGTTGCCTGCGCTGCACGGGGGACTCGCACGGGACCTGTCCTGAATACTAGTCGAGAGCCAATGCCGCCAATAACATTAGGTGGTTGAGGTGAAAAAGGGGGTGTAGTGTGCGGTGCGACCAGATCTGATCGAACAAGAATGGAATCTCTTGGCTCATGCCACTTACGGTCCTGGGTGCTGTCTGTTTGGGCAACTCGTCACGAACAGCCTTTTCGCAGTGAGTGATCTGCAGGTTTTATCGTGGCGTGCCGATATTATGATGCAACTTGCAGCAGCCGGCTCAGGCGCATTACCTCAGGCCGTGTCACTGCGTTTCATGGTTGCATTGTGCGAGTGTGACGCTGGTGTTGTCAAGTCTTGGGTTGGTCTTTTGGGCAAAGTTAGTGCACGTATTCCGTAACTCAGACACCTTCCATACTATGTATTACCTTACGCTGCAGAAAAGGCAGACTGAGTTCCAGCTGTCGTGTCTTGATCCCCCCCAGCCGCAGCATCACCAGTGACCAATCATATCCGACAGAAACTGTATGCACATTACTCTAGCGCACAGACCAAGCCTCTATCCCTTTGTCCTGACGACCGACGGAAGGAAGTACCACCTGGATCACGGCCAACTCTTGGTGATAAATATAAATACCTAACTTGTCATCTTGTCATGATACCCTCGCCTCGATTCTGCCTTTCTTCCACACCCAAAATGCTGCACTTTTAAGTTTCGATGCGCAACGTACCGTAATTCAACGCACCACCCTCGACGAGATGCTGGCTTTCGAAGAAAGGACCGGGTCAAAACCCGTGGGCACGTGTCCCAGACCCGACCCAACCCAAGTTCCCAAATCCAATCCACATCTTCCATGATTTTTTGAATACATTTTCGTACTATGAGGTTTAGCATTAGACGTATAATGTCCCTCTTTAGTACCTCCAGTGCGGCCAGGCGAGCCGGTGAGGCCCTGGCGGATACAGCCTGAACTCTTTACGAACCTTGACCACCTTGTTGCTCTTATACTCTCTCGCATTCCTTCGCGACTCTTCAGCATCTCACGTAATTCAGGTCGGCCCTGGTCAGCTAACGCAACCCCCAGGGCCTCACGCCCTTGCAAAACGCCATCAAACCCCGAGATTTTCACGCGGTCGTCGTCCTCTCTAACATAGGCGCTGACACGTCGGGTCTTCGCTCTTCGAACTCCCGTTCGCCGTTCGTGACATGTGCCTGAAGTTTGCCTTGGTATAGAACCCTAATCTTGCGTAATTTTATCTTCCATATATGATGCATTTATAGATCCAATCAGTTCTTCGACCTGCACCCGCAGCTTCTAATCCCACCATCTCACGACAAACTTGGGGGGTTGACGATGAGTCAAATCGCTAGCCTGCTATCACTCTCGGCAAGTCGACGCAAAGCCAGATCACCATCACTCTTTTTGGAATTACCGGTCGATATTGTCCTTTACCTCTACCTGGAACACCTAGCCCGAGTCGGCCCTGGCGCTCTCGCTGACATGCACAAGCTTATTCAACCTCATATTTTCGAACGCGAAAATACGACTCACCGATTTGGACCGTGAGGCTTTCCTGCTTCTTCTTGAAAAGGATCTTGGGCATCATCAGTACTATTGCCACACCTGCTCCGTTCTAGATCGCTTTCCGTCTTGGGAGAGCCTGACTCTTAAAGACTTTGCTTAGAATTTAGACAGGAATGACTGCCGTCGTAACTGTACGTATTTCTGGGGAAGTTGCTTCACGGTTGGTTATCACCATGTCCGCTTCGCTATGAATCGACACTTTCTCGGTCCGCCAAACGGCTTGCCACTTCATCAGCTCAGAGCTAAGAACACATCCATTACTCCCCTCCGCTGGAGAGAAAAATGGTCAGCCAGGATACTCGAAGACGAGCTATTCCTATCAGTTACGCGGCCGGTCTATGGGAACGATCAAGAACTGCGAGACGCTATTGACAAGGGCCGGTACTCTATCTGTGGCCACGTCGACATGGCAATGGTCAGCGCGCTTCACCCTAGCACTCCTTCTATCGGCCTCTTTGACCGTGCCGGGACGCTATCGAATCGTGCAACCAATGTCTCACGGATTACACCACGACAGCAGAACAGCGATTCATAAAGATAAAAGATGGGAAGCGGAAGCTGACAAGGGCGTGTTGGCTTATCACCGTCACTTCGTATCATCGGCTTGGAAGTGGCCGCTCGCCATTGGATGTTAAATGGCACGCGTTCGCAACACGCGGGATAAGGGACCTTCGAACGACTCCACGGGACATGGCTAGGTATCCCCAAGGCACGGTGAGGGAAGTGTGGAAGGAGGGCGAGAAGCCTTAGGCTTCTATCGACCCGCCCCAATGGAGATGGCCAATTGGGTGGTACTAGAGCACGTTTGTTTACACGCACAAGTCACTACGATATTGTAAGTGCTATCTAATTGAAAAGGCCAGCGCACGATCAGGTTTCAAGTACGGGTACCACTTGAACTATTGTGAAAAAATGGGGTATGTACATGTCCTAACAGACCTTTCTACAGTCCAACCCCTGACAATTCTTGGCGTATTACTCTTCGAATAAGTAATTAGTACGTTTAAATATCGCCAAGTAATGTATGTATACTTGGTGAAGGAATTCGAAGAATAGAGATAGGCCTCAAGGAGTCTATATTAGGGGCTTTAAATATATCCCCTCCCTTTAGTAAAAAACACCCAGGGCGAACCGTAAAGGATGTAAGGCCGTACATGTTGAAAGCTCGAGCCCCGCGCTAACAAACATTCTAGGAAATGTTTATCTAGCGGGTAGACGAAAAAACCGTTGAATTTGCGGCACACTATTAAGATGACCGTTTGCCAGCTTCACCGTTACGGCGGCGGCGTAGTCTATTTAAGGGGATATGGTACCTGCGGCGGTACTTACCGTCTACTTCCATAGTTAGATGCGTCGAGATCTAGTACCTGCCCATAGTTGTGATAGTCCAAGCTTCTACGGCTTCAATTTCCCTGGCTTTCCGAACATCATATGAAGTCTACTTCTTCTGGTGCTGGTGGCAGACACCCGATGCAGGAGACTGTTTGCTACAGAACCGGAAGGAGCAATTTAATATATTAGACCGACTTGAGGAAGGGGACCAAAATTCTTCGTTTTCTAGGTCTCAATCTGTAACTTCCTCAGATGCGCTCATATTAGGAAACAGCTAGAGCCGTTCCTTCTCCATATCCAGATTCCTCGCCACAAGCACAGCAGGACGCAACGTACCTTCCTGTTAAGATACGATGTCCATTGTAGTGTATTTCTACTCCCCGAGATGCCCTCTCGTTCGGCTCTTCTCTTTTTCTTCAGCCGCCCAGGACATCCGTAGTCTCTAGTATCCTTACTACATCATGAACATCCTCTTTGTCATCCCCCTAATCTTCTTCACCGTCCTGGCTGGGTTTCAGTTACGTGACGGACTTTACCGTTTCAAGGCTTGGGTCTGTCCCGTGTTCCCTTTGGCGGACTCTCCCTGGAAGGCAACACTACGAAGGTGGATGCTTGACATTGGTCTAGCCGCCTGCATGACCCTTGTTTTGCTATCCTTTATCGTCGCGTCCGACTTGTTCGGCAGACTAGCGGTTCGTCTGATCTGATACAATTTTCGTCTTCATCACCATTCTAGGCATCCTGGGGGGTGGTGAGTCTCCATGAAAGTGGGACGGTCGCCATCAGCATCGGAGTCATGGCGGTAAGTCTAGGTGGCGCTTAGGCTGGAGTGGGCTTCTGGTGCGTTATCCCCCACGTGATTTTGGTAGCTTCGTATCTCTCAGCGTTGTGGTGTCCCATCATAGGATGAAGAGCACACACGAGAGCTTAACACAAAACGACAGCGGATTATAGTCTGTCATAAACTGAGCTGCCGCCAAATTTGCCCAAGCCGCAGCTAGCCAGACGCGGGCAAACATGGCCGAGAATTCTGTAAGTGGGCTGGCTCCCCTTGTCAGAGGACGGAGTAGACGCCCAAGCGCTGCTCGGCCATCCATATACCGGTCCCGAGAGATGAAGTTGGGTATGCATACGATGGTGACCAACACAAAGCTATGCGCTATGGTCGTGGGATAGTCGGGAACGGTGTCGGCTCGAGGAAACATACGGAAACTTATCGACGTGGGGAGGCCAAGCATCCAGAAGAGGAGAGTCTCGGTCCAGAAAAGATTCTAAAAGATATAGAATCCGGTCCTCCGGTTTCTAGAATTTTGCGAAGCGTGGAGACCAATCAAGATTCAGGCGGATGTAAAGGAAGCTATTTAAACGAAAAACAGCAAGTTGGTTTTTGACGCAAGTACCCCCGGTTTTTAACCCCCACCTCGTAGGATAAGCTTCTAGGGATTAGACTGTACACACTGTACATTACTTACCCGTTGAATATCACGCACTTGACTTCCCCTGAAATCGTAACACTGGCCACAAAGCCCTTGAGCAAGCCTTTCCCGGGATCGCGGCTTGTATACCAAGCAGTGATCACAGCACGCCGGCGTTCAGAACAGTTCCATAGGCAAGGTCGGGTACTTGATGTAATACGGGGCTAGAAGGTCCCGTTTCTGGGGAAAGCAATCCGATCCAATGTGGAGGAGCATTGGAGATCAAAGTGCGGGGGGGAATTGCGAACGGTAATTGGCCAGATCAACGGCTCCGAAGGCGGTGTGAGTGCTGGACTCGATCCACTTGGTTTAGCGTGGGATTCCGCCATCCAATCTTGACGCACGTTTCCTCCGCAGCTGTAGCTCACAAGACAAGGGTTGCGCCCACTGTACCAAGTACAGATGGATGCAGGATATCCGTACCGCGGCCGGCAACTTTGGCTCCATTGGCGGGATCGCGGCAAACGACGAAGACTGTACCTAGGAAACAGAACGAAACCTCAATTTCAAGGCTCAGTACATCACAGCACATCAACCTAGTATTGATGACTCGGCTGCCCGGGACATGTCGCTGCGCATTGGCACGGTAAGCGTGCCGAACTGGCCGCAGCTCCGCCAGCCCAGCAGGCCAACGCAAGCATCGACGCCAACGCCTACGCCCACGCCCGCGTCAACGTCAACCGGGGCCAATAACAGCGGCAACAGTAGCAGCGGCCTGAACACCGCCCTCGAACAGCCGTCGCCCCTCGAGCCGTCGCACTCCCCCGACACCGTCTCGAGCGGTAATTCGACCATCAGAGGCCGCGACCCGATGAGGCTGCGCGTCGAGCCGCCACGATGGACCATTACTGTCAACGAGTCGTTTGCCCGCGACGAGGTGCTCCTCAACCTCGACGTGGTCGGCGACGACATTAAGCCTGGCGCTCTGATGGCCATTGATGTCTTGAGGCCCGAGCCCGACAAGCCCAGCTACAAGCCGCAGCATCTGCATGACCGCCCCAGAGATAGAGATGCTGCCTCGCCCTCGACCGCTGCCGCCAAAACGCCCGAGAGCGAGCGGCGCTACATCTTCGTCGTCAAGGACATGCCCAAGGAACTCAAGGCCCGCCACCCCAACGTCGAAGTCTACGTCGCTAAGCACATTGCCGACGTCTTCGGCATGAGGAAAGGCTCCCAGGTTGCCCTGACCCCAGTAGGTTTTCTCTTTGCTGTCCCCCCCTTCCCCCTTCCCCCTTAATCTGCCTCTAGCCCCTTTCCTTAGCCTACACACCTCGTAGCAAGCGCTAAGGAGTCTGGACAGATCGATGCATTAAATCCGGCGGTAGAGGCCTCCCACGTCGAACTCTGCTTCAAGGACCAGTATCTCTCCCGATCCGACATGTGGCGCCTAGCTGTTGGAGAGCTGTCTGAGAGGACAGTCTACAAGGGCCAGATGGTCTTGTTCATGGGCACCGTCAAGGCACAAGTGACGGCCGTACACGTCGGCGGCCGCAAGGTCCAGTCGGCCTTCTTTGGGTGTGACACCAAGCCCATCTTCCGTAGCGAGTCTGCCCGCTATGTCCTCTTTATCCAGATGGCCCGCGAGATGTGGGACTTTGACTCGGATGGATCCGGAGAGATCATCTTCAACAGGGTCGTCAACGGCTTCCTCCCCGCTCTGTTCAAGAAGTGGGCCACCCTCAAAGTGAAGCATCTCGTCAGCATCGTCTTGTTTGCCCGTGTCGAGTATGATACGGGCATCTCGGTCGGCCTTCCCACCGCCGCAATGCACAATGATTACTATACCAGCGTCCACTCGTCTGGAGACCGCCGTCCCTACAAGGACTTCTACCGCGTTGTTGTTAGCGAGATGGCAAGCGGCGAATGGACAAAGATTCTCTACCAGCTGAAGCGCGAGTTTAACCATTTCCGCAAAGACATAAGCACGTATCATCAGGAAGCCTTGGCCTCGGTCCTCGTCTCGGAGGACTCGGCCGACCGAGATGGGTTTCCAAACACAATAAAGGCCGAGGCGTGTAAAGCTATCTATGGCAATTTCCTTGAGGCCATCAACATGGCCTTGTCGCTGTACGCCCACGACTACATTGACCGGGACCTGATGAGGACGGGCATTTCTATTGTCGTGATAAGCCCCAGTCCCGGCGTGTTTGAGGTTGAATACGAGCCCTTGCGCCGCACAACCGAGGCGTTGGTGGGAACCGGCGTTGGCATTGACTTGATCTGTCTTCCCAAGATTCCCCTGCATTCGGTGCCGCTGTTCCGATACCGCAATCCGCAGTACATGGATCTAGTACAGCGCAGGTCAAGATTGGCACTCAGCCACGGCAGCACGCCCAAGCAAAATACGCCCGCTTTTGGGAGTTATACCACCATTTTTGGCTCCTTCTCTCCGGGTAAGGGAGCCGACAGCTCGCTTCGCGGGCAACCCTCTGGTACAAGTGCTTCCGAGGACGAGTGGTGCTATGTATTGCCCCAGTGGCTTCATGTCTCGTACTGGACTGGCGAGTCCGAGGAAGAGCTGTCGTATCACGGCATTGCCTTGTCAGTCTCCGACGTCTCCCGGGTGCAGTCTAGTGAAGAATTCCCAGTGCGCTGCCGCATGTATGACCTCCAGATGCGGAGCGTGATGGAGACCAATGAGATCGAGACGAAGCCGCTACACTTGGATCCCCTATTTCCACTAAAGGCGATACAGGGAAATCACGTCTCAAAGCCGCACCTCGGCATCGATGGAAACGTCTTTATCCAGAACCTCAAAGTCCAAGAAACCCTATTTGACCACGTGTACGGGTTCCGAAAATTCGTGCCAGACAAGAGTAGCAAGCGTGGAGAGAAGTCGATCTGGAAGCACTTGCAGGAGTACGATGATTCCAGGGCACATCTACCGTTATCACGGCGGAGCTCGGCCTATCCCAGCAAGCGCCGTCGTGACCATGAGGTTACCCCAAGGCGGCATGTCTTGGGGGATGCAGGTGCTTTTAGGTCTTCGTACATGGATCGAAAATTCCCGACTGGCACCCCTCAAGCCATGGCACCAGCTCTACTGACTCCCTCGTATCGATCAGGTGTCGACAGTTTCGAGAGTAAGCCTGTAACTAGTTATGGGGGCACTCGGACAGACAACTCGAGCTCGAGTTCATCCAATTTCAGAACCCCAAAATTCATGCGCCATATCAGCCTCGGCAACCGAGGCTTTGGGATTGCTGCCCCAAAGATTGCTACTGCCGAAGTAGTCGCCGAGAGCGTAGCGGCTTCGAGGACAATGACGGCGCCTCGCCATTCCCAAGATCCTAGAATGGCCCCAATCAGGGCGGAACCGCGACCAAGTTCGCCCCAGAAAATGACTGGTCTGCCACCCACACTATTCCAGGGAGCCGCGTCGCCACACTCGCCTGCTCAGGGGCAGGGACCACAGCTGCCTCCAAACACCCCAACCAGACCGATTATTATAAGGAACCAACAGTTGTCAGTAGACCCCGGCACGCTCAACCTGTCAGAATCCGTCCTTTCATCCACTCTTAGGCCAGACGTGGTTGGCCGTGACCGGGACCTACAGTACTCGAATGCCATCAGAGCAGAGGATGCGATGAAGCTCTACAACTCCAAACTCCTCGCGGGGGCATTGCCAGAACTGCCATCGACGCTCTCCCCAACGGCAACATTGTCACCCTGGCTGACACCGCTCAATCCTTGCAACCCCGATTCCAATAGGGTTGACATGGCAACGCTATATAGCCGTTGGCAGCACGTCTTCCCCAGACCTCAAGAGATGAGGGTCATGACATGGAAATCTCTGTGCTCGCCGGCTGCCGTTCCTCTGACGTCGGAATACTTTCCAACCAAGGCCCAGTTTGAATCTGAGTACCAACGCCAGCCCTATAACGTTTCGCAGGATATCGACGAAGAGACAAACGAAGAGCCAAGGTCGCGCGATGAACTGCTCAGGGAGCTGATTAGTTTGAGATTCTCCCAGGGCTTCCAGATCGTAGTCGGGCCGGCTGTCGCAAAGGCTTTCGGCCAAAAACAACTGAGGGTGGCCGATGTATTTTCTCGCAACCACATGGCAGAGGACGGGGCTAGCGTTTTCATGTCGGTCGGCACCACAATCCATCAACTATCGTGCGTCAGCGGAACCGAAGTTGAAGTCAACATCTTTGTCCGCAAGCCCGTAGACACCTTCACGCCAGTCTTTGGCGGCAGTGCCTCTTACAAGCCGGCAATCCGCACGTTGTTGGATTGTGGTTACCAAACGGTCGAGTTTGATGCCATACCCGCCAAACCCGAGATAAACTGGAACTACATCGACTCGTTCGTTGCTGGACAGAATGATGAGCTGACCGAGCCGCTGCGATTTTGGCGTGCCAGGTTTGTTTTGATACCAATGAGTGCCCGACATCCGTCGGTTCCGAGGACACAGGCGGGCGATAGCGAAGAAGAAATTCGGATTGAAGGCATCAGGAAATTAGCTCAGCTATGGCAGAAACATCGCTACATCCCGCCAAACGAACGCCGATTTCAAGGACCAGGGGCGCCTCGACGTAAGAAGGATACCAACCCACTGGACATCATCTATAAAACCGAAGACCCCTCGGTCGTGATTGCTGCCGAGCTTGAGACGCTGCCGCTTTTGGAGGGGCTCGAAGGACTGCCCCGCAAAGGTCAGCTCGTGAGGAGCAGAGAGCAATTTCAAAAGAAGAACCTGAGTCTCGCTGCGCTGGCAGAGGCCATACAGCAGCCGGTCGAGAACGGAGGGGTACGTATGCAGAACCGCCGTTGGCATCTGCGTCTTCACTACAACTGTTTCATCGGGTCAGACATGACAAGCTGGCTCATGGATAACATTGAAGACCTCGAAGACCGCGAGGAGGCCGAGGCGCTAGGCAACCAGCTCATGGTAACCAGCGAAGACAGGCTGAAAGAAAAGGAGAAAGAGAAGGAAAAGGAAAAAGAGAGGGACGGAGGCAAGGACGCCAAAAGGGAAGGAGGGCTCTTCGTCCACGTTGAGAAACGGCATCCGTTCAGAGATGGACAATACTTTTACCAGATCTGCAGCGAATATGCGAAGCCACACCCGCCCAGTTGGTTTCAGACAAAGCGGATGCAAATGTCTGTTCCCTCGACCCCCATGGCGGAGAACCTGCCTCGAGACTCTCCGCGGTCAGGGCTTTCGAGGCCAACCTCAATCCACGAAGGAAATTCGCCGTCATCGGGCGCCACGACACCGACAGCGCCCATGAGCGGCGGCGGTAGCGGTGGTAAGAAACCAAAGGTTGTCTTGAGCAAGGTGATCAAGTACGACGTGGACCACCGGAAGCGGTCCTACCGGCAAGAAATAGTCGAGCTGCACTATGACAGGCTACACAATCCCGACAACTGCTACCACATCCGGATCGACTGGATGAACGTGACGGCGAAACTGATCGAAGATGCCATTGAGAACTGGGCACGGGAAGCCGCGTGTTATGGCCTCAGGCTTGTCGAGGTGCCGATTGCAGAGGCGTGCGCCATCACGAACACAAACCCATTCCGGCAGCCATATCTAATAAAGCTTGCCGTGCCTCCGCCAGACCAGCCACCCGCGACATACTACGACCCCACGTCGTTTGCGCCGCAAGCACAGCCCGGCCGGCACTTTTACCAAAGGGCAATTCTCAGAAAGTTTGACTACGTGCTGGACGTGGAGGCGGCTTCTAACTTCCCAAGCAACGTAGACATTTCGTATTCGTGGGGGAAGCCGGATTTCCGATACACGCAGTACATCCACCGGTCCGGCGTGGTGCTAGCAGAGATCACAGACGACGGCAGCATCCTAGTCCTTGCCAACCGGCTCTATAGCAACAGGGCCGCGACGGCTCGCGAGAAGGAGATGCAGAAGGAGCTACGCGGCGAACAACAGCAGGGAGGTTCTATGGACCGCAGCGTCGGCAGCGGTAGTCTTGGGCTAGGAGGCGGGCGCATGCCCACACCGGGCTCATATGGCTTCCCGGAGCCGACGCCCATTTCGTCGCCGTCAGTCAGGCCTACCTCTTTCCTTTCCCCGATGGTGCGGCCGGTAGCCGTCGGTGGTGGTGGAGGAGGAGGAGGAGGGGGAGGTATGATTAGCGGACCACCATCAGCCGGTGGTGGAGGATTCGGCACGCCGGGACAGCTCAAACCAGCGGGCGGGGCTTTAAGCGGCCTGGAACCAGAGACGGTCAAGGATGACCTCGAAGCCTTCTGCTCAGATGCCCCAGCTCTCGAGAGCTTCTACAAAGAAATCGTGGAGAATAGGGGCACACAGCAGCAGCAGCAGCAGCAGGCAGGTTCGGGGGCGGTTATGGTGACGCCGTTAGCGACGCCTCACAGTAGTGCGATTCTAGACACAAACATTCCGGTTCTCGGGCTGCCTCCGGCAGTGTTGGGCTCAGACCCGTACGGCGCGAGCGCGAGCTCAAGCCCGCGGATGGGTAGCCCGGCGCTCCCAACGCTCATGATGTTGAGGCGGGGCAGCGTGCAGCAAGATGTAATGACGATGGGCTTGAGGATCGGAACGGGAGGCAGTGAGCGTGGCAGTGGCAGTGGCAGTGGCAATGGTAATGGTAATGGTAACGGCAACGGTAGTGGTGTGGGGGACAGAGAGAGACGCTAAGTAGCAGGCGGGGACCTGTTTGTATCTGTGTGTGTTCATGTAATGTATGTACATCACCCAAAGCCTACCTTGACTCTACTACACAACTCTGTTCCGTGCCGGAGAGTCTACTGTATGCCTGGCAAGAGTTCTTGTGTCGGGATGACAACCAAGACAGTCGGTGCAACCCCAGTCTCTTGTCACTGGATTAATAGACAGTCAGACAGACAGACAGAACAGCAACACCAGCTCCGCCTGACACCATGGATGAGCAGTTGAATGGTGAACCACGAAAATCGCGCAGATGGTATCAGTCCCATTGGCCATGGATTCGGGAGACCGATGCCGCGTCGCCCTAGTCCGTCCCAATAACGGAGTGAAAGGCAGTCTTGGCGATGCACGCTGCTTTGGTGGCGGTTCAGTTTCGGGGCCCGATTTGATCCGTAATGAGACTTGAGGCAGGTGAGGTGAGGATAGGAGGAGGGGAGGCCTCCCGTTAGGTCGCATTTGCTCAATTGCCAATTGCCAATTCCAGGGCCAATGGCAAACGAAACCGGGCTCCATCATACCTAAGGTACGTGTTTGGAAACCCCTGCCTTCTACGTATCTGTAATTCCCGATTTGGGTTTGTATTGTTTTGCCCCATTCATCCATTCATTTGTCAATCCACACAGCCCGGCAGACTGACTACGTACGCGGCGGGGCCCCATCAAATCTGTGGGCTTTTTTGTCTCTGTATAACAAAGAGCTTGTATGCCAGCCCCCGCGCTGCCAAGGGCTCGGCCATTGCTTGTTTTTGCTTGGAATTTGCTTGGAAGTTTTGGAAATGCTTGAGAAGAGCAGCACAAAAGAGAGAAGGCCTAGGGCCAAGGAAAGAAACCCAAAATCAAGCTCTTCTTGGCCCCTTGGCCCAAAAGCTTGTATAGCGTGGTCCGCATGCTTGGTGCAACTCCCGCTTTGCTTGGCGTAGCTCATGGCGTTTGCTTTTATCGACTTCAGACCAAGGCACACTGGCTGAGACACATAGAGCGAGACTGGTGATGAATGTGTTTTAAGGTGGTTTTCGTTGACGTCAGCGCGCGGCAGTGGGTAATAAGTCAGAAACTTTGTACAAGGGTGCGTGCATACCTGCCTAGGCTGTTGCCGCACCTTGTGTAAAACAACCTACGCTACGGCTACCTACGTCAGGTTCAAACTAATACCTGTAGGTAGGCGACTTTCTTTTCGTTCCAGCGGCCAGTCGCCAGCGGCCTAGTATCGGGATTTTTCTTTCAAGAAATCCCCTTCCGCTTGCGGTGCCCGGGCTCTGGGGAAAGGTCGTACACTGCCTAACGTATGTTTGTACACGTGTGTAAGGTACGAATGAAGCGGAACGGGCGGAATTGAGAGCCCGGGCCAAAATGTTTGAGGTGTGTTGTCATTCGAGATGCTCCTTCCCTGATTTATTCAGAGGTTGATATAGGTAGGTGGGTTCGTTCGCTTTTCCTTTGCGCAGTCTTGAACTTCCGCCTCCTACACCGTTTGCGCGACCCTCCGTCACTGTGAGGAGCGCAAAGAAGCTGTCGCGCGGTAAATGAGAAATCGCCGCTCTTGTCTAGGAGCCAGTGTTTTCCCCGTGTGCAAGGCCCCGAACAACGTGACCGTGGCGGCACTGCCTTTTCAGGGACTACGTATTCGTAGGTGTGGCTCATGAAACCCCCCAGTCGTCAGTTGGTCTGTTGTCAGTATGTTGGGTCTGGCCAGGTTGACCCGATTATAGATGGAGCAGATGATATAGCTATTGCTAGTAGTATAAGCCAGCCATTCCAACGTTCATTTAGAAATACCAACTTCTTTCTTCGCTATCGAGACTCATTTCCATACAACATTCATGCCTACCTACCCACCAGCTTAAGCGGCGCCTCAAGTCCCTGTTTGACTTTTCCCGCCTTCTTCCGTGCTTTGTTTGTTGCAAGCTCCGTCCCTTCCCAAAAGTGTTCCAGCCCTAGCTTACCTCTACTTCTTATTCAACGGACGCGGCGCGGACTCTGGCACCCCGACGGCGGATTTGCGTTTTTGATACGTCGACAAGCTAAGCTATAGACGGAGAGCTAACGCCACCTACATTTATTTACCTTGCCTCCCGCACAATACATCGATACAACCAACAAGCTCAAGCTCTCCCACACCGCCTCAAGTTCCCGGATTCTGTGTCGCAGCAAGCCGTTTTCACCTGTTTCCTGAACACACTCCTGCAACCAATATCGCGTTGGAAGGACGGGTTTGGTGTCCCCCGAGTGTCGCATGTTCCCCCCTCCAAAGTTCTTGGCCCATCTTCCTTCCATCTCGCCTCTGCCGTGTCGGCTTTCTTGACCTATAACGAACGGATCGGCCCTGGAATCTATCTCCATTCCATCGCACTTTCCTGAGGAGCCCCAAGACAGAAACAAAAGTGGGTTCGTATATACCTACCTTACGGTCCATCCATGTGGCCATCCATTGGAGTCGAGACCAAGTCTATTTCTCCTGCCGCCTAAAAGTCTAAACGGAGTTGTATGCCCCCCTGACTAACGGAGCGCCAGGTCCCCCACCCAAGGCCCAAGCGATCGTCATTTCACATTCGCTTCCCCACAAAAACAAAGGTTTTTGCCATTTCCCAGTAGGCTCGGTGACCTCGACAACTCCCGTCTGGCCTGGCAATATCCGCAACTTTTGTTCTCCAATTGTTTTGTTCCTCGCTGCTTTTTACATCACACTTCAGCGTGGTGGACAAAGACAAGCCGCAATTCACAAAGATCCCACCCACCTAGGTATGCAATCCCCATTGACGGAGGCGCACGAGAACGCCACGCATCTCAACTTCAAATTGTCTTGTTCGCGCCTCGCACCTTCCCAAAAGCTACTGGACCTTATTCTCCGCATCGACGCGGCCAGCCAAGCAAACCCAAACTCAAACTGATTCGCATCTCTATTCTCCAGGGCCAGCATTTTTCTCGGGCGGTTGTGGATAGACCAAAGTTAAGCTTTCCAAAAGCTGCCTTGCGGACCCAGCGCCGATGGCGTCGTGTAAGTGGCCCAATTTGCTTCATAAACGGACGTGACACAGCAGCACAGCTGCGCGCTTGCGGAGGTGTCGCCCGTCCCCAAAACCGCACATTCCCGGTGCTTCACATGACCTCCTCTCCAATCCAGCCTTGCCCAATTATTCCCGGGAGAGCCTTGCCCTCCGCATCCTCACCCCCTCCATTGCCCTGCCCTTCCGAGCCTCCGAGTTCCATTGCGCGACCGAGTCAACCCGGCGCAAAAAAGTGCGCGTCGCAGCCTCATCTCTGGAGAGGGAAGGTGCCAATTTGACCTCGTCGCAAAGGCCGCGATCTGGATCTCGGTCGAAGCCATGCCGTTCGGCGCTCGGCGCGACAGCAAGCTGGCCCGATAAAGCTTGTCTGCCCGTGTCCCTGCCTGCCTAGTCGCCTGCATACCTGCCTGCCTTGTCCCGCCAGCTCTCTAACATCATGGCCACTCTAGTCAATTTACTGGCACTTAAGCGCAAGGCGCACAACGAAGGTCGCCAGAACGCCGAATTCAACCCCTTTAGCTTGAATTTTAGAAATGAGGCCCGAAGCCCGCGATCCGAGACCTGGGATGCCAGCAGTCGGCTCGAGGGCGGCCAGCTGCGCAGCCCCGGACTCCCAAGCCCTGGCAACGGTTTTCTCCCCCTCTCGACTTCGCAATCAGCGCCAGTGCAACCAAGTTCATCGAGGGGACCACGCTTCGTTAACCGTGGCCCTGCCGTTTCGAGATCCGGCAAGGAACAAGAAGCCCCGCGTCGCGATCAGCATGACGAGGGAGCGGGGACAGGAGCTGGGACAGGAGCGGGAACCAACAGTGGGGGAGATGCGTCTTTAGCTTCTCAGCAGTCGACGTCTCTTGGAACAAATGCCGACGGCCAGAATCTAGTGCGCAGAAAGACAACATCGAGCCGCGAATCGCAATCAGACGCCAACGTCCTCGACCGCAACAAAGAGGGAGCCATCGACGGCAGCGAGAAGAAGAAGAAGAACCGGACCTTCTTCAAACACCTCACGCCAAAGACACCTTTCACGGTTGGAAACCAGATCACGCGCACTTTGTTCAACTCGTGGATCAATGTCCTGCTCATTGCGGCGCCGGTCGGAATTGCTCTCAATTACGTCAAGGGCATCAGTGGCGTTGTCGTCTTTGTCGTCAACTTTATTGCCATTGTGCCGCTAGCTGCCATGCTCAGTTTTGCGACTGAGGAGATTGCCTTGCGGACAGGCGAAACCGTAGGCGGCCTGCTGAACGCCACTTTTGGGTACGTCTTTATCTCGGCGTTTGGATAGTTTTTTTTTTTTTTTTTTTTTTTTGGCTGAACTCGCCGCTGACCTGCCATGCACAGTAACGCTGTCGAACTGATCATTGCCATCATTGCCTTGATAGACAACAAGGTAGTGATTGTACAGACGTCTTTGATTGGAAGCATTCTGTCAAATCTTCTGCTGGTTTTGGGCATGTGCTTCTTTTTTGGCGGACTGAGGAGACAAGAGCAGTTCTTCAATACGGTTGTCGCCCAAACGGCGGCGAGTCTTCTGGCTCTGGCCGTGGCCGGTGTTATCGTGCCCACCGTGTTCGATATCGCAAGCAACACGCCCACAAGCGACGTCGCCAAGCTATCGCGCGGCACGTCAGTCGTCCTGCTTTTTGTGTATGGAGGGTACCTGTTCTTCCAACTCAAGACGCATTCCAAGGTGTTCGCCGAGCCGAGTCAAAAGGTCGAGGCCAAGCCTTTCCGTCGCCATAAAACCCCGAGCACTAAGAGTCTTGACGACAACGCGTTCGAACAAGGCATCGTCAGACCGGCTGGTATTTTCGTGGGGCACAGTCTCCCAGCGGAACAGACGGACAATGAGAAGCTGAGGGAGCACCTGACAACACCACCGAAGACGGACGAGGAAGAGGAAGAGGAGGGCGAGGAACCTCAGCTGCACTTCTATGTTGCCGTCGCTACCCTTCTCGTCTCGACCGTCATCATTGCCTTTTGCGCCGAGTTCATGGTTGATGGCATTGACTCCGTTACCGGCACTATCAGCGCCGAGTTTGTTGGTCTGATCCTTTTACCTATCGTTGGTAACGCTGCCGAGCACGCGACCGCTGTCACGGTCGCAATCAAGGACAAGATGGACCTGGCCATTGGCGTCGCTGTCGGCTCGAGCATGCAGGTTGCGCTCTTTATCATTCCCCTGCTCGTTATTATCGGCTGGGGCTTGGGCAAGGACGCCATGTCGCTGAGCTTTGACCCTTTTCAGGTCGCCGTCCTCTTCGTCGCTGTACTTCTCGTCAACTATCTGATTGCCGACGGCAAGAGCCATTGGCTGGAGGGCATGTTACTAATGTGTCTCTATGTCATCATAGCTGTCTGTTCGTGGTGTAAGTTTTATCTTCAATGTTGGATACCGAAGTAGCCTTACTAACAACTATTTTGCAGGGTATCCTACCAGCCAAAACGGAGAGAAGGACACCTCGGCAGGAGATTCCAGCTTCAATGTCACTTCGCGCAGCTATTGATGCCGCTCGCCGCTCTTTTTTTCTTTTGTTGCGATGATTTCTTTTGTCTTTCCGAAAATGGGGCGTTCCTGGGTCCTAAAACCACAAGACGGTTTGTGCTGCTTTCAAGCTCTCTGTATATACAGCTTTATAATGTGGTAAACCGCGGAATTTTTGGCAAGAGGATAGGGCATCTGTATCATGGCAGCTTCGCGTTACATATGGAGAGGAATCTGCTTTGGTGATCTTGTTTTCTGGGGGGTTTGTTTCTGGGATAATACACACATGGCAGGGGCAACCTATTCTATTATATTCACTACTCCACACTAAGAATGGGAGGAAAGCAAGAAGACATGTCTAGGGATCAGCTAGCGGAATTTGTGAGCGCGAAATACTTTGGTAATGGAACGGCCCTCGTTTTATGAACGGGCGGTAGATAATGGCTTGCTTTCAGTGCAATAGCGTGGTTTCTTTGTTTTTTTTAATTACCATGGCGTTGACGGGAAAGGAACACTGGGGACTATATTACTAGGTGGCGAGGTTCCTATAGAGCCTCAAGTTGAGGCTAAAATTAAGGCTTAAGTAGAGCCGCAAGAAGAAGAGATGGAAGAAGACGAGGAGGAGGATGTTATAGATGATGATATTCTACCTGCAAGAATGACTAGATCTGGGTGTGTAACTAGGGTGCCTGTACGGTATATGGATTAAGCGATCAATTAGCTACATTTTGCTATATTTTGCTTGTAAATAGCTTCACAATTGACAGTGCTTACGGTTGTTCAAAGACGTAGCGTCTTGGTGTAAAAGGTGGTCGGGTGGGGGAGGGTTGGGGGGCAAGTCACCTCGCTCCTCACAATGGCGCTGACATCAGCCCTGCCAACGGCGAAAGAACCTCGGGGCAGTGGGAAAACATCACCCTACCACCCCCATACACGCCTTTTGTAAATGGCCGAAGTACCAACTATCCAGCAAGGGGCAGAAGAATGGGTGTCCAACCACCAGCACACCGTTCCCTGGCTGTAGCACAAGTGTGGGAAGAACCTCTCCAGCCTTGAGAGCAGGATTGAACCACCTGGGTGATAGCATCCTCGACTACCCGCTAACCCTCTCTGATGTCGCCAAAATGTCTCCTCCCTTGACCCCAACATCCGCTCGCTCCCTCTCAAGCTCGCCTGGGCCAGATGGCAGCGACGACACCGAATCAGACTCTTCGTCGCTCCAGTATGACCACGAACCATTTGCCACCTTCCAAGCTCGGGCTCTGGAGCTTGCCGTGAATACTATCTGGCCCGGCTCAGAACCCAGCCAAATCACAGTGGAGCGCTTGCGAGGAGGCGGCTTTAATCGCATCATTGGCCACACGCGGCTCGACACCGCGATACCAATCCCGCGCGAAAAAAAATCGCACAATATACCCGACTTATCCCGAAGAGACCAAATTCCATTCATTGATAAGAAGACCCAGAATGTGCGCAAGGAAGGATCCTCCCACAGGAGTTCACTCCCACAGGAACAACAGGCGCCAAACCGATAAATGGAAGCCCCTTACCCCGAGGTGGGAGATTGAGCCCCACCGAGGGGAGCAGTGGACCGTCGGGTATCGGGGCATAGAGAACCCGGGGTGAGCCCCTGTGAGGCTCAGCCCCGGAAGTTGTAGCGAGAGGAAACATCGGAAAAAGTCAGAAGTAAAGATGCGAGTTTTCACCCGGCTCCGTACAGAGTACGGTTTCTTGTGTACCTACCTGAAGAAGGGTCCGGTCAGGCCTGACGGCATGACGTTGTAAGAACAATAATAGTAAAAGTGAGTGATTTAACAATGTAAGGAGAATTAAGGGCATAACGAGAGAAGAGGGGGAGGGATAATATAACTAAGTTTTTGTCCGTTTCCTACCCCTATTCTTGGTTGGTCTTGTGAACGGTCGTAGTTAGTTTGAAGGTTACGAAACGGATACGCCGTAAGACACCGCGTTCTTATTCGGTATACTTTTCGAACCCGTTTTCGGCTCCAAATACCCTCATTTTCGGCCACTTTGAGTCCCAGAGAAAAAGGTTCTGAGGGCCAGACTAGTAGTTAGGTCGGTGATGACCAGCGAATCCCTAGTGTTGCATGTTTTTTTTCTTTCTCTTTTTATTGTTTTGTTGTTTAGTGGTTGTTGTGGTACCTAGAGTCGTGGTCGGGCGTTGACGACGGTTGTTTTTGGGGTCTGGAACTGCTTGGGGAAAGCATTTGACTTTTTGGACTCGAGCGAGCAAAAGATGCTAGGTCATGTCATGTACAGAGGTGATTGTTCTGGAAAGTCTGGAGCAGGAATAAAATAAAATGCATCAGAAATGGGGGTTGTTGTTCGCTCGATCTCTGGCTACACCAAAGCCCGGGTGGCAAAGTGAACGTTATCTTGAAAAATCCATACAAGTCAATGGAGGAACAAAAGCTATTGGGGCGTAATTTGGCGGACTATTTCCCCGTGGTACCCGGCCCCTGAACCTCTAATCACTAGTAACTACGTAGGTGGGTACCTAGCCATAGTTCAAGTTCCTCCTCCTCCTCCTCCTCTGCCTTCTATTTTCTACTCTTATCCAACCTTCTTCCTCTGAGTCGTCGCCATTCTCTGATGAAACTGCGAGCGGTACTGATGTTTTTGGTGTTTGACCTTCCCGTTGTTGCCTTGGGTGGGGGGGAGCACGGGAGGGATTGTTCCTAGATGGACTACTGCTCCCACGGTTATATTGCGAGGTGCGTGACGAACGGTTATCACGACGTTCGGCCGGCTCATATTGAGGTGTCTGACTCTCTTGTACAGGTCGATGTACATGCAGAAAAGAAGATCTTTGAGATTCCATTTGTGGTCGTGAGTGAGACACACGGACCGGCGTTTCTCGCCGCCGCTGTTGACTTTGCGCCGACCTATAGTCATCACCAAACTGCCGCCTGCCAACCGCGTCCTGCCTGCGGCGTCGGCGGTGTCTGGACTCACTGCCAGTGGAACTCTGGGGCTCACGACTCGGGAGATCGTCAGACTGTCGACTGCGGCTGCCCCTGGTAGAGTTCTGCCGGGGTTGAGGTCCGGGTCGGGGCCGAGGTCCATACCGCTCCGTCTCCAATGGCCCCTGGGACTGCCTGGTTGTCGTATTTGATGTTCTGTTAGCTACGGAGGAGTAATCTGAACTAGAAGAACCAGAAGAGCCGGAAGAACTTCGCCGCTGTCGTTCCCGGGCCATCATGACCCGCCCCGCCCGGCCGTAGACGTCGCGAAGATATTCATCGCAGCTCATGATGATGGCACTCCCAGCCGGGAAGGTCTTAGGTCCCATCTCATCCGCCAAACTAGAGTCATTGGTTACTTTCGTCCTCCACCATGCCAAACTCTTCGTCCCTATAATCATCTGCATCCGATGGCAGTCCCCTTTACACCTTTCGTCGCAACGATTGAATATCAATCTTCTCCCGAAGAGGGTGTGATTGCCCTTGGTGAGTTGTGTTTGGCCGGTGGATCCAGGTAGCCGATCGAAGTTCCTCTGGAGCGTAGCTTCGGGCACCGCGAGGTAGGACCGGTTTGCGGGGAGGGTCCGGAGACGTGGACAGGTGTTTAAGGGGTTTTCCGGCTTGATGATGTTGCCGAGGGTTTCGACGAAAATTGGCACAGCACGGATGTCTTTTGCGTACTTTTGCCATTCTCCACACGTGTCTTTGAGCTGCACATGGCGGGGGTCCAAATTGTCGCTTCTTTCGACAAGATCTAGGTACTCCCAGCCGTAGAGGATTCTTCTTTTGGGGAGTTTTCATATACGGAACGCATTTGCTGAACGCATGTTCCCACGCATGGCGTCGAGGAAGGAGTAGATGCGAGCGGCGTCTTCTTTGAACAGCTTGTCAGCTTCCCCAATTTCAACACCTTCTTTTTTCATGTCGCGCGGTTGCCTCGAGTAATGTCTGACCACTTTGTCAGCGTTTCTTTTGACGGTGCGCCGCACTGTCGTCTCCCGGTCTCTCAAACTGGAGCTGATGTCTGCCGGCGACCTCAGCTTCAGCCCCCGAGCATCCAGGTGTCCGACCCTTTGCCAGTCCTGCATAAGCTGCAAAATAAACTCTTCTCCTGTAATTTGTATGCCTCTGGAGTCCTTCGTGCCGTAAAAGATGACAACCAGTTGTTTAGCGCTGTCGAGGATTAGGGTCAAGTCATGCAATTTTACTTGAGTTGAAATTCCCTCTGTTTTACTCCTCGAGTATTCGAGCTGCCTCCGATGAACCGGGCCCCAATTTTTATTCTTTCAAAGCGCAGCGGATATAGGTGGGAATCCGCTAATGATTCGAGACTCGCCGTCGATCCATGAGTGAGACTGAAGGCACAGTTTCTCGTCCCTGATTAATATAGTCGCGAGACGCGAGCTGTCAGCAAATGGAAGGCAAACAGACAAACAAACACAAATGATGACGTAATTAACAACCAACCTATATATGAAATGGCGCTACTTGTCCAGCCGAATTAGCTCCTCGCATTCCACAATGCGTCTGGGTCCCGCTGCAGCTCTCGCGCGGGACACTGGTCGACGATGTCGTCCCACTCGAGCGGTGTGGGATAGGGACTAGAAACGACGTGCCACTGAAGGGACTCGGACCCCCCATTCGGACCCTTTCCAAAGCGTCGAACTGGGACAAAGGCGTGGAACATGCCCTTGATAACATAGCCGCCGTCGAGCGTGACAGCCTCGGAAAGGTCGACAAAGTTGGCCATTTGGTAGGGATGGATTTCCAGCCCACGCTCGCCGTTATCCCGTTTCGCAATTGGATAGCCCACCACCATGACTGCTGGGTCCAGTATGCTATTCCAGCAGCTACCGCTGACTGGCGAGCCAGGGGAGCCAAGGGAGCTACGAGATGGAGGCGGCATTTCGAGCTCCACGCTGACGTCGAACCGCAGCTTCGGCGCGCATGTGAGTGTCGGCTCGGCAACCGCACTCGCAACCGCACTCTCAACCACTACTGCGTGAGCATATCGGACACCGTCCTGCTTCAAGGAGCACGCCGCAGCAAGCCATGCAATCTGCTGTGCGACGGTGATCAGAAACTGCTCCGGTCCATGCACCCAGACCTTATTGCAGCTAAGGTCGACCAAGATGCTCTCGGTTGCAAAATCATCGTCTGCAAGCCAACCAGCAGGGTTGTTAACCCCCTAGCGTGCCTGTGCCTGTGCCTGTGCCTGTCGATCAAGGCCGTCTCGCACCGCGCGCAGGAGCGTCTGCGGCTGTGTCGGCCAGGTTGGTTTGAAGTATTGTGCAACGGTGCAGTACTGCGCATCTGACAGCTCACCCGTCACCGCCCCTATGCTTCCCAGGTTCTGGGAAACACCATCGTCGTAGTTTCGACGCAGATAGTCCCCCAGGTTCCAGTCCACTCTGAAAGTGGCCGTGAGAATTTGTGCTTTATGGCTAGCAGTAGGCTCCGGATAGTGGCGACGCAGACTGTGTCCAACCCGCCGACTTATTGCGACCAACTTGTCGCTGCAGTAGCGATCCATAGCCCGGTCAATCTCAGCCACCATGCTCTGAAATGCAGGTTCGGCTTTGAAGCAATCCAGTACCTCCGTCGGGCTGATACCTCGGATTAATGCTGGATAATGGACACCGGAGCCCTCATCCGACTCGGAGACTGCCCAACTATCAAGAGACATGGGTTGTGGAGGGTCTTCCCTCTCAGAATGGGAGTGACTCCCGGTGGTAATAGACGCCGGACTTGGGGGATGTTGGTCCTGCGGCAGGCCCTGTAGCTCTGTGCTGCCCCGTCGTTGAGTCTCTACCCATTCCTGCGCATACCGCCTCGCCTGCTCACGAGTGCTGTCCCGTTCCATGGAGGAGATCAACTCTTCTGCAATCTGAAATTTCGATCGGCCGACCCATCTGGAGGCGCGTTTTACTTCCTTTGTAGTGTTCGGCTTCTCCAGCATCTCCTTGGCGAAGGACCGAACTGACAACTCGATTCGAGTTCTCATGCGAGTAGTACCTTCGGCCGTGAACTGTATGAAAGAAGCCTTATTTTCATGGAGAGCCTCCGTCACTACAGCACAGAACTGCTCCACGAGCAATGTTCTTTCCTCAGCCGTAACTTGAACAGAAGACACGGTGCTACCGTCAAATGTATTTCTATCGTCATCTTGACCATCGGCTCGGTTCGCGTCTGGTAGAAGTACCTCGTTTAGGAGTTCCCCGTTGCTTTCGACGACTTCTAGTATACCATTAACAGCTAGCATCCACCGGGTTTGCCCTTGCTTGCCAAGGCTCGGGTTGCTCAAAGTCGGGGCAGTCAGAGTGGTCGAGCTTGGTACTGCGGTTCCGGTTCCCCTTCCCAATGTGGAGGTATCCGATGTTCCTGTCCCCGATATGACACACCGTGGATTTTTTCCCGAGTCCGTGGCTCGGCCTGGCGCTATCGCTGGTTCATTCGAGCCTGAAAGCCTTGTGGCGCTGTGTCCTTCCGGGACCGGCGGCGGTATCCAACCGTCCCCATCATCCATATTGGAAGGTACTCGACGGACAATGCCTTCAATGTCCGCAGGCAGCGGTGTAGACAGTTTGAAGTCTCTGGAGAACGACTTCAGCTCCTCCAACTTCCTGAGTCGGTCCTTATGGGCTGTCCTGCCTCTAGCATTTTCCATGTATATTCTTTGGCTAGCCGCAGACTGTTTGAAGCTTTTCAGTACGTCTCCTTCTGTAGAAGCGGGCATTGCCGAATGGCTGTAATTAATTGATAAGGTCAGCCTCGACAGCAAACGACAAAGCTGACCCCCAAGACTAGGAAATATATATACTTAGGGAGGTTCCCATCCAACATCTTTGATTCGTCCATTTCAGTGAATTTCTCCTGCAAGTGGAAAATGGAATGAATGGGACGGGACGGATTTTTTGTATGGAGAAAGTGGTTGCTAAAGAATTTTATTTTGATCGCTGATCGATAGATACCTAGTACTATGTACTATTAGTAGCTTCAATGTTGTCGAGTGGGTGTTTGGAGGAAGGGGAGTGAAAATGGGTTTGGGGTTATTGGGGGTTCTTACGATTGGATTCGGTTCGATTCGACGACGGGCTGCGTCTGGAGTTGACACTCGCTAATAAGCGCCTGAGGCGCTCATATCTGTGCCCCAAAAAGAGACGGAAGAATCAGTAAATGAGACGAAGAAACTTGGTACAATACAAGAATAAAATCTATATATCGGCTCTCCCGATCTCTAATGCAATCTATATCTGCTCTCGATTGTCGTGCCCTGGTTACTACTTTTGCTTTCCTTCACCTAGAACGGCCAAAGGCCGACTAGACAAGTCTCCGCGTTCGCGCAAACAGCAAAACACACACCACAGCAATCGTGGCAGCCCGGCACATTGACTCAACCTTAAGTTGTGTAAGCAGGAGAGCTCTTTACCAAACGGGAAGGAGAAAGAAGAGCCAGAAGAGACTCTGAACAGGAAAGAAAACGATGTATTTAATGTGCCCGAAACGATTTATGTATGCTAACCCATCGCTGATCTGCTATGCTGCTCTGCTTTGTGGTCCTCGAATGTACAATACATATGACACCACCCAACTTATACAATAATGACAAAAAAACAACCACCCAACCAACCGGAACACCGTCCCATCCAGGCGCTCGCAAAGTCTTGTCTCCCTCTCTCTGTGCATGAGAGAATCTCCGCCCATGCCATGTCAAGAAACTGCACGGGGAAAATGAGAGAAAAAGACTAAAAAATTAACAAGAAAAGAAAAAAAAGAAAATAACTAGATAAAACTGCTTGTATTGAACTAACCAGCCGGTCAAGGCACGTAGATTCTACTGAAGCTAATCACCTCGCGGCGGCAGCAGACGCACTTGTCGAAGTTGTTCATGGCCAGTGAAACGCGGCAGTCGTCGCACAGGCTGAGGCAGCGGCAGGGCCAGACGATGATGGTGCGCGCGGCGCTCTGGCAGACAACGCACTGCGGGCCGTCAGGGCCGAGACCAGCGGCACCGGTGGCCCAGGATGCGCCACCGGCAGTCGACTGTCGACCGCCGCCTCTTGTGCCAGCAGCGACGCCAGCAGCGCGGCGTGACAGCAATATCTGCTCTAGGCGGTGGGCCTCCTCATCGGGACTCATCTTTTCTGGGCCGAGGCCGAATTGTTGGTGGTTCGTCAGCAATACCTGCGCGCGCTGGCGCTGTTGGCTCTGCCGGAAGCGGGAACGGGTCAATATCTGGTCGCTGGCGAGATGAGCGGCCAGCGTGCGGGCCTCCTCGCGGTCTTCTGGGCTGCGAGGGTTGAGAAGACGAGCCAAGTCCGTCGGGGCCATGGGCGTGTCAACCACAGGCGTTGCCTGGCGGGAGCCGCGGGCGCGGGCGCGGGCGCGGGCGTCGGCGAGATCAGAGACAAAGGTCCTGGGAGCGTCCTGGGTAGGGGTGCGCTGTCCGTCGCCGAGATCGTCATCAGACTCAGACTCCCATCCAAGTTCGCCCTCTGCGTTGTCAGTCGAGGAGATGATGCTGGTCGTGTCGTCAAAGTCGGCGTCATCCACACCACCAGCGCCATCCTGGCCGTCCGACGGAGAATAGTCGCCACTCGAGTCCAACCCCCCCCACCAGCCGCCCTTGAGCCACCAAGTGTAAAGCTTCGAATCAATCTCATCTTCGTCAGCAGAGTGGGGTGGCTCATCTGCCACTGCCCTCGCGCGGTTCATGCATCGACGGAGTTCAGCCTCTACATCAACCTGCTCGATACGCTGAATGGAGGCCAGAGCCATCACGCTGCCAGGGACAAATATCGAGTCCGGGTCAATAAGTTCCCTCCGCTGTCCCTTCCTGTCGGAAGACTCCGCCTTTGGTCTCCGTGACAGCCATCGGAGCCAGCGAGGGGGGTTCTGGACCCCTACGAAAGAGAGAAGTCTGATGGTAACGAGTGCTGAGGTAGTGAGCAGCAGCCTGTTGATGTGCATGATATACTCAAAGGCCATCAACCACCTCCCGCTGCGCTCGGAAGCGCCAACGCCGTCCCGGACCCTCCTTGCCGCTGCATCATTCTTGGGTATCTTTTGTGCTGCCTTCTCTCTGGCGTAGCCGCTAGCGGCACTTGCCTGGCCATCCTTAATAGGAACGAGGCCGATGGTGCCGATCGAGTCGAAGCGGGACCCAGGGATTCCGCCGCCTATCCACTGCATCCGAAGCTCCTCAACCTCACGGAACCTCTCCTCCTCCAGCCAGGTGTACATTCCCAGACTCACCCGACGGTCTTCACAAAGGTAGACAGCCTCGCTTGCCATGGTGATGGCACCAAAGCCGGCCCGCAGCAGGGCAGTGTAGAAGTCCATATCCATCCGGATGCGGATATCTGACAGCGACACATTTGCCTGCATGTTGTTATGGGCCTGGGCAAACCGTTGCCTGAGAGTTAGGCGCCGTCCTTCGGCATCTGTCTCGGGGGCAGCACACGCTGAAAGGGAAAGGGCAAGAAAGTAAACGAATCCGCACCCGATGATGCCCGTCAAGACCAGAATATGTGGGATGAAGCCGATGATGCAGACAGTGGGGTACCGCAACAAGCCGCGTGACGACGAATCTTCAATTGAGAAGTTGGCAGCGCTCCACATGATGCTGCCCATGAAGCATAGACCCCAGAATCCGGTGCTGAGAAGGCGGAAGCGGGACTGCAGATTCAGGAGCCCGAGGACGTGGCTGATCGCGTGGCCCATGGTTGAGAGGAAAGCAGCCATGAGGACTTCGGGGGGGGTGTTTACTCTACTCATGATCATGGCGCGGGTCACGGCAATGGTCGATCCCAGCGTGGTAGACGACGGAGCGTTGGACTCGTTTGAAAAAAGGCCCCAGCCAAGCTGGTTACCCACGGCGGCATCGGCCTCTGCGAAGGCCAGAGAATGCTCGAAGAGAGTCATGCCAGTCTCGGCAGAGATGGCACGGCCCTGCACAGTGCACGAGACGACTTCGATAAACTGGCTCAAGCAGAAGGACAAGAAGAGGGGCCACAGCCGAGACAGCGACCCGCGCAATTCCGATTGTTCCTGGTCGTCCCAAGGCACCATGCGCACCGACTCGCAGGACTCCTGGTCAGACGCGCCGAATAGCAGCGACGAGCTCAGGCCGTGCAGGAAGCCGTTGGGCTGAGAGAACATCAAGTCTGAGCTCTTGCTGGCGTTCCCCCAGCGCATCTCGGAAAAGTCGGGCGACGTCTGGCACTGCATCGACTGCAGCAGCCTCCGTGCCTGGAGGAGCAGCACGATGATGATGGGAAGGCGGAGAGCAAGGCGGACAGACCAGCCAAGGCGGAGTCTGCGGCGGGTGGCGGCAAAGACGTGGGTACGGTTTATGATAACCGCCATGGCGATGCAGCACAGAGCCCACTTGCTGAAGGCGTAGCTGAAGACACTTCCAAAGCCCCGAGCACCCTCCAGGGAGAAGCGAGATCCAATGGCTGTCGGGTCGAGGTCGGCGGCAATCGTGGGCGTGGACGCGGGTATCGACTGGGCAAAGGTGCCGAGGTGGCCTGCTACGGTGGTTGCGAAGATGTTGGCGTCAGCAGATTCGGCGGCGATGCGCTGGCCGAAGCCGTCGGCGGCGTCGGAGAGGGACATGAAGGAGCCCAGCCTGCCCAGCTTCATGACCATGCGCGGCCCAGCTAAGACAAGATCCTCAAGAGAAGGCGCCAGGCGCGACATGTTCATGGCATATCCCAGATGCGCCGCTGTCCATGTTGTCAAGTTGTGCCAAACACTCGCGTTGGTGAAGGTGGCAGCGGCCTGTGACGCCGACGCCGATGCCGATGCTGATGCCGATGCTGCCGCCATGTCGGGAACGAACGTGTGGTCCATGGCCGAACTCCAAGGCGGCCGAGGGCCGGTGCTCTCGGTTCAATCTGGAGCGTGCGTGCGTAGCTATCCGTAATTCGTATGCCTCCCCCACTGTCAATCAGCCGAAGCAAGTAACCCGAGTGTATGTACCAAGTCCAATGAATACCTTAGCCGAGGCAGCGGAAGCGGCGGGAGGGCAAAGGTCGAGTCTAAAAGTGACCGCGGCGGGCTCAGCAGCCGAGATGCAGAATCTCAAGCGCTGTGTCGCAGGACGCAATCGAGCATCTTCGTTGCGTGGGGGCATCCAAGAGCGTGTTGACGTCGTCGTCGATGGGTCGCGGTGGTGGTGGGCACGCTTGGCTGTCCGTCGTGCGGTGCGGCCTGATTATAGACCTTACCAGCGCACGAGTTTATAGTGCTTGGGCGTTCTCGGGACAATGCAGGGAGGAGTTGGCGCGTTGAGTGATGCCACTAATAAGAACCCCGCCAAGGCCCATTGCTGATTACCAGCGGGGGTTCTGCGGTATGCCCGTACTGAATACAGTGATACGTATTACTCCTGAGTAAGGGACCCTCATTCTACAGGCTGGCCTGACAGGGACCCACCATAAATTCAGACCCGCACTCAGGCTCCTCGGGAAACTCTTTCGCGATTGACTTCCACCAACGAGATTCCTACCTGTGAACTGCGCTCGCTCTAGGTTCAACCTACCAGGAAAAGGGAAAGAAGCACAAACAAAACAGAAGCTGCCATCGCGCCTGCGCGCCCAAGTACAGTGATAATGGCCTCGGATCAGCAGCAGCATCAGCAGCAGCAGCAGCCTATTGCGACGTATGTATTGCGAACGTGTGTGTCATTGCACCCCGACACATGCCAAGCAACCGCCGCCGCGTGGTGTTGAGAGCCTATTTTCATGTTCAATTTTTTCATTTTTGCGAGACAAAAAAAAAGGGCAAGTGTGACTAACGGGGATCCCACCCATCGGAACCAAAACTGGCAGTGTCTACGTGCGCAACCTCGAGGAGCGCGTCAAGCCGGAGCCGCTCAAGGAGGCGCTGCGAGCCATCTTCTCCGAGTATGGAAACATCATCGACATTGTGGCCAAGACGAACCTGCGCGCCAAGGGCCAGGCCTTCATCGTCTTCGACAACCCCGAGTCGGCCGCGAATGCCGTCGAGGAGGTCCAGGGCTTCGAGCTCTTCGACAAGCCCATGCACGTCGCCGTAGCGCGCAGCAAGAGCGATGCCACCGTCCTGCAGACCGGCAACGAGGACGAGTTCGACGCCCACAAGCGCCACCGCATGGCCGAAATGGGTACATTTGCACACTAAATCTTCAAAGCTATACCTCAGGCTTCCTAGAGCAAGTAATTAAACTAACCACTCTTTCTCTCGTGCTAGACAAGAAGAAGGCCCTCGAGGCCGCCGAGGAGCAGAAGCGTCTTAAGCGTCCCCTGGTCGGAGCCGCGGCCGACGCCAGCGGCGGCCGACCGGCCAAGGCGGCGCGCGGCGCTGGCCTCAAGGCCACTGGCGCCGGCGCCCCGGCCCAGCTGCCTGACGAGTACCTGCCGCCCAACCGGATCCTGTTCGTGCAGAACCTGCCCGACGGGTTCACTAAGGATGACGTCGTCGCCATTTTCGGCGTGTTTGAGGGCTTCCGCGAGGTCCGCATGGTTCCCGGCCGCACTGGCATCGCCTTTGTCGAGTACGACGCCGAGCCTGGTGCCATCGTGGCCAAGGAGCAGACCGCTGGAATGGCCGTGAAGGATGGTGAGAAGGCCTTGAAGGTGACCTACCAACGGCAGTAGAGCTGCAGCAACCCAGATCCGACGAAGCAGGAGCCGGAGCTAGGGCAGCTGGTCTGGCAAAATTTCGCTGGCGATATCAATCAATTCACGGACTTCCAGCAGTAGCCAATGCAGCTCGGCGGAGCACCTGCAGCTCAGTAGGACCATGGTGGCTTCCAGTGTGGTAGGGGCTGCCGGCGTGGTCGTGGACGTAGTTCACGTTTCTTGGGAGCAAATTCTGGCAATGGATTCTATTATACAAGATAGGTTCTGATCCACGACGAAGTCGGACTTAATTACGGGCGGAGGATAGGGTATCTTTTTGATGCGATACCCGATGTAGTTGAAAAAACAGGACACCAAAGAGCCAAACAATGACAACGGCAGTGAAACTCCAAGATTTGCGCCTCGGGTCTAGACTTACTGGAAACAATGTGTATATACAGACAATCTGGCTCACGCGCGCTTCCGAAAAGTTGAGCCTTCCTTCCCCCGCCAACACTCAGAATATGACATCCTCGTCCTCCTCGGCGGTTAGGATGTCGCCCGACTCTTCAATCGCCTCTGCTGGCGCCTGGTTTTCCTGGTCGCGTGCCGCAGCCGCCTCTCTCTTCACTTTCATTTCGGCGTCTAGAGCAGCGTTGTCCCGCTGTTTTTTATTGGCAACCTGCTTGCGTGTTAAAAAGTAGCACGGTCTAATTATGGAGAAAACGCGACGCGACATACCTTTTTGAGTCTGTAGAATTCTTCTCTGTCAAGCTCGTCGAGTTCGGAGTTGATATCTGCAGTGCCGGCGTATTAGCGAACATGCCTTCCCTCTCTCTCTCTGCCGGATGAGGCGTGCTATGGGGGTCGTAGTTTGGCTTACACTTGATGGTGTTCTCGGTCCGGGGGATAATGACATGCTCACTACATCACGCGTGTCGGATCAGAACGGCAGTTTCGACGCCGAGTTACACCCGAGGGCTGACTGAGACTTACATGGCGTTGACTGTATTTGGGCACTTGTTAGCTAGACGCCTTTTTTCTTCTTCAGGTTGTAGCCATATTCCCCGCTATAGGGAAGACGACAGGGGAAAGAAGAAGAGAGAGGAATTACCTCTCCGGTTGACAACCTTGATGACCTCGTCGAGGATGACAAAGGCCGTCTGCAGGCTGGCGAGCTCGACCAGGGCCTCGACGGCGCGGGCGTACGTCTCGCGGCAGCGCTGGACCTGCTGGCCGCCCTTGCCGAGCCCCGTCATGGCGAAGTCGTTGTTGCCCTCGGTCAGGTAGCTCTCGAAGGCCGGCAGCAGCACGCCTGACACGTTCTCCTGCTTGGCGCGGATGCGGAACCGCGCCGACTTGGCCGACTCCTGGATCTGGTACCCGATGTTGCCCCCCACCGCGTACGTCACCTCGGCCAGCGATAGCGACGCGATCTGCATCACCCGCCCCATCTTGCGCTTCGCCTCGTCGATCCGCCGGGTGATGTCTGCCACGGGCGGGTGGGTCAGAGATAAATAAAATAAAAATCACCGGCCGCCTTTGATGCCTAAAGTAGGTTTGGGGTTGTGAAGGGTATTGGAGCGGGTTTTGTCTATTTACCTCGGAAGCGCCTAGATTTCGAGACCATCGGAGTGAGTTTCAAAGCCATTACAAGCAGGATCTTGGAGAATATGATGCAGAACAAGGGTGGAGGGCTGGGGGGTTCTAACTTGGTGAGAGCTTCACTCTTCCGCTTGAGCAAGCTGTGCCCTGTTTCGGCGCCCTTGAGCTTTGCTTTCATGAGCCCTAGGGATTGCCGCGTGGGGAACACGGCTTCGCGATCCTAGCACCGCCGCGGTCAGCTAATCAATCGCTCGTCTGGTGCAGCTGCTCTGCTTTGCTCGTTCGCACTGCTGCAGCAGCAGCTTGCTGCGGGGTTTGTCAGTCAGGATGGCACCGTACTGCTGCGCCAGACATGGCTGCGGTTCGCCGGGCAGGCGACTGATCGAGGCGGGGAGGGGGGCGAGATTCGAGCCGACGGCGAATGGAGGAGAGATGGAGAGAGAAACGAAGTGAAGTGTTGTCGTCTAGGGTGTGAAGTCGCTGAGAAAACTGCACGTCAGATATGGTAATGATAATGAGGGACGGGCCGTACTGTAGGTACGATGATGGTGGAGCTTCCCAGGTTGGCTGGCAGCAGCACTGGCGCCAGCTCCGATCTGAGCTGAACCTTCTGGTTGGTTAAAGTGGGGGCAGAGCGACCCCTGTCCCACCCGCCACCTGCGCGCCAACGCTACATAGTCCAGCGTGTTCGCAATTCGCATCGCCAGCTCCTTCCATTTCGCACCACTTACTTGCATTACGAAATACGTACCTACATTTACATGACATTACACCACGCAAGGCGCAGGTGCGTCACAGCATCAATGTCATTGCAATTCAACCAACGCATTTGTCTTATTGAATGTCCAATTTGAGGCAGTGGTTTACAACACAGCCGATTCGAAGTTGTTTTTATTTTTTTTGTTGCTCTTGCTTCTATATCAAGTAAGGTAGCCAAGGCCCTTGATGCATCCATTGGTGGCGACGGGAATGACCAGGTCTACTTTGGCACCGTGACGATGGCGCTCTGTCCCGTGGTGGTGTTGTACTTGGCCTTCTTGACGATCTTGAGGCCGGCCTTGTCGAGCAGCGCATCCCACTGCCTCTCGGTGCGTTCGATGGACGAGAAGCTGGCCAGCATGATCATGTCGGTCTGGGTTGCCGTCGGGTGCACCCCCGTGTTGGGGATGATGATCTCGTCAATAACGAAGATGGAGCCCTCGGTCAGGGCCGGCAGCGTGTTCTGGATGATGGCGATCGCCTTGTCATCCGGGTAGTCGTGCAGGATGTTGCGTGCGTAGTAGACCTTGGCGCCTGTATTGCTTCTTTGTTAGCAACTGACTGGTGGGCAGAGGGATTGCAGTCGTTCTCGTTACCTTTGATCGGCTGCGGAGCCCAGAGGTCGAATCCCAGCTTCTCAATGCCCTCAATGGGGAGGGTCTGCGGGAGAATGAAAGGCTGCTCCTCAAGGATGACCCGGCCGGGTATCTCGGGGTGCATCTTCTTGATGAGGCCTGACTGCTGACCAAGGCCGCCGGCGATGTCGACAAAGATTGCCGTCTCCGGGGTTGAGCCTTTGACGTGGCCGGCAAAGTCGAAGACGTGCAGCCATGTCTGGGCGTTGCTGTGGACCGCGGCCATCCACACGTTGAAGTTGGCCATCAAGTCTGGGTTCTCCATGGCAAAGACGAAGGCTGGCTTGTCCGTGTTGTTGGCCTTTTGGAATGGAGAGTTGACCAGGTCCTTCGGGTTCTCGTAGTTGGTTTCGGCGAGGAAATCCGGCATGGCCATGAAGGACGGGGTGATGGCCTTGAAGCTAGACTTGGGGGTTAGTTGGGAGACTCAAGACAACGAAGCCGAAGCCAAAACCAGCCGCTGCACTTGGATGGAAAGATGCTCGTTCGAGACTTACCAATGGATGATCCCGGCACGGTATCCGGGCTGGGCAAGAGCCTGAGTGATGTTGTTGGCCGCAAAGGTGTCCTCGCCCGTTTCCAGAATGAGAGTATTGGAGGCAAGCAAGCGGAGGATGCGGCCTGTGCAAGATGCAGTCAGGGAGAGGACAGCCATGAAGAACAGAAACAACAAGCGCACTCACTCATCAAGACGGGGTCGCATTTCGACGACGCGGCAAGCGAGGCGCCGGTGAGCGGCCCACCTGCAGCGGCAAGCTGTTCATAGATGTTGAGGTTGGTGGCTATAAAGGAGACGATGTGGATCAACGGCTACATGTTTGGGCCAAGTTGTTAGTCATAGGCTCCCTTAGACCTTTCAACGCGGCGTCGGCTTACAGAGCCATTCACGCGGTTAATGCTGTCGAGGGGGTCCTCGACGGCGTAAAAGAGCTTCTGGGCAGCATTGTAGAGGGCCAGACGCTCCGCGGGGTCCGAGGGCGGAGACTTTGCGGCGCTCTCGATCTGGGTGGCGAGGTCTGCCATGGTTGAGTTCGTGTTGTGTTGTGTTGACTACGTACGAGACGGCGAGGTTGACAAGAGTCAAGCTTGTGCTTGTAGGCACAGGGAAGGGAGATGGCGAAGAGTAATATAATAGGTAAGGCAGAGGGTACGCCGTGGAGATAGATACGCAGCTCTGTTCTCTCTTCTACGTAGTGGAAGGTGGAAGAGAGAGGTACGCCATGAATATATACTCAGTACTGCGTAGGTAGTCCAAGAGACAGAAGCCCCTTGCTAGCTAGCACCACGCTGTCCGACTCCTTCCCGCACACCACACCACACCCCTGCCCTGCCGCCCGTGACGGACGAAGCAATTGTTGCTCGTTGCTTCAACGTCCACCATCGACTACCTGGGTATGGAAACAATACTGCATGTATCGAAGGTTGCACTTGCACCTCAGGGATGGGCATCCTGATTAGTGAAGCGATTGTGAAGATTGCCCGGAATTTAGATTGATTACCCGTGCGGGCGAGACGCCGACAGCAAACCATTCTTGCGCATACGCAAACGCTCGAAGCCCTTCTAACCAGACTGGGCTGACAAAGAAACCTCAAATACAAAGATGGAACTCGGGCTGGCATAGGTAGGGGTGACGGTAGGTGGTATCTGTGGCGGCACAGCTCCAAGGCAAACCCACCATACTTACGGATAGGCAGGTGAGCTATCCATGGAAGTGGGGTCGCGTAGGCCGTGTTTTACCTTGTATGCACTGCACATGTAGTGTAGATTGGATTGCCCGTCCCTGCGTCTCTAAAAACCGCCGAGGCGGTGCTTAACCAGTTGCTGGATCTCCCTTGAGTAGTACCAAGTCTAAGGGCCGGAGACGCAAAGTATCAACGAACAGAGAGAGGGGTTGAAGAGCGGCTGAAGCAGATGGTGGGAGCCCCTCTCTTTGGCCCTTCAACGCTACTACCTAGAACTTGTCCGATCTCCACGGTGAATGGAATCCGAGGAAGCTACAAAATGTCTGTACATACCTATATATTCCCATAAATCTTGAAGATCCGTGTATTCGATATATATGTAGAGGCACTTTATATAATTGTATGCCCATACAGATACAGGCACGTTGAGCTTTGTGTCACCTTCGGACTTGGATCTCGAGCATTCGTAACTCCACCCGTCTGTGAAAATAGTCAGGTCGTAGTGGATACGTGCGCCGCATACTTAGTCGTATTTCTAATAAAGTCGCAAACCGCTGAAACCTGGGAAGAGCTGCCTTGTGGTTCGATTTGAACCCGGCTCGGGGAGTTTGGCGCCTGCCCAGAGTGTGGTGTGGGTTGCAGTGGACAGAGGTGCAGAGGTGGGAGAGGGGGCTCGGAGGGGCACATACGGACCTTACACGTGTAGTAAATAGTCCGCGTATTCGATTTCGGCGTGTTTCTTCGTTTCCAGACACAGACCGCGCATGCATATAAAATGGATGCACGGCCTGCTGCTCTACAGGACGGCTCGCCCGAATCCCGCGCGCGCCATCTGCATCCGGGGCCGCGGTGCTAGCTTATGTTCTCCTGCTCTGGTTGGTGGCCTTGAAATGCATCCGTGATGGACGCAGGTATCGTATCGTGTCTGTACGGGAGATACCGAGATGCCGGCTGGATTCCATCTCAAAGAGCCCGGACCAGCCTGTGTGTGTTGATGACAGAGCAAGTATTACATGCCCATGCATTCCAAATGACAGTTGATTCGGTTTTGCCTTGTACGTCCGCATATAACGCCGGCTACTGAATTTGAATCATCTCCAAGGCACTCCACGAATACTGTAGTGAGCACAGTTGAGCAACGGAGCAATGAAGTTGAGCAGTCATCCGGTCTCCGCTCACGGATAAGGCTGCTTAGTACAATCCAATCCATGAATGTTTGTCGGCGTGGTACTTTCCAAGATCCAAATGGCCTTGGCATCTTACAACTCGCCGTAAAGGTTTTTCGCTAAGGGGGTAATAGCTATTTGGACCCCTATTTTGGAATCCTAGAGGTCTATTCCTTGTCTAGAAATACCTATTAAAGACCCTTCCTGGCCGGTTCATTTGTTATCTTCTTTTACATCGTAAGTACCACGCCAACAAATATTCAGGGATTGGATTGTAAAATAATCGTGCGTCCACCTACCAGTGATGATGATGCAGTGGAGCCCGCGCCAGCGGCCAAGAAAGGGTCTGAAATTCTGTTCCGACTTGGACAGCCAGCCACGCTGCCCCGGACAGGCAGACACATGGAGAAGCACCATGGTGGACATGCAATGCCGGGCAGGAGCTGAGAAAATCCTGGCTGGAAATCCCAACCCTAACCCTGAATCTGCGAAAGCAGAATCCACGCCCTCAAAGCGCACGTCCCTTCCCTCAACGAGCGAGGTAAGCAACGTTCACTAGTCGCCGACCTTGCCTTACCACGCCCAATCGCCGCGAGGCAGAAAAACAGCATCGCGAAACCGAACAAGCAAGTCGCCGCCATGTCGTCGAACCTCGTCCACCACTCGGGGCGCCAGCCAGACGTGGCCCTAGTCGTGCGTCTCATATCCTGGCTGCCCGCTGACTATTTCTTGGCTGCAGCTGCTAACTAGGGTCCTTTACAGAACGACGATGACTTCCCTTACGAGCAAGACGTGCAACGCAACCCCGGAAACACCAAGCCATGGCTGGCCTATATCGAGTTCAAGCTCCAGCACGGGACGCCGCGTGAGCAGGCTTTTATCATGGAGAGAGCCTGCCTCCAGCTCCCGCGATCATACAAACTCTGGAAGATGGTATATATTATGTCTACATACCCCTCTTAGTGATTCTCCTGCGCGCGCGCATTCTAACCCGCCTCTCCAGTATCTGAGGTTCAGGACGAAACATGTCGCCAAGCTCAACGCCGCCATCTGGGCTGCCGAATACCGAAAAGTCGATGCGTTGTTTGAGCGCGCGCTGATCCTGCTAAACAAGATGCCGCGCATCTGGGAAATGTATCTCAAGTTCCTGATGCAGCAGCCGCTCGTGACCCTCACCCGCCGTACCTTCGATCGAGCGCTCCGGGCGCTTCCCATAACCCAGCACAACAGGATATGGGCCCTCTTCCGGCCGTTTGCCAACTCGGCAGAAGGCGACACGGCCGTTAGGATCTACCGGCGGTACATGCAGGTCCATCCCGAGGACGCCGAGGACTTCATCGAGCTGTTGGTCCAGGTCGGCCTGTACACGGAAGCGGTGCACAAGTACATCGACATACTGAACAACCCGCGCTTCACAAGCAAGAATGGCTGCGGTCACTACGAACTGTGGAGCGATATGGTGGACTTGCTTGTCGGGCATGCCCCCGACATTCAGACCGGCCATGAGACGGGCATCGACGTAGAGCGCATCATCCGGAGTGGCATTCAGCGGTTTGCCGATCAGAGAGGAAAGCTGTGGTGCGGGTTGGCGACATACTGGATCCGGCGTGGTAGCTTCGAACGAGCCAGGGACATATTCGAAGAGGGCATCACAACGGTCATGACGGTCCGAGACTTCACTCTCGTGTTCGACAACTACGCCGAGTTCGAGGAATCCATCACTGTAGTCCTGATGGAGCAAGCTTCCACGAGGGCCGAAAAGGGCGTGGTGGATGAAGCAGCCGACTTCGACCTGGATATCCGTATGCAGCGGTTTGAGCAGCTCCTAGATCGCCGCCAGTTCCTGCTGAACGATGTTATGCTCCGGCAAAACCCGAACAACGTCACGGAATGGGAGAAGCGGGTCGGTCTATGGGGCGAAAATAAGCAGGAGGTGGTGCAGACATATACCGACGCCATCGCCGCCATCCAGCCCAAGAAGGCTGTTGGTCAATTCCATCAGCTGTGGGCGAATTATGCAAAGTTCTACGAGAGTGGTGGTGACATACGGAATGCCCGTGTCATCATGGAGAAGGCCGTCAAAGTGCCCTTCAAGTCAGTCGCCGAGCTCGCCGATATGTGGATCGAATGGGCTGAGATGGAGCTCCGGAACCAGAACTTTGATGATGCGATCAAGGTCATGGCCAAGGCTGTCCAGGCGCCCAAGAGATCGACAGTCGACTACTTTGACGAGACCTTGTCGCCACAACAGCGAGTCCACAAGAGCTGGAAGCTATGGAGCTTCTACGTCGATCTGGTGGAGAGCGTGAGCTCGCTCGAAGAGACCAAGAAGGTTTACGAGAGGATATTCGAGCTCCGCATTGCTACTCCCCAGACCGTGGTGAACTACGCCAACCTCCTCGAGGAGCACAAATACTTCGAGGAGTCTTTCAAGATCTACGAACGGGGTCTTGATCTCTTCAGCTACCCGGTCGCCTTTGAGCTCTGGAATCTCTATCTCACAAAGGCGACGGACCGCAAGATTAGCATCGAGCGGCTACGAGACCTCTACGAGCAGGCTGTCGAGGACTGCCCTCCCAAGTTCGCCAAGGTCATCTACCTCATGTATGGCAGTCTCGAGGAGGAACGCGGACTCGCTCGCCACGCCATGCGTATATACGAGCGCGCCACCCGCGCCGTGTCCGACGAGGACCGAGCAGACATGTTCAACTTTTACATTACAAAATCCGCCTCCAACTTTGGCCTGCCGTCGACGCGTCCCATATACGAGAACGCCATCGGCACGCTACCGGACAAGGAGGCTCGCGACATGTGCCTGAAGTTCGCCGACATGGAGAAGAGGCTGGGCGAAATCGACCGCGCCCGCGCCATCTACGGCCACGCCTCGCAGTTCTGCGACCCCCGTACCAACCCCGGCTTCTGGTCCAAGTGGGAGCAGTTCGAGGTGCAGCACGGCAACGAGGACACCTTCAAGGAGATGCTCCGGATCAAGCGGAGCGTGCAGGCCCAGTACAACACCGACGTCAACTTTATTGCCTCGCAAGCGCTGGCCCGCAGCCAGAAGATGCAGCAAAACGTCGGCGAGGACGTCGACCAGTAGACAGAAGTCGTCTATCGACAACGAAAAGAACGGTGTCATTGAAATTCCTAGTCCTTCTGGGTGCGTGTGAATAAGCCGTTGATATATATATATAGTCCCGAGGGGGTTCCTTTCCAGGCAATGCGCTTCACGGTCAGGAGAAAATGGGCCAACACTCGACCGTCAAAGCAATGTGCATGCATCTGTTACTGCCAAAGAGAGCCCAAACCCAGCTTGAGTCTCGGTAGCAACCAGTTATCTAAACGAATATTGTACATGAAAAGTAAATGGACCAAGTGCCGGCCATATAACCCCCACCCAGCATGCCCGGGACGCCTCTTAGAGTGTGGGTTCACGTATATATACAGCTTGAACCCGCATCCCAGTCTTCCTTGTGGCCGTGGGAGATTTCGAGAATCTGATCGGCACTTCTTTGGGGGTGGGAGAATCACTCCTTCGCGCGAACAAACCGGAGGCGTGCAGCGGCAGTGGCATTGCCAGCAGCAGCCGCCGCCATTTGGACCGGCACCACACCACCAAACGGGCCAGCGCGAGCCGGGTTCTGGCATTTCACCAAACACACGTTGTCTTGGCCGGCAACGGTCCCGGTGCACGTCTGGTCGGCCGGAATCGCTGCCGTAAGGGGGAAGTCGGTCGTCTGGCCACTCTATATCCAACCAGTTAGCTTGCGCTCTCGGGTACGATTCTTTCCAACTGATCGAGTAGGAATAGACTCACGGGATTCCTGCCGTTACGGCCAGGCGTGTTCTGCGTCACCTGGATAGGAACGAAATCCTGAGCAGTGCCGTCCGCATTGATGCTGCATTTGTAGGGTCCACCGCCGTCCGCGTTCACCTCTGTTCGGAAACTGTCAGCATATTGCCCGTTATGGAGAGCCAACGAACCAGCTGGCAGGGAAATAGCATAACAAGAGCACTCAAAGTGAACACCCCCAAAGACCCGAGAACAGAGGTCGAAACTTAGATATAACTTACGGTGAAGCGTCATGCGAACCTCGCCGCCCGGGGTAACCTGCGGTAGCTCTCCCCCGTTTTGTGCCAGGACTGCCTGGGTACCAGCTTCGAGATCATTGTCACCGCCACCTAGGGTCTCGCCCAGCGTGTCGGCAAGGTCTCCCTTGAACCTGGTGGTGTCCTGCTGGAAGGGGTTGCGGGTAGTGCCGTCGCGGGGAGTGTTGGGGTTGATTCCAATAGCCGAGCCGCTGCCTCCGGCGTCTCCCGTGGCTTTGACGATAGCCCCATGGCCAGCAGCAAGCTCGGCTACTGCAAGAAGGGCAAGAATGAGAATGGATTTACCGCATGGAGCCATTTTGAACTGTGAAAGAAGGCCTTGGGTTCAGATATGTGTGATGAAAACCTGTCCGGCAGGAAGAACAATAAGCAAAGGGAGAGAGGTAGTTAGGCTAGAAAGCTCGTAAAATGAACTGGGTTGTGAGTGATGATCTGATACAGAAAGGAAGATCGATAGAGGTTGAATAGAGGTTGAAGATACCGACTATATATACCGTTGAATATATGGGATCACTTCGAGTCGAGTACGCTCTCTCCAAAGACGCACGATCCTGGAACAGAAAGTTCCAGTTTCACTTCTTGCCTCCATGTAGCAAGGGAAAGATGTGACATGCGTACTGAGGTAGTGCAGGCCATCGCGAAACTGAATCTCCGCGGTCTGTTTTCGGTGGCGGTGCCCTGGAGCCAGGATGGACCGATTCTGGGAAGCCTTGCTATTGGCGACTTGTGATTCACGAATCCGTCCGTGGCCCAAGTCTAGGCTCCTGGATAGCTTCATGTTGCAGCGCGAGGTTTATCTCAAACAAGCTTTATCACCGGTCGAGCTCCGAGAATGAACTAGATTTCGACAGACTGTGAGGCGCATGATTATATCATGAGGATCAAAGCTCCGGGAAGGCTTGTTGATCCCCGGAAACCCGTGTATCCTACCCACAGACCTGGCGTCCACAGACCCAAACTGGGTATCCGATACGAGGCCCCACCGCAGTGGAAGACGGGAGAGAAACCGAGAACACTTCTTGGGAAAAGCGGCCTCGGACTTGGTCTTGGCACGTGTTATATAGTGTCGACAAACTTGTTGCAGAAGCGCCTGAAGTCATGTGAAGGATTCCAAATCAAATGTCTGAGATATGACACCGACCGATTGGCGCAGTAGATGAACCCCAAGTAAGAAGAAAATGGGGGCATCTCTAGCTGAGCCTAGTGCGGCAGGGCTCTTGAGCGGGAGCCGTCGAGGAAGATCTTAGTGCAGATGATCGTCACCTTGTGCTTCCATCCTCTTGGCTCGTTTCATGTCGTGGGATACGAGCATCTTGGGGGCGCCAGCTTGATTCCGAGGCCGGCCAGTGATTGGAGGAGGGTACTTGCTTAGTCGTTCAAGCTTGAATGAGGCTCTGCCTGCAGCTGCAGCCTGAGGGTTGACTGAAGAATCATCAAATGCTTCGAATTCGAATCAACCATAGCAATCCAACAGTCACACAGGAATTTCGGATTACTGACCCCAATCCAATTCTTTCCCGAGCACATTAAATAGTATGCTGTTGCTCGCTGGATATGAATCGTGGGCGCGCAGTCGGTTTGGGGTGGCTCGCCCACGGACAGCGTCGCACATCTCCTGCTGCTTCAGAGCCCGCCACAAATGGCAATTATTGGGTGTAGCAGCCACGCTGATGATCTTTGATGTCCTATTACCCTCACCAGCTGCCGATCGAAACAGACGCGGGAATCAATTCCAGGGGTGATGTGAAACACTGGGTTCTTCGCCGGGCTGTGTCGTCGATCAAACTGATGTGGCTTGGGGGCAAGAACGAGGGATCAAAGGAAACCAATCGCAACCGAGTAATCATTCCGAATAGAACAAAATAAGGAAGACAACGAAGTAAATCCGGGGAGCATCACGACCCCGGCCTTTTACACGCCCAACCTCGACGGAGTCTTCTTGGCAACTTGATGATCCAAAACACCATCTGGATGCAGGCAGAAAGGGAAACTTGCGCCATTAATATTCAGTTGAAACTCTCCTGTTTTTCTTCGGTATCACCGCCGGATCAGTCACAGTCACCGTAGGAACCACTTGGGCGGTGAGACTGTAGCGGCCCTGCATTAACTCGTATTCCAAAGCTTGGGAGATGTTCATCGTCTGGCGTTTGAGTGAGCAGGCAGGCGAGTTTGCTTGTTGTGTTGGCAAGAGTAGGTTAAAAACTCTGTCACAGTATTATCCTGGTCAATGAGGTTATCGTCTTGAAACAACACATAAGAGCTGAGAATAGGAAAAAGCCCCAACATTCTCTGTATTCATTACCCAGGGCGGTGTTTCCTGGCTCAAGTCTCCATTGTTCTGAAATTATATCTATAGTTGTTATGACCGCCGAACAATGCCTGGGATTGTCTCATAGAGCTGAGTGTTGGGTCTCTGGATCTGGCTTGGGGACGATAGGGCTGGGACTTGGGCGGCTAGAAAAGTTAGCATCGAGGTTAGAATGCCCGCTCTGGGAGATACGCATATCCACCTCTCCCCGACGGAATTCTTGAACCCCCCATATCACCTGGGATATGGACAGCCCTCGCCTCTCCCATGTTTGCGTTTGCAGTTGTCCCTGAGAACCGAGCCGAGCTTGAAATAGGTATTCTCGTCCCGATGTTACTCCCAGGCCCAGATGAGAAGGCCGAGACTCCCACATTCCTAGGAGATACAGCATTTAACGGTGGGCTAGAGATTTCTTCCCATGCAGTTAGCTCTACGCACATAGGTCAGAGTCAAAGTTCAGAACCCACGCTGTGTAGGTGCCGGTTTGTCCCACCCTATCAGGGCTTTTGGGCCGCTCTGGACTCTCGGAAAAGAAGGGGCCGCGGGAAAGTTGGGGGCTGTGAGAAAGTAATTGGGAACAGCATCTCTATTGCTAGCAGGCGTAATTCGAAGAGGGCCTTGTGACTGCTCTGAGTAGAGGCTGGAGTATGGGCGACTTTCAGTCTCTGTAGCAGGCCTCGCTCTCCCGACATCAGGGGCGTTGTTTGATGTCTGGTCGAGCAGGACTCTTTTCTTCTTGTCGGATAATGTGAGACGGAGATCTTCACAGCTCCTTCTAAGTTCCTGTTGCTCAGTCTCCATGTCTGGGGGCACATGTTTGTTGTAGACTCAAACCACCGACGATGTGGAACAACCTCTTATCTTGGCAGTTAAGGTGCGAATTCTCTCATTCCCCTGATTCCACATGTTTTCCACTGCGCGCTCAAGCTGGGCGGTATGCTGTTCCATGCCTCTATTCTTTTGCATCTGATACAGGCTAATGACGGTCAGTCAAGATCAGAGGAGTACTTGCAGATCCTAAGAGGGACTGGACATGTGGTTTGTCATCTGATATGACTAGAAACTCAGAGCTTTCCCAGCATATTCCATGACCATGGTAGGACTCAGACCACTCAGGACAACCGAATTCCACTCCTCGGACGGATAGAGGAGTTGCTTGCAGACTTCGGAGGCGGCGAGGGGCTGCTGGCAGACGGGGCAAGTATAAGGACCTTGCACAGCAAACCTATGGTTGCTCGCGCACTTAAGGCAGAGCACGTGGCTAGGTAGCGACGCAATTTCACGATTTAGCTGCCACAAATTTGAGGTGAACACAGCGGAGAGGAGTAAGGCGCCAACAAACCTGCAAGCAGTTACCAGCGCCTGGTCTGTAAGCTGGGCTTCGCAGTTGCCAACATTGCAAGTCAAGCCCTGCTCCATTTTCGAGGAGATGCTTTCGAATTTGGACAACTTGGACAAATTCAGGCAGGAAGGCAGGACCTGTACCTTAGGGTAGGGAAGGAGGCAAGAAATTAAATGGTAGCGGGAGCTGATTATACACGAACGGTAAGATGGCAGGACTGTGGACAGGGCAGTCAATGTAAGGCACCTCATTCGGAGAAAGCAGAAACAGTCAGTAGTTTCCACATTTGACTCGAATCGGATTTCGTGTCAGACAGCCTATAACTCGCGTTCCTGCCTCCATTGATGGAAGTTGCAAGTAAAGCACTGTCTCTCACCTAGACTCAATGTTCCTTCCAAAAAAGTCTTTCGCAACATTGAACAGGGCAGGCGCGACCTTGTACTGACAATCCGGATGTGCGGCGGAGCTTATCCATTGTCACAGTCGAGACTGCAGATTTTGAGCTAGACATCTGAGAGTTTGGGCTTCTCTCAGTTTCATTCTGCCGTTGAGATCACTCATTTCAAAGTCTCTTGACTTAAAAACCTTGGCGTGTTGAAGTGGCAATATCGCCAATTCCCAAGCTGAATAACAACACTCAAGCCACACTCTAGCGCGCCACAGCTAGCTCATTATATCTCCACTCTTAGTACGGTGCTCCACGCCAAGCACCCCGCCTTTGTGGCTGAGGCCCAGTCGGAGCTAGGCATAGACCTCCACCAGGACGAGGGGTTGTTGGCTGCACGGGTGACAACTACCTTGCCTACCTGATATCCCCGCGACACTGTTGTCCAGCATCACGCCGCGTCCAGGACCGCCTCCACCACAACGGCAGACCCGAGACCTATACAAGATGACCGAGATAGTGACCAGCCAGACTCCGCCTATACTCAACGGCCCCTCAGAGAAAGAGCGCAAATATGACCGCCAACTCCGGCTTTGGGCGGCAAGCGGGCAGGCGGCGCTCGAATCTGCCAACATCCTGCTCGTAAACTCTGGCGCAGGAACTGTCGGCGTCGAGGCCCTGAAGAACCTGGTTCTCCCTGGTATTTCCCCCGCTGGTACTTCAGGCTAGGAGGTTGGCGCTTATACTTTGGCCTTCTAGGAATTGGCCGCTTTGCGATTTACGACGATGCCCTTGTCAACGAAGCGGACCTGGGAGTCAACTTCTTCCTAGACGAGAGCTGCCTCGGGAAGTCTCGGTCCCAATCTCTGACGGCACTCCTACTTGAGTTGAACCCCGAGGTCCAGGGTGCTTGGTTTCCCAATAGAGAGGTATGAAGCATGCCGCCGGACCCTCTACACTTTGCGAGCTTGTCCTCTTGCTGACCGGCTACCGGGCTACAGAACGTGACGAGCCTCGAGTCCTTGCTCGCCCCTTCTCCAGTGTTCACTGCCGTCATATATACTTATCCCGTTCGGCCAGAACACCTCTCGCTCCTCAAGACATACAGCCAACTACACAAGATCCCCTTGTTTGGGGTGCATTCTGCTGGATTTTACTCCTATTTCAAGATTGGCCTGCCTGGGGCGTTTCCCATTGTTGATACACACCCAGACGAGACTGCGACAACTGACCTTCGTTTATTGACGCCATGGCCGGAGCTTCTCACATTTGCGAGAGATTTGACGAGGGATATTGATAGTCTAGATCACATAGAACACAGCCACCTTCCGTATGCTGTCATTCTCCTGTATTATCTCGACCAATGGAAGCTCACACATTCAGATGTGAGCCCAAAAACATACAAGGAAAAAACAGAATTTCGCAAAATAGTGCAGAGTGCTGCGAGAACCGACAACGCCGAGGGCGGCGAGGAGAACTTTGAGGAAGCAGCGGCGGCTGTGCTGAAGACACTCGTGCCTCCTTCTCTTCCATCTGGACTCAAGGAGGTCTTTGAGTACAAGAGCAAAATTCCCGTGAGTTATTTGGTTACCTCTGTATATGCTATTGGTGTCGTATACTAAGGGTGTCTCTTAGGCTGAGGAGAGGTCTGGATTCTGGATTATCGCGGATGCGGTAAAAAAGTTCTATGCCGAGCACCAGTGCCTTCCAGTTCCGGGCAATGTCCCGGACATGAAGGCGCAGTCAAACGTCTACGTTCAGCTTCAGAACATTTATAAAGCCAAGGCCCGCCAGGATGCCGCCGAAGTGCTGAACACGGTTCGGGCTACCGAAGGCGGCCAAAACATTGATTCCGCTGAAGTGGAGCTATTCTGCAAAAATGCGGCCTTCGTCAAGCTCATTAACGCCACAGGAGGGGATAGCAATTCCACTGCCAGCACTGGTGACCATCTGAAGACAGTTGTGGGTGAGTTTCGCCCCCCTCTCCTATCTCCCCAAGCCCCTGTCCGGAGCCGCTTGTGCATCTCGGTTGTTGTACCATCCGGTCAAGTAACACTTTTCGCCACAGACCAAGAGCTTGAGAATGACAAGAACGCGGAGGCGATGATGATGCCCCTGTCTCTTTTACCCATCTACCTAGCCCTGCAGGCGACGTCGCACGTGTCCTCGGCCAACGCGGACGAGATACTCGCAGAGATTTCCAAAGTGGTGCCGGGGGCGATTCAGAACGAGAGGATGGTCAAGGCCGCTCACGAGGTTGCCCGAGCCGAGGGCGGCGAATTGCACAACATTGCCGCGCTGACGGGCGGGATGGTGGCTCAGGAAATGATCAAGATCGTCACCAAGCAGTACGTGCCCATCGATAATACGTGCGTCTTCGACGGCATCAACAGCCGATGCCAGGTCCTGCGCTTATGACTAGGAGGCCAAATGGGGGCCGCGCCATCAGATGGGGCAAGGGAGGCGAGGCGACAGGCACTCTCCCCATGGGGTGAGGCAATAGGTATTCTACCTGGGGTTTGATTTTAGGGTTCGTCGGGAAAAGTTGTCGGGCATGAGGAGACTCTGGGGTAGCAGCGGGGGATGGAAAAGGAGGGGGGAAGCGTTTATGGGTGTAGACAGCGACATGTTGAATTAGACTAGGCCAAAAGAGCAACTAGCGAGAAGAAGAATAGACAAGCTGCATGGCCAAGGTGGACTCTCAGGCTGAGGGGATTTTCGGCACTGGCTTTGCAGATCCGGGTTAATCAGGCATCTGGGCTTTTTGAGAAGGGATGGAAGCCGCGGACCCAAAAAAAAGTTGGAGTTGGAAGTGGAGAGATGGGAAGGGGCGGGAGAAACGGGAGGCTCGATGCACTTTGTTTCTTCGTCTTGCTCTTCCCTCTAGCTTTCTTTCCGCCTCTTGCTCCAAGTAATCTGGAAGCCAACGATGCCGTTTCTGTTGGCGGCGGTTACACGGCGGTTACACGGTAGGTAACGTAGGTAGGCAATGTATGTACCTTTATTTGGGAGGTAGAACAAGCTACGACGGTGACTGCGGCAGTTAACTTATAATTTTCTTTTTTTTTCTTTCTTTTTATTCCCCTTCGTTCGTTGTACGGTCAGACGGCATTGTTGGCACAGTTCCATAGAGTGACGAAGACACAATGCAAGAAGAATAGATACAGGCGTTTTCTCTTTTCTAATCGGGCAGGTGCCTGGGCTTAGGTTAGTTTCGTTCATCAATTAGATACCTAGTTCGGCTCCGGTCGTTGCTAGATTCCGGCCCGCCCGCTCACTCACTTACACGCGATGATGCACTCACTCAGACACTCAACGGTACCTATCCTTACAAACATCAGCCTCCAACCCCATACCTACGTACCGTATCATATCATATTCTAGTACCCGGCCTACGTCCTCTTTGTTTTTGTGGAGTTTTCTCCACGGTACCCCGCGAGATGGTCTCTGTGGTGGGTGTCCGCCAATGTGTGATTCTTTCGGACCGCAGGTTCCTCAATGGAACATCATGGCAATAATACATCTACAACCCCCCCCCCCCCCCCAATGAGATATAGAGCGTAGGTTGTGCGTGTGGGTGTGTGGTTAAGTGTGTGGTGATGTGGTGATGTGGCCGCCACCCAGACGAAGCTAGTTCTTGGTTCGGAGAAAAATTAAGAACAGAAAAGAAGGATAATGGAAGAAGAAGAAAAAAGAAAAAAACGGCGTGCCTGCAGGACCTCTCTCTAGACTTGTAACCGGGAGGGCTGTTACCTACCTACCTAACCTTTCACGCGCGCAAGTGGCTTCGCATTGCATCTCAACCGGCAGTAGTAGTAGTACGTACGGTAGCAATAGTAGTGATGACCATTAGAAACAGTTCTGTGGTTTTGGGGACGCAGTGTTGTTTATTTTTCCTTCCCATTCTCTCCTTTTCAATCTTTCCCTTACAAGCAGCCTGTTCTCGCGGTTGTTCGCCCCGTTCGTTGGCGACCCCTCCCCCATCCATCCATCGGAGTTGTCGGCCCTGGGAAAAAAGCTCTTCGCACCAACCCGTCAAGGTCTCGGCGATGCTACCTACCAAGCCTACCTTGTCTTTTGGATTACTTGCTTCTAAGATTAGGGGGAACATGGCAGTGCGGTGCGCAGGAGAGAGAGGGAGTCTAGAACCACCGTTGGTGTTGCACTCGGTATCTTGGATCTGTGCCAGTGGGTAAGGCGCTTCAAGTCTTGTTTTTTTCTTCTTTTCTTGTTGTTACACTGCGTAGGTAGCCAAGCCCGTCGTTTCATATCCGTGGAGAGCTTTCTTTCCACTTGCCCGTACTATGGCAAATTCTGGCTGGGCAAAGTCTTGGAAATATCGTGTATATCTGCAAGTTGGTTGAGAGCAATGGACACTGGGCGTCAAGATCCTGCAATGTTGGCGCTGGTGACCCTCTGCTGCATGCAGGCCGATATCTACGTAGTGCATGCACGAGGACACTGCCTCCCAAGAGGAATATGTCGAGCAGCAGGGCAATTGCACATAAGCGAGTCTTGGGATGGCCGAGGTAGGGTGGGCCGAGTCGGTTCTCCCCGGAACCGCCCGGTAACAGTTCCCGCCATCCGAAGCTTCTAGCAGTGTCCAGCCGAGATGGCAGACGAGAGAGAGAGATTGGAGGGTCGTGTGTATCGGGAGTTTTTACTTCTTTTACTTCGCGTGTGATAGTAAAACGCGCACAATATGTGTAGTCCTGCAAGGAAGAAAGAGAGAGACAGATAGAGATAGAGAGCAAGATTGGAAGGATTGAGCTGCCGTGAAAGTCCGGGCCGGTGTCTCGAAAATATGAAGAATAGTATGATAAGAGGGGAGTTCCTGGGCGGACCGGACTCTGGTTTCTCCAGTCCCCCAGTCCTCCAGTCCTCCAATTACCTCAAGCTAGGCCAGGTTAGCTTACAGAGGTGAAGTAAGTAGCAGGGAAATCCCGAGAACATTTAAGGTGATACAGCGTTCGGGGAGGGGTCTGTTGATTGGACCAGACAGGGCCAGAAACAATGACAGGGCAATCCTGGTCTTTCCCACAATGCATGACGAACGACATGTGCTGACCATGGGGATGAGTGCGGGTTAGGTTGGCCGTGTGGGGAAAAGGGAACCCGAATTTCAGTTCTCCCAATTTTCCCAATTTTCCCCAGAGAGTTTGATAGGTGGTGTTTTGGATTTCCAGAAGACTTCTTCCGGTTGGTCGGGCAAGGCGACCTCGCTGCCCAGTCCGCTCTACCACGATATCCTAGCCCAGGGTCAAGCAAGGAACATTCCAGTTTTCAGCATAGCGGGACACAAAAACACGAGCCTTATTCTCAGGTCCGCCATGCTCATTATTGGACGACTTACGGGCAAGCGGCGGGTTGCAGAGAGGAGCACTTCCAACTCAGTACTGTATGGGTGTGCGAGTGAGGGCCGCGCGCGTTCCTGTCGATGCGACCCCGAGAGGCGCAAAGTAGCAAAACCACCACATGGCACATGGACGATCAGGAACAGACGGACAATCGGCTGACTGTCCGAGGCAATCTGGGCATGCTGCATTGAAGGCCGCCCACGAACGACTGGTCAGGTGGCCGCCAATCTCGTCTTGCCGTATTTTAAGCTTTGATGCCGACCCAAACCGAGCACACCTCCACGACTGCGAGCCTCAATTCGAGCTCGGAATAAACGCGTGTCGAGACGCCCATCAATGCGGCGGGCCTGTCCACAGCAGTCGCCGATAATGGTGGAGGTGGTTAAGATAAGGCAGGCAGCGTAGAGGCTTTCTATCCCTAACAGCAGCACGCATGATACTCGAGACAGGCAAAAAAGGAACGGGATGCTAGATAGGTGACCACCTAAAGGCGACCGGGCAATCCGAGTAAGGGAACCCAAAAAAGAAGAGAAAGAAAAGACCGCTCAAGCCCAGCCAACGCTAACTCAATTAGACGGCTAGAGGTGGGATAATAGCAATGGTATGGCTGCGTAGAAGGGCCGGGGTGTCGAGTAAGAAAGAATGACTTGCTTCGCGCACATGAACAGGTGGACAGGCCGCTAAATTAATTCAGGACGGCCTGATTAATATACGCGACTCTGCGATTCCGAGAGCTTTGCCAGCGCCTGCCCAACCAGCCTCGCCAGCTCGCCCGTGTCGACCCACTCACGCCTCGCGGTGAGGTGAGAGAGCCAAGCGGCTTTTCGCAATCGGGAAGGCGACACAATGGAAAAGAAATAGCAGCAGCAATAATAGCAATGCTAGACGCGATGTGATAGGAGAGGCAGGAGGCTGCGGCGGGCCTCGAGGCTGTCGCTCGCTCTCAAATCTTCTAGCGCGGCCTCGTGCTGCTCGAGTCGGGCGATATTTCTCCTCAAGGAGGGGAGTCGACTCGGTCGAGACTGTCAGTTAATATCTCTGACCCTTTGGATGTTTTTGATGGTTGGCGTTAAGTGCTGGCGACGGGTGAGTGGACGGATGGTCGTTCGCTCTTTCCCCTTGTTCTGTGGGGATTTCGGAAAAGAGGCTGGGGGTTGTGTGGTGCCGTGTCGCGAGCGAAGCCACATTGGGGTTGGGCCAGCTCCCATCACAGTCAAGCTTCCAACGCCCACGGCAGCCGGAGTGGGTAGCTTGTGGGAGGATAAAGCAGGGGTCTGCGAGGCTATTGCAGCCGGGCAAGCCACACACACCACCAGGCACACACACACACACGCACACCACTGCCACTATCTACCTCCCTCTACCTGCTGTAACATCAGGGTAGGGGTGTATGACAGCTTGCTCGCCATGACAAAATAAATTGGATTGCTCCAGACTGCCAGCGTCCGGGGCGGCCACTAATCTAACGGATGCAACCGCCTCACGTTGCTCTGTGCTGGATGTACTACTAGTAGATAGGTAGGTAGGCAGGTAATAAGGCCAAGACGTGGCTTGTCTTGATGTCTTAACATCAGGGATATTCCGAGGAGGACTGCAAGTAGATTGTAACTTATCAAGCGAGGAGAGAAATAAATAGATGCCGGTGATCACTGATCTCCACTGCCAGTCTGTCTTTCCCGATATGGCAGTCTCGATTGCAACGTGGGGAAAGTACGCACGTCTCATGGTCCTGGACAATCAAGAATCAAATTAGCAGCGCCAGGGAAAGGGAAAGGTCGAGGCTCGACGCCACTGCGGATGTGGATAGTTAGGCTCGGTTCGCCGTCTGGCCCAGTGTGGGCACTCTCTCGATGAGTTGTGGGGAAGTTGCGACCAAGGCTTGGCGGAAGATGGAAGGAAGAGGTGGCGCACACAAGCCGAGGATACACAGAGCTCCACTAGCCGCCCAACGGTTCTGGACAGGGCACCACTTCAGTATTTCTCAATTCTTCCGGTCGGTCCCGCTATACCACCAAAACAGCCCACCGCCTGGCTGTCTCGATCATTACATCCGTCAAACGGAAGCTCCCCCCGACTTGACACGACATTTGGGGTCCAAGGATGGGGATGGAGGGGTAGCTCCTCCCTCCTTTCTTGGACAGCTCAGATCAGTTGGAGGAGACGTTTGTTCGTTCAGCAAATGACACGCACTCGCTCCCATTCACCCACCGTCTGAGTCGAGAATTTCCAAATCTTAGGAACTGTCATCTTGAGCTTTTGCTTTGCCCGGCTGTACTTGGTCTATACGTGGGGAAAACTTGGCCTGTGACAATGACAAGACTGCAGTTTCGTATATCTTACCTAGGCACCTCGGGTACCAGAATACCTACATAGTAGGTATTCTCAGCAGTCGATGAGGCGCCTTCGTAGGGTCGTTGCTCGCTCAAAAGCTTGGCAATGATGTCGATTCCGGCTGCTCGGCCACGGCGCAGCCGGTAATTCATGTTGTTAGGAACAGGGCTGCCCTGGCCTTGCCCCCGACATCGACATGGGCAGGCTGGACCTGAGTGTGCCTGAGCCCTGAGCCCTGAGCCCTGAGCCCCGAGCCTCGAGTCCGCCCGAGCAGATCTGACCCGGTGGCGCCACGGCAACACAACAGCCCAGGCCTTGCCTTAGCTTCTCGCTCTTGTTACTCAAGCAGTCAAAGACTGGCCTGATAATGAGTCAACATCTAATGTCATGTCCAAACCTCAAGGACCCGAGGACCTCTCTCAGGGACAAGCGCGCCAAAATAGAAACCTAAGGCCGCCCTGCTCTAGATCGATGACGGGACGGAGACAACACCGCACCTCCGAAGACTGCCCCGAATATGTTCCAGTCTCAGGTCACGCAGGAGGCTGCTCTGAAGCATGTCGCCCCAGGGGAGAATGAGATCCAGACTCTGGGATTCTGGGGCTCAAGGGACGGACCAGACACGTTAGGCGCTCCGGCCGGACACCAGGGCCTGCGTCTGCTCGCTGTAGGGAAGCCGGGTCCCGCTCCAAGCTGCCCTGGCGCTGAGTAGCGGCTCGTGGTCAGGACTGGAGACAGCTCGCTTGTCCTTACCGTGATGCTAATTACAGACTGCCGTAGATTAACGCCGGCGGGCCATGTGCCCACGCTGAGCTGAAGTCGCCACAGGGCCATTTATTTTTCTTCAGCTCCAGCGACAGTAATCATATTGCTTACGTCCACTAAACCCGACTAGCTTCTCCGAGTTGTCCTGACGGGAAGGTCTGGACTTGAGGACCTACTATTATTCATTCCACTCTGCTCGCCGCAAGGTTCTGAGTTGGTTCTGGTGATATTGGTGACCTGCACCAGAGCCAATCAAGAGTCCGAAGAGTGGTGACTGGGGCACGCTACCGTATTTTAGGACAGCAGAGACAGGACAGACTGATGAAATGCCCTGCAGCAATAACCATGAGTTCCGCATTTCGAGTTGAGGGTTCGAGGGTCCCTCCGTTTTGGCCAGTCAGCCACGCGACGAGTCCCTTACCTACCCTACTACTCGAATGGCGAAGCTCACCTGTGCTCTGCACTGTATGTACGTACGTACATCACCACACCATCCGTCCGCCCAACGTTATGCCCCAGATTCGGCATCTGGAGAAAATAGCTAGTCGAGACCCACTCGCACCACCACCACCACCCCTGTCTGCCCTGGCCGGAGATGGAGGGGAGCGAGGATCTCGCTGCGATCCATCCGTCCCACCACACGCCAATCACCACGCGCCAGGGTGCTGATGTGCATGCTGCGTTCGTTCCCCACAAACGGGCGGCTTTAGGGGACATGGAGGCGCTGGGGGGCCGACGGGCCCTGTTTCCCACCACCACCCTGCCTTGCCCTGCCCTCCCCGAGGTTGCCCTCTCCAACTCCAAATTCTCCAAATCCATCACCTCGCCCGATTCCACACACCCTTCCACGCTAGGTGTTGCGGCTGCGGACTTAACACTGGTGATTATGAAAGATAAGTGGGCTCTGATTTCAGGGCACAGAAACGGTTATTCGATCCGATATGGTGCTCGGCGCTGGCTGGCTGAGCGGGTCCCGCCCGCTTTCTTCCCACCAGAGCCTCCCGCCTAGTGGTGCTCTATTTCTGTCATATCCTGCTTGAAAGAGAGTGGGCAAGAGAAGGGAAAAGAGGCAGCAAGCCGCCATGCCTGCCTGCCCAGATTTTGTCCACGGCAGCCCGGCATGAAGAGATATGGCGGCCGGCGACGGTCAAGTGATGCCGTAGGTTGCTGCAAGCAATCATGGCTTGCCTCTGTGCCCCTGCTTGCTGACCTCGGCAGCCAGTTTTCTTCTGCAGCATCATCATCAGGATAGACGGCTAGCACGGAGTACCTCGAGTCTTCCCGCTGTACGACCGAGTACATACATGACAGCTCTACGTGCAGAATCCTTGGTTGACATGCAGCTTGTATGTAGGTATGTACATGTGTATGTACATACCTACATACGTTCAGAGACGCCACGACGTCCGTCGAATGCACCCCGGCCCTGCCGCTGAAACGACGCCACCAAAAGACGCGCATCGACACTTGCGAGAGCCCTGGCTGCAAGGCCAGGTCCCTCAGATCCACCTCGTCACTCATGGGGCATGGCCCGTCCGGGGAGCACACTGCCTTAGCTCGCTCGGGACGTACTTTTTTCTCTAACAACCTGCCTGCCTTCTCTGCGCAATGCTGGACGTGACCTCTGCTGGCCCGCATATTAATATGTGCTCGTCAGGTACATTATCAGTCACTAGACACGGCCCATGCCTGATTGGTGAAAGCCCGCCAAACTTGTACCTGGCCAAGCAGCATCGTTCCCCTGTTCGGCCGTTTGCTCAACGTTCTCTCCTCCCTCCCTCTCCAGTCTCCACAACGCCCGCACGGCATTGACCACGGCGTACGTCTGGACGACTAGTCGCTAGCATATTGCCTTCCACACTCACTCTATATCAACCTTAACTTGGTGAGTTATACTGGTCCATAGCACCATGCGCCAGCTTTCTGGACGGGCGTTGCTATACCTCGCGACCCAGCTCGCACTAGCAGCAGTCAAGCTTCTCCACACTTACTTACCATGGGGTGGATATGCCACACGTCCCTTTCAAATCTCTCTCCCCACACTCGTTAAGAAGCGCATCTCCAACTGCATACCAGCACCGAGATATATAAGCCTGCATCTGCTCCCCGTCATCTCACCTCCTCGTCATTGTCTATATCTAGGCATATCTTCATCTCGTGGCTGCCTTTGACTAAACCAATCCTCAGTTCTTGGTCTTCCTTCCTCCACACACAAGTCTATGTAGCTGCCACCTTATTGCTTTAACCAAAACTATCCATCTTGCCCCCAGAGCGGATCCTGCCGATCTCGCAACACCCACATCACCCCCCTTAAAAACCTTTTTTCCCCTGGCGAAACTGCCCTGCCAGGTGCTCAGCATGGCACCGTCTATCCCAGTCCCTGCCCAAGGTGGCATGTTCCATACCTGTGAGTCCACATGCTGCTTCGCATTGGCGATTTTGCCGCTGACGGTTAGCAGTCCAAGGCATTACACCGCGGAAGGCGTCAACAGACTCTCAGGACAGCATCAAGTCAAGTGGAACTAGTGCTTCCAAGCGGATAACAACTCCGCATGCTTGTGCCGAGTGTAAACGGCGCAAGATGTAAGTTCTACCAGCCGGCAAGTTGGGCGGTGGCGGCATGTCTGACTAGCTTTCACGTAGTCGATGCGATGGGCAGCAACCTTGCGGACAATGTCTCTCCAGTCGGGCCCCAAAAAGATGCTTCTACGACAAGCACCGGCAGCGCGTCATCCCGTCACGCAAGACCCTAGAGGCCCTCTCCCAGTCTCTCGAAGAATGCCGGTCCATCCTGAAGCGTCTATATCCAAACCAAGAGATCCAGTCCTTGCTGCCACTCTCGAGACAGGAGCTCCTCAGCCTCCTGGACCGACCCGCCGCCATAGACACATCAGTCGGCGGGCTGCCGTCGCCTCCTCTCAACACAACACCAATATCTGACCTGGACTCGCCCATGATGCCAAAGTCGGAGAACCTCCTCGAACAGATGCCCTCTCGGGATACCGAATGGGACGAGGAGAGGCGGGGGAGAGATCCCATCCCTGCCGAGGCAGACGACATCAATGCCCTGTCTCTCTCTGTCGATCGCCAGACGTCTTATCTGGGCGCTTCATCTATCAAGGCAGCTCTAATGGTGATGCTCAAGGTCCAGCCGAGCCTAAGGAATTCTCTGGCAACTCCGCTGAACAGCGTCGAGCTGTCGCACAACTACCCCGTCATCAGGCAAAAGCCTTCGAGCCTCAAGGACCCGCAGCGCATTCCCTGGTCGTGGAAGGGACAAACACTCATCGACGCCTACTTCAAACGCATCCACGCCTTCGTTCCCATGCTCGACGAGAGCACATTCCGTGCCGACTATCTCGAGGGGCAGAGGCTCGATGCGCCGTGGCTGGCGCTCCTGAACATGGTGTTCGCGATGGGGAGCATTGCGGCAATGAAGTCGGACGACTACAACCATATCAACTACTACAACCGGGCCATGGAGCAGCTGCCCATGGATGCTCTAGGAAGCAGCCACATCGAAACGGTGCAGGCACTAGCGCTCATCGGTGGCTACTATCTTCACTACATCAACCGCCCCAACATGGCCAACGCCGTCCTCGGGGCCGCCATTCGCATGGCCAGCGCGCTGGGTCTCCACCGCGAGAGCCTGGCCCAGGGTGCGAGCGATATCGCCGCCGCCGAGACACGGCGACGGACATGGTGGACCTTGTTCTGCCTCGACACGTGGGCCACAACCACCATGGGCCGGCCGTCCTTTGGGCGCTGGGGTCCCGCCATTAACATCCGGCCACCCGAGTTTGGCGTCAACGCGGCGCGTGAATCTTCGCAGCACGCGGGGAGCCTGCCGCTGATTGAGAATATCAAATTCTGCAAGATCGCCACCCAGATCCAGGACATGCTCGCCATCTCACCCCTTTTACGTACCGAGGACCGGTGCGGTCTGGACAGCCAGCTTCTTGGTTGGTATTCAGGCCTACCCTGGTTGCTGCGCACAACGGACCCATGCGCCGAGCCTTTGTACATGGCACGCTGCATCATGAAGTGGCGCTACCAGAACCTGCGCATGCTCCTTCACCGGCCGGTACTCCTGTCGCTGGCCAGCTCTGGGCTCAATCCCCACACGCAAGCCTGCGATGCCGACCTCGCGGCCATTGAGACATGCCGTGAGCTCGCCGCCCAGACTATCGACGACATCGCGCGCGAATGGACCCGGAATCAGATGAGCGGGTGGAACGCCGTGTGGTTCCTCTACCAGGCCGCCATGGTGCCCCTAGTCTCTGTCTTCTGGCAGTGGGGCAGCCCTCGCGTGCCCGACTGGCTGAAGCAAATCGAAGCTGTGTTGGACCTGCTCGAGGTCATGGAAGAGTGGTCGCTGGCTGCGCGCCGCAGCCGTGAGGTTGTCTGGCGCATGTACGAGGCCAGCCGCGCCGTGCAGGCCCAGCAGGTCGCACACCGCTCGACGAGCCCCAGCATGCACATGACGGGCGACGGCATGCTCATCTCGGACGCCGGAATGCACATGAGCCCCATTGGCCTCGAGCCCGTCGACGGCCTCGGAATGATGGGCATGCTTGACCAGGGCGGTCTCTGGGACCTCGACGGCATGTACTGGGGCGGCCAGTCCGACGACGCCTCGTCTGCCGACTTCAGCTTCGGCCCCTCGGCTGGCTCTGCCGGGGCAACCCAAGGCATCCACGAAGGCATGCTCCATCAAATGGACTACGGCATGATGAGCCAAGCCCAAGCCGCCGCTGCCGCCGTCGCCATGGACGGCTTCCCTTATGTCCATTAATCACGAAGACAAAAAAGACGATGACACCTAAATACGATTGAATGGCTCTTTCTTTCTTCCTTTGGTCTTTGTTCTGGGCTCTAGGATATACCAATTTGCTACACTTTCTTGTTCTTGCTGTCGACGTTTGATGTCTTTTAATTTCCCGGCGCATTTCTTCTTCATCTCAAGACATTACATACATGTACGTTCGCGAAATATTGTGTTTACGACTTTACGGATATACCAGGGAATCGGGGTTTCAGCTATTTTATTTCCATGTCTCTCAAATTGCTGCTTCTTTAGATGGAAAACTGTGGAAAAACTTAGTTGAGGACTTTTTTTTCTTTTGGTGCGAAAGGAAATAAGACTGACTGGCAAAACGGATTAGGAGGTGATGATTGCAAAATTATCCGGAATGAAAAAGAATACCTACGCAGCACGAAGAGAGAAGTTCTACTACCTCCATATTATGATACCACAAAGTTTGATACCATAAAGTTTTACCCTATATCAGTTTGCTGCTGCTGCCTCTGTTTGTTACTGTACTTGTTCTGCGTTTCCCACGTCTACTAGACTTGCAGTGGTAGAACATATTTTTCTGTTATTGCCATATTATTCCTTTTTTTCTCTTGTATGTACATACATACCTACATAGCACATGCCAAAGGATGCAGCAGTCAATTGAACTACATACACAGCAGCAAAGCAACGTTCCCACGATGCATTCATATTCACATATATGAATATTAACAAAGATGGGGAAAATATAGGTATCTTAACGCGTCACACATATCGTATTCGGTGTTTCCGAGTTCTCCAAGTAGTAAATAAATGAAATAAAACCACTTTCCGCTCGGCCCCTGCAATTGGAAAAGTTCGCGAAGCCTTCTAGACTGCCTGAACCTGGCGCTGACGACGACTTTTTTTTCTTTCCACTCCCCCCTCCCCGTATTTCCCCCATTGGCTTAGCTCGGCACTCTGCGCCTGGCGTGGCAGGTCTTGGTGCTTTACTATACATACGTTATGGAGAAATGTGACAAGTCATTAGCAGCATGCCTACTATTCATTTCTCAGAAAATAAAAAAGGAGGAGGGAGCAAGGAGACGAGGGCCGGTCCGCCAGAGCGGAAAGGCTGGTGTCATGCACCGATTACAGCCGAGCGGGCGGTGGGGAAGTTTGCCTCGTGATGTATGCTTCAATGGATTGTTGGAGGCATTCTCGTGTTAGCTGCCTTCCTACCTTACCTACGTCGCTACCTTGGGTGCCATGCCTCTTTTGTCTTGATCTAGGTAATTGAGAAATGCGAGCCATATTGGTGACGCTAACTACGACAAGAAAACTGGGCTAGGAAAAGAAGTGGAAAGGAGGAGGAGGAAAAAAAAAAGTCTTCGGTAGTATCGCGCCAAAAGCTCAGGCGAGGACTCGGAGTCGCCGCCGTCAAAGCACAGCCAGGGATCATCATGACGATGACCAGCAGGGCGGGCAGGGCAGTGCGGCACTACCGTAGACTAGCCGGATCGACAAAAGTGCAACCAGCGCCTGTCAACCATCCCATACCGGAAAGGAAAGGCGGGAGTGCCGTGGTTCTACCGATTGTTTCTCGCGCCCGCCCCGTACCCGTGCGCACCGTATGAGTGTCGCAGTGTATGTACTGACTGCTTCCGCCCAGCTCTCTGGTGTTGGCCAACTACGACTGCGACTTCGACTCTGGGGAAGTTGGAGATGGTGGGGTTCTCGGGACCTTGTGTCGAGTCGCGAGAGAATAAGTAAAACTGTTTCCAAATGCGGAGTGATGAGAGTTCGAATGCCCAAGCCCTATTGGCCGGGTGAATGCGGGGGCAGCTCGCATTCAATCTGGATTGACGGCCCGACGCGCGCTAGGTCCTGGGTACTTGGCTGCCAGGGGCCGTCTGCCGGCGACTGGCATGGCAGGCAAGGTGCCGACAAAGTACCGGCTACCTTGGCGCTGGGGGCCCCTGTCGGCAAATCTGAGATGTGATTTTGGAGGTGCGGGGTATGCACCCCAGGAAAAAGATGAAATGGCAGGGTGCGGAGATGCGGGGAGAACATCCATCCCATCGCCTCCACACTGTAGCACACCTGCCTGTTCAGGACGGCATGACGAGATGGCTAATAGACAAAAGGGATGGGAGCATCGGCTTCGTCATATTACCGGAATGCCATCTCGAAATACCCCAGAGACATGCAAGCGCGCCTGGGGGTTTTGAGGGTGCTGGTGCGCATCTCTGCTGTGGAGTGTACGCATCGCATCGAATCGACGGCGGTAGATGAAGGCGATGCGGGGAAAACAGACCCATGCTCCTTTTGTCTTTTTTTCGGTCCTTTTTGGAAGGCGTAGAAGCCTTCGACCTGACCTGACCTGACCTGACGCTCTAGGAATGGGTGCCGTGTCTGCAGCAGCGCAAGGTAGCACACACACGCCGTCCCGTCGGCATCCTCTGCACCACAGCCGGCTCGATGCGGGACTTGGTGTCCAAATCCAGAATGGACAGATGCAAGGTGACTGCTCGCCCGGTCTCGCAACTGCACGCCCGGATGTTTCATCACATCGGTGTGCTTTAGCGCCCGTCAGTCAAGACGCCGTCTCTGCACTGGTCGCTGTCCGTCTCCGGTGGCTAGGCGGCTCACCTGCGCCCGAAAGTCGTGCTACTCCGATGTCTCCGGGCCTTGGCGGTGGGCTAGCTGCCTGAGCTCAGCGTCGGCAAGTGGGCAGACATAACACGCCGTGATATGAGGCCCGCGACCGCCGTCCCCCCTCCCTCTCCTCCTCCCGCATGCTAACCCCGGACCCGGCATTGAAACCAACAAGCCTTGCTGGGGCTCGCAACCAGCACATGTCGACTGCTGGTTTTGAAGGGCTCCCCCAGAAACAAGCATATTATCGCACACCTCTCCCCATGGCCGGCTCTTGGACGGCAACCGTATTTGACCAATCTATGGCGCCGGGCTTGGCTCTCGCGGCCATGTACTGCTTTGTAGTCGAACTCTAGCCATTGTACCCTCTGTTCGAGGCCTGCGATTGGAGGTGGCAAGTGGCTGTGGAAGATATGGTCTAGGCTCCCATCTGTACCACTTTTTTGCCAAGATCGGCGGCCCAGGATTGAGCGCTCGTGTTTATCGCGTGTTTTTGTACGTCGTCGGATTGGGAGATGGTGGCCGATCGAGGTAATGAAGGGGCAAATCTGAAGAGCTAACCTCTCTCGTGATGATGAATTGACAAGTATGGGGAGATCATTGGCTACCGCACTTCTGACGGGCTTGATTAAGGTAAGGAAGAATGCCGGTTCTTCATTCTGGTCACCACTTTTCCGGCCCACTTCGATAACTCGGACGAGTAGCTCTCAAGACAGCCTGGTGTGTAACTCAAGCTCGCCCGTAGGCAAAGAAGGCGGGTACATCAACTCTAAACTGGCCCAGATTCTCTCGCTCTTTCCCTCTAGAAACAAATCAGGTGAGAGACAACTCGCTCCTTCTTGGATGCTTGAATACTCTAACATTGAAACACCTAGACCTGTACGTTCTAGACTGTCCCGCAGATGCGGTTGCCTTTTGACCAGACTCGGGCCTCGTCCCGCTCTTACCAAACACCGAAGCTGGCCGCGGCTTGGACGTCTTGTCGCTACCCATGAATCCAAACCAACCATAACAGCCCGACATGGGACACGGCGTACAAACAACGCCGGGAGCGGAAGCAAGCGGAAGGCACAATGAACGACTAAGACTCTCGTCGTCAGAGCACACATCGCCCCCGCGTCCCAGCCACGCGGCAGCTGCATTTTTGTTTTTTTTGGTGTGGGCGACAAGTATTCCGATAGGCTACCAAGCAGAGCCTGAAACATGTTTCAGGTTTCGCGCCTTTGCAGCCATCCAGCTCGGTCCCCGCTGCCGAAAGGCTGTCTCCTGTCGCACTCAACTTGCATCCAGCTGGGAAGGGAGCGCACAGACGAGATACGCAGAGTAGGACAAACCGAAGCTTATTTTCTGTGCTTTCCTCACGTCCAGGTATAACCTTGTTTCCACTACCACGACGAAAAGAAACTCGACATGTGTTAAGTCCGTGCCACGCGGCTGGCCAGCCAGCGACCAACACTCGGCGTCATGCGGTTTGTCCTTTTCTGGACGCCTTCCGGCCTAGCTCTAGTTGCCCGCTCACTGTTCCATGTCGCCGGCGCTGATATTCTTCATTTTCTTCCTACCTAGGCAGCTTCCGCATCGCGTCTTTTTTTTCTCTTCTTGCTTGCTCCCTGTTCCCCATTTATAACTCTTGGCAAGACCACGCAGACGGGATCACCTGAAACTCCCAGAGGCGGCCCATGTTAGTTAGTTAGTTGACCTGTTGCCTGCCGTGGGTGCTGGCTCTGCACGAAAAGCGAGAGAGGCTGGGGGAAGACGAAACGGAACAACACACGAGAATGGTTCACTCATCACCGTTTTCTTCAAGTTTCTGGGACTGCGCCTCTCTGTTGAAGGATAACAATGTCATGTCCACCCTGAAACAAGAGCCTGGCGCGAGTCTCAGGATCTCCTTGCCTTTGGTGGCGGATGTTGCGCAACGAAGTGCTCCGAGGGCCTCTTCTGTTGCCTCCCCCGAGCTTCTTGTTGAACGTGACGTGCCAGTGTCGCCTACAAGAGATGAAAGCGCCTACAAGAGATGAAAGTGGCAGCTGTAATGTACTGGGGGGGGATTACGACAGTTCAGTACCTCTCTTTCTGGCCGAGGAGGTAATATAGAGCCTCGCGGAATCCTGCCTAAGGTTCACTCGAGGCCACTGGTATACCATCTGTTTATTGTGTCGTAGTGAAAAAGAAGACAACGTCCCTGAAACCCTTATTAAGATGCGGGTGGAGGGCAGAATGCAGTCTTCTTCACGTCCATTCTGGTGTTTATATGGTGGTGGGTATAAGACGCTTCACTCCGGTGATAGATCTAACCGTGGAAGTCGCTCCTCGAGTAGACAAGAGAAGACATAGCAGCCAACGTGCAATTCTCTGCAATTTGTTGTTGTCTAGGTACTGGAGGAATCTTGTAACAGGAACAGCGATATTCAACAAGTAGACTCCAATGGAGCCATACTCAGGTCTAACTTCTCAAATATACACACTGTGGTAGGTGGCTTATGGTCACCGACAATGCCGATAACACAAAGGTCTTTTTTAGCCAGTAGGCAGAGCCTATAATTACCGGTGTACCTAGTCCCGACGGTAACCTTGGACGTTACCTTCCCGAGTGTACCTATGGCGCTGTTCTCGTCATAATTAGAAATGAGTAAATAAGCTTCAGGTTGATATAGAAAAAGGCCCTACAGAGATTGGGAAGATGGACGAGGATGAGTCAGGCTAGTTGCTCCGTGTAATGCTCGACGAAGTCGACTTCGCTCTCAAGGAATTGTCAATACCTTCTTCTCGACTAGAGTATCTGCCGCCAGCCTTGGTCCAGGCAACAACAACATTCATCCAAGAGAATACTATAACAGTCGGCGATCATCTTCAGCTTATAAACCAAAGCGACCAAAATCTCCTGAATCTGCTAAGCGAGGAGTTTGAGACAGTCGGCAGAGACTCTGGGGCGTCGAGGGACCGGGAAGGTAGGGTGGTTGGGGCCAGGGCTACGCGTGATCCCGCTATCATACATAATGTCGCGACGTCGCGTGAGTACGGCGGGAAAAAGGTGGCGCATGAGGAAGATAGCGTGGGCAGGTGTTCCCTTCTCGTCTGGCATCGAAGGTAGTTTTTCCACCTGAAGGCCCTCGCAGCTCGAGCACCTTGATCTCGATTGGCTCAGCCTCTGGATACCAACCCTGCGTATCGTATGCCGTCACAAAGTTGGCCATACTCCCGGTCGTATCAGGATGCTTAGCCCCGAGCACCTGCCACCGCAATAATGCACATAGAGAAAACAGAGGACAAGGGTCGACGGCTACAGCCGTCGACGCCGCCCAGACAACGCCGCCGTTGCAGCGAATTTTGAGCCTAGGCAGAGGCCAATGTAGCGCGGTGCCGTTGCGCCACCTTATCGCCGAGGAGCCACGGCAGATCCTTGACGAGATTGAACAACGCCCAAAGGCCCAACAGCCCGAACGCGCACATGGGTCCCAAGATGGCAAAGACGGTGAAGCCGTACGACGCCTGCTGGAAGTCAGCGTTTCCCTGGAGCCGTTCCGTTGCGAGGCCGACCTGCATCGCCGTCAGCACCAAGGCGATAAAGACGGCAGCTGTGGCCATCCAGGTAAGGTTATCGCGGAAGAGACTGCCGTAATTGCGCCGGCCGCGGAGGTACGGGTTGAAAAGTGGGAGGCGGGTGAAGCGGTTGATCGTGTTGACGCGGGAGAGGCGGAGCTCGGCACGATGGAAGCGCTGGTGGACTTGGCCTGGGTCGTGCGCTTCTAGGAGCTCCCTGGCCAGCTTCTTCCAGTGCGCCCACTTGATCGTTACGTCGTCTGCCCTGCGAGGTAAGAGGCGGCTGTCGTTGGCCACGAAGAAGTCGCTCTCTGACGAAATGAGACAGGCGTACGTGTAGAGAAAGCCGAGGGCGACTTTCCGCGGGTTTCCCTGGCACGCATCCGCTGGAGGGTCGGGGCACGTGCAGGCATCCGGGCACCGTAAGTTGCTCCGCCAAAAGGTCGGATCGAGAAGAAAGCGCGGGACGGGCTTGAGAAAGAGCCTTCCGCCGTTGTCCCAGAGGAGGTGCAGATCCATCCGGTCGGCGATCACGCTCTTCCGTCCCATGGCGACATGGGAGTGCAGCGGTGTGGCGGGGTGCTTCGCGCCAGCAAACCATAGATGCTCCAGCATGTCAGCCAGCCCCCCGACGGACAGTTCCTGCTGTAAGAAAGCCGGTATGTTGTCCGCCGGGTTAGCGACAACGCGCTTTCTGAAGGCCTCGACGTAATGATAGGAAGCCGGCAGGGCATCTGTGGTGCCGTTTCCCTCGTCATTCTCCGTTCCAAGTACTTCGGTTTCGAACTGCGTTTATCGTTGTTAGAGGATATGGACACTTAGACGCTGATAGGACTACCATATACCGGCTAGAGTCGGTGATTTAATAGAGCCATGGAGGAAGTGGGCGGGAACGGCAGGAGCTGGAGGAAAGACGAAGGCCGCTCTGCGTACGCGGTTAGTTGAACCCGTCAGCCAAACTCGGGAGATAGATCAATCCTGATCGCACCCTCCTCCGTTTCAACTTCTCTGCCGCTTGTCTATACACAGCTGTGAGCGTCTAGGGATATGAATCCTCGTTCGTGTGCTCTATACGACCCCTTGGCTATCTACAGTTTGGTTGGGCGTTATAAACACTTGCCTAGAGCGCGCCGTGTCTTCTTGCGAAAGGCATTATTGGTCGCGGCTGGCGTTTGTTGCCTGGCCCCGAGGATTGGATGTGGACGCTCTGTGGCGTTTTGGGCCTGGGAGCGAGCATAAATCGCCCGACTTCTCCTCATACCGCGTTTCGCCGTCGTCCACCAAAGCTCAACCTCCTCCACCTGCCACACCAAGGACACGGAGCGGCAGGGCCTCGCACTGTTCACCGAAGCGCAGCATCCGCGACCCAACAACTCGTACGGATCTCGGTCTCGCCATACAAGCTCTTATGCCGGTAGTCGAGCCATGATTTCCGTCAACCTCAGCCAGCGCATCTCTTTGGCCGGATGGGCAGCCGCCCTTTGTCTCCCCGTCGGTGTGGTTGCCATTTGGCTTTGGGTCTATCCCGCATCCACTCGTCTAAACCCCGCACCGCTGTCTCCGGCGGGGCCCACGATCCTAAACAATCCACGCAAAAAGGCGACTGCCTCCGTCCAGACAACCCCGACAAGAATAAGACACACATCCTCGAACACGCCCTGAAGCCCGAAGAAGGTCTTACTCAAGAGGAAGCTCTTCGTGGAGCTAATTCCCACCCTGAGCACGGCCAACGCCGAAAAGATCAGACAGAACCCGACGATCCGACACAATTCCACCTAAAAAGCAAGGGTGTCAATCTCCGCCAAGTCTACCCTTCTCCCGAGAACAAAACCGCAACAGACGTTGACATTATCGCCATCCATGGCCTCGACACGCAGTCGCCCGATACTTGGACATGGGATCCGAAAGGGGCCTGCGTTAACTGGCTGGAAGACCCGCACATGCTGCCCGAGCGGTTTCCGACCGCGCGCATTTTCACCTGCGACTGGCCGGCTGACCTCTTCGAGCAGCCAGGTTTCGTCCAAAAGATGATCGACGAGTTCGCTCGGCTGCTGCTCGCCGGCATCAAAGGCCGCCCTCCAGTGGCGGACGACCAACCCGGACGCGACCGGCCAATTGTCTTCATCGCGTCGTGCCTCGGTGGCATCATCTTGGCGAAGACGCTTGTGATAGCTAGCTACGAGTATGAATCCGTAAAACGAGCGACACGCGGCATCGTCTTTCTCGCCACGTCCTTCGGGGGTACATCATTCCAACGCGTGGCTACGTGGGCTGAGCCAGGTCTGAGGCTCTGGGCTTCGATCCGGGACAAGAAGGTCTCTAACCTGCTTGAGCTTGCGAAACCTACTTTCGATCTCAGACAACTCGTCCGCAGCTTCACTGCTTTCTGCCTAGAAAACGACCTTAAAGGCCATGTGGTCACCTTTTACGAGACTGGCAAGTCAAGTCTCCCGCGCAAAATAGCTCCTTGGCTCCATGCCTCTTTATCTTAAGAAGAACCTGTATAGATACTTTCCATCATGCTTAAAACCGTATTCAGTGGAAGCTAACGCTCCACAGCTGGTTGATATTGATTCCGCGACCCTGCAAATTGTCCCACATCCACTACCCCTTGATCGGCCCCACGTAACCATGAACAAGTTTAGTGGCCCCGACGATCCAGGATACGTTCTTGTCGCCGGGAGAGTTAGCATTCTTCTTTGCGACATTCGCAACGGCCGGCCTATTGAGAGAGCAGACCTCTGCATCTGAAATAACTGCTATTCCTTGACAGAGCTCAGGATCGAACGACTCTCGGGCGTCCTGCTTCCGATGGATCGGTGCTACATTAACCTTGCCATTGTGGAGCAGCAACCTGGCGACAAGACCAGCCCATCAGACGACGAGGGTAGAGCGCAAAAGGATTCTCCATTTTCGCTCCTCGCCCGACTGAATATTATGGCACCGGACAAGACGATCAATGTGACACTGCCGACTCTATTTAAACCCCGGAAGTCACGCGGCGGCCAGGAGAAACAACCAAGTCGCATCCTGATTCCTGGACGGGCAGGAGTGGGTAAGACTACTCTATGTAAGAAGATTGTCTATGATTTCACATATAGAAAACTGAGGCAGGACTTGTTCGATCGCGTACTTTGGGTACCGTTACGGAATCTGAAGCGTAAAGAAAGACTCCAGTCCAGTGGATATAACTTTGGCCATCTATTCCATCACGAGTATTTCTCTCAACTCCCAGAAGGCGACGGCCTCGCCAGGGCATTGTGGGATGCCTTAGAGGACACTAAGAGTGATAGAACTTTGTTTGTCCTCGACGGCCTAGACGAAGTGTCACAGGACTTGGACGACACTATGCGCAAGTTCCTCAAGAAGCTCTTGAATCAGCCTGATGTCATCATCACGTCTCGGCCACACGCAATACTTACTTCTGGTCTCGATCCTATCCAACTGGAGTTAGAGACCATCGGATTCTATCCCGATCAAGTGAGTGCCTATGTGGAAAAGGCCTTCACTGATTCAGAAACGGGCGAAACGGATTCGAAAAAGCCCGGCGAGGTTCAGTCGTACCTCCAAAAGCACCAACTAGTCCAGGGACTTGTGCGGATCCCGGTTCAACTTGATGCGCTCTGTTCCACCTGGAGCAGCCTCAGCGATAAGGTTATCCCGCAGACCATGACAGCCATCTACAGAGCCATCGAGCAAAGCTTATGGAGGAAGGATATCGTCCGATTGGGGAAGCAGCAACCAAACCGACCGCAAGTGGTGACACATGACCATGTCCAGGAACTTCTTCCATCAGAGGTCGAGAACTTCATTGAGGCCGAGCTCTCTCTTCTTGAGGGCTTAGCCTTTACGGGTCTGCATAATAATGTGATCAACTTTCGGCCAGAGCACCGGGATACAATATCGAGGCAGTTTAAATCTACTGGAGCTCGAGTCCCGCTAGACACCACCTGCACGCGCCTCTCGTTTCTACGGATGTCAGAGCTCTCATCGAACAGCCGCAACCGCAATTACCACTTTTTGCATCTGACGTTCCAGGAGTACTTTGCGGCGCGGTATTTTGTACGGCAGTGGAAAGCCGAACAACCCCTTAACTGCCTACAATTCAGCAATAGAGATTGCAGCAGCAAAGTCGAGCCTGCCACTTTCCTTCAGAAGCATAAATACGATCCTCGATACGATATCTTCTGGCGCTTTGTCGCCGGCTTGCTTGATGCTGACGGGGGGGCACCCGGCTTCTTCCAGACGATTGAGAGGGAGCCACGCGACCTCCTAGGTCCTACGCATCAGCGCCTGGTTATGCATTGCCTGAGCGAAGTCGAGCGGAAAGAGTCGGAACTTCGAGCGAAGCTAGAAACCGAACTGGAACAGTGGCTACTGTTCGAGTGCGACTTCACGAAAAGTTCCGAGTTAGCCCGCGAAATAGAGTGTCTAGAGCAGGTTATGATTAATATATTAAAGCAAGCATCTGAGGACTTGAACAGAATCTTCTGAGATCGATATTTAGACGAACAGCAATACCATCCAGTATCATAAATATTGTATCTTCCTGGCTAAACGATGATACTTCTAAACACCTATATAATAGCATCTTATATATCATAGGACATCAACGTCGAGGCTTACCGGATACGGTCCTACAAGGCATCGTAGCACGGCTCGAAGATAACGACTCAGACGTCCGACGGGCAGCTATCAAGGCGCTTCAAGGCCAAGCCGGCCTCGCAGAAGAGGTGCTACAACACATCGTAGCACAGCTCGAGGATACCGACTTTTACGTCCGACGGGCAGCTATCGAGCGCTTCAAGGCCAGGCTGGCCTTACCGAGGAGGTGCTACAAGATATCGCAGCACGGCTCGAGGATGACGACTTTTACGTCCGACGGGTAGCTATTGAGGCGCTTCAAGGCCAGGCCGGCCTTACCGAGGAGGTGCTACAAGGCATCGTAGCACGGCTCGAATATAAAGACTCGGGCGTCCGATGGGCAGCTATTAAGGCGCTTCAAGGCCAGGCTGGCCTTACCGAGGAGATACTGCAACGCATCGCAGCACGGCTCGAAGATAACGGCTGGAGCGTCCGACGGGCAGCTATCGAGGCGCTTCAAGGCCAGGCCGGCCTCGCCGAGGAGGTGCTACAACGCATCGCGGCACGGCTCGAGGATGATGACTTTTACGTCCAACGGGTAGCCATCGAGGCGTTTATGAATCAAGAAGCGCTATCGTTAGACGTCCTCGGACCATATATCAAACCCTTATATAAGGCTTTCCTACACAGAAGCTTCAAGGAACATATATACTGGTACACTTCGGATAGTGAATTTATAGGGGTTGGTTTTGAATATATTTCTTTAAGTAGCAGATAACATAGCTGGAAGGAAGCATTAGTAAAGCTACTATTGGAGACGGGCGCCGCCACCGTAGTGAAGGATGGAGACCGACGACCGCCGCTACATTTGGCTGCTGGGAACTGGGAGGAAGTGGTGGTGAAGCTATCACAGCAAAAGCTATAAAAGAGCACATTCGTTTCTGCGTTCAATTTCCGTACTATTCTCCATCCTCTCCTCCTCTCCTCCTCTCCTGTATTTCCTAATTGCAGCGTATCACCAGAAGGGCCCGAGAGAATTTATAAATATATATTACAAACCACTCGACTGTTAGGGTCGTCTGTCTGTCAGGGAGCACGGGCTCCACAGAGTGCTGGGGGTTGGTAATTATGAAGATAGAACAAAGGGCAAGCTCCTATCGCACGAGTAATACAGTCAAATCAGAATGCCACTCAAGATGTATGAGTGCAGCGAATGTGTATTGCTTTGCTTGAAGAACCAAGCAAGAACTATCTAAGACCGTGGATACGGTCATCGTATTTATTTAATTATGGCGGGCCAGTAAGAGCACAGCTCTTACTTGCCCGGCAGGAAGGAGCTGCCTGGCGCCGGGCACTGCTAGCGTGCCGGGCCATTTGCCTGGTGCCAAGACCCTTCTTGGCACCGGGCCACCTCTGATTGGCCGTCCTCCCGTTTGCCTGGTGCCAAGAGCCCTCTTGGCACCGGGCACCGTCTGATTGGCTCTCGACGAGCGGGGCCCCCAGTCTTGCCTGAGGCGCCTGCCTCCTGCAGCTGGTCCAGTACGAACCAGGTTCGTCACAATATATACTTGCCTATAAATTCTAGCATCCTCTAGATCTTTATCCTGACGAATCAATGACTTAATTAGTCCCACTTTTATATTAAATGTAAAGTATAGCATTTCCGCCGATGCCGTCATCGTCAATCATTATTATTAGGGAAAGTATCACTACTTAACATCCTCCAATACAGAGTGTACTTGCTCCTTGCGATACCTCGTGCGGTTACATCGCCTGGACGCCGTCCTCCGACAGCCAGCCGCCGCTCAACGGCAACTCGCTCAATGTTCCCGCCCTCGGGCTCGGACCGCTCTATGACGAAGAGTCGGGAGAGTCGCCAAGCCCATTGACCTTGTACGTGGCTGCCTTCCCCAACATGTGTACGAGCCCGGAAACTGCTAGGACAATCACTCCGACCCTAGCCAAAGGGTTTCCAACACATCACTAAATCTAGTGGCTGACGCTACTATTTGTATGGAAAGAGCACCAACTGGCCAGGCCACTGCCCGTTGGCTGGCACAAGCCACTAAGCCGCACTACGGCGCCACAACCCCACAAACTTTCACAAGCACACGCAGGACTGAGCCCCTGAGCATGTATATAAACAATGGCCCTCGCCCCCTTCCTTTGCGAGGGCCAGGTTGAAGTCTTACCCCAATACTAGTCATTGCTCGCACTTCTTGTTACCTTCATTGTGACCACCTTGATCCGGCGTACCTGCCTTCTCTCACATGTTGCACACTGCATTATCGCCAACGCGTCCTACTCAGCCAACTTCTCCTTCGAGAACGGTGTGCAGGTGTTTGCGTCGAGAGGGGGCGGGTCTACAATAGCTTGTCCTTCCTATCGGGCGCGGCTGGCGTCGGGTTTCTCAACCTGACCACGCCGGACGGGGCAATCATCGCCGGCTTCAACAAGACAATGGTAGAAGTCTTTGCCTACCAGGCGGTCATGAACACCTTCAACTCGTTCCTGCTCGGCGATATCTACGATTCTAGGTTTCGGGGGTACCGTCAACTCCACCGTGGGCATGACGGCGCTGCTAGGCACGAAAGTATGTTTCCCCGAGCCTCTAGTGACTTACAGCGATCTTACCTATGCCATCTCAATGCAGGAACTAAGTTTCTTGAACTATTTCAACGATACGGCACCCTTTCGTGCTGGAGTGAGCTCTCTCCACCACCTTGGCACCGCTGCCCCAACACAGCCTAACCGCGGAGCAGCCCTAACTATTCGTCCCCCTACGCTCCGCCGAGGATAGTCAAGACGCGGTACGCAGCGTTAAAAGTTGAAATTTCTCGTCTTAAATACTTAATTCCTTCAGCAGAAGGGGACTCTATAGAAGGCCCCTCGCAAGACGTCCATACTCCACGCCCTACTCTACCCCGAGCCGACACACCGGAACATCGCGACGCACTAGAAGACATCCACGCTTAGGTCTTGGCGAGAAGTCAGCCAAATTGTGGGTTTCAAAACGAGCTCGTCCGGTTCCCGAAATAGCTACAGTTAGCCCGGTACTTCGCGGTCTCCTATATTGAAGACTTTACTGAGAACGGCATTCTCCAAGCCGAGAATATCCGAGAGCTATCGGTATCCAGATCTCGCGACTTCTTTATATCCGCCGTTATAAAGCTTAAAGGCTACCCGCGTTATTTCAATATATTTATCCTTAGTATTAGGTATATCGTCCCGCTTCGTCGATTTCTCTTTACTAATATTAGACAGAAGCAGCAGAGTCTATGCTACCGACTCCAGGGACCGATTATACCCTTAAGCTCCAGGCCCGACCAGAAGCTAGCTCCGAACAGAGGCTACCAAACAGTGCGAAACCTCCCAAGGCATCTTTATACAATCAACACCCTCCAGTCATCCCACGTAATTACACACAAGCCGAACACGTAGAAGATTAGAACGTAGAGGAGGGCTTAGGGCTAAGCAAGGACGAGACTAAAAATCTTACATCTAGCCCGCCCGCAGGCAAGTATACCACTTAGGATCACAGTATTAAACCGGCTTCACCATCACTAGTTCATCCAGCTCCAGCTCCCATCAGCCAACCGACTAGGAAGCGAATGCTTGAGACAGTACCTAAAGAAAGGGGGGCAAAGAGGAGCCGAAGCAACTTAGAAAACTAGAGCACATTGCGAAGCGACACGACTGGGACTACGGATAGCGCTTGTTATATCTTTAATAGGCCCGGTTCCGCTACGACTTAAGCGCATAATAGCGATCATAACTATATTAAGGCAACCACACCCCCCAAGGCGCGCATTGACCAGTTAACACCACAATCGCCAACCGAGGAGCATCAACGAAATGCGATACAATATCCTAAGACCCTGCCGACAGGTAATACTGAACAGACGTATACTTAGGGCCTACCGTCCGGCTTCAATGCCTCCCTCATTACCGGTGCCACTCCTCCCAGGCAGCAGTCTGACGGCAATAGTGTTGCACTAGTGTAATGGAATGCCGGAGTCTTCGTAACGGCTCGTAGTGTGCTCTGCTCTGTCGATGATTTCTTTGAGAGAGCGGTGGCAACCAATCCTGTGGAATTTGAACTCTCCAGGACGAGAACAAACGGCTGGGTCTACATGTCGACACAACTAACTGGAGCCTTGATCGTGATCCGTAAGGAAGTTTTATTTCAAGACGAGCATTCTCCTATCCCCGTAAAAGTCTCAAGGTCTAACTTAGAAGCACTCATGTGTTTAGACGCTGCGCGGCTTATGAAAACATACTTTGAGACAGAATATGTCGGGTTAATATTGGTTGGCGAACAAGAGACTTCATTTCTCAACTATCTCTTAGCCATAATATCGACGTTCCGGATCCCCATCGGTGATAAACTGATGCTTATCCCGACATAAATAAATCTTACCGTCCGCAAGACTTCGGCTGTATTCATCATCCATTCCTTCCCTGTAAAATCACATATTACTACTTGAGCATCCTCGTCTCTGCTACTAAACCTCTGAACTATCGATTCCGCGGCCCTGCCGGTCTGTGTGCTATTAGTTTAGTCCCTTAATAATTACACGAATCCTTACCCATTCGGCGATTTTCTTTTTAATATCGTCCTCTGTCCAACCCATTACATCAACTATTTCTGACATCTTGGAGACTCCCGGGGGAAGGCTTGTAGTTCGAATTGGGTTTTTGATGGCAGTCTGGAGATGTTGTAGCCCCAACGTGTTTCGTAAGTAGGGTGGAGGGGGGGTTGCGTCATTAAAGTAGTCGCTGCCGTTCACTATGAGTTAGTTAGGGCGGCTGCCTACTGTTAGAAGCTGACAGAAACCCTCTGGATTGTGTCGATATTAATGCCAGTTAAAAATGTGGAGGGATAGACGAACAGGGGAGGGGACTTGGGCGAGGTGGTGAGGGGGGCTTGAGGAAGCGATAGCAACGCAACTTTCGAAGACAGCCGGGAATGAGGGAACGAGACTGGGTAAATTAGAACAAGTAGCCAGCCAAAAGCCTCTAATAGCCTCCAATACGCCCTTGATAAATCGGCACTCAACATATCTCTGCTAAGTCGCGATAATTCTTGCCGCCATCAGCACTCACGTCTATCTGGATGGCCTCGTCGTCTTCCTCCTCTTCCTCTGTGCCTCAGTTAAAGTAGGGGAGCAGGAAGTTTCAGTCAAGTGCGTTGCGGAGATTGGCTGCTGGCAACCTCGGCAATTGGCGCTGGACGGGGTTCCTTGTGATCCATCCTCTCAGCGGGGTCGGTTCTCGGAAGCGGAATAGTTGTTTGCGGCGGTTGGCAGATCGTTGGATCAGTAATACTGAATTTCGAAGATTCTTAGGAAGGTAGTTCGAGGCGTAGAGCATAGGCCACAAGAAGATTGCTTGCGTTTGGGTGTTAGACAGATATATAACTTTGCATTGCCCTCGGCACGGATGGCCACTGCTGCTTAAACCGGCAAATATCTTGACGCCTAGCTGTTGAACAACCTCAGACTAGAACGCTCGCTCACAAATCCTTGACCTCCTGTACCTTTGCCGTTGTCAATTCCAAATCGTCTTCCTCGATATCGCCAGACTCTGCAATGGCTTTCGCTGCTACAATAACCAAGTAGCCACTCACAATCTTGTTAGACGTGAACGGTTGGATGCCACAACTGCCTTCAAGGCCATCCATAGAGATGAAGGTGCTGATCAAAAGTCCTTAAATACTTAGAAGAGTCGCAAGTAATGGAGGGAGCATAACTGTCTGGGTGAAGAGCTGGGCGACTGAGTGAGCAAAGCAACAGGTAAATGCGAGTAGAGAAACACAATATTTGAGCTCGAAGTCTTTGTTTCAAATTATCCCCTACGCGCTAGAAACCTCTAATACGAAGAAGGAAGCGTCTTTTTAGATAATATACGGTAGTGGTTCTCTCTCTTATTTCCATCAGGTGGATAAATGCTAAACTGAATGCCCTTCTCGTCATCCCAGTATAATTTATGAGTCCAACTGCTTAATATACGGCCATCAGTTGGTAAATGGCACTTATATATATAACAAATATTCACAGGTTCACTCCCAATTGGGCAACTAAAATGGTCCAATAAGTTAACGACGTATGGTACTTGGGGTTGGCACCAAGCCCAAACGTTCAAAATAATATTCAACTCAGGAAAAGTTGCTTCCAACTTTACCTCATCCCATTCATGATCTTTAAAGTACTCGCGAATAACCGCTTTATTACTTGTGTTCCGCATTTTCTCTATCATCAAATCGTGATCTAGGGGGTCGAGGATAATATAATGAGGCTTTTCGAGCTTGCGACCCTCCGAGAGTTCTTTTAACGTCTCCCCAATAAAAGGACAGCGTATAATATGCATTAAGCTTCCTTTAAACAATAATTTTGCAAGTATACAGTGAAAGCAATCATTCTGTGTGTGACTATCCTGGACGTGGGTGACTTGCGAACTGGCGCCGGTAGCCTGGGTGACGACTTGCGAACTGGCGTCGGTAGCTCGGGTGGCGACTTGCGAACTGGCACCGGTAGCTTGGGTGACTTGATAACATAGCGTAGAGCTAGCATAGTAGGGTCTGTTGAATGAAGAGGCACGCACTGGTGATGTCTGCACGCGCTCAGACCGCTACGAACTAGTCACAAAATGTTCTCGACTCAGGCGGCTAGAACTCCGTCAAGTGCTCGCTTTGAGTCAACTTCTCCGCGCACGGCCTCTCAGGGGCAAAGTAAACAAATGTAGGCACAGCCAGAGGGTGGTAATTGTAGTGTCATTGTTGTTGTTGAACTAGCGTAGGGCAATTCCTGAACGACTTTATGTGAACCAACACCTGCATTCAACTTGAGGAAGACTCTGCAATTTCCAGCGCCCAAGCCCATCAAACACATTAAGAGAGATATCTAACACGGCTCCAGAGACGTTGATTGCGTAATTGTCAATAGGAGGGCGATGTGGTAGTGCGGATATGGAGTCATGTTCCGGTTGCGTTGACATCACACAAATGAATATGTTTAATTTTGCAGTCTTATCTTTAGAAGTCTCGTCTGCCTATTTAAGTTGGTTCAAACGAGTAGAGCTCGCACATTCTATTCTGCGGTCTTGTAAGTGGCATCTCTCATATCTGTAAACCGTCGGAGAGGCAGCTGAACTTTGCCAGACAGACTGAAGTGGTTAATCTTGACGCCTTGCGAGACTCATCACGAAGAAATGACTCCGATATCAAGCTATGAAACTATCACATAGACCGAGCACCGTTGAAAAACAGACCCCACGGCTTGCCGCTGAGTCCTAGGTAGGTGTCTACTCCGGGAGAAACTTCCACAGGTAGATCACCAAAGAGAAATGGCTTATGCCCATCGCCATGCACACCACAAGATGAACACAATTAAATATTTACCGCCATAGGGCAAAGAGTCGAATAATTGAACGGCACCGACAGAGTCACTAGGTACCTACTTAGGCACCTGATGTACCGAGTTATCAGTGTATCATCGTTGCTAGCCCCTCTGGCTCTTTTATCTATTCCTTTTGCAGTGGGCTAAAAAGTAGCCTTGGTAATTGCCTGGCTTATCCTTGAGTCAAAATACCAAAAAGGCCCCGAACAGTTAGTGAAAGGAGACTTTTATATGAGCTATTGTGGTCGACTGGCTGCTGTAAGTGCAAGTGTCCACGGTGCTCACAGTGCCCAAGACTGACTGTATGTACTGTACATACATTGACTATAGTGTTGAGCTCGTATTGGCGGACTAAAACACCAACCCGAGAATTCGCTTGCACGGTACGGATACGTCTTTGCTAGAGCGAGAGCTGTGGCGTCCAAGGTTTTAATGATGCCGACGTGAGAGACCATGGGGGGCTGAGGTGGAAAGGATTGGATGGAAGGATTTCCTACGGCCGTTACAACAAGCAGCGGGGACAGTGATAGCAAGGCAACCTAATTGGCACTAGACTCAACGGCTCAGTAATTTTGTGCATGTGCCTACTTTCACGTCCAGCTCGAAATCCCGAAACCTGCATGTCAAGATTAAGTTCCGGAAAGAGCATATGATGCGGCTCGTTTCGAACCTTCTCCCTGCTTACCTTGCGGAAGAGGCGGATGGCGGCTTTTGAAGGAAGAGCTCGAGCCTTCCTCAGTTGCTCCTGCCTTTTTCGGGAGTTGAACCAATGAGAGAGATCTGCTGACAGCTGTGGCTTGGAATTACGTCGGTTGCTCGGGTTGAATCCGATGCGCGCCGCAGTCTCTCGTCAGATTTGATAAGCTTCCGGGTTCTCTCCATGCGGCGCTGGCCAATGGCCCGGGTGGTTTAAGCGAGTGCGAAATGCGACTACATCCGTGCCCTTGGCAGACTAGCCGCAAACGCAGCCTTCCTGACTAACAAGCTCCAATGACAACCTAGCCCTCCTCGGCCAGGCCAACTGACAGCAGCTTTCAAGCTTTTTCCAGCAGCCTAACACGTATCTGCCATGCGCTGGTGTGGTGCTTAGTGTAGAGAGAGTCTCGAGAAAAGTTATAGCTGCCTCCCTATCGCCATGGCTCGCTTCATGTTGCATCGGATTGGGCGACTAAGGTGGCCCAAAGGCCAACGAAACACGAAGTGCATGGCCCCACTGCTAGTAGTTGACCGTCTGTTGGGTGGAGCAACTACTACCTACCCAAATCGCAATTGCCATTGCTGTTTGTCCGTTCCTTCCTGTTCACTCACCAAAAAGGAAAGGGAGAAGAGTGTTGGACCAAGAGACAGAGGCAGGGGCCGGTCCTCGGCCCGGAGCAAGCAGCCACCTCAGGGCAGTTCCTCCGCCCTCGCCTGATACGAGCGCCGGGCACTGCAATTCTTCCGTCTCCGACTCTTGTCTGCCAGGTCCCACGCCATCCTGCCCAGTCTACTAGTGATTCTAGTCGGGCTGTCTCTCGCATTGTTTCTTTCTAGCTTGTCGACCCCGAGTCCGAGATATGCTCGTCACAGTCCCAGTCCCCTTTCCCTGACCCTTGCCCCCATTCGGCCATACATGTACATGACATCCGGATGGACAGACGTCCGCCTCTCACACCCGCCACACATTGAGCCCCACGCCTCCTCAAACGAAGGCAACACGCTTTCACAGAAGGGCCAGGCGAAAACAGCATCCTTTCTCTGCCCTCTTTGCGCGGCACGTACCGTATCCCTCCATGCGACGAATGCGAGAGCCATTACTTTACCGCCTTTACGACAACTTTGTTGTGGATACTCCAGAGAAGAGTGATGACAAGCTGGGCACAAAGCATTACGGAATATAAATCTCGCCTTTCCCTCCCTACCCCCCAGGGCACGCGTCATGATATGGCCATAGCAGCAACAGGACATCTTGTAAAACACACAATCACCCAATCCGCCTCCTCCTGAACTCCACCACCCACCCCATCTTACCATCATCACATCTCCCGCCTGAGACCCTCCCACACAATGGACGGCGATGCCGAAAAGAAGAGCGAGGCGGCCGCTTGGGACAGACCCCCGGCAAACGGCAGTGAACCCCAAGACCCTCGGCCCAACACAAACATCACCTCTGCCGAGGCCGGGATGGGCGAGCCAAAGCTAAAGCCAAACGCCGACACGCAGACAGGGAAAACGACGACCCCGGAGAGCCTAGGTGACGAGCTCGACCTCAGCAGCCCACCCCTGCCGAAGCTGCGGTACTCTCTGCTAATGACAGGGTGGGTTTCATCACAAAAAGAGCAAAGAGGTAAACTGACGGAAGGACTCCGTGATATAGACTCGGCTGTGGACTGTTTCTTGCCATGCGTATGTACTACCCGCTTCCCCTTTTGCCCCCCCCCAAAAAAAAAAAAAAACCACAACTCCCCCTTTTTCTCTTTTCCAAACATACACACACACACTAACACAAAAAAAACGCAGTGGACACGTCCATCGTCGCCACGAGCCTGCACACAATCGCGGCCGAGTTCCAGGAGCTGGAGCGTATCAACTGGGTGCCGCTGGCCTACACGCTGACCTTCCTCAGCTGCGCGGTGCTGTTCGCGCGCATCTCGGACGTCGTCGGCCGGCGCGCGGCCTTTTTGACCGCCTACATCATCTTCATCGTCTTCTCGCTGGCGTGCGGCTGGGCCAAGAGCCTTGACCAACTGGTTGCCTTTCGGGCGCTGCAGGGGATTGGCGGTTCCGGTGTGTTTTTCCTTTCTATTTATTTCTTTCATCCTTTCTTCCAGTCATAGACTTGGGATGAAAAACTAGGTGCAATAGAGTTGAGCATTGCTGACAGCGTCCATGCCCAGGCCTCTACAGTATCACCATGATCGTGATGCCCGAACTCACGCCAGACGGGAAGAAAAAGATCATCGCAGGCATCGTCGGCATCGTCTTGGCAACTGCCGGCGTGCTGGGCCCAGTGCTGGGCGGAGTGCTGACGCAGTACGCGAGTTGGAGATGGGTTTTCTGGATTAAGTTGGTGGCCTTTCCGTGCTTTATCATCAACGCCCTTGTTGAGGACGATGATGTCTACAAATGCGAGATGCTAACAGCTAATCTCTCTCTCCAGCGGTCCCATCGGCGGCGTTTCTGCCATGCTCTTTTACCTGTCCTGGCCCGAAAAGAAATATCTCCCGCCGCTTGAGCGGAGACTTTGGAGGGAGGTGGATTTCCTTGGCTCGTTCCTGTTGTAAGTCTGTCCCCGAGATAAAAAGACACAAAAAAAGATAAAATGCTTACTTATCCTCCTCGGGACTCGAAAACAGGGTAGCATCGGCAGTCTTGATCGTCTTCTCATTTCAGAATTCCGGATCCGAGGGCGGGACGTGGAGGGAAGCCGTGTTCATAGCGCCGCTCGTGACAGGCGTTGCAAGCCTGGTGGCGCTCTTCGCATGGCAGTTCTACCTGGAACGGCGGTGGGGTGACAAGATGGCGGCGGCGATTCCGCTCGCGCTCCTGCGCAACAAGGCGTTCACGGCGGGCATGCTGACGACCATGGCCGCGGGGTTCCCGTACATGCTCTCGGTGTACGTGTTCCCCATCCGGTTCCAGATCGTCAACGGTAAGAGCGCGCTGGACGCGGGCCTCATGCTGCTCCCCATGCTAGCGGCGACGGCTGTGGGCAGCGCGCTGGGTGGCTTCTTCAACGACAAGAAGAATCGGCTCGCCGAGACCATGGTCGCGGCGTGCATCATGATGATCATCGGCTGCGCGCTCGAGACGACGGCGTCGAGCGACCCCAGCCTCGAGCCAAAGGTGCTCGGATTCCTAGTCTTTATCGGGCTGGGCTTTGGGCTGTCGGCTACGGGTTCGACCATGCTGGCAGCCACCGAGTCGACGATTCAGGAACATGGTAAGACAGGCACGCATGGATTTGGTTTACGGGTTCAAAACGAGTGCTAATCGTTTTTTCGTGTCTTCATAGCGTCGGCACAGGGACTTGTAGCGCAGGTGCGCATTCTCGGGGGCAGCATAGGCATCGCGGCATCGTCGGCCATCTTGGGGGTCAAGAGCAAGGCGGCGGTGGAAGCGGGGGCCGTGTCGGCGTCGCAGCTCTCGCACGTGTCGTCCGAGGCAGCGAGCGTCTCGCCCGAGCAGTGGGCCGTCATCCGGGGCGTATACACGGACACGCTGAAAGAGGGCATGACGGTGGGCTGCATAGTGCTCGCCGCCGGGGTTGTAGCGTCGCTCTTTGTCTACAGCCGCAGCCGCGTCCCCATCGAGGAGAAGTTCCGCCAGCGATATCGCGAGGAGGCAGAGAGGCGGCAGCGCACGGCAGCGAAGCCTTTGTCGCCGTATGTACCGGCCGAGGCGGTTGTATAGGGATGGGAGATGAAAATAAATAACAATAAAAATAAAAAGGTACTGGGCAGGTATGGGAGTCACCAGAAGGGTTGGTTTGGTATAGAGCAGGCGTTTAGACAATTTTAGATTTATTATTTAATTAGGTACGGGTATTATACCTCTAATTCTAGGAATAACATGAAATTCACCCTCCGCACTCTTCAATTTCGGCACTACCTATAGGCGCTATTGCGTGACTGCGCGGGCTCTCCAATCTGTTTGCACCGGCGCGGGGGTTTTTTGGAGTTTGGAGTGGAGGCAGACAGACGGGTTCCTTCCATATCCGTATTTCTATCTCCCGTCGTCGGTGGATCCGTCAGGTATGGCGTCAGCTTCGCATGCATTCTCGAGTTACTATTGGTCAATGGAGTACTGAGTGCCTACAGACCATTTCGACTCTCAATAGGTGAATTAATACTTTGCTGCACCTCACATCACCACCATCACCATCCCATGTTGGCAAGAGCGCTGTTGAGAAGAATCACAAGCTCACCTCGTAACCCCTCTTTTGCCCCGTTTTTCACTCGGTCCGCCGCCGCCAATCTCCGAGCAGCCATGTCGTCGTCGTCGGCAGTCGCCAGGCGGCTCGAGGGTAAGACGATTGTCATCACGGGGGCGTCGTCGGGCATCGGGCGCAGCTGCGCCTTCGAATTTGCGCGCGCCGCGCCGGCCAACAGCCTCAAGCTGGTGCTCACCGCCCGCCGCATCGACGCCCTCCGCGACGTCGCCGCCAAGATCCGCGCCGAGGTCGGCGACGGCGTCAAGGTCCTGCCTGTTCAGCTTGACGTTAGTAGCCCCGACCAGGTCAGGGCTTTTGTGGCGGGCCTGCCCGACGACTTCCGCGACATCAACGTGCTGGTGAACAATGCGTACGCCCATTTTTTGTTGTTTTGCCTTCCTTGTTTTCTTGATTAGTTGCTCACTTTCTCGTGCTGTTTGTTGTGTTGCTTAGTGGTCTGGTTAAAGGAGGTGAGTTCATGTCCTTTTTCACTCGCCCCTTTTTTTAAAATAGGCAGTCTTGTAATACACTTACACCCGCTCACACGCATCTGCAGTGGCCAAGGCGCCCGAGATCGCCGAGCAAGACATCAACGTCATGTTCCAGACCAACGTGACGGGGCTCATCAACATGACGCAGGCCGTGCTGCCCGTCTTCCAGGCGCGGCCCGACGGCGGCGCCGGCGACATTATCAACATTGGCAGCATCGCCGGCCGCGACCCCTACCCGGGCGGCAGCATCTACTGCGCTACCAAGGCCGCCGTCCGCAGCTTCACCGAGAGCCTGCGCAAGGAGCTGATCGCCACGCGCATCCGCGTCATGGAGGTCGACCCCGGCCAGGTTGAGACGGTGAGGTCCTCCCCCTATCTCAAAAAAGGGGCAAACTCCACCACTGACACCCTTCCGCGGCCAGGAATTCTCCGTCGTCCGCTTCAACGGCGACAAGGCCAAAGCCGATGCCGTCTATACGTACGTCTCCTTCCTTCGCCATCTTACCTAACAAACAAATCCCCCTCACAACACAACACATAAACAAACGAACCAACACACTGACTAACACACGCCATGCATAAAGCGGCTGCGAGCCGCTCACGCCAGACGACATCGCCGAGGCGGTCGTGTTTGTCGCCGGAAGGCGCGAGAACGTCGTCATTGCCGACACGCTAATCTTCCCCAACCACCAGGTGCGTTTCGTCCCCTTTTTCAATTCCATCCCCGGCATCTCTCTCTTGCTGTGTTTCTCTGCATTTGTAAACAAATTTCATTCATTGACGTCCTCTCCTGCACAAAACCGTCTAGGCCGGTGCCGGTATCATGCATCGCAAGTCGACATAATCTTTCTGTCTGTCACTTGCTAGACCTGCTCGTCAAATCGTCAAAGAGAGAGACAGAAGAGGGGACGGATGGAGACAGTGTTAACAGGCTGGTATGAGCCGGGCATAGAGATTTAATAACTACCAGGCAAAAAAAAAAGAAACACAAGACACATTTTTGTCTACAGTGAGAATGCTACTGCCAGCTCGCAGCAAGACCTTCAGTTCCTTTTTTCTGATATTGAGCCCTTTGATCCTAATATTTGACTCGGAACTAGACGTTCTATACGGTGGGCACGACACGAGCCCCCTCCTCTAAATGTCACTACCCGAGGCAAGCGTTGTAGATGAATTGTACATTTCCCCTGACAGTCAAGACCCCAGTAGCAGCGTTATATTTCACTCGTACTCATCTTCCTCTCGCTCCTCGTTCCACTTCTGCCCAAACGCCAGCCCTTCAATCTTCCACGTGACCGGCTTCTTCTGCTTGTCGACCAACTGCGGTTCGCTGATGGCGGGCTCCTTCGCCTGCTTTTCCCTGAGCTTTGCCCTAGCGCGTTCGAGGTCGCGTTCGCGCTCGCGCTGGCGCTCTTGTATATACTCGTGCACTTTTCTCCGGCGCTCGACAGCCTCCAGCTCCAGCTGGCGCGCGGCCTCCTCCTCCCTGGCTACGCGTGCGGCCTCGTCGGCCTCGAGCCTGCGCTTTTCCTGCTCCTCTCGGGTAATAGTCCGGTACTGGGCGGTTGCAAGCCACAGGTCCTTCACCTCGGACCCAATGTCCATCTCCATCTTTAGGCCCCAATCGTACATGTCCTTGAACGATAGGTCGGCTCTTTTCAAGGCCCACTCCATGAGCCGGAGCAGAGCGAGTTTGGCCTGAGGGGTGAAATCCCTCACCATGGCGTGGATCTTCTTCACGTAGAGAAATGCGAGGTCCGTATCCCCTACAGACATGGCCGCCTCCATCATTCTCTCGTACATTTGTGCCGAAGGGCGAATTGACATCAGCTTCATCTCGGTCTCGAGGTGCCGGATAGCCACGGCAGAGTCGGTGATGGCAATGATCAATTCAAAGGTTTCGAGATCCGGGGCCGACGAGGACATGCGATCCCACGATTTGAAGACACCGAGGGCCTTTCTAGGGTCGTTATTCAAGCAATGCGCCTCTATCAGCACTCTCGGAGCCAGACGGTGAAGTTCTCGGCCCTTCAACTTCGACTCGACCAGTAAATCGGCGGCCTCGTCTGCGAGCTCGGGGGATCGTCTGAGAAGGGCAAGTATCGAGCGGGTGCTCGCTAGTTCGGGCTCCCGCCCTGCCTCAACCATAATGAAGAGGACCTTGAGGGCCTTAACTATGTTTCCGCCATGGGCGTACGAGTCCAGCAGGGCCTCGTAGTGGTGAGTCCCCAGCTTGACTCGGCGTGATGCGAGGAGCTTGATAGCCGCAAGGGCCAGATCCGGTTCGCAGTGGCGCGACGCCGTGTTAATGACGTTGAGGGCCATGCCGTCGGACGGGTTTAGAAGCCCGGTCTCTACCATGGTGCCCCAGGCGAGCCTCGTGCCCTCGTAGTGCAGCGCCTTGCTCCATTCGTCGAGGAGGAAATACCACATGGCGTGCTTTGGTGGGAAAGCACTCCAGGCTGCGTCTTGGAGCCGGCGTTGCAGGAGCCGGAAGGCTTCGTGCGAATGGCCCCAACTGGTCAAGGTAACAATGAATATGTCCATGACCCAGCCGGGAACGGCGGTGGGGGCCAAGTTGTCCAGATGGTCCAGAGCCATCTCGGGCTGGCCGTCTCTGAGATAGCCGAGGGCGATGAAGCAATTGGGGAGATCCTGGACGGGTACCTTCCTGCGCTTCATGTCGCCGAGGACGCGGAGCCTGAGCAGATAGTCTGGATGGATAGCGAGCACCCTCAAGGCCATATCGTGCATGTCTTTGGTGACGGGAAACTCGCCCTTTGCTATTTCGTTCAAGAGAAAAGCCAGGCCGTTAGCAGACCCCATGACATCTGTGTCGGCCGCGATCAGGGCCTCGGCAATGGTGGTGTTGAGCGGCTGGTGCTCATCGCGCACGAGAAATTTAACGAGGCGGAGTATCTTTGCCCTGTGGTTTGGAACATCGCGATCGCGAAGCATGCCAAGCGCCCTGTAGAGGACTGCATACGGCGCCTTCTTGAGCGTGTCATCGTCGAAGGTGTCCAGGTAGTAAGCAAAGCTCGCCGCAGTCAATATCGGCTGTTTTTCCTGTGCAGGGGGGGAGAAAGAGGGAGGGGGCAGCTCTTGCTCGGCGGGTTGGGAAACGGCTTGCGAGGCTTCTTGCGAGGCCCAGCGGCGAGCTTGGCGAGGCTGGTGCAGGCCATTGTCGCGCCGCCCGAGTCGGAGTCGGAGCCGGCAGGGAGGCGCGAGTAGTGCCTCGACGGAAACAGATTTGGCCAACAGAAGGCCGTTGCTAGCGGACGGACAGAGACAGCGCCAGAGGCCGTCGACAAGGACAGGGACGGGAGAGGCTGCCATTAATTCAGATTGTTGATTGTTATTCAATCGAATTGAAACCCGTCGCGCACCTCCTACCTCAGCTCAGCTCAGCTCAGCTCAGCCTAAAACACCATCAGGTGCCTGAGCTTGGTTGCAACTTGAGGGACCTAAATACCTAAGGTACCTCACCTTCTTTAGGTTGAAGAGTCGGGAGTGGAGATGGAAGCGGACACGGGTTGTCACCAGCATATCCCGGTAGCGCTTCACGCCTAGTCACGTGGTGTGGGGTAGACAACAAGATGGGAAGGTGATCAATTTACGAGTTTGCTACCGTGCATGTACATAAGGTATGGTACAGACAGAATACACGTGTGAAATTCAACAGACACGAATGACTGGAAGAGATCAATATCAGGGGTATCCATATTGCATTGGGCTAACTGTAGACCGAAACATAGGTGTTCTACGGTTTCCGTTGTTAGCGTCTACTTTATTACTTTTAGTCTTCCCACTGCCCGCCAAATGCTATAAAGACTGCGGGTAACGGCAACCCCAAACCCTAGCGCCATCTGAGTAGGTATGTACGTAGTGTAGACCACGCCCAAGCAAGCAGCTCTCTCTCTCGAGCACCGCTTCACCTGATCGACCGGAGGAACCACGATGCACCCCCCCGGTAGTCTCCGTCAGTGCCGCTATCATAGGCAGCCCCGTACACAAAAAGGCCAGACTGTCGGCCCAAACGGCGGTAGATATGCAAAGAAGTTACCGAGAGAGATGAGAGACAGACCACGACACGTAGGTCCGTTCCATCTCGTCCACCCATTCATTGTCCCGTGGATTCGCTGCGCGCCCAATTGACAAGACTCGCACCGGGAACGCCCACTCACGCGCCGCGACCGCCGCCGCGACCGCCGCCGCGTCCTCCTCTCCCCTGTCCGCGGCCGCCGCGTCCGCGGTCTCCGCCGCCGCGTCCGCCGTGGTCGCCTCTAGCCTGTCCTCCGCCACGCCCGCCTCGGTAGCCGCCGCCCTGGTTCTGTTGTTGGTCCTTTGCAATTTCGAGGACGTCGCCCGGAACGCGCAGGTACTTGATCTGTGACAGAGCCGTCCCCCAGGCATTAGTTCCCTTGGTCCCAACTGTGGCAGAAACAGACTCGACATGGTGCCGGCCCCCTCCTTTCCGTAGACAGAACGTACATTGTTTCCCTTGACGTAGACCTCCGGCAGTCGCATGAATTTATTGCCCTCCTATTCGCAAGCGAGGTGTCGTGGCCCCCAAGTCAGCGCTTTTTGCTTCTCCGACCGCAGTTTGTCGCCCGCGCGCGCATGCACGCAACTCGAGTGAGTGGGTGTTGCACTTTTGTGCAATGCTTCACGAAGCGAAGCGAAGCGCAACCAGCAGGAACCGAAAAAAAAGGGAACTATATACCGGGCTGGTCTGGGTGACCTCTCGCAGGGTGAGGTTCATCCATGTGTCGCACAGGACCAGGTGTCCGTTCAGCGTCTCGCCATTCTTCAGCTCGACCAGCATGGGGTGGCCTTGGGCCGCGTTCAAAAGGCCGAGGGGTAGCTGCGACGAGAGAGAGGGGAACGCACGCCCCGCGATCAGAAAAAGAAGGAAAAGAAATCTGGGGGGAGAAAACTAAACACGCACCATTTTTACAAAAAAGGATCCGCGTCCCGCGCTGGTGTTGTCGCTGTGTTTGGCGAGCTGGGCGCTGCGGGAGTCTCTTTGGGTGGCGGTCCTGCTGCAGTGGTGAGAGAGAGCTACTGTGGTACGTTCCCCAGGAATGGAACCACTTGCGTCGCGATTGACCGTGTCTTCGATGCAAGGCTGAGCTGAGCTGAGCTGAGGGCTTCCGGTGATTAGCCGGGCTAGTGGGGCAGGCTGTAGGGCGGTCCCGTCCTGTCTTCAGCGGGGTTTGCTTTTGTTTACGGATTACAGTGCACTCCACCGACACTGGTTTACACAGCAAGATGGACTATAAGTATTTACCCAAATACCTTTAATTCCAGTCCAAACGAAGCACAGATTTCCAGTCAAGCACGTAAAAATAAACCAACACCAAGCCATCCATGAGTCACAAGAGACCGCTGTGGCCGAGCAAAAAGAGGACAAAGTGTAAATTTGGACGGGCTGGGAATCGAACCCAGGACCTTTCGCATATAAGCGGGCATGCTAAGCGAACGCTCTACCAACTGAGCCACACGCCCTTTACTCATAATTATTGTTGAGATGTTGGAATTTAATCGGGCCTATTCAACGACAGCCCTTCCACCGCCCCCTTCGTAAAACAAAGAACCTTAAGAAATCTCATCGTAAGAACATCGTCATAGCCGAGCATGATAGACTAGGCTAGAATTAGATTTTAAAGTTTATTATGCGGCGCATTCCTCGAGTGGAGCTAATGGAGGCATAGAAACCTGAGCGAGGTTGAGCCAACCTACACTAGACGAGCGAATCCGAGCACCCAACAACACCAAAAAACCCGCTGTTGGAAGTATCCGTAAGGAGCAATAAAGTCTGATAAACCGCCAACGAAAAAATTTACTAGAAATTGAATCCATGTCTCCGGATGGCCTTGTAGCTGGCACTGCATCTCGCAGCTTTGACATTGTATTTCAGAAATAAAAACAAAATAATTACCAAATTGGAGTTGCCTCCCCGACCACTTCACGAACACTACCTAATCTGGGACTAGCCTAAGGTAGATGTTGAGCAACAACAATAGTTTCACATTCTCTTGCCCGCACTGCACTGTCTGATCCAACCCAGGTAACCTGCCTACCTTGACGGGCGCAGACAGCCGAGATTGGACACCATGTAAAGAAAGAAACAAAGAACCTAGGCTCACTTGCTCACTCGACACAGACAAAAAAAGAGAATATCAAGAGCCTACCCGTATAGAGAGCTCCCAAAAAAATCCCGACAACAAATAACAAGAACTGCTTGGACCCCATCGGAACCTCGTCTCCTCCTCGTACCAAATTTCCTTCGCTCATCCCCGGTCATCCACCGCTCCAAACATCACGCCCTGCCTTTCAGTTTAGGAAGCGCTTTCGCGGCTCTTACGGTAGGTTGCCTGTAGCGTGGGAGCGAGTTGAACAGATGTCGGAGCCGGAGTCAGCAAAGACCGCTCTGCAACTAGTAATAAAACAGATAGAACAACAGCCGCCACTACTGCTGCAAAGAGAAGGCTGAAGCACGACTTGCCTCCTGTTCGACCTGCAGCCCATCAATGACAGGCGCGAGCTCGCTCAGAATCTCGTGGGCCTTCTTGTGGAACTCCATTTGAGCGGCAATCAGCTCGGCCAGGTTGCGGAGCGGCTCTGGCGTGTCGAGGACCTGTTGGAGAGGGAAAATGGAGAGGTTGTACATTAGCAAGTTATTCCGCATTTATAGCAAAACAAGACAGACAGAAGAGGGCGAAAAGACTCACATTCTTCATGACAGCAACTGCCTCCTCGGTCTGTGTGACAAACTCGTCCTCGGCCTTCTCGATCTCCTCCTGGGCCTCGCGGCTAAGCTCATGCTCGTCGTGCAGCTCGGTGCGGGGCGACGAGGCGCCGCCCAGCTTCCACGTGGTGCCCTTGACGCGAGCCTTGACGGCGTCGAGTGTCAGGCGGGCCTTCTCGACTGCCTTGCGGGCACGCGTGGCGAACAGGATGTTAGTGTTGATGGTCGTGTTCCATCCGGCCAGGAAGCGGCTCTGGATCTGGGCGTCCTGGGCCAGGCGCGCCTCGCCCACGCGCTCCATACTCAGGGCATACTTCTCGAGGGCCGTGGCCAGCGGGTCTTCGCCGGCTCCCGTGTGCTGCTGGTATAGCGTCTGGCTGCTCGCCAAGCTGGCGCGGGCGATGGCGTGCGGGAACGTCTTGGGCTGCGGCTTGGCCGTGGGCGGTGCTGTCAGCGCGGCCTGGGCTTCGCCGGGCGACGTGGCCGACGAGAGCAATGTCACCTTCTCGCTGACAGTGCGTCCAAGGTCCTGGAACGTCTCCTTGATATTAGGGGGATAGTCGTAGGCTTCGTGCGAATACTGGGAACTGCGGTTTCAGAGGTCCATGTTAGAATTTGAGCGTTGGGGCTGTGCCGGGCGAGAGTGCGGCGGCGCCCCGTCTGGGCGATTGCGCAACTCGGAATATCGTGCAGGGGACACTCACGTCACAGCCAGCATCTTCTGGTGGACCGCCTTCAGTGCATCAACCCGCTTCTCCAGATCAATGTAACTAGGAGGCAGTTGGGTCTATTCCGGAGCCCGCATTCAGTCAGCCCATTTCATCCACGACGACGAGGGTCCAGCCCAAGGCAGAAGCAGCATCCTTGGATAGCGCACTGGCGACAAACCTTGTCTTCGGCCTGGCCCAATTGCTCCTTGGTGTACTGGAAGGTGCGCGAGGCGAAGGGCGTGATCTGGCCGCCGAGCGAGCTGCAACACGCCAACGTCAGTCAATGCAGCTTCCATTTGCCTCCAGACTCGCCTCGCCTCGCCTCGTGCGCAAGCGGGCCGTGGGAGTCAAGGGTGAGCTCTTACGTCAGGCTCTTCTGGAAACCCTTGAATGCGTCCATGGTTGCTAGCTTCTTATTCGAAAGAAGATGAAAAAAAATAAGGACGGCGCTAGGCAGATGGGATGCGCTGTCTGGCGTCGGGTTCACGATGCTAATGGCGTTGGATCTTGCGCGGGATGGTTGTTGAGTGCTTGCAGGAGCTCCGTGGTGCGTGAAAGGGGACGTTTCCAAGTCCGATTGTATTTAGGGGATACAGAAGGGCTGGATACAGAAGAAGGCTCCCCAGGCGACCCCCCGCCAACCCCTGCAGCGAAGGAGCCTCGACACAGCCGTCCCGTCGGATTTGATTGGTCGCGCTATCTTTCTCTGCCTACCAGACGTCTTCAGGCATGTGCTCCTCATGCACACCTGCTAGGCTATCTTCACAACTCAAAAGTTGCTATTCCCAGTCTCTTTTTTTATTTTAGAAGAAAAGAAGGATATATTATTTCTCAAAATATTAACCAGGCACCTGGAAGACAGGTAATTATTTATTTATTTATCCATTGTACTTTTTGTATGACTTGTATATATCCATAGGGACGTCCCTGTCCTTTCAGCAAGCATGCTGCTGAGCGACAGGTCTTCAACCATTCATTCTTGGTCATCGAGCCTTTTGATTGGACCTCTGACGTCCAGGCCACGCAAGCTGCACCGCAGCGGCACCCTTTGTGGGATGGACGCTTCCACCGATTCCGTGCAGCAGACACAGACCAGCCGGCCGGCCCGCGTCGGCGGCCGATTCCAGTAAGCCAACCCGATATAAAATTACATAAACTGCGTCATTGCCCCGACACTCCCGGGCCCTCAGTCAGCCTGCTTCGTGTCTGCCCACGAGGGCGTGACGTTCCGGCACACATCCTCGTAGTCATGCACCAGTTGCTCAGTCATGGACGGGTTGGGGGTTGTCCAAAACATGGTCCAGTTGCTGTCGGGAAGCTTCACCGTCCCCGAAGACCGTTCAAAGTACCACTTGTTGACCGGGTTGTTCTTCCTGCTCCTCCAGCACACGCCTCCTGGGAAGCAGTCCCGTACCATGGCGTTGAAGACTATATCCGCAACCCCTCCCACGCCCTGGCTCTTTTTGAGCACGGCAAACTTGTCCAGGTACGGCACAAGACGCCCCGAGCTGTAGGCCGTCTCTTCGTCCATGCCGAATGGCCGCTCCCATGTGAGGATGGCGCCGCCCTCGTACTCGCCCGCGATGATGATGCCGGCTAGGCTGTCCTCGACCCTCCGCAAATAATGTTCGGCGTCGAGCTTTCTGCTGAACGAGTCGTTGATCAAGTGGATGAGTCTAGGCAGGTCGATGCACGTGTCGGTCAATCTCAGCCGGGGACCCAGGGGATGCGGTGCCTGCCAGGGGCCGGCGCGAGGGTCTGGGAAGATGGTTACCGGCATCCCCCTCTTTGCAAGAGTGGTTGTCGGCATGCGGGGCACCATACGCCCTGAGCCGTGCCCGGCGGGCTTTATTCGCCCAATGGGCAGTGAGGACGAATAGACGGGCCGATCGGTGAGAAGATTGTGTATAAGGGGGTTGTGCCACCTCCGCGTCCTCACTTCGAAGGCGAACTGCTCGACATTCGCGCCATTCGCACTCTCTTCCGGTCTTTTCAGGTTTGCAGCCTCTGCCGGCGACGTTATCAGGGCAGAAGCGGTCGGTGGTAGGATGGTAAGAGCAGCCTTGACTAGCCTTAAACTTTCCAGATGCTTGGGTCTTGCAGCTCCGGGAGCACTGGCTTCTCTGTCTGTCTGATCCGCAGACGGGGGGTTTGCCAGTAAGTTTTGAAGGTTGCCGAACTCTTGCTCCAGATTTATAAACACCTCGGTTCCGTGGCCCTGTCTTCCCGACGGTATGCCACCGAAAGGGTCTATGACAATAACCCTGTCAACCGATGCCCTCTGAGGCGGGCGGTGGTCATTCTCGGCTGCTGCGGCTCTGCTTCCCGATGTTTGGGTACCAAGTGGAACTCCGGAGAAAAAGCGGGCGAGTGCAAATACGACCTCGTCAGAATCAACCACGGCAGAGTCGAGCGTTTCCTCGGCATATGCACGGGGCGGGACGACAGGAATGTGGCCATATCTGATCGGGGTGGTGAAGACCTCTCCGAAGCCGACATGAACGGTTGAGGAGAAGGTAGCAATGACGTTCGGTGTGGCGTTGTCAGTTCTCCACAGCCCCGAGTCGACGACTTCAGCCCCAGGCGAGCCATGCCGGCCAATGGCCTCCACAATGCGGTCTGTTTGCTGGGCGAGGGTAGTCTGCCACCTAGGGCCAGCCGAGCGTTCTGAAGTCTCGTCAACACCACAGTCCGGGACGATGATGCTCAGCAAGCCCAGATGGCGCAGCTGGGTGATGGTCTTGGCAACGCCATCGAGGAGAGCGTCTTCCCAGGCCTGGGGGTCTCTTAGCTTGACAATGGCCACATGGGGTATCTCGTTAGCGGCAGGCACGGCCGGGCTCACGGAGCCTTGCACAAAAAGCGGCGTGGTGCTGGGGGGCCTGATGCCGTCGTGCAAGACTGGCAGGGCGGGCGCGCTGGCTGGCTTTACAGATGCTAGCAGCGTGGAGCCGCCAAAGGTCTGCAGGTAGGCCTTTGCATCGCGCTTGGTGGCCGACGACTCGAGCACGGAAATCAGGAACTCGCGCTTCTCCCTCGCCTCGGATGAAGAGGGGGAGCGGTTGTTATTCCGGGAAGGAGCGGCGCCAAAGCCCGTGCCCGTGCCCGTCTTGACGCCGTTTTCAGCCGCCGTCGACAGATGGTGGCGCTGGACTGGTGATACACCGCCAGTGGAGTAGCCGGGCTGTCGTTTGTGCTTGTGCTCTCTTATGACCGAGGCCTGATTCGATGCGTGAGAAAAAGTGCGAGTTGGATGCAAGAGCTTTGCGAGGAGGAAATATTTCTTACCTGCGCAGCTGCAGAGGTTGCCTTCTTCCACACATTGTTGGCACCGCCATTCCGCATAAACATGATTATTTCACGAACCTGATTCCCGTTTTGACGGTGCTTCCCCTCGGGTTTCGTCGATGAGTTCTAGCGAAACGAAACCGACACACGCAAGCTAAGGTAGGTAGTTCCAGGTACTTGTACGCAATTCAATGGCAATCCCACACCGACCGACCCAAGCCTACCTGGTCAGGTCAGAGGACGGACGGCCACGCACGCAAAGTCGTTCATTCAAAAGGGTGCCATCTCAATCCAGCCTGGTGCACTGACAGATTTTTGGACGGGGTTCCAGGTGCAGGTTGCAGGTATGGGCCACCTCACTGGAAGTGGAAGCTTGATGCGAGTGACTCAACGGCTAGAGTCGAATCCATATCTTTGATGGGCCCAACCTGCGCTAGAGGGATGATAACAACTTGACGACTGCGAATAGTTTGGGGCGGGCTTTGTCAGCTTTGCCAACCGGAAATTCCTACCTGAACATAAATGCTTATTATAATGGAGAAAACTAACGGTTCAAGGCAACGCGGCAGTCAATTGGAGAGACGCATTTGAAGAAACCAAGGAAAGACGGATAAAATTCAAGTGCATATGACCGTTAGATTTTTCTTCTTCTGTGCTGGCAATGGAGCAGAGCTCTCTTCTTGATTGGGCAATGCATAAAATCTGCATGGTGACCCAACCGACACCTTCTGCCCCGCAGCCACATGCCCCCGCCCGCCTCTACCTAACCCTCCCACCACAGCCTAGGCCCCTCAGCCAACGACCCCTAGTGGGAGCAAAGGGCGGCATAGCACTCACTCACTCTCTTCTTGAGGGGCATCGGAATACGTCATTCCTGTACCAGTTTCCGAACATGTTCGGCCGAGTGATCGCGTCGCGAGAAGCATAGTGACTCGAATGAAACACCATGCTACTAATCACGACGCAGATTCCTCAGCGATCCATAATCACCTCACATGCAATATCTCAAACCCCGGTGAACATCGTGCTGCCGCGTCTCGGCCGACTGCTGCGTCAGTTACTCATCAACAACTCCAAAGTAAAGTAAATCCGTTTATTTCCCTGAGCGGAAATCGATCTCCGCATCATCGCAGAACCGCGAGCAAATCTCCATCTATTCCACGTGTTCGCTGATCGCTGTCCCAAAATCTGTGATTGCCGTCTGTCTATTTAATCAGAGGCATCCCATCGTGACATTCTTGCTCGTTCACGATAAACCGCAGATTCCCTTTGACAAGACATTATAATTACAAGTTCACAACACAGACACATCACTCAAGTCATCACTCCAAAACACACCTCTGAAGCTTCAACTAAGCCTGTCCCCTGAAAGAGAAGAAGATGGCGCCACGACTCTTCTGGATCGGACTGGGGAACATGGGACAGGTAAGCAGGTCCTCATGTATTGAAGTTCCAATCGAGGCACTAACACGCCGGCAGGGCATGTGCAAGAACATCGTCGAGAAGGGCAACCTCGACCAGCCGCTGCTCATATACAACCGCACGAGGCAGCGCAGCGTTGAGCTCAGCGAGAAGCTGGCCGCCGACAAGACGGCCGTCGTAGACTCGGTCGCCGAGGGCGTGACCCAGGCCGACGTCATCATCACGTGCGTCGCCAACGACAAGGCCGTGGAGGCCACGGTCGACGAGATCATCAAACAGGGCGGCGACATCGCCGGCAAACTCTTCATCGACTGCTCCACCATCCACCCGGACACCACCGAGCGGATCGGCAAGGCCCTCGCGGACGAGGGCGCCGAGTTCGTGGCCGGGCCCGTGTTCGGCGCGGCGGCCATGGCCGAGTCGGGCATGCTCATCAGCGTGCTCGCGGGGCCTAAGACGTCGGTCGACCGGGCTAGGCCGTACTTCAAGGGCGTGACGGCGCGCGCCGAGATCGACATGTCGGGCGAGCCGTGGGGCAAGGCGCTGCTGCTCAAGGTGACGGGCAACACGTTCATACTGGGCATGGTCGAGATGCTCGCCGAGGGCCACGTGCTGGCCGAGAAGACGGGGCTCGGCACCAAGTACCTAGACTCGCTAGTCGGGAACATGTTCGGCGGCCCGTTCGGCGCCTATTCAGCCCGCCTAGTGAGCGGCGACTATTACAAGAGAGACCCGCCAGCGTTCGCCGTCGACCTCGCCCGCAAGGACGCCGGCCACGCCCTGTGCCTCGCCAAGGCCGCCGGCACGCGCATGCGCATCGTCGAGGTCGCCGAAGAGCACCTCAAGCTCGTCAAGGAGCACGTCGGCGAGAACGGAGACCTCGCCGGCATCTACGGCGCTGTGCGGCGCGAGGCCGGCCTGGACTACCGCAACGAGGCATGAATATGACCGTGTATTTACGGCTGGGTTTTTAGTAGTTAGTGTCTTTGGGTATGAGAGGATAATTATAAATTAAGGAAAGGTAATAAGAGGTTATTATTCCATCGAAAATTATATATCGGGACTCGCCCTATTCATTATAAAAATGAAGAACTTATCGCTATTAGTTTTCTCAGTGTACCTTGTTAAATTTGCTGTTTTGCTCTTCGTAATACGAACAGGCAATCCGTAGGTACTTATTCTAAAAAGCATTGCATTTTGCAGTTGCATGTAACCGGTATGGATGACTCAGCAGTCCAAGCTCCTTCCCGCAGCGCCAGTGGTGGGCGATCCCTGCAGGCTGCAGAGTCGCCGTGGGTGGTGAGCCCCATCCAACCAGGAACCACCCGACAGCTTGCGCCGCCCGCCGCCGCCGCCGCCTCCATTTCAACAACTGACGACGACGATAGACATTCCCGCAGCAAAACCACGGGCGCCCACCTTAGCTGCTGCATTTTGCATCTACTCACTTGCTTACCTCTCGCCGCCACAGACTCGGGCACGGCTCCAATCAACTGCGCTTCCAGCCGACGTGTTTTCCCCTGACGACTCGCCGAAGCCGAGACAGACATATCAGAATCCCCGATTCGAGCAGCGCGGCAAAGACAAAATGGCCAATGGGTACGTTTTCACACTGGCAGACAGGCAGCTGTTCCCCCTTGCCGCGAAGCCTCTAGCCGGGCTGGTCGTATCCTTGCTCGGGCGTCGCGGGGAAAGAGGGAGACGAACGGTGCAGATAAAGAGAGGAGGGAGATAGAGAGAGAGCAACTTGGCAGCTCGCTAACCGGCCCTCGCCAACCTACAGATGGAGCATCTTCATCGGACTGGCCGTCATCGTCACCATGTCGGCGGCGGCGTGGTTCTTTTCGCCCAAGGGGGAGAACCAAGTGTACGTCTCTTGTCGCTTTCCGACTCCCCCCCTAAGACTAATTCCAGATTTTATATTATAATTCCTTTTGCTAACCAAGACACCCGGTTTAAAAAAACGATAGCCTCTGGCGATCGTCGCTCATCCTGACCTTTGTCAGCTGCTACCTCATGTGGGCCATCACGCTGCTGGCGCAACTGCACCCCATGATTGAGCCGAGGCGGTCCGACATTCGCGAGAATTATTTGCATCACTGAGGGTGTTGGTGTTGTTGTGGGTCGGGGTCGGGAAACCGAGAATAAAACGTCAATGACAAAAAAAATCAACAAGAGAAACCGAGATACAATACTCGATGGCGGGAAAGGAGGGAGGCCGGAAATCATGCCCGAAGCTTTCCCCTTATCACCACTGCTGCCGGCGCTGTACTACTAATACATTACCCCCACGGCATCCATATTTATCACCATGCAAAGAAGGTCGGCCGGCGTTTATTTTATTATTTTTTGGAGGGGCAGGTACTGCGGCTTGGTTTCTGCATATCTATCTATATACTGGGTCGAGACTTGGGAGAGGGGTGAGTATAGGAGCCTGCGCAGGTAGACGATGATCTGCTGGGGGCTGCGAGGAAATTGGTGCTGTCGGTCAACTGGCGATGTAATAACCCTAGACTGTGCAAGTTTCAAGAGACAAACAACCCAGTTCTCCCCAGGCATACATACACCACAAATCGCGTTCATGAAGGTCGAAATTTCTTTTTAATTTCTTTGTCCTACACATGTATGAAAATACCCACAGATCCTCCACAGGCGGGCTGCTCACCCAACAGCTAGCCTCCCAGCCCAGTCTCTCGCATACAAGAGCATGGCGCCTAGGGCGCGGCCCTCCTCGGCGACGCTGGTCTCGCCGGCCGAGTCGACGCCCTCGAGGCCGGCGGCCCACAGCACGGCGCGACCCATGGCCCAGCGGCTGAGGGCGCCGGCGGTGGCCAGCAGGGCGGCGACGCCGTAGCCGCAGTCGAGCAGGATCTTGAGGGCCTCGACGTTGTTGGCCACGACGGCCCAGCCCAGCGACCGCGCCGCCGCCGGCACGTCGTACTCCCAGATGACCATGAGGATCGGGAACAGCTTGGTCGACGACGACACCAGCAGCGCCGTCGACACCGAGTTGGGCCGCGAGTACGGCGCCCGCAGCACCCCCAGGATTGCGAGTGGCGACCACGCGCTCGACGTCAGGAACCGGATCGAGCCGTGGAAGGCTACTGTTGAGAGCGTGCACAGGAGCACTGTTTTGTTTGAGGGTCAGATGAGAGAGAGAGAGAGAGGGGGGGGGAAGAGGGAAAGGGGGCCTTAGCATACAAAAGAACAGATACTGAAACACAATCGGCTGTTGCGTCAGGCGGCCAAGGGTGCCGCTGTCGCTGCCGTCCGCCGCGTCACTGCCGCCGCCGTCGCCGCCTGGCCCGGACTGCTTCTCGATGCGCGCCCACGTCAGGTACACGTCGAACAGCAGGAGAAGCACGCCGAGGCGGATGATTGAAGGCTGTGTTTTTTGTCAACTATTCCCTTTTTTTCATGTGTCAGAAAGAGAGAGACTTACTGCAAGCTCGTCCTCATCCTTCATCAGCGTGTTGTGCAGCAGATGGCGGTAGACCTGCGGCTTGATGAGCACCAGGTCGATGAACAGCACGACAAAATCATGCTCGACGTATTTGTCGCAGAAGCGCCCGCAGTTCTTGCACACCGTCAGCCGGATGTTGTGGCCGCTCGACTTGTCGCCCGCGCCCTCCCGCCACAGCGTCTTGACGGGGTGCCGGCACTCGATACAGATGGGCATCAGATCAGCGCTGTGCTGTGTTTGTCTGGCTGGCTGGGCTCTTGTTGGCGCTTCACGGCGCAGGTCAAACACCCTCGCAGGGCCAATCTCTCTTTTATGTGTATATAGATAGCTTCCAGAAACACGGAAATAGTATGATTAACGTGTAAATTATTTCACTTGCACAGAGGGCTTCGGTGGTGGTGGGATGTGCATTTCCATTTGAGACACTGTTGGCTAACAGCTAAGAGGCAAACTTGTGGGATGCTGCCAAACCCCCACACCGCCTTGGCATCAACCCCGTGTCGCGACAGGTGGGGGCGCGCTAAGGCTGGAACTCGATTGTGGGGTGGGTAGGTACGGCGGCGGTGCGCTTGGAGCCGGCCATGGCAGGCTTTTCGGAATCGTGTTGATGAATCACCGGATTCTAAGCTGCCATACTCCGCGATTTGGCGGATAGAAAGCTTAGGTGCAATCCAGGGGGGGGGGGATATGCTTGACTGCAGCTGATCCGTCTGTTGCAGAATAGGGTGTAGTTTTTCGTCTTGCGGCCCGAATCTTCGAGTAGGATGCGCAATGTTGAGGAACAACTCTCGACAATTTCAAAAGTCTTCCTTCTACAGGCAGTGGGCGGTTGATGCGCCCTCAACCGTGAAAAGCCGAAGGAGGTCCTTGTCCCGCGGACCACCAACGAATTTGGCACAGCGTTCTTCATCAAACATTACTCAGCCATCGAGATCTCTGCAACCCATTCTAAGCAACAAGTTGGGGGTTCGAGAGTAGTAGGTAACCAGTGATTCAGAATCGATCTGTCCGAGGGTCGATCTCGGTGACGGGGTGAGCTCCCTCTCGCCCAGCCCCCCAAAAGTGCAACTACATCATATGCGAGGGCTGCCCTGCTGCTGCGGTTGGCGCAAGAAGAGACATTCCCATGTCACGATGCTAGCTAATCCCATTGGCTCTCTCTCTACGAGCCGGGGTGGATGATGAGGAGTGGGCGCGCTTACTAGTGTATGCACATACTACCTTGCCAGGTGCCATTTATTACCCGGGAGAGGTGTACTGTACAGACTATATACTAGATCCAACGTACGCCCACGGCGTCCGGCAGGTCTTGTACTCTCTATCTCGAGACCCCATCCGCAATGGCAGATCAACAATCGCGGTTGAAGGTCATCAATGACAATCCCATCGGGAAAGGTCTCGATGCCTTCCGCACTTCGTTCACTTCGATTTGCGAAGGAGCCGCTGTCTCCTGTACCGCAGATGCGTTGGAGCAGCTTGACCAAGAAGTTAAGAAACACCGTGGCTTCGTTCCAATGTGACCTTCTGACCATCTTACAGACCTCCAGAACATCATTCGCGCCCTTTCTGAGAGAGGCGCAAAACCTTCCCGCTGCCGACCTGCTACCTGCTAAGACGGGTCGCGGTACCCTTCGAGAGGACCTTTTACGGCTTGAACTCTCACTCCGTTCCGACGACTTCGACCTTGACGGCATCAAACCTCTCCTCATTTTAGCTCTCGATGGCCACCCTAATGATACCCTCATTTGGGAATACCTCTATAACGCCGTTATAGAAACCACCCCCGCCCCCCGACCTATAGCATCTTACCTCCAACAAACGCTCTCGCTACGCACCACGAGCAGCTTAGTGAACTCCTCCGAGTACCACAATAATATTAACTCGGTCCTGAAGTCGGAGCTTGATCATGTCTATATCGATATTCGCCATTTCAACGAAGCATACTTTGGAGGCGTGACAAGTCTTGAAGTAGCGTCCAAGACCGTTTTTAAGAAGTGCGTGGACGGTAGTAACCCGCTCTTTGGTAGCGAAGGGTGGAGCGAATTGCCGGCTGGTGCGGAAGAGAAGCACGTACTGGCCTGGTTTGGCGACCTAATTCCAAAGCTAGAGGCATTTGCAGGAGACTACAATTCCACCTCGATACCTCGACGAATGTTGTTGGCGCAACCGAATACGCCTCTCTTAGGCTCCAGAGGAAAGCGCAGTATGGACATCGGATTCGTGAAGGATGACTTCACGCACGACCCCACGGCGGGAAAAGATTTCAGATATCACTGGTCGCATGTCCTCGTGCTAGGTGAACTAAAGAGCAACCCTTCTGCCGATAAGCCATCGATTGCAATGATCTCTATCGCCACGTGTGCGAGAGAGGTGCTCTCCGCTCAAGATACTCGTCGTTTCGTCTTCGGCTTCACCCTCTGCGGGTCCTATATGAGAATATATGCGTTTGACCGGCTAGGGGGGATTGGGTCTGGAAAATTCGATATTAATAAGGAAGGGCAGCAGTTCGTCTCTACGATACTCGGATTCTTGTGGATGAACGAAGAGGAGCTCGGCTTCGATCTGACATTTATGACAGCCAACGGTCAACGGTTCATCATGATCAAGCGGAACGGCTCGACGGAGCGCCTCGTTATTAACGAGTTAATGCAGCGGACACGCTGTATAGTTGGCCAAGCGACGACTTATTAGAAGGCCCATCGTGAAGAGAATCCGCAGAACCCGTTGGTTATTAAAGATTCGTGGCAATGGCCAGAACGAGACGAGGAAGGCGACTTACTCCGGGAGGCGACAGGCAAAGGCGTGGTCAAGGTAGCCCGATATTACCATCATGAGACGGTCCAGGTGAACGGTATGGACGACGACATTCGAAGTAATATTCGAAAAGGGCTGGACATCACGGGCGCTACCAACTACGGAACAGGATGGTCGGTGGTTTCGCCGAGCACGAGCGCGGCAGGTAACCCACGGAAAGGCCAAAGTAGTAGCGCTGCTGGCACGAAGCGGTCGTCCAGCCAAGCTGGCGCACCGCTACTACCGAGCAAGCGATCCGGTTTAGCATCTGCGATCAAGGCTGGCAGCGATTTACTGCTCAATCGAGTACATCGGCGTGTCATTCTTCGCGACTATGGAAAGCCGATCTACAAGGCCAGCTCCCGAGCGGCTCTGCTTGCCGCCTTAGAGGCCTGTATCGAAGGACACGAATCATTGTATATAGCTAGCCTCCTCCACAGAGATATCTCCATCAACAACCTCATAATCAACGAGGACGAAAATAACCCTTCCTCACCTTCCTTCTTGATTGACCTTGACCTCTCGCCATCCGAGTGCAACGAGAAGGAGCCTCCGGAGCGAAGGGAAAGACCGGCACAAGGGCTTTCATGGCCATCGGGGCTTTTCAGGGCGAGTCACATTCGTTTATGCACGATCTCGAGTCATTCTTCTGGGTGCTCTTTTGGACGTGTATCCACTATAACGCCCAGGGCAAAGATATTGGGTCAACCGTATTTGAAAGCTGGAATTACCAGAATGACCATATACCAGTTCAGTCCAAAAAGGGCGAGATCGCTGACGAGGAAGATTTTATCAAGAGCGTAGCTGAAATTTTCACTTTACACTACCAGCCGTTGATCCCATGGGTCAATAGACTGCGGAGGAAAGTATTCCCAGACGGGAAAAGGTGGAAGCGGCTGGAACCAGAGCTCTATTCCTCGATGAAGCAGATCCTTTACGATGCTCGGAAGGACCCAGAAGTGTTGGCAGATAGTGTCACGGCACGGTACCGTAGGCGCTGTGAGCAGGCCTACGGGTGCATGACCATACTATAACCTACTACAGATTGCAGCTTGGCAGCTTGCAATTCTAGCATCCGTTTGGAAGGTGTGGTGCAGCGATAGTAGGTGCTGAGCCCCGCCGTCACAGATAGCATTATGTAGCGTTTCATCAACAAAGCTCTACTCTCGAATGAGGGACATTCTTCGGCAAGGTAGAACTTAGAGTAATGGATGTTCGTGGCGGGCGGAAAACCCTTATTAGCAATGGCGCTTGCTACTAATACCTTGGATTAACAAACTACAAAAAGTTGTATTTCCGAATGGTAGGAAGAGGAGGATATAGGATTATATACTCGGATAAGGGAGATTATTAGGGAAGCCCGAAAGGATCCAAAGGTATCGGCGGGGAGAGAGAGCCTTGCGGGTTAGTATAATTAGCAGAGAGAGTATCGTCATCTCTACAGCTTCCAGCTCCGTTTCTCCCACTTGCCTCAGTGAGCTCTCACTGCGCTAGCGTTAGAGACGAGAGGGGGTAGAAAGGCTACTATGACACAGGTATTAGGTACCTACACGGTACTTATAAGAGACTTGTGCGCTTGGTGTCGAAGCTGCCGAAAATGGCGACATGCACTAGCTAAATTCGGCTGCTAGAACACTGCATTCTCTGTTTCTGGAGTATTACTACTTGACTAACGTCTATATTTTGCATTAGAAAAGAATAAGTTTTTTTTATTCTTTAGAATATTGTTGGAATGACAAGGTCATTCGTGCTAGTCACTATAGTAACCGCTGCGAAAGGGTGGGGTGGTTGTGTTGCTCGAATTCTTCTGTATCTACCAAAAGGATCACGCACTACAGGGACACGAAGGCGCTCAGTCAGGGTGCCCCGCGGTCACCTGCTGCGCCACGTGTTTGGCGGGCCTGGCCCGTGCGCTGACCTGACTGATCGGTAATTCCTACAAATATCGCTGCTAGCTTACACATCATTCTACGGTCACCAGCCTGGGTCTCAAGATAGGTTCACTTTCGAGCAACAACAAACACATACGACCATAGGTGCTAGAGAATTCGGGATCCCGTCCGCTCTCCCCTAGCTAAACTAGTGATCGCCAGACTAGTAGTTGGGTCGGTGACGACCAGCGAATCCCTGGTGTTGTATGTCTTTTTGCCCTTTCCTATTTATCTTTTGATGCACACATGCAGAATACGCCTCACAGAACCTGGGAAACAGCCCGTCAACTGCCATGATGACCGCATTTAGCACGACTCCAAGCTTATCCCAGATTTGCAACTTCTCACAACAGTCCACCACGTGCGAGCCAAATCCTGTAAACACAAAATATGGGAAGCAGATGCATTCACTTGTTGGAATGGCAAACTCCCGACTACACATGTTGCTGTGATATATATGCTCGTATTCCTTCTCTAGCTAGAATTAGGGGTACATCGGATGGCCCTACGGCCGGTCCTCGATAGTTGACAGGAAGGAAACCTTTAAGTACAGGATGAAAACCTCCCCATATTGGGCCCCCCATTCCTCACATCACATTGGACCACCAAGATCTCTCCAAACAAAGGCGGGGGACCACATGTAACCTACTTAGAATCCGGCGACCTTGGACGTGATGATGATCGGGTTCTCCCACTCGTCACCGAACTCGGTCTTGAAGAGCGAGATGTTGGGCAGATCGTACTGGTTGACCTTGCCGTCCTCGGCGGCGTAGACCTTGATGCCCGTGGGCTTGCCGTCGAAGCTACGGGTGACGGTGGCAGAGATGGAGGAGCCCGCCTTGACTTCGAACTTGTTGCCCGCTTGCAGAGCGCCCTTGACCCACTTGCCATCGGACGACTTGCCTTCGTTGGTCAGGTAGACCTCGCTGAGGTGCTTGGTGGTATTGGCGGAGTAGTAGACGCGAATCTGAGAGCCGTGTCAGTCAATGAATCAGTCAGCGTTTTGACAAAAGAGCGCCCCAGGAAGTCGTGTGCAAAGAAAGCGAAAAAAAAAAATCCTACCTCCCTGTCGTTCGTGGGATTGACCCAGGAAATGGCAGCAATTTGCTTCACTTCGGGGTTGACGTAGACCGGCTCGTCGGCCTTGTCCTTGATGAGCTTGACTTCAAAGTGACTATTCTTACTCCCGGCTCCGGGTCCCAGGAGATAAGCCAGCCGGTTCTTCGAGTCGACATAGAAGAGATAGCCTTTAAAGTTGCTCTCGATGGCAACGACATCGCCGGGGAGCTGATGGTGGGTTTATTATCAGCCAAGGTAAGATAAAAAAAACCAAGAGAAAATGAACCAAGGAGAGGGATGCATACGATATCACTAGGCATTTTGATATGGTGTGGGTTGCTGCCTAACCGCGGATGGGTAGAACTGATTGGATTGCTGTGCGAAGAGAAGATGTCGATGTGGAGTGAGTGCTGAGAGAGGGTTGTGTGTGCGGTGATCTCTGGAGTCGATCCATGAGCGGGAGAGACAGTCAGATTTATACTCGTGCCGTTCTCCAACGTTGCACTGAGAGTCATCGTCGCTCTATGTCCTTGGACCATGGTGGCGATAGATAGGTGCAGGTAAGTACTTCATACCCGAGCCAACGAGAGTCGATGGAGGTTTTTTTCACATGGGGCATGGCATGGCCGGCGCGAATATCTCAGCTGGCCTTGTGAAAAGCTGTAGTGTTTTGGATCCGAGCTGATTCGGAGATGTGATGTCAGGTTTGCAAGACGCCATCACCGCTACACCTACTTGACTTGTGGTCTGGACTCTGGACAGCGGTCCGGACTCTAGACGGCGGCTGGTAGTTCAATTGTGTGGATGGCAAGATGGGAGCTGAAAGGTACGATAGTCTCACCAAGTCGGGCCCGATGTTTTCGAGTGAGGAATAGACTCACTTCTTACGGTATGGTTTGCAAGACTCTATCACCGCTGCAGCTAAGAGACCTGTGGTCTAGACTCTAGACAGTGTTAATAGTTCAACTGTGCGTGAAAGATATGATGGTTTCACCTTGTCGGACCCGATGTTTTCGAAAAGGGAATTGACTCACTTGTTTCGGTATGGCTCCAGCCCCCAGCCAGCCAGCCAGCCAGCCAGCCACATATTGACACTGACCTGCCGACCGAGGTCAACACCGACGTACCGGAGGTCAAACCGCTGCCCGACCACAGGTTGCAAAGCAGACGGAGGTTTCCAAACCGGGTCGGACTCACACACGGCACACGCATAATGCATGTATTGCACAGCCGGAGCCTTTGCCCTGTAACAAAAACAGCCTCTTTTCCTCTTTGCATCTACTCAGCTCGCCTCAAACGCCTCTTACCAACCATTCATGACGATATCGGTCCATGTCTGTGCCCCTGGCAACCACACGTGTACTGTACCCTGCGCCTGCTCAGCATGCCTCAGACACCTCTCACTAAACCATTTCACGACGATATCGATTCATCTATGCCCCTGGCTACTGCATGTGAGGCCTTCAAACCTTGCGGCTGCTCAGCTTGCCTCAAACGCCTCTCACCAACCCATTTACGATATCGATCCATCTGTGCCCCTGAAGACAAAAGGCCACCACCGCACCGGACCACCCACCTTAGATGCTGTGTAAGCTCTGAACCACCACGGAACTGGCTGGCCGGTGCGGAAGAGCTCCCGGAACGCGAGCCCCCTCTTATATACTCGGTAGTCATCACATGTGTAGTTTCACAACTCTTTGCTAAACAATGATATAACTGCGAGAAAAGATGGAGAAATAAGGTGTTTCCCTCTCCTTGATCAATAATATCTAACTTTCTGCGAACAAGTTGCTCTTTCGGAAGTGAAAATGCCAAAAAAAAAACCAAAAAAAAACCCCCCCGTAAAGATATCCGAATCAAACTCCTGTAATGAGAAACAACAAGCTAACAAAAGTTCGGTGATTGAAGTGAACTCGATATTCGGCACAGGTGCAAGATAGTTGCCAGGGGCACAGATGTAATAGATATCGTGAATGGTTTAGTGAGAGACGGTTGAGCCTAGCTGAGCAGACGCAAGGTGCAATCTGACCCCTGTTCAAGTGTTGGTGCGGTACCGCCAAGCCACTGGCATCACCAGAGGCTCTAAATCCCCAGTAAATATAGTATTTTTCAATAATGAAAACAAGCGGATTAAATTATCTTTCATCTGGTGGTCCATTTTCTAGTTGCTACTATTTTGACTTTTTTTTTTTTTTTCAGACTGTAAAACTGTAGAGTTTTGAGCGTTGGCCCGGGACCCCTACTCGCAGAACCGCGCCACCAATTAAATAGGGCAGTATTGTACCGCCACGCCGAGGGTTTGTGTTTGTCTTATTTGGTTTGGTAGGGGGTAAACAGGGGCATAGGATTCGACGACATTCTTCGGCCAATAACGCCACAAATCAATTTTATACAAAATAAAATACAAAATAGTACCCAGCAGAACTACTTTTGAAGCTGTGTAGATTGTAGTACATGAAAGAGCAAACCCTAGCCCGGCTGAGCTGTATGTATGAAGGTACAACGGTCTAGACTCTAGAAAATGCAGTGCCAGTGAATGAGTCACTCGCAGTGAGTGACTGCAGACAGATTATCGACGACTATCGATTCCCAAATATTGGATCACTTCACTATTTCGCAATCGCATGGCCAGCTGCGATGGCAGCGCCTCCCCGGAAGTGCCGTGATGAATGTGATCAGATGCCAACAAGCCGTCAAACTGCCATGTCATGGATGTTATCCCCGTTTGGTTTGGTACTCGCATGGCCTTCAATATTGAAGCTGGTATCAGATTCAGGGGGAGATTTACCAACAAGAGCGCCACCTATCATCCATACACAGTAATGGTCTTCTCTTGAGGAAGTTCTCAGCTGAGAGATGAGGCGCCTACATAGTATATGTAGGTAGGCTACTGCACTTCAGCAGCAGTCTGTCTGGCCCAAAAAGGCCAAAGAACGGCAATCGCTTCCTTCCCTGGGCCCGGCCCCCTCTGCTCTGCCAAACCTTTCGCCATCATGGTACAGATTCTCGCTGTCATTGGCCTCGGCCTCGGCATCTTCGGTACCGCATCTGCCCAGTCATGTAGGTACAGTCGAGTCTTGCTCACCTGTCGTCGTCGTCGTCGTCGTTGTTAGACTCATCACTTGAGAATTTCTCACTTACCGATTCGGCTTGTCGCAGATGACCCCGTCGCAGCCACCGCCGTTTCTGCCGCAGCTCCTGTACACAAGGTGATTGCGCGTTGTGACGACAGCATCAGTGTATGCGCAAGCCAGTTCGAAAAGATCGTAACCGTCTACGAGCATGATGTCACCTCTATACAAACAAAATGGGTTACTACCAATGTCGTACGTTTTGAGTTGCGGTTGCCGGAACCCCCTGACCAGGACAGATTCTCGTGACTAACGGTGTTCTAGACACTGCCAACGACGACTATCACAAGCACGGTGGTGACGATCGAGAAACGGTACAACAAGACAGAAATAGATGGTGCGTTCAACTTGGTCTTGATCCTAATCCTGATCCTGATATCTTGATCTTGCATGAACTAACCCCAAAACCAAAAAAAAAAAAAAAAAGCCCTCTGCGAAAAAACATTTGTCGTCACGTTGCCCGGGACCTCGACCGTGACGGTTCAGCTCAACTCTACGCACATCAACAAGATCATCCCGACGACTACGACGTCGACCACGTCGACAATTACGCAGTACGAGACTGAGGTCAGCGTGTGTCTTGTCCAGGGCACACATCAGTTTCCGCTCCGACCACGTAACAACGGCCAACAAGAAGAGCCTGTTGCTTCCAGTGCTGCCCCCAGTGCTGGCTCCAGTACCGCTCCCAGTGCCGCTCCCACGGCTGTGAGACTCGGCGACGCTGAGGCTTACGCTGAGGCTATCCCAGATCCTAGGGTTGAGCAAGCTGATGAAGACTTGGAAGACGAAGATGGGGGCGGTCATGACGAGCTCTGATTCGATTCGACAAGAGAACCTTGCGTACATAGCTTGACTGGGAGGACTGCTGCTGCACCATAACGTCTACATACCTATATCCTTCCTGTATATTATATTATTCGATGTTGATTTAATTATCCTGTTCCCTCAGCACCGTGGTGCCGAGTCAGAATGTCCATTCCCACGGCAAGATGGCGTTTGCTAGGCTAGTCGATGACGGCTAGTGAATCCCTGGGTTGTATTCTTTTTCTCATCTTTTGGTGTCTTTCGACGTTTCTCACGGTTCACGCATCACTCGCTCAAGCGTAGTTAAGATTCAGTATCCCAACCAGAAACGCTGGCTGGTTTGAGTTTGATATGCTATGCTTTGGCTCGTTGTCGGACAAGGTACCTGGCACCTAGCTAGATACTGGGTTTATATACAAAAAAAAAGCAACACAGCGCGTTCTCCAAGAAAACAAAAAAAACAGTCTCCCAACAACGCCTGGTAGCAAAATATTGCTATGGATATCCTGGAGACCTTCGTGAATTGCCATCGAGAATGAAACCCGGTCTAATACTATACTAATCAGATTTGCTTGTTTTGGCCGAGGCTGTGGCGCCTAGAGAACGACCCCTGACCGCGCTAGCGCCTGCCCCGACACTCCTGCTCGAGGAAGAAGACGGCGCAAAGGAGTTTAGCAGGCCGCCCGAGTCGGTCGGAGTAAGGTTGGGCCGTCCGTCGTCACTATTAGTGTCGGTGAGCTCGATGAGATCGCCCTCGTCGGGCGCTGTCCGAGCCCGCGGTCCCAAAATAGGTGTGCCAGGGGACCGCTTGGCAAACGCCCCGCGAAGCCACGTTTCGACGGCGGCGGCAGCTTTGTCGAGGCTCGTGCCGCCTTGCCGGCTGGCCGACGTAGCGTTTCGGCCGTCCTCGAAGGGACTTTCGACAATCGCCGCGTTATCGCCAGCTCCGCCGAACCCAAACCGCGCGATTTCGGACCCCATCACTGACATTGATGGCAACGAATCAATGTTGAGCCCCGGAAGATGCTTGTTCGTCCACGAGTTAAAGTAGTCACGCTCGGGTCCGGGTGCTCGGACAGTCCTCCCTAGAGAACCGACGCCGCCGGGCCGCCGCATCCACGCAGGTCGACCGTCCTCTCCTTCAACGCTGTTGACTCTGCTTCGTCCCGAGTTTGACAAGGATGCCGCAAGCTGCGGGTGGCCGCTCAAAAAGCTCAGCCGGCGCGATGAGACACTCCTGGGGCTGTCGACAGCTGGCTCGGAACCGAGGACATTGCTTGGCGCGTCGACAGAGGCGCGGGGGGTAGATAGGGCCGATATGGTGTGGAGGCTCTTCTTCCGCCGAGGCGGAAAATACCCCATAGCTTTCCGGGACATGCGCGCGATCTCGACGGGTTTGGGGTACGAATCGATAGACACCCATCTAACGTGCGTCCACGGCCGATCGTCGTCGCCGGATCTGGGTTGCTCCGATGAGTGCCAGTTCTCCGACCCTGCGAAGTAGTTGTCGTAGACGCCGTGAGTGTCTTGTTGCCCGAGTAGGTCTTGTACTTTAGGCGTCTCGGCCAGCAAGTCAATCTGGCTAGACGAAGACGGCCCGTTGCAAGGGCGCCCCTTCACTTCACACGCATCCACCGGCAGCGCCAGCCATTTGCGCACCTGGATGTTATCTCGTGACCAAAGCCCATTGGCCCTCCGGAAAGCATCTTCCCTACACCTGTATTTGAGCACAATTCCATAGTATGTATCGTCCGGTTGAACCTGATGGATGTAAACCAGGTGGCCCGCGGCATCCTCGTCGTTCTGGGAAGACGATCGCATGTTGTCGTCCGAGTTCCGCTTCTTGAAGTTCCCGGCAGTATCCAGCCCCCCATTAACTCCCTCGTGGCTTTCAAGCACACTCGCTGTCCGCATCGTCTTCAGAGCAGCATCCCTCTTTGCCAGTGATCCGGCCGCCACATGCTCCAACCGTGGCCTCGTCTCGGTTGGGGGCTCGGGGCCCCAGCTGCCAGGGGATTTTCCAAGGTCTCTGTGACTGGGTTGTCTCGTCGGTTGCCTCGTCTGGCTCGCATTCCTGCTAGCCGGCAGCTCGGTCTCGCCGCCAACAAACAGGGACGAGGCGAATCCTTGGACCGACGCCCAGGTGGGGGTCCACGACCCGCCAAGTAGCGAACCGGCGCCGGCCGGGCTCTTCCCCCGGGAGGAGGCCCGCGCGGTCTCGGAGCCGTGGTTGTTCCTCCCCGTGACAGACCCTATGTGAGCGGCGGGAATAGGCGTGGCGGTGCGCGTCGGCGACTGGCCCGGACTCGATACGGCCGACGAGGAGCCCCCATCCCCTCTCGTGTTGACAAGGCGGCGGTTGCGTGGCCGAACAGTCGAGGGAGAGTCCGAGTCTGGCGCACGGATCGAGGGAATCATTGCGTCTGGCATTGTCGCGATGAGGCCGCTGACCTCGGGACGCAGCGTTGGCGGCGGCGACTTTGAGCGGGCATCACCTAGACCGCGGGCAACGCAACCATCGGAAGGAGGGCGTGCTGCTGCTTGGTCGGCAAATATCGAAGAGGCGATGCGACGCGCGATGTGGGCAGGTGTCCCGTTGTTGCCACGCGGCTAGGCCAATCGAGGAGGTTCGAGAGCTGGGACGGTGGTTGATGGCGGATGGCTACACTAGCCTGAGGTGTTGCTGATTTTGATTCGATTGATGATACTGCAAGAGAGTCGGGATGGGAACGATCGGAAAGACGCCAAGCCAATCAAGACAATTAAAGCACACGTAAAGAACAGTATTTGGGTCGCTGCTTTGCATTCAACCACGTAAAACAAGGCAAGGGGCCTATGGTAGGTAAGGTACGGGGTAAAGTAGGTTCGCAAACATACGGATCGTGACAACCACCTGTGGTTGGAGAGACGTTTCCCCTCTGGAAGTCCTGGTCGTGCCAGGCCGCTGTGTTGGAACCGCAGCCGTAGTGCCCTCCATCGCTGCGGCTGGGCTGGGGCGCACCGCGGGTGCACTTGTCCACTTCAGTATCCCTTGGAGACCGACTTCCGACCCGGCACCCAGCCAATTAGCGCCCACTTTTAGGCAAATAGTGGGGTGCTGACGCAGCCTTAACTCTGGGGAATCGATGAAATTCAAATAACATCCATGGACACCGCAACCTGGAACGGCTCGGGTCATCAGCTCGTCTCAGTGCCTCATATAACTGGCGTTTTGGCCGTTATCAACTTGGGCAGACAACGGTTTGAGCGCAGCATGGCCTAGTAGCTTTATTCCTATGTTTCTTATAACCACACGATCTCAGGTCTCACTTAGCATTGATTGCGTCTCCAGTACGAAGTACATACAACCTACCCTCCCTAATCTACAAGGTAGTTAAGGCAAAGCCATCCTCACACCCTGCTGTTTAAATATGGGCCAAGGAACTATGTGTCACGACAGTACTTAATCGAAGGCGCAGTAGTGTGGAGGATGGAGTGACGAGAGATTGGAGAGAAAGCTTCAGAACACGAGTCTCGAGCCTCCACAATGGGCCTGGCTGAAACGTGCGTTTTGATCTCCTCATCAACTTGGCTCTGGCCACCGAGCGGGGAATATGAGGTCACGGACAGGCAATTGGGAGATACCTTACACACTAGCAGTGCAATACGTGTAGATGATAATCAAGGGGTGGAGAAGACTAATATGTCCCAGCTGTCCGGATTCTATTTCAGGTTCTGTCAAGTCAATGAATGGACTGGACTTACAAACTAGACGAAAGTGGCACCGTGTTAAGAGTCGCTCGCACGGACTCTACAACAAGCACAGGGCCCGCACGTGTTGACGTGGTGGGGGCGGGAGAGGGGCGCAACAGCAGCGCGATTGGCTGAGGGGCGTCACCCCAGCCAAAAGTAAACAAAAGCTGTGTTGGGGAGTCGCGGCCGTGTCTTTTGGGTTGACTACTCCGACGGAAACGACAGCGCGCACCTTCCCAAAGCCAAGTCGACACCGACACTCAGCACCAGAATCGACCGGGACGAGTCGACATCGCCCGCCATGAGAGTCACCGAAGTCATTATCGACGTAAGTTTGTCATTGCGCCTGCGGCGGCGACGGCGACCATATCATCAAAGAATACAAACAAACGAACGAACATGCGACTAACTAAAATGCGCTGCAGGGCTTCAAGTCGTACGCCGTGCGTACCGTCATTTCAGGATGGTAAGAAAGACTTGGAAGAAACCCAAAATGCGAGGCAAAACAAAGGATGCGAAAATAGTCGAGCCAAGCGAAAGCAGTTTGGCGGTTGCATGCAGAGTTGGCTAACAGAATGCGCCCGTGCCTACGCCCGCCGACAGGGACGAGAGCTTCAACTCCATCACCGGCCTCAATGGCAGCGGCAAGTCAAACATCCTCGACGCCATCTGCTTCGTTCTCGGCATCACCAACATGTCGACAGTTCGCGCCCAAAATCTCCAGGTAAAGAAACATCCCCAAGCGTGCCCGCACCTTCGCCTTTGCCCCCTACTCACCACCTTTTCTTCCCCCAAAACAGGATCTCATCTACAAGCGCGGCCAGGCTGGCGTCACCAAGGCCAGCGTCACCATTGTCTTCGACAACAAGGATAAGAAGCGGTCGCCCATTGGCTTTGAAGAATATGCCACCATCAGCGTCACGCGCCAGATCGTCCTCGGCGGCACTTCAAAGTACCTCGTAAACGGACACCGCGCCCAGCAGCAGACGGTCCAGAACCTGTTCCAGTCCGTCCAGCTGAACATCAACAACCCAAACTTCCTCATCATGCAGGGGCGCATCACCAAGGTTCTCAACATGAAGGCCGTCGAGATCCTGGCCATGATCGAGGAGGCTGCCGGCACCAGGATGTTTGAGGACCGGAGGGACAAGGCCCTCAAGACCATCGCCAAGAAGGAGATGAAGCTCCGTGAGATAACAGAGCTTCTCCGCGACGAGATCGAGCCCAAGCTCGAGAAGCTACGCACCCAGAAGCGCGCTTTTCTCGACTTTCAACAGACGCAAAACGACCTCGAGCGCCTAACGCGCGTCGTAGTAGCCCACGACTACATCCGAAACCAGGAAAAGGTCCAGCAGTCCGCCTCGGATCTCGAGGCCAAGAAGCTCCGCCTGAGGGAGCTCGACGACGGCGCCGTGCGGCTCAAGAGCGAGATCTCTCATCTGGAGGAGGACGTCCAGAGGGTCAAGTCGCAGCGCGACAAGGAGCTACGCAAAGGGGGAAAGGCCCAGGCCCTCGAAGAGGCTGTCAAAAAGCACTCCAACGGACTGGTGCGTCTGGCAACTGTTGTGGACCTGAAGCAGAGCAGTTTGTCGGAGGAACAGGAGCGGAGATTGGCTGGCGAAAAAACCGTCTCCGAGCTCGAAGCAACCCTGAAGGATAAAACCAAGACGTACGAAAATATCAAGGCCAAGTATGACGCAGCAAGGGAGGCCATGGAAAGGCAGAGCCAGGAAGCAGAGTCCAAGGAGGAACTGCTCCAGACCCTGCAGACCGGAGTCGCATCCAAGGAAGGCCAAGAAAACGGATACCAGGCGCAACTGCAGGACGCAAGAAATCGCGCCACTGCTGCTGTAACCGAGCAGGAGCAGTCAAAGATTAAGATTACCCATCTTGAAAAGCGCATCAAGGAGGAGGAGCCGCGCGCAAAGAAGGCAAAAGAGCAAAATGCCGGCCTCCTCAAGGACCTCGATGGGCTCAAGTCCCAAGCCCAGCGACTCGAGAAAGAGCTCGGCAAGCTTGGCTTTCAGCCCGGCACAGAGGATGAGGCGTACAAGCAGGAGAGCCAACTTCAGCAGACGGTTCGGAACCTTCGACAGGAAGCCGATGCTCTGAAGCGCAAGGTTGCCAATATCGACTTCAACTACTCGGACCCCGTTGCCAACTTTGATCGGTCAAAGGTGAAAGGCTTGGTGGCGCAGCTTTTTACTCTAGACAAGCAACATACCAATGCCGGCACCGCACTTGAGATCTGCGCCGGCGGCCGACTATACAATGTCGTGGTTGACACGGAAGTGACGGGCACCCAGTTGTTGCAGGGCGGAAAGCTGCGAAAGCGAGTCACCATTATTCCCCTCAACAAGATCTCGGCCTTCAAAGCCTCGGCCCAGACAATTGCCACGGCACAAAAGATTGCGCCTGGTAAGGTCGACTTGGCCCTGTCTCTGGTCGGATATGATGATCAAGTTTCGGCCGCTATGGAGTATGTCTTTGGGAACACGCTGATCTGCGCCGACGCAGAAACTGCCAAAAGAGTCACCTTCGACCCTAACGTCAGGATGCGGAGCATTACGCTTGAAGGCGATGCATATGACCCGTCTGGAACGCTCTCGGGTGGCAGCGCTCCCAACTCAAGCGGTGTCCTGGTTACCCTGCAGAAGCTGAACGAAATCACAAGGCAGCTCACAGAGACCGAGTCCACGCTTGATAGCCTGCGGACTCGAATCGCCGGGGAGAAGACCAAGCTCGACCAGGCCAAGAAGATCAAGCAGGAGCTCGACCTCAAGGCACACGAGATCAAGCTTGCCGAGGAGCAAATAAGCGGCAACTCGTCTTCGTCCATTATCCAGGAGGTAGCCAACATGAAGGAGACGATTGCACAGCTAAAGAAGTCGGTCGTTGAGGCCAAAACCCGACAGGCCGAGGCCAACGCCGACGTTAAGAGGATCGAGAAGGATATGAAGGACTTCGACAACAACAAAGATGGGAAGTTGATTGAGCTTCAAGCCTCGGTCGACAAGCTGCGCGCCTCGCTCGAGAAGATAGTCTCGTCAAACAAGACATTGCAGAAAGAGCTTCAGGGAGCGCAACTAGACTCTGAGCAGGTGTCGGCCGACCTCGCCGCGGCGCGAGAGCAACTGCAGGAGATAGATGTCGCCATCAAGGCCCAGCAGGAAGAAATCGAAGATCTCGCCAAGCAACAAGCGAAGCTCGAGGAGACACACAACACGGCCCTAGCGCAGCTTGATGAGGAAAGGACCAAGCTTCACGTGTTCGACGACGAGCTGCGAGCCCTGGAGGAAGCCACTCGGTCAAAGAACGCGCGGATTGCCGAGGAGGGCCTCGAGAAGCAGAAGCTGGGGCACCAGATCGAGAGGTTCCACAAGGAGCAGCAGGCGGCAGTGCAAACAGTGGCGCGCCTCGAAAAAGAGCACGAGTGGATTGCCGACGCCAAGGGGCAGTTTGGGCGTGCCGGAACCCCCTACGACTTCCACAGCCAGAACATTGCTGAGTGCAGCGCCACGTTGCGCAACCTGACTGAGCGATGCCAGGAGCTGCGCAAGAAGGTCAAGCACGACGTCATGACCAGGATCGTCACGGTCGAGAAGAAGGAGCTTGAGCTCAAGCAGAACATGCGCACCGTCATCCGCGACAAGCGCAAGATCGAGGAGACAATTGTCAGCCTCGACGACTACAAGAAGAAGGCTCTGCAGGAGACGTGGCAAAAGGTCAATGCCGACTTTGGCCAGATCTTCTCCGAGCTGCTGCCCGGCAGCTTTGCCAAGCTCGACCCGCCCGAGGGCAAGACTATTAGCGACGGCCTCGAGGTCAAGGTCTCTCTAGGCAAGGTGTGGAAGCAGAGCTTGACCGAGCTGAGCGGTGGTCAGAGGTATGTTTTCTTCCCCTTGACACCCTGTGTGATCATCCCCGCTAACACTTTTTCCCAACAGATCCCTCATCGCCCTCTCCCTCATCATGGCCCTGCTCCAGTTCAAGCCCGCGCCAATGTACATCCTCGACGAGGTCGACGCCGCCCTCGACCTCTCGCACACCCAGAACATTGGCCGCCTCATCAAGACGCGCTTCAAGGGCTCCCAGTTCATCGTCGTCAGCCTCAAAGACGGCATGTTCCAGAACGCCAACCGCATCTTCAAGACGCGCTTCAGCGAGGGTACCAGCATGGTCCAGGCCCTCACGCCCGCGGACTTGAGGTGATGATATGAGTGCGTGTGTCTCTATGTTTTTAATTATATTTTCCTTCTCGGGCAGGGAGTAGGGAGTACCACGACGGGTTTGGACTTGGGCTTGGGGGCTTGTTTCTTTTGTTTTGGGTTTTGGCAGGTTGCAGGTTGTGATATACCAGGACATGTATGGGAAAGGAGGAGTATTTTAGGCAGCGGACTTTTGGGGGGGGGGGATGAAGGGCATTTTAATCATTATTGCTGTTTATTGGCCGTGTTGTTGAATGTCCGTAATTGCCCTACCTACCTAGGTGTGGAAGGTGTAGAGGTCATACATGACCCTTGCAGCTTCTTGCCGCTAGGAATAGAATTGATACGTGGTTTTTTCCTCCTGATATAATTCTCAGACTTTTCTCTCACGGCCTGTCTCATCGTTCTATTCCGGCGGAAATGGTTGCGCTCAAAACATGTGCGTCTCTCACACTGTTTGAAAGACTGAATATTCCCACCTAGGTCTAACCCCTACTTATATACTGTACACTATTCCCATTCTTGACCAAAGCCGCGACACAAAGCTCATCTAATTCTAGCTCATCCTTTATCGCCTCACTGGACGATATACTGGTGACTGCCTCGGTCCACGATTTCCACAGACATGCCAACCTCAAGCCAGCTCTCCATATCGTCCGACGATTCCGTCTTGTCGAATAGGGGGGTGAGTTGCATCCCGAGGCAGCCTTTGTGCTTGGCGCCCTCGTCAACCTCTCTGAACTTCCTCAGGGATTTGTCCGGCTCAACAGGGTGACGGAAACCGCTGTCTGGGTCGACATTTGGCAGTTTGCATCTAGTGACGGTGGCGGGCGTGCACCCACGTTCTAGTTAGTATCTTCTTTCTCTGCCAGGCACGCCAGCGGCTGGTGAAACGGTGTCCGTAGAGCCTATTAGAGCAGACAAGTAGCTGCGGTGTAGGGAAAGGGAATGGGGTGAGGGACGAGGCGGTTTGTTCTAACTTGTAAACTTACCGGACTGTTCGGCAAGACACGTGGAAACTCGATGCCTGGCGCCTGCTGGAGGGCCCCGGTTTGAGTCGCACAGACTTCCAGGTCTCCTCGTCATAGGCTGGTATGTCGTCCACTTGTGAGGGTGTTAATCGCAGCACATCGCGCCATGCAGGAAGTCAGGGTAGCGTAGCGTGCTGCTCTCCCCTTCAGAGGTAGACCACCCCACTTACCTATGATATTGGCGCGAAACCTCCTGGGGTCGAGGACCTTGAGACTGTCATCCTTGACAATTTTGGTGTCCAAATCTCGAACGCTCGACAGGTTGAGGAGATGCAAGGGATACTGAACGCCGTTAGTTAGCTGTGGAGATGGGAATTTGGGCTGGCGGCCGCGTCTTTTTGGTACGGCGTGTGAATGAGAAAGCTCACCGCGTCTTGAAACCCAGTCACGGGCTGGTAACCGGCGTCGGCCTCGGTCGGTGCGCAACGGTAAACTTGTCGTAATCGGGCCGGATCTATCCGAAAAATGCCGAGCCTGTTACTTACGCCCAGGTAGAGGGAAAGCTCCCGAGGTAGGTCCGCCTCCATATTGAGGGCCGTGACTGTTTCTCTCCAGATTTTTACAGGCTCGTAGTCGTAGCCGCGCTCGTCAATCTCGTGTTGCGACGGAAAGGTAACCGGAAGCACAATCTCCTTTTCTGGCAGTGCACGCCAGCCCCGGGCGAGCTTTGCAGAAATCCAGTCGATGGCGCCGCGGAAGCCCACACCCCGCCAGGGGAAATGTATGACGATAAAGCTGTCGCTCGACTTGAAAGCCTGGGCCCTGGACTTTGCAATATCCGGCACGTAGAGATCCACCTGGACGGTGGCAAGCAGAGGGTATTGTCTCTGAGTGATGAACTCCCATTTGTGACCGCTCTTCTCCGCGTCCGAGGCGTCGAGCCCGACGGGGAAGGGGCTCTTAAGCTGGGCCAAAGTGTAGAGCCGATCGAACTCGAGTCCTTGGGGAAGAACCTTGCTCTGGCTGACTTCAATTCCCTTGCACGACTTGACGGGGTATATCCAAAGGCTGCGGATGGTTGCTGGGATATTTGGACTCTTTGAGCTCGGCGACCTCACCTTGGCCGTCCCCGACGCTCTGTGGTGGCTCTGCTGTGCGGGTTGCGGTGGCAAAATGCCCACACGAGTGTGAGTTTGAAGGAGGGCATCGCTTTTTGAAGGCGGTACTGGTGGAAAGTAAAGAAAGGCGGGCAGAAGAAAGACACACAGAGTCAGCACGAGTAAGAAAATCCCGGCGGCGTCTATGCCCGGGCCGCCCCGCAGCACCGCGCCGTTTTCCATGGGCTGCCGGTTTCGATTTTTCGGCGCCTCTTTTCCGCGGTCAGCCGGGTTGGGTACCTACCGTGGGTGGCCGTGATGTGTCGTCGGTCGGGCTTTAGCGATCGTGTTGAGCCGCTGTAAGATGAGATGTGTACACGTGGTATGTAAGGTATTCCGTAGTGGGCACGAGATGTACACAGCTACTGAAGAGTAGGTTAGAGGTACATGAACATGCACACGTCCGGTAATTTCTGTCTGTCTTGTTCGAGGCTCAGTGAGCGGTTCAGGGATGGCGAGAGAGATGCCGTGCCGTTATACAGAGCGTTTATTATGTCATCATCACTCGCTTCCCGCTCCCCCTTTGGTGATCTGGTAAGTTTGTAACGGCTAGGGTCCAAGTAACGGCCTAACTAACGGTCTTGGCCCCCCTGAGATCTTTTGACCTGAGTGGCTGTGGGGTCCGGGGCTCCCCTTAGGAACGTGGGTCAAGCCCGGATAGCTCCAGACGACTGCGGGGCATAATAACTAGGGGCGGCCTGGCCAATTTATTAGGCTCGAAGTGTTGCGCAGTGGAACAATTGGAGGTGACGCGTTCCAGAGGCGGGACTCGGTGCCTTTGTTCTCTGCCGCACCTTCGGCGACAGCCCATCTCATCTATCCTTAGACAGCCGACCGCTGCAGGTTTCATGTCGGGAGTGATAGATGGGACCAAAATAGAAGCTGGCCCGCGCCGGGTCAGTATTGACATCATGTCGTCGAAGCCCAAGAGAACAGGCTCACAGACGCGCAGGCTCGCAACCAGGCGGTTTTGTCAACTTGAAACCTTGACAGATTAATCAGGACGATGAGCTGGCCGACCAAGGTTGAACAAGAAAAGCGACAAGAAACTCCAGATTTCCCGGCGGATGATGCCTCCAAGGTCCCGGCAATAGGAATGACATAGGGCTGCAGTGGGCAAAACGGGCCTTTAGCCCCGCCCACCCGACTCGCCCTCCTCGCCCTCCCTCCTCCTGGAGCTTCCCAGACGTCCAACCGGGTCTGGGTTCCTGCTTTGTCCTCAGACGCTTTGATGTCTGCCCGCCGGCACAGTTGCCCGGAGAACCGGGATGGCGCTCCGAAACCAGCGCCCCGAGCCGGCAGCCAGCATGTTGCCGGAGAGGAAGAATGCTGGTTGTTGATGCACGTCCTTTATGTGTCTCGACCTTTCTGGCAATTGAATCGCGATCTCCACCCCCTGCCCAATTCTCGTGGCGTTTTTTGCGGCCGGAACGTTGTCCTTATCGCGCCATCCTGGTCACATCCATGGTACCTTGCGTGATTAGGCTGACGCACGCGCTGCAGAACGAACAACACGCTGCAGCCGGTTCTGCAGCTTGAAGCAGAAGCTGGAGGCAGAGATTTGACTACCAGAAAGAACCAAGGCGAATCACAGACCTGGGAATCCGCGGCAGAGAATGGCTCTGCAGAAACTCCATCTTCTTCCCCTTGCATGCTCAGAGTATTAACGAGCGAGAGAATGTTGGTGCGGCTGTCTGATCTCGACTCGGTGAGTCTCGACAAAATCGCTCATCCCTTCTAAGCCAGATCAAGAACAACCGGTCATCCAGGCCAGGTGCAGTCCGTCTCCGTCACATCTGGTAGGCTGGACCTGTGAGGCTTGCATGTTCCCGTCTCTTTTATATCCGCCTCTCTATCTTCTGCTGTGTCTGCCGTCAAAGGCACAGGTGGACACGGACTGTCTCTGCCGCAATGTCTGCGGTGGCCGATTGGAAGATGGCCGTGGCAGTTGGAAGAGAATAGATCCGAATAGCGTATGCTGTCGTTGTTTTTTGTCACAGTAGGTACGGTAGGTAGGTAGGTAGGCAGGCTCAAAACTCGCCGAACGGTCCTGGGCCGCCATGCTCATCAGTCGTTCCCGACTCGGCACAATGGCGCATACTAAAGACTACAACTCCAGTAGGCGCATGTGAAAAAGGTAAATGAAGCACACTCACTTTTCACCTCGGCCGACCGGTCGTGCACCCAAGTTGGGCAGCAATGGTATTGGCAACCAAGTGTGATGGACTTGATCAACGGGTGTCTAGCCAACTCAAGCTAAAGTGGTCGAGGCAGACGAGATGAAATTATAGTAGATAGCCTCGATCATAAGACAGCTCGGCACCCACAACAAACAAACAAATAACAGCAAAAACAGGCTCGGACCTGCTGTGGCTGTCGAACCCTGCAGCTGGGGCCGCCCACCGGAGCTCGGAAATGGCTTCCACGGTAGGGTAGTCAGTTACCTTGCATCGTTGATATAGTCAAAGAGTGCCGGCAATATCGGATATCGGATCTTGTGGAGAGAGCAGTTAATCTCAAGAGATTGCAACCCAGCGGGTGCGAAGCAGAACTGCCACTCGGGAAAGAAGCGCAAAACACATATCAAGATGGGGGTATATTTTGCGGAACGCTTTCATTTCCGGTCCATCGGTGTTCGAGTTTGTCAGAGTTCGGAAGAACCTAAGCTCTTGAACCTTACCTTGTTCTTTTGGTCCTCTCAAGTTCTACTAGCGTGTAGGTTGCGTGTTACTTGTCAGTGGCACCTGCCTCGTGTGACCATCGCGGCAAATGGCGCCAGTCTTCGTATGCCCCGGTCAGGTACGGTCTAGCACATGGCAATTTCAAGCTCTTTTCTCCTCCCAGTCGGAATCTTCTTTCTCAATTGGGTCTCCCGGTCATATGAGGCAATAAATAAGCTCTTTAAGGTACCAGGTGGGTAGCAAGTAAGGTAAGGTAGCCACGCTAAAATCCCAGTATCCTCGCCCTCCCTCCCGAAAAATTGCGTTAAAAATGGACACCAATAGACCGGGAGAAGAATGAACGAGTCAAGATGCTGTCTCTATTCGGCAACAAGCGGATAGCTTTGTGTTATTCTGCCCTGTAAATGCCTTGGAGTCGTCGAGACACAGGCCCCACCTAGCAGAACTAGATAGCTGCAGCCGCAATGTCAAAGCTCTGTCTGTGACACGAAGAGACCAACGGCCACGTCCGCACCATAAAATGAGGTTTACGAGGGAGCAGGTGCGAGATGAGTGGTGTGACTTGGTTCGCCATGTATGTAAATCCACATCAAGGGGGTATATGTTGGCCCGTTGTACATAGTATAGAATACCAAAACGGTATTGTCCCTTGGGGCCCCACTTTCTGTCTTGGGCTTGTCAAATATGCCTACTTTGGAAATGATCATCTCTTGCCTTGCTCGAGGCTCAATGGGCCCAGCACGGACAGCTTATGCTTGCAGCCAAGGGCAGGTATTGTACCTATTCGTACGTACATTCGCAGATCCCGCCGGTTTATCAGCTGAAATATATCAAAAAAAGAACTTGAAGCTACCTTACGGGTTTAACATGAACACATAACCGGCAACATAGAAACTGGACTTCACCATGTGTTATCAGGTAGCAGCCCCCCAGAAACCACTGGAAAGTATTTTGAAGCCTTGGGTATTGTATTAAAGGCCATATTTAGTCATTTCTTGTAGTCAGTGCTGAAAGTGCGCAAAACTCCCACGATACGGAAACTGCCATTGTCTCAAAATCTGAATAGAAAGCCGTCAAACAGGAAAGGAAGTAGGGGTTGTCATGATGCAAGAGGTTGAATAACGGGTTGGGCCTGGGGAGACGCTAACGCGACGCAACCGCCACGGTGGGGATGGGGGCTCTTCCGGGGGTCTTGACACTCCAATCCAATGAGATAGAGAGAAGAAAGATGGGACGAACAGGCACAGGAACCCCACCTTCCGCGGTTGGAAAATAGGGCTACGGGCTGAAAAGGGGACACGTCGCAACGGCGACAAGAAACCTACGGTAAGAGGGAAAACGAAAACCGAGACATTTTAGCATAGGCCGCCCGTCCTTAAACCAAGTTCAACTGCAGAGAAGCTTGCAGCGTCCAACGCAGACGAGACAAAATAGAGACCGCCCCGTCGCCCAACAATCAAGACTCCTTACCTAAACTCCGTGTGCCTACCTACGCATTTAATGCAGCTCAGCTCAGACGTGCCCGAAAGCCCTGCCAAGGACATTTTAAAAATGAAGCCACCATCATGCTTGCAAAGATTTTTGTATCCTCATCCGTCTGTCTTCTGACATTAGAACTACACTAGGACAAGAACACGAGAGGCAAAGACTGAGGTTAGAACCCATGCGACGCATGAATTTGGCTTTCCCGTCAAGCCAATACTAATTTCACTCGGCTTCTAGAAGGTCATTAGAAAGGTAGAACCTCACCTAGCCCCCGGGGCTGCTTTCCCTCCGCTGTGGGGGCATGTCCCGCCCATGGACCCACAGAGCAGTGGAGGCCGATTTATGGCGGATCCCGGGCCTTTTATGGTCAAGAGCCAAAAATGTCAAGCTGGTAACAGAAATGGAAAAATAATTAAAGTTGTATTTAACTCCACCTACCTAGGTAAGCAGCGTGGACAGAGAACGAAGTCAACGTGCTCTGGATTTCGTCCTCCCTAACAAGAGGTGCGTTTGGGAATGCGATCCAGATTCAAACACTCACGGCCCGGGGAGACACTGACCCCGGCACGCCGTGAGGTTAGGATCGTTAATCAGGTTAAAGTGCTGAACCCGGCGCTAGTCACGTGATATCCGTCTGATTTCCTTTTATCTTTATTGGTGGATCCCCAGTTTCACGCCTTTTTAGGGTGTTCGCTCTTCACAACATTAACCAAGCTAGAGAGTCCTCCGGTCAATGTTCCCAATCCATTGCTCTGTGGAGAGTAAAGAGATTGAGGCCCGCCAGGGAGCTCTCGGTATCCCTCCCTTTTTCCTCCCCAAAAAATAAAAATAAAAACTGTCCCTCGGCACAATCATCAATACCTACGGATACCTTTGGTACCTACCTAGGTCCTAGGCTCGAGGGATGGACACTTGGACAGAGCGAGGCGCGCTCACGAGCCCCTGCCGCTATCCCAGTCCGTGCCATTAATGCGCCAACATTATAGGTCGCCGAAGACATGATGAGATCATCTTGAAGTGATTTAAGACATTGTCTCCATCGGCCTGCCTCTGCGCGGGCCAGTGCGGCAGATGGAGAAGCCGCCAGCTAACATGGCGGCCTAGGTCAGTCCGAATACGGCCCTAATATAATTTAACCATGGCAAGGTGTTTGTCATGCAACAACGAAGTGCTCATCAACACGACTATCTTTCGTAAAAATGCCTTAGAGAGGAGAAAAACATAACATCAACAGTCTCGACTTTACCCGCGGCGTGTCTCTAGCAGCGGAAGACCTGACTTGGGTTCCATTACGACAGAAAGGCGCAGATTACCCATCAGAACGTGCACAGGCAGAGGCCGAGGCGGTAAGGTCGTATTATAGGTACGCTGTGCTGTGTAGTGTGCCTTCCCTGTCGTTATTCCAAGATCTGAGGTGGTTTCCAAAAATGGCAGTCTCGTCCTCCCGTCTTCTACTTGTTCCTTCCCTCTGCTTTACCAGCCGTGGCTGGCCCGTGCTTCAGGTTCCTAGGATCTCCGGTCTGGATCTTTTGCTGCCTAGTAAGGTATTTTCTTTCCTTCTCTGGTTGAAGTTTGTTCAATTCCAACAAATTCAACAAAACAGAGGGAAGCCGTAAGCATCACCCCTCCTCCGCCCTCCCCTCATGGGTCAATTCGAGTTGCCCACGACTCCAAGTCCCGGCGGTTCAGATTCCGAGCGGAAAATACTTTCCAGTAGCGGCATTCTTCTGAGAACTCGAGGTGCCGTTAGCTTTGTTGGCAACGGGAGCTACCAATCAGTTCAATCTCCGGCCTTCCAATTGCCATCCCTCGACAAGAGCTAGCGCAGACCAGACCAGTACCAGACCTCAGGCTCCGCAGATGCCAGATCCCATGGGATGGCGATTGCAGCAGCACATATTCCATGCATAGAACCACATCAACTACCTTACCTACCTACCACATAGTAAGCCTACCAGGCGGTAGAATTGCCTATTGCCTTACCTAACCTACCTAGGTGCGGCACTCCAATTCTGATGAAGCGCATGCATCCTCCTGCCTGTGGTGTGCCAATCCTGCAGAGTCGATGCTGTGTTCTCAATGTGATGAGAGGGGTAGACAAAATCCACACCCCACAGCTTCCCGGCGGCTGAGGCTGCGCCGTGCTGTGTCAAAGATGCGCAGATGGAGTCTTTCTCGTGGAAACCATGTGTTGTCGTGCATGTGGTTCATCGGACGATCGAAGCTTTGTCTCAGTCAAGGCAAGGATCCGCCGTCATGGATGATGGTGCCGTGCTCGAGCCGGGGGGCAGATGGCCAAGGGCGGAGGGAGGGGATGTGATGGAGGGGCCCGGACGGACCACCCCTCCCCCCCCCCCCCCAGCATAACCTTGCCTTGCTACTAACTCCCTTGCCTAGCACCAGCAGAGGCGCCTACCCAACTTTCAAGGTCCAAGGTACCCCCGAGCTGAGGTGTGTGTGCCCCAGGGGATCCCGAGAGATGAGATGGACCGAAATCTGAACCGCGCATCCATCAGAGCGGGTTGCTGCATTGCGCTGCGAGCCGCGGCTGATCAAACTACGAGCAGCAAGGGCTGCACTGTGACCTATCGACATGTTGGCCCCGCGGCCCTGCTCATGGGGAGCTCTTGGAACCCCGATATTCGCCTACTTCGGAGTACGGATGGATCCCAACTCATAAGCCTGACTACCCAGGGCAAGTCTAGTACGGTACATGTACGCGTGCTGCTTGGTCAGCCAACTTGCCAACGGCAAGTCTATCTGCGTGCCTTTGGTGCAGATTATTACCACCTCACCCACCTGATGATACCCTTGCTATACCAAGGTTAGGTTACCTTACCTTGCTCTACACCCTACAAGACTACTAGTACACCCATACCAAGCCACTGCTCGTCGACCCTCTACTTGGCGGTTGTCTGTGTGTTCTGTAGCTGCTCTTGGCTGCTTGCTCCACCGTCGCCTGCACCCTTGATACACTCGAGAACCAGGGTCTGCACATTCCGGTACACAGCACACCCATCTCCTGACAACATCTTTGCACCCCTGGCGGCCCCCTTGCGATGATTACACTCTCTAGAAGAGACTTCTACCGTCTTCTGCCGGGAGCCTAACCATATGCAGACTTGTCTATTAGTTCTAGTCTACAAGGTTAACCAGCTGATGTTGCCCAAGTCCAACGACTAAATCATCCCGGCCGTTAGCTACTTCTTCAGCGCCTGGCAAGCAACAAAAGAGCTGAGCAACCCAGGGCGGCGAGCAGTCTCATGGTGTGTAACAAGAGAAACAGATCTCTTGGGCATCTTGATGTGAAAACCGTGGGCATGCACGCTTTCCAGTCTCTGGAGTCTTTTTGTGGCTAGTGAGAAGCGGCGAGATAAACATGACCGCATCAGAGGATCCCTTCGTTGCCTCGGCTTCGGCCCGGGCTCGAGAGATTACATCGTGAATGTCACATTGAGGATATCCCGAGATGTTGACGAAAAGACTAGGGGAAGGATTCCAATTGATCGGTGCTAGTGAGATGCGCATGAGCTTGCGGCCTTGAACCAGGGTTACCTCAAGACGGATGGGATGGCCCCCTTCCCCTTCCCCCCCGCGCACCGTGTCGCTGGGGCTGGTCCATTGCTAGGCTGATGATCCTGGATGGCGTCCCCTTGTCGTTGAACTTCATCTCTACGTTGTTTTGTCTTGACTGATGGGCAGACTAATAAAATCAGGCCAACAAGCGTTCACATGCTCATGCTCGCCCGACTTTAACACGCCTCGTCTTCAACTACGGGTCTTGACTGCTCCCGTCTCGTTGATCGTGTTAGGCCGTGCTAGGCGCTCCGCACTAGCAAGCCCGGTCGTCGTTGCATTCATCCACTGCCGGTCGCAGCTTGTTCCTCGCAAGTCTTGGTCGGTCTCTCCCGCCCTCGGTTGGGCGGCCCAGTACCTCGACCGACTTCTAGTCTGGGCTACATACAAGCCAGTCCACAACGTCCCTGCTCGCCGTAAGCCATCTTTCCCACCAGCTGGCCGCCACCAACGGCCAGTCTTCTCTACCGCACACGCTGCTTATCCGGCTCTGGTACATACAGTACAGTACTGTACATAGACCGGACTACTACTCTCTTACTCCACGCCTTCGCCGGCCAGGAGCTACCCCCAGGGTTGTTGACCTAGTTCTTGGCAGCCTAGACAGATGTGCGCCGTCATTCGCCACCACCTACGCCAACGCTACAGGTCCGGCTCTCACAGACTCAACGGCTCTAGACAGCTGGCCTTGTCTTTCTGGGTTAGTACCGTTGGGCTCCTTGCGGCTGTCTCCGTCGGGAACTTAATGTGATCGATCTGTTGCTGCTCCTCCTCAGGCAAAAACTCCAAGGAGGTACCGGGGTGTCTTCCCGTATGCTTCTTCCGCCAAAGATTGCTTAGTGCAAATCCGCCTGCACACCACCCTCCTTTTGAGATTCACCGGTCCTCCACAGCAGATCACATCTCTTCAGGAGGCACACCCATCGAAACAGCGGCGCCAGGTTCTTGGTACCCTAGAGTCCAACGTGGCCGAGAACTGCCTCCCAGCCAGCCATTTATCAACTCACGCTTTCACACCACACACAAGCGCCCCTCCCGCGTAGACCCTCCACCCCCCCTCCCCTGCTGGCTGAACACATTGCCATTGCACATTCACTGGCATCATTTGCCTGAGGGGTGTGCAAAGATTCAGGACAAACCCACTAGCATCACCGCCAGACTCTAGAGGCGCTATTCAACCCCCCTCCCCTTAAAGAACTCCCTGATACCTTGTCGTTCGGCTCTCGCCGAGATCCACACGGACGTCTCATTAGCCACGACGGGGCGCGTTCTCATTGCAGCAGATCAAGCAAAATATACTATTGACTGGGGATTTACCATAATGGTGTTTGCGCAAAAGCGTTAGTTGCATGACTGCCACCAATCGGCCAGGGCTTGCTTCCCCCCATCGAGTCAGAGTCCGGCTGGCTCTCCCCATCTTAGTTAACTCTAGACGGAACCCTTCACACCAGGCCTGTTCAGCCTTTGGCAACAACGTGTTCGAGAAAGCGCTCCACATTGTCGGGCTCGTCTTTATACAGACGAGTCCCTCGATCCTTCTGGTCTTGTGGGGGGGCTGTTTTCGCCTTCCTTCCTACTAGACCCCCGATAACGGGACGACCGCTCTCGACACAGGATCGCATCGCTGCCGTACTGATAGTCTGGGAAAAGCCTTGGCAGCGCCCCCGGAGCGGCTCTCGCTAGGCGCCATAGATGCTCGGGATCTCCAGCATCTTCCGACAAGGCCTGACGTGGAGAGGCGTACTACCGGACCCCTTCCATCGCCTCCCGTCACGCCTAGCTTCGGATACATCACCGGATACATCGCCATGAGTGACTACTACCACCACTTCCTGTCCTCCATGGCAGGAGTTGGCGGCCATCCAAACGCAAACCAACTGGATGGCTCTCAGTCAATACCACCTCCTCCAGTAGTTCCCATGGGAGGCTCCCAACTCTCCAACCCCTACCAGAGTCTAGGATATTTCACAGGCTTCCCCGACCCGGTCATGTTCAACGCGCCGAAGTCACAGAGAAGCAGGCGAAAATCCGCGCCCGGACTAGACCACATCAAGCACCGGCGCACGAGATCTGGCTGCTATACTTGCAGGAGCCGGCGAGTGAAGGTAGTTCAGAGAAAGTCCCCTCTTGGTAGTCTGTTCTAACGTTTCTGCAGTGCGACGAAAACCACCCCATCTGTGAAAGTGCGCCATACCAGAAGTCCTTGGTGCTACTACAAATTTCCAGTGCTAACCTCGCATAGGATGTAGGAAAGGGAAACGAGAGTGCATCTATCCTGAGCCGCCACCGCCAAAAGGATCTGGCAGCGTCGGTTCAAGAGACTCGGCCGGCCCAAGCCAGCAGACGAGCCCGAGCTCTTCCCACGGCGATGACGACGACGATGGAGACGACCAAGACTCGAAGCTGGATCCCATCATGGACGAAGACGAGGACGAGCCCGAGAGCGCCACTTCGCAATCATCAGCGCAGAACTTCCCCCTCCTCCGGAGATCGAGCACAACGTCGTCGTTTGGACTCCAGCGTGTAGGGTCAGGGCACCGCCACGGTTCAGAAACACCCTCTTTTGACGCAAACAAGGGCTCTTCGTCGCCTTCGGCGTCGACCAGCGTTGTCGGCAACCTCACACCCGCTCTGCTGCATCTTTCCGACACTGCACTCCCCAGTCCGGGCTTGCGGCCGGACTGGTCCCTTCTACCACACGAGCTTCAATTCTACCTGGGCTACTTTTGCGAGACCATCACAAACTACCACTACTGCATAGTCAGTGACGCGGACGACTTCTTCCGGACGATCTTGTTGGGGATGGCGATCCGCAACGAAGCGCTTCTTTATGCCGTGGTGGGGTTTTCCGCATACCACCACGCCCTAGCGAAGCCAAACGGTCGGATGGACGAGTTCTTGCTGTACTACAACCGCAGCGTGACGCTTCTCTTGACTTTTCTGAAAAGAAAGGAGAAGCACAGCGTGGCGACGTTATTGACAGTACTACAGCTTGCTACGATAGAGGTAAGCCGGTAGCTTTTCTGAAGGATGGTGCGAGGTTGGATTTTCTGACACGAAACCAGGAGTATCTGGGCGACTGGGTCAACCTCATGGGACACCAAAAAGCAGCTTTCGAGATCCTCACTCAGCTCTTCACGCCGCAGTCGATTATGCAAACTTCTATGGGCCGCATGGTACTGAAGTGGTACGCACGATTCGATGTCTTTATTGGTATCATGGGGAGCTTCGAGACGACGCTCCCGCGGGAGTGGTTCTCGGCGTCTATCGAATACTACGATGGCATGGCAGCAGTCGAGCTCGAAAACGTGAGCTGGAAGATCGATGCATGCGCCTCACGACTGCGCCTCATATCAATGGAGATGTCTCTCCTATTTGGAAAAGGGGCAAAGCAGGACGTCTCCGAGGACGAGTATGTCGTCGAGCACCAGAGACTATCCGTGGCTCTCGACAACTGGAAAGAGAACTGGGACCCTGCATTGAAGGACCCAGACTTTCTCGTAACTGAGTTTGCCAGCAACCGTACCCCAGACCCAAACGACATTGTGAGCCCATTTACGCCGGGAGTGCTCTTCGGGCCGCCGCTATTTGCCTCAACTATCCTCACATGCGAGTGGCACTCTATCGCGTTGATGCTCGGGAGCCAGGCAGCTTCTGAAATGACAGAGTCGTCCCGAGCGAGCATGATGGAGCATGCGTACGCGATCTGTCAGATCTGCGAGGCGGTGGAATTCTGGCCTCTCAGTCCCGCCGGGAGTCTGATCATACTGCATCCCTGTGTAGCCATCGCAGCGCTCTTCGTCAAGCGGGATGCGAGGCACCATATGTGGATTAGGAAGAAGCTTGCATTGCTCGAGGTTATGGGGTGAGCTGGAGTTCTATTTTTTTTTTCCTTTCCCCTTTCGCGCTCCCTTGGCGGTGCTTGTCAAACTGCGGCAGTTCCAGGGCTGACAAGGCGGTTTTTAACCAATCTAGGTACATATCGCCGGCCACAATGCGTGCGCGCATGGCGGAACTATTCCTCGACGAGAGCTGTATCCGATGGTGGCTTCCAAACGACGAAGGGTTCTCACCAATCCTGCAAAACATCCGGGCTTTTGCAGACGAACGCAATGCCATGGCCGTCTCAGCACAGAGCGAGAACCTGCGGCAGATTCGACATGTATTCTCACGCATGCGACTTGGACGAGGAGCTAGCATTCCCGAGGGGGGCGGCGGTAACAATGATGACGAGGCAGCTTGAACAGCCTGATAGGAGTTGCATGAACTGGCGGGTGTGGGCTTGCAGCCTCGGTTTTCCCAAAGTAGCACGGCATGTTTGCCACAGCCAGCAAAGATTGCTGGGGACAGATGTTCAAGGGACTCGAACGTTTCGAGAGATCCGAGGGACCAGCTGGCAGCGAACCCATGGTCGTCCGTTTGGGTGATCGATGGAGCTGGCTGTCTGACTGGCCCGAGGATGCATGTTGGTGCTGGTCGAGAGAGTGATTGACGTTGGATGTTGGGGAACGATGCGGCTCCCTGCTACCCTGCGGCTCGTCTTGCCGCGGTGGTCCGAGTCCCTTGGATCAAATAAATTCCTGGGACGAAATCATGCCGGCCTTAGCAGCGTCAGATCCTTGATGGTCAATGCAGCAGGGGCGGAACGCTTGGATCGCCCTTTTCGCCCTCCTGAAACACGATGCTCGGCACTCGGCCCTCCTCCGCCCACCCCTACCCCTACCCCAGGATCTTCTCTGTTCCAACTCACCCAATCTTTGCCCGCCCGCACGTCTTTGCTCGCGCCAACTGCCGCCAAACGGGAAATCCGCCGTGAGAAGTTCGGACGAACGAGGCCCAGTCCTCGACAACCCCACAAGCAACTACAGCCGGACCCGGAGCCCAATTTTGCCAGAAAAGAGACGACTGGGAGTCATGCGCGATCTCCCTGCCTATACCTTCCTTGCCTACCGGTGTAGGTGCGCATTGACGGCCATGAGGCTCTTTGGCTGAGAACCTGATCGCCGTCAACCTTTTCTCTCTTTCATGAAGAAGCCTCTACCTCATTATTTTCAGCCAGCGAGCGATATTCTTTCTCCTTCATTTTTAATCCGGTGTTGCATGGAGGCCCTTGTTACATATGTCTCTTCATACAGCATCTCTTGCTCATTCGCCAATAACCATGGTTTACAGCCACTTCCTTTCATGTACATAAGCATTCAAAGCCTATCTTGGCTGAGACGAGTTTGTGGGAGTCGGCGGTTGGTTTTACCTTTCACCCTTTCATCTTATTAACTCATGCTCTGTTCCGATGAGGGTGTATATGCACAGGAGAGAGGAGTTTAGATGATAACGACAAACGCGTCCCTCGTGTCCTGAACCGCTCTTGTTTTATTTTTTGGTCTAAAATTCTTTTGCTTCTTCATCCTTTACTATTTACCATTTTTAATATCATGGACCGGTGGCGGCTTTGCACCCCCTTTTTCACGTATCTGCATTTTGATTGGCTTCAAACATCATTGTTCTTCAAAACTAATGATCATAGTCATGATCGTCACTTCCCTCATAACCCTCATACTAACTGTCCTGTTGCTCTATCATGATATCATCACGTATTGCACATGAACTGGCGTCAATCTCCAAATTAGCTAGCATTTTCGGTCGGCGACTTTCATTGGGCACGGAAGAGAGACCCCCTGAGCTGCTTTTCGCATTATCTTTATTGACTTTTGGGGCGTACACATTTTATATACCCAAGGCAGGCGATATGGAGGGGCAAGGAGTCAAATACAACCAACCACTGCTTAACCTACACATACATCTATAAATCTCCAACGGTTAGCGTTTTCAACTGCGAGGCACGACAAAAGCAGTGCGGAGGCGAAAACTATTGTGAATAAAAGAAATGTGTTGCTCTTCTTAATTATTCATGGCAACCTTTCTATCACGAAAGGAAAGCCCCCTTACACATATTTACTAAACCCTCCATTTTCCCCCTTTCTGCTTAGGTAGGTACGAAACCAGAAAGAAAGATAAAATAGAATTCGCAAGCCAAACTTTCTGTGTACACCGCTCGAGAAAAAGAAAAAGAAAAGAAGAAAAAGAAAAGGAGGAAAAAAAAAAACTCAAGACAAAAAAAGAGAGAATAAAAGGAACAAGGATAGAAAAAAAAAGAGTTAATAAAAAACGGTGCAGTGTCGGGCGAAATGTACTGAAACATATACAGCATGGCTGGCGTATATACAAAGTACAATAACCTTTGGGTTAGTAGGTATACCGCGTGTAGTTGTATATACCTACCTACCTACCACAGGACGGACGCCGGGGTATATATTAGCGAGCAAGCAGCAGCAGCAAGCAGCGGCAGCAAGCAACTGGGCAGCACAAATAAGGAGAGGAGAGGGGATTGGAAATAAGAATCCAAGACACCGTCCACGTCCAACGTCCCCGTCCTACGCCCATACCTACTGCAGACAGAACAGCACTAGCAGACTAACGAGATATATCAACATTCCTTCATTCCTCTTTCCCCCCCCCTTCCCTTTTCATAGGTACCTACTCCATTTCATAAGCCCTCCTTCCATCCTTCCCCTCATTGGACAACCAAAAAAAATTCACTGGTCCTGCACGTCGCTACTCGTCGGCCGTTTTCTCCGGTAGAGAAGCCGCATCGTCAGCCTTTGCATTTTCTTTGCTCTCCTTGGTCTCGGTGATTTCCTTTGTCTCGTCTGTCTCTGCGGTATCCTTGGCATCATCGGTTTCCTTGGGCTCCCCACTCTCATCTTCGTCCGATTTTGCCTCGACAGCTTCTGGTTCCAGACTTGGGTGGTCAGGACTTATTGCTGTCGCCGTTGCTGTCGCCGTCGCCGTCGCCGTCGCCGTCATAGATTCGCTCTCAGCTCCAAACACAGGGGGGTTTAGGCTGCCCGCACTGCCCGTCTTGAGTGATGACGGTGATTCTGATGGAAGTACTGGGACAACTTCGTCTTCCTTTTCTCCTTTAGTCTCACATTCTGACATATGTACATTCCCGTCGGCATGGCTGGCAGGATCTGCGGGAGATCCTTCGCCTGCGGCCTCAAGCGCTGGCTGCTCGTCGTCCACCTTTTCTCCCCCCTGGGTCTGGTCTGGTTTGGCGTCTTGATGCTGTTCGTTTGCCGCTGGTTGCGGCGCCGGCTCGGGAGCAGACTCAACAGGGCGCGGTTGCTCTTCTTTAGGGACGGGGGCAGGGGTGTCTTCCGGTTCCGGGAGCTCAGGCTCCAGAGACATCTCTTCCTGCACCGTCGATGGCGTGTTGGTTGGCAGAAATATACTACTTGGCGGAAACACGTTGGATGGCGAATACATGTTGGAAGGTGGAACCACGCTCGATGGGCGGAGGGGAGGCTGCTGCGGTAGCCCATGCTCCACAATTACAGGTATGCTGGCCAGCTCAACCTCGTTGTCTTCTGATGCTGCCGCCGCCGCCCCCGCGGCAGGCCGGTTGGCAGAGATGCGCATCCCTCGCAGCTTGCTCGTGACATCGGCCGTGTCGTCTTCGTCTGCCTCCAACACCGTGGTTACTGCGCTACCAACCGAGGGGCTACTCTTAATATGCCTCCTCGTATTGGTCCTACCGACGAGATTGAAGTTCTCGTCTTCGGCTTCTCCTCGCTGCGCGGGAGGCTTGGCGATGGACGTAGGCACGATTTGTGGTGGGTGCTGCTGCTTCCGGTCGGTACCACCGTCTGCTAGCGCATTCCCACTCGGGGCGCTCTCCAGGCCTTCGGCCTCGGGCGGCAGCTTGTAGTTCTCAGCAGGCAAGAGGTCGTTGATGTCGCAAACTGTCTTGAACAGGACATAGAGCCCCGTTTGCCCCTCGACAGACCAGAAGACGCCGCGGTGCTGGAACCAGGCGTGGGCAAAGATGCGGTGGAGGCGGCGGAAGACATTGACTAGGTTCTTGAGGGCCGTATTTTTGTCGTGGGCGTCTACGACAAAACGGCTGGGAAAGATCTTGGGGTTGGTCACCACGTTGGCAGCCCAGTCCAGGGTGTGGCAGCAGTAGTCGATGGCGCAGCAGCTCTTTGGGGTGTCGTGCACGGCGCACAGGAACTGCCACTCGCTTGCGCGCATCTCGGGGCATGTGGCGGCGCTGCAGGGCGGCGTGTCGAACAAGAAGCCGACGATGAGGCTATTGCACTGGGCGATGAGAAAGCGACACAGCTCGTACAGCCACAAGGTCTTGTCAATGCCAGGCGGCGACGTAGCCAGCGTCTTGGCCGTCTCGCGCGTTATGGCGCACGTGTTGCCGGCCGTGTGGTGGTAGTGGAGGGCAGCCAGGTGTTCTTGCAGCTGGAAGGCCGAGTCGAGCTGTCGAGGGGGGCAGAGCCGGGTCAGTCAGACCGGTCAGGCAGGGACGGGAGCAAGTCACCAGGAGAATGCAAACCGACCTCGTGCAGCGGAACTAACGGGGGCCCGGCGGCCATGTCGTCAGATCGGGTGCCCGGGTGGATGCGCCGCTTGGCGTTCGCATCTATGACGGGCTGCTCGATCTGTTGCGCCTGGCGCGTGGCATTGGGACCGACCAAGGGCGATTTGGGCCCGATCTGGATCTCGGCTGGAGGAGGCGGGCTAGGAAGCCTAGGCGAGCTCGGCGGAATCGACATGATGATTGACAGTAGAGAGGTTGCGGCGGCTGGTCCCGTTTGTTGTCGTCTCGTCTTTTTGTTTCGAGTTTCGTCTCCGTCGAGGTTAAATTTATGGGATTTATTTATTTATTTATTTCTGCGCTGCGCAGCGCTACTCGGGTTTGTTTGGCGCCGTGTTCCTCTTTGGCCGATATTCGAGGTTCCACAAAGTATACAGCAGCCGCCTTTCTATTGCGCTACCTCTCGTCCTAAGGGAGCTGTGCGCGGAGAGCGGTCTCGGTGTTGCAGCTAGACTCATCAAGGAGCTCGTCGAGGGGGGAAAGGGGAGGTTGTCCAGCAAGATTTTGGGCGACTAGGATACAGTGCTTGAAGCGCGCGGCGCGTCCAAGCTCCAAAGAAGGTCGGCTAGCTGCTACCTGACTGGAGCAGTTTGCCTAGCCCCTCTCCCAAGATTACGTAAGGTACCTATGGGATTCTCTGTCACAGTGGCCCCTGCTCCACGAAAACCACTCAGGCCGTGAACAGTGGGTGGATTACACGCCTTACAGGGCGGTTCGATTCTTTCACGCACTCAAGCAAAGGGCGCGCGCCGCAGCGTAGCCAGGTGTTGGGTTGCATTGCGTAATGACGGGAGACTCGCAGTTGACCAAAACCAGTTCTACCAGCTTCTCATAATCCATACATAAATAATCCCTTGACTTGTAAATGGTCAAAAAAACAGATATAACACCACGCAGCTAAGCTCATCTTGTTTTAGTCGCCTGAGCCTTTGTTGAGACGTGCGAAGACTCCAGTCCGACCTGATCTCGAACTACACCCTGCGCTTGCCTCGTTAAAAATGGAGTGGGACGACCAAGACGGCCCTCCAGATCTCATCGAGGCTGGGCAAGAGCTCGATGCTGAGGAAAAGCCGGTCAAGGTCCCCATCACTATTGTCACGGGTGCGTGCACGGATCGTGTACAGTACATATCCTTGCCTCAGGGATTTTTGCTAAAAAGACTCTTTCAGGATACCTCGGAGCGGGCAAGACGACCCTCCTGAATTACATTCTCACTGCCCAGCATGGCAAAAAAGTTGCTGTCATCATGAATGGTGAGAGAATTTCACCACTTCTAGAAGCTTGGCTGTTGCTTGCTAACCCCTATTTCACAGAGTTTGGTGACTGTACGCATTAGTCTGCTCTCTGCGCATCGCTCTGCATGCTGACTCGCCTCATTGACCAGCCCTGGATATAGAAAAATCATTAACGGTCAACAAGAACGGCGAGGCCGTCGAGGAATGGTTGGAAGTCGGCAATGGGTGCATCTGTTGCTCAGTCAAGTATGCAACAGGCTTGCCTAGTTCCTCCAAAGACCACCACGTCACACTAACTCTAGATCCAGGGACACGGGCGTGAATGCCATCGAGTCACTTATGGAGAAGAAGGGGAAATTCGACTACATCCTGCTCGAGACGACAGGCCTCGCTGACCCGGGAAACCTGGCGCCGCTATTCTGGGTTGATGACGGGCTCGCCAGCACCATCTACCTCGACGGCATAGTAACGCTGGTCGACGCTAAGAACATCCTCCGTAGCCTCGATGATCCGGCGGGTAAGGTCGAGGGACACGATGAGGCCGACGCCCATGGCCCCGTCATGACGACTGCCCATGTTCAGATCTCGCACGCAGACGTGATTGTGATAAACAAAGCCGACATGGTGAGCGGCAAAGAACTACAGGCTGTGAAAGCACGGATCGAGTCCATCAACGGGCTGGCCAAGATCCACGTCACCACGCAGAGCGTTGTACCGCAGCTCGAGGGGTTCCTACTCGATCTGCACGCTTACGACCGCGTTGAGGAGCTCGATCGCGCAGATCGGGGCCATAGCCATCTCGACAAGGTAGGCTGCACTCGCCCATGCCCACGCCCAGACTCACTCTGGGCATCCTAGCACATTTCTGCTACACTACAGGCGGAATGACTGACTCACATGAGTAGACAATATCGACTATTTCAATCCCCATACCAGCCTTGACTGCTGACCAGCTCAAGGCCGTCGATGCGTGGCTTCGGTCGGTTCTTTGGGAAAACGTGATACCTAACGGCGCACATCAAGATGCACCCAATCGTCCAGCATTTGAAATCCATCGCCTGAAAGGGCGGCTGTTCCTGAGGGACGACGGCGAGAAGATGGTGCAGGGCGTGAGGGAGGTTTTTGACATCTTCGACAGCCCTGCCCCGTTGCTTGACAAAGGCGGCGGCGGTCGCGCAGGGAAAATGGTACTGATTGGGCGGTATTTGGATGATTACGACTTCTCATCGAGCCTTCGCCAACTGTGCGAAGCCGCACTGTAGGCAGCCAACTCCTCCTGTGATATGTAAAATAAATCCCTTCCCAAAAGGGAACGCGCAGCGCATTAAATGCCCCATCTAAACAAAGCAGCTAAGCTCTGCTTCGTTCCGTATCAAACCAAAGAACACGTGCGCCATGCAAAACCGTAATGACTTGCGATCTTCTCAAGGGATAAAGTAGCAGCCAGCAATTGGTTTGCTTGCTGTGCACGCGTGTGCTTTCGTGTTTTTAGTGGCATGGAATCCTTCGGTAGTAGAAAGGGCAAAGTGATAATAAAGTTTTCAGGTGACTATATACCCTGGTTGGCCAGTCGCCAGGCCGGTGCCGAAGCTGCTTTGAGGTTCGCGTTGATTGGTCCAAATGCAATGGGGGAGGATGCGCACGGACCGCAAGGCAGCCTTGATCGCATTGGCTTTTGCAGGCGTCGCTGGAGAGACCTTCTCAACCGCCGTCTTTGGAACCTCAGTGCTGTCACTAAGTCGCCTACCTTAACCTTAGCTACAGCCTCAAAAGCTCGCTTAATCACGTATTCTCGCCCGCACCCGCTGCAATCGTCGTTGCTTTTCGACAACACAGCCCACGCGAGGCAGCGCGCACATCTTGATTGACGCTTCCATAAGAACGACGAATCGACGGCGGCCTCGATGATGAATCGGTCAGGTATGGTGGCAATCCAACCTCGCCTCCCAGTCCTCTTCCGCGATCACCTTCCCTCCCGAACACAACACCCGCTCCTCCTACCCAACTCATCCACTGTGCACCCCGCTGTCTGCCCTGGCAATTGCCTGCCTCAAGCTCGACTCCCGTGTTATTCTTCCCCTCCCGTCGACGTTTGGGCTGCCCTCCCCAGCCCATTTCCCAGCGGCCTGCCCGCACTTGCCAGACCAAGCACCACAACCGAGAGCATGCCTCAAATCGTGCTACCAACGGGTGTGGCCTTGCTTGTTGCTGTCCCGCCTCGCCCCCTCTCCCGCCCTCGGGCAGCTGTATATCTGGTTTATCTCGATAGTTTATTCTTGGGAAGCGTCTGGGCCTGGTGCCCATTCTTGCCTACCCGAGATGACATTGGCTAACTTGGTATCTGTTGTCGTCTCGACCATGGGGAGCGGGCCTGAGCGGGGCTTGAGCACCCCAACCCCCATCCATACACCCTCTTTGCGTTTGCTAGGCACCCGCCGTTCCCTCTCAGTGCTGCCAGTCACCATCGTTGCAAGAAGAGTAGAGCATGTTTGCTGACGGGCTATGTTTGGACAACAGGGGCAGTCCCGCAATCGCTGCGCGGAATTCCAGGCGGGTTTGGTGGCCAGCAACCACAGCAGCAACCACAGCAGTCAGGACGTCCTGTCGCCAACAGGTTAACCAATGGAAAGCTGGGTGAGGATTCCGCCACGGCTGCTAGCCGCTTGACAACGACGCTACCAACCTTGACGACTAATTCGGTTGCAGCGCCAGTGAACAGCGTATCAGGATGGAGCTTCGGCGCCGGCGTGCCCATGGGCGGTGGTGGTGGCGGGAGTGTACCACCGGGTTCCGCAAGACAATTAGGAGGCAACATTAGCTTCGCTCAGAGTTTAAGCGGATCGCAACCATCGACTCCACTGGACCTTTCGTAAGTCCAGCACCTTTCTTGATGCCCCTCCCGCACCATTCTCACCATTTTTCAACTCTCTCCTTCCTTCCTTTGGACACCAGTCACCAAGGGTACTTGCCTCTACGGCGCCTTGCTGCTCTCTCTTTGTGTTAGGTTCTACCCCTCCATTGAGATACTCTACTGCAAGAGGTCTCTTGCCAGCATTTAGCTGCCATATTCCTGGGACTGTTTTTGCTCAACCCCTTTTCAATTATTTACGTCAATCTACGACTGCCTGTTTTTCTTTTTGGATTAGCTGCCTGGTACTTTTCTTGTCGTATTCCCCCAAGTTTGGGCATCGAGAGTTGCAACCAGCCCGGACAAGCTCTAGTCCAAAATGGCCCGAAAAAGGAAGGGCAAAAGCTTCGAAGGATTTTCGTCGTCTTTCCCCTATGCATCTATTCTGAAGGGGTACTGACGATTCCCTGATGTATTTTGCTCTTGTTGCTCTGGCCTACCTGTTACATCGAAACGCGGAACCCTACAGTGCTCACCATTTCGTGTCCCAGCACTAGGACGGGCTATGATGCTAATTAACCTACAATGCAGGGAGTTTCCGTCCTTGTCCAATACATCACAGATGTCTGCGTCGAACCAGTCATCCATGTGGTCATCTGGAGGCTCACGAAATGTTGGTGGAGCAGTCCATAGGGGCTCTGGCACGCCACTCTCGCAACAAAGCCAACAAGACGACTTATTTGTGTCATCTCGGCTGGCTTCAAACCAAGGGTCCTTCAGATTTGGAACCCAAGGGAGTGCGGCGCAGACTTCGCAAACACACTCCAGCGCCAATGACGAGTTTCCGCCTTTAAACCGGAACGCGAACGGCGATATTGGCGGCCAGGACCGAACAGCAAATCTCATGTCAAGCTTGGGCTTCGGTTCCCAGACAACAACGCCGACGTCTGCGATACACACGAGCCGGGCCGGAAACGGTCTGCTGAATGCTGTGTCGGCGAACTCGCGCGCCGCCGAGGCAAGGTCACCTACATCGGTTGTACGCCCACAAGACCCGAGAAGCCCTGTTGGTGAGGACGAGGGCCGCCAAAAGCCGCCTGGGTATTGGGAGGGCAGCATGACTTCGCAATCCTCGGTGGGCGATTCCTCGTCGCAGTTGTTGGGTAGCAGGAACCCGCTTGGCGCAATTGGCAACGAACCACCAGCGGGTAAAGTAAAAGAAGACGACAAGGACCAGACTGGCGATGTTCAAGATCCGCTAGAAGGGATGGCGCCAATCGACAAATGGGGTCTCAAGGGCCTCCGGACGTTGATGAACAACTTTACAGACTTCAATGCGCTGACATGCGGCATTGACCCGTCAGTCCTGGGTCTGGATCTCAATTCAACCGAGTATGACACCTGTAGTGCGGAGAGATCGATTTGTATTTGCGCTTGCTGACTTTTGCCCAGCATGTTTTCGACACAGATTTACTCTCTATTTGACGAAGCGCTGCCAAGGCCTGCTGTTCCGAAATTCTGCCTCCCGGATTGCTACCATGTCAAGAATGTGCAGCCAGTTGAGGCCAAGATGCAGAGTTTCAACGAGGAGACTCTGATGTGGATATTCTACAGCTGCCCGGGTGACGTGAAGCAGCAAATGGTAGCAGTGGAGCTGTGAGACCTCCCCCTTTTCCCGACCGGAATATTCTAGATCCCAGACTGACTGGTTCTTTAGGACCAACCGCAACTGGCGATGGCACAAGAAAATCCAAGTCTGGCTGACGAAAGACGACATGATGGTACCTCAAGCGCTTGGGCCCACGCACGAACGCGGCTACTATGTCATTTGGGACACGGCCAATTGGCGCAAGGAGCGGGTGCGTAATAACTTGACTACATTCTTGTATCATGGCCGCTAACTTTAACTACAGCGCGAGTTGACTCTGCACTACGCAGATCTGGATACCAACCCTGGGGCTTCTCAGGTCCCGGGAATAGCGGTTTAATGCGCAGCTATCTGCCAACGTTCTTGCTGATTATGGTCAGGGAAGGCAGGAGCCTTGAGCGCCACAATCTCCGGATGGATTAAGGACACGGCGAGGGTTGCCGGTCATGTTTATTATGTTTTGTATCTGGGCCAAGGCAGACACGTCTCCCCAGGGCGCGGGGGGCTATGAATGAGGAAGTGTGCACTATCATGACTCGCCAATTTTTTTTTTCGGTCCCTCCCAGTGTGAATGTTTTGTTCAGAGCCCGTGAGGTGATGTTGCCGCTGCATTTTGTTTCAGTCATAAAAGAGCAGAGCCGTTTGCTGGCCACTGCCAAAGTGAGGTAAGCTTTCTCTTTTGAAACAAGCAACGGAGTGGTGTGGCGAGAGCATTATTCCCAAGCCCCATTGTGGCGCATAATATTTAAGAACCTAATGACATTTGCCCCTTTGAATCGTTGATGTTAAGGCCACCACCCCACCATAACCCGCGGCCAGCCTGCCTGTGCTGACCCTGGCAGCCAAATGCTTGACGAAACATCATCCGCTCCTTACTGTACCTGCCTGTTTGCTTACCTTATTAGCGTGATTTATTGCTACGTATCCGTATTCACTGCGCTTACGGTATCGTGACGGATCGTTATCGGGCTTGGCTTGACTTTGGTTTGTTGGCGCGATCATTGATGATCCCAGCTCAGACTAAGTTCCGACTTTGACCCACTGCCAATGCCCGGGCACCTACGGATACCTTACCTAACGATCTCCATCCACCTCGACCAACACTGGCACCTACTAGTCTTACGTACAATTAACTTGGTCCTTAACGTTGCAATTGTGCGCCCACTTTCACGACGCCAAATACGCACGCCCAACTTCCTTGGTCGCATTGGAATTAGGAACATCTGACGCCCGACATCTGAGATACAATTCTACATCCTCCTGGACCACCGACTACGGACCACCCTTTTCCTTATCGCCACTTTCGGGACAGCGTAGCTGCTGCTGCCGCATCGGCCGTCGCACAGCTCCTTCGGCCTCGGCAAGGCGCGGCGCAACCATGGCCGACGAACAGATAAACCTCCCCTCGCTAGTGGTCATTCTCGTGCTCTCGGGGCTTGTGCTCCGCTATCTCTTCTTCTCCCCGCCGACGACGCATGCCGTGGCCAGAGACTCGCTGGCGGCGCAGCGCTCCAGAGAAAGCGCCGTCGAGAGGATACAGCAGATGTTCCCCCAGGCGGACCGCAGGACAATACTCTGGGACTTGCAGCGCAATGGGGGCAACATCACGGCGACTACGGAGAGGATCTTGGCGGGGCGTATGGAGACGGTATAGCACCCTTTTTTGATTCGTTGGGACCCGCCGCAAGGCTAACAATGGATGGAATCGTAGCCTCCGATAACATTCCAACCGCCACCGCCACCCGGGTCGGCGCCCGCCAACGGAGCATTGGGAGGAGCCTCGGCGAGGCAGCCGGGGACTCTGCAACAACAGGCCCAAGCCGCCGCCGCCGCCGCCGCCAAGACCCCGTCGAAGCCGGCACCCGCGGACCTCATCACAAGATATAACCTAAAGGATAAGCTCGGGGAAAAGGGCGAGCCGGAGAGCGCTCCCACTCCGCCTGTTGCAGCCGGCCAAGGCGGCAAGGGCACCAAGGCTTGGAGCACAAACAAGGAGGAGCGGCAGACGCTGCTTCAAAAGAGGAGGGACCAGATGATCCTCGAGGCGCGCCGCAAGATGGAGGCCAAGATCGCCGCCGAGAAAGCGGCTGCGGCAGCAAAAGGCTCCGAGGTCAGTTAGCTGGTCGTGCCGGCCGGCCGGCAGGTGAAGACAAGAGAATGTAATGGGTGAGGAGGAGAATGCGATTATTGTTTGGGTCTCGAGCAGACTACCTAATCATAGCGGTTTTGGGTAATGCCAAGAGATTCTATTGATGGGCGGCGTGCGGGGCGTAATCCCCGTTATAGTGTGGGTTGTGAGTGTGTTGTGAAGAGAACAACGAGAGGGAGAGAGGGAGGAGGACGCACGCGCCAAGCAAACACGAGGAAACGAGAAGACGAGAGAAGAGTTGATAAGAAAGAAAGGAGGAAAGCGCATGCATGGCAACTAACCTAAACTACTAATCAGCGTAAAATGTATACCTACTTGATTCACGTCATTCCACGTCGCCTCCCTCAGAGGAGCTCTCTCTCTCGCCTCCACCTGACAGCCGTTCCTTTTTTTTTCTTTCTAACTGCTACCTGTTATACATGTCAATTCAATACCCATGTGCGTACGTAGCAGCTCGAGATAAATTCCTATGGTTAGGCATCACGACTCATTGTGCGGAAGCGGAAGCGGAAGCGGAGTAGTGCGTGTTAATGTCTATGAGAGACAGCAAAACAAGAAAAAGTGCCTCTGAGAGTTGGAAAGGGGGATTTGGGGCACGCCGATGGTTGCCCAGGACCAGGTTGGAAAATAGGTGAAAGAAAACAAATCAAAAACACATGGGAAGAAAGCTTCATCACGTGTATAGACTATATCAGAGAGACCCCCTTTTGCTTTTCGCTCTATGATGACGATCAGCAGCCACGTGTTGGCGCTGGCGCTGGCATGCTGCGGGCTTTTTTTTTGTCTGACACTTAATTTATCTGATAGCGTTCCCCACGTCTAGTGTTGTTATTGTCTTTCACCTCTAGGACGTTGACGAATAAATCGCGTCTTGGGTTGAGGTCTAGTATCTAGGATCTGCATCACGGATACCACGGATGGAGGATGCGTACGAGTCAAGGGGCGACGATGGACTGTCCACACAATGTGCATAGCAATACACTAGTGTGTGCATGGTATAATCCAGTTGCATAAAACATAGGACCTTATCTACGTATACAGTAGAGTTCGTCGAAACAAAGGAAGACCCCCCCAGTGGGGAAAAGGAAGCGGTTGAACTCTTGGTCCACAATGCTATGAATACATAGGTCGGGCACCTAAAGATAAGCTATGCATGGCATATGCTTCCGTAACAAGCCGTAGGTCTACTCTGGGCGCCCACTATCTACCTAGCTAGGACAATGAAATATGGATACTCCTAGGTAGGTATGGCACATCAACTGTCTTTCACATGCTCCGATCAGCTTGTGGCGGAATGAAAGCAAGACGCCACAACATTGGCGATTGCAGCGATTGGATGTGTGTAACTACATGTGGTGTTAGCTTGTGATAGAGTCAGAGGCGGCCGTAGCTCGGCTTTTTTATTCTAACACCGGAAGCCTGTACGGGCTGTTAGCAGCACTTTGAACGATAGTGTTAATTTCATCACATTCCAGTTGCGTGTCTACCATGTTCCCTCCTTCTCCCCCACCTCTCGCCGTGATTTATTCCGTACCCGGACCGCCTTTGTCCGGACTCGACTTGAAGCTGCTTTCACAAGTCCATTGTTGTGATTGTGGTCTCGTGTGAATGCGCAGCTGAAAGACTCACTCACTGCCTGGATGTCCTGGCCGGACTTCGACATTGCTGCTGTTTCCACCCTACTCTCGTTTTCCTCTTTAACCCCCAATGGCCTACCACGAGGGGCCATGTCGGCCAAAGTGTGCCTCACTCCCCTTGCTTGGCGAGAGAAAAACAGAGCCCCCTCGCCACGCTCACCTCTCTCTTCCCCTCCCTTATTACTCCGAGACAGATTTTGTACAAGAGCCGGCCATGGGCCCTCCCCTGGCAGCTAGACATCATAGCCGTGCCGCCGGAAGACCCCCAATCCCCCGAGGCTGGATGCCCTTGCTCAGCGAGATACCCAGGGGCGAGGAGAGAGTCATGGTTGAGAGCCGCGTGTCGGTCCTGTGGTCGGCCTTGCCTAACTCGCTTCGCAACATGGTGTCTCCCAAGGGCGCCCTGAATCGCTTCGCGTCGTGGTCGTCGGCCACCTCCGCGCCCGGCCTGGACAAGGCAGAGCCAGGCGCCACAGCGATGGGCGTCGCCGGGGAGCCGCCGGCATGGGGGGGTCCTCAGCCACAGCCCCAGTCCCAGCCCCAGCCCCGGATCCTACCACAAGCACAACCACAAGAATCATCTCAAGCACAACCACAAAATCAACATCAACATCGACACCAACATGAACAGCACCACCACCATCACTACTACTACTACGACCACAGCCAGCAGCTCCAACAACAACAAACTCCCCGTCAACCCCTCCGCCATCTTCAGCAACACCAATACCACCAAGACGTCCCGCAGGCAATGCCAGCGCCGACCACCCGGAGCTTGGTGTTCTCAAAGGCAAAAAGCGTCGTCTCGGCACTCAGAATGCCGAATCCAATGCCCATCGCATCATCGCCGTCGGGGGTGGGATGGAAGATGGGTAAGCAGGGTATGTGTTCAACTTCCCTCTTCATCATCAACACACAATCTCTCTCAATCCCAACCTACTCAGTATGTGAATGAAAACATACTCATCCTTTTTGATTTAGGTCTCAACCTCATCATGAGCTCGGGACAAGAGGCCGTATACGGGACCGTGTGCGCGGGCCAAGTGACGGCTTCTGCCCCCGGCGACTACGACGCGCAGCTGGAGCGGGCGACGTACATTGACGGCGTCAAGTACCTCCTCGACGGGCTGCCACGCGACCTGGACGGGGCCGAGGTGGCGGGGCTGCGGCTGGCCATGCCGGCGGAGCTGGCCGATAGCGTGGCCCTGCTGGACGAGGACCCCCAGACCCGCCACCGGAGGGTCCGGCAGAAGCATCACCACCATCAGGGTGGTCGTCGTTGGCGGTCAACCTCGACGGAAGACCGCGGCTTGGCGCACAGCTGCATGATGTTCGTGCTCGGGTGGCTGGTCAGCTGCCTCAGCTGGTGCCGGCCGCTGTTCTTCCTATGGGCGGCCGCCGTGCTGCGCGTCGAGCGCGAGTTCAAGCTCGCCGAGAAGATCATGCGCTTCGCCGTCGTCCTCGCCAGGGAGGTCTGCGAGGCCGTCGTCACCGTCTCCAACAGCCCCACCGGCCACGCCATGTCCGACGCCCTCGGGTTCGCCTCGGACGGCGTGTCGGGGTTCTTGTATGAGTTTGCCAGGGACGAGATGACGAGTCGCAGGAAGAAACGGGATTGATTGATGGGGGGATTTTCTTTCCTTTTTTTTTTCTCCTTTCCCGCATCTAGTTTCTTTGCTACTAAGCATGGTAACGCCCAACGGATACTCCAGCATCTGCATTTTTTCTGTTTAGTGGGACCTGGTGTTGGGTTGCCGTTAGAAGGTCATTCCGATACCCTGCATCCTGGTCTTCAACCATTCTGCTCGGTAATATTTGTTAAGGGGGCCGGCCGGCTGTGCTGGACAGAAATTATAGGTTGGCTTCAATAGAGAAATCTATAACATAACGACAAATGCATAAAAAAACAGGGCCTTTCGGTCACGATTAGAATGGATCTTGGATTTCCCTGTGGCACATTGTGAAATAACTCCCCAAAAGACTTTTACCAGAGACAATTCCCCAAAAAAGCAGGAACAACTGAAGTGTGGAGGCAATTCGGGATCAGTTCGGACACCAAGCACTAAGGCGCCTTGGATGCATGACCCGATTCCCGACCCTGAGTGGCGGCAATGGCCGACCCCACCCACACGGAAGAGCATGGGCGCCCAGACTGATTTCTGCTGCTGGCTGGATAAGATAAGCGATAGGGGACCAATTGAAAAAATTCTTGTCTCGCAGCTCGATTTCCTTCCCATCTATCTCCTTCCCTCCATCCATCACGGCTTGCAACGGCGGTCATTTCCCCTGCCGTCATCATTCGCTTCAACTGTTGTAAAGGCAGGAGCAGGATCAATTGGACAACCTCGTTGGCAAGCTCGACTATCCTGATCCCGATCCCGATATTTACGGGCGCTTGAGAAGCTGTTTCCTTCACCTCCGCTACAATGAAGACCAGCGTCCTCCGCCAGGTGGCCGTCTGCCGCGTCGCCGCCCTGGGCGCGCGCCGTGTGCACATTGCCTCCAAGACGACTACCTCGGCCTACGCCATCACACAGGCTCCCAGAGTTCTTGGGGCAACATTCCGCCCCCTCAACCACCTTAATCACCTCCAGCGGACCTACTCGACAGAGGCCACCGCCGATGCGGTTGCCGATGCCGCGTCGCCAGATCTCGTTAAACGCTTCGCAGACCTCTCGAGACTCAATGTCAACCCTGCCCTCGTCGATGCTATCACCAAAGGCATGCAGTACGAGAACATGACTGACGTTCAGTCTATGACCATCTCTCCGGCTCTTACTGGCCGCGATATGTACGCCTGACACCCATCCCCGCGCCCTGGCGCCCCTCTCTATACCGCGCAACCAATAGCTAACACCGCGTTTTATAGTGTTGCGCAGGCCAAGACCGGTACCGGAAAGACGCTGGCGTTTCTCGTTCCCGTGATCCAGCGCATCCTTGCCAAGGAGCCCGACCTCGCCTACCGCGGCAGAAGCAGGGCCCGGTCCGATGATATCCGCGCCATCATTGTCTCGCCCACTCGTGAGCTTGCCGAGCAAATTGGCGAGGAAGCGCGGAAGCTCACTCGTGGCCTCGGTCTCATTGTCCAAACTGCCGTCGGAGGTACCATGAAGAATGCCATGCTCCACAAGACACGCCGCGAGGGGTGCCACATCATGATCGCCACACCGGGCCGTCTGAACGATCTTCTCAGCGACTCGTCGAGCGGAATCGACGCGCCGCAGCTCCAGGCCCTGGTCCTCGATGAAGCAGATCGCATGCTCGACGTGGGTTTCGACGCCGAGCTCCAGGAGATCCTCACCTTCCTCCCCAATCGCCGTGACGTTCCCCGACAGACACTCCTGTTCTCGGCCACCATCCCCAAGAACGTGGTGGGCTTGGCCAGGAAGTACATTGACGGCAACAACTTTGAATTCGTCCAGACCACGAGGAGCGACGAGACCCCTACCCACGAGAAGGTTCCTCAATATATCGTGCCCTGCAGAAGCATCTCGACCGTCCTTCCATCCCTGCTCGAGTTGGTTCAGCGTGGGACCAAGGAAGGCTTGACCAACCCGGACAAGACTCCTTTCAAGGCCATGGTTTTCTTGCCAACGACCTCAGCCGTTGTCGCAGCTGCCTCCATCTTCCGCCGCATCGCGTATCAATACAAGGATATGCCAAAGGTCCTCGACATCCATTCCAAGCTCACCCAGGGAACCCGCACAGTCGCTTCAGAAACCTTCCGGAGGGCTGATTCCGCCATCCTCTTCACCTCGGATGTCACGGCCAGAGGCATGGATTTCCCCAATGTGACCCACGTTATTCAGTGCCATTTGCCTCCCAACAGGGAGCAATATATTCACAGACTGGGCCGAACTGGAAGAGCCGGCAAGGCAGGTGAGGGTTGGTTGCTTGTCGCCGACCTTGAACTATCGGCAGCGAGAAACCGTCTCCCGGGCCTTCCCATCCAGCGGAGCACCGACCTTGAATGCGCTACTTGCGACGTTGTCCAGCCCGACCAGCCGTCGCAATTCGACGACATTAAGAAGGCTGCCCAGCGGTTGCCCGCAGAAGTTCTCTCCGATATGTATATCGGCTATCTTGGGAATGCCACCAAGGGTATCGATCGCCAGGGTGTCGTCGACGAGATCAATGAGATGGCCTTGCATGGCTGGGGCATGGACCAGACGCCGCTCGTCCGCTCAAAAATGGTTCAGCAGATGGGCCGAGTAACCGGTCTTCGGATTGGAGAACCTTCTCGCAGTGACTTTGGAATGCGTGGCGGAAACTTCCAGGGAGGACGCGGTGGAGGATACGGTAGCGGATACGGTGGTGGACAGGGTGCAGGTCACAGCAGAGGTTTCGGCGGATCGCGGGACCGCAGCGGCTTCGGTGCCATCGAAAGCAGGAGTGAGTGGTCGCCGCGTGCAAAACCCTCCTTCTAATCGATCCGTCGAATCGGACAAAGAAGGAATCGAGGCATCTCGAGTGACTTTTAGCCAGCCTCACGAGGCAAGGTGCTCGTCTCTCGAAGACGCGCTACGTCTGCCTCGGACCCCCTAACTGGCGTGTACCAGTACCTAATTGCAGCGGGAGCGCCGGATCGTCATAAAAGGGAGGGCGGGTTTTTTACACAGGATGGAGTTTTACGGGGTCCATTTCTAGAGGCAAGAAAAGTTCTGCGTCATTGTACTAATAACAGGCGTTGGCCGGGGCATTCCTTCCTGTCTTGTCGATTGGGCTTTTTTGCTTTTGCCTCGCTGGGGGGGAGATGTGTCTGTCTGTTCGTTGAGTCTGCTAGGCCGACGCAGACGCAACAGGACTTGAAAACTCCACTATATGTTCTTTTTTGTCATATCTTTTTGTTTTATTATCTGTACTGTATATACGATCTCTTATCCAACTAGTAGGCTTACGGAAAGAATCACAAAATTGACTCTACCTGTTCCGTGGACGAAAGATTGTTGTTGACTTAAAGGACTTCAGCTTTTGTTGGTTTGTAATTTTGTCGCTGTTTTCCCGAGTCGGTCATTGAGGGTGGCGGCGAGGGTACAGTACATTAAGTATGTACTGTACAAGCTCCCTTGCTCAGTACGATTCTTCTCATTCTCGCCCTCGTTCTTACCCTCTCGACACCCTTCCATCATGTTTCCATTCACTGCCTTCTCTATTCCAAATCTTTCTGCAATCTTCATGTCACAGCAACCGTTAACAAACACTGCGAACTAGCCCCCTTCTGGTTGTCAACCGTACAGAATTTTATTTTCTAAAACTCCGTGTCCTAAAAGATATGTACTGAGTGAGTGCCTCGTTGTGTTGGTGTTTTTCTCTCTCCTCCCGAGTCCAAGTTGTGTGCGAGGCGTGCACAGTTCCTGCCCCTTCCCCCTTCCCCTTCCATTTGCATTCCCTCCGACCCCTCTCCCCGTCTCTGAACATCCTCGCTCTCACTTCCTCGTTTGCCCCCCCTTTATCCCATTTCCCAAGGCCCTGTATCCATAAATATAATATTGTGCAAGAAAAAAAGAAAAAGGAAAATGTTAATAATTTATACTCTGTTGTGTGTCCATCTGTGGGAGGATGAGGCTTGGGGGTTGGGAGGGGGTATGGGTATCATTTGTTGCGGCGCACATCGACATCCTGCTCGCTGATCTATGCACAAAACCACACGCGCACACGCACACATGCATGATGGATGGATGGATGGGCAAGGAAAATGACAAAAAGACAATGCAAAAGGAATAAAAGAGACAAAAAGAAAACCCAATACACACACTTCTGTCTCTCGTTTCCAGCGGTTATCTCCGAAACCACGTTGCATCGTCTTAGATTCATCACTGGTCGTAGGTAGCTTACTTGTTTTCAGCGCAGCAGGGTGTGCGCGTCCCAGAGCAGGACACGCTCGTCCCAGCCGACCGAGGCAACCCAGCCGCCGCTGCCAAAGAGGCACCAGTCGACGCCCGTGGCGAACTCGGTGTGGCGGTTCATGACGCCGAGCTGGGTGCCGGAGCGGATTTGGGGGTGCTGGGGCGGGGCGGGGGTCAGCGGGGCCGAAGAGCCGTCGGACCAGACGCGGACCGTCATGTCGTAGCTAGCGCTGACGAGCACGTCGCGGGCGTGGGGGCTCCAGGCCAGGCGGCGCACTGCGTACTCGTGGCCGGCCAGCACGGCCAGCGGGCCGCTGGCAGGGTTGCGGATGTCAAAGGTGCGCAGCAGGCGGTCGACGCCGCCCGTCGCGATGACCGTGTCCGTGTACTTGTTCCAGTCGTGCGTCAGGATCTCGGCGGGCACGGCGCCGGCGTACGTCTGGCCGTCGGGGAGGCGCGGCAGCACGGGACCGGCGGGCGCGGCGTGCACGGGGATCACCGTCGTCAGGTGGTACTTGGCCGACACGGGCGTGCGCAGGTCGTATATGCGTAGGTTCGAGTCGCTCGACACGGCCGACACAATGGCCGGGTTGGTCGGGCTGAACGAGGCGCTGTAGGTGCAGCAGCCTACGGGCAGCGTCGTCAGCGACGTGGGGCGGCTGGGCGACCACTAATTGGGGCAGAGGGTATTTGTGGTCAGTTCAGTCTGTCTCTCTTTCTCTCGCGCGCCTTTGGTGTCACTCTCAGCTCAGTAATCGAGGTAGGTGGGGAGGTGACATGTGCAAATGAAGGGCATAACTTACGATCTTGACGGTTCCGTCCCAGGAGCTCGAGAGGAAGGTGTCCTTGGTGATGGGGTTCCAGTTGACGGAAAAGGCCTCGCGCTTGTGCTCGTGGAAGCTCATGACGGGGAAGTCGCTGACAGACAGGTCGAACAGCTTGACGGAGCCGTCTCCGCAGGCGACGGCGAGCTGGTTCTCGTTGATCTCGGACCAGGCGAGGTCGTAGAGGGCGTCGTTGGTGTCGAACATCTTCTCGACCTTGATGCCGGCGGCCGTCAGGGCCAGGCAAAAGACGCGGCCGTTGCCGACGATGCCATAATTGGCCGATGTCGCCACGGCGAGGCGCGAGTCGTAGTAGGGCGAGTACTTGACCGCGTACGGGTTAAAACCTGGCGTACGGAATTCCAGCATTGAAGCCATGGCCGCAAACCGAGCCGAGTCGTCGGGTTCTTTTTGTTTTTCTTCTCTTTTTCTTTTCGGGTGTCTTCTTACCTCGATTAGCGAGTGATGTGTAGCTGCCTCATAGGAGGGGAAAAGAAGAGAGGATGTTCTTTTTTGGGGGTTTCGGGCAGGTGGAAAGCGCGCGCGAACGACGTCTAGGTCTAAAAACTAGACACTGTGATCCGATCCCCCGAAAAGCACCGGCGCGGCCTTGTTGTAATGTCGCAAGGTGGGCCTCGGCATCTATCTCCAGGCGGAGAGGTGGGGCACCCGCGCTGTGCAGTACTCTAACCGTGGGGTGAGATTTCATAGCTAGGGTAGAAATACGAGAAATACGTACGCGTAATAGTGTAATTCAGAGAAATATTACCCGAACCAGCTATGGGGGGGTCCCGTGACAGCGCGCCTTCCCGCCGCGAGTCCTCAACCCCGCAGTTCCAAATCAATTAAAAAGTCGCGTCAGAAGCCCCTCCTCACCTCGCCTTCGTCTCAAGTCGCTCTAACTCTAATTATCAAGTCGTACTTACACACCCCCAAGAGTCATCGAACAACCCCGAGTTGACTATGCGGCTCTCAGAGTTGACGTCGTGGGGACTCGATTCGACTAGTTTTGGCGGCGGGCAGCTTGTATCGTGAAATTCGTGATGGACGCGTTTGTGACAAGGAAAAAGAGGAAAGCTACGGGTAGCCCTGGCCCGGATTCCTCCAACCGTCTCTCCGAACCTTGCGGCTATCATGACCCCGAAGAAGAGCCTACCGACGTCAAGCTGGCCATGCTGTCGTCTCTGCACCCGGGTATCGACCAAGAGACGCTCCTCGACTTTTTACTAGCCCACGACGGGTCCGTCCCGGCTACGTCCGAGTCGCTCAGAGCACCGCCGCCTCCTGCCAAGAGGCTCGGAAGTTCTGTGGTCTCGCAGGCATCGCTGCGCTCATATACTACCGCGTCTTCCATAAGCTGTGACCCTTTGCCCCCGTCCAAGAAAACAAAGCTGCTGTCCCGAAAGGGGGCCACTCTCCACCTGTTTGACCCCCTTGACATTGGTGAGCACACGCCTTGCACCATTATCCACAACTTCCTTCCCCAAGAAGATGCCAACGAACTCTTGGTTGAACTCTTGGACGAGTCCAAGACATTTGAGAAGATCTCGTTCAAGCTCTTCGACAACGTCGTCGCCAGCCCCCACACGTCGGGCTTTTATGTTGGCACATATGATGAGCTGGAGCAACAAAAGTATGAATATGTGTACAATGGTGCAAGGCTTTCGGTACGGCTCTCTCTTGTTGTAACTTGCACCATCTCGTTATAATCAATCAATCAACTAACCTGCGACCCAAGGACGTCCGGAAGATCACCCCCCAGCTAGAAAAAGTCAAGGCTCGCGTGCAGACGGCCGTCAACCTCGCCATTCAAGAACGTATCCGCACCCGCTACGGCGGCAAGAAACTTAGGTATCAGTCGCCCCAGCCCTGGTGCCCAAACGCCGCCTTTGTAAACTGCTACAACGGGCCACAGGAAAGCGTTGGCTGGGTAAGTCATATAACACACGGACTCTGGTTACAAACAATGGCGACAGCTCCTAACATCCACACAGCACAGCGACCAGTTGACTTATCTCGGCCCGCGAGCCGTCATAGGGTCTCTATCTCTGGGGGTGACAAGGGAGTTTCGCGTCCGACGCGTGCTGCCCAAAGACAGGGACACAGACAATAATGACAGCAACAGCTTGCTTGACGAGAGCAACCCCGACGCCGAGGGCCAGATCGCCATCCACCTGCCGCACAACTCGCTGCTGGTCATGCACGCCGAGATGCAGGAGGAGTGGAAGCACTCCGTGGCGCCAGCGCAGGCCGTCGACCCACACCCCGTGTCGGGCAGCCGCCGCATCAACATAACGTACCGCGACTACCGCCCCGAGTTCCACCCACGTCTCACGCCGCGGTGCCGCTGCGGCATTGCGACGGTGCTCCGCGTCGTGCAGAAGAAGCGCGACAACCGCGGGCGCTATTTCTGGATGTGCCACGCCGGCAATGTGCCCGGCAAGGAGGGCTGCACCTTTTTCCAGTGGGCCGAGTTCGACAACGACGGCAACCCCATGTTCAAGCTTGAGACCGCCGGCGGTGGCAAGGACACAAGCACCGTCTCTGCTGCTGCTGCTGCTACTGATAACTAAGGTACTTAAATAGCACTGCTATCCTTCTACAAACAAAAAATACGTGTGCAATACGCAAGGTGAATGAGATGCCAGAGCCTTTATCCTCTACTGCTTTGCTGCCCAGTCTATCTATGCTTTGGAGAACATTAGGTATAATCATAAACTTTAATATTGACACATACATGGAATAGGCACAGGAGTAATAGGTCACGCAAGGGTCTATAAACTGCACCCATTGCTAACAAGGAGATACGCCAATTTAATACCCAAATCATATCCATATTATTTCGTCTACCTAGGTACCTACTCTAGGATTAGCTTCCACAAATTATTTGTATCGCCAAAGTAAAAGGCTAGCTTATACAGACCACCACACACACACACGCTACCCCATCAAATGAACACAACCAAGGTACCCAAATCATTCCTCGCAAGTTCACAAAGACTATGTGTAGATAAGCGGCGCGAGAAAAAATTAATCACCTTCCCATACCCGATTCTCGTTTTCACAAATTGTATCAAATGACTTACGTGTATTCTCATCGTAAGCACCACCAGGGAGAGGCAACCAGCCCATTCTTTTTTTTTTTTTTTTTTTAGTAACCCCCCCCCCTCCATCTCCCAGACCCATCTATCCATCTATTTCATCAATCTATCTACCTGTCCATAGCAGTAAATCTACTTGCGAAAAGGAGTCAAGCTCCTCTGAGCTTTCTGTCATATCTCCAAAACTCTATCCATGTCAAACAAAAGAAAATGAAATATATAAGTAAAATTAATTTTCAGGGGTATCATCATCGCCATCTTGTCCATCCTCTAACCCTCGCAACCTAAGCTAAGCTACTGTGACATGGCGCGTCGTCTTATCTGGCCTCACGCTGCTGTTGCTGTCGCTGCTACCGGTGGGGGGGGACGCGGCTGCGGCGTGCGGCTCCTCGCCGGCGAGCTCCTCGAGGGTCTTGCGCTTGGTCTCCTTGATGAGGGCAGTGGAGCCGAGGCCGAGCAGCATGAAGAGGGCGTAGATCTGCAGCACGTGGTTCATCCAAGGGTTGGGGTCGCCTCCCGGGACGGCGCCGCGGGTGCGCAGCGGCGCGATGGCGCCCTGGCCGATGACGGAGCCGAGCTTGCCGGCGGCGGCCGAGATGCCGTGGCTCGTCGACCGGTACCGCGTGGGAAAGCACTCGCCCGGCACGATGAAGGTCGTGCTGTTGGGGCCGAAGTTGAAGAAGAACTGCGCCAGCACGAAGATGGCCAGCAGCGCGTTGGGCGCGAGCTGGTGGTACGCGAAGCCCATGACGATGAACAGGATAGCTAGCACTGCGAACCCCATAAACTGGATGGGTTTGCGCCCGACCGTGTCGACGGTGAACACGGTCACCCAGTAGCCCGGCACGGCGCCGGCCAGCACGATGATCATGTTGCCGACGGCCGTGTTGTAGAGGATCTGGTACGTGCTCGTGGCACCGGCCGTCGAGTAGCCGATGACGCTCAGGATAGTGGCGTTGTTGAGCGAGATGCCGTAGTAGGCGATGTCGAGGAAGCACCACGAGAGCGCGGTGCCGGCGAGCAGCATGGCGTTCTTGGGCTTGGCGTAGTGGCGGCAGAAGTCGCCCCAGCTGGCCTTGTTCACCTCGAGCTTCTCGGCCGCCTGCCTCTGCGTGGTGATGCGCGTGATCTCGTCGGGGCTGCTGCTGCCCTCGGCCTTGCCTTCTCCCTTCAAGTAGGCCTCGACGTCGCCCTGTGCCTGCTCGACGTCCCGGGCCACGTCGAACGTGTACCGCGGCGTCTCGGGTATGGTCAGCCGGTAGTAGAGGGCGATGCAGCCGGGCACGGCGCCGAACCCGATTAGCATCCGCCACATCTTGTCGACCGACTCGGCGCAACCATCGGTGCACGTCGCCAGGCTGCTTGACATTTTCAGAGACTCCTTGAAGCCGAGGGTCAGGAAGAGCATGACGAAGGCGCAGCCTAGCTGGCCGAATCCTTGCATGGCGAACACAGCTCCCATCATGGCGCCGCGCCACTTGGTCGTGGCGAACTCTGCTGTTATGATGGAAGAAAGGGGATAGTCTCCTCCGATGCCCACGCCCTGGAGCCAAGTGTTAGCTATCATACTCCTCGTCCAGGGGCTTCTTGTTTCGTCTGTACTTACCATGAGCACCCGCCAGAAGATGACGACGCCGATAATGTTCATAGACGGCGACGAAGACGCGAGGGACTGGGCAAAGGTCGCAAAGATGATCAGGAGCAGCTCCAGCCCGTACATGCGCTTGCGGCCGACAACGTCAGCGAGGGCGCCGAAGCCGAGCTGGCCGACAATGGTTCCCGCCGAGGTGGCGAGCTTTATGGCCGTGTCAGACGACAGGGGCATGTGGCCGACGCCGGGATAGTAGACGACGCCGAGCATGGTCGTCAGCAGCGAGACGGCAAAGATGTCGTACGAGTCCGTGAAGAAGCCGATGCCAGCCACGAGGATGGCCCTGACATGGTACCAGCCGAACGGGGCTCTGTCGATCTCTGCGAGGGCGAGTCTTCTCCGCTCATTGACGTCCTTGACGTGGAGGAAGTCGTTGTGGAAGTTGTGGTAAGCATTGTTGCCTCCCGCGGTCTTCTTGGCAGCTTCCATGGCTAAAGCTTGTCTTGTCTACTCGAGGCAGCTAGCTCTGGTGACAATGGCAAGTAGACAGCTAGGGGCTGTGTAAAAGGGGGGAGGGGTCGTGGTGTGAGGGTTGTCTGCTGTCTAAGGAGAACAAGAAACACTCGGATCTGAGACAGGACAAGACCTCAGATATAGGGAGAAGGGGGGAGACCTCAGATGGTATGTGCCCATGGAGCATGATACAAGAAGAGTGAGGCAGCTTGCCGACACATCCATCCATGACTGCCTTACCTACCTTGGCGGAGGGTCTGGGAGAGACATCTCGGTGGCATTTGCCTGGTGGACGTGCGGGCACCTAACAAGCATGGAATACTTGCACCAGAGCACGCGAGCAGTTGCCTATCTCAGGTAGATGCCGTAGCTGCGGGACATCAACGTGCATACATAGACATGGACATGGACATGGACATGGGTCTGGCAATCGAACGGCCGTTCAGGTAGGAGATTGCCGAGGCAGGTCAGATCTGGACCATCTGGTGGCGCTCATCTGCCATGGATTGGCTCTTTCGGCCGTGCTTCCAAGAAAAGACCCTAGCAGGACCTTGGGAGGGCCCGGAGAAGTCACCCACAGTGTGCCATGTGCCGAGCCTGTAGCGTGTGTAGGACCTCCAACACAGCTGTGCCGTCGCGGATCTGGAGCCTAGAACTAGCACCCCGAGGTGCCTTCCTCGCGATACACAGCCGTTAGGACGACCACGTTTTGGCTCCCCAGCTTCTGGTTCGTCGAGGGCGCCAAGCTTGCCCAGCCTCTTGGGTCCGCCCCTTGCTGCGAGCTCCTCAGCGGCAACCCCACAGGAGCTGATAAGCCTGCAAGAATCATGACTCGCAACCGGGACCCTAGACTCCTCAGCTAATAGAATCATCGGACGGCACCACAGGGGCCCCCCACGAGTCTGCCACGGCCGAGTCTGGGCTTGGTCTGAACTTTTGGCGAGTGGGGATGGAGAGCGGGAGTCTTGTCCGCAGCGTTAGATGTCCACTTGGGACTAGTTGGCATTTGCAATGCCAATCCTTTCATTAGAAAAAAAAAAAAAGACCCCTCCAAGTCTACCCACATCCAAACGAGGAAACGAGGCACGTGTGCCTCTTTTGCGTTGGCTGGCAGCTACACGGGGACATTTGTTATGACTTCTGTCATGTCAAGATAGCGTGCACTGCAAATGAAGCGTTCATGCCGTCGAAAACTGTTACAGGCCCACTCACGACTTTCAAGGTTGTACGTCTGAACTCTCAAGGCCGCTTATTGGGAATTTGGGTGTTTGCACGCGGTAAAACCACAGGGTTGCAACGCAGACTCGTTAAACCTCTTCTATCCTCTCATCATCGGGGATCTCACCCGTCTTAGCCGCCGCCTCGCCCTGCTCGTCGCTCATCAGCACCTGGACGAACCGGTCGCAGGCCTCACGGACGTCCTCATTGTCGATGTGCGTGTGTGTCTCTCGGATGATTGGGTATACGCTGATGCTCCTCATCAAGTCCCTGCCTTCTCTCGTACTGGTCAACAAAAGGAGCGTCTCGACGTGAGTCTGGATGATGTTGGGGTCCGAGTCTCTCTGCTTGACAGGAGGCAGCAGCTGCAGATCCGGGAGCATGGCCATGGTCTCATCCTCGTCATATGGCTCGCCCCCTATAATGGGCAGTAAGATATAGGGCAGGATGTTGATGCCGTCTTCATCTAGGAAGGTCTTGTGCGAGGGCACGTCGAATGCGGCATTCTTGATGGTGCTGGCCACGCCCTTCCGCCTCACGTCAGATTTGTGCTCGGTAAAGACTTTGATCTTGTTCAGTGGGATCACATCGTCGTAGCTCTGCTTGGTTATAAAGTACTGTCGAATCTCGCTGTGCTTGGCGAGGTCGGCAAAGAGGTAGGCAAGGTAGTCGAAGTCGGCATGTTTGTTGTAGGAGCCGTCCATGCCCTTGACAAATAGGTCGACGAGCTGGTTGAGCACGAGGTCGTCCGATCCTAGGTCCTGGACGGTTTTCTGTTTCTTAGTAGCAATGCTCTTCAGCCCTTCCCATTTCGCTAAGTTGGCGAGTAGCATTGAGAGAAGGTTGGCATTCGGCTCGGCCGGGTCCTAGAGGTAGGTAGGCAAGGTAATTAGCATCTTCCACTAACACTCGCTCGCGCTGTCGTCAAATGCGAAGAGAGAGAGATAAGAGGGCACTGGATGAAAGGGTACACGCGACCTGACGTACCGATATATTCTGTAGAACTATATCAATGAATTTGTCGTCGGTTGCTATATACTCGAGGACATCGCGATCAGCCGATAGGTTGATCAAGATTGTCAAAGCATGCTCTGCGATTACCTGCTCACACTCGCCGTCAGTACAAGATTTTTTTCTCCAGAAATGAAAAAGCTCTATACTGCGTATGAGCGCTCTTACGGGGTCATCTCGGACGAGAATTTTCAGATGTTTGACGGGCAACAACTGGTCTGACTTGAAAATGGAGGGATCCTCAATCGAGTAAGCTACCAGGTTCTCGATGGCGATCTTGCGCAGCTGAGGGTTTGGGTGGGCGATGAAGCCTACAAGCTGTACAATAGCACACAAATGGATGCATCTCGTTAGCAGAGTCCGGGCGACAAAAAAGGGCAGGAATGTCTATAATAGCACAGCGATTACCTCTTGTAGCTCTGTCGGCATCTTGGCTGTCCTTTCCTTAGCAAGGTCTGGAGATGTCGCTGTGCACGATCAAACGGAACGAAAATTCGTTTTAGACTTAGAATTAGAATTAGAAGCCCTGCGCTTCACTTTCATGGAGGGGTAGTCAAGAGAATAATATGCGGGGTAGCCACGATAAGAAATTATCAAGAGCCGATAAGGGATCGTCCCGCCAGTTTGGTTTGGATGCGTCATTGGGGCGCTATTCTCGGCCCGACCTAGGCTTCTGTCCGGGTTCCTTGGCCCTTTTCACGGCACAACATATATCCGTGACAGGTCTGTTCAGCCAATCACAGCTTCTGCGCAAAGGGGCGCCCAAAAGTTACCCCACGAAGGGGGGCAATAATTTTTACGATAAGCCCCCAAAAAATACGCCGGCAAAAAAATCCAAAGAGGTACTTTGAGTAGTGACTGGGTTGCTTCAACTGGAATTGCTATCCCACCGCATATATCCTCCGGCACCGCAATCCGATACCGACAGCGAAAATGCCAAAGGCTACTACTCCGACATTATCTCACAAGAGGCGCCATAACCCGCTCGAGGACGATCTCCTATCGACTGGCGTTCTCAAAAATGGGTCGGGGAAACAATCGAAACGGGCGGCGCCGGAGAAGCCCGAGGAACAGTCGTATGTCGACGCCAAAGCCTCGCGCAACATCCTGGCCATGAGCAGGAGCCTCATTGAAGAGGATGCCCAAGCCCGTGCGGACCGAAACCCGCCGCCCGTTCCGTCTGCCTTCGACTTCGACCCGTCCCGATTCGAGGAGGATGCCGATGCCGGGGAGGACTATGCGAACGAGGAAGCCTGGGGCGACGAGGACGACGTTGTCGAGGAGATTGAGATTGACGCCGGCGACCTCGAGACATTCAACCAGTTCATCACGCCCACTCTGAACGAGGACCCGCTCCTGACACACGGCTGGGATGGCAAGCCCGAAGCCTCAGATGCCGAAGGACTTGGCCCGAGCTTGGCAGACCTGATTCTGGCCAAGATTGCCGAGAAAGAGTCGGGTGGCCAGGGCGGACTACAAGAGCTCAGGAGCCCCATCGAGGAGGAGTACGAGCTGCCGCCAAAGGTGGTTGAGGTCTTCACAAAGTACGTCCCGGGCATCCTGTGGCAGCTAATGCCGACCCTAACAGTCGTGCGGAGTACTCACATAACATAGGATCGGACTTATCCTGGCTCGGTACAAGTCCGGGCCGTTGCCCAAGCCCTTCAAGATTCTGCCAACAATACCGCACTGGGAGGACATCCTGCAGCTTACACGGCCTGATTCCTGGTACGTATCCTTGCCTTCTCATGGCAAGATGCCTCGGGAGAGTTTGAGGGGCGATACCACCCTGCTGCTCGTTTCAGGGCAATTCTTACTGACTGGCTTCAAACAATAGGACACCAAATGCTTGGTATGTCAACAAATGACGGATAACCCAGTTTCAAAATGCTGACTGCAGCTCGCATAGCTACGCAGCGACGAGGATTTTCGTGTCTGGGAAACCGCTGGTTGTCCAGAGGTTTATGGAGATGGTGATTCTAGATCGTGTCCGTGAGGACATCCACGAGCACAAGAAACTGAATGTCCATCTGTTCAACTGCCTCAAGCGGGGTCTGTACAAGCCCGCAGGATTTTTCAAGGGTGAGTGTCTATTGAGCGGTTTTTTGGTGGAACAAGCCATGGCTAATCTATTGATCACAGGTTTTCTCTTCCCGTTGGCGGCCTCGGGTAAGTTAGAGCAAAGGACTCGATACACTATCATCCACAAACCTGAAAGGTCCAGGTAGGAGATATCTGTATTCGCTAATCAAACTACCAGGAACCTGCTCTTTGCGTGAGGCCCAGATTATCTCTGCCGTCTTGGCCCGAGTGTCGATCCCAGTCCTTCACTCGGCTGCAGCCATCAAAACGCTTTGTGATATTGCTGCCGAACAAGTTTCGCACCAGTCGGAGAGTGTCAGCGCGACCAACTTCCTCATCAAGGTCCTCCTGGAGAAGAAATATGCCTTACGTAAGTCAAAGACTCAGAACCGACAGTCGCCTTTTTAGAGGGGGTGGACGATCAGATGCTAAATCCTCCAAACAACAGCGTGGCAGTGTGTGGACTCGCTAGTGTTCCACTTCATTCGGTACGCTGCGGCGACAAGGGACGTCGATATGACTGGCGCCAAGTCGTTGCCGGTAATTTTCAATCAGTGCCTTCTGGTCTTTGCTCAGCGGTACCGAAATGACAGTGCGTATCCCTTCCCCTCGGAAAGAGGTCCCCTTGGAGAGAGATTGCGGAAGAGACCGGAAATTCTAACCCGCTCCTACGTACAGTTACCGAAGATCAGCGCGAGGCCCTGCTGGATCTTCTCCTGGCGCACGGTCATGAAAAGATTGCGCCTGAAATTAGGAGAGAGCTTCTTGCCGGGCGTGGAAGAGGTGTCCCGCTTGAACAGCCAGGGCCAGCCTTCGATGGCGACGACACAATGCTAATAGACTCATGAAGGACGGTAATAAGCCAAACCCAAAAGAGACATAAATGAATTATGAGTTTTGTGCTTGCATCGGCAATGCAGCTCCGTGCCCGGACCGTCCCATTCAAGGAGAGACTGATACTCGATAATTATGTGTTTGGCTCTCACGTCGCCATGCTTATGTCCAATGAATGAAAACCATGAATCTGCCCAATCAGCGCGAGTCTCGGGATAGGAGGCAAGGGATCTCCTGAAGGGCCCTATTTTCTCAAGCCAGACACTCACCAGGCTGCTTAGGTACTGTACCTCAGATTATAGAAAAGATAACTGCCTGCCTACCTATTAGGCCACCGCCACCATCGCTCACGGATCACGTCTGCTGGGATCTCCATGACGGTTATATATGTCCTTCCACGCTCCACGCTCCATGCAACATCGATATAACGAGCCTCACGCACGGGAAATATTCCCATGTCCATATATCCTTGTGGGTTCATGTGAAAGAAATGCTCCGGCTTCGCCACCTCAATCTCAGGAAGGCACAGCTGACAGCTCCCGTCAAGAAGGAAAGGAAAGGGGTCGCGCCTTCCGGCTGAGTTGACCAAGATGCGTCTCAAATTCCTCGAATCAAACAATCGACGCTACTAACAGTCAGGCCACATGGGCAAGGCACCTTGAGGAAAGAACGACGGGTACCTTACTTTCAAAGAATGGTTGGTTGGTATGATGGGGTTCGTCGCGTCCATCAAACTTGGTTCGCGATTTATTTTTCCTTCAATGTATTCTTCTACCTTAACCTTTGTATCTTTTTCTTAACCCCATATATGCCTATTTTAATTGACTACTGTCTACCGTACACCTAGTTTTGGCATAATCGCATTCACCATTGATCGCTCCAGGCTCAAGACCCTTTCGGCGAGATCTCTTCCATCGCTAACCTCGAGAGACATCAAGAACTCCAGGCCTGCCACCCCAATAGGTGGCGGGATCAAGAATGGATTCACGTAAGACCTCCGTACCACCCAAGAAGGCCCTTGGGCAGTTGGTAGGAGATAGGGCTGCTGCTGATTGGATTGGATTGGATTGGATACAGTTCGGGCGGCGAGATGGCGCGGACCTCTGGCCATGACGCCTCCGCTTCCTCTGGCGACGGCCACAAACATGGCAGCAGTACAAAATCCCGAGCACATCTTGGGTATTTCGACTGGGTTATGGACGGCTCAACAAGCAAGGCACCCACGGTCGGAACGCCGTTCCCGTTTCCCTTTCAGAGATTGAGGGAGTCCTACCCCCCGGCCCGGAGCCCCGTGCTCGGTGTCGACCCGCCTCGGCCGCCCAAGGAAGGATGCGAATGGGTCTGGTTCCCCGAGGGATACTGGGCGGAGCGAGAATTTAAGTCTCTGGGGAGCGTGGGCAGCAAGGCGGACTCCAAGTCGTGGAGGCGGCGGAGGAAGTCGGCCAAGAGCCAGAGTGGCGGCGGCGGCAGCGGCCAGGACAGCGGATCCGTCACCGTCTCGCCCACGTCTCTGGCGTGCAAGTTCTGGAGCTCTTCACCACTTACCCCACAGAGCCCCTATCTTTCCGAAGAGGCCCATGTCCAATCACTGCAGCACCCCCCGGCTCCCGTGGTCGATTTGGTAGATAAGGACAGCGAGCGACTCTCTCCAAAGTCCCGAGGAGTTGTTCCAACTATCCCGGCCATGTCTGCTCCAGTGGAGACCAAGCCCAAAATCGCCAGCCGACTCTATCACCAATTTCCCCCGTTGAGCTGGAAAGCCATCAGTAACACGCTCCAGAAGGCCCGGGACGTGAGTGCCCCTCTCCAGTAACCTTGATCACAGACGCAAAACTTTAGGGTGCTGAGGTTTTCGGAACAGAGGAGGAAGAGCTTGTCGTCTGACTGTAGCCAGCCTTCGGACGTGGCTGGGAAGAGCCAACCTGACCAGACACCGGTTAAAGCCAGCAAGATTGAAGAGGGTGCTTCGGATAAAGCAAACAGCCGAGGGAGCCACAGGGGTCGCCGTATTCTATTTCACAAAAGAACAACCACCTCCGTCCATGCCAGGTTTACTTCTTCAATCGCCGAGACGTTGGCAGGATATAAATCAAGACCCAAAGCAGCGCATGGCAGTGGCATTTCTGGTGCGAGCAGTGCCGCGCCGGCAAAAAAGAAGCCCGAGGATGTGCTTGATCGCTCGGATTCAGACGGGAGATGGTCAGCTCTCCCACAGATCTGGGCGTCTCAGTTTCCGGGCGGAGTAAGTCGTGTATACGGCTAAGAAATAGAGCATCTCGTTTCTCTAACGGTTTGCGTTTTCTAGGAGGCTACACGGGTGCACACGCCCCCATTGAAGCAAGGCACAGCTGATGGGAAAACGCGCGGCCTCTTCTTCGACGTGAACGGCCCGACATCAGACCAGGGCGACAAGTCGGGATCGACTACATCGACACGGGGAACGAGAAATACAGAGAGCACACACCAGGGTTCAAGCAAGAGCAGCAAGCGCAAAGGCATGACCAGAGAGTGGTAGGACCCTCCACCCAAGAAGAAGGCGGCAGCAGCGGGAGCAGGCGGCAAGACAACGAGGCGGAGCCCTTTGCACAAGGCGGCTCTTTTTGAGTTCGATGTGCCAGAACATCTGCCCAATAGCCCAATGTGCCCAGCTAACCCGAAGCACAAGTTGATGGGAAGAGGCGTTTGCGTGGTGAGTGACACCCCCAGGTCTGGTTCTATGCTTGCCCCTCAACTTCCAACTACCCCCCACTGTTAAGAACAAGCTCGAGACAACTGTGTGTCATACTTGAAACTCTTGGCTGATAAAAGAAAAAGTATCACGGAAGAAGCAAAAGTTTGCAATTCAGACAGAGCGATGAAGGCTCAACCCCTCGATTTTTGGTGCCTCATCCAGCTACACCTGGGATCCAGTGGGTGGAACCAGGGAGCAGCGAGGACACGAGCTACTTTTCTCGTCGCTCTGGTACCGGTACCGGGACGTGAGGGTGGAGATTCGTCGGCCAACCTAAAGACGGAGACGGGATATTGGCCTGAAAATTTCGTTGTAAGAGGCATGGGACCGTTAAAAAGTTTAAGTGTAGTTCAGAACCATTCGAATATGTGTGCCATCTCTGCCGATATCTCCCTGTTCTGCCTTTCCCTTTTTTTTTTGGGTTGGAGCAAAGAGTCACTCACTCAACAAACCTTGCCAGACGAAAGTAATTTCTGCAAAATTTTCTCAAAAAAATTTCTTATGACTCTTCTTTGGACCTGAAAGGAAACTCATATATAGATAGTCTCTTCATCCCATCATGCCCTGCTTGGCCATTAGCATTGTCCGTGTTCAGGTAACAATTGAGTTGGTCCAAGCGCCTCAATAGTGTTCAGCAACGCTCGCAAGCCACAATACTGTGTAGGGATCCCTATCCCTATCCTTCCTTCCCCGGATCGATCCAGATTTCGCCAGGGATCAAAGAGTGGGGCCTCCAACAACTGGCCGCAATTATTCTTTAGCCTTGCCCGCCTGAGCTTCGACTAGAGAAGTTGAAGTCGAGTTGCACCGTGCTTGCGCCGCCGGCAACTTCGTTCGCTCTCTTTACCAACTCACATCCTCGTCGCACCTTTGCATCTGCGAGCAAAACATTTGCACGGCACCTCTCATTTAGCCCTTTTCAATTCCGAGCTTGATCGCCCACCCTCGACGAGATCGACAGCTCCGTCGCCGTCGCCGTCACCGTCGCCATCGCCAAATCCGATCTCGCATCGCGCTTTGAGAACGACCTTTTGACACTACCACCAACCAGACAGACAGCCAACATGGCTTCCACCGATATTGACCCGCTTCTTCTCCTGCGCCAGTCGATTGCCTCTGGCAGCAATATCATCCCTACAACATCTGCCGACGCATCGTCAACTGATGTGCCTGAGGCCTCTCTGTCACAAGCAACCCACCTCGTCTTCACCCACCCGGCGCGCGTGGCCGTGCCCATTGACGCGCCGACGCGCTTCGTGTCCAACGACAAGCCCGTCGACGTCCGTAGCATCTACTTTGCCTGGCTCAATCGCGAGGTCGCCATCCCCGAGTACAATGCCTCGGCCACCAAGCTGAACGAGGAGCTCCCCGGCGCCACCCATGTCCACAAGTTCGCCTTTGTCGAGCGCCTCGAGCTCTTCACCTGGCTTGAGGGCGCAAGCGAGGAGAGCGAATACATCAAGCCTCTGGCCGGCGACAAAGACGCCGCCGCCGCCGCGAGCGCCGCCGCAGCCTCTGCCGCTTCCAAGACGGCCCCCGTCCTAGCCTCTTCCAGAGCCGGCCGCGGCACCCTCGACCCTCGACTAGCCCAGATCTACAACGGCGAGCGCCGCATGGGCGACCGCAATACCGTCCTTCACGGATTCAAGCCAACCGTAAGTGCACATGTGATGTCATGCCATGCCATCAGCGGTTGATTGAATGGATCATGTGAAATTAACTTCATAAAGGATTTCTCTTCAATCCGCAAACAGGCGCAACAGTTCATGTCGCGGAAACCTAGCCCGGCGGCGGCGGCAACAGCAGCAATAGCAGCAGCAGGGCTGGGCAACCCATCGCTGGTCATCAACCAGAAGCCGCAGCGGCGGCCAGACCCCATCATCATGCTGTCGCCATCGGCATCAGCGCTGCTGCGCATGTCCAACGTCAAGGCGTTCCTCGAGGGCGGGCGGTACGGGCCGCCGGACCACAGCTCGTCGGCGTCCATGATGCACGTGTCGCGCGTCATGAAGGACATCGACCCGGGCCGGCCGATGAGGTTCATCCTGGTCGAGGGCCCCGAGCAGTTCAAGCCCGAGTACTGGAACCGCGTCGTGGCCGTCTTCACGACGGGCCAGGCGTGGCAGTTTAAGAACTACCGCTGGAGCAACCCGTCGGACCTCTTCAAGCACGTGCTCGGCATCTACCTGGGCTGGCGCGGTGAGCAGCCCCCGGACTCGGTCCGTGCCTTCGGCCACCAGGTCATCTCCACCGCCGTCGAGAAGTGGCACGACCCCACCCGCCTCGGCGCCGAGAGCAGCCGCTGGCGCGACCGCGAGGTCGTCGAGTCCATTTGGAAGGCTATCGAGGTCCACATGCGCCACAAGGGCTGGCGCAAGGACACTGCGCCGACGCAGATCTAAACGCGCCGTGTGGTGCATGTGGGAGAGGGAGTAGAATGGCTCTGGCGGAGGGACATGGAATGAAAGAAAAGGGTCCTTGTCACCTGGGCGGTAGTCGGGTTAGATGGCTGGGAGCTCTCGCCAAGACAAGAGGGAGGAAATAATAAGAAACGGAAGAGAGAGAAAAAAGCGGGAAATAACTGGACATTTTCGGGCGTTTTTGTCTTCTTTTTCTTTGTATCAAGACGCATTCGACCAGATATATTTTGGTCTCTTTTGACTCGTTGCAGCAGGCAGCAACGCAAAGAGCTGTATATAGCGGGGGGGGGGGGTTTTCAAGAAAAGAAAAAGGGACTTGGTTTGGACTTGGGCCGGCTTGGTAAGACCGGAGTTTGTGGTGTCATACTGGTTTTTTTTCGACCATTTTGTCAGAGATCGGAACCTCTTCTTATTTTTTCACACGTTTTTCTTCGGACTGTGAGAAAGGATCTCGAGCAAATGGAAAGAAAGACACCACCGCCTCGCTCTTCTTTGACGTATTTTGCTAGGGTGTGAGTTTCCTTGACGACTGACCGACCCGCTGTCAGTGAAGTGTGTATTATATTGTACATACATGTGAACCGATTTGGACATCAAGGAGTCGTACTACTCTGTTTTTCAGTCTGGTGGACATATAACGCGAGTTGGAATGTCATTCAGGGTTTCCGATTTGTTAGATTGGTGATAGCGTTTTCTGTCATGGGGTGATGTATATATGTGGGCCGATATCAAAGACTTCACGCATCAAGGTGACGATCAAGTAAACATGCTATTACACGAGTATCCTCTAGGGGTTGTCAAATTACCAAGGTGTTGTCTTATTAAATGATTAAACGGTTGACTAGCTTGCCATTCAGTGCTTGGTGATTGACGTAATTGAAGAGGGTGGAGAAGGAGACAGGAAAAGACAGGGAGGAAAAGGGGGGAAATCCAAAAACGGCAAAAAGAGGACAGAAAAAAAAACAAATATCAAAGAGAAAAACATCAACAAACATGTAATATAATGAGCCATTGCAGCAAACAAACAATCTCCCCGTATACGTGTACTGTGCATGCATCGCCCGCAACCCATTCGATCCGGTCCATTCAGGCCAGGGAAAATCTCATCCCAAGAGGAAAAACATTACATTACAACCAACCCGACCTGACCCCCCAGAGAAAAGACCAGACCATCCCTAGTCATAACTACAAAAAGACAGACGCACTCATCTTCACTGTATGTGTGCGAATTACAACAAAACAACCATCCCAAGCGACGCCGCGCTAACGACCACCAGCACTACGACTCCCGCAGCCGTCGCCGACGCGCCCGACACGATGACAACAGGCTTGCTGGGCTTGTTGTCGGGAGGTGCGGTCGGCTTGGTCCAGTCGGGCGTCTTGGTGGGTGGGTCGTAAGGGGTCTTGCACGGCGTCTTGGTGGGCGGGTCATGAGAGGTCTTGCACGGCGTCTTGTCCGGGCCGTCGGGCTTGTGGTCACCGTCGTGATCGTGGTCGCGGTCCTCGGGGTGCTTGTCGTAGTCCTTGTCGCCGTGCCATGGGGTCGGCGTGCATGGGATTTCCTGGACGGAGGAAGGGTGTTAGTGGTCATGTGAGAGAGAGGGAGAGAGGGAGGGAGAGAGAGGGAGGGAGAGAGAGGGAGGGAGAGAGAGACAGAGAGGGAGAGAGAGACAGAGAGAGAGAGAGAGAGAGAGAGAGAGAGAGAGAGAGAGAGAGAGAGAGAGAGAGAGAGAGAGAGATACAAAGGGGTGCGTACCGTGGTAATGGTGCAGGGGCAGTCCGTGATGGTGATTGTGGTGGCCGACTTGACGTAGTACGTCTTTGTGCCCCACGTGAAGGTCGTGGGCCGCGGGCACACGGTGATGAAGTACGGGACGACCGTGGTCTTGGTGATGTAGCGGTCCCTGGTCTTGGTGCGCGTGGTGGTGGTGGTCCTGCTCAGGGGCGTGGTGGTGATAGTGGTGGTGGTGGTGGTCGACTGCGAAGTCGTGGTCGACGGCGAGGTCGTGGTTGTAGTGGTGGTGGTAGTCGTGGTGGTAGTCGTCGTCGACGGGCGGCCACCGATGCCACCATCACCACCTCCAATACCACCGCCACCGCCGTCGATACCGCCGCCGCCGCCACCGCCGCCGCCGCCACCGCCGCCGCCCTGCCCCGACACCACGGGGGCCAGGACGGACACGGCGAGAATAGAGAGCAAGTTGCTGAGATGCATGGCGCCGAACTTGTTGAAGAACCGACTGGGTACCTTGGGCTAATGAAGGTCTGGCAGTGACAGTTACAATGAAGTGAAGCGAGCGAACACAACGAGTGGCTTATTATAGCTGGCCGAGATAGCGACAGACAGACAGAGAGGAAAGAGACTGGGGAAGGGGTGCAAAAAGGACCGACTGTTTTCAAGCGAGTGACTGGGTTAAGAAATGGACGCAAACGATGGTGGTGAAGTGAGTGAACTAGCCGCCAGTCTCCCACCAGTCTTCCCGGGGTCAGCGGCCGTCTTTATGGGCATCTCTGGACGCGCAGGAATCACCCACCCAACGCCGACGACGACGACTTGGACGCATCCCAGGGATGGATGGAACTGCACCGCAACCGTTTCTGGGCGCCTGGCGCGAGAAGCAAACCTGCAATTTTACCGTCTGCTGGCCAGGAGGCCCAATGAAGTTATTCGAAGCCGTCTAAGACACCAAACAAATTCTCGACGGCCGTTTTCAAGAATGCCAGCAAACCACGATGCGGGCACCGTCTCATTCCAGCCTCGGATCGTCTTGGCCGGCACCGCTGCTAGAGCCAGGGAAAAAAAACCCAAGACGCGCGCCAAGTCACCACATTCCTCACACACCCAGCCTCTCGCACTCTTGCTTCATTCACCCAGGCAAGGCGGCTTGATTCCATGTGATGGGATTGGTATCTTCCCATTCATCTTGCTCCATCTACATACACGTGCGATGGTCGAGGCCGGTTGAACCGTCAAACTATGTACACAGCGCAGTCTCTCCGTCTCGTCTCCTTGGACTGTAACTTCCGCTTCCACCTCGCTCATTCCTCGAGGGGAATCGGCCGTCCACCGGCGGCATGCCCGCCCGCGTCCACTCTCATTCCCTCAACCTACCTCTCTTTCCTACCCCGTCTCCCGCTGGCAGGAGCTTCCTCCTAGTCACGAACCTCTCTCGGTATGCCGAGGAGCGAAAACGTTGTATGGTATGCCGGCGACCAACTTTGCCGTCTATGTCACGAGCTTCCCAAGAACGCCGTATATCTCCAGAAAAGCAGTCAAAAATCAAGAAAATGACCAAGATTAGTAGAAACGAACCGCCAAAAGATATGGCAAAAGGCCGAAATATTCAACCTCGGGACCCTCCCATATGCACGACAAAATGAGATTAGAGAAAAATAAAATAAAAGAGAAGGGAAAAAAAAACGCTCTCTGCACGTGGTAGTTGTTTCCGACATCACCATCGGCAGGGGTAGGGATAACAAATGCTAAACATGGTGCACGTTGATATCTCCTGCTAGCTAGTAAAGGCCGCGTAGTGAGGACTGAAGGGGCTTTCAACCCATGATTCTTTTTCTTCTCTTTCTCCATACATCACACTACCATTGGCGACTTGCGGTTGGACCGGCTTTGGCTGCGCTCGAGCACGCGCTGCGAAGGGCTGCCGATCGTGATGGAATCGAAATCGTAGCTCTTCAACGTCTGTTCGTATTTGGGGTTTCGGAGGAATTTCGGCACCGAGTCCTATTTTATTCATGTCAGCATGTCTCTGATTGCCATCTCTACCCGCGCATGCAGAGAGTCTTGGCAAATTCCCGTGACTTACGCTAGCCATGAGTTTGAAGACGGCATTCTGAGCGTCCTCGAAAAGAGCCGTCACCTCTTGAAGTGTATCGATCATGGCCACATCCTGTCCCACAGCCTTTGTCATGCGCGTGGCCAGGTTATTTCTCAACTGATGTTCAATGTTGAGCTCGCATGGGGATCCCGGAGCCAGGAATGCATTGTATATGCCGTAGGCTTGGGCCATGATCTCCTTGATTCCATCCATGGAAGCCGTATTGCCGGGGCTCTTCTGCGCTATCTTGGTCGCCTGTCTGCACTGCCGGACAAATTCATCCACGTCGACGTAGAAGGACAGGTTCTCCTCGCAATGCGTCTCGCGCAGGTTCTCGCGGAACAGGAGGCGGAGAGCGGCGTCGTTGAGAATCTTGTCCAGCCGCTGCGTATTGGAATCCCGGGCGATACCAGCTCCTCGGGCAGCCGACATTCCCTCGCTCTCCGACTGGCGCCCTCTTGCCAGCGCTCCGTTGACCAAATCCCTACCCTTTGCCGTGACTTGGTAAATGGCATGCTTGGTGGGCTGGAACAGGTTATGGATCGGGTAGAGCGCCATGTGGGCGCGGTCCTGCTGAACCGGCTCCATGAGGTCGTATTCGACAAATAGCGAGGCGATCTCGATTGTCTCGCGCCGGTCGACCGTTGTCGAGCAGTCCATCAGCCAGTCGGTCGCGGCCTTGCCCGTGAACGTATCCTTGAACGTCTTGCCGCCCACCTTGCGTTCCCCCGCCATCTTGACGCCCGTGAGTCCATCCCTGTAGTCGTTAAGCGAGTCCGAATCCGCCGCGCTCACGCTCGCCTTGACATTGGGGCCGTTCGCGCCAATGAACCGTCTAAAGATGACCTCGATGGTGCCCCTGTCCGTGAGCAGCTTGTCCGACTGTCCGTCCCGCTCCAAGATGACGAGCTGGGGCAGGGACGAGCCGATGAGCTCCGCCACCTGCCGCTGCTGGATTCCATTCCTCGAGCAAAATCGGTCCAGGATTGCGATGCCCTTGGGCGTGAGCTGCCAAACTAAACCCTTCATTGAGTAGACTGTCTGGTACTTTCCGTCTGCCGACTCGATAAATCTCGCCTCGAGGAATCTCTGGCATATGGAGCGCGCCATGTCCTTGGCCATGGAGAAGGTCGTCGTGGTAGTCGTCGTTACAATCCGTGACGGGTCATTGGGGTCCGGCATGCGGTTGGACTGTGAAAACTTGAGCGAGCCCAGGTTGTTGATGGCATCCTCAGACAGAAACGTGTGTTCTATCTTGCTCAGGCGGACACGATGCGCCGAGAGGGGCAAAAGGCTGACTATCAGTGTAGCAAAGAGATCTTTGAAGTCCTACCCATTGCGTGTTAGAAACCAATTGCGAACATGGCGGGCAAGTGTGCGGGCGCATTGGGGCAGGGCGGGGTAGGAAACCAGTGCACATCTACACACTACTCACTTTGGTGAACGGACGGTCATCGTCCGTCATGCGTAACAGCCTTGACGATGTCTGATGCATCTTGTTGTCGAGGCGCGAGAGATGGACTGGTGGGGGTTGGGAGGCGTCGGTCGCGCTGTAGGGCTGCGAAGGTATGTCCTTGAGCAACGAGCTCACGCTCGGGTTCTGGCCGTCGCCGGGTAGGGGCGTCGACAGCAGAGACGAGTAGCGAGACGATTTCTCGGGGCTCGACTGGGGCAGCAGGACGTCTGGGCCGACAGAAAGACGGCTCAGGGACTGGCGCGGCCTGACTCTTTGCTCGCCAATTCCAGAAAAGGTCCTGTCGAGAGCAGCAGCAGCGAGGGCTAGGAAGCCGCCCGGCCTCTGGGAGCTGGTAGAGGGGCTGCTTGAGTGGTTGTACTGTCGGTTGTGGAGCGTCGAGACGGCCACGGGAAGAGGGACTTGTGGCCCTCTGAGAGGAGGAGAAACAGTGGCAGAGGTCGACGAGGACGAAGCCGAAACCGAAGATGTGTTATTGCTGTTACTGAAGGCGCTGTTGTGACTTGGACGGCGGAGAGAGTGCGGCAGCGGCGGAGACAGAGACTGAGACTGAGACTGTGACTGTGACTGTGACTGCAACTGCGACCTGATCGTCGACTCGGCTTGCGATTGCGGTGAATTAGGCAATGTCGTAGAGCGGGACGACTGCGAGACCGCGGCCATCTAATGCCGAAACGGTCAAGTCAGCAAAGCAGGATGGTGAGGGAAAAAAGAGGAACCGCCATAAAAAAAGATTACGGTAGCAGCAATGAAGGTGTGGGTGTGTGCGGGTTCGGGAGGAGAGGGGGGAGAAGGGCAAGGACGGATTCAAATACAGTAAGGTAAGGAGCGAACTGGTACTGAATGGCTATGGCCCTGGCCTGGCTGGGGGAGCAGCCGACTGGGGGGAGCCTAGAATCAGACACTCAGCGAAGGTGTAAGGTAGTGTACGGATAGAGGAGGTTTACCAGGACCGGGCCAGTCTCGTTCGGTATGGTAGGTAAGGTAAGGTAAGGTAAGGTAGGCAGGTAGTAAGCTTGGAGGCAGAGGTAGAGGCAGAGGCAGAGGCAGTAACGACCGGGACGCGAGATACGGAGTACACAGGTCAGGGCAGCTAAGATCTCGGTGGACTCTGAGGGCCAGAAGGTGGAGCAAAAGAGCGGACACGACCAAGAAGTGCTCTCGCTCCGTACGACCTGGCCCGACACAAGAGACGGGACTGACTGGACAATGGATGCGAAAGTGCGGGCCAGGGGACGGGGTCGACGGGGTGGTGGACAAGCGGGCGGATAGCATGAGCAAGAGCAATTGAGCATGGTGGTGGGAACCTGGGAACCGAACCTGCCCTGGGAACCTGCAAGTACCGGTACATGCCCTGCCATGCGAAAGCACCATCCATCACCCGCCCCGTACCGAATCGCTCAATACATACGGAAAGACACGGTACCTATTTTACGTACCTCATGGAGCATCGCCTAGCAATTCCCGAGATGGATCGCGCGGTGGAACTGCCACTTGGCGTCCGACGAGACTCGCCCGCCCATGCCCTGCCCAGCCCGGGCAATGGAATCGGCCAGTTGCAGCGCAAAATCGATCAAAACAAATCTGGCGGCGCTCTAGAGAAATGGCGGCAGCAACAGCAGGTAAACAACACAAACCGCAGCGAGAGGAGAGAGATGGACGATGAATCGGAGGTGGGATGGAAGATGGGGGGGAAGAGGCCTGGGAACGAAACTTGAGTGAGGGAAGGCGCCCGCTGACGCCCTTAAGGCAGCCCGGTAGGACGTTGTCCTTGGCAGGTATCCGTACCGTCAAATGGTGGCACTGTAACGCAAGTCGCAGGGCATGGCCGTTGTTCTGCAGCAAACTGTGGAGCGAGCGTCGGGCGCCGCACCCCTTCCCCCCCGCACCACTACCACCACCACCTGCAGTTCAGGTTCCCCTCCGACTTTTCTGCAGCACCTCTTTTTTCTGCAGCGGCGTGCGTGCGTGCGCGCAAATGCAAATGCAAAGCCCCTCATTTATTACGGTACGGCGTAGATTTGTTGCTCGCCGATGGGCCCATTCAATCAATATCTAGCTCCTCACTTCCAACAGCCGATGCGTACATGACCACAACTTGGAAGTCAGTCCTCAACAACCTGAATTATCTCATGTTCGCTCGGTGCCCTAGGGCAGCAGTTGACCTGAGCTGAAAGATCGCCAACATGGCTTTACGCAGTGAAAATAGTGCCGTACGCATGTATGTACAGTACATTGGGGCCGTCTATTTAGCTCTTGCACAAGACCTCCATTATTAGAACCCTTAAAGTTGCCTCGCCGTCATGTCTGCCGCCAACACGCGCAAAAGCCATGCGTGCATACACGGCGCGGGACATGGATGGGTTTGGCGATTTCGGGCACCGGCGTCTTCAAATAAGCATCTTCTCTACTTAACCTTTTGCACACGCACGTACGCACGCGAAAGGAAACAAAGAAAGACAGAAAACAAGAAGAGAGAAAAAAAGGCGGTCAGGCCTAGGTATTGATGAATCTGGACTACATGTGGTGGAGCTATGCAATGCTGGAGGCGGTGGAACGGAGAGGCGATTGGATGCGACAGTGGCAGAAAAGGATGCTTGTTGGGTTCTCCGTCATGCCGGCCACAGAGTCCGGGCATGGTGTGGAAGTGTCTCTCGCGACAAGCAAGTCTCACAACAGGGGGTGGTTCAGGGAGCACGATCTGCGCGTGGCTTCAGGGATCTTACCACCAGGGCCAAGTTGTTTTGGGCTTGAGGCCCCTGCAGCCACACGCTTGCCACGCTTTGCCACGCTGCCCGCTTTCTTCGTGTGGGCCTTTTTTTAAAAAGAAAAAGTGGGACTCGACTCGGCTCGCGGCGCTCCCCTCCCAGAACCAAAAGTGGGCCTGCGGGAAAACATGGCTTCTGCAGCGGGCCAAGCGGGCTCATCATCAATGCTTTTTCTTTTTCTCCGCAGGCCGTGAGTTTCGCGCTTCGTTGTTCTGATCGCCAGCTTGGCAACGGCATCTATCTCAGGCACAGGTATCCGTAAGTCGTGCATGATTGATTGATTGATTGATTGATTGATCTATCAAGTATAACAGACGGGACCAAGTTTGTGGTTTGTCTGGCTCGCACCGCACCATCTGGACCCATCACACGCCACTGGGAATGTTGAAGCATGCCTTCCGACCAATGGCCAATCGCTGGCGCCCGTGATTACTGAGCCGCGATTTCAGCCCTGCAAAAGCACGATTCTCAACGGCACCCCAGCCCGACTTGCGTTTGCGGGAGGACGGGGGAAATTGTCGGGATTAATGAGAATTAATGTGAACCTCGTAGGTTGCCTATACAACAACAGTGACTCCTTTTACGTATATTACGCGAGTTTAAACAAACAGACCTGGCCATCCCAAAATTGGAGACAGAGTTGGGACAAGGGGTAGACGAGCAGCCGAGTGCCCGGTCCGCCGCCCTCGCCGTCGACAAATCTTGGGCCGGGCCGAGCCTCGGCAGGAATGTACATGTACTGCACTGTACTGTACAACACGTGTGGTTAAGCCACTTTCATGTCATTGGGATTAGGATATGGCACCGGGGGCTTGTTTCCCCAGAGAGCTCTTTTCTCAATGCGTCCCTTTCCCTTGCATCTGAAGGCAGCGCCGAATTTCAGCCGTCGGCTGAGGCCGAGGCCCCTACCACCAACCCTCGCGTCGTGCCCGCCTAAGCATACCTACCCAGGTAGGTGCTATACGTATCTGTGTATGTAATTGACGACTGCCGGCCCCGACGTTACCTCTAGGTTTAGGTTGTCAGGCACGCCGCTCACCGAGGCCTAATAAGCCAAAGTCAACCTTAAAGTAAGGCGGTTAGGGGTGGAGAGGCCGCAAGGCCGCACGGGGCCATCCGCGAGGTCCCTCAACCCGAAAGCCGTTGCCGCATGGCCCGCCACGGCCTCCTCTGCTGAGGCCCGGCGCTTGCCTTGGGGCGCGTGGAAAGATGGCAAAGATGGGACGGATCCCCACCCCAAACGCAAGTTTGTCAGCTCAGTTCAACTCAGCTCGGTTCAGTTCAGCCTAGTTGTCTAGTGAGGGGTAGTAGGCGTGCAACTGCTTGCCTCGGTCTGCCAATAAGGGTAAGGAGCAAACTTCCACCCAAAAAGGAATGTCTTAAGAAAAAGGAGGTTTTGAAGAAAATAAAAGGGGAAAGAGGATGAAAGGCGACGGAAAATGCGCATAAAGCATCTTGAACCCCCCAATGGAACGTCGTGCCACGGACCACGAATAAGAGCCCAAAAGTGGAACACTGGTTCTGCTACTCTTGTTGGGGATCCCGGTTGCTCGACGTTTGGCGTTTCGCCTTTTCGCTATTTTCACGCGTGCATCATCGCGACGCATACACCTAAGGCAAACCTAACATGCGTATCTCCTCTCTGGTGGTCTGGTGAAGGAAATCCTATAATTAGAGTTAAAACAGCTATGCAAAGTCCGTGGCTCTAGACACTGATGGCTCGTTGGGGGGTTTCCTCGTGTCGAGCGCGCATATAATCGATTGCATCGACCCTGCAACACATCTCTTTCGAAAACTAGATACTCCGTACAACAAGAGAAGATCGTATCGTTTATTCTAGTTTCTTTTCTGAGAGAGGAGGAGTTTGATGTGGATTTATTATTAGATCTAGGTATGTCATGGCTTCTCGATATGAATTTGGCTCGCAGCATGGGATTCCGTATCTGAATGTTCGTGACATGACCAACCATAGCTCCCTACATTGGCACTGTTCTTTCACATCAATTCAGTCTCTGGTGTCTTTTGTAAACCCCTTACCTATGTAAGTTCCGATACATGCGAGACGGGAGTTTCCATTTTATTCTCTCCTTCCCCATCCCGCGCTGCCCGCGATACCGGAATCCATTTTCATCTCTCTTCTCCACGTGGGTCCATAGGCGAGATACTACGAGAGCGGGGCCGGCTAAGTACAGTAAGACTTGGAAGCCCTCAGTACACACCGTACTGAACGTAAGCTAAGATCCATTGGCAGGTTATTAGGTAGTGGAGTTGACGGGAGGATTCGAAGGTTCGTGGAATGAACGATGGATCGGGAAGTCCACCCTGGAAGCTAGCAAGCGCTGGACGACGTTCTAGAACAAAGGCTGGCCATTAGGCGGTTTCATCATAAACCAACCGCAGGGCGTGAGTTTCCAAGTGCCTGCCTAGGAAAAGTAATACTGTACCTAGCTGATCATTTACACGCATATCTAGTCTCTACTGAAGAGTCTTGTCTCTTACCCCCCTCGTGCAACTACTTGCAGCATACGATTTTATGAATGTCGTGTCTTGGTGCAGCACCTTGATCTCTGAGGCGAGAAAGAGAGTTCCGGCTATTTTTCTCCACAAACACCCACCACCATCCACATCCATCCGGCGAACCAGCCACTCACAGCAGCAGCAGCCTGGCGTGGACAAGCCGCCCCGCGCGTTTCGGGTGATTTTCCACGTTTTCACGCTGTTCCCACGTGCCAACTTCAAATAAAGAAGCGTGCTTCATGTACGTCAGCTATCATTCTTTTTTTTTTGGACGAGGGGTTGCTTCTTCGTGTTTACAGTATTGCTTTTTTTTTTTTTTTTTTTGGGATTGACTCCCTCTGTGTTTAGTGTTTGTCTGTGTGTCTCTTCAATTGCGGGGGTAACAAGAACCACGAAACACACCCCCCGTTTTCACATCCTCTTTCCTTTTATATCCTATATTCCGTACCATATAGTCATTTGCGACGTATCCTGTAGACTAAGGTGGTTGTAAATGTGAGTCACGTCACTGCGTGCGTATGGCCAAAAAAAACACCGCTCAACGTTAGCTCCCCTCAATTTTTTTTTTCCAATTTTATTATTTCCGAAGGGGTTTGTTGATGCTCAAATGAACCAACCCTTCTTTCTTTTTCACCAGAAAGTGGAGCCCACGGCGTTGGCGTCTCGTTTAGGAAGGGGCTGTCGGAAGAGGCCCTAGGGGCCCCAGGGTGACAATTGAAGGTGAGTAAAAGCGAGAGAGTGTGGGGGGAGCCTTGGGAGCCCAACCCAACCGTTGAAACCCCCGACGACATTTCTTTAGTGAAGCTGTGGATGATGAGATATTTTTACTCCTATTTTACATAACATCGATGCCTTGCCGAATGCGCTCGCGTTTCGTCCGACTGTTGATGGGACCGGCCTATAAACCCAAGTGGATTCATCATTATTATTATCAGAGATTGTTAGAGAAGACGCTGGCGTTTCACAGTGAGGCTTGGTCCGACGCTCACCTCCATGTTTCTAAAAAGCCGATATAGGACAGCAAGGTCAACGGCAGGCCCATTTATTACTATATAGCTACGTAGGTATGTATGTAGTGCCTACTTGGTATTCTGCATGTCAGGCTGCACGCACTGATCGCAGGTGCATGCCTGAGCACTTTAGAGAAGATTGTGTCCTGATATTAATCTCTAGGCTCCTCTATTCTCGTGGAGTTGGGTTGTCAGGGCGGCCGGTTCCGGGGCGATGTCGCCAAGGTCTGACCGACATGCCCGTATCCAAGGTATCTCAGGTATCTGAATGCAATGTAAAACAAAACAGAGCAACTAAAAGTGCGCTGATGCTTGACATCCTATTCCGTAGCAGCGACGCGCATTTGTAGATGTTTGGTCGTTACGGAATATATCTAATACTAAAGCAGGAGAAGGCGAGATGAGATGCATTGTAAATACGGCATGTGTGGTGTGAAATGTGAAATGTGAAATGTGATTGAGCGGCCGAAGGTACCGGTACCTCACCTATTCGCTTGGCCAGGGGGGAGTGGAGGAGGGGCCCGCGCCACGTGAGCAGCCTCACAATTCTTTCTTCGGAGAGAAAGCTTGGGTAGGGTGGAGAATGAGCCACGTGGGGAAGGCAGCCACATGGAAATGATGGAAGGAGGGAAGGGACGGAAGTCCCGCTTGTTCTGAAGTGCAGCGGACGGATAGATTCGGCGCGCAAAAATGCAGGGGTTAGGTTGTTAGGTAAGTAGCTTTTGCGACAAGCTTTCCTCAAATGAGTTTCTCGCCCGCCACCCCCGCGGGCGGACACGAGCAGTGTTTTTTTTTTTTTTAGTTTTCTAGTTCATACCATTCTTTGGTTCGCTCGTCTGCCGTTGGCCAGGTGGGATTCTCCCAACCCGCTTCTCGTGCCACCCACCAGTTTCTGCCTTCTGAAACAAGACCGCCTGGATACCCCCCCCTCCCCGCTCCCATCCAATACGGTGTAAGTGGGAAACCAGTATCCACTGTCGACCGTCCAGTAGCAGCCGCTGCTCGCAAAGGTAGGAATTAATTGGAGGCTTATTAGGTCCACGCAATTCAACGCGCAACAATTGGAGAGGTTTCTGGCCTACCTGCTGCGTACAGTACCTAGGCTGTGCGAAGGCTGTTTTCATGGATTAATGATCGACTTTTGGCAAACTAGGCTCCGGGCGATTATGATTGATTCGCCTTTTATTCCGCAATTTTTCCCCCATCAAGGAGCTCGAGTCCAGTTTAGCCAATGGCATTCAGGACCTCGTCGGCCGCGGCACGAGACAGACTACCTTCTCTCTGTACTTTGCAGGGTGCCAGAGCTGGTCGTCAATCGAGCCCGGCCAGGGTTGTTTGCTGACGCGCAGATTAGATACTGTGTCCAGTATTCGTCTCGGAGTTCGGACGTTTGAGCGAGGCCTGGGTGGGAAATCCCACATGGCATGGCCTGGGGCGGCAAGGCATGGCGTGGCGTGGCATAGATAGGTGGCATGGCATGGCAATGGGGTGCCGGGAGCCTCCTTGCCCGCATGGCCTTCCTTGGGTTGGTGGCTTCATCACCTGGTGGCCCATTCATTCACCCAGCCACTGAAGGAGCCGCGGCGGGTAGTTGGCTATATTGTTGGCTGGCTGTCGAGCCAGTCAATCCTTCTGGGCCAGGCTGCGTCGACCTGGCTGCCGAGGTCCTTCAAAGAGCCCCCCAACAAACAAGAGCAATCACAATCCATCCCATCACTATCACACATTATATACATCACAGTTGCAGCAGAGGGAGGAGGAGTGGAAACGGGGCGCCAACATACGACAACAAAGACGTGACACAGCTAATTGCATGTATATACCGACTATACAGACAGAGGCCGTCCGCATGTAAGTGTCCGGCTTACATCACCTCATTACTCGGCGCCGACAAAGCATAAACTAGCACGACACTGCCGCATCCTCTATCGGTCCCGTTGCGTTGCGCCATCTCCGGGTAGTGCACCGAGAACGGGTGCCTGACCCTCACCTCAGGGCAGGCAAAGGGTCCATCGACACCCGCCGTTTCGGTAACGGACGCCATGGACAGACACTACGAGGACACTAGTGGTTGTGTTTGATAAGATCGAGGTAGGGGGGGGTGGCTTCCGCAACCTCGGGTCTTCTGGAATTCTTCTCTGCCCGGACCCCTGGGCGGCCCTAACCCAAGCCCCTTTCTTCCTCTTTTTATTCTATTCTCTTTTTTTTTTGTCACCGCGCAGATCTCAATTTCAACAGCCGTCACAAGAGTCAGATGAAGACGGCTGATGAGTGGAAACCCGAAACGCAGAAATATACCGCCAAGGCTCGCCCCTCTTCGGGCAGAGCGAGATGGATGGATGACCAGGCGGCTCTTCCCCCTTCCCTCGGGAGGAGCCAATGAGAAGTGGGACTGGGACTAGGACTGGGACTAGGACTGGGACTGGGAACCAGCGGTGACCAAGACAGAGGCCGCGCCGGTCTGGTTCTGGGGTTGAGCAAGATCAGGCTCGACTTGTGCGCTGGCTGCAAGGAGCCGGGCCACGAGCATATGTTCGTGTCGTGGACATACAGCATCGACCGACCGCCTACCTGACTTGCCTAGCCTACCTGAGCCCTGTCTCGCCGGGGATCGCGCTTCCCCCTTCCCCGTCCGTCCTGGGTTGGACTGCAGACGTTGGCCCCCTCGACACGTGTTGTGTGTGGCCGCACGGGGGGGGGGGGCGATCCCCGTGGCACCCGATCGTGTTTTATATACTAATACCTTGAGGATGGGCGCCCCGCGACCTCATGCCGGGCCCCGTCCGTTGGCGGCTCCGTCCTCCTGCCACGTGCTGCTTACCGCATGCTCGCTCGGGGAGCCGGCTGTCTGCATGCTGCTGCAGCATGCGAGATGGATGATACGAGGACACTGGGCGCCAGATGGCTACTCTTTCACATCTCACAGCGCACGGCTCAAAGTCTGGCTTTGCATGACATGGGTCCGTCCGGTCCTGGTCCTGAAAGAGGGCACAGCACCATCAGTGACCACCACATATGGTGGGCTCGCTCCCCAACTTCGTCGTCGTCATCGTCGAGATGCGGCCTTTGAGGCTGGACGGCTGCACACAGGCCCGCTCGCTGTCTCGCGCCAGCCAGCATGTCTCTCTTCTCTCCTGCCAGCTCCCTAGCCGCGCGCGGTCGCTGGCCGGCTGGCTGCTTTGACCCGGCCGCCGCATCGCCGGGGGCCTGCACACGTGTTCGGGCCTGCCTGCGCGCTGTTGTTGGGCCGACACCGCTTCTTCGTCCTGTTGTCTTCTCTCCTCGTCTCCGTCCAACCTTTCATGCTGTGTGCTAGTTGCGACGGACGCACGCACACACACAAGCAAGCAAGCAAGCCGGCCTGCGCATGCCTTACAGCACACATGCGTAATACTCGGCCGAGCTGGCGGGTGGGGGGGGCTTGTGGTACAGTGTGTACACGCTGGCGCAGAGTCGCGCCTGAACAAACTCTGCTCTGGGCGCGTGTCAAACCGGGGCAAGATCAAGCGCGCGAGTTTGGCGGCGCGCCGCCTTTGTGTTGCTGCATGGCATGCATGAGCCTGGGCAAACTATCAAAGGTGAGATGGCTTATATGAAGATCTAAGTCATGCAGTCTCGGTCTGTGGGGGCAGCCGGGTTTATCAGTCATTGGGTTTCTCATCTTGTGCGCCTCTGCGAGATGCAGCGCTTGGTTGTCGTCGGCGGCGGTGGGGATTGCAGGTCGCCATGATCGGGTGCTGTCCAAAATCCCGAAAAGCACCGTGCAATACCCAACTCCTATCAAAGTTGTTGGTTTTTCTTCTCTACTTTTTTCCTTTTCTCTCTATCTCTTGCTCGATTTTCCCCCTTGAGCTAGACTAAGCGAGTGCTTGGATCTTATAGCAGAAGACTACCACGCAATGCGATGCTATGTGATGTCTTTTGCACTTTTCTCTCGATTTCACTGTGCAGTGGCGCAGTCGTGAGGCGTGCAGTCAGTCAGTCAGTCCAGTTGAGGAAATTGGCAGCCCGCAATCCGGGGGATCTGCAAAACGTTCAACTGCCAGCCAATCACCGTCGTGCAGCGTTGGGCGAAGCGGCAAGCCGTGAAGGTGGCGAGGTCTCCACCTAACAAACCTGGGGCTGTCTGTCATCGCCTGTTGGTTTCAATGGTCGTGCCTTCCTGTGGAAGGACCGACGGCGAGGTTGCTCCTGCTCCTTGGCTCCTCCTCCCAGAGCCTTCTCTTTCACTTCTCATTCTTTTCCGTTATCGGGCAGGCTGTCAAGCACGATAAAAAAAAAGAAGACGAAAAAGCTGCATTTTGGGCACTCTGCTGGCAGCCTTGCCACGATAAAGAGAGAAAAAAGGCTGCCGCCCTGAGATATAGAATCCAAGGCTCTGTTAGTCTCTGTCTCTGTTTCCTTTCTTCTTCCTTTCCTGTAACCCATGGCTCGACCTGCGCAGCGCTTGTTTGTCGGTCGCGTTTGATTTGTGCCACGGCGGTGACCGCTCTCGCGGCGCCAAGTTCTTGACACAGCTATCTTGCTTGCCACATCCACCTCGCCCATCTATCTCTACACATCGGCTCGCAAGCTAAACCCATGCACAAATCACAAATCGCATTTTACACACCCAGACCATTTTGACCATGGCCGACGCAAGCGAGCGAGGGAGCGGCCGCAGTCACAGCCACAACCGTGGCCGGAGCCAGGGCCAGGGCCAGGGCCGTGGCCTTCCCCACCAACACCACCAGCACCAGCACCAGCGGCGCCGCGGGCGGTCGTCGTCCCGGGACTCGGCCTACTCCTCTTCAGTGTCGTCGTCGGCCGACACGGGTGCAACCGCCGACAGCCGCCGAATTACCGGCAAGCACCACCGCCACCGCGACGGCCGGGAGCTGGTGGTGCGCGAGCGGTACGGCGTGCCCGCGCGCTATGCTGCCGCGCCGTCGTCGCATGGCGCCAACGAGAACGACTTTGAAGAATACACGGTCGATTGGGACGGCCAGACAGACTCGCGGCAGCGGCAGCGGCAGCGGCGGCGGCAGCAGCAGCAGCAGCGGGAACGCCAGCGGAGGAAAGGGCACCACCACATGTCTAGCCTGTTTATTGCCTGCGGCATCTTTCTCGCCTCGCTGATTCTGTGTTTTGACTGAAGAGGCTGTGCTGTGAGGTTTACGTACTTGGCTTGTGCATGTATGAAGAAACCAGGAGAGATAATCTACCTAATCTGCCCGGGCCGTGGTTGTCAAGGTGCTTTCCTGTGGCTCTGTGCTGTGAATCGCTGTTGTGGATGTAACCCTTGCGTGGAGTATAAGAACCTCTGCCTACATGCCGTACTTATCAGTCCTATATTATGAGAAAATATCCATCTAACAGGATAAATACGAGGGCGTATGCTTGCTCTCGCTGCCGCAGCATGATTTTGAATACATACCTACGTTTTCCGTGCTTCCCCTCTCTAGGAAGAAACCAAAACATTTGACCACATCAGTTCCATACAGACACACACATATAAACATACCACAGCACACAGGGAGACAGGAAGTAAGACAGGAAAATAGAGAGAGAGAGCCGCCTCGGAGCGTCTTAGCGTCTCTCTCCCCTTCAGAAAATATCGATCCCATCCCCAAGCCAAACCCTCTCAATGCGCTGCCTTCATCACATGTATGGGCACACGCGATACGACACGACGACACAGGAAAAAGAACCGACAAATTCAACGAACTTGATTCAATAAAGACAGACACATGTCATTGCCGTCACTAGGTAATGAAATGCAACTCTCCAATCCACCCTCCACAGACACACACACACACACATATATATATATATATATGTTAACATCATGAAGTCGCTCCCCGACAGAGACGACGAATGAATAGATAAATGAACAAATAAATAAATAAATATATGACGAAAATGCACATCCCAGTCCAGTCCAGGGGAAAAAAAGGGGGGGTGAAAGGCTAGAACTAGATCAACCACCAACGCCGCTGCTGCCGAGATATCGTAATCACACAAAAGTAAGTCATTTCCCTCCCTTTTTCCCCCTTAGAAATTTGATCCCACACTAAGCATCATGAAATTTCATCCAGTGAAGCAATCCCCCTTCCCTCGATCTCATGATTTCGTAGCTAACCCTCAGTGGGTCAAGGCTATACCCTACTACTACTACTCCAGCTCGGCAAAGTACGGCCCTCTCACCTTGGCCGTGGCCGTGGCGGCCATGCGCGACGAGAAATCCCGCTTGGCACTGTCTCCCTGCTGCTGCTGCTGCTGCTGCTGCTGCTGCTGCTGGGGCACAGGCGACCGCCTGTCCGGGACGCGTAGAGGTTCGGGCACGAGGTTCTCGCTGTTATTATTACTGTTATTATTAGGTCGTGCTGCTGCTGTTTCGGGCAGCGTCGGGCTGTCCTGGTGTTCGGCCGGCAGCTCTTGTAGGGCCTGTTGGCGCTGCGGTTGGTACTGCTGCTGTTGCTGAGGTTGGTACTGCTGATACTGCGGGCGAGGTGGTGAGTTATTGTAGTTTTGATACGGCTGTGCTGGTTGTTGCTGCTGATACTGCGGGCGAGGTGGCGAGTTATTGTAATTCGGATATGGGAGTTGCTGCTGCTGCTGTTGCTGCTGCTGTCTTGATTGTGTCTGGTCGACATAGCTGGGCTGCGAGTACGCATGGTACTGGTGCGGCGCTGTCTGCGACTGCGTCTGGTCGACGTAGCTGGGCTGCGGGTGGAGGTACTGCTGCTGCTGCTGCGGCGGCGACCTCACTCTGGGCGGCGACTGGGCGTAAGGGTTAGTCGGGGGCGGAGCGAACTGGCCAGCGTGTTGAGGCGGCGGCGGCGTCCAGGCCGAGGTGCGCGAGGTGGCAGCGGTGAAGCCAGACGACGTCGAGTAGGGGCTGACGGGCCTGCTGCTGGCGCCGCCGACGCTGAGGCTGCCGTTGGTGGTGGTGGCGGCGGGGGCGGGGCTGGACGGGGGCCTGAGGCCCGTGTCGGCGGCGGCGAGCTGGGCCTTGGTCTTGAGGCGGTCGACCAGAGCGGCGTGGGACTTCTTGAGCGTCTTCTTGACGAAGCCCGTCATGATCATGTTGCAGCGCATCTCGACGTCCTCGCGCAGGTACAGGCCGGTCAGCGGGGCGCCGAGGCCCAGCTCGACGGGCTCGACAGGCTCGCCGGGTAGCGAGCCGTTGAGGGTCCACCTGCTCCGAAGGTTGAGGCCGGCGGGCGCGTAGCAGTGCGTCTGCAGGCCCGTGGGGATGTCGTTGAAGGCGCACGTGTAGGTGACGTCGCTCGTCATGAGGCCGCCGGGCAGGTACGAGATCTTGTCCGTCAGCGAATACCACACGCAGTCCATCTCGTCGGGGGGCGCGTGCGGCGGCGGCTTGATGGGGTGGCGCTCGATGACCAGGGGGTTGAGATCGATCATCTCGAGGTGGTCGTGGAGAAAGTTGAGCACGACATCGCGCGTGATGTTGGGCGGTAGCGGGCTGATGGTGGTGAAGAGGGTGCGCTTCGACATTGTGAGTTGTCTCCCGTGTTGAACAAGCGCAAGCGAGATCGGAGGGATGAAGCGCGAGCGTATGTGATGTATGTGGTCTATAAGACAAGGCGTGAAGTCGACGCGAGAGGAGAGAACCAACAGCCAAGACAAACAACAAGCCAAGCTGAGCTGAGCTTTGTCGACGGGGATGGACTAGTCACAGGCGCGCCATGCCATGCACGTAGAACAGAGTGCAGGCGGACGGGCAGGCAGGTCAAGTGTATAGGTCGGCGGGAAGCGCTAATCAGAGACGGCTTGCTCGGGGTGGGTGCGCTGCTGGCGTTAGGGGCGGCCGCGCACACGCATGAGCATGAGGTGCGTGTTAATTGGCAGTCAAAGAGTGAGGACGTGAGAAGGTGAGAAGCAAGAAAGCGGGCGTGGTATGATGAAACGGACAATAAGACAAGACCAAGACAGAGCAGGCTGGAAACGGAAGACGCAGTCAAGGTCAAAGGGACGGGCAGGCAAATCGGCTGCTTTGTAACAAGGTCTATATTGGTTCATGACTGGGCGGCTAATGGTACGTGTATATGTATGTTGGTCCACGGACTCGGGCGCCGTCGAGACCATCCCGGGCATGTTTCTTTGTTATTAGTCTGGGGTCCTGGAATCCTGGAATTCTGGAATCCTGGGATGGATGGATGTTGGTGTCCCGGCTGGTAGCCCACGTGCTGCGCCAGAAAAAGGTAGCCTTCTCGCCAGGGCCCAGCGGCGCGACAAACGCGCAAATCCCCATTTTCATTGTTAAGCTGGGGCACAAGTAGAGCTTGATTGATTAGTTTTGGCCGTTTGGGAGGTGCAGGCAGTTGGCGGCCGGCACGCGGCAAAAGAGCGCGTGGAACATGTTGTCGTATGTGAAAAGTAAAAAAAGGTGGTCGACAGCGTTACACCAGAGTGAGTGCCGGGGCGGTGCAGCGATACCTTACAGGCTACATACCTCCCATGCACCCCTGCCTAAATGCCGGCTTCTCTGACTTCCGCCCTGCACTGCCTGCAAGGCTGCAACCGCCAACCACTAAAAATGGACCGTGGTTTAAAAAAGGGCCAGCCCGCCGCCGCCGACGCCGCCCGACCCCAACCCACTGGGCACAGAAGTCGCAGACGGGACGGCCGGGATCCGGTTACTCTGTGAGGGGTAATTAAATCTCCCTGCACCAGCGCGCCAGCACGGCGTTAAGCTTGACGGCGGTGGGGATCTCCTCGAGGGCGACGTCGACCTTCCACATCTTGGCGTCGATGCCGCCGTGGCTGGCCAGCCTGCCGCCCGGCGCCGCCGGCACCAGTAGCCCCAGCGCCACGAGCCGCTCCCACGCCATGCCCGCCGTCCCGCGCCCCCACACCCGCGCCCCGCCGCCCACCGCCAGCGCCAGCATCCCCGAGCTGGCCGACTGCACCCGCTGCCGCCCCACCAGCCCCGCGTACTCGTCGTACGCCATGGCGAAGTTGACCGTGTCCGTGTGCGCTACGATGTCGAGCCGCGCCGCCGCGATCAGCATCGCCAGGTCCAGGTCCGACAGCGCCTCCACCAGGTGCAGCTTCGAGTCCGCTGGTCCTAGAGTAGCCACTCCTCCGTCGGCCCCTGCCCCTCCGCTCCCCGGGTGCGGTATCCGTAGACGCGGCGTTGCCGCCGACAGCGCCGACAGCGGCAAGATGCAGTCGACCATGAACGCCGCCGCAGACTTGGTGCCGTAGAAGTGCGACTCGAGGAGGTCCGTGAAGCCGCGAGTCTTGTAGAGAGCCTGTGAAAATTGCCTCTGTCAGTTTCCGCCGAGTGAGCGAGACATGGGTTAGTGCATACCTCGATCTCCTCGTTCCACCACTTCCAGAAGGCGGCGTGGCCCCCGACCGCCACGTCGATGCCCTCGGCCGCCATGCCGTCGGCGTCGACCGTCAGGCCCTGCCGGCACACGTCCCAGTACGCCGGCAGGCTCTTGGGCAGCGAGAGGTAGGCGTACCGGTGGCTGAACCGGCTCTTGACCCGCTTCTCCAGACTCTCGACCACGTCGACTCTCGTCGTCAGGCCCACCACGGCGATGGGCGCCTTCTTGGCCTGCGCAATGTCGAGCAGGTTGTAGAGCAGCGTCTGCCGCGCGTGCGTCGCGAACAGGTCGAACTCGTCAATCACAAACACGACCGACTTGGACGTCACGCTCTCCGCCTGCGCCTCGGCGATCTCGGTCGGATGCGAGAGCAGCGCCAGCAGAGACGCCAGCGTGTCCGCGTAGTTGTTGGTCTGCTTCCTGGTTAACCAACGGGTGTGTTAATAATAGACGAGACGGAAAAAGGCTAACCTTGCTGATGAGCTCGTCCTCAACCTCCATCTCCTTGCCAAGCTGGCGCCAAATCTCCCGTAGCGCCAGCTTGTCGTCGGTGTGGATGAAGCCGTTCAGGCGCACCACGTGGAATTCGTCGTGGTGCAGTTTGGATGCTTCCGACACCACCGACTCGATGAGCTGGCGGTGGGCGCATTCCGTAGTTAGCAAGGGGCTCAAGAAGCCTTTAACAGCAACACATATATAAATAAATAAAAAGCGCCTCCTTACCGTAGTCTTGCCGCACCCGCGAGCGCCAATGACGAGCATGGAATTGCCCTCGCCGGCTACAATGGTCTGCTCGACAAGCTGGAACATCTTGTCGTATGCCTCGTCGTTGCCGCGGAGCCTGATGCGGCGCCTGCCCGTGCAGCGGTCGAGCAGGACGCGTTGCGCCGCCCTCAGGTGCTGGCCAAAGTTTGGTATGTCGGGCGAGCCCTGGTCGTCCCGGGCTGCTGTTATCGCAGCAGACTGGGGCGACGTGCCCCGGGCCTCGGCCCCTGCATCCTCTTGGGAGCAGTTGCGGCAGATCCAGTCGCCATCGGGGATGACCGCCAGCCCATAGCACTCTTGGTGCACCGCCATGTCGCAGTCGTCGCAGAACACAATCTCGTTCCCGGACTCCGAGTCGGGCTTGGAGCAGACGGCGCACACTTCGTTGTCTTCCTCGTCATCACCATCGTCCTCATCGTCCTCGGCTTCAGAGTCGTCCTCCGCCTTTGCGTCGACGCGCTTCTTCCTCGGCGACCCAGTCTTGGAGGCTCTGGCTAGTGCTGCCGCCGCCTTCGCCTTCGCCTCCGCTTTTGGCTTCAAGTCGGGAAAAGTCACGTCGCCGGCCTGATTTTTCTTGCTGCTGCTGCCGCCGCGCGTGGCGCTAAACGTGACGTTTTTGCTGCGCCCGGGAGTGTCCCGCTTGGAGGGACTCAATATCCCCTTTGGCTGCCAGGTAGCAGCAGCCTTGGGCGCTAATATGCTTGGGGTGGTGCTTTTGTTGGAGTCTTGGGCCGCGGGCTCCTGGATCTTCCTTGGACGGCCGCGTTTCCTTTTCACGGGCTCTTCGGGCTTAGTTTCAATGACGGAAGCAGTAGCGGAAGTTGGTTCTGACTCTAGTTCTGGCTCTGCTGGCTCTGGCTTGTCGGGCTGCTTCTGCCTCTGCTTCTGCACCTTCAGCTGGCTTCGGGCAGCACGGCTAATTTGCCGGGCCAGATGCGGAACAAGGACCTCGTCGTCCGAGTCTGGGATGTCGTAGATACTGTTCTTGTCACTGGCGAGCGGGGCCCGGGGGGGTTTGAGGTCCTGGTGGCTCCTCTTGGCCCATGGCAGGGCCTTTGGTGAGTCTTGCTGAGGGCTGGGTGCGGATGGTGTGGTGCTCTTGACAGCCGGAACCGAGGGGGTTCTGCCTCCAGACATGATGCGGCGGCCCAGGCTCAGCGCTCCGCTGACAGCCGACGACATGAGGCGGGCTGCGGCCTTTGGGCCTGGCGATGCCGGCGACGACTTGCCCGGCGTCGTGCCCTTGAGCCGTCGCTTTTTGGCATGGTGTTTTTGTTCCGGCTCATTCTCATTCTTATGCTCGCTCGGCGACCGCTGCCTTTTTTTATTATTGCCCACGGGCGTGTTGTTTCGGCTCGGCATTCTCTCGCTGACAAAAAAACAGAAAAACGAGTGAGATGAATGAGGTGAAATCAATCAAATGCAAGGTTTCCACGAGTAAGCCGCGCGTGTTCCAGGCTCCTTCGTTCCAGGCTCCGTTCCAGGTTCCTTCGTTCCAGGTTTGGTATTGTCAGAAAGGTCAAGTGCGAATTTCCATGGGATGTGCCTGTGCTGATGCGACAGCCCAAAGTCCAACTGTGCAGTCACGTCGCTCGCGACTCCCCCGACTTCCAGTCGCCAAGCGCGTCGCTAGCACCATCATTTATGCAGGGCTGTTGGTGTCAGGGGTGCAGTGCTACAAGACGGGGCCGCAAAGCGCCCTGAGGGGTACCAAAAAGTGCCTATCGAAACCAGCCAATCTGCTTGCTGCGTTGCTGTGCTAAGCAACTCGTCGCTGGACGAAAAGCCCCTGACGTCAACAACACAATCTTCTTTCTTTGACCTAGGTGACAAATTTCTTTGATATTGTGGCCATGTCCCAAAAAAACAAAAGTTGATCTGCTATTGTTTTGAGGTTTACAATTCAAGTTAAGGTTGTTGTAATTTCTATAGTATAGTCCACCAAGCAGCCTTCACCCGCCAAAAGCATGTCTTTCTTTCGTCCTCCCTCCTTTCTACCCGCCTACAAATGACTCCGAAGTTGCTTGCCCGCCTTGACCCACACGCCTTCTCCCTCGCCCAGCACCTTTCCTATTTCCTCTCGGTTAGCACCTGCTTTCCCTCTTCTCGGCCCCGCCTTTCAGGGGCTGGACCCCAGATGAAAAGAAACGAAGAAAACGGAAATGGGAGAGAAAAGGGGGCAAAAGCTACGGAGTATATCTCACCGTCCTTGTCCTTAATCGACCCCCGCACCGTGATCTTGCGGCCGCCCCGCTTGACCACGCGGCCGCGGACTAGCACGACCTGCGGCGTCATGACGGCCTTGCGGAAGGTAGTGTTGAACAGGACGGGCGGCGGTCCGGCACGGCTGTCTCAAGGATCATGGGGTCGCTCAGCAGCTCTGCGCACCACGGCATGGCCTTGAAGTGCGCTAGCGGGTCCTTGATAAACTGGCTATGGCCTGCGGGATTGGGAGCCGAGGGATTCGAGTGTGCCTCCTCGACGGCCGGCCTGGCGTTGGCTGATGCCATGCTGACAGCGAGCGGTTCGAAAAACAACGGTTCTTGTCAAAATATACTGGTGACACCGAACACGACGCGAAGGGAGCAAGATGGGCTGAAGAGCCAGAATAGAAATCTCGATGAATATCAACTGCCTCGATAAGGATCGACAAAACAGGTAATAGCTACCTCCGCTACAGAAGAGGAGGGGAGGAAATCTACCGACCTTTTTCTAGTAGGAGTACAGACACTAGAAGCTGCGTCCACGAAGCCGTCTGGTTCCCACCTCCAGCTGCTCGAGGGACGGCGTTGGCGGCCGTGCCGTTCCATTCCGGCGCTAGGCTGGGACGGTGCGTAGAGTCCAAAAGAAACCCGCGCCGCCTGTGATCGGGGGGATTACGATTTAGAAAGCCGGCTGCATTCCTCAAGTCGCCGTCGCTTAGAATGTAGCAGGCACTGACTCGAATCGCCGTCAAGGGACGAGGCGCGGCCAAAGACTGATTCATCAATTCAGAGCCTTGATAGCTCTCGTGGCAACACAAGACGAATGCACTGAATATGTCCTTTAAGTCTAGTCACACGCACTCTCTCTAGCAACTAGCCCCAAACGATAAACAAAACAGAATGTCCTGTCCCTAGGCCAGAGTGTGTATGGTATGTACCAAACAAACAAAAAAGAAAAATGCCAGCCAACGCCAGTCTTGCGATTGTGAGCCCTCCCTCCACCCTGAAGAGAACAGTAAAAGAAACCTAAATGCCCAACACCGTCTTTAACCTCTCGTACGTGTAAAAGCTCGCAGCCGCGAGAGGGAAAACCTTGACATAGCCAATGGTCAAGCCGACAAAGAAGCCACGGACGCCGCGCTCCCTCATGATCAGCTTGGCCGTCTCGCCGATGCGCAGCCGGTGGCCGTCGCCCACGGCGCCGCCGACCTGCATGCGCCGCCTGATGACCTCGAGCGGGTACGAGGCCGTCTGCGAGACAATGCCCGCGACGCCGCCCGCAAACAGCTCTGCCCAGTACCGGAGCGGCGCGGGCTTCCCAGGCGGCGCATTGTCCGGCCGGGGCAGCGTCGTCCACTGCGCCACCCCGGGGGTGCGGAGGAGGTCGCCGACCGTGTCGTGCGTGAGGAACGACACGCCGGCGTAGGGGAGCATGCCGAGAAGAGTGGGCGTGAAGCCGCGGTAGAAGTTAACCAGCCCGGACCGGGGGGTCAGCGAGTTCACGGCAGTCGCTGCGGCCGCGCCGGGCGCGCCGGGCAGCTCTGGAACGAGCGGCTTGTGGTACATTCGCTCGCTGTAGATGCGCTTGCAGATGGACCGCAGCGACGAGCGGCCGTCCTTTTTCGTCTCAAAGGCGAGCCGGACTCTGACGACCTCGAGCGGGTACGTGAAGAAGACGGACGTCACACCGGCCAGCGAGCCGCTGATGAGGCGGCGGAACGGCGTCTCCTTGTCCCTGCTGGGGATGATGACGGCTCGGATCTGCTCGTAGGCGAGGAACTTTATGGCGGCGTAGGGAAATATCCTCAGGAGGGTCGCCGAGTGGCCCCTAAACAGCCCCAACGGCCCGTCCTGACGGTATATGTCGCGCATGGCCTGCGAAAAGCCCAGCCAAGAGCCCGTGTACTTTAGGAAGTGCGGGTTGTGAGATTGGAAGAGAATCTTGACTCGATCGAGAGGCGCGACGACCGTCTTGCCCTATAGAGAGATAACTGCGGTGTCAGCGACGGCGGCGACTCCGGCACGCGCCAAGCCATGCCGGCGGGATTGGACCGCTACGTACCGCACAGCCGGCCAGGCCTCCAGCGACGCCCGACTTCCAGACATAGTCAAAGCTCCGCTTATTCTGGTTTGTCTTCTCGCGGGTTACGGCAGCCTCGTCGTCGGTGGGGCAGATGGCCGGATCCCTCCGACTGCGGCTGCCGGGGGGGCCCTGGGGGTTCGGCGCATCATCTACCGCTCGTGATTGGTGTGGCTGGAGAGGCATAGAGGCATAGCTCATGGGCGCTGAGGGCATTCCCACTCGCGCTTCGTTGCCGGTCGCGAGGGGGTTATTCGGGTCGGGTCGGGTCGGGCAGCTACTCCTGCTACTGGCGAAGCATCGCCGAGGCGCGGGGCTGTAGAGACAGATTGGTTGTTTGTCTGCTATTGGTTTCTAGTGAGACAGTAAATTCCGGGTGCAATGCAGGACGAAAATTAGGTAATTCGAGGGAACACGGGAATGCAGGAAGCACTCAAACAGGCCAAATTCCGCAGATGCGACACCAAAACGTCATTTCTTCAACTCCAATGCGGAGGAAAGTTTTTTGGCTGCTCCTGCTTCTTAACGCAGGACACCCGTCTTCTCGAGCCGAGGATTGCCGACAGGGGTTCCCTCTGGGGCCGAAACGCCGCTCATAGTGCGTCAGTTGGCCTGATTGGAAGCCAATCCTAGGGATAGGGTTAGGGATAGAAATGTTCTTATCGAGGGTTGGCGCAATTATTCCCTAACCGCTATACCGCATCCGGCCGACCCCGCCCAGCCAAAGCCGCGCCGATTAATCGCGCGTGGCCGTCGATAAGCTGGCCCCGATAAGCTTCCGAGATTTATCGACCCCCGCCCCCTTCTTTCAACACGCACGCAATAAATACACACAACACACACACACACACCGCGCAGTATCGTATCGAACACGCCGCCGCAGCGCGCCGCACCCTACTTACCCTACTATGGCCGACGGCCTGTACGCGGCCGCCGAAGAGCGTGCCCAGGAGGCCCGGAGGGCCGGCTTGCAGGCCAAAAAGGATGAGCAGCCCCAGAATACGGCGAGGAGCTACGCAGCCAAACAGCGCGAGTGGAGGGCGGGTGCAGTACGCCGCGCCCGGGGCCGGACGGCGCCCTCTTTACCTGGCCGGACGGCGAGCTTGTCACGCCTGACAAGCTAGCCGCCTGGCTCAAGGAAGACATCCTTCAACGGCGCGTCAAGGCGCCCAAGAAGCGCCGCGGCCGCGCAGAGCCACTGGCACTGGCCGCCGAGGAGCAAGTTGCTCTCCAAGAGGCCGAGGCTCTCGCCGCAACGCTTACGGTACCAGTTACCGAGGCCGTACAGATCCTCTCTGACGACCGTGAGAGCTACGTACCGCCACCGGGTACTAACGCCAGCGGCGACGGGGAGGAGGGAGACCTCTTTACTAAGGGCACGGTAGACGCGTACATCGCAGCCGTAATCGAGCTCTGGCGGGTACAGGTAGCCCACGGCGGCAAGAATACGGAGAACCCACGTGGCGCCGCCGTACGTGGCTTTCTCGAGCAGCGTAGCCGCCAGCGGAACCGCCTTAGCCGGGCCAACTATAAGGACCGCGGCACTGAGGGCATCCAGGCAGGATACTTGACCGCCGAGTGGGCTGCAATCCACGAGCACCTACTCTACGGAGCCGCTAGTACGCCACAGAACCTCCGGACGCGGGTTGACCTTCTTTTTGGCCACTATTACCTCCTACGTGGAGAGAATCGCCGGAAGGTGGAGCTTGCCGACCTCTCCCTCCTCGACTACCCTCCTTCGGAGGGTCCAACACAATGCGGCTGCCTTGTCTCGCTTCTCCAAGACGGTAAAATGAACAAGACAGCTAAAAAGGAGTTTATGGGGTCTCTCCGTCATAAAGATCCCCTTCTCTGCACACAGAGCGCCTTGGCGCAGCTCTTCTTTTGGCGGTGGCACATTACTGGGGAGCCGCCCCCTTCCTTTCGTTGCCGCTAGGATTGGTATACAATTAAGCTCCTGGTCGGCTAGGACCGCTAGGAAGAGATCTCTTATAGCACGCAATTGCAAGATACCTGGCGTGTCTTTGACGCAGTTGGCCTTACTACGGCAAAAAAGACGCATTTACCGCGGCGAGTTGGAGCACAGGATACGAAAACCCACGGCACCTCACTTGCACAAATATCACAGGCCGGCCGTTGGAACTAGAGTGTGCTATGCCAGGCATACCTTACCCACCTACCACGCTAGTTTATGCGTATCGTTGCCGGATTCTCCGGCACTCCAGGGGACTATTTCCTGCCGCGTGCAGTACACGAGCCTCCGGCCGCCTTGCAGAGGCAGCTCTGGCCGTGGATCGAAGAGTGGGAGCCTCGTTTTGAGGCACGCGCACGCCGCCGCGGGTGGGCGCAAGGTGGCCTTGACGAGGACGACCTTGCTGGAGATGGCTTCCTTAAGCTTATGCGGCGCCTCCGTATAGTGCTCTTACAGGACCTGGCCGTCCTCCAGCTACGGTTTCCAACCCTGCCTTTCTTTACTTACGTTCCCTTTCACGGCCACGAGTGGGAGGATTTTGCGCGTACGGTTCAGGCCAGCGTAACCGATATCGCGGAGCCGCCTAGCCTCCTTTTACAACGTGCTATACCAGAGCTATGCGGCCTCGTAGAGAGCACTCGCGACGCTATCTTGTCTAAGAACAAGCAATTCGCCAGCCAGTTAGCTAGCCAGTTAACTAACCTAGCTACCCAATTAGCTAGCCAGGAAAGCAGGCTCCTTGATACCTTATTTTCTGGCAAGATCCCCGTTACAATTTCCGGCTACCTAGGAGCCAACCCGAGCCTGGTAATAGGAGCACCAACACCAGCACCAACACCAGCACCAGCACCAGCACCAGCACCAGTACTAGTTAACCAGCCTACAGTACCTCCTATTGCTACCAGCTTAGCCAAGGTATACACAGTTAAGGACGTCTGGCGTGAGTGGAAAGAGGGCTTTGGCGGCCAGCTAGCAGTACAGGAGCTAGAAGATAGATGGGGGAGCAGTTGGCGGCCTGGGAATAACCTCAGGGTTCAATTTTGCCGCCGTAAGGTAATCTGGGATGCGATATCTTCACGTATATCCAAGGGTCGAAGTGAGGCCGAGGCTCTAGCCGAGGTAGAGGGAATACGTGCCGGTGGAAGCCTCAACCGGCTTGTAGATACCCTCAAGCAGCGCAGGCAACGCCGCAACGCCTGAAATCGATAGACAGGGGCCTGAAGTAGCTAAGGAGGCTGGAAATTGCGATTTCAGGGGGTTTGCAAGGTTTGCAAGCCACAATTGTTGATAAATCCGCTTATCTCACTGAATGCGGAAACCGGCCACATTTCTAGCTCCGCTCGTCCGGGACCTCTACCCGTCCCTTGCACCACGATTCATAACGGGCAGCAGAAATGGGCGAGCATCTCGTCATTTCACACACGCAAGCCCTTACGCGCCCGCCGCACTCATGCATTCTATTCCAAAATGACAGCAGGACCGCCGTGTTGCTGGACTTGCCGAGGTCAATTGAAGAGGCCCAGGTCCTGTCGAGCCGACTGGCACCAACAGCAACGTCAGCAGCGAGACGAAGCGCAGCCGAAGAGGATGTGGGGACGGTAGACGGGACGCACCGGAAGAAACTCCGGGCTCTTGTCTCGGCAGCGCCGCTGGCAGTTCCCTTCCCGACCCCAGAGTCCAAGGTCAAGGACGGCGACGGTGACGAATATGCTGCCGGCGGGCCAGCGACGGCAGACCCTGCGGTCAAACTGGCCGAGCTCATGACGCTTGCCACGGTCGAGGCCGCGCTCGAGGACATCAAGCGGTCGTCCTATGACGGGCTGTGGTGCCTACCGCGCTACTATCACCCTCCCACTTCTTGCTCGTCGTCCACTGCAAAGCAGCAGGACCAGCAGCAGCAGGATCCACTACCGTCCGGAGAACCGGGAACGGAAACCACGACCGCAGCAGCGCCCACTGCATCGTCACGACCCGACACTGAAGAACCTACGCACGGGGCCAGTCCCTGTGCTTCTGCTGCTAACAATACATCGCCCCAAGATAACGATGGCCCTACCATACCACTACTACTGCCCTTCATCATACCCGAAGCAGCGCGGTATCTGCTCGGCAGCATCTCGCAGCAGCGCGAGGCGTTCCTGGCCGCGGTGCCGCCCGCATCGCTAGACTTGATCGTGCTGGACCCGCCGTGGCCAAACCGCTCAGCCCAGCGGAAGCGCAAGCGCGGCGGCGGCGGCGGCGGTGACAACGCCGCAGCGTACCAGACGGCCGGCGACGCGGCGGCGGTGTGCGAGCTGCTGTCTCTGGTGCCCGTGGCGTCGCGGCTCGCGGCTGACGGCCTGGTGGCCGTGTGGGTGACGAACTCGCCGTCGCGGTCGGCGGACCTGCTGGTCGGCCCGCGCGGCATCTTCAGCCAGTGCTGGGACGTCGAGCTGGTGGGCGAGTGGATATGGCTCAAGGTGACGAGCCGCGGCGAGCCCGTCGTGCCGCTCGCGTCCGCCTGGCGCAAGCCCTGGGAGCGCCTGCTCATTGCGCGAAAGCGCCGCACCACCGCCCCCGCCGCCGGCGCAGAGGCCAGGCGGCTGCGGCTGATACCCACAAAGGTGATTGTCACGGTGCCCGACGTGCACTCCAGGAAACCTAACCTGCGACACCTGTTTGAAGAGGAGCCTGGCTTGTTGCCTCCCGACGGAGAGTACCGTGCCATGGAGGTCTTTGCGCGCAACTTGACGGCGGGATGGTGGGCGTGGGGCGACCAGGTGCTTCTCTTCCAACATCGGGACCATTGGGGGCCGGACGACGCGCCGTCTGTAGTAGAGCCCGAGGTTCAGGAGCCGTGAGAAAGTCAATGATAAATATCTACACATGTATATACAAGGCTCGCTCCGTTTCGTGGCGACAGCCCCCGCCCCCGCCCAAGCTCTTTGCCTCCTTCCTCACGGTGTTGTATTGTATTGTACAAAATGGACACGCGCCCCTTCTGAAGCGCATATATATCGTACAGCCGCATAGGGAGGTCTCTTCCTCCTTATACAGCGATGTGACCCATTTTCTCTATATCTTCTCGGGACGGCGTCTAGGTTACCGTTCCCGATAGGCTGCAACTTCCCTCTTCGCCTCGGTGCTCAAGGCAGCTTGACATTCTCCTCGACCTCGACCCACTTCTCGCCCTTCTCCGCATTGCTCGTCCACGACGGCTGGGACTTGCCGGCACCACCACGGCTGCTGTTGCCGCTGACAGAGCCATCATCGCCGATGTCGCGGCCGCTGCCGCCCGCGAGGATCTCTCTGACCTGTTTCCTCAGCGCCTTGCGGTCTCGCGACGTCGGCTCCAGCTCTCGCAGCGGGATGTCGCCCTTGGCGCGGATGGTCCTCCGGCTGAGGTCGGACTCGCGGCCCTTCTCGATGCGGCTGAAGATCTCAAAGTCGAAAGCCTCGCGCTGGCCCTCGGCGGGCGGGTCGGGCCACACGAACGGGTTCACGAGCTCGGCGATCATCATCTTCTGCGACCGCGGCCGGTACCAGCGGCCGTCGCCGCCGTTACGGCGGTCGGGCGCCGGCTGGTTGACGAAGGACCGCACCGCTTGCACCTTGACGCCGTACACGTGGAACAGGTAGTCGCGCATGTCGAGCTTGTTGAACTTGAGCGGCACCACGAACGTGGCCATGTTGGGCGGCTGCCTGGGCTTGGGCCGGATGAAGGTGATGATGTGGTTCGGTCTGCGGGACGCAATTCGCAAGGCTTGTCAGATTATTTGGTCATACAATAAATATGCAGCACACACGCGGTTCTCTCTTTCTCCTCTGCATCTTCTTCTTTCGTCTTCGTTTTGTAACCAAAAATGCGCTGCGAGGCTGCGAGGCGCGAGGAGCTAGAGGCTCTAGATAGACATAGACACAAAGTGGACGCGGCTCCTTACAGGTAAATCTTCTGCTGGCCCCTCGCGAAATTGCGCGCCAGGTGGGCCGACGCCTCAGTGACGGTTGCTGCCATTGTCGCCGAGTCTGGCTGTGTCTTGAGGGCGGCGAGGCAATTCTCGAATTCGAATTGAACAGCTGGTGTGACAACCGAGCGGGCAGTTGCTCCAGCTTCTGATGCAAAGATTCCCACTCTAAGATTTTCCGCGTCTAGAGTCGTCGCTGCCGGCCCGATGCCAGGTGGTCTTGGCACCATGGCCAGCGAGATACACTGTGCGAATTGCGGTGGACGGCTTCAAGAATTGGTTGCAGTGGCCCCACTAAATAGCGGCTCTGGTCTAGTGCCCTAGCCCTTGCCATCGCGAGCCATGATGAAGGCGACCCGGAGAACTCCACAAAACAATGAGTGTTGACCAGATTCAAAGATCGAGTAGGCACCTACCTTACTTATCAGCGCTTTGCCTAGCTACGTACATTGCATCTCAACCATTCTCGTGTTCTCGTATTCCCGTGTTTTTCCCTTTTTTTGTACGAAGCGCTCTGGCTAAAGCTCCTAGATTGCAACATGAAATTGCGCTCGCCTTTCTATACCTTTTCTAAACATCAAGACCGTCAACGACAATGCCCTTGGTCCAGGTAATCTGCATGATTCTGGCAACCTCGTTGGCAGTGTCCTCTGCAACCATAACGCTGACCAGATACAGAGCAGCATCCAGGCCAGCGGCCACTCCCCCGGCCGTGATCACACGAAGACCACCGAGCCGCATCGCGGCGCGGCGGGCAATTGATTCACGACGCGTGTTAGATCCCTTCCACGACATGGAGCCCTTTCTGCATCGGCAGTCAGCAAAGGTCCGGCCATACACTGCTAGCACACGGCAAAGCAGAGGAAAGGGGGCTACGGATATCTGAAGGGCTTCGTTTGGACGCCATCACAACAACACCAAGATAGCACTATACTCACCGGGCATTTGAAGGACGGCGGCCGGCATCAGACTTGCGTCGGATGTACGGGTTCTCGTCCTCATCACCAATGTCGAATCGCAGGTTGTTGACTACGTAGCGGGCGTCGTCGACCACGTCGGTGCGCTCAGAGAGGTCTCGGGTAGCCGCCTGGCTGCACACATTCTCGAACTTGGTAAGGTAGTCGGGATGGGTCGTGGCAGACAAGCCGGCGAGGATGCCCTTTTCCGCCAGGAAGAGGGAGCCAGTGCAGACAGACAAGATTGTGCGCTCACGGCTGGGGTCCTGTTTCTGGATCTCGGAGAAGGCGGCGATGAGGTCGAGGGGCTCGGCCTTGTCCTTGAGGACCTTGTCCGAGCTGCCGCCGACGATGACGAGGACGTCAAAGTCAGAGAGGCGCTCATGTGCCTCTTTCCAGGAGACCTGGGAGCCAATGATGACGCCCTGCTCCGAGAGGACCTTGGGCTCGCCGCCCGCGATGGTGACTTCAAAAGCCTTAGTGGCTGCCAGCCGCGAACTAGTTAGCTAGATGCACTGCCCAGAGGTGACAGAAATAGAGGCCACCCCGACAGCGCGGCTCCTGGGCCTGCTGTGCCGTGGGGCATCTCCCCGCACACATGTCGTAGCCCACGGAGAGATCAGACGAGCGGGTAACTTACAAGCATCATTGAAGTCGTGCTGCGCAGTGGTCAAGACCTCGAGGGGACCGGCAAAGTCCAAGAGATTGAAGCCGGATTGCAGTGCGAACAGAACATCAATTGGCTCGTCCGACACTGCGGACGTCTTGCTGGCCATCTTGGGCAACAATTAGTCGATAGGAGGGAGGGGTAGGATCGTACGATGTTTTGCTTCTCAAAAAATCCGTGATGTTGCCGTGGTTTGCCCTGAATTGAGAGGTAAAACACAGAGGGAGAGAGATGAAGTACGAAGAAGCTTCGCAGTAGCTGTAGTTAGATAACTGTTGATGACACGAAGCTCGACAACCTATTTGCGCAGTTGTGTGTGCTTGGGGAAAGGAAGGCCAGGTCAGTCACGAGAGAACCTCGAAAGGAACAGCCCCGCTGAGGAGGCACGGGACGAGGGTGTGCATACCTAAAGCCCCACACCTCAGCGCCCTGCCCTGCTTGTTCGCCGGGTATCCGCTGCTTGGGTAGTCTCCAGGACCCACAGGTCCCCCAGTACGCCACTAGTGGCTCCCCACTTGACCCACTCTGTGCGTTGAAAACGCGGGGTTGCGTGCACAGACCAGCGCCAAGGACCTACGTATTCCGTCCGCACTCCAGTCACCTGCCGCTGCCGGGAGGGACGCACTTAACCCCAAGCACCACAAGCAAGCTTGTCGGGGTCGCATGCAAAGCCGCGAGAAAATCGCCGATTGCCAATCGGGCCAGCCGCGTCAACCCGCACCGCACACTGCTCCGGTCCGGAAATCGCACTACTGCTAACAAACAAACAAACAAAAAGACGGACAACTCGGTGACGCTGCCCACGGCTTTTGCTCCGATGTGCCGCCCGCCGAGGTTGAGCCCGCCAGGATGACTTCGTCCGGGTACGTTTTTTTTTTCCTTTCCTTTTTCTTGGACTTTTTTTGTTGTCTGCCTCCCCTTCGGCCACCGAAGCCGCGTCGTGCTAACCGCCCTTGTCATTGTGGCATAGGTCTCTCAAGGATCTCGCCAAAGCCGTCAATGTCTTCCTACAGGCCCCCAGCCTGCCGATACCCGCCGAGCTCGATGCTGTGGTACACAGCTACCTGGTCAAGAAGGAAGGCGCCGACAACAACGATGGTGAGCGCCTGAACGATGAGCTGCTCTCCATCTACGAGAAGACCGTAGCCGACCATCCCAACAAGTACGCCCCCTTCCTCGCCGTCTTACGGGTGCTTCGCCCGGCCTTTGCAACCCCCGCCAGGACCTTTGAGTGGTGGGACAGGCTTCTCGACCCTGTCCTCCAGTGGGTGAGCCAGGAAAAGGGCTTGGCGCGCGAGGTCCTGAACCACACGCTCGAAGTCTTGTCCATCGACGAAAGCTACGATGCCGAGACGTGGAACGTGGCCGGTTCCGTCTCGTTTACCGATCGGCTGCTGAAGAGATGGGTTGAAGCTTGCGAGAGCGAACCGCAGGCGAGGTCGCCGTCTGACCTCAAGGAAAAGATGACCAGGGAGGCCTTGATGGTCTTTGGCAAGAAAGATCCCAAGGTTAGTTAGTCAAGCGTTTTCGTCAGCTTCCGCAGCTAACCGCCCTTGGCAAGGGATTCATGCTCTCTCTGAACAACCTAGTTGTCAAGAGAGATTCGCGCAACCTCGCCTTCAGCCTTCTTTGTAATTTCGTCTCGAGTCAGCCCCCTCATCTTCATCTCATCTTGCAAACCCCGCTCTTTGTCAACATACTGCAGTCACTGCAGAAGGACGACTCGACCGTGACCGTCAACCTGGCCTTGGTCGCTCTAATCATGCTGTTACCATTTATGCCCAGCTCCCTAGTACCGCTTCTGCCAACTCTGTTCAACATCTACGCCAGGCTGTTGTTCTGGGACAGAGACACGTACTTTGCCCAGGAGCACACCGAGATTGGCGCCGAGCACGGAGATTCCTGGGAGAAGCGTCTCCTAGATCCCGACCATGACGGGAGATCGATTTTCTACCTCTCGGGGTACTTCACCATTCTTTACGGCTTGTATCCAATCAACTTTGTCGACTACATCCGGAAGCCCCAGCGGTACTTGCGCCACGCTAACAACGCTGAGGATATCGACGTCCAGGCCACAGAAATCCGAGACCGGTCCGAGCGTTTCAGGAAACACCATCTTCTGCACCCCAACTTCTACAACCTCACCATTGAATCCGAAAAGTCGGACCTGAGTCGCTGGATTAAAAGTGAAGCTGACGAGGTCCTCGCGGATTGCATGGCGCTGGCCCTACCACCTAGGCCCGGATCTGCCGACATTGGCAGCAGTGCGCCACTCCCAGCAGTTGCTCTATTCAACCTAGACGTGGGTGACCGAGAAGGTGTGGACTCGGCTCTCTTGGGCAGCTCAGACGATGGGGCTGGTCCGTCGTACCAGGTCCACCCCACAGATATCTACACCGGCAGCCACACCGGCAGTCGGGCCACAAGCAAAATGGAACGGAGGGGCTCCGAGTCGAGCTACCTTCCTTCGGGCTGCGAATCGCTAGATATGAAGACGCGAGACGTTGGGGGCGACAGCCCTACCCTGCCGCCGCATCTCATCCACGCGTCCTCTCACACACAGCTTCAGGACATGATACGGTCTAACAAGGTTATCAAGTCGAGTCTTAGCCAATCTCTGGCCAACGAGAGCGTCATGTCACTAGCCCTCAGCCCCCAGGAGTCAGTGGCCGAGAAGAGCCCATCGCAGCCTCCGTTGCCCTCACAGCCTGCGCAGGCGCGTAGTGGCCTGAGCGCCGAGTCGAGTGACCAGCCGTCTCTCTTTTACCACCAGCGTCTTTTACTACTAAATGATTTGCAGTACGAGAGATACATAAAGCAGCAGCACATGATCCACATGGGGGAGTTGCGCCGAAAGCAGGTGCGAGAAGCAGCCACCGAGGCCGAGACGCAGAATCTCGTCATGGCAAACCGAAGTCTGAGACAGCGGCTGGACGAGGCCAAGAGAGGAGAGGCGCAGGTTAAGAAGGAGTTTGACCACCGTCGTAACATGACGCAGAAGCGGGAGAGTGACTTAATGGCCAAGCTGCGGACCCTTCGCGAAGAGCAGAAGAAGTGGGGAAGCGAGATGGCAGAGCTCAAGAAAGAGCTGGATGTGGCCCATGCAGAGTGTGAGAGTCTACGCCGGATTGTCAACGAGGCCGAGGAGAAGAGGCTCGCGTCAGAACAAAGCCTCACGGCGTTTGAAATAAGCGCCGACGAAATCGAGGGTCTGAGGGCCGAGATCTCGCGCCTATCCGCCTCGGAACGTGCGTTCCAGGGAAAGGAACTAAAGGTTCGAACCGCACTGCAGGAGGCCGATGACGCGAAGGGCAGGGCGGAGCAATTGGCAATAGAGCTTGCGGCCCTCGAGGATCAGCTGCAGCAATCGAGGGCCCGGTACGAGTCCCAGATTGCCGATCTAAACACAAAGCTCGCCAAGACGCTCGACGACACGCAGCGCACACGGGCCAGCGAAGCATCGGCACTCTTTGAAAGCGCTCTCGCTGCAAGCCGGGCAAAGCAGAGCGAACTTCAGAAGCAGTACAGTATGCTCATGCGCAAGTACACAGTCCTGCAGTCGTCGCTGCTGGACATGCAATGTGACGCCATGGAGAAGAAGGCAGCCGGCAACGATACCGACGGAGATGCCGACCTGGCGGTCATGGCGGCGAGCCCCCCAATTTCAATCCGAAACCGACCCCAGAGAGGCTTCTCGGACCCCGAAGCCTTCGACGGCATCTCGCACAACGCAACCCCGCCGCTGGATCCCGTGTCTAGCTCGGTCGGAGCCGGGCGGCCATCGACTCCGCTGGGGGCCCACGATGCATCGGGCAAGACGAGTCCACATGCCGAGAGGTATTTTGGAAGAGGTGAGTCTCCGTACCTTGCGGCCTTGTCGTCGCCGTCGTCATCGTGGCCATTTGCTTACCGTGGTGGTGCAGGCGGCGTCCAAAACGCCATCAAAAAGGAGCGCAAAGACAAAAAGGACGACAAGGCAGACAAAAAAGACAAGAAGACGGCGTCTGGTCTTCGGGGAATCCGGAGTTTTGTATGATGTGGCATTTTTTAATCCATCTAGATAGGCAAGCGCAAGCAGTGCCACGCGTGTGTTATTTCTGAGCCCTTTTCCTTTTTTTCTCTCCGCTGTTGGTTTTTCGACTTGTCTTGACTTGACACACGCCGCCGTTATATGTCATCTCAGGAGGCGGCATCGCAAACAAGTCCCGGCACCGCCGTACTATATATCAGAACTAGTGGTATAGCAAGGTTGTAGTCGCGCCGCTCTCGGCGGTTTATTAATGAGCGATCCAAGATGCTTAGGCAGGCAGGCGGTACCTAGCTGGTGCCATAATACGCCTTGTAAGCTGTCTTTGCGGCAGATTTATCCGTTTACGTTATATAATAGTAAGGAAAAAAAGGGAAAAAAGAAAGGAAAAAAACGTTGCAGTTGTTTAGTCAACGGCTATGACGAGGCTCTTTGGTAGCCCAGGTTGGCAGTTTGCTCGGTTGGTGGATACCAAGGAGGGGGGTTCTTGCCGGTAGTGCAAGGTACGGATTACAGCCGGGTAAGGTACGTGGGCCGGGCGGGGGGGCGGGGGGGCTTACTCGTCGGGGTCCTTGTTTACTTGGCAATGTCGTGCCCCCAACCCCAACCTCCCAGACCCAACGGCCCTCTGCCCCGCAGCCCGCACCGCACACGCGCGCCCCCCATCGCGATGGAAGCACAGCCCGCGCCGCGCTACTCGCTCGCCCACTCCTACGAGGGATCTTCAACATCGAAAGCTGAAACCAACGTTTACTGTGCCCCGATTTGTTTTCTTTCTTTCTTTCTTTTTCTGCACATTTTCACATTTGTACAGCGCTGGGGTGTTTTGGCCTAGACCTAATGACGATGATTCCCCCTCTCTGCACACGACTGTACCTAGCAAACTGCCCGATGTGCTGAGGTGGTAACCGTTTTTTTGCGCCGTCTTCCAATCAGGAGCCTGCAGGCCTGCTTCGCTTCCGTCCCACGAGCGCGCATGCGAACCACCCTCGTCGTCGCCGCCGCCAACACAGCTTACTCTTTCTCTCTCACGCACACACACATCGTCCGTTATTACCTGCTGCCTGGTAGGCTGAATATATTGGTTTTCATCTGCCATTATTTTCCGCCCCTCTCGTCAAGGACGCATCACATCATCAGACAATTCGCGAATCGCATTGAGCGAGGAGAAAGAAGCGACGAGGCTTTTCATCCCGTTTTTGACAACCTACCTTTCCCCACGCAGGAATATCGAATTGCGCCAGCGGCATCGCCCGACCGACCAATCGACCGACCAGCCGACCAACCGACCGGCCGACTAACCCGGGAACCTACCATTGCGCCATCAATCTGATATACCGCCCTACCACTAGGCACGACGACTCTTCTCCTACTACCAGAGGTCGCAAGTATTGCGTAGATAGGAGAGAAAAATAATTCGAGAGCCCGTTTGTCATTGGTTCAATTTCGCATTGCGTCTATTAAGAAAGGAGACGTAAGCCTTGCACAATGGCGCCAGTAGCAGCGATAACAGAACGACGCGCCGCCGCCGCCCTGTTCATCTTACCGCGCGGTGGACTTGTCGCCGAGAAGGTACAACAGCGCTCTCCAGCACCCGCACCAGCACCAGCACCAGCACCTGAGCCGGCCACATCCCCAAAGCAACAGCAACAACAGGCACGAGACGACGAGTCGGCGGCGGCATCGCGGACTCTCGAGCTCGTCGCGCGGCAGCAGCCCACAGTAGCGACGATCCCGTCCTTCTACGGGTCGCTGTACGACGGGCCAGACCCGGGCACAGTGGCGGGCATCACGCTGGGGTCGGTGGGCGGCTTCATCCTGCTGCTGTGGCTCATTTACACGTGCATCAACGTAGGCAACACGTCGGCCGAGACGACGGCCGAGTCGTCGGTGGGCACGGCGTCGGTGGTGACGCGCAAGCGCCACCGCCACTCGCACCGGTCGTCGCGCGGCCCCGTGGCCGAGACGGTCGAGATCCGCCGCACGGCCAGCCGCGGCGGCGGGCCCGTCATTGTCGAGGAGGTGGTTACTGGTGGGGGTGGCGGCGAGCGCATTGTGGTCGAGGAGCGCCGCCGCTCCGTCAGCCGCCCCAGGATCATCCACTCGGACGACGACGACGACGAGGTCGTCGTCATCGAGGAGCACAGCCCGCCGCCGCGCCGCCGTAGCCGCATCCGCAGCGTCGAGCGCAGGTCCACGTACCGCGAGGTCGACCCGGACCGCTTCGCCGGCGGCGACTCGCCCGTCATTGAGGTGCGGAGGTCGACCAGTCGGAGGAGGTAGGGAGGCAGTTTTATGTATGTTTAAGCGAGGGATGGATGGAAAGAGAGCTAAAAGGCTAGCGTGTCTTGTGTCTTGTCCATCTGGGCCGCGTTGACTAGTAGAACGATTATGTTTTCTTGGCATTTGTTGGGGGGTGGGAGGACGGGCAGGCGGGCGTTTGTGGAGAGGCATAGTCGTATGTTTTTGTGTTATTTGGGCACCATGGAGGGAGGATTGCGCGTGCTGGTTTGGTCTCGATTGTAGCGTCTTGTTCTCTCTCCTTTTGTCTAGCGTGGCGCGCATGCCGAGCCGCGACTGTCTTGTTGGGAATGTCCGAGAGAAATGGGAAGGCATGCTGGTAGGTACTGTATTGTATCTACATGGATGGCGGAACAGTCAGGGCAGGTAGGTACAGTACAGTGCGGTACATTTACATTTTACATTTTACATTTACGAATTACTTCAGTATTGAATAGAACAACAAACATGCCGGGCGTGCATCACGCACACACGCGCATGCAATAAACATACGAGACAGATGCGCGTCTAGACTAGGAGGACTCGTCTCTTTTCTCTGTGCCCCTTTTCCGGATTGATTCAAGCATGCTATCATGGTCATGTCATACCCCTCCCTCGTCCGGTTTGAATGCAAACAATGGGGAGAAATTCTAAAAGCAGGCGTGGCCAGGCCGAAAATGGCGAGTCCAAAAGGAGGAAACAATGAAGTAAGTCTTGGGCGGGGGGCGTTTTGTCGTCTGCATTGAGCTCTGGATCCGGTTAATTGAGGCGGTCGTTCTTCTTTTGCTGTGGGTGGTTCCTAACGAATGAAGGAACGAACGAACGAACAGACGGGCTATTTCGTTTCGTTTCCTGCCGTCCCCGTCCTCCCCTGCCGTTTCGAACGAACGAACGCCAGCCCGCGCGCTCCCGCCGGCTTGGCTATGCCCGTGCACTGCACTGCCTGCCTTGCAGAGTGCAGACGACACTGCAGAAAGAAAATCCGGGGCTTCCCCCCCCATTCCCCCTGTGCCTGTGAGCGAGCGGGCCCGCACGCAGACCCAATCCAATGACATCACCAGTACAGTACAGTAATAAACCACCACCAACAAAAAGGAAAAAGGAAAAGGGGCCGTCACGCGGTTGTTCGGACCTGCCCCGACTTTTTTTTTAATATTCAATCCAGACAGACAGACTTATTTTTCCTGCTACTAAGTAGCAGCCAGAGAGGATACCTTACCCGAAGACCGAGGACTCCCTCTATTGACTCTTTTTCTCCACAAACACCTACTTGCGGAACAAACTCACAAAAAACCAAAATGGAACATCCAGGTAATCCCCATCACTAATCAATTGTCAACTACTTAAAGGCATCTCCGAAAACCCCCAGCTGTCTAATACGAAAATCTCGTATCACACTTCTAGTCAAGGACGTCCGCCGGGTCATCCACGCCCTGACGCAGGGGACCCCCGACGAGCAGCAGGAGGCCCTCTACCGGTACTACGCGCCGTCGGCGTCGTTTGTGCACCCTTTCTGCCGCGTTCCGTCTTTTCAGGGCGTCCGCGTTCCTGGCTACGGCCAGTTGGACTCGCGGACCTTGATCCTCTCCGTCTTGAAGTGGCAGGTCAACCCAACCCAACCCAACCCTAACCCCTTCCTTCCTTCTCCTGAAAGCGTCGGGGAGGCATTTCTGGGGTGACAGATTCATGTTCGTGTGCTAATGGTATTGCATCGGGCTGCAGGTGTAAGTCTTGTACCCTGACAAATTTCTTTTCTTGAGGAAAGGAAGGAATTTTTTTGGGGTAACGTAAACAATGACAATGACGCACTAACACGGCCAATCTCGAACAAATACACACAGACAAGATCCTCAGCCCCAAGATCGACATTAAGGTCGAGTCGTCCGTCTTCGACCAGCGCGCCAACCTCTTGTACGTAACGTCGGCGCAGACCTTCTCGCTCTGGTTCGTGCCGTCCCACAAGGCGCCGGTGCGCCTCGTCACGGTCCTGTCGCTCGTCCCGTCAGACGCAAACGGCCACCACAGCAGCAACAGCACCACCGGCGGCGATCGTCAGGTCAACGGAGTGCACGACGAGTCGGACGGCGACGAGCCCGAGGAGCCCAGCTACGCCGACGTGCTGTCGGCGGCCCCGGGCGCCACTACCGGAAACCTCGACGGGCACTCGGCCGCGAACGCCGTCGCCGAGCGGACCCAGCCGCCGCTGCCGCCCAAGAAGGCCAACAACAGCAGCCAGCAGCAGGTTTCGTCGCCAACATCGTCGCCCTCATCCCGCCCGCGGTACCTGATCCAGAAGCACGAGGACTTCTACCAGGTCAACGAGTTCCTCAAGTTCCTGTTTATGGCCCCCGGCGCGGCCGTCTGGGCCGCCTGGCAGCTGTTCAGTACGCTCCTGTGCGTGGTCGGCGCGCTGCTGCTCGCGCCGTTGATGCACGTGGTCGCTCCGGCTGTTGGTGGTGTTGCTACTGGCGGGCAGCAGAAGACGGCCTAAGTCGGGCGTGGCCCTCGTGTGTGTGATCGGTTTTCTTCTTTGTGGTTTTGACTGTGGGAATGGATATGGATATATGGGTGGGTGGTTATGGCGCAATTTTTTTTCTTTCCTCTCTTTTCCGTCTCTGACTCGGTAGAATAAAAGAATATAGAAACCTGGGGTTTCCCTCTTCTCTTTTTCAACTTGTCGATTCTTCTGATTGCTCGTGCATTCATGTGACGGCCGCTGAGAATGAAAAAAGGGGGCGGTGGGCGATCTATTGCTGCTTCGTGGTAGACGCGAAACAAGCGCTTGGGTGAAAAGGGTGAGGCCGAAGTGAGCACCCGACAACCACTTTCCACCGCCATCATGTTTTCCCTTCCTCTTTGCTGACTCTATGGCTAATATAAGCGCTTCTACAACAGCCAGTCCCAGATCTACCCTGATCCGCAGAGACAGGGACATATAGAGAAAGTGTCGAGTTGAGCAGTGTGTTATATTGTGCGAGGTAGTTAGGGGTATCATTTTGCAACTCCCGAATCCAAAGAAAATTCGATTGGCAAGATAGGCAAGCAAATGCATATACAACAACGGACAATCCAACATTCCGCGCCCATACGCCTCCAGTGACTGTGGGTGGTTAAATTGAGTGATATAGGTAGCCCGCGGTTGTCGCTATGTGAATCATGGCATGACCGCTTCAGCCAGCGCCATTCCCACCTCCGCCACCGCCCCCGCCGCCGAGCCCACCGTTGCCTTGCTGCCCGCCATTGCCTTGCTGCCCGCCAAAGAAAAACCCGTCAAAGAGATCGAACTGCTGCCCGCCATCGCTAAAGTCGTGATGCAGGCCCTCCCAGCCAAGGCCGAAGCCAAAGTCGATGCCGCCGGCGTCAGCCATGGCGAGGTCGCCGTCGAGGCCTGCGGATCCCGCGCTGCCGAGGCCTTGTAGAAAGTCCATGCCCTGCAGGTCGTCGAAGCTCACCGCGCCTGCGACGGGATCAAACAGCGACTGTTGCGGCTGCTGCGGAAAGGCGCCGCCACTGGTGCTGCTCGGGCCCCCGACTACCAGGGGCGGGGGCATGCCGGCGACGCTCAGCGGAGAGCCCACCTGGCCGCCCATCGCGGGAGGGGTGGGGTGTTGCATCAGAGTCGGCGAATGCATGAGGGATGGGTCTATAGATGCCGCAACAGCGGCGGCAGCGGCAGCATCGGGAGTGAGTGGCATGTCTGAGGAGCTCGCGTTGCTTCTTGGCGGGGCGGGCAAGTTGCGCATTAGGGAGAAGCCGTCACCGGCGGCCTGCTCGGTCTTGATGGGCTGGCGAAAGTGTGAGCTCTGAAAGGCCGACAGCTGAGACGCCGACGAGGCGCTGTTGGAGTACGTGTCAGAGCCAAGGTCCGAAAACTGTGGGCCCTGGGTCGAGATGTGCTCAATGGACCGCCGGGGGTGCCGGCGGGGCTGCTGGTGGTGGCTCCTGGCACCAGACAGAGACGGGGCACTGCTATCGCCGCCGCCAACTCCGCCGCCGCCCCTCGCACCCCAGTCCAGGCGCTGGTCAATGCTGCTCCTGGAGCTGGACCGCTCGCCAACGCCGCCGTGCTGCTTCTGCCGCTGACCGAACCCGCCCGCCGCATTGACCATCTTCAGTGTCGCCTTGACTGTCCGATCAAAGGCGTCCCGACATGCTTCGGCCGGCGGGCACTTGTCCATCAGATCCGTGAATACCGACGTTGCGGCGAGGATGGTGAAATCCACTTCATCCATACTCTAAGAAATAATTCACCTGTCAGCCGACGCCAAAGGGGAGAAGAAAAAAAGAAAAGACTGGCCACAAAAGAATGGGAAAAGGGCAGCCTCACCAGCCGGCTCCTAACTATGGGGGAATGCCATATCGCATACAGATAGGCTATTCCCGCCACAAACAGGTGGTGCGTGGTCAGGTATGTATAGTTGACCAAGCCCACCAGGTGAAGCTGACGGTAGATGCGCAGAATCTTCTGTCCGGCCTCGGCTACCTTGAGATAGACGCGGTCCTCATCCTCGCGCAGCTCTGCGCTGAACATTGTGGGGCTGTTGACCTCCTTTGCCGTATCGTACTCGCCCTCGAACACGGTCGGCACGCTCAGGCTCTGCCGGTAGAGCATGATGACGGCCTGCCAGTAGTTGAGGTCCAGGAACTCGGTCGAAAAGGCCACGCCCGTGTCCTGCTTGCTCGGCGCCGAGTTCTTCCAGTCCCAGAGTCTCCTGTCGATGTCGACCCGCCACGCCCGGAACGATTCGAACCTCGACAGGAATGGCGACGGCAACTCGGTGTGCATGTGTGGATTCCCCTGGTTGACCCCGCTAGCCCGGACAATTTCGGCTTGTTGGTACTGCAATACCTGGAGGATCTCGGACTGGAGTAGTCTCAGGCGGAAGTAGTGGTGGGCGACCAGCTTATATGTCGGTTTGAGCTGCTCTGTACTCTCGAAGCCGTTTTGTGTTATGTACCGGTCCTCGAGCAGCGACGGAAACTCTGTCGTTATGACCTGATCCGAGATCCCAAAGGGGCGCCCGACGCAGATGCTGACAAGCCGGTCGAACGAGTAGGTGCACCACCACAGCCGCCGTCTCAGGTCGCGCACGTACTGCCGCCTACCGCGTTCCCGCACGTTGGTCTCGCTCTGCTGCTGCTGTGCCGTCGCATCCCCGAGACCCGAGTCGATGTCCTTTCCATCCTCGTAATGTAGCCCTAAATCAACCGCTAACCTGACCGCGACGCCAATAATATACCTGGTAAAAGCGGTTAGAAGACCACACAAGGCCTAACCGCCGTATTATGCTTGCTGTCTGTGGCTCTTGGCCATGGGACGCACAGATAGTGGACGGGAGAACTCACCATAATCCAGGAGGAACGGGTCTCAACAGGGCAAAATTGGCCAGAAGCAGTACAGCCTGCAGCTCCTCCAAGCCGCCGCCACTGCCAAGGCAGGCCTCAAGATGCACGATGGCGCTCGCGTGATACTCCTCGGGCTGGGCTTGCCGCGACCCGGGGGGCGCGTCGGGGGTTTGCGTAGTTGGCGTGTTGGACTTTGCCGAGTCGGCGAGGATGATGCCTGCCCCTATGGCAAACACCATGTTCAGCATGTACAGCTCTCGCGGCCCTCGCTGGCGGCCCTCGTCGGCATAGGCCTGGTCGAACATCTCCATGAACGCGCCTCTATGCAGCACGGGGATCTGGGGGTTGGCGTGTTCAAAGTAGAGAGTGAGCAGCCTGCGGCCGAGCGTCTTGTCGGGAAAGGGCGCCGGATGGATAGTGGGCTTGGTGTGCAAGCCAAAGAAGGAATCGCGCATCGAAGTCCCGGCGCCGGCACCGGCGGGGCCACTGTTGCCGGCTATGGGCTTGTACGGCCGTATCCCCGCCTTGTCCGACATGGACTTCTGGTCCGACACAGATGACTGAACGGCAGCAAAGACGACGCGCGCAAAGGACACGCCGGCCGTGGCGCCGAGATGCCGGTGGTTTGCGACGCCGGGCACGCCGCCCGCGATGCCACCACCGGCCTTAGACACCAGCCTCTGTAATCGACCTGTAGTTGTGCTATCGTCCCCATTGAGCTCTGCCTTGGCGCCGGCGGCAGGGTCCCTGGAGTCGCCATACGACGACGAGGCCCCGTCGGTGGGGGAGCGGGCGGCGCTTGAGCCGTTGCCCGTCTTAGACGAGTACTCGAGGTTTTCTGCGGGCGGGAAAGCCACGCCCTTGGATATCAGGAGGGATTCGAGCTGCTCTACCCTCTTCTCGAGATAAAAGATGTAGCTGCGCGGGATCTCCTTTTTGGTGATTGGGTCGTATCCGACGCAGTTGACATTGGCCTTCTCGCAGCTTGCACAGCTCGGCAGCTTCTGGTCGCATCGGTTTTTGCGCAGGCGGCAGCGGTTGCAGGCGCTGACATTGCGGAAGCTGCTACTCTGGCCAATCTTGCCGCCGAGGCCGAGGCCATGGGCGGCTCCCCCATCGTGAGCGTGCTCGCTGGTCGGCGACGTTGCGCCTGCCGACGGTAGTGACGTTGGCGAGTCCTTGTCGGGAGACGACGGGCGCGGGCGCTTGGAGGGGTGCACGTCGGGGGAGCGGGGGGAATTTGTTGGCGCTGCCATGCTTTCAGCCCGAGACATTGGCTCTCCCTCGCCGCGGTCGGTCGGCCGGCCGGATCGGATCGGCACGGCGAGTCGGCGCACGGTGTGGGTGGATATGCAATAACAATTCCTTTGTTCTGGCTCTAGTTCTGGTTCTAGTTCTAGTTCTGCGCAGTCCCCGGGTGGACCAAGATTCGGCGCGGATCGCTCGACCCTGGTGGGCTTTCCGGACTCGGGCAGGGGGGCGGGCTTATTTGATCCTCGAACTTCAGCTCCTGACTACGCTACCTTGTCCCGGGCGCAATCCGTCGGCCCCATGCCTTCCTTCAAACCTCGGCCCAGAGATGACTTGGTGGCGCGCGGGCTTGGTGGGAGTGTAATAAGGTAGGTGCCGCGCTGTACGGGGACGGGACGGTATCTGGGTCGTGTGTCCGTACGGAGTATTCGTTTCACACAGCGCCTCGAAGCGTGCGGGGCCCTCAATGGTTTGACTGCGTTGCTTGTCTTGCAAACCCAGACACGCAAATTGCCGTGGTCCTGTGGAGATATAGCTCATATGTCGTCGAGAGAGTGGGCGGAGCGGAGGGGCAATGTGTCTGTCCGTTCGTTTCGAGCAAAATAATGGGGTTGGGTGGGTTCCTAGATTGCGATTGAGGTTGACGTCGTCGGTTGATAGCTACCTTGGCTACCGTATCTCAAACAAGCAACGGCGCAAGCGGTTTGCTCGGAGGCTGGCACTAGTAGAGCATACCCAGCAACAACGCGCACGGCACCGCACGGGACGCAAGTCAAGTCAGAGAATAACGAGCAAACAAACAAACAAATAAATTTGGTATGCTGGAGGGGCCGGTGGCAGGGCAGGTTGGTGTTCACGCGAGAAAGGCTGCCTGCAGGGGGGAAGCCTAGAATAAGACTAACATGAACGAGACTTTTTGCGTGAATATTTTCCCGGTTTCAACAACCCATCCACCCTGTCCTGTAGGTAACCCCAATGGATGCGCTTTTTTGTCTGAACAGGACATGCCCGCAGTACATTATATACATGTGCATTACCGAACTGCGAACTGGGAAAGGGCAACCAACTCCACAGCAAGCAACCTAGGTAACCTACGGGAGGACATAGACGTGCCTTCCTAGGTTACATTTACTCCTGAGCACTACAACTACGTGTTGCCATTCCGCCCTTGCGCATCTATTTGTACGTACGTTACGGAATACTACCAAGAAGATTCAACAAAAGAGGCCCAAGCCAAGGACTAAAAACGAGGCCAGAAAGATTACCGATAACGCTGGCCGGCAACTTGGAGGAGTGAAGTGAAATGGGGCGCTGATAAGAAGTTTCAAGCCAGCGAATCACTGGCCGCAGGTCTAGCTGTTCGAATCGAGTAAAAGGAGGCCCACAATTGGAAACCAAACCCCACACATCCTTTTTTCTTCTTTTTTTTTTATTTTTTTCATTCGCATTTCGCACTTCGGCTCCTTTTTTGCCAAGCTTTCCCCAACTTGTCAAGTAGCCAACTTCAAAGCCTCTTTTAACTAGAAGAGCCCACACCCCCCTCGCTCCCCTCCCCTTCCTTATCCCAATTTGTTCATCCAGCCTTGTGAGAGTTAAGATAGGTTAAGTGAAACCAAGTTCAATGGGCAGGCAGGAACAGGAGGTGTGCGCCACCGAGCTGGAAAAGACTGAGGTCCCTGTTTTGAGGATTTAATTCCGCTAATTCCGCCAACTCCGAAAGCTGTCAGGTCTTGACGGCCCAGCTTCACCTTGCTTCGCCTATTTATCCTTATTTAGACGTGGCGATCAATGGGGCAAACTGCCTATCTCAGCCGAACCTCCAGGGCTAGGAGAGGGAAAGGAGAGAAAGAGAGAAACTGTAAAAAAAATTGGGACAAGACTCGGAGCAAAACCCCAGAAAAATCATCATCCCTTGCGTTATATACCTCTAAATTGTTGCGGGCCAAGTTAGTTCCCAGGACTGAGGAACTCCCGCTATCGAAATCCACCGACGACGTTTCGAGGAATACAAATATTAAAAATAATAACAAAAACAATAACGCCCTCCTAGAGATCATGAATAGAAAAAAGGTTTCCAATAACACCACCCTTGCCGCGTAGCCCGCCGCCTTTCTGATACCTCTTGGGGATGCACATCGAGAACTTCAAAGACACCCGCTGATTTCCGTAAGCCAAACCTGACAGCTTCACTCCCTTTCCTTGGTATCTCAACCTTGTGAAGCAAAGAAAAGCAGCCCCAAACCCTAGCGTAACACATGGTACAAGAGCCGTGCTCTATGATCCTTCGCCAATAAATATCACACAAATATTGGCCACTCCTCGCCACCATGAAGGCATTGGCTCCCGTAGAACGCCGCCGCCGATGCAAGGATTCTCCACGCCCCATCATTCCAATCGGGTACCTCCGGTGGTCTTTCCCAGTATCGCCGACCAGAAAATAAGAACAAGTCTATCCCAATCAACTTCATTCGTCCCATATTCCGAGAAACTTTCGCGAGAATGACTCCGTTGCAACTTCGTAACGCCAATATGTTGTCCGACCTTGTCGTACCTTCTATCTCTCTAGCCGTCGTGTAGTTAGAAAACGTGTTCCCGTGAGGGTTGTCACGTCTGGGTTGTATTCTCGGCCAAAACATCGCGGGGCTCCATCGGCGCAGTGGTCGTCGTCTCGATGTCATCCTTCTCATCCATCCTCGCCTTGGGCTCCGAGATTTTGAAGCTAGTATAGGCCCCGGCAATTGTTATCAAGCCTGTGACCCACCAGACGAGACCGGAATAACCGCTTTCCATGCCTATGGTGTAGAGCAGCCCTGAGATAATCGGTCCGAAGCCACGGCACAAACTCGCAGTCGAGGCGGCAACCCCGTTGATCGTGCCAAGAGATAACGTTGACGGCGCCGAGTTGGTTAGGAGCATGGCGTTGCTCGGGTATGCCAATGTCGAATATGTGCACTTCCAGACCACAATGACGTATACACTTGCCATCCGAAGGGAGTCAGGCAGGAGCACCATGTATGGCGTGACGAAGTAAAGCAGAGGATATGATGTAGAAAGAAGTCGGATCAGTCGAAGTGCCCCGAACCTTTGAACGACGCGTTCAAACAGGAAGTATGTCGATGCCATGGAATACAGCCCCTGAACAGACAAGATGACGCCGATTGTCCGAGTGTCTAATCCAAAGCCATCGGCGAATTTGAAGGGGAGAGAGATTGGCTGAGGATTCGGGCTCGTGCTCAGGAAGACCGGGAGCAGTGCGTCGAATGTCATGGTGTGGCTAGCAGAAATAATCAGCATCGCAAGCCTCCGCTGGCATCAGCAAACAACTTACAATGCCAGAACGCCATAAGAGACGATGGTGAGGATCACTTGTTTGGTGAATATCTTCATTGCCGGTTTCTTCTCCAGCTTCGGTAAGGCATCCTGGGCAGTCTCTTCGAGGTTGAGCGGATCTTGTAAACTTGGGCCCGGTGCAGACGTCATTTGTGGTGAGTTTTCCGACGTGGAATACCCAGGCAAAGGCTCGTCGGTTCCAAAGAGAAGAGGGCGCTCCTCTGGTGCTTTCCCTCGTCGAATCTCGGTTCGGTTCCGTGGCAAATACGAGAGCAGGTACCGACGAAGCTCCTCGCTACGCTTAGCCAGGTAACTTCCCAGCTCTATTCCTCGATCACGCTGCCATTTCTTCTCCGGGTGCGTCTCCTCCAAGAACAGTGCACCGACTGCCACCCCGACGAATACGCAGGCCGCGCTGAACAGGTTGGGCAACAAGTACGGGAATTTGTCCCAAATGCTGCCAGGCGAGAAGATGGATGGCAAGTTGTCGACCGGTTTTGCGAGCGCCCCTCCGATCATGGGCCCGAGTATCGACCTGTCAAGATAATCAGTCCCCAAGTTCTTGAGCAGCAGCACTTTCAGTAATAAGGGCTAGCTGGCATACCCTAAGCACCACACAACCGGCATAACCGCATATGCTCGGGCTGACCAATCTAGTTAGTTTCGTCGTTGCGCATGGGAGAATCATATCAACTCACGCTGATGCTCTTTGACAGGGACCAACTCTGCCACAGTCGTTTGCAATACTCCGATATTGCTGTGATGGTATTGTCAGCCTTGTTGATCCTACGAAATAGAGTAAGCCGACTCGGGACGGACCCGTTCAAGAGACCCCCCAGTGCGCGAGCAAAGAGGGCAACCGGAAGGTTTGGCGCGAAGCCAAACACAAGGACACTGATGCCGGTACCAGCCAGTCCCATTAACAAGATGGGCTTCCTCCCGACCTTGTCACTGAGCCGTCCCCATAGCATACCAGTCGAAAACTCGGCAAAGGTGAATGCCGAAGTAACCATGCCAGCATAGAATGAAATTTTGCTCTCATCTTCTGTAATGTTGAAATCCCTAACCATGTGGAAGATGTAAGGGAATATGGACATGAAAGCGATGGGCTCGCATATCCGGCAGATTGCTGGGACACTATTAGAACAAACCCAACAAAACAGCGTCTGCGTGCCCATGTCTTCGCTAAAGAGCCAGAACCAACTATAAGACTCCATCTCGACCGTCCAGGCCATGCATCATCTGAGACATACCAAGTATGAACAGCTGCCTCTGAGGATAAGGCGGAAGCTGTTTCGACAAGGGCTCGACTCGCACCCCGGCGGTGCCGCGGTACCCATCTCCCCTCATGGTCATGGCAACTAAAGGCTACCCAGGGAGAGCAAAAGGCAAGTGCCGGGTGGCAGTAGACGAGATATGGGTTGTTCGTATAGAGCCGGGCCGGTAGTAGTAACTCGGGGGCAAAGGGAGTTCTCTATCCGTTGAGCTGGTGGATATAAGTCAATCCGGTAAGATGAAGGGCCTTAGAGGGCAGCTAGGATTCCTTGAGACAAAGAATCCGGGAGCACGTAAGGAAGGTACGACATTGGGTGCCGGCGATCGTGTGATGGGAGCAAGTTGCAAGGCGAAAAAAGACGGCAAGGCCAGGATGGGGCGATCAGGCGGGAAGAGCAGGGCTGGGCACTTTATAAGAAGAGCAGAGGTGGGCGGGAAGGCGCCATGTTTTGTAGTTTCAAAAACATTACTATAGCAAGACGCGGTCCGGCGAGGGCAGATGCCGACCAAGCCAGCTAAGGGGGCCGAAAGGGCTGAAAAGAGGTCACCGGATCATCATCCATCTGACAGTAGTGGGGACCTGGGAGCCTGGGAGAGGGACCGGACCGGGATAAAATTATCTCTCGGTACGGAGTATACAGTAAATAAAACCCCACGAAACAGCGGTGACAAGTCCATGTCGACACCAAGGGGAAGGGAAGGACCGACGACAGACGATCCTGCCCGGGGGGCAGCACTAGGTCAGTTCAGGTAGTTACCTTTAGCGTTCGATGTGAATGCGGCGACAAAAGGCGATCCTGGGACCAGACTGGGCGCAGGGTGCCTTGGCGCCACCACTTGGCTGGCCTGGCGAGGGTGGCTCCCAGCTCTGATGGATCCTTGCTCGGACAGGGGGGAGGTGCAGACGCGTTCGACCTTTCGACGGTTCCAATGTCCCAGGTCCAATGGGACGGGGCCTGCCTCATCACCGTTTTGCTCTGCGAGACTGGGATCCCCCTGGGCAGCGTGGAGACCGCCCTGGTCGAGTCTCTCCGTCGAATCCGCGAGATTGCCGGGGGCCTCTTCTCGGCCTCTGACTGGCCAATCTGGCCCCAGCGGCCCTAGACCGTTTTCCATCCCAGCGACCGACCGGCCGACCGTGATCGCCTTTCGAATGTCGTAGGAGGCTGCCTGCAGGACAGCACGATAATGATTTCGGGTCGGCAGACCGCCTTCCTGGGCGACGGGCCTGGGTCCGCATTCAAGAGTCAGCAAGCCAAGCGCATGCTCTTGCGTCACTGGCCGTTGGACTTGGAACCACCGAGAGGGGCATCCCGGGAAGATGGAAGGAAGACGCAGTGAGCAGCGACCAGCCAGTGAGACCCGGGCGTTGGGCTGGGCTGCTGCTTCCAGCACGGGCAGTGGTACTAGTAGGTCATGTATGTGGATTTGCTGAGCCCAGCATATATCAACCAAAGTTCAGATGACGGGCCGCGCCTTCCTGCGAGTTTCACAGGCTTCCATTGGGGATTCGATGGATCAGAGAATCGAAGCTTCTACCTTAGCTCCTACCTAGGTAGATAGCGCGGTGAGAGGTAAAACCGGCACTTGCGATATCAAGGCGCAAAAGCCGCCTTGGGCGGCGAGGTGGTTTCTGAGGGAGACGCTACGTATAAACCTGGAACTAAAAGCAAAGCTGCTCGCTCGGAAAAAAAAATGTGAGGCAAGCAGAGAGTGGATACCGCCTCTGGCTCTTGGCTCTGGCTGAGCCGCTGAGGTAGCCTGAGGTATTGTGCTGTATGTACTGTAATGGACATACATACATGCAGTATCGCGCCTTCCCTCAGATGTTTGCCCATCTGATCACGGCAGGTAAGGTAGGAGGCAGTGGCGCGTGTGTGCCAGACTGCGTGGATGGGTGCTTGGGAAGGTGCATCACTGCATGCTCCGGCAAAGGAAAGGGCACGGGAGCTGGGGAGTGGACGGAAAGCTCGACGCCCAGCCGTTTCCCATCAAATAATTGTGGGCTACGGAGGAGTGCGCCGAGGAGCAAAAAAGTTGCTGACCGACCCCAGACAAGAGACAAGGGCCGCTAGTGAAGTGTCCCCAGGAGGCGGTGAATGCTTGAACACAGCCGAGGACCGAAGTCCCGCTGCGGCGGGGATATGGGAGCCGACCTACCTGGCGGATAGATGACCTCACGGAACGACTGAGAGAGTGAGGCCGCAGATGGAGTTGGGGCGAGAGTCTCAGAGCTACAGTGGCGATGCCGGCGAGAGTGGACATGTTTACTCCAATTTCGGACTCTGAGCGGTAAGTGCGTTGCGTGGGCGCGCGCGTGCGCGTGCGTTGTGTGCGAGGGTACTTACATCTACTGGCAGTCGTGACCGCCTCAAGCTCTAGGTCGAAGCAACTGTCTCTGTAATGGAAATGTGCCCGTGTCTGCTACAGGCAGTAAGTGCTAAGCCTAAGGTGCTCCCTCTGCCTCCCCACTCATCCGCGGGAACATTCCATTCTCGGTGCAGGATGCAGCTCGGCAGCCGCAGCTGCCTTGGATGAGGTATTGGTACCTGACCTTAACGAGGCAACCTCTGCCACCTTCAAAACCATAAGAGAGCGGGGGGAGGCTTATTAGTATGCAGAATACGTATGGTACGTTACCAGAAATGAGTACGGAGTACCTTCTGTACTCTGTAGGGGTGCCAGCAAAAGAACCATGGATGGAAGCAAAAGGCACCATTAACGGAGTTTAGTGGGCAAGGATCTTATGTCCTTGGGATGATCAGCGATGCCGACCCCAACGATGGGCCCTTGTTTTGGTGCGGACGTGGGCTTGACAGGGACCGTTTTTGCCCCGTTGACGCCAGCTATTCGTCCGTCGCCGGCTGTCTGGGACCGCGAACCTGCTTGGTAGGTGGGGAGGTATGTACAGGTGTGTATTGCAACCCGCCCCGGTAGGTAATGGGCGGATGGCTAAGGTATCCGTAGACGTTTTATTTTATTTTACGGTGTGTGTAAGAAGTAAGGTATTCAGTAAATGTATCTGGCTTGGTTTCGGGCGCATGACTTGGCGATCTAGACTTTGCTCCCAGTTTTTGCCGACATGGATACGCCCCCGAGATCAGGAAATGTACGGAAGAGGCCGGCAGATGCAGAGTGCCCGCAGACCGCAAAGCGGCTTATGTACATGTACGGATACCATGTATGTACGGATATGCGAGCGCGCACTTGAAACGACCGCGAAGCTTCCCGCCAGTATGCCAAATACGGACTACAACTACTATTATTGTGCACTTGGCAGCAAGGCATGGGCGGCTTGGTTCATATTTAGAAACGGGGCATCCCGGCGCCATGGCCATCCCACGCTTGCTTCCGCGGCCTTCATTGCTTGGCTGGCTGGCATCCTGCCTTCCAGGTTCCATGCTGGACTGCCAAGGCTGCGAGCCGCTTCTTTGTTGAGTGTCAAAGTCAGGTACTAAGTACTCGTATTAGCAGTGCCGCACTTTAGGTGTTAGGTTAGTGTTGGGGCGAGCCTACCATTCCTGGTAGCTAGTTGCGAATTCCATGAGAGCCAAGCCGCACGAGTGATCTAACCTGCCCAAGTATTCTTTTAGGTACGGAGTAGGCAGATTATCACTTCACTATCTTAATAGTATGTACTCATGGCAGTATTCCGTACGGGCCTGGATATGCAAGAATCCATTGTCAGAGCTGTTTTGGAAGTGAAGGCGATAGCACTGGACATGGAAGCTTGCATGTCAGTCGAGCCTCATTTGCCCTAGAACCTCCGCCATTGTCACCTACAGTAGCCACGGCTGCCGGGAATATCTTCTGCCACTCCGTTTCCTCAAATTGCGAACAGCAGTATTCCGTACCTTGGGTAGCGGGATATTGGCTATTCCAAGAATCAGGTCTTATGGGTTGCGGAGTCGCGGACGGCCGAAAGGCGCACGACCGGGGCAGAAGGGAAAAAAAGAAGGCAACCCCATCACGGAATCCGGATGAAATCCCCGGTTACACACCCTTCAGGTTAACTCCATCTGCAGGTCCATCCGATTACGGGTGCCAATGGGAGACCCGTGGCCGCGGGAGGTGGTAGCCATGCGGGTACATTGCGTGCGAGCGCTTGCCTGGTATTCAAGCACTCACTTCCTACTATAGTACAACTATTGTATGATGAGTATGTTTTACCCCTTGTATGTGTACCAGCAAGGGTATATTGGCCAGTGCAGTCCCTGCTAAGTCCCTGCTAGTGCTGTATTGCGATTGAATGGGCGCTGTAATTTTCAAATCGTGGCGCGCTGGGGGGCTTGTCAGTACCCGAACAGGGGGGGGCAAAACTTTGGCTCGCAACCATAATACCGTCTATTACACCATCGTCAGGGTCTAGGGGGGTAAGCTAGTCTAGTTCATATGAGTCTAGTGAAGGGGATGAGTGTTGGTAGCTGTGGAGGCTGCAACTATCGTCCCATGCCTAGCACACTTACGACGTGTGTATATTTAAGGTAGTTATGAAGACCCGACTCAGGGCATAGCCAGGTAGCTCGGCCTTGGCCCCCCTCTACTTGACGTGCTGGTTTGCCAGAGGGTGTTGTTTTATCGTCCCCTCATGACACCAACCAAAACCGAGAGGAAATACGGATGTACCAAGAGGCTAGCTCGGCCCTCGACGGGGATGGCTCACAATTCGCGAGCGAGCTGGCGGGATTGCCAAGATATCTTAGCATTTGGGAAACCTTTCATGATCTGGGGGTTGGGGCCAGCCGCCACACGACCAGAATACACTAATTTTAATAAGACCATGGAGGGGTTCCGTCCTGGCTTTTGGGTAAAAGTCCATGTGGCAATGCCACGGATCGGCGCCAGTCGCATGGCACGGACACCATACACTGTGTGTATTGTGCGTGAGAAGACACGAGTCGGTTTGATAAGTGATGAGGTGAAGTGAGTTAGCATTTGTGCAAGAAATCTGACGTAACGTACATACGATACTTGACGAGCGGAGGCTAGATGCCCGGTTTATTGGGAAAGATGGTCAAATCGCGAACTCGCACTGCATCTCTGCCGGGAGGGAAATGATGAAAACTACATTGCCGTACCGT